ACTAAAAATCATTCTCTTTTTTTTTTTTTTCTTTCTATTCTATAGTAATTCTCTATGCTTGATAATATCAAGTCGTATGGTTGGCAAGGAATATAAAAGGTGAGTAAAAAAAAAAAAATATTGGGAGTCAATGTAGTTCTACCTCCTTGTGGTGGCTCCTGGGTAACGCTAAATGAACTACCATCATCCTTTAGTTTAGAAAATAGTAGAATATATATATAAGATGTATTTTATTTTATTCAAATATGATTTTATATTAACTCGAATAAAGTTTGTTTTCAATATACTCGTCTCTTTCCTTTTCTTTTTTTTTTTTCTGTAATAGATCCTTCCAGCCATTGTCTATCCATACTAGTTAATATAGTTGTTTGCTATTGGCTCTTCATCCCTTTTTTGTTTTATCCATTTTAATTTGATGTTGTGATCCATATATATCCAGCATGATAATGCTGTTGTTTGACAATGATAGTAATTGATACACCCCAAAATAATAAGAAAAAGGGAATGAGAATCATATTGTAAAATGTTCTTTTTCATTTATTGTATCTTACCTTGAATAATTGTCTGTCCATACTTGAAAATAGCCCAGAAATTGCCTAGGAGTCGCCTAGACGTCATAGTAATCTTTTTCATCGGATGGAGTTGAGGAAAACGATTCTCTATTACCTAACTGTTACTCTTGATCAAAAAAAAAAAAAAAAAAAAAAAAAAAAAAAAAAACCACGGAAACTATGTATCATAAAATGCAATATAATTTTTATTTCAAACAAAAAAAGATAATCCATATACTAACTAGTAAAACTATCACTACTATCCACCCTACTCTACATAATACACCAGAAGCATTCGTCCACCACCAAGAGATCCTAACCAAACGAAGTTTCTTATACAGTCAGTTCACATTACCAATGAAATAAATCTAGGTCAAGCAATCATATGAAAAAAAACAAGACTATATAAAATATTTTTGTTATTACCTGTATTAGATCCTACATCCAAAATGAAAGGGTTTCCCCATGTATTTTGTAAATCCCTTTTTCAAAACGCTCCAAATCCAGTAAAATCTACCATGACAAGATCGCAAAAACAAAGAGGACACCTAATGTGGAAAAAAAAAAAGTGGATGAATAAAAGAAAAAGAAAGAAAAAATAATGAAAAAAGAGCAAAACGCAGGTAAAGGGGTGATTAATTTTTGAAGTCCGTCCACTGATAACAATTTGAACATTAATTTTATTCCCAAATAGGACTATAAAAGGAATCTCACTGTCTATTTTATTTTAACTATCTATCTATACCCATAGTAGGATACAAAATGCCTATGAGTCTCAACCCGATCTTTTTTTTTTAATAAAAAGAAATCTCACAGACTTGCTCTCATCTTCATTATTTTTTATTTTTTTTATCCCTATCTACACCAATACCATCACGTATCATCCATCACTTGTCATCCATCACTTATCATCCAATTCATGACCCAAGTACTATAAAAAAAATAGAATCGCGCATTTGACAGTGCTTTATTTTGTTCAAAAGTAATAAAAAAAAGAAAGTGAATATAAAAATATAAACCAATGTAACCATAACTATACAAAAGAGTCTTGTTATAACGGTAAAACGCAAATTGTCGATTGTCCCAGGTAGTCACATTTCTCTTTCCACCAGAGTGTTTCGTTTCCGTTCATGCATGATTGTAGTCCTCAAAGAAAGTGGCAGTGTCGATGAGTTGAGTCGTAATACCAAATTGTCAATACTTGATCGTGATTGGTTGAAGTTAGCGATGAGGTTCATAGTTTATGATTTACGGTTAAAGCAGGTTTGATCATGACCTAACTCCAAGAGAAAATCATAAAAGATCAAGTTGATTCAAAATCAAGTCAGTTCAAAAGTAAAACCTAACCAAGATATCAAATGGATTCAAGTATCTATTAAATCATCTAGAACTAAAAAAAAAAAAAAAAAAAAAAAAAAAATGTTGAAGACAATGGGAAAAGTTGGACCAAGCTCTGACAAGAAAAAAAAAAGGGGGGGGCGCTCTCTCTTTTTTTTTTTTGCTTTTACTTTTTTGTACTTTTTTTTTTTTTTAAAAAAAAAAACCAATGACACTTGTAAGTTAAAAAATAAATATATTGGAAGATCATTATTAACATACATCAATATATATATTGAAAAATCAACCAACAAAACTCGATACGTGATCAATACTAGTATCGACCAATATTGATCAGATATTGATTTTTAGTCAATAACAGTATGATTTTTTTTCTTAACGATGGAATACTGACGATATTGACTTCTCGTATTGAAAAGTCGATACTAATACTAATTTTTCAATATATATATATATTTTACCATGAAGCAAGATACTGATGTCTATATGGTGTTTTTACAACAGTCTTTTTTTTTATTTATTTTTTATTTTTTAGTGGAAATAAAATGATAATCATACCCATTCTTTCTTATTACTCCTTTTGATAATGATGATGATAGAGGACAAATAGTGAAATAATAGTGAAATAACAATAATAAAATATGAGTTTATTTAAAAGATTATAAAATATAAAACACTATAACTAAAAGACTAAACTATTAAATAAACCAATGATAAAGAGTTGGATACTTTTTCCCTAACTTGCTTATTCTTTTATCCAATATCCATTTAATCCTATTGTATATTTCTTCATATATCTTATCTACTATATGTTCATAAAAAGAGTGAAAAACTAAAAATAGATTACTTTATAATATGAAAGACTAAGGAAGAAGAAGAAAGAAAGAATAAGTATAAAGTATAATATATATAAAGAGTGACTTTTAAATATATAATGTAAATTAGTAAAATAATGCATAAAGGTAAACTTACAATGTCCAAAGTGCCAGTGGTTAAAAAAAAAAAGTAAAAAAAAAGGTAAAAAAAAAAAAAAAGTAAAAAAAAGCAAAAGGTGAAGTGCGCCAATTTTGTCTTTTGTCAGAGCTTGGTCCAACTTTTTTTTTTTTTCAATCTCCCAGATTTTTTTTTTTTTTGATCTTGACCAACTTTTTTTTTTTTTTTTTGAGATTGGAACCTCCAGACTTTTTTTTTTTTTGATCCAACACACCCCCACATTGAGAACGGACTTTGAATATATACCATTTATGGAAAACACTTATGATTTTAATAAAAGTAGAATAAAATAATAATAATAATAGGATGATGATGATGATATAAAGATAAACTTTATTAAAGAATAAGAAGAAGAATATAAAAAGAATATAATAACTTTCATTAAAAGAAACTATAGAAAAAATGTCATCTATTTACACACAAATTGATTTCCCTTTCCAGTTGTTACTGTATTAATAATATACTGTGGTTACATTAGTTATTCATTCTTGTTATGAATCTAGAGTAATTTTCATTTGGTTATGTGATCTGTATATATAGGATGATGATGCATCAAAGCAATAAAAAAAAAGAAAGAAGAAAAAGGAAAAAGAGAATGAGAATCATATTTTAGATATTCTTTTTCATTTTTTTTTTATATATCTTACTTTGAATAGAGTAATTGACCTTACTTGAAAATGATCATAACAATGAATAATACTGTATTATCTATCTATTATATTTTACACAGAAAGCATAAAAAAAAAATAGATTAGTTCATAGTATGAGAAACTAAAAGGAAAAAGAAAGTATATAGTAAGTATAGAATGTAGATTAGTAAAGTAATGTATAATGGTAACTTACAATGTTCATTGGTTAAAAAAAAAGAAAAGTAAGAAAAAAGCAAGTGAGAACGCGTTAATTTTTTTTTTTGATCTCGACGACTAGACTTTTTTTTTTTTGATTGATCCAACAACGCATTGACACCGGATTTTGAATGTATACCATTTATGGAAGAACCTTATGTTTGCACAAATAGATAACAATAGTACTAAGATGATGATTTGGATTGACCTATTAACAACTAATAGTAATAATAATAAGATGAATAATATGAATAATATTAAATGATGATTTTATAATATCACTATAGTAAAAAAAAAAAAAAAAAAGGACAAAAAGAAGAAAAAAAAAAAAACACGAGTACAAAATTGGTATAGCCAATCATAGCGCGTATTTCCTTATTCACGCTTTCATATGAAAAAAAAAAAAAAACTACATTTTTGCATCCATCAATCTTTTTTTACTTTTCCTTCACCATAACATTTATCGAGACTATCATTCGTATTACATATATGCATTGTAAGGAATAGGCGATTAGACCAAAATAGGCTATTTGTTTAAAAATCCGCATTATGCGATAGCTTATATATGATGAAAAGAGTTTAGGATTCATGATCATCATATAGAATTATCATGATTGTAAGAATACAATAATAATCATCATCATCATCCATTTACTTTTTGTTGTCCCTGAGTTATTAAAATGTCCCTCCTAGAGTTTACTTGGATTTTCTAAATCAGACAAACCTGACATATTAGAATGTATAGATCGATTTAGTGTAGTACATGTCCTACTGCATAAAAAATATCAACCTTCTTTTCTCATCATGACATTAAGTATCAATCTATTTTTTTTTCTCTTTTAAAGATATGATATATGTATATCACTATTACTGCTATTATTATATAAAAAAAAAAGGACAGAGAATGACACGTGGAGTTTGAAACGCGTAAAAATCACGGTGTTAAGAGCAAAGAATTTTTACTTCTTTTTTCTATTTTTTTTTTTCCAACTTTTTAAACCAACTAGACAATATTACTCTTCCAATTATTTAGGCCTTTTCTGTTTTATGCTTTTCCTTTGGTAACAACATCGTTCAAAACCATCTCTTCTTTGAGGGCCTAGTTGTTTGTGATGAGTACCAAGTACATTATATATTCTTTTTTTTTTATCTTCATTTATTTACATCTTCGAATGGGGGAGTAATAATAAAAAAAAAAAAATCTTCTTTACCAAATTAATCTAATTCTGTTTATATTACGTGGATCTCAAAAGAGAATTCTGTATGGCTCCCGATGATGTCTATCACCGTAAGTTTATATCATATAATAAATAATAAGTGTGATAACAAGAAGAGATAGTTAGTGAAGTCATTGTTATTTTTTTAATTTATTAGAATACCGGGCTAAGAAATGTTTTTTTGTTTTTTTTTTTTTTTTTCGAAAGAATGGTGATAGAGGACTTCTTCTTTTGCTGACAAAAACAAGAACAGTCTGTGTATGAAGAATGATGATGATGATGGATCCTAAGGAAACGTAATATTATCAAATGAAATTCATTATAAATCATATTTTTTTTAATACAACCATTTCTTCTCTTATTATACTACGTGTGATAGATGTCATATGAGGGTCTAATTACAGCTCGTCTTCGTCCTGTCAAAGTCTTATGGATGGCTGATGGGGATAAACAAGGGATAGAGAAGGAACAAATAAAAGTAAGACAAAAAGTAATGAGTATGGTCGTAGCTAACTACTGCTTCCTCTCCTGTCTCTTCACGCGAGTTGCAACAAAAGAACAAGAGGGTAAAATAAAAATTCTGTTACTCACTAATCTCTATTCTATTATGCTCCAGCACTAGTAGATTGCTCTATTTCTCTCACTGGTAGGTAGCAAATCAAACTAGAAAGAATCATGTGCTAACTATTTTTTTTTTTTTTTTTTGCTTTATGTTTTCTTTCCATTTCTAGTAGTGATGAAACCAGCTTCTCTTCCTTCTCCAATATCATCATCACCATCATCATCATTAATACTTCCTTCTACTGTCGATGGATTAGTGGATAATTTTTTCGACCTCTGTTGAATAAAGTCATATGATGATATCTAGTTAGTCCTTTTTTCTTATCTGTTTACCACCACCACTCTGTTCTTTTTTTTTTTTTTAATTTTATCCCAAATAAAGAATATGCTTTTCTTCTTTTGTATGTTTCCTCGTTCTACTACATGATCATGTACTCATTCGTTGTATGTTTTGAATTTTACAAGTGTAAAAATGCCTTTTGTCTCCTATTGTCGATGTCCTATAGTGGAACACAAATGTCAAGTTATAAGTTTTCAAGCATATGTGTTATGTGAAGTGTATGTGAAAGAATGATTAACTGATGACTGTTATGTAGTGAAGAATGATATGTTAATGGATGGAAGATATGATGATTGGAAATGACATTTGTGATATTTCTGTAAATGATGATAATCAAGGGAAAACCTACAAAAAAAAAAAAGTAATCTCAATTGTTTATTGCAGTAATATAATAAAAATAAAAATAATAAAATTGAATGAAGTGAAAGATGACAAATGAAGTGATACAAGGACAGGGAATGAAAAAAGATGTGAAAAGAATATATATATGTATAAAATAATAATAATAATAATCTATTTTGAGCTTTGGATAGCTAAATTAACTCTAGGGGGGACACTAAAACCAAACGATTTGGCCACCTTGGTAAGATCCAAACTGTTGACATCAAAGATTTTCTTCAAACCAAAGGATGCATAGGATTGCAAGTAAGATCGATAACCATCACGAGCAGATTGATGAAGATAATAGTTCTTTTCCACAAGTTTTTCCAGTTGACTTTGTACATTGGCAATCTTGTTGGTTGGGAATTGATATTCGTTCAATGGGACCTTGGCATGCTTGAGATAACGAAGGAAACCCAATTCACTAGGTAATAAGAAGAGTAAACTCTTACCTTTGCCACCACCACGAGCTGTTCGTCCAACACGATGAATGTAATCACGAGGATCATCTGGAGGGTCGAATTGTACAATCCAATCAACAGAAGGAATATCTAAACCACGAGCTGCTACGTCTGTACATAATAAGATACCCTTTTCAGCATTACAGAATTCAAAGAAGGTGGTTGTTCGTTTTTGTTGTTTTTGTTTGCCCTATAATAAATAAATAAATAAAAGATGAATATAAATCCAATGAATAGTATATTTGATTAACTTACATGAAGTTCCAGCACGGGTACATCAATATAATTCATCAATTCAGCATGATATTTGACGGAATTGCAACTGGAGAAAAACACAATCACCTTTTTCTTCAAATTCTTGCGCAAAAAGGTAAACAAAAGCAAGAATCGCTTGTCAGATTCACATACCACATAACCTTGTTCTAATCCTTCAGCTGTTGATGTATCCTTGCGTTCGTCCACATTGATATAAAGAGGTCCTTTCTTCAAAGAGATTCTTGCAAGATCGGATACCTTGGTAGTTTGTGTAGCTGAGAACAACATTGTTTGACGTTCTCTGGGAAGAATTTTGATAATTTGAGCCATTTCTTCTTCGAAACCAATTTCCAAAATACGATCAGCTTCATCAATCACCAAAGCCTTCAAATTCTTGAAAACAAAACCTCGAGTATTCTATATAAAAATAAATATTTGTTATCTATTTAATCCCTTTTTTTATTTTATTTTATTTATATTTACCTGCAAATGATCCAATAATCTTCCAGGAGTAGCCACTAAAAGATTGACACCTTTGACCAACTTTTCAGCTTCAGCACGACGGTTGGCTCCACCAATAACAATACCAAAAGTATGTTGATGGTATTTCAATAATTCTTTAGCAACACCAAAGATTTGGAGAGCAAGTTCACGAGTAGGTGATACAATAATCACACCAGTACCTTCAAAAAAAAAAAATAGAAAAAAAAAGTAAGCTATATTGTTCACATCACTCATTCTTTTCTTTCAATCCCTTTTTTTTTTATATATATATACACTTACCATTTCTTGGCTTAAACTTTAATCGATATAACATTTCAATGGCAGGAATCAAGAAAGCCAAGGTCTTTCCAGAACCAGTCTTTGCAGCACCTAAAACATCACGGCCAGCCATGAGAGGAGGAATGGTACGACCTTGTACTTCTGTCATTGTTGTAAAACCCATATCCTTGATACCTTGCTTGGTTTTGTCACATACATCCAGACTGGCGAAATCCAAATTGACAGGTTGTTCTAAATTGATCATAAAAAAAAAAAAAAAAAAAAAAAAGAATAAACCCAACTTGGTTCAGAATCTATAGAATGTGTTTTATTTTTTTTTATTTTTTTTTGTTCTTACCTGGATTGTATCCTGTTTCTTTTGTTTCAGTAGAAGTGGTAGTCGAGATTTCTTCCTCTTGTTGTTGTTGATCTTCAACGGAATCGTTCACTTCATTATCGTCTTGCATAGATTTTTCTTCTTTGGTGACCTTTTTGGCTTTCTTTTCTACAGTTTGCTTCTTTGTAGTCGCATTGTCGGTTCGTTTGCGTTTCTTGATGTCTACTTTATTAGTCATGATAGAATAATAATAATATATATGATCAAACAAAAAAAGCAAAGGAGAAAGAAAAAAAAAAAAAAGCAGGAAGGAAAAAAAAAATGAACCTGACTGAAAGAAAAAAAAAAAAAATAGTGGCTTAAAAATTTAAGGTCGGATCGTCAAATGCATGATTAAATATTATCATCCATGGAAGTTCGAGAAACGATTTCTAATTTAAATTCATTTTTGAATTCGATAAGAAATAGAGACAATCATTTCAAATGCCCAAGTTATCATTTGTAGATAAATTTTTACCTGTATGGATATTAGGTTGTATGATATTAGGCGTTCTATTAGGTGTCTATGTACCCTCTGTTAAAGAAAAGTTAAACACGGTAACTTTAGCTGATGTTTCATTGCCAACTGCCATTGGATTACTATGGATGATGTACCCTGTGCTATGCAAAGTACGTTATGAAGCATTAGTTATCATTCTTAAGGAAAAGGACATTAAACGACAGATAATGATCTCACTCATCATCAATTGGATCATCGCACCCCTTTTTATGACTGCTATTGCATGGGCTACGTTACCCGATCTACCTGAATATCGTAGTGGTGTTATCTTGGTCGGCACAGCTCGTTGTATTGCTATGGTATTGATATGGAATAATCTTGCAGGCGGAGATATCGAATATTGTGCGATTTTAGTGGCCATCAATTCACTGTTACAAATAGGTTTATATGGTCCGTTATCGTATTTTTATGTGGTGATTGTTGGACATGGATCGGATGTAGGCATCAATATGTGGATTGTTGTAAGAAGTGTCTTGGTATTTTTAGGAATACCTTTACTAGCTGCTGTGATTACACGATTAACGTTACGACGTGTGTTTGGGAAGCAATGGTATGATAACAAGTTCTTGCCAACCATCGGATTCACTTCGTTACTTGGACTATTATTTGTCATTGTGGTGATGTTTTCTTCACAGGGATATGAAATCGTACATGATATCGGAAATGTCTTCAGAGTGATGGTCCCATTGGTAGTGTACTTTGCCATTATATTTTTTGCCACGTTGTATCTATGTCATTACCTATGCATCCCTTATCCTACTGCCGTAACCCAATGTTTCACTGCCGCATCCAATAATTTTGAATTAGCCATCGCTGTTGCTGTTGGATCATATGGAATAGATTCGAAAGAAGCTCTCGCTGCTACCATCGGCCCATTAATCGAAGTCCCTGTTTTAGTTGCTCTTGTATACGTGATTATGTCTCTACGTACAAAATGGTATGAGAAGAAAATAGTGCAATGTGAAGATGAAAAATGCAAGGCATCTGCAATTTCAACTCCTGTAGATCTCCCCAATTAATTTTTTTTTTTTTTTTCAATCCAATGTATACTTAATAAAAAATATTTTTTTTATATCAGCTTGATGATTGATGATTGCGTCCATAATCCAGACTTTCTCAACAAAAATAAGCATCCATCCGAACCTTTGATCATCCATGAAGAGAATAAAAAAAAAAAAAAAAGGTTGCAATATCATCTTGTCATATTGGTAATATAATAAAACAGTTTATTTCTAGTTTTGATTGAGACCCATTTCCCAAAATTGAATTTCTAATCTAGTAGCCTGTTCAAAGATATCACACACTTCTCTAAATCTAGTGGGGGATGTTGATACACAGTGAATAGCCAATTCCTCCATGAGTTCTAATAAAGAAAATAGAAAAATCAGTATGTACAATTGAAATCAACTTTATATATATATTTACCTTTGCCAACTTTCACAGCAGTTTGATAATCATCCTGTGCATAGTTAGAGATCCATTTCCAATATGGGTTTCCTTCACGTTTTGTGTTGGGATCATTGAATAATTTCATACCAATATCACCATAACCAAGTAAACAGGGTGCCATAGCCACTTGAAGGTCCATTTGATCACCACTAGCGCCTACCAGAAAAAAAAAAAGTCAAATCTTTGTTTCCTTTTTTTTTTTTCTTCTATATAAATTTTCTTTACCTTTATCCAAAACGAATCGAGTATAAGCAATGTTATAAACACTTTCAGGAGTGGACAACACTTCTTCTTTACTGATTCCCCATTGTTCACAATACTAAAAGAAAACAAATAAAAAAAAAGTGTTAAAACAAAGACATCATACTTCTTTTTTTTTTGTTATTCTTACTTCCAAGTGTAATTGCATTTCATGATGAATATGAAGTACAATCTTCGCATTGGCGGCGCACATATCAATGTCTTTGGCTATCATATTACATATATATATATAAAGATTAGTCAATCCGAGTTTTGTGATAAATTCTATTCAACTTTTTTTTTTTCGTAACTTACATTTATAAGCAGCCAATGCTGCACTTCGAGCATAATTCACCAAATAGAGATAATCTTGTTTGATATAATGAATGAATGCTTCCCTGGGTAATGTACCATCAGCCATTCCACGTACAAAAGGATGATCAATAAATTCACTCCAAAGACCTTCTGGAAGAGCATCACGTAAAGCTTGTACAAAACTTTTCCTAATCCATTGATGTTATAATAAAGAAAAATAAAAATGAATCATGATCATTGGTAAATTTCTTATTTTGTTATTTACCCAGTATATGGCATCCATCGAAGATTGTGAAAATGATTGACAGGACCCGATCCTTTACCTACACTTTCCATTGATGTTGCAATAGCATCTTGAATATAAGTGGTAGCTTTTTTGATAGCTTCATATGCTAAACATATATAATGAAAGAAGAAAAAGGAAAAAAAAAAAAAAGAAAATAAATAATCAACCAATCCTCTTCCATCCAGTTCTTTTTTTTTTTTTTTTTTCCTATCTTGCTTACGTTCTATTCCTTTGGCAAGTTCTGATGCAATGGCAGCAGATAGAGTACAACCGGTTCCATGAGTATTTGGCGTATCAATATAATGATTGACCAATTCAGTAATACGATCTGTAGATTTATCATAAAGTACATCGACGACACATCTAGACCCATGTCGAATTTGAGGTAAATGACCACCTTTCAGAAGTACAAATCGAGGACCATAACTAGCAAGTTTCTTGGCAGCAGTATGCATATCATCCACGGATTGAATAGTAAGATTTTCTTGTTGTTGATCGGTTGAGCTTGATAATAATACCTGAGCTTCAGGGACATTGGGAGTCAAAATATAAGTAATAGGTAATAATTCTTGAATACATGCTTGAACAGCGTCTTGAGGAAGTAAACGAGATCCACTTGTTGAGACCATAACAGGATCAACCACTAAATAACGAGAATCTTCAGGGAATTCCTTTAATGTTGCCACTACAGCCGAGATAATACTTGAAGAAGAAAGCATGCCTGTCTTGATTGCATTCGCACCAATATCACTAAGAACAGCTCGAAGTTGTTGTTGTACAAACTCTGGTGGTAATTGATGAATCCCATCCACACCCAAAGTATTTTGTGAAGTAATAGACGTTAATACTGATGTTGAATATACTTGAAGTGCTGACATGGTTTTAATATCTGCTTGAATACCAGCACCTCTACGTGTATCATGAGAGTAGAAAATAAGCAAAATAAATGAATAAATAAAAAAGTTGAGTGACAATAAAATGTGCGCGAACTGTTTTTTTTAATTACCCTCCACTATCACTGCCAGCAATGGTCAATGCAGTCGGTATCTTTGTAGTCGTAGTCATAAAATAAAATATAAGGAGAAAAAAAAAAAAAAAAAAGGAAGAAAGACAGAAAGACAAAAAAATAAAAAATAAAAATAAAAATAAAAAAGGAAAGAAAAAGGATTGATTCCCCGTCTCTCCCAAATAGAAAAAAAAGATACGTCAATATAATCGATTACATACAAAAAAAAAGAAGAGTTTCTTAACCAAGTGTTTTGCATAGTTTTGCATAGTTTTGATACAGTTTACAAAAAGATGGAGAAAATGGCAGGCATCTTTTCCTTTTTTGTTCATGTGGGGGGGAGTAAGGCAGGGAAAGATCCTGGTCTTATTCTTTTTTTTGACAACTTGGTCCTCTATTCTTATTTAGTAACCTTTCTTCACATGTTTAAATTCTAGTATATGAAATCTCACGTGGTAGATGTTGAAAAGTAAACATATTCAATAAAATGAATGATGATTGATTTTCTGTTATCTCTTGATACTGTTTTCATTTGATTTATAATAGTTTTCCTTTTTCTTTTGTTTTGGAATGGACATTCGTCAATGACGACATGACACCTAAAACAAACATAAAAGGAGAAGTCAGAGTAAAATGATTGGCTGAAGTTATTCGGAATCTGAATTCCGATACTGATATATATATAATCTCTTGGCCTCTCCCTCTTTTTCTTGTTATTTTTTTTTTTTTTTTTTTTGTAACGAACTTAAATCTTTACAATCATTTTGATATATTTTATATTAATATCATCTATTAGCAAGTTAACAACATGTCTGTACAATTGAATCCCAATGAAATCTTGACTTTTAGACGTAAGTATTGTATTATAAACTATCGTCATGAGAAAGTGAAAACAAATATATCTTCTTATTAGAAGATAGTAATAAACAAAAACAATCTTTATTCATTTCTTTTTATTTTTATATAGGACCTTTGACTCGTACATCAAAAGAAGTATTGACAATCAATAATCCTACAGATCAAGATGTGGCTTTCAAAGTAAAAACCACTGCTCCTAAATTGTATTGTGTTCGACCTAATTCTGGCTTGGTTCCTGCTGGTGAAGCTTTGGAAGTACAAGGTAATAAAACAAATGAAGACTGAAACACATGTATTGAAACCTATTTTTCTTTATTTAGTGATGCTTCAACCATTCAAAGAAGAACCTCCTATGGACCAAAAATGCAAAGACAAATTCCTTGTACAAACTGTTGCTCTTGTTGGGGAATTAAAATCATTACCAGTATCTGATATCGTAAGTGAATAAATAGAAAGAGTTACAATTGAAGGTTAATTTTATATTTCTGTTTTCTTTTATATCTAGTGGCCTCATGTAGAAGCCAATGCAAAAAATTTAATCCAACAAGTGAAACTCAGGTGCTCCTATGTCAATGGTGATGGACAAGAAGTAAGCAAAATATACATACATATATATATATATATATATATATATATATATAAGATGGATAAAAGAAATGGTTTTTACTCACTTGTAACCCTATGCATGCGTTTGTGTGTTATGTTTATTGGGAATATCACTTTTTTTTTCTTTTTCTTTCTTTTTTTTCTTTTCGCTCTTGAATATAGATCTCATCGACAATCAATCATAGTGTTAGTGATTCTACTTTGGCTTCTACTAAGGAAACAGAAATCGATACAAAGGAAACAGATGAACTTACGAAATTACGCTTGGAACTGGATGCCTATAAGAATGAATTGGAAGCTCTTCGGTCTCGTGCTCCTGATACTTTGGTGGAATCTTCTGTGTCTAAACAAAATGGTATTCCTTTGCCTGTGGTTGTTCTTGTGGCTCTGGTTGCTATCTTCTTGTCCTATCTTGTTTTCCGGCAATAGTGTAGATGATTACAAATTTAGTTTTTATTATTATCCCCTGTTATGTTAGTATGATTCCATTTTATGAGGTAGGTATATTAGTTTTAGTATATTAGTTTTTTAGTGTCGTTATATCACCTAGTTAGCATAGTTTTTAGATATAGTTATTTGTTTATGTCAACTTGAGAATCGATTGTTAAATAAAAATGCCCCCAGATAGTATCGGATAGCCTATTTGATTATAGTTCTATGCTCAAAACGAAAAAAAAAAAAATAATCATTATCTTTTATATGTATATATATATATATAATGCTTTGATATTTTCTGAATTCACCTAGTCCATCTATGTCGTTGTCACTGTGATTCATCCAGACATACTGTCATCAAAAGCTACTTTTTTTTTATTTATCTACACAATTATTAAACATTGAATGTTTATTAAAAAAAAAAGAAAAAAAAAACGTTTCTCGACAAACAATTACTGATAAAATCCAATAAAGAAATTTTATTCAAATAACCACAGACAGAAAACTACACTAATAGCTATCCTAATCGTATTGAGTCTGAATTCAACTAATCTTGTTTGTTGGCTTGACGTCGTACCTTCATGGCTTGATAATCCCCAGTGCGTCGTAAAAAGATTTTCATGATTTCAGTAAACACATTCCAATCCAATATCTTGGTGGTGATAATCTTCATGACAACAGTGATAAGACCTTGATCAGATACAATCACCTTTCCGGCATTACGGCAAATGGTATCGGCAATTACAGAGGGAGAAGAGGATAACTTTTGGGCAGATAAAAGAGCAGACATCTTTCCAGCATTGCTATAAAAGTTGGAATCAATGGGTGAAGGATGCTAAAAAAAAAATATAACAATAAGAGTAAGCCAATAATAATTGAGCATGATATGATATATCACTTACAATAACAAGTACATCAATACCATCTTCAGCATATTCAGCGGCCAAGGAAGCAGCAAAAGTAGTCAAAAAGATCTTGGTGGAAGCTATAGATAAAATCAGTAATTAGTAACAATGATCTTTTTTTTTTTCTAATCCCACCCATTCGTCCCATCATTACATATACACGAATAATAGATAAAAAAAAAAAAAAGTGCACTTACCATACAAGGAACTCATAGGATTAGGGATAAAACCGGCACTGCTTGAAGTAAATGTGACCAAACCCTTGAGTTGCCGATCCAATAAACGATTCAAGAAATGATGAGAAATTTGAAGACAAGCAGCAGTAACATTAGTATGATAATTAGCCATGTTGCGTCCCAAAGCGATATCAGCAAAAGCACCCGTCGTAATGAATCCAGCATTATTGCATACTATTTGTACATCAATATCATCCGTTTGTTCGCGAATCAATGTCATATAAGTAGAACCTTGAGCTTCTGATAAATCACAACCCACAAATCGGAAGGTCACTTGAGGAAATTCAGTTACAATGGTTTCTTTGAAGGAGGTCAAAAATTGATCATCTAAAGCAACCACAACAATATTCAGTCCTTGAGAAGCAAGTTTGCGTACAATGGCAGCACCAATACCAGAGGATCCACCAGTTACTAAAGCCCTTTTATTAAAAAAAAATAAATAAATAAATAAACGATTCTCTCTATTCTTATGGATACTTACCATTTGGCATTATACTTTTTCTTCAGGTCTTGCTCTTTACAATAGTAAGCACCATAGAGCACCAACGCGAGATATGGCACAACAGCCAAAAAGCCAATCCAAAAGAATACTAGGAGAACAAGGTTTAGTTAATAATAAACATATTGTCATCTATATTTTTGAACAACTATTTTTTATGTTTACCGGAACAGATGAAGGACATGATTTCCAATGGATGAAAGGAAAAAGCACAAAGAAGAAATACTTTTAAGATTCAAACGTTGCAATTTTGGTAGCGCGGGTTGAAAATGACAGCCGATTTTTTTTTTTTTTTTTTTTTTTTTTTTTTTTTGCAAAAGGGGAAAAGAGAGAAAGAGCGCGCGCCACCTCCTTTTTCTGTTTCATGGGTTCTCAAATGATGAAATTTAAATATTGGGATAGAGGAGAAAGACTTAGTGCAGTTACCATACCTTCTACTGCCTTGACACCAGCATCACCAACAACTGATACATCCATTGAACCACCGGGAACAGGTACCATACCTTCAAAACGACCTGGAAAGGATAGCTTTTTACAATGGAATTATGTTGCCTTTACACCATCTAATAATCCAAAACACAACAATGGTACAAAAGCGACTGTTTTACGAACGAAAAATAAACCATTGGGAACTGATCAATCTACTACTCGGCATCGTTCTCACAGATCTTCCCCTTCTAATAAACCGTCAAAAAAACGACAAAACTCTTCTACTGATATTGATTCTGGCAGCGATACACCCCAATACATTCCGAATTCAACACGCAAGACGACTTTACCACTACTTTGTAAGTTGGATGAAAAAGAAAAAAAAAATGTATTCACTAGTCTTACTTTTTTTTTTTTTTCTATTAGGTAATTCTTTTCAATTGAAATATATGATCGAAGGTCATTCTCATTTGGGACACAATAGAATTAAAAGAAGCAGCAAACGCAAACAAACGAAACCGAAGAATAAGAAAAACAAACGACAATCTAGACGTAAGGTGGTGACCTCAGACAACGATGACAATAGCAGCAGTAGTAGTGATGATGATGATGATAACGATAGTCAAGATTTGGATATTTGGGCATGTGAATTTGAACCCTCGATCAACAGCAACAACCCATCGACCTTAGTGGCTTTGTGTGGAGGATCATCCATTTTGTTTTTAGATACACAACAAGGACGTCATGTTAAGAAATATACCCACCCTGAGCCTTTAGAATGTTTTTATACTTTGGCATGGACCCTCTTACGTGGATCTCGACAACTTGGTCTCAAACAACATCAAGCATCTCCTGAACAGGATCCATTGGAAGAAAATGAAGAACAGAGCGATAATGTCAGTGAAGATGATCCATATGCGGCAATTTTGGCAGTAGCTGGCAAGTTTGGATCCATCAAATTACTTGAACCTACACAAGCTCATTGTTACCGTTACTTATTTGGTCATCAACAACCTGTCTTGAAACTCAACTTTGCAACAAAAGAACCAAGGTGGTTACTTAGTAAGTTCAAATTACATATGATCTATACATGAATTTATAAACCTGATTGAACATTAATGTCTTATTTTTGCCATTTCTATTTAGGTTCATCAATGGATATGTCAGTACGACTTTGGGATATTGGAACACCTGCCAACGAAATCGATGATTCTTGGTAAAGCAAAAAAAAAAAAAAAAAATAAATAAATAAATAAATAAATAGTTATTGATACGTTATTTTATGGTATAGTTGTCTCGCTCATTTCACAGTACCTGGTACTAGCTATCCAACAAGTATGAGCCTGTCTTATGATTTATCCTTATTGGCAGTAGGAACAAGTAAAGCGGATTTACTTCAATATGGTATTCAGCCAACAGATGTTAGTGAATGGAGACGTATTACTAGACAATCAAAATCATACAAGAACAATGATGATGATGATGGCGATGATGAACAATATAATCCAACAATCATCAAACCAAAAACAAAGTTCCCTCATGGTCAAGAATGGCACGATGGTTATGTAGAAGATATTTATATTCTTGGTCAAGATGGTGACGAAAATGAACTCAACAATCATATTGGTAAATTTACTTAAATAAATGTCATCAAATACGATGGTGACTTACAATTTTTTATTTTTATTTATTATGTAGTCTCACGAGGATCAAATGATATGGAAGTCTTGATGTGGAACCCGAAAACAAGTACGAAAACGGATGCTGATATTTATTTATCTTTGGACTGGCCTGAATCCGATGATTGTACAGGTTTACGATTTTGTATTGTTGAGAAAGATGGTAGGAAAAGAATAAATGGATTGTTATACATAATAACGCATCTTTATTATTGAACAACAGGACAAAAATTATATTTAGGAGGTGATTATGATGGTGATATTCGTCTTTATAATATTGGTGATGGCAAGAAAAGCAAGACTTTGGAAGATAGCAGTAAAGAAGTGTTTGAACCACTCAAGGTAAGATAATAAAATTTTTTTTCAAGATCACAATGGCTGATATATAAGTTATCTTGATTGATTGATAGATCTTTAGTCATGAATCTTCCACTCAACTGATACGTGATGTTTGTGTTTCTGCAGATACAAAAAGGTTTGTCGCTGTAGATAACAACAATACCATTTTTATCTGGACCTGTAATTAGTTCTTGGAGTATAGATTTTGCTTATTATTTATCATCTTTTAGTCATCGTCGATCATCTTTTTACTGTCAATTTTTCTTTTTATTTATTGATTGATTTGTTTTTGCATGTAATGATGATTTATAATAAAACAATATTAAGATGTTTTGTATGATATATATAAAGAAACGAAAATCATTTGTGGTTGGCTGAATTTCTCGACTCCTGAAGGTCGCGTTGTGTCCCTGACTAAAGATTTAAAAAAAAAAAAAGAACATTGGTAAATGGTTGAATCTCACAAGAAAGGGTGATCAACTATCTATTTAGATGTGTCATTGCTGACTGACCGACTATGTACCCGGGAAATAACAAGCGGCAAACTCTGGGAAGTCTAAAAATAACGTCATTTCGGCATTTCCATACTGTGTGGTTCACTTTTTTTTTTTTCCCAACCCACTTTTTTTCCCTTTTTTTTCTTTTTTCTTTTCTTTTTTTTTGAAAGATAAAGCTTCTTTTTTTCCCTCTATTACCTTTTTTTTTTTTATTGAACACCACTTAAACTATGGACCCTATTCGAGCAATGCGAAAACAAGTTTGTAAAGAACTTCAAGGTTCTGTCACTATCATTGGTAAGTTCGAGTGAATTTAAAAAGAAAAAAAGAAAGAATTGAAACTTATCGCTTTTATTTTGACATGACAAAGTACTTGGAGCCTCTGGCGACCTTGCAAAGAAAAAGACATATCCTGCCTTGTTTCGACTTTATCGCAATGGTTTCCTTCCTGAAAACACATTTATTGTAGGTTATGCTCGGTCGAAAATGACTCATGAAGAGTACCTGGACAGAGTCACTCATTATATTAAGTTGGAACGCGAAGACGATCAAGCATTGTTGACCAAGTTCAAGACACTTCTTCATTATCAGGCTGGTAGTTATGACCAAGATGAAGCATATCAATCATTGGACAAGTTTATCAAGGAGAACGCAGAAAGTACCATGTCACCTGGTCAACGCAACCGTGTGTTCTATATGGCTTTACCTCCTTCAGTATTTGTTCCTGTGGCTCGTGGGTTGAGACGTAATGCTTATGCTACAGATGGTGTCAATCGTATTGTTGTGGAAAAACCTTTTGGCAAGGATTTGGCTTCTTCTACTGCGTTAGCCAAGGATTTGGCTCAATTGTTTGCTGAAAAAGAAGTAATAATAATAATAATAAAAAAACGTGGGGTATTAGATAATTCATTTTTTTTTTTTTTTTTACTTTATTTTAGATCTTCCGTATTGATCATTATCTTGGCAAAGAAATGGTAAAAAACATGATGACAGTTCGATTCGCCAATATCTTTTTCTCACATATCTGGAATCGGATGTATATTGACAATGTACAAATCACATTCAAAGAACCTTTTGGAACGGAAGGACGTGGTGGCTACTTTGATGAATTTGGTATTATTCGTGATGTGATGCAAAATCATTTATTACAGATCTTATCCTTGATTGCTATGGAACGACCCATCTCGACTGATGCAGAGGCTATTCGTGATGAAAAGGTCAAGGTACTCAAGTGCATCCCTACTATTGATGTACGTGATACACTGTTGGGACAATATACAAGGAATGGCGACAAACCTGGATATTTGGAGGACACAACTTTGACCAATAAGGACAGCTTGACACCGACTTTTGCAGCACTTGTACTCTGGATTCAAAACGAACGATGGGAAGGTGTACCATTTATTCTCAAGGCAGGTAAAGCTTTGGATGCAGCCAAGGTAGAGGTGCGTATTCAGTTTCGCCATGTGGCTGGTAATCTATACAAGAACGCTGCTCGCAATGAACTAGTGATCCGTGTCCAACCTGATGAAGCAGTCTACATGAAATTCAATAACAAACTCCCAGGACTTTCTTATCAAACCAGTCAAACCGATTTGGATCTTACCTATGGCAACCGCTATGTCGATCTATCTATCCCTGATGCCTATGAATCTCTGCTATTGGATGTCTTGAGGAACGATCATTCGAACTTTGTGCGTGATGATGAACTAGATGCGGCCTGGCGGATCTTTACTCCTCTACTTCACAAGATTGATCAACATGATGCCGATATCAAGATCGCTACTTACAAGTATGGTTCCAGAGGTCCGGATGCTCTCGATGGTTTTGTTAAGCATTATGGTTATGATCGCTCTCATGCGCATTATGATTGGCCCGTCCAAAGTGTTTTACCCAAAACGGACTAGATCATTTATTATTATTATTTTTTTATCCACCCTGGTATAGATAAGATTTAGTTAGTATGCTTTGATTGGTTCCTTTTTTTTTTTTTTTTTGGTATGCTATTTGAATACTAATAAAAAAAAAGTTTGACATTTTGAACAATTATGAATAATAGCAGTATATGATGACATTAATGAAAGGGATACCCATTGACTTTAATGAGGATACCTTGAGATATTGACTTGTTTCTTTGATGTGATGAATGGGTTGTAAGATCTTGCTATGACTTTTTTTTTTGAGTTCATCGTGACACAGTACTAATCTTTTTGATGACAAAAATAGGATGAACATCCATTTATATGTTTTTTAAGCATCATTGACTAAATTTTAATCGTACCCTGGTAGTAAATAAATATACAAAAAAAAAAAAAGGTGAGTATGAAAGAGAGAGAATATGCGTAACATGTCTTCATTTTTTTTTTTTTTTTTTTTTTTTTTTTGGTGGACAAGGATCTTCTATTTGTTGATTGTCAAAAAAAAAAAAAAGTTTATTTGGATAGTATCATTTATGGATAAAATAAAAAGGGGTAAGTATCACTATAAGGAATGGTTATTGAAAAAGAGGAATGAGGGTAAGATTTGATGGTAAGGAGAAGAGGGAATAAGAATGGTATCAATGAACGAATGAGATATACAAAGGAATGAATGTAAAAAAAAAACTTTTCTTTTTTTTTTTGAAAATCTAAACTAAAAAAACAAAATAAAATAAAAACAAAAATGGATGAAAGGAGAAATATGAAGGAACATGGTGCTACATAAAAAAAAGTGTGTATACGTATGTTTGTGTGTATATATGTTGTGTGTGTGTAAAGGGATGTATGTCTCTTTGTGTATATCTGTGAATATATGTCAATGTGTATTTATGAATTGTGGAGAGCATGGTATGGAAAATGGATGGAATCAGGCTATAGAATAGAGGGCATATACAAAAAAAAAAAAAAAAAAAGGAGGGATTCATATATAAATAGGGATACAAGAGGTACGATTAGTAATTCCATCTTGGTGTATCCAAATCTTGACTTTTTCGTAGATGAGAAGGTCGAGATTTCGTTGAAGTACGTTGCATTGGCGGGCTAAATGGTCTTGGTGATGTAGGTCGTAATTGATGAGGTGACACGTCGTTATTATCGGTGGTTACAAGTACAGCTGGTGATGACGCACGAGATAGAGAACGTTGCATGGGTGATCGTTTTCGGGCAGCAACAGAAGCAGTAGTGGCAGTGATGCTATTTGGCTTTCTAGTTTCCTGAGCATCTGACACACGTCGTAAAGGTCGTCGTTTTTGTGTAGTTGATGATTGTAATTGATTTCGTTGTTGATTTGAATAAGGTGTAACCCGAGTGGAAGGTTTCAATATGGTAGGAGGAGCATCCAAAGTGATGATATTTTCTTGTACTGATTCTTCATCATCATACTGTACCAATACGCGTCCAGTCGATTTTGTTTTTTGTCGTACAGCTTCTTCAGCCTGTTCAATAAGTCCCAGTAACATAGACCGTAGTTTTTGAAATACATGATCATTGGCAATTTCATCTTCTGTTAGCAATTCAGACGATATCAATTTTTCAAAACATGGCTGGTCCTATCATTTCAAATTCATCATTAGTGTACCAAAAACAAAAAAAAATGTCATCCCCTTGTTTTATTGTCACCTTTCCTCCTTTGATAATGCCTTTCATATATATGTATATTTACCTCGTCCATATCCTTATCTGAAACTGGAGAAAGTGGCCATTCGTTCCTATAATAAGAAAAAGAAAAATATAATATTAAGATGAGATAAAATAATAATAATAATAATATTAAAATAAAGAAATAAGTATTGATTCGAAATGGATAGACTTACATTTGTAGTTGTTTTTCCAATTTCGCAATCCTAGCAGCTTGTTGATGAACCTTGGCTTCTAATGTTGAATTAAGTGCCAATAATGAAGAGTTTTCGATTTCCAAATCAGCGATCTATGATAATTAAAAAAAAAAAATTAAGTTGAGTAGGAAGGGGAAGGGAAATCACTATATTTTTCTTTTTTTTTTTTTTTTTTTTACCTTTCGACCTGCTCTAGCTTCATCCAACCAAGAAACACGATCATCAGCACCTTTGTTAACAAATTCACCTTTTCCATTCAAAATAGTTCCATTTTTGACTTTTGCAACCACTTTGATAGGTAAATCTTCTTCTTCATTGTAATCCAATTGTTCATCTTGATCGTTGCCATCTTCTATATCACTGATTTGTTCAGGGTCGGTATTACCATCAATACTGTCATAATCTTCGTCAGCTGATGAATCTTCGTCGTCTTGTTGAATTTCCGACATGGATGATTGTCTTCGTAAAAAGAAACTGCTGTTATTGTCGTCTATAGAGGATTGTCGTACACGAAAGAAGCGAGGAGAAAAAGAGTTCATAAAACCAGTTGTTGGTAAAGGATTATTTACTTGTGGTGAATAATGTTGTCGAGGAGGAGATGATGGTTGTGAAGGAATAGGGGAGTTTGACTTGAACCAAGTAGGAGGAGAAGTGGTGGTGGTTGAATTTTGTTGAGCTTGAAAAAAGCTGAACCCGAAGGAAGAAGAGTTGAGAATAGTGGGAGACACTCTATTACCGTTGGTACCCGAGCCACCTGATAAGGTAGAAAGTGTAGATGGTGAAGAAGAAGAAGTAGTTGAAGTTGAATGTGATGTTCCTATTATTTGACTTGATTGTTGTTGTTGTTGTTGTATTTGTTGTATTTGTTGATATTGATATTGTTGGTTTAAAGGTGGAGAAGAACGTTTCTTCAAATAGTGAAATAATGGAGATGAAGGACGTATAATGTTGACAGCCTTTGGTGGTGGTGTTTGATCATGAGCAAGCATACTGTACAAAAAGATATAAATGAATATATGTATATAAAAAGAGAGGGGTGGTAGTTTAATGATAAAAAATATATATATAATATTGATAATAATAAATAATAATAATAATAAAAAAGAAAGAAAGAAGAAAAAAAAGAAAAGAGAATGTTTTCGTTCCCTTTTAGAATTTTTCAACTCCACTGTCTCTGTGTACCTATTTTAGATGGTGTGGCAAAATATAATAAAAGAGAGAAAAAAAAAAAAAAAAGAGACATAACAACACAGACATCAATCCTTTATTTCTTGCTAATAAACATTGATGGTAACACATACGTATCATCTAACTATATTCATTATGCTAGACTTGTTCCTGTAATCATCATAAAAAAAAACAAAAACAAAAAGATTCGTCAATGATTCTCCCTTTCACTCCTTTTTTTTTTCTTTCTTTCTTTCTTTCTTTCTTTCTTATTACCTTTGTAATCCTATGTTCTATTTCCATCTTGTCTACCACTTTCTTGAGTTCAAATAAGGTCACTATTGAATTCTCCAATTTTTCAAATCTATCACAAACTAGTGCTGTTGGCATCACGGGTCTAGTACCTGGTTGTTTGTATCAAAATAAATTAAAATCATGCAGCCGGGGGTACGAGGGAGCAAAAAGTTTTGAACCAAAAAAAAAAAAAATTGTCAGTCAATAAAAAGATCCTAGTCAAGTTTCATTTTCCGCTGACAGATCTTTTAATTTTTTTACCTATGGAAAGTTCATTTAACACCTTTGATACTTTCGGTTGGAGACTTGATTTAAGAATGGGTAGCTTTTGACTTCGTACATAGACACCAGATGACATTTTTCCTATTTTTTCTGCTTCTATTTCTATTAATAAATAAATATTTATCATATCATATCATTTCATTTAGACATTTTTAAAAAAAAAAAAACTTACCATCCATATTGATATCCTTGTTATCACTTGTTGCTTTCCTTTTTCGCTATATAATTAGATAAACATAATTGTTAGTATAATGAAACATAATAATAACAATAATAATAAAAGTTTAATTACCTTCTTTTCTTTACTGAAATCTACATTATTGCTAGCTTTCTTATTGCTGGGTATAGTCGATAAATGATGTTGTTGTAATAATTCTTGTAGATTTTCGCGTTCCTTGGCTAATTGATTTTGATTCTGTTCAATTCGATTGACTTGTACCAATAATTCAGCCTCCTCTTCTTGACTTTCTTTGCTACGATGAAATAATACCCCTAGAGCATGTTTTCTTTCCAATTCTTTCGTCTTATCAAATACTGGTGGTACTGGTTTGCCCTGAATTTTGTGTAATGTATGTTGTATACCATAATATCGTTCTTTAATATCCTATATATTACACAAATAATCATCATGTTCAGTTCCAAAATAATTTGATAGTCCTAATATCCTCTTTTTTTTTTGTCTTACATCAATGGATCGTAATCGGTGAGGATCATATTGGTATCGATCGGCTATCACAGGAAATCGAAGTTCATATCGTTTGCAAAGATCCATTAAATAATCTGTTTCATCTTTTGTCCACGTTGGATCTATCAATCATTAAATGAGTATCTGTTTTATCATGAATAGTACTTATTACCTTTGAGATGTTTGTCATAATCCTTATCAGTATATTGTAAGATACCTGCTTGTTTATCAAATCTTGCAAAAGGATAGCCTGTTAATATCATGGAAAAATTAAAAAAAGATGAGAAATTTTATTGCTTCGCTTGGTAAAAAGAGTCATTCTTACCTTTTCGATTAGCTTCACTTCCCTTGATCCAATGCTGTAGTTCTAATTCATCTGTTCTTGCTGGATTTTGGAATGATTGTAATACCCTAAAATAAGAATACATGATAATACGTAAGAATCCTTCGATCGTTCACTGTTCTTTTTTGTTACTGAGTACCATGGTGTTGCTTTCTTTTTTAGGTTAAACTTGGCTTTATATGTTGGCTGAGAAAAAGCTTCTGGTGTAATTCCTCCCGTCAATGAGAATATTTCTCTATTAAATCCCTCTATCATTGGATCAAAATAAAGGTAAGTCTCGAGTTATCTATTAACAAGGGAAGGATGCTATATTTCATTATCTACCTACCCGGTCTTTTTTCAATTGCTGGTTTCGTTTTCCGTTGTTGTGGTACATCGCTACGCTTTCCAAGTTCTAAAATGTCACGAATATCGGATCCACTCATGTCTTTGACGAAATAAAATGAATATCAAACCAAAAGAAAAAAAAAAATCAGAAAAATTATGTTCTTGGATGTGAAAAATAAAATGGCAAATGACTGCTGGGTTTCAATTACCTGAATGCTTCCCTTTCCCCTCACCCATTTTCTTTTTCTTTTTTCTTTTTTCTTTTTTTTTTTTTTTTTTTCTCTCTCTATTCTTCGCTTTTCTCTTTTACTGTATGAAGCATTATGAGTGACCAATCGCTCCATACAGATTTTCTATATCATTTAACAGAAAAACATTATCAAGCAGCTCTGGATCTGGGCAAGGAATTGGATATTGACTCAGATATTGTATACAAAACTCAATGGTTTTCTCGACTGGATGAACTGGGATCTCACTTTACGAAGCAAGACGTGGACCTGTTAGAACGTATACATGACGATGCTTGGGTGGTTAGTCAATGTCTTGATCTTGTTGCTGATAATGATACCTTACAACAACGTATTCTACAGATTGGGTTGAATCTCACACGCAAACATACTGATGACTTGTTACAATCTTTGCAATCCCAATATGAACAACAGCATTTGGTTTCATCTACTTTGTCATCACCAGCAGCAGCAACAACAGAAGCTGAAGCAGCAGCAAAAGGCTCGGTCGAGCAGATCTCAGTAAATGATAATGATCGATTATGGATATTTGCACGTCGTTACTTTTTACAATACATGGATAGGCTACATACGTTTGTCAAGATATGGCCATTGGTAGCTCAAGATACTGTCATGTTTACCGAAGCATATAGCGACTTTCGTGATGTGAATTTGGTGGCTCAAGCTATTGAATTTGCTCGTTCAGAAAACAATCGAGCTTTGGACGTGTTATTTATGCATCATGGTACAACTCTTCTCCCTTATCGATTGTTTATTCTATCTCAGGTGCCGGAAACTGTGGATCCTGCTAGTTTTGATTTACCACATGTCACTGGTTCATATGAAGATCTGTGGGTACAAGAACCTTGGCGACAAGATTCTGATTTGGCTGAACTTCCTTGGGTGGAATCCCTTATCTTGCCACAACAAAAAAATAACATCATCAATGACAACAACAACAGTAAGAACGACAGAGAGGATACCGAAAATATCTTGACAGCGGCTCCAGAAGAAGCGAATTACTTATCACAACTCCATCAAGTGGTGGAAACAACTCCTTATCCAGCACCAGCCAATATTATTGCTGAGTGGTATCTTCATCGTGCTCGAACAATGGACAGTCTCGGATTAGCAAGTCATGCACTTGGTCTTGTACGATATGCAAAAGCGATGGGTGTACCTGATATGGATGATCATGTGGAACGATACGATTGGTTATGCAAATTTATTTACGCTTCTTCGACAACAGACATGGATCTTGCTGCTTTTGAACACTTATCAGATTACGATGTGTTGGAGGGGTTACTGCTACAGACAAGTACGGATACTATTGTGCAAGATATGAGGCGACTCGTGTTACCATGGTTGGAACGATGTACAAGGAAAAGGCAAAAGGATATTATGAAAGATGATGATGATGATGATGATGACGAACGACCAGTATTTTTACTCTATCGATGGTTATTAGGACAATCATCAGAACAGCTACATCGATGTTGTGTTATTTTTGAAGCATCCAAACCAACTTTATCAATGGAAGAACGGATCATAAAGGATGATTGTGACTTATCAAGATTGGTTTTGGCATTGGTATATTCAAGTGATGGATCTATGGAATATTTGGTACGAATGTTTGAATGTCTTCCTCTCTTTCCTGATATTGATGTAGAAGGAAATAACAATAGTGACAATGAAGTGGATATGGCTACCTTATTACCTTTGGCAGGAACTCCTCTTGGGCTATTTACAGCATTACAAAGTATACAAAAGGCAGGACTCACCAAGATGATGGATACCTTACAAGCACATTTGATGTCAGCAGAAGTATTGGCTCGATACCATGCTAGTGTCCCTTTACGATGGTATTTACAAGATCAATCGGTGGATATTCAACGTCAATTATGTATTCGCATGGCATCACAAGCTGCTGGTGGAGTGGAAACTGGAGGTGTTCAATTTGACCGTGATGATGATTGGCGCGAACTTTTAGATGATATGTTACGACTACATGATGATGGTAATGGTATCTTTGGAAAAATTGAATCCACTGAAATCATGGAAATTTTTTACAGCTCTTTATTAAGATGTGGTCGTAAGTATTATCATGTTGACGATAAATCATTTGTTCAATCCAACTAATTTTTTTTTTTTTTGTTATTGTGATATTTTAGGCTTTCACTTAGCGAAAGAGCTTGTTGTCGGTTCAAGATCATTATTGGGTATGGAACAAGCTGAAAAACTAGTGATTGATGCAGAAAGGGAATTCTTTGATAACTCAACAAATGGCAATATGAATACAAGCAATATGAAGAAAGCATGGGATTGGTAAAAAAAAAAAAAATGAACAAAAGTGAAAAAGAAAATGATGAAATATTTACCTCTTCTTTTTTTTTTTTTTTTTTTTTTTGTAGTCTACATGTGTTACCTCCAACAGCAAACATTAAAAAGGAAATGGATTTGATTGAGGCTACTCATACACTCATCTCAGTATACCAAGTGACATCTAAGCCGGGATTAGTATTGATGCCTATTCAACTTCGACAATCAACGGATCGTCTCGATTTTATTTCCAGACTAGTGAATACTCGCAAAGGCATCTATCGACAATTCAAGGAAGTAGTCACTTTGACACAAAAATTGGGTTACCAAGGGGATTTATTGGCAGAGGTGACGGTTCTCTCGATGATGGCAGGTGCAGCCATGGTAGATGAAGAGTATCTCTCATGTTATCGATTATGTCAAGCAACAGTGGACAAGGCACAATCGATCACAACATCTAAGCAACACAATCGAAACTACGTGGATAAGGTGCGTCAGGCAGCATGGCAAATCTGTTTCAATTTGGGCAAGTTGGACGCATGGCATGATACATTACGACGATTGGACGTACTAGCAATGGCATTGACAGTATGTCCTGTGGAATATATGCATGACATTTTGACAGTATATCAACGATTGGAGCAACAACAATCTACACTACTTTTTGATAATCCTTTGGAAATTGTCAAATTGGAACAATCTCGATATGACAACCTGGAAATGGAAATTCAGCAACGAGGTACGGTTGGATGGCAAGGGTTGTTGGAAAGTGCAAAGAAACGACAATGGATCATTGGCGACTTGCTCAAGGCTGGTGGTGGTCTATACTCATCTTCTTCTCAAGATCGGCTTTTGGATCCTCATTTATCAACATCATCATCCACATCATCGTCTTCACCATCATCAAATATCATTACTGATGATTCTTTTCATCCTGGTGGAGGCAAGCGAAAAAGGGATCAACTTCGAGATATTGTTGGTGGTGTTGGTGGTTGGTTATTTCAACAGTGATTCTTTTATCTATATTGTACTATTATCAAATTATGATCAATAAAAAAAAATATATATACATATATCTTACTTTTTTTTATATTGTTACTATTGTTATTTGGGAAATGTTAGGTTTTCAATCTCTTTTTTAAAGGAAAAAGAAAGAAATACTTGTTTAGTATTTGTATACGTATCTGATCGATCATAGAGAAAAAAAAAAAAAAAAAAAAAAAAAAGGGAAATGGTAATACAAAATAGAACATAGATGAGTAGATTACTATTTTTGGACAGAACAGGATAATATATGCAAACAAATGAACGGGATGACGGATTTTTTTTTTTTCTGAAAGATATCATACTCGTAGCAGGAACATTTCTGTCTGTGATGATGCTTGTCCCTCCTTTTTTTTTTGCCTACCTCGGAGCAATGAAAAGAATGGATGATAAAAATAGAACCTAGCGGGTTATTCAATTGGATCATCCAAGGGAAGAACAAAAAAAAAAAAAGAAAGATATTTTTATCATCTTATGCAATAAGAGAAAAAAAAACGATAATAGAATGGTTTTGATTGATCATAAAAAAAAATGATACTTTTTCTGTTTTATTTGTTTATTAGATACATAATAGAGTGGACGGTTTATTTTGGTTTTTAAAGGTAAATATATAACACTAAAAAAAAAAAAAAAAAAAAAACGAATATAGACTAGAGGAATCAGGGAAGGAATCCAAAACAAAGAAGAATCAATTCAAGGCCACACCAAGTTGTTGGGCGACAGAGATTGATTTGGTAGCGATATATTCGATCAGACCCCAATCAGCACCACCACCATTATGATTAGGCGCTTGCACACCATGCCAGAGGTTTTCAGTCACTTGGTCAAAAGTCCATCCAAAGTTGATCCCTTTTGATTCCTGTTCAATACTACGATCCCATTTCAAATCAGGCAAAATAAATTCATGATATTTCAAAACACGATTAGTCAATGTATCATTGTTGAAGACCTTGGTGACAGTCGCTTTCATATATGATTCAAAAGTAGCCTTGATTTTGGCATTTTCCAATAATTTGTTGATCATCACAGCCTTGGGGAACTTGCTAGGATAATCTGTGTAAGGTACCTTGACGAATGATTTGTCATATGGGATATTAACACCAAAAGTAGCATCAAAGTCTTGTCCAAGGAAATAAAGCATATTGTTCGAGACATCTTCATAAACACCAATGTTTGTTTGTTCTTGCCAGTAGCCATCCCAGTGACAAGCCAAGTATTCCATAACCATGAAGCGTAAGAATTGATCCACATCAAACAATTTTGCAAAATTGGCCACCGCAGCATCATCTTGCACATTAAGACCTTCCAAATCTTCCGTCACATGTTCAATCATATCCTTGTTCATTGTTGAACCTGGAGCAGGAATAAATGCATCCAAGTTTTCTTCATCATCCATAAAACTAGCACCAGATGCACCGTCAAAGAGAGGACCTTCTTGTTCAGGAAGTTTACCGCCAAACAGGACCGCTTGAATATAAGAGTAATTTGGAATATCATCTAACATGTTAAATGTACCCATACTTTGACCATTGATGAAGAATCTAATCATATTGGCTTGAGGAGCATATGTACCCATAGCACGAAGTACATCAGCGTATAATTTTTCCCGAATTTGTGTAGGATCTTCTTCCATATGTCGAATCTTGAAAAAGTTACGTCCATTAAGCTCTTGTGGTAATTTCCATTTCCATGATTGCTTTGCATTATTGTGTTTTTTGCCTGGTTTGTGAAGTTGGAAGTCGGCACCCTATAAAATCGAAGGGTAAATAAGTGTTTGATTTATTTCAATTATCATCCATTCACTTACTTCAAAGGTATGAACTTCATTAGCATCAATGATGGTAATTTTGGCTTTATAGATCTTATCACTTAGACCTTTGATCAAACTTTTCACATCGGAAGGATTTGCATTGACAAAGACGGATGGAATATAGTTGACATCCCAAATGGGTCCAGGTTCAATAGCACGTGTCCAATCCTAAAAAAAAAAAGATAATAAAAAAAAAGAAAAAACGAAGAAATAAGTATAACTTCCTATGGATATAATGGTAATAATGATGATAAATTACTTTTTGACCAATAATAGTGGGTAATTCAGGAATGTTTGCATAAGTAACAGGACGTTCATAGATATCGTTGAGAGTAGAAGCGCTAGTCAATGTTCGATCAAATGATTCAGGTTGACCATCAACAATATACTATAAAATATAATATAGTTAAACTTTTATTTTATAATTTAAAATCACTTTTTATTTACCTTATATCTTGAATTTGAACCAGCATCAGCATCACCAATGAAATAGGGTACATCGGCATCAGGTGCTGTCAAAGGTGTATTCTTTCCATTTACAGAAACTTGTACAGTTTTACCACCAGGAGCAATCACTTTGAAATGAGCTGCCAATGTGATTTGAGCTAAAGCAGATAATGTAAAAAAACCAATAAGACGCATTCTTTTTTTTTTTTTATTTTCTTTTTGGATGGATAAAAAAAAAAAAAAGAAAAAGGAAAAAAAAAAAGAGAAATCGTTTCTTTTTTATAATCCAAGACGTCGGGCTTTTAACCAAGCAGGGGCAAAAAAGGGCATACACACACACAATTCCTTTTTTTTTTCTATATGTTTGTAAGAAATTTCCGTTCACTCGTTATTTCCGTGTCTAACCAATGTTATAGAAAAGGTTCTTGATGCTTACTCAAAATTAAACAAACATTTTGCATAACATAACTACAGTTTTTTCATTTATATAAAGTGAAGTATGTGACCATAACCTTCATGGATGAAAAATATGAAGAAAAAATGAGGAAGAATCAGTATGATTGGTTTAGGGAGTAATGAAAAAAAGGTTAAGTTCACCACCTCCTCATTTCACCCATTTTCTTGAGTCTTTCCTTCTCTAAAAAGTGATCATACAAATGTAGGAGTTTCTCCTTCCTCTCATCCAACATCTTGTCGTCAGATTGAAGAAATCAAGTGTATATATATAGATTTTTCTTACTAGATCAAGAAATAGAGAAAACACTTGCATTGGATGATCTTTTTTTTTTTTTTAAATCCTCATACATGATTTTTCTTTTCTGACAAAAAAGTGGATGTATATTATGGTTCATTCCTTTCCCCTTCTTTTCTTTTTTTTTTTTTTTTTGATGATCTCATCATAATCTATTAAAAACCCATCAAATCACTGGAAAGGATGCCATCTATAGTCATTCTCATCCCGCCACTGGCTTCTTGTCCAAAAAAGAGAAAGTGGCCAAGTACCAAAACTCAGTGAAAAGGGAATTTGAACTGATTGTCTGATCGTTTTATTTTTCCTTTCTTGTACCTTTTTTTTTTTTTTTTTTTTTTTTTGAATTGGTAACCCCACAATATAGAAAAAATTATTTCCATTTATTCTTCTTTGATACAGCTCTACTTCCCTTTAATTCACACTTCCATTCTTGTTTAGAAAGTATTAATCTCCTTATTTGATCATTTGTTCATCAATCTCTCTTTGATTCACACATTTATTCTCTCTCTCTCTTTCTCCTTTCCTTCCCGCCTCCCCCCCTTTTTTTTTCTTTTTCTTCTTTTTTTTTTTTTAATCACCCTAAAACTTTACTTTATTTTTACGGACCATTCCTTTGAACATTTACTCTCCTTATTTTGTTATATGGATCGGAAATCACGTACTTCACGTTCGGCTACTTTGGAAAATTCAAATGAAGAACTTAATCTTTGGAAACAAATATGCAGCTCTTTGGTAGAATTAGAACATATTCAACAGAAAACAGAAACAGTAGTTAAGAATCTCAATGATATGCGTTCATCATTACAGCCAGATCAAGGTAATATATATATGTATAATATTATAACGCGTTGTTTCACCTGACTTTTTTTTTCTTTTAACTATATTCTACAAAAAAAAAAAAAAAATAGATATTACACCAACTCTTCTACATAGATTAAAAGATCATTATCGTGGAGGGATAGAATTATCTTCCGATGAAGTCAAGTAAGCAAAAAAGAAGAGAGTGAAGAAGGAATAAATGAAAGGTGATCTTCCATTGACATCAATGAATATAGATCAAAGGAAGGTGTTTGCAACATGATCTAATCATTTATGCATGTTTATCAATAGAATTATTACTGATGTTATTGAGAAGTTGACAGTTTTGACAGCATTACGAGAAGCATCAGAAACACGAGGTAAAAAAATATATATATACTAATGATGAATGATCTAAATCTTATTTTTTATTTTAGCCGAACAGAAAAGAAAAAAAAGGAAATCTGAAGTAGAAGAATTGAAATCAGTCTCTCCCAAGAAAGCAAAGGGGTAATCAAAATAAAAGAATATATTAAGTAAATGGTAAATGGATCATCATGATTTTGTTTTATAGTAGCAGCGATATATATTCTCCTGGTACATCAGTAAGTTAAACAAGCACAACTATGAAAACTAGCTTTCTAACTATTTTATATATTTATATAGGTAGCAGCAAGACAACCTAAACAAAAGGATAAGAATGAAGAATGGATATTGGCTATCGTTTTAAGTTTTCATGCAGATAAAAACAAGTAAGTATACAGAATAGGAGTGGATTGACTATTGACTATTGACTATTTTTATTTCCTCTACCAGATACCAAGTAGAAGATGTTGAACAGGATGAATATGGACAAAAACAGTAAAAAAAAAAAAAAAAAAAAAAAAAAAGAATGATAATATGCCAACTCTTTTTTTTTTTTTTTTTTTTTTTTTTGTTCATTTAGGAAATATATGTTACCACCAAGAAGTGTCATTGCTGTACCTGAAAATGGAGACATCAAATCCATTCCTGAAATTAGCCCTGGTGAAGACGTCCTGGCTCTATATCCTGGTACTACCTGCTTTTATCGTGCTGTCGTCGCTCATCCTCCATCTAGTAAGGTAAATTGTTAATCTGTCAGAAAAAGAAAAAAAATGAAAATCCATTATATAAAATAATCGTTTTGGGTTTACTTTATTTATAGGATAATAATAGTGGACCATCTAATTACAAGGTACGATTTGAAGATGACAACAATGAAATCAAAACCGTCCGAAAAGAACATGTACTCCAAATACCAAAAGGAAAACCTTAGATAGCATTTTCTCTCCCCTTTTCGTTACATCTACTCTACTTACTTACTATTTACTTTACACCTTATTTCATAATGAATTTTTCCCACAATAAAAAAAGAAAATTTTTTATCCTCTGTACGTACCATCTATTTGTCACTATAAATATCATTTAACCTATTATTATATAACATATCGTCATTCAATTCATCATTAAAATCAATCCAGCATCCAACAAGTGTATATCATCGGGTTAATGCTTATTTTAATAGCATAGAATTGAATCTCAGTCGAAAATATTTTTGTTGTTTTGTATGTAGTTTTGATTTTTCTTTTTTTTTTTTTTTTTTTTTTCTGATCGGTTCCCTTTTCTTCTTCTTCTTCTTTTTTTTTTTTTCTGATCATATATGCAAAGTTTTATACCACGAACTAAGTTTCCTTATGATAGGGTTATCAATTGGTTTCCAGGTCATATGGCAAAAGGATTACGACTTATATCTGAACGACTGAATACGGTGGACCTAGTAGTGGAAGTTCGAGATGCCCGTATCCCTCTATCTTCTATCAATCCCAATTTTGAAAAAGTAGTTGGTCGAAAACCAAGACTTATTATTTACAACAAATTCGATCTTGCTTGTCCTGATACAAAACAACCTGTGATGAATGCATTTGCTAAACATACACCTCATACTCCTGTGCTTTTCACTAGTTGTGTAAGGGATAGTCATATACGAGATATTCTTCAATATGCAGCGACTTTGGCAGATCCAATTCCTCATGTCAATCTTATGGTAGTGGGTATGCCAAATGTGGGTAAATCATCATTGATTAACTCTTTACGACGAGTGGGCGTGGGCAAAGGCAAGGCAGCTCAGACTGGAGCACAACCTGGTGTGACAAGAACAGTAGTAGGAACGGTGAAGGTATTAGAAGATCCAGCGATCTATTTGATAGATACTCCTGGGGTGATGGTACCTTATATTGCAGATCCAATCAAGAGTCTCAAGGTAGCAGTGACTGGAGGTATCCGTGATCATCTGGCTGACGAACAAATTATGGTGGATTATATTCTATATGAATTGAACCGACGACAAGCGTATGATTATAGCTCATGGTATCGTTTACCGGATAACCAACCAACTAATGATGTGAATGATCTCTTAACAGGTGTTGCTCATCGAATCGGTGCGGTGGTCAAAGGTGGAGAACTGGATATGACAATGGCAGCTAAATTCTTTCTCAAGCAATTTCGATTGGGCAAACTAGGACGATATACTTTGGACGATGTGACACCAAATGCACTGGATGATTTTTTTGAACAGGTGAAACTTTATAATGGCAATACATCTTTACGAAACAAGTCATCTTTAGACCTCAGTCGACGACAAGAAAAGAAAAGAGCGAAATTGGCTTGGAGAAAGGAACAACAAAAGAAATATCAACATGGTGGAAAACGACTTAAGCCTTCTGAAGAAGAAGAAGAAGAAAAATAGATAGAATAGATCATTTACCTCCCTTGTCTCTCTCTCTCTCCCCACTGTAGTATAGTAGTTTTAGATAAATAGAAAACATTTTGTATATAGTGATTTGAAATAAAACAATACTAAAAAAGAATACCTTTAATTGTACTTTATTTATATATATTAATTTGATATCTTATTTTTCTTTTTTTTTTTTATTATTATTCTTTTGATAGACAACGATCACCAGTAATAGAGCAGAAAAAAAAAAGGGGTGGAAAAAAAACATTGTACTACTGTATTTGAATGTCAAAATGGCTGGATTTAGTACCTTTTTATGCCTCCTTATATTTTTTTAGAGCTCCTTCCTCGTTTCGTTTTTCTTTCTTTCATATATTCTATAGTTATTTTTTTTTCCATTCCTTTTCTACCTTTTTTTTTTTTTTCATCTCTATACTTTCCCTCCATTCCTCTCCTTTATATTATCTAGTCATTCCTTTCTTCTCTTACCTTCTCTATCTCTCTCTCTTTTTTTTTTTGTCATTTCTTTTTTCTTTTACCCGTCATATTTTATTTTATATAATGACAACTTCACACCAAAATAGACAACTCGAAATTCAACAAGCCTTTAAAGAACTATCCTTGTCTCTTAGTAAACAACTTACTGCAAAATCTCGTTTCAAGAATACTACCACCACTATCACTCATACCTCCGAGACTATTAACAACGACAGCAACAACGACAACAACAACGACATCATTATCTCCTCACAGTTAGTAACATCCAAAAGTACTCCTTATACTACTCAACATACACTCAAAAAACCCAAGTCTTTTGGTACTTTCAACTTACTTGAAAAACAACAACAACATCCTTATTCGCCATGGGTTGACTGGATCAGCAATAATGATAGTAATACCGATACTACGCTTTTGCCAAAACAAGATATATTACAATCGACAATATCACCTCCATTATTACCTTCATTTATACCTTCTTCTGATAGCAGTAGTAGTAGTCATTATAGCGGTGATTCGATTCCTTCAACACCAACCCTTCCTTTTATTAATAGTAAAGATAGAAAAATGAGAAGAATACCTTCTAGTTCTTCTTCTCTCGGTTCTCTCACTACCAATTCTTCTTCTCGTTCAAAACATTCTGGATATTCTATATCAAGTCACTTTACAAAATGGGATTGGACTATTGAAGAAGATGCCTATGGAAATAGCAATCTACATGATCTACCACCACATCTACGACTTCATCAAGATCATGATCAGGAAAATCGTCTTATTTCTACTTTGGAACCTGCTGAAAGGTAATATATTTACTTACAGACGTTGACTCCTTATTTAAACTGACCTTGATATATGTAGGGATCTATATGGATTCAAGAAACCAGTGCAATGGGTTAAACTTAAACGATTACAACAGTTCGAACATCAATATCAATCCATTCTACTTCACCAAAAGAAAAAATGGTCTCAGCTTTTAATAGAAAATGATAATCAATTTCCCTCTCCCAGTTCTCGATGTAAGTATCTTATAAAAAAAAAAAAACAAAATCATATGCTCATTTATTTATTTATATATTTTGGAATCATTTTTTAATACTATAGTGCGACGATATGTTCGAAGAGGTATTCCTCATGATTACCGTGGCAAAGCATGGATGCATTATAGTGGTGCCAAAGCAAAGATGGAAGCACACGTTGGTCTATTTGAATCACTTGTGGAAACAGCAATGACAACAGAAGATCAAAATGAATATGCAGAAATCATCCGCCGTGATCTACATCGTACTTTTCCCGACAATATTTATTTTGCTTGCGCACACACTGATGAACTTGGCAATGTTATAATGGATCCCGAATCAAATGAGAAGCTTGTATCATTGAAACGCATTCTCTACGCCTTTAGTGTTCACTCACCTCATATTGGTTATTGTCAATCCTTGAATTATTTAGTAGGTTTTTTCTTACTCTTCACAGAATCAGATGAAGAAGCATTTTGGCTTTTGGTGACTACTGTCTATGATTATTGTCCTCCTAGCAAGTATGATGTGACTATGGAAGGTGCTAATATTGATCAAGTTCTACTGATGATGATGGTTTACGAAAGAATGCCTAGTATTTGGAATAAACTTGCCAATGGAAAATGTTTTTGGGAATGTGAACAAGCCGATACTATGCCTCCAATTACCTTAGTTACTAGTCATTGGTTTTTAACTCTGTTCATCAACATCATGCCAACAGAAGTAAGTTGATCTCTTTTTTTTTTTTTTTTTTTTTTTTGGCGATATATATTATGTTTTAAAAAGTGAATTAATATTCTTTTATTTTTCTTTTATTAGACGGTGCTTCGAATTTGGGATAGTTTTTTTATGTATGTTTTCATTGATACATCTACTAGCTTTCCTTTTTTTCTAAAAAAAAAAAAAAAAAAAAAAAAAAAAAAAAAAAAAGAACAGAAGATTGAACTAACTAATTTTATATTATAGTGAAGGATATAAGACTTTATTCCGTGTAGCATTAACAATGATCAAGATGAATGAATGTCAAATCTGGGCATTAGAAGATCCAATCGACGTTTTCCCTCTTCTTCAGAATATGCCTAGAAGGTTGATAGATTGTCATCACTTTATGGAGGTAAGAAAAAGAAAGTGATGAATGTAGTGATGATGATTTATTGAATTTCTCATGATTCCTACATATATATATATATATTGCAGATGGTGTTTTCTTCTTCAAGTATTGCATCTGATATTACATTGCAAGAAATCGAAAGCAAGAGAAATCTGTTCAAGGATCGAAGGAAACAACGTCAACAAGCGAAATTCAAACAATTTATCAATTCAAAGATAGATTAACATATTTAAAAGTAGATTATTTGATATCTTGTATGCCTTTTTTTTTTTCTCTTTGTACCTTTCTTTTTTCTTTCATCTTTACGTCATATATGTATATATTTTTTACTGGATACCTTTTTTTTTTTTTTTTTACCCTCTGCTTTCCAAATAAAGCAATATCATCCTGATTTTTATCCTATTAAGTTCAGAACTACCTCCACTATCTATAATACATATGTATATATATATATATTATGATATGAAATAATATTACTATAACTCATCGAGTTTTTCATATATGATAAATGCATTTCAATGGAAAATGTACTTTACACTTCATCATTCTTGTTTGAACCGAAAAGCGGCGCTCGAAAACAGGGTCAAATCACATTTTGGGTGCGAATATTTTTTTGTCATTTGAAATCTTGGGAGGGGCGTGAAAATCCCTTTTTCTTTTTCTTTCTCTTTTCTTCTATCATTTTCTTTATTTGCTTTCCATACCAATGCATTCAACTTTGGTCAAGAACCATGGTTGTACTTCTCGACCCATTGATCCTCACTTTGACACAATAGACAAATACGATATAGACTATATACAGAAAACAGTATATGAATTGGCTTCACAAAAGGACGACTCACTGGCAACTGCGGTCAATGAAGCTTTGGAAGTAATTGAAGAAGCATATCGACTTTATGGGTAAGCATTATGACTTGTTATAGGAAGAGAAAAGAGAAGGAAGAACATATCTACTATATATATATATATAGATATCTGATTGAGTCTTTGACTTGATATGACATTATTTTATCCTTTTTTTTTTAATACATTATATTTTTCTTATACAACTTTATAGACTTGATGGTATTGCTCTTTCTTTTAATGGTGGTAAAGATTGTACTGTATTACTTCACTTGGTTGTGGCGGTATTATCTCGTATGGGACATAAAAAGGATGAATTATTACGTACAGTGTTTGTGACGTATCCCAATGCATTTCCTCATGTGGATGCTTTTGTTAATATTTGTATTAAACGATATCATTTGGACTGTGTACCTATTGCTGGACCTATGCGACAAGCTTTACAACAATATTTGGATATCACTCAACCAAGACCAAAGGCTATTTTTGTGGGCATACGACGACATGATCCTTATGCTGGTAATAATATTATATGTCATAAAATTGATAAATAGAAAAAAAAAAAAAGAAGAAGAAGAAACTAATGATGATGATGTTTGATTATTATTATTATTATTATTATTGATAGAAAATTTGACTCACTTTGACATGACAGACAAGGGCTGGCCTGAGTTTATTCGTGTCCACCCTATTATTGATTGGTCTTATAAAAATATCTGGGACTTTTTGATCAAGTTAAGGATACCATATTGCTCTTTATATGATGAAGGGTAAGTTAAAACAAATTCTTTTGAATTGGTTACTAAATATGATTTTATCTCTCTTCTAGATATACTTCGCTCGGAAGCATGGAAAATACCCACCCAAATCCCGATTTGGAAACTGATCATGGTCATTATCAACCTGCCTTTATGCTCAAGAACGAATTACATGAACGATGCGGTAGAATTGGTTCCTCAAAGAAATAGATAGATTAAAATGTATACATTAATAAATACATAAGCTGTTTTTTGATACAAAATCTTTCATGCGGTGTTTCAAATTATATATATGATATGTATGTACTTTTTTTTTTTTTTTTTGGATTTGTTACTTCTTTCCTTTTCAACTTTTATATTTTTTATCAATACCATTGTTTGATTGGTATGTCAAGTGAGCTAGTACCTCAAGTGTTAGAAGCTCTTTCTTCACTCTATTCTAATTCTGATGCGATAACCAAGAAGCAAGCCACTAAATGGTTAGAAACATTTCAAAAGAAAGTACGTATTATGTATTTATATTTTTATGACTTTCATATATTCTTTTCTATCTTCTTATTCTTTTTTTTCTTTTTTTTTTTTTTTTTTTTTTTTTTTTTTTTAGCCTGAAGCTTGGAAAGTAGCTGATCTTTTGCTTAATTCTGAAACTGCCAATATTGAAACTAGATTGTTTGCTGCTCAAACCCTACGACAAAAGGTAAAACACATAAAGACAACTTAATATTCATATTCATTTATTCTTTATTACATAGATCACTTATGATTTACGTGAACTTGACGTTACTGCCAAATATTCACTACGAGATTCACTTCTTCAATTATTATGGCTCTCAGCATCAGGACCTAAATCAATCATGGTTCAACTTTGTCTTGCCCTTGCTGATTTAGCTGCTCAACTTACGGAATGGAAGACGGTTGTCCAAGATGTCGTTGATAGATTTGGTAATGACCCCAAGGTTGCATGTTGTTTATTGGAATTTCTCAAAGTATTACCTGAAGAATTATCAAATAATCGGCTACCACTCTCAGTAAGTATACGCATTTCTCTTCCTTCTTTTTTTTTTGCAAGTGATAACATTTTTTGATTACTGTCTATTTTAGGATAAGGAATTTAAAGAAAGGGCAGCTAATTTGGTAGAGACTAACGCAGAACAAGTATTATGGTTAATATCGAGTCATCTTCAAACAAGTGGTAAATACAAAAAAATGAAGCATCTATACAATAGAAACATATACATCGAAAGACGCTAATAAATGTTCCTCTTTTTATTTTCTTTTCCTTTTAGGTGGAAATGTCGATATTGATGAATCAGCTTTCAAATGCCTTTCAAGTTGGTTACGAACAGGCGATGTGGATATTCGATTTCTTGCCTCCAATCCTTTAGTTAACATGGTTTTTGATGCCCTGGCTGTGGATGATCTCTTTGATGTATGTACTGATGTGGTGTGCGAAATATTATACGAAACACGCGATGTGGTGAATCTACAAAGTTTGATTGGAGTACTATACCCTCGATTTACACCAATGTTAGAATTACTCAAACAAGCAAAAGCGACCGAAGATGTGGATAAGATGCGAAACTATTGTCGAATGTTTATCGAAGCAGGTGAAGCTTATGTGTCTTTAATTGCTCAACAACCGGAAAACTTTAACATACTATTAGACGGTATTATATCTTGTACTGCTTTTGATGACTTGGATATCGCCAAAATGACCTTCAAATTCTGGTATGAACTCACCAATACCTTGACTACTCCTCATTATCAAAACGCTATTCCTCGCTTTTACAATTATTTCGATCAATTAGTGGATATCATCATCAATCATTTACATTATCCTGAAGACTTCAACGACTGGACTGCGGCTGAACGAGATGAATTTAGGGACTTTCGACATGAAATGGGTGATACTCTCAAGGATTGTTGCCGTATATTAACACCACAGAAATGCCTTTTCAAACCAATGGCTCATCTTTCCAAACTTTTGACAACCACAGATCCATCATCTACTCCTTCCACTTGGCAACAAATTGAAGCCCCAATTTTTTCTTTGCGTGCTATGGGATCTGAAGTACCTGCCGATGAACATGAAGTTATGCCTCAGATTATGGAATTTTTATCAAAACTGCCTGATCATCCCAAGATTCGATATGCTGCTACTTTGGTTATCTCACGTTACTCTTTTTGGACTCGGGAACATCCTCAATTTATTACCTATCAACTTAATTTTATCTCATCCGGCTTCCAAAATGAAGAAGTTGCTGCTGCGAGTGCTCTAGCCTTGAAACATCTTTGCAAGGATTGTAGTGAGGTAATTTTTTTTTATTATGATATATAATTAATCGATACTCATCATTTATTTATTTATTTTTATCTAGCTTTTGATTGACTTTATAGGCGAACTACATCCATTCTACATCAATGTTGTCAAAACTTTACCATTCCAAGATGCTCTTGAAGTGACTGAAGCTATTGCTCATGTGATGGCTGTAATTCCCATTTCTGGTTTACAAGATGCCTTACAATCCTTTTGTCTTCCCTTGGCTCAAGATCTACATTCCATTGTTATTAAAGGAAAGGATGCTGTGACTGAAAAGGAATGTATCCATGCTGGAGGTAATGTTTTTTTAATAATATTATTTTCAAATATTATTTCAACTCACTCTTTTTATATATAGATTTACTTGAACAAATTGGTGCCTTCTTTGCCATCATATGCCCCGAAGTTCCCGCAAATCATCCTCACCCTTGTGTAGGTTTCGTGAAAGAATTATGGCCAGTATTTACAATTTGCATCAATAATTTCGGTGGAGTACCAACAATTGCTGAACCGTTATGTCGATGTTATAAAGGATGTATTCAATCTTACAAGAATCATTTTGTCCCTCTTCTTCCTCAGTTGATGGAAGACATTGTCCTTGGATTTGAAACTACTGGATTGGGTGTTTATCTTTGGGTGGCCAACAAGATTATTAAACAATATTCAGTCGAAGGTTCAGATGGTGTGGCTGCTTGTTTTGGATTGGTTGAACGTCTCAGTATGATTGTATTTGGAAAATTAAACGGACAAAAGTTGGAAGATATCCCAGATGGTACAAAGGAAAAAAAGAAAAAAAAAAAGTTATATTGTCAAATTAATCTCATTATTATCTTTGTAGTTGTTGAGGAATATTTCCGTATGGTAGTTGCTTTCCTGGAATCATCTCCTACTCCTCTTGTCCAAAGTGACCTTTTATCATCCATCTTTCAAGCTGGTCTTGCAGGACTCTCTTTAGAGCAAACAACTGCTCTTTCTGCTGTGATCCAATTTTATCGTCGACTCTTGGGTATTGCACTTTCTGTAGATGAATTGGTAGTGCCTGGTAACGTGACTCATCGTTCCATGTTTGGTCAAAATGGTGTACGCATTGCTACTCTTGTTCGCCAATTTGGTGCTGGTTACGTCAAACTCTTATTCAATGGAATGATTTATCATTATCCTTGGGAAATGATCTCTGATGTTGCCGCTATTATGAAATCTTTGGCTCAGTTACTTCCTGATGAAAGTGCTGAATGGTTGACATCTCTGGTGAATGAATTTCAAGATATCTCTATCTCTGAAAAAGGTGAATTTTTGGAATCGTATATGAGGTAATATATCTTTTTTTTTTTTTTTTTGCATATGCTCATAGTAGTTTTCTTCCTTATTTTTTTTGGAACTTATCCTTCTATTTTTTTTTTTTAGTGCTGTACAAGGGAAACAATGGACGAAAGTACGAAGAGTACTATCGGATTTCGTTACGGTGTATAGAAGAAAGCACACTAGTCGTAGATCTACCTAAAATTTGTTATAGGAATTGTATATGTTACTTTGTTGTTGTTGTTATTATCATCATCATTACCCCTTGTCATTATTTGAAATTTAATAAAATGGTTGGAAAATTATAAGTATATATTATTATATGGATTCCATGACCTTTTTATATCGATTTCCTCTTATTCGTTATTCTCGTCATCAAAAAAAAATATGATAAGGTGGATGTTTATTGTTATAGTATTATTATCCTTATTGAACTCGCACTTTCTATCTTAAAATCATCAAGAGAAAATCATTATGCGTTTGCAAAAGGTAGACTACACCTTCACTATAGTAAAGGAGCAGATCCAATGCTACTTTATTATTACTGGACGCTGGGTTTATTACTTGTGACCGCCGCCATTTGAATTCAACAAAAAAAAAAAAGTTATTTCTCATTTCCCTTTTTTTTTTTCTTGTGGTCTTCTTACTTTCCTTGTCTACATATTTATTCAAACAACATGGATCGATATTCTAGAGGATACGATGAACGATATCGAGGATATTATGATCGTCCACGATCAGATACTTACAGACCAAGTGAAAACTACCGATCAGATAGAGATTACAATAGAGATGAACGATCCAGTCGAATGTATTCAAGTAGTCGTTATTCATCAAAGTCTCCTTCAAGAACACCTATAAGTGAAAGTAGTGGTATTGCCAGTGGGAACAACAGCAACAACAACAACAATAATAATAATAATACAAGCAATAGTAGCAATGTGATGAATAGAAGTAGTCCAACTAATGATAGTCGATATGGTTATTCCGATTCAAGAGATTCAAGAGGTTATTATCCACCTTCTCGCAATGGCTCTCCTCCTCCTCCATTGTCAAGATCTCGTTCTCCTCCAAGACGTTCGTCTTACAACAATTATTATGCTTCTTCTCGATCATATTCTTATTCATCAAGACGATCTCCTTCACCGCGTGATTATCGACGTGATTCCTATGATCAACGTTCTCCTTACTCTTCTGCTGGAGGTCCTTATCCACCTTATTCATCTTCAAGCTATTATCATCATCATCATCGTGGAAGTTCTTCATCATCGCCTTATCGTCGATCTTATGGTGGATCATCCTATGTACCTTACTCTCATCAACCACCTCCACCACATTCAGCTGGAGTAACAACGTCATCATCATCATCTGGATCAAACTTACCTTCTTCTACTGACCCTACTGGTAGATCATCGATTAAAAGAGATTCACCTAATTTATATAACAAACCTCCTGTCACACCAACATCAGCACCATCGTCTTCATCAGTATCACCAACTACTACATCACCTTCTATTCCACCTCGAATCCCTCCTTCCTCGTCTCAACAACAGCAACAGCAAACCAGTTCAGTAACAATGAAAACGGAGACTTCAACAACAATCTCAAACACTCCACCCAGTGTTCCTCCTCCTGCTTTCCGTCCTCCAACACCATCAAGTCGCCTTCCTCCTTCTGCTAGCACACCAACACCAATCAATGCAAGATCATCTTCACCTGTACCTCCAGTGGCACCAGCCTATGGACCATCTTCATCATCATCATCACCATCGTCATCCCCATCGACAGCAGCAGGAACAACTTCATTTCAATCACTTCCAACAGGACCAATGGCATCATCCTCTCCAGCAGTAGTTATACCTTCTCCTTCTTCATCCTCACAAGGTGGTGGTTATTTTTCGTATCATCCGTCATCCTCATCTTCATCAAGCTATATTCCACAGGGTCCTTCAAGGCACAATTCTCGACCAAGTACACCATCGTCACATCATCATTACAGCTCGCATCAACCACAGCCTCATCACTCATACATCCAGCACCATAGCAGTAGTAGTATCAGTGGAAGTAGTGGCGGTTATCACTATCAACATCCTTCATCCATTATACCACCTCCTAGACAACGACCAGCATGGGCGGCAGAACAAGAGAAAGAGGTAATGAATCAAGTTTTTTTTTAAAAAAAACAAGAAAATATTTTATTTATTCTCTTTTTTTTTTTTTTTTTTTAAATAGATGGAACGATATCAAAGTGAAGAAAAAAAGTTGATGGAAGAAGAAATCAAATGTTTAGCGGGTGTTAGAAAAGGACGATTTGAACTAGAATTGGCTAATTGGGAAACTAGCAAATTGGAACATCAATTGGAATTAGTACAAAAGCAATGGAAAGATACTGGTATGGAAGAAATTGTACAATCTGAACTGGCAACTCGATTACCTGGTGGAACAACTTTAGGTTTAGGTCATCAAAAAGTAGTCCATATATGAAATATTAGTTTAGAATCAATAAAACATTTTTTTATTTTATAAAGCTATGGGGGGATCCCTGCGTTGTTGGTCAACTGGGTTCAATATGTGATCCAATAAGAAATAGCGGCGGTCACATTTTTTTTTTCTTTCAGTATAAGCTTCAATTTTTTTTTCTTTTTTTTCCTTTTAAACTCTTTTCTTCTTTTATTCCCCCTCCTCTTTTGTTCTCTTCTTCTTTTTTTTATTATTATTATTATATTTATTTATTGACTATCATGGCACCATCACCTATGCCTTCACCTCCACCTGGATGTCCTATGCATGATCCTGAAGCAAAACAATCTCCTCCACCTGTCAAGTCAACTTCTTCAGGGGCCAGTTGTCCTGTGGTTCACAATCAAGATCAACCAAAATCAGCTCCTCCTCCAGGCTGTCCTATGCACAATAATGACAAATCTTCTGACAAACTGAATGAACTTAACATGATGCCTGAATTGACTCAACAACGACAAGAAGACCAAACAATTGATCTTCCGACCGAACGTATGATCAGTTCCATCCCTAAAACCAAAGATAGTGATGCCAAATGGGAATACCCTAGTCCTCAACAATTTTACAATGCTTTGCGTCGAAAAGGTTGGGAAACTCCTGAAGAGGAAATTGAAACTATGGTGGATATTCACAACTTTTTGAATGAAGAAGCTTGGAATGAAGTCTTGAAATGGGAAAATAAATTCAACTGGTAAGAAAAAAAAGAAATGCTTTTATTTTTTATGTTGAAATTTATATCCTTTCTTTTTGTATTTATAGTGAATGTAAAGAAGATCCATACTTGACTCGATTCCAAGGTAGACCTCGGGATATCTCTCCAAAGGCAAGATGGCATTCTTTGTTTGGGTAAAAACCAGTATATAAAATAAATAGATAAATGTTATATTGTTATTCATACTATTTTTTTTTTTTTTTTTTTTGGATGATTAGTGCACCAAAACCATTTGATCGTCATGATTGGTATGTGAATCATTGTGGGCAAGAACGTCGTTATGTGATTGATTATTATGAAGCTCCTGAAGAAGTCCCTGGTGTACCTGTATTCCACCTAGATGTTCGTCCTGCATTAGATGATGTTGAAACTATCATGGCAAGATTCAAGGAAGGTTTCAAGACCAAATGGGATCAATTCTTTTCTTCTTCTTCTTCTTCTTCTTGATTTCTTTTATCATCATTTTCTTTATATAATCCATACTGTCATTCATATCTTACCACATATATACATATACATTTTACTATTACGCATTCACTCTCTCTCTCTTTACTTTAGATATACTCTTCACCTTCACTATCATGATTCCAAAGCACTATCGTAGTTTCTTCTTTATACATTTACTAGAAAATAAAAGACCTATTTATCAATCATATGTGTCGTCAACTATATTGTCTTCATAACTTGAAACTATTTATTTCATATCAACTAAAAAGGTGTACGTGTGTATATATACATATAGAGAGCTAACTAGTCTAATCAGTTTTGTACAAAAGCATTCAACTTGTCAACATCAGCAGCTTCTTCTTCCACCAACTTTGCACCGGGACCAGCCTAATAACATGAATATAAAGTTAGCAAAAAAGAATACAATTCTTATTTTTTTTTTTAATATACCTTTGACCATTTGAAGAGTGTAGGGATAGCAGGCACATTGAATTTGACACGATAAGGATGAGCAGTATTTCCTTTCCATTCATCACGAAGACCAACAGGAGCTTCAATCAGGACGGCATTAGGGACATTAAGTAAAGACTTGCGAATCAAAGGATCAGCAACAACGCAATCAGGACACCAGGATTCATTGGTTGTATCCAATTCAGTACCAAAGAATAATACAAATACCTTGTTTTTTTCGTCTTGTAAAGTCTTTTCAACTTGATGATCAAAATCTTCAGTAGTCACTCGTATGAATTGAACCATAATTCTATAAAACAATAATAATAAAAAAAAAAAAGAAATCGAAAATAAAAAAAAAATAAAAGTGTGCGCATCCCCTCGGCTTTTAATACACCCGTTTGTTTCACATCCCGCAGTAGATGAGTCTATTTGCTGTTGCAAATGCGTCATTTTGTTTTTGCATTATGTATTTTTTTTTTTTCAAGACGGATGATGATGTGATTTGCTGACTGATGATGGTAATGATCGTTTTATTTTTTTTTATGACTATTATTGTTTACTTGAAAATTTGAATGAGATCATCATCTATGATATTGTTTCCATCAGTAGAGTTTCTTTTCATTCCATTGTGATCTCTATCGCTGACACTCAGATTTATCATTATTATCCTCAATACAATTCAAATATCAATATATCTGTCGAACTGTATTTATCCAACATTTGTCATCGGCTACCACACCTCATCATTGTCCATCATTTAACATTAGGCATTTTACACCATTTATATTATTCATTGTTACATATTATTTATATCCATCATCCAATAATCATGTTCTCATTGATCGTATGATTAGAATCGTCATCATCGCTTTTAGTTAACGAATAAAACTGGTATTTTCATTACTTTATGTCAAGGTACAGTTTTTTCTTGCATGACTCGACGGTCGTTCAATTTGGATTTTTTTTTTTTATTGGTAGGAGGAATTATTGTCACACGACTTTTTTCCTTTTCTTTTTTTTTTTTTTTTTTGTTGCTTATACGATATTCTTTAGTTGTTGGAATGGCTCCTATCTTTGATAGCCAAGTCTTTCAAAAACTAAAAAACCTCGATATTTATTCCAACCAAATAATTGATGCCTTAACTCGATCCCCTGCTGTGACTAATAATGATGCTTCAAATAATTTGAATGGTATAGAAATAGATCAACAAATATACGGTCAACTAACAACTAGTCTTTTATTCTTTTGTAATGATTAGAATTAAAGCAAGATATTTTGAAAACGAATCTTTACGTGGATATTCCTAGTATATTACCTAGTTTAGTCAATGTCATTCCAGAGTATTATTCTAAATTGGATCGAGAAAATCTTACGACTTGGATTCGCCAAATTCTTCAAAAGGTCAATCTTGCCTCCTTTACACATTATTTGCTAACCGATAATATGCATGCCATTGGACGACTTTCTCTTTCGCACCTGTCTGAAGGACCAACATCCTTATGTCGACCCATCCTTTTTGCGTATATTGATATAAGGACTCGTATGCTAGTTGATTTGACTCTGGACAGTTACTTGGATCCAAACAGTCATTATTCAAGTGAAGACGGTATTGATATGGATTCTCTTCTTGAACAAGCTCTCTCTCTTGATCCTCTCAGCTATGGATTTGGATCTCAAGAATATACTGTTCCCTTTATGGAGGATGTCAAAAAACGCAGGGAAAAGGTAAATTCTTTTTTTCTTTTTTTTTTTTGTTAAATCAAAACAGATATACTTATTTTTTTTTTCTTGATGTAGATTTTTAGTCTGGATGATTTGGATGATCTTAATACCTTGATGCCTTTAGATCGATTGAAAAATATTTGTGAATCTGCTATTATATATCATAACCTTCGTACACCAACTATATCTGTGAATAAGGTAAGTAAAAATCAAAAGAATTATATATGGTTTAATACTTACATACAATATATACATACAATATATATCTTATTTAGATTCTACTTGAACCAAATACTCTTGATAATGTCGATATCTATATGCAAAGAAAATCAGCAACTGGAATCAAGTTTAAGAAACATAATGTCACTGACGATAACAATAGCTCAGTACAAGAAGCAAGAACAAATGACACAGTCATCGATCTTCAAAAGTTGAACAACAACAAACCTGATACCTCTCCTGTTCACCCAACTTTAGCAAAATCAACTGAAGAACCTTCGCATCACATTACTAGCGATGACTCTGACACTTCCTCTATCTACTTATCTCCTACAGAAGCAATTCAAGAACAACCACACCTTAATGGTTCAGATACCTCCTCCATCCAGCCAGCACCTTCCGCCAAAAAACATGCAATTCATATCACTAGTAGAAACAGTCCTATTCATACGACATCCACAGAAACAACTCAAGTACAACCAAACCAAATTATCAACACCAATGACAAAACGGAAATATTTGACTCATCTGACAATAGAAGTAATATCCAAGGCAGCAGCGGTAAAGAAGTACTATCGACTCGTTCTTCTGTCGACTCTAGTATTGATGGTGATAACGTGGTGGATCAAACTGATGCTAATTTTGTGTCTGGAAGGAAACGAAGTCATTCAAGGTAAACAAGTTCTCCTCAAAAAAAAAAAAAAAAACACGTTTTATATGTGAATTCAATGGCTGTATAATTCAGTTTTCTCACCTTTTTTTTTTTTTTATCTTTCATCTTTTGTTCACATGGGCATCTGTGTGTGTGTTTGCGTATTAGTGATCAAATCGACCATCCTTACAAAAGACAAACGATATCAGCAGCTACAGGATATAGAACTAGCCTACCATCAACATCTAATCATACATCAGCAGAAACCATGGATTCTATTAGTGAGGATCTATATTCACCATCAGCATTAGTATCACAAACAAAGCGACAAGGGATACAAGCAGCACACCGACGCCAGCAAGCAGAATCATCGACATCATCAGCATTACAGTCATCACAAAAATCAATAGCAGAACATACATCAAATAATACAAGTGATCAACCATCTGACAGGATCGGAATAGGGATCAGCGAAATAAAAAGAGGATGGGATACCAACATTAACAATGAAAATCTTCCTGATCAAGTGGGTGCAAGACGTCATCTTCCAACAACGATTCGACCTCATCGGCGATTACATTCATCACCATCACGTTCAATATCTCATCGGTACAATATCTGGACTGATGATGAATTTAATGCTCTCAAGGAAGGATTAAGGATATTCAAGGGTAAATATTGGATTGATATCAAAAAACGATTTGCTGAACGTCTCAGTAAACGCACAAATGTGGACATTCGTGACAAGGCAAGAAATGAAGCAAGACGAAGACATTTACTGGGTCTTCCTATGGAGGAATTCCAATATGCATTTTAGTTTTAGTTTATTTAACTTATTAGTTATATATATTCAATGAAATAATAAAAGAAATAGATGATTCTTGGAATTTTGTACCCAAATTTATATAAAAATCTGTCAAGTGATTATGGAAGATGGTGAGTGGGACAGAGAGTTGTAACTCAGCAGTCGACTTTTGTCAGTGATGAACGTACACCCCTGCGGGGTCATAGCTAGGGGGGGTTGTGTGTATAGTGGAGAAAGAAAAAAAAATTGTTTTTCCTCTTTTTTTTTTTTTTTTTTTTTTTTTCCTTCCATTTTTTTTTTTTCTTTTGTTACATTGAACCCATTGATTTATATTTCTTGTAGACGCTGTTAAACAAGCTATATAAGACCTTTCACTTTATTCTTATTTTTTTTTTGAAAAATTTATTCATTCTTCAATCTCCCCACTCTTTTTTTTCTCTTTGATTCACCATCATGTCTTTCACTCTTTCAGCTTTGAAAACTGCTTCTTTGTCCACTCGTACTCGTTTGATGCCTGCTGTTGGTTCGGTAAAGATAAAAAACTAATTTTTGAATGAAAAAGACATCTAATCATTTTGTTATAGCCTTTGATCCGTTCATTGCAAACTTCTAGCAGCAACAACATGGCCACTGCTACCGATCAACCTCTCAAGAAGGAACCTAAATATAAGACCATTGAAATCTATCGTTGGGTAATAATAACAATTATTATAATTTATATATATAAGTTTGTTTTTTTTTTTTTTATTGATGAATGAACTAATGATAAATTCTCTATATTATATATAGAATCCTGATACACCCACCGAAAAGCCTCGTTTGGAAACTTACAAACTCGACTTGAATACCTGTGGACCTATGGTTTTGGATGCTCTTATCAAAATCAAGAATGAACAAGATCCTACTTTGACCTTCCGTCGATCTTGTCGTGAAGGTATTTGTGGTTCCTGTGCCATGAACATTGAAGGTGGAAACACTTTGGCTTGTATTTCCAAGATTGATCGTGATATCACCAAGCCTCTCAAGATTTATCCTTTGCCTCATAGTAAGTGAAATGATCATTATTATTTTTTATTTATTATTGATTTTTTTTTTTTATTAGTGAACATTGTTAAGGATTTGGTGCCTGATCTTACTCACTTTTACAATCAATACAAGAGTATTGAACCTTACCTTAAGCAAAAGCAAGGTCCTACTGATGGCAAGGAAAATTTGCAATCCATTGAAGATAGAAAGAAGTTGGTAAGTAAAAATGATCAAGGAAAAAAAGGTCATGACTCATTTCTTTTTTTTATTATTTTTTATTAGGATGGTCTTTATGAATGTATTCTCTGTGCTTGTTGTTCTACCTCTTGTCCCTCTTACTGGTGGAACCAAGTAAGTATCTTTAGGATCAAGATAATTCTATATAGGGGAATCAAGATTAGATACAACAAAGTTCCTTTATAGATTATCATAGTTATACGTATATGGTAAATATTAAACAATCTGACTTTATTACAATAGGAAGAATACTTGGGTCCCGCTGTTCTTATGCAAGCTTACCGTTGGATGATTGATTCTCGTGATCAATTCGGTGTTGAACGTCGTGACAAGCTTCAAAACAAGATGTCTCTTTACCGTTGCCACACCATCATGAACTGCAGGTAAGAATCAATAACTAGAATTATTGAGGTAGATACTAATATCTACTTCAATTATAGTAAAACTTGTCCTAAGGGTTTGGCTCCTGGTACCGCTATTGCCGAAATTAAGCTTATGATGGCCAAGGAATAGATATTATAGCTTTCTTTATTACCCCAATCCATCATTTTCGTTCTACCCTTTTTTTTTCCTGTTTTATTCTCTTCATGATTATATACACACTCACTTTTTTTTTTGTTTGGTCTTTTTTATTTGAAATATCCATGTATCTTTTGTTTGTACTCTTCATCAATAAAAAAAAAAAAAAGAACGAATAAAAGATAAAACATTTTTTTCGTTGTCTCTATATTGTTTTCCAATTTTGATTTTTGTAAAGTTTACTTGAATATACGATTCGTTGTTGTCCATCCATCTCTTTTGATTTATTCTTATTAGGATTCATCTAACCATTGCTTTTCTTTTGGGAACTTTATCGATTTCTCTTTTGGATTACTCATTAAATGTTTGGGTCTTTTTGGAACCGGGGTAGACATGTATCGATGTATACTTTTGTCACTCAAAAAGCATCATTGCACCAACTTATATGAAGATATTCTCTTTCAATTGTATTAATTTACTCTCGGTTTATAGAGTAAATTAAAATGTTAATATCGTCAACGCTCATTCAATAATGATCATCCCATCAATTTACCACCTCTTAAAAAAAGTAATCTAATATCATCTCATTTTATCACTTATCCATGCAATGAATACCAAGTTGATGATCAATATTGCCACCCAATAATCATCATTGACATGGATATATTGATTCTCTTTTTTAAATATATATTTAGAAACTTGAATTAATGGCAGGTCTTGGATGAACGGTCAAAATCGACCAAAAAAAAAAAAAAAAGGTGTAGTAGACTCATTTTTAACCCCTAAATATGGCAGTATAAAAGAAAACAAACTTTATTTTTTCTATGATTTGTGTTACAAAAGAACAATCTACGATTTATGAAAATAATCTATCAGGTGGGTTTGACTTGTGTGAGCCCGCATTGCTTCCTTGATGTCGTAATCCAAAGGATCATCGTATAAAAGGATGACGATTAGTTTCCCTTTTTGCTGTCCCCAAGGCATTTTCTTCTCTTCAATCATCCAAAGTGTTGTTATGCAAAGGAGCTTCAGTCGCTATAATATCGACATCCTTCGTTACATCCGCAAAGCCTTCACCAAAAAGCACATCAAACGATTCTTGTATACCCGTGATCATCGGCTCTTCATCCATGTTTGAGAGGTCCACTTGAGCTTCCTGAAAATCATTGCAAAGGTCCACAAGTTCTGTCTTTTTGAAGCAGTTTGTAATGGAAGATGACTTGATGGCTCGTTTTATGATTGCATTGGACCAATCGATAGCCAGAGATCCATTCTTGAAAAGATGCTTTGTGTCTCCAATACGGAAGCGAGCTGCAGCCTTCAGATATTGCCTTTCCCTACAACAAAAAAAGGACTCATTATTATACAGATGGATTTTTTTTTTTTTTTTTTTTTTTTTGCTTGTGATGATGATCATACCTATAACGCTTTTTGTAAGCAGCAATAATACCAGCATCCAATGGTTGAAGTTTTGAGGTGGTGATTGGTGGCAAAAAGATGACTTCAATGTTAGCGGTGGATGGTAGTTTCTTGTGACTTGATGCGTTGTCCAGTAGCAAATAACACTTTTCCCCTTTGTCGCCACACGCACGATAGTGATGATTTTTGAGAAAATTGCATCCAAGCGTTGTCGTTGTGCCAATAATGGAGAGCTTTAAATTGCTACATGAGAATATACAAATTTAGTAAGTATTACATAGTGATTTTGTATCATACATGCTTACTTTTTTTTTTCTTTCCAATGTAATAAGCAGCTCGATGTCATCCATCACCATTAACAAGGACTGCAACTGTGATTCGTGATTTGTCGATTTTTTGACCTGCGACGGATTTGCTATCTGCATGGGCTATGGTGTACTTAGGTGATGCTGAATAATATAGACCAGTTTCATCCATGTTGTATATTCTTGACGAAGGAACTCCTTCAAATTTTTGCTGGATTGTCTTGATTTGCATCTTGATATCTTCCCTTTCCAAGTACAGGAACACTTGCTCACCGTGGACCATCCTGCGTTTTAAGTTGTATCGTGCTTTGAAGTTAGCGTTCATTACGAATATTTAACGTTTTTATCATAGGGACGTAACGGACAATCGTTCCTAATCAGTCATAATCAATCATCAGCCACCATCCACAGAAATCAATAGTAAACCATCAATTCAGTTTATTCATAAGTTGCAGTTATTAGGAAAATAAAAAGTGTATATCTTGTGGAAAGGAATGAATACAACTTATAGAATCTTTTGTGCAAAAAAAAAAAAAAAAAAAGAAAAACAAAGGTCACTTACCTCGGTGAAATATTGAAGATAATGGACTTTGAATTTTCATTAACGGCAAAGGTAAAAATTTCTTGGCTCCTAAAAGCCGTTAATCCAAGTTTCCACTGTAGAAAAACGAATCATCTGCCATACCTCTTTTTTTCCGATCATCCATATCATCATCAATTATATCATCCATATAAAATGAATCACCGCAAAAATGGTCGAGAGCCCCAATAGGTTTCTAATCACAATTGTAGAGGAAAAAAAAAAGTAATATGTAATAAACGCGATCCACAAGGGAAAAAAAGAAAAAAAAACTCCAGTGTATGTAGGCTCCAATAATAATAAAAAAAAAAAAAAGCTCCACTTTGTCCTGATGTCTTTCTTTTGTGTACACGAATAAATTAAGCAATTTTGTTAAGTGCCAAAACAGGAAGAGACCGGATGGCATAGACCAGAAGTTAATAAAAAATAAACAAATAAAAAAAAAAGATAGTACTTGATAAAGAGAACAAGATTGCATACTGATACAGTTGCTTCATATTTTGAAAAAAAAAAAAAGTGGAAGGAGAAAAGGATGGGATTGATCGATGTGGATAAGAAAATAAAAGCAAAATCACACATTGATTTGTCTTATTGTTCATTCAAAATGTACCGGGATCATTGAAAAAAGGTACGGGAGCTTTTTTTTTTTTTTTAAAAAAAGGAATCACTTGAGATAATAAAAAGTATATGCGGCGAACTAATCCATTTCGTAGAAAAAAAAAAAAGGAATCCTTTCACTATCGTCACAAAACAGTGTAGATCTTTCAATCTAAAAAAGAGTTCATCAAACTCTATTCTAATGTACAAAAAAAGAAAAAAGAGGGACATCCGATCATCCCTTAAGAGTCGTATCCAATGAAAAAAAGAATTTCTTTTTTTTTTTATTAAGTTGGGTGGAAAACTATGAAGAATAAAGTAAAATATGATAATTGTTTGTGATGAAACTAACTAGAAGCTTGCTTGTAAAAATTGTATAAGTTCAAAAAAAAAAAAAATGAATCAAAAAAATCAAAAGGAGTGAAGTGGGAAATCAAAAAAAAAAAAAAGGCAAAGGGTAAAAAAAAATGAATTATCTATCTACTGACATAAACCACAAGTTAGCTTTTGCCAAAAACCAGGTTTCTTCTGTTGATGAGGATCTCGTTGACTGGATGATACATTGCCAGCATTTGTAGCAACCACAGCAGCTTGAGCGGCAGGAGGTGATGATAAATGAGTGATAGGAACATCTTGCTGGTGCGATAATTGTTGTTGTTGTTGTAATGGAGGAGTTGATTGTTGTTGTCTTGAAGAAGATTGAGTATTTTGACGCAAGTTATTTTCAATTACTTTTTTGGCAGGAGCAGGAAGACCTTGGCGTGAAGCTTGGCGTTTCGTCATAGTCTATATAAAAGAATATACAATGAATGGTCATTCAAAAAAAAAAAAAAGGTTGTTTGATTACCTCCCATCCTTTTCCATTGTTCAAGAGACACCAATCATACATATTGTCTTCGACTTGACCCAAGTTCTTGATCACCTTGGTAAATAGTTCCCGGAGAAAGTCGTAGTCGGGTGATTCTTCAAATCCGAGTTTCCGAACATATTGCAAATAGATACCGAATTCCTCTATAAATATATAAATTAGTACAACTTCAAAGAAGAATGATACCAACTTTACCAGGATAACCGTAACATAAATCCTTGACATTTGTAGTTTGTTTCTTTTCACCAATTTTTTCATATTTTTGTTTATTGGTAGCAGCTTTCAATCCTTGCCAAGGTAAAGAACCACGTAAAAAGTACATAAACACATGACCAAGAGCTTCCAAATCGTCTCTTCTTGATTGTTCTATAGTAATAATAATAAAGTTGATGAGATATAAAGAAAGAAAAAAAAATAGTTTTTTTAAAAAAAAAAAACTTACCACGACCCAAATGAGTATTGATACTCATATAACGAGCTGTACCAGATAAACTTTTTCGCTCACGATAGGGAATATGTTGTTTTGTTTTTGGATCACGGTATAACTTGGCCATCCCAAAATCGACCATAAAAATATTATTTGCATAATTCGTTCCAGGTTTGCCGATCAAAAAGTTATCTGGTTTGATATCACGATATATCAAATTCTTTTCATGAATAGTTTGTACTCGATTAATCTATAAATTAAGAAATAAATAAATAATAAAAAAAAGGTGAGTATATTATTATATTATATTTATATATATATATATATATATTACCATTTGTTTTGCTAACATGGCAACCGTTTTAGTAGAGAATCGACGACCACACACATCAAACATATCTTCTAAACTGGGACCGAGAAGATCAATGACCAAAATGTTATGAAGACCTTCTTGACCAAAATAATAAGCACTGGGAATACCAACACTACCAGCCATAATTTTGTAAGTTCGATATTCATCACGTAGTTGTGGAGCATCACTTTTACGAGGTTCAAATTTGATAGCGACTTGCTGATTATTCAATAAATTGGTACCTATAATAATAATATATTAATATAATGTGTTATATACATTATTTATTTTTGTTTTACCTTCATAAATGACACCAAAACTACCTTCACCAATTTTCTTTCCTACTTTGTAATGAACACCGACAACGTTATGAGAAGATGTACTAGTAGATGGAGTTGAAGTCATTGGACTAGGCATGATGAAGTATATATATATATAAGAAAAGGAAAAAAAAAACTAAAATAAAATAAAAAGGAAAGAAAAGGGGAGGGGAATAAACAACAAAGAGAAGGATGAAGGGGAAAGAAGAGAGAGAGAGAGAGGAGAGGGGAGGGGAATCAAATAAAGACGAGGAAGAAGTGGGTTGTTACTTTTTGATGGAACCGTTTCAAATAAGGAGAATCTATTGAGCACAAGTATGCAAGATGTAGATAGAATGTAAGTAACCAAGGAAGAAAAAAAAAACAAAGAAAGAAAGAAAAAGTAAAAAAAAAAAAAAGACCAAAATGAGGATTTTTGTGCCCCCGAAAACAAAAAAAAAAAAAAAAAAAAAATAGAATCATCAAATGACTTTTTTCCAGTTATTTTGGTGCTCCATCCAATTTAAAAAAAGGGGTTCAAAAAAAGTAAAGAAGAATCTTTTTTTTTTTTTACCTAAGGTTAAAGACGTATACAGTGATGATACGAAGATAAAAGGAGTGTAGTAAAAGGAATGTAAAGGATATAGATAAAAAATAAAAAATAAAAAGAAAGAAAAGAAAGAAAGAAAAGAAACCGAGAAAAATAGAAAGAAAGAAAAAAAAAAACATTTCATGTCGGGGATCTATATTGAGGCTTTTTACTTTGCCTTTTTAACATGGTCATCACGCAGTATTGTCTATATGATCTAAAAGATAAAAAAACTTCGGAGATTGCAGACCAAAAGTTTTATTCATACCATTATCTTAAATCATTATAGTTTATATCCATCATCATTAATTTCTCACTCTTATTATTTCAAATAAAAAAAAGTGAATTGTATTGATATCAATAAAAAAGCATTGATTTCAACTATTACTAAAAGGGATGAGTAGGGATAAAAAATTTTGAGAATACAAGTCAACTATATAATCCAATTTGGAAAAAGACATGTCAAATTTGCCAAAAACGAGTTTAGAGCACGCAGATGAATTCAAATTCCACTTTTATTTGAAGTATTATTTGATCAACTAAAACTATAATTCATCATCATCTACAAGAGGTCCATCATATCCATTGGGATTTCTTCTTGTCCATCGCCACATGTCTTGACACATATCATCCATGGTATATAAAGGTTTCCAACCTAATTCTTTATTAGCCAAAGTAGCATCAGCAGTACAAACACCTACATCCCCAGGTCGTCGTTCCACAATCTTGTAAGGGATTTTCTTCTGAGTTGCTTTTTCCATAGCATAAATGATTTCCAAAACAGAGTAACCAGCACCCGTTCCAAGATTATATGCTACACATTTTCCACGCCTTACTTCTTGTTTTAATATTGGTTTTGTTGTAAAAGAGGATGGTGACGGTGATGATGGTGATGATAAATTTGTTGTTGATTCTTCTTCCAATTTCTTCAATGCTGCTACATGACCTGTTGCCAAATCACATACATGGATATAATCACGAACACCAGTACCATCCACGGTATCATAATCTGATCCAAATACTTGTACACATGGAAGATGACCTTGTAAAACCCGAATGACATAAGGTAATAAATTATTTGGTATACCTTGAGGACATTCTCCCATCAAACCAGAAGGATGAGCACCAACAGGATTAAAGAATCGTAATAAACATACATTCCAATCTGGATCGGAATCACATACATCCCGTAACATTTCCTCCACAAATAATTTGGTACGTCCATAAGGATTAGTCACTGGTCCAAGACTAGCTGTTTCATTGACTGGCATCATTTCTGGTTCACCATAAACTGTAGCACTAGAAGAAAAGACCAAATTCTTGACTTTAAAACGATCCATCATTCGAAATAAAAGTAATGATCCTGTGACATTGTTGTGATAATATGTCAAAGGAATTTGTGTTGATTCGCCCACTGCTTTGATAGCTGCAAAATGTACCACTGCCCAAAATGGAAATGCTTCAAATACTTTTTCCAAATCCTTTTCACAAGTGACATCGCCTTCAACAAAATAGATGGATTTCCCAGAAAGATATTCTACTCTTGCTAAAGCCTCTATAATAATAATAAGGAGATATACCAAAAATAGAATTCAAGTTAGTATCATAATAAAATAAACATTTCATCATTCACTCCTATTCTCTCTCTCTCTCCTTCTTCTTCTAATATATATATATAAATAAAGATGAAAAAGGGTCTTACCTAAATTGGCATTCACAAGATTATCCATAACCACAATAGAATAATTTGCATTCAATAGTTCTAAAACAGTATGACTTCCAATATAACCTGCCCCTCCAGTGACAAGGACATGTTTTTTTGTATATGGCGTTGATAAAAGATGTTGCTGAGAGTGGCGTCGTTTAGTATTTAATAAAGAAGGAGAAGGTAATGGTGTAAGTGATCGTCTATGTTTTCGTTTTCTTGATCCAAAATGGTCAATTTGATCTATTTCAGTTGCAATGCTTGATCCATTATTCCTCATGACTTTCATCTTGTATTATTATCGTAATGACACCTTTCTTTTTTTTTAAAAAAAAATAATAATAAACTATAATTATAAATAAATTAAATGAATTGTTTTCACAATCCAAAAATAAAATGAGAGGAAAGAAAGAAACAAAAAAAAAAAAAAAAGGAGTGAAGATGAGAGAGAAAAGAGAGAAAGAAAAAAAAAAAAAAAGAAAAGTAGAAAAAAAAAAGTTTTGGATCGCTTTTTTTTTTTTTTTTTTTTAGTTTGTCCGCCAGAATGTAATAGGTACAGCGTTACGCAAAAAATGAATATCAAAAAAAAAGCTTATTTTTTTTACTTGTAAACTAAAATATATGATTTATATAATATCAAAAACAGTTTTTCTATTCTATCTTTCTCTCATTCTATATATACACTCTCTTTTTCATCTATATTTTTTTTATTCATCATCTATATATACACTCAGTAAGTTAAACCAAAATATTCATTTTGATTGGATTAAATTCACATTTTAAATCCCGTGTCTTAGTGCTTCAAGCAAGTTTCTTTTTCTTTTAATCAAAAAGCCCAGAACCTTACCGAATTTTTTTGTATTTTGCTTTAATATTATAAGTCGTACACATGCATACATGTCATGAGATTTATTTATTTTCTTTTCTTTTTTTTTTTTTCCTACAGATCATCCATTTCATTATCTAGAGAAATAAATATATAACGATCAAGTAAGAGGAGGATTAGATGATGATAAAGAACAATCCTCTTTTTTTTTTAATACTGGTGCTATGGATCATTGTTAGATTTAAAATAGATTCATCTTTATTTATTTCAATATTCTATTCACTAAACAAATCTAATATAACTAAATTAAAGAGGTATACACAGGTTCATTCGGTCCTTCACATATCACATGATATTGTTCACGAGCATCCATACAACGATTGACAAAGACAACACGGATTTGCTTGTAAAGATATACCCTGTTCTTTTCAGTACGACAAAGTTGAATATGGACAACATATTTCAAAGAGGTTGAGCAATATGATTTCTGTCTTAAAAACGTTTTGGTATTACGAGGCATTTGGGATACATCATAATTAATCAGAAACAACTTGACAAGGGACTTGTTTGGATTCTTGATGGCGATTTGTAATTGACCTTTGGAAGGGATCCTATATCCAGGTGATGGCTTGTTATCTTCATCCACCGTCAGATCCACTGTACCTACATACGGAGGTGGTGCAAATGCTGGTGTCGATACAGATTCATCCATCCACTTGTTATTCAATGAATTCATACTGGATTGTCCATCATAAAAGAAAGCAGGAAACACAACGGAACGATGAGGAGGACATTTCAACGAAGATTTGACACGACCATGACCAAGGGCACCAATTTGACAATGAAACCAGATAGGTTTGGATGGTTGAAGAGTTGACATTCGTCCACTAAGTAATGATTCTTCATAACTTCCTGCCAATCCATGATGATGATGATGATGTTGATGGTAATGATGTAATGGTATTGAAGAACGTCGCTGTTGATGATAAGTTGCTGAAGGTGAAGTGGAATATGCCAATGAATGTCCATGGTGGGTATATTGAATAGGTGAAGTTGACATGGGAATGGTTAATGCAGATGGTGATGATTCATAGAATGAGTATTGATCAGGTTTTTCTTGTTCTTCTTCTTCTTCTTGTTTTTGTTGTGTCTTCTCTTCATCGTCATCATGTAATGCCGATAATGACAGACGTGATAACCTTCGAACGCCAATAAAAGATGTCGACTTTGTAGGTATATGAAGCTGCTGAATCATTGTTGTTGGTTGCGTAACAGCTAGTAAAAGATGTTCCTGTTGTTGCTTTTGTTGTTTTCGTTGTTGATAGCAACTATCTGATGGTATTGTTGTTGAAGAAGAAGAAGAAGTAGAAGAAATGGTTGCTGGTAAGATGATATCCGTTGTTGTCGCTTTGTTGGATTCAAAAATAAAACCTGGTACTGTAGTTGACATGATTTTTCCAATATTCTCATCATACATTACTTGAAGAGATAGTTGTCCCTTGAGATCCATACAGTCAACCTTTGGGAAATGATGTGTCGCCACTGAAGCTTGAGGTCCAAACAATACAGATGTAGTAGGAAGAGAAGAATGACAGCCAAGAAAAGGAAGGGTTGAACTGTTGTCAGTAGTGGTAATGGTTTCCATCGAAAAAGTGGATGGTATTGTTGTTATCATAAATCCAAGTTGTTCCTTTGTAAGTTGAGAGTGTGTCAAAAGATTCTGAACTGGAAGTAGACGAGTGTGAGAGTATGCTGATTGAAGAAGTAAAAGGATATTTGTAGAATAGGAAATACTAGAGCTGGTTGTTGCTGTTGTTGGAGTAATAGAAGTTGAGGTGGTGAAAGGATTGTATTTAATGATCCAGTGCTCTAACAAGGTAGTTTGGTGATATATTCGCATCCCTAATTCCCATCCTGTTGTTGATATATTCTGAGGTAAAACATGTGGAGTAATAGTAAGATAGCAATTGGATTGGTGAGTTGCGGCATGGCGTATACAGTAGTAATCTGACCCGAGTCTTGACCTCAAAACAATTTGTATCAGTTTCGATATAACATTGGTAAGTTGGATAAGATGACTGGAAGTGGTGTGGTGTGTAAAAGAGGATTCAGCAGAAGGTGCAGTTTGGTCTTCATTATAACATGAAGGAATCAGCGTAACCATATATAATAATAATGTATAAAGAGAAAAAAAGGAAGAGGAAGAAAAAAAAAAAAAAAAAAGTTAAAAAAAATAAATAAACGGTCTGGTACTTTTTCGGGTGAGCTGGCATAAAAAAAAGTGAGTACAGCAAAAAAAAAAAAAAATTTTTTTGTGATCCTCTGAAAGCCCCTTATCGATCCATTGGGCAATGATGAAGAAATTCTATCTTTATAACGATTAAAATAAGTTCCTACACATTCTACAAAATCATGCAGTGTATTCTATCAGTATAGTATAAACAGTCATTTTTGATTGATATAAAACAGAGTAAATGAACAAGAATATTCTTTATTGATTGATATTACTATAAAGTCCCAGATCCTTTATTCATTTGAATCAAAAACCGAATTCTAGCACAAATTTCATCTATAAAAATCAAACAAAAGTAATAAATAGATATGTTCATCTTCTACTTTTTTTTTTTTTTTGGTTTATATTACTTACAGGCTTCTTTGGATGTTTCTGCTTCCAATTCATAAGTCTTATAATCCCTTTCTTTCATCACACCAATCTTGAAATTGCTTGGTACCTTTTTACTTTGTTTGCATGATCGAATTGCACTAACATGGAATGAAGTCTATGCAAAAAGAAAGGAGGGGTGAGTGAACCTATTTACCGCTTAATATATGTATATCTTACCGTTTTCACTGAATCAAACATTCCTTTATGTTCTGGAGGCATCAAATGTATGTAATTTCCGTCAATAGCGAGAACACTAACCCTTTTTCCAACAAACATGGGGGTTTTTCGATTGACATTATATTTCTATATTGAAAAAAACAAAAGAGAAAAAAAAAATTGAGTTCACTTGTATTGATAAAAATGATAATGTTTTTTTTTTTTATTTATTTATCTATTTCTATTCTTTACCTTGTATTGTTGAAGAAAATTGTCACTAGGTTGTTTGTTGATATCACCAGTATTGAAATACATAGGTGCATGAGTATCTTCTTTTCTTTTCTTGATAGGAGAGCGCCAAAGAGGATTGGAGGATGACGGTGGTACTGTCAAAGCGTTTCCTTTCTTGGTCAAGGTCAATTCTTCCACATCTTTCAAATATTGTACAGCTGTATCATTAGAGATCACCACATTAGAATCAGAAATCGTCAGAATATATTCATTGGGATCCAGTTTTCGTTTACGAGATACAAGTTCTAGTACGTCACCAATAAACATTTCCGCAGATACAGGAATCGTAGTTGTTGCTGCAACTTCTTCGCTTGTCATCAATCGAATTCTAAAGTACTTGATTGGCGTCATCGGAAGTGCTGCCTTGGTCAATACTGCCTTGGATGATGGCACTGGTACCGCTATCGAAGATGAATCAGTATCTGCCGCTGTCATAGGCATACCTGTTGGTGTTGTCATGCTTGGAGTAGTAGTTGAAGGACTCGTTTCCATTTGTTGATGTTGTAATGATGGTAAATGAAGGAGCTGGTTTGTTGACGGTTGGACTGTAGTATTCATCATGATATCACCATTGCTAGATGCTGAATGACTGACTGAACCTGAGGTACCTTTAGACATATTTGGCGCAAGTAGCGTATGATTGTTCTCTGTTCCATTGATATTTGTACCTGTTGCTGTTGTTGTTGTTGTTGCTATTGCTGCTGTTGCCGCTGTTGCTGCTGTCGATGATGAAAGTGAAGATGATGTTGTTGTTGATGTTGTACCATTGATAGTTGGTCCCAATACCATGCTTGGTTTTTTGTTAAGAGATTCCAGATCTGGTTTCGATCTACCAAGTTTTGCCCGTATTTGTTCATTTTGTTTGGCTAAGAGAAAAAATAAAATCAGTACTATAATCGAATGACACTCCCCTCATTTTCATCTTTTTCTTTTACCTTGAGATGGGTTAGCACGACAAAGAGCATATTGATCAAAATTCACCATATCAATTCTTCGAGTACGATCCGGAGCTATAAAAGAGAATATAATATAGAGATATAATAATTTAGTAAAAGTAAGGATCATATACGTTTACGTATATTCTCCCACTCTTCTAGTCTTCTCCTTTTTTTTTTTTTTCTTTCAATCATACCAGGTAAATCATCTTCAATTTCGCCGTCATCTTCCGCAATCAATAGTAACCATTGAGCCAAATCATAAACTTCTTGGTCCAATTCAGGCATCCTTTTTTGTTCCACATAATCATATAAAATATATCCAATAACATCGTCGATAATAGCATCTGGCCTGACGACCAGCGATACAGGTTTGGAAGGAGTTGTCGAATGAGGAAGATAAACACATAAAGTTATGGGATGACTACTTCCTTTTCCAGAAGCATGTGCGTATTCTGAAAAGGGGTTTTCTGCTGATGATGCTTTTGCTGCAATCATGGCTGATAATGCTGACTTTCCAGGAATAATATGATACCTTCGAGATGGTTGTAGTGTTGATGATGTATCTTGCGTTACAGGTGGTGGGGAAGAAGAAGATGGTGTAGATATGGTTGTTGTTGTTGATGATGATGATGTAGTTGGTGGTATCATAAAGGGTGATTGTTGTTGTTGTTGTTGTTGCTGTTGTTGTTGTCTTCGAGTTTGTAAATGACTTGGCCCATTCCCTAAAGGTACAAGTCCGTTGTTCACTGTATTTGAGTTTGTATTGGTCGTTGATGTCGTTAATGGTGGTGCCGGTGGTAAAGGAGTTGCACTAGTTGTTGTGATTGTGGTCTTTGGTGGAGGAACCGGAGGTGGAGAAAATACGTTTGGTTTTGAGTATCGACTGGTATCCAGAGATGCACGAGGAGCAATAGAAGCAACTTGCATAAAAGGTAAGGAATTTTCTTGAGTGTTTGCATCAATAACATCAAGGGAAGACCGTGGGGAAGGATCAATATTGGATTCCATGGAAGGATGTAACGAAGCTGACGTAGTAAGTTCACTTGTACCGCCCTGTGAGAATATGGTGATAGTGTCATCCTGTGTTGTCTTATTATTCCGTACTACACTGTCTAATGTTGGTCTTCGTTTATACTGGCTAATGATAGAGAGAAAAAAAAAACAAATATATAATAAGTAATTAGTTAATATGACTATTATTTTCGTTCCACTTCATGTTTTTGAGTCTTTACTTGATTCCAAATTCTGTTTCCACATCGTCATCACTATCCGAAGAGGAATCAAACCTTGATGAAGTCAAAGCACTTGGAGACTTTGTATTTGTTGTAGCAAGGTGTTTCAGATCGTTATTACCGCCTCCACCACCTGCAGCAGTAACAGTAGTTGTAGTAACATCGTCCGTGTTGATAGTTTTCTTTCGTGGTCGATATTGAGTTCGTTTAGTACGAGGACTACTAATAAGACTTGTACCAAAGATGGGATTGTCTTTGGAACCGTTCATATCATAAGCAGGAGAATAACAGTATTGCATTTCTGGGTAACGAGGTGCTGCTAAGCGGACGTAATCATCAGACATGACAGTAGGAGGAAAAGACATGATACGTTCACCACGATCATCCATACGTAAGAACTTGATACGCATCATGTGAATCAAGAATTCAGCATCAGTTGTAAGGGCCATGTGTCATTTATTTAAGTAATAAAAAAAGAAAAAATATATATGGGGAATATGATAATAACAATAATAATAAAAGAAAAAAGAAGAAAAAGGAAAAAAAAAAAAAGGAAAAGAGGAGGAAAAGGAATGAAGAGCTCAAAAGGATTAGGTATTTTCACTCCCCGCAAGAATCCTATACAACTGATAAAAAAAAGTAACTTCCTTTTTTATTTTTATTGTTGTAAAATATATCAAGATAGGTGACAAACTAGTATTAAAAAAAATAAACTACTACTATTACTAAAGACTAGATTCCACTTACCTATTAACCAAACCATAGGAAACTCACGACGATTTCAGATACAAAAGGTATATTTCAGGCGTCATTAACCAAGGAAAAAAAAAAAAAAAGTACCTATAAAAAAAAAAAGAATAATCATCATCAAATCAAAACCAATATAATCATGAAAACAGTCTTTTTTATTCGACGACATGCCAAAAGACTATAAGGGCAGCCGTAGTGTTAGTATACAAGATGAATAATAATTAACATAAAAAAAAGATGATATACATGAATAAGGAATAATGAAGTGTAAAAAAAAAAGAAAAATATGAAGATGCTAAAAAAAACAAAAGGAAAAAAAAAGGACCTAAGATCAGATACCAGAAGGATGACCAGCTACTTCCACCTTTTGATGATTGCTTTCCAAAGTTGTTGTTTCTTGAATATCAGGATGATCATGTTCCTCTTGTTGTTGTTCGATATCATTAACGGGAGAAAGACCGAAGAGTTGTCGACGTTCCGCTTCAGCAGTTTCTTTATCGAAAGAGCCCATGATAGGTTGAGGTGCAGGAAAGATATGATAAATAGCAATACCAACAATGATGATCACATAAGCAAAAGGATACATGACAGTGACAGAGTAACCGAATAATCCCAAACCAAAGATCAAACCATAAAAATCACTGGTCAAGATGGACAAATTGTAAAGCACAGCACTTCCTAAACGGAACATCACAGGAGCCAAGGAGTATAATACAAACATACACACCGTATAAACGATAATCATACCCACAGCTTCAGGTTGACCAACCAAGGATGAGAATTCTGAACGTTCCAAGATAAACAATTGTACCAAATTGATGAAGGTAGCAAAGAAGGTGAACATACCAATGACTTCATATAAAGGATGTTTTCTTGCCATGTATTCTTCACTGACATTGGATACACCATAGAGAGTAGCACCCAATAAACAGAAAAGATCGCCTTTCAGAGCATCTGAAGCATCATAGTTTCGTCCTGTAATCACATCACTGGCCACAAGCATACCCAAACCACAAAGAGCAATGAATACACCCAAGTATTGAACCCAACGATAACGTACCTTGAGGAAAAAGAAGGATAAGATCATACATACAGGTGTACTCCAACAATCTAATAACATAGCTGATAACATTGAAGTATATCCAAAAGATTTCACCACAAAGTAATTGCCTTCAACATCCACAAAGCCCAAAATGAAATCTATGTCATTTCCATAAAAAAAAAAAAAAAAAAAAGATAAGAAAAAAAAATTCCCGAGATTAAGAAAGACCAGATGATCAATCTACACCTTTTTTTTTCTAATCTCATTATACAATGTGACCAAATTTTAACTTACAAAAGATACCACGACGCCAAAATTGTAGTAACCAACCACGAATACCACGCTTATAGATAGCATAAGAATTATACACAATAGCAAGACAGGCACTAAAAAAAGAAAAAAAAATGAGATTTAAAAAAAAAAATTCAGACCATTCAACTTACTAGACCAAAAAAGTTTGAGTGGTAGGAATAGAGACACCATAATCATTACTAAGTTTTGTAGTGACTACGTTTGTACCAGTAATACATAAGGAAAGTACTTTATATAAAAAAAAAAAAAAAACTTTGTTAATAGATAAGATATTTTTTTTTAATATATACAATCTACCTTGACCAAGTAAAACAACTTTCCAAAAAGTAGGATCTCGTAAAAAGGCTACACGATCTTTCCAAGTTTTCTTTTCCACATTTTTCATATGAGTGGATTGAATAGATGAACAATCATCCAATCTTGATTCTACTTGAGTCTTTTCATCCATCCAGGGCATACAAAGCTTAGAAAATAAAAAAGGGAAAAAGAAAAAGAATAAAAGAATGAAAAAAAAAATTGAAATCGAGATCGAAAAAAATTTTCAAATCTAAGTTCTTTGTTTAGTCTCCGTTCAAGAAGTACAGAGGAAAGGTACCCTTTTTTTTAATTGGTTTTCTTAAATACACTTTAATTCAAATCAAACTTGTATCACCATCATGAGGTGATTGTCCATATAGATCAAAAAAAAAAAAAGATTTTGAATCCATCAATTTCTTTCTCTTTTTTTTTTTTTTTTTTTTTTTTTTTTTCCTATAAGTTACCCTATCTTCTAATAAATCTAGTACCATGATTGAGAGTAAAAGTATTTACAAATCATTACAATAAGTCGATATGAGTGATCATCCATTGTCATCATCAAGCATTATTCGAAGAATAGTGCGTTTCCATGACTATAACAATCTCTTTATAACAGATTCTTTCTCCATCCTATGTAGTTTACCCGTCATACTGTTTAGTAACAATCGTCCATTCATAAACTTACTTATCACACTGCTGTTGTTACAACATCATCATTCCCCTTACTATGACAATCACTAAAAAAAAAAAAAAAAAAAAAAAAAAAAAAAAAAGGTGATTATTCTGGTCATATGATAAGAATCATCTTTGCTTTTATTGTTTTTTGATTTTTTTTTTAATTGATAAAGAAAGGAACAGTATAAAGCGAAAATAAAAAAAAAATAAAGAGAGAGACAGGGGAAATATATTTACTATAAAAAAATGCAGAGATAAAAGGAATAAAACTATTTGTACATGAAAAAAAAAATGAATAAAAGGTTGAATCATACAAAGGGAAAAAGAGAATGATAAAGGGTGTGTAATTGATATAAAGGGTAATTTTTTTGATTTTTGTAATGAGATTGTTGTGTAAAGAAAATGATTTGTTTTTTTTTGTGTGTTATGTCATTTGTGTATGTATATATGTGAGAAAGACAGTAGGTGTGTGTTTGTGATAGAAAGAGATATAATAAAAGGGAGTGGATTTTTGGGGGGTGGATGCCAGATCATCAGTCTTGAAATATTCTTTTAACCGCCTTTCTTGAATTCTTGAAGTACAGGGTAAATAGCTTGGAAAGCTTGATAGATTTCTTCACGAACCTTAGCACCAGTCAATACAATTTTGCCAGATACAAAGATCAGTAACACAATCTTAGGCTTCACCATTCGATAGATCAAACCAGGAAATAGTTCAGGTTCATACTATAATATAAATGACAGATCAGTGATCATCATCATCATATAATATATTTGATACTTACAGAACTGAAGTGACCATGAGAATAAGCCAATCCTTCCAATCGAATAGGAAACTTGACATCACAAGAACCAACAATGTTTTGAATTTTGAAATCTGTAAACTTTGCTTGGAAACCCAATTTTTGAATGATACGAGCATATTTCCTTGCAGCCAATTTCGAATCATCTTCAGACTTGGCACCAGTTACCACCATTTTTCCAGAGGCAAAGATTAAAGCAGTTGTCTTGGGTTCACGAATACGCATAATCACAGCAGCAAAACGCTGTAGGTATTACAAAAAAAAAAAAAGGTGAAAGAAAACAAAAAGAGAGACAAACCAGATATGGATGATGATCATAAAAACAAAAAGAATGAATCCAAATCATTGTTTAGCTTTCTTTTTTTTCCCAATATCCCAAACTATTTTTTTTTCTGTTTAATGTACCTTTGGATTGTATTCAGCATTCCGAGCATGAAGTGCAATATTCTTCAAATCTAATCGACAATCCAAGTTCACAGTAGCTACAATGTTCCTATATAAACGAAAAAAAAGAAAGGTCAATGACATTCCAAATTCAATCAATACAAACAATGAAGAAGATGATAAGGAGAGAGAGAGAGAGAGAGGCGCAGCGGGAACCGGTGTGTTTTTCTTTTTTATTCTTTTTTGGTTGTGTTTCATTGATGATGATGGACGATGATGAAGAGAGATAAAAAAAAAAAGGGTATAACAAAAACAAAATCAAAAACAAAGATCGACAAAGATGATAACAGACGATAAACAGTATATAAAAAAAGACATGTCATTGTTGCTGTCGTTGTTGTAGGTGAAATCTATCCAATGACAAAAGCGGATATCGTATCCTCATCCATCAACATATAACCATCCCCCCTTGTCCACTACCACCAATATCTATTGCTGTTTCCATTTCCATATAAACAAAATATCCATATATCAAACAAGTATCAAGTACATAATACAAACAGGTTCATCGTCGTCGTCCATCAATGTAGTCAATCAGTGTAAAAAAAAAAAATAGTACAAAACAAAAAGGATCAAAGTGTAATGAAGGGTAATGTAGAATAATATAGAAACAAAAAACAATGGTATATAGTGATAATAAACTAAAGAAAAAGAAATACTTACTGTAAAGTAGGTGTAATACCAGCAACAGCATAAGGATTCTGATCTCTACTAGGTGTTGGTGCATCCAAAGGAGCTGGTGTTGATGGTACAGCAAATGGAGTAGAATTGTGATGAGGTGTAGGAATAGAAGGTGTTTGCATAGCAGGTGTAGTCATAGATGGAGTGGCAATATTGAATCCAGACATTGTTGATTAATTAAAAAGTAATATATATATGAATAAAAAGAAAAAAGAATAATAAAAAAAAAAAAGACTGAGAAAAGATAAGTCAGAGCCACAAAACCCAAAAACAACAACAAAAAAAAATTTTGAAAAAAAAAGGAAAGACTGGTCCTTTTATATCTTTTATTTTAAACTCAGTGGCTTGGTGTCGGGTAATAAATATGCTTCCGAGTCCAAAAAACTTATAAATCCAAACCCATCCCCCCTTGTCCTTCTTTTGTTCTTTGTTTTTCTTTCTATTGTCTTTTTTACGATTGTTGATGATGATTTAACTCTTGTTCTCATTCGATCAGTATTCATTCTCCTCTCTCTCTCTCTCTTTTTTCTTTATATTTATCTATATGAATCATACAACATTTTACTTTTATTCTTCCCCTTCATTTTATATAATATTGATTTAGATTAGAATCATTATTTTTATTATGTTTGAACAATACAAATACAAAATAAATAATAAAAAAACAAAAAAAAAATGATAAAAGACAATGTTTGATTGATGCGTGTTAAAAAAAAAAAAAGAGATCTTACTCAATTAATCCTTACCATTTTCCTTTATTGAATCCTCCCTTTCCTTGGCATCTCCTTATTCCCCTTTTGTCTTTTCTCCTTTTGTCTTTTTACATGATGATGATGATGATGATATTAGTTGCTTTTTATTTACTAACTTGTCCCCCCCTTCTTTTTTTTTTCTCAATCCTCCCAACTCCTTCCTTACCTCCTCACTCCCCCCCCCTAATTTTTTTTTTTTTTCGCATTCCCAAACTCCCCTATCACACAATAATAAATCGAACATCCAATCATTTAACATCACGTCCCAACCACTAATCAAGAAAATTGCCTTTTCCAGACCGACACTTTTCTTCTTTTAGTGTACCATCATGAAAAATGAGGTCACACACATATATACATCTACATCACATATTTTGGCTAAATCAACTAGACTAGTCATTTCTCATCACGTTTTGTTTTTTTTTTTTTTTTGTTTTTCTTTTGATGACGACAAAATAGGATTTGAATGATGATTTTTTTTCTTACTTGTAATCCAGTCCAAACAAGGATATGATATCTATATATCCGCCGAAAAGACAAAAGGATGATTGTGAGTTGCAAAGGATGTACAAAAAAAAAAAAAAAAAAAAAAAGATGATGATGATAGTGTTCGCATCATTCATCATCAATATAAGTAAATGTAAGGGCGATTTGCTTTGAAAGGCCGATGATAAGTTAAGTTAAGTTGTTGTTATCTTGTTTGACATGTTAAACAAGTAGAATGTGACACCATCAAGTTTCAAAAGAAGAAGAAAAGAAAGAAGAAAAGAAAAAATAAAGTGGGTTTTCAAACAAGAAGGAAAAGAAAGAAAAAAAAAAAAGAAGAGATTGGGTCATCACTATCAAAAAAAAAAAAAAAAAAAAAAAAACTCCCGAGTTAAAAGAACCCGTCGGATGATATGGAAATGTGTCATCCTATTCATATCCAATCATTTTATTCGTTCTAATAGTAAGTTTTTGGTCAGGGAACCTTTTCTTGTCTGTGATTTAAACTCCCTCAATATAACCTCCTTTGTTTTAGGGCAGTTTAGCTTGAAAGAAAATATATTATTGATTGTTCAACGCGATTCCATATTATGATGTGATGATGGATGATAATGAACGATATGATGGCATGATTGTACCATTGAATAATGTTAGTATTTTTTAAAGTTGATCAATTGGTCATACTGAATAGAGTTCAATGTCTTTCTAAAAAACGATGTAGGAACCATCATCCATGCAATACATGTGAAAGATGTCAAAAAAAAAAAAGGGAATCAGGATTGTCAAACGTATCATTGACAAAAAAAAAAAAAAAGTGAAATGGATGATATATGATAAAATATCCTGCTACATTCTACCTTAATAAGAGTAGGATATGATTATTGATTGAATTGAAAAATACCCCGTAGAAATAAAATCGTAGTAATCAAATAGAGATATATGGAAGATGTTCCAATAGGTCCTGCATGACCCTGTTATCCTGAGTTGTTACAAGCACCGGACACTGAATTGAAACCAGTGAGCACAAGAGAAAGACATTTGACTTTTTTTTTTTTTTAATTTTTCCCATGTGCATTTTTTTTTTTTTGTTCCCTATCTTTTTCTCTCTTTTTTTTTTTTTTTTTTTAAGGATACCCAATTAAAATGACAGAAGTGATTCAAGCGATATTTATACGGGAAACTGAAACACGACAACAACCAAAACCACATACAGTATACAAAGTAGATGTTCATGCAGCTGTACGCAACTGGAAAGTTTGGAAACGATATTCTGAATTCAAAAAACTCCATGATCAATTATGTACCATATACCCGAAACATACTCCACCTGTTGCTTTCCCCAGCAAATCTCTATTTCCATCTACTTTTGGTGATCCACAAAAAACCGAAGAACGACGACGAGGACTAGAAGATTATGTACGTGGGATACTAAGTGATCGAGATGACCGATGGCGACAAACTGAAGTATGGCGAAACTTCCTTGCCATTCCAACTGGACGACCACTTGATATGGCTTCTTCTTATACTTCAGAAAGTTGGTTGGATGAATATCAAGAAATGACTCAAGCTGCTCGGGAAACAAGATCTCTCATGAACAAACGTGCTACTCATATTGCTCGTAATGAAATCTCAGCTTCTCATAACTGTACCATGCAAGCAAAAAAGTTATTATTGACATTGGCTTCTCGTTTAGCAAGTCTGGAATCTGGTTTACAAGCTTTAGCTCAAGGTGGTGGTGTTCATACTGGACAATATATGTCTGAAGGGGAACTTCGTCGACGACAAGATATGTTGAATACTCTTAAAGAAGAAAAGGAAGCTTTATTGAAATTGGTTAGTACTGGACGACAAGATCATGATTTACTTTATACCAACAACAATAACAACAATAATAATCATCATTCAACAACATCATCCAGATCATCATCACCCACTGTCACTGATACTACGAATTACAATACAAATGGAAAAGGAATGATGGACCGAAAAGCTTTATTGGGTGATAACAATAATATGGTACAACGCAATAGTACAGGTACTCGAGCATTTGGGGCGGCATTCAAACAAAACCAATTGGCAAAGGAAACCGAGGTGACACGAGGATTGGATAATGAAGGAATTGTGAAGTATCAACAACAATTGATGGAAGATCAAGATCAACAAGTGGAACAATTCAGTGCTATCTTGAATAGACAGAAACAGGTTGGATATGCCATTGGGGACGAATTGGAAACTCAAAATCAATTATTGGATGAATTAGATAGGGATGTTGGTAGAACACAGACGAAGTTGAAGTTTGCAAACAAAAAATTAGGGAAAATTAAATAAATAAAGAAGGTTTTTTTTTATTATTATTATTATGATGGTTGTTGTCAGTAAAGGAGTGTCATCTACAAATTATGTATGGGTTATTTTTATTTATGATGATTTGATGTGCTGTCAATGAAGATGATAAGGGGTTTTATTTATAACTATTCGTATACGTGTTGTTTTATATAATTCTGTCTTTATTTGGAGTTCTTCATATCATAAAAAAACAGTGTGGCCATTTTAGGCAAGTGATAGTCAGATTTTCACACTTTTCTCCCTCTTTCTCTCTGAGTTTTTTTTTTCCCCTCCTTTTTTTTTCATTGCTATTTATTATTATTATTAGTGATAATAATATCATTATCAATCAACCATTTTTATCCATTTCTGTTTCATAGGTAGATCTTTTCGGACCTTCACATTTTTTTGTTTATTTTCCCTTCTCCGGTTCACTTTTTTTTTTCTTTTTATTTTTTCCCTCTCTTTCTTAATTTTCTTTTTCCTTTTTTTTTTTTTTTTTCTTCTTTGGGGGATCAAGCAGTTAATAGTCATCTCCCCCCTTCATTACATAACATTATATATATATACAATATGGATAGCAGTAAAAGTATCAAGGCAGATGGATTTCTTATTGGCGTCACTGAAGATAGAAACAAACGTTGTCGAAGGACTATGGAGGATGCTCATACTGTTATTACAGACTTCAATGATGTTGCCCGTCAAGGGTTTTTTGCTATCTTTGATGGACATGCCGGTAAAGCTACAGCAGAATGGTGTGGGAATCACTTTCATGAAGTAAGTTATACATGATTTTCTTTGAAAAAAAAAACGTGACTCATCTTTCATATTATTATTATCATTAGACTTTAGCCGAATGTCTGAATAACCCCTCTTCAACTTCGGAAACCGTACCGGAAATTTTAAATAAGGCATTCCTTCAAGTAGATCAACAAGTTAATGAAAAAGAAGGCAAGTTCTCTGGTTGTACAGCTATTGTAGCATATGTTCAAGTCAAGGATGATCAAGTAAGAAAAATAATGATATCATAAATAGAAATTAATCCTTTTTTTTTTTTATTTAGCGTATTCTTTATACTGGAAATGTTGGTGATGCTCGTGCTGTACTTTGGTAAATAATAAAATATAGAATCATTTGGAAATATATATATATATATACATATATATAGACTGATCGTTCCCTTTTTTTTTCAAATAGTCGCCAAGGAAAAGCTCATCGATTATCTTATGATCACAAAGGTTCAGATGCTCAAGAAGCCAAACGAATTACAGATTTAGGTGGATTTATGATGAACAATCGAGTTAATGGTGTCCTTGCTGTGACACGGTCACTTGGAGATAGCGTGATGAAGGAATTCGTAGTAGGCAATCCATATACAACCGAAACACCATTGGTGGAAGGGGATGATTTTATGATCTTGGCATGTGATGGGGTAAAAGAAAAAACAATGAAAGAGAAGAATAGAAACATGATCTTAACTCTTTATTATTATTATTTATATAGTTATGGGATGTATGCGAAGATCAAGCTGCTGTAGATCTCATCAAAGATATCAAGGATCCTCAAGTGGCAAGTCAGAAATTATTAGATCATGCTTTGGCCAATTTTAGTACAGACAATCTTAGTGTCATGGTGATTCATTTTTCTTGATTTTTCTCTCTCTCTCTTTTTTTTTTTTTTTTCTTATTTGATATATACACACTTTTTTTTTTGACTCTTTGTCCTCTCTATTTTAGTATAGTTATTCTCATTGTACAGCCTCCTTTTTCTTTTTATTGTCTTACTTTTTCATTATTGACGCCTTTTTTTTTTTATTATTATTATCATCACTTTTTTGTACTATTATATTCTATCACCTCTCTCTCTCTCTTTCCCTCTACTTAAATAGTTTTTTATTTACTAATCTAATAAAAGGAACAGAAACAAAAAAGTATCAGTTTGAAGAAAAGAATATTCATGCAATTGTTTTCAGTCTAACTTTTTGGTTCGATTTTTTAAGTTAAAAAGGCGGAGGTCACCGGTCAAGTTTTTACCTATCATCATTGGATAGAAAAAAAAAACATGGCTGAAAAATAGAACAGAATGTATTTAAAGAAAAGATAAAGTTTCTTGGCAACCTTTTTATAGATAATGATATTCATCATCATTTTTCAATTATTGTCAACGTTATCATAAAAAAAAAAAAGAAATTTTATTTGTACAAGAGAATCAACAGAAAAATGAATGATACACATATATACACGTATCTAAACTATAAAAAGTAAGAAATAATAATAACTATATAAGAGGTAGATTTTACCAAAAAAAAAAAAATCAAGAAATGCCAGCAGAAGTTTGTGAAGAGATGGAGGAAGCCAAACCACCTAAATGAGTAAGAACATCAGGACAATCAAAGCTTGCAGAATTGGAGATGGTGATAGAAATAGGAATGAGACCAAACTTGACAGTAGGAATGACATCGTAATCAATTTTAATTTGTTGTTTTTGAGAACCATCGACACCACATTTGCTAAAGAGATCTTGAAGAATGGCTTGATAGGAAGGATTGGCCATATCGATAGCCAGATCAAAGGGAAAGGTGAAATTGGTGACAGCATTCTTGGCAATGACGACTTGATCCTTTTCGCCCCCACCCAATTGGATATCATGATGTTGAGGATAATATGCCTTGGCCACAATGGTATCGAACGTAATGCCTTCTACGTTTGGGTTATTCACCGAGACTTGTAATTGGAATGCCATGTTGATCAAATGGCCATCCGTTACATTCACCGTTGGAGCACTGTCTAGTCCACTCATGTTCACTTGAGGCATCTTGAATAACGCGGCCAATACACCCACCACAATCCCTACAGCAATCAGTATCAAAAGAAGGATGCAGGAACAGTAACGTGCCCATCGAGGACAACATACACAACATCCACAACATACTTTATCCAAACAACTTCGTTTACGTCGTTCCTTGGGAATCGTCAATCCACTTTCTTCTTCTTCATCGTCGGTATCATATTGATGATGATGATGATATCCTGCCGGTGTATCAGTTGCACTTGTCAATTTCATATCTGACATACTATTTCGAGGATGTTGATATCCTCCCATCATAGGTACTTGATGGTACATATCAGGATCTTCCAAAGAATGTCGTTTATTATTGTTATCGAACGGACTGGCTGGGTATCCATGAGGTGGTGGTGATGAATATGCTGGAGAACTATCGTGATGAGGTGGTGGTAATGGTGGTGCTGAGGGACTATTATATTTCCCATAAAAGTCATCCTTTTCATACATAGACATGATATAAATGACAAAATAAAAAAAAAAAATAATAAAAATAATAAAAAAGAAAAAGGAAAAGAAAAAGAAAAATAAGAAAAAAAAGGCTGTTTTTCTAGTATCTATTTTAGTCAAAAAGTGGACCTTAAAAAATAATAATGGCACAGTAAAAAAAAAAAAAAAAAAAAAAAGAGCCCCGCCACCATAAAAAGAGCTATTTTTACTTTTTCTACCTAAACTGCACCAGTCAAAAACAAACAATTCCAAACGACTTGCCAAGTTTAGCTAGAATCTTTTTTTTTTCAACCAGTTGTAAAAAGATCTCGATCAGTAACATTCAGGTCATTATGTTCAATTCATTTCTTCTTTTTTTTTTTAATATCAATGAAGTTTATATATATATATATCATCAATAATCATTGAGTCTATGGAGATCATGTTGTTAAAAGAAAAAAAAACAGCATCATGAACCTTTGGATGGATCTAATGGAAAAATTTTTACTTTCAAATGGAAACACACATCCAATCATTTGACAAAAAAGAAAAATCCTATTGGATTATCACTCCGCCTCGCTTTTCGTCCCTATTATGTCAATGATAACCAATCCAGTTTTGGATGAAGAAAGAAAGAAAGAGATATATTGTTGTAAATTATAGTTGATTTATTTAAAAGTGAGCCAACATGTTGAAACTATTCAAGGTATAAACATCATCATTGTTCAAAAAAAAAAAAAAAGGAGAGTTCATTCATTGATTGATTTATATATATATATATGTAAAATGAAATTGACATAAGATATAATTGTATATTCATTTACTAAACTAAGATCTAAAGGGAAAAGGATGAGTATTCAAGTGAATAATGAAGAAGATGATGATGATGATGGCTGTGGTGGTGGTGGTGGTGGTGGTGATGATGATAATGTTGATGAAGTTGAAGCAGAAACCATTGTTGTTGGAACAAACTGATGTTCATCAGGGATAATATCTTGAGCATTCATCGATCGATACAATTCCAAAATATGAGCTTTTTCTTCGCTCCAATAGATAAATGATCGTCGATGGATAAGAGCCCAAACATAAGGTACAAAAAATTCATTCGAGTCTTTTTCTTCTTCATATTGAAACTTGAGATCTGCCATGGGTTGTAATCGATTGGAAGGCCAAGTCCTAGCAGCTTGTTCAATAAGATCTAATACATCAGAAGTAGAGGGTGATTTCAAGTTGGCTTCTGCTACACGCGAATGAAAATAATTGATCACATTCTCTATATTGGTTGTCACTTGAGAAAATCGAGGTTGTAGTCGAAATTGGATAAACAGATCGCGTTTCAGGATAAGTGCATAGACTAGTTGTGAGTTGTGTTTCAGACGATGTGTTAAAGCAGAATTGATGATTTCCAGCATTAACATCAATAAATCCTCATATACACCAATATCTACTGTTGTTTGAGGTACTTGTCCTGTTTCAAGAATTTTGGCAGTCCATTTTTGATATCGTCGTGCAATCAATTCAAATACCCTAACAATATATATATATGCTATTAGTTACCTTGATCCCATTTCTATTTCATTCACTTACCCTGTAAGACGCTGCGCTACATATGCATGCATATCAAGGATGGAAGCTGACATATTGGCCAAGATGGCGAGACAATTCGTATGGAAATAGATATCCTAAAAAATAAATAAAGATATGATAAATAGGAGGAAGTTTAGTTGATATAAATAAATCATTACCTTTTGATGGGATAAATTAAATTGTAAAGTACGAATTAATACCAACATAGTAAGGCTACCCAAAGAAACTGATTTCAATAAAGGCCGTTCTGTAAACCATGTCAAATTGTGCACCATCTAAAAAAAAAAAAAATTGAATATTAATATACTTTTTTTTTTTTTTTTACATTACTTCTAATATACTTACTACTTTTTGTATTGTTTCATTATTAACATCATCTTGACTAAATATAAGTAGAATGATCAACAACATATAAACTTGAGAAAAGTTGGTTCGATTTTCAATGGATTCATAGATCATCTTGAGGATTGGAATATACTATTATCAAAAAACGTAAATCAAATCAGACATACTATTAAAAATAGATCAAATATTTTCAAGTATTTACAAGAGTTTCGGGATCAGTTCTTGATAAAACATAGACACGAAAAGATTCATTTTCTACCAAAATCAAGTAAAACAACAACATCCGTTCTTCAATATGTAATGATCTAGATTGTAATATAATGTTTTAGGTTAGTATATCTACTCTATCCTTTTTTTGTTTGAGATTTCATATATTATTCTCTTCTTTTACCGACAAAATATATCAAAGAGATCCTTGAATGATATCAAATGTGTTTTGCCTTTATGACTATCTATATCAGATGATAACACTAAAAAAAAAAAATAACTGATAAGTTCCTTACATTACCCACCTAATATGAAGAGTCAACTTACTATGAATATCCCTCCACTCAGCAATGGCATTCCTACAGTGTTGAGATTGTGTAGAAAGTAACAAGATCAATAATAGACTACGATCAGCCACAGGTAAAGGATCGACATCAGCACTGGAGGATCGGCCAGTAAAAAAATAATTGTATGCATTGTAGACGACATTTGTTGATTGTGCTGGCGGAGATTGTTGTTCGATGGTATTGTCCAAGAGTTTTGCTAATAAAGGATGAGTATATTTCCTATATTAAATCATTAGCGATGAATAATATCTTTCCATTCGTGGCTTTTTACCTAAATTGAGTCATCAACAGATCCAAAAAGTAGTTGCTTTCCTCTAATTTGGTACGATGTAATTGTGTTGACAGTAAGACAAGTAAAGTATTAAGGAGTTCTACATAAAACTCATATATTGAGTAGTTCACACTAAAAAAAAAAAAAAAAAAAAAAAAGAGATCAATCACCATCCTGTATGTATACCAAGATCATTTTACTTTGCATCCAAATTGATAATCAATGTTATAATGGAATCTAAAAGTTGTTCAGCCTTGGATCGCTTGTCATTGATAACTTGAGGAAGAATAGGTGATTTTTCAGAATTAAGATAGATAGTTTGATCATTTACGAAAAGACAATTGCCTATGGACATATTGATTAGAAACAACCTTATTTTATGTAAAAATATTAGAGCATTTACCTTCAAATTGTCGAATAATTTCATCGTTGGATAGATTCCCAATGAAATGTTTGGAGAAGACACGAACCAGAAACAAAGCATTATAAGTAGATATAGGTATAGTTCTAATAGAATAAGAAATTCTTTTAAGTCCATATCTTCATATACATATATATTTCTAACTTACTGATCATTCTGTAAAAGTACTAGTTGATTGATTAAAAGTAAAATAAGTTTGTTGAAGTTCTTTGTGGTTATATTATGAGCAGCCAAATCGATTGATAAGCCCACGGTATCCATTTCCAAATCAAACGTATCTTGTCTAAATAACCCCCCCGTGGACGTAATAAAGTTGAAATATAGTGAGTTTTAATACTATTCCCCTTCTAAAAAAAAAAAAAAAAAAAAAAAAAAAGGAATAAAAAATAAACTTACGGTGTATGAGTGGCAGGAAACTTATTACTTTCTAACAATGACGTCCAATATTCCATATCCATGATATCAATAGAATTTGGTGAACATAACGACTTCAAAGAGGCTGTTTGTGTAGTGTTCAGATAATGATGAGTAGGATTTCTTAATGGTGGAGAAGAAATGGGTACTGTTGTTGATGAAGTTGCTGCTGCTGTTGTTGCTGTTGTTGTAGTACTTGTAGTTGTGGTTGTAGTAGTAGTTGCAGCTGGTGGTAATACAGGTAGTGGTTTGTTAGAAGATAAAGTTGATGAAGAAAGAGAAGAACTAAGAGCAGTAAATGACTCGGTGAGCTCGGTTGATGGAGAACGTTGCAAATAAGAAGGTGATGAAGGTGAGACAGGTGAACTACTGTTATTTTGATAAAGAGACGGTCGTCGAAAAGAATGCTTATCACTTGTTAACAGTGTTCTATTGGGCGCAGTCAGAGCAGGTGGATTAGAATGATTCATGTAATAAGGAATGTCAAGTGATGGCTGTTTCCCTTTATAGGTTGAATATTATAAAAAGGAAGGAAGCAACTTCTTTTTTTTTTTTTTTGTAATGAGAAATATATATATATATAAGAAAGACGTTGATATAGTAAATAGATTGGAATACACTTTTATTGACGGAACTTCAAAAATAAGATGTCGCAAAAATAGGAAATAAAAATATTGTAAGGATAGAAAATAGATGAAAGAAGAAGAAAAAAATATAATTGACGCATAATCCAAATTGAATACAATAAAAAAAAGTGTGGTAGTAGTTTCCATTGAGTATATAAGAGATTTTTGAATAATAGAAAAATAAAATATATATATATTTAGTCATCATATCCATTTTTTTTTATATATTTATTTTAACTTACCTGCATCAAATACATCCTCCCAAGAGATGTAATATATGTTCATATGTTGCTGTATACAGGTAGATTATTCACTTTGAATTGGAGATTTCAAAAAGAAAAAAAAAAAGAGAATGATTAATATTCTGTATCATCATCAATCATCAATCAATGTTTGACATATTCTGAAAAAGTGATAATGCGACATCCATTTTGGGAAAGACCAATTTTATTTTATAACATCACGAAACTAATGACCCAACAAAAAAAACTTTGAAAACACTGTAAAATAAAGTAAAAAAGAAAGGGGAAGAACAGCAAAAGAAGATGCACCAAAGTCAAAAGTGCTTATATTTTACATCTCCGCTAACATGAACTAGAGTTAGTTATTTATCATTATCATCAATGAAACTCTCATGTTGACAAATAATATTTCCCTGTTGGTATATATTTTAGTACTTGGCTTTGTTTTTTTTTTTTCTTTAATCGTTTTTTGTACTTCATCCTATTGTATGGTTAAGAATTATTATTTGATCGCAGAATCGTGACTGCCGCTCAATGTTGAGTCGGTAAATTCTCTCCACTTCTCTCCCTCTTTTTTGTACCCTTTTCTTTCTTTTTTACATCTTTTTTTTTTTCTGCCATTGTTGTTGTTTAGATCCACCTTATATCATTCTTTTCTTTTATTTTCACAATAAGATCAAGACATCATGCCAGGTAATTTTATAAAGATGTTTGTGTAGTAGTCAAGGAAAATATGAACCATCTTTTATGTGTTTTATTACTGTTAGGAAATAATACCAAGAAACAACCATCTGATAGACGAGACTCCCTAAAACAACAAGGTCAATCATCACAACAACAACAACAACAACAAACTAATTCCAAGAAGAATGCACAAGGTAGAATAAGAAAAAGTAGGAAGAAGTATATATATATATATTAATGCATGTTATATGATATAGGTAGACAAAAGGATATCCACTTCAATAATATCAAACGTCAGACTCATACAGGATTGAATGGATTCAATGGTTCAGAGGTGACAGCTTTCTTGAATCAACGTAAAGTATTTTTTGGGCTAAAAAAAAAATAAAAATAAAAATAAAAATAAAAAATAGATATAATGATTGTTTATTTATATTTTCTTTTATATATTATAGGGTACTCGGACACTCTGACGGCATTTCATAACTCAAATTTAGATGCATCTGTACGACCAGTCAAATATGAAAGTCAAGAAAAGGCATGGGGCAATAAGGGATTAGGATCATCCTCTTCCTGGGGACAAAAAGGTATATATAAATTGAAGTGATTGACAGGGATATATATATGTATATTAATTTCTTTATATATATATTTATTTATTTTATAGGTGGAACTATGGCCAATGGACAAGATTTTTTATTAGAATTAGTTAATCGTTCAAAATGAAAATATCCATTAATAATAATAATAAAAAAAAACAATGTATATATATATTTTTTTTATTCTGTTTTATATATATTTTCTTTTACAATTTTTAGTTTTTCTAAAATATATTTATTCTCTTTGAATTTTTGACTTGATTCGACGGCATGAATATATTTCCAACCCAATTTATGATGACAGAGTATACATGAAATTTCAGCAATAGTATGCATTCCTGTTAATAACATTCTTTTTTCTTTGACTCCTATTTTGATATTATTCACTTTATATACTAGAAAAGCTGGACCTGTCTAAATAATAAACATAATCATATTAACTTAATATTTTGAATCCTTTTTTCTTTCTATTTTGTACCTGACCCTGGAAACCTTTGGAGATAATATCATCTTGATAGATTAAGTTTGTATTACAGTGGATACAACTGTATATGGTATGACGATCATTCAAGTAATTCACATAAGATATCGTATTTGGATGTCGCATATTTAACAAGATATAAAAGAAGAAGAAAAAAAAGAAAGAAAGAAAGAAAGAAAAAGGATGGTTCATCATGAGATTGGTCCTTTTTTCTATATATTCAATTTTTTATTGTATCAGCTGTTTATCTCTTTTTTTTTTTTTTTTTTATCATTAACCAAATCATCCAGTTGAAATGTTTACATTATTTTTGTCATCTCTTACCTTTTCTATTGAAGCAAAATAGTCAATGCACGAACCATCATTTTTAAACTGTATCAAAAAAAAAAAGAACGTGTATCTAAACCATAATAAGATAGTTTCAATATTGTCATTATCATGTACTTTTTAGTATCATCAAAGACGTCTTAAGTTTTCTCACCATAATTCACATGATAAACGGTTGATTTAACTTTGACTATAGTTACACCAAGCATGTTCCTTCTACTTTTCATCCACCGAAAATAAGTGGGGAGGGTAATTTTTAACCATCATCTTTCAAAAAGAGCGGGGTAATTTTTCCTTTCTTTTTCTTTTTCTTTTCTATTTTTTTTTTTTTTTTATATACATCATATGGATACCATTCGACAACAAGTACGACGACGTTTACCACCAAAAGCTACTATAAAAATTCTTCGTAAAGTATTTACACTTCCAGCTCCTGCTGCCCGTTTGGTCTTGGACGACATTACAAAACCTCGAAAATCTCATAGGTCTTGGTATAAGAAAGTACCTTGGAATCAAGAATGGACTGGTTGTTGGATTGGTGAAAATATTCAAAAAGTGGATGATAAAGGTTTAGCTGAACGTATTGAAAAAGCTGATATCATCATTTTCAATGTTCATGGTAAAGAAATTAATAATAGGATAATCAAAATTTTATTATTAAATATAACTCATCCTTCTTCTTTTTTATATATAGGTGGTGGATTTCGTGTAGGAAGATGTAAAATCAGAAAATGAAATTAAATATCTGATTTTTGATGATAAAACTGAATTCTTTCCTTTTTTTTTTTTATTATTATTATTCTCATAGGTACTATGTTTTTGGATACTTATATCAAATGGATTCGCGTTCTCAAGGAAAAGTATGGTGTTACTGTATTGATCATGTCTGTAGATTATAGGTATGTTAAGAAAGAAATTCTGGGGAAAAAAAAAAGTGCAGGATTGGGGTGGAAAGAAAAAAAGAAGTAACATATGAACATTTTTCAAAAATAGATTGGCACCCGAGTACAAATTCCCAAGTCCAGTAGAAGATGTAGTACGAGCCTATGAATGTTTGATCAAAACACATAAAGTGGATGGTTCCAAGATTATTGCTATTGGTGATTCAAATGGTTCTTCTCTCATTTTGGAAATGTTATTTATTACCCACGATCCAAGTATGTTTGAAATTGTGACAGATGATCCTGAAGGTGAAGCTGAAGGCGGAGCTCCTATCTTGACGGAATTACCAAGACCAGCTGGAACAGTATTGATCTCTCCTTTGGTAACAGAAGAAACAACATCTCAATCTTGGAAAGAAAATGTAAAATATGATTATGTTTCACAACATACAGCAAAATTGATCAAAAAAGATTATTTCCATCCTTTGGAACCTAATGCACCTCCTGATGCTCAACATGTACTTGGTATTATGCGATTACAAACTGGATTTCAAGCTTTCTTTAGTCCTAGGGTATTACTTTATATTGGACATAAGGAAGTGATGCGGGATGATGCACTTGATCTTGGAGCCAAGGCCGAACAAGATGGTGTTGATATTGAAATTGTAATGGAAGATTGTGTACATGATTGGTTTTGTGTTAGAGAAGTGGTGAAGGATAAATCTATCTTGGATAGGGCTGATAAGATCTTTGCTGATTTTTGTTATCGATCTGTCTTTTTACGTGATGGCGGAAACAATTATGACAATAAATCATCTGTACGACGATCAAGTGACGGACTTCATGCTGTACCTGAAATGGATGAAGATGCTGAAGATGAATTCCATGAAGCAATGACTGAATATACTGATATGGGCTCCACTGTTTCTACTGCTGTTTATGAACGACATATATCCAATTCCAAAGGTACAAAAACAAAGACATTGACTGTGTTTGTATAGTATAGTTTTTTTATTATTATTATTATTATTATTCTTATTATCATCTTTTATTCTATTTTTTTTCCCTATTTCCTTTGTATATACCTATTTCATTTTTTTTTCTTGAAATAATAACAATAAAGTTGTCTTATTGTCCAATCATCTTATTTGGAATGGATTCGATCCAAATTTGGCAATTGTCCTTTTGTAAGGCGCTATTTTAATCAAATGGTTCATTTCCATTTTATTCTCTTCCTCTCTCTTTTTTTTTTTTTTTTTTTTTTTACGCTATTCGACTTGATGCTTTAATCATGTTTCCTTTACTACCCTTTACTTTATACCCTTCTTCTACTTCTTCATGCTCATACAATACCCTTAATTTATATCCTCCTCCTCCTCCCGGATCTCCCGATGACGAAGGTTGTAAATTACTAGACGGTTTTGCTATACTAGTTCAATTTATTTTGGCCTCTTCTGCTTTTATTATACTTGTTTATAAACGATATAGAGAACGTCCTCAACGACCTGTAGAAATATGGTAAATATATGGATATATATATATATATAATTTATCTCATTGGTATATTTCTTATAGGGCACTCGATGTTAGTAAACAGTTTATCGGAGCAGCAGTTATTCATTCGTTGAATATCCTTGTTAGTTATGTTGTAGGTCATCCTCGTCATGGTCCTCGTAGTAATCTTTGTGTATGGTACATGTTGAATGTACTTGTAGATTGTACTCTTGGTGTTGGTATCCTTTGGTGTTGGCTTCGTGGTTTACAATGGTTTTTAGAAAAAAAATGTCATTTGAACTACGTCCGCAGTTATGGACCTCCTCCTTTGAAACGACGTTTGACTCCGTGGGCAAAACAAACCTTGGTATTCATTGTGGCTGAAGGTTTGATGAAATTATGTGTCTATCTTATCTTTCGTTTATTCCCTATTCTATTTCGATTTGGTGAATGGGCTCTTCGTTGGACAAAAGGAAATTATCGCTATCAAGTTTTATTTGTTATGCTCATGTAAATAATGATTATTAAATAATAGGATATTGATTGATTGATTGATTTTTTTTTGTATTATTAGTTTCCCATTATTCATGAATGGAATGCAATTTTGGATTGTAGATACTATTGTCAAAGTCACTCCTCGGTTTTATGAATCACTTGATCCTATAACGTCTCATCATGATTCAGTTGACGAAGAACAAGGTCATCCATCCTCTACAGATGCATATGATGAACGCTCTCCTTTATTAGACAATAGATTATAGTTTATTTATTTATTTACTTGTCAATAAACAACCTTTTGGGTCTCATACAATACTCGCTTTTTTTTTTTGTGCAGTGATCTGGAACTGAAATCAGGGTGTATTCACGCGGGACTTGGTTCTAACAAAAAAAAAAAAAAAAAAAAAAAAAGAAAAAAAACTTTTTTTTCACTTTTTCTCTTTTTTATAGACGATATTTGTCTCCATTCTTTCTTTATGCCATGTTTTCCATTGCACGATATCAAGGTGAAGACAATGATGAGCAACAAGATCAACGTACGTTGGAAAAGAAACAAGAAAGATTGAACCAACTTCTTGAAAAGGTCAACAAGAAACGAAAATCACCAGATCAACCACCAGACAACCAAGACATGGAAAACAAGAGCAATGACAAGAAAACGATAGATCCAACCTCAGAAACAGCTCGATCATCAAAAAAGAATAAAAAGAAAAAGAATAAACACCATCCAGTAAAGACTGATGTGGAGATCTCTGAACACGATCGATCTGTTGACACTTCCAACGAAACACAAACGGAAAAGAATGATAATGAAGAAGAAGAAGAAGAAGAAAAAGAGGAAGAAGGAAAATCAACAACTGTGACAAGAGAAACAACATTAGAAGAAAGTGGAAATGACAATCATGATAAACAACAAGATCAAGATGGGGTTTTAGAAGCTTTTCCAGATATGGTGACCAACAACAAGCAAAGCAAAGAAGATATTCAAGTCTTAAGGAAAATGGGTATCCCGGAATGGTTATTACAACCTACCATGGTAACACCTGATCAATCTTGTTCTTTGGACTCAGTAGGTCTTTCTCCCAGCTTGGTGATGCGATGTCAAGATCAAGGATTATCCTCTTTTTTTGCAGGTATAAAAAGAGGATTTTGAAAAGGAAAAAAAAAAAAAGGAAAGTTTACTAATGATCGGTATTATTTTAGTACAAATGAAAGTGATTCCTGCTTTCTTACGACGACAAACTTTTTATGATACAAGACGTGCTCCTGGTGATTTATGTATTTCAGCACCTACTGGTAGTGGCAAAACTTTGGCCTATGTTCTTCCTATTGTGGATATCTTATCAAAACGACGAGTGACTAGACTACGTGCTCTTATTGTTCTGCCTACTCGTGATTTGGTAATTCAAGTGAAGGAAACATTTGATGCATTTGTTCAAGGAACAGATCTAAAGGTAAATCTAGCGTAGAGAGAAAATAAATGAATAATGATATTTATGATTTGTTATAGGTTGGTATTGCTTTGGGACAGCATTCATTATCACAAGAACAATCAGGTCTAGTTGGAAAAACGGATCAAATGTAAGTGTTTTCGTTTTATATATATATATATATATATATATATATATATATATATATAAAGAAAAAACAGGAAATTGGACTACTATGAAAGAATACTATGTTGACATGTTCTTCTCTCTTTTTTTTTTTTCTCATTTAGATATGAAGGTGGGTTATCAAAAGTGGATATTCTTATTGCAACTCCTGGAAGATTGATGGATCATTTGAAGATGACACCCAATTTCACATTACAACATCTTCGATTTTTGGTGATCGATGAGGCGGATCGATTATTGAATCAAAGTTATCAAGATTGGTTGAATCATATTCTACAGTCCACTCAACCTCAAACGAACAAGGATAAGTCTGGTTTGACTTTTAAAACAGATCCATTTGGGTATGAGTCAAAATGATGATGATGTGTGTGGGAAATAGCTGATACTGATCCAAAATTTTTGAATTATTGTTTTACATTTAGTGTGATCGAATCTGATGCTGTTGCTCCTAGTTTCATGTCCTCTTGTTTTGACCTACCCATATCTGATATTGATTTACCAAAAGCTCCTGCTGTAATTTGATACAACAAAAACAAGTTTAATTTATGATTAACATACGTTTTTTTTTTTTGATTTTTTTTTTTTTTTTTTTTTTTTTTTGATTTGTAGGTTCAAAAATTACTATTTTCGGCCACTTTGACCAAAGATCCTGGAAAGATTGCTGGTTTACATTTAACGGATCCTGAATATATCTCTGTACAACATGATAATGACGAAACAAATCAACCTCAATACACAACCCCAGCTGGATTGAAGGAATATATGTTGACATGTCCATCTGCCAAGAAACCATTATTTTTGATCTATTTACTGCATCATTTGAAAATCAAGTCTGGTCTTTGTTTTACGAAATCGGTAGAATCTACTCGACAATTACAAATATTGTTAGCAGCCTATGTCAAACAACAAGAGTTAGATATCAATGTGGTTGTCTATTCTAGTGATCTTAAGCCAGCTCAAAGGAAATCATTATTAAAGGAATTCAAAGAAGGAAAAATTAACTTGTAAGTGAAGTATATATATATATAATAGATAGTTATCTGTCTAATATTTTTTATTTTTTTATTTTTATTTTTTTTTTATTTTTTTATTTTTTTATTTTTTAGAATGATTTGTTCTGATTTGATCGGTCGTGGTATTGATTTGGATTGTGTTGAAGTGGTAATTAGTTATGATGTTCCTTTATTTATGGACAAATATATTCATCGTGTGGGACGTACTGCTCGTGCTGGAAGGAATGGTCAAGCATTTACTTTGGTGGAAACTCAAGAAGCAAGACATTTCAAAGAAATGATTCGAAAAGCAGGCCATTCTCAACAATTGGAACGATTTATTGTGGACAAGGAACAAATGCAAACTTTTGAAGAAGGATACCAATCTGCGTTGGCAGAAACAAGTCAAGATGATTAGATTATATACATATATTATTATTCATATTCTAAATAAAACAAATAGTCTGCATATGATACTTTTATTCCTTTTTTTAGGTTGAACTTTGTTTCAATGACATCCATAACTTTATGTGGTTGTCCCTGATTTCAACTCCGCCACTGTGGATACATATCCAGCGGTTTCTTTTCTTTTTTTTTTCATTTCTTTTTTTTTTCTTTCTTTCTTTCTTTCAAACTTCACTTTTTCCTTTTTTTTTTCCCCTTGTTTTACCCACCTCGTTATGGGACCTACAGCTTCATCGTCGACATCTTCTTATTCGACGGCTACTGATGTTCAACAAAGCAGGGAGAATAATCGACCTCGACCATCATTGTCAACACAACTTGGAAACTATGGGTCAGTGGAAAACCAATCTTCAACCTCACAATCATATAATGACAGTCAAGCATCTGTAGTTGGACAAAACTCCGGAAACAATGCGAACTCAAGACGAAGCTCTCAAGTACGAAGTATTGGTGTTGGTGATGCTAGAACAGATGATGTAAATGATATATTGGATGAAAACGACGACGACGACGATGACGACGACGACGAAGAAGAAGAAGAAGAAGAAGAAGAAGACGATGATGATGAAAATCAAACAGTACCCAACAACCGCACTGATAACATTGATAACAGAAAAGATAAAAGCTCTACGAGACGTCGGGTCAATATCCGAAGACGTCAGTCACACAACAGCAATAATATGGATGATGACCGTCGTTCATTTGATAGCTTGGAACGAGAAATGACTTTGAAGGATCGACAAGAGGTAAGATAATATTATTTAGAATATATAGATGTCTAATTTTTTAATGTGATATATTTTTTCATCATTAGGCTATGAACAAACGACATCCTTTTGGACTACCTATTTGGAAACCAGCGTTATACAAGAAATCGCGATCAGTGGTCCGCCGTGCTAATAGTGCCTTACATTCTTCTCCTTCATCATCTCCAGAATTGTTTCTTCATCCTGGTAATATCCTTTGGCTACTTGTATTTGGTTGGTGGCTTGCTATTGTTATCTTTGTTCTTTCTTTGGTCATGATGTTGGTACCACCCAATGGTCGTTCTTATGGTTTGGTCATGCGCGAACTGGCTTTCTATTTGCTGTGGCCTTTTGGACGTTATGTTGAACGACATGTTGAAATCACACCTTCTGTCTTGGAGACTGGACATTCTGGCTCCTCTGATGATTGCTCTATCAACGTTGACGAAGAAGAAGATACTGTTGGTGATGAAATCAATGAAGATACAACTTTACTTCATCGTCAAAAACGCAAAAACAAAGAAAAACGTCGATCTCGATGGACATCTGCTATTGTCAATGGATTTATGTTGGGTCCCGCTGGATGGATTTATTATTTTTTGCACTTTACTATTGTCAGTAAGTAAAAAAAAAAAAAAAAAAAAAGGATTGAAATTAAGAATTCATTTCTTTTTTTCATACTAATGATTTTTGTTTTAATAGCACCATTATTGATGTTAGTATCCACTATCTGCTGGTTCTGCGTGATCACCATCCCAATGGCCAAACTCAATTATATGCTTGTACGTCATCTCCGCCGTCATCCTCTTAGTTTAAGGTTCAAATCCAGTCCTTCTGGACAATCTCAATTTGTTGCAACAGGTGGCAAACCTACAGTGATTTTATTGTGTACATATCAAGCGGTTGGCTGGCAATACTACAAGTACACTTATGATGGTATCAATATCATCTTTATCAACTTGATTCCTTTGGTTTTCTTTGTTATTTTTGATGATTTTATTCTCAAACGTTACATTCCGGATTCGTTTATTTGTGGCCCTGCATTTTTGTTTTCCATGTCATTGGTTTCCGTCATTCCATTATCTTATTTTATTGGTATGGGTGTTAGTTCCATTTCAGCTCAATCTTCTATGGGTATGGCTGCTGCTATTAATGCCACTTTTGGTAGTATCATTGAAATCATCCTTTATTGTGTTGCTCTCATCAATGGAAAAAGTCGCTTGGTAGAAGGCTCTTTGATTGGTAGTTTCTTGGCTGGGGTACTCCTTATGCCTGGTATGAGTATGATTAGTAGTAGTGTGAAACGAAAAGAACAGAGATTCAATGCAAAAAGTGCTGGTAAGGATGATATATATATATATATATATATATAAATTTATATGAAAAGGGGAAAAATTATAAGATCGTTGATACTTACTCACCTTTTTATTTTAGGTGTGACCTCTACTATGCTTATTATGGCTATTATCGGTGCCCTGACTCCCACTTTATTTTACCAAATGTTTGGCTCGGTAAGTAGAACGAAAACATAAAACAATAATAACAAACAAAAATAGTCTAATTTTTTATTGTCATTATTTGGATAGTTTGAATTGAAATGTATTGGATGTCCTGATATTCCAACCAATGGTACAATTGCTTGCTCTCGGTGCTATTATGATCAGTTGAATCCTACCATTGATCCTGTATACCAAAACAGCGTGAAACCTCTTATGTGGCTTTGTGCAGCCATTTTACCTTCAGTAAGTAGTAGAATCAAGATGATCTTTTTTTTTGTGGTATTCATTTCTCTTTTTTTTTCTATAGGTTTATGTCATTGGTTTGGTGTTTAGTTTACATACTCATGTTGACATGGTTTGGAATAGCAGTAAATCTCATCATGAAAATCGTCAAGAATCCTATTATCAAAAGTTATTACCTGGTCATATCATATCTCATTTGATTCATAGCTCACATCAACAACATCAACAGCAACAACAACAACAGCAACAACAGCAGCAACAACATCAACAACAACAACATCATCATCATCAACAACATCAACACCGTCATCAACACCAATCATCAGACACAGGTAATAGAAAGAGACAAGGATCAGTATATGAAATATAGACTGACGATTTAATTGTTTATGTTATACTGTATAGATGTGATGAAAATACCCCACAAACGGAATCAGCCTACTGTCACGGTGACGAATCCATCACCTGATAACAACCATACACTAAATACATCACCAGTTCCTCAACGACCTTCATTAACGACATCCAACTCTGTCCCACCGCCTGCGAGCTCGTCAATACCAACAGCACCAACAATATCACCTTCAGTTGCAGCATTTATTCATGCAAAGGAACCTGATGAAGAGGAAGATGAAGAAGAAATGGCTGGACATGATTCACCAAACTGGAGCAAATTGAAGAGTTACAGTATTTTGTGTTTTTGCACTATCCTTTATTCTATCATTGCAGAAATACTTGTGGATACGGTTGATTTGGTGTTGGAAAACTTGGCGGTGGATGAAAAGTTCTTGGGATTAACTTTATTTGGACTGGTAAGAAAGGAAGAAAAAAAATAAAATAAACACAATACATTTTAGGGACGGGATGAACCTTTTATTTTTTTTTTTTTTGTTTTTCAGGCACCAAATATCACTGAATTTATGAATGCTATTTCTTTTGCTCTCTATGGTAATATTGTACTCAGGTAAGATTAATAAAAAAAAAGATAAATTAGAAGGATCAAGAAAAAAGTTAAAAGATCTTTTTTCTTTTTTTTACTGTGTTTGAATACGTAGCATGGAAATTGGATCAGCGTATGCTTTACAAGTCTGCCTTCTTCAGATTCCGTCAATGGTGGCCTTCTCGTATTGGTTCAATTATGGAAAAGAAGAATTGGCTCGATACACTTTTAGGTAACAAAAAAAAAAAGTTTAAACAAGATCACAAAATAAAATATTTGATATTAATTAATGATTATATATTGTAGTTTGGTCTTTCCTCGATGGGATGTGATTACTGTTATCTTCTCTGTGTTTTTATTGACTTATACTTATCAAGAAGGAAAAGCCAATTACTTTAAGGGGTCGATATTGATTCTTAGTTATTTTGTCCTTTTACTTGCTTTTTACTTTATTCCACCTTTTTCAGAAACTAGTGTTTTGATTGGAGTTCCTACTACAACAAATTAGATGATTTACCTTTTTCTTTATTTTTTTTACAAAATAAACAAATAGGAAAACTTTATACGCGGCGTTTTGATTTCGTTAGACCATTTGACGTGTTTCCAAGACGATTCCAAACTTTTTCGTGGTTTGAATATGTATTTTTTTTTCTCTTTCGGTCTCGTTTCTTTTTTCGTCCCTCTTTTTCTCTTTTTCTTTCTTTCCCCTTTTTCTTTTTTTTTTCTTTTTCTTCAAAACAAAAACAAAAACAAAAAAAAAAAAAGTAACGCGTTTTTCTTGGGTTTATTTTTGTCCCTTTTTTGTTTTATTACTTCTTGTATATATATATACTTCATTATGACGGCTGATCCATTACTCAAAAAGAAGAAACCTTTTCTAGTACCATCAAAAACATTTGCGGAACATATCTTGCAGTACGAATTAGGTAAGTGAATATCATAAAAATAGTACTTAAAAAAAAAAAGGTGATAAGAAACAATGGTTGATGATAATTGAAATAACAAAATGGTAAATTGACTTTTTTTTTTTTGATGATGACGATTAGAGCTCACTGGAACAGCAACAAGTTTAGTTTTATTGGCGTATCTTCTTGGTGTACCTTTAGCTGAAAAATGTATCTTCATATCATACAATGTAGGTAGAGATAGTTATAGTAAAGGTATGGATGATATGTATTTTGTGGCCTTCTGGACTATTGCTTTGACCTTTTTACGAGCCGCCTCTATGTCTTATATTTATCATCCTTTGGCCAAAGCTTTTGGTGTTAATCTTATATCCAAACGTCAACGAATAGCCGAGCAAGGTTTTATGTTCACATATTACGCCATCTTTTGGGTGCTTGGCATGGTAAGAAATAGGAATAGAGAAAAAAAAAAAAAAAGAGTCAAACTCATTTTTATTATTATTATTATTATTATTATTATTATTATTATTATTTTAGTATATTATGTATTGTAGTCCTCATTGGTTTAACACATCACAATATTGGATTGATTATCCTCACTTGTATACTACCCGAAATATGAAGTATTATTACTTGGTACAAATGTCCATTTGGTTCCAACAACTTTACACTATTCATATCGAAAAACGAAGAAAGGATCACTTTGCAATGGTGACACATCATTTTATAACCATTACTTTACTGATCGCAAGTTATTTTACCAACTTTTCCCGTATTGGTAACGCCGTTTTATGTTGTATGGATCTGTGTGATGTCATTTTATCTGTAAGGGACCAGAAAAAAAAAGGGGGGAAACTCTAAATTAGGGAAATATCAGCTTATATGATTCTTTTTATATATTTATTTCATAGTTGGCGAAAATCTTGAAATACCTTGGATTCAATACCGTTTGTGATATTGCCTTTGGATTGTTTGCAATCGCTTGGCCAGTGACACGACATGGTTTCTTCACCATCATTGTATGGGCTACAATAACTGAACCAACACGTTATTTGGATATGAAATGGGAACCGGAAAAGGGCAAATACTTTACTCCTCTTACACAGAAAATGTACGTTGGTCTATTTTTATTACTACAAATCATCATGATCTATTGGTTTGCTATGATTCTCAAGATCATCATCGCTGTATTGAAAGGGAAAAATGCTGAAGATGTTAGAAGTGATGATGAAGATGATGAACCAAAGTAAGTTGAAAAATATATAAAAAGATGGAAAGTGATGATATATTGACAATTTTTTTTTAATAGTGAAAAACGACATAAATCTCAATAGAAGATTCCTTTCCTCTTATTATCTCCACCATGTCTCCTCCCATTTTTTTTTTCTTATTTCTATTTTATAGTATAGTTCTGACATACCTTTATCGTTTGTGTATATTTTTTCTTATATTCATCCTATCCTTTTTCCCTCTTTTATGATTGACTTTATTTTTTTTTCAACTTAATAAAGAAAATCTCTGCATCATCATCACCATCGAGTATTGATATTCGTCTTTTTGTTTATTGAAAAACATTCGGGGATTGAAACGACGCTTTCATGCAACCGTGTTCTCCACCTGCAGAAAAACCATCAAAAGCACACCAGTAGTTTGGATAGGACGACACCATTTGCCTTCAACAAAATGGTTGATCCATTGATAAAAATAAACCTTTGTTTGCGTAATGGGAGTTGATATTTTATATATGCTCACACAAAAAAAAAAAAAATAGTAGGTCATCACAGAACAGGGATTTGTTTATATATTTTGCTGTCTTACATATACTTGAAATATTTTGTTCTTTTCTCTATACCATTGTACCTACGACACTCTAATGAACTTAACTCCAGAGGCTGGATCTAGTGCTTTCTCGATCATATTGAAATGGTTGTCCAATCCACGAGTTGAATTTTGTCTTAGGACATAGAAAGCGACAAAAGGTTGGAGTGAATCCGTAGTGAGAAGCAGAAGACTACACATCCTGAAAGAGGAATATCGCGATAAGTATTACCACAGGTCAAACTATCCTGGTCTAACTTCACTGCGCGATCTATCACATCCTATCTGATACCAATCCTCCATTCACAACTTATATGATAAAGTAGAAATAATAATAAAAAAAAAAAAACTTTATTAAAATAAAATAATAAACTTATCCATCCAAATAAAAGAATCAAATGCGTATGTGTGATGATGATGATAAACCAAACCAGATGAAAACCATTAAAAAAAAGCTATCTTTGCTCAGTTGGCTTGCGTTTTTTATTTATTTTTTTTTTCCATCGAATCCTGCTGCATTTCTGTTGATGCTGTAACAGTATCTGATGATACATCACATATTCTATAATCTATCCTTCTAGTTGATCCTGTTGTGAATCCATCCTTATTTTTTTCACCTTTTCGCTAGTCCTCCTATTGAATCCCTTTTCTATTCACATAAAAGTGTATCATAAATCGATAATAAAAAAAGAAGTTAGACAATAAAGATACTAATAGATCATCAGTATCACTATCCATTCTGATCCTATTCACCAAATAATAATAATAATAATAATCGTAAATTCGAGTGTCTTTGACCTTGCTATACAACACTGTTCTTTTCCTTTTATGACCTTTTTCTCTTTCTTTCCGATAGACACAGTTATCGATAGTAGCATGAATTGTTGACAAGCACGGTAGAAAAGAAACTGCATCATAAAATATAAGGACCACATCTATAAAAAGACCAAGATCATTGTTCTCCATTAGCAAATAAAAAAAAAAAAAAACGAGAAGCTACTTTCTAGGACGATGTTGTTATTTCTTTCTTTTCTTTCGATTTACCTTGTCAAGAATGGTCAACCATATTCTACAAGATTCACTTTATTCGAACGCAATAAAAAAAAAGTTCAACTATTCAAAAAAAAAAAAAAAAAAAAGAAAAGAAAAAGAAAGACGCGAAAAACAAAAGTTAGACTTGAAAAAAAAATCGGAGTCATTTCCAAAAATGGTCATAAGGAAAAAGAGCATCATCATAACATGTTTATTCACGAACAATACATTATATTAAATAAACATAACTTCTAAACTAAACAAAAAGAAAAAAGATTGCTGTTTTCTTTTTTTTTTTTTTTTATTTCCAGCTATTGACAATATCTTGAGCCTTCTTACGAGCTTGTTGATGAGCATCTTGTAATTCAGCTTGAGCATTCTTGACTTTATCACTTGCACCGTTGTACAATTTGGTCCATTCAGCTTGCGATTTATCCTTGATTTCTTGTGATTGTTGTTCGGCCTGTTGTTTGAGAGACTTGATTTGATCTTCGATTTGTTGTGTTGTGGCACCAGCACGTGAGCGAACCGCTTCTATATCTTGAGCCAATTGTTTTGCCTGATCATCCAATATCTTTTGTGTACGTTGTGCATTATCAGAGACATCCTTGGTGAACGTATCCCAATAATCTTGTGTTTGTTTGCGAACACGGTCGGCATCCTTGATCCATTGGGTTGAAATGGCATCCAGATCTTCATAGGCTTGTTGCGAACGCTTGCTTGCTTCATCACTGATATGTTCTACCCCAGCACGTCCTTTTTCTTTCGCCTCGTTCATCTTGTCTTGAAGTTGTTGTCTGGCGCTATCCAATTCACCTTGTAAACTGGTCAATTCACGACTGATATTGTTGGAAAACCGATCCCACGAATCTTGAAGCGTCTTTTTCGTACTGTCCCATGACCCTTTCAACTCTTCCGTCTTGCCTGGAAAGATATCCCAATTGGCTTCATCGATTTTTTCTTCCACCGATTGTATCTTGTCCGTAGCCACTTGATGTGCTAAATCCACTTTACCAGCAATTAAATTTTCAGTATATTGTACACCTTCCTTGATGGTACCAGGCTTGGACGGATCTTGACGAGTGATATCAGCAGGATCTACATATCCAGCTTTCTTGGTGACAAATGGATGATCTGATGGTTGTATTGGATAATCTGTTTGTTGTACTTTTTCTTCAAGTTCTTTATCTTGTTGAATTTCCTTTCCTTTGATATCACTTGGATCTATATGTTGCTTTTCACCTGACAACGCAGCTATATTGGAATCAATTAGACCCGTCTTCCTTTTTTTTTTTTTTTTTTTTTTTTTTTTTACCTTCATGTCGAGAATAAAATACAAGACCACTAAGAGCTAATAGACCACCAATGAGAAGAGGTGTAGTGTTGGAACCAGTTCGTTGTTCTTGATGTGTTATATATGATCTACGAATAACCCGATGTTGTTGTTGATGAGTCACTCTAGCTGTTTCCCTTAAACCACGTTTCACAGTAGTATTGAATAAAATAGGTAAACGACTGGTCATTGTCTATTTTTATAAATCAAAATAAAACAAAAAAAAAAAAAAAAGAAAAGAAAAGAATTCAAATGGAAGACTTTTTTTTTCATGGTTTTTTTTTTTTTTACAAGGGTTTTCGATTGAAGAAAGAAAAGGGAAACAGTGATTCTTTTGGTTTCGAAAAAAAAAATGTGTTCAGTTCAAATGCCGCGCTTTAATATCATGCAAGATTTTATAAATAAAATTATATACAAAAAAAATATATATATAAATAAAAATAATAACTAGGTAATATATGTAATAATGATCTATTCTAAGATGAAACTGTCGTATTGCTATGATGTCGTTGCCAACTCATAAACCTTGTAAGTGGAGAATTAGGTACTTCGAAAAAGGAATAGCCTAATAATAATTAAATAGAGTATTGATTAAAAATAAAATAAAATAATATATATATATATATGTTTACCTTGACCAGCAATTAAAATATCCAACATGGGATCCAACATGATTTCATAATCAACACCTTGATCTTGTAAAACTGAAAGAGTAGAAGGCCAACTAACCATGTCCAATTTATTCCATTGCTTCATATCATTCTTGGTAAAAAGACAAGGGAAAAAGGATAACAAAGGTCCATAGATATCAGGTCGAGTTGCTGGAGAAGGAATATGATCATTGACTAAATAATAAATTGGGTAACGATGTTCAATATTTTCTCGATAATCAATACATGCATCCAATAATTGTTGACGTTCGAATGACGATGAAGATGGTTGTTGACGTTGTTCCATTAAAACCCTTGCAAGCTTGGAATCAGGATTCACCGGCATGGCAGCAGAAACAGCTTGATTGATAGGAATATCACCGAATACTTCCAATACTACTGCATCCATCAATTCTTTTTGGGTCGCTGTATCCAAATCATCCATCGTTATCATTGACGTTGTTGCATTTTTATTCACTCGAGCATCCAACGCTATTACCTTGGCAAAATTCAATCGTAAACTACTAAAATGATTCATTCCACCCAATGTTGTAATAACGCTATCTGCCTGTGCTTTCAAAGGTGCCATTTGATCTGGTGTGACGAGAAGATGTCGATTAAGTGCTTTTCGTAATGCCATTTGTCGTGATGTCGAATGAACTTGGTATCGTGGTGTAGAAGAAAGTGCACCAAATTGAATATATTGTCTATGTTCCACATCTTTCCATTGAGTTGGTTTAATGACCGTCTTTAAGGGAAGTCCAGCGTTTGTATTGTATTCTTCTTCTTCTTCTTCTTGTTGCTTCATAATACGTTGATTAAATTGTCGTCCAAGGAATCCCCATGTTGTTTTTTTATCCATTGGTATAAAAGTGGTATTTTCAGAATAAGTCATAGCATCAATCACAACCACATCAGTAATATCCATTACAGCAGTATCATGTAAACCCCATCCATGTCCTTTAGTACGTTCGATAATCGGAATGTTGAATTCGATAGAGATGGCTTTGAGATTAAAGAGGCTGGACCATGGAATTTCTGTCCAATCATTGAGGGTGGTACAAACAGGGTCATTCAACAGCCGTTCTTCCGTTTCACATATTTGTCGTAAATTGTTCTTGTCTTGGTTTCTGTAAGCTTGTTCTAATTGTTCAAAAGGTTGCCATAAAAGAGGTTTACCCAATCGAAGCATAGGTACTATTACTGTTCGATTCATTTCTTGTCCAAGTCGTATAGCATTTCTAAAAGCTTCATGTTGATCAGTGAATTCTCTAATGAAGAAAATGTTATTATTATTATTATTATTATTTTATTATTTTATTTTATTCTTTTACCCATGAGGAAGCCAAGAAAGATATTTTGTACTATGATGAGGACTTGTTGGTTTTATTGTAGTTGGTTGAGATCTTGGTAAAAAAGTGATAGATAAAAAAAAGAAGAAGAGTAAAATAACTAAATAATATAATAACCTATGTAAACGAGTCATTATAAGGAAAGATAAAAATTGATTTAAAACAAAAAAAAAAAAAAGAAAAGAAAAAGAAAAAAAAAGGAAAGAAAAAGAAAAAAAGGAAAGTAAAGAAGTTTTAAGGAGGAACCAAAAAAAGTAAGGGTCAAAAAAAAAAGTCATCAGGGAGACAACTACACAGTTTGATCTCCGGTTATCCCATTCATTGGATGCATCATTGTCAATGGATAAAAAAAAATAAAAAGAAAAGAATGTTTTTTATTCAAAAATAATAGGTCTAATAAAAATGCTGTACAAGATATAATAATAATAATAATAAAAAGATAAAAATAAATAAAAAAAAAGATACATCATCCTAACTTTCAAGATACTATACAACCATCAAATATTATAATCACCAGTTTTTTTTTTTTTAGTTATCAGGCAAAAAGATAGATTCAACAATGATACCAGTAACACGATAAGGATCCATATTGGAAGCAGGACGACGATCTTCAAAGTAACCTTTACCTTCTTTACCAACATGACGAGGAATACGAATAGAAGCACCACGGTTAGCAACACCGTAACTGAAATCATTGATGTTACCAGTTTCATGAAGACCAGTCAAACGTTGATCATTATCTTCACCATAGACAGCAATATGTTCAAAGTGACGTTTAGACATCTTGTTGATAGCCTTTTCAATTTCAGCAAGACCACCTTCTTGTCTCATAGGTAATGTACTAACGTTAGTATGACAACCAGCACCATTCCAATCACCCTTGACAGGCTTAGGATGAATAGAGACGACGATACCAAAGTCTTCAGCCACACGTTCCAAGATATAACGAGAGATCCATAATTCATCACCCATAGCAATACCTTCACAAGGACCCACTTGATATTCATATTGACCAGGAGCTACTTCAGCATTCACACCAGAGATATTGATACCAGCATACAAACAAGCACGATAATGAGCTTCAACAATATCACGACCAAAGATTTTACCAGCACCAACACCACAATAGTATTTGCCTTGAGGTTCAGGGAAACCGTGTTTGGGCCAGCCATAAGGTTTATTAGTTTCAAGGTCGAAAAGCATATATTCTTGTTCAATACCGAACCAAGGTTTACTATCAGCATGAGTAGTCATGATCTTTTCACAAGCATGTCGATAATTAGTCTTGTGAGGTGTACCATCAGGATTGTAAGTAGCGCAAAGAGCCAACTTGTTATCACCACCACGGAAAGGATCAGCATAAAGAGCAACAGGTTGAATCAATACATCAGAGTCATGACCTTCAGCTTGTCCAGTAGAAGATCCATCAAAATTCCATTCAGATAATTCAGAAGCTGATGTGGGTACAAAGTCAATAGTACGAGTCTTGGAACGTACATTGTTAGAACCATCAATCCATACATATTCAACTTGCACCTTGCCGCGTTGTTCCAGACTAAGATATTTATTTAAAATAGAGTTGTTCGATAACACAGACATGATATATATATATATATTTATTATTAAAAAAGATAAGAAGGAATTAAATATAAAGTGAAAAAAGAAAGAAAGAAAAATAAATAAATCGAATTTGACTTTTATACCAAAAACTTTCAAAAATATAGCATATACCACTTTTAGAGCTGGGTTTTCTCCTTATCAGTATCTTTTAACCCGAGCTTATCATATGTGTCACTGTCCCTTTTATAGAATAATCCAAGGGAGGAGATCGGAAAAAGGATCGTTTTTTTTTTTATTCTATATTATAAGATGAATCAAATGAACATAAGTCTAATATATAATCATCATCATTGTTTTTATTCTAAATTATAATTCTATTATTATTATTATTATTATTAATAAAAAGAAAAAAAAAGTCAATGAGTGGTGGGGAGATCTTCTTCCATCTTCCCCGCTCGTATCTTTCTTTCTTTCCATCGGGAGAATTCATGATTATGATTGGTGGAGATACCGATAACTATAAACTTTATGATTTTTCTTTGTCAATTGATGAGATATGAATAAAAATGGAAATGATCTTATTTTTTTTTTTTAATCTATGTCAGTACTTGTTTCATAATAATCAAAATTGCAAGATCTTTTATTTTTATTTTTTTTTTTTTTATTATTATGGATTCCTCTCTCTCAGAAGACGAGGAATCAGAAAAAGGGGAACACACACAAAATGAATGACGATTGAATCTCAGCAGACAACCAACCGTCTTCTTGTTCTCTTGCTAACCCGGTAGACGGAGACATATCTTGTACTATCATATGATCATCATCCGATATATATATATATATATATGTATCAAATGGTTTGATGTATGAATCAAAACATATTTTGTCTGTTATTTGAATTTAGTTTAGATACTTTGATTTGCCTTGGACTAATGTCTAAAGATGAAAAAAAAGGGTTTATTTCATAAAAGGGAAATCTAGTTGTTATCATTATCAGTTTCCGATCTCACATGTTTATTTCAATTTGATAAAGAAAACTAATATAAAAGGGTATGATGATGATGATGATGATGACTATATTGAAGGAATTGTAATAAACAAATATAGATATGTATATAGATACAAACTATTGGATATAATAAATAAAAAAAAAAATAAAGAGTGGGGAAGAAACCAAATATACAAAAAAAGAAAAAAATTCTATATTACACACTATAATCTATATCTAATCAAAGAATAACCAACTTGTAATCAAGATCTCTTGGTGTTCATCTTGCCTTTTCTGGTTCCTGATGATGACCGCGTAAATGTTCCATTGATGAGATGATCTCTTGTTCCACCATCTTTTCTCTTGTTAAGTTCATTATCCTCTTGATAAAGATAAGCATTCACCACTCCAATAGGAATATCATGTAATTCAGGCATCCAATCATCAGGTCGATCTTCTAATAATGGTGTATCCATTTCCATCATATTGGCATGTTCATCTAATTCAAAAAAAAAAAATAAATAAATATATCATATACTAATCTTCTGTTTTTTTTTTTTTTGACTCTTTACCAGTAATACAATCATAAGAATCAAATGGTGGTGTATTCATCAAATTGATCGTCATATAAGAAATAAAAATAAACCATACCAAAGTCATCAACCATACAGGAATAGCAAGGGCCCAATATCTAAGTTAGAAAAGAATACAAAAAAAAAATGAATACAATAATAATCACAATGAAATATAACTTACCGATTTGGATAATAAGTAATACCCATGTCATGTAAAATGTGATCAGGAACATATGCCCAAATAGCGTAAAGCCCTAACAAAGAAAAAAAAAATACAAGTTGAAAGAAAATCCATGCCAAACCCATTAAGGTAAAAGTAGTCAACCATCAAATATCATTTTTTTTTTTTTTTTACCAAATACTACAAAGGAAGCTAGATACATAACAAATCCATAATATTCATATACTGGTGTTTTGTTGGTGATTGCCACAGGTGGAGCACGTTCAATGGTAGCTGGAATAGCTGGAACCCTAACATATATAATTATCAAAAAAAAAAAAAAAAAAAGACTGAGTAAGAATGTTTTGAAAGATATATATATATCCACTTACTCGGAAAAGGATCTTGGTCTATGACCCTTTTGGAATTCTTTTGTTGATGTATTGCCATTATTGATACCATTGTTCTTATTTTTATTATTGTTGTTATTATCTTTTATATTGCTATTATTGATGATGGGTAATATTCTTTCTTGATCTTGTTGTAACTTTGTCTTGGCATATTTCTTGGATAAGAAACTACTAAAGGAATTGCGTCGACCCTTTCTAAAAAGTTCGTTAATAATAAAAAAAAAAAAAAAAAGAAACTTCTTTCTATATACAACACTTACATTCGCTTTGGTATTTCATCATCCAAACTTGTTCTTCCAGGACGTGTCGTTGTTGATAAAAACGCCGATGGTTGGTATTGAAACTGATCTTTTTGTTCTTCCAGATCAATAGGCGATGCATGTAATGGTGGTTGTAAGTTATCCACATAAGAAGTACGAGCCAATGCTGGTAGTGAAATAGCCGATTGTGAGGTTCCTAGTGGTGAAGTTCGAAACCGTCGATCCCGTATATCTTCTTCGTCCTCTTCTTCATTCACTTGGTCCAATGTAGTCGTAATCAACGTAAGGCGATTCTTGTAAACTTTCGTATTATATTCGTCATCCTTGCCTTCCATGAGTTTGCTAAATCGAAAAGAAAACTTCGGAAAAAGTAGTTATCAAAAATAAAAAAAAAAAATTTGAAGTCGAATTAAAAAAATCTGTCGGAAGTCAAATATGATACACAACAAAGCAGGAAGAAAAAAAAAAAAAAGAATGGTTGGATTTTTTTTATTGCTAAAAATGGATCAAAGTCAATAACTAAACTAGGCACCTTGTCTACCATATTCAATAATTCGTTTCACCGCCAAAAGCCAACTGCTACATTCATCATATTTTGTTGTCACTAGATTCATTTGGATGTTCAAAGCTTGTTCATAACGACCATTCGAAAATGCTATCATAAGAAAATTAGATCATAGTTAAACATCACTTTCCACTCATCATTATATAATTTTACCTTGTACAAGTTCTAGTAATGATTGAGCCACACTGTCAGATACATCATCATTGTTCAATTGTTCAAATAAATATCCTAATCTTTTGTCTGTATCTTCCCAATATTTCCGTTGACCATGCTTTGAAGAAAAAAAAAAGTAGAATATGAATATGAATTACTTTAAATTTTTTTTTCTCCCTCTCTCTTACCTCCATGCGATGTCTTGATTGAGGACTAGCTTGTGATAAGATTTGATAGATTGGTTCATGTTCTGGCTTGATATGAGATCGATCTTCTTTCGCTAAGTATGTCGTAAAAAAAAAAAAAAAGGTGATCAATTCATTCATTCTATTTTATTAAAATGTACTTACGATAACGTCTTTTCTCTGGCATATTTCCTTGAGGAGATCTATGTAATTGATTCGAAGGATTGTGAGGTGATGTTCGAAAACGAGGTGACGATTTTTCATCCTGTGTTTCCGCTGATGAAAAGATATCTGAATTTTCTACATGATGTTGATGTGCTTTTCCTCCTTGTGTGCCTTGATATTGAGGTGAGGTCGTCTTTTGATGATTTCTTTGAGGAGATGGATATGGTGGTGACTTTTGTTGTTGTTGTTGTTCTTTATTGGTTCCCCAAATGTGTTGAGTCCATAAATGTTGTGCAGTAGGAGGTCCTGATGTAGGAGTATCTGTATACTGTGGTCGTTGTTTTTGGTAGTTTTGTCGTTGTTGTTTTTCAAAATAATCAAATCCTTCCGTATCCCTGTTTTGTAATGTAATAGGTGACGTGGCCGATAATGATTGCATGTCAAGATAGGTGCTTTTTATTGCTTCAGTAGATGTGTCGACCGTGTTGTGTAAGGTAGTTGGAGAGTCAGTTTGTGGTGTATATGAATCAAAAAAATGTGTTTCTTGTCGCAAAGGAGGTGTAGTTTCGCTATTTGTTGGCGGATCAAAGAAAGGAATATCCCTTGCTGTCATAAAAAGTGCATCCGCGTTGCTGTCCTTGGCATACCTATCATTTCCTCGATCCTTTGCCAAATATTGATGTTGAGGTTGAAGAATATCGAGTGAAGGACGATGAAATAGTAGCTGATGTTGCTGTTGTTGTTGTTGATGCTGCTGTTGTGGTTGTTTCTGTTGTTGTTGATGATGATGATATTGTTGTTGCTGTTGCTCCTGTTGTTGCTGTTGATATTGTTGTTGTTGAGGATGATGATGTTGCCGCTGTGGTTGTTGTTGTTGCTCCTGGTATTGTTGCTGCTGGTATCGTCGTTGCTGATAAATTTGGTGCTCCACCGATTCAGTCTGCTCCGAAGATGAATCACGAATGATATGATAAGAACCAAAAGGAGACGTATGGTCCATATTTAGAAGAATCATTCCATGATGACTTGTCGCACGATAGATCCGATCTCGAATAATAGCCATTCCTTCATTGCCGTTTTGTCCATAAAAGCTGTCAGGCACAAGACCAAGATATTTGAATGCTGTATCCAGTTGCCCATTTATTGCCAAAAAATAGGCATATTCACAGTACTTACTATAGAGTATATCCATCCATCGAGTATTCTTATTAGAGGTTGATGTTGTTGTAATAATATCAGAATGTCCGCTATCAGTCAAGAAAGGATCATCAAATTCAATAGCAGAAAGAAATACCATCACTTTTTCTATAAATTCTTGTAATTCCAAATTCTGAGCATCCGTTTCGTCATGTTGGTCAAGTTCAGCAATCCAAAGAGGTAAGAGTCGTTCCAGTTTCCCAGAAGCAAGATAGCATATTGAGGCATGTTGTAGTAATTCATCCGGTGGAGGTAAAGTATATAAGGATGTAGGAGGAGCAGAAGTAGAAGCAGTTTCCAATCGTGAACCCAATGCTTCACATAGAGTTGCAAATTCATCCGAGGTTGCAAACGTACATAGGACGGCTAACACCAATTTCCAATCGTTGACATGGCTGTTTTGAACAAAAGTCATCAAATCTTGACGTACTAGATGATCCAGAAGATGTAGATAGGACACATGCGCTTGTCGTTCCAAATAGAGTCGTCTTGTTCGATTGAAGAGATCGGGACCTCCACTAACAGCCAAAATCAGAGCATCTGCCATCCGTGATTCGTCTTCCAAGCAAAGTGTCACTGCTGATTCAAAATCCCCTATAGCCACTGCTCGAGAAATCCTAGAGTCCCGTATTGACGTATCCGATGTTATTGTTTTCCTCTCTGGTGGAGCTGTTTGTGAAAAAAAGTCAATATCGGAAGGAGGATGAATATCTGCAGATCGAAAAATACCAGAAAGAGTAGAAATCTGCTTTGTTGTCGTATTCATATTGATGTTAGATGATATAGGAGATGGAGATGGAGGCGATGATGATGATGATGGTGACGATGGTGATAATGTCGATAAGTTCACGGCTTTTTGCAACAAGAGCTCTTGTTTGTCTAGACCCAAATAGCTGATCAGTTGTTCTCTTGCATTTTCCATAAACAATATTCTCAGGAGACGCCAATGATTGTTGACATATTCTTGTTGACACTTTTCATCCATAAATTTCAATAACATCTGATGATCAATTTTGGCGTATTCTAGAGTTGATGATCGTTGCACTATATCTGTATCGCTGATGATTGTCAATTTCACTTTCCGCGTGGTAAGTTCATCCGATTGTTGTTCCTGACGTTGAGAATCTGATCTTGGATGATGACCAAATAAAACCAATTTTCCACCAAAACCAAAAGTAGCTCCAACAGGTCGACGTAACCATTTAGGTGGTTGTTTGATTGGAAGATGTTGTTCTTCAAGGATAATATCAGGATTGTATCCTTCCAAAGAAGTTGTCCTATGACCATGTTGAATAGACCATACATTAATCTATAAAAAGAGTCGGATATCACATGATGTTAGTGTTTTTTTTTTCTTGTTTGTATTCATATTATCATTTTGTACCTCGCCACCCAAAGATGCCGATGCCAACCAATTTGGATTTCGAGGGCAAAAATCAATTTGAATAGATGAAGAATCGGATTCAGCTATATCAGTGTAAGAGCCAGTTCGAGGATCCCAACTAAGAATCTTTCCATCTTTGCCACTTGATACTAAGAGTTCACTATCCTGACGACACCAAGATAAATCCAGGACACCTTTTGAATGGCCTTGCATAGTCTTCTCAGGAGTATTAGCTCTGCGCAAATCCCATAACGTGATCACAGAATGCGTATCATCCATTGAAGAAGTCACCAATTGCGTAGCCTACGGTCCAAAAAAAAAAAAAAAAAATTAAAATAAAACAAATATTCTATAGTATACTCTATAACTTTACGATATCAGGATGCCAAGCTACAGATGATAAAGGATATCTACCAGTTAATTCCATTACTTTCTTTTTGGATCTTAAGTCTAATATAGATGTATGACCATTAGAAAAGCAGGTAGCCAATATATAAGGGACTTGACAATTCCATCCCACTTTTGTAAGTTGTTCATCCATATTAGGTGTATGAGCCCCAGGAGTATAAGGTATTTCAGGATTATTGGCAAGATCCCATATGAAAACCTATGGAATAAAAAAAAAAAATCATGATCAATTCAGTTGTGGCACCAAATAGTCTGTGTTCCGTCCTTCCTTTCCCCCCCCAAAAAAAAAGAACTTTTTTCTTTACTTCATTATCACTACCAGCGGTGACAAGTAAATTGGGTTGGTGTATATTGAAATCCATATAAAAAATAGACTGTGTATGTGTTGTTGTTCGTTGAGATAGGAATGCATTTTTGTTAGAATCACTAGAGAATAAATAATAATAATATAAAACATTGGTTGTGGTAAGTGAAAAAAAAAACTAGAAGAGGTCCCAGGATTGAAATGCTTACTCATGATCAGATATAGCATAAGGATCCCATAATTCCAAACCACCAGTATTTGTTCCTGCTGCCAAGATACCCCAAGGTTTAGCTATTTGTGAATTCCCCCAAGCCAAAGCAGATAATCTTATCCAAAAAAAAAAAAAAGATTAGAGAATATATTTAAAACTAATAAAAATAATATATATATACCATCTTACCCACCTTGAAGAAGAATTGACCTTACCAATTGATTTTTGTATTGTACCTGATAGGTTGGTACTCAATTGGAAAAGTTCTATTTGAGACGTTTTACTATGATAAGACCCAGTAGCAAGAATAGGAGTAGTAGGACACCAAGCAAAAGTAATGAGAGGAGAGTCTTGCATCGTTGTGGTTATTGTACAAATAGAGATGAGGGTATAAACAAGTGGATATAATAAAAAAAAAAAAAAGACAAAAAGAAAAAGAAATGGGAAAAAAAGGAAAAATAACTGACCCACTAAAAATGGAAAATCCGAAGAGAGAACTTTTTTTTATTTGAATTCCGGTCTATGCATGTTTACAGCATTGTGTCTTCATTTTATTGAAAGAAAAAAAAAAAGAATCATCAATAAACTAAGATAGTATATATATATATAAAAACTAATCTAATTTTGTTTGACACAGTTGCTAACAATTTCCCAGTCGTTGTCAGTAAAAGGTTTTCCACTATCATAACAAAGAGATTGTCTTTGGAGTTGTTTACATAACATATCGATGTCAAAGTCAGGATGTGCCTTGACGATATCATACTTGATTTCTAGTCGAGTTTTTCCTTGTTCTTTTCCTTGTCGTATAGTTTCCATCACCATAGCTTTGGACGGCGTCAATTCAGGATCGATGGGATATCTAACATGGCTGTGTTGTTGATCATTAATGTACGTGTTACTGTTGTTGTTGTTGTTGTTGATTATATTGCTATTTATGCTGTAGTTAATGTTATTGTTAATGCTGTTGATGCTATTGATGCTATTGATAGTGGTAATGTTGTTGTTTATGCTATTACTGGTATTGGTAAATGGATTGTTGCTGTACATGTTGTTGTAAAATGATTGTATTTGTTGATCAAACGTTGGATCTGATAGAGTTGTGTTGTTCGATCGTTGCTGTTGTTGTTGTTGTTGTTGTTGTTGTTGTTGTTGTTGGGTCAAACCATGCTGGGTTGTGTCCATACCAAATAGTGCAGAAAGATCTGTATTTTCCTCTAATAACCATTCATCAGCCGCTGTTGTTGGATTTCGATAGGTTGAGAAAGCAAAGTTTGTTTTTCCATGAAAAAGATCGCTATTAACGGGATGTTGTGCTGAAGTATTGGTGTAATTGATGTCAAAGTCATTGAAAATACCAAATGTCGCTACTGATGCATGATTATCTGTGTTGAATCCTTTGTTGCTGTTTTCATCAAGACTAAAACCATCGACACCATTGTCGTATTTGACTTCGGATGAGGGTGAGTAGTGCTCACTTCCTGAGCTACTAGTACTACTACTACTGCTGCTGCTGCTGTTGCTTCTACTGTTGTTGTTCTTGTTGCAAAAGCTTTTGTTTGATTCTTGAATATGATCACCAATACTAACGATACTATTTTCACTTTCAATGGATGGTGTAGTTGATGATAATGGTGGTGAATCCAAAGGTTGTGTATTCGAAATAATATTTGCTGTTATGTTTTTGGTGTCATGTGGTGGATATTCAAAAGTAAATTTGGCATCTTTCAAGGCATAATTTTCTTGTCGTAATTTTTCCAATTCATCTTTGAGTTTTGCATTTTCCGTTTCCAAGTCGACTTCTTTTGTTGATTTTTCTTCTTCCAATTGTCGGATACGTTCTTGAAGCTCAACCACATGCTTTTCTTTGCGTTCTCTAAATGCACGTTGTGCTGCTCGGTTTTGAGCTTTTCTTTTGTTTTTCGGATCACTAGTTTCCTACAGTTAAAAAAAAAAAAAGTGAGTTCATTATTTTTTTTTTCGCTTTCTTCCTTTTTGAAATATTGTATTGGTACCTCATCCAAAGAACTTTCAATAGGTTTTCGTCCAGGTCGCTTTGGAGTTCTTGTTACTGTTATTCAAAGAAAGTTCACAAAGTAAGAATCGACAGATTTATTTGTTTGATATTTTATTATCATACCTTTCGCTTTACTTTCCTTTTTCTTCGTAGCCGAGGAAGCTACAAACACAAAGAAATAGTTGAGGTTAACTATTATCCTTTTTGCAGTTCTATCCAATATGTATATCTTTTTACCTCTTTTCTGTGGAGTTTTGGATTTGACAGAATAATCAGAGTAACTATCGTCTTGTGAATCATCGTCTTCAGTAAAGCTGTCGTTGTAATGATCTGATGAAGCCATAATATAAATTGAATGTGAAAAGAAAAAGAAAAAAAAAGAAGAGTGGTTAAACTAGAAAAAAGACAAAAAAAAAAATAAATAAAAATAAAGATTTTTTTGGATGTCCGCTTCAATTTGTAAGCATATCATTTATATCTTTTTATTGGATGTATACGTTCAAAAAGTATATATCAAAATGAAGCTTTATCAAAAAAAAAGAATGCCATATTTGTATCTAAACTAACAACAATCTATACTAAGGATAAATCAAGCAATTGAATGTTTCTTTATCCAATCATTGTACGCTTGCGACCACGTAATCTCACTACCATATATAGAATATAATATAAAGTAAGATAAATTCAAGGTGAGAAAAAAAAGAAAAAAAGTAAAGATAGGTGTCACAATTTCATTACCTTCTTCTAATTTAGACATAATGGGTTTAGATTGCTTGTAATGCTTGATATAACTTGCCAAGATGTTTGCAAACTATGGACGGGAAAGAAAAAAAAAAGAAGAAGAGAGAGGTTAGATGATCACCATTTTATTGTTCTATTTCTAAATTTACCAATTGCTCTGTGGAAGGATGAGTACTTGAAAAGGCACGTTCCAAAACATATAAATCAACTGCTTTATCTTCAGGCATACTAGAACCATAACTTAGACCAAAATCAATCGTTACCTATAGTGTTCGTCAATATATATATATGTATAAGATATATATAACTTAATAAGATATTTATATATTTCCTTTTTCTTTTATTTTATACTTACTACAGATCCATTTTCTCGAAGCATCATATTGGATGTGGTGAGATCGCCATGAATGATATCAATACTATGCATTTTCGCCAATGCCTTTCCTATTTTGTCTGCAATAGGTGCTACCAGTGACAAAAAAAAAAAAAAAAAGGATGCACGTTAGTAAAAAAAAAAAAAAAAAATCTGAAACTTGAGGTATTTTCAATGGGTATGCCTAATCATATTACCGAGATCTAAATCAGAATACTGATTGTGTTGATTGTCCAATAGTAATCGTTTAAAGGTTGTGCCTACAATTTTTTCCATGTAAATGGTTGCCTTTTGTATATCCACTAAATAAACAGCAGGTGTATCCATGCCTGCTTTGTTGCACCGGTACAAACATCTGGCTTCTTGCGTTACTCGTCGTGCTGTCAATTGTCGATCTAGATCAGGATGTCGATATGTTTTCTTGAATCGTTCTTTGGCAATACATCCTTCCTTTATTGTTAAAAACGTTGATAGTTCATATACGCGCTATTAAAAAGGTGATAATGTAGTCATTAATATAAAGTTAAATTATGAGCACACTTTCTTTTTTTTTCTATCAATGACTTACTGCTTCAGCACCTTGTTTAATGCAAATAGGTTCTGTTGTCATGTCGATTGTATAATAAGGGTATGATAAAGAAAAAAAAATGGTGCCAAAAAAAAAAAAAAAATATTCAAAAAATCAAAACAAGACAGAGGAAAAAAAAAGTGTTTTCTGTACCAATGAATTCTAACACCGACTTACGTTACTAAGGAAAGAGGAATAGACTCTTCAATAATACATACAAACCCATGATTGATAATTTTTTTTTTAAAAAAAAACGGAGGAAATACATAATAAAAAGAGATTAAAACCAGTCAATAAAAATGTCTGTAAGATGAATCCAATATTTTATAGTATTTGTTTTTTTATTGCATTAAATGATATATAAGTGATCAGAGAAGGTATATAAAAATACATATATATATATAAACAAGACAGAGGGAGAGAAGGGAAACAAAACTAACAAACATATTGGAATTCTTCTAATGGGAGACCTTCTTTCTGTCTTCTTTCAATTTCGTTTCTAGCCTTGTCACGTAGATCCACATTTGTGCGATTTCTAAGCCGTTCCGCATGTCGATTCTTGATGGCAATCCATTTATTTCCTTTAAAATAACCCAGTCCTTCCTTGAGAGCATCGAGTTCGTCATTGGTCCAGGTAGTGTAACGTCTGCGATAAGGTATTGGACGTGCTCGTGAGTGTTCCTTTTGCAGAGGTCGCATTGTAGTTGGCAGTTGCCGTCTTCCTTGCCTTGTGCTGTCCATATCATTGACATCATCCGAAATAGATTCTTCGTCACTGTCACTATTATTGACACTATCAGGAATAAATTCGTCATCACTATCGTTCCAGCGGATGGCTACGGGTGATCGTGGTGCAGAATTGATTACATTCCCTCGTTTTCTGATTCTTGTTCTTCCGATGAAGGTTTTCCGGTTATTTATGCTAGTTGATGCTCCTATTGTTGTTGGTCGAGATGATGTTTGCGAAGATTCTGTTGCAGATGATGATTGTGAGGGTGATGGTGATCCAGGTATTGGCGATGCTAGTAATATTGATGGCGAAGGAGATGCTTGTGATGTTTGTAATTCTAATGATGATGGTAACGCTAAAGGCGACAGAGGCGCTTGTGATGTTTCCGATGCGGATGATGGTAAGGGTGATGACGATTGCAATGCTACTGATGATTGTTGAACTTGTTGACGTTGTTGTGATATTCCTTGTGATCCCGGTGGTGACTGAGAAAATAGATGTTCATCAATATCATCAGTAAACTGTAATGACTTGTCCTTTTCGTATCCTGTCGTTGACAAAGTTTGTCGTTTGTAAGACCGCTCTTCTTGTTGGTCGCCAGAACTATCGCACACAGAAGCACCCACCCACCAAAAAAAAAAAAAAAAATTGAATGAATGAGCCAAATGATACACATATAAAAGATGTTTGATGAATATTGTAATTGTTTTTTTTTAGGGGGGAACTTTACCTTGAATGATTTCGTTTTCTTTCAATCGCCAAAGTAGGAACATGGTTGCCATCATCATCAAGATTAGAATCGACTAAATATCCAGGTGGAAATCCACTATTGCCACTAATACAAGGATCTTGATTATTGCCTCCATCATTGGGTGAGTCGGAAGATTCTGTGTTGTCTTTGTCAAAGTCGTCCGTTGTATTATTGTTGTCAATATTTTTGCCTAGATCAAATTCTTCATCGCTGGTATCCAATTCATATAATTCTTCTTCTTCTTCTTCTTCTGGCGTTGGAGTTTGATCAAATTCTCTTCGTTCTTCATCTGCAGGCAGTTGAGTAGAATAGGGATAGATATGGTTCTCCACATGTTGCCGTTGTTCCGAAAGACTATTCTCACCCATCATTTCGTGTCTTGGTTCTTGAATTACATCATCTGATATTGAATGATTAGAGGATGAAGGAGAACGTATAAGGTCGATGTTATGATTTCGTTGTTCTTGTACCGTTTCTTCAAGTGATGGATGAATGGAGGAACTGTCAGTGTAAATATGATGGCGTGAGTGCTCTTCTGCTGATGTCGACGGTGTTGGAAGGATAGAAGAAGTATCAGAATCGTTATTGATTTCGGTAATATTATGTGATTGTTCTTGAATTGTTTCTGTAGGAGATAAGTAGATAGAGGAAGTGTCAGAGTCATCGTTAGTAATGTGATGCGAAAGTCCTTCAGTTGATTTTGCTAAAGTTGGGTGAACAGGAGAGGTATCAGATTTGTTGTTCAACTTTTGAAGATCGATCACTGTGTCATTTGTTGTTGCTTCTTGTAATAAGCTATTGTTATCGTTAGTGACATTATGTTTCTTAAACTTGATTCCAGTTGCTGATTTTCTTTGCATATAGATATCGACATTATCAAGGGTATTTGGTTCAAGTAGAATCTAAATAAGATATATATTGTATGTAAGTATTAAACCATATATATATATATAATTCTTTTGATTTTTACTTACGTTATTCACAGATATAGTTGGTGTACGAAGGTTATGATATATAATAGCAGATTCACAACTATTTTTCAATCGATCTAAAGGTATCAAGGTATTAAGATCATCCAAATCATCCAGACTAAAAATCTAAATCAAGAAAAAAAAATAAGTATATCTGTTTTGATTTAACAAAAAAAAAAAAAAAAGAATTTACCTTTTCCCTGCGTTTTTTGACATCTTCCATAAAGGGAACAGTATATTCTTGAGATCCAAATCCATAGCTGAGAGGGTCAAGAGAGAGAGCTTGTTCAAGAAGAGAATCCATATCAATACCATTGTCAGTTGAATAAGGGCTGTTTGACTCTGAGTAATTTTCCAAGGCTAAACTATAAAGTAAACGGGTTCTGAGATCAATAAAAGCAGAAAGAATAGATTGACATAGAGTTGTTGGTTCGTCAGATAAATGAGAAAGAGAGAGTTGTCCAATAGCATGCATATTGTCGGTTAGCAAGTATCGTGTAAAAGAGGCAAGATTGACCTTTTGAAGGATTTGACGAATCCAAGTCGTAAGTTTTTCTTGCTCCTGATTAGAATACCATTCTGGAATAGCATCGACTAGACTTGGTAATATACTAGGGATATCCACGTAAAGATTTGTTTTCAAAATATCTTGTTTCAGTTCTAATCATTATAGAATATAAAAAAAAAAAAGAAGAAAAAAAAAGACCGATCCAAATAATAATGGAGTTAGATCACACTTTATTTTTGCTCGTATGTATTTTGTTTTATATATATACCATTCAAATTGTTTGCAGCATTGTTGTCATCCACGGTAGGGGATCGCATCAAGGCATCGATGAGTTGTTTGGAGTAGAGATCGAGTTTCTTCAATTTTTGAAAGACTTCACTATCAAAGATAGATGTCATTTCAAGACAGAGAAAAAAAAAAACAAGAAGATCAGATATTCGTCCAGTCAATAAAAAGAAAAGAATAAAAGAGGTGTGCAAGAAAAAAACCTTGCAAAAAGGCAAAAAAAAAAAATTGATTTGGATCACCGATACCTCTACGCGTTTTGACCAATCTTCCATCCATCCAAAGGTTAGACATGTAAAAGAAGAAGATGAAAGGTAGTTTTTATTATTCAACAAACAAATCTAAACTATATATGTATAAATAAATACTATAAAATGCTATACTACAGATACATAAGAAAAGAAAAAAAAAAGACATTATTCCCAAAAAGAATACTTGTATACACCAAGAGGTAGATGATTTTTTTCCAAATACATGACCTCATTTCTAGCTTTGTCCCTGAGTTGCAAAGTTGTTCTTTCCTTCAGTTCTTTTGGAAAAAGACTCTTGATTAATGCCCACTGTGGTGATCTTGTATGTGCCAAACCTTTTTCCAATGCTGTCACTTCTTCATTTGTCCATCTTGTATACCTTTTCCGAGTCTTCTTTTCGATCCTATTATGAATAGTAAGCCGACTACGTACCTTTTCTCGAGCTTGCTGGGAATAAGTAGAGGTGGAATGGTCAAATTGAATCCTAGACAAATTGAACAAAAGTAATTAGTCAAGGAGCACATATATATATATATATATGTATAACGTACGCTACGGTTCGTATTTCATCAATGAATTTTTGAGAGTATGCTTCTAAGATAGGATGCCAGATTTCTAATAATTCCTGATGGTTAACAGGTCCCATTAATGATCCATCTTCATTTTCAGAGTCACTTCTACTAAATTGACTATAGATCTATATAAAATACAAAGATAGATGAGTTCCAACCTTTCCTTAAGTTTGCAGAATTCATCATCATTGTCACTCCTTTTCTGTATACAGTTTACCTGATCTCTCCTTTCTGACATGTTGATGAGGTAAAAATTGGTCAAATCATCATCCCATCCAAACGAAGTTTCATTCAATTTCTGTGGAAAGTAACTATCTAACGCTTTCTTGAGCGCCTTCACCAAGTCTTCATTTTCAGTGAGTGCTGCTTGTTGCATATCGTTGATCAATTGGTAGGATCTCAGTTCCACAAAAGCTTCCAAGATATCACGGTCAACAAATTCATTTGGGATAATTGATTCAAATAGATGTGTTCCAGCATCTGTCAAATCGCCATCGTCCAACAAGTCCAAAGAGATTCTAATAAATTGTTGGAATTGCAATAGGAGTCCCAGTAATAATTCCGATGGATGTGTTTGTTTGTATTCTCTAAACAGATCTAATAATATGAGTAAATCCAAAAAAAAAAAAAAAAAAAAAAAAAAGAATGGTGAAAAAATATTACAACCTTCATCTAGTTCATCATATTATGTTTGTACCTGAAATATCGGACATATCAAGATAATTTTCTTCATTGGGTTGTTTACCAGGTTCTAATAACTTGTTGATAGATTCAATGAGTTTTTCAAATAAATCTGTAAACGCGGACATTGGAAGAAGTTTGGTATATTTTTGTATGCAGACAAGAAATGAAAGAAAAGAAAAAAAAAAAAAAAAAAAAAAAAAAAAAAGCTTTTATATAGGTGCTGAGATTTAATGTATTTAATTTTTTGAACTATATTTGACATAATGCTTTGTTAAAGTTCAATCTATGTGTTGATTATTTTTTACTACCATCAGAGTATAGTTCTAACTTGATGATAGGCACTTTTTCGATGACATCTGTTCCATCGACGGATGTAGATGCTTCAGTCGTAGTGGTGGTAGTAAGGGGAGGGGGAGAAGAAATTCTATTAGTGGCCATCCGATCAAGAAGCTCTTGATGCATTTCAATATGTAACATTTCTAACTTGGCAGCTTCCATATCAACATACCATAAGATGATGGTAGCCAAAACGAATAGGATGGCTATGAGAAGCCAACCGTAATATGGATTGGCCGTCTTTTCTGTCACTGCACCAATCACTGCAAAAGCCATCCAGGATGATGCTTTACTGGCTATACCGAAAAGTCCAAAAAATAAATTTTCTTTACCTGGAGGAACTAGTTGTGCAAGCATTGTCTGTTCCCACGCCCTAATCTCATCATCATCATGAACGTAGTGATGTTAATTAATAAAAAAAAAAAAAAAGACATAGGTGAATCATCACGACCTCTTTTTTTTTTATTTTTGTTTTTCTCTATTTACCAAATTGGACCTGTGAAGAAGCCTATTGAAAAATAAAAATAATTATTCATTCTACTTTTATCAATAAAATAGAAATGATGATGGATGATGATCAAAAAAAAAAAAAAAAGAATTACCTGACCAAGCTGATGATACCCAAAGTTCCCATACAGTTTTTATTCCAAAGTTATCCATTCCAATACCAAAACATCCCCAGAGTGGTAAAATACCTACAATAAAAAAAAAAAAAAAAGGATGATCAATACCATAAAAATAAAAATACAATATGATTTTACCAGTTGTTACCACAATGGTCATCAAAATGGTCTTTGTACTAAGAGTAAATTGTTTTGCCAAGAACAGAAAGAAAAAACATCCAATAAGAGAAAATACAGCAGTGACTAATCCCATACCTGCATTTGCCGTTGCTGAAAAATCAGTGATTTCATTTTGAAGAAATTGTTGTAAAACGCTAATGGCATTCACTCCATCAGTAAATAAAAAATAGGATACTATATATAAATACAAATATCGATATTTTTTGGCTTCCCTACGATATCAAAAAAAAAAAAAAGATTTGTTATATAATCACTCATTCTTTTGATGATATTTTACTTTAGTGCTTGAAATATAGATTTCCAACCAACAGTAAAATGACTTTGATCTGGTGGCAACGGAGGACCTTTCCGTCCAACCGGTCGGAGGATGAAATAGGGTAATGCATTGACCAAGCAATAGGCTCCACCAACAACTGATCCAATACAATAATATGCGAGAGTATTCCCAAATGTTCCAGATTGATCATTGACAAATGGTCCATTATACCATGGTATAAATGAAACACCAACAAATACACCTGTATGATGATGATGATGATGATGATGATGATGATGATGATGATAATTGAATAAGTTTTTTTTGGATGAGCATGATAAAGTATGAGACAAAAAAGAATTAGTATATAGTTTTGAATTCTGATTATAGTATGATATGTACCTGAATAGATAAGGAAGCCGATGTTCGAAAAAGCAGTTGATACGGCCGAGACATGATTTCTCCACTTTTCGACTATAAGTTGAGTTTCTTCAATAGATATCATAGGATCAGCACGGACACTTCGAACCAAAGGTAAATTATCACTTTTTTTTTTAAAAAAAAAAAAAAAAAAAAAAAAAAAGAAAAAGAGAAAGGTGAGTGTTTGAAACACAGTTACCATTTTGGGATTATTTTATTCTTGGATGATCTACCTCAAAAGCGGGAAAGCAGCAGTATAAAAGACCAAGGTAACACCATAGGCAGTCAAAGCGATGATATTAAGAACCAATATAGTTATCCAACCTGAACCGTCATTGTTGATATAGAAGATGGGCAAGATCTGTGCAACGCAGCTGATCAGTGTGGCCACGATGAGAATATAATGATTATAACGTCCATAATCAGCTAGGGAACCAAACGTTGTGAAGATAACGAATTGAGCACTGAAGGAGATGGCGGTGACATACATCACCATGGAGACGACGGGAATACCATCCTGAAGATTGAGCCAAGGTACATTGCATGGTGCATTATCCGTATTTGAAGTCAGCTGGCACTTGGGTCGACCTGCCTTGGTTGGATCAAATCCTCCTTGCTGAGCCAAGTATTGTAAAAAAGTAGGAAGGAAATAATAAAGATTGTATCCATTGTTACCATTGTAATAAAGATAATAACTCCATAATTCGTATCTTGTTGCTGGTGGTTGTTTTAATACTTCTCTTCCTATTTCTGTCGTAGGATCAATCCGACCTCTTACTTTGAAAGGGTCATTTTGCCACCTTAATTCTGAGGACATTGAAATGATATGAAGAAATAAAAAATTAAAAAAAAAAAGAGAGAAAAGAAAGATAAAGTAAATGTTTAAATGATGATAATAAATCGGCTTGGATGCTCAGTTCCATAAACAAAATACAATACAATATAAAAGACCAAAAACAAAGATGTTGTTTATTTTTCCAAACAAATGTACAAATATACTAAAACTGTGATACAAAAATGAAGGACTCACATATAAATGTATTAAAAAACTAATCATTGTCCATAGTCATACTTTCTAAAGTTGGTAATATACTTGTCCATAATTCCACGCCCTAACATTATCATCAAAGAAAAAAAAAAAAAAAAGTAATCATCAGTGATTTTTGTATGCAGTTGATTGTTTGGTGTAACTTACTTTTTGATAAAAGTCAACATGGCAATCTGCATAAGCAGCCAATCCTTGTTTCAGTTCCACCACCCGTGTTTTTTGGAATATATCATATTCTTGAATCATCTGACTTGAGAAGCTATTGTTGGCATCGTTGGCTAGTGATACATCTCTTTCTAACTAAATACCATGTGTGAATATTATTTCCAATCAATCTTTTTTTTTTTTTTTTTTTTTTACCTCTTCCAGTTTGAATTGTAATCTTGTCAATCGTTCTCTTCTTGTTTGAGTTAAATTGTTGCCTTTCATTTCACTCATCTTATCCGCCATAAATTCACTAATATTCAAAGAAGGTCCACCAGCAAGATGTTGACCAGGATGAAGTAGTCGTTCACGATCTTGTGTTAATCGTTGAAGATAAGATGAAAGTTCTTCAAAATCCACTTGCTTTTGATCTCGTTCTCGTAGTTGATCCTAAATAAATAAATAAAAGAGGATAAATATGTCTTTTAAGGAAAGGATTTGATCAATGATATGTATATGTTACCTCTGCTGCACGACAATAACTGAGTAATTCATGAATGTTATTCAAATATACCATATCTTCTTGTTTTGTCTACATAAAAATAATGATCATCAACATTAATCAGATATTTGCTCATAACATATTTTTTTTTCTAATAATTTACCATATTGGCTATACATCTAGCGTACATTTCCATTGTTTCAGCAAATTGTCTTAATTTTCTTTCCACTGTAGGTTCCAAAACAGAGAGTCCACGTAAACTATTAGAAAAATCAAGATAATCTTGTTCCAAGTCTAGTAAAAGAATGATAATAAAAAAGATGAATAAGATATTTTTTTCAATGACTTCGTTCTTTTCTACCTTGTTGTCGTCTACCAATCCTAGAATAGAGTCGTTCCACAATATCTAGATTATCTTGAAATTTATTGACAGATTCTTTCATCATGACAAATCGATCATCAGGTTTCTTCACCTTGGAAAAGGATTTTAAAAAAGTATCACCAAAAGAAGAGAAAACGGATGCCTGAGACGGTATACGCTTGGTCTGCATTTGTTTATCATTTTTCTAAAAATAAAATGTCAGTGCATATCAACAAACAGTTATTATTATTATCATTACAAAATCCCCAGATTCCAAAAATACACGTGTACATTGTGATTTTTGCAGTAAAGGATGTCTTGCAATTCGATTTAAAAACCATTGTAAACTAATATAAATAAATAAATAAATAAAAAGTAATATCCTTCCTATCTAACTTACCCTAATCTTCTTCTTTCAATAAAGTCCTTGTCAAATCTATCCCCTTTGAAATATTCTATACAATATTATGTTAGATTTAATTTTTTGATATGAATGATAAAATAATAATTTACTTACTCATTCTATGTTTTTCCGGTAAATTTGGTATGATACAGGCAGGGAATTCAAGAGACAATGCATTATATAACCAAACAAAATCTTGAAATCGACGTCGAACAGGTTTTGGGTGTGATGATCCAAAGGTTTCCACTAAAGTCTATTTTTCATTTATTAATACCAAAAAAAAAAAAAAAAATCAAATCTTTTTGTTTTTATGCTTTTTTTTTTTTTATTATTACCGTAGTACTAATAAGATAACTAATGAAACTATCATCGTATTTTTGAGGATCTTGTACTAGTATTGTCATTGCCTTGGGAGTATCAGTAGTAATGGAAGTTGTATTATTGGTATAATCACTACGAGAGGATATATGAGGCGAATTGTTGTTATTATTGTTATTATTGGTACTAGAACTAGGAAGATCTTGTTGCCATTGGTCATCAATATTTTGGATAGGAGTCTTTCCATTACTTGTTGAATGTAATGTATTAGTAGTAGTAGTAGTATATTCCTATACATATATAAAAGTTCATTAAATAAGATTTAATAAGTTGTCAAATACTTTTTTTTTATATGGTTTACAAATTCATGACTTGAGTCACCATAAGTCAAGATAGGATTATTATCGTCAGTACGAGGAATAAAGGCTTCTGAAGAATAGTCATCCCATCGAACATCATCATAATCGTCAGTGTTCATAATTGAAAAAAGAGAGAGAGAGATAGAGAATATATGTGCTTCTTTATTAAAATGTAAAAAGGAAAAAAAGAAAGAATAAAAAAAAAAAAAAAAAAAGTTTATAATTGTGTCACGCGGACTTTTTCCTTAATGTCTATCCTTTTTTTTTTTTTTTTTTTTTTTTTGATGCAAGGCTACACTTGTATATAATCTAAACTGTTTTCTGAAAAGGAAATATATATTGTAATAGATATCAAATCCTAGTCTAGTCGTTCCTACAATAATAAACTAATATCTTGTGATGATGCAAACATTTCTGGTTTAATTTGTGGGATTCTATATGAAGTTATCAGATGATGATGATAGTAAATGATGGTAGTGAATGATGATATTGAATGATGGTAGCGAATGATGATATTGAATAATGATAGTGAATGATGATAGTGAATGATGATATTGGATGATGATATATACTACTTTTTTTTTCATAGGAGTCAGCGGAGAGGAATAGATAATTTGCACAATTGAATAATATGGTTTGCAGTTGAAAAAAGTGTGATTTACATTGTATTGATTGTACCAAAAAGAGAATATAAAAAAATGAATAGAAAGAGAAGTATGGTAAGTAAGTGATCTCTTTTTTTTTGAATACTTACAACCGTAGTTTAAACGTCGCAGGTTTTTTGCTACCTGGATTAAGCATATAGTTCATACATAGAAAGAATGAAAGAATGGTAGGCTTATGATTCGCCATAATCGTCCTCAACGTTTTATAATTAATGGGATGACACGCACTTCTGAATCACTCTTGATAACCAAGCTTCCAAAACGATCAAATTATTGATTTAGCTATGATCATTAAGAAGAGACTATGATAAAGAATAAGAAAGGTTTTATTGATATCATTAATCACCATTTCCGTAATATAAAAAAAGAATCACCGCAAACATCTAATCAAATGCAGAGAAAGAAAAAATCAACACGCTTCATATGGAAAAAAAACTAGTAATTATGGGTTGAATAAATAATTTTTATGATGATGACTATTTAACTTGTTAAAAAAAAAAGAGGGACATTATCAATTCAAAATAAAATAATAAAAAAAAGTAAAAGACTTTATTGAATTTCAAAAAAAAAATGGTTGATCATTATCCTGATTGTTTTGCTTGCCATGCTTGAGCCATTTGTAATAATTTGAGATTTCTAGATTGTTCTTGATCATCAGGGAATATATAATCAAAGTATTCTTCCCAAATAACATTGTCTTCAGTAGAATCTTCAGCCTTTCTTCGTTTCTTGACCACTTTAGGTTCCTTATCCTTGACCACCTTTTGAGTTTCTTCTGTACCATAGTTTTCTTCAAAGTCCTTCCAAGCATCAAGAAGTAAAACACGCTAGAAATCAAATAAAGAAAACAAAATCACAAATGAATACATATCTAGCTATTGTTTTTTTTTTTTTTTTTTTTTACCTCTTCTTTAAGTCCTTTTTGTTTCATTCGATCTGAAGCCTTTTCAAAGATCTTGCGAGATTTTTCCACAGCTTGTTGATTATCATCCTGAGGTATAGATAATTCGAATTGTGCAAAACTGATGTATACCTTGACATGTTCTGTACGTTCCAATAATCGATGATATAAGTCACGTGTCTTGTCATATTCTTCTTCACTGATTTCAAAGTCAATATAGGCTTTCCATAACAATTCAGGCATATCCAATACAGGTTGTCCAATGGCCAATTCAAAAATAGCACGACATCGATCCTGTTCTCCAAGCATCTTTTCTAATTCAGCAAACTTGATCCATCCTGCACAATTGGCTGGATTGAATTCCAAATATTTTGTATATAATGTACGACATCGGTCAAATTCACGAAGCTAATGGGAAAAAAAAAAAAAGTCATTGGTTTTCCTGATTATTTTTTTTTCTTTTTTTTTTTAAAAAAAAAGTTTCATTCTTTACCTGCATTTCCAAATCGATATAACCTTCAAATAATTTATTTTTAGGACATTGACCAATGGCACGACCAAGTAGTTTTCTTGCAGCTTGTACATTTAACTGTCGGATTTCAAATTTGGCAAATAGTAACCAGATTTTGGCAAAAGTAAATGATTTGTGAGGTATGAGCTTGATACATTCATTATATATTTCCCGTGTCTTTTCAATATCCTAATAAAATGTATATATTTAATTTCATCATCATCACATCCAATATATTTATATTCATTACCTCTGTTTCCAATTCTTCAAATAATGCATAGTTGATCCATAAATAAATATATCGTCGCCAATATCGTTTTTCTTCAGCAGGAGGCACTTGAGCAATGGCTCTTTCGTAAACTTCACGAATACGATGTACTTCACCAGCAGATTCTTCCAATTTAATGTAGTCAAACCATACGTCATAATTGTTGGGATTTGATTCGATTTCTTGTTCGTATTGTACTCGACGTTTTCCAACCACAACATTTTCTATTCCTTCTGTGTCCCCATATTGTTTTTCAAAATTGGTGTATTGATTATAAAGTGATTCTGATTTCGATTTTGGTAATCGATCCAAACCATATTTGAATAACACTCGAGCACGTTCATACTAAAAAAAAAAAAAAAAAAAAAATGATATGATGAGTTTATTCATTCCCATTTCCATTCTTTTTATTTACCTCTTTCATCTTGATTTCAAACTTTGCAAAGGCCACTAATACTTTTTGATCCAGTTTTTCATCACCCAAATATTGAATAGCTTCAGTATAAATTTCACGACATTTGTCTATTATTAGTCAATAAATAAAAAAGTAAATAAATAAAGATGAATGTTATATATGATTATATATATTTTTACCTAAATCATTATGTTCTTCTTCAAACTTGGCCCACTTGATCCAATTCTTAGGTTCAGGATGAACACTGACGAAACGTTCATAGATATTCCTAGCACGGTCATTTTCACCATAACGTAATTCCATCTTGACATAAGCCAACCATGCTGATTCATCAGGTTCCCATTTAATCCAACGTTCAAACACATTGCGAGCTTTTGGTACATCACCAAGAGTTTCTTCCATGTAAGTATACTTGTACCAGAATTGATCAACACGTGGTAAAAGTGTGACAGCACGATCCAAAATGTTACGAGCATGATTGACATTACGATTCTTCATTTCCATTTCAGCATAACGAAGCCAGATGGCCACATTACGCCATTCCACATCCAAAGCACGTTCATACACCGATCGAGCTCGTTCCAATTCCATTTGTGATTCTTCCCATGCTGCATATTTGAGCCAGTTGCTAATATTCAGTCGGTTTTTGCGAATGTTATCTTCAAATTCTTTGCGTTTACGTTGACGGAATTCTGAAAGTTCTTCAAGATCGGCAATCTTTTGCTGAGGAATCGAATGTACAGGTTCAAGTCGTCTGTCATGAGCTTCACGAAGAATTTGTTCAGCGGTAATTTGAATAGGTGCTGCACTTTTGTTTTTGACCTGTTGTTATAAAGAAAATAGCTTTAGTTCTCCAAGATGATGGTTGAATATACATTCAAGATGAAGGTACTTTTATATTCTCTTTTTTTTTTTTTTTTTACCTTTGGAGGTCGAAGGTTTCCTCTTCTACCGTCTTTTTTATCGTCCATGATATGTTTAAAGAAAAGAAAATAATTAAGAAAAGAAAAGAGAAAATAAAAGAATTGTTTTGCGCAGATTGAATACCATTGAACACACTTTTTTTTTTTTTTTTGCGCTCATAAAAAAAAAAAAAAAAAGAGAGATCTGTGACCGCCCTCCTCCCCTTATTTTCCCAAAAAGAAATAAACAATTTCTCTCTCAGCCCTTTTTTGTTTCTTTCTTTTATCCAAAACAACATGCGTTCTCGTATTCTTCGTGATATTAAAGCTCGCCAATCCCTTGCTGATAACGAATTGACTCGTCAAGCCTATCGATATATCACTCGTAACGAAACTCTTCCTGCTCGTGTTCGTCATCAAGCTCAACTTGCTCTCAATGCTATGCCTAAACAATCTTCTCCTACTTACATCTCTAATCGTTGTGTTGCCACTGGTCATGGTTCTGGTATCTTACGTGAATTCAAACTATGTCGATTTCAATTCCGTTTGAAGGCTTTGAATGGTGAATTACCTGGTGTCAAGAAAGCTTCTTGGTAAATGGGTATTCTTCTCCATTTTTGATATCTTCTTTTGATCTTTTTTTTTTCCCTATGACTTTCTTCTTTTTTTTCTTCTTTCTCTTACATCGACATCCGCACAATGCTCTCACATACACACACAACAAAACAAACATATACATTCACATATATTTTTATAAATGTAACCCTTTCCTATCTTCATTGTACAGTATTATCCTTCTTTTTATTATTATTTTATTCTATATAGACTTACAAAATATCAATCAAAATAAAAACATCCAAAAGCAAAAATGATCTATTTTTGTCTATTTCATTTTATTTGGTTTTTTTTTTTATTATTAGACTATTCTACAAGGGGAGGGTATAAGTTTTCTAATAAACAAAAGGGACATGGTTCTTGATGTTCACTTGATCGATTGTCAGGATCTGAAAGAATGTCATCATCGTCTCTATTGGTATGTTCATCATTCGATTCACTTTGTTCCAAATCATCTGTGGTGATATCCAATTGTACTTTGAGTCGATAAAAGTCCTGATCCACCAATAAAGCGACAAATTCATTCACAAGTGATGGATCGGTTGTCATTAGTCGTTGAAGTGTTCTTTTCCTCGGTCGAATCCATATATCTTCAATCTGTCCTGGTGCCACTGTACCACTTTGTTTGTCAAAAACCACTTCTCCATTTGCTGAGAACAAGGAATACGTAAGATGTTGTCGATTCGTCGACTCGTTCGCTAAAGTCAGGTGTCCGTCGTGTGTATGAATGCTGGTTGATGATACTTGGCAACGAATTGTCAACTCCTCTTGTGGGTGTAATGAATACAACGGTAGTCTCTGATGATGATCTTTTTTCCTATCTTGTACTTTCAATGATTGTACTCTACCAATCAGGTACTCCATTTCGCTACTGTTGTGTATTGATGATTGTGACCTTGATGGTGTTGATGAGATGACCAGATGTGATTGTTCATTGGATGGATCGTTGCCAGATGATCGTTGTTGCCTGATTTCCCATCTATTCCACTGATGACGATGATATAGTGACGAAGGTAACGCTTTCTATAAGAAATATAAGATGTGAATATTCTTTTTTTTTTTTTTTGTAAGCACATAGATCATCATTTAACTTGCATAATTTTTCCAAAGAGGTTGAAGACCAGATGATGTATAAGATATGTCTGGAGATGTTATCAATGACCTAGAAGTTTGATCTCTATATTGATTTAATGACTTTAATAACCAAAAATTTAGTACGATATGATTATCATCGAATATGCCTTTTTTTTCTTCTTCACTTACTTGTTTTTTTGATGATAATCGGCTGCCAGTCATTGAGGAAGAGGATAATGGCTCTCTCCCAGATTCCTAGTAATATATATATAAAATTAAAAAAAAAATGGAAACGTGAGTTTTAAGAGTATTTGTTTATATAGAAGGAATTGATTTACAGATAAATAGGGTGATGGTGAGTGCTGTCGCCACAAATCATCCATGCATTCTAATGGTAAAGATCGCGCACCAAAATATTGTCCAGGTGATACCGATCGTTCTATAATAGGACCCGAGTAATGATGTCGTTCCAATCGTTCATGATTATGACGTTGTTGTTGTTGTTGATTCTTTAAATGCCTGTCTAAAAAAGATGTGTCATGCAGATGATTTCTTTGAGAGGTCTTAGCATCACGTGAATAGTCTGATTGCACACTAGATATATTTTGTTCATCCTCTTCGTCGTCTTCCACACTGTTCGCCCAAATATTGTGATCATTACCATGTGAGGTAGAAAGTGGAGGTCGTTTTCTAAAAGTTGTTTCGTTGTTACCAGAAGAAGATGTTTGAGAATGATAAGAATGTTCATCAAAACCTAAAGGAGGTTGTGTACTTGTGATGAATGATGTAGATAGTTCTTCCAAATTTTTTAACAAGTCCGATGCAGATGCCCTATGCTTCTTTCGACTATCATTAGATGAAACACTGTAAAGTTCCCCAATGTCATTTCGTACCGAGATTGTTGGTGGCAAGTTTTCAAGGTGGTGAGACGAATCTTGTGATTGATTCGATATATGGTTGCTGGTATTCGTGTTCATATCTGACTGATATATTGGTTTTGCTGGTGGATGTTCTGGTTGTGGAATAGAATTTGAGGATGTTGAATGGTTTGATAATAGAGTATTTATATCCATGAAAATAAAAACAAGAAGAAAGAAAAGAAGAAAGGAAGTGAGAAGAAGAAAAAAAGGGGGGAAGGAGAAAAAAAGGGTTTTACTTTGATTTCAAAGACCACATGGCAAGGAAGGAAGGGCGCGTTTACATTGAATTAAAAAATGATTTTTTTCGGACTTTTTATTTTTTATCTTTTCTTGCTTGTCTTCTTCTATCCCCTTTCTTTTTTTTTTTTTTCTTTTTTCTTATAAAAAAGGTATTCAAATCATGCCAAGGGTTTATATTGACATTGCCATTGGTGATATTGATAAGTACGCTGATGAACAATTACGATATAACAAGGCAAAATCCTGGGTAGCTCAATGGGCAACGACGTATGGACTGAATGATCAAGACTTAGACAAACTTGAAGATCAAGATAGGGAAACAGTACGTGATATTTTGGCTAATGATCCTACTGCTCAACAAGAAAAATGGTCAGTAGATGCTCCTCCTTCTTTAGGTGGTGGACGTTTAGAATTAGAATTATATGACCAACGATGTCCGAAGACATGTGATAACTTTGTGGCTTTATGTCAAGGTGGTAAAATCGGGAAAAGTTCCAAAAAGGCTCTACACTACAAATCAACTCATCTTTTTCGATTGGTACCTAACTTTATGATACAAGGTGGTGATGTCACAAGAGGTAATAGAAGTAAAATCATCAAGTGTATATAATTAAAAATTATATATTTGGGCAACTCATTTTATTTCTTTTTAGATGATGGCTCTGGAGGTGATTCGATATACAGTGGTAAATTTAATGACGAAAAGACTGGATTATTAAAATTTATCAAGAAAGGACAATTAGCTATGGCTAATAGGTAATAATAATAATAAGAAAAAAAAAAAAAAGAGGATCATCTTATCAAGTAAATCATCCCTTTTTATATAGTGGAAAAAACACCAATACATCTCAATTTTTTATCACATTGAAAGACCGTGAAGATAATCCCAAAGTTTTCGATAAAATCAATGGAAAATATGTGATCTTTGGACAAGTAATAGATGGATTGTCAGTATTAGATGAAATCAATAATATACCTGTAGAAAATGAAACACCCAAAATAGACATAGTTATAGTGGATTGTGGTTTGTTATAGATCGTGGGAAACAATAAAATAGCGGGGATTTATTTTTGATCCTTTTTTTTTTTTTTTTCTTCCCTCTTTTCCAACCTTTTTTTTTTCTAAATCTATTTGACATAACAATGACTATTACTGAATCATCTCCAGAAATCATTGTTGTAGCTGCAGCTTTAGTGGACTCTTATGGAATAGGTTATCAACATGATCTACCTTGGCGTATACCTGGCGATTGGAATTGGTTTCAACGAATCACTACCAAATCATACCTTAACCCTTCTACCAACAAGGACGAAACCGTATTAGAAAAAGAATCTGATTGGCATAATATTGTTATTATGGGGCGTTTATCTTGGGAATCAGTACCTATGCAACGAAAACCTCTTCACAATCGATATAACATTGTCATATCAAGTCAACAAGAATACAACATGTAAAAAAAAAAAAAAAAAAGGAAAAAATGAAATTTACATAGAATTCTGTCTTTCTTATATATTATTTGAAAACTAATATTTATATCTATTGATAGTCACGCTGTGGATTATTGGGAACATGCTACATTAGCAAATACTATACAAGAAGCCTTGAACCAAGCATATTCTATGAAAAAGACACATGGCAGGATCTTTGTGCTGGGCGGAGAACAAATCTATCGTCAAGTGATAGAACAACCTCATTGTACTCATATCTTATTGACTCATATTCATCAACAAAATACAAATGAAAAAATTGAATGCGACTCTTTCTTTCCTACCATTGATCCTACTCACTTTCGATTGGCTTCTCATGATGAACTTCAAGAATTTGTACAAGAATCTGTCCCTGCTGGTTTACAAAGTCATCATCCTTTTGAATATGAATTCTTATTATATGTACGACGTTCATGACGATTTTTAGTTAAATTAGATAAGATACCCTCTTTCCTTTTATGAAATCAATAAAGGATTGTCTTTTTTTTTTCTCTTATTTTATTTTTTTTATCTACTTCTCTTCTTTTTTTTTTGTTGATTTATTTATTCATATTATTTATTATTTTTTTTAATACTTTTTTTTACATTATCAGATAAGATTTTCCCCCCTTTTTTTTTATATCCATCATGCATTCTCTTCAATCAAATATTATCCTTATGACAAAGTGGACATCTGAAGCAAGTAGTATGGTCGTTTGTTGGTTACTTTGGAGTATTTCAATCTCTTGGAATATGGCAGGAGGATGGGTTGTTGAGAAACTTTATTATTGAAACCAAAATCATGCATGATCACTTTTCTCTGTTATCATTGGTCAATAAAAAAAATCACCCCAATTCATACTCTATTGTAATTGATTTATCATTCTTTCTTTGTAAAAAAAGTTGGATGTTTTTTATTTCAACATGTTGGTATAGTAAAATGATATTTTATAAGTACAAAAAAAAAAAAAAAGAAAGAAAAAAGAAAAAAAGACAGGGGAGAAAATGTATGATATATATATATATATATATTAACTACAGTTGATCACGGGATATCCTATTCTGCTTCAAGATTGCTTGCTGTAAATCACTATCCACTGTATATCCTGTATACTCAAGATCGGCATCATCAAGAAGTATACTTTGATTGGTAATAGGTGTCGTCACAGGTCGTTTTTTCCCAAAGAGACTCCAATGTACTATAATAACAGTAATAATAATCGGAAGTTGAGTCTTCCTACTATTTTTCTTCAACTCTATTCTACTTTTTTATTATTTTATTTTATTTTATTTTTTTATTTCAATTACCATATGGTTTCAGTCCTTTTCCAAAGTTCATTTGGCATTTGATTGCAAATACAAGTGTCACTATTGTCATCAATATAGAAGTTGATCCTAAATGATAATGAAAAGGATAAGTCAATTTATCTTCAAAGTTGAATTATATCTTACCATAAAATAAGACGATATACCATGGATCATCCGGGTCAGTTCGTTGGAAAAGCATCCATGCACTCATACCAATGAAAGCAACCTGAATAACAATAAATACGATCATTTTCCAATGACTTTCATCTGATACCTAAAAGACACAACATCAAATAAGAATAATATATATATTTTTTGATTGCTTCTTTTCTTACCGATTTTCTTGCAAAGAATAAACCAAACAAAGTCACTAGAGCCATGATACCTGGTATCCATGTCAAAGCAGTTCCATCTGTAACTCCCAAAAGCATATAAAACACCATGATAAGTACTTCAAAGAAGGTATCAATCTTGAGAATCAAACTAAAGCAATTAACTAGAAAATACATGGCTACAATAAAAAAAAAATCATAAATATTCTTAACAATTCCTACTATCCCTTTTTATAATTACATTGCACATTGAGATGAGCACCAACTTTACGATATGTTTGCCATCCATAATCTAGAGCCAACCGGTAAACTACATAGATAGTGGGTATGAGGAGAGCAGTAATAGATCCAGTCAATATAAACTCCAATACTAAATTCCTTTTCAACGGATCATCTACGTACTTTTTAGTATTGATCATCTTTTTCGTTTCAATGCATTCCTATCAAAATACAAAATAAAATAAATCTACATCTTCTATTGGTTTATTAGAAAAAAAAAAAGTTACCAATGCTCCAAATCCGGCTGAGAACAAGGTTAATACACCACAGGTAATCACAGTCAAAGAACTACAATGAATCAACTATAAAAAAAAAAGAAGGGGGGAATAAATCAGTATGGGATCATATGATATCTTCTATATATATATATATATATTCATTTATTTATAGGATATTTACCGCATCAATGACAAGCCATAATCGCCAAATTTCAAAAAATATAAACCAAAGTACTTCGACACGGACATGATTGATTTTTGCATGAAGTTCATACTCAAGAGGTTGGTAACTGTTGACATCGGTGCAAATAACTACAAGGAGCGGCAAGGAAATCAAGACTTGAAACACGACAAGGGATAAAAAGGTTTTCGTCCACCTGTTGGCCATAATACGACCTCTCTATCATTAAAAAAAAATAATAATAATTTATTTTATAATTAAAAATACAAGAAAAAAAAAACATGGACACGATTTGTATTGAGACTGACCGATTTCTCTGATAATAGTAGCACCATTGAATATATTAAGATTAAATAAGAGTCAAGGAGGAATCCTCAATTGGATAAGAAGTATGTCTCTATTTATTGAGGAGGTATATTGAAAGATAGGTAAATAGATATATATGTATATAAAAAAAAAAGGGTAGAAAATGGGTAACTTGAGGAATAGAAAAAGAAAGGAAGAAAAAAAAAAAAAAAGAAACCCAAAAAATAGGGCAAATGGTTATTTTTAGAAAAAAAAAAAAAAAAAGTCTATTGTCGGTCATTTAAACATTACTATCATTCCATGGACGACGATTCATATATAAATCAATCAAACTAATGATGATAGCCTCCATTGATTTATGTATGAGAGATGATCATTTTCTATGGTATCTGTTGAAACACCTCCTTTTTCTCAGCATGATTGCATCATTTGCTTTTTTTTTTTTTCTTTTTTTTTTTTTTTGCGTGATCTATTTCATTGTATTTATAGATTACTATATATAAACTTTTATTTTTTTCAAAACGATAATAAACATATTAAAAATTAAAAAAAAAAAATAGGTTTGTTGAAGATGAATGATATGATATGATATAAAAAAATGATAGTTAACCAGATATAGTGGATAGGTATAAAAGGGAATAATAATAAATTAGACTACATCACAGTATCTGGACTTCGATTTGGTGAAGATTCGGCTAGAGGAGGAAGTGCCAAATCAAATAAATTAGCTGATTTATCTTGAAATCGGTTTTGCATATTTCGAATGACTTCAGTAAGATCAGTATCATATCCAATGAGAGACACAAATAGTAAATTGGTGATAGGCCATAATGTTGATACTAAAGGAATAAAATATCTATTACCAAGATTCTATATAAAGAAAATATATATATATGTTTATCAATGGATCATCCAACTTTTTTAATTTAATCTCCTTTTTTTTTTTAACTTACAGAAGCAATTCCTATAGCAGCAATTAAATTGACAATAGTAAGTAAGGTAGTTCTTGTACAATTATATATGACAATGGCAAAATATTGTTGTGCATTGACAGCAATGAGTCCCTCCTTATTCAATTTCCGCATATGACGAGTTAATACAAGACAGATGATACATGTTGCATAAAAATCGATAGCCGTATCCAATGTAGTATAGATAATACCAATCTTAAAATAATAATAAATTAATATTTTATATATCATCTCTTTTTTTTTATTATTATTATTATTTACCACATGCATATCAAGATAATCACAGGATCCAGACGTTGATGGAGAAACATGAACTAAACCAACATCCACCATACCAACGATAAATCGAGTTGCCATTATAAGATAATGTAGTATTCGTATCTGCGACTTGTACTGGAATGATATTACAGCTTCAATTCGTTTGAAGAGAACACCAGCACCTGCCACCATACTAGTATGATAAAATATATCGGCTGATAATCCTAAAGCACGGCAATTTGCCCCATTCCTAATAAATATATAATAAATAGTATAAATAACAGCAACAATAATAATAATAAAAATAAAGAGTATCATATATATATATTGATTATATATAAACTTACGGTGCAGCCATAGCTATAAATAATGAAGTTTTCACCAGCATAAAGAAAGTCATGACACCTTTAAGTATACGAATAAATCTAGATTTTGGTTCTTTTATCGCATAATAAGTACTTCGGATGAATAACGGCGCACAGACACCTATCACATTGCCAAAGAGAACAAACTGAGATACCTGACCGGAGGTGAGTGGTGTCTCCGAGGACATGTGGTGAACTTTTTATAAAAAAAGAAAAGAAAAAAAAAAAGAAGAATAATGTGGATGGAAGGAAGATAAATAAAAGTCAAAAAAAAGGAAGAATAAGGAAAAAAAAAAAAAAAAGAGTGATAAATAAAATACAAGAAACCCCATTTCAATCTTTTGAAACTTGGCGAATCAAGTAATGTAGACGTAGAAAAAAAAAAAAAAAAAAAAAAAAGAAAAGGAAAACGCGCAGAAAAAAAATGCTCAATGCTCGAATCGAAGAGTGACGTTCAAACTCCGGATGATAAAGCTAATACCAAATACAACCCATAGTAAAAAGCTAATTGTGTATAATGTCTATTAAATAAGGTATATATATATATATATATATAACAATGTATTCATGCAATAAAGATATTTTAGGGTTATAAAATGGGTTGTGTCTTTTTTTTGATCCAATAAATCATATACTAAAAGCTTCCAAGATGTCATTGGGCGGAGATAATATGAGGAACACACCAAAACCTTTCCAACCCTTTTTCCTTTCTCTTTTCTTTTTTTTTTTTTTTTTTTTTTTTTTTTTTTTTTTTTTTAATAAGCAGGCCATGAACGAAATCACCACAGAGAAAAAGGTAGAAATTGCTTCTGACTTTTTATTGTCCAGTCCTCCAGGAGAAGTCAATGATGTTTTTAACGGTAAAAAAAAAAACACAAAAAAAGTCTTTTTTTTTTTTTTTTAGAGGGGAAAGAAAACGGGTAACTCGTCAATACGGACGATTCAACTTTTTTTTTTTTCATCATATTGCGTTTATATAAATAGATGTACGTACTTTGGTGAACGATGATGAAGCTCTTCAAGATGGTATTCTAAATGCTTTGGAACAATATAACACGGAACAACACATCACAGTAACTCCTCCTGGTTTGGATTATCCCGTCATCATATCGAAATACAACAAAGTAGGTGACCGATACCTTGATCCTCGATCCAAAAAGTCATTTACCTTTGATCATATGCGTTTGACTGCTGATAATGTGGAACCTTATCAAACAGAAGAAAATACCTTGGACTCATTGCGGTAAGTTATTGAAAAAAGAAAGTCGATAAGAGAAACACTCACATTCTTTTTTTTTTTTTTGGGTGAGGATAGAACGGTGATGGATGAAGTATCTAGCAAATATGTCAATGATCATTATCCAGAAGGTGTATCATCCGTCTTTATCAATGAAAAAGATATCATCCTTGCAATTGTCGATAACAAGTATAACCCCAATAATTACTGGAATGGCCGATGGTTAGCTGTCTGGACCTATGATACCGAAACCAATGAACTCAAAGGCAAAACAAAGGTCAATGTACACTATTATGAAGATGGAAATGTCCAACTTAATGCTGATAAACAATTCGAAACATCTGTTACCAAAAACGAGGTAAGGATTCAACAAACCATTCCGTCATTTTTATTCATAGAATTATTATTGTTGTTAGGATGTCTCTACATTGGCAGCTTCCATCGTCAAACATATTGCTACTTTTGATAAACGATATCAATCATCTATGAACGAAAGTTATAACGACCTTGCTGAAGATACTTTCAAGGGATTACGTCGCGCTCTTCCTTTGACTCGTAACAAATTGGATTGGAACATGATGTTGAACTACAAGATTGGTAACGAATTATCTCAGAAATAGTTAGTCCATTGTTACAACTAGATCTAGTTTTTTTTTTTTTTTAATACTATTGTCCCTCTTGTTTTTGATGATGATGATGAATAAATACTACCACGTTTTGTTTTTTTCCCTTCTAATCATATTATTATATACCCAAAGACTCTTTATGAATGAACAAAGCTGTGGAAAAGGTGTTCATGGTGTTAATAACGAGATGATGCTTACGTTAATTGCCTGTTGGGACTACTAATGTTCATCCATCAACTTTCAATTATCCATTTATGCAGTCATTCCATATCTATTGTTTAGAAAATTCATCATCAATCATACCATCCTCTCTGTCTTCCACATAAATCAACAAAGCCAATCATCTCTTGTAAAAAAAAAAAAAAAAAAAAAAAAAAAAGGGATTTATTTCAATATTGTAAAATAAAGTAAGATCGATACTATTATTAAACTAAATAAAACTATACTAACTAAAGCGTTTTCACTTTGTAAGAAGAGTTGAGAGATCTTATCATCAACTTACATACGATCCAAGTCACGACGCCCAAAATAGTCATCAGGATGAGAACCAAGTCAGTATTGTATCGTTTGAACCAGTGAATTCGATAGCCAACATCTTGTCGATGTAGTAACTGGCCATTGATAGCAGAAAACAGTACTTCTTCAATCAGATCAGCACCACGCTGTACACTATGCAGGGATTGGACTTGTAGTGCGTTCCCAAAATGGCGTACGGTATGTTGAATGGAAGGATCGGTCAAGACATGTTGCATACGATGAGTCAGTTCCTTGCGTACATGTGTTGTATATTGAATGCCGGCAGTATCGATCGTATCACCCAGATGTAGTTGTTGCACCATGCGCGCCGTGAGAGGTTGATCACCGAAAAAGGGAAACACAAACAAAGGTACTTTTGAAAATAACGCTTCATGCACAGAGGCTGCACCACCATGAGTCACAAACAGTCGAGTCGATGGATGTTGAAGAATGGCGAACTGTGGGGCCCAACCAGTGACTAGAATCATTGGATGATATTGACTTGGTACGGAAGGAAGAGGATGCCTATCGGATGTGGCCCAAATGACCCCATCGAGAAGATCATTTTCCAAACAGTAAATGAGTGATTCCAAGAGGTATATCGTGTCATCGTTGGTAGGTTTAGCGTGCTGCCCAAATGCAACGTAGGCCACACGTTGATGTGTGTTTAAAAACTGGTCAAGTTCAGGTGTCAAAGCATCGTATTTGTGTTTCATAATAGGTCCCATCATGTTCACCAGAGGTCCCAAAGGTCGAGCAGCTTCCAATCCAAACATGTTGTTGACTAACTTGAAAGCACCTCGTACATTGCCGTCATGTAAATTAACCGTCAAAGGAATACCATGTTGTTTTTGAAATTGATGGGCTGGTAATCCAAGTCGCTTCATCTTGTACACAAGGTAATACTTGTAAAAAAGATACCTTAGTCTTTCATAAATGCTAGCTGTTTCTGTTGTTGGTTTATAAAAGGAAGGAATTTCATTGGTGACATAGCTTGTTCTTGCATCTATAGAAAATAAAAGAAGAAGAAAGAAATTAATAAAAAAAAAAAAAAAGTAAAATCGGCTTCTGAAATACCTGAGGTGTAGGCCAGAGTTGAACTAATGACAAGAGGGATATTAGCTTTGACAGTAGCATCCATACAGGCAAAAGCAAACATATCACAAATCATCAGATCTAATTTTTGATGCTTGATCACCTGTTCATATTCAAGGAATTCTATAATAAAAAAAAAGAGGTAAGCATTACTAACATGATATGAACTTTTTCCAAACTATATAATACCATTTGAGTAATTTCGAAGTAAAACAGGCATGAGGCCAGTGATGAATCGATGAGGATTAGGTTTATTATGTTGAAGATGGTTTTTGAATGGCTTTGGGGTATCACCAGCTTCTAACATGTTGAGATCGCCTCCTACCACTTGAGTTTCAACCTTGGGATAATCCTTTGCATAATTAAGACAAGCTCCCTGATAATCCAAAAAAAAAAAAAAGGAAACCTAGTCAATCATTTCTCATTCCAATCATATGATGACAATAATAAAAACATTGATTTGACTTACTCTTGTGAAAAGAAAGGTATCATGACCTTGGTCTTCAAGTTTTTGTAGGATTTCTAATACCCAATAAAAATGAGAAGATCCTCCACCAACAGCAGAAAAGCCTATTCGTTTGGGTGATCTAAAATCAGGTATAGCTTGAATAGTAGCATCTCTTTCTTGTATTCCATCAATGTCAAAACTAAAAAAAGATAAGAGTAATAATAAGAGAAGTACTAACATAGTATTGTCACAAAAAAAAAAAAAAAAAAAAAAAAAAAAAAAAAAACGGAAAAGAAAGGGAAAAAAAAAAAAAAAAACTTGATCGTAGTTTCATATACTTATATACCATTACGCAATTATGCAGAGATGGCGTTTTACACAATGAAAAACGGGATAATCTTGAAATAATCGGTGACAAAGAAAAAAAAATACCCGTTTAAATGATGCAGCCAAATAGAGAGGCAGATTTGTTTACACAAGTTTAACAAAGGGGTCTTTTTTTTTATTATTATTATTCATAGTATTCAAGAAGTATTTATAAAATAGATAAATAAATAAATAAAAATATACAGTATAAACTAACTAATCTAACTATAAAACATATTACACTCGTTGTTGTTGTTGTTGTAAACTATCCATTAATTGTTGATACCAAGAAGCATAGACACGGCGATTGTGCTCAGCAAATATTCTAATACGAGTACATAGAGTTTGAAGTTGAGGTCGGATCGGATCCAAGCCAGATTGCATCAATGCAGAGTCATCCATGTGTTTACCAAAAGTAAGAAAATGCCGAATGACTGAAGCCACTCTTTGAGTCAAAAGACCATAAACAGGATCAGAATGTGCCAAGGTTTTTCCCACCATAGAACGAATCCATTGTTTTCTTTGATCATCCAACACAACATCCGTCAAACTAATTGCTTGTTCCATTTCTAAGGCCAAATGATTCAATGTGATCCTATCACCACCATCATGATGTTGATCCTTCAATAATAAAAAAACTCTTTTCGTAAAAGCCTTGATATCTTTGACACCAGTATTTCTTGCCAACATTGCCAAAGCGGCCACAATCGTCACTTGTTGTAGTTCATTTTGATATTCAACAATACGTCCTACATCCAATAAGATCGTTTCAGGACATGTCAATGGAGTCCAAGCTGTTGTTGCCGTCAATAATTCAATATATCCTTCATTCACCACCGTAATCCAATCGTCCTTGCTTGTCGATGATGATGATGATGATGATGTTTGTTGTCGTTCTTGTTTCTTGTTGATCAATCGTTGTAATGCTTGTTGTAACCATTGTCGAGTTTTTGCAATGCCAACCGATCCATGTGCCATAGCCTGAGCAAACGCATTGTGTTCATATTCCACAGCTACTTGGATTAAATGAGGTCGTAAAGATTTCAATCGAAAGTTCATCAAATCCAATGACATAAGATCTAAGATTTCCATGATCAGTCGTAATTGGTGACCTTGATGATGCGTTTCGTCTACAGTCATTGTCTTGACATTGTGAATAGCTTCGTCTCGAATAGGTGCAGCCATATGACTCATCATGTCCAATACAAAGTCAATGACCTTTTTTAAATCAAATACTCCAGGATGTTTCATTTGTTGTTCGAACAGGGTCAAATCAAGCGTATCATCGATGGTGCGATAAAACGTGGAAGTAGCAGACACAAAGGATAAGAGTCGGGTCTTGATGTCACGTAAAAGTGGTAATAATGATTGTTCCAAATGAGCATGTTGAATATCATCATTGATTTGATCAAAAAATGCTTTCCTAGCCATAGAGTCAATCCGTTGTTCTAAGTCACTGGTTGGTGTTGCCTTTTGTACTTGAAAGTCTGGATTCATAATAAGTTCATGAGCGAGTTGTTCATTGGACAGTCCTCCAACAGAAGATGCGTATCCAGAGAGAAGTCGGTTCAATTGTTCCGCACCGATGGTCAGAGTGGGTTCAAGTTTTTCAGGACGAGGTGTTGGTGAAGAGGGTATAGAATGACTTGTCGCCTGACGTGTGGTGATATGACTTACTACGATACGTTCTGCAGCTTCCAATAATAAATCCAACTGATCGGATGGTGCTAATTGTCGAATATTATTTTCTAGTTGTGTCAACATTAGAGAAATACTGCTTATCATGGTCGAATTTTGCGAATACCGTCGTTCCAAATCAAAAAGGAATTGTTGTAGCCGTATGGATTCCAAATATAATGTAGAAAGATTATTAAGCAACTGGTCGGTAGCAAGTTGACTGGCTTCAGTAACAGCATAATAGGCATTCCAAACTTCTTCCAAGGCAAGTCGTTCCAAAGGACTGATATCACTACGATGCTCATCAAACCAATCATCAATGGCACATAAGGCTTTTTGGATATCGGAAAGTGGTATAGAATTTGTCGTCATCAATAAAAATATGTAAGAAAGAAAAAGAAAAGAAAAAGAAAAAAAGACAAAAAAAAATTCGGGGGTTTAACTCTGCATGTGTTCCAAAAAAAAAAAAAAAAAAAAAAAAAAAAAATTTAATTTCTCTCTTTCACTTGCTTAAAAATGTTTTCTTTTCATAGACGCAAATCTCGTATTTCTAATGATTCTCCTTCTCATTCACCATCACCACATTCATCTCCACCTTTGGAAGAACAATGTCAAACAACAGAATCAGAATCACCATCTACTGTAGTCAATGTCCTTCTTGTTGGACAGATATATAATGATACCATTCTTTATATCAATGAATACCCTAAGGAAGATACAAAACTACGTGCAAATGATATGGAACAACGTAGAGGTGGAAATATTTGCAATACAGCTGAAGTGCTATCACAGTTTCCTCGTTTGAATCCTCATGTTATGTCTTGTTTAGGTCCAAAGGAGGCTTCAACGTAATTAATTAAAAAAAAAATATGAATATTACTATGGTGATTTATCATTATTATATTGATTTGATTTTTATATTATATTAGGGCATTGATATCATCTCTAGAAACACTAGGTATCAAGACAAAAGCTTGTATTCATCGACAAACACCTACTCCTTCATCATATATTATTCAAAGTGCAGATAGTGGATCAAGAACAATCATCTCTTATAATAAGTGAGTCCATTTTTTTTTAAAAAAAAAAAATGTTTTTTTTACTTATTTTTATTATGATTTAGGACGATTGATATGACCAAAGATGAATTCATTCATAAATTTGAAGAAGCAAGTAATAACAAGACCAAGATGTTGTGTGATAGACAAATTCCTTTTTCTTGGGTTCATTTTGAAGGACGTAATGTGCATAATGTGGTGGAACAAATTGACTGGTTAGATACAAAAGCGACACAAGAAGGTTGGCGATCACAATTAATCATCTCTGTTGAATTGGAAAAACCCGATCGACCTGATATTGATTTATTGTTACCAAAGGTAAAAATGACAAAAAAAAAAAAAATGTATTAAACTCATTTAATATTATTTAGGGTGATGTTGTATTTTTTTCAAAACTATTTGCACAAACTAGACAATATAATCATCCAAAAGATTTTTTACAAGCTATTCGACCTCAATGCAAATCAAGGTAAGATATAAGTTCAATAATGAATACTTTTAAAAGACGATTTATACAATAGTGCAAAATTATTTTTGACATGGGGTGAACAAGGAGCATCCTGTCTTTTGGAAAATGGGGAAATTATTCATGCATCAGCTATGCCAATACATCAAGTGGTAGATTCTGTTGGTGCGGGTGATACATTTATTGCTGGGATCATATTTTGTCTTTGTCGAAAATTAAATGTATTAACTGCTCTCAAGTTCTCTTGTGAACTAGCAAGTCGCAAAGTTACACAAAACGGATTCAATGGATTGGCTAAATTGATGTCAAGACTATGGGAGGCTTCTTTGGATATTGCAACTGGACATAAACATCTTACTCTCTCCTCTACTTCAGAAGATCAACTTTCAACCACTTCTTCAACTCCCTTTATCTAGTTTATACTTTTTATTTTAGAATTTGTAGAAATAAAATTGGTTTTTATTCATTCTAGCTTTATAATCCCAGTTTTTTTTTTTTTTTTTTTTTTTGTTCTTGATTGAACTATTGATGATCAGATGATGAATGAACGATATTGACCGTTTGAATAAGAAGAAAAAAAAATACTCACATGGAAAAGAATCATCGCTATTGTTTTCAATGCATAAACAGCCATGATTTCTAAAGCTATGGTTCCTATAGGTAAAAAAAAAAAAAAAAAAAAAAAATAGTTCTCTCTGGTCCTTCTCTCTTCTTTTTTTCTTATCATTCATTTATATATAAATTATGATTTTTATTTCGTATTTTTAAAAAAAAAAAAAAAAAAAAAAAAAGGTAACAATAGATATTAAATAGAAAAAATGCATTTTAGGCCAATTCCGGTTTCAATTCCAACATCTTGACACTAGGATCACTTGTCACATTATGCCTTGCCACACGTTTCAATAAGGTAGTGATGACATCTCTGTTACGTTCGTTTTTCTTGATTCGTTTTCGGAAGCGCATCAAAAAGTCCTTGGTTGACATGGTACGTCCACGGAGAGTTTCCACTACTTCTTCTTCAGTAATCAAACTGGCATCATCTGGGTGATTGGAGGCTGGTGATGAATGACGAGGTGATGTCACACGATGCTGTTTGCCGGTACGGTGTTCATGATCATCCACTTTTCGTTTCTTGCCTACAACTCCAATTTCTGTTGAGCCTGGTGGGGAAGGACTGGATTCCATGGGACTTGTGCTACCACTACGACCAGAAGATAAAGACCTAGGAGGAGAAGTTTCTCGTTTGACTGAGGGTGATCCAGGTCGTCCAATAGGTCGTGATAAACCTTCTTTCTTCTTGATTGTTTTCCTCATACCAGGTTTGGCGACAGGTGTCTTTTTCTTGAGAGTAGTTGTTGATTTGATGCCATCTTCAAGTTGTTGTTGTTGTTGTTGTTGTTGTTGTTGCTGTTTCTCCTTATCCTTTCCTTCCTTGTCAGATCCTTCTTCTTCGTCATCCAAATCTGATTCAAGTTCTTCTTCCTATATATAATATATCAGTCCTATTCCAATAATATACAATCATCAAATATCAATTTCACTTACACTTGTGGCATATGGATCCTTATCTTCATCACTTTCATAGGCACGGTTCTTCTCTAAATCTCGAACCAATTTCCGCATTTGCTAATAAATAGAATGTAATAAATTAATATAAAGTAAATCATCATATCATCATTTTCTTGAATGTCATAAATATATATATACCTTTCCTTCAAATGTCAGCTTGGATTCTTCAAAATGATTTTGTTCATCATCACCATCTTCTTGTTGAGGTGCAAATCCTTTGTGTTCTTTCTTGATACGTTCCTTGCCATCCTTGATATCTTCATCTTCCATTTCATGATCATTGCCTCCTTCTTCATCGTCTTGAAATACATCATCGAAATCAAGATCATCAATATCGGAATCCTAAGAACAAAAAAAAAAAAAAAAATTATAAGTATCCCCTCCCTTTGTACGAGTTTATATCTATTAATGACTTACATGTCGTTTTCCACCACCTTCATCATCAGAGGTCGCACGTCTATTCATTATATTCGTGAGGTGAATTAAAAAAAAAAAAAAAAAAAAAAAAAAAGTCATGTATATTCTTTTTATTACCTTGATTCACCGGTATCCACAATTTTGAGTCTTGATTTTGGTGAGGATGATCTATCACCCAAGTCCTCTTCATCCCTTTTCAACATCATCCATCGATTGCTATCATGTTTGGCTTGTTTTCGTTCCTTTTTCAACTAATATATCAATAAAAATGTTAGTCACTATGAGTAATCTTGAGTATTCTATATGTATATTTATACCTGTTCTTCCACTTCATCCGCAGTTAAAGTACGTATGTGCCGTTTTCGTTGGAATTTATACCATCTATCAAGAGGAACTACTTTGAATCCATTTTCCTAAATATCATCAAAATTTATATATATATAATATAAAGTCAATAAAAAATATGAATGATAATAAATAAATATCCCTTACCGTTAAAACAAATAATACATAGTCAGATCGTTGACCACCTTCCAAAGTACCAGTGAAACTATTGGTACCAGTAAAGTCTTCTAGGATCCATGGTCGATGTTCTTGTTCTTTCAATTCCCTTGTATCCTCCTTGGCTAAATAAATCTGTCTTGTTCGTTTCTTGAAAAGCATTTGTTTGTTTCGAGTAGCTCCACCCATGGGTGCAATCAGTGATGTATCAGCACCTGTTTTTGGTCCTTGTTGATATTTTTCATAACGTTGTTGAGTATTGTTTGTTGTATTGGGAGTACTTGTTCCATTGGTATCTGTTTTTGTAAGTGTCGAGGCATCAGCATTGTCTGTAGATAAAGTACTGGTAGATGTTGCCGCAGTTGAATGATTATTATTATTATTATTGTTATTATTATTGAGAGAATCATTGCCATAATTTCGAAAACCTTGTCTTTGCATTCGTTGGTAATAAGCATAGCTGGACTCTTTTCGATGAAGTTTGACTGGTCGTGAGAAATCTGCCATATTGATATTGTTATGAGCATCCTTAAAGTCAATCAAATTTGTTTTGCTTCCTCCTCGAGCACAAGACAAGAGTTGAAAATCATTATAAGGAATAGCTTGTTGCTGTTGTTGTTGTTGTTGCTGTTGTTGGTATTGAGCCATGCCTGGTCTTTGAGTAGACATACCACGTCCACGACCTTTAAATTGTGGTCTTCCTGTATTGAATATACCGCCCATTGAAAATATATATCGATGTTTAGGAAAAGACAAAGAAAAGAAGAGAAATAAAAAAAAAAATAAAAAAAGGGTTGCAACCGATTTTTGTAAGCGTGTGACGATTGAAACATTTGCGATAACAGTGTTGCCATTTCGATCTCCGTCACTTCGCAATACTTGATCTTTAGCTTATTTTATTTTATGAGATACGAATTCTATATGCTATTTTATGACATATAGTGGCTGAATGATGAATGATTAATTTAATTTAATAGAATAATCATCATTATTTGATAGTCTCAATGTGACTGGAGGAAAAAAAAACAATACAAAAGACACTTTTTTTTATTTTCTCTTTCTTTCTTCTACAAAATCAAAAAAAAAAATCATTTGCTCTTTTTGGCTGCTTCCTTCTTGGTGTCTTCTTCTTTCCGTTCACCTGATCAAAATATTGATTCCTGTTTCTCCCATTTTCCTCGTTTCCGTGCGTCTCTCTGTCTTTCTTCCTTGTTGTTTGGATCTTTTTTTTTTTTTTTACCATTATGATATTTATACTATCCCTTTTGTGTCGCGCACATTCCGGATGGGTTGATGCGTGGCGACCGTGCCTTAGAGCCATAGGTTTTTTTTTTTTTTTTTTTTTTTTTTTTGGTCAATGCACATATACTATTTAGTTGATCGTCACACTAACCATTTTTCCATTTCTTCTTTTCAAACACCGGAATGGGGGTTCGTAGATCCCGTAATGATGTTTGTTATTTCATAGATATTATTGATATATAAATGTAATGAAACTAACTAATATATAATATGTTTATTTACTTTTAGCCGACTCGTTTTATATTTTAATATTCTCTTTAGTATAAAATAACTCTTGAACTTTGTTTTTCTTTATTTTTGAGTACTGAGTTTGAGAGAAATCAATCTGGACCAATGAAATTGAACCTGTACAACGTCATTTCAAAACTGGCCAACTGGGATCAATGCCTCTGAAAATGTATGATAAAATAGTTGTGCCTGGAAGCTAAAATGTTGAATTCCAGAAAGGATGCTTTTTATTGTAAATGTAATGTCTAGATATGTATAAAGGTAAATCGTGTAAATAAATGAATGGATAGAGTAGATGTGTGTGAGGATATATATATATACAATATAAAAGATATGTAAAATGGATAAACGATAAAAAAGAAATATATAAATAATCAAAAGTGATGGTTTCTGACAGCATTTTCCATAAATTCCAAAAACCGTTGACCATAAACTTTTGGTGGAACAGATGAAATCGTATTCTAAATAGTAAGAAGAAAAGAAAAAAAAGATATTAATATCATATATATATGTAACAATGTCTTTCTTTTTTCCTTGATTTTTTTTTTTTTTTTTTACCTTATCTTGAGTGATACTTTTCCATATGTGTTCTGATTTCTTCATAAAATTATAAGGAGTAAGTATATCGATGACACCAATAAAGTAAAGTAGATCAGAATCTTGATCATGACGATCACTACTTTGAAACCCACCGTTATCAGCATAAAATATACAATGTCGTCTTCTACTTGACCATTAAAAAAGAAAAGATGAATAAGCATACAGAATAATATTCATATAGAATCACTTTACTCTTCTGATGGATTTGTTGCTAATTGAGAAGTTGCTACCAATGGAATTGGATTTGTTGTATACTTTTTGACTGGCTTGAATTTTTGTTGTTTAGATAATTGTCGCTCTAATCCAAGTCCACGAGTCTAATATTATATTAACATCAAAGAAGTATAAGTGAATGATATAATCTATTTTTGATTATTTCCCATTTCCTAACCTCTATCAGCTGAAGATGTTGATCTCGATAACGTTCATCATTTCCCTTTTCGATCCCGTGAATTCCAATCAATAAACTATAATCCATGATATTCAACTTGGTTAATACCTAAACCAGAAAAACAAATTAATATAAATATCTGTTTGAAGCACATCCTTTTTTTTCTTTCTTACCGCCACATCCTTTTGAAGTTGAGTTAAGAATAGATTTCGTTTTTCAGGGCCTAATTCCAACTTCTTTTTCCGTTTGATCCAGTTAAGATCCTTCATGACAGCATAAGGATTTTTATTGATTTCATCATCGGTAGTAAGTCTTCCAAATGTAGATCCTTTCAAATCATAAGTTTCATGTACATTCTTGTTGGATGGAAATACATTACCCATAACAACAAAATGTATTTTTCTACCTCGAGGTAATTTGATCCGATGAAGTCCATAAATTCGACATAAAAGAGTGTTTGGATTTCGTCGTACATGCTATAAAAAAAAAAGTGGGATTCAAATAGTTAGAAACTTATCAAGCACGTCATTCTTATCAAGCACGTCATTCTTATACTTACATCATAGTAATCCATAAGAATTTTCCGCATAAACACATGTTCTGAGCGATGAATGGTTTTGATAATAAAACGATAATCCCGAGAATAATAGAAGAAACTACCACTTTTTCCAGGAGATCCAAGTTCAGAAAGTATATATTTGTGGGTCAAAGACATCTATTGATCAAAGATTATCAATAAAAAAAAAAAAGAGTGAGTATTTTTTTTATGAAGTTAATATATGATTTACCAAATAATCAGCAGCATCAATATGAAAGATTTCACGAAGATTCCGAAACACCCATGGAGCATAATCCTTGAATTTGAAATCGTATTTCACCCCTGGAGTCAATTCATTGCCAGTACTAACAAAATAAAAATGTTAGCATCGAATATATTCAATAAAAAACTACTTACACATCAAAAACCAACTTGTGAGCAGCTGTAAAGTCATCCGGATTAGGATCTCGTCGCATTTTGGCGGAAACTCTTCCTACAGCAATTCTAATACCAGTCAGCATATCATACCTAAAAAAAAAAAAAAAAAAAAAAAAAAAAGTCAAAGATCACCATCATTTCACATCAATATGCAAGAAGGAGAGAAAAAAAAAAAAAAAGAGAGAGAGACTTCCCCTTTTTTTTTTTTTATCCAAAAAAAAAAATACTTACATCAATTGATAGTTTCGATGTCCTTCAGCTACACGAGTTCCAATTTGTACATGATCATCTTCATCATCTGTATCAGCATAATGTTTTCTTCGTCTTGATCGTCTAGCTGCACGTCGAGCAGCAATTTCCGCTTCCAAAACGGCTTCTTCTTCATCACTGAGGTTTCCAAGATCAATACGAGCTGCCGAGGTAGATGCAACAGCACCACTAGATATCATGGATGGAGAACGATGAAAGGGTGACCATACGGGTGTATTTGTACTTGTAGTTGTATTACTTGTTGTTGTTTGTCGTATTCCGTCATTGGTATCAATGCAAATAGGATGTTTCGGTAGTTTCTTCTTTTTTCTGTTGGAAACTGCAGGGGGAGAAGGTTGTTGAATAGTAGAAGAAGGATCAGTAGTTTGAGTGGACCTGGTTGTTGTAGAAGGTTTATTCAAACTCTTTTCTTCTTGAGGAAGTTCAAAAGAATAGGAAGAAGTCGTAGAGGTTGTAGTGATAGTAGTTGTTTTGGTCAGGTCGGAGAGTTCTTGAAAACAGGAAGTAGTTAATGAGCTGATATCATCTGTATGTTGTTCAGTAGGATGGTGAATGATAGGTTTATGTTGTTGTTGTTCTGTAGAAGAAAGAGAGGTTGAAAGTAATCCGCCCCCCTCTACTTTTTCATGTAATGTTTGTGTTGCACAAGCTAACGGTAGCATAATAATAATAAATAGAAGATAAAATAAAATCACAACAAAAAGAAGATTCCTTTTTTTGGAAATCTATTCACAACACACAAACACACACAAAAAAGAAGTACAACACTTGATCAGATTATAAAAAGAAAAAGAAAAAAAGAAAAAAGAAAAAAGAAAAAAAAAAAGGAAGAAGAAGAAAAAAGGAAAAAAGTCAAAACTTGGAAAAAAGGATAGAGGGGCTGAGATGTAAGGGAAAAAAAAAATAGAAGGGAAAACAATAGGACATGAACATGTCCGACCTCGGAAATCTAAAAAAAAAAAAAAATCTTTTTTTTTTATTTACATTGATATTATAACAAAATAATAAAACTAAACTAATAATAAGAGAGAATCATCCATAAAAGATCTATTCTTTTGTTGCATGCCTTGATAAATGATATGTTAATGCTTGTAATGATCCAAATCCAGTTTCATGTTGACAATCATCAATAAAGCATTCAAATAATTTTGATTTTGGATGTACTGTGTTAATATGAACCAACGTTTGAGTCTTCTTTTCAAACCGCGCGTGACAACCAGGACATTGCAATGCATCATAATGAGCCATCAATTGTCTTGTCATTTTATCATCGAGTTTGTATACTGTTTGTTGTTGTGTTCCTTTTACCTTGGTTGTTGTAATAATAATACTATAGTAAATCATAATCAGTTAAAAAAAATATAATTATTATTATTATTATTTATTTATTATTATTATTACTTACTTATCCTTGCTTTTTGAAAAACTATGAGAAGCACGTAAATGATATTGAAGTCCAGGTCTACTTGAATAACGTTGTACACAAGTCTTGTCCATACAAACATAACCTGATTCTCCTTTATGATGTTGTCGATAATGAGCTTCAGTTTCTGTACGTGTATTTCCTTGATGATGGCAACATGGACAACGTGTAGGAGGATAAGTTTGTTCCATTAATTGATTGATCAATGCTGCAGTATTGCTATGAGTTGCTTGCCCAGTAGCATCCAATTGACTATTTAGATCTGGTCTCCTCCTGGATCTATATAAATATAATATAAAAATAAAAAAATAAAAATAAAACCATAAATAAACATATTATATAATTTTTTTTTCTAATCGATAAAATCAATAATACGTGTTTCTTACTTTTTTTGGTCTGATTTCATGGTATAAAGAATGATCTTTTCAGTTGTTTTCTTTTTCAATAATAATAATAATATTAATAATAATAAAAAGAAGAAAAAAACAAATGAAAAGGAAAAAAGAGAGAAAGAAAAAAAAAACTGAGAGAAAAAGGGGTCGTTCCTTCTTTTTTTTTTTTTTTTTTTGTACACCATCGGTATCTCAAAACAACTGTATCATTTTGGTAAGACATGTTTTTGGAGATTGAGTACAAAAGAAGATCATATCACCTATATGTACTTGCAAACTATTTTAAGTTGATCATCCTTAATATATATATATATAGTCGAATAAATAAATTAAGCGGTAAATCTTCTTTCTTTCTTTTTTTTTGACATTATGATCCGTTTTTATAAAATATGTTAAGAATGTTTCCAATGAATAAACCAATTAATCTGGTTGTAGATGATGAATTTTTTTTTTTTTTTTTTTGATTCAAATGATTTTTTATTAAAGCGGGTTAGGAATTTTTTGTTTTTTGGGTTTTTGGGTTTTTTCTTTTTTTGTAAGAAAAAAAAAATCTACTGTAAAGAATAATAAGAATAAAGATATGTAAAGTATAAATAATAAGATATAATAAAGTAAAATAAATGATAATAAAGAGAACCAGAATATAAACCAAGTGACAAAATAGGACATCAAACAAGTACTAATCTATAAGCATACGTGTATCAAAGTTAAAAAAAAAAAAGGTCAACACGTTCTACATTTTCCTTCATATTCATCCATCCATTTATCATTACATGTTTGGTTTTTTTTTTTTTTCTCTACAACAACAATAATAATATTAATATTAATAATAAAGAATGAATAATCTTGATGTCCATATTTTTCTATTTCAACTTACACTAGGAATCAAGAACTGAATTCAAAACACCATTGGATTTGATCCGGTCATCCACGTCAGTGTTTTGTAATTGTAAAGCAGAAGTAGGTGTTATCAGGTCAGGTAGAGGAGGAGCAACTGGAAGACCATTCGTATTAGTGAAAGCAACAGTAGCGGCAGCAGCGACTGTAGCAGGATCCATCATTTCTAATCCAGGCGAATCTGAAGTATCCATTAGTAACAAATCTGAATCTTTTTGTAGAACGCTACTGATGTTGGAAGAGGTGGCCAGACCGTCAACTGAGGATGTAGATGATATTGTTGGTAACACAACACCAGTAGGCGTAGAGGAAGATGGTTGATGCGGTTGTTGTTGATGATGATGATGTTGTTGTTGTTGATGTTGTAGTTGTTGTTGTTGATGTTGTTGTTGTTGAAGATGATGTTGTTGTTGCTGTTGTAAAGATCGAGGTGGATTGCCACAACGATCCTTTCCATAATTGATTCTGAATCGTTTGTATTCTTCCTTTGTCCGTATCCCTTCAATAGCACGCATAGCAGCAGCAATACTTGTAAAGTTGACAAAAGCACAGTTCTTTTCCTTGAGAGTGTTGACCAATTCAATATCCCCATACTCAGAAAAATCTTGCTTAAGTTTTTCTTCCGTCATGCTATCATCCATATTCCCAAGGTATACATTGCGAGAGCCACCATTTTGTACAGCTTGAATGACAGCTCCTGGTAAACTGGAAGGTTTGCCCCAACCAATCTTGAGTCGTCGACTTTTGATAACAATACCATGATAACTTGCTTGAGTATAAAAATGAAGGGCCAAAACAGGATCCACAAACGCAATAAACGCAATATGTTTGTCCACCATGTATCTAATTTGACTAAGTATACCTCCTCGAATGACATTACATATTTCTTCACATGTTGTATCTGGATGAATGTTGCCTAAATATATTGTACGATTTGCCACACCAGTTAAGCCATTCCCACCATTGTTTGTCGGATGAGGATGATAAATAGTCATATCTCCATGTACAGATGTTAAAGCTGGTATGAGTGTTGCTGTTTGATTAGGATGAATTTGAAGATGAGGATGATGAGATGATGGTGTAGATGTTCTTGTTGATGATTGTTGTAACGGAGGTACAGTTGTTGATGGACGATGAGCTGGAATACCTGTTATAGACGTCACTGTTGGAATTGTTTGAGTTGTCGATGATGAAGCAGGTGGTGGTGGTGGTGGTGGTGGCGGTGCAGTTGCTACTGCTCCAGGATAGGTTTCCATAGTGGTGCCGAGATAAGGATCATATGCGATTGTAGGTGAATAACGAACTTGATATGTATGTTGAACATGAATAGGTTGATGATGTGATGAATGAGAATGATAATGGTGAGGTGGTGGGTAAGGTGAGGACGAAACAGTAGGAATGGTGGAGGTGCCTGTATATAAAGCAGTTGGTGTTGAGATGGCTGGATGAGATTGTACAGTGTTGATAATTTGGCAACACCGATCCTTTCCGTAGTAGACCCGACGATTTTGCCATTCCCCTTCAGTTGGTAAGCTGGTAACACATTTGATAGCATTGGCAATAGACAAAAAATGGACAAAGGCGATATTCTTTTCACGAATCAGTCGGACATGTTCAACAGTACCAAAGCGTTTCAAATCTTCACGAATCACATCTTCATTCACAGTTTCATCTAAAGAACCCAAAAATACATTTCGACTGGCACCATTTTGTAAAGCAAGACGAATATTGGTAGGTAAAGTACTTGGTTTTCCCCATCCAATTTTGAGTTCTACGCCATTGATATTAAAAGGACGACTTGAGAATTCATGACAAAAATGAGCAGCAGCAGTAGCATCAACAAAAGTGAGAAAGATACAGTTCTTTTCTGGTAAAGGACGTACAATTTCGATAACACCAGAACGTACTTGATCCAAGATATCTGAAACTTGAGTATCAGGTGCCATATTTCCTAAATAAACGGTACGCATAGTTGGATGAGTGGCATGTTGAGATTGAGGTGATGATAAAGGAAGTGTGGATGGATTAGAATAATGTTGAGGATGAGTTGAATATGCAGCTGTAACGGATGGTGACGGTGAACCAAGATTACTATGTATGAATGGTGGAGAAGGTAAAATAGCAGATTGATGATGTGGACCGTTGTTATATTGATTGTATGTTGAAGAAGAATATATAGTATTGTTATTCTGAACACCAGGAACAGGAGTATTATTAACCATCATATGAGTAGAAGAGTTGTATTGTCCATACATATCGCCACTTACATAAAAAAAAAAAAAAAAAAAAAAAGTTAGCGTGTCGTTAATAGAATATATAGATATTCAATGTACATACGTATAAGAGTTGGATAATCTTGTGTTTTTCAAAGCTTCAACATCAGGAGACTTGATGATAGGAGAGGTGACTGAAAGAGTAGGGTGTTCTGTTGGTGTCATGGTCTAAAGGTAACGAGTGGCAAGGGGATAGGGACTTCCTACAATCAGAAAAAAAAAAAAAGGAAGGTTAAATAGAGTAATTATTCATTTTGGTTTTGTTTTGTTTTTGTTTTTTCTTTTCAATCATTACCTACTAGATGAAAAGGATGAAGTATAAGAAAAGAGAGCAAGTCAATAAAAAAGGAACTATATGAATAACAAAAGACTTACAGATGAAAGGACCAAGAAGAAGAAAAAGAAGAAGAGGATAGGAAGGGAGGATTTGAAGCCTGAGTCAACAATAACAACAAAATAGAGTTTTGATATAGGATTATATCTTTTTAAATATAACTTTTTTGAATATATATTGTACAATAGAAAAGAAAGAGAAAGAAAAAAAAAAAAAAAAAAAAAAGATGGAGAACCCCAATTTTGAGTCGTATTTTAATCAAACACCGATTCATAATAAAAATGAATTCTCGCCCTTCTTAATAATTTAACCGTGATCCATTATTATGCTCTTAATAAAAAACTAAAGATGATCTCTTACAAGTAGTCTTTTAATTTTATTTTATGAATTCTATATTCTATATGCTATTTTATGACATATAATGATTGGATCATTGATTTGATTTAATAGAATAATCATCATTATTTGATTGGAGGAAAAAAAAAAACAATATAAAAGACACGTTTTTATCTTCTCTTTCTTTCTTCTACAAAATCAAAAAAAAAAAAAATCATTTGCTCTTTTTGGCTGCTTCCTTCTTGGTGTCTTCTTCTTTCCGTTCACCTGATCACACGCGACAGAATATTGATTCCTGCTTCTCCCATTTTCCTCGTTTCCGTGCGTTCTTCCTTGTTGTTTGGATCTTTTTTTTTTTTTTTGGTAAGTGCACATATACAAATAATATTTAGTTGATCATCACACTAAATGATTTTCCATTTCTTCTTTTCAAAAACCGGAATGTGAATTACGTAGATCCAATAAATTTGAGCCAATTTTTTATTCTCACTTTTATTAAATGATGTTTTTCATAAAGTACATTATTTTATTGAATGAGATATAACTAGGAATCTAAATAATTCATATTTGATTGACATCCATTACATGATCCTTTCCATTCACTTCCATCTTCATATACTTCTTTTTTCCAGATTGGACACCGGGCTTTCAATTCATCAATCAGATATTGTGTTGCATGGATAGCATCACCACGATGTACTGAACTAGTCGCTACTACAACGCTTGTATATCCTACTGGTACAATTCCTGTTCTATGATATATCGCAATATGTTGTATTTGCCACCGTTGTCGTGATTCATTAACAATGGAGTTTAATACTTTGTATGTCATTCCTTCATATGCTTGATATTCTAACTGTATAACACGTTTTCCTATCAAACAATAATAATAAAAGATCATATAATATGCATATAACGAATAGTACTCTCTTCTACTTCTTCTTCTTCTCCTTCTTTTACCTTGAAAAGTATTTCGTGTAGTACCTGAAAAAGTACTTATAGCTCCAGCTCCATCATCTTGAACTTGCTGAGTAATAAAATCCAAACTTGGTATAGGTTCTTCAGTAATGTTAATGATAGTTCGATTCATCCAAAAGAAATAGTATTTGTTGACCAATAATGAGGAATAGTAAGAAACAAACATATAAGAGAAACAAATATTGAGTTGCCCTGACGGAGAATGACTAGCCAATTACCGGAAATGGAAAATACGGTCACAATGAATCATCTTTTTTTTTGGAAATAAAAAAAAAAAAACAGGTCATCCCTTTTTTCTTTCTTTCCTTTTTTCAAAAAAGAAAAAAAAAATCCAAATGGCTTCAATAATTGCTCAAGCAACTGAAAAGCTATCTATTGTAGAAAGTATGTATCAACTTTATCCTCTTTTTCATTTGAATACTTATCTCATATACTTTTTTTTGGTATGTAATTCATTAATAATCTCATTCTTTTTTTTTTTAATAGCTGTATATGTGGACGAAGTGGCTGGGTCAGACGAAGGTACCGGCACTGAAACGTCTCCTATGAAAACTCCTTTAAAGGCTCTCGAAAAACATGGTGAAAACATCAAGATTGTTATTAAAAAAGATGAAGAAGGCTATAAAGATATCTCTGGAGCCGCACTCAAGAAGGCCAAAAAGTCTTTATTAGAACATCAACGCAAACTCAAAAAGCAAGAAGAACAAAAACAAAAACTGGAAGAAGAACTCAAAAAGAAACATGAAGAAGAAGCCAAGGCTTTAGAACGTGCCAAATCAATTGTCTTGACTCAAGATACTTCTTTACCCAAGGCTGAAAAGGTAAACACAAACAAAAAAAGAAAAATGTAGATCAGAAATAAGATATTTATTCTCATACAATTGTTTCCTTTTTTAAAAAAAAAAAAAAAAGATTAAAATTCGTCAAAGTACTGATTCTCGAGGAAAACGTGTCAAGGTTTCTGGTTGGGTTCATCGTCTTCGTGTACAAGGCAAAGATATGATGTTTGTAATTCTTCGTGATGGTTCTGGTTTCTTGCAATGTGTCCTTACTGGTGAATTGGTAAAGGAGAATAATAATAATAATAAAAAAAAAGAAGGATATTTATTAATTAATCTTTATTTATTCTATATAGTGTCACACTTTTGATGCCATTACTTTAACTACTGAATCAACTATTACTGTTTATGGTGTGATCAATGCTCTTCCTGAAGGCAAAAAAGCACCTGATAACCATGAATTGGTGGTGGATTATTGGGAATTGGTTGGTAAGGCTCCTGATGGTGATGAAGCTTTCAACAGCAAGGTAACTACCGATGCTGATCCCTCCTATTTACTGGATAACCGACACTTGGTGCTCCGTGGTGAAACTTCTGCTGCTGTTTTCAAGGCACGTGCTGAAGTGATCAAAGCTTTCCGTGCTCATTATGAATCTCGTGGTTATACTGAAGTTACTCCCCCTTGTATGGTACAAACTCAAGTAGAAGGCGGAGCAACACTTTTTGAATTCAACTACTATGGTGAAACTGTAAGTTAAGGGGGGAGAAAGGAAAGAAGAAATAAGGGATAAAGAAAAAAAAAAAAAAAGAGGGAGATATATTCTGATTTTACTTAATAATCATATACTAATATTATTATTATTATTATTATTATTATTATTATTATTTGTTATTTGTTTTTATTCATGTGTGCACGGATGGATATATATATTATAGGCTTACTTGACTCAATCATCTCAACTTTATCTTGAAACTTGTCTTCCATCTCTCGGTGATGTATTCTCTCTTGCTGAATCTTATCGTGCAGAAAAATCACATACTCGTCGTCACTTGTCTGAATATTCTCACTTGGAAGCTGAAATGGCCTTTTTAACTTTTGAAGATATGTTGGACAACATTGAAGATTTGGTGTGTGATGTTATCGATCGTGTCATGGCCCATGAACCTACTCGCAAATTGATTGAACAACTTAACCCTACTTTCCAACCTCCTGCTAGACCCTTTTTGCGTATGAACTATGCCGATGCTATCAAATACCTCAAGGACAATGATATCAAAAAAGAAGATGGTTCTTACTATCAATATGGTGAAGATATTCCTGAAGCTCCTGAACGTGCTATGACCGATAAAATCAACCGTCCTATTTTGTTATGTCGTTTCCCTGCTAACATCAAAGCATTCTATATGCAAAAATGTAGTGATGATCCATCAGTCACCGAAAGTGTAGATGTTTTGATGCCTAACGTTGGTGAAATTGTTGGTGGTAGTATGAGAATGAACGATATGGTAAATGAAAAAAAAAAAGAATAGGGAAGGAAAAAATTGTACTTACTTTCTCTCTCTCTTTGTATTAATGTGGTAGAACGAATTGTTAGAAGCCTATAAGAGGGAAGGTATTGACCCCAGCCCTTACTACTGGTATACCGATCAACGTAAATATGGTACTTGTCCTCATGGTGGCTATGGTCTTGGAGTTGAACGATTCCTTGCTTGGTTACTCAACAGACATACTGTACGTGATTGTTCTCTTTATCCTCGATTCACTGGCAGATGTACTCCTTAGATTAGATGATAGATTACTGTCGCCTCTTAGTTTTACCTTTTTTTTTTTTTTTTTTTTGCATCTCGAATAAAAAAAAGAAATTATATTATCATATTACATTTCTGGATAGGTATAAATTAACGTTTAGATTTTTTTTTTTTTTTTTGGAGTTGACAGGTTGGATTATATGAACATTGTTGACATGGATACCCCAATGCCAAGAAAAAAAAAAAAAAAGGATGTAGTAGAGGACCTAGTGCAATGACCACTCTTTTTGTTAATAAGAAAAATATAATACAACGCACTTTTCAAACGCTCCTTACCAGTTAATTACATTCATATATATCCAAATATATAACAAAAGAAGGCTACATATCTACATTTGTCTACATTTACATATAACTCCTCGCTTGCCATCGACTCGTGTTGTCTCCTTGATATAAGGTTACTTCTCTTTTTTTTTTATTATTATTACGTAAACCAATAGATAATGATCAAAAAAATGAACCTAGAATTTAAAAGGTATACGCATGAAGAAGCATACAGAGCACATACTTATACATATGGAATAAAGGTGATTATAGTAATCATCAAGTGACAATATACATAAAGTAATGTCGACGATGTTTATGATTGATGTTCGCGAAAAGAAGAAAGATCCCTTTTCTCTCCTCTTTTTTTTTTTCTTGTTATTATCGTAAATTGTCATTATAGACATCATCAAAAAAAAAAAAAAAAAAAAAAAAAAAAAAAAAACTATCCATCTATAAAGAATCTTGTATAAAGCATCACCACCATCATCTTTGTCATCATCATCAGCAGCGGCAATAGCATCAGTATCACACAAAAATGTACCTTTTTTTTATATCTCTACATGGAAAATTAAAATAGAGAACCCTGCATTGAAATTGAAAAAAAAAAGGTTATTTTCAATTGATTTTCCTTAATCCATCACAAGCCCATTTAATTTAATCAACCCGGGGAGTGGATTGAGGATATGATGATATTTTAGCTGTAGTCGTTACCTAAAGAAGGAAGGATTGGTGCAAGTAGTAAACACTTCATCCAAACAATCATCATCACAGTTTTTTCTTTCCTCCCTCCATCCCCCCTTCTTTTTCTTTTTTTTTCCAAAATAAGCGACACATCCACACACATACATAATGGTTAAGAAAAAGAAAAAGGCGGGATAAATGAAGGATATCTCTCTCTCTCTCTTTTTTTTTTCTTTATTTATCCTTCTTTGACACTCATGAATATAAAATATCAGATGATAATCTACCATTCATTTTCTGTTATTATCTGTTTTTTTAGAAAAAAAAAAAAAAAAAAGAAAAGAAAAGAAAAGAAAAAAATATAAGAGTATGAAACATTCATTGGGAGTTAAATGATGGGTCATATGAATCAATAGGATTTTATACTATTTTTCTCCCGGAAAGGAATAAAGAATAGATAAAATGCACTGATAAGTTGGATGATTGACTGTTCCCAAAAATCAAAAGAAATAATTAAAGCCGGGATCTTTATTAAACTAAAAAAGGAAATTCAGGGTCTCGTTTCTTTATGGGTGGTAGTGATCTAGGGGCTAGGGAGGAGGGAGCACAAAAAAAAAAAAAGAGGAGTGCTTTTTTAGTTTTTACAATTGTCGTCGTAAGGAGAGAAAGGGGGGAGAAAGAGGAAAAAAAAAAAGTGGGAAAAAATTGACTTGTAGAAAAAGGTAAGGATTGGCAATCGGTAGTTCAGTATAAAAAATGATCTTTACGCCGCTTTGGCAGACCTGCTTTTTTCTGACACAGCATAAAAAAAAAATCCTTATAAAAGAGGGAATTCAAAAAAAATTTTTTTGATCTTTCACTTTTTTTTCCCTTCTTTCTTTCTCTTTCTTTCATATTTATTATTTTTATTATTATTATTATTTTCTTTACTTTTCTATTCATTTATTCCTTATTGTTTCCTATCATTACCTTTCTCATTCATTGTATTGATACAAACTGTCATTCTTCCGTCTTTTTTTTTTTTTTTTTTTTTTTTTATGATGCAACGAAAAACAAACTCCTCTGTGCAACGAAGGTACAAATGTACTATGTGCTCCAAAGCATTCTTTCGATTGGAACATAGAACTCGACATATCCGAACTCATACTGGTGAAAAGCCTCATTCTTGTACTTACCCTGGTTGTGGAAAAAGGTTTTCAAGATCGGATGAACTCACAAGACATTCACGTACACATACATCAACAGGATCACGTCGTTATGAAAGAAAGGATATTTTATTTCGAAGACCTCCTCATACTCCTTTATCACCACCTTCAGAAGGCATTGCGCGTCGTCAACATTATCATTACCAACAACAACAACAACAACAACAACAACAAGCAACTATTCCTTTACCACCTAGTCCAGCGTTATCTACCTGTACCTCTACAGATTACTCCTTCAACACACCATCTCCAGCAAACGATATTCTTCGTCTGACTCCTCGAACGTCAGTATCTCCTTTATTTGGTTCATGTCATTCCACCTATCGCTCTTCTAATCAAGGAAACAAACCTCAGCCAGTGGAATGTAACATTACTTATCCTCCCTTGTCTTCCTCTACTTCGTCTTCCTCTACTTCGTCGTCAATATCTTCTTCTTCTTCTTGCTCCTCGAATTATCATATAACAAACAAAACAATAGAATCAATCCCGACTACTCCAACTACTCCGTTTTCCACTGGTCCTACACATACTTTAGCTTCACCATCAGCATCACCCTCCATGAAAACTCAAGATTATTATCATCAACGTCCTACTTTACCTTCCATTCATTCATTACTTCTCTATTAGTTCTTATATATATATATATATATATATTTACACATGCTTATATTCTTATTCCTTTTGTGAAACTTCATTATGTTTATCGGTGTATCATAGTTTTCTATTGTTTGATTCTTCTATTTTCTTTTTTTTTTTATTTTATTGATCAGTTTAGTTCATATCTTTTATACCTTTCTATATTCTTATTCAATCGTTTATTTTCGAATATCATCATTATCATTTTCATCATCTTCATCATCTTCTATTTTACTTATATACTAATAAAGCAAATTATCTTAAAAATAGATTATCTCATAGTGCTTCCGTTGTCTTATACTTTTTTTTTTTTATGTTGGAGAAAGAGGAGTATGCAAGGAAATAGCAAGTAAAGGACCCTTATTTTCAACCTAGAATAAAGTCCCTCGTGTTTTCTATCTTTTCTATCAATAAGCGACCTTCACATGACTGATATTTTTTTTTTGTTTTATAAAAGATAAATGCATATGCGTATGTAATAGTAGAGCAGTAATGTTGCAAACAATAGTCATATAAAAAAAAAGGTAGGTAAATGATACGCTTGGTTGTTTGTTTTCTTCTTTTTTTTTTTCTTTTTCATCAACATCAACCACATGTTTGTTTTCCCTCTTTTTGATAACGAGATTCAATTCATCTACTTCCTCTCACCCCTTTCTCTTTCTTTATTTCCCAAAAAAAAAAAGGTAATGCTAGTGCATTGTTTGATTTCCCTCTAATTCTCCTCATGATCACTCCCTCCTTCCCCTTTTCTCCTCATCCATTTACTCGAATCTGACAGAAATGTTTTTTTTTTCTCTGATTCAACACATTAAAAAAAAAAAAAAGGTTGAGTCGATCCATCATGGTGCACGAGCACATACTATTTCTCATCACTTCACGTCTTTTACATGCCTATATCCATCTCATTTACATAAAAGAAAAAAAGAATATGAACAAATATTGTAATTAATAATATAAATGAGACTATCAAGTACCATTGTATCGGTTCCTCTCTTTTAGAATATCAGAAGGAAACTTTACCAACAAGAACTCAATGACAATACTCCAGTGATCGTGGCGGTGGTTAAAATAAACTTCGAAAGATGGGGATGATGGAACGATATATAGTATACATGTATGTCTATGTTGTCTGAGAAAAAAAAGAAGGATGCTACCTTTTTTTTTTTTTTTTTTTTTTTTTTTTTTTTTTTTTGTGATAGGGAGGTGATGATTAAAGCGTGAGGATGATATATTAAGTTCGATCTTGTAAAAAAAAAAACAAAACAAAATTGAACCTTGTTGTAATCACTTTTTTTAAGGGTGAAAGCGGTAAATTATTGATTGGGGTAAGCACTTGATCATTGTTCATGGAACACCATAACAGAATGAGAATGATTTATTTTCAATTGTTACAACAAGAAATGATAATAATCATAATAATAATAATAACACATAACAACTTGTCGTGTTTCAACAAAAAAAAAAAAAAACGCTTCTTACTGTTGTCTATTTTAATTATCATCATTCGTCATCCAATCGGCTATCATCCATTATACCATCAAACATCATTACATAGACAAGAATACATATATGTTGCTATAGTTATGATTTTCTTGGAAGATCTTTTCCTCTCTCTCTCTCTCTCCTATTTCGCTCCACATCTCAGGGAAGAAAGTTCTCCTTTACTTTCAACCAAAAAAAAAAAAAAAAAAAAAACCATTCATCCTTGTCAAGGCATCTCATTAAAAGTCAGTTGAGGTATGCAAAAGAACGATTCCTCTTTATCATGAATGATCATCACATGACTAATCATATAGGATTGTTACGATGAACAGAAAGATATGAAGATCAAGAACTAGAAACGAGATGTCGCACATCATTATGTGTTTTCTTATTATCAAGCCATCTGCTTTTGATGACAATAAGAAAAAAGAAATCATTTTATCATGATGGAAATGAAATATCTTAGTTGAGAACATTCAAAAGCAATCTACTAAACCCCAGGTTTTTTTTTTTTTTTTTTTTTTTTGCTGAACGACACCTACCTACCCCCCTCGCAAGAAAAGGAGTGATGAACACAACAGTAATAACAGTAATAACAATAAACGAAAAGATTCCTTTCGGGAAAAAGGATAATTTACGGGCAGGATCTTCCGTTCAGAGTTTTCTTTTTTTTCTTTTTTTGATAGAGAAAAAGGGGGAAATGATAGACCAGGAAAATAATAAAAAAAAAAGGGGGGGATCGATCATATATTAATATCGTACATCCTCGATCTTAAAGGGAAAAAAAGATACATTGACATAAAGTAGGCATAAGCATACAACCATAATAATAAGAAGAAGAAGAAAAAGGAGAAGAAAAAAAAAAGAAATCAAGAGAAATCCTGATGATATCAAGTTCATCTTGTTTCTTTATACAGTATTATTTTTATTATTTTCTTTATTTTTTGGAAACTGTCAACAATCCATGCTATCGGTCGAAATGTGCAAATATCGTTGTATCCTTGAAAGCAGGTTTTCTTCTTTAATTGTGGAGAAATGAACTTAAAAAAAAAAGTTCATTCCCCTGAGTCTTTTTTTTTTTCCTTAAAACTGCTTATTATGTTGATTACTAGAAAAGGAAATGATCTAGCGGGAACAATAATATCACAAGATGATTTGAAAATGTGCTTCTACATTATCATCCCCTAAAAGAAAGGTACAATAAAAAAAAAAAACTGAACAAATTTTGCTGGTCAAACCCCAATATCCAAGTCATCCATTCATATCATCCGTTCCATCAGAAAAAACGTTCCAGAAGCAAAAAAAAAAAAAAAAAAAAGTCAAACACCCAAAAAAAATCTTTTTATTGATATATATATATATAATACGAGAATCACATAGCGGATAAACTTGAACTAACATTGTTACAAACGATCAATCACTGCTTGTAATTCAGCTTCACTATAAATTCTAAAATTGTCCTTAACAGTCACCGATGCCAACTGCACATTTGACTTGTTCAATTTTTCTTCCATCACCGATTTCAATACTGTCAATGAGAGTGTTTCTGCTTCTTCAAGAGTAATAGACTAAAGAAAACAAAAAGATTGGTTACTTGATTCAATTCAATCGTCCTTTTTTTTTTTTTTTTTTTTTTTTTTTTTTTTTTTTTAGTTAGTGTACCTTGTGATACTCCTTTTGCAATTCAGTTTGAGCGCCTTCAGATCCTGATCCAATAGCCTTGGCTTGATATTTCATGAACGTACCTGATGGATCAGCATGGAACCTAAATAATCAAGTAAAAATCAAAATAGTCATCAATATTATGTTTCCTTTTCTCTGGTTTTCTTCATCATCCTACATACAATTGAGGTCCTTTTTCATCTACACCAGCAATGAGTAAGGCAACACCAAATGGTCGACTCTACAAGATAAAGGAAAAAAAAAAAGAAGAAGATGATTTAGCATTTTCAGGACATATTTCCAACCAACTTTATTTTTTTTTTTCATTTACCATGATAGATTCTTCACCTTCTGCACCTTCACCAAAACGTAATGCTAAATCACATACGCTTTGCGTCACACTTTCCACTTTGAGAGATTCATTGTAAGCAAAACGATGATTCTATCCATATATAAGAAGAAGGAAAAAAAAGTTAGATTAGATATTCATTCAATATAATCAAAGATATGTTTATAAAGATTTCTTTTTTGAAAAAGTTCATCCTTACCTGGGCAGCCACACGAGCATGTTCAATCATAGTACGAGCATCAGCCGTCATTCCACTAACAGCACAACCCAAATTGACATCGATTTCCATAATCTTTTCGATAGAACTTGCCTCCAGTAATTTTGATGATACTCGTTTTTCAACGGCAAGAATAACACCTTCTGAAGTTTGAATACCAATAGCAGTGGTACCGAGCTAATAAAATAAATAAACAAAAAAGAAAGAGATGAAAAGAAAAAAAAAAGAACAAAGTAAGTATAAGAAGTATAATGTTTCCACCATGATATACAAAACAGTACCTTGATGGCTTCGATAGCATATTCAACTTGGAAGAGACGACCTTCTGGGGAAAAAGTATTGACACCACGATCGTATTCAGAACGAGTTAAAAACATGACAATGATCTGCTTTGAAAAGGATATAAATGGGTTACGTTAAAAGAAAAAGTTAAAAAAAAAAAAAAAAAGGAAGACGAAAAAACAAGCAGACGTAATTCTCAGCTATAAAAAAAAAAAAGACGCGTACACTGACATCGCCCTATAAAATCAAGCCAATCAGAATGCTTTAACACAACAAAGACTAGAAACGATGATATCCTTTGTTATAAAGAATGTCAATAACAAAATGGTATATTCCTTTTTCTTTTATTGGATAAATGTAGAAAATAAGCTAAACTAAATAACTCTATTTCTAACATCGACAAGCAATCATCATCACACAGTATACTTTTATAAATTCCACAGTAATTTTTTTTTTTTTTTTACCTTGAATCAAAAAAGTCCATTTCATACATAGTCATATTTCGAATCTATATATACATATGTCGTTCCTCGTATAGTACTTTTTTTTTTTGAGTTTTCACCTGCTAGATGCATATGGTTCCCATCATACTAATGTTTTGCCGAACATGGTTTTTGTCTAATGCCATTACAAATAGTTATTCAATACGATACTGAATTTGCCAAATTGTGATTTGACGTTCTATCAAGGAAAAAATAAAGGTATCAAGAGTAATGAGAATAAAATAGTTTGAGAAAGAATAAAATAATAATAATAATAATAATAATAATAATATAAAAGAGGTAAGAAAAGAAACAAAGATAAAAAAAAAAAAAAAAAAAAAAAAAAAAAAAAACAGGAACAGCTAACTGACCTTGAAAACTTGGGTTTGTATGTGTGACAAAAACCGAAATACTGAAATGTGATTGGCTGAAATGTGCATTAGCTTTATAATAAACTGATCAGTTTTAACAAAACATCTGGTAATTTGGCCGAGTTGGTCTAAGGCGCCGCACTCAAGTTGCGGTCTCGTAAGAGGCGGGTGTTCGAATCACCCAGTTACCATCAACCTTTTTGATTTTTTTAATTTATCACCGGGTAAACTGTTTTACCATGGTTAAAGATGTTAGGGAAGTTTCTGAAGTGGATGATTGAAAAAATAAAATTGTGATGGATTATATTATTATTATAACGATATCAATGATGATTGATTGGTGGATGGATATAATAAGATATTTATTATTGTAACAATGCCTGCAAAAGGATAATATCATCATTCAACTATTCCTAAATTATGAATCAAAATAGAGATCACCATTTTTAATATGAATCTTAAAAAAAAAAAAAAAAAAGAGTTAGGACGTATGTGGTCAAACACGGAGTTTAAATTCCACCATGTTCAAAAATAAAAAAAGCAGTGCTGGTAACAATTTCAATTTTTTTTTTTTTTTTTTTTTTTTTTGTTATTGTCTTCATTTTTATACTCAATGTCACGGGCTTTATTGAACACTTATCGTATTGCTGCCAAACAATATCAATCACCTTTGAAAGCTTCTTTCTATACTGGGTCGCAACGATTGAGTCAATTCAATGGAAACCAACAACAACAGGGAAGCAAAACTACCCATTTTGGATTTCGCGATGTTGCTGAAGAAGAAAAGGAATCTTTAGGTAATACTAGTATGAAGAAAATGTATATAGATTAAAAAACAATAAGAGTAGTGTAGAGGAAAGAAGAATGATATTTTTTTTTTTGGAGAATGGACATGGGTATGACAAAAAATAAACGTCTACTTACCAAATCTTTTTTTTTTTTTATTATTATTACGATATAATAAATAGTACATCAAGTATTTGCCAATGTTGCTGGAAAGTATGATGTGATGAATGATGCCATGAGTCTTGGTATCCATCGTATCTGGAAGGATCAATTTATCCGTTCCATGGCCCCTGGACCTGGTACGAAACTTCTTGATGTGGCTGGTGGTACTGGTGATATTGCTCTTCGGTTTTTGGATTACTGTCGCAACATTCATCGTGACTCAACGGCTTCTGTCACCATGGTTGATATTAATCCTCATATGTTGGAAGAAGGCAAGAAGCGATTTCAAACAACTCCTTATGCTCATAGTAAGTTATAGATGATTATACATGATGGGATAAATTATTCATTTATTATTATTATCTAGCTCATCAAGCAGATTTTCTGGTGCAAAATGCTGAAAAACTAGTGGATATTCCTGATGAATCTGTTGATGTATATACTATTGCTTTTGGGATTCGAAATTGTACTCATATTGATCGTGTGGTCAAGGAAGCTTACCGTGTTTTAAAGCCTGGTGGTCGATTCATGTGTTTGGAATTTTCCAAGGTGGAAAATCCTGTCATTGGAAAGTAAGTCAAAAGTTGAATATGTGCGAAATATTAGTTAATAATATATATTTATATTTATTTATTAGATTCTATGATATCTATTCCTTTGATGTCATTCCCGCTCTTGGTCAAATCATTGCTAATGATCGTGATTCTTATCAATACCTAGTGGAAAGCATTCGCAAATTCCCTTCTCAAGATGACTTTGCTCAATTGATTCGTGATCAAGGTTTCAAGACAATTGGTTCTGGGTATGAAGATTTGACATTTGGTGTGGCTGCCATTCATAGTGGATTCAAGATTTAGATGATTATTATTATTATTATATTTTTTTTTTATATCATTGTTGTTGTTGTATATAGCATTATTATTAATAAAACACTAGACCATGTTTTTTTTTATAGAAGAGACTCATACATTTGTATAAAGCTGCCTCTTGTTTTGTTGGATGGTTTGTGATGGATGAAGGTATTATAGGAACACTAAAACAGATTGCAGTAAAATCGTTGGAGGACAATAATCTTATTCCAATGTACTTTTTTTTTTCTTCTTCTTCGGAAACAAAATATGTCACAGACAAAAGAAAAGACTTAGAGCAACCTTTCCATTGTTGGTATTCCCTTGTGCAACATGTATCACAGGTATCTAAAGACATATCCTTCACATTCCCTTTAATAAAATAGCAAAAAAAAAAAAAAAAAAAAATAACAGAGGCAACAGCAGTAACTGGGAAGAGCATTCAAGTTCAAAAATTAGTGATCAATGATGGTTCCTATGATAATTCCAATGATGATGATATACAACATACAATACAAGCGAGATGTCAAATATAGGGGATATCTGAATAAAATAAATTTATTTGATAATTGATTGAGGTATCGACACACACACAAAAAAAAAAAAAAAGTTCTACATCAAAACTAATAGTACGAGGTGGAAAGGAATAAACTATGAATGTTTTGAATAAGTAACCTGTAAAATAGGGAATGGAATACTGATATCATCGTTTTTCGTCAAAAGTTGTATAGTGTTCACCTTTCTGTCATCAATAAATATTTTGGAATCCATTTCCACATTATCACCTTGTTTGCCATTTGCCATATATCCCGAAGCCTTGAAATATAAATAGATATCCGAATGTTGAATGCGAGGTTTTCGTAGTTTGATATGAGCCAAATCTTGGTGTACACCTTGCCTGATATATGATTCCATTTCCCAACCAGGTATAATATGTCCGGTGGATCCAACAAAATCATCCTCCACCTTCATAAATGTTCTTGTTTCGTGAGATCGAATGATGAGCGGTATTTCCAGTTTAGCATCAATCCATTGAACCGATGGTTTATCCCCTTTCAGTAGTGCATTCTTATATTCAAAGTAAATCACATCAATATTGTCGTTGTTGGAAGATGAGCGTTGTGAAGTGGTTAAAGTAGGAAGTAAGAATCGATAGGGCAAGGGTGATATATTGGTAACCGTGATATACGATCGTCCATTGCAAGTATAATGAAGTCGATAAACGTCAGCACCAAGACGATCCATATGATCCATCTTCACAACCACCTTTGGGAATGTTTTTGAATAAAGATCATGTTCTTCCTTTGTATAACGAGCCACATTATCCGACATAAGAGCCATTTGTCCAAGCAAGTTGTTGATCATCACCAAGGTGTATCGTTCATCTGTTGTCAGTTTATTGTTGTTGGATCGAATAAAATAAACATCAGGATCATTTCCAAACATAACGTTGTTCATAGGCCAGCGATTTAAAGTGGATACCAAAGCATTATAAGTAGCTACACGTTCACGTACGTTTGCAATCCTCAAAAGAGAATGATCCCACCATGGAGAAGCATCACTACTGACACGATTGTAGTCCATTCGTCCCCATACCGACGGCAGACTGAGTCCAGATCCAAGTAACAATGCCCGTTTCTTAGTCAATTCGGTAATCAAAGTAACAGCGTCCCACATAATTTCACCTCGAGATTTGCCTTGTCGAGGTACCATTGCAGCAGCAAAAATAAAGTCCAATTTCAAAAATTTATATCCCCAATCTTCAATAACAGTGTCAAATACGCGTTGAAGGTAATCACGGACTTCAGGATGATATATATCCAATGCACGAAAACCACCTAATAGAAATCATAATAATAAATATAAATTCGATCTTTTTTTTTTTTTTTTTTTTTTTTTTTTTTTTTTTTTACATACCCCAATTTGGACCAGCTAGTAAAGGAGTACCATCAGATTGATATACAAGCCAATCAGGATGATTTTTGATAATACTACTCTTCAGACCCACAGCAAAGGGAGCCAACCAAATTCCAGGAATAGCTTTATTGTCTGTACGATGTTTGATTTCATCAGCAATGAATTTCATACCATTAGGAAACTTGACAGCATCCACATCTAGCCAGTCACCAATCGCAGTTTCGTATCCATCATCCACTTGAATGAGATCTACAGGATAACCATATTCGACAAATCCATCAATACTATCCAATACATCCTTTTCTGTCACTGCTTCATAAAAATTGTACCATGATGTCCAACCAGAGATTGAAGGTGGTTTTGTCATTGTTATTTTATTATCTAATGTAGGAAGATATTGATTTGCATAACGTTGCCAAAGAACAGATTGATCATGATGCTGGGTTCCAAAGTATGTAAATGTTAACTTGTCATTCGTTGGAAGAGTCTTGCCTTCGATATCCTTATATATGGCGAATCGATGGGAATTAAAATCCACCTTAAAATAAGAATAACCATTGTTTTCAGATAGTGAGCCCAAAAATAGTATAGAATCATCTTGAGTATTGCGAATATAAGTATAACCGGTAGAATGAATTACACCTCGTTTGCCAGAATATTTAAAAAAGTTATAGTCCCTAAAAAATTAAAATTAAATTAAATCAAATCAAATAATTATAAAAAAAAAAAAGATTGCGTCAATATCGTTGGGATACTTAGTTACTAATTTCTGTTTTTCGATATAAATAACTCTTACCCTTGAAGATCAAATTTCGTTATCCAAGCAACAGTTGATTGTATCTTTGGTAAAGTAGTGGTTTTATCCATTTCCCTAGTTTGACTCCAGCACTGGAAACCTTCGGCCATGATAGTGTTGTTATTAAAGTCAGTATCAAAAAAGACTTCAAAATGGTGTAATTTGATTAATGAAGAATCTTCTTGGTGATTGTTAGTAGGTTCAATAGTATATTCTATTTCAAAGGAGTCTTGAGAAATAGATGTAAAGGTACGTTTAATAAGTAAATGTGAATCGGTGACGGATTGACTATCAAAAGGAGCGCTTAGTTGATAATATTTATTTCCAATAGTGTATCGAAGTTCAATAAAAGCATCATGTTTAGTCAAAGTATTTGAAAGAGGTATCATTGTAAAACCAATATTAAAATGATAAGAGAAGAAAAATAATAAAACAAAAATGCTTAGCTGCATTTTTAAGTGAGAATTGGAAGAAAGGTCTGTGAAAAATCGAATTTCCCAATAATTTACATGCTGAGTATGAACGCGTTCCAAAAATCCCAAACGAAGGAAAAAAAAAAATTAAAAAATTTGTGTGCGCGCCAAAAACAAAAAGAGTCCTTTTTTTTTCATTATATTATAATGAGCCATTCTAAACCTCTTTTACAAACAAAGTATATCATATTATATCATATTATAAATGAATTAAAAAAGAAAAGAAGAAGCTAATGGTCCTTTTTTTTTTATATATCTTGGTAATAGACTACAGTTTGGCATCATCAAACCTAAAAGTAGTACTATAACTACTACTTTATCTATTGAAGAAAAAGTCAACCAACTGAAACTTGTAACAAATGTATAATATATCATTAAGAAAGAAATAAAAAAAAAGAAGGAAAATAAACTAACCTTTTTTTTTTAAGCATCCTGATTGTATTACACGAAAATGTAATCCAAGAAAACCAACTATCGTTTGCTCATCAGTGAAATCGAATGGATCTCCTTGTCAACTTACTTGGTGTGATGATTGTATTGGTAAATATATTGACGAACAAATCAAGGATATTAAGGAACTTGATATCAGTGATTCAACATTTCATTGGACTTGTCCTGTTTGTAGGTATGAATTATATGAAGTTAAGTAGGTTAACAGAATGTTTTATTAATATATATATATATATATATATATTGAATTAGAAAACTTTGTAAATGTACATATTGTGTATCACCAAGAAACAATCAAAAAGAGAAAACGTATGCTGTAATCAATCAAATAAGGAAAGAAAATGAGTTAAGACAATTTATGATTTATTTATTTGTTTTTAATTAGTTCTCCTGTTAATATGGTTGATCGACAATTACTTTTTGGAAAGTTGACGATACCTCTCATGCCACCCTATTTTAAACGGATTTCATTAGCTTGTTCCGAGGAAGAAATTTGGATTCGTCTACAGATACGAGAATTCCTTTATCGATTTGGAGATATTTGTCAATGGGATGCAAGAACAGTAGCCAGTTTACAAAATGTACAAGGTGATTGGCGGATACGACGACTATCAGGACTACTTGTTTGGAGAGCATTACTGATTATTGGTGAAAGAAGACGTAACACTGGTCAAGAAGGCAATGGCAATCATCATAATAATAATAGTTTGATCAATCAAGATGTACAATGCATGGCACGTCAACTGACCAATCGTTGGGCCACGGAGTTTGGACTGAAAAGAACTTTTATTTTGAACAACAAGGAAAGAATGGAACGTGCTGGGGAAATGTTATCAAGGAAAGGAATGAATTGTCATCGATGGCAAGATGTGGCTGAATTATTGGCATTGACAGGCTGTAAGAATCTACCTATACCTACTCTCAATGCTATGGAGGAAGATCAAGATGAAAACATGGATACAGCTATGGATACAAGTTCGGACAATGAAGATGATGATGATGATGATGATGATGAAATAGACATTAAAGATGAAATCAAAAAGTATCGTGCAAAGGGTACATCACCACTATCGACAAAGGAGGAACTACATATGATTCAATTGTTATTAGATATTTTACTATTGGATGGAACCATACGACAACAAATGACTGATACGACAAAGGAAATCAAATCTTTGGAGGATGATCTCAAAAACTTTAGGAAAACCTTTCAGTTGAATGATGCGCAACAAACTTCATATGCAAACCAACTACTTGAACGAATGGAACAGTTTCGGGCTTTGGGAAATCAAGAAATGTACAATACTTTACAACAAGAACTAGATGATTTACGTACATCAATGCAATTGAACCAAAAGGAAATGGATAAGAAGGAATTAATGGTGATGACAAGTAGAATGCGATCGGACAAACGACTTCAACGTCTAATGACACCTTGGGATAAAAATGAATATTGGTTATTTCATGATTTACTGACAGTACAACAGCATTTGGATGGACATATGGTGGATCATTCATCTACGGAACCATTTTGGGCACATGGCGTGATTATTATTGGAAAAGACCCAAATTTGGAAACAGGCGAACAAGGACGAATAGGATGGTGGTACATTAGTGGAATCAAAGCTATACAGAAATTAAGTAAATGGTTGGGTGACTCTTTATCGAACCAAAAACAGCAAGATGTGAACAAAGATATTATGGAAACTGTGGATGGTGATGTTAAGTCCTTTAGGTTGCAACTTTCTCAACGAATTGATTATTTACGACTATTGGAGCGTGTCGTGTATGGAAATGGATACTTTGCTTAGTGTAGATATGTGTTATTTACCGATAAACCGTTTGGAAGAATAGAAATTTACTTATTTATTATTTTTTTTTCTGTTTTTTTTATTGTATATACACTTCAAATAAATTGTACTCATTAAAAATAACAAAAACATCGGTGGTTAGATTTTTCTTTCTCTCTTTCTCTCTCTCTGTGTGCGTCTTTTTTTTTTTTTTTTTTTATTATTATTATTTTTTTTTTTTTCTACGTTGCGACGTGGGTTCCCTTTTTCTTTCCCTTTTTCTCTCTGTCTTCTTTTTTTTTTTTTCTCGTTTTCTATCACGACAATATGGATATTGAATGCAATGAACCTAGTATAGGTAATCGTCTGTCGCCTAACTTTTTATCAAGCGTTTTGGGCTCAGACTATTCGCTCTTTGATAAAGAGGTGCCCGACTCCACATGTGAACATCAACCTACAGTCTCTCATTCTCGAAAACGCAAGTTGATGGATCAATATTTACAAAACTATGATGTTATTGATGGCAACTTGAACGAAGAAATCCTTGGACAAGAGACTTCCATGTTACAAACAAATGATACTTCCACACACTGGCTTCCACCCGACTATATTGGCGAAACAAATAATGTCAGTGATAGTACTGGAGGGCGCAACAATCTGACCAATAGCGGCGAAGGTGTATCAATGGATGATCATCTAGACAGCAAACCAAATTTTCAGCACCAATTCAGCGATTCATTGCCAAAAACATATCTTTCTTTATCAACTAGTCGAAATCAGCAACAACACGATAATGAAAGACGATCTCAGCAAGAACAATCAGTCACCACTTCACTTTCTACAATGGATCAACCCAAGAGTTATTGTTTGGAACATGTTGGGGTCACTGCTGCTTCTGCATGTGTGGATTTGTTTGTTCCTACTTATACTTCTACTACTGTGAGCACTCCCTCTGGAAATCATATGTATACAACTGATGCGATCGAAACGGACCAAGATACAGCTCTACTCAATGAATATGATGGATCTTTTTCTAGTAATGGTTTTGTGGGCAAATATCAATGCTTGGATTGCACAACGAGAAACTCCGCATGTGTGACAAGAACAGGTTATTTGGATTCAACATCATTTGAACACAAATCTTCCTTGTATCCCTCTCAACGCCAATCTTGTCATCATCCTACTATCTATCAACAACAGGACAAATCAACACATTCTTATCATACATCACGTGGTCTCTACTTGGATCTGAAGAATATGCCAGTTTTGAATATTGGTTTGACTCAAGAAGACGAAAAAGATTTACCCATGACACCAGCTCTTTTTTCACCTACTCTCGCCAATGCTTTGGACGACATACAGTCAATTACAACTACTACAACGCCGACGAAAGTAAAAAAAATGGATCAAGAAACATACCTGGACTTCAACATCAATAATGACTCTCATCATACTACTGCACCTTTCTTATTGACCGACATGAACCCGAGGAACACTACCTTCGAACAAACAACAACAACAATGTTGGATTCTTATTCTACTTGGTTAGCAAATGAACGATCATCATATCAGGATCACACCAGTCCTCTCAATTTATATTCCACAGCGCTTACAACAGGAAGAACAACAGGTGGTCATGATCAATGTTTGTCTAGTCCAGCGTCCGTTACAACAAGTAATGATGATTTCCATTTTATGCACCGAAGACGATCTTCCAACAACACTATGTCCACCAATTCATCTATTTCTGACTCTCTCGTGACGCCAAGAAGTCACTCTCACGTGTTATCATTGCCATATCCGGTTGCATTATCACCAGTCTCTGTAGCTTACCCATATGAGCAACAACAACAACAACATCAGGCATCCTTCTCAACTGTATCACCTTTATCAACAACAACAACATCATCTTCAGCTCCCATCATCTCAACGACTACAAGAGCAGCTCGCAGCCATTATATTGGAAACAGTTGTTTTCATACTATGTCAACAAGTAGTGGATCGTCATCATTAGCGGTATTGGATGAGGAAGAGGAATCACGTATATTCAAACAGCAACAAGAACCAGATCAACGGCCGCTACTTCTATATCCTTGTCTAGAGCCAAACTACCAACACATCGACATTGACTCACATCAAGAAAAGATCGTTTCCTCGCCTTTGGAGGCTCATTCAACAACATCGAAGTCCTCTATGTATGATACTATCTGCAACTACCTAGCAAGTCCCAATTTGGCAACCTCAGGTGAAATGAAAGTGGTGATATCAACTAGTAAGGTGGCTCAAAAAAGCTATGGTACAGAGAAAAGGTAAATATACAATATAGATATATATATATTTATCATCAATATGATGTACTTATTCTCTATCTTTAGGTTTCTTTGTCCACCTCCAAGTGTCCTCCTCTATGGCTCGAATTGGTGGACAGTAGATCATCAGGAAAATCAAATGGATGAAACCAATCAAAAATATGTGCTACGACCTCCAGTCATGCAGATCCAAATGTCAAACGAAGTTGTTGGAAATGTCATTCGATCTTCTCCTGTTCCTGCTGGTAATATTGAATGGATCACTCTATCAGGCTTATCTTGGAATGAAGAAACTTTGAAAACGACAGTAGCTACGACAACAGCAACAACAACAACAACAACATCATCATCATCCGATTACAGTCAGGGAGATAGCATACCATCAACATCGACTTTAAATAAAACCATCATGGATCCTACAGCCGCTCGATCTGTGCGAATGACAGAACCTATCGTATCTGGAAGATGTATATCAAAAAACATGTACATCAGCGACAATGATGAGAAACGGAAGACGGTGGAAATGTTAGTTAGGTTACGTCTAGCCAATGGGTTGGATCTTGGTGTTTTCAAAAGCAAAGAAATCCGCGTGATTAGTAAACCAAGCAAGAAACGCCAAACATTGAAGAATATGGAATGTAAGCTTAATGAAGAACCTTATAAAAGTGCATCTACTTAGTTTTTTTTTTTTTTTTTTTTTTTTTTTTTGTGATAAAATAGTATGTATACATCATGGAACTCCAGTGGCATTATTCAATAGAATTCGATCTCAAACTGTATCTACAAGATATCTTGGTATTTCGAATATGGATGGGACTCCGATTTTCTATGAAAACTATCAACCTTGGGGTTTCAATAATAACAAGCAACAACGATGGAAAAATACAAGCCAGATTTGTTTCTCTTCAAAAACTCAAACATGGGATTCTTTTCTTATATGGATAGTGGATGGATCAAGGATTGCAACAGAAGAAGAACAGGAAGCAAATGGTACATCTTATCCTCCACCACCGGCAATGGCATTACGACTTTCAAGTTCAGAATCTCCAGTTCCTATTCATTACAATCAACCAGTGGTTCTTCAATGTTTAAATACTGGCCTTGTTAGTCCTGTGATGATTATTCGAAAAGTGGATTATGGATGCTCAGCTATTGGTGGAATGCGTGCCAACAACGAACTTTTGATGCGTCAACCTGGATGTCTTGGATTAGGCGGTGAATACAATGATGAGTGTCTTGGAGATCCGGTATCTCAATTACACAAGGTAGCTTTTCAAGTCATTGACAATCCCAGCACGTTGAAAGGATTTTCTGGATTATATCCTATGGATCATCAGCAGCAAGATCATCATAAGACTTGTTCGTCAACTTTACCTTATTTAGATCACCCAGCAAATTATCTTAGTTGTATGAAGGATGTGGTTGGTATCTATTGTACATCAGGTCAACGTCAGACGTTATCATCAGTGACTCCTGGAACCAAGAATATGTCAACAGAAGCAACTTCTTTTACTGGAGACAACAACAACAATATCGATCGCAGTAATAGTAGCTATCAAGAAAAAGAACATCGATCTTCCCCACCCGCAACAGTATCAACTCCACTCCCATTCTCTTGGTCTGCTTCCGCTATAAATCATGATCGTCGAAAATGTCAACAGCAACAAGTACAACAGTCATTGGATGATGGATCACCAGCCTTTCGAAAAAGACGTGTATCATGTGATATTATCGATGGTAACGAATCCAGATCGACGACATCAGCAGCAAAACAAAGTGTAAGACGACGATACAGTAGTGCCAATGAGCAAACTAGATCATTACAATGTGGTGGAACCATACATCGACGCCGAAACAGCATATTATCTAGCACCAATCCATCTGGTTTATTTTCAAATGGAATATCTGGTATTTGGCAAGAAGATATTTCGGAAACATGTGTTTGGTGTATTGTTAATACAGGTACAAAAAAAAAAAAAATTGAATGATTCATTTTTTTTTTCATTCTGACGATATTCTCTTTTGGAATAAATAGACACGGAAACATATACATTTTTGCCTAGTAGGATGGATGAAACACAAAATGGCAAGGATGATATTCCTGTGACGCCTGTACCATATATCAAGCAATGGAGAATGATCGAGAACAATCGAATGATTATTCATGGGTATGGGTTCACAAATGATATGGTGGTTTGGTTTGGAACGCATGTTGCTATGATGATCCGTATCACACCGACGGAACTAGAAATTTTGGTGCCCAGTATATTGTTGGGAATAAAGAAGAACGAGGGGACTTTACAACATGAAGAGAAGCATGGAAAGAAAGGAAGTCAAGGAAAGCGTACAAATAGCAAGGATCATCATCAAGAAAATGACATGGGCAAGGAGGAATGGATACAAAAGAAGGTACCTATTTTGATTGTACGTGAAGGAGATGGTATGGTGTATCGAACTCCAAAATGGTTTTGATGCTCTTTTTTTTTTTTTTTGTTTTGTTTTTTTTTTTTTTTGTTTTGTTTTGGAACCCTGCAGCGATTGGATGGATTATCTTTGGTAAAAATTCATACTCAATATGTCATGATATTCCCTTTTTATCTTTTTTTTTTTATGTGTATGTGCGTATATCATATATATTATTTATATCTGTATTAGTGTAGTTTCTCCCCTTTTTGTTCTCTCATTCTCCTTACTTGATCAGTATCACCCTTCTGTTTCTATGTCACTCCCCATTTTTTATACAATGAATAAAAAAATAAAATAAAATATAATTACACTCTATTATTCTCTTTATAGTAATTCGCACGTTCTTTTTCAACTATCTCTCTTTCTTTGTAGTATATGTAGAGTACATGCTTATTCTTTTTTTTTTCTCTTTGTTGTTTATCATCAGACTAAAAATAAGATTTTTTTATTACTATTGTTTTTTTTTTTTTTCAACAAAGAGAATATCATGCAATTAAAGGTTATTTCTTTTTACATGTCAATTCTCTTTATGTAAAAATCAAACGAGTTTATTTTAAATACGCATCATTAGCTAATATTTTGGATTTCCTGACAATAAGGTATGGATGTGCTTACATATTTACTTTTTAGTATAAAAGCTTGATGTGAAACAGTGAAGAACATCCATCTTGTTTGTTTTTTTTTGAGCGGCAAGCTTATGTTATGCATCCAGGAGAAAATGTGATTGAAGCTCCTTTTTCCAAAGTAATCACGTTCAGCACCACAATATGTTTTGTCCCTTATTTCCTGCCTTACCCCTGTTTCTTTCTGTTTCTTACTGGTTAGTCTCCACTTTATTTAAATATAGTATTATTTTTTCTTTTTCTCTTTCTTTCTCTTTCTAGTTCTTTTTTATTTTTCACTTTTTATTTTTTTCTTTAATTCTTTATTTTAATACATTATTTTTTTTTAATTATCAGATAGAAAGAAAAATAAAAAGATGATGCATCCATTAGTCATTAACGATCATCCTTATTATCAACAACCTCAAGTATATGTTAAAACACCTACTACACCACCAACGTATAATACACATCATCCTTATGACAATATACGATCATCCTATCATCCATCTACAGCTCATCCATATCATTATTCTCCTCAATCATCACAACCTCCAAGAAGAGCCTCTATGGCCACTCCTGCTACCATTTTATCTCGACAGCGATCGTCCACTAAATCTTTACGAGATCGTCGAAAAAGCTCTGGTACACTTTCTACTTCATCACAACAACAATATCATAAACCTCGTAAATGTATTGGTGATTATTATGTTGGTAAAACTCTTGGTAAAGGTGCTTCAGGTACGTTTATCATCGTTCAAATAATCTCCATCCATGCATTTCATTTCCCGCACCGCTTTTGCATTTGTTTCTAATTTGGCCAAATTTTTTTTCTTTTTCTTCTTTTTCTTTTTCCTTTTTCCTTTTTATTATTATTATTATTATTATTATTTTATGAATGAACTATAGGTCGTGTCAAACTTGGAATACATAGACATACAGGTGAACAAGTAGCTATCAAGATCATTAGTAAAGCTCATTTGGCAGCCAATCCTGCTATTGAAAAAGCTGTTCGCCGTGAAATTGCTATTATGAAACTTATTCAACATCCAAACGTAATGGCCTTGATAGATGTAATTGATGATCCCAATTCTTCTGACTTGTAAGTGAATATAAGTTATCAAAAAAAAAAAAATGAAAATATATTTCTCAATTATTCTAACCATTAATATTTATTATTAGGAATCTTATTCTGGAATATGTGCAAGGTGGAGAATTATTTGAATACCTTGTTAGCAAAGGTCGACTAAGTGACTCTGAAGCTAGAAGACATTTTCAACAAATTATTCTCGGATTAGATTTCTGCCATCATCATTTGATTTGGTAAAGGAGAAAAATAAAATAAAATAAAATAAAATAAAACAGGAGTACAAAAAAAAAAAAAAAAAAAAGATGGAGGGGAGAGAGAAAGAGAGGAGGTGAAATAAGTGATAGTGATCTTTTTACATTTGAATTCTAGTGAAGGAAAAAAAAAGTAATAGAACTAATGTTGATAATTATCCTTTTATATCTATAGTCATCGTGATCTGAAGCCAGAAAATCTACTGTTGGATAGTACGAACAACATCAAGATTGCTGATTTTGGAATGGCCTCCTTACAGCCTGCTGGCTCTATGTTGGAAACAAGTTGCGGGTAACTTATTTCAAACGTGATAAAAACATGGTTGATTACTTTAGTTAACTCATCATTCATTCTTTTTTAGTTCACCTCATTATGCAAGCCCTGAAATTGTCGCTGTAAGTGTTTATATCCCCTTGTATTTTTTTTTTTTTTTGGCCATCTCCCTTCTCTTTATTTCATCTACTTCTCTGTTTATCCCGTTTCATTTACTTTTACTGGTTCGGTTTTAACATGTTATTATTATTATTATTATTATTTTGATAGGGAATGCCTTACAATGGATCTGCATCTGATATTTGGTCATGTGGTGTCATCCTTTATGCTTTATTGACTGGTCATTTACCCTTTGATGATGAAAATATTCGTCAACTATTGAAAAAGGTAATGAAAATAGGAAGCGAAGGGAATAAAGTCGATCTCAATGGACGTGTACCTTACATCTTTGTTTATACTTTTTCTAATTTTGAATATTAGGTTAAAGCTGGAAAGTATACAATGCCCGATGACATTTCAAGAAATGCACAAGATTTAATCCGACGCATTTTGGTGGTGGATCCTTCGAAAAGATTGACTGTAAGTACTAAAATTAGATAGAAAGATGGACAGGAGAGAAATTTAGGGGAAAAGACGTGAAAAAGTAGTTTGTTAGTATTACCACCTCCTTTTTTTTTTTTTTGTTTTTTTTCTAAAATTGTGCTTTATTTATTTTATATATATAGATGGATCAAATAATGGCGCACCCCTGGTTTTGTGAATCAGAACCTGTCAACTTGGCTTCATTACCAGTACCACCTACAGCGAACGAAATTGGCCGACCTGTTTGGGATTCGTCTGAAATTGATGATCGTATTCTAGAAACTATCAAATTCTTATGGGGTGAAACTCGTGATGATGTGATTATTCAAGCGTTGATTAGCAAAGAGTAAGGAATACATGATTAAATTTGCAAAAGAGGATGTAATTGATTTTTTTATTATTATTATTATTTGTTCGTTACCATAGGCACAATATGCAAAAGGTGGTTTATGTTCTTCTACAGCAACATTCAGAACGTTATTGGCAGAATGATCATGATGATGATGATATACGTGATAATGGTAAAAACAAGAAATGCAATCATCCCTATGCTTATTCTCCATTACTAAACTTACACTATATTTCATATTGATCGACATTTAGATGCCCCTCCAAATCGACGTTATCAAACTATTGGACATCGTTCAGAAAGGAATCGTCGATGCATGTCAATGGTTGATAATAGCTCTAAAACAACCAGTTCTCGCCCTTCCGTTCCTTGGATGCCTGATTCTGTTGCTTATACGCCTTCTATTGGTTCACATTCTTCTTCGATTGTCTCCACATCAGCAAATATGACAAGCAACAACTCTCGTAGATACTCCGCGTGTACAGTCGGTCGCGCTGATCGTGCCATCCCCGACTTTATGCATCCACCTCCTTTACCTCCTTTACCTACGGTAACAATGACAAGTGGTGACAAGACAAGACTCAAGAAAAGTGAAACTTTCTACGCTCGATTTATCAAAAATGTGTTAACTTCCCGTCGTCAAAGCAAATCCTCCATGTAAGTGTTAACAAAGAAGAAAAAAAAAAAAAGAAAGAAATAAAGAAAAAAGAGTTAATATATTTATTTCTAGCGATGCATCATCATTTTCATCTTCTCCAAGTTCTGAAGTCACTGGAAAGTCTAGTACTGGTGTATCTTCATATCCATATTCTACAATCAGGTCGACTTTGGCTGGTACATTGCGACGTAAAAATCCTTTCGGCAAGATGATGCAACAAGAAACCACTACCACGGAGCCTTCCGAACCACAGCAAACAACAGAATCTGACCAATCACCATCATCACCTTGTTCATCTACTGTGTCCACGAAATCGACAATACGACGACCCTCAGTATCACGTAACAAGGTGGATCCAAGATCTCAATTATCATCATCATCATCGTCATCGTCTACATCTCATCAACCTGTTACCCCCAATGACAGTAACATTTCCTCTACTGAACCTATCCGACCTAACAACAAATCCAATAGCAAAACACTCAATACCAAGCGACTTTCTATCCGTGTTCCTAATGCTTTCCGGAATGACAATGGTACCAATCGATTCAGCTTCACACTCAATGGTACCCGAAGACAACGAAAAGAACTCGATATGTCCATGTTCCAAACTCAAAAGCAAAGATCATCCATATCAACCAGAAATGAAGGTTTGGATTCAGATTTGACACCTCCACCTGCATTATCAGACGGAAGTACACTCAGTAGCAGTATCAGTAGTTCAAGCACCAAAGATCATCATCATCAGCAACAACAACAACATGGCAATAGTAGCAACAACAATAATAATACCTCAAGTAATAATAGCAGTAGCAATGATGTACATTCTTCAGCATCTACTTCATCGGCATCCTCATCTACCTACTCACCTGTGACACCAACAGCAACTCATCAACAAGCTTATCAATTCAAATCCGCATTACGATCTATGCCTGGAAAAGGAGAGTTCTTACAATCACCACCACCACCATTTCCTGCAACAAGCACCAGTAGTTCGTCATCATCATCTGTTGTAGGTGGAAGCCGTCGAGAAAGTCAAGCCTCTCTTCAATCTGTGACCGAACGTCGTGGAAGTAACACTAGTAGTACATTGAATCGACCTATTACACCAAGTCTTTTATCCAACAGTTCTACCATTACAACCGCCAGTGGAAATTATCCTGTCTCTCCTTCACATGCTATGATGTCTCCAGTATCTGCTTCCTCTTCAATTGTTGAAGAATCTGCTTCTTTCAAGGCCTCCTGGTTAAACAATCTCTTCTTCTTTAAGCAACCAAAGGTAAAATTAAAGAAAAAAAAGAAATACAATGACATAATCAATCTAACTTGAATTTTTTTTTCTATAACTGTTTATTAGATTTGCTCTCTAATTATTCCAGAAACAGATATTGGAACTATTCTATGTACACTTCACCGATTGATGAATCAGGTAAAAAAAAAAAAAAAAAAAAAAGTTATCTAGTCTAAACAAAAAGGGAAAAAAAAGGTGACCAGTCAATAATTATATATATGTATTTATATTGTAGTCTGTGGAAGCCAAATTTTATGAAAAGGATGATAAACAAGGAATCAAGAGATACAAGGCAGATATCAAAAGCAAGCATCTTGGAAAAACACGACAAGTGAAATGTAGATTGGAAATCCTTGAACCCTCTACCAAAGCGGACTCATCCTCCAGATTGATCCGATTCACTCAACAACAAGGGGATGGTGTTGTATTGGCATCCGTTGTACGCAATATACAGTATCTTTTGGAACAAGAATACCCTACAATGTCTTCCGCTATTACTGCTGGTTTCTAATTTATTCCCCCTTTCCATCATCTTTTTATTTTCTACTTTTTATTTATATATATATATATATATATATAATCATTTCTTTTCTTTTCCTTCATTATTATTTGGACTTTCTTTTACTTATTGATTGATTACACTCTATTGCACACCCACACACACATATATAGGTACACTCGCATATTTATTTATATCTCTTTACGATTTCTGTGAAAAAGTAAGGACATACACACACACCACACACTGATTATTTCCCATCTTTTTTTTTTTTTTTTTTTACCCTATCCATTCCCTGTTGAAGTGAAACTAGCCCTTCCTTTTATATAAACTATATAATAAAGCATCAAAAGTTGACCCATATATAAATAATTTGCGATATTACTGATGATCATTCTAGGATAGACTACTTAAACGCGACGGACAGAATTAGGACTCAGCAATAACCAAAAGGCACGCGACACCAAAAAAAAAAAAAATTGCCTACAGTAACTAATTTTTTTTTTTTTTTTTTTTTTCCTTTTCTTTCTTTTTTTTTTTCTTTTTTTCGTTTAACCTCCATGCCATGTTTTTCAAAATTGGCAAGTATTCTCCATCAAGATACCCAATTGTTTCAGTCTATTGCTGTTGACCTTCACGTGGATAAGATATCGGTAAAGTTTGATATTATCTATTGTCAAGATTTCTGTTTCTAAGCTTTTACGTTTTACTTAAATAGATGTACACGGATACCTTGGATGGTCGCGACGTGATACTAGTGGATCTACGTGATGGTGTGACCAGTATGATTGGATTGTTGGTGGAAGGTGCATCCACTATGAACTCTACTCACCCAAAGTAAGATTGTATTTTCATTACATATGCAACATGTGATGCTCATATTCTTGTCTATAGGTCACTCTTGAATACTTTAAAAGAATCTATCGTTACAGGGATCCATATTATTACTGCTCGCGTGTGTGTTTACAGACAAGACATTGGACTATCTCCTCTTCTCTATATTGACGACTATCAACCCATCCAAACATCAATTACTTCCAAGTCTAATATGAACATGATCACGCTAGATGATATCCAAACCTTACCCGAGGTCAAACAATGGTTGAATGCTGTGGAACAAACTGGTCTGGAGACTTTTATGTCTATCATCCCGAAAGGTAAAACGGAACAAAGAAGAAGCAAAAAGAAAATCAAAATCAAAAGTCAAATCGACAATGAATGATTTTTTTTTTTTTCAAACACACTGCATTACTTACTAGATAATTCCTTTTTATTATTATTATCATTATTATTATCCTTCGGATTTATATGGTAGATGGGTTTTGGGATTATTATATTCAACTTGAGCCGTATCTGGAAAATATGATGGAAGCATACAAAACACAAGATACCACCCCTTCTTCATCAATAGCTCTAGAACCAGACACGCCCATACCACCACCAACACGACAATTACATCAACCCAGTTTATCAGATACCCATTCATCATCACCATCTATGATCATCAAGAATTGTTTCCCACTCATGTCCTGGCGACAAATTCAAGCATATATCATGCACGCCTATGATGAAGCTCCGGAAGATCTGGTGTTGGATGGTTTTTTGCCTTTGCCTTCAGAAGATGTCATGACCATCCGTGCCCCTGATGTGGATGAAGAGATATCACCAACACAAACAGCATTGGAAACCGACGAGCAAGCATGGTGGATGCTATACAAGAAGACTGAAAATGAATCGACCGAACATGATAAGTGGAAGACATTGGTCAACGGTGCCAAGGATCTATGGATGAATGATATGTGTAATATAGTCTTAGATGAATTGTAGTATAATTATAACGTTAGAAATAGTTTAATGATTTTTTTTTCATTCCTGAATAAACCCTTTGTAAACATTTTATCACTATCAATTTTTTTTTTTTTTGTGTGTGTGTGTGTGTATACTTTAATAAATGCAAAATAAGATAACTTGATCCTTTACTGTAGGTATTAATTAATTCAGTTTTTCATTCATTGGTTTTTGTTCTTCATTTATCCTACAGCCAAATTCAATCATTTATGATATTCAATTAAGAATGAACGACAAATTTCACATTTTCTATATAAAAACAAGGATAAGGCTGTGTATGTGTGAATAATGATACATACAAGAAGATTTTATTTCTTTATTGTATATTTCTAAAAAAATAAGATAAAAAAAAAGGTCAAGATATATAATAAGGAAGCAAGGGGGAAAAGTATCGAATATATGTGCAAATGGTTTTTTTAAGGGAGGGAGTTGTCAAAAAAAAAAGAAAAGTATCTATATTTTAGATTTCGGCCATTTCACGAAGACGACGGACAGTAGAACGGACAGTAGCAGCAGCAGTAGTAGAAACAGTATATGCACCACCAGCCATGGTCTTGCTACAACCCTTGCATTTCCAGATACCCACAGCAGTACGCTTCACAGCATCCTAATGAAATACCAAAAAAAAGAAGAGTCAGATATGCCATGTTATACCCATTCATTCGACATTGTTCGACGGTTGTATGTGTATTTTTTTTCATTATAGATGGCGTTTGGTCGTTGTATATATGGCCGTTATTGATATTGCTGTTTATTGTTGTCGATGAAAGGTAACCTGTACAACCCATTCTTCTTCTTTTTTTTTTAGAATATATAATTTACCTTGCCACAGAATGTACATGTATACTTTGAGTGTTGGGTAATTTCCATCTTCTTTACTTGTTTACGAAGAGAAGCACCATAACGAGTACCGTATTTACCTGTGATTCCGACTATATAATAATGCAAAGAAAAAGGATCAGCATGCTTTCATCAATGAGGTTGTCATGGTGGAATGAAAGTGAATTAAATCTATACCTTTCTTTGTACGTTTAGCCTAGAATGATAAAAATAAAAAAAAAAGCATGAGTACCAAAGATGGATGGATGGATGGATGGATGGATGGATAGATGCTATTACCATTTTATTTTGTAAAGATTGGGAAGAATAAAGGAGATATCACACACACTCAAAATTAATGTCCAGTTTTTTGGGCAAATATTTGATGACTGATGGGCATTAAAATTCAAAATGTCCAATTTTTTCCAATTTTCGAGTTTCTTTTTCTTCTTTCTCCTTCAATACATTTTCATCAAACATAAAGTCATTATACTCAACAATCAAATAACGCTCTTGTGAATAGGTCTTTTTCGTATGAAATAAATTACGTCGTTACAACAGCAAAAAAAAAAAAAGGAATAAATAAATTAAAGACTCTTATTTTTTTTTTCTCTTCTTGTAGATGGCACGCATTACCTGACAATAAAATTGAATCCCTTATTCTATGAAAGACACCAAGCATGATATTGTAAGTATTTCTTTAACATATTAAGAAAAATTTTAATCTAACTAATCGACATTATACTCTTCAACGTATGTCACCTTCCATATCTTTTTTCTTCTTTTAATCTCTTCTCGCGCTGATGGTATCGTTTTTGATGCTCAAGTACATAACATCTTGCACAATTCAAGATACAAGGAAGTTGCTATCAGACAAAGCTACTCTCGAATCACTGATCTTGATAGTAAAGTAGAGTTGACAGTTGATTTTTTTTTAAAAAAAAAGAAAAAACTGGCTCACTTTAAATGTGCCTGAACGGTATGAAACCGATTATGGAAATTATTTTATTCAGTAGTTTAATCTTAGTGTTTTATATTATATTTTAAATAAAGTCATCTTTTTATCATTTGTATATTACATTGTCATTCATTATTATCCTATTATCCTATCACATATGTCATTCATCTACCATCACGTATCCTTAGTCATCTACCGATCTAACCAAAACGTCACTGTCGCTATTATTGTCGCCCATCGTCCGACTATTGTCATCCATTGCTATCATCCCTCATTTCACAAATACGTAGCAAATTCAAATGACTGTATCTAAGAAAACATTGAGGAAAGGTAGTTTTTATTCAAAACAAAAGATATATCTATAGTCAAAGTGTACATTAAAAAAAACGAGGAAAAGGATAAGTAAAATGATGGATACATAATTTTGTAAAACAAAAATATAAAAAAAAAAAATAAAACAAATGTATATATAATAATACTAATAATAATAATAAGAGGGGAGGGATGGGATGATATAGTAAAACGTTCAACGTTCCAATAAGATGGGGAGGGAGTGGAAAGAATTGTAAAGGAAAGAAGGATTCTATGTTGTTGGAGAAGTTGACATTTTTGTATCATCTGTCATTGATGATTGTTGTGATGTAACTTGAGAAGTGGTTGTTATTGCTGCTGATTCACTACTAGTGGATGTACTACTACTGCTCGTACTAACCCGAGTGTTTGATCTACGCATTGCCTTGTTCTTTGTTCCAGATGTAGTGATAGCTTCAAAGTTCTGCCAGATATAATTCTTGCACTTGTCTGCATTTGGTAAATCTTGAATCATCTTGGCAATCGTATTTTTCCGGAGACCAAAAAAATCGGGACCAACGGGGTTATGTCCGTAATCCATATTACGAATAGCAAAGGCTCTAGAATAAAATATCAAATAAACAAAGACATCTTATTTAATTATCATTAACACTAAAAATAGTAGTCATTACCTTCGGACAGCAATTGTCCAGACAGTAGTTGGTGTTGGGCCTCTCCAAACTTCACCAGGATTGTCATCCGCCTCCAATTGGAACTACGATAACCAAAACAAGAAATGCGCGGTAATAAATATCGAGATCTCCTTCAAAAAAAAAAAAAAAAAAATCATCCTAACCGGGAACTGGGAATACTTACTATTGGTTCATCACCTCCGTCTAAAATTTGACATGTATATTGAGTATCACTATGAGGATCCACCATACTTCGATACCATCTATCATGAAAGAAAGAAAGAAAGAAAAAAAATCACCTGATAAATATATGATTACTTTTTAAAAAAAGAAAAAAAAGAAAAAAGAAAAAAAAAAGAACTTACTTCTTAACACAATAACCCACAGGATAAATATAACGCTGATTATGAAAGGCCACTCGATTGTAAACCACACTTCCCAAATCAAGTACAGTCCAAGAATCCACTTCAACTGGTAAGATATAACGACCATGTATATCCTTGTTAACTTCAATAAAAGGACGCACATCACTAGTGTTTGGAGGTTTGGTGTCTCGTTTCTTCCTTCTTGATTGATGGTAAAATGTATCTACGGGCGTTTTTCGAGTTCCTGAACTAGAAATTGGTCCTGATGTTGTCACAGTGCCAGTGTATGAAGATGAGGATGAAGAAGAAGGTGGTGGTGGTGTAGTGGATGTCGATGATGTTGATGATGTCGATGTTGGTGGTATTTCGGAAAGAAGAGTGGATGGGGGTGAATTATATTGATGAGGATAATTTTGTTGATGAGATGGATGTATAGATGTATTCGATAAAGGTGGAGTCAGTTTTCGATAAGATCGGTCGTCATAAGGATGTGATGTTAGATTCATATGTCTCGGCCATTCTCCGGAAGGTTCTGGTTATTAGATATATATAAAAGACAAAAAAAAAAGAATCATATTAATCTTCAATCTAGATTCTCTCTCTTTCCGTTTACCTTGTCCTTGTTGCCTTTGAGGAGTATTGTGATATGAAGAGGAAGTAAGAGGTGGTATGAAGTCTAATTCGGAACGTAGTGGGGGTTGACTTGAGGAAAACGGTCGAAAAGTGGGTAAGCCTGTGCTGTGAGAAGAAGATAACTGATGTTGTTTTTGTTCATGAGAATAAGATTGTAAAGATGAAGGATATGGCGAATGCATCTGATGATCGGACCCCAGTAAAGTTTTCATTGAAGGAAGAGTATGTTGTTGCTGTTGTGATGATTGTGCCGATTGTTGATGTTGGAGCATAGGAGAAAGTCCTTCAGGTTGAGGAGATTGACGAATCTAAAAATAAAAATAATAAAAAAAAAAAAAGAAAGATAAATTCATTGATGATTAAGATAATAAGAGATAAAATGTTTGTTACATACTGGATGAAGTTGAAGTAAGACTTGAATAGTATAATCAAATGCTTCCTCTGTTGCTTTTGCGATCTGACCAGTTACAGTGATATGTTCATTGTCGCGTAAGAGGTTGGAGAGTAAGCCGTGACCTTCCCAAATAACCGAATTTCGTACGTCTTTTAAGGATTCCTGTTGACCTATATTACTTTCTTCAATATTTGCACTATAGATTGCCATATCATAGTCAGTTCGCATAAGTTGATCAGGACTATATATAGAATAAAAAAAAGAAAAACATGAATAAAATATATACCTATATATAGAGAGAGAGAAAGAAAAAGAAAATATTCATTCCTTACCAAGAAGAGCATACACTTAATAAACATTGTTTCAATGAAATAGGGATCCAGTGTTCACGTTCGTAGTGACGTTCAAGTATAATGTCGAATGAACAAAGGCAAGTGGTGTCTGAATCCTTGAAAGAATAAAAGACTTTAACTAACATACATAACCAAGAATAATAATAAAAAAAAAGAGATAAAGAGATAAAGAAAAATAAAAAGTAAAAAAAATTAAAAGAGCGTCAGTATAAAAAAGTTGAGCATAAGTATGAATATATATACAATAACAATGTGACATGATTGTGTACCTTTCCCATTTCTTTTTGTTGTGTCACCAGGTTGATCTTGTTTTGCATCATGATGGTCATTCGATTGAAGTAATTTATTGATGGACATGGATTGTTGTTCTTTTTGCGACATCAAGTTAATATAGTTGAATAAGAAGTTGAATAGATAAAATGATTGATTATTAGTTGTGTATTTTACAATATATACATAATCACTCTATAGAATTCTTCTTATAATGATGAAAAGAAAGAATGGAAAAAGAGAAGCGGGATGACAAAAAGGAATGTATATAAAAGGGGAAGAAAGGAAAAAAAAAAAAAAAAGAAAAAGAAAGAAAGAAAAAAAAGGAAAAGACAAAAAAAAAAAATTGAAAATGAAAATCAGGACCGAAAAGCGGGAGATAATCTATTAAAGCAGTTCAATAGACCAAACTTATCCGCTTAAACCCAAGTTATCCCAAAAATAATCAAGATATTTTTGATCAACAACTTTTTTCTCTTTTTGATATAAATGGTAAGATGGTACACAATAATCATACACAACAATGCGCCTGCAGCATTCTTTTTTTTTAATAAGGAAATATGCTAATTTACAACCATTTGTTGGATTTTATTGTAAACTAGAGGTAAATCAACAAGTACATGAAACAGTTTAATAGCTATAAAGTCATGCTGAAACTCTTTTTTTTTTTTTTTTATTCACGTGTACATTCTCCTTAACTATTATAATGATGATGTCGTTGTGTACACAAAATAAAATAAAATAAAATAAAAACAAATCTTCATCATCATCCATTGTTGTTATTGTTGTCTGAAAAGTTCCTATCATAATAATAATAATAATGATGATGATGTAAAACTTTTAACCAATCAAATCATTTTATATGTTTGTTCCCCGTTTTCTTTTTCGTTCTTTATGCTTCTTAACTTTTTGGTTCTTCCACTTTCAGACCCTAAAAAAAAAAAAAACAATTAGCATTATTTTAATCAAACCTATTCATTTCACTCGTCCGCTGGGTTTGAACAAAATATCCAATCTACTTGATTCCCCTTTTCTTTTTTCATCAATGTTTCTTTTTTAGTGCTACCATTGGTTGTACTACATGTTTACGTGTCTTTTTAACTACCGCATTCAAAAAAAAGGGAAAAAAATCGGTTAACTGTTTGTAGAAGGATAGTTCAATAGCCGCTGCACTGTGAGTGAAGAATGATCACGCAATGACAACCTTAATCAATCATAGATCATCCTCGTTGGCTCCTATTTCACTTGTCAAAATGAACGTTTTATTGTATCACCATACCATTGGGATTGAAAATCTCGCTCGCTCCAATGGCTACACAATTTCATTTTGCAAAAAAAAAAAAAAAAAAAAAGGAGGACTTGGCGTGCGATGTGATTTCTATTTTAGGTTTGATCCTTTTTTTTTTTTCTTCTATAAACACAATGATATAATTATCATCCATTCAAAAAATATACATTTACATGTATACTTTCTATGATATTGATCATCAAATAAATCAGTTCATTAAATCATTCACTCCGCATATTATATTTTAGGGAAAAAATGACCTTCTTTTTTTTTTTTTTTCCTTTTTTCTATTTTACTAAATTAAGGTTACCCAACTCCATGGATACGGAAAAATGTTGACGAAAAAGGAATCGAATCATCGAATCACATCGTTGGATTTCTTCTTTTGAGCTTAATTTCATTTGAATGATGGTGGGACTTGATGGATTCCAGTGGCCCATTTGTCTTTCGCCGGTTTAAATTCTATTTTTGTGCATCCTTCATTACCATCATACATCAAGTCATTATTATCATTATTATTATTATTATCATTATTACCATCATCATCATCGTATTCATATATAGATAGATCTATTTGATAAATAAATATTCTTACATTCAACTTATGTAATATAAATATATATATGCTTATATATAATCTTTGATTCACCGCCTTATTGAACAAGAAGAAATATTTATGTGTCACACAGCTAAAAAAAAAAAAAAAGTTGTAAACAGAATCTTTTAGGATGATCATCCAAATCTTTTAAGTTTTTCCTTTTTTCCTTTTTTTTTTTTCTAAACAACTAATTTTTTTTTATCATTCTCTTAGATTTCATCTTGTTCGTTTTAAATAGAAATATTGAAAGGATGATTGAAAAAAAAAAATAAAAAAAAAATAGAGGAATATGGATTTGTCAGCATATCTGCCCACGTTTTCACTTCTCAGCGAATCGACGATTAGGATTTCATCTAAAATAGGAAGTTATTCTTGATCACGAGCATTTTATCCCGATTATAGACATTGTTCCTTCTTTTTTAAGACAATCATCCATGCTTTTCATTTCCATCCATGCCCATCCCATTTTATATTTGATTCGAAAAAGTAATTTATAAACTCTTCTTATTAACAATATATATATAAATGAATAAAATTAAGTCATCATCATTCCTTTCTTTCTATATTTTTTTTTTGTCCCAAGTCCTTGGATCCCAACAAGGATGATTTGACCCGACTTTTGTTTTCCAGTATTACAAACTATTTCGATGTCAGATAAATAAATCATCGGTAGATAGGAGAATTCTTCCATCCATTTTGATCCTTCGTTACCCGTGATTATTTTAGTTAAGAGAAAAAAAAAAGTGATCTCGATTAAGTTTCATCCCCGCCGCATAAATCACTTTCTTTTTTTCTTTTTTCTCCATCTCATTTTAACCATTATTATTTAATGGAGTGAAATGTGTGGACATACTTTAAGAAAAATAGAGTTTTTTTTTTTATTTGTTAATCATGATGGAGATCGCCCAGTTTCTTGGGTCCATGTTCTAATCTAAATGTCATCTATTTTAACGAATTGATCACTAAACTTCCCAGACTCATTGAATGTAATTTATTTCAACTGTCCCACAAAAACCCCAAAAATTGGTTGACTATACTATGACAATTAATGATGATGATTGTATGATGATGATGATGATGATGATTGTATGGAGATGATGATCCTATGATAATCATGATAATGATGGTTACCAGAGACTTCCATTGGCCACCAATTTCATATGAATATCAAAAAGATATGATCTGTAGTAAAGTTATGTGAGACTTTGATGTCTTTTTTTGGGTATCAGGTAAAGCGTTTTCCATTCTTGGTGTTTGTGAAACTGTTCCATAAAAAAAAAGTTCTCACGCCTACCAGAATATTTTTATTTGTTTTTTTTTTTTTTTTTTTTTTTTTTTTTTTTTTTTTGTATGAACCAGAAAATTCTCTCATTAAGGACTGGCCAACTCAGTACATGATTCCATTCAAGGAGGTACAATCATCATCTCAATAATAATACTAGTAGTTATTGAATAGAGAGTCACAATGCCTAAATTTTATTAGAATAATGATTCAAGGTTGAAAATATTAAGCCAGGTACGATGATTACAAAAAGAACGATGATATTCTCTTTTTTTTTTTAAAAAAATTTGTGCTATAAATGTAAAAATAAGCTATAAGAATACTTTAGATAAACTTGAAGAAAAAATTTACTTTATGTTGTGTTCAAATTTGGTACAATGATGATCAATTCTCAGTGAGAAAGGGAAAAAAACAAAAGCTTGTATGAAGGATGAAAAAATGGGATGGATTTTTGAATTTTACAGCTAAAAATTTGAAACTCCTCAGCCAAACTTTGGCTGTAAAAATGGATCGTCAGGGGTTCATCAGGCGATTTTTGGAAAAATCGATGAAATCTTTTAGTGATCATTACAGGAATAGATAGTAATGTAAGCGATAAAATGAGATTAGATGATATTTAACTACTTTTTTGAGAAGAATCCAATGATGATATTTTTATAAGATGATGGTCGTTATTGCATGAGAGATGACTGAATTGACTTTTATTTTTTAATTTACTCGATAAATTTGGGAGGCAACATATAAATTATTATTAATACAATCGAAAGAGAATGATTTAACATATGTTCAATTTAAATTTGGTGCAATGATGATGACCTTTAGAACGAGTTACAAAGGTATTAAAAGGTACAAATACTACACATATTGGCTGGCGGGCATTGAATTTTTTTTTTTTTCCTGCTTCATCTAGGATTTTCCAGAGTCTTCTTTCTTCTTCTTGCACCTTTCTTCTTTGCACACATTATCAGGAAACATGGATGATACTAGAATCTTGACAATTATTATAAAATAATGGGACGTTAAGGTAATTTTTTTTTTTTTTTACTTATCAAAAACATTTTCTTTCAACTCACAACTCTATTATCTCTATTTTTCTCAACAAACAATGACAAAAGCAATTGGTATTGATCTTGGAACAACATATTCTTGTGTAGGAGTCTGGCAAAATGACCGTGTAGAAATCATTGCAAATGATCAAGGCAACCGTACTACTCCTTCCTTTGTGGCCTTTACTGATACAGAAAGACTTATAGGCGATGCAGCCAAAAACCAAGCAGCTCTTAATGTTGGCTCCACAGTATATGATGCTAAGCGACTTATTGGACGACGATTCAAGGATGAAGAAGTACAATCAGATATGAAGCATTGGTCATTCAAAGTGGTGGAAAAGGAAACCAAACCGGTGATTCAAGTGGAATATAAAGGTGAAACCAAACTTTTTACTCCTGAAGAAATCTCTTCCATGGTTTTGGTCAAGATGCGTGAAACTGCAGAAGCTTATCTTGGTACCAAAGTCGACAATGCAGTGATCACTGTGCCAGCATATTTTAATGATTCTCAACGACAAGCAACAAAAGATGCAGGTATGATTGCTGGATTGAATGTATTACGTATCGTCAACGAACCTACAGCAGCCGCTATTGCTTATGGTCTGGACAAACAAGACTCTTCTTCTGGTGGAAAACTCAGTGAACGCAATGTTCTTATCTTTGATTTGGGTGGTGGTACTTTTGATGTTTCTCTTTTGACCATTGATGATGGTGTGTTTGAAGTCAAGGCAACGGCTGGGGATACTCATCTTGGTGGTGAAGATTTTGACAATCGATTGGTGGCTCATTTTATTCAAGAATTCAAGCGCAAATATAAAAAGGATATTTCTGGTAATGCTCGATCAGTCCGACGTCTACGTACAGCTTGTGAACGTGCCAAGAGAACATTATCATCAGCAGCTCAAACATCATTGGAAATCGATTCTCTATTTGAAGGTATTGACTACTACACTTCTTTGACACGTGCCCGGTTTGAAGAATTGAATCAAGATCTGTTCCGTTCTACTTTGGAACCAGTGGAAAGAGTACTTCGTGATGCCAAGATGGATAAGGGCCAAGTGCATGATATTGTTCTGGTTGGTGGATCAACACGTATTCCTAAAATTCAAAAAATGGTATCTGATTTCTTCAATGGCAAAGAACCCAACAAATCAATCAATCCTGATGAAGCAGTGGCTTATGGTGCAGCAGTACAAGCAGCTATCTTGACAGGTGATACTTCGGAAAAGACTGATTCTTTACTTTTATTGGATGTGGCTCCTTTGTCTCTTGGTATTGAAACAGCAGGTGGTGTGATGACTCCTTTAATCAAACGTAACACTCCTATCCCAGCTAAGAAATCAGAAACTTTCTCGACCTATGCTGATAATCAACCAGGTGTATTGATCCAAGTATATGAAGGTGAACGTGTACGAACAAAAGATAATAGTATTTTGGGCAAATTTGAACTCTCTGGTATTCCTCCTGCTCCTCGTGGTGTACCACAAGTAGAAGTGACATTTGATTTAGATGCCAATGGTATTTTGAACGTTAGTGCTTTGGAAAAATCCACTGGTAAAGCCAACAAGATCACTATTACTAATGACAAGGGTCGACTCTCCAAGGAAGAAATTGAACGTATGGTCAATGATGCTGAAAAATACAAGGCAGAAGACGAAGAAGCAGCAGCTCGTATCAAATCTCGCAATGATCTAGAATCTTATTCCTATCAACTTCGAAACTCACTTCAAGACGATGCCATTAAACTACCAGTCGATGACAAGCAAAAGTTATCTCAACATGTTGATGAAACAATTCAATGGTTAGATGCCTCTCAACAAGCTTCCAAGGAAGAATACGAATCACGAATGAAGGAATTACAAGATATCGTAAACCCTATCATGTCCAAATTCTATCAACAACAACAACACACTGATGCCTCTTCTCATGATGGTCAATCGGATGGTCCTACAGTTGAAGAAGTGGACTGAAAAAAAAAGGTGTAGGTTTAGGTAGTCGGGTTTTATTATGTTATATCGTATTATTTTGTTATTATTATTATTATTCTTATTATTTGTTGATATTCTGTATTATATATTATTGAAATAAATTTTATATTCTTTTTTTTTTATCTTGGACGTTGAACTGGATGATTGGATGAATGACTGATAAGATGATGCAAAAGTAAGGATGAAGTTACTTGGGTGTACCTCTTAACGACACAAAGATAAAATTTATTTACTACCAAAAAAAAAAAATCATAATGAGATAAATGCTATCAATATCGTTGTTTATTGAGTAAAGAAGATTATGTACAACTATTATCTACAGACAAAATGGAAGATATAAGGGAAATAGTAAGAGAGAATTAATGAGATCGCCCATATGGTATAAAAATTAATAGATAAAACTAATAATTTGAAAAAAAAAGACATCTATAGCTACTATTATTGTTGTTGTTGTTGTTGAGATTCTTCGGTTGGCTCCATTTCCTTTTCGTCAAAGAGTTGTTTTGCTCGTCGGATATCTTCATTCATGTATAATAGTTCTTCCACACGTGCCAATTTCTTTGGATCTTTTCGCAACACAAACTTAAAGTCTTCCACACGTAATTTGCCTCGACTTTCAGATACTTTCGATACCTTTTGACACTGTTGAAAAAAAAAAAAAAAAAGGTAAACCAATGATTGCTTGCAAACAAATTGAATGTCTCTTTTTTTTATTTTCTTTCTTACCATTTCTGTAATATAATCTATCACTAGATCATCCATAAGGGCAATAGAATCTGAAGAAGGAGTTGGAGCATCACCAAAACCATACATGAGTAGTTTCACTAGATTAAAAAAAAAAAAGGCAATTAATACAAGTTAAAATAAATCTATGTATCCCACCAACTTACAATCTTTTGCAAACATGCCCTTTCGTACAGTCTTCCTTCGACCAGGACCCACACCAGCTTCGCGGTCTTTTATATCCTTGTCTTTTACATCTTTTGGAGTTTTTGAGTCTTTGAGAGGTTCGTTCATGATATAAGATTAAAGAAAAAGGAAAGAAAAGAAAAAAAAATCGGTGCTTCAAATTCACGACCCAAAAAAAAAAAGGTGCAAAAGTGACTTTTCTCCAAACAAATAACAAGATGTCGCGCAGACTGAAATTCTCTTCTTCCCTTTTTCTTTTTGTTGACTTTGCTTAGACAACTATCACTATCAGCAAAAAAAAAAAAAGGTCACCTTGGGAATAGTACGAAAAGACGATGCAAACAACTTTACCACTTCATGCTGCTCCTGGAGAAGCTACTGCTCATGGACCTCAAGGTATTAGTCAATTTCGTAATTTAACCTTACACGACATTGAATCTGATCCCATCTCTCAACTGGCGAAAAAGCATTATGGTGGTAAATCCAAACCAAAATGGGACCCAAAACTAGTGGAAGATATTATTGAAACTCATTTAGTATCTTCTAATTACGACCCAAAGAAGATCATGTTACTCGAATTCACCCAATATCTCGAAAAGGTAATTGATAGAACTTGACAAACATGATACTAACCTTTCTTTTTTTTTTTTTGTTATCTTTACTTTCTTACATAACAACCGATCCATAGTATTTATGGCCGTATTTTGACTCGGAAACAGCTACTCTCAATCACGTATTGTCTATTTGTATGATCGTTAATGAAAAGTCGAGACAACGCGTATCACCATGGGGTAAAATAAATATAGAATAAAGCGATGGAATGGAAAGATTAACTCATATTTTTTTTTCTTTCTATGCAGAAATATTCTCCAATGATACTGCTAAATTTAGTGCTCTCTTTGATCGTGTGATTCATTTAGCCGTTCCTTCTGAATCAAAGACATTACCTCTTCGGGTTCAACGTATCGTGCTGATGTTTTTGATACTTTGCTTTCAAAGTTTGGAAAACACCACTATCAGAACTGAATGTCTCAAGTAAGTTTGATCATTGAAAATGGAGATAATCATATTTCATTGTCCTAACTCTGTCCTTATATATATACATACATTTAGGTTGGTGACGATTGGAATTTGGCAAAATCTTGGTCATGATGATCGCCGTGAACAGATCCTGAATGATTATCCTCCTGTACGAAAATTATGGAATTCAAGCAATAAGAAATACAATCTTGCAGGTAAAAAAAAAAAAAAAAAAAAGGAATAATCATTGATAATCATTTACAATGAGAAGGTTAATTAATCTCTCTCTCTTTCTCCCCCCTTGTGCAGATGATAATGAAAAGGAAAAGTTGGACTTTAATCGCAACTGGCTCAGTGCTCTCTTGATGGATTTTGTTGGAAAGATATATGAAATTCCAGCGGAAGGCAAAGGTAAAGTAGTCGGTTATACAAAACGTATTTGTTGATTTATTTCAGTTACACTGATTGATGCAAATGTTTATGTTTTTTTTTTAATTTATTCTTTTAGTTGACGACGAACTACTTATGTACTGTGAACGATTCTTTGAATTACTGATCGATTTGGAAGCACAACTACCTACACGACGTTTCTTCAACACACTTTTAGACGATCATCAGATAGTGGTCCTTTGTAAATTGGCACCTTTTATTCGACGTGACAACAAGGATGTAGAATTAATGAAACAACTTTTGGAAAACCTTGCCTTTTATGCCAAATTCGAAATCAATGATCAAACTGGATTGGCTCTTACAGATTTGGATATGACAGAACAACATTCTGCACAACTCATTCAACTTCAACATATCATATTCCGCGATTATAAAGATATCTTACCCGATCTTCCATTAGCAAACTTGGGATCTATTGAACAGCGAACAGATCTCCTGTGGCATTTTGAAAAAGCATCCGTTGACGATCTAAGCCGTATCTGTGATAGTTTGAACATTCGTGGACAGCCTATAGTGGATTCTTTGATTACTGATGGTCTTGTAGACAAGAAGGATCTATTGATTGAAAGCTTAGTGGATAAGTATCAAAAACGTACTAGTCAAATTGAAAAAGTGAACTCCTCACCTTTGTATCCTGATGAGGTAAGAAATTTTTGTGATGGATGGTTGAGATAGATGGATGACTTATGCTTTTTATGTTTTAAACACGCACACATATATATATATTATAGGATACTCTCTTTAAAGACAGTCTTATTCAAACTCAATTCTATACTGGTGAACGACCTTTAGCTCTTCCTAAGCTCAATCTTCAATTCTTGACTATACACGATTATTTGTTACGCAATTTCAACCTCTTCCGATTAGAAAGCTCATACGAAATCCGACAAGATATTGAAGATGTGATCAAACGACTTGGACCACGTTTAACCTATCCTGAACGTACAATTGAATGGTCCGGTTGGGCAAGAATGGCGCTTCCAATTGATTCTTTTGGGTAATAGACACGTAGATAAACTATTAATATCATTTTTCTGATCATTATTATTGTTATATTTATTTTTGTGATAGCATTGTTGATGTTGGTAGACCGGAACTTGGCCAAGATCAACCTTCTCGAGTCACGGCTGATGTAAGTAGAAAGGAAAATGGAATCATTGTAGAATGGAAGGTTTGAGACTTACTATTATTTTTGATATATCATCAGGTTTCCTTTAACGTTAGCAAGTACTCCAAGGTGATTCGTGCTGAATGGGATAGCCTTAGAAAGCATGATATTGTTTTCCTCTTGACTATTCGACCACATGATGATTCGGCAACTCCATATCAAGAAGGTCAAGATTTTAGAAAACATTTTGGTATCAAGTATATTCGTGGTGCTGAAATCGTGGATGTTATTGGAAATGATGGTAAATCATAAAGTTGTTTTTAAAAGAAAAGGAATTGTTTTACGAATCGATCATTCATTACTTCATGAAAATGTAGGTCATACTATTGATCAAGCTGCAAAATCCGCTCCAGAAGAAAAACCTTTCCAATCTGCTAGTGCCACTAGAACTTTACGTATAGCATTAGACCCAAATCAATTCAAGGTAGATGAAAACTTATATATATATATGTGTATCTGATACGTTTCTTTTTGTTTTTATATAGACCGATATGCAAAAACACAGTCATGGCATGGAAGACGTTCATGACACTTTCAACATTCTTGTCCGAAGAAAACCTCAAGAAAACAACTTTAAGGCCGTTTTAGAAACCATTCGTGATTTGATGCAAAGTGAACTGGTTGTACCTGATTGGTTACAAAAGGTGTTTTTGGGCTATGGTGATCCTGCAAGTGCACACTATTCAAATCTTCCTTCTCGTCTTCGTGAACTTAACTTCCGGGATACCTTTTTGAATTGGGACCATTTGAAACAAAGTCTTCCTGACAAGGTAAAACAAAAAAAAAAAAAAAAAAAAAAAAAACTTATAGACATGATATCTAAATCAATAACGTTTTTTTTTTTTTTTTTTTTTTTTTTTTCAAGGTGATTCAACCTATTCCTGATGAAACTGCTATGGTACCTCCTTTTATTCTCAGTCATACACAAGTCGATTCTCAAGTGAATGCCAAATCCAAGAAAAAGAAATCTGCAAAAGCAATGGATGTAGATACTCCCGAAACTATTCAAGTATCTTCATATAAAGTACCAAATATGGGACCCTATCCTCAAGATATACCAAAACAAAACAATGTACCTTTCACTCCAGTACAAGGTAAAAAAAAAAAAAAATTGGTAGTTATTTAATACTGATCTATAATTTGATTATGATAAATTTTAGTTGAATCCATCCATTCAGGTATGAATCATGGTCTGACAATGGTGGTTGGTCCTCCTGGTACAGGCAAAACTGATGTTGCAGTACAGACAATCGCCAATCTTTATCATAATCATCCGAATCAACATACACTTATCGTTACACATAGCAATCAAGCATTAAATCAAATTTTTGAGAAATTGATGGAATTAGATATCGACTCTCGCCATTTGGTTCGTCTTGGTCATGGTGAAGAAGAACTCAATACTGAATTAAGTTTCAGTAAATTTGGACGTGTGACATCTTTCCTGGAACGACGTATTGAACTTTTGAAGGAAGTGGATCGATTATCACAATCTTTGGAAATCCCTGGTGAACATGGATCGACTTGCGAAACAGCTGGCTACTTTTATAACTATCATGTTAAAACACGATGGGCACCTTATCACGACAAGATAACAACAGATAAGAATATGACTTTAGCAGATGTACGAGATGAATTCCCTTTTGCTGTCTTTTTCGCCAACGCACCTCAACCCTTATTTAACGATGACATGACGGTGGATGATGCTATTGATGTGGCTCAAGGTTGCTTCCGACATTTGGAAAAATTATTTGAAGAATTGGAAGATGTACGACCTTTTGAATTGTTACGTTATAGTACTGATCGTGCCAACTACTTGATTACCAAAGAAGCAAAGATTATCGCCATGACTTGTACTCATGCTGCTCTCAAGGTAAAGAGGATGAAAAAAAAAAAAAGAACGTGATGGAGGAAGATGATTATGTTTCATATATTGATCAATTCTTTTATTTCATATTTATTAGCGACGAGAACTAGTATCATTGAAATTCAAATACGATAATGTGGTGATGGAAGAAGCTGCTCAAATTCTGGAAGTAGAAACATTTATTCCATTACTGTTACAAGAACCAGAAGATGGAGAAAATCGACTGAAACGCGTTATCCTTATTGGTGATCACAATCAATTGCCACCTGTAGTAAAGAATCTAGCTTTTCAACAATATGGCAATATGGAGCAGAGTTTATTTACTCGATTTATACGTTTGGGTGTACCGGCATTACAATTGGATGCTCAGGTAATATATATATATATATATATATAAGGGAAAATCAAAGAAAAAAGAATATTAATCGTGATTTGTCTTTTTTCTTTTTATATATGTGTAGGGTCGTGCCAGATCATCCCTCGCCAAACTTTATAGTTGGAGATATAATCAATTAGGTGACTTACCCAATGTACTGACCAATTCCGAATTCTTACAAGCAAACGCAGGGTTGACATATGATTACCAATTCATTAATGTGGGTCCTTATCATGGACAAGGTGAATCGGAACCAGTGGCCTACTTTTATCAGAACGTGGGCGAAGCTGAATATGTTGTGGCACTTTATCAATACATGCGTCTGATAGGGTAAATCATCATCATTAGAATTTATCTTAATACTCATTTTACGAACCTATATATTTTTGATTGTAGATATCCTGCGGAAAAGATCACCATCTTGACAACGTATAATGGTCAACGTTCTTTGATCAATGATGTCCTTCAACGACGATGTGCTTGGAATCCATTCTTTGGTAGACCTGCAGCTGTATCGACAGTGGATCAATATCAAGGACAGCAAAATGATTGTAAGTAGATATGTGTTTTTTTTTTTTTATGTGATTGATCTATTTTGTTGGATATTTTTTTTTTCGTTTGATTCTTAACTTTCATTATTATTATTATTATCATTCTAGACATTCTATTGTCTTTAGTCCGTACTAAGACTGTGGGTCATCTTCGTGATGTTCGACGATTGATTGTGGCCATGTCAAGAGCTCGCCTTGGTCTCTATGTGTTTGGTCGTCGTGGATTGTTTGAAAATTGTTATGAATTGAAACCCGTTTTTGATCAATTATTGGCGCGTCCGGATAAATTATGTTTACAACACAATGAATCCTATCCTACCAATCGACTGGTAAGAAGGAATAATATGATGCAGGAAGGATTATTGACCCCCCACTTTTTATATATTTATATATGATTTTTTTTTTTTTTTTTTTTTTTTTTTTTTTTTTTTTTTTTTTTTTTTTTAGGTGGATGTACACAAGGATATTACCGAAATGGATCATGTAGAAGAAATGGGCAAATTAGTATACAAACTCAGTCAAGAACAATTGGACGAAGAGATGATCAGACAAGAACAAATCCAAGAAGCTGAACAAGAAGCTGAAGAATTGATCCATCAAGAAATGGATGACGCACAAGAAAATTAGATTAGAGATTGATTGCTCTGCACTTTGTTTTATTTTAATCACACACCTATTATTATTTCCCTCCCTTCTGTTCTTTTCTTCTCATACATCCTTTCCTTTATTGTTTTGTTTTTTTTTTTTCTGTTTTATTCTCATTGTTCTGTAAATAAACACTCTGATACTCTGGAGCTTTTTATTATTATTATTATTATTATTATTATTATTATTATTATTATTATTATTATTATTATTATTATTATTATTATTATTATTATTATTATTATTATTATTATTATTATTATTATTATTATTATTATTATTATTATTATTATTATTATTATTATTATTATTATTATTATTATTATTATTATTATTATTATTATTATTATTATTATTATTTATTCTTTTATAGTTTTTTTTTTTTTTTTTTTTTTTTTTTTTTTTTTTTTTTTTTTTTTTTTTTTTTTTTCCTTGGATACCAAAGATAGGATTTACAAAATGTGTTAGTTTGTGCAATGCGTACATGACTTTTAATGTCAATGTGCATAATGGATGATGAAGATCTCCGAATTGAAACCAATCATTACCGTTAGTCCCAACCCTCATTAATGAGTGCAGCAGAGTAATAATAATAATAATAAAAGAGAGCATCGTCAATTCCATATTGGTGATCATCCTATGGATCATCATTTAAAACAAACAATTTTTATCTAAAAAGATGAATAAGGCATGTAAGTTCATGGTTTTGTTAATTTTATTATAGCATTGGTAAGAGAATAAATCAAGTCAAAGGAGACAAAAAAAAAAAAGAAGAACAAAAAGGAGAAGAAAAATTACAAAAGTAGGATGAATAAAAAAGGGGAAGAGAGAAAGAGATTTGCATTTGGTCAATAAGAAAGGATACATTACTGACAAAAGTAATGATTGAAGGACAGGGAATGGTAATATGGACATACATAATATATATATATGATTGGTAACTTTTTTTTAATAGAATCAATATGAAATAACGGAAGGATGGAAGGTAAGATCATAAAGAGGGGGAAAAAAAGGGAATGTGGAAATAAGAAAGAAAGAAAGAAAATCATTTAAAAAATAAAGAGGAGGATGGAGGGGAAATAATAGGGTTCGTAAAATAGATGGGTATCATGTCAAAATCGCTGGCAAATGTTGACTTCTTCCTTCTTAAACTAAAGCCAATTCCAAGCACCTATAATAGTAATATAATAATAAAAAAAAGAATTAACAAAAAAGTAATGAATAATTTTTTTTTCTTTTACCAAGTTCTTCTTGCCCATAACCTAACCGTTTGCCCTTGAATATCCACAGTATTTCCATCCCACCAGCACTTTCTCTAAAGATAAAAATAAATAAATTAATAATGAATATCTAAATGGAATACAATAAAAAAAAAAGTACTTACAGCAGGTTTTCTCCAAAACAATAATAACTTTTGAGCTGTTGGCATATGATTATCAGGACCAGTTGTCTTCAGTAATACCAAACCCATACTGATGATACAGGTACGCATAGGTTCCAAAGCACGATGACCCCAACGATCATTACGAGAGAATCCAGCATCACAAAGCATATCGATCAAATGTTGTTCGGCCATATTATTTTCTCGAGCGATACTTTTTTGAAGAGCAGCGAAGATCTCGTCATGATGTCGTAAATATTGTCCACATTGTAACTTCAATGTTGCCATATCTGCTACTGGTAACTTTTTCTGAGAAGGTACACAAAAATATTCGAGTTCTTCACGTAAAACGATAATAGGTTGTTTATCGAGTAGAGGATAATAAGCAGGTGAAGTGGACATGGACATTGCCGGAGGAAGAGAAGAAGTACCATTTTCATTACTACTGTTTGTCGTTTCAGTTGTAGTTGTAGAATTCGTTAGTCGTTGTTGTTGTAATTCATTAGAAAGTTGTTGAGCTTGTCGATAAAATTGTAAGACATATTCCAAACAAACAGGATCAAAATCCACATAAGTCACTTGGAAGTCGTCATCTTCATCTTTTTGAGATGAACCGTTACCACTAGAGGAAGATTTATCGCCGTTTCCTACTGAATCTCTTGAATGTCGATCATAATCTTCATCTTCATATTCATCTTGTCGTCCACCAAGAATAAGTCCGTTGGGAAACATGGCGATGAGTAAACTTTCGGGTAAACTGACAAGAGTATCGCGATCAAGTTCTACACGTACACCACGCAAATCCAATTTTAATATTTGAGGAATAGCATCTTGTTCAAAGCCATCATCTTCATCGTTTTGTTGATAAATCAAATCATCTTCATAATCGGTGTTGGGATCGGGTACTTGAGCAATGGGTGAATCGGTACTCATGATGAGTAATCTTGTTCTTTATTATTGTTGAGGTTTTGTTGTAATATATAAAGATAAGAGTATAATAAAGTCGTATTCTTTTAATAATAAAAACAAAAGAGATCAAATATTTTAGAAATAGACTATAAAATAATATTATGAAAAAGAGGAGAAAAAAGTGGAAAGCAAAAAAAAAAAAAAAAAAAAAAAACAAATTGATATTTGAATATTGAGAACCCTCCTCCCCTTTTTCCATTCTTGCAGTATTTCAAATTCCGTTCCTTCTTAATAATTTAACGTGAATTTTATGCTCTTAATAAAAAACTTTAGATGATCTCTTACAAGTAGTCTTTTAATTTTATTTTATGAATTCTATATTCCATATACTATTTTATGACATATAATGATTGGATCATTGATTCGATTTAATAGAATAATCATCATTATTTGTTAACTTCATCCAAAAATATCTGGAGTTCACATTTTTCCAAAAAATCTATCATCCACACTTAACGACGAACGTTTATTGAAAAAAAAAAAAAAGGAAAATATCATCAATCAACTATACTAATTTACATTAAACTATATACGCAAGCGATCCCTTTCCATAACTGTCACAGTATTGGATGATAAAGTAGAAGATACCCAATTGGGATCATTCAGTAAGATAATATCATTACCTTCCAGTTTCTACTCAAAAGAGAAAAAAAAATCATAGATTAGCATTAGTATATATAAATATATATCATTTACCTTTCGAACATTGGAATAATGATCTTCTTTTGAAGTATATTCACGAAATAGATAAGATGATCCAAATTCATGAAAAATTCTTGTATCATTAATCCTAAACAAGACATCATCCACGCGTAAAAAGAATCGTTGCAATATTAAAAAACAGGTTGGCATCACCCGCTATTCAAAAACCAAAAAAATAAATAAATAAATAAATAAAATAAAATAAATAAATATTTCTTTTTTATTTACTTACTAATCGTATAGATAGCATTGCAGTTCCATTATCAGCCAATTCATCTTCATATAATATATTTTCATCATAAAACAGAATAGGTTCCTTTTGTTGTAATCTTTCCACATCTATTACAGGTTCATCCACTCTTTCCCAATCGGTATCAACATCTTTTGTTCCTTTATATGTTGTGGTATATGTCCAATCATAAGGTTTCACCACATCCTTCACATCTTGATGTTTACTAATTAAGATTCTGTGTTATATATATATATATATATATATATACAATAATTTCAATCATTTATTTCCTTACCTTTTTCGGGACCATTCTTTTGCATAAGACACTTTGATATAATCTCCACTACTTGCACTTGAATCCACCAAGGCCAAAGCGTCAAACGCGTTCCAAGTATATTTTAAACTTCCTTTTGCTATTTCTACATAATTGTTACCAAATATCATTTCTGGTGGAGGAATCCCATAATCTTTTTGAAATCTATTTTATATATATATAGTTGAATATATCACCCTATTTCATCATAATCTTTTATATTTTACCTGTCTATTTCAATCGAGTTGCATATAGGCGCCTTTTTACTTTTGATGGTCCAGCCATCACAAGTAATACCTTGAATCTGTCCAGTACGAGGATTGCCTTCCTTAAGTAGTTGAAATGACATTATAAAGAAAAAAAAATGAATGAAAGGCGAAGAGAGAAAAAGTTTTCAAAAAAAAAGAAAAAAAAAAGAAAGAAAAAAGAAAAAAGAAAATTGGCATTTTTTTTTTTTTTTTTTGTATTTTTCCCTCCCCCATGAAGATAAATTTTGAAGACCGAAACGAAAAAGGAAAGAGAATTGATTGTTAAGTTCCCAATTTTTATTTGATTACTTACAAGCCAGCATATCAAAGTACATACTACCTCAATCAATCCAGAATGGGTAGCATGTAACTATTTCAATGTTTCGATATCCAGAGATACTTTTTTTGTGAGCAAATTGATACTTGGAATGGAAATAATATATATATAAGATAATAGATGAATAGGTGTTGACATTCGTTTTTTTTTTATTGCAGTTGTCAAAGCATTCAACAGTCGTGGCGAACGTAAACAAGTGTAATCAATAGATGATTGTAATTTTTCATGAATATTGTTGGTGTTATAGATAATCATCATCATGATAATAAAAATGGAACTGTAAGAAATAAAAGAATGCTAATAATAATAAATAAAAAAAAGAGAAATAACTAAGCTTCTACTAGATAAACATGACATTATATCTGCTGGATGGATTAAGTTTTACATAGTATGGTCAATGATATAATTTTTTATTGAATAAAAAAAAAAAAAAGAATTAATTTGAAGTGCTATATTTATCCTATTTGACGAACAAATGGATTGTTGATTGATGCACTGAAGTATTGATGTATTCATGCATTGTTGGAGGGAAAAAAAAGAAGGCTGTGGACGAGATCACATTTTTTTTTATTTGGAGGCGGTGGTTTAAAAAAGAGTAGTTTTTGATTTTCCTGCTTTTCAAAAAGTCTATTCACGTCTTTCACTTTTTGTTTATCGAATAAATTGGTAATGTCATCATCTCAAGAAATATCCATTGTAACTGTTGTTGGAAAAAGTGAACATAACTGTGGTTATTGTCACCAAAAAAAAACTTCTCACACATTTGGTATTTGGGCTCACTCTCTTACTTGTGAAGTAATAATAATAATGATAATGATAATAATAGGTGTTGAAACGCGACATGGTATGAACTCATCTTTCTTATTTTTATTACTATTAGGATTATCAAGCACTCATCGATAGAGGATGGAGAAGGTAAGATAGAATATTTATATATATATTTTCTTTTCAGCATATTGGCTAGTATATTAATTATAAACATTTCTATATAGATCTGGAAAATACCTCTACAAACCTGATTTACGTCAAAGTTGTTGTCCTCAGTATACTATAAGGTATGTCTTGGCAATATATTATATATATATATATATATATTCATATTTTCTCTTTTCATAGGTTGGACGCGACAAAATTCAAAGCAACAAAGTCTCAACGAAAGATACTACACAAGTTCAACCGTTTTATTCATGGCGAATGGAATCCACATCAATCAAGCACTACACACTCTTCAGAATCAAAGTAAGAATCTTTTTTTTTTTTTTTTTTTTGGAAAGTATGATTGAATAATTCATCAACAAATCGGGTCTATTTTGATACTTAGAAAACCACCAAAGAAATCGACTGGTAAAGGAGATCTGTCCTTGATAGAAATGATTCATGCTGGTGAACAAGATAAAAAGTCAAGTGATTCAAATGATCATTCCTTCAAGGTAATAGAAAAGAATAATTGTCCTTTATATTGAAGTTAATCTCTGTATTTTCTTTTTTTTTCACATAGATTGTTTTAGAACCTTCATCATTTACTGAAGAAAAATATGCTTTATACTATAAATATCAGCAACAAGTTCATCATGATAAACCATCAGATATTTCAAAGGAAGGGTTTAGGCGCTTCTTAGTGGATACTCCTATGGAATTGGAACGAGTGAATGATCAAGTGACCTGGGGAAGCTATCATCAGAAATACATTTTGGATGGAACCCTGATTGCTGTCGCAGTGCTGGATATATTACCGCATTGTGTATCATCAGTCTATTATATGTATGATACGGATTACTCCTTCCTTGGTTTGGGCAATTATAGTGCCTTACGCGAAATCAGTTTAACGCAAGAGTATCATTTATCCATTCCGGATTTGAAATATTATTATATGGGTAAATTTGAATGATATCTTGATGGCATTGACTTTCTATTTTATTTTATTTACTTATTTATTTATTTATTTATTTATTTATTTTTAAAAAAACAGGTTTTTATATACATTCATGCGAAAAAATGAAATACAAGGCCAAGTATCATCCCTCGGATTTGTTGGACCCAGAAACATATGATTGGTACTCTTTTAACGACATTTGCAAACCTTTATTAGATCAACACAGATATACCTCTTTCTCACGCTCGAATCAGGATATTCCAACAGCAACAGTAACAGCAGAACAACGACATCATGATGACGATGATAGTAGCAACAAAAGACGTGCGACAACATCATTGATCCCTCCTGGATGGCTGGATCCGGCATCATTAGATGATGACGATTTGAACCAAGTGCTTGTATTATCTGGAAGAAACAGAGTTGTGCCTGTGACAATGTTACTGAAATATCATGAAGAACCAAGTTTCCGAAATGAAATCAAGGATTATGTGGCATCTACTGGGTTGGAATTAGCTCACCGTATGATTCTTTGTTGAACAATTTTATAATTTAGATTTATCCTTTATGTATATATTTAGTTTAGTATTTCTTTTGATCACAAAATAAAAAACTTTATATATTCTTGACAACATATTTTTTTTTCACCCAATCTGTTCAGGATACCCATATAAATAAAGTATCTTTATTCCCTTGATTTGTATTATTTTTCATTATTCATCATTTCAATTCATCATGTTTGTTGGATCTTCTTTTGTTACTTTCTTGATCATCATTTTCTCTGTCAATATAATTCAAGCTACAAATCATCGGCGTCAGAATTGTCCTCCTGTGATAACGGAGGATCTTCATCCTTATGGTATCAATATCCCTAGAACTAATCCAGATTATTGTGTTGGTAAGTTCCTAATTTAAAGAAACCTTATGTTACTCATTTCCTCTTTGTGAGCACAGGATTTGAAATCACTTATCCTACTGAACCTGGTCTGTCGTATCAAAGTGGCTCTATGGCTAGGATTGCTTGGAAAGTGGATAAATCTAAAATGAAGATCCCTCCTGACTCTATTACTCGTATTCGTGTCTTAAATAATGGTCAACTTGCTGAAAGTATTCCTGGTGAAAATATGAGTAAGTGATATACTTAAAAAGTCTTTTTTTTTTCTAATATAGTTTTTTTTTTTTTTTGTTTTATCATAGCTATCTATTCATTAAATGATCATAGTGGTGAAGCAACTTTTCCTTTAGAAATCTATGATGAATCAGCTCAGTATCATTATAGAGTGATGGTGAATTATCCCGTAAAGCTGATAGTGATGATAAAGAAAAGGGTATGATATGATTAACTAATTGATTTTATTGTTATTATAGGGAACAACAGTCCATTGTATTTTTGAATCTGTTTCTTTTAACATCACTCCAACAACTTTTCTTAGGTATAGTAATCTTGGTACAGCTCCTCCTTCTTTTGCCATTCCTCAATGGATAGGTAATAAAAATGTTCTGTCAAAATGAAGCCAGAAGCGGACTTTTGCCTACCATTGAGGCAACACGAACGCCATTATTTTTTTTTTCTTCTCCCCTTTTTTCTATTATTATTTTTTCTTTTCTTTTTCTCAATTCTTACATTCCTGATCAATAAAAAAAAAAAAAAAGAAATGCTAAGGTACATTACTTATTCTGATAAAAAGCTATACATATATGTCACGTTTATTTTATTGTTGTTTTCTCACTCATTCTATTCCTCTTTCCTTTATTATTCTATTTGGGTTATTATAGTAAAGAATCGTCAACGCCAGGACGGTGTTATGCAGCATCACCACGAACAACTACTCAACGAACACCTCAAAGAATACATACACCAACAAGATCTAAAACATTTGCTCATGCCGCGCGTGAATTATTCAAACAACCAATTCCTCCTGACTTTTCTACTCAACAAGACTACTATTCTCAGTCTAACAATCAACAATCAGATCCCAACTTTTTTGCTTACAATCCAGAAAAAGAACCTATCAAGGTAAAATCAATAAAAACGATAACACATAATCGATATATTCTTTATTTTTTTTTTTTATTTTTATTTTTTTTATGTGTTTGTACGCAATTCTTTTATATCATAGGCCTATCTCCGGATCCGACCTCCTTTACGTCCATCAGACGAGGACAATAGTAGTTGTCATACACCAAATGTCTCTTCTATATCCACTAGTGATGACGATAGTGTGGCAACAACCATACCATATTTACAAATCACAGACGATAGCGAAGTATGCATGACCCCACCTGAAGATTCTAATGCTTACCGTACACGCAATAGAGCACCTGAACGTTATCGATTTACAAAGATATTTACCGAAAATGTATCACAACAAGAATTCTTTGATAAAACCACATTACCTCTTATTAAAGATGTACTCAAAGGTGAAAACGCATTGATATTTGCTTATGGTGTCACCAATTCTGGCAAGACCTACTCAATTATGGGTACAAGACAGGATACTGGATTACTACCTCGCACTCTGGATGTGTTATTCAATAGTATCAAGGATTATACTAGTGACTCCAAGGTAAAGCATAATCAAAAGAGTGTATGGTATGGCAATGGATTGAGATGATATAAGCTAATTTTAATTCAATGTTTGTTGGTGGTGATAGCTCAAGCCAGTAATGCATAGTTTAGTCCAAGCATATGAAGACAAGGCAGAAGAAAATCGATTCATTCTTGAACAAGCTGGAAGTACTGAAACTGCTCATGTTGGATCATCGGTAAACAACCAAACCCGAAGGGTCATATATATATATATATATATATAACAGATATTGGCGGCTCCACATGTCTTATTTTATTTTATTTTATTTTTATTGATTCTTCACTAGAATTGCGATTTATGGGATGGACATCAGATTCCTGCATGCCCTGATTCTACTGGTAAAAGAGAAACTGTTACTACTTAAAAAGAACAAATAATATCCACTAACCTATTTTTTTTTTCGCTTTTCTTAGTGATCCCAATTGATGAAAGATATGAATATGGTATCTGGGTATCCTTTGCTGAGATCTACACGGAACGTATCTATGATTTGTTGGTGGCACCTGACAAGCAACAAAAACGCAAATCACTAGCCCTGAAGTACGAATTTCGAAGTGGACACAAATATATAGCAGGTCTCAAAGAAGTAAAAGTGCGAACTATTGAGGTAAGAAAGGAAAAAAAAAAAAAAAAAAGGACAGAAGAAAATTTAAAAGAAAGGGATGCTACATTGACTTTCTACCTATTTTTGTCATGATTATCGGGATAATGATAGGAAGCCTATACTATTCTACGCGAAGGCCAACGGAATAGAGCGGTATTCTCAACTCTGATGAATCGAACTAGTAGTCGAAGCCATAGTATATTTACCATTCGTATAGTGCGTGTTCCGATATATGAAAATGAATATGTGATTGAAGTAAGTTTAAAGAAGACAGGAAAATACAAGATGTATTCGTGATAAAAAGAATATACTTAGATTATCAACCTTTTCTTTTATTTATTTTTTGGACAGGATCCTTCTTATGCTGTGGTATCTAAAATGTCTATTGTTGATCTGGCTGGATCGGAACGATACAGAAACACTCTGAACTCTGGTAAGAAAAAAGAAGAAAAAAAAAAGAAAGTTGTATGAAGAAAATGATAATTAAATTATACCTTATGTCAGGTCAAAGATTGAAAGAAGCTGGTAATATCAACAAGTCTTTGATGGTTCTTGGACAATGTATGGAAACATTACGACTGAATCAATTGAAAGCAGCTATGGGAAAGGTACATATAATCAAGAATACCGACAAAGTAGATCCAATGACTAATATAAGGAAAACCAATTATTTTTATATATATTAGCGTCGTGCCATTGTACCTTTCCGTCATAGCAGGTTGACTGAATTATTCAAAAGTTCTTTTGAAGGCGATGGGAAAGCAGTAAGACAAAATATACATGGAAATGAATCATATATCTCAAACTCATTTATTTCTATTTATATTGTCTTTGTTTTCTATTGTTAGGTTATGGTTGTCAATGTCAATCCTACGGATACTGGTTTCGATGAAAATAGCCATGTGATGAAATTTGCTGCAGTTGCCAAAGATGTTGCCACTTGGAGAAGAATTCATCCCAAACTTGAAATCAATAGTCTATCGGTTGCATGTAAGACAATGGATGCAATTATCCTTTATATACTCATTATTTCCTTCTTCTTTTTTTTTTTTTTTTTTTTTTTTTTTTAGCTAAACGACGTCGTAGGAAATCCAAGGAAAAACAAAGTATGTAATATATGAATAGTGTCATTTTAAACTTATTAGTATGGAATCATTAATATGCCATTTGTTTTAATTTTGCATTTCAGTGTCAATTGACTCCAATCGTGGCGATACTACAGGTTCTACGGAAGATATGGATATATGCCACTCAACAGATGAAGATGAGGATGATGAAGAAGAAGAAGAGGAGGATGATGATGATGAAGCAGAAGATCCTTTTGTCGATAACCTGATAGCACAATGGGCTGATCTTAGGGACAAGGTACAACAAAACAAAAAGTTGGATTATTTAGCATTGGGAGAATAGTAATGATTCATTCTTTTGATTTATAGTGGATGGATGCTGAAACCCGGTGTGCAACTATGGAATCCGATATTCGACAACAAGTTTCCAAAGAAATGGAAATTGAATTACGCAAAATGGAAGAAATTTATATGTCAAGAATGACACGAGAAGTATACTATCGATTCAACTTTTTACAATGCAAATTATTCTTTTTTTTTTTTTTTTTTTTGCTGATAATTATTTTTTTTATTGATATACTTAGAATAACTCGACTACTGAAGATATCAAAAAACATTTAGATCAATCTTGTACAACTGATGGTAAGTACTAAAGAAAAAATAATAATCCTTATCCATTTCTTACCTCCCCTTTTTATTTGATATAGATACTGAAGACAACTTATTCCTGAAAAATGTAAACCTTTAACTAAGATATCATGGATTTTTTTTATTTTACTCATACTCATGTATTTTGGAATCGTTTTATTTCTCATTACTAGCTATATCAACGACAAGAAGTGTTGACATCTGAACTTAACAAAATGCGAACACGGGTACAAGATAATGATATCACCAAGCATGCACTACTAGAAAAGGTAATATGATTTGATATTATTATTATTTTTAACTATAACATTAATTTGTTATGCAGATTGCCGAACTGGAGAAGAACAGGCGAAATGACCAATCAAACATGGAACGACTCATAAAAGATATCCAAAAACGGGACCAAATGATAGAAAAACTACAACATCAGCAATGCATGACAAGACCCAATCATGAAGATATAATGGATGAAGACAATCCATTTTTAGAAAAGAAACCAAGCCAGAAAGAATGTTCATCATCATCTGATCACACTAATCAGACTACAACATCATCGGCCACCTGTCACTCAGGGTTATCACAAATGCAAACGACATCATCCTTAGATACTTCTGAGCTATTACCTGCGTCGACACCAACATCAGTATCATCGCTATCTATTAGTAAACCCAGCAAGACTTCTTTTGATGAATTCCTCGATTTACGAAAGAAACTAAGAAGATCCATATTCAAAACAGAAGAGGTAAAGTTTTGCTGTTGTTGTTGTTTTTTTTTTTCTTTAAAAAAAAAGTAAGTAAGAATCCTAATCTTTTTTTTTTTTTTTGATAGTGTTCCTCTGATGCCGATATTATTATGACCAAGGTGGAAACATTCGAAGGAGTTACGTTTGATATGGTGAAGGTAAAGGGGAAAAAAAGATCAATAGAATGCTGAAACCATTAGAATAGGAGGGGGGGACTTACATATATGTGTGTTTGTAGGAATCAAATATGGGCAAATTACTGAAACTGATCTCTCAACATCAATTCAAACGAGATACTTTTGGATTACAACGACGAGCTCAAGTTTTATTGCGAAAATATATCAAACTCTCTATATCGACATTTGCGCCACCACTATCAGTAACAAAGCATTCTAGGTCCAACAAACGCGATTCTTTAATCATGGTGGCAGTAGATGCTGGAAAAGAAGAAGATCTTATATCTGATATGCGAGACGCCTTGGACGTATTACAAGATGAAAATCGGAAACTGAAATCCCGGCTGAAAGTAAGTTCAAACGTGTAGGTGATACAGGGAACCTTATTCACCCTTTTATGTTTTCCTTTTTTATACTAGACAATGGAAGTGGGTCAACGTAGATTGATGGAAGCATTTGATAAACCAATGAATATCACTACACCTCCTAGTACAATACCTATAGACACTACAACAAATATAGAGTCAGAAATGATGGTGGATGATCCAATAGATGTAAGTAATATACCAAAATAAAATGAATAAATATGTTGACTACTTTTATTTTATTTTTTTATTTTTTAGCCTGAAGAAGGATGTGACAACGATGGAAATGAGGTATTATTTAGTCCTGTTCTTGGCACATCGGCAATGATGATGGAAGAAGATCTTGATGACAATAGAAACCAGGAAGAAAAACCGACGAAACGACGAAGGTATACATTTATAAAAAGATATAGATAACTGATCATGATACTCATTGGATGGATATGATCCTATAGAAAGCTACGTATACGACAACAACGCCAAAATTAGATTTGAACTTTTTCTCTGAATCGGCATCAAGAACTAATCAGGGTGATGCATTGAACTTTAGGGAACTTTAGTATTACGTCAAAGCACAGTAGATATCAAATTATCCGACCCAAACAAGTCATGCTTTTTTTTTTTTTTTACCTTTTGTATATATATTTATATAAATAAAGAATTGCCGCCTTTTATCCATCTCTCCTTCCCTTTTTTTTTTTATTTATGTTCGAATCAATAAAATATATATTATTAAAAGAAAGTGATTATATACCATCATTCTACGGAATACAACGCAAAGAATCCATTGATACTGTAGTTGCAAGCATAGATGACAGATGGGAATCCAGGAAGCAAACACCTACATTATTACCAAGGAAACGACGGTATCGATTGAACCATTGGAGAGTGGTTCTGACACGTTTGATGCAAGAGAACGATCGATGGCATCACGCACAAATAATCAGACGACAGCAACGTCGTGAAAAAAGACCACAAGATGGAAAGACAAATCCTTTTGAATGAAACCTTTTTTTTTTTGTATCATTATGATAAACCATATCCAACCTGTCAACCTTTATTACACCATTCATTTTCAATATGCATTGATGGGTTCTTTTTTTTTTTTTTCTTTTTGGTTGTATACCCTGTTATGTCCCTATTTTTTTTTTTTTTTGTTTTATTCTCATTATGAAGGATGCTTCGAAATAAAATGTTTTAAACAATGTATCATCAAAGTAAATCATGAGATCAGGTGATTGTAATCTACATACATGATAGTGGCTCTCACACACTCACTCACACACACACCACATGCTGAAGCATTTTTTTTTTTGTTGTTGTTGTTATGTATACTGAGAGGAAACGCCCTTATTTGTCGAGAACAAGTTTTCCCAATTGGATAAATGCAAATAAAACGGATCACCATGATGAACACGTTTCGTCTGGACAATATCCTTTTGTTTTTAATTCTGTTTGCTTGCTTATTTTGATAAGTAAAAAAGACGAAAAAAAATATTTTATGTATGGTGGACGATGATAGGATTGGGTGTAGGGCTCAGATCCTATTGATGTATAGACTGTCAGTTTACTTTTTTCATCATTATTTATCAAAGTATTATATATTTATATGAATAATATGGTGATGATGAGTGCAGCTCTTATTTTTTTTTTTCGCAGTTGGGCTTATCTATAGTGACGACGTGATCCATAACGAATAGCATTTTCCCGCTCTTAGAGTCAACTGACTTATGGATTCATGGACTAGATGGCGTTCACTTTTCCTTTTTTTTTTTTTTTAATCCTAAAACAGGAGATGGCATTCCCTTTTTTTAAAAAAAAATGATTTGTTATCTGGTAGCAAAAGGAGATGACGGAGAAGAGTTTATTTCCCTTTTTGATTGAAATAAAAAGGGGGCATACTTCTTGATCTTAAAAACAATCCAAGTCAATAGAGACACTCATTTTATATAATCACATTCAAAGCCTTGACAAAAATCCATCTCACTGCATCGTATCTACACATTGTTTCAATAGTACCTTATTGCCCTGATTGGATATCTCTGTCACACGAATTAGACTTAGACTGACTGGCAATCTAAATGGGAAGTGATAGACATTCACATATACACTCACACCCAGGTACAAAAGCAATGGAGGCGATAAAGGTCATTTATAGATATGAGACCATCGAACATACATCATTATCAACCTATTTTTTTTTTCTTTCATAAAAAGATAACTATTCCATTATAAAACCGATAAATAAATAAAAAAACAATATCAATTGATAACAAAAAGATAATAGAAAAACAAGAATGCTTTATTTGATAAACATTGTGAATATATCAAAGAATAAACTGTTTAGCCTTGAATATCCCCGAGGATTTACTATTAAGAAAAAAAAAAAGATCAGTACCTGTGATCAAAAAAATCGACTTATCTATTTTGCTCTACCGAACTTACTTGTTGCATAGCTTCCTTCTTGCCCTTGCGATCAAGAACAGCTTGACGACTGTGATCCAACTTGAGCTTGTTGATCACGACGTTAGAGGGGTGGATACCAATAGGAGCAGTGGCACCATTTACCTTTTCACGAGTAATACGTTCGATATGGATAACCCACTTCTTACGGTAAACTTGAACAACCTTGCCTTCGCGACCCTTGTAGGTACCACGGACAACGGTAACTTCGTCATCACGGCGGATGGGCATAGAGCGAACCTAGAAGAAAAGGAGAATAAAAAAAAAAAATATTAATCAAACCATGTTGGAATTTCTCTATGAGTGGTTGATGAGAAAACTTACATTGTGCTTTTCACGGAGTTCCTTGGACAAAGCAGAGCTCATGATCTTTTGGCGAATGTGAGAGGGAGCAGAGAAGTGAGCCTTTCTGCTCTTTCTACGGGAAGAGCTAACATCTATATGCAAGAAGAATAAAAATAAAAAAAAGAAGTGAGTAAATTGGTCCCAGATCAAAAAAAAAAAAGTAACAATCGTCAAACGAAAAGGAAATAGAATGAAAGAGAGAACGAAAATAAAAGAATATACGTTGGCAAATAAGATTATGATTGATTGACATTCAAGTTCGAAAGTCGTATAATGGGTAATACTGTTAATGGTTGTTCATTGGGCATTTGTTGCAATTCTTTCCATATTTCGAACGAGTAGTTATCCAATCCATCCATCCATCCATCCATCCATCCATCCATCCATTTATTATGATATTAGTTGAACATCAAAAGGTATGTCGTATGGATTATCATTATTATTCATCGAATCTATTCGTCATGATGATCATAGTAATGATGGGTGATTTTCCTATCTACTCATCCGTTCATCTATCCATCCATCCGTTCATCCATCCAGTTGTATCATGTTTGTTCATCCATTTCTTTCATTCTATTTCCATCGTTTTACGTATGTGTAGTGTTGCCTTGTTCTTGTTCTTACCAGCGGAGAACTTCATCCTTAGGTTTGTTAAAAGGAAAAAAAAGAAAGAACGTTCATAATCGTGGCCCCTCCCCACCTAAAGAAAAATTGTTTGACCCGCTTGAACTACGAGCCGCTATGTGCGGTATCTGAATTCTCAGCTCTGTAGCCTCATTGGCTTGAATCACTCTTTGTCCCTTGGATACTTGGTTCAATTAAATAATAAAATAGAACAATCGATCTTTCCCAAAATGGATGTCGCATTATCACTTTTTTTTTAGATGTCACTATAGAGATGTTGGCAGAGTATGTCAATTTATTGATGATGGATGATGATTGCCTCAGCAGATGAGCTGATTCTTTTCAATGATCATATTTGGAAAAAAAAAGAACTATATTTTTTTTATATGGTATCATTATCATCGTCATCATATTCACAGTTAAGACAGATTAAATGTAATGTTCATGTCTGATGATAGTATACAATAATTTTTAGGATATTTAGTATTGATACCAGAAGACAGTTTGCTATGGTCGATGAAATAGCGGGTATTGAAATATGACATGATTTGGAATAAAAATGAGTACATTGATCCATTTTTCACTTTTTTTTCTCTCTTTCTTTCTTCTTTTCTTTTATTTGTTACGCACCATGCCATCTTTACAAACACCTACAGTCAGTGGCATTCGCATCTATCCTGTAAAGTCTTGTCATTCTGTTCAACTGGAAGAAAGTGAAGTAGGTAATCTTGGTTTGGTCAATGATCGTCGGTTTCTATTTATCGAGGAAGCAACCAATCGGTTTATTACTCAAAGGTAATATACAATAACCATAGGGATATTATATATATATTTATATTTATATATATATGTATCTTTTTTTTTTATTCTTCTTTGACAAATAGAAAATATGCTTCCATGGCCTTGGTACGACCTTTGGTAGACATGGTGCAGAAAACTTTGACATTGACTAGTCATGACGATGAACAACCTCCTTTGGTGCTGCCGCTTTACCCTGATACCAAACTCATGCAACAACGCACAGTGAAATTATGGAAAGATACCTTGACTGCTTACGATATGGGCGATGCTGCTGGTGAATGGCTTGAGACGTTTTTCCGTCGTCATCGATCTCATGATGTGACCAACAACCATAATCCAGACGATCCTGTAGACCTTGAACAACCTATCCCTCGTTTACGACTAGTGACTCTAGAAGATCCTCAACAAGAAGGTAGCCATTATTCTCGTCCTGCTCATCAAGCTTTGCCTGGAACACATTCTCCTTTCACTGATTGGTCTCCTGTCTCATTTGGCTTTGAGGCAAGCTTGGATGCATTGAATCAAGGTCTATTAGCCCGTGATATCAGTCAAGGCAATATCATAGGAATGGATCGCTTTCGGAACAATGTCGATATTGCTGGAACATTACCGTGGGAAGAAGATACCTGGTTAGTGGCAAAGTAAGTAAAAAAAAAAAAAAAATGGATGACAAGTGTATGTGTGTGTATGTGGCTGTGCTGGCAATTACCTATTGGGTGATAACCGTTTTAGGATGATAGTAATGATTTTCTTTTCTTGTTTTTATTAGAATTGGTGAAGTGACATTTTATTTAATACGACCTATTGGAAGATGTACTGTACCAGGAGTGGATCAAGATTCTGGTGTCAAGGATACCTGGGGTGGACCTTTATCATATTTGAAGGAAAAACGTAGCTTTAGCGAGAAACCAAATGACGGATGTTTCTGTGTAGATGTAGTCCCTCTTACAAGTGGTACCATTCGTGTAGGCGACAAGGTAGAAGTGTTGGAACGAATCCCTGCTGGAAAGGAACCGAAGCCATTGGTCAAGAAGAATTTAGAATAGAAGTAGTTTATATTTAATAAAAAAAATATTGTTGTTATCATCATGATATTCATTTACCCAGTATACCATTATTCATCATCCATTCATCAGCTGTCATTGTTCAATGTGAAAGAATTCATAACACAAACATCAACTAAAAAGAAAGGCTGTTTTATTTCAACAAAAAGATAGAGAACACTAAAACTAATGATGTATGACTAAACAATACATATAAAGTTCATCCACGGGTTCTTACACATTGTTTGCAAATCAGGTTTCCATGTCCATCATTTTCCCAAAGTCCTACGAAAAAAAAATTGTCATTGTATCCTCTATACGAACAAAAAAGATTCCTTTTTTTTTTTTAATTCTGTATTACCTGGTACCCGAGCTGATAATGGACGTTGACAAGAAGTGCATTGGAAATGTTGTGGGTGATAATTGTTTCCAAAAGCGGATGCTATTAATTTCGCGCCGGCTAGAGATTCTTTGCATACATAACATTTATTTTTGTCACTGATGTTGCTGTTATTGGAAGAGGTTTTCGCATGTTGTTCACAATATGGTCGATTATCCCTAACATGAAAAGTACCAGAAGGAAATGGTTTTCCACAATCCTAAAGGTATGTTCCAAAAAAAAAAAAAAAAAAAAAAAAAGGAATTATCATCAGATAAAACAAACCTTTTTTTTCATTTTCATTTCTCTTTACCGCACAAACAAAACATTCTTTGTGCCAATCACCACCTAAAGCACCCACAAAAGACCCTTTGATATAGTTGCCACATCCTTGACATCGATGACCAAACTTTTCTAAATAATCCTTTTCACAGTAAGCATGACCATCATGAATCATAAATTGTTGTTCAACAAAAGGTGTTTTACATGCATGACAGAAAAAGTGCCCTTCATGATAATGTTTTCCAAGTGCTTGTACAGATGTCTAAAATGAAAAATTATTTCTATATGAGTTCGCCATCATCAGATTTTATTTATTTTTGATAAAAAAAAAAAAAAAAAAAAAAAAAGATCTTACCCCTTCAATAGGTTCCTTGCAATAATCACAACGAGAGTTGAATAATGTATGATAATCCAACCCACAATAAGGTTTGCCATCTTTTTCAAAAAATTCCACTTTGTCTAGTCGATCACCGCATTTCACACAAGTAAAACAGCCTGCATGCCATTTCTTTCCTAAAGCAGAGACCATGATACCTTTTGAGACTGGTTGATTACAATAACCACATCTTGACTGGTTATAAAGAGAAGGTATAACTTTATTGGTGCCTAGATCTTGCGATGGTCGAGTTGCATTCATAACAGATGAGGTGGGTTTAGTATTCGGTGAAGAGAGATGAATGGGTTTTGTCGCAGTTGGTGGTGGAGGTGGTTTATTGATATTTGTTGAGCTTGCTATTTTTGTCGTCTTCCGAGGATTAGAATGAAGTGACGTTTCAAAAGCATCATGAGAATGCCGCGTTTCAGAATCGGTCTTGGCTTTACTAGTCGAGATCTGCTCAGTATTGTCATTCAAAGCCATATTTTGCATTGGATATATCAAATCGTTACGTACATTTTGATATTGTTTATTTTCACCAGCTGGTGATGTTGGTTGACTTGTCCGGTTGTCGAAAGACGATGAATTAGATGATTTGCTGGAAGGCGAGATTGGTGGACTTTTTCCAGGAAGACTATTCAAATATTTATCTAAAATAAATAAATCAATAACTGATATATATATATATATTATTTCATATGTTTGTTTTTGAATTTACCTAGCTGATCTTTGGAAAGATAGGTCATTGTATTTGACTTTTTTTTTTTTTTTTTTTGGTGGTTGGTAAGGGAAGAAGAACGGTAATGCGCTAAAATTTATTCATCCTCTGATTTCAAGCTTCATATTTGAAATACCGTTGCCATATATAGTAACAGAAAAAAACAGTAAGCAATATGCAAAATAAATAAGCACTGTTTTTATTTTATTTTTTATTTTTTTTTTTTCTACGTATATAAAATAATATTGTTTGAGCATTATCTATCATTCGTCTGTTGTCCATTTACAGTAATAGTACAAGAATCATACATATCATCCTATCATCTATCATCCATCAACACAAATGTGCCTCCATTACCTTCGGTACTGTAATCACATCATCATACCTACATTACTGTATCATCTACAATACTGTATCATCCGTCACTTTCGGCTATTACACCATCGTGTCCATCACCTTCATACAACATATTATTATTCACTATCCTCTTAGTTGACTCACTCTTAATTTAATCAGAATGACGTATTAGAAAAAGGATTAAATAATTAACCTTGACATAGTTGAAAGTAGCTGTGAGAAAAGATATATGTCAATAAGATTTTTGTTTTCCCCACTTTATTTTGTTCTTGGGAAAATAGAGGATTGCATTACGGAATATGATTGGCTATCGAGAGTTTAAAAACGGGGTATTTTTTTCTCTTGATTACTCCTTGATTTTCCTTTTTTCTTCTTTTCTTTTCTTTTTTATTTCATTTTTATATATTATACTCTTTTATTAAAAGAAACGTAAAATGACAAAAATACACCGTAACGTGGAATTAGCAAATACAGCACAAAAAGGTCAAACAGGTAAAGTAACACGTCTGTATGAATTAATATAAAAGAAAAGACCTCAGATAAAACGTACACGTATATATAATCATATCTAATTTTGCCTTATATTAGGTATTTATCGTAATACAGCGAAACCTGATAGCCTCTTGGAGACCTATAATAGAGATATTCATACTCTCTATGATGCTTGGCAATCAAGTAAGAGAAATAATATCCAAAATGGATAGAAATAAGGTTTTTAATCCCGCTTTTTTTTTTTTCTCTCTCTCTCTCTTTTTTTTTAGTTCCTTCATCAGCAAAAGATTTACAATGTCTTGGTTATCGACCTTTACTCAATCCACTTACACAAGAACGATCTTCTGAATATGTATGGCAAACATATGGACAAGTGATAGAAAGAGTGAATGCTTTTGGCTCAGGTATACGACAATTAATTGAAGAAATAACAGGAAAGAAGGCAGGTCAACAATCACCTCTTGGTATTTGGGCTGTCAATCGACCAGAATGGACACTAACAGATCTGGCGTGTGTATCTTTTGGATTTTTCTCTGTGGCTCTTTATGATACTCTTGGTGATGATACTGTCAGGTTTGTCATCAATCATTCCGAACTCGAAGCCGTAATCTGTTCTGCGAATCATATTGAACATCTTTTGACCATTCAATCGGAATGTCCCCAACTTAAACTTATTGTTTCGATGGATCCTTTGACTGAATTCAACAATGGCAAGGCACTTGTGTCATGGGCAAAAGAAAAAGGGATTACACTCTACGACTTTGAACAAGTGGAACAATTAGGACGACAACAACAACGACCTCACGTACCTCCTCAACCTTCGGATAAGGCATTTATTCTTTATACAAGTGGTACCACTGGTAATCCCAAAGGAGCCATTATTTCTCACGCAAATATGGTGGCAGCGCTTTCGTCTGTGTCCTCTCGGTTTGACTTTGTATTTGGTGGTGAAACAGTGATATCCTATTTACCCCTTCCTCATGTATTTGGACGTATTATGGATTGGACATGCCTGATTCACGCTGGACGAATTGGTCATTTTAGTGGTGCTGTGGAATTACTAGTCGAAGATATTCAACTACTCAAACCAACACTTTTTCCCTCTGTCCCTCGATTATTGAATCGTATCTACAGTAAGGTCTCACAAGCGACTATCCATGCTCCTGGAAATCTCGGTAGGATTTTCCGTATGGCTCTTCATACTAAAATTGAAAATCTTCAACAAAACCGTGGAACTACACATATGGTATGGGATCGTTTATTATTCAACAAAGTCAAACAAGTTCTAGGTGGTAATGTCAAAGTGATTGTCACTGGATCGGCTCCCATTTCAAGTGAGGTGATGGATTTCCTTAGAGTGGCCATGGGTGCTGAAGTGATTGAAGCATATGGAAGTACAGAAAATACTGGTGCTGCTAGTGTTTCTCAAAGAGGAGAATATCGCTGTGGTCATGTAGGTGCTGCTGCTCTGTGTACTGAACTCAAACTGGTCGACGTCCCTGAAATGAACTATCTTACAACTGATCCTCAACCTCGTGGTGAAATCTGTACTCGTGGTCCATGTACCTTCCAAGGCTATTATAAGGATGAAGAAAAGACGCGAGAAACAATCATTGATGGATGGTTCCATACTGGTGATGTTGGTATGATGGATGAAAACGGCTGTTTGGTGGTCATCGATCGGAAAAAGAATATATTCAAACTGTCACAAGGGGAATGTAAGTCATAAAAAAAAAAGTATATGTTGGAAAATGATTGTATTTATATAGAATGGAAGAAAGAAAAAAAGAGAAGAAAAAAAAAAAAAAGAGAGATAATGAGAAATTTAATCCTTTTTTTTTTTTTTTTTTTGATCATAGATATTGCTCCTGAAAAGATTGAAAATGTATTGATGAATGATCCTTTGGTGATGCAAGCATTTGTATATGGTGATTCTTTACAAAGTCAATTGGTGGCAGTCATTGTACCTGATCCTGATGAATTGATGTCATTCGCTCAAAGTCTTCATCTTACCAGTAATGATGGATCGACATTATCTTTAGCATCTCTCTGTCAACATCCAACTTTGGTGAAAAAGGTGTTCCAACATTTGACAAAGGTTGTGAAACAAAGTGGATTGAAAGGATTCGAACAACCAAAGGCAATCTGTTTGGAAGCTACCCCATTCTCCATAGACACTGGTATTTTGACTCCTACAATGAAATTGAAACGACCCGAAGCAAAACAACGATATCTTCAACATATTCAATCTATGTATGACTATTTGGCAAAGGAAACTCCCAAGGCTTTGTTATAGATTATTAGTAGTGATAGTTATTTCTTTTTTGGTGATCGTTTATTTAATAAAATACGTTTTACATCTGATTTTTAGATCTTTTATATTTATGATTAGTCTCATCTTCGTCATCTATAACTCATCACCATTTAGCATAATCCTCCAAAGTAACAAAATTACATGAAGTATATATATGTATATATATAAAAAAAAAAGAAAGTAGTTTATTAATTGGCATTAAAAAAGATAATAAAGTATAATAAGGCAAAAATAAAAAAATAAAAAATGGACATGATAGAAAAAAAAAAAAAAAAAAAGATGTCTAGTCTAAATCATCTGCTTTACCACAACAGAACCAGAATGGCTTTTTCTTTTTCTTAGGTGCTTGATCAGTGGTAGTCTCAGCAGCTTGCGTACTTGTGGTTGGAGGTTGCGTGTCTGTAGCAGTAGGTTGATTGGCGTCAGTCGTTTCACCTTGTCCAGTAGTCTCGGTTGAAGTTGGAATGGTGGATGATGGCTGATTTGCTTCAGTAGAACGTTGTACTGACTGTGTACCAGCAACTGCAGCACCTGCTGTTCCTGCTGCTGCCGCTGTTCCTGCTGCTGCTGCTGTTCCTGTTGTTTTTTCTACAGAGGTAGCTTGTGTGGAGGATGGTTCTACTTTGGCTTCTTTTATCTCTTGTTTCACACCTTTTAATTTGTTGACACCTCGATGATACGTCGCTAAGAATTTGCCAAAGTTTTGTCCTTGATTCTTGGCCATAGCTAGTTCTTCTTCAATAAGTTGTCTTGATCCATCTCCATTGGCCATTGTTCCTGCTCCATAAGGAGATCCACCGATGACTTTTGTATTGTCGAATAATGCCTATGATTAAATATGATGATGATTGATCAGTATAAAATTTGAGAGTGTGATGCCTACTTCTTTTTTTTTTTTTAAAAAAAAAAAAAAAAAGGTATTACCGGATTAGGGTAGCCAAATGGAACAAAGTTGATACCATGATGTACTAAGTATGTCACCGAGGTTAATGCAGTTCTATAGGATAGTAAAGGAGATCAATTATTCTACATCATAATTATTTATATCCTTTTTTTTTGTGATTACGTTTCTTGTCCACCATGTGATGATGCTGTTGAGAAGAAAAAGCCTGCAAATTTTTGAGCTAATCCTCCTTTTACCCACAACTGATTGATTTCAATAGAAAATGATAAGATTATTAGCTTGATATGATCATCCTACTTGATTTCTTTTTTTTTTTATTTTTACATACACTGCCAGTTGCATCTAATAATCTATTCATAGTTCAATAAAATATTTATTAAAAAAAAAGATTATTGTTTGTGTATGTAAAGAAAAAGCTTACGTTTTTATTTGAGCTGGGACGAGTCCAAATCGTGTAGGAATACCTATATAAAAAAAAAAAAGAAGTACAAATGATTAATTTTTTTTTTTAAATAAAATCCATCACTTACCAAATAGAATACCATCAGCTTCAGCCAATTCAGCAGGAGTGATGATGGGAAGATCAGGTTTAGCAGGTGCATGCATTTTCTCTAAAATATCATTTGACAATGTTTCTTGAACTTGGAATATTTTAACGTTACATCCATTGGCAGATGCACCTATTTTTATTATGAAATCAAATTATATGAGTGGATTTCTTTTTTCTTTTTTTCTTTTTTTTTTTTGATAATCAGACCTTCAGCTATCTCTTTAGACAACTTATAAACATGATGATAAAGAGAATAAAGTACGATATATAAGTTTGGTTTTTGTTCTTCAGCCATAATTATTATTATCTGCGGGGAAACAAAGGAAAAAAAAAAAAAAGAAAGAGAAATGGGAAGGTGAAAGATAAAAAAAAAAAATAGTTTAAAGTAAATGGAATCTCATTTGAATTTTGTTTGTTAATCGTATCATCAAATTACACTTACAATGACATTTTTTTTTTTAAGATATAACAATAGAAAGAAATATCCTAGGAGAATTCATCCATGGAAGCAAAGCATATGCGGAAGATGGATTTTTCTTTTTCCCGTTACCAAATTTGGATGACCAAATAATAGGTGGGGTGGATATCAATAGATGTAACCAAGAATCATCAATATGAATGTTAATGTTTTCTTTTCTCATTAAAAAATAATAAAAAAAAATGAATCATTCTTTTTCTATTTGATGATTCATAAACTGTCATTTTTCTCCTTTACTACTTAGTATATATATATATATGTATAAAATGAACTTTTTGAGACAATAAGGAGCCCATCATTTACACTTGAGTTTGAACCAATCAAAATGCACGAATCATACAAATTGACTCTCCGTCTTGCAAGACATTTGTCATGATTTTCTTAAAATATTAGCGCCATGTGAAAAACAACAAAAAAAAAACATTTTCTTTTTTTTCTTTCCTTCTTTTTCTTCCTTTTTATTACTTTATCGTTTTGTTTTTATTATTTACTTCATTCATAAATATTTTATCTCTCCTCTCACTATACTACATTATTTTAAAGTAAATAAACGATGCCTTCTCCTCCTAAGCCTTGGGAAGTCAACAATGGAAATTCAACAAATACACCAGTGACCACTCCATCAGCTGCTATTGCCACTACAACAACAACAACTAATGACACAACTAATCCTCCTATTCCTGATCGTTCTTCTACAACTTCCATGACTACAATGAATAGACCTGGAGGTAAGAAATCATCTCATTAACTTCAATTTATTTAAATATTAACTATATTCATTTTTTTTTTTACTTATTTTTTTTATTTTATTTTTAGCTTACGGTACTACAGGTTACGGCACATCATATGGAACTAGTGGCTATGGTACAGGTTATGGTACTGGATATGGTACTACTGGATACTCAACTGGCTACGGTATGAGTGGCTACGGTTCTACATACGGTGGTTATGGTAGTCGATATGGTGGTTATGGTTCTACATATGGTGGTTATGGTTCATCTTATGGTATGGGTGGCTATGGTGGTGGTATGTACGGTGGCATGTATAACCGATTCGGGAATCGTATGGGTGGCATGTACGGTATGGGTGGACCTGAAGATCAACCTGGTTTGACACAACGTATGGAAATGGGTACTCGAGCAACATTTGAAGTTATTGAATCCATTGTAGGTGCCTTTGGTGGGTTTGCACAAATGTTGGATTCTACCTTTATGGCGACACACTCCAGTTTCATGGCTATGGTGGGTGTAGCTGAACAATTAGGTCATCTCAAGTCATATCTTGGTCAAGTATTCAGTGTCTTTGCTTTATATCGATTAGTCAAGAAACTATTCAACAAAATCACTGGCCGTGTGGAACCTGGTAAACCTATGGAAATGAATTTCAGCGAATTCCAACAATTTGAACAGTCTTCTTCGAATGCTGTTACTCCCAAGATGTCTCGCAAACCACTTCTTATGTTTATGATGATGGTGGTAGGTCTTCCTTACTTGATGCACAAATTGATTCAACGTATTTCATCCAACCAACAATTACAACAACAACATATGCAACAACAACAAATTCCTGGGATGCCAAATGGTATAGGTCAAATCGATCCGTCAAAGTTGGAATTTGCTAGGGCTACTTATGATTTTACAGCCGAATCACCTATGGAACTCAATTTGAAAAAGGGTGATATCGTAGCCATTATTTCCAAGATTGATCCAAATACGAATACAACTAGTCAATGGTGGCGTGGACGACTTCGTGATGGAACTATGGGTATGTTCCCTGCTAATTACGTAGAAATAGTACAAAAAGGACCAGCACAACAACAACCAATTGCCGCCATTGCTCCATCATCACCGGCAACAAATGTCCCTATTCCTAACCCTATTACTACCTCATCATAGTTATATTTATTCTTTTATATTCTTATTATCATACTGTTATTCCCCCACCTCTTTTATCATCTTTTTTTTTTATTTTCTTTACTCTTTCTCTCTTTTTTTTTTATTATTATTATTCTTATAGTTGGATATCTTTTCCTTTCTTAGTACCTTTTTTTTCTCTCCATCCTTACATATTCTCTCTCTCTTTCTTCCCTTCTTTGTATAATATATCAATAAACCATTTATCCTTCATTATGTTTTTTTTTTTTGTTCCAAAATGAGAATGACAAAATTGTGGGGTATACCTGATCAATTCAACTTACTCATCTCAATTTCTCCTCTATTAGTTTCAAGTCCGCTTCAGGTGAAAAGGCACTTCCAACTTGCTTTTCTTCATTTCTTTTTTTCTTCTTTCCTTTACTCTTTTTTTTTTTTAGTTTTGATCATCATGGATATTAATAAATTGTTTGATGTCAAGGATAAAGTTGTTCTTGTTACCGGTGGAGGTCGTGGGTAAGAACAAGTAACCTGATACCATCCTTACTCTTCTCAGTGTACTAACTTCTTCTATATTGACATGTTATTACTGAACCGTGTTGAAATAGGATCGGTCTTATGATTGCTACAGTAAGCGAACGGATGAAAACAATGATATAAAAATAAAAAAAAAGACAAATGACTTAATCTCTCTCTCTCTTGTTTGTATTACATTTAGGGTTTTGTTTCTGCTGGAGCCAAAGTGTATATCTCTTCACGAACAGCATCAGTCTGTGATAAAGTAAGCACAAAGATAAAGCTGATACAACAGGAAGGAAACTAACAAAAGCTTGAATAGGTTGCACGAGAATTGACTCAACAAGGACCTGGCCAATGTATCTCGATCCCTGCAGATCTGTCTTCTTTGGAAGAATGCCAACGATTGGCTCAAGAATTATCTAAGCATGAATCGTAAGTAAAATCACCAATGAATGAATAAATGATTTGACCCTTTTTTTTTTTGGTAATAATAGATTTGGATGTGCTCGTGAATAACAGTGGCACCAATTATAATGCTACCATTGAAGAATACCCTGATGACATGTTTGACAAAGTTCTCAACTTGAATTTGAAACGAATCTTTACTTTGACTCAAGCGTAAGTGATCTTAAAATCAACAAATGATTTGTATCATCATTTTTTTTTTACCTCACACCTTCATTATCATTTTTTTTAATATAGCTGTCTTCCATTATTAAAGTCAAATGCTACTGGTGATTCTCCTAGTCGTGTGATCAATATTGGATCAGTTGGTAAGTTCTACTAAAATAAAGAAAATAGTCCTTCATATGAAAGGTATATTGATTCCTTTTTTTTATATATATTAATACATGTGATGTAAAAAAAACAGATGGTATTAGACCACCTCCTCAAACCACATTTGCTTATTCTGCTTCCAAGGCTGGTCTCCATCATTTAACCAAACATATGGCTTCTCAATTAGGTGAAGAAAATATCTTATTCAATACAGTGGCTCCTGGTGCATTCCGATCCAAGATGATGAAGGCAACTTTAGATGCATTTGAAGAAGTGATCAAATCCAAAATCCCTCTAGGTCGGATTGGTGAACCTGAAGATATTGCTGGAACTGTCTTATACCTTTCTTCTCGCGCTGGTCAATATACTACTGGAGCTGTGATTGTGGTCGATGGTGGTGTCGTGGCCGGTGCCAAGTTGTGAATTCACTTTTTTTTTTTATTTATAGTTACTTGGTATTTATTTATTTTATTTTGATTTCATTTCAATAAAGAACAAAAGATGGCTTGGGACACTGGTTGTCTACGATATATTTGAAGTGTCAGTTTAAGATAAAGTATTGAAAAAAATAAATGTATATTTTATTTAAAATGAAATTTGAATAAAACTACAAAACAAACAAAACACTTTCTACTAATAAATAATACTACATACGACTAACGCCATATAGATTACCACCTTGGACTTCATGATTGTAAATTGCCGCCAAGCAAAAACCGATGACAGTACGTGTTTGAGTGGGAGAGATAATTCCATCATCCAATAGACGAGATGAAGTGTAATAAACGTCGGATTCGGCTTCAACAGACATTTGGAACATGGCTTTTCGTTCATTGGCTTGTTCTTCATCAATCTTTTTTCCCATTCTATATTATATTATTATTAAAAGGTGTGATTGAATAACAATGTAAAAGACTTTTTTTTTTTTTTTTTTTTTTTTTTTTTACCTTGCAGCACCTTGTCGCATTACAAGATCAAGTACACCTGTCAATTGTTCAGCACCCATCACAGAACAACGAGAGTTAGGCCAAGAGAATAAGAATCTATACAGGTAAAGAAAAAGAATAAGAAAAAAAGGTCAATACAAAAGAAAATAATATTCATCACATACCTAGGTTCGTAGGCACGACCACTCATGGCATAGTTACCAGCACCATAGGAAGCACCCATCATGATAGTGATTGCAGGTACCTTGGAGTTACTGACAGCATTGATGAATCTTGATCCAGCCTTGACAATGCCTTCTTCTTCATATCTCTTACCAACCATGAAACCAGTGATATTTTGTAAATAGATCAATGGTGTATTTCTTGAAACAAAAAAAAAAAAGAAAGTGAATAAAATGATTGATACATGTTGAAGAACTTACTTGATATTACATAATTGAATGAATTGAGTAGCTTTGTTTGATTCTTGAGTAAAGATAACATTGTTATTGGCAATAATACCGACAGGAATACCTTGAATAAAAGCCCATCCACAAACCAAATTAACACCATAATTAGGCTTGAAAGGAGTGAAACGAGATCCATCTACTATACGAATGATCACTTCAGTAGCATCAAAAGGAATCCGAATATTAGCAGAAACAATGCCTAACAATTCCTCTAAAAAAAAAAAAAAATAGGTAGTATTAATATCATAATCCTCATTACGTAATAAAGTTTTTTCAATGTATTTTACCAGGATCATAATAAGGTTCTTCATATTGACCAGAGATATGTCTAGGAGGGAGAGGACCTTTTTGTTCCCAATTGAGATTGGCCATCCATTCACGAGCTTTTCGGATACCATCATATTCATCGTTGGCTAATTGATCACTAACGCCAGATACACGAGAATGCATATCAGCACCACCCAAACTTTCAGCATCGGTGATTTCACCAGTAGCCATTTGTACCAAAGGAGGACCACCCAAGAACACTTGAGCTTGTTTCTATTTTTGATTGAATCTGTTAGCAAGTTTTTTTTTTATTATTGAAACTGGTTTACCTTGACCATGATCACATAATCACTCATACCAGGAGTATAAGCGCCACCAGCTGTAGAACTACCAAACACTACACAACAAGAAGGTATACCTGCCTTTGATCTTTATTTTTAAAATATATATATATATATATATAAATCAGTGGATTGCTATATACGATAAATCAATACTTAACTGTAATGCTTGATTACGAAAACCAGCACCACCACGATGGAAAACCTTGAATTGTTGTTGTAAATTGGCACCAGCAGATTGAACCAGTGTAACGGTAGGTAAACGATTTGCCATGGCGATTTGATGGACACGACCTGCCTTCAAAGCTGAAGTTTCATTCATAGCACCACCTGCCATAGTAGGTACATGAGCTGATACAACACAGAGTACACCACTATTCAAAAAAAAAAAAAAATATTGGGATAAAGGAATATATATATATATAAAAGTGAATTCTCTTTATTACCTAACAAGTCCAATACCAGTAACCACTGATCCACCTAAAGTCATATCATCTTGATCATAACCAGCTAAAGCAGCCAATTCTAAGAAAGGAGAATCTTCATCTAATAATAAATCCAATCGTTCTCTAGCTAAAAAAGAAAAGGATTAATAAAATTTTCGTGTTTGAGTCGGAGATGTTGAAGATAAAAGAAATAGTATAATGTATAATAGTTTTGTGGGGTAAAATATATATATATATATATATATATATATCATATGTACGTGTATATTATAGGAATGAAATATAAAAAGAATAAGATTTACCTGATAATTGACCGCGTTTTTTATGTAAAGCCAAACTTTTTGGTTTTCCTTCATTGGTAGCTTCTTGTAATCGTTCTTCAAGTTGATCAATGAGTTGTTTCCATTCTGTTACATTATTTTTGTATTCGGCTGTCGTCTTGACAATAACAGTAGGATGACGTTGAACAAGGTTATCTCGAGAAGTAAGAGTTGACATTGTATATATAAAAAAAAAAAAGAAAGAGTGAATGGTAATGAAATGTAAATAGGAAAAGGAAGGAAAAAAAGAGAAAACAAAAAAATTTAAAAGCATATGAAAAGTTTTTCGGACTTTTGTGTGGGGAACCCAAATTTGGAACTTTGAATTTTTGTCAGCAAAACGAAGGTCATACTGATGATCATCATACATAAAAGGATGGTTGGGGTAGAATTCTCTTTTACAAAAGAAATAGATTTTCTCTAAAGATTAATTTTTTTTTTTGTTTTTTTTTTTCTTTTTGTTTCCCACAACGTTAAAAGTATATCATTCAAAACTTGATTGTAGATCGGAGATCGTTGATTATGCATATTTTTTTCTTTTCTTTTTTTTTTTTCATCTTTTCTGTTTTAGATGTTCTCCATATTATTACACATTGATTCTTTTTTTTTTTTCATCTTTTCTGTTTTAGATGTTCTCCATATTATTACACATTGATTCTTTTTTTTTTTTTAAACAAGAAAGTAAACATCCGAAATTCAATCATTCCTATTATCATATATTGTGTTATGATGATTATTATTGTTCTTTTTTTTTCAGGTACAAGGATAGATTTATGCAAGAAGAAATAATTTTATTTCATTCATTTCTTTTTCTATATAAAATGGATTTTCAATTCAAACAAATTAAACAAAGTGATATTTAAACAAAGTGATTTTTCCTTTTTTATAAAGTGTAGCAAGAGTTATTTTTTTTTGTATGATAAAGAAGAAAAAAAAAAGAAAATAAAAAAAGTTACCACGGTGCAACGGAGACTGGAAAAAAAAAATTTTATCTCCTAAGGATTTGGTTGGTTACTTTTATCATATATTTCGCAACCTATAAATAATGACAGGTCGATGGGAGTCGGTGCTTTTTTTTTATTTTTTATTTTCTTTTCTTTTTTTTTTCGTATCAATATAATGAAAAAGGATAGTGACGAAGAAACTGAAGGAACAGAAACACCTAAATCTCATCAAAGTGTTACTTTTCAACCTAATATCACAATATCATCACCACCATCACCAAAGAAAAAACCTCATCGTCCAAAAACAAGTAGCTCATCATCATATGATCAACACTTTTTAAAACACCCATTAGCAACAGAAACAGTTTTTGACGAAACAGAAAAAACGGATACAGAAGAATTGGATGATGATACTATATCAGAAGAAGAAGAACAACAACAACTTTCTTCATTGGATATAGATCAACCAGGCAGGGAATTGGCAAGGGCTTCAATATCGCATGCTGATGCTAAGGATCGTCATGGGGAATTTCAAAATCTATTGGCAGAATCTGCTGCTCTTGTGGATCGAATGTTAGGAGACCCAAGAACCGCTATGGAACAACATGAAGCTCATTATCACGAACCATCATCTGATACTGATCCTTTTGTAGAAGATGTTAGTCATTTACCTTCCTATCTTACTCAAAAATCAACTCATTTATATCATCCTCCTCGACGTGGTGGAAGTGTATTAGGTAGTCTTATGAAATTGGAACATCAACGACAACTTCAAGTCCCACGCCCATCCCTTGTACAACAACAACCTGGGAAAATAGATCAACAAGAAATCAAAAAGAAGAAAAAAATAAAGAAGAAAGAAGTTGATGAAAAACGAATCAAGGTAAAAACAAAAAAAAAAAAAAAAAAAGGATAATAATGAAAAAAAAGAGAGAAAACTAAAAGAATTATCTTTTTTTTTTTTTTTGATGAAATAGAGACACAAGAAAAGCAAATCATTATACAACATGCCACAACATAGTTTGAGTGCCGATATGATCAAACGACCCAAACGACCCAAGATGGCCAGTAGCAATAGTTGGTTAACAGAAATGACAAGAACTCAACATCTTGTTCCTAGTCTGGATAAACGGAAAGCACAAACGAATGGTTCATCACGTCGATCCAGCAAAGATAGTACAATGACACGCGCGTCTCAATTCGAACCCATCAGCTTGGAAGATCGTATACGGATTACATTTGAAATCGCCAATATTTTACAGAAACAAACTTTTTTACGAAAACTCGTCAAATGTCTGATGCTCTATGGTTGTCCTGCTCATCGTTTGGAATACATTTTACGTACAGTATCGAAAACTCTTGGCGTGGAGGCAGAATATGTCTATTTACCCAACATCATGTTGATGAACTTTGTGGATCCTGATATGCATACGACAGAAACGCATTTTGTACGACAAACTCAAATGTTTGATATGCATAAGCTTGGTGAAATCTATCGATTGGAAAAATTGGTGGCTCATGGTGAAGTCAGCGTGGATGAAGCTTTGGAATTTATTGATAAGGTCACTATGGATCCTGATTTCTATCCATTTTGGATGGGTCCTTTTACCTATGCTTTGGCAAGTTTCTGTGGTTGCGTAATGTTTTATGGTGGTACTTGGCGTGAAGCTGGATTGGCATCTGCATTAGCTGGTAAAAAAAAAAAAAAAAAAAAAAAAATAGGACCAAAACACGAATGATATAAAATAATCCATATGATTGATTTTCTTTTTTATAGTGTTTTTTGCGATTTATGAACTCTTCAGTGGACGTCTGGTTAGTTTTCAACCTATTTACGAAATCACTTGTTGTATTATCGTTGGTTTTATCTCAAGAGCCGTAGGAAAATTCGGTTTTTGTTTTACACCTGTTGCTTTTGCTTCGTTCATCATCATCCTACCTGGGTATTCTATGACAATCTCGATCGTGGAATTAGTATCTCGACAACTCGTATGTGGCATTGTGCGGATGGTATATGCTATCATCTATTGTTTTCTTCTAGGATACGGGATTACCATGGGCTCCTCTCTTTACATCACCATTGATCCATCTGCTATGAACCAAAAGGACTCTTGTCAACGTACGGAAAAAGCATCCACTTGTTTGACCACGGTGCCCGAAGTCTTCTACTTTTTGACAGTGCCTTTATTTGCTATAACCTATTGTATTTATTTACGTGCAAGGATTCCTCGTTGGCCGGTGATGATCAGTGTCGGTATCATTGGATTTGTTGTCAATTGGGCATTGGCTTGTCGTGCAACATCACCTTCTCAAGTCTTACAAGTCGTACCGGCGTTTGCCATTGGTTTATTGGGAAATCTATATACCAAGTTTACACAAAAAATGTCATTTGATGCTGTCTTATTAGGGGTAAATTAGAAAAAAAAAGAGAAGATTTAAATTCGATTCTGAATCATCATCTTTTTTTTTTTTTTTTTTGTGGATTAGGTCTTTTATTTGGTCCCAGGAAGTTTAGGTCTAAAATCTGCTCTTGGGTTCTTTGGTGCTTCATCAGGGTCCGAATTTAGTAATCAAGGCGCTGGTTTTGCACTCTCCATGATCGAAGCTGCCATTGGGATCTCTATTGGATTATTTGTTGCCACTTTGATTGTATACCCTAGAGGTACTACACATACACCTCTCATGAATTTTTAGTTTTTGTTTTTTTTCTTTTTTTTTTTTACCCTTTTACTTTTATAGTTGTATTGTACTATTTTTTTTTTTTTGTTTTTGTTTTACCTCATGTATACACACACGCACGCATTCCTATTAATATATAATAAATTCCACTTTAGTCAACTACGGAAAAAAAAAAAAAAGATTGGATTACTCATACACTATTTACATCAGCTTCATGATTAAAGTCAAGAAATCATCAGTGCTGAGAGATTTGTCTCCTAAGATCGTAAATCAGGTAAATATTATCGTAAAGCGAATGCTGTATTAAGACACATAGCCACATATATCTATTGCGGATAGGTTTCTCTCTTCTTTTTTTCAATAAAGAATAAAAACTTTTTTTTTATTAACGATAATACGAATATATATATATATAATAGCTAATATACACAATACTATAATAGGATAAAAAGTCGATCAAACTAGGTTGGTATGTCCAGCATCACTCCTGTTCTTTATTGTTGTTGACGATTTGCCATGATATCATCCAACGCAGTCCAATTTGGTAGGTCATCACCATAGTACGCTGTAAGTGCCTTAAGATTTCCACGTAGATAATTACGTTCTATTTCACAAAACCGTCCATGACCCGCTAATAAAGCTAATTGATTGGGATTGGTATTTCTAGGTACAAAAAAGGCGACATTGGGTGTGATTTTTGCCGCAAGTTTGAAGATCGACATTCTATATAAGAATAGTGTCAATGACAATTTATATATAACAATTCTTTCTGCTTACCCATTTCCAGGCATCATAGTCTTGAGATTATACACTTTTTCTTGTAGATATGAAGGTCCACCCCAAGGAGGAGATAAAAATACAACATCAGCCTATTTAAATATAAGGAAGAAAAAGAATGTATTAGTCCTGTCCTTGGGTACCATCCTTTTTTTTTTTTTTAACCTTGAGAAAAGGAGCCAAATCATAAAAACTTCCCAAGATGAATTCAATTCTATCTTCTACTCCATAAATCTTGGCATTATGTTGAGCACACTTTAATTTGACAGGATCAATATCTATAGCAATAACTACAATAATAATAATAATAAAGAGTAAATAAACTGGATGAAGAAGTATCCCCGTTTCTTTGTATCTTCTTCTGTTTACCACGTTCACAGGTCAATGCGAATTGAATTGTGTTTCCGCCACAACCACAAAACGCATCGATAATGACATCAGATTGACACCTTTGAGCTATATGTCGAGCAATCGATTCTGGAGTAACCGAAAACCATCCCTCTACAATCATAACATTGTATAAAAAATCAACAACAATAAAAAGAAAAAATTAAAGAAGAAAATCTTACTTTTATATTACCTCGATCCATCAGAATACCATCATCGTATTTAGAGAAATAAGAATATCGTTGGTAGTAGTACCTAATAAAATTAAAAAATATAAGTACAATGATGATATTTTTTTTCTTTCAACAACTTACTTTTCCATATCCTTGGGCATTGTTTTTTGGGTATAAGATACAACAACATTATCAAAGACAATGCATTCAGGATCGGCTTTTTTGACACGTTTTGATCGTTTATTTCGAGATTTTGTTGGTTGAACCTGATCATAACCGGCATAAGCATCATAGGTGGATAATATACGTCTTTTCTTCAGTGAACTATCACTTCCTAGACTGGATGTTGTAGATGTAGAGGGGGTAGGTACGACTTCCAAAGCAAGAGTAGTGGAACTTGTCACTGGTGGTGTACTATTGATATCTAAACAAGTATCATGTTGATCCACAAGGTTATCCTGTTCTTCAAGTTCTGTTGTACTTAATAAGGCTGATATCGATGTATCTGATGGTATTGGTGAACCTGTTTCTTCGATCATAAGGATGGATATTGGTGGTATGGGATCATTATTTTCATTCTCGTCAGAAAGAGTTTGTCCAATTGTAGGAGATGGAGGTGATACTGTCATAGATGGTTGATTGTTGTCGTCAGTAGTCTGTTGATTATATATAATGGATTGAATGGATTTGAATAACCGTGTAAGCATAAATGATTCAAAGAAGGAAGAGAAGGGGAAATGAAAAAAAAAAAAAAAAAAGGAAAGGGGGGAGAAGGAAAATGACAGAGACGAGGAAGCAGTCCATACAAGAAAAAAAAATTCAATTTCCGGTTTGAGACAATAACCAAAAAGAGGAATAAACATACAAATCATTGTAGACGATGAATGATAGTAAATGCAAATATATATATATATATATATATATTGCATAAAAATAAATTTTTCAAATGATGAAGTAACAAATATATATATATATATATATAATAAATTTTAAAAATCAGAATAATCAATATTTGTTGGTTGGTTTCTTCATATTGGATATCTCCTAGGGATTAAATTCATGTTTTTGATATATAAAAAGAGGAAATTTCCTTTTTTTTTTTTTCTCTTTCTCTCTCTCTTTTTTTTTTTTTTTTAATTCCATTCAATAATATCATCATGACAGCCACTGTTTATATTGTTCTTTACTCTTTGTATCATCATGTTTACAAATTGGCATTAGAAATACAAAAAGGACTAGAAAAATCAGGCGTAAATGTAAAGGTTTTTCAAGGTAAATAAATAAATAATAATAATAAAAGAAGAAGAATCATAATGAATAATGTTTTTAATATAGTGGAAGAAACTTTATCTGATGAAATATTACAAAAGATGCATGCACCTAAACGTCCTGATTTACCTATTGTTACTGTGGATAATCTTACTGAACCAGATGGTATCATTTTTGGTATTCCCACTAGGTAAAAAAAAAAAAAAAGTATATGTATATATAAAAAGTTTTATTCTTACTCCGATTGCATGAATTTATATATTAAGATTTGGTACAATGCCTGCTCAACTTAAGACACTCCTTGATGCTACTGGAAGTAAGTTATTAATAAATAAAATAAAAAAAGAATAACATTTATTTATATATTATTATTATTTTTATTATTTTTATGATCGATGAATTAGAACTTTGGGCTACTGGAGCACTTGCAGGTAAATTTGCAGGTACCTTCTTTAGTACAGCATCACAACATGGAGGTCAAGAAACTACTGCTTTGACACTTGTCACTTATTTTACTCATCAAGGAATGATTTATGTTCCATTTGGTTATGCTAATCCTGTAAGTTTTTTAAATGTGATGAAATAAGATGATTCATTGATTTTCTTTTTTTTTATTTTTATTATTATTTAGCATTTATTCGATAATACAGAAGTGATTGGTGGAAGTGCATATGGTGCAGGAGCAATTACTAATGGAGATGGATCTAGAGATGTATCTGATAAAGAAAGAGAGATTGCAAGAAATCAAGGTGAAAACTTTGGTAAAGTTGTATCTACTTTTGTTGCAGGGAAGAATTAACAAAAAAAAAAAGAAATCATCTATATTTTAATTAATAAAGAAAATTAATTTTATTTAAGAAGATGACCTTGATCATTTGTTCTATGTTAATATTTATTAATTTTATGTTTTATATGGCTCATACATCGGTTGATTTGTCAGATGGTTGTTCATTACACCAGATACAAAAATGAAAGTCTGAACAGACTCCGCCATTTTTTTTTTTTTTTTTTTTTTTTTTGGTTCCTTTCTTCTTTGTTTCATTTAGTTTTATTAGAATGATTTTTTAGTGTATTATTATTCTATAAACTACCAATTGATACCTTTACTTTATGCCTACTTCATCCTTCTCTGCAAAACCACTTCCTAATTTACCAGCAAAAACAACTCTTGTTCAGTCACACCAACACAATGTAGTCAAGGATTCATCTACCCCTTGGTTGTTGGATGATGAGGCAAAGATTCATCTTTGGAAACTTATTCATACTTGGTTACGTCACGAACAACTTCAAGTTAAATGGGCTACTGTTATTAACGATATTTTGATGCGTGTACTTCAAACAACAAGTACTAAGGGTCAACCTTTGGAAATATACCTCCAGATCTTTGAAACTGGTTCTGCATCTCACTCGAAATATTTACCTAGTATTTCTCATGGTACTCCTCTACAGTCTCTTACAGGTAATCTCCCAAATATATATATATATATATATATATATATATAAAGATTATATTAAACTTCCTTTATTTTACCATTAGAATTACCTATACCTGGTGTATATGGTGGAACTATACGACTCTATGGCGTTCAAGTAGCTCTTCAAAATAAATTGGTGGATATATTGGCTGTCTCTATTTATACATTATATTCTTTACAACTGGAAGCTGTTTTAATGAAAGATCATCACATGACATTTTCAACTGCTTTACATCAACAACATACTCGGAAACAACACGCGACAATGAACTCGGAAACAGAAAATCCTCCCTGGAAATATGGCTTATTGGGTTGGATATTAGGCAAGCGAAATGACAAGAGGACAACTAAAGATATGGATCAACTTGTGGAAACATCAACATCTATTGATTTGTCACCATCATTACTGAAGACAAACAGTATACCAAAACGACGACTTTCTATGCATCCATTGAAGAGCTTTTCAAGAAAACAAATTGACAATAACACCTTCAAACAATCCTCCTCATCAAATATTGTAGATTCTCATCATTACAAAAATATACGGCTGTCTTTGGAACATGCTATGATTTCTACTTCACCTTCCTGTCGATTTGATGTTCCGTCTATTATCAACATTTTGGAAAAAGAAGAAGAGAATGTGGATACTATGAAGACTATCACCATTGTCGGTCAACAACAACAATATCATCATTATCAGCAGGAAATCAACCGACAAAAACAACGTTCTAGTGATCAACCGTTAAGAAACAAACTTACTTCACTGGCACGAAGGTCATCTTCTTTTTTATCTCTTGGTCTAGCTACAGAACAACTCAAAGGTTCCATTCCAAATATAACTATCACTTTACCACAATCAATTACAGCCTATTCTATGCTACGAATACCTATTCAGGTTCTCGATGATACCAGTAAGATGGGTTTGGACCTTCTTTGCCTTGATACAACTACCATAGAAGCCTTTATTCAACATCAGAATCTTGTGATCTATTATACTTCTCATCCTATTGGATGTCCTGAACGACCTTGCCTTGGCCCTACACTTTGTACAATTCAATACTTTCGATATAATGATAGTTTACCGTATTCTGATCAAACTCTGGGGATGATATTGGAAAAATGGCTAGAACAACGCGATAGTCCCTGCAAATCTCGTATCGAACAACAGAACATTACTTGTAATGGGTATACAAAAAATGGACATGGATCATCACATTCTCTGGAAAATCAACAACAACGATCCATAGTGGAACAACAGGATCAGAAGCCAGTCAAATCGGATATTGCTAGTACGGACGGAACAGTACCAACATCATCATCATCATCATCATCACATGCTCAACACCAACGGCGACAAATTAATACCAAAATGACGATACAAGGCTGCAATCAACCATTGAAAGATCACACACTTTGTTTCAGTAATGGATCACATCGTATTAATGTTTATTTTGTTACTTCAACATCAACAAACTTATCATCAGCAACAACAACAACAACAAATGAAGATGGTAGCTCTTTGGCATGCTGGCTATACTGTACAATTTGTGATGTACGAACACCATTAAAACGGTTGTCTGCTGGCACACATCAATTTTCCTTTGGCAAATACTTGGAACTCTGTCTTTACAGCACTCGGTTTACTGGATCACGACAAGATTTATGTGAACATGTCTTGACAAATCCTACATCTGTCGCACGCTGCTTTGGAAGGGTTACCGAAAACCGTCAGCAAGGAATGGATCATCACATAACAATAACCACTGAAATCAGATTTATCAAGGAAGATATCAATGTTTATACACTCCGGGGATCACCTTTACAAATTGCACCACGAACAACTTCGACATCAGCTACAGCAATAGTTATTGATTTTTATCCACGTATCAGCAGACTAACCATGGAAAAATGGAAGATGAAGGAAGGAAGGCTAGTAGATGACCTATTTAGAAAAATACGACAACATCTTTCCTATCTTCAAGATCATTTACTGAATGGAAAATCTGATTCTGAAATCTCATCATGGCGCGCAACTTTGGATTCTGATCACGAGCAGCTCACATCCATATTGAAAAACTGCTCTAGCCAAGGAAACGACGGCAACCTCAATGATTTTCGGCGATTTTTCACCTTGAAAGCTTCAATGATCATTGACAATTTGAACGAATGGCAACTAAGACGATGGCTTAAATCACCTCAACAGTATCCAGAAGAAAAACATCAACAACAATTGAATATTGCTTTTACTTGGAATGAACGACCGGATTATATGAACTCGGACATGAATCAAACTATCCATTGCTTTCCTGATTCTGCTATTATGGTACGTGAATTGGAACCTACATCGATTATTGCCTATACTTTGAGGTACAAAAATAAATAAAAAAAAAGAAAAAGAAAAAGAAAAGAAAAGAAAGACTGGCTTATGATTTTTTTTTTTTATCTAGCTCCAACGAATACGTTGAAGAATTGATATATGAACGAACACTGATGACGAACGACTTGGATGATAATCCAGTAACAACAATATCAACAAAAACAGCGCCAGTATCGTTTGAAAAACCAGCAGCAGCACCACCTCCAGCAACATTATCAACAAAAACCAGTAGTGATGGAAGCAACGGTAGTGATGCAACACAAGTAGTGGATGGTTATTACTCGTCTGTGGAAAGAAAATATATTGCGCCAGCGACAGGAGCAGCAACAGAAACGGCATCTTTCCGAACTATGGTAATGGAGACCGTCAAGGGCAATGTCAGCGATATGGAACAACACTCCAAACGTTTATCTCAAATGAAACAGCGTTGGCGACAACCAGCAGTACCTCCACTTTCTCCACCTTTATCTCCCTCTCTCGGTAAAGTACGAATAGAACATTCAACAGAACATGATTTCGATCTGACACCATATCAAGCTACCAAAGATATCAAAGAATCTACCTTTTATCAAGGTCCTCCTCTTTCAACGACATCTGGTAATGAAGATGGCTCTGCTTCATCCATCACAACAAATCCTGGTCCTACTTTGACATCTTCTATGGAAGATCCATCTAAAATAATTAGCCCACATATCAAACATCGTAAGTTGGAAAAATAAAAAGGAAAAAGAAAAAAGCAGGAAGTAAAATATATTTATCATTCTTGTTGTTCTCTGTAGGATTTGTGCATGGTAAAATGGAATTCACATGTATTGTTTATTATGCCAGTGAATTTGAAACTTTAAGACGATCTTGTGATGTGGACCAATTGATGATTGAATCCTTGGGACGATGCCAAAATTGGTCGACTACAGGTGGCAAAAGCAAAAGTCGTTTTTACAAGACACAAGGTAAAATAAAAAAAAGAAAATTATTCGTTCGTCTTATACTCAATCAAATATCTTTTTTTTTTTTTTTGGTATTCTTTAGATGATCGATTTGTTATCAAGGAAATGGTGAACAGCTGGAATATTGCTGAAAAGGATGCCTTTTTACGTTTTGCACCAAAATATTTTGATTATATCAAGGAAACAATCGATGTAAGTAAATATATGAGGTATAACATTGATAGATACATCTATTTATCTTTTTTTTTTTATTATTTTTATTATTATGTATCGAAAGACGCCTAGTATTCTTGCCAAGATCTTTGGTTTTTATACTGTCCAGATGCGAACAATGGATGACAAGAAACAAGTCTTGAATATAGATGTAATTGTGATGGAACAACTTTTTTATGGACAATCTATTTCCAAGGTATATATCATTAAAGTACTTATTATTTATTTAATTGTTTTCTCTAACTAACTTTCTATATTATAGATATTTGATTTCAAAGGAATTCCTGATCGACAAGTGGATGAAGAAAGAAGAAGTCAACCGGATGTTACTTTATGGGATGGTGATTGGCGAGAAGGTAAAGGATGAAAGTAGAATATTACCTTCAAAACATTATGATCAAAATTAACCTATTTGCTTTTTCTTTGTATTTTTTTTTATTAAAAAGGATATCGTATGGGGTATGTGACTCATGAACAATCAAGAGAATGGGTTCAAACAGCTATTGAACGTGATACTCAGTTTCTTTCCAATGGTAACATCATGGATTATTCTCTTTTGGTTGGTGTGGATAAAATAAAGAAAGAGTTGACCGTTGGTATTGTCGGTAAATATTTTTTTTTTTTTTAAAAAAAAAAAAGAATGTTCGTTTAAAAATAATGATTTACTTTCATTAGATTTTATCGGTGCTTATACTTGGTACAAGAAAATCGAATCAAAAAGCAAATCTACCATTCATCGAAATCGTGAAGTCACAGTCCTACCTCCTGATCAATATCGTTTACGATTCTGTAGAGAAGTTTTTGATTACTTTATTCCAGTAGCCGGTAATCTATGACCTCTTTTTTTTTTTTTTTTTTAATTATCTTTACTCTTTTACTAAACTCTTTCCTTATATAGGCAAATTTGACAAGATCAGATGCGAACAAACAAGTTCAAGTGCATGGATGAAATGATGTCTGAATAGATTCTATTTAATTATTATTATTGTTATCATTAATTGTTATAGTGTATACCCTACTTCATTTCATTCAATTCGTACTGTAGTTCATTTTTATAATAAACTATTTGTTTATATATATATTCTCTCTTTGGATATAATAAAATAAATGATGATAGTACAGTATAATATATCAAGAGAGATTGATGATTTCTATGAAACTTACAGAATGATGTATCTTACTGTGTTTCTATGATGATGATGATACTGCGAGCAAACAAAGACCGAATTATGGAACACTATGATAACAACAACAACAACGATGAAGATGATGATGAACTTGGATATGGCTTTATTAAAGAATAATATAACATATAGATAAACAACTACTACTAGAACTAATGTTAACTATAAATAAAATAAAAAAAAATAAGAGCCATATCAAAGAGAAACCAAAAAAAAAAAGAGGACCATCAAAAGAAAAAGTATTTCCTCACCACCTTTACTTTCCAATCACATGTTGATCCAGTGGAATCCATTTCGTAATTTCAGTTGTTGAACCATCTATCACAAAAAAAAAAAAAAAAGATAGTAAAAGCGATATCGATGATGATATTTGGAGGCAAGGTTGATACATGATGATATGATTGTTGACCGTAGATAAATAGCAAACAAACTAAATAAATAAATAAAGAGGTATTTAGCTTTCAACCACAATTTTTATTCATAACATCCATTTATTTTGATTACCTTGTTTCGTTAAACCTGATTGAAACATTAACTATTCCAATTTGATCACTTTTGCAGTCGGTTCCATAAGTCATTCTATTAGAAAAAAAAAAAAAAAAAGGTAGCATTCATTATACTTTTCAATCAAAGATCCACCAACATAAAAATAAGGAATCTATATCATCATTCATTGCATTTCCTATTCTTATTGTCCAAGATTTGACATATATAAAGTTGCAACTTTCATTTTCATTTATTCGTGTATACATTCTTGAACCGATAAAGTTGAATCGCTAAACAAGGGCCAGTTAAAAAAAAAAAAAAAAACCAACTGTTTTTGTTAATCTTCTTATTCTTTTCTACTTATTAGTGAGCATTATCAAAATAGATCAAAGAAGAAGGACGTAGTATATAAAATAAAATAAACAAAAAAAGTAAAATAAAATAAAAAAAAAGGATAAAATAAAAAAAAAAGATAAAATAAAAAAAAAAGATAAAATAAAAAAAAAAGATAAAATAAAAAAAAAAGATAAAATAAAAAAGAAAAGTAAAATAAAATAAAAAAAAGTAAAATAAAATAAAAAAAAAAACGATAAAATAAAAAAAAAGTAAAATAAAATAAAAAAAAGATAAAATAAAAAAAAAGTAAAATAAAATAAAAAAAAAGTTAAAATAAAATAAAAAAAAAAAGTAGACGTGTGGGCGGAAAAAAGTGAATAAAAGGAGAAGCGTAAACCAAATGTAAAAATTTAAATCCGCGTTCCTCCATTGAATCTCTCTTTTTGAAGTGAAGTCAATAGAAGTAGATGTTTACTGTTTTAATGATGTAAAATATTTCATCAATCGCATGACTTGATGATTTTTAAAAAAAAAAAAAAAAAAAAAGAAAGAAAAAAGGGTTATATAGTGATTGATAAGGGGACAAGGTGTTGGTCTCAAAAAGGAAAAATTACTAAACTACCCAGACCAAAGAAGGAAATGACCGACATAAAATAACCAAATATGGAATAAATTCCAAAAAAGGAAGGAAGAGACATATAATGTACTGAACGGTCTAACTTCTTGTCCTTGGCTTCTTGGTTTAGTGGTATAATTCTCGCTTAGGGTGCGAGAGGTCCCGGGTTCGATTCCCGGAGAAGCCCTTTGTTTTTTATTTTTTACAAAAAACGTTTGACGGATTGTAAATATAGTAGCCAATCATTTTTTTTATATTGTTAAGTGTTAAAGTGATTTTTTGGTTCAAATGGCCAAAGTTGAAAAAGTAATTCGGATGATTGAAAGATAATAAGTTAAATAGTGAGCACCAGTACTTGATTACGCAGGCACACGTATAGTATGTGTAGTGATTCATTATATTAGTTGCTATGGAACGTTTATGCATTGATACTGTATATTTCTTTCTTGATAGTATCAAAAGATCATGAGCATAATAACTTTCAAAGTCCGTACTTTTATTTTTTTTTATTTTTTTTATTTTTTAGATATGCGATAATTTTTTTTTTTTATTATTTCTTTCCTTTCTTTATAATAATTTTAGTTATAGTATATCAATTAGTAGCCTTTAGTAGTTATATTTTTATTTAATAAAACTTTTTATTTTTATTCCAATTACTTTGTTACATGTCAATGTAATTGATTCCATCTTTAGATGTATTTTTTTTTTTATTCTTTATTTGTGAATGCATTCTTTAGTTTTATTTTACGCATATCGTTATGGAATACGCTGATATGACAAGTTGTCATGGAATATGGGTTACGTATAGCATGTTAAAACAAAAGTTATAAAAATAATTTAAAAGTTTTTTTTTTCTTCTCCATTTTTTTTTTTCATGTGTTTTTTTAACTTTTTTTTTTCTTTTCCTCAACACTTTTTTTTTTTTTAACAATAGCTTGAGATTTTAAGATCACATTTAAGAGTGATTAAAAATATAATATAATTTGAAAATAGAACTGTGTCATTGTTAAACAATACTGATGATTTATTTAAATGAATACCCGGATAGTTATCCATGAGGAGTGATCAATATGAATTGATTCGAAGAAAGATCATTTATATATATATATAGTATAACCAAAATAATAAAATTGATGAATGATAATGGATGATTGTCAATCAGGATTAATATCTACAGTATGAGAATCTGAAAAAAATAATAATTCAAAAGCACGAGAGATTTTTATTTCGATTTATCACAAAAAAAAAAAAAAAAAAATACTAAACTAAATATAACTTAATCTTTTTTTTTTCTAACTTACTGATCAGCGTATGTATTCCCAATCATCAGAGATTTCTTTTGTCCCAGAGATCGCAGATGCAAAGCAGACCATTTGATTTGCAATAATTCGAGTAAATAGGTTTGTTATATAAATAAAACCTATTTCATCGATTCAATGATAAAAGTATAAGTAACTATAAGAAAGAAGATAAATAAAAATAAACATCATTTACCTTGTTGGCACAATAATAAAATATAAAGTATGATTTTTATACTAACACATCACCAATGCGCAAGAGAACCAGGGATAGATATCTTGTTTACATGCGCCTGTTCTAAAGAAATTGTCGTACCAGCATGTTTCGTAAAATAATCTAATCTATATCAAAATATAACCAAACAATCCATGAGAAGAGCAGTTCCTTTTTTTTTTCTTTAGGACATATTTATCCTTTTGATTGTATGTTGCGTGTAATTGTAATATTGTTGAGAATCATTTACTATAACAGAGATAAAAAAGTAAGAAAGTAATTACATATATTTGTATACGTATTTCCTTCAATTTTATTATCTTTTATACTTACTTAGATTCTGATATCTTTGAATCCATTTTTGAATGTAGTAAGTTACGGTTCATCGTACTGCATTATGTTCGAAGGCTTCATAACATGTCTTCAAACAAGGTAAACCAGACGACATTTTCTAATAAAAAGTAAAGGAAAAGGTAAATTGATTTTAGTCTTTTTTTTTTTTTTTGTTTCAAAATACCGTGTTGTATTATACCTACCAATATTCCAACTCCACATGCTTTCGAAATAGGAACAGTTTCGCAAAGAGATTGCCATCTAATATTTGATTCCAAAAACAAGTACTTGCTAATCTTAATATATAGCTGAACCAGTATTATTTCAGTTTTGTAATTCTAATATTTCAATAGCCAGCTCATACATGATATTTGTCAGGTTGTCGTTTCTTCGGTTTCTGTTTTCATGTTTTCAAGGATATAGGTGGAGGCGAATGAATTGATAGCGAAAAAAAAAAAAAAAGAAAAGGAAAAGGAAAAGGAAAGAGGCATAAACAGTTTTGTGCCTTTTTCCATTGTGTTTTAAATGCCGTAGCCAATCATTTTTTCCAGAGAATTCTTACTCCTTGTCAGAATTTTTTTTTGTTCATCTAGCAGTTGTATACTTTTGCAACTCTCTCAAATGTCATCATCATTGCGTCAAATTTGGACTGAACATAAATGAAATGGTTCTCTTTCATTTATATTAATAAACAATTTAGATCTTACCTGTCAATTTAGAGAGTAAATTAAAAATGAAATGTCAATATCGATATTTCTTATCCAATAGTGATCATCGTCCAATAAAATCACCATTAGATTCCTCGCAAAAAACTAACCTGATAACCATCTAATCTCATTTTATCCCTTAACTTATCACCTACTATGTAATGAGCACCAAATCATCTCATCGATTTTTCCAAAAATCGCCTGATGACCCCTCGACAATTGATTTTTTACAGCCAAAATTTAGCTGAGGAATTCGAAATTTTTGGTTGTAAATGCAAAAAAAAAAAGGAAAATGAAATGAATTAAAAGGTCTTATCATGCTTCAAGTTCCATTTTTGAGCTTAAATCTATCTTCATACCATCCCAGCACCATTAACAAAAGATGTGTATACTATCTATGATTACTTCTTCTGTTAGTGAATCAAAAAAAAAAAAAAGCATCTGTCATAATCGAAAAATAGGTCATCTGACACCTAACCTCACTCTCAAAAGTAATCTTCAAATCTACTTGTTTACATTGTTGTTTTGTAGGAAGAGAGTCCAATCATATATAGAAGAAAACGGCATCATCCGAAATCCGGGGTGGCTGAGAGTGATTTTTTTTTTCTACGCGCACAAAAATGTCAACTCTTTTTTTTCTTTCTCCACTTTTTTTTTCTTTTTTTCTTTTCTCTTTTCTCTTGTCTTTATTGTAAACAATGAGTCAATCTATTACTCTTCCTTCTGCATGTGATTTCCATCTTCATCTTCGTCAAGGTGAAATGATGCGTATGGTGACTCCTCAAGTAGCTGCTGGTGGTGTCTCTTTGGCTTACATCATGGTAAATAAATACTATTTGTTCAAAAAAAAAAATGTTATTATTATTATTAAACTGAAATATCTTTAATGACTTGAACAATAAAATAGCCCAATTTACAACCTCCTATTACCAACACAGATCAAGCATTGAAATATAAACAAGAATTGGAAGCATTAGCACCCGAAGTGACATTTTACATGACCCTATATCTTTCACCTGAATTGACAGTGGACGAAATACGCAAGGCCAGCAAGGCAGGTATTGCTGGAGTCAAATCATATCCTCGTGGAGTAACAACCAATAGTGATAATGGTATTGAATCATATGAAATTTATTATCCCGTATTCAAGGCTATGGAAGAAGAAGGTATGGTACTCAACTTACATGGTGAAATTCCCAGTGATCATAACAAGAATATTTGTGTGATGAATGCCGAAGAAAAATTCTTGCCTCAATTGGAAAAGATCCATCGAGCCTTTCCCAACCTCAAGATTGTTTTAGAACATGCTACCTCTGAAGCCGCTGTACAAATGGTTCAACGTCTAGGTGATACGGTTGCTTGTTCCATCACAGTACATCATTTACAACTCATCGTCGATGATTGGGCTGGTCAAGCTCATCATTTCTGTAAACCTGTTGCTAAATATCCTCAAGATCGTCAAGCTTTACGTCAAGTTGTCGCCTCTGGTAAGTCATATCAAAAAAAAAAAAGTATATACAGAAAGATGTGATCTAATAATGATATCATCTTCCTTTTTTTTTTTTTTTTTTTTTTATAGGTCATCCTCGATTCTTCCTTGGAACTGATTCAGCTCCTCATCCTAGTCATGTGAAAGAAACTGCTCACGCTCACGCAGGTGTATTTACCACTCCTCTCGTTCTTCCCTATTTGGCCAAGATCTTTGAAGATATAGGCTGTCTTGATAAACTTGAAAACTTTGCATGTCATTATGGTCGACAATTCTATGGATTATCACAAAAGGAAGGTTTCCAAAATCGTAAGGTGACTTTGATCAAGGAAGAAAATGTCATTGTACCATCCAACTATCAAGTATCTTCTGAAAACCCTCAAGCTGGTGCCGTGGTCCCATTTTTAGCCAACAAGGATATTGGATGGAAAATCTCCCAAAACTTTTACTAGTCAGTGTAGAATAGATATTACATTATTTAGCATAATAAACTTTTATTAGATATGATTGGTATATGATTGGGTTTGTTTTTTTTTTGACAATGGGAGATAATATATTATTTACAATGTTTTTTTTTTTTTTTTTTTTTTTTTTTTTTTTTGTAAATGCGTATTTGCTTATTTTCAATTGTGGGTTTAGTTTGAGGAACATTAGAAAGGTAACTTTTAACATGAATAATAAACAACATCAGAAAAGAATAGGACATGTATTTTGGTTTTTATTTTTAATTATATAATAATGATGATCATCAGTAAGAAAAATAATAATAAAGAATAATAATAAGCTATGTACAAAAAAAAAAATGGATAATGATGACAAAACTAGATGATCATGGTAATAATAATAATAAGAATAGATAGATAGATACAGAGAAGTAAATAAGATAAAGAAATAAGAAAAAAAGGAAGATAGTACCCAATGATTACATCATATCGATAGATTTCTTTGATTTTCGCTTGCGAAGAGTTCCATTGGCAACCTTTTCTTGACGAGTGACCCTCCTTGAACGCATTTCAGTATGACGATTTCGATAAGAATCCACAGCACGCTGAATAAGACCACGACGACCACAAAGTTGATCTTGATTCAACCAACATAGTTTCCAACCCAAAGAGTTACAATTGGTTTCATAATCCCATCGATTCCCTTCATATTTACTTCTTTCAACGTTAGCTCTTGGATAAATCTATATATGGTATATAAAAAAAGTATTTGTTAGCATTGTTTCAGTGGAAAGAAAAAGATTTCCCAGATGACACAATAAATATTTTTTTTTCAGATTCCCTTTTTTGATCACATACCGTATTCTGAGCTTTAAACACGATGGGAAGAGTACTTTCATCCACAGTTTTTACATCAGTACGTATAGTATATTCTTTCACCAATCGATCATGAGAATATAAAAAAGTAATATGTTCAATACCATTGATAGTAACTGATACAGGTTCATGAGCAGTTAAAGAAACAACGGATGCAACAGAAGGATGAGAAGAGGCACGGCGTCGATAAGGTCGATTGGTACGAGAAGGAGGATGATCAGATGCGCGTCGACGATATTTGCTTGCACCATGATTCGATATGGATGACGATGATGATGATGATAAAGATGATAATGATGGTGTTGGTGTATTTGTAAGTGGAGGAGAAGGTGAAGTAAGTATAGAAGAAGAAGAATAAGGCATAGTAGAACGAGGAGGAGTCAAATCACGAGATGGTAATAAAGAAGTCAAAAAACTCAAGTCAAAAGATGAATTTGGAGATTGGTTTGGAGGAGTAGGAGGTAATGATATACTTGATAGATTCAATACTTGTTTTTGTTCATTAATAGAAGAAGGAATCCAAGTATCCAACATATTTTGCCAGGTTTGATTGTTCAATTCATAAGTTTGTAATTCATTTAAAGTTGAAGTTGTTGGTTGTTCAGTATAAGAAGTATAAAAAGAAGACAAGTCATCAGTTCTTTCATCGCGACTAAGTGGTACTGTTGCTGTTGTATTATGTGTTGACATGTTGAAAGGTAAAGTCGTCATTGTAGAATTAAAAAAAAGGAGAGAAGAGAAACAAAAAAAAAAAAAAAGACCATGATTCTTTTTAATTTTTTTTTTTTTCTGTATGAAACCGGATGAAGTAAGAGACGGCATAAAATTTTTTTTTTCTCTCTCTTGGATGAAAAGACGGAGAGTGAATTTAAAACCTACACAATGCGTGAGGATGTGAGAGAAAATTCTTCTTAGTTTGATATACTTTGAACTATTTGTTCTAGTACTATAAAATAGATCATTCTTTAGTTAGTAATACTTTACTAATCATCATCATCATAAACGTTGGTTTAATTGTGATTTCTATTGAATATTTTTTTTTTAAAAGAAAAAAAAGAGAGAAAGAATATGACGTATTTTGATCATCATCATCATCTCACACATAAAAAAAAAAACAGACTATCATTATAATTATATTATACTATATTGTGATTTCACAATCCGAAAAGTTTTGAAGTATAAACGAAAAATGGGAATAAGGATGACAAGTGAAATCATACCACCAAGCTGTTTTTTATTCGACCCATTCAAATACCGCTCCCTTCATTCTCCTTACTTTGAAACCAAATGGTCGAAAATAGGACTAATGTTTAACCTGCACGCTGGTTTACAACATATTTCACTTTACTCATGACAAAAAAAAAAAAAAAGAATAAAAGATCATTATAGTAAAGATTCGCGTTGTTTTAAATGCTATTGTGTTTACCTATTTAATCATCTTGAGTATCATCCGTTTGTTCTCGTCAACAAAAAAAAAAAAAATCGCATAGAATGCGCGGATATGATTCATTTTCCGTAAAAGGCATTATCAATTTCTATTTACAATGATTTTTTTTTCCAGTCTACTGGAACGTCATCATCAACGACGCACTGTAGTAATGGATGATGTATGGTGATGGATGATCTGTGGCAATGAATGATCTGTGGCTGTGGATGATGGATGTCAACGACGGATGATTCCTACTCATTTATGCTATGATTCTTATGCTGGTGATGATTTTTCGCTTTTTTTTTTTTTTTTTTTAAATAACATGTTTCCATCTAATTAAATACAAAAGAATAAATGTTTATAAAAGAGAATAAATTCTTTCTGTAATAATGGCTAGTGATGATGATTCAATAAAAACTATTGTATGGACAAATCGTTACATTTAACATGATCTTGTTCCCAATGATTAGACGCACAGTTATTAAAATAAAGCTGCAGTGAATTCCCAAGCACGTTACACTGTATACCGGAGGACGAAATCTGCGAGAGGAAAAAAAAAAAAAAAAAAAGGAAACCGCACGAGTCAAACGACCGAACTTTTTCCGTATTTCCACAGCAAAATTCTTAATCTTAAATGGAAACAAAAAAAGAGATATCGATGATGTTATATTTTGCATTTCATTCTAAGAATAATAAAAAAAAATAATAACAAGTAATAAAAAATAATAATAGAATCATCACGTAATCAAAGAAAGATGGCTTAATTTTATGGCACAGTCAAAATAGAATCAATCAATCAAAAAAAAAAAAAAAAGACTTCGGTACAACATAACAAGTAGTACAAATAATTTACCCAGAATAGAATAAATATAACGCACACTCAATCTCCGTTTATTCATCCAGACATAAAACATCCTTTTTTAGAGAGTAAAAGAATGTGTTTTTATAGTAATCAGATGTTCAACGTGACGGAAAATGAAATTTGTGTATATATCTTCCATTTAAACTTTTTTTTTCTTTTTTTTCTTTTTTTGTTCCTTTTCTTTCTTTTCCTTTTATTTTTTATTTTTTTATCAACACCTTCCCTTTCCCTTACTTTCCTTTTCGTCCTTCCTTTCCTTTTTATCAATGTATTTTAAATCCATTGCTGCATCCATTGCAGTAGCTCAAACTTTGGTTAGTGCTGCTAACAGTCAAGATTATTGGAAATCATTTCAATCCGGAACTGACCCTAACAATATCACTCTCCCTAACATCAAACAAGTGACATCCAACGATCCTACTACCGAATGTACTTATTACGAAACACCTGCTCAATTCAAGTACGTTGAATCTGAATGGCCTACTATGTGGGAAACTGCTACTTCCAACGGTATGAACAAGACTGCTGAATTCACTGCATTGTACAACTCCATTCCTTGGTCATCTATGCCCAACATTCCTGTTCGTAAGGCTACTTCTGCTGGTGGTTTGGATATGACTGGTTACGATCAAAACAATGATCCCGATTGTTGGTGGTCTGCTTCTACTTGTACCAAGCCCAAGCATCCTGGTATTAACGAAGATATTTATCAATGCCCTGAACCTGATACTTGGGGTCTTACCTATGATGATGGTCCTAACTGCTCTCACAATGCTTTCTATGATTATTTGGAACAACAAAAATTGAAGGCATCCATGTTCTACATTGGTTCCAACGTCGTCAACTGGCCTTATGGTGCTATGCGTGGTATTCATGATGGTCATCATATTAGTGATCATACCTGGAGTCATCAACTTATGACTACTTTGTCTAATCAAGATGTTCTTGCTGAATTGTATTATACTCAAAAGGCTATCAAATTGGTTACTGGTGTTACTCCTCTTTACTGGCGTCCTGTAAGTTTTTTTTTTTTTTTTTTTTTTTTAATATATATTCTAATTTTTTTTTTTTTTTTTTTTGGAATAGGCCTTTGGAGATGTGGATGATCGTGTCCGATGGATTGCTACTCAATTGAACTTGACCACTATTCTCTGGAATCTTGATACTGATGATTGGGCTGCTGGAAACTCTGAACCTGTTGCTACTGTACAAAAGAACTACGATGACTTTGTCCAAATGGGAAGCAATGGTACCTTCTCCAAGAGTGGTAACATTGTATTGACTCACGAAATCGACAATATGACCATGTCCTTGGCTATCGACAACCTTCCTAAGATTCAAAAGAGTTACAAGCACGTTGTGGATGTGGCCACCTGTATGAACATCACCTATCCTTATCAAGAAAAGACCGTCAAATTCCCCTCTTTCTCTGATTATCTTGCTGGACACACTACTAACACTGCTGGTAACAACTCTTCCTCTTCTTCTTCTTCCTCTTCTTCCTCTTCATCCTCTTCTGGTTCTGGCGCTGCTTCTGGTTCCGCTTCTGGCTCTGCTTCTGCTGCTAACCAATCTGCTACTACTTCTGCTGCCATCAAGACTGTCCCTATCGGTACCTTTGCCATGGCTGTCGTTGTTGCTTTTGCTGCTGCCCTTTTCTAGATTAGAAGCTTCGATAATATTTTTTTATATAGTTTATGTACCATTATTATTTATTGATAATAAAAAAAATCATTTGTGATGCTTCTTTTATGCATGATAGGTGATACAGGATGATAGGTGATAACGCATTGGTATGTGAATGATGGATGATTTCTATCTTGATGATTCCTCCGATGATGATTGCTGATACTGGTTGATGTGATATCTAATACTCATGAAACTTTATTTTCCTCATTGGTAAACTGTACCATAAATCATTTCATTTGCATGGAACCCAAAAAAAAAAAAAAATAAAAAAAAAAATAAAAAATAAAAAATAAAAAAAAAAAAATCAAACTAACCAATCAAACCATTGGATAATATCTGAAGGTATTTTGCTGCTGTTTATGCACCTTGATGATCAACTTCAACTATAGTAATAGTATAGTCACTTTGGTTTTCGTGAGTGGTAAAGTATACATATTCTTTACCATTCTCTGTTTTTAATATATTTTGGTATCCGCTTTCCTGGATCTGCTTACTGCAAATCTCCTGACATTTCCTTGTTTCCATAAAATCCCCGCCACTTACTTATCATCATCTATTATAATAATAATAATAATAATAATGATGATGATGATGATGATAATATCGTTTTTATCGATTTTGGATTGATGTTTCTATTTCCTTTCATGGAGCTTATTATTGATTGGTCAAGACATAAAGAGAGAGAGAGAGAGAGAGAGGGACAAAAGATGTGTATCTTAAAAAAAGAAAAAAAGAGATCGTTGATGATTGTCCTGAATCGAATGAAAAAAGGGTTCGCAACTTTAAATTGATATTTCGTTCATTCTTGACCAACGATTTTTCATCGTGCTGTTACTGTTACCAAATGTGTGGTTAACTGATCTTGAAAGTAAAAAATAATCATTGACGGAAGTTCAACAGTCACCCCAAAACAGGAAGGCCAACTTTCACACTCTTTTTTTCCCTCTTTCCTCTTTTTTTTTTTTTTTTTTTTTTTTTTTTTTTTTTTGAATAAAATCTACTCGCCATTCTATTTGTTTACGCACTTTTACGTCGTTAGGCTTACCTTCATTCTATCTTTGTCCCTTCCTATTTTCTTTATCTATTTTTTTTTTGTTTTGTTCTCATCTATCGTTATCTAGTTCCAAACGGCCATGAAGGTACCAAAAGAAAAAGGGATTTTTTGCGGGATATTTTATTCTCATTTTTAAACCATTTCTTTTTGTATAGTTTGGCAAACACATACAAAGTCAACAACTGACAGAATGGAGTTCTCACTATTTGAATTACAAAGGTCTTAAGAAGTTTATCAGCAAACTTCTCAACATGTCTTCCGATGAACTGGCTAAAGCTGGGTTATTGACAGGTGCTGCTCCAGAAGAAGATCGTGCCAAACTATTACAGTCTCAAAAAGCGGCTTTTTTCTTCAAACTAGAACGCGAACTGGAAAAGGTAATCATATCAAGAATATACAAAAACCATTTGAAAGTAATAACAAAATAACACAATATATATTTTATGCATTGACTCAATATAGATCAACTCCTTCTACCTCCAAAAAGAAAATGAACTCAAAATACGGTTACGGACTCTCATCGACAAGAAAAAGATCCTACAAAGTGATACAAGACGACTTAAACATGCTTATACCCTATTGAATGCTATTCAAGAAGCCTTTATTCAATTTGAACAAGAATTGAACAAAATCCAGGTAAACATCTTTGAAAAAATACAAATATTTATACATGTCGTTGTTAATTCTTTTTTTTTTTTTTTTTTTTTAAAAAAAAAAAATATAGAAATACGTTGAACTCAATAATGAAGGCTTTCGAAAAATCTTAAAGAAATGGGACAAGCGATCAAAATCTTCTACCAAAGAACTTTACCTATCCCGACAAATCGATATTCAACCTTGTTTCAACACTCAATTTTTATGTGAACTTGCCGATCTCGCTTCTGCAAATCGAATTGAACTCTCAGATATTCAAGCCGGTATTTCTGTCAACAACGATGATTCTTCTTCTTCTTCCTCAAACGTCAACTCTTCAGCACCTAAAGATGGAATTGATTTATCTGTAGCAACTTCCCAAAAAGCCGATGTCATGGATGATATGGAATTAGAATTGGTCAAAGCGGTTTCTAACAATCAAGGCTCTCTGGTACGCGAAATTCTTGATCGTGCTGTACAACATCCAACTTCTGACGATCGAGATCGACTTTCACGAGTATTTTGGCATGCATGTTCTGAAGGATCTGATGAAATTGTGACCATGTTTATCAACACCAACCTCATCAACTATGAATATGTAGATGATATCAATGAACGATCTTGTCTTCATGTGGCTGCTATGTCTGGACGAAAGGAATTATTAGCATCATGTACGGAACGTGGCGCAAAAGTGAGGGCAACAGATGTATATGGACGAACGGCTTTACATTATGCGACAATGAATGGATTTAGCGATTGTGTTTCCTACCTATTAATGCAGGATGCTGATATTGAATCTCGGGATCATGATGGATTCAGTCCTCTGATATATGCTATTGTTGATGGCCATACTCCCTGTGTTGCTATCTTACTGGACGCTGGTGCGAATATTGAACCAAGTTACGAAGGTGATCACATTCCGTTGTCTTTGGCTTGTCATTGTGGACGTATCGATATTGCTCTTATGCTTTACCACCGAGGTGCCAAAAATTTACCAAATGCTGAAACATTATATCCTCTTCATATTGTCGCTCGTCAAGGTCATGAAGAATTATGTCGGTTGTTATCTCGTCATCCTGCGGATGTGGATGTTCCAGACAAGTACAATTCATGGACTCCTTTGTTTTGGGCTGCCAGTGATGGTCATGAAGAATGTGTTCGGATACTAATTGATGCTGGTGCAAATGTGAATATCAAGGATGAAAATGGAAAAACCGCTTTGTATTATGCTGCCTGGGAAGGTTATATGGATATTGTACAAGTCTTGATCGATGCTGGTTGTAAAACTGAATTAGAACAACAACAAACTGGTCTTGATCATACCACACAACCTCCTCCTTCTATATCACTATCATCATCTCAACAAGCACAACAACCTGTTTCTACTTTGGCTACAACGACGGCAACAACAACAACAACATCAGCATCAACCAATGATGATAATGCCGTGTTAGATGCTGATACTGAATTGGATACTATTCCTTCACTCTCATTACCACCACCAATCATTCCTTTTCGTATCTATGGTCACAATTATTTGGATCGAAAGTATCAAGTACAAATATGTTTACGACAACCACCTATTCGATTGTTTGATAATACTCAAATCTCATCTCTTAAATTGATTATATCGTCTAATCCTGATACTGGTATGATCCCTCATAGTGTCATATTACCATTGGCAGATGATCGGGAAATATTTAGTTTCCAGATCGACAAGTTGGATGAATTTTTCTTGGAATTTGATATCTTTGCTACGTTTGGTTCAAAGGTGCTTGGACGTGGTGTGGCTCTTCCTTTGACTTTCAACTCGGTGGACTTTAAGATTCCAGAGTGTCACTGTACGATTCCTCTTTTGGATAGTCATCTTAAGGTGATTGGTGAACTTGCATACGATTATTCTGTGGTCAAGCCCTTCCGAGGTGTACAATTGGAGATAGGTGGAAGGATTGAAACTTATTGGAAATCAACAAACACAGTATTACCATCATCATCTGCCACTCATTCGGAACGTGCCACTCCTGAACCCGTTTCTTCATCGACTCCAACTTCTTCTTCCATGACAGCAATGACAAGCTCAATGGGATCTACGGTGGGTGATATTACGTCTGCTATTACTGCGACAACAACATCTTCTTCGTCATCCGGTCTTGCTTCCTTTATCACTGCCTCGTCGTTATCGGGTGATTATATCCGTGTGGTGATCCAATTGACCAAAGATTTTGTCCCTGTCGTTTATGCCAATTGGTTGATTGAATATGAAGGTCTTTCTTTGGCTATATCCGATTTATCTTATCAGCAATTCCTTCAATTGGGAACCAAGTTATTCCAACAACACAAGTCTAATGATCACAACTCGTATGACATTTGTCCTCTTACTGGAAATAGTATGATGATCGAAAACTTGAATCAAAATGAACATCGATCTTTCTTATCATTGGAACAAGTGTTAAAGGTAATCATCCTATTGCTATACTAAGAAAAATATAACATTTCCGTATTTATATATACTTTTTTTTTTTTTTTTTTTTTTTTTTAGACTTTGCCTTCATCTATGGGTATCCATTTGGAATTGAAATATCCTTCAGTAACAGATTTGGATCTACATTCCTTTTGTGCTATTGCTGACAGAAATACATTTGTTGATACCATTCTACAATGTATTTATGATCATGTACGATCATTACCACCTCATGCGCCTAATGTTCGAATCTTTTTCTCATCCTTCAATGCTGCTATTTGTACTGTGATCAACTGGAAACAACCCAATTGTAAGTTAAAAAAAAAGAAAATTGTTTGTATATCATTGTTCGCTGATCTTTTTTTTTTTTTTTTTTTTGATTTCATTCTTAGATGCTGTGTTTTACAATACTTGTTGCGGGCTCAATAAGTCTAATGTGCGACGTGGTGTCAAACGAAAACTTGGTCAAGATGAACATATATCAAATCCTTCTCGTTCGTTGGCGGCACAACAAGAGCAACTCATATCTGGTACATCATTGAAGGAAGCCGTTAAATTTGCAAAACGAAACAACTTGCTTGGTATCATTTGTGAAGCCACTCCTTTGGTAAGATGAACAAATATATATATATATATATCAATGTATATTTAATTATTTATGTTATATCTAATAGGTCCAAGTACCTTCGTTGATTAAGAATATCAAAGAAAGTGGACTGATATTGGTTACATCTGGGCAATTCAATCAAGAAGAAGAGTATCAAAGTATTCAAGAACGTTATGGTGTGGATGCTATGATGATCAATCAAGTAGTTCACTTCAATACTACCATGGCTGGGGCTGGTTTTTAGAGAAGAGAAATATCCTGTTTATCTATCCTTTATATTTTTTTTTTTTTACTATTTTACTCTTTCGATCTGTAATTTTAGAACATCCCCTTTCCATCTTATTTTTTTTTTTTTTTTATTTTTATGTTGGTTGTTTTCTCTGATTTTATTTCCCCTTTTCTGCCCCCTTTTTTTTTTAGTTACTGTTGATCATCTTATTCAATTTTTTTTTTTTTTTTTTGCACACTCACAATTACAAATTAGTCACTATTCCCTTTTCTTGTTTCCATTACATCATTAAAAATAAACTATAGGGGATTATTCTCATAGCTGTACATTCTAGTGAATAATGCATGATGATTCTGTGTATTTCTAGGGGCTCCAATAAATGACCACTCAAGATGACTTTTATTTTTTGTGTTAACAGTCCCCAGAACAATTAGCATATACATTCCTTCTCATCATATGAAATAACTGAAGACAAACATTGATCATGTACTTATATTTTATTTGGCAACATCGCAAACATATGAAGACAATAATATATAAATAATAATGACTTTGATACAGTATTTTTCTTTTTTCTTTATTAAAAAATCGTCATGCTAAAGAATAATAATAAAAGAAAAAAGTATTTATGTGTGTATGTGTGCGTGTATGTGTGATGGGAGGGCGGATGTTGACGAAGGGAATGGACGAATTAACTCTAATCAAAGAAACTGTTTAAACAACGGTACCGGAAGCAGAGGCAATACGAGGCCACAAGTCAGCACATTCCTTGGCAACAGGACCAGTAATAGCAGAGCCCTTCATTTCACCCTTGGGGTTGACAATGACACCAGCGTTATCTTCAAAGTAAAGGAAGACACCATCACGACGACGCCAGGCCTTACGTTGACGGATAACAACAGCAGGCATGACTAGAATAATAAAGTAATGAAAAAGGAATATATAATAACAGTCGAAATAGTATTTGTTGAAGAGAAAATGGCCGAGTTGTTGTATTATATATATATGTAAAGAAAAAAAAAGAGATAAGTATGTTTGTGTATACATAAATGTATCTAAATGGATATAAAAAAAAAAAATAAACTTACCCTTCTTTCGCAATTCAGGTTTACCCTTCTTGACGGAAGCAACAACCATATCACCAGCACCGGCGGCAGGAAGTCTATTCAAACGACCCTTGATGTTACGGACAGCAATAACGTACAAGTTCTTAGCACCAGAGTTGTCAGCGCAATTCATGACAGCACCCACGGGTAAACCGAGAGTCATACGGTACTTTGTTCCGGAAATGCTAACTATAATAATTAAAAGTGTGTTAATATATAATGTTCTAAACAAAATTCTTCTAAACCGATCATCGTCTTCATCCATCCATCCATCATTTTTTTTGTTCTAATCGTTTTTCTATCGTTTTCCATCTTCTTCTTCTTCAATAGACATAATCTAAAATGATGGATGATGGTGATTTCATATCTTTGCTTATCGTTTACCTTTAGGCATCTTGAATTGGATTAAGTGAGAGAGGAGGTGAATATCTCATTTCGACTTTTTTTTTTTTAACCGGACACACTGTACTGAGTTTAAATGTTCTTCCCCTTTTGAATTATTCCATGCGGGAAACCCTTTCTCTCTCTCTTTTTTTTTTTTGTTTTTTTTCCTTCAACCATTTTGGATATGGAGTCATCAGAATCTCTTGATTTGACCACTTTTTTTGAGTATGTATATATATCAATATGGATACATGCTTTGTGTAATAATTTTGCCAACTCACATATATTTGTTTTTTATGCATTCTATAGTGAAGTCACGACTTTGAAAACTTTACCTCTAACTCTAGTAGAATGGCAACGAGAATACAATGAAAGGTTAGGATTATCTGTCAACACAAGTGGAGATGATAATGCTGCGAATTTACCTTTACATCCTGTCACTCTTGAAAACGAATTGAAGACCTATATGGTTAGTATATTATAAAATTATAATAGATCTTACGCGTATAAGAGATAAAACTTTTAGTCAAGTATAACTTATAGTTGGTTAACTTATTTTTATCTTTTTTTTTTTTATTGTTGTTATTAGGACTTTATTGATAAAATCAAGACGAGTTATCTTTTGTTGGAAGCCAAGTCTCGGTTTTTGTCCAGTATTCTTCAAGATCCTCCAAAACAACTAGAACCCAATGAAGTACAGCGATTAGGTAGTTTATATTCGATATCACAAAAGTTGAAGAATAGCAGAATGTACTTATTATATTATTGTTCTACATTCAATAGTTGACTCAAATATCATTCTATTAGAAGAGTTTACTGGTCTACAAAACCATTCCCAGAAATTGAAACGGGATATAGCCAAGTTGAATTTCACTAATGAAAAAGGTATTTTTTTTTCTTATTATTATTAATATTGTTTATTCACTTTTGATTATATAGGACGTCAATTATTGAACAATCGAATAGAAGAAGTGACCAAAATCATGGATGATATTCATGAACAGGTAAATTATGGAAAGGAAAATGAAAACATCTCATTTCTTAAGATTCACATTGATTTAGAAAGCAGAATTGACTCGATTACAAGCTGTCAATAATCGACATGCAACAACAAGAACGCCAGAGGAAGCAAGAGCCATATTGGATCAGCAGACGAAAGAGATGGCAGAAATTAATAAAACAATGGATATAAAACGTGACGCTGTGGCAGAACTGGAATGGCGAATCGATGATGAAATGCAAGAAATCAATATGTTGGAATCAAAATTACGACAAGTAGAAGCCCAAGCTAAAGAAGCAGTGGAGAAAAGTGAACAAAGGGATTTGCCTGCTGAAGAACAAGGCTTATGGTAAAAAAAAAAAAAAAAAAAATACATGGAGCGATTAAACTTATACTATTCTTCAATGAATTGATCTAGGTACATTCAAATGACTACATTATGTAATAGTATGTTTGGTATTAGCAAGGCAAACTTTGATATCAATTTGATTCAAGTGGATTATTCAACCAATGATCAATTATCAATCGAATTGGATCCTATCAATGAAGTGATAACTGAAATATCGGTATGAAAAAAAAAAAAAAAACAAAAAAAAAAAAACAAGGATACCATAATTTTATTACTAACTCTTTTGACCCTTTTTTTTTTTTTGATGCATATGTATTTAGTTGAACAATGAAGATATCGATATTACTGATTTGAAGAAGATGGGAAATGGACGTCATATCAAGGACGTTGGATCAACTATTGTACTGGAAACCTTGGCAAGAGTGAAACAAATATAGAATCAATCAAACATAGTAGTTTTTCTTTTTATACACAAAGATATATATATGTAATATATCTATATTCTATATTTACCATACCACACACCTTATTCAGCTTCTCTTTGTATTTCTTTTCTTTTTCTTTTTATTATTCATCTTTGTATTATTATTCTTCATCTATTCATTCTATTTTACAATAAACATATAATATGTCTTTTTTTTTTTTTTTTAACATCATCTACAAACAGATCATTTGTTTTTACCAAATACGTAATGTCAATATCATACAGTTCTATAGGACTATAATCCTTTATCATCCATCCAATCTCTTCATTTCCTTCTAATGCATTGATATACTGAGAAATATAAGATGCTATATGATCGAGATGATTTTAGTACAAGGCTTTCTATACAATCAGGACTCCAAGTCAATATATAAAGTAGAAAATATTTATTAAAAAAAAAAGATAGCCACTTCCGAACTACTATAAAAAAAAAAAAAGAAAAAACTATACTATATAAAGAGGATGGAATAGAGGAAGATTCTATTATTAATGATTCATATATAGTGGTCCATATATATATAATAAACAGTTTGTTTTTTTTTATTATCTTTTTTCTTATAAAACAAACAAATATAAATAGTGTAATATAGTGTGATGTAATGAGTATAAAATAAGAAGAAGAAAAAAAAAAAGAATAGAAAATGGATGGTAAAAAACAATAGGGAATGAATGCTTTCTATCATAAAGGCATCATGTTGTTGTAATTCTGAGGCTGATTCGGTCGACCACTACCTTGACGTTGTTCTTGTTGCATTTGCATCTGTAACTGTATTTGCATTTGTTGTTGTTGTTGTTGTTGGAATCGCATATAATTTTGATGTTGCTGATGATTCATAAACATAGGAGGTTGTCCCATACCGGGTCGCATAATACCATTTGCTGTTGAGTTGGGTACTGATCCTTGTCCTTGAGCTGCTGCCGCTGCCGCTGTTGCTGCTGCCGCTGCTGCTGCTGCCATTTGTTGTTGTACCTGTGCTGGTGTCATACCGACATTAGAATGATGCATGTTGATATTCCCACCTTGTCCATCGCCACCTCTACCAAACCCTAAACCATGTATGTCGTATTGTTGATGTCCATCTCGTTTAGCTAATTCCTGTCGCACAGCTAATATCTTACTTTGCAATGCTAATTGATCTTGATTCAATTGATGTCGTTCCTTCTCCAGTAACCGCCGTTCTTCTTCAAGTAAAACCTCCTTTTCTTCATACCGTCGAGTTTGAGCTTGGAATTGTCGTAACTTGTTGCCAATCAATCCATATAGTAAATCTCTGAGTTCCTTTTCAAGATCATCCTTTTGTTCTATTGACTGTTCTTGCTTGTCCAATGGTTTGTCGGTATCTTCAATAAAATCAGGAGAGCCATTGGCAGCAGCTGCAGCAACTTTTGGTTTCACAGTAGAGGCTAAAAATGCTACAGTGGATAACACAGGATGACAACTATCTTGAGATCGATCGAATTGTAATAAACCTAGTTGGGAAACTTCGGTATCAACATATGGATTTTCCGTCGGTAGCTGAAGATACTGTAATAGACATTGATCACGGGTTCGCGTCTTGACATGATCAGATATTTTGTTCCAATCATCATGGTACTTTTCCAGTCCTTCTTGTAGCAATGTCTTTTCTTCGTCAGTCCATAACTTTTGTTTGTTATCAGATGTTGATTGTGTTGTTGGTGGTGATGATGGAGGTGATGATACTGGAGATGATGGTGATGGCGTTGATGGATGGATTTGCTTGATGAATTGAGAAGGCCTTAGATCCCATGCATATTTTCCGTCGAGATAACATGATTCACATAATTGTACGTCTTTTCGTTGAGTGCTTTGATACCTGATGTCCATATTATGAGATTCGCATGTAGCACAAGTGGTACCGGATATCTGTTGAATAGAATCCTTGTCATCTTCTTTTTGCATGTCGATATCCCCATCGCTGTCTTTTTTGATATTTAGCTGTTCTGTCTTGATATCTTGTTCCATATCTTCATCATTGATTTGTTTCGGTAGTTCTTGCACAGTTGGTGATGTATATTGTTCATGGATAATTTTTAGTTGTTCCGTTTCAGGGATTCCGTATACAGATGACTTGGTATTTGCTTCCACTTGGTAATTGATCAATCCCCATTGTTCCAAAAATGAGTGAACTCGAATAATAGCACATACATCCCCCATCAGATTTCGACGGCATGCTGTGATTGTAAGGTATTCTACTGGATTGATGCGATAGCTATTTACCATAAAATCACGATAATTTTTGTATGTCGTTGGTGTTTTCCATTTGCTTTTACTGTTGAAGAATTCTGGCAGACTGTTTCGTTCGATATCATTCACCTTATGTAGTTCAAACCACGCAGCATAAGACGGTATGACAATTTCGTGACCTTGGATAGATTGATAACGGATATCGTTTCGTTCAGTTATTATATCACCAGTCTTGACCCCATGAGAAATAAGTTCCTCTTTTTGTTGTTTGTCTTGTGGTTGTTGTTGTTGTTCTTGTTGACTACTGATCGAAGCTGTTAACGGGTTTTCCGAATCATCCTTTGTATGCTGCTGAGGTTGCTGTTCGTCGTTCATTTCCTTTAAATCTGATCCCGCTTGTTCATTAGATGGTTTGACTTTCTTGGAAGGGTTTTCGTCGTCAGTATCTGCGTTGCCTTCTTTGATAGAACGTTTGAGATTCGAAGTTGTGATAGATGCTTCTGATTTGTTGACAGAATAATGATAATCGATAGGATTCATCCATTCATTGTATGTGTAAGAATCTTTTATCCATGAAACCTTCAGGCGGTATGGTTGCTGTTGTAATGTTGAATCCAGAGAAAGAGCCATATCATCGTTGTATTCATTTTCATTCACCCACGTATCGTAAGAGCTTGGTAGTCCAATATAGTGTAATAGTACTTTTCCTGCAAGTTTTTCTTCCACCGAAAAGGGTCGTGGTTGACTGTCATCGAATAAAGGATCCTCATTGTTGTATATAATATGAGTGGCACCAGTCAAATCGTCAACGACGTAACCTAAAAAAAAAAAAAAAAAAAAAAGAAGGTATCGAAATCAGTCATTGTACTTTTAAAAAATAAAATAAAATAACAAGTCCTACAAACGATCTAATATTTTACCTTCCATGTTCATCACCATAGACGTGAGATTGTTTTTCATATCTGTAGGAATGCCAGCATCAAAGCCAATCATAGGTAGTGCTTCCATAACACCAGAGTCAACAAGCCGTTTCCGAATGTACTTCAATAGTTCAAAGTAAACTTCCTTTTCATCAGGTGATTCGAATTGCCAATCGCTGGTATCCTTATCAGAGAGAAATGAATATGCTGCCAACAAGATGACGTAAAGTGGGGAGCCTTTGCGAAGTGATTCGACTCGAAATAAAGAGGAGGGTATACGAACAGGGTGAGAAGTTGAATTTATTGTTCTTCCATTAGTGGTGTTGTCGTTGTTGTTGTTGTTGTTGTTGGTTTGTCGAAGTAGAGCTATGGCCTGTTTTCCGAGAGCATCTTGTTGAAATTGTTGAAAACGACCAACAAAGTAAGCTAGTTCAGGTGCAGTAAAAGTAGCATCAGTATTACCTTCTGCCCCCAGGTCTTGTCGTAGGTCTTCCAAAATGGCATCAAAGTATGAAATAGTACTTGGTTGTTGATAAAAGTTCAAATCGACCACAGGTTTGGGAGAGTTCATTGTAAGTGTATCTGTGTCTTTGAGTTTGGTCAGTAAAGGGAATCAGAACAAAAGTAAAAGGTAGATATAATATAAAGAAGAAAGGAGTAGAAAAGTAAAAAAAAAAAAAAGAAAGGATTGGTGGTACAGTAAATAATAGTATAGATGTATGAATATAGTAAATCAATAATAGTTCGAAGTAAATCGTCTAATCGATTATAAAACGCGAAGATGAACAATGAATAAGACAGTGAAAGTGAAAAAAAAAAAAAAAAATAGGAGTGATGGAGAAAAAAAAAAACATCGAAAGCCGGTTTTGATTGGCACAAGTTTTGAATGATAGTATTCTTTCTCCGCTTGCGGCCACTTCACTTATTTTTTCCCCCCTTGGGTCCCTTTCTCTGACCTTTATGCTTCTTTTCCAGTGTTCCTTTTTTCATTCTATTTCATCTATTCCACAAAGATGAGGTTAAACATTCTTTGTTTCCTTATATTATTATATTTTACTATTTGTAATGGTGATGAACATAATCATATTGTAAGTCATATTTTAAAAAGAATTATCTTTTACAATCAAATTTACCATCTTTTTTTTTTTCTTTTCTTTTTTTATACCAGTATAAGAAAGGTGAGGAAGTAGTGGTATGGATGAATACAGTTGGTCCGTTGTATAATCGACAAGAAACATACCCTTATTACCAGTTACCTTTTTGTCATGGTGATAATCCTGTCGAACATCATCATGAAACTTTAGGCGAAGCATTACAAGGAATGGATTTGATAAACTCTGGGATTCCTATGAAATATCTTGGTAAGTTATTAGTTGTAAAACAATGATATATATATATATATAATATTAACCATGATTTGATGTTACATAGTTCCTGTTGATAACCAAGTCTTTTGCAAACAAGTTTTGCGACACGATGATATTGGATTACTTAAATATGCAGTTCAAGGTCAATATTGGTACACTATGTTTGTTGGTAAAGAAAAGAAAGAAAAAAAAAGAAGAAGAAAAAAGTGAAGTGATTGATCATCCATATTCTTTCTTGTTTACTTTAGATGATCTACCGATCAGTGGCTTTGTTGGTATGATTGAAAACCCGGAAGACCCTGAAAATATACAATACTATCTTCATACACACAAGGAATTCATTATCGAATACAATCAGGATAGGGTAAGCGAATAGGAAAAGTAGAATAGAAAGATAGTTAGAAGATATTTAGGATAAGCAAAAGAAACTGATGAATATTTCTATTTATTTTCTTTCCTTTCCTTCCTATTAGATTATTGCCGTGATGCTGCGACCAGGTGATAACCCTATTCTTCTTGATAGCAAGCAACCAACTATAGAAATCGAATTTACCTACTCTGTAGAATGGCAACCTACCGCTATTAAGTTTGAAGATCGATTTACAAGGTTACTGGAGTCTGATTTCTTTGAACATCAAGTACATTGGCTCTCTATATTCAGTTCATTTATGATGGTACTTTTTTTGACAGGTCTTGTGTCTGTGATTTTACTCCGGACAATCAAGAATGATTATGCAAGATATGATAGAGAAGAAGCCACAGCTGACTTTGTAAGTAAAAAATGTGAATGACTTTATTGATTATACTTATCTTTCGGTTTTTGTATGCATATTAGGATAGAGATTTTGGAGATGATTGGGGTTGGAAACAAGTTCATGGCGATGTGTTCCGTCAACCTGATCGACTTATGTTACTATCAGCTTTTATGGGCACAGGAAATCAATTGGTTATTCTATCTGCTGTGGTGATTATCTATGCAATGCTTGGTGATTTATATGTGGAAAGAGCAACTATATTGACAGCAACTATCTTTTTGTATGCACTTACATCGGCGGTAGCTGGTTATACTAGTGCTCGATATTATACTCATTATGGAGGTACAACGAAAAAAAAAAAAAAAATAGCATATAACTAGACCCTGACTTTTCTCTTCTTTCTATAGGCAAAGATTGGGTCCGAAATATTCTTCTCACTGCCGGTGTATGGCCTGGTGCTGTTGCTTGTATTGGTGGTTATATCAATACTATTGCCATTTTTTATTCTAGTTCGAAAGCAATTCCATTTCCCGTGATGGTAAGCAAAGATAGTAAAAAAAAAAAAAAAAAAAAAAAAAGCAGTATGCTTATTAATATATCTTTTCTTTTTCTTGGGGGGTTAGATTGCGATTCTTGCTATCTGGTTATTCTTATGTTTTCCTCTTACACTTCTTGGAGCTATCATTGGTCGTAATTGGGGTTCCAAGCGTATTGACTTTCCTTGTCGAGTGAATCCTATCCCTCGTCCTATTCCTGAAAAACAATGGTATTTGGAGCCCTCTTCCATTATGATTTTTGGTGGTGTTCTTCCCTTTGCATCGATCTTTATTGAAATATACTTTATATTTACCTCTTTTTGGACGTACAGAATCTATTATGTATATGGATTTATGTTCCTAGTATTCCTTATCTTGTTGATTGTATGTGCCTGCGTCTCTATTGTCAGTACTTACTTTCTTCTCAACTCTGAAGATCATCGATGGTAAGAATGATGTTGATAATGAAATCATCTAAACAATAATTCAACCTCTCTTTATTTAATAGGCATTGGGTTAGTTTTTGGACGTGTGCTTCGACGGCTGGTTATGTATACGCTTATTCGGTCTATTATTTTTTCTATAAAACAAAGTAAGTACCCGGTTATTCTATTTGTAATATGATTTTTTTTTTTTTTTTTTGTGATTCAATTTTTTTTTCGCTATTATTATTCTAGGATGACTGGATTGTTCCAAACAAGTTTCTATTTTGGATACACTGCTTTGTTCTCTCTGGGTCTCTTTTTCATGTTGGGATCCGTTGGTCACTTTTCAGCTAGTTTATTTGTTCGAAGGATATACCAAAATGTCAAAATCGATTAGTCTAGTGTTGTATTATTGTTTTTCTTTCTTTATATATTATTAATAAAACAAAATCATTGAAAATGCTGATATTTCAAGACATACTTTTTGAATCACCTTTTAAATCATGCCATATATTATCGATTTAGGTATGGTATCACTCAATCATCTAATATCATCCAATCATATAAGATATTATTTTATTATTCATCATCGATCAGCCAACTCCTTCATTACTCAATCATCATCATCATCATTATCATCATCATCAAATACACTTATTGTCTTCCACATAGAACCATCAAAGTTAACATTCCATACCTGGGAAACCATCAACAGGGAAATGCTGTGCCAATCTAAGCCCCTGGCGTGAGGTTTTCTGGCCTGTGGTTGAATCTCCGATGCCATTTACACTCACATCGATTTGATACGATTAGAAAAAACATGACGTTACGTTGTTCAACTTTAAGGAGCGAAGTTTGCACGAATTTCTTCTGCGGTTTTTTCTTTCTCGTTCTTTCCTTTTCCTTTTCTTTTTCTTTTTCTTTTTTTCTTTTTTCTTCTTTTTCTTATTCTTATTATATCAATAATATAAACAAGAAAATGTCTAGTATGAATATCGACAACGAACATTCTATCGATGAAGGCTTGTATTCTCGTCAATTGTACGTTATTTTATTGAACCAACTTTTTAATGCATCTCCTCAAAATTGAACTTCAAAGGTACTCACTCTACGCTTGACTATTTATTTTATCACTGATAGATACGTTTTGGGTCACGAAGCCATGAAGAAAATGAGCGTTGCTCACGTACTTATCATTGGTTTGAAGGGACTTGGTGTGGAAATCGGTAAAGTATTTTCAGAAAAAAAGAAAAAGGAAAAAAAAAAAAAACATTATCCATAACAGCTTAACTAATCTGTTCTAATAGCCAAAAACGTTATTCTTGCTGGTGTTAAAAGCGTTACTCTTTATGATCCTGAAGCTGCACAATTATCTGATTTATCAGCACAAGTATGAAATATTGTATATATACAGGATATCTATCTAACGTTATTCTATTTTGGCATCTTTTAGTTTTATCTTCGACCAGAAGATGTGGGAAAATCTCGCGCCCAAGTCTCTCAAGCACGTTTGGCTGAACTTAATCAATATGTACCTGTCCATGTTATTGAAGGTGAATTGACTGAACAAGTCCTCAAGAACTACAAGACTGTTGTCGTCACTGAACTTACACTTTCGAAGCAACTTCAACTGTCCGATATTTGTCACGCAAACAACATTCATTTCTTATCTACTGAAGTCCGTGGTCTCTTTGGGTAAAACTGATATACAAGATGAATGAAATCATTCATGTGAATTAATATCCTTTTTTCTTTTTTTTTCTTGTATTTTTATTTAGTCGTATCTTTAACGATTTTGGTAAGCAATTTGAAGTGATTGATGCTACTGGTGAAGAACCTTTGACTGGTATGGTTGCTGCCATTACAAAGGTAAGATAACTTATAATATATGTCTGTATATTATTTAGTGATTCTAAAGTTATATATTTATCATGACCATATCGAATATATAGGATGCTGAAGGTGTAGTTACTTGTCTTGATGAAACTCGTCATGGATTGGAAGATGGGGATTATGTTACTTTCGAAGAAATTCAAGGAATGACGGAATTGAATGCATCAAAGGCACGCAAGATCAAGGTGTTAGGTAAAAATGAATCATCAAATAGAGGTGGTAACGTATATTGTGGTGCTGACTTAACTTTTCAAATATATTAGGTCCTTATACTTTCAGCATTGGTGATACTACTGGATTATCTGATTATATCAGAGGTGGTGTGTTTACGCAAGTCAAATTACCAAAGTATGTCGACTTTTTATCTTTCCGTGAATCTATTGCCAAACCTGAATACCTAGTATCTGATTTTGCCAAATTCGATCGTCCTGCTCAATTACATGTTGGATTCCAAGCTCTTCATCAATTTATTGAACAAAACAACCGATTTCCCAAACCAAGAAACGAACAAGATGCAATCAAAGTGGTTGAATTCGCTAAAGCATTGGCGACTACATTGGATGACAGTCTGGAGGTAGATGATAAATTGATCAAGGAACTTGCTTATCAATCTTCTGGTGAAATTTCTCCCATGGTGGCTGTTTATGGTGGTCTAGCTGCTCAAGAAGTGTTGAAATCCGTTAGTGGAAAATTCAATCCTATTTTCCAACATATGTACTTTGATGCCTTGGAAGCTTTACCCAAAAACTCTAACTTGACTGAAGAACTATGTGCTCCTGTAAGTTGAAAGAAAAGAAATGATTGAAGTTTACTCATCACTTATATCTTAATTAATAGATTGGATCTCGTTATGATGGACAAATTGCGGTGTTTGGTCGTGAATTCCAAGAAAAAATCGCAAATACAAATGAATTCTTAGTTGGTGCTGGTGCTATTGGTTGTGAGATGTTGAAGAACTGGGCTATGATGGGTTTAGGGGTTGGTCCTCAAGGTCGTATTACTATTACTGATATGGATACTATCGAAAAGAGTAATTTGAATAGACAATTCTTGTTTAGACCCGCTGATGTTGGTGTAAGTTAGGAATTGAATATATTAAAAAGGACAACTCATTGACATTTTATCATTTATATAGAAATTGAAATCGGAATCTGCTGCTGTTGCTGTATCCAAGATGAATCCAGATTTGTCTGGAAAGATTGATGTACATCAAGAACGTGTTGGTCCGGAAACTGAAAGTAAATAGAAAATAATACATATGATTGAAAAAGAAAGATTTATTGGGTATTCACCTTGTTATTACTATTTAGATATTTATAATGATGACTTTTTCGAGAAACTTTCTGGTGTTACCAATGCCCTTGATAATGTTGAAGCTCGTAAATAATGAAGATTTTTTTTTTTATTCTTTCTTAAATCACAAAACTCATTTTTATTTTATTTTCTGATACTAGGAAAATATATGGACAGACGTTGTGTTTACTATCGCAAACCCTTACTAGAGTCTGGTACTTTGGGAACAAAGGGCAATACTCAAGTGGTGCTTCCTTATCTTACTGAATCCTATTCCTCATCGCAAGATCCTCCCGAAAAGGCCATTCCTATCTGTACCCTTAAGAACTTCCCTAATGCCATTGAACACACCATTCAGGTAAAAGAAAAAAAATATAATAAAAGAGATGGCTTTTTCATCATGTCTTTTTTTTTTTTTTAACAATTATCTTCTTTGAAATATGTAGTGGGCTCGTGACTTGTTCGAAGGTTATTTCAAGCAACCTGCTGATAATGTCAATCTCTATTTGGCAGAACCCAATTTTGTTGAAACTACTCAAAAGCAAGGTGGTAGTCAAAAGGAAACTTTGGAATCGGTATACAACTTTTTGGTCAATGAAAAGCCTCTCTCCTTCGTTGAATGTATTGCCTGGGCTAGACTCAAGTTTGAAGAAGTATATAGCAACAATATCAAACAATTATTATTCAACTTCCCTATAGATGCTGTGACATCTACTGGTCAACCTTTCTGGTCTGGACCCAAACGTGTACCTGAACCTATTCAATTTGATCCTGACAATGTAAGTTGCAAAAAAAAAAAAAAAATAGTCGAGAAGGTCATGATAGTAGATTCATCAACAAGGGTTAACACATAATGTATTTAGGCTACCCATATGGATTTCGTTGTTTATGCTGCCAATCTACATGCATTCAACTATGGCATGAAAGGTGAAACTGATCGTAATTTATTCCGTCGTGAATTGACCAAGATTCTTGTTCCCGAATTCAAACCAAAGGAAGGTGTCAAGATTCAAGTACATGAAAATGAAACAGTTGACAACAGTAGCTCCGGTAAGAACCTAATAAGGATGAAAAAAAAAAAAAAAACAAATACTAATGAATATCAATACTCTATAGATTCTATCGATGATATCATCAATAGCTTGCCTACTCCTTCCACTTTGGCAGGTTTCCGACTTGAACCTTGTGAATTTGAAAAGGATGATGACACCAATTTCCATATCGATTTTATTACAGCGGCATCCAATTTGCGTGCTATCAACTATGGTATCAATCCTTCTGATCGACACAAGACTAAATTTATTGCTGGTAAAATTATTCCTGCTATTGCCACCACTACTTCTCTTGTCACTGGTCTTGTGTGTCTCGAACTTTACAAGGTAAATAATAGTTATGAATAAACAAAGAAAGTTGCTAATTCAAATTATCATTTTTAGATTATTGACGGAAAGGACAATTTGGAAGATTACAAGAATGGATTTGTCAATTTGGCTCTACCTTTCTTTGGCTTTTCTGAACCTATTGCTATGCCCAAGATGGAATACAATGACAAGGAATTTAGTTTATGGGATCGTTTTGATATTGAACAAGACCTCACACTCAAGGAGTTTATTGATTACTTTGAAAAGGAACATCAATTGGAAGTTACTATGGTATCATCAGGTGTATCTATGCTCTACTCATTCTTTATGGCAAAGAAGAAGGCTGAAGAAAGATTGAACATGAAGTAAGTTATATTTCTATTAAATGAATTTATTCTTATTGTATTTTTTTTTTTTTTTTTTTAGGATATCCAAAGTGGTGGAAACTGTTTCCAAGAAGCCTATTCCTTCTCATGTCAAGGCTGTTATTGTTGAAATCTGTGCCAATGATAAGGAAGGAGAAGATGTTGACGTAAGAAATGATTATTCAAAAATAAAAAGAGACAAGGAAATGATACTAATTTAATCATCCATTTTTTTTTTTTTTATATATATTTTATTTGAAATAGGTTCCTTATGTTCGTGTCAAGGTTAGACCATAGATTATTCTTCTTTTCATTCTCTGTTTATCTATATCACTATTTGACCCGTCTCTATTGAAAAATAAAATAAAATTCTTTTAACTATTTGATGATCCTAATTTTTATACATATTTGATTGGATATTTTAATGCAACTTATTGACTTGATTTGTGTGGAGCACACCTTCAAAGTGGGCATAGGATTCAATATCCGACCGGGATGCCGTAGTTGGAGCAAAAGGGGACGTGACTTGCGACTCAATTTTTTTTCACCATTGGAAACCATAACACGGCCTTTTCAGAATAGCACTACTCCCTTTTTTTTTTCTTTTCTTTATTTTTTTGAACAATGTCTGACAAAGAAAACGAGCCAATTGATACAAACCAATTTGACGAAGAAGTAAATATATATATATATATATATAGAAAAAGAAGAGTCATTAGTCAACTGCAACAATAACAACAATTCGACACATTCAATGACTAAAGCTACTGGTTGACATTTATTATGCTTACTCATTTATTCTTTTTATTTCATTAGCCCGATTTCTCTAAACTCAAAAAGAAGAAGAAATCCAAAAAGAAGGTCGATTTTGATACCGAAGCAGATGCAACCGAACAACAACAACCAGAAGAAGTTGGTGACGATGCTCCTCAAGGTAAATTTATGATTTTTTTAATTGGCTTCCAAAAGGATCCATTGACATTTTTGATTCATGTATTTTTTTTTTTTTATTTATATATATTTTTGAAATATTAATAGATGATGATGCTGAAGCTGATCCCGATGCCATGTTTGCTGATTTGAAAAAGAAGAAAAAGAAGAAGTCCAAGCCTGTTGAAGTAAATGACCGAATCATATGTAAGGAACGGTGAAACTCAACTTTTATTTTTTTTTTTTTTTGGATAGGATGATGCTGCTGGAGAAGAAGCTACTCCTGAAGGTACAGAAGAAGATTTGGACTTTGGTGCTTTGAAAAAGAAGAAGAAGAAGAAGAAAAATATGGCCGAATTTGAAGCTGAATTGTCAGAACAACAAGGTGGTGATGAAGATGAAAACAATAATGAAGATTCAACAAAATCTGCAAATGAAGAAGCATGGCTTAAGAGTGACCGGGATTACACCTATGATGAAGTATGATTCATGATGATGATTTTTTTTTTTTTAAAAAAAAGGATGATGACTGACTTTTTCTATTTTCTAGCTTCTTGGTCGTGTATTTAACATTTTGCGACAAAATAATCCTGAATTGGTTGGTGAAAAGAAACGATACACAATTGTTCCTCCTTCTATTCATCGTGAAGGCAATAAGAAGACCATCTTTGCTAATGTCGCTGATATTTCCAAACGGTAATCCATAAAGAAAAGAAAAAATGTAGAAACTCATATTTTTATTATATAGTCTTCATCGTGAACCTGAACATGTGATTCAATTCTTATTTGCTGAATTGGGTACTACTGGATCTGTTGATGGTGCTCAACGTTTAATTATCAAGGGTCGTTTCCAACAAAAACAAATTGAAAATGTGTTACGTCGATATATTGGTAAATAATGATATTTTTTTTTTTTGATTTTGCATTAACTTTTTTGTTTTCCATAGTTGAATATGTTACTTGTAAGACCTGTAAATCTCCTGATACTATTATGACCAAGGACAATCGATTGTACTTTGTTCAATGTGAAGCTTGTGGTTCTACTCGATCAGTATCTGCTATCAAGACTGGTTTCAAGGCTCAAACTAAGGAAGACAGACGTGCTCTTAGGGCTTAAATGTTGTTATAGTTTTATTTATCCCATCTTTTTGTTGTTTTATCATTCATCACCATCAAAAATAAAAATCAGTATTTACTTCATTTCATCGGGATTTCAAACCTGTCGTTTTTCTTATGTTGGAATGTTGACCAGTTTGGTTTCTTTTCTTTCTTTTTCTATTTTTTTTTTTTTTCTACTGCTTGTGATTCTATACTATTCACAGTGATGACACTCGGTTTAATTCCTTATCGACTAATGAATACAGCTGCTAGTAACAGTATGGCACCTTCATCGCCAGCCTATCTCGCTGATATTATGGTTCAATTCAGCAAGCAAATCATGCGACCTAAAGTGGTACTCCCCATGCTTCTTGTGATAGTCCTTCTATTTGACCTCGATGATGCTTTCGATATTGACGAAGATTATTTCGAATTGGAAAACGACGATGACCAAGACAATGCTCAGTAGGAGGGCAGGATGGAATGCTTGTATGTGTATTTATATGGTCTTTTTCTATATCTGTTTGTGATGATTTCGTTTTGGTGCTTCTTTCCCGTATGCTTTCTTTCTTGGTCAAGATATCCTTGGGTTAGGAAAAGTGGCAGTGGTGGCTTGATGAAGGTTATATGGATCATCTGTTACATACAAGCTCTCTTCTCTCCTTCTCTTTGATATATTTATACCTTCGCATCCATTACTTTTTATTTTTCATTGTGTGTGTGCGTCTTTGACTACGGAATGAGTCCACTTTTTTTTTTTTTTTTTGGGCGACTGGGGTTGGTGCGAATTCCCCATTTGTCACATAGTTTTTCCTTGTGATTTTCTTTTTTTCCTTTTTTTTTTTTTTTTTTTTTCTTTTTTGAATAAAAACCTCTTTTATTATATATCCATTGAGCCTTATTATTATTATTATTATTATAATATACACTCTATCTAGAATATACAAACCAGTTTTTTTTAATTGATGTATCCTCATCTTACACGGCAGAATCCCACATATACACATCAACCTGTAGCATATGATGTATCCAAGCGCCATCCTGCTTTCAGGACATCTCAGCCTATGATGCCCATGATGCAACAACGACATTGCCCCACACATTGTTCGACCATTCATGCCCATCAACCTCCTACACACCCAATACCCAATGCTCCGGTATTTGATGCATCAACGCAAAGTCCCATCTTTTATGGTTATGTAGACATGAACGCTTTACCTCCCTTGAATCCCAAATTATGAAGTCTGCTACTTGTTTGGTTCTTCTCTATATCATTATCAACGTATATATAATCATATATACCCTTTTCACTTTTAGTTTAGTATTTGTCTTTGTACATAGTTTATTCATTCAATAAAGTCCAATTATTTATTTGGATCATCGTAGTTTTTGATTGTTTATTAGTTTGGAAAGGAAATCATTCAAAATAATTGTATAAATATATTTATAAATAAACGAGAAAAAAAAAACAAATTCTTTTAGGGAAAGACCAAAAAAAAAAAAAAATGGAAATTAACTAACTAGAAAAAGGAATAGGCAATGTCAAGAGATGATACAGTCGTCAGGATTGGTGGCACGTCGTCGTAATTTTTCACGTTTTGCTAATTGTTTTTTCGTCAATGGTTGGATAGTTGATGATGGTATTTGACAAGGCGGTGAGCTGGGTGAAGATCCTGATGATAAAGAAGAATCACAATCCACAGGACATTCAGGATAATAGGAGGAGGAGGACGAAGTGGAGGATGGTTCTGAATCATGTTTTGTCAATCTGCCACTATTTTCTTTAGAATAATAAGTTTCTTCATGAATCAAACGTAAAGCATCGCAACTTTTGCTGCCATGAGGTGATCGTTCTTGTTGCTGTTGCCTCTGTTGTGAAGAAGAACGTTGTTGTTGTGGATGATGCTGATGCAACGGGGGTAAGGATGGTGATGGGGACGATGACAATCGAGAAGAAAACACACGAGAGAGTTTATGAGTACGCTGACGAAGTTGGCTGGAAACTGAATTTCTTGGTTTGGGAGATGAAGTTTGTTGCTTATGCTGCAATTGGTGTTGGGATAAAAGGGCTTGGATGGAATAAGAGGAGTCGGACCGGCGATTCTGATAGGGTTGGTATGATGTTGTTGTTGGACGATGTAAGGGAGTGTTGGGTTCTTGGGTATATGATAAAGTAGGTGAAGGTTGGTCATGAATAGCTTTTGATGGTGGCATAAATGTTGATTTGTGACAGCTTGAAGTATTTTTGCACTGATCATGACATATGAAGCCACATTCTAATCAAATGAATTTTTTTTTTTTAAAAAAAACATGAGTCAAAAAGTTTAGCATTGACAGTTATTTGTTACCTTCACAAATAAATGCATCTTTTTTGATTGGTAGTTGACATGACTTGCAACGAACAGCACCTAATCAAAAAAATAAAAAATAAGTATTTATATTTCATTAATATTATTTTATTAAACAGATTCTATACCTTTTGGGAATGTTCCTTTGACGTAATGATGAGCAACAACAGATTGTTGATGTTGTTGGTATTGATACTGATGAAGTTGTTGTTGCTGTTGTTGGAATTTCTCTGCTAAAACGCTCGATGATCGGGTATGATTATTATTGTTATTGTTGGTATAAGAAATCAACCATGGTGGAAGATCGTTATCGGTATAATCCAAATCCTGTGGTGTATTTGGTGCTGTAGCTAATTCCGTAGTGGCAGTAGGTTTCGATCGAACAGAAGAGGCATCGTCCAATATATTCTGAGTTGATAGAGTATTCAAGTCTTCCTCTTGTTGATACTTACGAATCCAAGTGTGAGATAGTAATTCTTTGGCAATAGGACGATCATCAGGATTCTTGGCAAAACAACTTCGAAGGAAGTCACACAGATCCTAACCATAATAAAAAAAAAAAGTACGCTATATTAGTTTCACTTGAACATGTCTACATGAAAATCGGGGAGGAAATTCAGTCATTCATTACATCAGACAATCCACTAGGTAAAGGAGGGTATTCATCTTCTACGATACGAAAAAGTGCTGTCATGGGTAATAAGTCTGAGTAAGGTGGTTTTCCTGTACATAATTCAACAATAGTACATCCCAAAGACCATATATCCGATTTGGTTGATGCACCTTTCAATTCAATCACTTCAGGAGCCACTATAATCCAAACATGATGATCAGTCAATCATCATTCATTCTAAATAAATAAATAATCACTTACTCCAATTGGGGGTTCCGGCCACAGCATCTACTTCATTATCCTTTAGCCGAAGATTCAAAGATACGCCAAAATCAGATAATTTGACATGTCCACTCTTCGTAGTCAAGAGATTTGCTGCTTTCAAATCACAATGTACAACATTTTGATCATGTAAATATTGAAGACCATGTAATATACGAGTACAATAACTTGCCACTAGATTTTCAGGAAAACTACCAAAAGATTTCAATGTATTCAAAAGAGATCCGTTTTCTACGTATTCCAATATGATGTTGACGTGACCTTCTGCATGGATGAAACCTTCATATTTGACAATATTGGGATGTGTAAGCTGTTGTAACAATTGTGCTTCTTGCTAAATTCAAAAAAAAAAGATTAAATTAAAATATAAAACGAGTAAGTATTTTCTTCCAAATTTCCTTTTTTGACTGCATCTCCCTTTTCTTTTGGCTCTCCTTAACTCCTTTTTTACCATTGCATCCAAAATATCACGTTTCTTTGAGGAGTTCAATTTGATTCGTTTCACAGCGACCATTTTTCCTGTTCGAAGTTCCAGTGCACTATACAAAATGAAGAAGAAAGGTCATGTTCATATTCCTTTTTTTTTTTTTTAAAAAAAAAAAAGCATTCTTACCGATAGACTATGCCAAACTGTCCTTTTCCAATGACATTACCAAGTTTCTATTAAAAAAAAGAAAAGTACAACATAAGTAATGAGACTCGTACCTTTCTTTCTTTCACTTACATATTTCGCGGTAATTTGTCCATCACCATCGATCAGTTCTAAATTATCTTGTTGGCATACAATATCACTTGAAGTTCGAAGAATTGTGGATGGTTGATGAGTATTCAAAGTACCAGTTGATTTTCTTCTTGTCATAGATTCACAACAAGAAGGACGACGACTAGTGACATCAGAGCTAGCCAGATCCTGTTCGATTGGTGACATGGGTGTAACTCTATCTATAATTGCCGCATTGTTGTTATCCATATTCGTGAAATCGTCATGATGATGATTCTTGGATAAAAGAGGAGATGAGATGGAGGCCTGTACCGCAGGGGAAGAGGTTTCTTCGGATGAACGTGGAAACATATTGATAACGGATGGTTTAATGCTGTTACTATTGTTGTTGTTGTTGTTGTTATTTAATCTACTTTCAGTCCATTGTTGATATCGCATATGAAATGGTGTTTTTTGTCGTAAAGAGAACCTTTTCCCAAAATGTAGACTAGAGAGTCGAGAAGAGATGGATCCTTTGTTAGACTTGTTTTCGTTGTTGTTGATGCTATTGTTGATGCTATTGTTGGTGCTATTGTTGATGTTATTGTTGGTGTTGTTATTGATGTTATTGTTGTTGTTAATATCATGGATGGGTGGAGTGTATGATGTACATCGAGTCTTGTTGTCATCTTCATCATCGTCATCATCATCATCATCATCATCATCAGTAAATGAGCCAGTATAGGAGTGTGAATCTTGTTGATGATAGGAAGAAGAAGCAGTAGGATCAAATAAGGAAACCAATTGTAAAGGTATTGAATGGTGATTGGAAGACTGTTGTTGCCAAGAAGATTGTCGTGTTGTTCCATAACCACTATCTGCTGAAAAGGTTTTGTTTGATCGAGACATATTGTGATGTAAAGTTGTAGGAGGCGAAGAAGGATCAAATGACATGGTGCGAGGAGAAACAGGATGATCCCAATGGATACCATCCTCTTCGTCAGGAAGGGACCATATTGATTGTCGATATTGCTTGATCCCTTGATTATCTTGGTCCTGTTGATTGGATGATGATAATAGTATATTCGTATCTTCAGTAGGATAAATGGTGGTCTCCCTAGAATCGAGTAGTCCCTTATCTAAATTCACGTCATTCCCTATAATAAAATAGTCTTGATCTGTCGCGTGATTTGATTTGTCATTGTGGATGTTGTCAGTAATAGAAGGAGAACAAGTTGACAACACAGTAGATGGTGAATCTTGTTGGTATCTTGTTGATTGTAAATCATAACTAGACCATAATATTTGTTTTTGTTGTTGTTTTTGTTGTTGAGAATTCACTAAAAGGGCTAATCGAGATAAAGTCCAAATAACCTACAGAAAGAAAAAAAAAAAGGTTAAAATAAAGTTTATATATATTTTTTTTGATGTATGTAGATCTTTTAAATATATAATATACATACTGCGTTCATATCTTTCCCTTCTAATAAATCATGCACATAGAACAAATCCGAATCTTGCAAACCCATCTGCATCAAAATGTCAATCAGTTAGTTAGATCATTTATTGTTCTTTACTAATTTACCTCTGATCCAGCTTTCAAAAACTGACGAATATTCTCTTCCTATCATATATATTTTATAATATAAAATAAAAATAAAAAAAATAAGAAGAGTATTAGTAAAAATATAATGTTCTCCTTAAACAAAAGTTTTTTTCTTTTCTTTTATATCTATACTTTTGCAGATATGCATTCATTGTAATGGATATGTCGCACAGCCCCCGGTTGTAGTCTATTCATCATTCTATTAAAAAAAAAAGATAATTAATATACTACATATACTTTCTGCTTCCACTCCTTTGCCCGAGGATTTCTATTTTATAAACCAAGTAACTATAAAAGAAGTTACCTCCCTTCCTGTAATACTACTTAGTCTTTTTTTTTTTCCTCCCTTTCTTTTTCCTTTTTTTTTTTTCTTCCCCTATTCCTCCTTTTGTTTCCTACTACTAAAATACACTTTTTTTTCTCTCTTTTTTGGTTACCTGCAAAGAATAACGCCGTTTCGTAAGCAAAGAAATAAGTTGGTGATAGGTAAAGGTTGTTGTATAATAGATTCTATCCAATTTCGCGTCCATTGTTGTTGAGAATACATATGTTCGAGTATTGGTGTTGGTGAAGAAGAAACTTGATAACTTGTAGAACGATGCATGATTATAATAGATGAATATAAATCAAATTTATTCAGACTTTCTTTTTCAATCTTTTTGATGGTAAGAAGTTTTTTTTTTTTTTTTTTTTAAAAAAAAAGAGCTTATCTTTTTGTTACAAACAAAAAGAAAGAAAGAAAGAAAGAAAGAAAGAAAGAGGAAAAAGAAAAGAGATAAATAAAAAAAAATTAAAAAAAAGGAAAATAAAGTATATATATATAAGTGACAAAAGGGAGAACACGAGGAGTAACAGAAGAGAAAAAAGAGGAGGGAAAAAAAGAGAAATAAAAGAAAAAAAAAAGTGTGTAATGCCTTGACCTGAATCATTCACTTTTTTGAGGTGTCATGTTCATTCTCCGGTATCATCTGCTTTTTGCCTAACATTTATTATTATTATTAACATTCAAACACTATATAAAAACTCATCTGCATTATTATTTATTGTCAATAAGGGGAAAAAAGGATGATCCACTAAGATTTTTTTTTTATACGTATATTCTGCTCTGCCTATTAAAATTAAAAAGCTGTTTTTTGGTTCATTTTAGAAATCATAGGCTCTGTTCCTAATTTAGGATATCGGCTTTGTACAATACGACTAATACGACTGGTTGGCGGTAACTCAAAAAAAAAAAAAAAACAGTTTAAAAAAGTAGCAAACTATTTTGGGACCTTTGTTTCTCTTTTCTTTGTCCTTTCTTTCCTTTTTCTTTTAGTTTTCCTTTTTATTATTATTATTATTATTATTGACTATGTATATTACTTTTTCAATTGGGACTATTATTACCACGTTAATAGCAGCAACATCGTTAACTACTTCCGTATCCGCACAACAAGCATGTAACGGTTATAGTCAATTATGCTCGGTACCTTATCACCAAGTTACCACCATTGTCACTCACAATTCATACTCATACATGGCTAATCCAGCAGCAAACCAAGCTTGTTCAGTAACAACTCAATTAGACGATGGTGTAAGAGGACTCAAACTATCTGCGGTATTACCTTCTAATACAACTGCTTCTGATCCTGCTAACAACATTCATTTATGTCATACGTCTTGTACTATTTTGGACGCTGGACCTGCCAAGGATACACTCAGTCAAGTAGTGTCATGGTTAAAGAATAATCCTAATGAAGTAATCACCATCATGTGGAATACACCCAACAACAAGGCATTTCAACCTTCCGATTTCAATGCTATCTATCAAGCTGCTGGGATGTTGGATTATGTTTATACACAACCTTCTGGTAATAATACTTGGCCTACTTTACAAGAAATGATTAGTTCTGGCAAGCGAGTAGTGACATTCACAGATCTTGGTGCTGATCAATCTCAAGTACCTTGGTAAGTTAAATTGGAATGGATGGAATGATGATGATATGATATATATATATATATATATCCCAATATGTCTCTCTGTGTGTGTGTGCGTTTGTGTACAATTTTATTTATACATCCCTTTTTTTTTTTTTGTCCTACAACAATTCTTATTTATAGGTTGTTATCAGAATTCGATTATGTATTTGAAACCCCATACAACAACAATAATGACACCTCATTTACATGTACTATTGACCGACCAGCCGATCCTTCCAATCCTCAAAGTATGATGTATGTGATGAATCATTTCCTTTATGGTAGTCTCAATCTTGGAGGCACAGCAATCGAAATCCCACAAAAAGGAAAAGCAAATAGTACAAATTCACAATCTCTCTCCAATCAAGCTCAACAATGTAAATCCACCTTTGGTCGAGCTCCTACATTTTTAGAAGTGGATTTCTACAACTATGGCAACACTTTGCAAATTGCAGCTCAACTCAACAATGTTACTTATACTGCAACATCTCTCAAATGTAATCAAGCAACACAATCAACAGGCAATGGAGGTTCCAATGGACAATCAGCGGGTTCTACTTTGACGGTACCGATCTTTTCTTCCTCTATCCTATTAGCCATTGCTGCTATACTTTTATTTTAGACTGAACTTTCTGCTTTTAGAGTATTGTTGATTGTTTATTATTATTATTAGTTTAGTTTTCTTTTTTTTTTTTTTTTTAGTCTTATGTATTTTTTTTTTATTTATTGTCATTTTACATGTTCAAAATAAAAGATTGGAATTTCTTTTTTTTTCATTACAAAGAAACAATAATACTAGAACACATGTTCATCCTTTGATTATTTTAGTGTTCGTTTTGATACACGTTTCTATTAGTGTCAATTTCTATCATTGTAGCTAAATTTAAATCTTCCTATGACTAGACCCCTTGGATTGGGTTTTGAATACCGCTCAGACTTGGCATGCGACCCTTTATGTAACTATTTCATTTGTATTACCATCAAATCTGTTGTTTGAGGCTGAATCTCTTTCTCTCTCTGATTTATGTTTATAAAATGATGCAATCTAAAAAAGATCTACACTTAAATTGTTTTGGGATTTATGAAACAGGAATTATTTGGCTTTTTTTTTTGACATCATCAAATGAGAATACAGGACGAAGGGCCCATTTTGGGAAACAGAAAAAAATCTGCGGTAATAATAATTAAAAAAAAAAAAAAAAGAGCAACCAATAAGTGGAGTCAGCCTCATTTCCTTTTGGGGTAATGCTTTTTATTATTATTATTATTTTTTTTTTTTTTGTACACACACATTTGACTACGGAAACCAAATTATTTTATATTATGTATTGAGATATAAAGAAAAATAGATAGAAGAGTGTATTGAGAATGTATTAAATCACAACGATGCCGGCACGATGAAATAATTTTTGTTGATATGATACTTGTTGCTGTTGAGATATTAATGCACCTAATGGTACATCATCATCATCATCATCATCATTGTTACATATCATTTTTGCGATCAATGGTGGAGAAATGGGTGATGGAGGTGAAGAACGTTTTCTTTGGAGTGTTATTGTATCGATAGGCGGACATGATGAAGCATCTTGCACGTGTAATGGTTGTCGGTGGTGTTGTCCTGCATGAACATCATTTTTAGTTTGATAATATTTTTGATGTTTTTTATGAAGATAGGATAATTTATTGGGTTTCTGATAATGACAATGGTGATGATGGGGCTGATTATATATTGGATGATATGTACTAGGCGAGATGATCATGCCATGACGTTTAGTTGTTTGGAGTTTGTTGAATAACTGTTTCAATAAGACTTGTTTTTGTAAAGAAGTATTTTGTCGTGTTAATTTTCTCGTAGTGGCTTGAAATAATAAACTATATTGAGGAGGCATCCATCTAGGTGATGATGATGATGATGATGATGATGATGATGATGATGATGATTGATGTTGTTGAATAGTATCATCCATAGCTTCCAAAACACGTTGACGACCGATACCTTTTGTTCGCGCAACACTTTGAATCATTTTGCCAAATTGTTGTGGTAATGATGATGCCTCATCATATGCATAATAGACATAATCGGAAATAGCCATAGTTAGTTAATCTTGATAAAAAAAAAAGAAGATGGTAGAAAAAAAAAGAAGAAGAAGAAAAAAAAAAAAAAAGAGATATAAATACAATAAATGAAGAGCTACGATCAAAAGAAATGATGATTGTCTCCTTACCTGATAGATGAATGTTTTGGATTGAAAAAAAAAAAAATATACGATTAAAAACGATTACTGGTTTAGGCAATGTCTAGTCTTTTGATCAACGTACTTTTAAAGTTCATTATGAAAAATGTCTTGTTTTTATCTTCCATATCCAAATTCATTGTTATCATCATCATCATCCTGTAGTCCTTTTTTTTTTCTTTCTTTTCATTGTTGGTTCTCTGTATGAATATCGATCATCCTTTTCTTTCTTTTCTTTTCTTTTTTTTTTTTTTTTTTTTTTTTTTTTTTTTTTTACTATTTATTTTATTTTCTTCATGGTAAATCCTTCATTGTCTCGACCTTTAAGGATATTGTATTTCCGCCTACACTGATGACCCCTGGTTTCCATTTTAGGTTGCTATATTGAGTACTAGACTTTCAAAATGGAACAGTATAGACTCTTTCTTTGAAACAAAAAAAAAGTGAAGACTTGACGATGATCTAAGCTTTTTCACTGCATATGATACAGATCATATGATACAGATCATCTTCTATGCTCTCCTTGACAACCATTTAAGACTTTTAGTAGACTTCTGAGAATGAAAACTTTTTTTTTTCTTTTTGCTTATTGTCTCATAGTAGATTCTTTCTTTTAATCCGGGTAGCTATAATATATATTTATGCCTTGATTATTTCACTATAGAAATTTATTGATTCATCCTTTTATTATTCATTTTTACTGTAGAAATATTCAGCAGAAGGGATAACCATGATTGATTTGATAAACTAGGGATAAGCAGCCACTCCGATCCACCAGTCACACGTTAAAGGAAGCAAAGGGAGGGGGTGAGACCAAAGTGGAGAGTAGTCTGGCCACGGAACAAACTTTTTTTTTTTCTTTTTCTTTCCTTTTTATTCTACTCATACTTTTCTTTTTTTTTAAATATTGACCTTAATTTATAGGTTTATATCCTCCACTTTTTTTTTTTATTATTATTACTTTTACGTACTTAGATAATCTTATTACATTTGCACATATTAGACAACAACAAAAATGGGTATTTTCGGTTTTGGATCTTCAAACAATGACAGCACTACTATCAGCAACGAAACATTAAGTCAAGATGCCGATGATTTGTATTCACCTTCTGGCAACAGTGGATTCGAATCTTCTACTGAATCCTTTGGCGAGAATTCTTATGAAAAGATGCCCGACTTTATGTCCAGTTTACAATATGACAGTTCTAAGCTTCAACCCATGGCTTTGCAAGGTGGTATTGATTTCCTTCAAATCGACAATGCTACTGACTCAACATCTTACGGTGGTGGTGCTTTGACTCCTTCTCGTGGTTGGACTGATGATCTTTGTTATGGTACTGGTACTGCTTACTTGGCTGGTTTGACTTTGGGTGGTGCTTTTGGTTTGGCTGAAGGTTTGAAGAAGAGCAGCACTACATCTACCAATATGAAAGTTCGTCTGAATACTACTCTCAACACAATCACTCGTCGTGGTCCTGGACTTGGTAATTCTGTTGGTGTTATTGCTATGATGTACAATGGTACCACTGCTATGATTGATGCCTCAAGAGGTACTCATGATATTTTTAATAGCATTGCTGGCGGTGCCATTTCTGGTGCTATCTTCAAGTGTACTGCTGGTAAGAAATATAAGAGGAAAAAAAAAATCAAAGAGATAGATATATATGTTAAGAGTTTCCCTGTGGTATGATGATGGATTACTGATGATCTTTTTTTTTTCTTGGATGATATTAGGACCTCGTGTAATGGCCATGTCTTCTGGTGCTTGTGCTACTGTTGCTGGTGTATGGTCTCTTCTTTCCAAGGCATTCACTGATTAGACGGATAATAAAACAACAATAACAATATTAGATTCCTATTTCCTTCATCCTTCGTTTTTTTTATTCTCTCCATCTTCCCTTTTCCCCTTGTTGTGCATAGTAATTGTAGATTTCTTTTATTTATTACTCTTCCCCTCTCTCTTTTTTTTATTTTTATTTTTATATACTTCCATATCATTCCTTTACCTTTACAAATAAAAGAATTACATTAAAAAAATCTCAGCCATATAGTATGATGATATCTTTTTTTTATTATTTTCTATTTTGAATAGATTCAATAGAGCATTACGGTTGCATAAAAGAAAGTTGGATCATGTTGAAAAATAATTGTGATGAAGACGATTAGATAATATGTTATATGTTAAAAAAAAAGTCATTTTGTTAGGTATCAATAGTCATTAGGCATCTGCAGTAAACTAAAAATAATAGAGTTGTTTATTGATTTTTGGTATATTGTCAACCTGGTGTGCGTGTGAGAGAGAGCAGGGAATAACGAAAAAGAGAGGATGAGAAAAAAAAAAAAAAAGGTAAGTATCAAAGTACGGATACGAGTGAGCGAAAAGGAGGATGGAAGAAATAAATAAAACGAATTCTAAGGATAAATGTGATAATATAAAAAAAAATAACTAGGCCAAATATTGATAAGAGCGTCTATAATAAAAAAAAAGTAAAGTCAATGATATATTGTTCAATAAACTCTTTTCTATTATATATATGTATATTTCATTACCTATCATCAGGACTTCTTTCCAAATATTCTCGGTCGATCAAAGCTTCTATGCGTTTCTTTGTCATAACAGGACTTGGCATAAACCTAGGACTAAGTTGTTTTGTGACTTCGGCAATGAGTAAATTATGTTCCATAAGTTTTCTGTTCTTCATGATGCGGACAATAGCAGCTTCTATTTGATGTTGTCGTTCTTCATCCACTTTGTCTTGAGTAATTTTTCGTTCAGTATCAGTTTCCACTTTGGTCGCCAGGGATTGTACCTTGATTCGCGCTAGATTGGCAGAAAAATTTACATTCACCTTGAATCGTTCTCCAGGTTGAATATCGCGTCCTTTTTCGTTCTTCAGTAAGATTTTGTACTTTGCACATGCCAGTGATTGTAGTGTTCTATTCAAATCTGCCATTGGAATATTCGTTTGTTCCTGGATTTCCTATTTTTTTTTTTCAAAAAAAAAAAGGAAGTAAAAGGACAACTGTCAGTATTGCCAAATATAGAGAGACACAAACAGAGTTAGATCCTACCTCCAATGTCAGACTGTCATCCGCATCAAGATTGTTAAATAAAAGAAGCACAAACATGGCATACGTTGATACGTTGAGAATATGTTTGCTAGATTTGAATTGTGCCTTGATATCCGCGGTACCCTGATATATCAGTTGATGAGTATAAATTTTGGCAATTCTTTCTTTTTTTTTTATTACCATTTGAGCTTGCCAAGTCAGCCTTCTTCCACTGTGTCGACTGAAGTAAAACTTTTCAAATGCTAGACAAGCATTTGATACTTTTGAGGGCATAATGCATTTCGGTAGAGTTGAGAGGTTCATTGGCCAGAACGTAGATGTAAGTACAGTAACATTGGTTTCCAGATCTAGTTTCTATATATGATATGAATGTATCAAAATTTTTAGTATGATCATGGATATACGATTTTTTTTTTCTCTTTCCATATTATTTTCTTGTTTTACCGTATTAGTAGCCTTATCTTGGAATTCTTTGAATTGAGAGTTCATTTCCATGGAGAGTCGCATATCGTTGAACATTCCTTCCAATTTGTTTGTAAATTGATATCCACATTCTCTCTATATATCGATGGCAAAAAAAAAAAAAAATTAATATATAGAATAATGTCTTTTTCTTTTTTTTCGAATTGATTTACCTTGAGCTTCCCAAGCATACCCCGTTCAGCATCATCTGATACACTGCGATTGAATAAAAGTCTTTTGGCCAAATGTTGCTTGTAATATCGTTCAAACACATCCTTGTCGCGAAGGAATCGAAATAGCATAATGGTCTTGTCCAATACATCATCCACCTCATCTTCAGTTTTCTACCCATGTGATATATAAAGTGAGTGTTGTTTCCTTAATTTTTTTTTTTCTGAAGCACTTACGCCTTTCAATCCTTTCTTGAGATTTTCGTCAATGAATAAAGATATGAATTCTGATGATTTCGCATTTTCGTTAATGAATTGTTCGAATGCCTAAAGAATAAAAAGAAGAATGAGAAATCATATATCGAGCGTGTTGATGATCAAGTTTTTACTTCATTAAAAGCCGTTTGGAAAGCTTTGTCCTTGTTTGCAGAAATTTCCAGAATACGATCAAATTTTGTTTGTAACTCTAGGACTTGTTCCACCCATCGGATTGCGGTTTGAGCTCCACCAGCAGAAGTAGTCGATTTCTGTTTCGTATTGCAATTTGTCAATATATCTGTATTGATATGCTGATTAATATCCGTGCCTCGTTGTAGGATATATTTGCTGATGGCAATTTTCATTTCGTTCAGACCAGCTGGCACACGAGAAAAGAGCTTGTACATGCGTGACAGATCTACAATAATAAAAAAAAAATGTTCAATCACTTATTTATTCATCCTTAAATGATATATGTGCATCCTTACCTTGATATTTGTCAGTGTTTAACATATTTTCCAGTCCTGAGTTCGGCATCTAAGAGTTCGAAAAAGAAAAAAAAATTAAAACGTCATTTCGGGAAAAGGTAAATCACTTACATCCATAATGGTTTTCAAGTTATTAGCAATCAATTGAGTTTCCACAATATTCCTAATCTTGGGTTCAGTCACCATTGACAAGCAGTGATTTGTTCTTTCTTCTTCTTCATCCAATCGTTTTTCCACCTTTGATATTAAAAAAAAAAAAATAGTATTAAAAATTATTTTGTTTATATTCTTTTTTTTTCTTTCTTTCTTGTTATTTACCTTGCGCATAAATTCAGGGGCATCATAATTGGTGTTGGTAAGAGTTTGACTTTCCACTTGATAAAATGCTGTGCTAGTTTCTAGGTACTTTGTTTCAAAATCTGTAACATATACTGTTTCTTTCGTTGCTGGATCAGTGAGTTCAGAGAGCATGGTGACAGATAATTTGATGGCGCTACGATCAATCACATCACCATGTCGTTCCAACTGGATTTGATTCAACATGGCTGTTATCAAATGATTTTGAATAGGATATTTTTCTGATCGTATAATTCTATCACGAAATAAATCCAATCCCATATCGAATACGTGCGGTAAATTATATTTTGGTAATTTATCGTCCTAAACAAAAATAAATCAATAAATTGTCATTATTTTATTTAATAGAACTTACCAAATAATGAAGAGTATATTGAATCATAGTCATGGCTGTAGTGTAATCATCCCATACAAGTTTAACAGTTTTCAAAAACGAAGCACCAGCGTCGGCCCTAGATCCATCAATGACATTAAGAGCTGAACCACCATTTCCTGCTGCTGTGCCTGCTGTAATAACAAACGCTGGTACAATCGATTGCTCCGCCACCGTTTCTAAATAGTCTGCAATAACGCCTTTGACACCTTCATAAAGTCGTTCACCGTGTTGGTGTAAAGTCAAGTTGTAAGCTGTACGATACAATAATTCATAGGATAGATTGCGAGCATTCTTGTGGAAAATTTCAGTAATGGCTTTACATAAAACTTGGAATCCTTCTTCATAGTCTTGATTGCGATCAGTACTAATCTATAATGAAAGTCAAACAATAAGTAACGCATATTTTATTATTATTATAAGATAAATGTTATTCATCTATATAGTAATCTTACTGTTCGTTTGGGAGGTTTGATTCTTGTTTTCCGAATAGACATGGTTAATAAGATGGTAAGGTAAGAATATAACGGAACAATAAAAAATAAATAATAATAATAATAATAATAGTAATTAATAAGAAAAAAAAAAAAAAGAGGTAAAAAGAAGACAGATACAAGAGAAACGGAGAAAGAAATGAAAGGTTGGAATTTCGCTGTTGGCGAGAGAAAAGGAGGAAAAAAAAAAAGAGCCATTTCTGTATACACTCGTATCCAAAAAGTAATTTTTTTTTTCGCTCCGATTTTTTTTTTTTTTTACTTTTCTTTTTATTCTTACCAAATGAAAACTAAAGGTGTTGGTCTCTTAGCTAAAGGTGTTGCTTCCTGTCCCGGTCAGTCTGCTGCCTATGGAAAATGTATTGCTATCAATTATAAGGATGCTCATAAAGATCTATGTGCAAAAGAATTTGAAGCATTCAAACAATGTGTCCAAAAAGTGGTAAGACGATCAAAAAAAAAAAAATATAGTCTTGTTCTTACATTTCTTCTTTCTTAGGTTAAACGCAAGTGGTAAAACTTGAACAAAATAATAATTTCTGACCTAGAAATTGTGTTTCCTGTTTATATATATATATATATTCTCCTGATTAGATGTAACTTTTGTAGTATATTGTCTTGTAATTGTATACAGTTTCCTTTTTTTTTTTTTTTTGTAATTGCCTGTCCTTGATGGAAAAACCAATAATAAAAACCCAGCTGTATGTCATGACGACTGCCGCCGGACTTCTGAAAATATGCTGCGACGGAAATGTATGTAAAGGTCTTTTTTTTTTCTTTCGTTTTCTTTCTTTTTCTTTTCCTTTTTTTTTTTTCTTTTTTTCATCTGTTAGTCTTTTAGAACAAATCTCTTTTTTATTTCACTCTCTGTGTCTTTACAGTTATCTTGTGGTAATAAAAAGAAATAATAATTCGTAGCTACAAACTATCTTTTAACTCTTTTTTTTTTATTGTTATTATAATATAGATTGTTGCCCCATATATTCGGTTCCTCTTTTTCGTGCCATCCTTTCCGTCCCTCAAACATGTCCACTGAACAAAAGCCCACTGTCGCCCCTTCTGTTGCCAAGGAAACTCCAGCTCAACCTCCAGTCCCCACTACTACTACAGCTGCTGCTACTTCTACTACTACTGAAGTTACCAACTCTTCTACCACCACTTCTGCCCCAAATGATAAAGTAGCAGCTACGGAAGAAAACGACCACAAGGTAAGTATTTTTTTTCTCCAAAAAAAAAAAAGAAGCGCGTTTATTATAAAAATAAAAGTGGTACTGACATTGATAAATATTTTTAGGTGTTTGTGGGTAACCTTTCCTTCCAGACAAAGGAAGAAGGTCTTGTCTCGTTCTTTGAAACTTCAGGAAAAGTGTAAGTATTTTCATAGGATGATTTTATAATGATGAAAACAAAGAGGATCTTTTTTTTTTTTTTTTGTATTCATCATTGGGTTATTTTTAGATTGGAAGCCAAAATCATCACCATCCGTCAACACCGCTTCAAGAGACGTTCTGCTGGGTATGGTTTTGTGACTTTTGCCACTTTGGAAGACGCTACCAAGGCTGCTCAAGAATTGAATAAGAAGGAATTGGATGGTCGTGAAATCAATGTAGAAGTGGCCCGTCCTAAGCCTATTGTCGCCAAGCCTGAAGCTACTACAAATGACACCACCGCTGAAACTGAAGCTGCCCCTAAACAACGCAAGCGCCGTGCTCGTAAAAACGTAAGTCGAATAAAATGATAAGAGCCCAAATGTTTTCTCATTATTTTTTTCTTGATTATTATTATTCTTATTATATATAGAAGAACAAGAAGACCGAGGATGGTGATGCCACCGAAGAAAAAGTCAAAGAGCCCAGTACCACCAATGGCAAAAAGGCCAACAAAGCTACTACCACTACCACTGATGACGAAGAACAAGCTCCATCCGATGCGTCTGAAGCATCCTCTTCCCGTGCCCGTCGTGTATCTCGTCGCAAGCGAAACAAGAACAAGAAAAAGGCTGCTGCTGCTGCTGCTGCTGCTATTGGTGAAGTTCCTGCTCGTACTGAACGTCGTCGTGTGAAGAAAGAATTGACTGAGCCTTCCAAGACCACCTTATTTGTAGCCAATTTGCCCTATGCTTCTGTGGATGAAACTCTCAAGGAAGTCTTTAAGGATTACAAGGTCAAGTCTGCTCATGTGGCTAGAATGAGAAAGTAAGTCTTAATCCCCTTAAAAAAAACTTAACGAAAATAGGGAATTATAATGTTTGACATCTGATTTTTTTTTTTTTTTTTTTTAGTGGTCGTTCCAAGGGATATGGTTTCGTTGATTTGGAAACAGAAGAAGAACAATTGAAGGCTTTGGAAAATGTTAAAGATGTAGAATTGGAAGGTCGTACCATTTATCTCAAGATTGCTCTTTCTGAACGTCCTCGTGAAACTGAAGAATCAAAGGATCAAGTCAAGGAAACGGATGCTACTAATGCTACCCCTGCTACTGAAGAAAAATTGGATGCCAAAAAAAATTAGTGAGTTAAAGATTAGCTTTTTCTCTTGATCATTATCGTTGTTGTGTTTACTCTTTTTTTTTTTTTTTTTTGTAAATTCACTGTTGTTTTGTAATAAAAAAAAATACCACTTGTTCCTTCACTTCTATAAATATCTATATAAATTTTATATGATGGAACCCAAATGTATATGCGCGCAAATGAGTATGCGAAAGGAGAGAGGTGACCCAGATGACTGTTGACTAAAAAGGAAATGACTTTTTCCCTCGTGGTGTTGTGTGAACGAAAAAAAAAAAAAGTTGATTCAAGATTTTATTGGTTTACAAGATAATATGAAACAAGAAAAAGAATAATAACAAGGGGGGAAGAAATCATCATCACAATGAAGATAAAAAAAGTACAAAAGGGATGATCAACGCAAAATACAGGAGAGTAACCTTCAAATTGGGAGAAGGCAAAAAAAAAAAAAAAAAAAAAAAAAGGTTATTTGGAAGGATATTTTGATTTCCGTTTCTTTTTGTAAATATCCTTTTCATTGGCCCGAGCGTGTTGAGGTGTCAGAGTGACACGTAATGTCATCAAACGTTGTTGTCCGGCACATTGATGACATGTTGTTTGACATTCATTATGAAAGGGTAATCGAAGGGAATGAGGACAAGGAAAGCCATATTGAAGCATATTATCCCAATGATGAGGTTGTGTTACCGATTTCAGATATTGCTGTACAAGGGGTGAACCTCGATATAATGCTTTACTGATAGGCAAATGATCCTTGTTAGGTAAAGATGATGATGATGATGATGATGATGTGTGGGCATTGACCATGTGGAGTGGAATGGTCGGCAGTGTCGATCGAAAAGGAAACCCCTTGGATAGCTTTTTTTCCAATAATCCAGATGTTTGTGATACATGCTTCATCCATTTTGATGTGGATAATGACTGACGTGATTTCAATAAAGGTGTAGATACTGATGCTCGAAGACATGGTGATGATGATGATGATGATGATGAAGATAAAAGAGATGAAGATAAAGAAGACGATGATGGTGCAGAAGGAGATAATATTTTGATATCATTTGTACTTTGATGATAATAAAATGATACAACATCAAAAGTATCATCATCATCATCATCATCATCATCTTCACTATCAAGAGTACTGTATTGACCCAGTGAAAAAAGATCATCATTATCATCATTCGATTTTACTAATGATGTTGATCGTTTTGGTGGCATTGAGAAATGAGGGATCGGTGAAACAGAGGATTGCTTGCTATAAATTTCACTTGTGCGTGCCAAATCAGTGGAGATTTCATAAGGTCGGATGGAATGTTTTTTTTGTTGTTGCTCAGAAGACATCATCGCCATGGTATGAAGAATGGAGGTAGAATGTTGTTGTTCAAAGGATGTTGATGATGATTGTTTATTTTCATTGGGTGGAGGGAAAGGAGAGAAAAAGACTCTTGAAGGTGTTGCCAAGGTAGAAGGTAATGTAACAGATGGAGTCATTGATCAAAGAAATAATAAAAAAAGAATAATAAAAAAAAAAAAAAGAAAAAGAATATATAGATACGATGATGATGATTGATTTCAATCAAAGTAGAAATATGATTTTATAACAAGTCTATTAATAAAAAAAAAAAGTCATATTCCAAATATAGACATGATGTTTCCATTTTGTCTTATCTCTCACTATAATAAAAAAAAAAGGGGAAAGGGGGATGAGTGAAAAAAATTTATAAAGATGGCAAAAAAAAAAAAAAAAATTAGATTGTGAATACATTCCAATGAATACTTGATTATTCAAAAAGTGCCACTCTAGAATTATCCAAGGAGAATCAAACATATAATACACGTTCTAAAGTATTGTATTTTCTTATTTTATTTTATTCATTATATAATATAAAAATAACTAAACTAAACTATATAAATAAACAATCAAAACAAAAAGAAATATCCACAATAATAAAATATATAAACATACGTATATACAAAAATTAAAAAAAAAAAAATGGAGGAAGGCATTCATCGATCATAATGTTTTTTATAGCGTGATGAATTGACTGGTTCGTGTAATCCCATTGGAAGAAAGTTCAGTAAATTGTTCCTAAAAAAAAAAAAGGAGTAAATGAAAAAGAGAGAATAAGGCCAACTATCTCTTTTTTTTTTTTTTTTTTTTTAAACATAACTCATCCTTACTTTAAAGAAGTCACCTTATCTGGACAGGTAGAAGAGTGATCTAACCAAAGTTCAATTCGATCCGTCCGTGTTCGTTTCGATAATACAAGTCCAACCATCCCATGTTTTGCCAAATGACTACCTACAAAGGCACATAACAACCAGTCAAAGAGATCATCCAATACAACATGTTTACCAGGACACAGCGTCAGTCGTCCACCATCCTTGTTCACCTTATCTTCCCACATAGGCTCCACCCCTTTTTGGAAACAGTACAGGTTTTGATTGATTGCCAATTCAGATGGTCTATACCCTAAGCTTTCTTTGTGCCTACGCCAACGAGCTGTGAATTCCCATACCGTTTGACATGTAAAGAGTTTTTGCATACTAGATCGATAATTGATGGCCGTCGTCTTTGTTTTCGATGTGTCACCAAAATAGAATACAGCTTCTTGTTGAAGTGGAAGAGCTGAGCTATAGGATAAGTTGTGTTTTGTCATATAATCTTGAATCACTTTATATCTTATAGGATTGTCACGTACTTTGATTGGATCAGCCCAAACAGGTATTGCTGCTGTAATTTCTTCTTTATTCATTGATGTCGTTACTACTACTGCTGCTTCTGCTGCTGATGATGGTGTTGGTAATGATGATACTGCTGATGAGGATGATGTTGATGATTTTGTAGATGATGAAGAAGCTGCTGGAGATGAAGACAATAACGTAGTCGAATGTATTTGGTTGATGGTTGAATTTGATGTTGTATTGACTGTAATCATTTCCTTTTCTGCCGTCCTACTAGTATTTTCCGCAAACATCGTTGTGCTATCCAAGTGATTTTTGTCATCATGACAATTGTTGTCGTTATGATGCTGATGTTGCTGAATCCAAGAAAGTCCTGTTTCCTCTTCCACTGTACCAATATCATAGTTGTTGTCGATGTGTTCTTCAGTCTGTATGTCCTTTTTTCTGTCAATAACTTGAGCATTGCTGCAGTTTTCTGTACTTGCAGTCGAAATATCATCACTGGTGTCACACGATGATGTAACTTGTTCCACATCCGGCTTCGGCCTTGTAATGTCACTTAATACAGTTTCTAATGTTGGATGTTGTTCGTCAGGAATGGATGATGGCGGAGTGATGGCAGAAACTACGGAATCATGCATTGTATTGAGAGATTTGCATTGCTCAGTACCATTCTCTTCGTTGGATAGTGTCGGATAAAAGGATGTTGTTGTTGTTGGTGAGAAGTCATTGTTCCATGTTTTCGCACTTTCCATACTAGAAGCTAAAGTACTCTTACTACTATTTGTACTACCACTACTAAACCGGCGAGGTGTCATATCTGATGATGAATAGGTGCTATTGGTCGTGTTGGTGGAGATTCGTCTTAATCGATACTGTTGTTCTTGATGACGATAATGCTGATATTTTCCCTCTTCTATGCGATGATTGCTAATATCATAAACCAAAGGGGGTGGATATCCATGAGACTGAGGATTCGGATAAATTGTATTGGAATGATGACCATAGGAAGGATAAGGAAAAGTCATATAGTAATATTGTTGTGTGGGATAACGATGACCAGGTGTCTCGGGAAACGAAGACCGATGATGTGCTACAGGTTGCGAGTGATGAGGTGGTACAAAGTTATCGTCCTGAGACAAGCTAGGTCGATGGTGGCGTGGTTCTTGAAATTGATTCCGTTGCTTTTGACGTGTTTCTTTTGTTTGATGCAACAAACACCGATTTTTGTTGTCTTGTTCTTGAAGAGAATGATGTCGATTGGTCAATATATGCTGGTTAGTATCAGGTTGCTTGTCATACTTAGTAGTAAACGAAGTTGATTTTCGTGTAGAGCCATGCTTGTCAAAGATAGATAAATCTAAAGGTATCTTGGATGTAGTAACCAAAGGATCAGTACGTTGAGCAGAAGAAGAAGAAGAAGAAGAAGAAGAAGAAGAAGAAGAAGAAGAGATGGCAGTAGGAGAAACCTTGATATCGTGCAAAGGGATTGTTTCAGTAGAAGAGCATGGTGGGAAGCGTACAATACAAGAAGGAAAAGAAGGAGTAGAAGTGGATTGATGATCAATATCAAGAAAAAAAAGGAAATCGTCTGAATGAGGTCGTTCTTCCATGGACTTTGGAGGAGAAGTAGCAGGAATGGGTATTGGCTTTTTGTTTTTCCAAGGGCGACGTTGACGTTGCATAAGTGAATGTGGTAATGGTTGTGGTTGCTGAGTATAGAACGGTTGGTGAAGTGAGTAAGGTATTGTCATGATGGAACCTTGTCGAAAATAAGCACCGTACATTATTGTTCAACGCACTTTATTTTTCGAAAAGAAAGAAAAGGGAAGAAATCTGTAGAAAAAAAAAAAGGTTCAAATCAGTTTTTTTTTTTTTTTTTTTTTTTTTATTATTTTTTTTACCCCGTGACCAAATAATCAGAAGACCTAGCCTGTTTTGAGGTTCTCCCAAAAAAAAAAAAAAAAAAAAAAAAAAAGAATCATTGATGGATGCAGCAACATTGATCGAATTCAATATAAAAATATGTTTCAGTTAAATCATTATTATCATTATTACTGTAAAATTGTTATTGACAAGTACTTTCTATCTTTATTCAAAAATAATGAGATGATGGAAATACGATATTATAAACAAACAATGAACTAAAAGGAGAAAGACAAATAAAGAAAGAGGAGAAAGAATCAAATAAAGAGAGAAATAAAAAAAAGAAAGAAAGAAAGAGAGAGAGGGGGGGGGAAAAGGAAAGTGGAGGAGGAGGAGGAATACAATAATATACAAGAGTAAAAATATAATAAGATCGCTAAAGTACAATACATACATTTACCAAGTAGGACCATTCTTTTTGTTCCATCGATGACGATATGGACCCCGTTGATATCGTTTTTGCCATCTTGATACAGGTGTGAATAATGTTGAATTTGCTTTGAGTCCCAAATCTGTTAGTACATCTGTCCGTCTTCGTCTTGTCCTACCCATAGTGTTAGTGTTGTTTGGATCATCTAATGCATTTTGTCGTACAAGTCTTTCTTGCATAGTTGATAGATATTCCACAATATCATCACTTTCCGGCATATAATACATAGGCAGAGTTTGTTCCATATAAAATTCTTGGTCAGCATCTCCTGTGCTAAATGATATTGTTGTATAGTTCCTATCATGTTTTTCATTGTCTTGAGTAGTTCCAGGTGCTGAAGGTGGTTCAAAAGGTCGAAGATCCGTCATATAATTTGCAATTTGTTCATCCACTGTAAATAAGACAGAAAAAAAAAAAGAATAATGAGTCATCCAAAAAAATTTACAATATATATATTGTATACTACCATCTTCGTCTTCATGAGGTTGATTTGAAAAAAATGGTTTTTCTTCTTCATCTGCCAATCCAAGTAATGGTCGATGTAATGAGAAAAAGGCATTATGAGCGAATTCAGTTTGTGGGATATTGATAACTGGCATAAAAGACAAGTTAAGTTCATTGGACTGTTTAGCAACAAAAGGTTCTTGAGAATCTTTAGTGATTTTTTCTTCGTCTTCTGTATTTGATGATCTGGTTTGGTTGGTACTATTGTGTCCTTTTCCATTACTAAAAGATGATGTATAATTGCGAATAATGGATTGTTGCAAGGGCCATTGCTGGTTGCGTAAGAATCTTGATCGATATATAATATTGGCAGTATGTTTATAAAATAACATGAAAGTAGAATATATATATATAAAAGAAGGGAATAAAAGAAATAAAAACAACAATAAAAAGAAGAAAAAGAAAAAAGAACCAAATAAGATTGGATTCTTACAGTTTTTATAAGCGAAAACTTTGATAAGATAGGGAAAAGAAGAATGAACAAAAAAAATCGCAAGGTTTAGTAAAAATTTAAGAGATTTTTTTGGTTCTGCCAGAGAAAAATAAAAACAAACAGGGCAGAGTTTGACTTTCCGCTCAAGATTTTTGATTTGCATGCACCAATCGTTTGAAAATCCAATGCTTTTTTTTTTTCTTCTCTTTTCTTTTTTTCTCACATAATAATAATAATACCATCTTATATAATGGCGACACATTCTTCTTCTTCTCAAACAGTACAACAACAGTCACCATCTTTACCTTCATCTACTTCAGTTATATCTCCTATCAATATTCCTCAGTTGGTAGTAATTCGTGATCAAGTTCACAATACTTACAAACATCCTATATTACATTATGTTTTTGAAGATGAACCATTCCCAGATATCGCAAAGGATAATCTAATTGTAGTAGATTTTGATAATGAACTTTTATCGGAAACTAAAGAACCTAATGTGGAAAGTTACAGTCCTCACTTTCAAGTATCTCATTGTCGAATGGAACAAAGCACAGTTAATGACCAGTTTGATCAAGATAGTACTGGCTTACTTAACCTTATACTTGAAGGTGTTTCCGCTCCTCAGGCGTAAGTTGATAAAAAAAAATAATCATGTTTTGAACGGATTATCTCTTATCTCTCTCTCTTTTTTTTTTTATTATTATTATTGTTACTAGAAATGAAGCTATTGAAAGTTTACATCCAGTACGAAACGTTGATAGCTTGAAAGAAATGATATTCAACTTTAAGAATCGGTAAAGGATCAAAATAATAAAAAAAATATCAATTGGCGATACCGTGTCGTTACTCACATACTTTTTATTGGATATACCTTCACTAGAAACGAAATGGTTAAAAAGGTCTTCCAACAACAACAGTAACATTTGACTAGTTTTATATATATACCCTGTGCTACCCCAGCTTTTACCTCCACAAGTTAGATTAGTCATTTTATTCATTCTTAAATAATATATATATATATATATGCTAAATTTGTAGTCTTATTATTCACCAGTAACAAGGAGTATGATGACATACAGTGTCATGAATATTAATAATGAATATGATGGACAACGATAAGGATAACATATCAGCAAGTGTGACAAGTGAATTCTAGTTTTATGATACTTCATTTAGAAGAGACAGCATCGTTATTTCATACAAAAAGAAAAAAATTAGCGAAGACTATCGTCAACGTTTTATTGTACAACTGACAGAGAGAGGGAGAGGAATCCACCATAACTAATGATTAGATGTAAGAATGGAATTTTAACCTAGAACATATGATAATATCTTAATGCCGGGAATCAATGAAATTCGTTCGCATAAAAGTGGCAACATCGACAGCAAGAAGACGTTCAATCAAGGATCCAATCAAAAGCAATGACTGGATTTAAAATTTCACTTGACAGAGAGACAAAAAAAAAAAAAAAAAAAACTTTTTCCCTTCTTTCCTTTTTCTCCCTCACAAACTCACCTTTGTACGAAAATGGCTAAAGGAATTCGATCTCACGTTAAGAAGCGGGCAAATGGTAAAGTAACTAAATCAAATAGCGATTAGACTAACACCATTATTATTATTATGATTATTGTAGTCGTTAAACGTGCTACCGTTTTCAAGCCAGTGGAAGATCTTCGTTTAGCACGATTGGCAGCTCTTCAAGTAGAAGCAGCTACTAAACCAAGTGTAGGAGATCATATGGAACAAGATACAAAGGAACAAGGTGATGATATGATGACGGATGAACCTAAAAAGATCTCAACAAGTGGACCTCGGAAAAATAGCAAGACCCTTAGAGCTGCTAACTTCAAGAAAAAGAAAGGAGCTAAAAAGAACAAGAAAACCACCAATAAATTCTAGTTTAGTTTAATATATATTTTGTATTTCTCATTCCTTTTTATTCATGTTTACTAGTATATCATTCTTTTTTCATTACATATTTTTAGTATAGTCTTCATTTTGCTTTATCTTTTGTTACTGACTTTTTTTTTTCTCCAATAAACAAATAAATCTTTTTTTTTTTTTGGTCCCGCTTGTCTCCAAATTGTTTTTTTTTCCCCTTCTCTTCCCAATACTTTTTTTTTTATTTCCTATTCAATTTGCAACAATGACTATTACCCTTCTATCTAGTCCACCAGATCTATCTAATTTGACCATTCGACATACTCAAAATGATATAGGACTCGACGTATCACCTTCTTTGGCTGGTTCTAACGGTACTATTCAAGGCAAACTTTATGTGTGTGAAAGGTAAATCGTATATCATATCACTTTTTTTTTTTTAATTCTAACCTTTTTTTTTTTTTTTCTATTCTTTTTTATCTCAACAAAACCAAAAATTACTATAGCTTGTTATATTTTTATTCTGAATCTTCCAATGCTGGTATAGCTGTTGAATATCCTGATATCATTATTCATGCTATTTCTCGTCAAAGTGGTGAACCATCCATTTACTGTCAACTCAATGCTGGATTATTCTTTCCAAATCAACAATTACCTGAAGATGAAGATCACGAAGATATTGTTACTGAATTAACTTTTACGCCAAGAGATACAAATTCTTGTAAGCAAAAAAAAAAAAAAAAAAAAAAAGAAAAGGACTAGTAAGTCATGATCTAAATGCAATCTTTTTTTTTTTTTTTTTCTAGTGGAAGATATCTATATGGCTTTATCAGATTGTGCAGCTTTACATCCTGACGAAGAATTCATGGCGGAACAAGCAGCTTTGGAACAAGAAAATGATGAAACTTTCTATGCTAATCCAAGCGACGAAACCGAATTGAATGAAGTACAACAGGCAGCACTACGACACTTGGAATCCGTCTTCGATTCAGCACCTACTCAGAATGGTAACAATCATTCTGACGAAAGAAATCACCAATTTGATGATGCCATGGATGACAACTAATCCAGATAGATTATATATGTAACCTGTTGGATCATATTAGTTGTTAGTTTAGTTTCCTTTTTTTTTTGTAGATAGTTTTTGCTGTACAATTTGTATTTGGGGTTATGCGTACGAAATTTTTTTTTTTTTTTTTTTTGTCTTTATGAATCAATAAAAATGACTTTTTTTATTTATTTATCTAATTTAAGGCGAAGATCAAAAGAGATAACTAAGCTATGGGGACAAATATGATTGGAACCAAGTACGGAAAGGGACAAAAGAAACATCAATACCATCAGTTTGTAAACGAGTAGTAGACAGATGACAATCCTTGGGTCTTGAGGCAGAAGCAGAACCAGAGATAGAATTTTGTGGTTGAAGATGATCTTTGGATACATTGAGCAAATCCGCAAAAATACCTAAAAGCCAATATAAAATACATGAGAAATGAGAAAAAGGAAAAAGAATAATTCAAAATTCCTTTGTTGTTTTAAAAGAACTTACAACACATGTCGTATTTTGTAAGCATTTCTTCGGCTGTAAAGTGATAAGTTCCTTCAATTGAACGACCCTTTTCAATCTTGTAAACTTGACGTCAAATTATAAAATAAATATATAAATGATCATGTAATTCAACGTTTCTTCTGTTTGTTCATCCTACCTGCCAAGTCCTTGATCACTCTGCCAACGTCGTCCACTATGTTTAGTTCATCCGAGTCCCAAAAATAGAAAATAAAGAAAAAAAAATAGTCAATTATCATCAGGTTACTATCATCTTACCATTTGTAGGATATCGAAGACAGTAATTATCCATTTCAGCAGGTTTGTTAGTATTCTTCACCGAATCGATCAATAAATTGACAGCTGATTCACCATTGAAAAGAACATCTCCATATCTAAAATAAAAACCAGATAGAAAGAATGATTGAATTTCGAAATAAGTATGGAATTATTCAATTATTTACAAGATTGGTACACGAAGGATAACAGAAGCTGGATGAATGTCACGAATAGCTTGTTCCCCAGCAAGCTTGGATTCACCATAAAAGTTAATAGGGTCAGGAAGATCATCCGCTTGATAAGGAGGGTTAGTGCCATTGAATACGTAATCAGTACTAATATAAATAAGCATAACACCATGAATCTTTGCATAAAGTGCCAGATCACCAGGTACTTTTGCATTTAACTACAAATGAAATAAAAACCGTGTCAGTTTATGAATTTTATAAGTTCAAACTTTCACTTACTTTGAGAGTTCCCTCATGATCCTTTTCTGCTACATCTGGTCGACGTTCGGCCGCACAATGTACAATAACTATTGGATAGAATACGAGGAATAAATCCTTAGACAATTTGATAAACTGTTTTTATAGATATACCTTCAGGTTTGATATTGTTCAATAATTTTTCAACTTGTTCACTATCAGTAAGGTCAAGCTAAAATTAAAATTATTATTTTTAGTAAACCATATGAATATATACATATAGTAAAAAAGTCACAAGTATCACTTACTTTGATGAGCTCATCATTCGCTCGACTGTACGCGGTTCCCACCACTAAGAAATATAAAAAAAAAAGTAAGTGTTAATAAACAAATATAGTAATAAATAACAATGAGTTTACCAGAATGACCAGCAGCTTTAAAGTTACGAACAACAGCTCTACCAAGGAGTCCAGAAGCACCAGTTATCAAAACCTTCATTTCTTGCAATAAAGTAAAAGAAAAGGAAAAAGAAAAGAGGAGTTTGAACTTTTCATCTTTTTGGAAAGTTTTGGATCAATCTGCTTGGGCGAGTCACGGGTAGTGTGAAAAGGAGGGAAAGGGTGCGTTGGAATTTTTTTTTTTCTCTTGCTTCTCTTTCTACTCTCAGTGACCAAAAAAGAAAAAAAAAGATTGTTTAGCTATTCTCTCTATTATATAAACCATGGAGAATCCTGAACAATCTCATACTGAAGCTCTTTTGAAAGGTATATATAAATTTATATTCTACTTTTTTTTTTTTCATCCTTCAAAATATATTATTTACCTTAGCCTTTAATTTCAACTAGATCTTTCGTCGGAAACGCTGACAACTGAATATAATACTTTGAAAGCCCAATATGATGAATTATCGAAACGGGAAGAGTTATCACGTAAGCATCATCATCCTTTATATATATATATATATATATTTGCTATTATCAGAAATATAGTTATAATTTCACTTTTATTAATACATATAGGTCAAGAACTTGAACGAACGCGGAATCTTTTGGAAGAAACACAAAGAAAAGTTACCATTAATCAACGTGAAAAAGAAGCGGCTGAAAACAAAATGGAAGATATTACAAACACCAAACATGAATCTATGTCTCTAGTAAGCAATCTTCGACAGTCATTGGCAGTGCTCAGATGTAAGTAACATACCAAAAAAAAAAGGCAATACATGTTTTTACTAATAACTCCTTTTTCTCCTATACTAGCTGAAAATGCAAAACTCTCTCAAGATACCAAAGAATATTCTATGAAGATAATCAGAATGCAAACAGAAAAGGATGCTGAACACTACAAGAACGAATCTTTGAAAGTACGTAGGACAGTATTGCAAAAAAATAGATATATAAGATTAAATACTCATTACTTCTTTTTTTTTTTATATTATTGATAGTTACAAGTCCATGAACTTCATTCTAGACTCAACAATTTAATCAAAAATGAAGAAGGTACTCGACAAGCTCTTCTCTCTGCCGAAAGTGAAATCAAATTGCAAAATGAAGCCAAGGTAACTTTATTAATCATAGAGAAACAAAAAAGAAGGATTTCTTTACTAATATCATGTTTTGTATATAGCAACGTGAACGAGAACAAGCATCATCTCAAAAACTTTATTTGGAAAAGGAACGCGATACTCTCTCTAACACTGTTCAAGAACTACGTGAAGAATTGGCAAAATGTAAAATTGACATGGAGCGTGCTATTGAAAAAGCAAAGACTGCCGAAGAACGCTATGAAAAACAAGAATCTAGTCGTATTGTCACCAAAAAGAATCATAATGATTTGATTGCCATTTACGAACGACAACGTGCGGAAGCAGAAGAAAGGATCGCCAACTTCTCAGCAGAATTGGAAATTGTACAACAAAAAGCAACTGCACAAAATGTCAAATTGGAACAAGAAAATAAGTCGTTACAAGATCAACTTACCAATGCTTTGGATCGTTTACAAGTTACCCGCAACAGTATTGATCAACTTATTGGAAAACAAGATAGTACAACAGAAAATACATCTTCAAATACGTCATCTCCTCTTACAACTCCTGTGGTTGGTAGCAACCTTTTGAAGATGATGAAACAATATGAAAGTACTGGAAAACATTGGGATGATATTTATAGCGACTTTTTCGAAATGCGTGATACAACTGCTCGATTGACATCTATTAATAATGAACTCACAGTAGTAAATAAGCAATTAGTACGAGAAAGAGATAATCAACGACAATACCATGATCAGTTGGAATCCGAAATTGAACGATTACGTGCCGAACGTTCTTCTCAGTCTTCTCTTCAAGATGAACTTGCAAAATTAAAGATCTCCAGTACCAACCAGGTAATAATGACAGAAAAAAAAAAGAAAAGGAAAGAAAAGTAAAGCAATTTCTAATTATCGCCTTTATCTTTTTTTTTAGATATCTCAACTCAAAGACAAAGTCAATGAATTAGAAAACAACAAAAAAGATCTCACTGCATCATTGAATGACACAACTTATCAACTTCGATATCTTTTAAGACATGTGGAAAGCCAGTATGGAACATTACCAGCTGAAGTACAGGAAACAAATGATTTACTTGGAAATGCACATATACCATCAACCCTGGGACATGAAGCAACTGTTTTCAAGGACATTGCCGATTTACAACAACGTAATCAAGATCTTATGACCCAAGTCCGCCATCTATCCGCAGAATTAGAAGTGAAGTCAACTGAAGCCAAAAATCACGCTACCAATGCCAAAGACAACCATTCTCTTCTTACTGAATCATCTACGAAATTCAAGGCTTTGATTCATGAACAAAATGAAAAATTGAAAGCATTGGAATTAAGGTAAAAAATAAAACAATAGTAATAATAATAATAATAAAAGAAACGAAAAAGAAACTGGTATTGATCATCGTTTTTTTTTTTATTTATTTTTTAAAAAAACACCTTAGATTATCTTTGACAGCATCAGAACGCGACCGACTTCTTAATCAAACTTCTACAAATACCTTGACGACATCAAATAGTGCCGAATCCAATGACATTCAACAAAAGCTCAAACAGGCAGAAGAGAAACATATTGAGATGTCTACAGAAATTGATAGTTATCGACAAGAAATGGAATTGGAAATGCAAGAACAACGACAAGAATTAAAACAAATCCGTGCTGAAGCTTCCACTCTACGAAAAGAACATAGTCAAACTCTGATGGAGTTGGATCAAGTGAAACAACGTAACATTGGACTTGTACAAGTATCATCTTCTCGTCAAAGTGAAATTGAAGATCTACGACGTCGTGCTACGGAAAGAGAAGGTCATATTGGTGAACTGGAAGCTCGTGTGCTCTCTCTTCATAATGAAATCATGGCTCTCAAACGCAGTCTGGAAACCTTGAATAATGATCATTTATCTGTATCTGCTCAACTTCGCGCTAGTGACGCTAGTTACCAACGTCTATTAATGGAAAACAAGGAATTGGCAAATGAACGAGGATCTCTTACAACGTTACTTCAAAACATGAATGAAAGCTTGGGCAGCTCGACAACTGGAACAAGCCATTTGGTAGAAGAACTCAAGCAACACAATGAACGACTTTCCCGTGAATTACAGCACCTTCGTGAAACATTGTCAACAAAAGAAAAGGAACTTCGTGGATTACAAGCCATTGATCAACGTGAATGGAAGGATAAATATCAAGTGACAAGTGGAGAACTCAAACAATTGAAGTTGACCTATTTGGAACTAGAGAAGCAACTGGCATCTGCAAATCAAGAACGAATCATTGCTCAAACAAAATTGCGAGAAGCTCTTCACAAGATAGAATCAAGCTCAGGTGATGGAACTGGTATTACTGGAAATGAAGACAAGAACACATCAGATGATGCCATGGCAGAGCAAGCTAAGCAACTCGATGATGCAAACAACTTGGTCTTATCTTTGAAGAAGGACCTCTTCGGTTTCAAGGAACGACTCGCTGACGCTGATGCTACTACCAATAGAATCACAGAGGAATATAACAAATTTGCCCAAGAATCTCAAACACGTATCGACAAACTATCTGAGGATCTCACATCCAGCAATGAAAAAGTGACCAACTTACAAGATGAACTGGAAAAGATGTTGACGGAATTGAAGGAAACAAAAGCATCTCATATTTCCTCAGAACAACAATGGGAATTGACCAAATCGACCCTCGTACAGGAAAATGAACAACTCCAAGCCAAGATCCAGGCAGTTAATGATCGAATTGGTGAGTTACAGACGGAATTAGAATCAAATGTGAAGCTTTTACAACAAAGTGAAGATCGATATCAATCAGAGATGACTGCTCGTGTTCAAGATGGGGAAACCATGGCTAAACTACGTGATGAAGTACAACGACTCAATATGGATATCTCGACATCAAAATCTGAAGTTTTGGGTGCTCAAGAACGCCTTCGTTCTGCTGAATTGTCTTACCGAAGCCAAAAAGAACAATTAGAAAATTCTCAAAATGAGATGAAGCTTAGGTAAGAAAGGGAAAAAGAGAGATGATGATGAATAAAAAGATGGAATTGCAAGGAGACTGTTTACGAGAAAGCATGTTTGATACTGGTTTGATTATATTATTAATATGTATTTATTATTATTTTTTTATATATTCTCAGATTGGAGGAATCACAAAAGCAACAAGAAGCATTGACAGCGAAAATTCAAGAATTACTTGCCAAAGTCAATGAATTACGAACTACTCCTGATAATGTCGATGATCAATCTATTGCCAACCTTGCTGATAGTGCAACTCAACAACTCCGTGATGTCAGTGCTTCTTTACGACGTGAAAAAGAAATCTGGCAAGCCCGATGCACCGAAGCTCAACAACGTGCAACTCGTGTAGAATCAGATCTGGAATTCGTACAACATCAATTGGGTACCACTCGTGCTCTATTGGAAACAGTACGTGCTGAAAAAGATGACACTACCAAGAAGCAACTACAAGGAATCAAGGACGCAAAGAATGAAGCTACACTTTACAAGGAACATAACGCTTCTTTACGCATTAATATTGAACAACTTAGGGAACAAGTTACTCAACTGGAATCTGTTGTGGCTACCAAAGAAGCTGAAGTAGAACCTCTTACATGTAATATCTTTATGAAAAAAAAAAATGAAAAAAAAATCTGTCTTACCTTTTCATATTTAAATGATAGTGAAAGCGCAAGGTTTGGAACAGGAATTGAAGCAAACAAAGGAAATGGTCCAAACTTTAGAAAACAGACAAGAACAGTGGACTGCTCGTAGTGCTCTTTTGTTATCGAAACATAATGTAAGTTAACATGAATACTTTGATTGTATTAAATGTATTTCTTTTTTTAATATTATTATTATTATTATGTAGAAAACGGATCCTCAAGAAGTCGAAAAACTCAAGACTGAGCTCCAAACTGCAAAGACACAATTGGATGAAAAGACAAAATCTCTTGAGCAATCTGAAAAGCAGTACCAAGAATTACTGGCGAAAGCGACACAAACTGAAGAGCAACTTAAGAAAACGACTGAAACGGTAATAACAACTAGTAAGATATAAATATGGGCATGATTATTTACATCTTTCTATTATATTTTGAATGATTTTTTTTGCTTAGGCCAATCAACGTGGAAAACTTGCCTATGAATTCAAGAAAAAAGTGACGGAACTTGAAGCAGCAGTAAGTTTAATATTCAAAGAAATAAATATGGATGACAAACAATTGATCGTACATTATGGATTGTTTTTTTGTTTTAGGTAAAGGCTCAAAGTGAACAGCCTCATCCACCCGAAAATACTGAAAAATTGAAGGAACTTGAGGATGCATTGAAAAAACAAAAGGATGAACATACTGCTCTCTCGGTAAGCATATATTTATATTATGAATAACAAAAAAAAATATGTACTAATTTTTACTTGTAGACCAAATATAGTAATTTACTCAACAAGGCCAGGCAGTTGAATCAAGAAAAGGTAATCATCATAGAATACAGATGGGGTATGATACAGTACAATTTTTAATTATTATTTTTTTTTTAAAAAAAAAAAAAATAGAAAACACTCACAGCAAGTTTGGAACCATTGAAGCAAGAAAAGGCAGAAATGACAACACAAATGGAATCCATTAAAACGGAAATAGATCAAATGAAACAACAATTGACCACTAAATCGGAAGAAGCATCATCTCTACAAGTTGAAATTGGAAGGATGAAGGCAATGCAATCCATGACAACCAATAAGAATGAAAAATTGAAAAAGGAAGTGGCAGCTTTACAACAAAAATTACAAACAGCTGTACCAGGATCACAAGGGCAGAATGATAAAGCATCGACGTCAACGCCAGTATCATCAACAACAGTAGCTAATCCTGTTGTACCTTCAACACCCACGCAATCAACACCATCTCAAGTTACCATACAATCACCCACTACACCATCTACGTCAACTCCACCATCCCAACCTTCTCAAGTATCTCCTGTTCAATCCACTGAAACTCCTGTAACGACATCAAGTACTACAACAGAAAATGATGCATCCATTCCTATGAAACGTTCCTCTGAAGATGAAGCAAATGGGCAATCACCGGCTAAAAAATAGTTTAGTTTCCCATCTTTAGTATAGTTTTTCCTTTGTCGATTTTTCAGTTTATTTTTTTTTCTTTTTTACCAATTTTACAAATACATACACCTATATATCTATATGAATAAATGTCAATTTTTTTTTTCAAAGACAATCTTCCTACATGTGTTTCCAAAAGAAAGTTTAAGAGTATTTCCTGTAGCCTTATTTGTATGTGTTATCTAACTAACCCCTTCATGTTACTCTAATTCCTATGATATGGCAACATATAAAATCATCACTTATGATTGATGGATGATAATTATGCCGGTGACAGAATTGGAAGGGGGAATGAAGGAAAAAAAAAAAAAAAAAAGGGAGAGGGGAATAATCAACTGTTGAATAAAGTGTAGACATTTTTCTTTTTTTTTTTTTTTTTGTAATTAAACTGTATTGACCCATATCAAAATATATAAAATCAATATTACTACACTAAAAAAAAAAAAAAATTCACTCCTTAATTTTTATTTCGGTAATTTCAATGATTTCTTAAGCCTGGTTTTTTCTGTTCTTTTCTCTTCTTCCTTCCCCCCTTTTTTTTTTTATCAATTTTTCTCGTTCTTTTTTTTTTTCTCTTTAATATAATGCTTGAAGACTCACGACTTCCAAGTCTTGATTCAACTTGTTCAAGTCATGAAGGACTAGATCACCTTGTACTCCCTCAAACGTCTGATATGCTTCTACCAAATACGACTGCCATATTACAAACTCAAGATGACATCTCTAGTGATAGTGAATGTAGTAGTACTGATGGTCATGATCAAGCTTTATATGACCTTCCGCTTGTCATTCGAGCCTTGAAAACTACATTAAAGCACCAAGAAGAACAACAAGAACAACAACAACGGCAGGACGAAGGACATAGTAGTGAAGATGGACAATCGTGTTTGGATACACCACCTGCCTCTTTAGAAGACGACGATGATTTGGATGAACGACAAATACATACACCAACTACAAGTACTTGTTCTACTTCTTCTGATTTGAAACCTATAGACACGACCATTCATTCTGATCCTTCATCCAATCCTACCAAACTGGCCAATGGAATTCAGTTACCGACTGTTGATCCTAAATCTATTTCACCCAATTTAATGAATGCTATTGAACAAGAAAAACAAGGTGATATTCCAAAAAAGAAAAAAAAATGAAATCATGATCAATAACTTATATTCATATTTATATTTTTTTTATTTTTATTAAATAGATGAAACGGCGAATATGGCAATGCATTATTTCTTTCAAAATCAATTCATGAAAGCAAAACAATTATTAGAACAACATGCTGCAAGGTACTGCAGAAAACATCTATACACGTTCTTACTCCTTTCTTCCAAATATATGCGCAGTAAATGGATGATACTAACAATATATATATATATATATTTTTGAAATAGCAATCCTTTACATTCTCTTTGTCTAAGTTCCATGTTATTTTTGAAAGGTAACCCTTTTTTTTTGAAAATTGATTTTTTTATTTTACTTCATTATTGACTATTGAAACTTACCTTTTTTCTTTTTCTTCTTTTTCTCATCATCCCCTCACTCCTTGTCTGAACTCTATTTTTAGCTGTGATGGTATAGAATTCTGAAATTATTACTTGATCCAAAATGAATCATGCATTGATAACTAACTTGTAATTATTATTATTATTATTTGCACGTGCATGATAATGATCATAGACAAACGATGAAAGGACACGAAAAGAAAGTTTGGATGCTTTATTACGGACATATCATTTGACAACAACTGAATTGGAAATGACAGTGAAGCAACAAAGTGCATTTTTTGGACATCCTGTTTTACAATATGCACAACACTGTTATTATTATTTGACATGCGGCAATCATCATTTAGCATCACATCCAACACCACGACGACATAGACAACTAAATCCATTTTCTTCTCAACAACAAAAAGGTGAACAATTTGTATCCAATGGTATTCTGCGTGCACATATCATCAAGGCTGAAAGTTGTTTGCAAATGGCTATTCTTTACCTATTACAAGGATCTTATTCTTCTTATATTAAATGTGGAATCAATATTCGAAGAGGTAAATATAATATTATTATAATAGTCATTGTTTCTTTAGACTGATCTTTTTTTATTATTATTATTATTATTATTATTATTAATCCAGCTTATGCTAGCTACTATTTTGTATGGCAAGAACAACAACGAATGGGACAATTCCATGCAAATCATATTGACAAAAATACACTTTGTGGTCTTCAATTTGGGTAAAGGTGAAAAAAAAAAAATAGAAAAGGAAGGAATAAGTAGATATTTAATTATTGTCTATAATTTTTTGTTACTTAAGGATCGGTGCTGTACACTTGATACTAGATTCACTACCATTGAATATTAGACGTATTGTATCTTCATTCACATGGCAACCTGAAAAACAATTAGGACTGGCTTTATTAAGACTTAGCAAGGAAAGCGATGGAATACGATCCCCCTGGTCCTCATTATTGTAAAATAATAAAAAAAGAAGAAGAAGAAATTATTATATATCTTGGATTCATAACCTTTTATTTTTCTTATATAGATTACTAGCTTATTATACCATTTTAACTTCAAGTTGTCCTCAAATTTTAATGGTCGAATATTCACAACCAGCCATTGAAGTAAGCCATCATAATCATATATTGTGGACAACAAAATGATGATGAGCTGATAATGTCATTTTTTTTTTTTGTTTCTTTGTGCAAAAGGTGTTACTAGAAGCTCAACAAGCGTATCCACATTCAGCCTTTTTTCTTCATTTCGCAGGTCGAACATCAAGAATTGGTTGCAACATCCCACTCTCAACACAATCATTCCTTTACGCCATAGAAATCAGCAAAAGCGACTGGGCAGAATTGGACATTTTCCATGTATGTAGTAACGAAATTGGGTTTAATTCTATGATGCAAATGGATTGGGAAGAAGCTATCAAGGTATTTGAACTTCTATATGAGCATGATTATTGGTCTAATGGTGTCTTTCGCTATTTACATGGAACGTGTCTTGCTATGCTTGGTTTAGATACTGAAGCTATTCTACTCTTTGCTCAAGTTCCCGAACTTATTCTTCATGGTGATACAGCGAGCAACAACCTACAAGATCTAGAAAAGTACATTTTACAAAAAGTACGATTTTTTGAAAGTACTGGATATCAAGATTGTAGATTATCATTATGTGCCCTAGAATATGTGTGTCTGATGAATGGTATATGTTTTTTGGATTCAACTACTTTGGAACATTATCTTGTATTGATTGATGACACTTTACAACATATCGTGGAAATGGAACAACTCGAATTTGCTATTCGTGAAAGGGAAATGGATCCTGACACACCTTTGCCTTGTTATGTAAATCAACGCGCTGTATTACTTTGGATGAAAGCGTGTATTTATAACAAAGAGGAACGATATGATGATGCTATCCCTCATCTCAACTGGATTGTTGATCATAAGGATGATATCGATATGGATCAATGGGTGATTCCTTTTACATTTTGGTAATAAGATTATATATATATATATATATAAATTGTATTTATTTATTTTATATATATATATATGTGATGATTGGTATTAGGGAAGCGGGGATCACAGCTTGGAATATGGACAATCGTACACGTGGAAGAGAACTATGGGAAAAGGCTGCTACATACAAAAATTATGCTTTTGAAAATCGAATGGCTTTGGTAAGAAAATAAAAAATATAGTTTCGATTGGTTAACTAATTTTTTTTTTTTATTAGAAAATACATCTCACCTTATCAAAAGCGGATGCTGATGGTGTACCTAGTTCTCAAAAAATCAATAATTATCAAGGTCGTTCTCGATTCAAATCTATCATCTTATCTAGTTAGGTGATTACAACATACGTTATACCTTATTGTTTATATCTATATACTTTAGAATTTACTCGTTGTATCATAGTTATCAATTTATAAATTATTTATAAATTCAATGCCTTTGCTTTTTTTTTTTTTTTTTTGACATATTCAGGCATAAATTGATTCTACATCATGTGGTCATATATATTCATACCCAGCAAATCACGCCTAAAAAGAAGCTTTCGTGTACCAAAAATTTCTATATCTTTATTTTCTCTTTCCTTTTTTTTTTTTTTTTTTTTTTTTTTGAATCAATGCTTGTGACGCCTTTGAAGGTGTTTGCAAATGTTCATACACCTATTAATAAACCACAGGAAAATACAAAACGCTTAATTGTAGTTCAAAAAACATCCTCAAAACCTTACCTTATTGTAACAAATGCTGAAGGTAAAACAAAAAAAAAAAAAAACATTACGGAAAAAAGGAACCCAGTTTTTTTAAAATATGCATTTTTCTCTTCACCTTTTATTAGACAAAGATATAAACAAAAACGATACAAAGTATGAAAATGAGTTGTTTTTTTTTTTTGTGCAAAGAGTGCCCATTACTAAGTGCCTTCTTTTTTTATTTCTTTTTAGTCACACTCGTTTCGATTACACCGATTGCCGTTATTCTATACCCGATCAACACAATTATGTAGATCAACTTGAAAAATTGATACGAAGCTCAATGATAGGTACTATGCAATTAGTCTAAAGAAAAAACAGCATTACTCATATTTTCTTTTATATCTATTATATAGGTTACAACAGTGCGGGCGTATTTATCAATACAGGGTAAGGAAATGAACTGACGTGGTTATTGATGAAGAAACTGATCGCTTATAAATATCTTTTTAGGGATGCACCATTTAACGAAGAAAGGTTAGAACTGACAAAGTTAGCGTTAAAACACCTAAATTTACAACTATCACTGGAAAACGATCGACGCAAGAATGAATTATTACCAGAAATCAGAGTGGAATATGGGTAAATCAAAAAAGAAACGAAAAAGTTGAAACCAGTTACTGATTCTTTATTCTTTTTGATATATATATTCAGTTATGTTGGATTCTCAGATGAATATTGTTACAACTATCAAAAGAATCAACGAATTGAAAGTAAGTTCTTCAAGCGAAAATATGAACAACGGTTTCCCCTTTTCAAAACTCAGGTATTCACTGTAACTTTTTATTAGATATTAAAGCACTTGAACTCCCATTGACTTCCTACCTCAAACCTATCAAAAACATGGACGAAATTTACGATGAACTGATCTCTATTCCTCGAAAATACCCAAGCATTCTTACATTCTATTTCACTGATGATCGACAGTTCCATTCTCAGTTTGCCTTGATTGATCTTCTTCCTCCTTCCATTGGGTCTGATTCAATAGCTTATCGCAAGTCTTACCGTCAATTTGGTATGTATTTTTTTATATTCAATCCCAAGATTCAATCTATATTTCTTACTTTTACTTTTAATAAATAGAAACAATGACAAACTTATATTCTGATCCACAATTCTTTGGAGTTTTGGATGTTGAACGTTATTCCATGTCACATTTACTGCTCGATTACTTTTCTGGATCTCATCAAATTATGGTCTTTGCTCATTTCACTGTAAGTTGAAGGATAAAAAAAAAAAGAAAAAAATTATTCTTTATTGTTCTCATGCGATGTATTATCTCGTATCTTTAGGAATATGGATCACATACAACAGGACGAAATTTGGATATACTGCATTTTACATCGAAATTACAAAATATTCGCTGTGTGGTGAACCGTGAACAATCAATTTGCCAGACTAAAGAAGTACAAGTGGAAAGGGTAGGTTGAAACTATATATATATATATATATATATATATGTGACCGATACATGCTTTATGGATTCTAATTTTTTTTTTTGTAATATACTTTATAGAATCGAGTCAAGGAATTGAATGATGAAGTTGGAAAACGGGATGTACTACTGGAAAACTACCGGGCAAAGAATCTTCAACTCCAATTAGAAATGCTACCTTTGAAAAATAAGATTGACTTATCAGATTGCCATCATCGAAACGTAAGTATATTCTTTCTCTCTCTCTCTTTTTTTTTTCCTTTATTTTTGATTTCTGACTAGATGGGATCTGGTGACTGATGATATTTTTTTTTTCTTTCCTTCTTCGTTAGTTATTACGCTCAAGAGATGTTGTTCAAGCAGCCATGAAACGTGCGATTGCAACTCACAAATTAGAGATGGCCGATATGGAACATGAAATGAATCTACTCAAGATATCTTTAGGTAATAAATATATATATATATATATATATAAAGCTATCATATCATCTAAAGTAAAACAACATATGAAAACAATATTAACATGGATTTTTTTTTGTTCATCTATTTCAGTTGAGGCATCAGTATCTGCAAATTCCTTCCGATTTACAAATGATGATTTGGAATATCACCTTGCAGAGGCGCATGTAAGAAGAATATTAAACATATACGTATCAAATATTCCAATGACTAAATTTGGATTTTATTTTTATATTATTAGCGGGTTAATCAGCAACTTTTGGAGGCTCATAAAGATTATGAAAATGAAATAGAATATTTGAAGGAACAGGTCGACGAGTTGACAGCATTTCAAAGGGACGCTGAAAAAGAAGATCTCAAGAGCAACCTCCTCTTGGAAAAACAACACGCAAAGTGGGTAGCTGCCGAAACCGAATATGTGAATCAACTTGAAATTCTAGAAGTTAAATTGGAAGAAATGAATGGTGAATTCAATGAATTGCTCTTGGAACGTAAACAATGGGCAAAGAAGAACGAATCCTTACAATTGGAAATGGACAGTAAGATCGCTAGAATGGAACGATTACATGATATTGAAGTTCAAGGATTACGACAACAAATCGAACAAATCGAAGCGGAAAAGGAAACAGCATTAGCAGCACAGGAAGAAGAATTATTCCACCTTCGCAGTACTTTAAAATCATCAGTCTGGAGTAAACCGACAGAAAGAAATAGTATACGAAATCGACAATATCTGGAGGAACATAATCAAGATCATAGCTCTTCAACTCGAGACATGGAGACTGATAAACACAACAGGCAACAGAAAGAAAATATTGAAAGGCCATCATCAACATACACAGATACTCTGAACAACAATGACTATATCAAAGAAAGCTGGACTAAGAAACCTTCGAAATGGACGCAACCTAAAGATGAGCACACAGATGCTGGGTATATTGTTCTGGACGATAATGATGATGATGATGCAATGGCTATACGATTTGATGATGATGACAATAATATTGATGATATTCGACAAATGGAAACGACAACATCACGACCTTTCGCACCAAATACGAGGGCAGCAACATCAACTGGAAAAACCTATGATAAAGATCTTGAAGATGTTAAAGATATACGACAACATGAAACTGAAATGGACAGCCTTGAAGAGGAAATGTACAATGCTGCAGAAGCAGATATAGCTGAAGACATGGATGAATACAGTACTGGTCTCCCGGATTTTACATTATCGAAAAGTACAATAAAACCAATCGATAAGAAGATTTCTTCCGTTAACCTGGATAACGATGATGCAAGTCAAAAAAAAAAAAAAAAAAAAAGTGGTTAGGTCAATATGGGATATAATTAACTTACTTTTTATGCCTTCTTATTAGGATGATTTTGTTGCACCTCCCAGAGACAAAGCACGACCGTTACCTAAACAAGTGGAACCAGTATCACAAGGTACAAAACAACGACAAACGAAAAAGATACCAGAAGAAGGTTCAACACCAGATTCAGCGATCTCGAAAAGGAAAGCAAGAAAATCACAAAAAACTTCTGACATTCAACAAGTTAATACAGTAGCGACCTCTTCCCATCCACGATCACCAACATCTCATATAGAAATGCCATCAGAGGCAGGGATGGCACCACCGGATTCGACCATATCTAAAGAAAATGGACAAATGAAAGAAAGTTTGGAACAAGACGATACAGCAACAACAACTTCTTTGTTATCAAAAAATCACCTTTCACAACCATCATCATCGAAATCCTCTGAAAAAACCCAAAATGCACCACCAAAAAAACGAGGAAAAACAGCAAAAAGTTCCATATCAACAATGATTGATTTTTCATTACCGGAATCTGAATCAACTTCACAGCAACCTGTAGTTACCAAGAAACGACGAAAAATGCGACCCAACAAAGCAAAAAGGAATGAATCTGAAATGAGTCCTGTTATTAATGGTTATGATGTTAAACATTTTGAAATTGATTTAGATAATTAAATTTTATTTAGAATAATCTTGTATTTTGGGAACAAAATATTAATAAAAGAAAATTTGATGATCAAATCATGCAGCTGCATCTTTTGTTTGTGTTGTTCAGTTGAATACAGTTTATTGATTGCTTGGTATTCAGTCCCCGCTTTTATTTTTTTCTATTGATAATTGTCTCCCTTTTTCACTGAACTCTTTTGTACTCCACTTGTTTTTTTTTTTTTTCTTCTTAACCCCTTTCCTTTTTACTTTCTTTCTTTTTTTTTTTTTGCCCTCTCATTGTCTTACTCTTTGTTCATACTCCACCTCCTTTGTCACTTCTTTATTGGTTATTGACATGACTTTTTCTCGTATGGAGGCCGCCATGGAAGATGCTTTTGTAGAATGGGTAAATTTTTTTTCTCTATATCATTATCTTATAACTAAATAACTTTTTTTTTTCGTGTTATATAGTTCAATACATTCGAATGCAAATCTCATCCTATTGATACTGTAGTTGAACTGGCTGACGGAGTGGTATTATCGGATATTCTTACTGACGTGTAAAAGAAAAAAGGAAATACAGTATACTGAAGATATATTAATCATCTCTCGTCCCATATATTTTTTTTTATCTTTAGAGATGGCAAATGGTTCAAACAGATACCAAATCAAACGGATACACAATTGACCTGGGTACATCGTCTCAATAACCAAAAAATTGTTTATAAACTCATAACGCGATACTTTGAAGAAGTCTTGGGGCAGGACCCTGAACTACTTCCTCCTGTGGACTTGAATGCTATTGCCAAGGATGCTGATCTTCACCAACTCTTGCTCATGTGTCAAATGGTTATTGCTATTGCTGTTCAGTCTGATAACAACCATATGTATATCGAAATGATTCAAAGCTTATCCCAAAAAAGTCAACACGCTCTTATGGTGTCTATCGAAGAAGTAAATGAAAAAAAAGGCATGGATATAATTCTTTTTATATATACTGATCTATTACTATTTCTTATCTTCTATTTTTTTCTTTTTTTAAGATTATGAATCATTTCAATATTGATGATATCAATCCTCGATCTTCTCAACTCTCAGGAACATCTGGTACCACTACATCTAGAAGTTTTTATACAGATAGGTAAAAAAAAGAAGAAAAAAAGGGGGGAAGGATGTACATTTTATCTTCAAGGGATAGCTCAACTGATCATAATTTATCGTCACTTTAGCGATCTTCCCCTCAAAACTCAACTGGAACTGGATAAGCTTTTATTAGAAAGGAAACAATTTGAAGCTACACATACACAACTATTGAACGATTATGATGATTTACGTGAAAGATTTGTAAGTTTGATTAAAAAGAAAACAAAATTATTCTATACTAAGGCTTTATTATTATTATTATTATTATTATTATTATTATTATTATTATTATTATTATTATTATTATTATTATTATTATTATTATTATTATTATTATTATTATTATTATTATTATTATTATTATTATTATTATTATTATTATTATTATTATTATTATTATTATTATTATTATTATTATTATTATTATTATTATTATTATTATTATTATTATTATTATTATTATTATTATTATTATTATTAGGAAGATATATTGGATGAAAAAGAAGATCTCAAACATCGATTACGAGATATGGATGCTGCCATTGCACAAGCAAATGATACTGGTAAAGCAGACTTAGTGATGCTTGCTGAGTTGGATCATGTGAAACAAGACTTGGCCAAAAGTGAAGACAAACGACATGAAATGGAACAAATTTTGGAACAACATGTACAATCAATTCATGATTTGAAACGAAAGATTGAAGATTTATCAACCAAAGCGGAAGAAGCCAATCTTTTACGAGATCAACTGGAAGAATATCAACAAACCATGGAACGATTACAAAAAATGGAAACCGCTTTAGACAAATACAGACGAAAAGCTGAAGAAAGTGGTGATCTACGACGACATATTAAAGCTCTTGAAGAACAAAATACAAGTTTATTGGAACGCAGTCATCAAGTAGAGGACGAATATCGCAAAGTATTGGCTTTCAAAACATTGATGGATTCTTACAAGGAACAAGTACAACAATTGGAATCAAACAATTTAGAAATCTTGAAGGAAAAAAATAGATTGGATGCTCAAGTTGCCTCTCTTGCTGAACAGTGTACTTATTTGGAAAATGAACGAGATCGAAATGCTGAACAAGTACAAATGTTGGAGGATCATATCAAAGAATTGGAATTGGTTGGGACTGGAACAACTCTTGACAAGGTGGTTAGTCATCAAGGTAGTGTCGATATTGATGATGATGATGATCTTGGTCCTACTGGTGAACATCAAGGTGAATCTATGGATCTAGATCAACGAAATAATATGGAAGAAAATATGAAGAAGACCAATGTGACTGAATTGTAAGTTTTTTTTTAAAAAAAAAATGAATAGATTCAATTTTAATTGTATTTTTTTTTCTAATTCTTACAAAGACGATTAACCATTGGACGATTAAAGCGACAAATCAAGGAAATGGAGGATACTAAACCTTCTGATCTGAATGGTGAAATGAACTCTTCTTTGATGCAAGAATTACAAAACTCAAAAACATCATTGGAAAAGGTAATAAAAAACACTATTTACAAGACAAATCATGTTAACCGCTAATTCTTTATTATTATTATTATTATTATATATGGAATGATTAGGAACATGAAGTTATTGTAGCTGAACGAGATCAACTTCGTCAAGAACTAGCAAAAATTCGCAATGGTATTCCTGATTCACTATTGAACCAAACACAAACAATTATGGCATTTAGATCACGTATTCTTGACTTGGAAAAAGAATCTGCTTATCTCAAAACGCAATCAATACAATTAGAAGCAACTGTAACACAAGGTACCAGTTCCGTCGCTAAGGATCCCATCACCTTTCAACAATATGAAAAAGAACATGGTCGAGTACAAGAACGTCTCAATAGATTGGAAGATATTACCAAAATGCAACTCCATGATATCAATAGGATGCTTGTAGAAGCCAATTATCTCAATGGTATTAACAATCAACCATCTAACGACGAAGATCAACCTGGCATGTCTGAGTAAATAATTATATATATATGATCAATTTCATTTTTTTTAAACCTCCGTTCTAATGCATGATTCTTTTTTTTATATAGTGCTGATTTGGAAGTGATCAAGGAACAAAATGCAAGTCTTCAAATTCATGTACTTCATCTTCATGAAGAAATCAATGAAACACAAGGAAAAATACGAAAAGTTCGAGATGTAAGTTTTTTTTTTAAAAAAAAAGAGAAACAAATTATATATTAACTATATCTTTTTTTTTATTGGATGTAAGATGATCAAATTATATGGACAATTATTACAAGAAATGGCAGCTCGATTTACAATGGGTAGACAATCAGAAGAACCATCTACATTATTATTATCAAGAACACCACGTACAAAAGAAGAAGAACAAGATTTGTTAAAGGTAAATAATAAATGAAACCTTTGGGAATAGTGAATTAACTTGATTTTATATATATATATATAGAAGCAAATTCATGATGTACGACTTCAATCACGGAAGGAACAACAACTTATTATATCAGCATGGTATGATCTGGCTCGTAGAAGTCATCGAGATATGTCCAATTTATCCATTAGATCTACTCCTTCTTCGTGGCTTGGTAGACAAAGGAAAATCTTAGATAGTCATTTACGTCAAAAATTATGTTGATCGAAATAAAGTTTTGTTTTTTTTTTTTTTTCTTGTACGTGTTGTGTTCCCATCCTCTTTTGAGATTCCGCCTTCTTGTTTTAGATTTTTTTTTTTCTCTTCTCTTTTTTTTTTTCTTTTTCCTTTCCTTTAACTTTTTCTTTTACCTTTTTCAGTACATTCTCCTTGTCCAATGAAGTTTGGTCAAACATTGAAAACATCATTGAATCCTGAATGGACTTTTCATTATGTTGGTAATTTTATATTATATATCAAAAAAAAAAAAAAAGAAAAAAGAGAAAACTATTTTCATACAGTTTATTAATGTTTCATGATTACTCTTTTTTTTTTTTCTGTAGCATATGACGATTTGAAGGCAATATTAAAGAATGGTCTTCCTTGGAATGAAGTATCAGAATCAAGATTTATCGAACGGTTAGAACAAGAATTAGACAAGGTATATAGTTTCCAACGTGTCAAACTCGGTGAAATCCAACGTCGTATTGAAGCTGAAACTCAAGAAGTAGATATTCTTTGCAAAAAAGTTAATCCTGATGATGATGAATTTACTGCTTCAGAAATTGAATTGGGACATATTATTGCTGATGTTCATGATTTGGCCAAGTTTACTCGTTTGAATTATACTGGATTTATGAAAATTATCAAGAAGCACGATGTAAGTACAAAAAAAAAAAAAAAAAAAAAAAAAACACCGACTAACCAATGACATATCGCACGTGTTTACTCTTAGAAAATGACGGGTTGGTCACTCAAACCAATGTTTGGTGTTCGTTTAAATGCTAAACCATTTTACAAGGAAAATCATGATCATTTGATTGTACGTATTTCGGGATTATATGATCGAATTCGAACAAGAGGAAAAGAACGTGGTGGTGATTCTGGTGCTGGTGGAAAACAAGCTGCTTTTGTTCGAAACACTACGAAATATTGGTAAATATATATAATACTTGATAATAATAATAATATTAACTATTATTTTTTTCTCTATTAGGGTTCATCCTGACAATATTACAGAACTGAAATTAATTATTCTTAAACATCTACCCGTCTTGGTATTCAATCCCAACAAGGAATTCCAACAAGAAGATTCAGCTATTACTAGTGTATATTATGATAATGATGATTTTGATTTATATATGGGACGATTGGAGAAAACTGAAGGTGCTGAAGCTATTCGAATGCGATGGTATGGTGGTATGGATTCTAATACTATCTTTGTGGAACGCAAAACTCACCGTGAAGATTGGACTGGCGAAAAATCGGTCAAAGCTCGTTTCCCTATCAAAGAAAAATATCTCAATGCGTTTTTACAAGGTCAATATACCGTAGATGAACTCTTTGCCAAAACAAGGGAACAAGGACGTAAATCTGAAAAGGAAATTCAAGAATTGGAACAATTGGCACAAGAAGTACAATACCGTGTGTTAACCAAACGATTACATCCAATGATGCGTACTTTCTATAATCGAACAGCTTTTCAATTACCTGGGGATGCTCGTGTACGTATTAGTTTAGATACAGAACTCTCTTTGATTCGTGAAGATAGAACCAAGTCAAACTGGAGACGGATGGATATTGGTGTGGACTATCCTTTCAAGCAACTTCCTGAATCTGATATCTGCCGATTCCCTTATGCTGTATTGGAAGTCAAATTACAAACTCATGTCGGTCAAGAACCTCCTCAATGGATCATGGATCTTGTCAACTCTCATCTTGTGGAATCTGTACCCAAATTCTCTAAATTCATTCATGGATGTGCTTCATTATTAGAAGATCGAATTAATGTCTTACCATTCTGGTTACCTCAAATGGATGTGGATATTCGCAAACCTCCCTCTCGATCATTTTTATCTCGACCTGCAGATGGTACCTTGACACCTTCCTCAACACATACCAGCGATGAATCTGCTCCTGCTACTAGATCTACTTCTCATATGGAAATCAACGTACATCCAGATGTTCTTCGCTCAAACAACAATAACAATGATACCATCAATGAAAATACACCTTTACTTGTTCATCATCCATCTCATGAAAAGTCAAAAGATGGCTTACTGAAACAACTTTCACCTCCTGGACTTCGAAATTTGATCAGCAAGACTAAAAATTCCTTTTTACGTCAACGAGAGAACAATATCAACAATAACAACAATAACAAATCATCTCCTCCTGCAAATTCAACTCGTGCACGACCTATTCAAAAAGCACCTCCTGTCAAAACTTACTTTGCTAATGAACGCACTTTTTTACAGTGGCTCAAATTCACTCTCTTACTCGGTGCTTTGGCTATTGGATTACTCAATTTTTCTGATCATATTGGTAGAATATCGGCTGCTGTATTTACCGTATTGTCCATGACTATTATGTTGTACGCTTTATACAATTATCATGATCGTGCGGATCGTGTGGCTCGAAGTGATACTGGTGAATATTCTGATATTTATGGTCCTGCCGTGATGACATTCTTTTTGGTGATTGCTGTTTCTGTGAACTTTTATCGTAAGTCGAAGAGGGATGATCCTTTAGGAATGAAATCAATTTTACTCAATTTTTTTTTTTTTTACATTATATTATATATAGTTCGTCTGACTGCTGATGAAGGTATCTGGAATTAGAATCTCTTCATCTCTCTCTCTCTCTTTCTCTCTCTCTGTTTCTCTTTTATTAGTCATCATTATGCCTTTACTCTTCTTTTTGTTTTTACCTTACCATATTTTCTAGTCCTAGCATTTTTTTTTTTTTTTTTTTTACCATTTTGACTATTTTAGTACTTTACTTCTTTGACAGATATCTACATTGGAAAAAAGAATAAATTTGGAATAAAAAGAATTCAAATTGCATAGAAGTCTTGTTTGGATGGGTAAAAGAGTAAACAGTTTTTTCAGATTTCGATATTATTTCAAGACAAATGCTATTTTGATTTTTTTTTTTATTGAATGATGATCGTTATTGGATGAGACATTTCGATATTGACATTCCATTTTTAATTTACTCTATAAATCGAGAGAGAATATATATATATTGATATTAAGTTAAGTGAAAGAGTATGATTTCATGATATCCAAGCTTAGTGCAATGATGATGATTTTTGAAGGAATGACAAAAGTATAAAAAGGTACATACATATCTGCTGCATGAGATGCTGCAGTGTAACGGGAACGAATGATTCGAATTTTTGAGGAAAAGTCAAAAGAGAAACTGAAAAAAAAGGCAGTGACTAGATGTACTAATTAAAGAGGGATAGATATGACTTTGGGAACCTTGATGTGTAGTTATCATGGACACAGGTTTTTCTGCGGTGTTCCAATTTAAGTTTCTTTTTCTCTATTCCAAGGTTTTTTTTTTTTTTTTTGCGTCTCTCTTTTATTTAAAAAAAAAAAATCAACTTGCTCTTTTACAAATAAGAAAGTTTTAGATAATGGCAGACGAAGGGTAAGAACTGAATTTATTCACTCAAAAAAATGACTATCATTGTTTACTAACCTTTTTTTTTTTTTTTTTTACACACCAGTCTAAGTCAAGAAGACTTTAGAAAACTCTTACAAACACCACGTCCAGGAAGTGAAACATCTTCAACGTATAAATTCAAAGCACCACCACCGAAGGCACAGTATGTTAGAAACGAATTAAGAAAAAAACAGAAAGTCTACAATATTCTTTTTTTTTTTTTTTTTTTTTTTTTTTTTTTTTTACTTGACTCATATATTTTGTTTTCTCTCTTTTTAATGTAATAATAGACGAAATGAAGGATCAGCTGTTTTTGCCAAACCAACATCTTTAAAGAACAAAAAGTAAGATATTATTATCTAATATATTCTTATAGAATCCTTACAAATTCTTTTTTTTTTTTTTATCAAGGAAACGTCATGCAAATGATGATGAGAAAAAGTCAACTACACAACGAAACTACCGTGATCGAGCAGCAGAGCGACGAGTGGGAGAACAACAACAAGAACCATCAGAAGATCAACAAACGACTGAAGATTTGCTAAGACCCATGGAACAGAACGAAGCTTTGGATGCACAACAAGTCTATGAACAATCTAAATATTTGGGTGGGGATATTCAACATACACATCTTGTCAAGGGATTGGATTTCACATTACTGAACAAGGTGCGACAACAGATTCGAGAACGTGAAGAAAAGAACGCTATGGCTACCTCACCTACGGATGATATGGATGGTAATCAATCGGCAACAACAGAAACAGCAACAACAACAGTGACAGAAGAACAAGCTGAAGATGTATTAGACAATGTTTTGGATCGTTTGGATCGTGGTGAAAATATGATGACAGAAAACATAAACGATGCTCTTTCTATGCAAGACAAGAATCGATTATCAGCAACAGCAAAGTCACTCCAGGCTCTTTTTGCACCATCCATGACTACAAAACCTATACATGAACTTTTTCGCCCAGGTCGGATGGCATTTTTGTTTCCTATGAATACTTCTGATCCTTTTGCGATGCCAACAGCAGTCATACGAAGCAAAGCTGATCTTCAACAACGCAAAACTTCCTCACAACTTTCCGGCTGGTCCGATGATGCTCTTGAAGAATCAGAACTGGTCCTTTCCAAGGTGGCACAGGTCATGGTACGAAATAGATTAGAACAACAACAAGAACAGGAACGCATGAAGCAGCTTCAGCAACAACAGGAAGCAGCTTTGACAAAAAAATCCATAGCAGCATCTTCAACTACTCTTGGAAACAATATGATGGATGATGATGATGACGATGATAACCTTATTTTCAGTGATGTAGAAGGAGATTACAGTTTGGATGAAGCGATGATTGAACAACGCAAACAACAACAACAAAAAGAAGAAGAAAAAGTTAAGGAGGAAAAGTCAACAACAATGCAACGTACCAACTATTTCATGGACAATGACGATACAAGAATGGAAGATACTGTGACAGTAGAAACTGGAACATCATCAATCAGTGGTATGGACAACGTTTTAGGCGCGAAACGGAAATATCAAGCTGGACCTGAAGATATATTGGATGCAGATAGTCAGGATATAGATATGTTTGGACTCAGTACAACAGCACTACCAACTTCATTTACTGATCGTCAACGAATGGTGTTAGATGAAGAAGAAGTAGAAGAAGAGGATGATGATAAGAAGAAACAGCAAGCAACATTATTGATTGATCAAGGAACACACAAGAACAAAAAGGCACAATTGTCAAGGTGGGACTTTGATGATGAAGAACAATGGCAACAGTACAAAGCAACAGTAGAAATTCAACCAAAGAGTGCAGCTCAATTCGGGGTCAAGATGAGTGATGGACGAAAACGCAACAAGGAACGACGAGTCATGACTGAAAAACAAAAATTGAATAGGGAATACCAGCAAGTCAAAGGCATCATGGAAAAGAAATATGGTAAAGGATGATTAGTTTTTTAGTTTTTTGAAACAATAAAAAAAAAAGGAATATTTTTTTAGCGATACTTTTTATTTAATCGGATAATGTTTTAATCGAATGATTGGGGAGGAAAATTATATACTAAGCATTGGTCATGATTATTTCTCAATGATATGCGTGTGATCATAAAGATGAACCTTTTGGGGAGAGAAACAGATGATGACGATGAGACAAAAAAAAAAAAAAAGAAAGTGTTTTATTCTTTTATGGAACCAATCATAGAGATTGATCTCAAAGAAAATAAACTTTAAATCCTATTTTAAAATCTGGGGTAACCAATCTATTCCCACCTATACAAAAAAAGAAAAAGAAAAAGAGAAGGATTCTTTTTTCTTTAAAAAAAAAAAGTTGAACAAAGAAAGTATAAAGTTAACAGAAAAATGTCAAAAATGAACCCTTAAACATGAAAAATAAAACATGAATGACAATATAAAAAGGGTCCTTCTTCACTCAGGTATTCTCCCTCGGTTGACTTGCAGTTTATGGAATCTGTCTTGTGGTATTTAAGACTTTGTGTTTTGTACCTCCGCGTTGTGTACCTTGTGATCCTTGTTTTAATACACAACATGAAAAATATATGAAATGAGAATTTATTAAACATTAGATGGATAATCTCCACACACACGCTTTCTCTCTTTCTTTCGATTTTTTTTTCTATTATTTATTAATTATCTTCTTTGAATTGAAAAAGACAAAAGAAAAAGATAAAACATATAGGATATGTATGTATTTTGCTTTTTTTTTTTCTTTTTTGAACTACGATGTGTTCTATCTGATGGGTTCTTGCAAGCTTTTTTAGCATTGTGTACTTTGTACTCATCCATGCCATTAGCCAATCAAAGACATTACGGATTTTTAATTTACCAAACGCCCCATTATAAGGTTTGGTCCGCAAAAACTGCCCAATCGTATAAAAAGGACAGGGGAAATTATTTTTTCGATCTTTTCCCCTTCTCCCCAACAATTTATTCTTTTTTTTTTTCTGTCAATTTTTTTTTCTTTCTTTCTTTCTTTCTTTCTTCCCGCCAAATCCAAGTTTCTCCCCTCCCCCCTCCCCACTCTCTTATTTATACATTATTATGACTGCTCAAGAAGAAATCCCTACTCACCCAGTTCCTGAACGTTTGTTATCTTCAGCCTGTCCAACTCCTCATGTCGATTCTTTGGATACTTATAGAAAACTTTGGAAGGAAAGTGTAGAAGATCCTGATAAATTTTTTGGTGATGTAAGTTTTTATTATTTATTTATTGTAGATATTTTTTTTTTTTGAAAAAAAAAGTCATTTTAGATTCAATATTCTCATCATCATTTTTTTTTTTTTTTTTTTGGATAGCGTGCTCGTGAATTGTTAACTTGGTCTAAACCTTTTCAAACTGTTCGTCACGGTTCCTTAGAAGAAGGTGATGTTGCCTGGTTTTTGGAAGGTGAAATCAATGCTTGTTACAATGCTGTAGATCGACATGCTTTGAAGAATCCCGACAAGGTTGCCATTATTCATGAAGGTGATGAACCTGATCAAGTACGCAAGATCACGTATGGCGAATTATTACGACAAGTCAGTCGTGTGGCTAATGTATTGAAGAATTTGGGTGTGCGTAAAGGGGATAATATTGTTGTATATATGCCTATGATTCCCGAAACTTTGGTGGCTCTGTTGGCTTGTGCTCGTGTGGGTGCTGTACATTCCGTTGTTTTTGCTGGTTTTTCTGCTGAATCTTTACGTGATCGTGTAGTAGATTCATCTGCACGTATTATCTTGACTTCTGATGAAGGTCGTCGTGGTGGAAAGAACATTGCAACCAAGCGCATCGTGGACGACGCTTTACGTGATCATCAAACTCATGTTGAACATGTTGTGGTTTTTCAACGTACTGGCACTCCTGTCCCTTGGGTTGAAGATCGTGATGTCTGGTGGCATGAAGAAACTGCAAAAGTACGATCATTCTGCCCTCCTGAACCTATGAATGCCGAAGATCCTTTGTTCTTACTCTACACCTCTGGTTCCACTGGTACTCCTAAAGGCATTCAGCATTCCACTGGTGGTTATATGCTTGGTGCTATGATGACTCTCAAGTATATCTTTGATTATCATGAAGATGATGTGTATGCTTGTATGGCTGATGTTGGATGGATCACTGGTCATACTTATCTTACTTATGGTCCTCTTTTGAATGGTGCAACCACTGTGGTATTTGAATCTACTCCTACTTATCCAAACCCCTCTCGGTTCTGGGATTTGATTCAAAAACATAAGATCACTCAATTCTATACCGCTCCTACTGCTATTCGTGCCTTACGTCGTTTGGGTGATCAATGGTTGGAAGGTTATGATTTATCAAGCTTACGCGTCATTGGTTCAGTCGGTGAACCCATCAACCCTGAAGCTTGGGATTGGTATAATGAAAAGGTTGGCAAGAAACAATGTGCTGTTGTTGATACCTACTGGCAAACTGAAACTGGTTCCATCATCATCAGTCCTTTACCTGGTGCTACTCCTACCAAACCTGGTTCTGCCACCTTGCCCTTCTTTGGTATCAAGCCTGTTATTCTCGATCCTGCTACTGGCAAGGAATTGAATCAAGTGGATGAAACTGGTGTTCTTGCCATTTCTCAACCTTGGCCCTCTATGGCTAGAACTGTTTATAACAATCATCATCGATTCTTGGAAACTTATTTGAAACCTTATCCTGGTTACTACTTCACTGGTGATGGTGCCTCTTTGGATAAGGATGGTTATATCTGGATTCGTGGACGTGTGGATGGTAAAAAAAAAAAAAAAAAAAAAAATAAGAAAAGATGACTCGATTTGGTTTTAATATTATTATTATTATTATAGATGTTATCAACGTTTCCGGTCATCGTTTATCAACTGCCGAAATCGAATCTGCTCTTGTACATCATGAAGCTGTTGCTGAAGCTGCTGTCATTGGTGGTCATGATGATTTGACTGGTCAATGTATTCATGCCTTTGTTTCTTTGAAACCTCATTTGGATACTGCTGATGGTTTGGAAAAAGAATTGACTTTACAAGTACGTAAGATCATTGGTCCCTTCGCCTCTCCCAAACGTATTTATGTGGTTCAAGATCATCCCAAGACTCGTTCTGGCAAAATCATGCGTCGTATTTTGAGAAAGATCGTTAATGGTGAACAAGATCAATTAGGTGGTAAGTTTCCTTCTAGAGAAAAAGAAAGAGAGAAAAGATGGTTTTAAATATGGCTCACTCACTTTTTTTTTTTTTTTGTGTATAAAGATATCTCTACTTTGGCTGATCCTAGTGTTGTGATGGTCTTAATTGAAAAGGTTCATGGTCCCAAAAAGAATTAAACTTTCCCTCCTGTCATTCATTTTATTTCCACACTATAGTTTTATATACTCATTATATCTGATTTAGTCTTTTTTTTTTTTTACTACGTATTATAATCTTCTCATCCCTTCCTGTGTTTTATATATTCTTTAATAAAGAAAACTATTTAAAAAAAAGGATGTATCCTTTCGAATACCAATAGAGAGTGAAAATTCTTTCCATATCTTTCGCTTTTTTCATTCTATCTTTATATCTTTACAGATACATTCATTCTATTCATCAGTTTAAGAATCCATTTCCCACCCCTTTCTTTTTATTTTTTTTTTTTTTTAGTATACTCAAAATAGATCAAGAGTGACAAATGATGCATCAAACCCCGCTTCATCATTGATCCGGAAAATATGACATGGAAGGATAGTAAAACAGACAATAAAAAATATATAAAGATAGAATTGCTATAGCAACAAATAGATTGATGTTATTCTATCTCTTTTATTACAAAAGGAAATAGATCAAATATATAGTGTGCGGCTTTAATAACAGACTATATTAGAGATCGCTTTGTTTTTTTTTGTCCTACATCTGCCGAGATAGGTGTATGAAACAAAGGATAACCATTCGTTCATTATTGCGGGGAAGCAAAACAATGTCAGAGGTAACACAAGGAGAGAAAAACAAATTCTATCTTTTTTTTCCCTCTTTTGCTATTCTTCTTTTTTTTTCTTTTTTTCTTTTTTCTTTTTCTTTTTTTTTTTTTTAATATAGAATACTTGTGTGTATATATATTTTAGATTAATGAAGGAATCTCTTATTATTGACACCGATCCTGTAATATATCAACGACAAAGATAGAAATCAATTATTTGTTTATCTAACACTGTTTTTTTTTCTTTTTGTTTTGTTTATTATTTATGCTAATAATCAGGGAATTGATGATGCTTTGGCCATTATTCTCGCCTACTTAACCCCTTCGGTTGATATCAAGGCCATCACACTTACTCATGGTAATGTTGGCATGGAGTGTGTGAAAAAGAATGCAGCAGTCATTTTACATGCTCTTTTGGATAATCAAAAATTCCTCCAACTTCCTTTGAAACCATTACCCGTTTTGGCTGTAGGTAAGTGGCCAATCAAAAAAAAAAAAAAAAAAAAAAAAAAAAAAGGGCAATATAAATGATCTTTTTTAATTTTAACCTTTTATAGGAGCATCTTCACCTTTGGAAATCACACCAATCGAAGCCACTTATTTCCATGGAGAAGATGGAATAGGAATGATTTACAACGAGGTAAAGAAGAAAAAAGAAAAAGAAAAAGAAAAAAAAATCAATCATTCATATTATTTTTATATAGCTTCATAAAGCACCTCAAGATTGGGAAAAACATTTCATTCATGAAGAAGAAACAATTGAGGAACAATCCAGATGGTTTGAAACAACAACTCGTGATGCTGCTGATGAGATTTTATACCAATTGGAACAAGCTGAACCACTAACGGTGACCATTGCTGCCATTGGACCTTTGACCAACATTGCCTTGGCCTATCAAAGAAATCCTGTGATCTTTTCTCGAGCCAAACGGATTGTCGTGATGGGTGGAGCTGTGGACGTTCCTGGCAATATCGGTGCTTATGCTGAATTCAACTTTAGAGCCGATCCTCATGCTGCAAAGATCGTCATGGGTACAAGTAAAGGTTTTCAACATTCTCCTGAAGGTTATCAACAACGTTTGGATTTGATTGCTCAAGGAAAAGTGGCTCCTTCTCATATTGTCATTTTGCCTTTGGATGGTAAGAAGAGCAAAAAAAAAAAAAAAGTTGATTTTGTATCTTATTTTTTTTTCTCTATATAGCTGCGGATGGTGGAATGATTACCAAAGTAGATTATGAAAAATATGTTCTTCCTTTAGGCAAATCAACTCCTTTATTTGGATTCATCAATGCATTCATGCAATGGTCTTTTCAAGTCAGTGCCGCATATTACAAGATGGATAGCTGGGCTATGTAAGTTTAAATCATCATTTGGAACAAAAAAAAGCAATATTGCTCATGATGATTATTTCTATATTTTATAGTTACGATGCATATACGATGTTATTGTTAATTGAAATGATCCAGGATAAAGGTGATGGTAAAGGGGATCCAACCTTTGATCAAAGATGGAAATGCAAGTATCTGGATTTGACTATAGAAACCTCAGGAGAATACACACTCGGAATGTAAGTAAATTTGACTTTGATATGATGTTGTTTACTCATTTTTTATTTCTATTTTTTTATATTGAACAGGTGTTGTGTGGACAGACGTGATTATCAAAAGGACAAGAAGCCGTGGGATGGAATTGCCAATAATGTACAAACCTTTTTCGCTGGTGATGCTAGTCGATTCCGTACAGTCATGTTGAACACAATCTTTGGTCAAAAAGAATGATCTTTTTTTTTTTTTTTTTGTTATATTCAATTAGATTAGACTGTATTAAATGAATAAAATAGATGAATATTTTGACATTTTCAGAAATCAGGTACAGATTCTTTCTAATCGAGTGTGGCTTATGCTGCATTTGAAATTTCGATTTTTTTTTTTTTTCGACACATCTCTTTTTTTTTTTTTTTTTTCTTCTTTGACTTCATTTTTTATATTACAACATGGTGAAAAAGGTGGTCGATTCTCGTGTACATACTTTGATCAAGAACTGTGTTCAAACTAAACATCGGTCTTTCTTTGTTATTGTTGGTGATAAAGGAAGAGATCAGGCAAGTAGAAAACTTTAGATCTATAGTAGAACTTATTATATTGACAGGTGCCCTTTCTTTTTTTTTTTTTTTATAAATATAGATCGTAAACTTACATTGGCTTTTATCTCAAGCTCAAGTTACAACTCGTCCTTCTGTTCTATGGTGTTACAAAAAGGATCTTGGATTTACAACGTAAGTCCCCCTTTTTATATGTGCTTTCGTTATTTAATTATTTTTTTTTTTTTTTGATAGTCATCGCAAGAAACGTGAAGCCAAGATCAAACGAGATATCAAGAAAGGCATTCGTGAAGCCAACAATGAAGATCCTTTCGAACTCTTTGTCACCGTCACCAATATTCGTTATGCTTACTACAAAGAAACTCAGAATATTCTAGGTAATACTTATGGCATGTGTATTTTACAAGACTTTGAAGCTATTACCCCAAATACATTGGCCCGTACAATCGAAACTGTTGAAGGTGGTGGCATGGTAGTCCTTTTATTGAAAAGTATGAATTCTCTTAAACAACTTTATACAATGACTATGGTAAATACAAAAAAAAATACAAAAAAAAGATATGCCTTTACTTTATTCTTATGCTCTTTTTTTTCATATTAGGATGTTCACAGTCGCTATCGAACCGAAGCTCATCATGATATTGTGGGACGATTCAATGAACGATTTATTCTTTCTCTGGGTGCAAGTGAGAATTGTTTAGTGGTGGATGATGAATTGAATGTACTTCCTATCAGTATGGGTAAACATGTCAAGGCTCTTCCTATGAAAACAGGGGATGATGCTCAATCAGCGGAAGCTTTGGAATTGGAAGAATTGAAACAATCACTTGCTGATACTGAACCAGTTGGATCTTTGGTCAAAGGAACTCGTACTGTTGATCAAGCCAAGGCTGTATTGACCTTTATTGAAGCCATCTCTGAAAAATCTCTGCGTAGTACTGTCACTTTAACTGCTGGTCGTGGTCGTGGTAAATCTGCTGCTCTTGGTATTGCTATGGCTTCTGCTATTGCTTATGGATATTCCAACATCTTTGTCACTTCCCCTAGTCCTGAAAATCTCAAGACTTTGTTTGAATTTGTTTTCAAGGCTTTTGATGCTCTTGGTTATGAAGAACATTTGGATTATGATATTGTACAATCTACCAACCCTGATTTTAACAAAGCTATCGTTCGTGTCAACATTTTTAGACAACATCGACAAACTATCCAAGTAAGTTGAAATTAAGCAATGGATTAGAAAAAAAAATATTTATCTCTCTTTTTTTTTTTTTTTTTTAGTATATTCAACCTCAAGATGCACATGTTCTTGGTCAAGCTGAATTAGTTGTCATTGATGAAGCTGCTGCTATTCCTTTACCTATTGTACGAAAATTGATGGGTCCATACTTGGTGTTTATGGCATCGACTATTAATGGTTATGAAGGTACTGGTCGATCATTATCACTCAAACTTATTCAACAACTTCGAGAACAATCAAGAGGTTTTATTGGACAAAAGAAAAACGAAGAAGCAAGTGATGCTCAATCTGCTGGTGGTCGTACTTTGAAGGAAATCAAATTGGAAGAACCTATTCGTTATGCACCTAATGATCCTTTAGAAAAGTGGTTGAACAAGTTACTCTGTTTAGATGCTACTGTGGTTTCAAAGAATATTCAAGGCTGTCCTCATCCTTCAGAATGTGAACTCTTTTATGTGAATCGTGATACCTTATTCTCTTATCATCCTGTTAGTGAAACCTTCCTTCAACGCATGATGGCTCTCTATGTTGCTAGTCACTACAAGAACTCTCCTAATGATTTACAACTAATGAGTGATGCACCTGCTCATCATTTGTTTGTTTTACTTCCACCTATCAATGAAAACAACACCAGTTTACCAGATCCTCTTGTCGTTATCCAAGTATGTCTTGAAGGTGATATCTCCCGCCAATCTGTGATGAATCAACTCTCCCGTGGTCAACGTCCTGCTGGTGATATGATTCCTTGGCTTATTTCTCAACAATTCCAAGATGATGATTTTGCTAGCTTATCAGGTGCTCGTGTGGTCCGCATTGCAACTCATCCTGATTACTCAAATATGGGTTATGGATCTCGTGCTTTAGAATTACTATCATCTTTCTATCAAGGTGAAATGTCCAATATGAGTGAAAGTGCTACGGCTGCTGAAGAGACCCTGGCACGTGTGGATGATGCTGAATTAGAAAACACTACATTGGCTACTGACAAGATCAAGGTGCGTGATCCTCGCAAGATGCCTCCTCTTCTTTCCAAGCTTTCTGATAAACCATCTCCTCGTCTGGACTATTTAGGTGTTAGTTTTGGTTTGACTTCGTCTTTGCACAAGTTCTGGAAACGAGCTGGTTTCGTGCCTTTGTATATGCGACAAACTGCCAATGATTTGACTGGTGAACACACATGTGTAATGATCAAGACACTTGTTGAACAGGATACTGATGAAGATCAACATGTAGCCAATGCTGCCTGGTTAGATGCTTTCGCTCGTGATTTCTCTAGACGGTTCCTCAACTTACTAGCTTATCAATTCCGTGAATTTACCTCTGTCCATGCTCTCTCAATTTTGGAAAGTGCCAAGAAAGGTCATGACGCTGATAATGATGTTGAAACGATGAACAAACAACAACTCGATCTATTCTTCAGTCCTTATGATTTGAAACGACTGGAAAGCTATGCCAATAATATGCTGGATTATCATGTGATTATTGATTTGGTACCTGCAATTGCTGAACTATATTTCCGTGGTGTATTACCCAAAGATACAACTTTATCTGGTGTACAAAGTGCTATTTTATTGGGAATTGGATTACAAAAGAAAACCGTAGATGATTTGGAAAAGGAATTGACTCTAGCCAGTAATCAAGTCATGGCATTATTTGTCAAGATTATTCGCAAGTTTAGTCAAACATTCACTCAAATTCAAAGTCAAGCCATTGTGGAAGATGAACAGCAACAACAGACTAAAAAGACGACCAATAAAAATGATAACAAACGTGCTTTGGATGATGATTCAGCTTGGCGTCCTTTGAAGGGAGATGTGGATACAGATTTAAAAGAAGCAGGAGATGAAGTCATGGATGAACTCAAGAACAAGCAACGTGAATTGATCGATACACTTGATTTGACAAAATATGCTATTGCTGATGAAGATGCCGATTGGTCTGCTGCTGAAGCTCAAGTGAAAGCCTTTGCTACTGGAAAGAAACCTATTAGTTCTGTAGTCAGTGTCAAGAACGACAAATCCTCCAAGAAACGCCAATTAACTGAATCAGCAAAGGAAATGGCCCAAAAGGAAGCAAGTCGTACTCCCAAAAATATGAAGATGTCCAAGAAAACAAGACGTTCTTAATTTATTCTTCCCCTTGTAGTTTATATTATTCATTCTTTTATACTATATTGTATTATCATGTTGTTATTATTTCCCATTTCATCCTCATATATTCATTATCTAGTCTCATCACTATTATTTTATTTGAAATAAAAAATCAATAATTCTTTTTCAAATGTATGGCAGCTAGTAATAATAGAGAAAAATGATTGGATGATCGCGTCTTTTCCCAGTTAAACATAAAAAAAAAAAAAAAAAAAAAAAAAGGTCATCATCAACCTTTAGACCAACAATAATTTGAGCATGAATTCACTAGAAAATGTTAGAGTGTGGCTGGGACGAAAATGGTAATGATCAATTTTTTGGGAAAATGTTTCTTTTTTTCTTTTTGGATTTCCGTTCTTTTTCATTCTTTTTTCTTTATCTTTTTTTTTTTTTTTTGTCATTGATTAACGACAAGGATAATTTATAATTATGGGTATTCAAGGATTAACCAAACTGATCGTGGAACATGCTCCTAATGCCATCAAAAGCAGTGAAATCAGTAGCCACTTTGGTAGAAAGGTAGCGATCGACGCGTCTATGAGCATCTACCAATTTATGATCGCAGTACGACAACAAGACGGCAATGTACTTATGAACGAAGCTGGTGAAACAACAAGGTAAAAAAAAAAAAAAAAAAAAAAAAAAAAAAAAGGAAAGAGAGAGAGAGAGAGACGAGTCTGTTTATCTTCATGGAATAATACTGATTTCATTTTCTTTCTTTTTTTTTTATTTTTATTATTAATAGTCATCTTATGGGCATGTTTTATCGTACGGTTCGTATGGTGGACAATGGAATCAAGCCTGTATATGTATTTGATGGAAAACCACCTACAATGAAGTCTGGAGAGCTAGCGAAACGAAAAGCTCGCAAGGAAGATGCTCAAGAGAAAATGGAAGAAGCGAGTGAAACAGGCACGACAGAGGATGTGACACGATTTACGAAACGAACGGTAAAAGTGACACCACAACACAACGAAGAATGCAAGCGTTTATTGAAGGCAATGGGTATTCCTTATGTTGAAGCTCCATGTGAAGCAGAGGCGCAGTGTGCAGAATTGGCCCGTGCTGGCAAGGTCTACGCAGCAGCATCAGAAGATATGGATACCTTGACTTTCTCAGCTCCTATTCTACTTCGACATTTGACCTTTTCAGAGCAACGTAAACTCCCTATCGATGAAGTCAATCTGGAAAAGGTGTTGGAAGGAATGGAATTGACAATGTCTCAGGTAAATATACATATATATATATATATCATCATCATTCATGGATGATTCTTTTTTTTTTTTTTTGGTAGTTTATCGATTTATGTATATTATTGGGATGTGACTATGTGGAAAGTATCAAAGGAGTTGGACCTATTCGTGCTTATTCAATGATCAAGGAATATGGATGTATTGAAAAGGCGCTTCCTCACCTTCCTGAGAAATTACGAAACAATATACCAGAAGACTGGAAATTTGATGAAGCTCGACAATTATTTATCAATCCTGATGTGGCACCTGGTAACGATTTTGATTTGAAATGGGAAGCTCCTGATGTTGAAGCTGTAGTAGACTTTTTGGTCAAGGAAAAAGGATTCAGGTAATACAAGGAATAAAAAATATGATTTAATCCTAACTATCTTTTCTATATATAATAGTGAGGAACGTATTAGAAACTCATGTACGAAATTGACAAAGAATTTGAAACAAGCAACCCAAAGTCGGATGATGGATTTCTTTAAATCAGCACCTTCTGATTTGACCAAAAGCAAGAAAAGAGTAAGTTCAAAATAGATTACAGAAATGAAAACGCTACTGATTTCATCTTCCGTCATTGTTTAAAAATAAATATAGGCAGCTGAAGCAAACAAGAAGGATACCAAGAAACAACGAAAAGGGAAGAAATAAAAAAAAAAATCATCATCATTACTAGGTTTAGATAGTCTTTTTTTTTTTTATTATTATTATTATTTATTCATATACATCAATAAACAATGCATTTCATTTCCTCTTTTTTTTTTTTAATATTCAAATGGTAATACACACCAAAAAATCATTTTCATTTTCAATTTTATAAAATATGTTCAGAAATATTTCGAACACATTTGGTCAATGACTTTCCGCAATCAAAAGATCTCCAGTCAAAGGTTTTACTAGGTTCTTTTTTTTTTCTGGAAGTAATGCCGCTTTACTAGAGCTCATCAATAAGAAGTACTCTGTAAGGACTAGGACAAAACTTCGAATTTTTCCAAAGAAAAAAAAAAAAAAAAAAAAAAAGAATAGAACAGGGATAACAAGTCCTTTTTATAACCCTCAATAGTCGGTGTTTTAACGTGACGTCTATTCAGCCTCTTCTTTTTCTATGAAATGGGGATTTCTTTTGAGTTCCTTAGCTCTTTTTTTTTTTTTGGTTATACTATTCGATGGTAAGTTTATGATATATTTTTTTTATTATTTCTCTAGTCCATGTAATGATGATGTCTTTGGTAACCGTGAATGGAAAACTATCTTTTTTGTTTTCTACCTTCAATTTGGATCACTGACATTTGAAATAGATGTATCCCTTTTGGTTGTCATACCAATTGCGTGGTTGCTTTCATAGTTAGTTAGAACATGTTGAAGGAATGACGATACTATGGCAAATATCTGAACTAGAATAGAGAAAAAAAAAAGGAAATGAATAGGATAAAATAAGAGGTTATATGACTAATTTTTTTTTTCTTTTTGATGTTGGTGATAGGGAAACTTAACTAATTTTTGGCTGGTATCGATCGATCTGAATAGATAGTATAGTTAGATATAGTGATTTTGATTTAAATAAAACTCTTTAGTTGACCATTACTTTACTTTTCTTGATGATTCGTTGGATGATCCTACTTTTTTTCACCTCCCGCCTTTTTTTTTTTTTTTTTCTTTGGCCCAACTTCTGTACGTCACGATGAGGAAAGGCATTTTTTTTCCTTTGTTTTTTTTTTTTATTCTATATTTTGTCCCCCGCCCAAATTTTGTTGTGTGTTTTTCTTTTCCATCTCTCACTTTTTTTTCTTTAATACCTATTTCAAAACATGGCATCTGCTGCAAACTGGGAATATCCTGAACATCAACAATTCGAACGGTAAATATAAACGATCGATAAAAAGACATAGTTATCATGACATAAACCATTGACTCTCTCTCTTTTCCTCTCTTTTTTTCTTTCTATTTTTTCTTAGTGTTCCTACTTTGGACCAAGTTGATCGCAATGACCACAAAGGTAAATATGATAGACCAAGTGAACGTTACCACTTAGTAGAAAAAAAAAAGGACTAACATGTATTTTCATTAGCTGTTTACGCTGCTCGCCAACAAAAGATTCGGGACGATTGGGTGAAGGCTATGGAAGCCCGTATCATCAAGGAAAAGTTGGATGAATGCTACAAAACTGAAGGTGTTAACCACTGTAAGTGATTGTGTGTTTTCACCTAAATAAATAAAAAAAAGGATATATCAGTAGCAAGGAATTGGAATATCTTTATTTTATTTTATTTTTTATATGGAACTGTCTATTGACTCACCCATTTTATTCTCCTTTATTAGATGCTAGCTGCCGTGACCTTGCTGACCTTTATATGAAATCCATCAAGGAAAACCGAGTCGAAGGCTACCGCAAGAAATCTTCAAGCTCATAAATCATGACCGGTTCATTTTATTACCACACATTTTTATTTTTTTATTTTACACACACACACACTCATGTACACGTTTATTTTCTTGTCATTGATAGTTCCCTATGACTGACTCGCACACATCCACATGTATCCCACATACAGTTTTCCCCTCCATTCTTGTAGACAACTATCTTATTTTTATATATGCTCCAATAAAGTATTTTTGATTTATTACTATTTTGACAATGATTTATTTAATAGAAAGGGGAGAAAAATAAAGATGATGATATATACAGGTGAATAAAAAAGAGAGTGACCTAAAACTAAGCTGCAACTAACTTGTAATGATCATAAGAACATGCCACTTTTCCAGTGTTTTTTGCTACATATTTTCTTGCGCCTTGACAACCTTCCACTTGACACTGAGTGATCCTTGAATTATCCTTGTTGGTATGATTTTGATCTTGTGCAAATACTTGATCGATCGTATACTTTTCAGGAATGTTTAAGGTGCTACCTTGTTGATTTTGTACATAATGTATGCGATGAGGATCTTGTAGTTGTTGAAGTCGATCTGCTGGTGTTTGATCATCAGTGGTACCATCATCCTTGATATTCTTTTTGCTTTTTGATGCTTGTTTCTTGAGTAATCGGTTGATAGTATCTTGCTAAAGTAAAAAAAAAAAAAAAAAAAAAAAAAAAAAAAAAAAAAAGAGAGAAAGGAATATTAGATCATCTAAACTTTATATGAATGAATAATTAATAATCCTTTACCTTATCTTTTTCGGCACGTTGAATGCTTTGATTCTTGCGTCGACGAGCTACTTCAGATTTCCGTAAAGCAGCTTCTTCTTCCGTCAAATGACGTTTCTTTCCAGTGTCTATATAAAATAAAACAAAAAAAAAAAATAAAAGATGTTCAATATCAATCTACAATATATATATATATATACATTTAATAGCTTACCCATAGGTAATTCCAAGTACTCCTCGGGTTCTTCTTTGTTGTGTTTGGCACGTTGTCGTTTTGTCATGGGTTGGTTTCGTAAGACTTCCAGGTCAGAATCGAATTCTTCTTCATCAATATCGCTTTCAATCACTATCATATATAAAGTAGAATGGATTAACAGTGATATATATATATGTGTGTGTGTGTATGTGTTTAATCTTACCTTGAGGTTTCTTGCGTTTGTTGCGTGATTTGGAAGATGGCTGACTTACTTCTTTTTCCTCTTCTTCCTCTTCTTCTTCCTCTTCTTCTTCTTCCTCTTCTTCTTCTTCTTCTTCTTCTTCTTCTTCTTCTTCTTCTTCTCCTTCCTCTTCTTCTTCTTCCATGTCTAGTGCCTCTTCAATATCTTCTTCCACTTCTTCACCCATATCATCTTCGTCAATCAGGCCGGAAGTATCTGAAGGTTCAATGTCGTCCTCGTCCTCGTCGTCAATCATATCTTCCTCGCTGTTATCTTCCAATTCGTCTATTTCATCGCTTTCTATTTGATCAATATCTGATTCTGGTTCTGATGACGGAGGTATCGCTTTAGTTCTTCTTGATCGACTAGCAACCATGATAAGTAATTAAAATAAAAAGAGGAAATACAAGGAAAAAAAAAAGGAAAGTAAAATATTAAAATCTTCGATATAAAAAAAAAGGTGATCGGAGAACGAACATCATTTATACCAAAAACTCGTCACTGACAAATGCATATTTCTCTCTTTTTCTTTTTATTTCTTTTTTTTTTTTTTATTTCTTTATCACTTTGTCTTTCTTTTGAAATGAACTTTACTTTTGAGGGCAATTACAAATCAAAACGGAACATCAATCTAGGAGGTAACAAAGCTCAAGTTGATAAGAAAAGTCTACTAGCAAAGGCGCAAAGTGAAAGAAAGGCTCGTGAACAAGAGCGCTTACGTTGGAAAAGTGCGCTCAAAATTCAGGCAAGATGAAAAAGAAAAAAAAAATAGATTCCTTGTCTTCTCTTCTTTTTTTTTCTTCTAAAGTTATTTATATTTTATTTTATTTTATTTTATCTAGTCCTTCTTTCGTGGTCGCCGTGCTGCTCATGTGATTTATCAACAAGAATATTCCCTATTACAACAACAACTTTCAAGTCTAGACTCTTTGATTAACCAACCATTCGACTCGATTACAACTGCTACTACTATTATTACTCCTCTTGTTGTATCCTGCATTCGACAAGTTTTACTACTCTCTCATAGTTCTCGTATGGCTTATTCAACTTGTATTGGTAAGCTCAGTCAGGTGATGATCTCTGATATTTCGATTGGTGATAAACCCGAAAAATACACTGTCATTCAATTATTACTGCTAAATGATTTGTACGAAATGGATTCCAAAATATGGTTACTTGTTTTACTGGTGGGTCGTGCTATTCTTCCAACTCTTACAAATGAAATTAGGTAAAATGAAATTACAGTTTCATGTCAAATTTAACATATGGTAACTCTTTTTTTTTTTTTTTTTTTAATCAGCTCTGAAATTGATGTATCGACAACATATCAGGCATTGGCTTATCTTGTACAATTGGTGGATCCAATTACATGTAGTATACTCGACAAGCACACATCATCAGCATCATTAGAATCACGTGGGATATACATTCGGATGATGACACATCTAATCTTGAAAGATAACTTATTTCATTCGCTACATATTCTATTACGACAGCTTGTTGAATACAAACATATGGCGACGACGATGCCCAAGACAGATTCACATTTTGGAATGATCATGAATATATTATTTAGTTGTTTAGATAACCTTCAACCTCCTTATGACTATCCCGCATCAACTATTGGCAACCTACGACCTCCTACAATACATCCACCAACTTTTAGCAGCTTCACCAATGAATATACCTCGATCACTTTTAATCAAACATCACCACCTTTATTACTTTCACGACAAAGACTATTGGATATATTTGTACAAGAAATCCTCTCTGTCCCATTCCTTCTGCAAGATGACAATGGTGATCTTCTTCAACTAGTCACCAGCAAATTACCAATCGATTCTATTCTAAAAACGATTCTTTTCCATTACTGTGATGATAGTGGTGACAAATGGCAACTTGAAACTGATACTGTGGCTGGATTACTAATGAATCTTACAATGCTCACGAGCTACAATGCCAATGGAAAAATACAACACTTCTTGGTAAGCGAAAAAAAAGTAAAAATAAATATGATGAATGACTGTGTGATTACTGATTCTTTATATGAAATAGATTGATTATTCTCATGTGCTTCAAACTCTGCTTTGTAATCTTCCTTCACATTATTTGGACGATACCAAAGATAAACGAAATGATACACGCATGGTACTTGGTAAGACCATCCGTCATAAAAATATCTCTCTCATCAGCAATTGTGTTATTGACTTTATTTTATAGATAGTGACTCGGATCATTCAGATGTGGGTGACTCCATTGCAATGACTGATAATCAGAATCCAGCTACTACAGCAAAAAATGAAAGTCAGTATATCAAGTCAGGATTGATGACGTTGTATGATAGCGACCATTTTGATACTATGCTACATCAGTTTGTGAATTTAATTTTTCAATATACAACCCAACATGAAATTTCAGCAACATCCTCTTCAATGACTCAATCCATAGCAAATTTATTTGTGACCTTTATTATTCGATGTCCAACAAAGAAAGATCATATCCTCAATACATTACTTTATTACCATCATCATAATCGTCAACAAATAGATGGCAATTTGTCTAATGTCTCTCTTCTTCAAATTCTATGGCAAAGTTGGCTTCACGGTGGTGGAAATGACATTCAAGTATTTGATGAATCAAACGGACATATCATGGATCATTTACAAGAAGCAGTACAGGCTATTATAGGTAAGAAAGGTTAAAATAAAAACAATATTATTTAGACACCAAATGGATTCATTGATTAATCTCTTTTTTCTTTTTGCCGTAGACTCCGTTGTGCCTAAAAACTGGTCAATATTGTACCTGCTTTGTGAAATGCATACACGACTATTACTGACAATCGGTGATGATGAATTCTTTGATAAATCGTTGGGATCTAACCAATTGACTTTAGAAGAAATGGTTGTCCTTGGTGCCTACCTTAAAGTAAGAAACATTTAAATAGTAGTTTTGTTTGAAGACTCTGATGTTTTATTTTATTTTGAATTCATTTATAGAATATCTCGTTTGTCTTATTCTGGCGGGCAAATATTTTGGACGTCAATACTGTGGTGCGGTCGACTGGTATACAAATTGGACAATTGCGAAATGCCATTACTACATTATTACAACAAATACATATGCGAGAGTAAGTAGGAAGAATATGGTTAAAGAAGGAACTTAACACTATTATGTTTCAATTTAGCTCCCGACGAAGATTTTGTCCCAAGGATCATTGGTTGATTTATGGATTGGATACTGAAAGTTTTTCAAGTGCTGTAGTTGCTGAAGAATATGCTTTGGAAGAAAACGATTCATCATCATCATCTCATACTGATGGTATCACCTCGGCATTTGAACGACGTCGATTACAACATGTTAAGCAAACCATGTCAAAGGCAAGATTGGCGATGGTAAGCCCTCGGCTTGGATTATTGAACAACATCCCTTTTGTCATTTCATTTGAACATCGTGTACAGATCTTTCGTATGTTTGTGAACAACGATCGAAGACGCAATGACATTTTGGACGCTTTGGATTATGTACGACCTCACGCAGAAGTTCAGATTCGACGTCAACATGTATTTGAAGATGGATTCAACCAATTATATAAACTTGGACCTGACTTGAAAAAGAAAATAGCCATCATATTTATCGATTCATTTGGTCTGATGGAAAGTGGTATTGATGGTGGAGGTGTTTTCAAGGAATTTTTAACAAGGTAAACTATTTTGATCATGACGTAAAACTTATTTACTGGATATTCTTTTTTTTTTTTTTAGTCTTGGTCACGAAGCCTTCAATACTGATTATGGATTGTTTTCCTCGACTCCGGATCAACTATTATACCCTAACCCTAGCTCTTTTGCAACTGAAGGTATTGTTTAAAAAAAATGGAATACATGAGAAATTAGGATCTGACGAACACACTTTTTTTTTAAGGATCACAACTTGCCTATTTTGAATTCCTTGGATTGATCATTGGCAAGGCATTATATGAAGGTATCCTATTGGACGTGGCATTTGCTGAATTCTTTTTGAAAAAGTGCTTGGGGAAGATCAATTACTGTAAGTATCAGTAGATAGAAAAAGGAAGAGAAAGTTGTAAATCAAGTAATCTAATTTTTATATGTAGTGGATGACCTTCCGTCTTTGGATCCAGAACTTTACAAGGGTTTGATTCAAGTGAAAAATTTCAAGGGCAACGTGGAAGACTTGTGTTTAGATTTTACCCTAACTGAAAATGGTAAGGAACATGTATACATCATTGAATCATTTACTTACGAGGTTTTTTTTTTATCATTATTATTATATAGAAGCAGATCAGCCTCGAGTGATCAATTTGATACCTAATGGCAGTAATGTCTTAGTGACTAATCAAAATCGTATTAGATATGTGTATCTAGTAGCAAATTATAGACTCAACGTGCAAATTGCGAAACAATGCAAGGCATTTTTCAATGGACTATCGACGATTGTGGATACGAAATGGTTAAGAATGTTTAATCAGGTAAGAATATAAAAAAAAAAAAAAAAAGTAATAGGATTTACCTTTTTTTTTTTTTTTTTTGGACAGCAAGAACTACAAGTCATGTTGGGCGGTGCTTCGGTACCTATTGATATTGGAGATCTACGACAACATACAATATATGCGGATTATAACGACACTGATCCAGTCATCCAAAACTTGTGGAGAGCATTGTCCAGTTTCAGTAATGAAGAAAGAATGAAATTTGTCAAGTTTGTCACATCATGTTCTCGTCCTCCTATCTTGGGATTCAAGGAACTTCAACCTCAAATCTGTATTCGACGTGCTGGAAGGGATGAATCAAGATTACCCACTAGTTCTACTTGCGTCAATCTATTAAAATTACCTTCGTATAGCACATATGATATTCTACGAGAGTAATTATGAATGAAAATTATATAATATTGAGTTAACTAAATTAATCCTTTCTAATTCTTATTTTAGGAAACTTTTGTATTCTATCAATGCTGATGCTGGTTTTGATCTGTCCTAGGTAGTTTTATTAGAGTTTTGTATTTTATTTATTTATCGATTGGAAATAAAGAAAAAACAAATTATACCTATTGACCTTTTCATCATATTTACCGTATTTTTATATTGATTTTATTGTATCTTATTTCAAACAGTCTTATCATATATCATCTTCCTTGACTTGTCAATAGCATCATCTCCCAAAAAAAAAGCAAGCACCCAAAAATGGAAAATGAGCCAAGGAATCTCGATTACTGTGTGCTGAGTTTTTTTTTCTCAGTTTGTCTTTTCTTCTTTTCTATTTCTACTTTTTCTTTTCATCTTTTTATATATACATACATATATAATATATATTATTATTATTTGTATTTTAGTTTCGTGGCATGACTTCTGTGAAAAGTAAGACAAATGATTTACAAGTCTTATATAAGGAAAACGCGACTGACCTTTAGTTTTGTAGAATATACTCTTGCACCTGTACCTCAAACTTCTCGTGGTGAGAGTATTAAACTCGGTACTGACCCCAAGGGAAAACACTTTTTATATACCAATGGAAAATCTGTCTTTATTCGTGATATTGAAGTAAGCCAATTATAGAAAGAAAGAAAAAAAAATAAGGGTAATGAACTTACTTTGTTTTGTTCAGAATCCTACACTGGCAACTGAATATACAGGTCACAAGTTTCAAGCAACCGTAGCAAGGTATAGTCCTAGTGGATTTTATATTGCTTCTGGAGGTAAGATGATCCTCTTCATAAAAAAAAAAAAAAAAGTAAGATGAACTCATCTTTTTTTTTTATTTTGTTGGTTAGATATTCATGGCAATGTTCGTATTTGGGATACTGTGAATGAAGATCACCTTTTGAAGAATGAAATCCGACCTATTTCTGGCAAGGTTTCTGATATTGCATGGGATTGTGATAGTAAACGTATTATTGCTGTTGGCGAAGGCAAAGAAAGGTAAAGTATTATATTTTATCCAACATTCTTTATCCTGTTTTTATTCAAACTTTTATTTATGATGAAAGATTTGGACATGCATTTTTGTTTGATACGCTTTCCTCAGTGGGTGAAATTACTGGTCATTCCAAGATGATCAATAGTGTCAGTATTCGTCAACAACGTCCTTTCCGTTCTGTTACTGCTTCCGATGATATGACTGTGGCCTTTTCTCATGGTGTTCCTTTCAAATATGACAAAACCATTCGTGATCATACTCGTTTTGTTCATGCTGTCCAATTCTCTCCTAATGGTGATCACTTTGTTAGTGCTGGTGCTGATGGAAAGGTATATCATCAACCATAAAAAAAAAAAAGACTTTTTAATATATTTACACACGTATTCTATGATAGATGTTTTTGTATGATGGCAAGACCGGTGATAAAGTGGAAGAATTGACTTGTGATGAACGTGGTCACTCTGGTGGTATCTTTTCTGTAGCTTGGTCTCCTGATAGTACTCAACTCTTGTCATCCTCTGCGGATTGTACTGCCAAGATCTGGGATATCTCCACAAAAAAGGTGGTCAAGTAAGGCATATTTGAATATATTTACTTTCTTAATCTAATCTATTTTTTTTTTTTGTATTTATCTAAAAAGTACATTTGAATTTGGAACTTCAATTGATGATCAACAAGTAGGAAATTTGTGGCAAGGCGACTGGTTGATTAGTACATCTTTATCTGGGGAATTTAACTACCTTGACAAGAACAGTGGCAAGGTATCAAGACATGTGGATGGACACAGCAAGGCAATCACAGCCTTAGCAGTGACACCTGATGATACTTTATTCACTGGTTCCTATGATGGTCGGGTATATGGCTGGTCTTATGGTGATGAGAAAGAACATACCAAGGCAGTACGGTTGGACGGTGAAGGCCATGCCAATCAAGTGACCTCATTGGCTGTTTCCGAAGCTTCTTTGTTCTCTGTTGCTATGGATGATACTCTACGCAAACGCAAGATTGCGGACAAGGCCTTGGATGTCAAGACAATCTCTACAAATGGTTTGCCTCGTTCTTTAGCAGTATCGGAGGATGGATGGACTTCTTTGGTGACAACCAGTAATGTACAAATCTATGATACTAAGGATCTTCAGAAATTGGAACAACATGATCAATTGGACTTTACCCCTACTGTGATTGATGTCAAGAAAGATCAAGTGTTGATTGGTGGGGAAGTAAGTTTTAAAATAATAAAAATAATAAAAAAAAAAAGATATCTAGAACTAATGACTTTTTTTTTTTAATTGTAGGATAGCAAAGTCCGAGTGTATGTACGCAAAGATGGGAAATTATCATTGACAGGTGAATTAACCAAGAACATGGGTCAAATTACAGCATTGGCTATACATCCAACGGAGGATCTGGTGGCTGTAGGAGATAGTGTTGGCAAAATTTATTTGTATGAAGTGGCTAGTACTAAAGTGGTTGTGCAAAACTGGGTATTCCATTCTGGTCGAATCACTCAATTACAGTGGTCTCCTTGTGGTATGTTCCTGGTGAGTGGAAGTCTGGATACCAATGTATATGTATGGAATCGAGCCAAACCATTTAGTAAGGTGGCGATCAAGAATGCTCACGTGGATGCTGTCAATGGTGTTGCCTTTTTGAACAAGCAAGAGAATGATTCACTTCAAGTGGTTAGTGTGGGTCAAGATGCTGCTATTCATATTTATTCTATTACCAAACCTCAATAGATTATTTATTTATTTTTTTTTTTATTTGATGATTCAATATAATAAATAAAAGAAAAGAATGGTTGATTTTATAGTGTGGATGATTGGCTCATGATCTTGTTCAAGAAAATTTTGTGACCGATATAGAAAAGCAAGAGCGGACCATCAAAAAAAAATTTTACTTTTTGAATGGGAATTGTTTGGACCAGTAGGCCTTTTTTTCTTCTTTCTCTTTTTTTAATTCTCTCAATCACGATGGCTGGTATCACTGTTAAGGACGTCAACCCTCATGGTAAAGAAACAGAAAAAAAAAACAATACAGATATGCGTGTTTGTGTTTTTGTGTGTGTGTGTGTGTGTCAACTTGGAAAAAATTGAAAACAAAAGGATGGGGAAGAAAGGATGATATAAAAAAAAACAACAAAAACAAGAAACGACAACTTTTTTTTTACAATGTACAATGTCAACACAACATCAAACAACAACACGATACTTTTTATATATATATCCTTCTTCTTTATACCTTCATCCACCTCCTTTTTTTTTTTTTTTTTTTGTCTATGAACATATACTGAATGGAGTTGGGTGGCTTAGAGGGGTTTAAAAAAATGGAATAGTGAACTGATTTGGTTTTTTTTTTTTTTATATAGCCTTCATCAAGGCCTATGCTGCCTACCTCAAGCGTACTGGTAAGCTCGAAGTGCCCAAGTGGGTGGATATTGTCAAGACTGGCACCTACAAGGAATTGGCTCCTTATGATCCCGATTGGTACTTTGTGCGTGCTGCCTCTGTTGCTCGTCATATTTACATCCGTAAGGCTGTTGGTGTGGGTGCTTTGAACAAGGTCCATGGTGGTCGTGTTAACCGTGGTATGCGCCCTTCTCACCATGCCGATGCTTCTGGTTCCGTCAACCGCAAGGTGCTTCAATCTTTGGAAAAGATCGGTGTGCTCCAAAAGGACAAGAAGGGTGGACGTAAGATCACTCAAGATGGTAAACGTGATTTGGATCGTATTGCCATGACCTTGGCTGCTGACGATGAAGAATAAACATTGGTTTTTAGTTTAGTTTATTTTTTATGATGTTTTATATATAAAAGTTTTTATATACATGCTTTGTCTCCTTTTTTTTTTTTTTGTTGTCTTAAATCAATAGAGGTTGTCTTTTGGAAAAAAAAAAAAAAAAAAAAAAAGGGGAATGGGTAACTCGTTTTGATCATGATGATATCGTAGGGGGGAACACGTTTTGGTGAAAAGGTGGCATCTTTTTTTTTTTTGATAAAACCGTAACGAGTCAATGTGTTGTCATTTTCATCTGTATATATGGTGTTGATGAAAAAAAAGAGAGGAGGATGATTTGATAGATCTAAAGAAGTATGTTTTATATATGATCTATCAAAGAGGATAAAGAAGATGTGTTTTTTGAATTTTTATTATATACACAAGATAGTTTTTTTTTGGGGGGGATAAAAGAATAATAATAATAAAAAAAAAAGTAGGGGAGGTAGCGATATCTGTTGTGGATAATATGAGGAAATAATAATAATAATAATAAAAAGAGAATAGTGTTTTGCGGGGCAGATGGAGGGTATTGAGGAAATATAAAAGAAGAAGAAGAAGAATAGGATATCATCAACATATAAAAAAAAAATCAAGAAGGTGTACAAAAATCAATAATAATAATAATAAAAAAAACCAAAAAAAAAAAACCAAAAAAAAAAAACCAAAAAAAAAAACAGACACACACAATTAATGATGAATAGGGAAGACTTGTTGAACCACAGAAGCTAAATCAGATTTCTTTGCACATTTCAAATGATCTTGATCAATGAATTGTTGAATGTTCTATAAACCCAAAAAAGTACATATGAGAAAAAAAAGAAAAGTAAAAATAGGGAGACTTACAGTTAGAACATCCTTTGCCATAGGACGATCATCAGCATCTGCATTCAAAATCCATTCCAAAATATTGACCATAGCAGTAGAGGGGGTGGCAAAATTGAAAGTGGGTGGTTTTCCATATAAGATTTCTCGATATATTTCTGTACTATTTTCCAAATAATATAATGGTGGTACACGATCCATCATTTCAATCATAGTAATTCCTAAAGACCAAATATCGACATTTTCATTATAAGGAGATTCAGCAACCACTTCAGGTGCCATCCACTAACAATAATAATATATATTTGTTAGGATATAAAAAAAAAACAGTGCATTGCCGATCTTACCTTTGCAGTACCAAGTCTTGAAGAGTTTTGTATAGTTAAAGGTGTAGCCAAACCAAAATCTGCCAATTTGACCTGTCCTTGATGACCCAATAAGATATTTTCACATTTGACATCACGATGCATATAGTTTTTAGAGTGTAGATAAACCAAACCTTGTAAACATTCTTTAGCAATAAAGATAGTCATAGCTTCACTCAAACCGACAGTAGTGTTGAATAATAAACCAAAGACAGAACAAGCCATTAATTCCATTGCCATCCAAAGATGATCATCATAAAGACAAGCTTCTTGAAGTTGAATAAGATTGTCATGTGAAAGACAGCCCATGATACGTAATTCCCGTAAGACATAACTATGATGATGTGTATCATGATCTTCAATAAAACATCGTTTGATGGCAACACATGATGATTTCGAAGGTTTTTGTTGTTGTTGTTGTTGTTTTCGTTGAATGGATGGTAATGAATTGGATTTTTTGACAGCTCGAATTACAGCCCCATTTGCACTATATATACAAAAATAAAAAACAAAATAAATAAATAATATAATAAATAAATAAATAAAAAACTTTACCCACTTCCCACTTGTTCAGTGCCAGTATAATAATCTTTTGGGTTGACATCTAATATCTTTGGTCGAGGTAAAACTTTGCGGAGTTTTGAGTCGAACTCGGCATGTCGTTTGGGAGGTTTTCTAATCGGTGGCGGTAAAGGGAAGAGATCAGGTGCTTTACCCACATATACCCAGCGTACCTGAATAAAAAAAAAAAAAGTGAATAAATAATAATAATAAATAATGATGATTTTACCTTTGGAGATGACATATTAGGGGGTTTAACCAATTTGTTTTCGGGAGGAGGAGTAGGTTGTTTTGGAAGTAAAAGTTGTTTTTGTTTCCAAGTTTCATGAATAATATCAGGCATTTCCCAAGAACCTGGAGGTCGCCAAGGGATAATCTTTTTAGTAGGAGAAGGTGGAGTCATAACCACGGTGGTAGCGGAGGAGAGACGTCGAGAAGTCATGGGTGGAGATGTGGATGGTGGTGTTGGTAATTGAAAAGATGTACGAGAAATAATGGTCGGCATCACAACATGAGTATCATTGACTTTTTGTTGTTTATTTGTTGTTGTTGTATGTATATGTATGTATGTTGTATAGTGACGTGAAAAAGGTAAGAATCGTCAACCGATATAACTAATAAAAAAAACTTGGTTTATTGCTAATCAATTGAATGGGTAAAAAAAAAAAAAAAAAAAAGAATAAACTTGGTATAAAGAGATGAAAAAAAAGAAGAAGGGAACAAAAACAAGGGTATCGAAATTCAATAAAGATGAATAAAAGTAGTATAACAAAAAAGAAAAAAAAAATAAGAAAGGTGTAACAAAACAATAAAGGAGAAAACAACAAGAAAAAGAGAAAAAGAGAAAAAAGAAAAAAAGAAAAAAGAGAGAGACGGAAGTAGAAAAAAAACAAAGTAGTGAAAACTCAATTTTTTTTTTTTTTTTTTTTTTTTTTTACTCACACAATCTTGGAAGACTATAAAAAAAAAAAAGCGCGCCAAAAGGAAAAAGTTCCCCCAAAATTGATAATGAAGCACTTTTTTTTTCACTTTTTTTTTTCAATCCTTTTTGTGCATCCATAAAACTTTTTTACGCCCAAGCATCAACAACACAAATATAAAACCTGGTAACTGTTACACAACATTCTTTTTTTTTTTGACAATATTCGAAGCACAAAAAAAAAAAACATACACAACACAGATTTATATATATATAAAGAAAGATTTATACAAAGAGAAGAATGATATATATAAATAAAAAAAAATAATAATGAAAAAAAAGAGACAACTAATATGCATAAAGAAAGAAATGAATATATAAGAAAAAGAAGAAGAGGGGAAGAAGGGGGTTAGATAAAGGAGGTGTAATAACATTACTAACTAAGTATACATGTCATCCCGTAAAAAAGCCGTTAGTGGTCGAGCCATAATAGAAGAAGAAGAAGAAGAAGAAGAGGAAGTATTGAATGGTGGTAATGAAGGAGATGATGTTCTATATGGCCAATGATCTGATTTACTTGTTGCTGAGTAATTTTGATGATCCACCGTTTTTGAGTGCGGAGGACCTATCGGAAGTGGACCGTAAGACGAAGAAGTTGTGGTTTCATGTTGTCCTACATTGATAGATGGTTGATGATGGTGCTTTTCATGATACTACAAAATATATATATATATAACATGTCAAAAAAAATATATATATTTAAAAGATATATATAATATATTTTACCATTTTATCAGAAGAAGAAGAAGAAGCCAAATCGGTATAAATCATATAGGTTATGTAAGCATGCATTGCGTTTCTCTTGATCTTTGGATTTTGTTTCTATTTTATTATTGTTGTTTAAATAAAAAAAAAGAAAAGATGAATCATAACCATAATAATAATGATTTTTTTTTACCATTGACAAGTATTGATAAGAGAATTTTGATTGTTCAGACTAAATAGAAATTATAAAAAAAAAAAAAAGTTAACATCATCTGTCAACTTTAACTGACTTTCAATTACCTGATGATGATGATGACGGTGTAGTGCGGATGTAGATTCCATGGAATGGCGTGGTCGAATAGAGCGAGAATCCAAACTACTGTCATCCTCACTGTATTTCCTTTTCTGATTGGCCCCTATTTTTATCACACACACACAAAAAAAAAAAAAAAAAAAGGTTGGAATCAGATATTAAAAAAAAAAAAAAGACTTACGTTGTTGTAATTGTTCATCTTGATCAATGGCTTTAGCGGCGGCTGCAAGTAATAGAATAGGATCTGATCTTGGTTTTCGTTTCCATGAAGAAGACTTTTTTAATGGATCTGCAAAGAAGAATGAATAAGGTTTATAAGTTTCATCAACCTTATTATTTTTTTTTTTTTTTTACCTTGCTGTGTCTTTGGAGATGATAATGTGGATGATGTTGTTGAATTGGTTAAAACTTGATCTGTATTCCCAGACTAAATATAATAAGAATAATAATAATAAATAATGAGACTAAAATATATCAATAAAATAATATTTTTTTTACCAAAGTAGTATCCGATGTTGTTGTATTTTGTTCATTCATTCCTATTAAAAATATATATAATATTAGTATTATATAATATAATGTTAATATATATATATATCTTTTACCTAACAAATTTTTGATAGACATTGTTCCTTCTGTCAATTTGTCATGATCGCTACTTGTTGTACTACTATTACTACTATTACTATTACTATTACTATTACTACTACTATTACTACTACTACTTGTTGTACTACTATTTTCCAAAGCTGAATCCATTGTGTCGGTTGTTGGTTGGTTGTAATCGATGACCTACAAAAAATCAGTTATTTTTTAATTATTCCCCTATTCATTTCTCTCCCCTTTCTATATAACTTACTCTTATTGAATATGGTATCAAATCATTCATATCTTTCCTTTTATCATGATTAGCTAAAGCAATCAAAATACAACTAGCTTCACAATCTACTTTATCCAAATCACCATATAGTGCATTGTCTCTTTCTGAAGAAGACCGAGGTTGAACTTTGGGTGGATATTCTTGTACTAATAGATGAGCAATAAACGTCGAAGAAGAAGAATGTCTATTGTTGTTATTTGATAAAGAAATAACTGACATTATAATAATAATAATATAGAAGAAGAAGAAGAAAAAAGAAGTAAAAGGAAAAATAAGTTTTCTTTTTTGTTGTTTGTTTTTTTTCAATTTGGGAGAAAAAAAGGGAAGAAAAAAAAAAAAGAAAAGAGGGGGAAAAAGAAAAGAAAAAAAAAAAGATGAGAATTAAGGTTTACAATGGTTTGAATATGTTACACAAATTGGAACTCTACCGTTTTTGGACATACACACACACACAACACACACACAACTTACCTTACACTCACAAATCAACAATCACACTTAACATTCATAATCACAAATATATATATAAAATAATAATAATAATTTAATTTTATATAGTAATATTAGAAAGAAATTGATTGGCCAAGTCCTTTTTTTTGATTAGCATGTATTGAATATTTTTTTCGGACTTTTGATTTTCTTTCTTGTACTTTTTCTTTTCTTTATTTTCTTTCTTTCTATTAATTAACAAACCATGGTAACTCCTACTATCCTTGACGAAGATACCTATACGGAAGCTATCAGTTATATTATAGAAAGAGACTTTTTTCCTCATCTTGCAAAGATGAAGGCAGAGTCTTTTTATCATGAAGCAACTATCAACGGTGACCCTATTCAATTACAACAAGCTAAACAATTACTTTCAAACTTGAATCAACCACGTAAAATTTATCTCTCTTTTATTATTATTATTTTATTCAAACTAACCTATTTTTTATAGGTTCTAAAGAAACAGATCATATACAGAACTATTATAACCAACAAGAAACTGACTTGGCGAAACGAATCAATCTTGAACTCTCTTTAGATCAATTCCAAACTGTTTACACTAGGTAAAAAAATTTTATATACAGAAAAACCATTTTAAACGAAAACAACTTTTTTTTTTACATGTATATAGTGAAGATAATGCATCATTTACTGATTTACTGGAAAAAGCAAACGCCAAAAGAAAAAGTCATTATCACTGGTTTTACGATAAACAAGCTCAACAATTATGTATAAAAGACGGCAACCACACTAAACAAATACCCACCAATAATCTTCTTATGTATTATCCTGAAGGTCCTAGTCAATCTATCTTGGATGATACAACAATAAGAGGTGCACCAAAATCAATTACTTATGCCAATACTTCCTTAACAACAACAAATACAACTACTACTACTACAAAAAAAGATCAAAATCATCATATACCTTGGGATCAACAATATGATAATCAATCATCATCTACCCCAGCCTTTCGTGGTTTTGGTCTAGTGGAATCAACTCCTATCATTCATCCAGAAAACCTATCTACACCATTGATGACATGGGGTTCCATAGAAGGAACACCAATACAAATCAAAGGATCAGAAACTCCATCAGGTAAAAAAAAAAAAAAAAAAAAAAAAAATCTCATATATCATCCATATTCTAATAGATATTATATATATATCCTAGGTCCTCGATTCTCATTACCAAAGGAATCAGCTAGAGAAAAATTGGGTATGAAATTATCAGAAAAAGCTTCTAGAGCTTATCGGAAAAGGACACATGAAAAGGGGCAAACATCAAGGGGAACTCCAAGAACAGGGTAAGTAAAAAAAAAAAAAAATATAAAATGTATATATCATGGTTTCTCATCTTTTTTTTTTTTTGATAGTTCTGGTTTGATGTCTCCCGCAGCACAACATTTATTACGAAGAAGTAACACTCCCTATACCAAAGGTATTGACATGGCTTTAAGATCCTCTTATGGTGGATCTTCAACCGGTAAGTCACTTGAATATCAATTTTTTTTTTTTTAGTTCATTTTTTTTTTTAATTCACTTTTTTTTTTTTTAATAGGCCATACAACTTCATCCCCAAGATATGGAAAGACTCCTACTCCTCTCTTTCGTGCTGGTGCTACACCCAAATCTTCAAGATTTCAAATCAATCGTACTACTCCTAGCTTCACTTCACATCCTCTATGATAGCTATTTTGTTTATTTATTTAATTTTTTTTTTGTAGACTTGTTTTCTTTGTTAATAATAAATATACATTCATATCGTCACTGTATCTATTGATTGGAGGAAGATTTTTAGTTGTGTGTGTGTGCATTTTTTTTTCTTCTTCTTTTTGGGTGGTAGATTCTCCTTTTTTTTTCCTAAAAAGGATCATTTTAGGATGACAATCATGATCAAGTCCTACATGAGGTCAGTTGGATTTTTCTTGTTTCATCCTGATCAATGAAATCATCATCTACATTATTACAACGCATAATGATGATAATAATAATAAAAAAAAACGGTTATGATGTATTCAGTTCTTTTTATTGATCAATGATATAAACACAATATGTAGAAATAAATAATATATAGATTAAAAAAAGAAAAAAAAAAGAAGGAGAAAGAAGCATTTATTCATCATCATCACTACTACTATCACTATCACTATCATCATCCTTCTTCTTTTGTCCAGAGGCTTCAGTACCCGTATTTCCACCCGCCAGAGCCGAGGCAAGACCTTGTTCACGCATCAATTTCATTTGGCCAGCAATGGAGTCTTCTTCCGGTTCCGAGATGGAGTCATCCACTTCTTCTTCAGGAGGTAAGTCGGCAGGGTCTTGAATTGTCAATTGAATGTCTTGTAAGATGTCTGTTCCACAATAAGTGTCTGATTTCACAAACAACGAAAATGTATAAGTACCAGGCTTGGGAGGACCAGCAAAAGGTACTCGGATCGTCTTTTCATCTACAATATCAGTCACTTTACGAGGAGGCACAAGAATACGATTCACCTTGGGGTCACCCAAAAAGATCCACCAGTAAGGTTTCTTTTCGTTAGGATGGTATGGTGTATGTGCCAATGGAAGTCGTCCCTTTGGATCGCTATCATCCTCTTTCTTCGCACGAGTGTTGCCTTGTTCATCAAATTCGTCTTCATCCTCACTTTCTTCATCCTTGACATTCTTTTTTGTTTCCGCTTCTACACTTTGCACTTTACCATTCTTCAATTTCAATACAAAGGTGATGATCGCACCTGTCGTGATAATCTTGTCACCAATCACTAATAGTAAAAACATATATATAAGTCATATCATACATCATCATCACTTATATATATATATTTGCTTTATCATTATACCTTTGAAGAGAGCCTTTTCTACAGATAATCGAGGTACACGTTGAGCTACTTCAATAACATCCAAATATTCACTATCCGTTAAAGGATTCGTCAATGATTTGCGTTCTGTTTCAGAAAGATCCAGTAATTGTTGTACAGTGTTGATTTGCTTTTTCTTGTTACGATAGTAACGTCGTAATAATTGATTGTTGATATGAGGTAACTGTTTGACTGATGCATCTCCAGGATAAAGAGCTTGTAACAAATCTTGTTGCAAATCCATAATCAATATAGCAACATTCAACCATTGTTTCACCGTAGCAATTTGTAGCAATCCTTGTAAGAGATGAACTGATCGTTGGACAATATATTGTTGATCTAAAATGTATATGTTATATAGGCGATTCATTATCTGTAGCATTTCCTTTTTCTTTTTTTCTTTTTTTTTTCTTGTGATGATTACCTTGCAAAAGGATATCAGCTCCAGAGGCCTTGGCAGTCAAATCAATGCGAAGAAGGTAAGCGTATAATAAAGTGCGTGCCTTGCGTCGATATACAGGAACGGACTATATATAATGTCAAAAAAAGAAGAAGAAAAAAAAAGATGAATAACGGAATGATAATAATAATATATATATTATATATGTGCATATACCTCATCAAGGCGTTCGTATTTTTCGCCAAATCGACTTTCTAATTCATCCACAATAATAAGATCTACCTTTTTCAAGATTTGATCTTCATTGGCACGTACACCGACATTTTCTTGAAATTCGTATGCGGAGGATAATACTTTGATCAGTTCTAATATCAAAAGGAAAAGAAAAAAAATCAGCCATCATTACATCCAAGAATAGATTTTATTTTTTACCTTTGAATCCATCGTTTTCTTTCAATCCTTTAACAAATACACCCATGGTGACATTCAAGATCTTGTCCTTGGTTTGTCGCCGGGAATTATTCCACCATCTTGCCTATAAAAGCAAAAAAGGAGAATGAATATAAATTACTATATTCTTGAATGAATTACTTACAATGTAGAAAGGTAAACCGAGACCAAAAGCAAGTGCATAAAATGCCAATACAAATTTGCTATTTCCACCTTCAACCAAAGCACGAGGAAGAGCCACACCCATACTGAAAGATTGTTTACCATCAGGATGACCAAATTGTTCATAATTCTTGCGAATATCATCATCAGTCAATCTATCATATTATTCAAAGAAATAAATCAAAATATTCAATTAAACATAAATATATATATATTGCTCTTTATATTCTTCTCCGCTTTCACTTACACTTGGTAAGCCTTGCTGATTTGAATAAATGTTTCTTCATATTCCTTTTGTTTATCTTCAGGAGCTTTGTCAGGATGATACACCAAGGACAATTTTCTATATACTTTTTTGATTTCTGGGAGAGTAGCACCCTTATTATATAAACAAAGAATGTGAGTTTCATTTCAGTGAATTCGTTTTCTTTTTTTTTTTTAATCTTACTTCACTAATATCAAGAATTTCATAAGGATCCCATTTGGCTTTAGGAGGTTCTGCTAGTGATACTTGATAGGCTAAGAGACCTACGGCAATCCAACCAAAAACGATAAACAGGAACCTAGACAACAATGAAAGATTTTAATGTGAAATAATGGTTTAGTAGTGGAGATTGTAGGATAGGAAAAAAATATATTACTTGAAACTAGTAACAGATTGCTTGATCTTGTTTGGTTTTGTTGATTGAGTTTTGACACGTTCTTTGACACAGGTTCCACAATAACATATTTCCTTGTCACTAGCTTTTCCTATATAATAACATATAGATTAATATAAATGTAAATAATAAAAGATGAAGAGAGAAACTTACGAGTAGATTTCCAAAATGAATAGATTGAATGACCAGTGACAGGTACTAGACATAAGGATAATACTGATAACAAAAAGTAAAAGAAATTAAACCCTTCTTCATCATATTTATATTCTGACATGATGTCACTTGTTTATAATATCAATAATAAAAAGACTAGAAACAAGTAACACGACAGAAGAGAGAGAGAGAGAGAAAAAAAATATAAAGGAGAAAGAAAGAGTGAGAAAGAAAAAAAAACGATTGGAAAGTATGAACTACAACCGGAGTTAAAAAGAAACAAGGTAGAAAGGAAGGCTGAACTGTATACAAGATATGGCAGGACTTCATTGGCTGAATTCTCCACTTAAATTCCTTTTTAACACACACACATTTGAAAAAAAAAAAAAAAAAAAAAAAAGAATCATTCTTCCTACAAAGGATAACAAAATTTGATCAAACACTTATTTTATTTCAAATCAATAAACTATTCAGTATCCATCAAATCATCATTTTCATAACGTCCTTTCAATAATCGACGAGCAATAACAAGAGTATTGGCCAAATGTTCTTCTGCTTTTTCAACATCTTGTTCTTCTTGTGATTCAAACGCCGCGATCAAAGAAGGAAGAACCATCGTTTGATATCCAGTCCATTCTCCAGGAGCATATACCATATGTCGGTACCATGATCGACCAGCAAATCCATCCAAATTGATAAATACTCTTTCAAATTGAGACATACGTGCATTTAACTTTTCAATCTTGCGTCCCACCTTGGATGAGATCCTGACTTGACCCAATTTCTTCATCACCTTGGCTGACTTGTGTTCAAATTTCTTGCTGGTATGCTTCAAATCATGTAAAGCCGTCACTAACTTTGGTAGGAATATATCTTGTTTTTCTTTCTTCTTGTTTTTATGTTTCTTCTTAATCATTACAGGAGGTTCGCAAGGTATTTGATCACCATCATTATCATCATCATCATCATCATCATCATCGTCATCAGGTAAATCATCATCATTGTCGTGATGATAGAGACTTTCTAATAGAGAGATATGTTTTTCCAATTGATGAACATAGTCCACAGGATACATAGGTAAAATAATATCATCAGACAATCGTAAAGCCAAAAGACCCCAAATCTTGACAAGTGTTTGATGATATTCATAAGTAGGATCTCCAAACTTTTCCATCCATTCAATACTATGAAAATAGATATAAAAATATTTTTTTTTAAAAAAAAAAAGTTAATAAAATCTTTTCTTTTTTTTTTTCTTCAAATGATAATGTTTTTTTTTTACCTGTCTTCATGACTATGTCGAACATCATAATCACCACGGAAACCAATACTCATACTACTAATACCAATATGATGGAAGAAAGCGGCATAATCAGATTCAGCATCTAAAGGTTCAATTAAAGAAAATTCATTCTCCTTTTTCTTCATTGTCAAAGTATTTTCATCATGAAGATAAGATGTATTAGAAGAGAGAGACCATGCTTCGAGTACAGATAGGCTTGTTTTTGGATCCACCACGGAACTTGTCACATCATATAACAAACGATGAAGTAAAGGTGATGATTGCGCTGTGAACTTCGTACCAGAGACTGCCATACCAACATCAATATACGCAACTGCCACATCATCCAACCATTCTTTATGATGTTCTACCCATTCAGTTGAGCCAATAGAACCATACGCTCCAGCATCCCAAGAAGCAAACATAATAGTACGACGAGGACGCCAACCATTTTTCAATAAAACACCAAAGACACGAACAGTTTCAAGCTATCATGATGATAATAATAATGATGAAAATAAGAAGAAGAAAAAAATAATCTTTTTTTTTTATTTTTCATTACCAAAGAAGCAGCACCAGAAGATGGATCAGCAGCACCATAACTCCAAGCATCACGATGATTTCCCAGAAGAATAACACGATCAGGTTCTTCAGTACCATCAATCCGACCAATCACATTCCATACAGGAGTTGGCTTGTATTCGTTGATATTGACCATATGAACTAAAAGTTGACTAGGACCAGAACAATAATCAACATTAGGAATACTACCTTTCCATTCAGGGACTTTTATTCCAAAAGGTTCAGTAGCTTTCAAAAAAGGGGTAGCATCATCCCAAGAGATAGGTAACGAAGGAATATGAGGGACAGTGTTGGTTTCATTCAATAGAAGATGAGTGGCGTTTTCAACGGAAGCATAACCAGGAGTTGAAGGATCACCCACTAATAAAGAAGAATAGAGAACAGTATCTCGTTCAACAGAGGATGATGATCGCCTATAGATAAGTATATATATATATAAAGATATTATAAATACTTTTCCTTTTTTTTTTCTTTTTTTCTTATTACTTACCATGGACCATTTGGAAATGTATCACCATCAGATGGTTGGTCAGAAGGATCAGTATAAACCAATACACCAAGACAGCCAAAGTGTTGAGCAGCACGTACTTTAAGACCATGAGGAATAAAACCAGAACGAACCAAAGCAATTGTGCCATTCACAGTGATGTTATTGTCATGAAGCAATTGAAAGTCTTCCAGTGTACCATAGTTGACATATGTAACAGGTGCAGTGACATTACCATCACCAGAGTAGCCTAAGAGGAAAAGAGAAAAAGAAAGAAAAAGGTAAAAAAAAAAAAAAAAAAAAAAAGGTAAAAGAAAATAAACAAAAAGGGTCGGATAAACAAATAAAAGAAAAAAAATATTGGAATTGATATTTGGACAATTTTTTTCTTTTTCTTTATTTTTTTTTTCTTCTTTTTACCATGAAAAGTAGGATTTGCATCTCCTTTTTCATCCAAAGTAGCATCAAATAAAGAGACCTTTTCAGATGAAAGAAGAGATAGTTTTCTTGATATGGGAAGATTTAAAAGAGGCCAATAAGTTTCAATAGAAGCACTGGAAATACCAAATTCCATCCATTTTTCTAATGTCCATTCAGCCAATTGTCGATCCTTTTCAGAACCCGCGAGATGAACGTTGGATGCATAAGAATGAACAAAATTTTTAATAGAATCAGATGAAGGAAGTTCTTTTATCCATTCTTCAGGATTATCCAAAGATTTTATTGTACTACCTAAATGATTATAAAAAAAAAAAGGTTATTAGATAATATAGAGAAATAAAAAAAGGAAATAACCGAGAAATCTTTACTAGATAAGAATACCGAGGATGGAGTCGGAGAATGAGTCAAAACAAAATAAGATGCTACCATGACAACAAAAGCCCAAGCAGTCATCAACATGTGTTGTTTCTTTTTCTGGTGCCTTTGAAAAGAGGACATTTTCTCATTGATTAATAAAGGTAAATGATATGGATGATGATGACACGGAGGATGATAACGTTGTTGATCATCATATTGATCATTCATCATTGAACCATAAGGTGTTGAATCGTTTGGTTTCATCACAATGTTAAAAAAAAAAAAAAAAAGAAAAGAGAGGATGAAAGAATGACAAGTAGTTTTTTATACTAAATGATTTGTTATTGTTTTTACATGTTTTGAAACGTTTTCTTTTATTATTTTTATCAAAACAAAAATAATACAAAGTTATGTATCATAGAAAAAGAAAAATCCTAAAAGAAGGATCAATGATAATTACAATAAGGAAATTTTGATAGATGATTTTTATTTACTCGTGTTCAATGTTTCAGTAAACACAAAACATAGCACAAATATGATGGTACCCACATCGTCATGCGTTAAACACAAAGTATCATCCTACCTTAAAAGGTACTGTCGAGAAAGTTAGGTTGGGTCAGGTTAGTTGAAACATGGGTCACCAATCTCAATATGGATCAACTCCGCAAAGTGGGTCAAGCTTGTGAAAGTGGGTCATGTTGGTGAAAGTGGATCAGTGATAGAGCTCTTAATTTGGTACCGTCCCGATTGAGGTATTGAGAAAAAGTCTTCAATACCTGGTTGATCAATACCAATACGTAGCGGTATTTAAAGTTGCGTCAATGCGCGTTTCACCTCTTTTCAGTAACTTTTTTTTTTTTTTTTTTTATATAAAGACCCTTTTTTTTTTCTTTTCGTTTTTTTTTTTTTTTTTTTTTTTTTTCTCTCATATTATTTCTATTTCTGACTTAATTTTTTTCCACTACCACTGTTTTTATTATGAACTCTTCAACCAACAACATCAATGATCCTACTACGTTTCTTGATATGCTCACTCATGACCATTTTGACTTGTATGAAGGTGACATCTCGAGTCTTGACATGGATCCCTTGGCTAGTCCATCGGCAACAGAGAGTCAATCAACAACAAACACCTCCCAATTAGCAACCACAGAACGTCCAAGTAAGCGTCAAAAGCAGAGTGGTGTATGGACATACTACATGGCAGTTGACAATGGCGAAGGGGGCTCAATGTTTGTTTTGCCTGGAAAGCAATAGGTAATTGCAATAGACTAACTATACTATAGTACCTTTTACTAACTATTATATTTTTTTCTTTTCTTAGACAATGTATGGTAAAGTGTCTTAACGGATCTACATCAGGACAATGGAAGCACCTGAAAGCGAAGCATACAAGCGTTTACAATGAATTGAAGAAACAACCTGATAGAACGCAACGGAATATTGACGAACTCTTCCAAAGGTAATTGGGATAGGTCGAAAGAGGATATGTTGTTTATGTATTAACTCTTTTTTTTTTTTAGGTAAGTCATATTTGATAACGACAGGTTTAACGTTCTGTTGGCTGAATGGGTGGGTGGTGATGATCAAGCCTTTACTTCTGTGGAATGCCCGTTTTTCAAGAAGATGATTTCCTATCTCAATGCTTCTGCGTCCATACCATCTGCTTTTACCATTCGTAATCAGATTGTCAGCAACTATAACAACAACCGTTCCAGTTTGGTTTCTCAATTATCGGTAAATTCCTTTCTTTTTTTTTTTTTTTTGTAAGTCTCTCTCTCAAATCGTGTTACTCAATGAAAATCAACATGGGAAGGCTCTGGTTGAATCAGCTGGCTTGAAAAATATTGAACTTTTATCTTACTAAATTGAAGACTGGATACGTGGTAGACGGGGTACTGAACGACGCTTTATTTCAAAAACTAACAACCATGTTCCGGGTATGTACACTGAAAAAAAAAGTTAGTCATACTCATCATTCACACCATTTCTTTATTTTAGAATTTGGATAGCAAGTCTCGAACAGCAAAAAAAAAAAAAAAAAATGGAACTCATGGAGTTGGCACTTGAACCAAACAATGATGACCTGGACCTTCATATTCTTGACGTCTTGATGAACTGGTAAACAAAAAGATGATGTGTTTTTTGTATCTCTAACCTTATTATTTGTGTATATTATTTATGCGATACGCGATTGGATACTGCGAAGTCAAGACCTGTGATACCGAGAACAACGTTGAAAGCATCCACATGAACCTCTTTCGATTAGCAAATTTCTGCAAAAATTCCATTGATAAAGGTTATATCAAGGCGTTGATGGCAATTCAAGTCGTAGGTAGATCATTCAATATGTAGGTTATGTGCGAATGGGAGGGAAACACACATATATTCACAACCTTTTTTTTTTTTTTTTGTAACTAGGGCAATCACTGATTTTCTACTTGTTTTCGCTAGAATCAGTAGGCCATTATGTTATGTTTGAACTAGGACGATTGGATATTCCGTTGACATATGAAGGTTTGCCGCAATTTATCATGAAATTGGACTTTTTGAAAAAACTCTGTACAACCTACATGGCCAATTGTATCGAAAGGACTGAAAACAACAGCTCAATGGTGGGATTCAGGCGACACTCAATGAAATCATCAACCCTACCAGCCCAACCTCAAAAAAAAAAAAAAAAAAAAAAAAAAAAAAAAAAAAACGAAAACAGCCCTCCGGTTCCATTAGCTCTCGTCACTAAGCAATTTTTTCTATATGTATATACTCCCTCTTTATTAATCACACTAGTCACATTATACCAAGTACTATTCCACCATTATTACATATTTGACATTCCAATAAAAACAATATTTTGTTTTCTTTTTGTTTGTTTGTTTGTTTGTTTGTTTGTTTTTATTGTATTGTGTTTTTTTCATTCAGATTATATCTTCATATATATATATTTTTATTAATTTATAATAGGATCATAGTCAAAGTCAAAACCAAAATGGTGTTGACAGCTAACTTGGTCGTTGTTGACCTGATCCACTTTCGCCAGCATGACCCACTTTGCGGAGTTGACCCATATTGAGATTGGTAACCCATGTTTCAACTAACCTCACCCAACCTAACTTTCTCGACTGTAGTTCAGTGGGCGTTCTGTGTCACTTTACTTTTTTTCAATATCAAAAAAGTCACAAAAAAAAAGCAAGGTATAAGTTCTATTTAAAGTTTTCCCCAAACATATCTTTTTTTTTTATTTTCAACTGTTTTTATACTCTTTTTTTTTAATAATAATAAATTGATATCATGAATCGTGGACCTATTGTATTGTAGGTTTTTTTTTTTTAAAAAAAATCAAATTCTTCTTATATGATATATTGATCAATAGGATGATGATTTTTTTTATTTTATATTTTTTGAATTAGAACTATTGATGAAGCTGAATATTTATTGGATCAACTTCCTCTACCTGATAAAGATGAAGAAGAATTAGTAACTAAATTACGTACTAGATTACAAGAATTATTAGCAGATTTACGTAAAGGAGCTGAAGGTAATAAAAAAAAGAAAAGAAAAAGAAAAGAATATACTTGATTATATATTAATCTTTTTTATTTTTTTTTTATTTTTTTATTTTTTGTTTGAATAGGTAGCTCTTAAAAAAAGACGGTGTTTTGATTGGTGTATTTGCATGAATGGAATACATAAGATGAACACCAACCAAAAAAAGTTTGATGCGGGTCTAGAATCTATCAAACAGCCTTTTTTTTTCATTCAACACCAATAAAAGATTACTCTTTCTTTTTTTCTTTCTCTCTCTTTTTTTTTCACTCCCTCTTTTTTTCTTCTTCTTCTTCTTCTTCTTTTTCATAACAACTTCTTTTATTTTATGATTCCTTTTATTATTATATTCTAAAGAAGTGCTTGTCAAGTTACATGCGTTATGTTGAAAGAACATCTTTTACCTTGCGATGCTCATTTTTATTCACACTACGCCAAACCTTTGGTGTCAAATTATTCATCGCTATTTGATCTAGATGGTCTCAACTTACATTATGAAAGTGATTCGACAATGAACTTTTCTCAAGCATTCTCTCAATTTAAAAATGATACTTGTGCTCAATATGAAATGCATCCAAAATTTGGTAGATATGTAATATATTATAATTTATATTTATTATTATTGAATAACATATATATATATATATATATTCTTTTGTTAGGTTTGGGATATCGGAGATCAATGGTATCAAAAGTGGAACGTGGTCTTCTCAATGGAAAATATGTGGCAATGGTCTGGTCAAAGTCCTCCTTTACAAGAACCTTATTCTATTGATATCTTATTACCTTGGTTAAATCATATTACGGAACGACATCATATTCATCCTCATCATCGTCAATTATTGGAAATTATTTGTGGTTATCTATTGACTTGGCAAAAATCAAATAAACCTCTTTCCAATGCCGGCACAATTCGGTTGAATACTATACCATTTTATCCTCCCTCTTGGTTTACTGACAAGGAACTTCAAAGTCATGTTGAAGAAGGTGATCATTTAGCTTCTTCTTATGTTGCTCGTTTTGATCCTCCTTATCGTATTAATGGTCATATACCTGAACGTTGGGATTTAGTATTTTTAAAAGGTTTGACTTTTGATCCTACTAATGAAGTAAGTATTATTATTATTTTTATTATTATTTTATGTTTTGGTTTTACTGATTCTTTTTTTTTTGTTTTGTTTTAGAAATTCGATATTGAACCAAGTTTGATTGCTTCTATTATTCCTCTTTATGGTCTCACTGTACATTTTGATGAAACTACTGGATATAGCTACTTGATGATGGTCATGCGTAAAGCTTCCTTTGGCAATTTAGAAACAAATCTACAAAATGTTATTCCAAATGATTATCAAAAATCTCGACGACAAGCTCTCAGTATCACAAAAGCAGTAAAGGATTTACATTGGGAATATATTCATGGTAATGTTCATCCTCGAAATATTTTATTCAACTTTGATGATACATTGGGTGAATTAGTTGATGCTACTTTTATGCAACGAAAACAAACAACAAGTGCACGTACAATACCTCCACCACCACCTACTACACCAACACCACCTATTTCACCAAATGATACATCCATTCCTCATATTGATCAAGAACATCATCAACCTTACTTACAACAAATTGAAAATCAACCACATAAATTCAAACATCCTCATTATCGTTTTAAGAAAGAAGGAGGTATGAGTGGAAGATGGCCATATGTAGCTCCTGAAGTAGCTCAAGGATTATCTGGACTTACAACAGAAGCTGATATCTATTCATTGGGTGTCATTCTTTGGCAACTTATTTCCCGTGTCACCTTTCCAGCCAATGCTCCTGTAGATCCTTGGGTATTTCGTATTGAACCTATACCTGGTGTGTTACCTGAATGGGAACAATTATATGCTGATTGTCTTTCTTCTGATCCTACCAAGCGACCAAGTGCTTATATGGTATATCGACGACTGGAAAAAATGAATATCATGATCCCTTCTACCTCTTCTTCAACAACAATAACAAAGCCTCTACCCATAGAACAAGTCACTTTGGATTACATACATCAAAGACGAAAAGAAATAGATGAATTTATGGAAGAACATCAAAATCAATTCTCTTCTCCACATCAACGATTGACTCTACGCGAAGATGTGATCTTATCTGCCTCCGTGACTCGTGCTATCAATCATGGTTTGGAAAATTATCCAAGTCCTGTCCAAGGTTTTTCTTCAACTTCTGATCCTCATTAAATTTCCATTGTGATCCTTATTATTATTCTTTTTTTTTTTTTTTTTTTTTACCATTCTCAAATCATTATCATTCTATTCATTATCATTTTATTCATTATCATCATTTACTTTTTTTTTTTCTTCTCTCTTTTACCATTATTATCTTAATTTTATATATATATATATATATATATTCATTTCTCATTATCATCATCATCAATATGAAAAAAGAAAAACAAATCACTCAAATTCCTTTTAGTGTATTGCACAAATATATGACTTTAATTCATTCATTTATTAATCACTTCAATAAAACAATGCATTTATATATATATATATATATATATAATTGATTATGATCCATATGGAAACGCGAATGTTAAGGAAAACGCGACTGACTGAAATTCAAATTCAATCATTACAAGCTCTTTTTTTTTTTTGTTGTCCCTTTTTCTTTTCTTTTTTCTTTTTGTACCCTTTTTTTTCTTTTTAATCTTATAAAAAAAAGTCAAATGTACTTGGAAGAACTTATTATAGAGGGATTCAAGTCATACGTATCAAGAACGCATATTACTGGATGGGATGCTGAATTCAATGCTATCACAGGTCTCAATGGGTCAGGAAAGTCAAATATCTTGGATGCTATTTGTTTTGTACTTGGGATTACCAATCTTAGTCAGGTAATTATAATGAAATAAAAGTAAAGAGATTATTAACGAATATTTATTTTTTCTTTCTACTATCTTTTTTAATATATTGTAGGTCCGTGCAAGTAACCTTCAAGACTTAATCTACAAACGCGGTCAAGCTGGGGTCACTAAAGCATCTGTCACTATTGTCTTTAATAACGAAAACCGTGTAAATAGTCCTCTTGGATTCGAAACATATCGACAAATTACAGTCACTAGACAGGTAAGCTAACATTTCAAAGAAAAAATAAATAAATAAACGATATTTTGATCGATAGTTTGTACCTATTTCTTTTTAAGGTTTTAATGGGTGGCAAGACAAAATATATTTTGAATGGACATAATGCTCAACAACAAACTGTACAAAATCTATTTCAGTCAGTTCAATTGAATATCAACAATCCTCACTTTTTAATCATGCAAGGAAGAATCACCAAAGTACTGAATATGAAACCAACGGAAATTCTTAGTATGGTGGAAGAAGCGGCTGGGACAAAGATGTTTGAAGACAGAAAAAATAAGGCTTTTGCAACCATGGGGAAGAAAGATAGAAAAGTGGAAGAAATCAATTCGGTAAAGTTTATTCAAACATAGGGTTGAAACGAAAATATTTTATTAATATCTCTTCTTTAGATTCTTCGTGAAGAAATCACTCCCAGACTGGACCAACTGCGTGGCGAAAAGCAATTTTACTTGGAATATCAGAAAGTTGAAACCGAAATGGAACGCCTCAGTCGTTTTGTTGTATCTTATGAATATTACCGACATATGGAGCGACTTAATCGATTCGATTCTGATAACTCGGCAAAACAAGAACGTTTAGATCGATTATTAGAAAGGACAAATCTCTTGAAAACAGAATTGGAAACTTTGGAGGAAGATAAACAAACCGCTACAGAACGCTGGAGAACAAAATCAACAGAAGAAGGAAATGCCATCAAGGATTTGGAACAACTTGTCAAAGATTACTCAAATCAAATGGTACGCTTAAAAACGAACTACAGTTTGCAAGAAAGATCATCAGCTGATGAATTAGCTGCTCTATCCACACTGACATCATCTTACAATGAGGTAAATATAAAGAACCTTTTATCCAATGTTATAATTAACTCTTTTATATATATATATATCTCATGATATTAATAGCTCACTCAAGCTCTCGCTGAAAAGAAGACTACTTTTGATCTTGTCAAGACACAATATGAAGACTTCAAACTGTCCTACGATCAAAAATCAAATGAGTTGCAACGTACATCTGAGCTACTTCAAACTCTTACAACTGGGATTACCTCGGAAGAAGGACATGAAAATGGATATCGCGAACAACTCCAAGGTAAGGAAGGATCCTATCTATTTATGTATACATACTATATATATATCTAATATTATTCTCTATTTTTAGCATCCAAAAGTGCTGCTACCGAGGCTGCTACTGTGGAGGAACAAGCTCAGTTGAATCTCACTCATTTGCAAAAGGAATTCGACGAAAAGTCACTACAAGCGGCAAAAGTAGCTCAACAAGATCAAGGTCTAGTTCAAGAAATTGCCTCCAAAAAACGATCATTGGAAGAAATAGAGGTACTAAAAGAAGAAAAAAACGACGATGAAAAGCGTATTAGCATTTGTATGTACGATTTGATCTGATTGTTTTGTTATTTATTTCTTTGGTAATAGCAACAATTAAATCAACTCAACTGGGATCCCGAACGTGAAACCGATTTACATCATAGAAGAACAAAAGAACAGGATATCATTCATGACTTGTTGGACCAAGAAGAAGATATCTCTAGAAATCTTTCCAATCTGGATTTTAACTATTCCGATCCATCTCCCAATTTCGATCGATCTCAAGTCAAAGGCATGGTGGCTGAATTGATCACTCTAGATAAGGAAAATTATGATGCATCCACTGCTTTGGAAATTTGTGCTGGTGGCCGCTTGTATAACGTAAGCATAAAAAAAAAAATTGAAGACAACATGAATATGTTTCCACTTATTTGACTTTTTTTTTTCGTTGCACTCGATGAATGTAGGTTGTTGTTGAAAACGAAGATGTTGGTGCTCAACTTTTAGATCATGGTCGTCTTCGTCGACGTTGTACACTGATTCCTCTAAACAAAATTGATAGTTTTCAAGTGTCTGCTGAGGTAACATTTACTTGAGCAGTTGTAAGATCAAGTAAAAAAAAGAAAAAATGATTAATGATCTTTTTATTTTCACTTTTAGAAAATCACTATTGCCAAAAACCTTGGACCTGGTCAAGTTGATCTTGCTCTTACGCTTGTTGGTTATGATGAGCAAGTACAGAAAGCTATGGAATGGATATTTGGTAATACATTTATTTGTCAAGATGCAGCTACGGCGAAACGGGTGACCTTTGACGACAAACTACGTATCAAATCGGTAACTCTGGATGGTGACATATATGATCCTCATGGCACTTTATCTGGTGGGTCCAAACCTGTGACATCTGGTGTATTAGTTAAAGTTCAAAAGTTGAATACCATCCGACGTGACCTGAAGCAACACAGACAACAGCTCGCAGATCTAGACAAGGAAATTGCTGAAGCTCAAAGAACCATTGGTGCATATCAAAAATATAAACAACGACTGGATTTACAAACCCATGAAGTGCATTTACTAGAAACTAGACTGGCCAAAAGCGCTCATAGTCAACTGGTGCAACGCCTTGAAGTCATCAAGGAAGAGACGGCAATGCATCGAACCAAGGTGGCTCAAGCTCAAAAGGACAAGGAAACTGCATTGATTCAAGCTGAAAAAATTGAACAAGAAATGAATGATTTCAATCGCAACAAGCAACTCAAACTACAAGAAATGACCGTAAGTTGGTGGGCGAAAGAAAGGAGAAAAAAAAAAGAAAAGGATTGATAAAGTGTATACTTACTCATTCTTTTTCTTCTTATAGAAAAAAGTCACAGATCTAAAATCTAGTTTGAATCATTCTACCAAGAAATCAAAGGAAATGCAAAGAAACGTACAAACTCTGGAACTTGAAATTGGTAAAAATATAAGAAAAGAAAAATGATACCAAGGAAAGGATTATTCATATTACATCGTGTTTTTTTTATTATGATGATGACTATCATAGAACAATTAGAAGCCGATACTGTACAATGTCAACAAGATATGCAAAAAGTACAACAAAACATCGATGATCTTCAACAAAAAACATTGGATATGTCCAAAGAAATGGATGATTTAAAGGTAAATTGGAAAAAATAGAAATTGGAATAAAACGAAGATAACACATTTGAGTGAATATTCGTTCTTCTTTCTAGTCCAAAACTGATGAAGCCAAATCAAAGTTGGAATATGAAATCAACCTAATGAACTCTTATAATGAAGAAATCCAAGAATTAGAAGCGGTGATCAAAGCAAAATCTTCGGAAATGGTGGATGTAAATCTTAAAGTGCAAAAGATACAACATGATATGGATAGATTTCAAAAAGATCAACAAGGTGCCCGACAAACAATTGAAAACTTGGAAAACGAACATGAATGGATTGCTGATCAGAAAGAATTCTTTGGACAAGAAAATTCTGCTTACGACTACAGGAACATCAGCATCTCGGAGACCAAAAAGATGCTACAACAGGTGGTAGCCAAACATGACACTATGCGCAAGAAGATTAATGTACGAGTGATGAACATGATTGACAAGTAAGTCCTCAAACAATTGCAAAAAGAAGAGAGAGAAAAAAAAAGAAGACGAGACTGACCCTTACTTTTTTTTTAGTGTGGAAAAGAAAGAAACGTCTCTAAAGAAAATGCTGGAAACAGTGCAAAAGGATCGACAAAAAATTGAAGAAACAGTGGTGTCTTTAGAAAATTACAAGCTTGAAGCATTGGAAAACACATGGCGCAAAGTGAATGAGTAAGTGTCCAAAACAAATTTATAAATGACAGTATCTGATCATGGTCGTGTTTTTTTTTTAATAGTGATTTTGCTGCTATCTTTGGTGACCTGCTAGCTGGAAATACATGTAAATTGCAAGCTCCTGAAGGCAAAACTATCTCGGAAGGATTAGAAGTCAAAGTATGTCTTGGTGGCGTTTGGAAACAAAGTTTAACTGAACTTAGCGGTGGTCAAAGGTACTATATATATATATATATACATATACATAACCTAGCTTTCCTTTTCTCATACTTTTTTTTTTGATGAATCTAGATCGTTGATTGCGCTTTCACTTATCCTATCACTATTACAATTCAAACCAGCGCCCATGTATATTCTAGATGAAGTAGATGCTGCATTGGATTTATCTCATACTCAAAACATTGGACAATTATTACGTACAAGATTCAAAGGGTCTCAGTTTTTGGTGGTTTCATTAAAAGATGGTATGTTCAACAATGCAAACGTCCTATTCAAAACTCGGTTCAAGGATGGTACATCCGTGGTGGAGGTAAAAAAAAAAAAAAAAATAAGATATAGAAAAATGGAACTAGGTACTGACAGGTGTTTAAACAACAATTTTTGTACATAACAGAGAACGACATCAAGAATCGATAAACACAACAACAAGAAAACTGGAGCTGACACGACATCGGTAGTTGGTCAAAAGCGTGGATGGAGCAAGAATACGACATCTATGGCATCTTGATGAAATTCAGTCTCTCTTTTGAAATAGTGTTATCAACCTAGATTGTATAGTATGTAAATATACCCCGCTTTTCCATACATTGAAATAAAGATGATGATTGATTTGATCTCAAAAGAATGTAATGTTTGTTACTTGTGTCTTGATCTTTTGTAACCCTTGATAAAGCTCTCTCTCTTTCACACTGTCTCTTGCGAGGTATAATCACTTGGATTTTATAATGCCTAGATATTCTCATCCTCTGTTTTTCTTTTCTTGATATAACGGAATGAATCTTATTCCTTTCTAGTAAAAAATGACAAAAATAAAAATCTTACATTGCTGTCAAATTTAATATCTTCAATCAGTAGCATCATTAATACCATCATCGCTATAAAAGAAGTAGTTCCCGTCGATTTTCCCTTTTTTCTTTACCATTCTCTCATCTAAAGAAAAAAAAAATAATTTCAAATCACATCCACAAAATAAATTTTTCTATTCTAGCTGTTTCGAAGAGGAAAAGAAGGGAGTAGAATAGCAGAGTGTCTTCTTGCATTGAAATAAAGTTAGATTTTATGCTGTAACTCTAAAAGTGACTATTATGAAGACGCGAAACCGGAGTAAAAAAAAAAAAAAAAAAAAAAAAAAAGAGTGTTGCCTTTTTTTTTTTTTTTTTCTTCTTTTCTTTTCTTTTCTTTTCCTTTTCTTCTGACAGCACCAAACATTACTAGTCATGCAAACTACAAACAAGCGACCAGCATTAACAGACAGTCGAGAAGGTGTCAAGAAACAAGCCACATTGACATCCATGTTCAAACCATCAACTACTACAACAAAAACAGTAGTAACCGTTACCGAGAAACAGATGTCAACGACTTTCGACCAAAACCTTACTGAGAATAACACTGATCTTGTTGCAAAATTATTTGATGGTTTAGATGATGAAACCAAAAACCTTCTTCACTTGGAAATGACAACTATGCATCAAGAATGGCTCAAGGTATTAAGACCTGAATTAACAAAACCCTACTTTATCAAAGTAAGTTCTTTTGAAAAAAGAAACAGTGATTTTATTATGGTATCCTTGGAAACTATAACAATGAAATATATCTTTTCATTTTTGTTTTGTTTTGTTTAGTTAAAGAAATACTTGAAACAAGAACTATTGAACAAACAAGTAATCTATCCTCCTGCCAAAGACATTTATAGTTGGTCCAACTATACCCCACCTTCTAATATTAAAGTGGTGATTATCGGTCAAGGTAATATATATATATATATATATATATATATAGGGCGAAATACAAAATGATACTTATTTGTTTGTTTGTTTGTTATTTAAACAGATCCATATCATGGTCCCAAGCAAGCTCATGGGTTATGTTTCTCTGTTGCAAAAGGAGTACCAACACCACCTTCTCTTGTTAATATTTACAAAGCTTTGATCAATGATTATCCTAACTTCAAAAAGCCAGATCATGGTTATCTTGAAAACTGGGCCAAACAAGGTGTATTGATGTTGAATACTTCTCTCACAGTTCGTCGAGCAGCTGCTGCAAGTCATAGTAATCAAGGATGGGAACCTTTTACTGGTAAGTTCATCAAAATAGGAATCATACGTTATACTGATCTTTTTTTCTTTTTTTTAGATGCTGTGATTGATTACTTGAACGAAAAGAAATCCAATATTGTCTTCTTACTCTGGGGTTCTCATGCTCAAAAAAAAGGTGCCAAAATCAACAAATCGGTAAAAAAAAAAAAAAAAAAAATCAAAGAGAAGAAGATAGAAAGATATTTATATATATATATAGTCTCACATCCTGTACTTTTATATATTAAATAGAAACATCTAGTACTCAAATCAGTCCACCCATCTCCACTATCAGCACATCGAGGATTTTTTGATTGTCAACATTTTGTTAAAGCCAACAACTTTTTGGAATCAAGAGGACGCACACCGATCAATTGGGACTGTCTTGAAGACTGAACAAATATTAGATATCATTAACTTAGTGGCATGTACAAAAAAAAAAAAATCAATGGATTATTAGTTTCTGCTGATTTTTTTTTATTTTTATTTTTATTATTGTATTTGATCAAATAAAGATATCCATTATTCCCATCTTTATAACGACTAATGCATGACTTTCTCCTTTTGGCTTTCATCATGAGGATGTTTATCTTTTTTATGTAATCGGCTTTGTCTTTGCTTACGATGACCATGAATACCACGATACAATTTCTCACCCCAATCAAAGCATTCTTTACATCCGACCTCTTTATGTTCCATACAAGCAGGCTAATATATAAAAAAAAAAAAAAAAAAATAAGAAAATGTTATTTTTCTATTTCCAATCATTTTTTTTTTTTTTTACCTTGCCATTGGATACACGTGTCCATTGATGTGCCACTGAGAATGGTTCACGATCATCTCCTTGCCATTTCGTATTATATTCTTCCTCGGATAGTTTTTCATGCAATCCATCCTCCACTATCATGTTATTTGCACCTCGATTATCTGTAGGACATTTATTGCATAATTCTAATCCATGACGTGCGCAGAACATGAATCCATTGATCGTCACGTTATCAGAATCAACCATATTATCGACATCTTGTTGAGGAGCAAATTGAGAATCCATGATGTTTTATTTTTTTTAAAAAAAAAGAAAAAGAAAGAAAGAAAAAAAAAAGAAATAGTAGCTGTTCTTTTTTTTATATATATATATAAACTAACGGGAATTCCTAGGATTATAAAAATGATCAGATGATGGGATTCAGATGAAACAACAGCAACAACAATTCTTTTTTAAGTGATATGGAGAAACCTATGATTTTTTTTTTGTCTATCATACCATTTTTTTTTCTTAATCATCAATATTTAAGCAAGTGAAATGTGGGGTGATATTCTTTTTTTTTTTTTTTTTTTTTTTTGTCAAATTGTTCAGTGATGGATTTTTCTAAGTTTGGCATTAAATTTAGCGGGGTGACAATTGTTTTTTTTTTTTTTTTATTCACTTTTCTTTTCCTTTTTCCTCCCATATACTATTATCATCCTCTCCTGTTTAACAGATGCAAGTTATGCACAGAAAATTGATAGAGGTAAAATAAATATGAATTAATCCTTATTTAGTTTCTTTCATTCTAGTTTAACTACCAAGGTTTTATATGTTTAGATGGCTAATGATTTCTTACGTTGTATAGATCATATTTCAATCATACAGTTTCGACCAATGTGAATGAGCTTCGCGGTGATAACATTGCAACAATTGGATATCCTCAAATACACTCACTGACTACCAACACCAAGACTTGATGGAACAAGCATTGCTCGACTTTCGCAACAGAATTGAACGACAATGATTCCATCACTCACCAAATACAGTAGATATCAAGGTTAATAAAGAAAGATTGAATTGCCCATGGAACAACAACTACTCTCCTTCAGCAGATCCTATTATTATACAATTAACTTAGCTCTTTTTTTTTTTTTATTGAATTATACCTTTTAGATATTACGTGTCAATAAGTAAGATTAGTTTAGTGTTACCTGAAAAGCGAATGATGATAATTATATATCCATTGATTTTGCTTGTCTTTATGATTCATGACTGATAAATACATACAATAAAAACAATACAATCAACATTCATTATCTACAGTTTTTTTTTTCTTCATTTATATTTTTATTCTATGAACTTGCTTTTCAACAAGTAAATCTTCGACCATTTATTTATTCATTCTAACATCGTCTTGTCCATACACGTTTCTCAACCATTCTTTAGACTTGACAATCAAAAAAAAAAAAAAAAAAAGAAAAAAAAAAACTTTGGGAGATCGAAAAAAAAAAAAAAAGTCTGTGGAATGGGAAAGTGGGATCGAGCTCTGACAAAAAAAAAAAAAAAAAAAAAAAAAAGAAAAAGCTTCCATACCAAGTAATATGATTGGGCACGGAATCAAAATGCCGTTTATTCCGTGTTTTTGTGTAACTCGGGTGGCACCAGTTTAGAACTGAAAGATATAGTGGATATCGGCCTTTTAAAATCGATTCCCCTGTGGCCTAGTTGGTTTAAGGCCTCGTGCTTATAGTTAAAGCTATATAAGAGTCACGCGAAAATCGCGAGTTCGATCCTCGCCAGGGGAAATTTTTTTTGATAATGTTTGGTATGTCTGATTTTTTTTAACCCAGACTTAATCATCCTTGATGATTAAGTCACACACACACGAAAAAAAAAAAATTGTTTTGTTAGGTGATTTTTTGGTTTATGGGTTCAAAATTGAAAAAGTAATTCGGATGATCGAAAGAGAATAAGTTGTTTAGTGAGCACCAGTACTTGATTACGCAAGCACACGTATAAAAAAAAGAAATAAAATAAAACAAAAAGTAAAGTAAAGAAAAATAAAGTCTTGTTCCAAATTTGGAAAGTAGAAGTAGAGTAAAATTGTTCTGACTTTAAATATAGAACAAAGTGAGCCAATCAAAAGTGATAATCCACAATACAATTAAGTAGCGATAAAAAATAAAGATTTATTTAAAAAATATATTGATGATTAACTAAAGAAAAAGAAAAATAAAGGAAAAAGGTGGGGTATTTATACTAAAATGAAATAAAGTTTAAAATGAAAACGAAAAACGAAAAATGAAAAACAAAAAACGAAAAACGAAAATGAAAATGAGAGTCATAAAGGAAACGAACTTCGTTTATGAAATAAGGTTCATGAGATCCAAATTTTTTTTTTTTTTTTTTTATATTTTTTTTATAATTTTTTTTTTTTTATAATTTTTTTTTTTTCAACAGTTTGTGTACACTTATTGTTTATCAGCCATTCACTATTGATCATCTTTCGACTACCTACAACGGTTTGGGTAGTTGATTTTCAATGATTACTCATTTTGACCATCTATCATCACATTATACGATCACATATCATCCGTTCATCATATACTTTATTATAATACCACACCAATCCTAATACTAAACTAAACATCATACTACAGTAATACTGGTCATGATACTACTATTATACCAAAACAAAAAGAGCCATACTGTAGTACCATTATTGCTATCTGTTTATCTACAAATAAAAAAAAAAAAAGTGGATTCATATGAGCCAACGATCGAAAAAAAAAGAAAAGAAATCGTTTATATATATATATGTCTACTAACCGATTTTGATTCGTTCATTTCAATAGGTGAAAACCAATATGAGTAACCAGATCATATCCATCATAAAAAAAAAAAAAAAAAAAAAGATAAAGCCTTCAGCATTTGCTCTATTATATGAGATTGAGGAGTACGTATTGTCTGTATTGAATAGTAGAAATAAAGTCAACAGTTCATCACTACTGAAGTTTCTGTTTTCTTACATTATCGCCCTTCAAAAGTATGTTGATATGTTGTTTATCATTATTGTTCCCAACCTATAAAAAAAAAAGTGGAATCGTAATGTGAGCGATCGTTACCTGTGTGTGTTCATTAGAAAACCCAAGTCAAGGATGGATAATTGATAAACATAGAGGGAAGTAAAGAAGTGAGAGAAAGGAAAAAAAAAAAAAGAGTGAATTCTGTCAATAAAAAAAGTAGTTACTAAAAATGTACAAGGAAAAAAAAAAGAGCTGATAAAAATTGAAAAGAAAAAAGAAGGTTCTTGTGCAAACTGAGATGATTTGCCCGTGGACGTGACCCAAAAGCACTCAGATTGCACTCCGCTCCTGCATTAATGAAAGTACTAGTTGGAAACTAAAAACGATGTGATCATAAACAAAAAGGTAAACAAAAAAGAAAAAAAGATTTTTTTTTTCTTTTATTATGCTTTGATTTTTCAATCAAAAAGAATAAGTACAAAAAAAAAATATAATGAAGTGGGTAAAAGATATCCAAAGAAAAAAAAAAAGGAGGGATATGATGTTCAATGAACAAGACAAAAAACCCAAATCATCACCCAAGGGGAACGGAGAGAATGCACATAAATGGAAAAATAATAATAATAATAATAATGACGATTGGGATATTTTTTCAATGAGCCAAAACTAAAGATTTATGACGAGAACTTTGTTGTTGTTGTTGTTGTTGATCCTTTTTAGCATGAATGGCTAATGGAGAAGATGGACGAGAATCAATAAAAAGTTTCTTTTCATTGGAAGCAGGACTTGTTGGTGGAGAAATACGAATAGGGGTGGAAGTTGAAACAACATTATTCATGATGGTTTTTCTATCTTTAAGAGACTTGCCATCCATAAAAAGATCCATAATATTTCCATGATCACCTACTCTATAAGATACAGCACTAGGATCTATCCAAAGTACAAATTCTTGAGGAAGATGAACAAGAAGTGTATTAGGTGATATCGAAACTTGTTGTGCAGCTATATAAAGGATTGAGTTAAAAAGTTTTTTTTTTTTTTTTTAATATATAATTTTTACCTAAAGTAAGTAAAGCATCTAATTGACCATTAAAGATAGTGATGGCTCTATAAGCATTTCCACGACCAGGATGTTCAGGGTCCCAATGTTCTAAGAATCGTTCTGATAACAGTTCATAAAGCTTGGCTTTGAATAACGTAATAAGTGATGGTTCTAGCTTAGATTGAAGTAACCTCCCTATAAAGTCAATAGCTTCTGTGATTTCTTGATGCATAATCTTGTTTCCATATAAATATATAAATATATAAATATATATAAATGTATATATATAAAATAAAATAAAATAAAAAGATAAAAAAAAAAGTTTATTTAAAAAAAAAGGAAAAAAAAAGAGAAAAGGAAAAAAAAAAAAGAAATAGGGAACAAAGAGAGAAAGAGAGAGAGAGAAAAAAAAAAAAGCCAGGGCGGAACTCCAATAGTAATCAACCGACTTTACTTTTCCCCTACACACACGCCCCTGAAATCAAGTATATATATATATAATATGGTTTTCTATTTTATTTTATTTTTTATTATTATCAATATCAAAATAATTCCCATTTTCTAGCTAAAGTCAAGGCAAATACAGCAAAACCTGCTAAACTACATACAATCCAAAAGAAATAAGCCAAATTATCGAAATCCTAAATAAATAAATAAATAAAAAAAAATCAAATAGATCTATTAACATCTATTCTCCTTTTTTTTTTTTTTAATCACTTACACCTCCTGGTACCTTGACATTCATTCCTATTACAAAAAAAAAAAAAAAAAAAAAGAGAAAAATCAATTCATCTTATACTATGTTTTATATATAAAACGTACCCCAAATACCGGTTACCAGATTCATAGGTAAAAGAATAGTAGCAAAAATGGTTAATCGCCCAATAACAAGATTTGTAGAATTGGAAGATTTTGTTAATTCAATAGATATTTTGGCTAAATAGTTTGTATGAGTTCTTGCCAATAAAGTTTCAAAGTGATTCAAATTTTGTAACATAGTAACGATATGATCTATTTTTTTTTTTTTGAATTAGTAAAGTTTCATACATTTGGAATATATATTACCTTGAACATCACCAAGATAAAGGCCTACATCAGGTAATATTCTTCCATCTGATTCTACTTCATTCAATTGAGAATAAGATCCTTTTTTTGGTCGAAGCATAATGGGAACATCAAACAAGTCTTGTTGTTGAGTTGTTGGTGGTTTGAGAAAGGAAGGACTTGAACTACGTTTTTGAGAAGGAGGATGATAGGAATCTAATGCTGTATTGAGTTGTTGTTGAAAAGTATCCTGATGATCACGAGAAAGTACTGATGAAGAGGAATAGGAGGAAGTCGTGGATGAAAGACTGCGTTCTTCAAAGCGTTTGATCAAAGCACGAATGACATCTGATTTGCTGGATAAAAGACGTAACATTTGCATTACACGTTTACGACAAAATCCAATCCGAGAAACCATTTCTGTTTGATCAGAGGAATCCGTTGCTGTAGAATGTAAGACCATATCATCTAGACTTTCGACTTCATGTTCTATTTGATGGATCAAAGGAGCAAAACTATCAGTGACTTCATCTATAATGGCATAATTGATCCAATCTGGCACCACAGTAATATAAGCTTCTAGTTGTTCTACTCTTCGTTGTACGTAATCGACATGAGGCGCGTTTCCGAAATGAATCTATAATAGGTAAAGTTCAGTCTATATATTAATTCGTTTGTTTATGCCATTCTTACCGTTAATAGGTGATGTTTGAATACAATATTATAAAAACTAGTAGGTTTCAATAAATGATCGTTGTGGACAAACGCTCGATAGCATACAAAGAGATAGTTTCTAAATGAATCACATTTTTCTCGGATTTCTTGATTTACGATATCTTCTGTTGTTAATGGATGAATCCCAAATATCTATTAAAAATATATATATAAATAAAATAATAATAATAAAAAATAATGAGTCAACTTACTCGACTAATAGCTTGCATTTCTGTAGTTGTAGGACTAGTAATATCTAACCAATGATTTTCTTTGTTCAACAAGTCTTCTACTGTTAAAGTATTCTTATTGCCAGTACATAGATCAAATAAAGTCTTTCCTTGTAATCTTCCAGTATCAGCATGATAATATATAAATCTAGGAGTATCTTCTTCAAGTAATTGTGTCTATTAGAAATCTATCATGAGTAAGTAAGAAAAAAACATGAATTTTTTTTTTATAGACATATTTAATATTTATTTTCGTTACCAAAGTATGATTATCACCATAAAGACTTAGTTTCTTTCCAGAAGTACTAATTGGGACTTTTTCACCTTCTAATTGTTGTGAACGAAAAAGTTCAAGAGCAGCTTTGTTGAATTGAGTTTCTTGTTGTTTATGTTTGATAGGAAAAGGAGAAGAAGAAGGAACTGGAAAGCAAATATCTTGTTCTGCTGATTTAGGGCGCTCTTTAAATAATTGGTCCAACTTGGTCGCTTCTCTTCTTAATATTTCAGAATGAACACTATTTGTTTTATCAAGAGTATTTTTATCTTCATGATCATCACTATTTAATGATGAAATTAAACTAGAAAGTCGATCATCTGGTATATTGATATTAATGTCGTTATATAAATGATTGAATTGATTCATAACCAAAGAAAAAAAAAAAAAAGAAAAAACGAAAAAAAAAGAAAGAAGAAAAAAGATCATCGATATATAAAAAAGGGGACCTAATTTCACAAATATAAAATCTCCCTTTTTCCGTATCATCCCCTGATCCTCTCCGTAATCAAAACCGAGTCTAAACGAAATAATTTCTGCAGCTCGTCCTTTTTGATTGATGCACAGGTTGCATGAATTAACCGTCTAATGAGAAAAAAAAATTAAAAATAAAAAGATCATGTGTTAAGAATGATTGGTTCATATCATTTGATTTATCGTGTTGATGACATGTTTGTTCATTGACAAACAGCTTTTCTTATTTCGGTCTGGATGTACTCTTTTTTTTTTTTTTTTTTCTCTTTCTCCAAATGTCGAATTTTATCACCAAAGAATTTAGCGGACGTCCAATTTTTCTCTCTTTTGGATTAAAATGAACTGTTCTCCTTTCTCGCTTTCTTTTTCTTTTCACTCCTTTACTACTTTTTTTTTTTACATCTTTTTAAAATATATGGTACTCGTGTCCTCATCCATCTTTTTAGCTGTCACATTATTGGCATCTTTAATAGGGGGTCATGAGACTTCAACTGATGAAAAATCAAAAGTATTAATTTTGACTGAAGATACTTTTGAACAAGCTTTGACATCTTTTCCTCTTTTACTGGTCAAGTTTTATACACCATGGTGTAGTTATTGCAAAGCTCTAGGTAAGCTCTTTTTTTTTTTATATTATAAACAAATTAGACTTATTTTTATTTAATATAGCTCCCGAATACGAAACAGCTGCAGAACAATTAGCTATCAATGACCTTCCTTTGGCCGAGGTGGATTGTTCTGTAGATGAAGACCTTTGTACCGATAACGATGTCGATAGTTTTCCAACACTCAAACTTTTCCGTCTGGGGATCCCTAATTTATATGAAGGACCTCGACAATCAGAAGCTATTATCAAGTATATGCGACGACAAGCCTTACCTACTGTGACCCATTTGACCGATAAGGATGAATTAGAAAAGTTTACTCGTTCTGATACTTTGGTGATTATTGGTTCGCAACAACATGAAAACGATACATTTGGAACTGTCTTTACTACTTTGGCACAACAATTACGTGACAGATATCTTTTTGGTTGGTTAGATGCCTACAACAAGACAGATCTAATACTATACAACAATCATGGCGATCATCAGATGGAGGATATATATACGGGTGATTTGACAGATGCAGATCAGATTCTTTCATTCATTAGACGACATGCAACACCGGTGTTTGGAGAAATTGGACCTGACAATTATTTGGATTATGAACAAGCTGAACTTCCTTTAGCTTATTTATTTGTGGATTCTGATACTATGTTGGCTTCGTTTCGTGATACTCTTCAGTCTTTGGCTAAAGATTATCGAGGCATCATGAATTTTGTGTATATTGACGCACTTGCTTATCCTGAACAAGCGGAATATCTGGGCATCGACACTTCCAACAACAATGCACAATTATCCTTATGGCCAGCATTTGTAATTCAAGATACCAAGTCAAGGCGATTCGTTCTTTCGTCAACCAAATCTGAAGAGGTGGATGCTTTATCAATAGAAACACATGTGAGGCTTTTTTTCCAAAACAAGTTGGTACCATTTGTGGCTTCTGATCCTGTACCTGAATCGAACACGGATGCGGTCAAGGTCGTGGTAGGGTCTCAATATCATGAGCTGGTGACGATGTCAGATCAAGATGTGTTATTGGAGGTGTATGCACCCTGGTGTGGTCATTGCAAAGCTCTGGCACCTGTGTGGACTCGATTTGCTGATTTAGTACAACAACAACAATACCCTTTACGTGTAGCCAAGATGGATGGAACGACAAATGATATACCTCCGGATGATCCTGCTACTTTTGATGTGGAAGGATTTCCAACCATTGTTTTTATTGAAGCACATTCACATAGGATCGCTTTTTATTCTGGTAATCGTACTCTGGCAAGTTTGGCAGCCTTTATCCATGAACAACAACAACAACAAAGGATCATGTTGGAACTACCGATAGATGAATTGGATGAACAAAAGGATACGACTTTGGATGACAATCACGATCATTCTACTGATGAACATAAGATTGACAATACCGAACAACCTCTGGAGGAAACTACTACTACTACTACTACTACTACTACAACCACTCCCTTTGTCCATGATGAATTATAGTGATAGATTATATATGTATTTTTTTTTTCGATTATGAATCAACATCAAATAAAACAAAAAATAAAAAATAGTTTTATTTTGAATATTGTTTGAAATAAATATAGGTCTGATGAAAAAGCAAGAATATCCATTACTTTTGCGATTCTTTGATAATCTTCTTTCGGTTTGATTGATCTCGTTTTATTTTGGTGATTGTTCGATTGATAGCTGGCCTATTGTTTACATTATCTGTTCATATATTCTATTTTTTGTCAATGAGTAAAACTTATTGCCATTATTGTTATTGTTCATAATCATTCATTCATAACTTCCATCATCAGCAACTAAAGTCCATCTTTTACAATGAAAAATCAAAATCAAGGGCAAAAGAGATCATGTGGATCACCTATTTCCTAAAAAAAAAAAAAAAAAAAAAAAGAGGAACCAGAGCATGTTATTTGATTTGATATGGAAGATCATTTTCCTTCTTGTTTATTTAGAAATATAAGACAAGAAAGAAAGAAAGAAAAAAAAAAGGAAAGAGTACACAAATGGATACAAATAAAAGAGGGAGAGTAAGATATAAAAAAAAATAGGAAGGGAGGAAAGTCAGTAAACTAGACTAATTTATATAGAGGGGGTGGCGACTTGAGCAGCAGGAGTGGAGAAGGAAGCAGATTGGGATTTTTTCTTCTTGGGATCGGCCTTCTTCTTGGGGTGAGACTTTTTGTGATTTTTCTTGGTAGAGGGTTTAGAGGGATGACACTTGATGGTAGGTTGACCACCGTTCTTGTTGGGCACAACAATACAAACAGAGGTAGGTTCATGTTTACCGGTAGAAGTGATAGTTGAGGTGGGTTTGACGGTGGTACTGTTATGATGAGGTTTAATAGTGGGTGTTGGTTTAATGGATGTAGTATTGGAAGGTGACTTGACAATGGAAATGTAACCTAATTAATTCAAAAAAAAAAACAAAGAGTTTTATCAGTAAAATATAAAATAAATAAATAAATAGATCATCTGTTATATTTTTTTTTTTTTTTACCAGCAAAAGCAATGTCAGAAGCATTAGGACCAATTTCTACCACATATTTTTTAGCAGTGTTGATGGTCTTTGGAACTTTCCATTTGTAAGAACCTTTGGTAATATTGACATTGGAAGCAATGACTCGGTCAATAGTAAGAGATTGAGCAGGACCAGTTGCAAGAGCAATAGATAACATACCATGAGAACTAGACTTGAGCTTGGAATGTTCATTATGGGAAGGAGTAGTAGCGTTCCTGAATAAATAAATAAAAAGTGAATATAACCTTCTATTTATTTATTTATTTATTCTTTTACCATTTGAATTCTACAATTTGACCAGGATGCCAAACATCTTTTGGTTTAGGATTGAGGATGGTGACAGTACTAGCGATAGCAAGTTGAACGAGAGCAAGCGATAAAAGTAAAGTGGACTTGAACACCATGATAAAGAAAGGAATGGAAAGGAGTGAAGGAAAAAAAAAAAAAAAGAGAATAGAGAGAAATGAAAGGAGAAAGGAAAAAGAAGAAGAAGAAAAAAAGAAAAAAAAAAAAGAGTGAATGAAAAGAAAGGAATAGTTTTGTGCTCAAATCGATTCTTTTTTTTTTTTTTTTAATAAATTCTGTGCGACAGGTCAACCTGAATTTGAAATTGACAAGGATATTTCGTTCAACCCTGACTGATGATGATCACTCAACCTTCTTTTTTTTTTTTATTATTATTTAATGGATTTCCTGTTTTTTCTAAAAAAAAAAAAAATATGATCAATATATATATACACAGTTATATCCTTCATTTAGATTATTATCATCATCATCATTGTAATAAAAAAAAAAAAGGGGGGGGGAAATAATTTTCGTTATTATGCTAAAAAAATAAACATTATAGTATATTACTGCCCGTTATTTACAACTGAAAAAAGTCGAGAAGAATGGGTTACATCTGACTTCTATAAAAGGAAAACTTTCTGTATACATATATACCTACATATTTATTTTTATAAACATACAACTTTGTTATATAAATATATTAGAAAAAAAATAAACTATTTTATTGAAACAATGGATTAAAAAAAAAAAAGAATCATTTCAAATGTAGACACTATAACAATTCTAACTAAAAAAAAAAAAAAAAAAGAATCGAACTTCCCCTTTCACCTTTAATTTCATTATTCACGAGTGTTACTTCCAAAAGCAGGTAGAATTTTTCTATTATCATCTCACAGCGATATCCCATTTCAAGGTCCACCTTGATCCTACTTACCAAATTAAAAATCTACCAGTTTTCGACATACATGCACAACTCTATCGATATATATATGATGATACAAAAAAGTTTATAAATTCATTGTTATTATTTTATATAAGCTGCTGGTGACACCTTCAAAAAATATATAGTTTCTTAAAAAGGCAGATGAAAAAAACAAAAAAGAGTAGTAATGTGATAATCTATAACCTATAATAAAGTCTGTTTTTTATTTTATTTTATTAAAAAAAAGAAAAAAAAGAAAAGTGTAAGTGTAATTTGTAATTGTAAGTGATGAAAGGAATGAGTGTAAAATCAAAAAAAAAGTTGAAGGGTAAAAAGATGCATGAATGAAGTTGTAAATAATAATAATAATAATAATAGGACTAGATAGACAAATAGATCAATATAAGAATTATGCAGTGAAGAAAGCATGTCGTAAAGCTTCCCGAGCTGATATCCTAGTGTTGGGATCATATACAAGCATTTTTTGTATCAAATCCATAAAATGTGCATTTAGTGTAGTGGTTGGAGAAATCAATTGCTATAATAATAATAATAAAAAAAAAAGAATCAATAACATCCAATATACAATAAGTAACAACTTACAGAAATAGGTTTCATATTTCGCACAAATTGACGACTTTGACGTGTGGTTTTGGTATCAGGGTATTTCAACTTGTTATCCTTGAAGAACTTTTGACCTTCTCGACTATATAATAAAAAAAAAAAAAAGAAGGATATGATAAGAAAAAAAAAAAACTATTTGGATCTTCAAGTTAATCTCCTTTTTTTTTTTTTTCTTTCTATACCTTGCTAAATGAGTAATATGTGGAGGAACCTTGCCAATGACTGCTTCCATCATTGCCAAATGTTCAAGATTATCATGTGTATGGAAAAGGGCATCACCTGTGAAGAATTCCACCAAGATACAACCAATAGACCAAACATCACATGGATAGGACCAGCCCATGCCTATAAACATATAAAATCAATACAAGACTCCTCCTTTTATATTTATATTTTCAGTTACCCAAGATGATTTCAGGAGCCCGATAATGTCTTGTAGAAACCACTGTAGAATGATAATCTTGTTCAAATGTTGCAGATCCAAAATCAATCAATCGAATATCAGTATCTTCCAATATAAGTGATGATTTGTTCTATTATATATATATAATCAAATTGAGTTCATATATTCATTCATATTGTTTTTATGTAAACTTACTCCATTTACTCCATAATGACTGACAGGGTTTACCAAAAGGATATTTTCAGGTTTCAAATCAGTATGTATCAGTTTGAGATCATGAAGAACTAAATAATAATAATAATAATAATAATAATAAAAAGATCATAATAAATAAATAAATATTTTTTATAATAGTTATACTTTTACATGCTACACTAGTCAGGAGTTGTTTGGCAAATTGTTGAATGTGACTTGAAGGAAAAGGTTTGAATTGATTTGATTTTAAGAAATCGAACACCGATTGCCCCAATAATTCAAATACCATACAAATATGATTACGATAATCAAACCATTCTAATAAATGAATACATTTGCTAAAAAAGTAGTATAGAAGTGTAAGTCATATGATAAATTAATAATAATAATAACTTACTTGAGATTCAATGGGTCATGTTCCTTTAGTGTATTGAGTACTCGAATTTCTATCTTGCTGGCATCACGATATTTTGGTATAGCACGAATCACCTTGATTGCACAAAATGTCCGACGTACACGATCATAACATTCAACCACTTTTCCAAATGTCCCTTGTCCTAATAATCGCATGATCTTGTCTATATGAAATAAAATTATTTGAATCATTCAATTCTTTATATATAAATATATATTTGTACTTACATCGAGCAGTTAATGATTCATTGGGTTTGATGATATAATGTCCATCCTTATCATCGTAGTTCTAATATATAAAAGATAAAAATAAATCAAATAAATTCACATGTATCATAACCATTACTTACTTCAACCATAGATGATGAAGTTGAATCGGATGATGTAGGGAGGGTAGAATAATGACCAGCTAGTTAATAATGAAAAGAGTGAGTTTCAAAACTGATAAATATTAAAAAAAAAAAAAAAACATTACCAGCATCCAACCTCAAATACGAGACTTCTTTTCGTTTTTTCTTGAGAGAAGCCAATATATCTTCTTCATGTTGACGAGTTCGTTTATTTGAAACTTGAAAGGCAGCAGCAGCAGCAGAGGCAGTAGTATAAGATTGACTTGAAGATAAAGTAGTAGAATTGATAGAAGAGGAAGAAGAAGATGAAGTACTTGATATGCCAGTTGAAAATAAGGGTGTTCTTGGTAATGAATTGAAAGACAAAGAAGGTTGTACAATATGTTTAGAATGAGTATCATAATATCGAGTATTATTATTAGAAGAAGGTGAAGAACCATTATAAGTATAATCGTAATGAGTTTGTTGTTGTTGTTGTGGTGGTGGAGGAGTAGGAGAATCTTCAATAACGATCACTTCAGTTGGATATCCATTCTTATAAAATTCCTTTTCCCAGTTTTCTTTTTTTCGTTGTCGTTTCAGTAAATTCGGAACTGTTGATGTTGTAGTTGTGGTAATACTGGCCATTAAAAGTAAATAAAAAGTCAAAATATGTATAAATATGATAAGTTAGTTGGGGATACCCAAAAGATAGGATTCACCAAAAAATAATCAAAAGGATGAAAAATAAAAACTGAGGGGAGAGTATATATATATGTATATATTATACACACAAACTAATTCTATATAGTCCGAGTATTTTATAAAAGATAAAAAAAAAAAAAAAGAAAGAAAGAAAAAGTGAGTGAGAAACAAAAACAGAGAGAAAAAAAAAAAAAGGAGACTGAGATACAACAGAGAGAGAAAAAAAGAATCTATAACTTTCAAAAAAGAAAAACCATCATACTGAACTCGGCGTTTCAAATTATCCAGGTAAGTGGAAAAAAAAAAGAATTACAATATGAAATAAAATCAAAACATTTTATTTATATTATATATAATAAGAAATAAAATAATAATAATAATAATAATAAAAGAAAAACAGGAGTAAGTAAGTAGTAAGGGAGGTTTTTCTTTTTTCTTTTCTTTTTGTAGTTGGCGGATCCTCAAAAAACTATAGAAAAGTTGGCAATTTCTTAAGTTAAAATTTTTTCCCTCTCTTTTTTTTTTTTTTCTTTTACATTATTAATATATCCAATGTTTGAAGCAAAAGGAATCTCAATGAAACTAGCCAATGATCGTTGGTTATTTAGAGATATTAGTTTATCAGTTGAAAAAGGTCAAGTCCTCATTTTAAGAGGTCCAAGTGGTGCTGGGTAAAAAAAAAAAACATTCAATAGATATCATTATATATTAGTTTTATTTATATCTCTCTCTTTTATATATATATATTTAGAAAGACGACATTATTGAAATGTTTAGCTGAACTTGTACCTTATACAGAAGGAGAATCTACTTTACATGGAAAGAAAGCTTCTGACTATGGTATTCCTACTTGGCGGTCTAAAGTCATGTATGTTCCTCAACGAGCTGCCATTCATCCAGGTACTCCTTTAGATCTTTTTGAAATGGCAAAAAAGTTTCAGTCACAAAAAGGCAAATCATTTGGTGATCCTGTAAGTTTTAAAAAGAAATAAGGGATATGATAAATTGACATTCTACTTTTATATATATAGACCAAAATAGGAATGGAATGGCATCTTTCTGAATCTCATTTTACTGAAAATTGGAGGTAAGACAACAAAAAGTGCATATAAATTATATAAATCATTTCTTTCTATTTCTTCTTTAGCAACTTATCAGGTGGAGAAATGCAACGTTGTGCACTGGCCATTGCTCTTGCTTTGAATCCAGAAGTCTTATTATTAGATGGTAAGACAACATATATCTATAGATTTGATTCCACTCATTTTTTTTTCTGTAGAACCTACTTCGGCATTGGATCCCGAATCAACATTACTAGTTGAAGCTACTTTGAAAACTCGCACATGTATTTGGATTACACACAACCCTCAACAAGAAGCTCGCGTTGCTTCCAAATCTTTACTGATTCCTCGTTATCACCCTCTGAATAATGATGATTTGGCTACCGAAATCACCATGACAACCGCTTAGAAAATGATCTTTTTTTTTTGACATCTTCCCTTTTTTAGTTTCGTTACGTTACTTTGTATTATTCCCCCCCCCCTCTCTCTATTAATTTTTTTTTTTAATATACGAATTCTATTCGATTGAATGGAATAAAATAACTGATAATGATGATACTTGATATGGGATGATGGATGATATGGGATGATGGATGATATGAGTTGATGGATGATATGAGTTGATGGATGATATGAGTTGATGGATGATATGAGTTGAACGGATGATATGAGTTGATGGGTGATATGAGTTGATGGATGAAGGGTGATGAATGATTGACAACAATTTGAGATGACGCGTGATAATGCAGTCTCTCATTGCGGAATGGCACGAAAAAAGGAAATACAAATTATTTTTTTTTGTTGTGTGTTGCCGCATGGTTCGAATACGAATCACCTATCCTCGTCAATTAGTGTAACCAATGCAAAAAAAAAGAAGGTTCAACCAAAAAAGAGCATAGAAGCCTCTTTTTTTTTTTTTTTAAATAACACATCATCGCAAACAAAAAAAAAAATCATTTATTTTTTTTTTTTTTAGTAAGAGATCCATTTTGTAAGACACATGCTACACTTTATTCAATAATAAATGACGGAATTCAAAGAATAAGATGGCGCAAAAATAGGAAATAAAATATCGTAAGGATAGAAAATAAATGACAGAAGAAAAAAAAAATATAATTGTCGCATAATCAAATAGAGAATATAATAAAATAGATATCATGAAAAAAAAAAGAGTAATCAAAAAAAAAAAAAGAAATCCACCAATTGAGTTCACCAAGTTAACATATAAAAAATAAAATAAAATAAAAAATGAGTAATACTTATCCAGATAAAAATATTTCACTAGCTTACCATTTAAGTGTAATGTGATCGCCGTAGCGAAAGTAGGATGGCGATAACCATCCCGGAATTTGTATTGAATAAAAAAAAAAAGGCTGACCGTAACCACGCAAATGCGCATTAGCGACCACGGTCAAGCCCAGAAAGCAAAAAAGAGGTAGATCAATGGAGATACAGACAAAGATGCTTGAACTATTAAAGAGTACTTGTATAGAAAAAGGCAGATCAAAGAAAAAGGAAGACAGACAAAAAAGGAAGCAGGTAGGCCAAAAAGATGAATATAATGTAAAGAAATAAAAAAAAAAGTTAAATCAAAGGGATCCTTTTATAAGAAAATGAATCACTCGTGCAATTATGAACTAATTTTAGTTGATAAAATGATGAGACAAGATGTAATCGAGTTTTATCTTTTTTTTTTTTTTTAAATATTAGCAACATTTCTATCTTTATATCGTATCTAATTCATCATCATTTTTTTTTTAGTATTAACAACATTTCTCTCTTTCTATTGTATTTAATTTATCATTTGTCTTTTTTAGTATCTACTTTATTATTTTTAGTATCTACTTCATCATTTTTTTTTTAGTGTTAGCAACATTTCTCTCTTAATAATAAAGTTAATTACATAGATGTTCTACATTAAATTCTACTATTACAATATTTATGTACTAAGTGATACATGGTACTGACTTGCTTTTGCCGTGTTTTAGTTTAATGACTAGATTTTTTTTTTTTAGTTGTTCTATTTTAAATAGTAGTATGATTGTGTACAGCACATTTATTATTGTATTTTTTAATTCCCATTGATGTGATGAATCATCATTATTATATTGATTTATCATGTTGGCTGATAAAAGAGTGTTTTGACATTTTTCAAAGAAAAAAAGAAAAGAAAAAGAAAATGCTGTTCTGTCAGAAGGTAACTAGAATGAAGTATTTTGTATTTTATCAGAAATTTGTACAGTGATTGACGACAATGTTTCATCATCCATCATACAATCATACAATCATCCAACATATAATCATCCATTATCACATATCATCCATCATACAGTCATCCATCATCCATCCTGTAATCATCCAATATACAATCATCCGTTATCACATATCATCAATCATGAATCATCGATCATGAATCATCAATCAATTGATACCTAAAAAAGAATGGACAACACCCAAAGCTGCTAAAAATATGAAAAGCCTATGTTACTTTTATTTTGTGTCTTTTATTTTTAATAAACAAGTTATCATCAATATGTTATGTGTTTTTAATGTACTCTACCGCCATCTCTGGAGCGATATCTGAAAAAGTGGTAATGCGCCATTCATTTTGGGAAAGTACGATATTTTATTTGATAACATCACGAAAAGCATTTTCTTGTGACCCGACAAAAAACCTTGAAAACACATGCTATTTCCATCAATTGAATCCAGAAAAGGCAACTTTTTAGATTGATTGTCATTTTATTTTATTAATCAAAGTGTTATTTTCTAAAGAGATCATGGTATATAGATTGAAATAAACTAAACAAAAGGAAAAAAAAAAGTGGAGGAAAGGTAAAAAAAAAAAAAAAAGTATCATCATCCCAGCTGTAAATAAAAAAAAATGATGCTTAATAATAATAATAATAATAGAGAGACTATAAGGCATATACATAAAACATAATAGAATAATAAAGATGAATGATGCATGTGAGAGTGGAATATCAAAGAAAGGGAAAAAATGGAGCATATAAACAAAGAGAAGAAAGGAGATAATGATGATGATGATGATGATGATTTGACGATGAAAATGGAGATGATGTTGGTATAATGAACAATGATGATAATACCAAATGATGATTGTTAAACTATGATAAAGTGTAGGAGAAAAAGGGGTAGGGGTGTATATAAAAGGAAAAAAAGAGGAGGTAAAAAGGGAGGGGAAATTTTTGTTTTTTTTGATGGTGTAAATAAAATAGGGAGTCCAGAAGGTGATATTTGTTGTTGTTGTCGATATCGATATTTTCTTTTTTTCCCTTAACAATCCGTCAACGGGCCATAAGAAGTAAAAAAAAAAAAAAAAAAAGGTATAGAAGAATAGAAATGAAAATGATGATATATGAATATAAAATGAATATAATAAAGAAAGGGAGGGAAAGAGAGAAAAAAAAAAGGTAGAGAGAGAGAGAGAGGGACCAAGTATAAATACAAACACCGCTGCATTTCCAGTTTTGAGGTTTTTTTTTTTTCTTATATTTCGATCAAAGGTTCTTGTAACGACGTTTTCCAGCACCTTTCATAGCTTGAACTTGAGGAGATGTACGACAAATTTCTTCCATTCGTAAGTGTCGTTTCAAAGCATCAGTACGAGCAAATGCCTTTTTACAACATAAACAAGCATATGGTTTATCCCCTGTATGAACCCGGATATGGCGTTGTAAGTCATGTTTGCGTGCAAATCGTCTATCACATATATGGCATTGATAGTGGCGAACATCAGTAGTGGTGGCGGCGATAGATGATGATGACGGAGGACAACGAGGATGATAATGTTGATTACTAGTAGGAGGTATATTTGATCTTGTTGAAGCTGAAGAGGATGATGGTGACGAAGATGGAGGAGGCATCATCATCAAAGAAGGGGCTGACATGGGTGAATCCGATCTAGAATATCCAATACTATCATTGTTGTTACAGGAATAAGGGCACTGCATAGAGTCACATACGATATCATCATGAAGAGGAAGTACTTGTTGTTGCTTGGAAAAATAAAGAGCATCATCAAAAGAGTGTCGTTGTTCCATTAAATAAGGTGGATGATGAAGAGGTGGCGGAGAGTATAAATCCATCCATTGATCATCGATTGTAGGTGAAGAAGATGATGATAGAATATCCGTAGGAGAAGGTGGTAATAATAAAGGTCCAGTTTGTAATTCAGGTGAAGATACATTGCTAGCATAATCATCCATTATCAAAGGTTGACACATATCTTGTTGTAAGGATGATTGAGGAAGAGGATGATATTGTCCATAATATCTCGCTGATGCACTTGGTGGTGTTGTCATTACTGATTGGCATAGTGGATGTTGTTCATATCCTACTGGCATCATCATCAATGGTGGAGGTGGACTATGTCTGTTGGTACCATGGATCCAAGGGACGTTAATGGGTGTTTGATAATCATAACTATTATTGTTGTTGTTGTTGTCAAAAGTGCAAGCACTTTCGTTCATTGTATTTTCTTGATACATTTTATTTGTTAGTGATATAAAAGTGACAATTTTTTTTTTCAATACAAAAAGTGGATGTTTATATACAAAAATAAAAAAAAAAAAAAAGAGTTAAAAAAAGTGAAAGAGAGACAAAGTAAAAAAAAAAAAAAAAAAAGGAAAGAAGTTGAGAAAAAAGAAGCAGGACAACAACCCCGATAAGTCCTTTTTAATTGATTTGGCACGGTCCTTAAAAAAAGGGGGGATTGGTTACTATATGGATTGGAGAGGGTGGAGTAAGCATAATTTTAGGATACACACCAAATAAAACACGCAGTCTACACATTATTCTCTCTTTACGCACGCTTTTTTTTTTAACCACCCGGGAAATAAATGGCTTGCTCCCTAATTTGAACCCCTCTCTCATTTTCTTTCTCTGTCACTTTTCCTTTTTTTTTTTTTTTATGTGTGCGTATGTTTGTGTGTATGCGTATATATATCTAGATATATTATGTATATATGTTTATATATGCGTGTATAAATGAGTATATGTATATTTGAAAATATCCTTCACCTTTTTTTTTATTACATGTCTGATGTGAGGATGAATCCATTTCGAGCAGTAATCATATATTGTCATCATCATCATCCATCATCACCCATGGTTTTAGTCGATGATAACAATAGAAAAGGTTTTAATGTTTTAGGGAAAATCCAAGTTTAATTCCGATAATCAATGTTGCTTTTTACGAAAAAGAAAAAGTCTTGTCGATCAAAAAAGAAAAAAGCAGCGTTCATCCTTATTAAGGGGGGAGGGAAGCACTCTTTTTTTTTTGTAAAGAACAGTTCAGACTAGAGTTTTGTGTCACCTTAAGGTCTTACAACAAGTCATCATGCTTTTTTTTTTATATAGATGTACATATTTATAGGTATATATGTATGCGAGTGATCATGATTTGTCCAAAGAAAAAGGTCTTTTTATTTATTTAAAAAAAAAGAAATAATGACAAGTAGATGATACTTCAACCTTCCTTTGACCCATCATCCACTTTTTTTTCTTTCCTTAGATTGAGAGGAGAAGTAAGTGATTGCAAAGACAAAGTCTGTGTTATTCCCCTTAAAGATTTTTTTTTTATGAGAGGTGTTGTCCTTATTCTTATCCTTCCTTAAAACAAAGGAGGTCTACGCATAAGGGATCTTTCTTTTTCTTTTTTTCATCGTTCATTCATCCATCATCAACCTTATGGTCTCGGGACAAACTCGCAGAAGGCATTCGGAGGTTAAATAGAGTTGTCAAGGTTACCATACTAAACTATAAAGATCAATCGCGCGTATCCCTCTCTATGGGGGGAGAAGGGGAGATCGATGTTTTTTTTTCTCAATGATCATTGTGGAAGTAGAATGTCATGGAATATCTTTTATTTGTTTTTGTACATATTCGTCAATAAAAAAAAAAGAGTCTAGTCCGTTCATCATCATTATTATTCATCTCCTATCATGTCCTAAAAGGAAAAAAGAAGATGATCGTCACTTCCCCAAATAAAAGTGAACGAGTGAGAAGGAACAATAAAACTGCAGTGTGATTTATTAGCTTTTTTTTTTTTTTTTATTGACTGATGATAACTAATACTAATGGGTGGCCAAGTATAGAGAGTGACAACTGAATAACAATAACAAGTAACAAACTTTTTTTTTTCCAAATCAAGCGACATTAACTGAATGGCCTCTGCGTTTTTGTTTCTTTTTTTTCTTTGTTTCAGGAGGCAATTGTACCTATTTTTACCCTAGGGAGCTATCTTTTTTTAACTTTCGGGACTTCTTCTCCGTAGGCATATGCGATGATGGATGATACGTGATGATGAATGATACGTGATGATGGATGATGATGAATGATCAGTCCACAATGACGGTGACAGTGATATCATGAGCCCGAAGAAAATGGATCCACTCCCATTTGAAACTTTAAATGGATAATGATTGATGTTGATTACCCCACTCCCTGTTGGTCATGCTTTCCGCGTGATCATTGATGGATGATCGACGTTCGTTCATTACCTGTCATCGTAATATTACACCACCTTATCGATTGCCTTTTTCTAATGTCATTTTTCTTTTTCTTTTTTTTTTCGCATTAAAGGTTATTTTGGAAATCCATTTTTTTTTTTTTTATTTATTGAAATGTTTTGGGGTAAGAGAAGGAAGTCTTTTTATTTTTTTTTTTTTCTGTTCTATCAACTAAATAATTGTATGTGTGTGCATATATATATATATAAAAGGGGGAAGGGAGAGACAAGGGAATGAATATCTTTCTAAATAAAAGTGATATCCGTAGACTGTTTGTAAATAATAATGATGACAATGATGATGATGACGTTCATATAATAAGGAATCCATGTTTTCCATTTCCACCCCTCCAACAAAAAGGCACACCATATAAATAAATAAATAAATAAAAAAAGAGATAAAGGACATAATGTATATAAAATAACAAATGAGGGATAATAAAGACAGATAAAATCAACTAACTAAACAAAAAAAAAATATATAAAACTACTGCTACTACCACTAAAAAAAGAAAACAACGACATAAATCTACCTAAGCAGTTGCTTCGAGAGGTTCAGTTTCCTTTCCTTGTACCCATTCCTTTGTACATTTGGCCATGGTCTTGGAAGCACGAGAGATAGGGTCGGTTCTATAGAAATTCTTGATCACATTGTTCAAAACTGCTCCACTTGATGACAAATTGGTCTTGCGAAGAGATTGTACACCCAAAGCAGCATTGGTACTAGGTTCTACTACATCGTATCGAGTCAACGCAGGACTGATTTCGGACAAACGGGAACGAATGGAGGGCAGATCGTCGTAAGGTAAGGTATGGCCAGCCACTTCTGACAACGCACGGATAATCTTCCAATCTTCACGGGCAGCAGCAGGAGGGTTAACACCAGCACGAGTGATTTGCGTACGACCTTCAGTGTTGACATAAGTGGCATTCTTTTCCGTAAAGGCAGATCCAGGAAGAATAACATCTGCGAATTGAGCACCCACATCACCATGATGACCTTGATAAACTACAAAAGCATCCTTAGGAATATCACTTGAAGAGATTTCATCAGCGTTCAAAAGATACACAAATTTGGAGGGAGTGGATGCAGCTTCCTTGGAGGTAGGAACAAAGCCAACTTCATAAGCAGCAGTTCGAGAAGCAGCCTATATCAAATATAATATAAATTTTTAATTCATCTATTTTATATTCATCTTTTTTTTTTTTTCCTATGGTACTTACACGCTGTAATACATTGAAACCATTCCAGTTATCTTGGAACAAAGTCTTCTTGTGCTTATCGGCCAATTCAGCAATCTTGGAAACCACATATTCACTATCTTCAGCATTTTCAACCACACCAGAACCAACGATGATCAAAGGCTTCTTAGCTTCAGCAAGTCTCTTGGAGAAAGGATGAGAACCATTCAACAAAGCTTCAATAGCAGAAGCATCGGCACCAATATGTTCATAGTCATAAGTCAAGTCACTGGCTTCACCAATCAAACCAAAGTCTTGACCATTGTGGAGATAGGCTTTTCGTAAACGAGTGTTAAGAATAGGAGCTTCATGACGAGGATTGGTACCCACCAAGAGAACAACATCGGCATCTTCAGAACCAGCCAAAGTAGAGTTTAGAGTATAGTTGGAACGGAAGTCATTGTTGAGAGCAAGAGGACCCTTGGCAGCATTAGGAGCATCGATGGTCAAGTTTTCAGAACCAATACGATTGAACAAATCCTTCAAAGCAACCATAGATTCAGCATCAGCAAGATGACCAGCAATAGCCTTAGCTTCATTTCCTTGAACAGAAGCAAGACGTTCACCAACCAATTCTATAGCATTTTCCCAAGTAGATGTAACAAATCGATCACCAGTACGAACCAAAGGAGTTGTCAAACGTTGAACTTTCAAACCATCGTAAAAGAATCGAGTCTTATCGGAAATCCATTCTTCATTAATTTCATCATTTAAACGAGGAAGAATACGCATCACTTCAACACCACGAGTATCGAGACGAATGTTGCTACCCTGATAGGTTTTTTTTTTAAAAAAAAAAAGAGTGTGAGATTTTTCATTTTTTTTTTTTTTTTTTTTACTTACCACAGCATCAGAGACATCAATAGTCTCATATTTCTTCAATTCCCAAGGACGAGCTGTCATACGGTAAGGTTTGGAGGTCAAGGCACCCACAGGACACAAATCAATGACATTACCGGACATTTCAGAGTCAATGGTTTTTTCAATGTAAGTAGAGATTTGCATATCATTGCCACGGCCACTTGTACCAAGTTCAGGAGCACCAGCAACTTCGTTAGCAAAACGGACACAACGAGTACATTGGATACAACGAGTCATTTCGGTATTGATGAGAGGACCAAAGTTCTTATCTTCCACAGCACGTTTGCCACGAGGTTCATGATATCGTCCACGATCACTACCATAACGCATAGATTGATCTTGTAAATCACATTCACCACCTTGGTCACAAATAGGACAGTCCAAAGGATGGTTATACAACAAGAATTCCATCACACCTTCACGAGCCTTATGTACCATAGGAGAGTTGGTCTTCACCTTCATACCAGGCATCACAGGATATGCACAAGAAGCAACAGGTTTAGGAGCTCGTTCAACTTCCACAAGACACATACGACAGTTACCAGCAACAGATAGACGTTCTATAAGAATATTCCAAAATTCAATATAGTATTGTATCAGTAAAATTGTTTTCTTTTCTCGGTATGACTGTATATTTACCATGATAACAGAAGCGAGGAATCTATCACCATTTCCATTTAAAAAAAAAGAGAAGTTTGTTAATGTCATTAATATATATTTCTTATCAATAGATAAATAAACTACTTACATCAGCACCAGCTTTTTCACAAGCTTGAATCAAAGCAGCACCTTGTTCAATCATGACAGATTTGCCATCGATAAATACTTCTACTTCGTCCTTCTTGGTGACAGTGGCAGAAAAGGCACGTACTGTTTTATAAATATATAACCGATATCATTTTGAATAATGGATAAATGAATATAAATATAAAAAGGTAACAAAAACGATGAAGGTTAATATGTTGACATTGATGATTGTTGTTCCGGATACGAAGATAGTCAGATATAGTAAAAAAGAAGAAGAAGAAAGAAAAAAAAAAAAAGAAAAAAAAGGAAAAAAAAGAGTTCAGTTCATATAATATAACATTCTTAATATCTAGTTTATTATTATTATTGTTATTGTTTACCTCCATTTTGAATCATAGCAGGGGTTCTACGCGCCACGCTAGCCTTGTTAATGACGCGCAACATAATGATAAATTAAAATGAATGAGAATATAATAATAATAACAAAAAAAAAAAAAAGGTGGAGTGGGGAGTCAAGTTGAAGTCAAAGGGAAAGAAGGAGAGAGGGAAGTAAAAACAAAAAAAAAAAGTAAACACTTGTTTTGAGAAAAGCCTGCAATTTTTTCGCTCTGAAAAAACAAAAAAAAAAAAAAAAACAATATTCGAACCCAGCCAAAGAACTTTTTCCCCAATATATACGTTCTGAAAGGGAGAGTGACGCCAACATAGTCATTTGAAACTAGATTCGGCGTTTAAACTAGATGATGATTAGTGAGAGCTATAGATGATCATTATTGAGCCTTTGTACCTTACAATCATTTGGCATGATTACTGAATTCATTGAGGATTATGTTAAGAATTGAAAAGTGAACATGGGTGTCAAATAGATAATCATTCTTTATTTACCTTTCCCAAACTGTCATCTCCACGTGCTGTACTTAACTACCGATTTCTATAATAATTCATTATGTTCATCCATGCTAAAAGAGTGAGAAGTTCCATCATTATTATATCATAGTAAACATAATCATCGTCCTAAAAAAAGTAATCATCAATGTCATTCTATCATCCTACTTACCACTATTATTATTATCATCCTACCATCATTATCTGTCATTATAAAATAAATGTCAAGTATTGCCTTTTCAAAAGAGAGAGAGAGAGAGAGAGAGAGGATGAAAGTATCAAGATATCTAGGGATCGTTTACACTGCTAATGAAAGGATTATACAGTACTTCTCTCTCCATCATTAGATGTTGAATAAAAAAAAAAGTCGATGATATGTTTATTGTTTCTTTCTTTTATTGATAAAAAAAAAAAAGGAAGGAAGGAATAAAACTATGTTACATAAAAAAAGAATCAAATAATAATAGTAATAATAATAATAATAATAATAATAGTAATAATAGTAATACTACGAAGTAAAAAGAAGAAGGATAAACTGATGGAGATGTAATATAAATAAGGAGAGACAAAAGTAATGATAATAAAAAACGATAAAAAAAAAAAGAGAGAGAGAGAAGGGTAAATATAATCTATGCTAATAAGGAGAAAGGGGATGTTGAAGTACAATAGTAAAAAAAAAAAAAAAAAAGTATAAAAGATTGATCGTTTGTTTGATTGATGATTTCAAGTCTTGGTATCTTTTTGATCCACACCACGTTTCTTTGCTAGAGGATGATCTGCAGGTGTCAATAATTCAAAACTGCATAAGAGTTCAGTCGATACACTCATAATAGCACCAAAATTATCGAATTCACCACAATAGTTTGGAGCCGAGAAGACGGTGACCAGTGTCCTGTCATTGAAGAATTCATACCCATCTTCTACAACCATATGAGCTCGACATACAAGATCCAAATCAAACTTTGCCAAGAATTCATTGATCACCTTTTTACCGAAACAATAAGATACTCCACGTTCATTGTCTTCCCATATATCTACTGTGTCTGATGGATCCGACCACAAAAGATCATTCAGCAAGCCATAATCCGGTACATCAGTAGGTCGTTGTATACGTCGAATGTCATCCAAAGAATGTAATGAGGGAGATAAGCCTCCATGTACACAAAAGATCTTGCCAGCCACTAGTCCTGCAATAGGCATTGTGTTGAAGACATCTACAAATGATTTCCATACTTTGACACTGCATCGTCGTTTACATTCATCGTAAAATCCATATACTATTAAATAATAATAATAATAATAAAAAGTCAGTGAATTCATGTTAATTATTTTTTTTATCATCTTATATAGTACCTCGAGTGACGGAGCCTTTTTCAAATGGATAATATATAAAGGAAAAAAAAAAAAGAGAGAAATGAGTTGATTTCATTTCCGATCATAATAATCCTTTACTTACCACTTTCATGATTGCCACGAAGTAAAAAGAAATTTTCTTTCCATTTGATTTTGAAGCATAAAAGTAATAAAAAGTTTTCCAAACTTTGCTTGCCTCGATCCACATAATCACCCAAAAAGAGATAATTACTTGAAGGAGGGAAGCCACCCATTTCGAACAATCTTATCAAATCAGTATATTGACCATGTGTATCACCCACTATTTTGACGGGAGGAGATAATTCTAAGAGTGACTAAAAAAAAAAAAATGTAACCGATAAATGAATATCTATCTACTATGAATCCTTTTATATATATATAACACTTACTGGTTGACTAAGAAATATTTCCATGGCAGCACGACAAATGGTATTGACTTCGGCGGTCTTGAGACAAAGTTGTTTTGGCACCTTGGAAGCATATCCCACTTCAAGTAATCGTTGAATATAATCATCTAATTGAGCTGCGGAGATAGAAGAAGTATTCATACTATTGATAGAATTGACAGTGAGTTGGTTCATGGAACTGACAGTGAGTTGATTGTTATTCCCGGTTAAAGTATTGTTATTATCTTCTATATTTTGTTGAACATCTTGATGAGGAGGCCAAAAATCGGATTGAGCTAAAAGTTTATGTTGTTGAGGATGTTCCACTTTGCCTTGGAAAGGATCTTGTCGTTGTACTGTATCTTGTGTTTCATCATGTTCTTCCTTGTTTTTCACTGGATAGTCTGGATTCAATTGAGCTAAAGTTGTCATATTGTTGTTATTTCCACTACTAGTACTACCAATAGTCCCTTTTTGTTGTTGTCTATGTTGAGAAGTAAGCAAGATCGAACTTACTGATTGTGTTGTATTCGTACTATATTCATTGTCGGGTAAATCCAATCGAGGTGGAGGAGGTAAACTTTGACTCTTGTTTCGTCTATTTTTTCCATTTTTCTTTGATGAAGTATTTCCCATGTTGATACTATAATGTCAAATCCCTGTAATCTAATGAAGAATAGTATTTACGGAAAATATATGAAAGATAAAAAGACCAAATATATATATAAATATATGTCAGACGAAAAAGAAAAAAAAAAAAAAATAGAAAACAAGGAAACAAGAGAAAGAAGGGTGAAAAAAAAAACATACTTCTCTAAAAAAAAATTAAAGATAGATTCGGGAATTGAATTACCCAAGTTTCGAGTGCAAAAAAAAAAAAAAAAAAAAGTGTGTAATAAGGGAAATTCGTTTTGGGGTATTTTTATTCATATATTATAAATTATACTAAAGATGGATCCTTTCCAAAAGAGAAGTTCTTGATTGGTTTGTATTTGTCCTTGTTATTGATTTTCTGAGTGAGAGGTGATGATGGCCTTGTTGTCGAAAACTTTTGTGAGGATCTCATACCATTATTATTTGATGACGGTCGACCTAATGACATATGCTTGATATGTGTGATGGGTGATGATAATATAGCTGCTGAATCTTCAAGCCTGTCAATCTTATCCTGTTGTTGTTGTTGCTGTTGCTGTTGTTGTTGTTGTTGATAAGGATGGATGTTAATGACGGACAAGTACCAAAACATAAAGTTGGATATAATGACTTGTTCTCGTAATGATCGACGAGGATTGGAGAGTTTCATATGAGATAGTCTGTAAATACCTCTTTCCAGATGAATAGGTAGCCTTTGATGATAATCTATGTCAGTAGATATGAGATGAGGTTGGATTGTTGAAAGGCGCTTCTTTGTTGATAAAAGATTAGAGTAACGACGTCGTGGACTTTGGTCGTTATGAGGTTTGGAGGAGAATGATAATTTGCGTGAAAGAAAAGATAATAAGCTTGTTGATGATGATGATGAAGAAGAAGATGATGGCGATGCAGTTAGTGATGGTACTATTGTAGATGATGTTGTTAACGGTGACGATGATATCGTTGAATCCAAGTTCGACGACTTGCTATTGATAATTTCGTCATTCACCCGTCGATGCTTGTCCGAAAACAGTCCATGAATCCATGATGATCTTTTGTCTAGATTTGGTGACCAAGATAAACGTTCAGAAACAGATCGTCGTAATCCCTTCAATTTTTTCGGCGTAGATGAGGGCTCAAATGATTGATGTTGTGAGACCATGATTTGTGTTTCAAGAGTATGCATTCTTTGAAGAAGCTGTTGCTGAGAAGAATCAGAGTCAGCCACATTGCCAAGATCTACCCATTCATTGATAGTAACTGATTGATCATAAAGTTGAATACCTTTTGATGAGGAGGTATTTGCATTATTATTGTCATTGTTGCTGCTGCTGTTGCTTTTATCCATATCAGTTGATTGCTCTGAAATTGATTGCTTTATTGGTTCCAGATTTTTCCCAGTTGTTTGTATCTTTCCCCGAGATGATAATGCTTTACGCCGCAATAGTGATTTCCCATCCTTGGTTGCTAATATAGGTGATTCATCCAAGGAAGTTGAATTTTGGTTGAATTCATTGGTATCTATCACAAGAAAAAAAAAATGTTATCATCGTTATACTTTGTTTATTTTTATATGCCGATCCTTACCCTTTGAGAGGTTGCTATACATAGTGACATCATGAGGAGTGATGACACCATTAATATTTGTAGATATACCTTCGTCATCCTCGTCTTCTTCATCACTGGATATATATGTCGTTGAAAGTGCTGAGCGTTGCCTTCTTATCGGGTTGCAAATGCCAGATAGATTTGAGCCATTAACGTTTCCGTGAGTTTTGATCCATTCAACAAAGGCAGAAGGAGCTATTTGTGGATGTTTAGTTGCAGGTACCCTATTAAGAAGAGAGAAAAAAAAAACATTAGTATGAATAAAATTGAAATTTTTATTAGTAGTGATTTAATACTTTACCAAATAGGATTTGTACTATTGATATGATCAAGTTCATTTTTGTCTATTTCCCAAGGTAGTTGATCCATTTCTTGTGTCACATCTAGCCACTCCTTACCAGCCTCAATAGTAGGCAAGTATTCAGGTAAAGTACCATGAGTCATGTAGGAAGACAATGAAAGGTATCGAACTTAGAAATAAGAGTCACCACAGTCAAAAAAAAAAAAAAAAAAAAAGGTATAAATACAAAATATGAAAAAGAAAGAAAAAGAGTAGAAAAGAAAAGAAAGAAGAGAAGTGTTTTTTTTTTTATTCTCTCTTTTTAACTATTTCGATGTAGGGCTGCGCGGAGCCACAATCCGTTGACTGACGATAATGACAAATATACTATGATATGAGGAAAGAAAAGAAGAAAAAAAAAAAAAAAGAAAGAAAGAAAGAAAGAAAGAAATTAAAAAATGATAATGATAGAAGAAGGCACCTTACGTAAAAAGGTAAAGCGTCAAAAAAGAAATTAGATATGATATAATATATATATTTTTGGGCTTGTTTCATCATACTAAGCTGTAAACACTTGACTCGTATATTTGAAAATAAAAAAAACAAAAACGTGTTTATGGAAACTTTTTGACCAAAAACGGTACTCGGCATGTTGTCGCATATTCATATTTTTGCAATCGGAGTGGGAGTAAAAAGGATAACCCTGGGTAAGTCGGCAAATCTTTCGTTCTCAAAGTTGCACTCACTTTCTTTTTTTTTTATCTTTTTTTTTTTTTTTTTATTTTATTTTATTTTATTTTATTTTTGTTAATGGTTAAAAGAGAAATAAAGGAAAAATTCCCTTTTTCTGGTATAGAAAAGTATGTTGAAGGTGTATTTAGAAAACACGTATTCGACCTTCCTTTATTGCACGATGCCAACATTTATCCTCAAGTACACGCGACTATGAATGATTGGGAACTAACTTCAACTGAAAATGCCATGCCTTATTTACCTTCACAACAAGATCCTGTTAAACTTACCTTGGGAATTCATGACTTGACTAATATCTCTTTACCTACTTTTTCATCTACCAATATTAGTAAGTCTAGAAAAAGGAAAGATGAGAATAAACTATGTATTGATTCTTTTTGTTATAGATAAATATATGCGATACAAACGAGGACATATATTCAACACAGGCAGCAACGTATGTAGTTTGGACTTTGCACCAAAAACAACTCTTATTGACAGCAATCCTTTGATTCACTTTTTGGCAACAGGTGGATATAAAGAACGAAATGAATTACACTCCTTTGAAACACAACAACAAGGCTATCAAAATTGTATACAACTATGGAATTGTGATCTGAATACAACAAGATCAGAAGATCAAGTATCAGCTCCTCATTTGGATCTATGTCTTTTACATGATTTTGGTCATGTACGTGCTTTGAAATGGTGTCCTTATGGTGCTTATGAAGAAAACCTTGATAGTGATATGGATGACAATTCTTCTATACCGAAGCTTGGTATATTGGCTGCTTGTTTTGGTGACGGTACTGTTCGTATATTGGTGATTCCACATCCTGATATTTTGAGATCTAGACTTGATATTAATCATCAGGAACCTATCTACTGTAAGTTCTCTCTTCTTTGAATACTTATCTCTATTAGTATGTTATTTACCTATCTTATCTTTTTAAAAGTGAAAATCAAGCATTCCAGATGCATCTTTTCGTTACCAAATACATCCTTATCGACTTTGGCTTGGGGCGGACACAAAAAACTTGCCATTGGAACATCATCAGGTAAATAAATCAACCTTTTTTTTTAATATATAATATGATTATATTCTCACCATTCTCCTTCTTTGTTTGATAAGGAAATATATCATTGTGGAACATGGAATCGGCTTTGCAAGATCATCACCGCGATGATGCAGGGGATAAAAGACGATCTCTTCGTTTTATGATCTTCAATGTTATGGCTCATGATGCTGGTGTGCAATCTATTGTTTTTCATGGTTTACGAGATCCTGTCAATCTTGTCTCTGTGGGAAATGATGCCAAGTTGAATATTTTGGATATCCAAGATCCATTTGTTCCCATGACTATATTCCGATTACGAAGTGAGTTTTCAAAAAAAAAAAAAGAATATATGTTTGACTCTATCGATGTTTTTTTTTTATAGGTATCATTTACTGTGTTGTATGGCCTGGTCATTGTCAAAAAATCTCCTTTGTTGATGGCGATCTAATGGGAAAGGAAGCAAACATGCAAGATTGCCAAGACTTCAAATCGGGACAACATTTTGCAGAGTGTTCAGGAATGATGATGTGTATGGCTGCAAGTGAACAACATGTATATATCACTCATGGGACATCGGATGGCTTTGTTAAGTTTCACAATAGTTATACTCAAAGAATTAGAGGCGTGGTAAGAAAAAAAAAGAACTGAAAAAAAAACATTTATCTTGAGTAAAAGCTAATATTCTTTTTATCAGCCCAAAATTCAACCTGTAGTATACAAGCTTATATACCATGAAGAAACAGATACATACCGTTACATTGATGGATTGGAACCAATAGTAAGTTAGAAAAAAAGAAAAACTTTATTATAGAAATCGATAACTTTGATATTCAACCTTTTTTTTTTTTTTTTGTAGGCTATTAAAAAGAAAGGAAATAATACAGACATGGTGAATTTCGTACTGGATCATAATATATCAATCAATCAGGTACTTTTGAAATGAGCAAAACTCAATTGAATTATAATTTGTCATATTAATAAATAATTCTTTTTTTGTTATAGGTATGTTGGAACCACAACAGTAAGACTTCAGCTTGGATGGCATCTGCAGGATCAAATGGCCTTTGTCGGTTGGACTTTATTGGTGTAGGGGAAGATTGGGATTAGATTGTATAGTTTTTATTAAATTTGTATATAGTGAATTAAAAAAAAAATGTTTCAGTGATCTCCAAGCTGTCAGATATTTTCAAACACCGGACCGTGACCTTGACCTTGAGTCCTGAACGTTGTTTGTTTTCTTGAATTCTTTCTTTTCTTGTCTTTTTCTTTCTCCTCTTTGTCTTTCTCTCCGCCACCATGTTATCCTTAAGTACTGTAGCCACCTAACTTATTATACTTTATCATTTTATACTAAATTACTTGTTTCATTAATAGATCAAGCTTTCAAGGCTTTGAAACCATTCAAACAATCTTCTCAACCTCTCCAGGTTTTGAAAGCCTTACAAACTGCTAGGTAACAAAAATAATAACAAACTTCATTTGGTGATTTAAACATGATCTAACTCATAATATGCTTTTTTTTTTTTTAGCTTCTCGACGTCTCCCGTATCTTATGCTGAACAACCACAACCTATTCGACCTCAAGTTGGTGCCTCTTCTTTATTCGAAAATGTTCAAGTAGAAAGTGAGGCTCAAGTTGAAGAAAAACAAGTAGCTGAAAAACAAGTAAGGAAATAGTTTAGTAAATGAATAGGATGGAATTGACTTAGTTATATATACATTTAGTACAACTGGTCATCAGCGAACTTCAAGACTAGTCCAAGAAAATTAAACATGATTGCACGACAACTTCGAAACTTGCCAGTAGATGAAGCCATTCGACAATTGGAATATTCACCCAAACGATCTGCCAAAAAGATTTTACATAACTTGGCCTTTGCAAAGAAAAATGCTCAAGAACAAAAGAACATGAAGAACTTGGTAGTAGCTCAAGCTTGGGTTGGCAAGGGTCGTTATATTCGACGGGTCAATCCTCATGGTCGTGGTCAATTTGGTCTTATGCATCATAAGGAAGCTCATATGAAATTCATTTTGAAGGAAGCTGACTCATTGGTGAAGGATCAAGAAAAGACTGGTAGACGGAACATTCGTGGTTGGAAGGACACCAAAAAGGTATGGACACCTCTTGTAGAAAACAAACCTATTTACAATCCCAAGCCCTTTTATAACTGGTAGACCCATACATATATTTATATATACTCTCTCTTCCTCCCCTTTTTTCTTTTTTTTTTATCCCATCACCTATCTCCTTAACTTAGATATTTTTTGTGCATACATCTTTACCTTTTTTTTTTTTTTGTCATATTATATTATTTCCACTTTCAATCTTTGTATCAATAAAATAAAAAAAAAAGTTCCCTTTATTGTATTATTTTTGACATATAATGACCATTCTATATAATATATAAAGAAATCTATATAAACATATTTTACAAAGGATGCTATCAGATTAAACCCAGCTTTATCAATCACATACATGATCTGATTCGCCTTTACATCATCATATAGCACATACTATTATTCAATAAACCAAAAAAAAAGATCATCTATCTTTATTTCCACCTTTGTTTGAAGTACCATCAGATTGAAAACTACATTTTTTTTGGCTTACATATTTTTAGAAATTCAAGCCGTTCAATAGTTTGTCGTCAATTGGCCAAAGGCTAAAATAAAAGATAAAAAAAAAAGATCCTGGTTACAATGAATAAAACACACCTACTTGGTTTGATCGTTTATTATAAAAGAAACACATACAAGTTTTTCAAAGTTACATAGAATGTGATACGACCGATAAAAAGAAAGAGAAGTAGGGAGAGAACTAAGATATCCATTACTCATAGTCCACATAGGTCTACTATCAACATCTCTTCAAGAGTAAGTCAATAGAGAATACCATTCAGAAAAAAAAATATATATATATTTCCTCCTATTGTGTATTGATGACAATTTTTCTTCATCGTTCTCTCTATACTTTAATCGATCTTTATCAGGATCATCCATTCTATCATACTGTACAAACTTGAAGGTTAACAATATATAATGCTACAATCAAAGAAAGAGGTCTAGAGTAATAGGTGACGCCTCCTCCGCCTTTTTTTATAGAAAAAAAAAAATAATCACTGCCGGGGGGGAAGACGATTGGCTGGATCTAAAAATGGAAAACGGTTAGTGAGAGAAAAAAAAAAGTGTCCTTTACATTGCTATTTTTTTCCTCCAGTCACATTGAAGCTAACAAATAATGATGATGATTCTATTAAATCAAATCAATCATCCAATCATTATATATCATAAAATACTATATAGAATTCATATCTCATAAAAGAAAATTAAAAGACTATTTGTAAGAGATCACATATAGTGTTTATTAAGAGCATAATCATGATCACGGTTAAATTATTAAGAACGGGGCGAGCATTCATTGGGCTGAAATCAGTAACACATTGGCTCACGTGTACTTATGCTTAGATAAGATAGTAATTGATGGTAACGGTGACGTTATCTATGATGATGATTGATAACAGTACGGTATTTATTGACAGTAATGAAATAAAATTAAAAAAAAGAGTATGTACAAATTTTATTCATCTGGGAAATGAGAAGTTATACTACAAAAAAAAAAAAAAAAAGGACGATAAAAATAATGCTAATAAAAGTGACAACTATGATATACACATATCAAGTAGATGAATCACTACTTTGATTGACTACGGCGTAATCGGCTGGTCTTCCTTCGTAGTAACAATTTTGAGGATCACTGTTGCAATAGACTTCTGGACGAATACCAATACTTTCCAAATCAGATGCTGCCTTTTCCGTCCATTCTTTCCGGTCGGCTGGTGTGAATGCATACTTGCCAAGGATTGAACAATAATAAGCCTTTAGAAACTTGATTTCGTTGATAAACTTCATTTCAAAGAAACCATGACGAAGAACCTAATCATGATCATAATAATTGATAGTTGAATAGTGATGTTGACGAAAAAGATAGTAGTGATAATGCGTCGATGATGATAATTAAATAAGTAAATGAATAAATATATCAATTAGTAAATCTATACTCTTTGTAGCCATTGTGCACACACACACACACATACACACATATACTTCTCCATACTACCAAGTAAACCAATTTTTTTTTTTTTTTTTTTTTTTTACCAAATAGCCTTCCACGACTCGACCTGTTGATATATAAGGAAAGGCTCGTGCTAGGTATAATGATGGTTCCGCAAATTCCCATAATTTGACTTGTTGAAAAGCATTGTTGATTCTTGCCACACCTTTGTGAAATCGTTCATAGCCTCCCTTTGTTTCTAATGAGATCATATGTTCTTCGTTATCTTCCATCAATTCATAAAATCCCATCACAGCAAAGATCAATCCATAGATAGGGAAGATATTTGCTTTTTGTTGTTCAACCATAATTATAAATAAATAAAGAAATTAAAAAAAAATAATAGTTAGATAAGAGTTAAATTGTGATGACCAAGAATTATATTTTTTTTTCTACTTACGAGTAAGTGTGAGAGAAGGTAAAAGTTCCAAAAATGGTTTAATGTGAGAATGGGCCTGTTCATAATTGAGTTTTCGTATATAATAACAGATAAGAGTACCGTGGATGGCAATTGCATTATAGTCGGTGGTGTTGATGGTTTGAGATTCTAAATGATATATCGTAGCGGAACAATCATCTAATTTGTTGGTTACAAGAGAATTGCCTAAATGGTAAACACCAAGCCATATTTCAGCTTCATAGTCTCGATTGACCCTTGCCGTTTCTGCCATGAGTTTGCCTAGTTTCATATCATCATCACATTCATCAAGAACACCTTCAAATATCCGAGTTGTCATCACCAAAGCCACAGCACGATAAAACGCTTGACAATCCGTCACCACACCAAAAGTACGAGTATTTTCAATAGCAAGGTAAGCCAGTGATCTTGCATCATGAAATTTCCCAGCAGCAAAGTAAAGATAAGCACAAACCGAGAGAGTATCCGCATGCCATGTGTTTCCCATATTCTGAAGAGCCTTGGACATGTAATAAACACTATTATGCCTTTTGTCGTTAAGCCAACATACCAGAGAATGTCTTGCCAAAAACAAAGTATAATTAGGTCCAGTATCACCCATATTTTCACATGCATTCAATCCAACTAGGGAGGTGTAAGCAAAACTTCTTCCATTTCCAGTGTAGACATAGATGTTGGAAAGTTGCCGCATAATATCTACTACACGTTTGCCAGATTCAGGTTTTAGCTTGCGTTCAGTCAGACTCCACAAGATATGCCAATGTCTATGTTTGTATTGATCAAACCAGTTTTGCCAGAAACGTAAAAAGAAGGAAGCTTTACTTCTAGGCCAAGATTTATCCAAACATGAAAGTGCCATAAAAAGACATCGTTCACCTTCGTTCAATTCAGTACGCATAGTAAAACAGACACCAAGTTGATAATAGATATCACTGAGTTGAATCCATCCAAAATCAGCTTCTAGATCTTCATTTTCCTTCAAAATCTTGACAATTCTTTCCAATTGAGCAGTGGCTTCAGGAAGTAAGTACGATCGCATATTGAATTTTGCTAATTCTTGTAAATAGTAAATTTGTTTCGACAGTTCATCCGTTTGAAGGTAATGACGAGTCACCTTGCCCAAAAGTTGCGCTTGATTTTCAGAGTTCAGAAGTTTTTCATAGTATCGAGCCAAACATCGATGGAGTGAAATTCGATGTTCATATGAAACCATTTCGTAGATTGTCTTTGGAATAGTATCGTGAAGAAAAGAATATTCTGCTTTCGTTTCCTTACTGTTGCTGTTGTTGTCGCTATTGCTACTGCTATTACTTTCATCGTCGTCATATTTGACATCATTCTTTTTGCCCTTGTAGTTCAAAAAGTTGTAAACATCATATCTTTTCAATAACTGTCGTACCAATTTGAGATTCGTTTGTTGAAAGATAGTATTGGAAGGTTGAATAGCTACTCCGACCTCATAAATAGTAAAATATTGATCTAAACAACTGGCAACCTATATACAAAAAGGTATGAATAAAGTACATTAGTAAAATTGAATTTATTTTTTCTCATCAGTATTATTTACGGTCAAAAATTCTTGGTAATTGGAGTTGAGCCGATCGAATTGCATCTTGATAACTTGACTATAATTAAAACTGCCCAAAAGGTTTTCCAAATCAAATTGATTGCTAGTAGGTATCAGTTCCCTTTTGTACACTGTAACATGATCAAAGTCCTTAAGGATAATAGCCATATTCCTAGTAAAAAACAAAAAAAAAAAAATGTAAATGTATTTTGTTCATCTTCATCTCCCATCCGTGTTAAAAAAAAAAGTGTTGGCTTACGTGACATGTAACGGATTTCCATTCGTTCGATCCTTTAGATATAAAAGTAAATATTAGTTACTATGATTCTATTATTCGAGAATTGTTTCTTTGATACTTACTTGAACTACACGCACTATTGCAGGATTGACTCTATCTACACCATCACCACAATTTTGAAGAATAATTTCACCGATATCCGAAGTACCAAGACCATTAAGAATGATTTGACTAGTTGTACCAATTTGAGAAAAGTCATTGATAAAGTTCGTTTTGACATTTTTGGTGAATCGAGTTGCAAACAGCATCATCACTCGTTTACAATCCTCGTGGATATGTTGAAGCATGGAAATAGATGCTGCATCAGCCCCTATGTATATATATATATATAAAGGTAAGTATGTGCAAAGATTTCACCTGGTAGTATAATATTTGTAACTTACATTGCATATCATCACATATAATAAATACCGAGACAAATTGAGACAAATAGTGAACCATCCGTCCGATAACACCAGTAAGAAGAATATCACGAGCACGACCATCAATGTGTTTTGTATGTCGATTTTCCTCCACAGAGCCAAGATCAATAGACAAATCACGGAAAAGAGGTAGCAAGTGTGTATTTTCACCACATTTTCGTAAGCATCTGAGAATCAGTTCCACCATTTCATTCCCCTCTTCTTCTATATCAGGTGTTATATGTTGTTGCATTCGATCATTGGGCAGTTGAAGACGAGGAGAGTTGTTCATAGAATTTGATGATCGATCCGAGAAACTATTGGCTGAGTTGAAGTAATCCAGTTGTTGTGAAATGTCTCCATTTGCATCAATAATAGAACCATCATGATAGCTGTTTTGGTAATCAATCAGTGATTTATGTTTTCTAGATATTGTTGTCGAGCTGCTACTAGGAGCTTGTAATGATGGGCGTGTTGACATCATTGATAACCGATTTTGCACTGTATTGTCGACTTTTGGACCGCTGTTTTCGTGATGGTGCTCTTTGACTTTGACTGGTACTTTGTCGGAATCAATCATTTCAAATAGAGAAATCACTAAATTCTTGATCGTATAATATTTGGTACTTTGTTCCACTAGCCAACAATAACAGATGAAGAAAAAATTAATCAATAAAAATTCCTCTAATGCTTCTCTACTCTTTTTTTTTTGTATGTTACATACCTTCGATAGAAGAAGTCCAACTAAATATATAAAAAAAAAAATATGGATGATCAATATTATTCATAACTACTAGTCATGACTAATTATATTTTTCTTACCATGTCACAAAATCTTCGTTGTTTTTGCTGTATTGTTGGTGTAATGTACGACAGAAAAAACTTTTTCCTGAACCCGCGTTTCCTATGATAGCCATAAAATGATGATTTGGAGAGTGTCGCCAACTATCTACAAAACCGAGAGCATTTTCCATTTCAGATCGGTAACCAACAAATGAACTTGATCCATTCGTTCCAGACAATTGAGATACTTGTTTGTTTTTTGTTGTATTGAAGTTGAGTAGTCCATATATTTGTACCAATTCTTTCTTTCCCTTGAGAGGATTGGCACCAAAATCTTCAAATTCACACTGATACCCAATTTGCTTTCTAGTGGCTTGATCACATACGATGTTACGTTTGGCGAAAGGGAACTTGAGCATTCTGACAGCAATTATAATAGCATCACCAGCAATTGCAGCATCACGTCGGTAGGGACTGTCCATAGGCAACACAGCGTTGAAGATACCGCCAGAAGCCAAAGAAATAGAGAAATCAGGTAGAAATTTTCGATATTCATCACGTAGCCTGATAGCAGCCTTGGCAGCGAAGATGGCTTCACTTTCATGAGATAAGGGAGGAAGACCAAATATACCAAGTATAGTAGCACCTAACAGAATATAACGAATATGTTGAATATTTACATTGTCCCATATCATTAATTAATTTTTTTTTTTTTTTTTTTTTTTTACCTTTGTCATCTATAGCAAATTGTTGTAACATTCCTTCATATTTGACCAGTCGTCGTATAGCAGAGAAAAGAGCATGTTGAGCTTTTTCTAATCCTTCTGAAGTATTGACATGAATCTTTCCAAGACTGATAAACATAATAGTAGCCTCACGGAATTGTGCAGGAAAATTGCCTTCGACACTATGTTGCAATCGATATAGAGCACTTCGATTGAGATACTTGAAATATTGCAAACTTGGATCAGTCGTCAAATTCAGGAAAGAGGTGTCACGAGTTTTCGGTACCAAAGGTTCAATCTTCAACTGTGATGCTTGAATGATAAGTCCTGGACGATCGGATAAGTAATCGGCATTAGGTTGACCAGGAGATACACGTTGTTGTTGTAGTTGTTGAGATCGTGATAGATTATTAGGCTTTGAGAAGTCGAAACCCTTAACCACATAGTATCCATCGCGTATTTCATAAGGAAGTCGCATTGTTTTTTCATTGACTACTTCAAATGCTTCAGGAGTAATACTAATTTCACCTGCTCTGGCTGCCGTAAGTGCTTTGTCCAACGCTTCCACTGCTTGACCACCAATTGCATATTCCAATCGTCCTCGATATCGTAAAAAATAATCATCGTAATTTGTTGCTGTCGATAGAGATTTGTAAGATCTTTTACTTCCATCTTTGATGTTGAGATGGCTACTATCATCATCATCGCTTTGACTTGGGGTTGAATCTTCCAAGTTGGAGGCCCTTTTGTCTTTTGTATCGTTATTAACATGAACGACTTGTTGATAAAAAAATGGAGTTTCTGTAATAGCGCCAGTTGGATTAATGTCGCCAAGGATCACATTTGTAACATCACCACAGGATACTGCAATATGGAGTTCTAGATCAATCGATTTGAGGTCGGTTTTTCTTGATGATTGTCCACCACTATTATTGCTAGATCGTCGTCTATCAGCCACTTTTGAGATGAGATTATCGTAATGTTTCTTCTTGAAAGGATTCATATGGTACCAGGCATTAGAGTCTTGATCTTGTTCAGTATCACGATGAAGATGAGCCTTGAGAGCAATAGACTTGAATTTATTCTTTTCACCACCATTGACACTCTTTTTTCCACTAGTATTGTTGTCATACGAGTCTTTGTTGATATCGATAGTAGCACCAGGCTTACTTGTGTCCCTAGACGATTTTCCTTCGTATATACTGTCAAACATGGATACTCGTCGTTGTTCATCTTTGCCGATGTGATGGTGTCTTTGTATTTCGCCTCCAGGTCCTCGATGTCGTATAATTTCTTCTGCTGTGAGATATACCCGAAAGTGTGATTGTCGTGCCAAGAGTTGTAATCCACATTCAATCGCTTTTCGTACCAGTACATGTTTTTGTCGTTGAGATAATCCTTGTGTTCCATCTTCCATTGCCGAATCTGATGATGATCGTCGCCCATTGAAATTTGTAGGTTGAAAACATACTAAAAGAGCATCCCCCAAGAACTTTTTATATATAGATGTTAATAACCTGTATTAAAAACATGTATCATATATATATATATATTCTTCATACTACCTTGACTACATCACCACCATAGAATTCAATGATTTTGATACACTAGTTTATCATCAAATATATATATATATATAAAAGAATTAATAAAAATAGAAAAATAAAAAAAAAAGGAAAAAGAAAGATTGCATAATAAATGTTACCTCGCCCATGTATTCCCCGATTTCTGATGCAATAGCTTCTGGTGCTGATTCACCTCTTTCGGTAGCAAGAGTCGTAAGCTATAAATATTAAAGAAAGAAAAAAGTAAGATATATCAATAAAACATTAATCTCCATTCATTTTTCTATTTAATTCCATTTACTTACTTTACTAAAACCTATAATGTCAAGAAGTAACATGTCAAAAAAAAAAAAAGTGAGATCTTTGGATTATAATAATTATGAACATTATTATTATTTTTTTTTTAATCAATTGAATTCATACCAACAACATCGGCCATGAGTACCACCCCAAATTGGGTCATACTGTATGGAATTTCTATATTTTCTTCTCGGTCATGAAGGGAGCGGACAAACTATAGGTAGAATATAGGTTAATCAATGTCATAATGAATTCAAATAATGAGATCTTACTTTTGTAATAAATGGTGCAATGTTGAACATTACAAAATATATCAATGCTGACGTATAAGCATTAAATTTCAATACCGAAGACAATCAACCGATAAAGAAAGATATAAAGAAGAAGAAAAAAAAGTGGTAAAAGAACGAAACAAAAAATAAATATATATAAATATATATAAAAAAGAAAATCATGGTAAAAAAAATTCCCGGACCATTCAATTTTCTTCTCCCGTTCATGCAGAACCGTCAAAAAGACAGTTTTTTATTGGGCGAATTAAAAAAATAATTAAATAAATAACAAAAAAAGTAATGACTATTGTCCATAACTATGTCCTCTATTACTAGAATAACCAGAAGGATGTCCACCACCACCACGACCACGATATCCTTGTTGATTGTTGTATCCACCTCGGTTGAATTGATTATATCCACCTCTAAGAGCTTGATTGTATCCTCCACGGCCACCTTGATTATATCCTTGTTGTTGATAACCTTGTTGTTGATAGCCTTGTTGTTGATAGCCTTGCTGTTGATAACCTTGTTGTTGATAATATCCTTGTTGCTGATATGATTGATACTGATATGGTTGTTGTTGATACGTTTGTTGTCCATATCCTTGTTGATAATAACCACCTCGACCACCACCTCTAGAATAATTGCTGTATCAAAAAGAAAATTGAATTTTAACTGACCATTCTTTTTTTTTTTTCATCATAATCTTTCCAACTTACATTGATCCTGCGTTTGGATAATATTGGCCTGGAGGAGGACGTTGACTTTGATTATTGTAATTATAAAAATTGTCGTTTTGTTGAGGGAATCTTGAACCATCGTAATAACCACCACCGCGTCCACCACGTCCTCCACCTCTTCTAGGATAGTTGCTGTTGTGGCTACATAGAGGAAAAAAAAAAAGAGGATTAATAATTGGATTATTCATTTCAGTATTCCATCAACTTACTACTCTCTATATTCTTCCAAATGTTGAATTTGTGGTGTCCATCCTTGATTTTGATACTGATTTCGTCGTTGTTCAATTTTTTCGAATGTAGCCAATTTCATATCTTCGAATGTTAGTACACATGCATCAAGCTTGACATTGCGTAATAACTTTGTAACGAAAACGTGATCCTTTGGTAGTTGTGGCAGCATATAAATGACACTATAAAATCACGTTAATAATCAAGTATATTTTAATTCACATATTTTTCTATTATTTTCACGTTCTAATACCTTAATGACTTGTCGTTGGCAATATCTTGTAAACCATGATCAGGTAATGGACTTCGTAAGGTACTCCTTGGAATGCATTCCTTGTCTTTATCCACTAAACCAGTTAGTCCATCCGTAAGTCGTCCATCAAGAACCAAATGTTCATCATTGTCACGTTTGGCGTAAACTGTACTAATAGAATCGTACATTTTGTGGCTTTCGCTGACATAAAGATAAGATGATCCCACAGAATTCCGAATTTGTTCTTCTTCAGATAGTTGATCATATACTTTATTCATAGCATCCAAAAGTCGATTTGTGTCAATAAAAGGAAGTTTGACGACACCTATATATAAATGCATGTAAGTATATCTTCATTAAAAGAAAGAGAAAAGAAACAAAAAAAAAAAAAATAGCCTGGTGGCCATATCACTTATTTCTTTACTTACCTTGCCATTCCCATTTCTTGCCATCCATATCTACTTCAAAATCTGTTGGATAGAAATCAATAATGGGGGAATCATCATCAGTCATCAAATGATGGAACGGTTCAGGAATATGCTTTCGACTGGTTTTTTTTTTTTTTTTTTTTTTTTAAAAAAAAAAAAAAGGAAGATGTGAGATAAAGTAAATTGTTTATTTCATTTCCCTTACCTTGCTGCTGGTAGTACACCCATAAGTTGTTCAAAAGGCTTGAAAGGAGCACTCAAATCAAATTTGATATCATAACGATCAATATCTACAAAGTCGGATGCCATTGGAGCGTAGTGATAAGGATAATACCAAGACCATGAGACACATCCCTATTAAAATATAACTATATTAGTAGCAGTACAAACATTTTATATGATTTGTTTTTACCTTGTAATAATAAGCAAATACCCAACAAAGACCTTCGCAATAAGATTTGACGACACTAATCAGAAAAGAAACAGATTATCAACGACGAATTTCTCTATAAGCCCTTTTTTATTATTATTACTATTATTATCCAACTTACTCACTGATTTCCTCACGATCTTCCGGTCGAAAACCAAACTTGAGAGTGTAATAACGTTCCTTCCAACCAGGTTCCCAAAGTCTGTATCAAATCAAAAATTCAAAAAAAAAGTGAGACTCCTAGCTCCTTACAAATTCAACTATATCCCATTGACTACCCTTTACATTAATTCTTTCTTTCTTTTTTGTATTACCTAACAGCATCATCAGGTTCGCGTTCACGAGCAGCTTCTTCTTTTGCTTTCTTATCAGCGGCCACTTTTTCCAGGATAGCTTTTCCTCTTGCCACAAGATCTGTACCTTCCGCACTGTCAGGACCAACATCATCATCCTCTTCGCCTGCCTGCTCTTCCTCATCAACATCCTCTTCCGCTTTTCGTTTTGTTCCTCTTGTTTCTTCCTGTTCCATAGATGTTGTTGATTTGTTTTCATCACCACCTTCGTCCATCAGTTGAGCTTTGAGTGCAGCAGCAGCGGATTGGTTAGCAGCCATTCGAAGAGCAGCACGATTTCTAACAACATCGACATTGGAAATACCAGCATTAGGATCATTCACCGGAGCAGCAGCAAGATCAGCGAAAGTAAATTCTGGAGCAGTTTGTTGACCTTGTGTTCCATGATATTGACGTCGTTGTCGAGACTCATTTTCTAATTTTCTTCGCTTATTGTTTCTTTGTCTACGTAGTTCCTCTATTTTTAATAATAAGATACATATAAGATGATAGAATTTAACATAATATATTTGTTTTTTTTTTCTCTTCATTGATAACTTACTTTCCCGTCGTTCATTAAAGATTGTATCTTCCATTTTACCAAGTTCAGTCACTAAGATTTGTACTCTTTTGAGATCTACCTGTTGAGATAAGAAATAAACAATATATATATATATAATCAGTATCAATCTATTATGGTCACTTATTATTATTACCTCTCCATTGTGTGTCATATAACCACCCATCATTGGCATACATTGTTTCCACAATAAACTTAGAGTACTGATTGCACCTTCACGGATTTCCAAAGAAGGCAAATGAGGTAAAAAATCATTTCCCACAAAGAAGCACATAAAGACCCAATCATCCACAGCCCTTTCAAAATCGAATTCGATTCCAGGTATATCAAATTTCAGAGCATGTTCTAAATATTCCCGTAGAACGTTGACATGTAGAAATACATAAGGTTTCGCTTCAGCTTGTCTTGCTTTTTCTTCTTCAGTTGATTTTTCCAAGCTAGATAAATCAACTTCAAGTCCAGCAGCAGCAGATGCTTGAGCATTAACTATGATAAGATAAATGATTAATATATAACGTCATAAAGAGTACTATTTTTCATTTTACCTCGGCAATCAACAGCAGAATGACCTGGTTTATGGCATATTTCACAATTCTTCTTGTTTGACTGTTGAACATTGACATCTTCACGAAGTACTTTGAAATGAGGTTCATGCGTACCAAGAGCCAACATAATCAAATCAGCATCCTATTTATAAAAAAAGAGAGAGAGTATGTTTGAATTAATAAAATCCCGTAAGGTCAAAATTCACTATAATTTGAATATACATACCAAACCATACATAACATGGGTTGTATTAGGATTGTGTTCGGGTCGAGATCGTTGCACACGAATAAATTCCATCACCTTGTGTTCACCTTCACCAGGAACTGTTGCATCAGACAAAATCACCTTGAGCTATAATAAAATTAAATGAATATAATAATCAATATTTCACCATATCAATTTCTTTTTTTTTTTTTTTCAACTTACATTTTTCCAAAGAGGATCATTGTTTTGTTTTTCTGCAATATAGTATCGTAAACAAAAAGCAAGATGAGCCATAAAAGGGGTTCCAGGTGTAATACAATTGGAGTCAAATTTGTCTTCATTTTGTGGTTCCATTTGTCCTTCTTGACCAATATCTACAGAATAATAAAGTTAATAATTTGATCATTATCATTATCTAACAACAATAAAAAAAAAAAACTTCATATCTTACTTGCTAGATCACGTCTCACCTTCTCTTCTGCTCCTCGTTCAATTTCAGCTAATTGTGCCGCACGGAATCGACGAGAACGTTGTTGGTTCATCTTGGCTCGGGGAGCAACTCCATCTATGTTTTAAAAAAAAAAAGAGAAAAAAAATGAATTAGTATATTAACAAACCATCTCATATTAAATATATATTACCAATAGCCATATAAAGGATCTTTCTTGGACGGATCATGTTAACAATTCGATCAATATAAGCAAAGATATCCACAATCATTTCGTCTTCAGTACTAGGTGCAGGCTAGAAAATAAATAAAAAGATCAGTTCTATAAATCATTATAATTCGTTTATAGACATACTTTATCTTCGGGGTGACAACAAGGGTGAATAATACCATTCATATCTAAATATAGATTATCGAATTCTTGACCGTTTGGATTTGGTTGTGTAGTATCGACAGGCATATATACGCCGTTGATCGTTTTTCCATGTTCTTCGATCACTTGACTTGAGACTTTTGGAAACTTGTCAGCCAACCATCTAATGAATAAAAAGGTTAAATGCTTGAATTTAATGATATTTATTTTAACTATTTTTCTCCACACTCACCTAAAGAAAGCAGGAACACCCATATAGAAACAAATTTGTTTATTTATAAGTTAAAAAAAAAAAAGATTAAGGAAAAAAAGAATAATAATAAAAAAAAAAAAGAGGAAAGGAAGAATTCTTTTTTTTTTTTCTTTTCTAAAACTGGATAAGCAGAAATCGGCATTTGGAATATCCGTTGCAGTGACTTTGGTACACTTTGGGTGGCTGGCTGAAAAGGGAAAAAATAACAAATACTCCTTCCCTCTCCCTTTTTTCTTCAGTTATCTTTTTTTTTTTTTTCCTTTTTCCAAAAACAACACAATACACAATGTTAGGCTTAAGATCTTTGTTGACAAATACTTTACGACCTACTTGGACAATAACTCGACCACTTTTACAACAATCACATATGTCTAGTCGTATTCTTTCTCAACTGAAACCAACTACATTTTCACCACTCTATCAACAACAAACATCTGGTATGGCTACTCTCAATCAAGTTATTCGAAAATGTCGTAAAACCAAACCTAAGCTTAGCAAAACACCTGCTTTAGAAAACTGTTATCAACGCAAAGGTGTATGTAACAAAGTCTATACAACAAAACCTAAAAAACCCAATTCTGCTGTTCGAAAGGTGGCTCGTGTCAAGTTAACGAATGGTCGTGTGGTAACAGCTTATATTCCTGGTGAAGGTCATAACTTGCAAGAACACTCTGTTGTCCTTGTTCGTGGTGGTCGTGTACCTGATCTTCCTGGTGTACGTTATCACCTTGTTCGTGGTGCACTTGATCTTCAAGGTGTTGCTACTCGCACCACTAGTCGATCAAAATATGGAAGTAAGTAAAAAGAAAAAAAAAAAAGTGAATGGATAATAGATAGATGATAAATGATATGATACTCATTTACTTTTTTTTTTTTTGAAAACTATAGCCAAGAAACCATCCAAAAACTAGATCTTTATATTGTTTTATGTATTCATAGTCATCCTTTTTACACATCCGATCTCTTTTTTTTTTTTTTTTACTTGCCACAAAATCATCCAATCCATCCTGTAGAAATACTTTTTATATATACAATCAAAATAAAAAAAAATACACTTTGTCTTTTTCATTCCTTTGCTTGTTTTCTACTATTATGATGATAGATTCTATCGTTACTGGGGGGATCTTTTGATTAACTTTTTTTTAATATGTCAATACACTTTATTCAATAAAAAATGACGGAATTCAAAGAATAAGATGACGCAAAAATAGGAAATAAAATATCGTAAGGATAGAAAATAAATGACGGGGAAGAAAAAAAAGTGTAGTCGCATAATCAAATAGAGAATATAAGAAAATAGATATCATGAAAAAAAGAGTAATCAAAAAAAAAAAAAAAAAAAAAAAAAAGGAAATCAACCAATTGAGTTCACCAAGTTAACATATATAAAAAAAAAAAAAAAAATGAGTAATACTTATCCAGATAAAAATATTTCACTAGCTTACCATTTAAGTGTAACGAGATCGCCGTAGCGAAAGTAGGATGGCGATAACCATCCCGGAATTTGTTAAATTGTTAAGTTGTTATATTAATTGAACCAACGGTGCTTAAACCATTAAAGAATACTTGTAAAAAAAAAAAAGATAGGCAAAAAAAAAGAGTGATTGAAACAACGGTGATTAAACCATTAAAGATAGACAGAAAAAAAAAGAGTGATTGAACCAACGGTGATTAAACCATTAAAGATAGACAGAAAAAAAAAGAGTGATTGAACCAACGGTGATTAAACCATTAAAGAATACTTGTAAAGAAAGAGATAGACAGAAATAAAAAAAAAAGTTAAATCAAAGAGATCCTTTTATAAGAAAATGAATCATCCCTGCAATTATGAGCTAATTTTAGTGGATAAAATGATGAGACAAGATGTAAGCAAGTTTTATCATCTTTTTTAAGTATTAGCAACATTTCTATCTTTATATTCTATCTAATTCATCATCATTTTTTTTAGTACTAACAACATTTCTTTCTTTCTATTGTATTTAATTTATCATTGTCCTTTTTAGTATCTACTTTATTATTTTTAGTATCTACTTCATCATTTTTTTTCTTTTTTTTTAGTGTTAGCAACATTTCTCTCTTAATAATAAAGTTAATTACATAGATGTTCTACATTAAATTCTATTATTACAATATTTATGTACTAAGTGATACATGGTACTGACTTGTTTTTGCCGTGTTTTAGTTTGATGACTAGATTTCTTTTTTTTAGTGTTCTATTTTAAATGATAGTATGATTGTGCACAGGATACTTATTATTGCCATTTTTTAATTTCCATAGGTGATCATCATTATTATTATATTGATTTATTATGTTGACTGATAAAAGATTGTTTTGGCACTTTCAAAGAAAAAAAGAAAAGAAAAAGAAAATGCTGTTCTGTCAGAAGGTAACTAGAATGAAGTATTTTGTATTTTATCAGAAATTTGTACAGTGATTGACGACAATGTTTCATCATCCATCATACAATCATACAATCATCCAACATACAATCATACAATCATCCAACATATAATCATCCATTATCACATATCATCCATCCTGTAATCATCCAATATACAATCATCCGTTATCACATATCATCCATCATGAATCATCAATCAATTGATACCTAAAAAAGAATGGACAACACCCAAAGCTGCTAAAAATATGAAAAGCTTATGTTACTTTTCTTTTGTGTCTTTTATTATTAATAAACAAGTTATCATCAATGTGTTGTGTGTTTTTAATGTACTCTACCGACATCTCTAGAGCGATATCTGAAAAAGAGATAATGCGACATTGATTTTGGGAAAGTACGATATTTTATTTTATAACATCACGAAAAGCATTTTCTTGTTGACACGACAAAAAACTTTGAAAACACTGTATAACAAAAGTGACACTGATCATGACTAAAAATTAAGGTTACAATTTCCACATCTGGTAATAAAGTTAGATAACACTGTAGTAATTTGACGTAAAAGATCAATGCGATGGCGACATCCTTCATTTTCTTAGTCACACCCATATACAAATATTAAAAAGGTATAAAAGTAAGTGGTCATAAATATAAGAAAAAAATTTTTTTTTATAAAAAAAAATCTCCTCGCTATACAAGATAATAATAATGAAACTTTCTCTATTAGGATCTGCAGCTTTGTTTTTACTCCATACATTGTCCTTAGTTCATGAATCAGCTGCTGCTAATGATGGAAAACCAAATATCCTTTTTATTTTTACAGATGATCAAGATGCTAGGTTGAATTCCATTGATTACATGCCTAATTTGCAAAAACATCTTGTGAAGCAAGGTACTCTCCATCGTAATCATTATGCTACTATTGCTATATGTTGCCCAAGTCGCGTCAGCTTACTTCGAGGTCAATATGCTCACAACACAAAGTAAGTTAGGAAAATCATTATTGATCATACAAGAGGTCTGATATTGTTTTTTTTTTTTTTTAATTCATAGCATCACTGGTAATATATATATATATATATATGCATACATTGCATATACATATAGATGATACATACATATGCAAGAATAAGAAAGAAAAAAAAACTGATCATTTTAGAATATAGATGTAAGTCCTCCATATGGAGGTTATAGTCGTTTTAATAAGCTTGGATTAGGTGAATCTACTTTACCAATTTGGTTACAGGAAGTAAGATAAAATTATTTTTCTTTTCTATTATACTTATGTTATATATATATATATTTATTATAGGCTGGTTATCATACAAATTACATTGGCAAGTTAATGAATGAATATAGTGTTAATAATTACAACAATCCTACTCCAAAAGGCTTTGATTATCAAGGTACATAATGCAAGCCTTCAATCTCCGCATTTTTTTTTTCTTGTTGGACTGATTTTTTTTTTAATTCCTTTCTTTTTCTTTTTTTTTTTTTATCAAAAAGATCAACTAGTTGATCCTTACACTTATGTTTATAACAAACCTGTTTTTTCAAAAGATGGTGAATCTCCAGTCTTCTACAAGAATGCTTACCAAACTGATGTTATCCATGCTAAAGCTCTCCAAGCTCTGAAGAACCAACGTAATTCTGACAAACCATTCTTCCTTTGGGTGGCTCCTATGGCTCCTCACGGTCAATTCTCCTTTCAAAATGGTGTTATGAAAACTGAACCTCCTGTTCCTGCTGCTCGTCATGCTCATCTTTTCAAAGATGTCAAAAGTAAAGTAGAAATGAATATACATAAAATTCCAGTTCTCATCGTCAACTTGTTTTTATTATCATTATATATTAGTTGCCCGTACACCCAATTTCAATCCTAAAAAGCAAACCAAGACTGCTTCCTTTTGGAAAGGACTTTCTCATCTCAATAATACTTTGGTTGATCAATTTGATGAAATCCACCGCAATCGTTTACGTGCGCTACAAGCAGTAGATGAAATGATTGGTACATTATTTGATGAACTTCAACATCAAGGCAAACTGGACAACACTTATGTGATCTATTCTGCAGATAATGGGTAAGTTGGAGAAGAAGAAGAAGTAATATTTTTTTTACCTAATAAAACTATATTGATTCATTTTTTCTTTTTTTTTTTTTTCCTCTAGTTATCATCTTGGTCAACATCGTGCGTATCCCGGTAAATGCGGTAACATTGAGGAAGATATCAAGTAAGTTTAAAAAATATATGTTATTCATCATTTTCGATTACTGAAGATGAAGTAGGATGTAATTGGGATCTGTTCATTTGTATTAACGTCACTTTTTCTTATAGTGTTCCCTTTATCGTTCGTGGTCCTGGTATTCCAAAAGGCAAAGTCAGTGATATTGTCAGTGCTCACCATGATCTTGCTCCTACCTTCCTTGCCCTTGCAAAAGGCAGTCAACATGTTCCAGACTGGGTGGATGGTGGCGTTATCCCTTTGACACACGATCTTCAAAAGCATCCCAAGACTGTTGCCAAGGAATCCTTTGCTGTCGAATTTTGGATGCAAGATGCTATGCCAGAGTAAGCTTCCAACAAAATATCAACATTCAACAAAGTGAAAAGAGAGAAATAACGATTATTTTTTTTTTATTCTTATAGATTCTATCCAGAAGTCAAAGCGGAAGGTCCTAACACCTACAAAACCCTCCGTGTCATCTCCAAGGACTACAACTGTAAGTTAACATATTCAGTATATAGCTATTATTTTATTAATTTTATATCTTCTTATTATCATTATTATTATTTTATTTTTACTTTTGTTGTATAATTAGATATGTATTCTGTTTGGTGTACTGGCGAACATGAATTCTATGATCTCAAAAACGATCCTTATGAAACTATCAACAAATATCACCATATTGATGAACAGCTTCTCAATCGTTTGGATGCCTTGTTACTTGTTCTCAAATCATGTCGTGCAGAAAATTGTCGTGATCCTTGGCGTATTCTCCACCCTCATGATCCATCTGTTAAGACATTGGCAGATGCTCTCCACCATAAGGTAAAGATGATGATACGAAAACAATGGATGTGATTAAATATATGATTTTTCTTTATTAGTTTGATCAACACTACAGTCAATACAAGCACGTCTCTTTCTCTGAATGTCTTCCTTATATCTCGGTATTCAACGAACAACCAGTCATCGGTCATCACTTTAAAGCAAATAGTACGACTCTTGCAACTACGAACTTGACAACGGATATCAATAAATCTGAGAAGGTACTGCAAAAGCTGCTTCGGTCTTCGATCACCATTCCATCTACATCATATCAAGAAGATGACGATGAATACATCAAGAACGTGATTCGGCTTCATCAAATGATCCCTGATCCAGATGATGAAGACTCAGTTGGTTTGGAACGTTTATCTGAAGACTTTGAAAAGGACGCTATTCCTGTTCCTGAAGAATTGGTCACTAGTCAAATCGATTGGGTCAAACATGGTTTTTACAACGCTTTTGGAAATTGAAGATGTATGGCATATCGATGGTATTTATTTATTAGATTTTAATTTTATTATTAGTATAACATCTTCTCATTTTATTCTATTATATTTACACATAATAAACCAATGTACAAATCATTAGTTTTAAATGATCCAGCTTTATCTATTCACTAAGTCTATATTTTGCTCTTTGACTAGCAACCACATAAAAGGACAAAACTTGAAGTTTAGGGTTGAACGTATATAATTAGGGATAGCGATATGGGCACTCATTTTTGAAAACTGGTAGTGCTTGCCAGTTTTATGCGATGTTTTTATAGCTCCGCTCTCTTCCACATATTGTTTACTCATAAAAATCCATGTTGCCGCACTTCGTCTTTATCTTCCTTTTTTTTCTTTTTTTTTTCTTTCTTTTTTTTTTTTTTTTTGTATGGAAAAGGCTCGTTTTATTAAAAGAAAGACAGTGTGGGAATTTCTCTCTTGATCGTCTTTATCTTCCTATTTTTTTTTATTTTTTCAGTGACCACGTACAATGGAATATGCTAATAAGAAAGCAGAATTAATCCAAGACGAAAATCAAGCAACTGCTCAATGAACACTATCATATCGAATTGAACGATGAACAATGGAATGAAGGTCTGAAATCAACATTAGCAAGATACTCGAACGGAAAATCCAAATCATCCCCTATTACTTCTGAAGCTACTCGTACAATGGTTGAATCGTCTTCGTCTGTCTCACTCATATCGGAAGACTCTGTTAGGAAGAAATCATAAAAACTCACACTTTTCATAAGTCTCACGATTTTATCAAATCTCACACTTTTCCATAAATCTCACGATTTTTATCAAATCTCACAGTTTTATCAATTTATAAAAATCTGCTCTTTAAAAAAAATATATGAATAACGATTAGTATAAATATCCCCCCATTAACATAAAAATAATCATTGTCAATTTTATAAAATAAAAATTAGCATTATACTATTAACAAATACAAATCTCATTGACCACTCTATTGGAAATAATCATCCATTAGTTTTAATTATTTTTAACAATCTTCAAATTATTATTATTTCCATTTACTTATATACCAAATCATCAAGTCATTTGGTAACTTTATTTATTTATTTTTTTTTATCTGATCACTGTGATTACAAACATCAATCCATTTCCATATTTGGATTATTTTACTTTTTATCAAAATACGTTTTGTTTTTTTTATATAAAAGAACTGGTGCTCACTACATATCAAACATCTTCGATATTATTAATTTAATAATATCATCCATCCAATCTGAAATACAATCATCCTCGTTAAGTACAAAAAAATCTTAACAGCAGACGAATCAGACGATGATGATGATTTCCAACCTTTGCAAATTACAAAGCGACGTCGACTTGCTTGAACCCCAAAAAAACCAAAAAGCAAAAAACGTGTTAGCCATGGAACATTGCTATAATCTCGGAATATGAAATCCTTTTTTTTTTCCAATGTCTTTTCTTCAATCTTTTTTTTTTTTTTTTTTTTTACATGATCCTACCATTCATCTTTATCTTTATTTTTATTTTTATTTTATTCTTATTTTTATTTTTTTATTATATTTTACTCACGATCGTGCCATCCGTTATACCAGTTTCATCCGTCTTTCTTTCCCAACACACTTAACATAAACTAGTTTCATCCGTTTTTATTTTTTTTATCAACATTTCCAGTTTCATCCGTTTTTCTTTCACACCACATTTAACACATATGCTATCATAGTTTCATCCGTTTTTCTTTCCCATCATCAAAACTGGTTTCATTAACACACGATTGATGAGTAATCATTCAAAATATTTTTAGTATAAATAAGTCTTGAATATTTTTTTTTTAGTTCACAGTGTCAATCTTAACTTATATTTTTTTTAACAAACAAATAAAAGATTTATTTTATGAATCAAATCATCTTGGCCACTCTTAAGAAAATAATCATCTTAAGTTTTAACTTTATTTTATTTAAACAACATCTATCTTATACAATCAATTCTATTATTATTTTATTTGATCATCACCAAGTGTGATCAAATACTCAAGACATCTATATTTGGAATCAAGTATCAAATCATCTTATATTTATTTTGTTCTTTTTTATATAAAAGAACTGGTGCTCACTACTCTTCAAATTCAGTATCATTGATATTATTATTTTAATAATACTATCCATCAAATATATAAATCAATCATCCACTCAAATAACAAAAAAAAAAAATCCTTAACAAACGATACTGGTTTAGTCATATTTTTTTTTATCCCAAAAATAAACAAGTTCTTTCTGACTATTATAAAAATCAAATAAATCATAGTGTACATATCTATATTTCGTTCTAGCGTCCTCTTCACTTCATGTTCCTTCAGTATAAGTGTTTATACCTTTATTCAAACACAGATCATACGAAAAAATGTATCCGGTTGTCATCAGCTATCATACTCCATCTTCCAAAAAAAAAAAAAAAAAAAAAAAAAAAACTTTTACTTACCACTAATTAATGATAGAGTTTCTATTAAATATTACAAAGTATTTTTATTGTACAAAAAAAAGTTCTAAATGTCTAAACTATAAATCACTAGAGTTATGAGGGGGTGATCAAAAGGTGAGATATAGAGAAGAAGAGAGTATCAATATATACATATAGTATAATCAAGACCATCGAGTACACAAAAGCAAAATAAAAGATAAAAAAAAAAGTGAAGGAAAAAATAAAAAAAAAAAAAAATGATAATAGTCGAAGCCCTGCTTCTAACTAATAAAAAAAGTAAGAGATAATAAATGATCGATTAGGCAGCACCCTTGGAAGCTTCGTATTCAGCAGTGACTTGAGCATGATCGTTTCCTTTGTAGTCCTTCATTTCAGTGTCAGTTCGAATAATGGCATCTTCTTCAGAATCAACATCATCATTCTTGCGGTGACAGATGTAAAAGAGAACACAACAAATTCCAGCTGTGATAGAAATACCGGTATACATCCACCTATTAAAAAAAAAAAAAAAAAAAAAAAAAGGTAAGTAAAAGATTAAGGATACACCCATAGCTAATATCCCCCCCTTTTTTTTTTGTAAAACTTACTTCAATTTAGGATCAACAGCAACAGACACAAGGGCAAAAGCAAGAAGGGAAGCAATACAATTTGTGAATAAGAAGAGGGCCATAACAATAGATTTCATTGATTGAGGAGCCTTCTTGTAGGCATATTCCAAACCAGTGATGGAAGCAAAGATTTCAGACAAAGCGATGAACACATAAGAAGGAATGATGTAGGCAGCAGATATATCATTGGGTCCATCAGGATGATCATAGTTAGGAGGAGAATTATAAACCATTGATTGAATACCAGCAGTGTAACCCATTGCAACGGCAGCGAAGAAGAAACCGCATGTAATTCTAACCATAGGTCCCATAGGTAAACCAATCTTTCGAAGGAATGGATAAATGAATCTAAAAGAATGATAAAAAAAAACAATCAGTCATTTGGGTTACTTCTTTTGTGCATATATAAATTATTATTGACTTACAGGTCCATTAAAGGAATGAAGATGATTAGACAGAGTGGGTCAATATTTTGCATAATATCATTAGGCACCTGTCCCGTCCACATTGTACCTAGAATCATCAAAAAAAAAAAAAAAAAAAGGTTAGTTATCATTATTTTTTATCTTGTTTTTTAATAAAAAAAAAAAGGATTGATTATATATATATATATTTTTTTTGCGACTTACTAGCCATAGAAACCAAATTGTTCGTCATTTGAGAATAGCATAACCAATAGATAGGGAACCAACAAAAGACAATACAAGCACGTAATGTACGCTTCAATTCATCAACGAAGATATCGTCCCATGTAGCTTTGGCAACCAATTCAGGATGGGTATGAATCAAATTTGAGGGTTTACATGCTTCCATTTTTCCTTTGACTTTAAAAGTCATCATGAAGAGACGACCAGCTTCCACAAAGACAGAACCACGAGGAGGATTTTGAATGTATTGATTGCGACCAAGGAGTACAACAACCATACAAGGAATAAACATACAAGTAGGTAATAGATAGGCAGGCCAGAAACCAACTTGTTTTTCGAGTTCAGTGGTAGCAATAGCAGACAAGGAACCTACATTGATACCCCAGTAAAACATGTTGAAAATTTTTTGGTAAGTTGCTTGAGGAGTCACAATGACGCGTTTGCCATTCTTGTTTGTTCTAATAAAGGGAGACTTTTGTACATATTGTTCAGCAACAAGAGGTGAGACATTTGCTTTGATCCCACCAGTACCGAGACCAATGATGATGATAGCCACAACAAATCCAGGGAAGGCAGCACCACTAGCAATAGCGCCAGGAATAGCAGTACAAGTAAGGATGATCAAACCAACAAAGTAAATACAAGCAAACACGACAATTGTTTTATATTTTCCCCAGAATTGATCAGCAATAACGGCACTATTGAATAATAAAAAAAAAAAAAAGTTGGTTAGTTACATCATCCATCATTGAAAAATCAACTTACCCAAGAATAGGAGTAATATAACAGAAGAATTGGAAGAAAGTTGTAAGAGCAGTAGCAGTTTGTTGACCTCTACCAATAGCACCAGGTTGATCAGCTGGATAAAAAGGAGGATCAGGGTATTGTACATAGTTTTGGAAAGGACCACTTAAACCATAATAAGTAAAACGTTCACAGAATTCAATCAAAATCACCAAATAAGCAGCCTTTGGAATATGATCTGATACTTGTGGTAATGTTTCCCAATCTTCTGCAGTAGGTTCTGGACCAAATAATTGACCATCATGAGATTCATATTCGTGAGATCCAACAATAGACCCTTGATATAATCCATTATTGCCATCTTTTGCCTTTTCGTCCACAATAGATGTTGATAACATATTGTTATCGTTGTTGTATTGTTGATTTGTAGTAGTATCCATGTATATAAAGAAATACAACTACAAATATATGTAGGAAGAAAAAAGGAAGAAAAATAATAAAAAAAAAAGTATGGAAAAATGAAAGAAAGAGAGAAAAAAAAAATAATGTTTTGCGCTCAAAGTATTTATCCTACATCAAGTAGAAAAATTTTCCCGAACGGGTTAAGACCCCGATTGGCAAGCTATACTCGAGAACTCATATATTATCATCACCCATCATTCATTTGATTGGTTTTCTATATACAAAACACCACCAGACAAATCGGTATTCAGAAAAAGAAAAATCTATAGGTTTTTCACCTTATTCTTTATTCATTTCTATTTTTCTGTTTTTTTTTTTTCTTTTCTATAAAAAAGGGTTCATTTGCGTCACCCCCGTGCGAAAATTAAATCTTGAGAAGACCCTTTAAAAGAGAAAGTCTATCGAAAGTATCATCATTTTTCTCACGGAAAAAGATGTCATATCCAATTGGTTGGTATATTTTTTTTTTTTTACCTTTTGATACTCAATATTATTTTAATCGGCTATTAGTTCATTATCCAGTCATATTGTTTATAGAAATGACTAGTATGACTCTTTTGTATAATAATAACCATACATAGAAATTCATCGTTATCTTTACCACGATATTTCAAGGGCCGTCTTCCCCAATTTCCCTTTTCTGTATAAAACAATCACGCAACTTTTTACTCCTCCCTTTCTTTTTTTTTTTTTTTTTTTTTTTTAGCTTATCTTTAAATGATAGATGGTTAGGTAACCTGGAGTCTATATGTTCCTGGAGTTTGTATTCTTCTAAGTATGACAAATACAAATCATCAGTTACTGTCATCATATGATGTTGTATTGGGTATTGAAAGTAAGGTTGGTTCAGAAAATAAATAAACCTTTTATAGTACTTTCCTTTTATATCAATGTCACCTGTCTAGTTGTCAAGTAGATCCTTTGTTTTCTTTTTTCTTTTTAAGAAAAAAAAATGATAATGTTTCATCCAATCAAAACAATTATGGTGATTTTTTCATCCAATCAAAGCGATTATGGTGAAAAGATATCCCTAGGTACCCTTATTAACACTGCCTAACTTTATTTCATTTTTTCATTTGGTTCGATGGATGACTTCTTTTTTATTAATTTATTTATTCATTTATTTCTACACTTTCTATTGCGAATGTTCATTATATATACATATATATATATATAGATCTTTGTTTCCACCCAGATCTTATAGATGAATCAACTAAAACAAAGAAAAAACCCATCCATCTATCCATCCATCAATCATAGTGGCCATTAACGATTTTTTTTTTACATCCATGTTTACCTATTCATTTTTTTGAAGAAAGATCAGTAGATTGACTTCTTTTTTTCAGTAACTTGTTTTTTTTTTTTTTTCCTATGGAACAAAATCATTTCGACGATTGCAACATCGAATACAATATCCACCAACATCAGATTCAAGTATATTAACAAAATAGTTGTATTAATTATATGTCACGTATGAATATCTCCTATTTCAAAAAAAAAAAAAAAAGGAACGAGTGGAGACTGTAACACTAAGAAAAGGATTGTATTGATGTACGATGATCATATCACTCATTTCTGTCTATAGATTTTAGACCATAGGCAGAAGTATCATTCATATTGTCAATATTGTTGACATTGGTTTTTGCATCCATAGATAAACTAGTAGCTTCGGGATTGATGATAATTTAAAACAGAAAGGAAATAATAACTATGACAAAACATTTCATTATAAAATAATGACAAAGATGAATGAACGATAGTGAAAAAAAAAATCATTTGTTTCTATGTATGATTTAAAATACAGATTTTATTGATTTTCAAGTAATGTAAAATAAAGTAGCATATAAAAATAAGATCAAAAAGGGTAACAGAAAAATTGATAGTGATAGAGAGGGTGAAGGAGATTGAAGTGAAAAAAGGAAAAAAAAAAAAAAAAAGAAAAAAGAAAAAGGTGTGATATAGACTACAAAAAAAAAATCTTACTATTTCCTTGTTTTCAAAATTTTCATCAAAGTACCACCTTGCCCATATTAATAAAAAGGCCTGTGTTTGATTCGAATCATGCCGTAGGTCACCCTTGATATCAATCAGTTTTCTTCTTCCTTGATTTTGCTAAAGGTTATCGTCCATATTCCCTTTTGCTTGTCATTGTCAATCCTAATATTTCCCATATGTCTTGGTCACCAAAAGAAGTACAACGCCAGAGAGAAGTGTTAAAAATGAGGGTTTGTTCTTCATCGTTCTGGAATTGCACGGCTTAATAACATATCTTGCGTGATCATCCGCTTTGTCTTGGCCATAATTGATGGAAATTATGTATAACAGTTCTGACATTGCCAATATATACACCACCAATTCCAATCCTAATTGACAGTATTTGACATCTCTAACCCGATGTGGTTCCGGATATTAAACAAATAAATAATAAAAGTCATGAGAAATAAGAAATAAACCCTAAAAAAAAAAAAAAAAAAGAATAGTATACCTTGTTAGAAAAAAGGTATATTTGCGAGAAGGTTCAAGTTATCTATCATACGATGGGAGGACACCGAATTGGAAGTACCATGTCTAGTGGCAAAACTGTGAAAGCAGTAGTAGAATATTATTGAAATGATTCATTAGTATTTATATATTATATTATCATTATCATTATCATGAATATTAAAATAACTTACAAAAACCATATAAAGCGTTTATTGATAGAGTTGTTTTGTTCGACTGCTAAATGTATTTTCTATTATCCGTAAGAGTTCAATCTATATAAAAAAGTTAGTCATCATACATATGTTCTTTTCAAAAATTATTTATTAAACGCTTTACCTTTCTCAGTTTTAGCTTGTACTTCCAGTTTAATAATAAGAGAAAGGAAAAAGGGGAAAAAGATTGAAATAAAACAAATGATTTTCAATTTGTAAGTTTCGTACAACCACTCAATATTCAACCACCGAAGAAATCCCTCCCCAAAAATGAACCATTTTTTGATTTTCCCCTTGTTTCCTTTATTTTATTATTTTATTATTTTATTATTATTATTTATTTATTTATTTATTCTTTTTTTTCTTCTACTTTATTTTATTGTCATGTCACCTCATCAACATGTGCAATATATTCTGCTGGCAGAATTTGATATTGACAAAGGTGCATCACTTACTTATCAATATCCTAATGAAACTGGAACGGATGAACAGTAAGTTTTATTATTCATTTTGTAAAGATATAAAACTTATTTTATTTTATTTTAACAATAGTATATTATCAGAACTCATGTTACCAGACGGTGCTCATTTACGTGCAGAAGATTGGACTATCTTTTGTCTGAATCAAATGATCCCTAATCCTGACAACGAACACGTTGTACGAACTACAAATGATAATCCATTATTGTATGTTCTCAATTTAGTACGAACAAAATACGATGCTACTGCTCGAAGGTATTAATGAATATAGATAAAAAAAAAAATAAAAGTTGGAATACTAAAATATTTTATATATTGATAGAGGTGCTCATGTCAAGGCCATGGCGATTTGTACACGACATCAATTCCTTCACATCTACAAGGTACACATATATGATCACATTCTTTATATCATACTCACTTGCTCTCTTTTTCTATATCTCTTTATTTATTTAGCCAGTATTATTACTCGCTATGGAAAAATATTTTGAAAAACCTTCTCAAGATATATTAGTGTCCTTATATGAAGCAGTGAACTCTATGGATCTGACAAGAATGCCTAATTTGAATTGGCATGAAAGACAAGTTTTACGTGCAAGTGATGACAAATCAATGTTTGAAGAAATGTTTGATGATGATTTCGAAAAGGTACAATCTCCAATATCAGTAACACCAACCACGGATATGATCAGTCAAGGGGATGATTTCGATACGGTAGATCAACAACATCTTTTACGACGTGGCACATTTATTGATTTGACTTCTGGTCAAAAAGTCCTGACTGCCTTGGGAAAAGATCGACACTTTTTTGAAACAAAAATTGATTATGAAGGTATCAAGCTACCTATTCGTGTACCATTGACAATGAATGACGAAGAAGTCGGTGATGTAAGTTATGACCTTATCTTTTTTTTTATCCTCTGTATTTATTCATATCTTCTCTTAGTTCTCTTTGATCAAATTAATTTCCACGTTCTCACCGAATCAAGCACAACCTGGTTCACCTAATCCTCACCATCCTCACCTAGATTCTCAAGGGCCCTTTACACATCCGATCTTGCTCCTATTAAACGCTTTATTGACTCAAAAACGGGTAGTCTTTTTGGGATATGGTCATCCATCAGGGGAAGTGGCAAATTATGTTTTAGCTGCGTGTGCATTGGGAAGTGGATGTGGAACTGTCTTACGAGGATTTACCGAACGTGCATTTCCTTACACCAATCTGACTAGTGTGGATGATTTATTGAAATGGTAAATTTAGGAAAAGAAATAGATTCAATTTACTAATTTATGTATTTATTTATATATAGTCCTGGATTTATTGCTGGTGTCACTAATCCAACTTATGAAGAACATACTGCTTGGTGGGATGTTTTATGTAATATTAGTACGGGTAAAATCACAGTTAGTAAAGATATTCAAGTCAGTGCTCCTGGTAGAAAACAATCATTGGCCTATTTTGAAGATGGATTTGCATCATTATCTATTGGAAGAGTATCTGGTGGAAGTTCAGTTTCTTCATTGAAAACGGATGACAAAAATGGTAAAGAACGTGATTTCGATACAGAATTCATGCAAGATGTAAGTAGAGGAAAATTGGTAAGCGTATTTGTATGGTACTCATTTTTTTTTTTTTTTTTTTTTTTTTTTTTTTGCAATCTTTAGGTACTCAGTTCCATTCAAGCACATTATGGTGAAACGTCAATTCGGGCAAAGTTCCAAGATTATGTGCTACGGTTTGTACGACTAGCAGCATTATATGAAGAGCAAGTATACCAAGAAAGCAAGATTAGTTGGACACCTGATTCTGAAACGGATCCTACTGGATTGTTGGGTTCTGGGGCTGTTTTCCCTGATGATGCCACCAAACAGCGTGAATTGGCGGCCAATGCTAGTCGAATTGAAGGTTGGCGACAAACATTATCTTACAAATATGTACAACGTGTAAGTCATTAGGTATTGAATTGAAAGAATTCGTTGACCCTCATCTTTATTTTCTGCAGGACTTTGAATTATGGAGACAAGGATCAGGCTTGAAGAATTTAGATGTCCATCGTCAATTGACAAAATTGAAGTATTTACGCAATTTACCCGACAAAGAAGTGATTGCTATTTATGAAGCTTTTTTGAACAATATCGTTACAGAAAGGCAGATCATTGAGGTAAAATATGAATTATCCCAAATATATATATTTCTGCTTTTATTGATAATTTCTATTTTTTTTTTTTTTTTTTGTAGTTCCTTTCACATTTACCTCAATATCATGGCGGACTAGTACCACTTGCAACAGGATTATTCCATTCTTCCAATATTGTCAGACAATTCACTGTAGAACTATTCCAGCGATTAGAAAGGAATCCTGTAAGGATATATAGAAAAAGAGAGAGAGAGAGAGAAAAGGGAATAGATTTATCTGAAGTTTTTTATTAATATAAATGTTGGTATTTTTTTTTTATTAGACTGGTTATAGATTTGTCCAAAGTTTACCTCGATACCATAAAATGACATTTGAACGTTTATCACAAACGATGGGTGTACCTTCAGTATAGATACATTTAATTAATTTATCTTTTTATTATCTTATTTTTATTCATTTACATTAAAATTACTGAATGATCTATTTCGAAGACCGAACTTGGTGTCTTTTCTTTTCTTTTCTTTTTTTTTACTGGAATCAAACCAACTTTTTTGTTTTTTTTTCCCACTCTTTTTTCTTAAATAGATATCATACTTTTTCTCTATATCATGTCGTTCGTTCAACAAAGAGAAAAAAGAGCTAATGCTGGTAGTCGGTAAGCTTACATTCAAAGAAAAATAAAAATAGATAAAAAAGATCAACAGCTTATTCATTCTTTTTGCTTTTTTTTTTTCCTTGTTGTTCTGTCTCATATAAGTATGCGGGCTCTACTAGATCAAGAAGCTGATATGGAAGAATTATTCGAATTGGACGAAAGTGAAGATGAAGCTTTCTCGGAAACAGGTATATAAAGTTTGGGAATATGAAAACTCTTAACTTACTCTTTTTTTTTTTTGTATTGTTAAATAGAGGAAGAAGTAGTAGATACAATAGATTCCGACTTTGATCTTGAAGAATCTGAAGGAGAGGAAGAACAAGAACAATTGGCTCAAGAAGAAGAAAAACTTATTCGACAAGAAGAACGACAGGTAAGGAAGAAGAAGAAGTGAACTGAATATAAAGTTTTCACTGACCTTTTTTTTTCTTTTTTTTTTTTTTGTTAGGCTCGACGACCACAACCACAATTTCTTCAAAAACCCACCAAAACTATGATACCCAAACCTACCATTTCTGCCCATGATCGCATTATAAAGAAAGTTGGACGACCTAGCAAGAAACAACAAACTAAAACACAACAGTCTACGGATTTTAGTGGACGACAATCACTTCGAACGAAAACTATTTTGAATCGAATGCAAATAGAAGAACAACTTCGAGAAAATGAGTTTAAAAAGGTAAAGCTTTTTTTTTTTTAAAAAAAAAAAAAAAAAGGAAAAGGAGAGAATAAGAAAGATAAATATGGACTTTTATGATTAGGCGTTACTCCCCAAACGATCACGACCGAAGGAGCATCGTTTGACTCAGGAAGAATTATTAGCAGAAGCAGCGATCACTGAAGGCGAGAATCTGGCATCATTAGAACAATGGCAGCAAAAGGAAGCAGAAAGACAAGCTAAAGCAAAAGTGAAAGTGAAACGCGGTATTGAAGGACCATTTATTCGATATCACTCTTTTACTGAAGGTAATAAGGAAGAACGACCCAAACGACGGAAACTTGTGATGATTATGGATGATAAAGATGGCAACACAACGCAAATGGATATTGTGGATCCTGTGGCACTTGAATTCCAATATCGACGCGACGTAGAAGAATGTGATCTGGCAACAAGGAATTTGATTACGTTTTTCCAACATGATGACAATGAAGCCAACAACATGATGGATGATCAAAATAAAATGACTAAGAACAAATTACTACATATCAATACAGAAGGATTAACGGATAGAGAATTGGATCGACTGGATAGGATACCATCATTAGCTTCATGGGCTGATCGAACACCACGAACCATTAAACCACTACCATGTCCTATTTCAGGAAAAGAAGCACGATATCGCGAACCAATGACTAGTACACCGTATTCAAACGCCATCTCTTATACCAAGATCATCGATTGTCTGAAACACAACTATATCTGGTCGCCATCACTTGGAATTTATACAAGCAATGAAGCAGATAGCAAAGGCGCAGAAGGTGTACCTGAAGGATGGGAACGAATGGTATTAGGAAAACAATCAACAATGGAACAAGATTGGGAAGCACCTTTTCCATCTTGGTTGGCAACCGTAGAAACCAAATCAGGCAAGAAACGACAACGGATACGAACACAATCTAGTTAGTTAGTTTTTTTATTAGATTAGATTTTATTATCATAGTTGAACAATAAAGAATGAAAAATAGTTGCTTTATGGGTTTATATTTGAAAAGGCATAGTATGGAAGATGGTATGACAGAGATCCGATTCCATGGTTATTTGTTAGGATAACGTTTACAAGGAACGGAGTTTAAGTACATGATAATAAACAAAAAAGATATTATTATTTATTTTTTATTTTTTATTTTTTTGATATGAACATATCCTTGAATTATCCTGATGATGGATTTGATGAATTACCCAATGGACAGAAAAGAAAGGAAAGAAAGAGAAAAAAAAAAGCAGCCATTCTTTTTTTTTTTTTATTCTTATTCTTATTATTATTATTCGTCTTTCCCTTTTAAAGTTTTTTAGGTCATCGCCCCTCTTATTGTGTAGCCCAAAAATACTAACACCTTCTTTTTTTATCTTTATAAGCTTTTTCTTTTTTTTTTTTCTTTTTTTTTTTTCTTTTTTTTTTTTTTCTTTTACCCAATATACCCCATATCATGCAAAGAAGGCATACAAGAGAAGAACTTGCTGAACTAAAATTACGACGATTATTACTTCATAATCAAACCTTGAAGACTCAATTAGATTTACCTCGATTACCAGTGAGCGAAGCATCTCAGAAGTAAATAAATAATAATAAAAAGAAAAACAAATATATTTATATTATTATTATTTTGATAGATTGATCGATTATTGTCAAACTACACCTGATCCTTTATTACCATCATTATGGGGACCAGTCAAAGAGGATCCATTTACACCTTTGAAAAGTAAATGGGCTTGTTGTCTTGTTATGTGATCGTTTCACCCCTATCACATTCATCATTCTTCATACTATTTTCGTCGGTGTTTTTATTCATCCCCCCCTGAAAAAAAAAAAACCTCATACAAACTATCCATCTATTCTTTTTTTCTTTAAAAAAAAACATCAATCATTTGTTTCCCTTTTTATAAATAATAATAATAAAAAAAACATCATCATTTATTTCTGCATAAAAATATTAGTTTTTTGCATATTGTTATTTGTTGTTTTTTTTTCAAATGAATATGCTTCTTGTTTGATGATGTTCGGCGACTGAATACACATACATATTCTTCTCTCCTTAAACTTTCTATTTTTGTCTTCCTTCAATCCGCACGAGAAATCCCGTTGTACTCCATTTTTCTTTGAATAGGATGGTCTTGTTACATTGATAACCATCTTGAATCCTAAATTCTGATATTAATGATGATTATGTAGTGACAAATCTGTAGATAGAGAAAAATAATACATTGTCTATTTATTTATTTCCCTTTCCAATTGATTTCGATTTGTCCTTTTTTTTTTGATGATATGATTATACAGTATAACTGCTTTTGGATCTGTTAGCGGGTTTTCAATACCTATTATCTTTACAAATCTTTTCACCTTAACAACATTGATTATTTGCTTACGGATTCATAAAGAATTCGAAAATGCTTTAAGTGAAACTGATGACATCTCAATAGTAATTGATGAGGGGATATGATGTTGTGAAACGCACTATTTTTTTTTTTTTGACTCTGTGATTAGAAGCTTATTTATGATGATTCATTGTTGATAATCTCTTCGTTACTGGCTACTAATGATTAACTGTTAATGGTTGAGAAAAAGGTGGGACTATGAATTCCAGACATGACAGATGATCGATGTGTTTTCCACGGTTTCATATTTATCATCGTCATACATCGATTGTGAACAGAAATGAATAAATAAATAAAAAAAAAATAAGCAAAACACGGCCTGGTGGCCGAACTACAACCGGGGACACGATTTTTCTATTTAAAGGAAATCTACACCAAAGATTTACTTAATCGTATTTTTTTTTATTATTACTATGATTGAATTACCATAACTTTTTACGCCAGTTTACCATCCTTCACCTAACAGGGTGGTAGAAGGGCAAACCCCTTTGATGATTATGATTTGAATAAACATCCTATTTAATATATCTTTTTATTTATTCTTTTAATAAAACATTTCTTTTCTCAAAATAAAATATGATGACTTTTTTTCAATAGTATTTTATAACAACCTTTGATCACTCAAAAACAAAGTTTCCAAAATTGTTAAGTACGATCGGTGAACCAAAAAAAAAAAAAAAAAAAAAAAGGTCGACATAATTTTTCTTTTCTCTTTCCTTCCATTGGCAAATCAAACTACGTACGATGCGGTCTACTATGAAAGTGGCTATGGCTGTTTCTCGAACAATCCAAACTAATGCACCATCTTCACAACGACTCATTTACACAACTCCAAGTGCTCTTTTGGTAAAACTGGCCAAAGTGTTTTCCATCTCGACTTTGACTGTAAGTTATTCAGTTCTCTCATATTTTATTTAGTATTGATCTTAATTTTTCTTATTCACCTATAGCTCTCCTCTATATCCACTCCAGCTCTCATGTACTTTTGGGAATCTCCAGCAGGTAAATTAATATAATAACTTACAATGTTTTTAAGTATTAACCGATCTACCTTTTATTTTTTTATTTTTAAGTTCAATCAACAGGGCTCAATGAATATTTATTTTTAACTGGTAAGAAACAGAAAGAAAGAAAGAAAAACGAGGGGTTAAATACATGTGTAAATATATATATGTGTGTGTGCGTGTGTTTACTCTATTGATGATATATAAATATATTAACTAGAATCTACCGCGCGGTATGTTATTTTGAACTATCTTTTTACAGCATTAGCCGCCAGTACTTGTTCCACTGGAGCACTTCATTTTTTATTATCACCTTTTATTAGCAGCATCTATTTACATGATAACAACAAACATCGAGTCAATATTATCGATAACAATGGTTCTGATAGCAAATCATCGACAACCTCCATCATTACACCCAAAACAACCATCACATTGGAAACCATGGATCTCTTTGCCCGGCCAAAACTGACTACCGTTCAACTTCAAGATCTCAAACCATCAACACGATCTCTACTCACATGGACATGTACAAAGCAATATCTGGCAAATCATCCCGAGACATCTCCTGGTCGATTCTGGTTGGATAAACGCGGTGGTGTTGGTGATCAAAATGCCATGCGTCAAATTGTGCAAGTCATCGAAAAGCAAGACAAACGTAATCGTATACTATAGACTATTAGATCCCAACTCCTTTTTTTTTCGTGTAGAATAGAATAGAATAAAAAAAAAGAAATCCTCTTCTTTTACATCTCTTTTTTTTTTTTATTCATCTTAGAGATGAAGATATGAAATGTCTACTTTTTATCTATACCATTGGCTTTTTTTTTTTTTTAATTGATTGACACTGGTTGCGTTGGTGATTTTGGGATTAGATGGAAGATTTTGACATGATGTTGATAACTGACGATGATGATGACGACGGATGCTATTGATGGATGATGGATGCTGTTGATGGATGATGGATGCTGTTGATGGATGATGGATGCTGTTGGTGGATGATGGATGGATGTGATGGTAAACTAACGATGGATGGGTGTGATGACATGTAAAAAAGGAAGTTCTACTCTATTTCTCGTATTATTGATAATTATCTATATCCAATTACTTTTTCATTAAGTTTATTTCAATTCCAAAAAAAAAAAAAAAAATATGTACAATCAATACTAATTCTAATATTAACACTAATATAATATATAAAGGTCTATTCTATATCCATTGTTGTTCTTGTCGTTCCATCAGCCAGTCGTCTTTGTCTTCGATTCGGTTTGAATATTTCAGGTTGAGTATCTGACATCGATGGATTGTTTTTTGAGATAGCATTGCCAGTATGGTTAATATCATGTTGTTGTCTTGATCGAGTCCAAGCTGATTTCCTACCGCGACCAAAAGAGATACTTGAGGGTATATTGATTCGAGATATTCCGGTTGTAAGAGCATCGATATCCATAGCCATAGGATCTGATGATAGAGAATGGGTTTCTATATTATCTGCTTCCTTGACACTTTCTTTAATGATTTTTGTTGTATGATGTTGATTGGGATTCTTCCTTGATTTGCCCTTTTGTCGTCGTTGTTGACGATCAGCAATACTAAGAGTACCTGTGACCACCAGATCAAATGGAAAGAATTTGGGATAATGATGTTTGTCAATCAAATGAAGGCGTCGCATCTTGGGTGTACTAAATTGTTTGTTGCATGATTCTACATAACATTCATACTATTAAATAATTATATTAAGTGAACAAAATAGTCAGTATATATATATTAATGACTTTTTGTCATATCCTTACAATCTTTTCCCCACGGTCTTTTCTGATTTGATTCAAAACGTTGTGACATTCATCGAGGTGAAGTTGTAACCAATGAGATCCTGGGAAAGGTAAACCACAAATGGAACAAGTGTTGCGATGTTGAGCTTCATAATGAGCTTCATAGGCGGATAATGAGGGAAATGCAATAGGTTCACCATGTCGATGGATACAGGAAGGTAATTCACAAAATATGGGTCGATAATTAAAAACACTAATATACTTATTATTAGTAAAGAGTAAAAATAGGTAGTTGTTATTACTTACTTTGTTAATGTAGTTGCTTCTTGTCGAATCATATCAATATCAAGATCGGCTGCTGCATCTCGTTCTAACCAATATGCTCTAAGAGCAATATTTCCTTCTTTGAAAAAATCATCATCACAACTATAAATTCGTTTAGTGGGTGTATAAATTGGTGCGACCATAAAAAGTATATTTTATAATGAAAGAGAAGGGAAGAGAGTGCGGTCTACAAGCAAAAAAGTTTAACTATTAATCAATGTCCGACTGGGAATTATTTCACCATACTAGATATAAAAAAAAAAAAAAAAAAAAGTTGTATTCATGTGCATGAATTGGTTTTGGCCCTATGTACGCACTTTGAAATCATCAAAGGTAATTAAGAGGAATCACAAGAATAGGGGTAGATTACGTATAAATAGAAAGAAAAGGTTCAGTTTTTACAACCTTAATACCAGATTTTTAGAAGAATCGAAGTTCGGGATTCATCCGTTTCCATCACAACCCCTTATTTTTGATAATAGTCCAATCATATATAGACAATGAGAATAACAATAATAATAATAATAATAATAATAATTAATAATAATAATAAAGACAATTTTATTTGATGAAGTATATATGAATAAAATGTACTATAAAGGATGATGATGAGGATATATAAAAAAAAAAACTACTGAATACAACAATTGGATGAAGAAGATGAGGAAGATGTTGATGATGATCGTTGTAATAAGGATGATGATATAGTTGATGAGGTTGACTTTTTCCTATCTAATAGTTGTTGTTGCCGTTGTTGTTCAGATAAGATACCTTGTGTCATATGATGAGCCACATAAGCGTGTGTTTTAATCCATGCTTTGCCAATATCTTTGGTATATTCATTCCGTAACCGTTTCCTTAAAGCAATGTCGATAGCTGGACCGATCAATTGGAATTGTTCTGGTTTCACGTTATAAAAATGATGTCTTGCCCCTAATTCCTGTAATTGAATAGCCAACCATTCAGGGTCGATATCCTCTTCTACTACTACTTCCTCTTCTTTCGTTGTTGTAGTTGTTGTTTTTCTTTGTTGTTCTTGTTCCCTTTTTCTTGCATTGATTTCCCTAATAGTATTCATCTTGACTCGCGGTGATGTAGGTGATTGACTATCAATAGCAGTTATCATGGGAGCTCGAGTAATGTAACCAATCACACCAGTGAGCATCTTGGCTTGAATAAGTACGTTACTACCAAAAAGAGATCTAGTTTCGGGATCCAGTTCAAATAAGGCGTCATAAAAAGCGAGTCCAAAGGCTTGTGCTGGTGATACAGTTGAGGTGTTATCTTGATCATGTTGAAGGTCGATTACACGTTCCCAACTATAACGTACAATATCAATATCCTGTTGGGTTGGTGTCATTGATAGACTTAGTCCGCCTTTTTTCCGGGTATAACTATCGTTGGAGGTTCTTTCGTTATCATATGACTTGATATCCATACAGTAATATATAAATATATATATATATATTATATATCAATAAGAGATAAAACGGTAAAAGGGTATAGTATATAAAAGTATCTATAAAAAAAAAAAAAAAAGAAAAGAAAAGAAAAGAAAAAAAAATAAAATTCTGGTTTGCGGACATTTATACTTATATATGATGACTTACACATATATCAAAAAATGTGTCCGTTTTTTTTTTTATTTTATTACCCATTTCCTTTTTTGTAATATGCTTTTTTCTTTTTCTTTTTTCTTTTTTTTTTCTTTTTCAATCATTATATTGATGAAAACAAGAATGATTTGATTGATAAATGAATGAATGAATTGTATGAATGAAATATCTATAATGGTCAGGCACGCCTTTCTCTTTCACTCCACGTGAATAGGTTTGATGACGACGATGATTGAATGTCCGCTTACTCGTCGTCCATTGGTCTTGGGGATTTTTTTTTTTCTTTTCTTTTCCTCCCTTTTTTTTTTTTCTATCTCACACTCTCATCTTCTTCCATTATTCCCCTTTTTCTCTTTTTGACTTTTTATACAAGATGAATCCTGAATAGTAAGTTAAATTATAAAGTTAGAAAGAAAAATAGGAAAAAGGACTGAATACTAGTTTTTAAAAGAAATGAGTACGAGATGATGTTTAACTCTTTGAACCTTTTTTTTTATTAATATTATCATCTGTAGCGACTATCTCTTTAAACTTCTTCTTATCGGTGACTCTGGTGTTGGAAAATCTTGTCTTTTGCTCCGTTTTGCCGATGATACCTATACGGAAAGTTATATTTCTACTATTGGTGTTGACTTTGTAAGTATGATTATCATTTTATCAAATATAAAGTATATATTCATACTTGTTTTTTTTATTATATTTATTATTTTTTTTTTATGAAAATAGAAAATTAGAACCATTGAACTTGAAGGCAAGACTGTCAAATTACAAATTGTAAGTTTAATCTATTTATTTTTTTTATAGCAATAGTTTATTAAATATGTTATATTTTAGTGGGACACTGCTGGTCAAGAAAGATTCCGTACTATCACTTCGTCTTATTACAGAGGTGCTCATGGTATTATTGTCGTTTATGATGTGACTGATCAAGATTCATTCAACAATGTTAAACAATGGCTAAGCGAAATCGAACGCTATGCTGCTGAAGGTGTTAACAAATTGTTGGTCGGTAATAAGAGTGACTTGGTGGATAAGAAGGTGGTGGATACTGAACAAGCCAAGGTAAAAAAAAAAAAAAAAAAAATCATAGTAGTAGAGAAGGAATAGAACTAATTTTTTTTATCAATATCAATATATATATATATATATATATATATATATATATAATAGGAATTGGCTGATTCATTGAAGATTCCATTGTTGGAAACCTCTGCCAAGGATGCTACTAATGTCGAACAAGCTTTCTTGACTATGGCCAAACAAATCAAGGATAGAATGGGATCTACGATGCAACAACAACAACCCAAATCGACTGTCAAGGTTGGTCAAGGTGCTTCTGTTCAACCCAAGCAAGCTGGTGGATGCTGTTAAACTAGTTTAATTTTAGTTAGTTCTTTTGTCTCCTCTTTTTTTTTTATGTTTATTGTCTATCACTCTTTTTTTTACTTTATTTTTACTTCCCCTTCCCCTTGACTACCTTGCATTTTTATAATCCTCTTCCTTCTTTTTTTTTTATATCAAGAACAATTTTCTTTAACAGTATTACAATAAAAGAAGAAGCTTGAATAAAGATGATCGTATATCAATGTTTTTTTTTGGAACATAGATGACGAAATGCCAAAAAAAAAAAAGCACAATAGTTTCTTTTTATGCGATGTTTTATTTATTTATTTTTAGTAACTATTTTGAATAATTTATTGACATGGTATTTCAAGTAATGAAATCAATGTGTAATTATGTCTTTTTAATGTTATCTGTACTTCCTTTGCTCAAACCCCGATATTATTATGTTAGTAAATCATAGTATTTGAACTGATGTTATAATTTATATATGGAATGACTAATTAAACTATTATGCATATTTATATTAGTGCCGGGAAAATATTATTAATAGCAGAAGGAAACAAAATAACAACCACAGACAATGCAGGAGGAGCTCATTTCTGAACACCATTTCCCCACAAAAAAAAAAAAAAAGTAAGAAAAAAGCATGATTTCCATCTCAGTCAATGTGTAACTTGGGCTACGCGAAACAAATATCTTCCTTTTTTTTTTCTTCTTCTTTATTATTATTTCTCTTTTCTTTCTTTCTTTCTTTCTTTCTTTCTTTCTTTCTTTCTTTCTTCCTCTTACTCATTCTTCTATTATATATATATATATATACAAGTACATAAAGTCTTTAATTATTATTACAATAATGGATATACATAATAACGAGTCTGATATACTCGTTGTTGGTGCAGGTACAGAAACTTGATTCATAAAGGTACAAAAAAGCAACCATTACTGATCTTTCATCCTCATTTTAACATCATTTTCAATAGGTCCTGTTGGATTATATACTGCTCTTTTATTGACCAAGATGAGTTTCTCTGTCCGAATTATTGGTAAGATTTCTTTTTTTTTTTTTTTGTTGTTAAAGTCACTTACACCTGGCTCCTTTCTCTTTATAGACAAAGCTAAAGATGCATCTCAGAACAAAAATAAAAGTTTTCTATGGTCACCACGAAGTTTACAACTCTTGAATTCGGTAGGTGTATCTGAAGTCATGTTACAAGAAGGATTTCGCCATTGGAAGTTTGAAACGTTTGCAAACAACGGACACGGAAGTCATGCTGCCAATGCTGACCATCAAAGCTATCGGGTGTGGGAAAACGAAGTGACCGAATTCAACTGGAGTCTTTCGTACGAGTGTAACAAGGTCTGTGATGCTCTTATACAAGCCCTCAATGCCCTTCATATTAAAGTGGAATATCAGCAAGAATTGATCAATTTGGAAGATGGTGACAACATATATCTTCAACCAGAAAAATCCGTTTTGGCTACTATACAAAACTCTCAAGGTGAAATTTCTTATTGGAAATCAAGAATACTTATTGGTGCTGATGGAAAAACAAGTTTTGTTAGACACAAACTAGGTAAAGAATTATAACAATCAGTGGCGTATTTTGTGATTCGGTAACATACTGAAATATTTTTTTTTTTTTTTTTTTTACTTCAGGTATTGCTCAGCGTAGTCAAGGAAAATCAGGAGTATTCTACACTCTCGAAGCAACTGTGACAACGAACTTTACCGGTACACGCATGTCTGTAGTGACCAAAGGGGAAAAGGCTGTATTTATTGTTGGTAAGATCAAACGATAATAATATGAGGGAGAATGGGAATAATTCTCCCTAAAAAAGGGAAAATCATGATGGAGGGTAGTACATCATATGGGAAGAACAACTGAACTTTATTTTGATTCCGTAGGTCATGGCTCAAGAATGTATTTTATGTTTGAACATCAGCCTCGATGGAGTCATCTTACTATTGACGACCATGTACCAATAGAAAAAGCACAACGACATATCAAGGCAGTATTGGATCCATATCAAGTTGAATTTATAAAGGTACATGCCTATTTCAGTTGGTCAGGTAATCATTCATTTGAAGAAAAGAAAAAGAAATAAATGAAAACTCATTATTATTATTATTATTATTATTTCATTATAGCTGAATGCAAATCTTGTGAAGAATATGGCTCTGACAGAAGATTCTTTTTAGTCGGTGGAGCAGCACAATCTATTGAACCTCCAGGTCTTTTATCTACCAATCTTGGACTGGAACAAGCTCAAAATCTTTGTTGGAAGCTTTATTTACATTTACATCAGCGGGCGTCTCCATTATTATTGGATACTTATGAAGAAGAATCACGATCAAAATTAGATGACGTACTAGCAGCATCACAAGCTTTTGTACAACTTATCGGCAACAGATCATTATCAGTAGTACGAGGCGAATCACATCAACTTCAGGAAAATACTTACAAACTTCAAAAAAATCAATCTTGTCTCGTTGGACAAACGCCTTATCAAACCAATCTCATCAATCTTGGTACAGCAAGTAATTTCTCTTTGGCCATATCTGAATGCAACACAATTACGGCGGCAGCTCAAATGGTACAGCATCATGCGGATTCTGGAGCCGTCGGCTCATTGGCGCCAAACGCTAGATTGAAACCTTATACCATGATTCAAATTTTATTATCTCAATCCAATGTATGTCCCTCAACCAACCTCAAGACAACGTCTAACAACACTGTTGATGAATTTGTTCCACCACCATCTCCTATTTCTATGTCTCCATCTCCAGTATCGCCAACAAACACACCATCACCCACTGGTTCAAGAAAAACGGATGGACGACCACGATCACTCTCTTCTACTCCAAGTACTTCCTCAGGTTGGTCATTGGCAAAACTACAAACAGTGACGAAAAAGGCAATACATTATTATAGTGGAGAGAAAGATCAACAACAACGAATAGAAAAAGGGGAAACACCATTATCATCAGTGACAACAAACAAAACAGGAACAATGACAGCATCATCAAATTCAGTATCAACGGAAGGATGGAAACGAATTCGACCCAATTATTTTCATCTTTTAGACAAAATGGGATGGGAATATTCTGAAGTCAGTTTTACCATTTTGGTATTTTGTGGCAATATTCACGACAATGAAAAATGCTTGACGACGCTTCGGAAACTTCGACGGTACCTCGATTCCAACAATTCTTTTATTCATCGATATGAAACACATCATCAACATCATCGCCATTCATTATCATATGGATTCCCAATGATGACTATTGGAACGCCTTCAGCAACGACTACAGAAACAAAGAATCGCTCATCAATATCATCATTTTCATCCTCATTTTCTAATCCAACCACCCATCGCGGCTCCAACATTTTCTCAACACCTAGTTCTCCTACTTCTATGCATACTAATATGACTCGTTTAAGCACAATAGAACATCGACCTTCCTTCTCTTCCACCTTTTTTGATGATGATAGTATCAATAGAAACTCAACAGAAGATACATGGACTACACCTTTTTTATCATCATCATCAACACAATCATCATCCACTCGACCTCTTTTCTCATTTTTATATGTCACAAGCTCCAGCAAAAATGAAGTCAGCAAATGTCTTAGTTCAACACCATCAGCTGTTATCCATGCAGCTTTTCCTTTTGGATTAGACAAAGTGTATCTAGATCATGATCATCAATGTCATATCGCATATAACAGTAATCCCAACAAAAACAAGTCTCCAACAATGGTAGTGATACGACCTGATGGCTATATCGGTGCAAGAGTTCGATTGAACAATGAAGAAGATGTGGATCGATTGGATTCCTATTTTGATTCCTTTTTGCGACCTCATTATGATCAAAACAGTGCAGCAGCTCTTATAGCGGCTAGCTTTGATGATGATTGTTAATGCTAATTCCCTTTTTTCCTTGTGTATATTTCTCTTCTATTTTTACATATGTATTATATTTTATGAATTTAATAAAATAAAAATTGAATCCTTTTTTTTTTCTATGTCTTTATATTATTATCCAATCAAAATAAAGTACGACATTATATTCTTTATAGAAATCTTGGGTCGTACGAGATAAAATGTGTACAGAAAGTAATATACTTGTCAATTGTAATGAAATAGAAATTTGAGATGTAGAAACTCGATCCATGTTTCACTATCGCCGATATCGAACTTGTGGAAGCTCTCCAACCCCAACTTTCATTTTTATACTTTGTATATAAACTAAATTTTTGTTCTTCTTCTCTTTTCTTATTCTTCTTCATTTCATCTCCCATCAATCCTTCTTGTTTTTCTATAATCACCCATTCCATTCTTTTTAATTGTTTTTTTATTATTATTATTATTATTATTATTATTATTATTTGTTATTATTATTCAATTATGCAGTTTTCTCTCACGGTAGCTGTAGCCTTATTCAGTGTGTCGTCTCTTGCAGCACAATATTCGATGGATACATCTAATGATTCTCAAGTATTCAGTCTTGTTCAAGGTCCTGATCATGAGTATGATGTTTACGGTCATTGGATCCATCTTGCTAAACGTTATGGAGATGATTGTACAAAATATCATTCAGGTACGCTTGAAGTGTGGAGAGGGGAAGGATTTTCTAAAACCGATCCAATGAATTTTAACTGATTTTTTTTTTATTTTTCTTTTCCTTCTTTTCTTTCTTTTTTCTTTTTCTTTTGTTTCTTTTATTCTATATAGTTCGTCAAGGGGAAACCTGTGCCTTGATTGTGAATCAATATGGACTTCATTTGGATGAATTCTATGCATGGAATACTCAAGTAGACAATCAATGCTCCAATTTGAAACCCACAAAAAAGTATTGTGTTGCAAAGAACATTGCTACTGGTTGCTCAAAACAACATACAGGTAAGAAAAAATAAAAAAAAAGAGGTTGATATCAATATTAACTACATATTTATTTACTCGTCTTTTTCCTTTCAAATTAGTGGTGAAAGGGGATACTTGTACCAAACTAGCGAATAAATACGGTATCTCTGTTGGTCAGTTTTATGAACTCAACACTAATGTCCATCGTGGCAAATGCGACAATCTCTTCATTGGCTACAAGTATTGCGTCAAGCCCGGCAATAATGACAAGGACAGTCTCACCGTCAACAAATTAAGTCTTCATCAAGACAAGTCCCCCAAGGGAAACTCTACCAAGCAAAACCCTACCAAGGAAAACTCCTCTAAGGAACAAACCACCAAGGAAAAGTCTGCCAAGGATCAAACCATCAAGGAAAAGCCTACCAAGGATCAAAACATCAAGGATCAAAACACCAAGGATCAAAACACCAAGGATCAAAACACCAAGGATCAAAACACCAAGGATCAAAACACCAAGGATCAAAACATCAAGGATCAAAACACCAAGGATCAAAACATCAAGGATCAAAACACCAAGGATCAAAGCACCAAGGAAAAACCTACCAAGGAAAAGTCTGCCAAGGAGGACAACGATAACATTGAAGACAAGATCAATGTCGACAAGAAGGAAGACAGGGTGCAGGATAACAATGATGACAAGGCCAATAACGACAGCAAGAAAGATAAATACGGTCAAAGCAAAGTTAGTGGCGATGATAAGGACAAGCAGGAATCAAAGACAGTATCAGATAAGATCACTCAGCTCAAACAACGCCAACTTTTGAAACGCCAAGTCGCCTTTACATATTATTGGACAGCTCATGCCAGTGATTACAACAACAGCAAGAGCAAAAAAGTGAACATCAAGACATGCGCCGGCAAGACAATCTCAACTGTATCCGAAACTTTTGCAAATGCGCTCGTGATGGAAGGAAGCGGTGTGATCTCTAGCTCTAAGGTAGTGAATCTAGGTTCCTGTGTATGCAAAAATTATGCCTGCTTTATGGAACTCGATGCGAAGAAGGAATCTTATGGTTTGTCATCTTATGGTACCTCTTTACGTCCTTTTATCACTGTGGCTGCTAATGATATTCGTCGAGATACCAAGATTTATGTGCCTGCTCTAGACGGATGGTCTCTTCCTGGATCCAATAAGAAGCACAATGGTTGTCTTATCGTAGATGACAAGAGCTGGAGCTTTGGTGGAAATCATATTGACTGGTTTGTCAATCATATGGATTATTACAAGTCTCTCAATCAGAAGCATGCTGTATCCAAGGTCGATATCTATGAAGGTGGTAATTGTCAATTACTCGATTATTGAATACTTCTGCAGTTTGGGTTATATATATATAGTCTTTTTTTTTTTTTTTTTTGTTTGAATAAACGTTTTATTATGTTTTATTGTCATCTCTGTGGTACTTCTATTCCTATCATGCTATATACGTTTTATTTTACATGGTCTTCAAATCATCATATACTGGAGAAGATTTAGTACTTTTTTTTTTTTTTTGGTGTTGAACCTCACCGTCGTAGCTACTACAGCAAACTCTTTTGTACAGATATACTAACAACAAATAAAAAAAAATTATACTATGAAGGCAAATTTGGATAAAACTGTTTCTTTTTATTTGATGTTACAAAATCCTAACTAAGTCTATCATATAACTATACTAAAACCATGATCTCAATTCCATTGATTGTCTACCTTTATCTGTCATCAATCGATAACATCACGTAGTTTCCTACAAATATAAAACGCATTTACTAAAAATTATCCCTATACCACAAGTTTTCATTTATAATTTTGAAACCCAGAATACATCTATAACAATCAAATACGTTCATTTTAGTTATTTTCATTTTCATTTCAAATATAGTAAAATTAACTTCCTTTTCATAAGAAAAGGAAGGGTGACAAAAAATTGTGGTTAACTCTATTGTGTCCTGCAGCCACGGAAATCTTTAGTAAAAGGCGAAAGATTTATACGTGATATGATCACAAGACAAGAGTACAAGGAAAAAAAGAAAAGAAAAAAGAGAAAGTAGCCTCTTTATATAGTTTTCAGAACTTGATGATTTAAGTCACAGCAAAAAAAATTTTTGACTCGGGTCTACTTTTTTTTTTTTTAACGAACGCATCAATCAGAAATGATGATGAACCCCCTTAATTGCTACGATTTGATTGGATGAAATGATGTATGCAAAATTTATTTGCCTTTCGAACTTTACATCATATACCATATGTTATCACATATCCATCACCATTACATATCATCCCATCCAGTATCACATTCAATCTAATAATCATGTTAGGAAAACTTGCTTAGTTGATGTTGTTCGACCGTAAAAAAAAAAAGGGGTGCTCGCGAGAATAAAATAGATATGGGTTTTAAAAATAATAAAATCAGCCAATAAAATCAATCTTATGCTTTTTGAACCAAAAAAAAAAAAAAAAAAAAAAAAAAACCTCTCTTTTCTCTCTTCCTGTTTCTCTTCACCTATTTTTTTTTTTTTTTTGTAGATCTCTATAGCCATGAGTTATGATTATACACTTTTCCTTTTCGAATAGTATTACCTCTCCTCTACATATATATATAGTGTTATCCTTTTCTCATCACCATACCGAAACATCAATATGAACATTGAATTTCAATAAACTACAGTATACCTTATTCCAGCTACACGTTATTCAATTGTGATCTGACAAAAAACTTTGAAAAACACTGTATATCTTTCACTTTTTTTTTTGTATACCTCTCTGTATTCTTTGAAATTTCCAAAAATAAAGTCGATCTTTTCTATATCTCATTAAATCAATGGCCTATATCTTCCCATCAAAGCAATAGTCCACACTTTTTCAAAAAAAAAAAAAAAAAGAAAAAAAGAGTCTATAGTCCACACAAATCTTCGATTTCGAAAAGCTCCAGTGCCAGAGTGTGTTTATTGCATAAAAAAATCAAAATATATAAAAATATCTAAACTAAATACTATATAATATGGAGGTATCCTCTACTTGATATGGTCGTTCCTTTGGTACCCAGAGATCAGCAAACCGAAGATCACCTTTCTTGTTCTTGTCCCGTTCCAGTCTTGTTCGCATTTCAATCACAAAGGGAGTGATATCCTCGATCGATAAAACACCATCTTCTTCTTCCTTAGACGTAACGCCATTTGCCAGAATTGCCGCTGCTGGTCCCTTCAATCCCAATTGAATAGCTCGTCGCTGTGCCTTGATGCGTTCAGGTTCTTCCACGTTTGGTGTATAATCCGGATCCCATTGTACAGTGACGCAACACTGAGAGCGAGCTTTCCTCCAATGATCCCTTGCATTTGGAGCGTTGGCAGACAAGTGATGACTGGATGAAACGGCCGAGTTGACCAAGCTATCAAAAAAAGAACGTCGTAATCGTATCGCCAGTGTCCTTTCTTGTCGATCATCTTTGGTATTCCATCCACTACGATACTGCATCCATAAGAAACTTGGTTTGATCCATGTCATACGTTCAAGCTTGTAACCAGGTGCACCTTTGAAACTTTGATGTTGAACAGCAAAATCCGCAATACTGCTTGAAAATGCTTGATATACAACCACGGCATCATCATTGTCTTGATGAGCTAGTATGACTTGAGACGGAAAGTCGACTTTGGTATATCGGTGGTGCAAACTTTCTTCTTCCAAGTAAGGTTCCAAAGTCAGAGTATGAGGGGTATTTTGTACAGGTGTTGGTAATGCCATTGAATTAAATAAAAAGAAGACAAGCTGAATAAAAAAACTATCATGGTGGTTTATAAAGCAGTGAGAAAAAAAAAAAAAAAAAAAAAAAAAAAAAAAGAGAGAGAAAGAAAGGAAAAAAAAATAACTGCGCCTCGCTCGTGTTTTCACCAAAAAAAGGAATTTAATTGTGTTGGTGGCGGATCATCAAAGTATACGAGTTAGCTAGGTAACATATTCTTTCTGCGGCAATCATCTATCTACAATCCTATCTACCCAAAAGGTAAAAAAAAAAAAAAAAAAAAAAAAAAAAAAAAAAAAAAAAAAAAAATAATCCTCTCTCTGTAACATAATAATGACTGACTGTATATATATAAATATTTTATTAAAAAAAAAAAAAAAAAAAAAAAAAAAAAGAGGAATAACTAAACGAAGATAACTAAAATAAAGAATTCACCAAAGGAGAATCATAGACACGTTCAGAAGGAGTCCAAATATCTTTGATGTTTGATTTGTGATCAGTTAATCTTGAACGCATTTCAACAACAAAAGGAGTGATATCTTCAATAGAGAGAATAGTATGAGGAGAAACAAATTGGTTGACCATGGAACCCCGTAGTAGCAATCGCATCACCTTGCGTGGCAATCTTTGATGAGGAGAAGAACCATCCAGAGGTAAAACAGGATACATATCATTTATCCAGCAGTAAGTCAGCAGTGACATGTTTCGGGCCTTGTAAGAAGCATCAGCGAATACCCAGTGGTAATCTGGATATCTACAATTATCGCAAAAATCATAATCATATAATTCTTCCCCATCGTCTTGTTTTGCCATCTTAAGCCATTCATCGTATATTTCTCGTCGTATTCGAATAGCCAGAGTTCGTTGTTGTCTTATAGATGCTTCGTTGATCTTGGAATTCCATTCCCAAGCATATTGCGCGCCTAAAAAGCTCGGATAGATCGATACTGGATGTCTGATTTCTGGTAGCCTCGTCCACCTTTTCCTTTCCTTCCTCAATCCTGCATAGCCGTCCGATCCAATCAATTCTTGATACTTTACCCCATATGCTGCTACTTCCTTCGAGACCGTTTGGTAGACTACTACTGAATCCTTATCATACTGCGATAACATTGTATTTTCTGAAGTGGGCCATTTCTTGTGTTGTTTCCAATAGGGTTCAATGGCAATAGTGTTGGGTATATGATTAACAGGGAGAGAGTCTGTTCTTGTCATGGTTGTCTATATATAAGATTGTGTAATAAAAAAAAAGGTAAGTTATAAGAGAGATGGAGAAACTGAAAAAAATAAAACTTTCTTTAAATACCATAAACTAAGGGGATAGGTTACTGCGGTAATTCCCATCGATCTTTTTGTGCTGTAGTCATAGCTAAGAAGCTAAGAAGAAAAAGGAAAAAAGAAAAAGATAAAAAAAAAAAAAAAAGAGAGAGAAATAGACGGATTCTGAAATACAAAGCACATATACTACTTCTTAACACTATCCTGCCATTTTCTAAAATAGTATTTCTTTCCTCTCTTCCATTTCCACTACGACACCCTCCCTGATGATCTATTTTATGAACAAATCCATCTGATTTCTTTTTTTTTTTTTTTTGATAGGTGTGCGGAAAGAAGAAACTAATCAACAACGAAGCAGCCAAAAAAGAAGCAAATGTTTTTTTTTTTTTTGTAGAAGAAAAAGGAATTAAAAAAAGTGTCTTTTATATTGTTTTTTTTTCCTCCAATGACATTGAAGCTATCAAATAATGTTGATTATTCTATTAAATCAAATCAATGATTATATGTCATAAAATAGAACATAGAACTCATGTCTCATAAAATACAATAAAAGGCTACTTGTAAGAAATCATCTATAGTTTTTATTAAGAGCATAATAATGATCATGGTTAAATTATTAAGAAGAGGGCAATTCACAGTTCACACCTTTCTATATTGGCATTTGAATCACTTGTTACGGATTTTTTTTTTTGTAACTAGGGTGATGATTGTATAAATGAAATTGATGGATGATACTTTTATTATAATAGTATCAATGATGATTGTTCGTAGTGAGCACCAGTTCTTTTATAAAAAAAGAACAAATATAATATAATTGAAAAATAAATGTAATTCAAAAAATGGAAATAGATTATAGTATGTGATCACTCTTGATGATGATCAAATATATAAAAAAAAAAAAAAGCTTATATATAAAGACTGGATGATGATAATTTAATCACGATGATTGATAAATATAATGATAAAACCTTGGATGGTGGTTCAAGAGAGAGTGGCCAATATAATAAGTCTTTTCATTTTTTTTTAAAAAAAAGATCTTTTATTGATAAAGAAAATATATATAAAAAAGTTCACTAAAGATTTATATAAAAAGAATAAAAAAAAAAAAAAGATGATATATGTATCTATAAAAAGAAAAAAACTTCAAACAAAAAGATATTCAAACATGTCAATGTTCAAACGAACATTATTCGTGACAAACAAAATTTCAAACAGACAGATACAATTGAAAAAAGAAAATAAAAGGGATCAGAAATGTTGATCCTCAGCTGGATGCCCGACTGAGTCAACACACCCATCGATTTTTAAAGGAAAACAAGAAATCTTTTTTTTTTTTTTTTTTTTTTTTTTTTACCTTTTAGGTTTCCTCAAAAAAAATACAACAATCATGCTTTCAAGGACAAAACACAGTTTACAAAGTCGACTTTACGGCATTACAACTAAACGACTTTTAACAACACAAGGATTCAGTACAATCGATGCTGCTGAAGTAAAAAAGTTTAGTGATATTTCTGAACAATGGTGGGATCCTAATGGTGAATTCGGTATGCTCCAACTATTGAATCCTCCACGCGTTGCTTATGTCCGAGATCGTCTCACTACAACAAAAACAGCAAAACCATTTGAAGGATTAAGAATGCTTGATATTGGATGTGGTGGTGGACTTTTATCAGAGGTAATTTTCTTTTTAAAAAAAAAAAAATTCAAGCTACTCACATACTATTGTTAGTCATTAGTACGATTAGGTGGAAATGTAGTAGGTGCCGATGCTTCTTCTGATAATATTAAAATGGCTAAACTTCATGCTCGAAAAGACCCTCAGTTGTGGCGTGGACCAGGAAAACTAGATTATCGACATACTACCGCAGGTAAAAAAAAAAAAAAAAAAAAAAAAAGAAAAAAAAAAATCCAAAAAGGAATATTTAAACTTTTCTCTTGTAGAGGATCTTTTGGCAGCCAAGGAACAATTTGATGTGGTACTAGCTATGGAAATCATTGAACATGTGAACCAACCATTAGCGTTTTTACAAACATGTGGACAGCTGACTCGACCTGGAGGTTCACTATTTTTATCTACCATGTCGCGAACGCCCATTGCATACGGATTGACTGTGTTTTTGGCTGAAAAGGTATTAGGTGTCGTACATGATGGTACCCATGATTGGAGCAAGTATATCAAAAGTCAAGAATTGAAGGATGCTATACTATCTTTTGGTCAAGAATGGCAAGTGGATGATATACGTGGTATTGCTTGGGATCCAATATGTCGTCGATGGGTGATGAGTCAACGGAATGGTGATGTTGGAATAGGGGGATTCGAATCTTTGGAGGTGAACTATATCATGACTGCAAGACGCCGACATCAAGATGATGATGATCTTATCGTTTAGCTGTTAGCTGACTATGATTTTTTTAATTTTTTTTTATTAAAATTTTATGCCTTTTATGATATACGCCCTTTTCTTTTCTTTTTTTTTTTTATGTCCTTCTTTCTTTCGTTTATTTCTTTAGTCTTTTTTTATTATTATTATTATTATTTTTTTATTTTATATGAACCGTGACAATTCACGGTAAGGACATTCCTTTTTTTTTTTTTTTGTCTTGTTACATATCATTAGCCAATAGAATATAGTTTATTTATAATTGAAAAAAGATAAAACGAAATGTTTATGATTGTAGTTTTAAGGTTTTTGAAATATTTTTATTTGGATGATCAAAATAGACTACATGTGCTTAGAATGAATAGAATGGGATGAGCAAAATGCATTTTTCGGCAGAATAATAAATAATAATAATTTAAATGTACCGGGACAAATGTCTTTTTCTTTCTTTTTTTCTTTTTTTTTTTTTATTCAACAACAATGTGGTATCTATTGATCGTTCTTTTGACTTTATTTTTCTCTTTTACTTTATATCAAGATTCGTGTGGAGTGGTTACGGGACATTATGGTGAAAAACTACAAGATTACACAGATATTCTGCAACAACTTATTGATAAGGCTAGTGAATCAGAGTAAGTCAGAGAAATTAAAAAAAAAAAATAGGATAATTTTTATTTGGAAATTTATTATTCTTTTTTTAAATGTTAGTGATCCAGTCTTGATGCTTAAACCTGGTCGATTTGGTATTCGTGGCAAAGATGCAGTAGTTCTGAAACCAGGGGTGAGCTTACACGGAAGTGAAGATGAACCTACTATTTTTAGCACTTTGAATAATGATGATGATGAAGATGATGGTGAAGATGATCATCATCACAATGCCACTGCAACCATTCAAGGTATATATATATATATATATGCACCTTATCAGTGCTACACCGATTGATCTTCATTTTATTTGTTGTTCAACCTTTATATGTTTATAGTGCCTGCTGCTAGTGTTGGTTGGACCATTGATGGAATTATATTTGATAATGTGAATATTGATGTTCAACCTCAACAGAATCATCAAGTTGCAAAAATTGCCAATAATGTATTCTTAAATGGAGGACGAGGCTCTATCCAATCTTCTTTTGGAGCCAATCTTCTTATCGGTAAAAAAAAAAAAAAAAAAAAAAATGTTTTTCACCATTCCTTCTATTTATCAATATGATTCTTTTCATCATTCTTTCCATTTACCAATATGATTCTTTTTTTTTTCTTATTATTCTTCTTATTACTATTATAGATAGTAACATATTTCTACGTGATCATGCTCACGCAGGCAAGGAATTTATTCCTCAATATAATACAACAAGTAAAGTAGTACTGACAATGATGATTGCTAAAAATGGTTGCATTGACAAGTAGTCCTGGTCTAAATTTAAATGATCTTCTTTTTCCTTTTTGGTAGATACTGGGGTTCTCTTTCAAACTCAAGAGAATAGTATGATCTCCAACAACATCTTCGGGTAAGATGAAAAACCAAAACAATCCAAGTAACATTCATCATCACCATATTTAGTACAGCAAATAATCTTTTTTTTTTTTTTTTTTTTACTAGTATGGATCTTCGACATTTGGATGATCTTATGCCTGTTGTGTCATCTGAGTTACAATCAGGTTTAACGAAGATCAAATATGCATTAACTTGTTTACAAGCCAAATGGGATGATCAACAAGGATTTTTGATGTCTGGTGTTCAACTATACAGTTCAAATGAAATCACCATACAGAATAATATTTTGGTAAGAGATGGGAGGAAAATGAAGAAAAAAAAATATATAAAGGGGAGGATGACATGTACATCAGATAAAATTGAACATTTTTTTATTTTTTTTTATATATATAGAATGGCACTTTCCCTGATACCATGCCTATTCCTCAAGATCATGCCATCAGTATTGTTGGAAGTAATCAAACATATATTCTTCAAAACTTTGTTGCAGGTTGGCAACTAGCTGATTTTGGTGGTGCCTTTCGATTCACCTCTGCTGTAAGTTGCTATCCATATATGGAAGTGCCTTATATAACTTTTTTTTTTTTATTTTTTTATTTTAGGTGGATTCGTATGTAGTCTCAAATTATTTAGCCAACACGGCGGTGATGATTTATGTAGCAAATCATGCTGACTTCCAACAAATCGATAACATGGTTGTGTATGACAATTTCTTCTTCCACTTTTTGGGCAAGGAATTTGATCCTCCTGCACCTTTGGCTGGTTGGCTTTATGAAGGCATCACATTTTATGATTTTTGGACAGCACGACTAAACAATACCATCCGTCCTCCTTTTTGGAACTCTAGTGCCCCACTCTCACCTTTTGCTCATAACATCATCATCTCAGATAATCATTTTGCCTCCGCCAAAGGAATTGATCCTAACGTCATCAGTTTGGGTAACTTGGAACCTACTCAAGCTCATGTTGATAAAAAGAATTGTTATGTCACCGAACCTCTTTTGAACGATACTAATCGTGTTCCTTTATTATGGCGCCAACAATACCAAAAGGATACATTTGCTCGTTATGGCAACAAGATCCCTGTGGTAAAAAAAAAAAAAAAAAAAAAAAAAATATCAACATCATACTAATAATATTCCAACATTTCATTCTTATAGAGATCCCCCTTTAGTACTGATCGTCACTTGATCAAATATGTCCCTGAAGATTTGCAAGACTTGGAAATACCAGACTTTTGGAAAGCATTCACTCTTCGAAATAATACAGTACCCATGATTCCACCTGAAACAGAGTGTTACTAGACTAGCATCATTACATATAAGCATCATCATTAGTTTATTCTAATTTTTTGTTTTCTTTGAAGATTCCAAATGAATAAATAATAAAAAAAAAAATGGCTATAACTAAATGAAAGGAAGAAAAAAAAATACACAAAGACTAAATGGTAATACTAATAAACTAAAAAAGTGAAGTAGTGGGTAATAAATAATATAATATAATAATAATAATAATAATAATAATAATAATAATAATAATAATAATAATAATAATAAAAAAGGATCATGCCAATAAAATACTTCCTGATTTGACCATCCGTTGCTCCATCAGTATATCGATCTTGTTATTATCATTTCCATCCTGCTGAATCCAAGAAGCCAATTCAATGTCACTGACAAGGAGATCATGACAATAATATTTCAAAGAGATCGTGGGTGTTTCCATGCGAGCGTTGTCATTGCTTGTTGTAAATTTGGCAAGTAATCGACGAGGTTGTTGATTTCCACTAGCGATCAGATCGTGTTGCATGATTTCCGAATGCTTCCAAGTAAAAGATTGCTGTTGTTGATTCCATATGCCTTCGGGTGTGCTTTGTGCTTTCATGATATTCGATTGGGACAGATTAACTAACACCATCACTCTCCCTCCTTGTTGAGCTATGATGGCCATTTGATCCGTTACCTTGTACTTGACCATCAACATGACGCTGTCGTTCGATATCCTCCATGCTGGCTCCAATATCATTGGTAACACTTCTTCCGCACTACGCTCTTGCTGATAGTTGAATAGTGGAATAAAAATACCGTAAGGAACATCTTCAAATATAGATATGGGAAGTATAAATGTGTCGTGAGTGTTGATAACAGGTTGAATAGACTCGTTTGCAGGTTGGACGTCCTGTATATTGTTGATACGTATTATAAACGGTTGGTCGTGAGATAAAGAAGGTCCTTCATATACCATTTTGATTTGTCCCATGATATTTGCTTTTGTCTGTCCAGGTAACATATTCACAGTTTCCACTATCGATACATGAAAAGTAGGTTGATGACTTTGAGATGCTGATATTTTTGTCGAGAGTGGCAAAGGTATCATATCATGAGAAGATGAAGGACTTGGAGAGATAGATGACATGTTCGTATGTTCGCTTGTGGGCGTTAATTGTCGGAATGGGTTGTTTGTTGAATCACTTGTGTTTGATATGGTGGATCCTACGTTGACACCTCCACGAATGGCAGTATTTTCATTGATAGATGATAAAGGTGATGGTGGTCCACTTTCCATATAACTAGACTGAATTCGCATATTTCTATAAAAGAAAAATAAATATGAGCAAAATACACACATATCATCATTGTTTCTTTTTAATTTACTGTCTACGACCACGTCGTTTTTGAGAGATAGTGGGTGTTGACTATTGAAATAAAACCAATCCTTTAGCCTCCTGAATCAAAATTGTATACATTTACCTCTCGAAGCAAAGAAGAAACCCTTGATAATGTCGCATTTTCTTGTTCTGTCTTGGTGCCATGACTGAGAACTGATTTGTCCTTGATATCAAACTTGAGTTTTTGAGACCCAGATATTGCACTAGCAAACGAAAAAAAAAAATCAATCATTTCTTTCTGGTCCTTTTCTTTTCTTTTCTTTTCTTTTTTTTTTTTTTTTTTTTTTCTTACAGAGAACCAGGATTGGACTGTTCTTCTAATGGTATGACACCGGTATTCGTGATTGTATGCCCAAAGCTATCGGGAAAAGGTATGGAGTAACCTTCAGAATCTACAGGTGGTATCTTTGCCTTTAAAAAAAAATAAAGTTAATCTCTCCAATTCGATCGTACTCTAAATCAAAATCTTACTTTGTCAATTATCTGATTTGTTGTGTTTTTCATATGCGTCATACTATCAGATGCAGATGGTGGAGCCGGAGTTGTATGGATAAATTTGTCTTGTTGTTCAGTCGATAGGTCAGCTGGAGACGTCGATAATGAATCTGATACAATATTATGTTCATTTTCGTGTGATCGATCCTCTTGTTCAGCAGTTTCCGAGATGGCTGATATACGTTGATCGTCCCTATCATTTGAAAAAAAAGACAAATATATATATATATATGTGAATCGATGTATAATGGATAAAAGTATGTGAGTCAGGATATTTACTTTTTTGGAGATGAAGATGGTTTCCTTGATTTCCTTAGCAGGGAGAATCTTGAGCGTTCTAACATATAAAATAAAATAATGAGGTAAGATTCAGCAGTTTACAATCAAAAAAATATGAACTAATATATATTCATACGTTTCTTCTCTGTAGTTTTTCTAGGAAGATCATTTGAGGTTGGCATAGATGGCGGAGAAGGATTAATGGCTGATTCATTACCAGAGTTGTTCTTGTATACAGTAGCGGTAGGTGGTAAAGATGTCAAATGAGAGCTTTTAGATTTGCAAAAGAGTCGAATATCATTTTCCACATCGAATAAAGAGGCGGCAGTCAAAGTTCTATCGGCAATCTATAAATTTACAAATATAAATAAGATTATATACTTTTATTGTATTCTTTACCTCTTTGGACTTTAGTAACTGATCTTTACGAAATTGTTCAAAATTTTCCAACATAGATTTTAACCGTTGTAATCTTGCACGTTCTACATTTTCATAAAGCTAAATAAAGAGTGAACTGGTTTAGAAAGTATTTCTCTTTCTTTTTTTTTTTTTCCTGGTATATACCTGAAGAAAAGAAGAACCTTCTGTTTTCCATTTAGATAAAATATTTTCAGATTGTAGTTTTGGCCCTGATTTGAATAAAGATGATTTCCCAGACTTCTTTTGCTATACAAAGAAAGGATGTTACATGACTGATTTTTGTTAAGATTCTCATACCTTGATTCCTGCTTCATAATCCTTGGCTAATTGTTGAAAAGTAGGTTCTAACTATTATATATATATATATATATATATGTAAAAGAAAGTGATTAATACATACAAGAGTATACCTTTTTTTTTTTTATAAAAGATTTACCGATTTGATCTTGTCAATATCATTAGTAGCAGCAGGTATTTTTAATGGTTTCTCTATTTCTTCCATGATCTTGTAGGAAAGTATTCCATGAGCAGTAGATATTTCGGTCAATTCATCCAAGAGTAGTTCCCATATAGGAGCCAATCCACTAAAAATATTTTTAAAAAAAAAATCGTATCACCAATCTATTTTGTAATATATATTGGTTTTTTTTTTTTTTCTTCTTCCCTGTTCTTTACTTATTACCCTAATGCACTGTTATCCATGACATATATTCTTTTGGAAGCTTTGACCAAACTTTTAGCATACTGATCTTCTATCAAAGCTCTTGAATTTATTTATTTATTTTTTTTTTAAAAAAAAAAAAAAGGAATATAATTCAACATTTTGTATTTCATATAAACATCATATTATTTATATACCTTTCTTTGAAGTATTGAGCTAATTCATCGTCAAGTATGTTTCCTTGTCGTTGCTTTTCTTGAACCAAATATAGACCATCTTTAGGGTGAGCTGTCTAGAGAGTCAATTCATTATTAATAGTATTAAAACAAAAAAAGTAAAGATGAAAACAAAAACAAAAAAAAAAATAGTAATTTATTACCAAGAACACATTTGAATAAGATTCATATGAATTTTGAGACATGACTACAAAATGTATACAGCATAAGATAAATAAGGAAAATAATATAATATATAATAAATATACAAATAAGAAAGAAGAAGAAGAAGAGGGAAAAGGGAAAGGGAAACGAAAAAGAAAAAAAGAAGAGAGACTGACTTTCTCCAGGTTTATCTTTTTTACAGAAATGGAAATTTAAAGTCACACAGAAATTGATCAGTTTGAAACTCTATAATAGTGTTTTCATCTTCAAACAATAATATTATTTTATTTGTTTTTTAATAAGGGAGAGAGATTGCTTCATCGGAAAAAAAAACATCCTACTTTATACATATGACTTCATTGATATGTTAATCGCATGAAAAACTTAAATCGCCGATGAAAGATTCAAAACCATGTAGAATCATCAAGAAGCTTCTTCACGCATTAAAGAAACAATGTTTCTCTGTTTTTTTATTTACTAGAAGATTCCTAAATGATCACATTGCCAATTGAAAAAAGTATAAAAGAAAGATTCGCTTCTATTCATTAACAGAACGAAAATTAAATTTTTAAAATAAAAAAAATAATTTAATCATGTCTTTCTCTCAACCATTACTTAGTCAAGTCTTTCGCGATATGCATCGTGCCTTTTCTTTACTTGATGAACCTTTAACTAATGTATCTCGACGAGCTTTGACTGGAAGATATCCACCTACGGATATCATTGAAACTACTACTGGTTATGAACTTCATGCCGAAATCCCTGGGTTTAAAAAGCAAGATATTGAACTTCAATTACCTGATGATCATACATTGGTGATTGGTGGAAAACAAGAAACTGTAAGTACTGATCGTCGTATTGGTACAGAAGGTGAAGCTACTCCAACTGAAGAAACTGATGAAACTGCTGTCTCTACAAGAAATCAAGCTACTGATGTTGTAGCTTCACAAGGTTCTCCTTATTGGTGGAAATCTGAAAGAGTCACTGGTTCTTTCTCGAGATCATTTACTTTCCCACATTCGATTAATGGTGATGCCATCAAAGCAAGTTATAAGGATGGTATTCTTATTGTCACTATTCCAAAATCTGATAAATCAACTATTCGTATCCCTATCGAATAAATCTATCATTCTGTCTAAAAAAAAAAAAAAAAAAAAAAAAAAAAAGAATTAGTTTCTTTATGATAGTTATTGTTTTTTTTAAAAAAAAAAAAAAGAATAGTAAATAAATAAATAAAAAGGGTTTTTTTAGTATTGATAATGATCATGACATGCGGACTTCAAATGAGTGAGATAAACAATAGTTTAAAAAAAGTATCTTTTTTCCTTTTGTCCTCTTTTCTTTTTTTTTTTTCCCTTACTTTTTTTTTTTTTTCACTCTTTTTATGATTCTTCTAGATCATTTACCGGTAGAAATATTATCTTTAGTTGTAGATAATATCAATCATAATGATCTTTATCATTGTGCTCTTGTCAACAAGCGTTTCTATACAGCAACTATTCCAGTTTTATGGCGTTCTCCAAAAGTAGATGACGACCCTTCTGCAGTTCGTCTTACAAAAAGTCTTTCTCTAGCACGTTATTCTCTTGGTCATTATATTCGAAAACTCCAGTTTGAAGAAGCTATTATGGACGATACTCTCATCTATTTTATTGATCGTAGTATTTTTTTGGAAGAATTGATTATTATGCACGCCGAACACATTACCGATAAAAGTATACAACATCTATCACAACAATGTCCACAATTAAAAAAACTTCACCTTGGTAACGCCAATATCACTCATCGTTCTATGCATTATCTTGGTCAACGTTGTTGTCGTCTACGTGAACTTGCTTTAAAGGCATGTCATCGTCTTTTACCAATTACTTTATTACCTTTTGCCGATTGTCCTTTGGAATACTTGGATCTCAGTGAATGTAGATGGCTTACTGTGGAAGATACAGCATTAGATATCTTACAACTTAATCGACTGACTCATTTGGAACTTGTATGTTGTCGTACAGTAAATGCCAAATTTATTCAACAACTTTACAACAACAATACTATTGCACTTCCTCATTTGACTTATTTTGCAATCACTGGTAACCCTGATATCAACGATCATATCATTATACCCTTTATCAAGACACATCCTCACTTGACCAGTCTTCATATATTGAAATGCAATCTTACGGATATCGGTTTGGACGCCATTGCTACTTATTTACCTTGTATCCATGTACTCAATCTCCTTTGTTGTGAAAATATATCATCTCAAGCTGTACGGCGATTTATTCGGAACTGTCCTCAATTGGTTATGATTGGTTTGGAGAATTGTTTGCTACCATTATATACTTTTCCAGAAGTACAAGAAAAGGATGGTGAATATGCAGAAATATTAGGTTATACGGATATCACGGCTATACGGCTCAGTAACGACAATAACTCGATCGATCAACCTATCCAGATGCAAGAAGATGATACAATCAATGATATGGATGGAGTTAACAACAATATCGATATACCACGACATGAAGTATTGGATATCAATGATAATGATGATATGGAAGAAGTCCGTGCTATAGTTTTATCCTTATCAGAAAGTCAACAATACTCTATATAGTTGTATATATTAGTTTATATTATATCTTTTTTTTTCACATGATATATCTCAAATAAAAATATATTTTTTGAATAATTTTTGAATGATCAATGACATTTTAACTACTATGATAATATTGATCTCATATATGGTATGATGAAATCCAACTTCCGTACTTTTTTTTTTTTTATCGTTTTACTAATTTTTTTTTTGTCGGGTCACAAGAAAATAACTTAGTGGTATTATAAAATAAACATAAAATAAACATATGGGACTAGTGATAAATCAGTGAGATTCTTCTTAATTTATTTAAAAATAAAAATAAAAAAAAAAAAAAAAAAAAGTTGATTATTTTATCTACACTTGAAAAATTTATGTCTATCTTATATCTATTAGGAAATAAAATTTTAATCATCATATATATTAAATACAATAGTTACCTTTTGTTGGTACATCTAATTAGTTTGAATGATATACATGATTAATTCCTGTGATGATTATTACATGCTGGGGTCGTTGATAATTATGTAATTGACTTGTTTGTTGATCATGATACTGTTGATTTTGTTGATATTGTTGATATTGACATTACAATTGAAGCACCTGATTCCATTTGTATACCCTTGTGTTCCAATGAATCATCCCATTCCTTATATATATCAAACAGTATCTTCAAATGTCTTGCTTCCAGTACAGTATCTTGATAAGTTCCAGGATTACATTTATCAACCTCAAAAGCTAGTTTGTAATTAAGTGCTTTGACAAAGTAACGCTTCTTGGTCTTTTCATCATTAACTTCAAGATTCAAAAATAGTTTCTTCTAATTGCAATTGTATTTCCTTGACACTTAAATTATCTTGTCTAGTGGCATCCAACTTGTTCCATCAACTTTCTTCCGAAGACGCGAAGTAAATTCAACCTTAAAGTTTTCCCATTCTTTTATTTTTCCACGAGTCACTTGCCATCACCTGGCCGTATTGCCCTTCATGAAAGTAGAAGCCATTAAAGCTGCTTCAGAGCCTGTTTGTGATAGATATATATGTGTCCATGTTTTGTAACCATAAAGTAGGATTCTCAACCTTCTTGACCATAAAAGCGATCAGGTTTATCAATTAAATATTTCAAAGTGTTGATATCCATGTTACTGTAATACTATGAAAACAATATTGAAGTCGTTGAGGTTGTAGTGGTGACCAGGTTCTTCACCAAAAATGTTAGGATACTGAGGGGATCCTGGTTGAAATGAGAAAAAAAGAATAAACGACGGAATGTAACCACCAATTGAAATAAAATAAGAAGTTCAACAAATATATATTTATGATAAAATAAATAAAAAAAACAATAATAAAGTATGTTCCAAAAAATAAAAAATATGAAAGTAAAAGTCGAGTCCAGAAAATATAAAAAAAAAAAAAAAAAAAAAAAAAAAAAAGAAAGAAAAAAAAAAAGAAAAAAAGATAAGCCAAAGAAGGAGAGGAAAACCGTAAAACAGGAATTGGGACCCCGCTTACATACATTGCATCATTTTCAACCAGAATTGAGACACTGTAACACCAATCCGCTAATACTCGCTTCTGATTGGCTGAAATTTACTATGAGGTTCATAATGGAGTAATCAAATGCACGGTCAGTGATGGTGAGATGGCCGAGTTGGTCTAAGGCGTCACGTTAAGGCCGTGATCTCTATCGGAGGCGTGGGTTCGAATCCCACTCTCATCATTGATTTTTCACTTTTTATATATCAAAAATGTGATATTTTTAATTTTTGATGGTAATCAATGTTTTTTTTTGAATGTAGTGCTAATGATGATTGAATTGGCAAGGAAAAAGCTATAAAAATCGCAAAGTGGGGAAGTGAAAATAAAAAAAAATGTGATTTCAAAGTCAGCTTACTTACGGATTTTTTTGTAACCTTTTTCTCTCTTTTTCTTTTTCAATTGTTAAGTGTTTGTTATGATTTTTTTTTTTTTTTTCGTCTCTCACATATGAATTATTACCACCATGTCTCAACAACAAGATGAACTAGATATGACAACAGATAATGCTAATCGTGAAGAATTAATAAAGTAAGAAAACAGTATATTAAATATAAAAAAAAAAGTTCTTATATATATATTTTGTATATATAGTAATGTACTTGAATTACAAAGTCAATTAAGAGGTAAAAAAAAAAAAAAAAAAAAAAAAAAAGAATGAAGTTATATATTATACACTTGAATAAACGTATCTAATATATATATGTCGAATATATGTCTAATATATATATATTATATTAGCACTTATATCACGAGTAGATTCAGCCACGAAGGATCATCATTCTTTATTGACAGAAAACCAAATGTTACAGAAATATATCAATAATTCTCTAACTTCAACAGCAGTATTTGGGGCAACATCAGGGGCAACAACAGGCAATCAAGTTAATAAATCATGAATAGAATGGACTCGTCTGGTAGTGTTTATATATTATGATATCAATAAAAGTTTATTTATTATATGAACTTGTGGATGATCGTGTGTAAAATCATGATCATGTTTTAGGAATTATATGAATCGGGGGTTTGGGGGGGAAAGAATATTCTTATGAGCCAAAATGAAGAGAAATCATGCGTTTGTCTATATTATCGTCATCATCTAATATGTAAAAGCATGATTCTTTTCTTCTAGATCATATGACGTTAACAATTATATTCAGGGAGAAAGCTAAAAAAAAAAAAAAAAAAAAAAAGGAGGGGATGAATAAGTGTTTGTCAGAAAACTTGTTGGTTCATCTTTTTCGAATATCAGTCTCCTTTTTAAGGAGAGTAGTATTTTGTTTTATCTAAAAAGAGAATTGATTTAAACAAGAAAAGGGTCCATATGAGGAATGACGTTCGCGCCAATTTTATCGATTTTGTCATATAAGAGGAAAAGGACATTCCAACAAAGAAGAGATCATGTTGTTTCCCCTCATTCATTAAATGGGAGAGTGTCAAATAATCTGAGACTATAGCCACGTTGCGATAATATCCAATGTAATCATTATCATCTTCATATTATATAAATGATGATCGACAAATAAATATAAAAGAACTCCTAAAAAAAGAAAAAGAAAAAAAAAAAGACTCTTGTTTATTATTTTTATTTTATTTTACTTTATTTTATTACTTGTCAGTTTTATGATCTGATCGTACATACATATAACTGTTTTTTCCAATTACTAAAAAAGGAATCATGATAGGATGAAATGTCTTGATGAACCCCAAGTCAAAAAAAAAAAAAAAAAAAAAAAAAAACAAAGAAATCAGTTTTATAATATTGACTTGTACCCCCTTAAAAAATGCTGTAATGACTCCTTTTCTTTATCTTTTTAGGGAAATTGTAACCTCCCTTATATCACTTGGTTCACACATTGTTACCTTAATCCATATATTCAACTCCTTTTATTTTATTTTATTTTTCTTTGCATATAATCTGTGCGAACAAACCAAATCGTGTTTTTTTTTTTTTTTTGTTATTGTCAATGACATCGTAAATCTACTATACTAAGAGTAAACACTGACCTTCTTTTTTCTCTCATTATTTCTCCTCCCCCCCTTTTTTTTGGGTTAGTTTTTCTCCTCTTTCATTATTGTTTCCCTCCCAAATGTGTGATTGTAATTTCCCCTGACGGATCAAATAAGACGGAGGTGTTTTTTAACCGCGCATTTTTCTTCATTGTTCCTTTGTTTAACCTCTTTCTTTTTTTTTCATTTCGTTTTTTTTTTTTTCATTTTCCTTTTTTTTTTTAATACTAAATATATATATATATATAAATATACAGATTATAATTTCCTTCTTTCAATTTTCTTTTTTTTTCCTTTTCTTTTCCTTTTTTTTCTTTTTCTTTCTTTCTTTCTTTCTTTCTTTTTTTTTTTTTTTTTTTAAAAAAAAAGATTATTGATCATCTTTACGTTCCCTGTGTTTTTTTTTTTAATTTGAATGTACACAACCTATTACTTGTACTACTTGATCATCATACAATAGAGAAGTAACATCAATCTTATTCATGACTTCACCCGAAGACCCTTTTTCTAATGAACAAAAACGTTTGACTCGCGTGTCGGTAAGAGTTAAAAGAACGACAACTACTAGAAAAGGAAACTTAAACTATGATGTTTATTAGATGGCACCACTTTATGACCGTTTATTAAAGATATCCTTTCCAGATACTGTATCTGCTATTGAACATTGTCGAAATGTATGCGCTGATTTTGGATTTACTGTTAAACAAGAAGCAAGTGCTAATAGGGTAAATGATCATTTTTTCAACTATTTAAATGCCCGTCTTTTTTTTTTCTTTTTCTTTCTCATTCTTTCTCTTTTTTTTTTTTTTTTTTTTTTTTTTTTCTTTCTTTTTTTTTTTCTTTCTTTTTTTTTTTTCTTTGTTTTATTAGAATATATATGTTTATTGCTCACGTGAAGGATTACCCGATTCTCAACGTAATCCAAAACCAACTCCTCAACGAAAACGACCCTCGAAAAGATGTGATTGCCGTTGGCGTGTTGTTCTTTCTGAGAATGACCAAGAACAATGGGAATTTCGAAAATCAATGAATCCAAATGCTTCAGAACATAACCATGAAATGATGGCTCCCAACGAAATGGTCAAGGCTTGGCCTCCTGAAGTCAATGATATGATTATTTATCTTGCACAACAACGTCTACAAACTCATGAAATTCGTGATACTGTCAAGCAACGTTTTCCTCACATCTCTTGGAATGAACGACGATTTTACAACCGACTAACAGAAGAACGAAAACGCATTCGTCAACGAAATACTATTGAAAGAACACGTCGACTTATTTTATTATCTGCTCAACTTTGTGCTGTCGTGGCTGCCAATGAAGAATGGTCGCAATGTGTGGAAGGGGATCTACATCGCATGTTTGAAAACTTTTGCCAGCTTACTCGATTACCTCCTGAAGCTATTCCTTCTCTTGTGGATTTTCAACCTGAACTTATTCAAAATGAAACGGACAAATTGACTTCTACAACACATCGACTTTCTATTGGTAATCTACCTGATGATATGAACGATCAACATCAACAACATCATCATCATCAACAACAAGGCTCCCCGACAAAGAAACGAAAAGCAAATGGATTAAGTAAACAACAGGTTATGGATCAACAACAGCCACCACCTTTACCAGCAACTACGCAACAACAAAAAGGAACTCAATGTATTTCTATTTCTGCCTTCAACGTGTTTGTGAGAACACAGTCTTTACGAGCATCATCAGAATCCTCTCAGAGTAGTCGTCAAACATGTGATTCTTCTTCTGGTCTGGAAAGTCCTACACACACCAATTCCTCCTTTGTTGGCAACAATGGATTATTTTCCTTGGCTTCACCTACGTCATCATCATCATCATCGTCGTCGTCTATGCATTTTAGGCAGCAACCTTTCCGTTTGGATGTACAGTCGCGATTGACTTCACCACCACAACAACAGCAGTCTACAATGTCATCACCCAACGACGCATCCTCATTCATGATGCAACAACAACAACAGCAACAACAGCAGCAACAACAGCAGCAACAACAACAGCAACAACAACAGCAACAACAACAGCAACAACAACAGCAACAGCAACAGCAACAACAACAGCAACAACAACAACAACAACAACAACAACAACAACAACAACAACAACAACAACAACAACAACAACAACAACAACAACAACAACAACAACAACAACAGCAACAACAGCAACAACAATCCTATGCTCTCACCAATTTGAATTATAACATGCAAGGCTCCTTTTCTCCTTATACTCTGTCGGCTCCTTCCTTCTCTTCACCTAATGATATGTCATTTACTCTGGATAATAATGGTACTGTTTCTACGACACCACAACACCCTCATCATTTAATTATTACTTCAAGAACGGATCATCAAGAACAAAGACCATCCTCTGTGTTTACTGATTTTTGTCCATCGGTGAAAGAAGAACGGGGATTATACGAACGATCATTATCTACGTCTGCTTACAACAATTCTCCTTTGCCCATGATTCGTCCAAATGATCATCCAAATAGTGTGCCTAGTACATCAGAATCCAATGCTGCTGCGTTTTATTGATTTTTTTTTTTCTATATCACCTTTTCTTTTCTGTATGATTCTTTTTTTTTTCTTTTAGTTATTATTTTCCTTTAGGACTATTACTATATGCTTCTATGATATTTGAATTATGTACACTTTTTTTTTTGCCCTTTTTTTTTATTTATATATTTACATATACATTTATATCTTTAGCTAGCTGCCATGTTTTTTTTTTTGTTATCTCTCGACTAGTTTATTAGAAAAAAAAAGAACAACAAACAAGCAAACAAACAAACAATAAAGAAAACCTTTTTTTTGAATATGTTTAGTATTTTTTTTTTTTTTGTAAAATAAAGTGTATTTGATTTGTATCAATTCTAAATTCCAAACTGGATCATGTGGGAATACCGTTCGGACTCAACGATTGATGAGACTACAAAATCCCTTGATCTTCAAAAAGATGTTGTGGAATGTTTTTAAATAAGAAGCGAAGCTCTGTTTCAATGGAAAAAAGTATTTCCCAATTCAACGGCTTACAAGCCTCTCCTTCATCTAAATTTCGTTAAGTTCAGCAACAAAAATTCATCTTTTGTGGTCGAACCAAGCCATTTCTATATTTGGTCTACAAGTTGTGGGTGAATGAATTTTCTTACCTAGCGGGTGATTTTTTTTTTTTTCGCTTTCTCTCCCCCCCCTTCTTGCTTATTTCAATCTATTCTCCACTTTTGTACATATACTCACATACATTCCTTTTTTTTTTTGTTTTTTGAAGTCATGGATAACAAACCAGCTTTATATGAAGAATCCTCACAATACCGACATTGGCGATTCAGTCCTTCACAGTTATGGGAAATACGACAATCTTGCAATGAAGCAGCTATACAACGTGTGCGCAAAAACATAGAAGAGGATAAAGTAAGACGATTAAAAAAAAAAAAAAGAAAAGACGTATGTCAATCTTGTTAGATAGAGTATTTAGATCAAAATAAGGATAGCTTATAAACTATTTTGTTTTTATTTCTAGGCAGCAAGTAAAACAACCTCAGAAGAAAAAGAACCAGTTTTCATTACAGCCGATGAACAGGTTAAACTATGTCGATATTATGAAGAACAAATCCAAGTGATTTGTCCTCATTTGAAATTATCTGATATGGTGATGGTAAGATAAGTTTATTTGGGTGATACTAAAATGAACTAATATATATTTCTTCTCTCTTTTTTTTTTTTTTTTTTTATTTTTAATTGTATTGACAGGCAACGGCACTGATATATGAAACGTTTCTTTTTACGCAATACCATGATGGATTACCATCCGAAGGATATACTGTAAAAATAACATACGAGTAGAAGAACGAAAAACTTTACTTAACCTATTGTTCTTTTTGTATTAGATTTACCTGTTTATTCATGGCTACCAAATCGGAAAGTGAACGGATCTCTATTAGTGATTTTGGTAAAAATCTACAATTACCAAATACTGATATGGTACTTTCTTTGGAATTCACTGTATCTCAAGGATTACAATTTGAATATATGGTACATCATCCTTATCGAGCAGCATATGGTTATTACTTGGACATTCAGCATACAGGTGATCCGATAGATCTAGAACTCTTACAAGCTACTTATAATCAAGTTGGTGGGGTCATCAAAAAGATGTTATTGACTGATTTACCTTTGATCTATCAACCTTCACAATTGGCCATTGCGGCTTTCATCATTGCTGGTCAACATAATGGATTTGATTTAAGAGTGAAAAGGTAAAAAAAAAATAAAATAATATAAAGAGAGGAGTTTGATGGATTGATCTCTCTTTGGTTATTAGATACTTGGAACAACGATTGGATAAAGAACTCGCAGATACATTATACACCATGACCATTCTTATAGATGAAACTTTGATTGAAAATGCTCCAGTTCCTCTTAGTGTGGCAACAGAAATCGATGCTCGTTTACGCTCTTGTAAAAATCCAGCCAAGAACCCAGAGTCTGCATTGTAAGTTTTTCTTTTTATGATGAAGGATGGTAACTGACGGTTGTTATTTAGGTACAAGAAACGATTGGCGGAAAAGGAAAGCAATGAGGATGGACAACGGAAGCGGGCCAAACTGGAGGATGATGATGATGATGATTTACCATTTGATCGACCTAACTAGTTTAGTGAATCATATTTTTTTTTTAGTCTATGATTTATTCTTCGTGTAGATTCTTCTTGTATTCGTTTTACCTTTTTTTTTTTTTTTTTTTTTTTTTTTTTTTTTTTTTACCTATTTTATAGGAAAAAAATAAATGATCTGAAGATGGGGAACTCGACAAGGCTATTTTTTTTTTTTTTTTTTTAATAATTGTTGTAGATTGGTTTCATTGGTGATATGGGACGGTATGAGATTATATGGTTATGGACTAGCTATCCATAAAGGGCGTCCTCACCTGGACCTATTGTTCAGTGTATTCAATTCAGTTAATCCTGTTACGTGTATACTTGGTTGTCGCATGAACGTTAGATGGTAACAATAGATATAAGGCAGGTTTAAAGTGATTGGAAGAGAAAGGTACTGAAAGACGTCGAAACTAGCACCACTCTCCTCGACTTCTCCATCGTCATCCCTTAATTCTCATTATCCCTGGATCATCATCATTCGTCATCTATTATCCAGTTAATGATAAAAAAAAAAAATAACTCAGTGTTTCCAAGCAAGCGTGGCGCTAACAGAGTGCCAATGCCATTTTTCTTTCATGCTTTTAGTAAATAAAAATGAATTTATTAGCACACATATATAATATAGTTGGATCTTCAATTGACAAGACATGATGATAAAAACCAAAATAGATATGTGTAAATAATAAAAGAAAGAGATCTTTTCAAAATAGACTTTTTTTTGTTACAATGCATTACTCATGTAGAGAAATAATTGTTCATCATGATCCCAAATACAATTACACACATATGCATGCATACACTTGTTTCCTTTTTTTTTTTTTTTTTTTTTTTTTTTTTTTTAAAACACTCCTTACTCCAGATAAATAACTTGATAAAATTATACCTATAATTGGATCCATTGGTTGATTTTATTCATTGAATATAAACCATGATAAAGGAGAGATATACACTTTGGAAATGGTAAATACATTAACAAAAAGTAAGGTATCGTTCGTTTTTTATTATTATTATTAGCATCAAAAATAAATAGAGAATATATATATATATGTACAAATGAATGAAGAGGGTGGGCGATAATAATACTAATGATAGATGATAAATTATGGTATCTAAAGTTTCTTCTTTCCCTTGACTTCAGAGGCACAATTCTTGCAATACCATTTCCCTTTTGGAGGAGCCCTTAAACCAACACAATCAAGATGGAACCATTCGATATCACACTAATAAAAAAAAAGATAAGTTCAATCTAATTATTATATACATGATGTCATTTTTTTTTTACCTCATCATTATCACATGCCACCATTTCACCATAGGAGACCATTCGACAATAACAATAAACTGGTTCATTAGGATCGATAGGTAGATCACTAAGATTGATTGCACTATCATAAAATAATGAATATCAAAGTCTTTTTTTTTTAACTTATTTGAAGAATAACTTACGTTTGAGCATGTTGTACAGCATCTTCGGTTGATAAATAATCCCCTTGTTCTTGATCCAGTTCTTGTTTTCTCTTATGTCCAGTTCTAGTACCTAAAAAAAGAAAAGTTATCATTTTTAGTACAACATTCAAGTGTGACAAATCAGATCATGAATATCTTTCTTTTTTTTTTTTTTCCGGATCATTCAAGTGAGCCAAAAAAAAAAAAGAATCTGATAAATAAGAACCATCACATGATATTTTATACTTACTTTTTATTTTTCTGGGTCTTGTAGAAGTTAGTTTTCGAGTTGTTGTGGTTGGACTAACATTAGTATCTTGTTGCTGTAATGAGTTGGAACGCGTTCTACCCATTCGACTTGGTCCAATCCATTGTTCATCTTCAAATTTTTGTAAATCGTTATCTAGCCTTGAGCAATGACGATCAACCTATCATAACTCTCATTAGGTTTTTTTTCTTCTGTTCTTTCCTTATTCTTTTGTACTTACCGCATCATAAGTAGACTTGGCTAAAGCAAATTTTTCTTCACCACGTTTCACACTTTCATTTAACAGATTGCCAATTTCAATTAACCTTCTTTTCCTTTCAATTTCAGGGACAATGACTTGACTTTGACAAAGTGCTATAGATTCATGTGCCACTTTTCCCATAAGATCTAACCCATGAATAATAATAATAAAAGATAATATCTTGAATGTTCATCCTTTTTTTTTTTAAAAAAAAAATCAGCTTACCTTGAGCACTATCGTCTAATTGTCGAATAAGAGTAAAGTTACGTTGTAATTCCATGGGTAAGACATCTATGGCTATATCATTATGAAAAATAGAGAAAAAAAAAAGAATATGAATGATAAATTAACGTGATCTTCCCTTTATGTCAGTTCACCTTTTTACTTACTATCCTTATAGTCACCAAGATAGGCCAACTTGTCATCATTCAGTGTTTCCATTAGGTTCCTAATAATAATAATAATAATAGTTGGATAGAATGAAGGGAAAGAAAGGAAAAAAAAAAAAAAGAAGACAGAATAGAATAGGATGATTTCAACTCCGCTGATGGATGATATCAAAGCTACCATTTTAGTTATATATGATAGATAGAGAGAGAGAGAGAGATTGGACAGCATTTGTTGAATAAAGGAATATCATCTTGCGTTATTTATTCAATTATCAATGAGTAACGTTCAACGTGTGGATGATATTATAGGTGAGAAAAAAAAATTAATTTTTTTATTTTTTTATCAGATGGGGAAACCCACAAATAGAATGTTTAAGTTGGACACGTGTATCCAACTATTTCGAAATCTGATTAAAAAAAAAAGATAGTTTTCTACTATTTCTTCTTATTCTTTTTATCTTTTTTCTTTTTCTTTTTTTTTTTTTTCATTGATTGGCACAACTCACAACTTTTATAACCTTTTAATCCGCGACCTAATAAAATTATATTCGGAATACTTTTTGAGATTTTTCTTTTTTTCTTTTTTCGTTTTTCTTTTTTTTTTTCCTTCTTCTTCTGACATTGTACTAACATCCTATATACAATCATGTCTTCATTATTAAGACGCATTGGTTCAGTAGTGATATCGGACACACCCTCAGAACCTTCAATAGATATTGATCAAATTCCACCTACCACGGAACTTGTTGACTGCAACGATTGTACACAAGATTGTTATGACCATCCAAGTTATCCTAGTTATTTGGATATTGATACCGAGACAGAACTATTGGGATCTATGAAACCATACGGACGTCACGTTATGATCGCTACAGGGGTAACAGATTGGGCTGAAAAGATTGAAGAAGACACAGCGACATTAGCAGCTCAATTACATAAAGTCATCAATGCTGATCCACAATACACTAACAATCAACCTAATGGACGTATTTTTATTACCAACACTTCGATGACCAATACCTATTCGACAAAAGGACATGACGTTTTACTTTTACCAGAAAATATTTTAATCAGTAATGTGACACCAGAGGATGCAACAGAGTTTTATGCGACATTTTTGGATCAACCATTACCACTTCAACCAGTTCAACTGTCTAAGATATGTATGCAACTACGTGGATCATGGCAAGCATATATGAATCCTTCAGCTTCAATGATTTTAATTTGTTCACATCGACGACGGGACAAACGATGTGGAGTGACGGCACCTATCTTGGCAAGGGAATTTGATCATATCTTACGGGAACACGATATTGAAGAACAAGGAGAAAAAGGTACAACGGTATTGATGGTGAGCCATGTTGGCGGTCACAAGTTTGCTGGCAACATCATTTGTTATACCCATCAAGGTACACGTGGTATTTGGTATGGACGCGTCAATCCTGGTCATTGCAAACAAATCGTAGAGGATACTATTCTTCAAGGTAAAGTAGTCAAGGAACTTTATCGTGGTGCGATGATGCATAGTTATGGTCCTACTTCTTTTACAAACTCAAGTACTTGTCCTGCAAGAATTCGTTGGTAATTTATATAGTATTATATTTATTATTATTATTTTTTTTTTAATTCTTCATATAAACAAATAAAAAAAAAACTTTGGATGATATAGAATGAAACATCAAAGAAAAAACAATCATGCGTTAAATTGTTCTTATGTATCCAATTTTCATTTGATTAAAACCTTTTGGTCATTCATATGATATGATATTATGCATCTATGGACGATCTTAATGTTTTTGTTGGCTTGATGGGAGTTTGAAAAAAAGTATGGCGTTTTCGGTAGCATAGATGAAACAATGACTATTCACTGATAGATCATCAAGTGCAGTTTGTTTATTATTATTTTCCCATCGATAATGGATACACTTTATTTTTTTTTTTTTTTTTTTTGTCAAAGGGCACATGGTATTATCCTTTCTATTATTGGATGCTTACTTTTAAATATTATCATCTTCATTGTTTCCCTTTAGGAGGAAACAAAATTCCAGCCTTTTTTTTTTTTTTTTTTTTTTTTTTTGTCCCTCTCTCCTTTTGGTTGCCCCGTTTGGATTTTCCTTTCCTAGAGTATATCCATCTCCGCACATCCCTTCTTTCCTTATGATTTTTTTTTTTCGAAAAGAAGGATCGGGTACCTAAATCCATGTCAAGGAAACTTTTGTTGGTTCACAACAGACTGGGGTAATTGCTATTTCCAGCCTAAAAGCAATAGATCCCCTTCCTGCTAAAAACAGGCATATATAACTGAATTTTTTTTTTTTTTTTTTATCTTCCCTATCTTTTTTTTTCTTTTTTCCTTTTTACTTTTTACTATATAATATATAAAATGGTTATAGATAATAATACTAATAATATTCATCGATCATCTTTACCATCCATATTTAAACAATGGTTATTGCTCATGTCATCATCATCATCATCATCACCACGTTCAGCCACGAATGATCATCATCATCATCCACACAGTAATAGTTTATTTGAAGCCACTTATTTCTCATTTCCCGATTATGAAGCATTACAACAACCAGAATTGGAGAAACCCACTTCAAAACAATGTAGTAATCAAGAACAACCTCCTCCAACACATCATTCCTCCATTCTTTATTAATCATCATCATCATTATTATTCCCCTTTTCATACCTCTTATACATTCTTTTTTTCTACCTTTGTATATGCACTTTTTTTTTATATTATAATGTATCTATCTATATTCATATCATTACTTTTATGGTTCAAATAAAAGAACTTCCCATCTTCTCGGTTTTGCCGGATTTGGAGCTCCGCTGTCAGGCATTTTATCTCCCAACTTTGTTTACACTTGATTCGTTTAGACATGTATCATTCACTAAAACTGGATAATCCGCACCACACTAAAATCTTTCTCCCCCCCCCTTTTTTTTTTATCATCAACACACACTCTCTCTCCCCTCGATTTCCACGCATAAAACGTAAGGAGTTTCAATGTAGTTGAGCGATTTTTTTTTCTAAAGTCGGATGATCCTTTAGAACATCGAATCTAAAATTTTACTATGTAATTCATCCATTTTACTTATAGTCAAGATGAGAATCTCTCCTTATGAATTTACTTGCTTGTGATGATGTATTTTACGTTGATTTCACGATGATATATATGTGTGCGTATGCGGGAGTTGAAATACGTGTCCCTTTTTTTCATCAATGTTGCTTACATAGTTCTATTCTTTCTTTTTCTTTCTTTTCTTTTTTTTTTTTTTCCTTTTCATTTAAGAAATAAATATGGTTTCTCCTGTTGTCTTGGTGACTGGTTGTACTGAAGGTGGCATTGGTAAATAAAGTTGAATAAGAAGAACAACAAGAAAACAAGAGTTAACTTTTTTTTTTAGGTAATGAATTATGTAAACAGTTTTCTCTTCAAGGTTGTCAAGTCTTTGCTACTGCGCGTCGTATAGATAGTATGAAAGGACTAGAAGGTAAAACAATAATAAGAATAATAGAGTACTTCCTACTGAAAATGTTGGTTTTCAACTAGAATATAATTGTACCAAGTTGGCTTTGGATGTGAATAATCTCGATTCTGTTAATGATTGTGTCAAGGTAAACAAATGAAAAAAAAAAAATCCATTCATTCTTTATCTAATTAATTAAAAATCATAATATGTCTCTTTTAATAGCAAGTCTTGGATCAAGCTGGTAGAATTGGTAAGAATATTCGGAATGATACTATTTTTTATTTGTCCTTGGGAAAACAAGATATCTGATCTAACATATTATTCTTTTTTTTTTTTCCTTTCAGATATTTTGGTGAATAATGCTGGGGCACCGTAAGCAAATTAAAAAAAAAAAGAGCCGTGGGTACAGGAATCTATTGAAATGAAAAATGTTGAATCATCCTTTCTTTTTTTTTTTTGTGTACAATGATGATAGGGCCGTGGGAGCACTTTTGGATATAGATTATGAAGTAGCACATCGATGTATAGAAACTAATGTATTTGGAGCTTTATCTATGTGTCGAGTGGTAGGACGACAAATGGCTGAACAAGGATCAGGCAAGATTGTTAATATTGGATCGATTGTCGGATATGCTGGAACTCCATGGGCCGGTGTTTATGCCATGTCAAAGGCAGCTGTTCACTCTATGTCAGATGTTTTACGATTGGAACTGAAGCCTTTTGGTGTTAGTGTCAGTGTAGTTGCTCCAGGTAATACAACAAGATAAGGAAATACTTTTGAATTAGGCTTAGTCATATTGACTTTTTTTTTTTTTTTTTTTTTTTTTTTGATTAGGTGCTATCACCTCCAACTTTGGTAATGCTGCCACTAAAACTGTATCGGTTCCGGAAGACTCACTTTACAAATCGGTTGCCAAATTCATTTTTGCTCGAGCTAATATGTCACAAGGTAATTGATAATAGTAAAGGTATTTTTCACTCAACTTTTTTTTTTTTTTTTTTTTCTCTTTGTAGGACCATCATCTACACCCACTGACGTCTTTGCCACCAAAGTAGTATCAAAAATTTTAGTTAGTCAACCTTCTAGTTATATCACTGTTGGAACCAATTCTATCACCTTTTTACTCTTTTATTATTTACCCTATATTATTAAGGATTATTTCCTTTCTCGTACTCTTGGTATCAATCAAGTCAAACCTATTGCTAAATAGTTCTATTTTAGTTACAGAGAATAAAGGAAAAATAATAATCTTTCTTTTTTGTTTTTTCTATCGAATCATATGATGATGGTGAGTGAGTCATTTTTTTTTTTTTTTGTCCTTGACTTTTTTTTTCTTTTGTCTTCAAATCTAGGTCAGGCATATGACTTTCGCGACTAGATTCATCACAAACATTTTATGCGTATACTGATTAAATTCGAAGAATAGAGCAATAGTAAAGAAAAATCACATTTATCCATGTTTGTTGCCTTTTTTTAAAAAATCAGATCGATGTGATACCATCAACCTTTTTTTGGTCTCGTATGTTCTTAAAAAAGAAGGATTTTTTTTTTATTCGTTCCGACTTCTTTTTTCTCACTTTTTTTCTTTCTTATCTTCTTTAACGCATTAATGGTTCAAATTGTATTGGTGACAGGTTGCACACGTGGTGGTATTGGTAAAGTTAGAAAGGAAATATGTTTCTACATGCTAATCTATGCTTTTAGGATATGAAATATGTAGGTCTTTTTTGAAAAGAGAAGGATATCGTGTATATGCTACAGCTCGCAATATAGACAACATGCAAGGACTAGAAGGTAAAAGGGATAGAGAAAGCATCTTATGGAACCAGACTCATTTTTTTTTTAAAAAAAAATAGAATGTGAACGACTTGCTCTTGATATTACAGATGCCACTGCTATTGTACAAACCATTCAAGTAAGATTAAAAGAAAAAAAAACGGTTATCCCAGTGATTATCGCCCAAATATGATGATTCTCTTTAATTTCAAAAGTTTGTCTTTCCTTATAGATGACCATTGAAAAAGAAGGTCATATTGACATATTGGTCAATAATGCTGGGATACCGTAAGTGAACATCCGTGATAATGACGATTCAACTGATGATGATTTTTTTTTTTTTTGAGGACATATTAGTGCAGTGTCGGCATTATTGGATGTTGATATGGATTATGCAAGGAAATGTATGGAAACAAATGTGTTTGGACCATTATCGATGGCTAGAGCAGTGGCTCCTTTGATGGCAAAACAAGGTCATGGTAAAATCGTCAATGTAGGTTCAGTAGCTGGATATGCGTCTATGCCATGGGCTGGGGTGTATGCCATGTCCAAGGCAGCTCTACATTCCATGTCAGATGTATTACGATTGGAATTAAAACCTTTTGGTATTAGTGTTACGGTGGTTGCTCCAGGTAATAGATATAGATGTCAGATTTTTTTTTTTTTAATATTCTATTTTATTATTTTGTTGTAGGTGCCATTACAAGTAATATTGGGAAAGCATCCACTGAATCCATCACTCTTCCTGAAAACTCCCTTTATACCTCAGTGGCTAGTTTTATCAAACGACGAGCTACAATGTCTCAAGGTAAATGTGAATATTGATTATTAATGGGTATATATATATATAAAAAGAAAGAAATTGGTAATTTTTTTTTTATTATTATTATACAGGTCCTCATTCAACACCAACTGATGTATTTGCCGATATTGTAGTGAACAAAATCCTTTTATCTCACCCTCCACGATACATTACAGCTGGTACAAGCTCATTCAAATACCTTTTGATGTATTATCTACCTGCATTCATTAAAGATTATTTATATACAAGTCAATTTGGATTGGATCAAGTCAAAGTTGTCAAGGCTGAATAACTATAGATGGATAGGATGGAACATGTAGATTAGTGTAGATATATGCAAAGTTCGTTTGACGATTTGTTGCTATTAGGATAAGATCTCTCTTTCTTTTTGGAATATAAAAATAAAATGTCTTTATTTATTGTGATTTCACTTTATCTTTTCTTTGGGGTACTAAAGTAAATTGACGGTATACAAAATAGATAAATAATAATCCAAATATACTACAACTAAATACGGCATTGATCACAGTATAAAGATCAGGTAAATGATTAGGGGGTGGTATATATGATTCAACTACATGCCATGCCATAAACACAACTTGAGGACCCTATATAAATAAATATAAAATTAATATCATCATCATTCTTTTTTCTTCTTCTTCTTCTATAACTTGCCCAGATCAAGCAACGAGATGCCATGCCTTCCATATTTTGAATACCACTAAGCCAATTCCAGAGGATGAGAGTCAGAAAATAAGGTAGTACCAAAGATTCACGTTTCAATAATGGAAACATACTACTCCCCCCAACAAAAACTTGTCAGCTGTCAAGATCTTCTTATCTTTCTTCTTTTTTTTTTTTTCCCTTCTTTTACCTGAACATGGCAGTATTTACCATCACATTAGTTGCTACAGGTTCTTCCAACACCAAAAGGGTCACAGGTAATAAAGGTAAAAGAATTGACTTTTCATGTACTTGGAAAGAGAACAAAAAAAATGCCAAGGATGAATTGACAAGAGCATAGATAAATCGTCGTCGAGAAGAATATAATCCAAGATGAATACTGATTGGAATCACAACACATAATGTAGCCACCAAACTAAACAAATAAACAAAACCAAAAAAAAAAAAAAAAATATAAGCTTGATCTTACATTTTTATTTGCCTTACCTTAATTTCATGGTCGCATCTAGACTTAAATGTTGTCGTAATTTGATAAATATATTTAATGTACACCATACGTTGGCTACCTTGTCTTCATATAATCCTCTAGCAACGGGAAATATCCGATGAATCACTTGAACCAATTCGTCCACGTTTTTCAACCATGGCCAAAACATCAAAGCGAAGCTGATGATCACAGTGATGCCAAGTTTGGTAAATAAGAATATCCTATGACAAAAATACATGTGAATGCTCTTCATTTTTTTTTTTTTTTGTTTTGTTTTATATACTTACCCCTTGTCCTCAATGAAGCAACGACCCAACAAAAAAGCAAATACAGCTGGAGCATAGTATAATGCCATTTGCTTGAAACCTAAGGCTAAACAGAAAGCAATAGCACCCAAGATATAATGATGAGATAGTAATCCAATGATTGTCCATAAACTAAAGCCAAGCATCACTCCATTAAATCTACCCAAAACAGTAAAAAAAAAAAATAATCAAAATACTGTTTTAATCATTTAGACAATGCTAATGATGCCACACTTGCTGGAAATGACCATGATCCACCATTATCAATGCAGGTTGTAAGAGAATAAGAATGGCCGAGACATGCTAAATAAATAAATAAATAAAAATATGAGATGATATCGTTGCATTCCATTATTTTTTATATTACTTTCTTTAAGTAACCTTGAGATCCATATACCAATTGACAAAATACAAAAACGGCAGGGATATATATCAGCAATTCAGAGATAATGACTGTTGTTCGCATAAAGAATTTGCTTTCTGGAGATTCATAACCACGCGACGTGTCCAAAGCAAACCATTCAGATTGAATGAATCCTCCACTACAAAAAAAAAAACAAACAATTATTGAGTTACCATATGATATTATTTCTTTAGAATACTTACATTTTTCCACAAAGCCAACTATGATAAGCAGTAAGAGGAGGATAATCAAGACCCCACCATTGTAAGTCGTATCGATACCATTGTTGAAGAGGTAAATGAGTTGTGATCTCCATCCAATGTCGTTGTGCTTCATAATCACCAAATAATGGAGGTGTATCATAACCTTTAAAAAACAAATATACAAGATGGCGTAAGTAAACGTAGGTATTTTGTATGTAAACTTACCAGAGTATGGATTTAATGCCACAGCGAATCTTATCAAAGTAGCAAAAGCCAATATAACAAGTGGAGCTGTCCATAGCGTTTCAGTTGATATCAAATAACGAATCCATTGACTAGGTGGACTTGAACGGATGAACTTTGGATCTTTCATTCCTTTCCAATTGATAACAAGTGAATTTTTAAGACAAGAAAAGAAAAGAAAAGAAAAAAAAAGGAATCTGCTGCGAGTCCCAACTAAGAAGCACGGTGTTTGAAAATCACATAGGAAACAAGAAATAAGAAAATGGATTAACTCTATCTAATGAATCCCAACATTCGGTAAAAAAAAAAAAAAAAAAAAAAAAAAGAAAAAAAAAATAATACAATACTATCACATTGTTGATCGATCCCTTCCCTCCTCCTGTGTTTTCTTTTATTAAATCGACCTTCATAACAAAAAAAAAAAAAAAGATAAAAAAACTCCGGTACAGGACCCTTTTATTGATGGGCTATGTTCCAAACGCAAAAAAAAAATGCACTCTTCTTTTTCTCTCTTTTTTTTCCACTCTTATAATGTTTTATTTCATTAGCCGAAATCTAACAACCTTTTTCTTTTCTTTTTTTTTTTGGAGTTGACCTCATTCCATTCCTTTTATAACCATATTACTCCATGACTTCCACTTTACCGTTTACCCAACATATATTTTACATTCTGCCTCTGAAACTGGACCCGGATAAGCTAAAGGGAATTCAAGATGCCATTACTCTTCTGGATGGAACATGCTCCTCGTCAATCTCCAGCGCTACTTTTATTATTACTTGTTTGAAAAGTCCTCATCGTATTAAACGTCATGTCAGCAATGTAAATCTTGATTTCATTAGTACACTTGACCAATTTTATTGACTTTTTTTTTTTCCTCTTTAGACCACTTGTCCCATTATTCATATGAAATGGATATTTGAATGGTAAAAAAAAAAAAAAAAAAAAAGAAATGATTATTTGAATCAAATTGACAACCTTTTTTTTTTTCATCCATCCTGCTTTTTACCAGTGTTACACAACGACGATTTCTTGATCCAGCACCATATCGAATTCATGTTGAACAAAAGATACCAGCAACCACCTTGAATGATGATCGGCCTCGACAAATGCGATCTTGGGATGATATTTATGATATTTATCGTCAACAATCTCATATACCAGTATCAAAAGTTAACTTTATAGATGATTACGGAGGAAAAAGAAAAAAGAAAAAACAAAAGCTTTTAAAGTAAAAACAACAACATTTTTTTTGGTATTATTATTTATTCTATTTGTTCATCTATAGGAAACAACCAAGTTATCAAACTACAACATCTGGAGAATCATCTTTGGAACATGAACATCCTTGGTGGACAGAAACAAATGTTTATCGTTCTACATCCTTTGTTTGTGAGAGACCTTCTCCTTTGGATCATCCTAATAAAGATCTGGTTGAAATATTTGAATCTTTAGAACATTCTAGGGAACTAAGAGGTAAGATATTCGTATATATTGGAAGTGATCATTGTTATTTACATTAGTTTTTACTACTGAAAGGGGATACTATCAACAGTCTTGGATATCGAAAAGCAGCTGCTGCCATCAAGGTAAAGAAAGGATGGTGAGATTAAGGATAGAACTTAACTTTTCTGGTTATTAGAGTTACCCTTATAAAATCAAATCAGTGAATGAAGCTTTTCAATTGAAAGGAATTGGCAAGAAAACAGGTCGAATTGTAAGTGGGCATTATTATTATTATTATTATTATTATGAAGAAGAATTACAAATTCAACGTATCTTATTATATCATAGGTAGAAGATTATTTAAAAAAAGGAACGGTGCCAGATTTAGGTATTAAAACAAAAAAAAAAAAGAATAGAATGAAGAACAAGAATATAGTTTACATATTTTGGTATTTTTGATAGAAACGTTGAAAGAAGATGAAGAATTTAAAACACTCAAATTATTCTACAACATCCATGGTAAATCCATATTTGAATTAGTTTATATTTATTGACTTTATGAAATAGGGGTTGGTGCAACAACAGCTAGGGAATGGTATCACAAAGGTCATCGAACATTGGAAGAGGTCAAGAAGAATGAATCTCTCAGCAGGGATCAACTTTTGGGTATCAAATATTATGATGACTTTTTACAACCTATCCCAAGACAACAAGTGGAAATCATCATTGAAGAATTCCGTGTAGTTCTTGAAGAATATCAATCAGGATGTGATTTTACAATCTGTGGCTCTTATAGGTAAAATTATATTTTTGATGAGGTATCTTGATTGAATGTGATTCCTTTTTATTATAGACGTGGTAAACAAACATCAGGTGATGTGGACATATTAGTGACCCATCCGGATGATAAAGTGGCTAGCAAATTATTGACAGGTTGTGTGGATCGTTTACAATCACTTGGATATATTCAAGATATTCTATCCATGACCAATTTTGGTACAGTCAACTCCAGTGATGATGATGATGATGATACTATCAAAACTCGTATCCATTCAACTGGGCAAGCTCTATGTGTATGGCTCTCCAAAAATGATCCTGTTTATCGACGTGTGGATTTGATTGTAGTTCCATGGGATGATTATCCTGTAGCCATTCTTAGTAAGAAAAAGAAAAAATAAACCTGTTTACACGATGTTTACATGTATTCCAATATAGGTTGGACTGGATCTGGTCATTTCAATCGTAGTTTACGATTACGTGCCAAAAAGGTGAATGGATTGAAAGTAACCTCACATGGATTCTTTCGAAAAGGTGAAAAACTCAAAGTGACTAGCGAACGACATGCATTTGAACTTTTGGATTTGACTTATTTGGAACCAAAGGATCGAAATTGTTAATATATTTGAATAGTTTATCCACGGCATCATTATTTACAATATTATACTGTATATACTTTTAATTTTATATTTTTTTTTTTTGTATATTGAATGAAATAAAGAAAAAAAAAAAAAGAATAGTGTAAATACATGGTTTCATTTTTTTTTTTTTTGAGTAAGTTGGAGCTATTTGTGGCTTAACTATGGAAACTAAGTCCAATTGTTTCGGTTGGAGATTTAAACAAGGTGGCGGAAAAAGAGATAAAAGGAGCAAATCAGACTTATGCTTTTTCTTTCCCTTCTCTTCCCCTATTCTATTTTAAATAACATGCACTCCGCATTCACAAACAATAAAAGAAAAAACAATATGGTATGTTATTCAATTATCATGTTAACATATGTCTAATATTTTTTTTTAATGCTGTTGTTTTGTAGTTGGAGGACCATTTGTTACCTACAACAAACAAAAGAATCAATACTGGTTATGATTCACCTGATTCTATGATGGATGATGATACTACACTTCCTTCAATACCCTATAACAACCATTGTGATTATTATCAACCATCGAATAACGCTACCACTGCCGCCTATGCATGCTGTAACACAACTACCATTTCTGGAACTTTACCACCACGTCCCTCGACTCCTCCTCTTAGCATGACTTTAGCTCATTACAACCATTCTTCTGGTGATTATACTTCATCCAATATTGACCTTTAAATCATCCTTTCCTTTATGTATATATTGTTTCTCCTTTTTTTTTTTTTGACTATCATTCTCCCTATTTCTCTTTTTGTTGTAATTTAGTTTAGTGAATAATTTGGTTGTATAATGGATGATTGTCTTCCTCCTTTTTTTTTTTTGTCAAAGATAAATAAAAAATGATAAGGTAAATGAAAAGAAAATGATTTTTTTTTTATGTTATGTCCAGATTTGATGTGATGACTTTTGAACAAGAAAAGGAAAAGTCAAGGTTTTTGCTTTTCCACACAAGATGAAAAAAAAAAAAAATGGAATCGATTTTTTTGGATTTTACAGCCAAAATTTTCGAACTCCTCAGCCAAATTTTAGCTGTAAAAGTCAATCGTCAGGGGGTCATCAGGCAATTCTTCAAAAAATCGATGAAATCTTTTAGTGATCATTACAGAATAAGTAGTAATGTAAGCGATAAAACGGTATTAGATGGAATTAAACTACTTTTTTGAGAGGAATCCAATGATGGTATTTTCATGAAATGATGGTTATTATTGCATGAGAAATGATAATATTGACTTTTATTTTTTATTTTACTCTATAAATTGGGAGGTAAGGTATGAACTGTTATTAAAGCAAATGAAAGAGAATATCTTCATCTATGTTCGGTCCAAATATGATACAGTGATGACGGATTTTGAATGAGTTATGGAAGTATAAAGAGATACAAGTGATGTCAGGATGGAAAAGACAATTTATTTACTCTTACAAATTATTTATTCTTTTTCCCCTGTCAATGCTCTGCAATAAATTATTATAATTGAATATGTTTAAATGGGATCGCGAGTCAAGAAAGCAACAGCGATGGTTATGATGTATTCTTTTAGAGCGATGTATCCTTTATGATGATTGGTTTTTCTTATAACATTAAGATTATCCTTATTATGTAGCGGTTGATGAAAATAAAATGCGATGGTGTGACCTTAAGACTTCTCAATGTTCCATCCAATGGAAAAATATCTTTTTATGGATGTTTAAAAGGACCTAGCAGATCATTGTATTAGTAACACTAGATAGTTTGATGTTAAACAAATGTACCTTTTTTAATAGCAACTATTTTTTTTTTTATTGATGGTGATTTGATTTTATTCACCATGATCACATTAAGTTTTTTTTTTTTTTTTTCTTCAAGTCATGTATCACAGGTCAGTTTGATTCCGATTTCTTAATCCCTTGTTACGAAAAATATTTATTTGTTGAAAGTGTATATAATTTTTTTTTTCGAGTTATTTTTGCTGTAATAGGTAAATACATGTGCCAATTATGGTAATATCATCCAAAGAATTAAAAAAAAAAAATCTCGACAGAACGTTAAAATCACTTATCAAGAAGATCATACCAAAGGAGAACAACGGAATCGAGTGGAAATATGACCATCTGATAATCAATTATCGAACGTTACAATGTACACCCAAAAAAAGGACCTAAAATCTGATAAATTCTGTTTTAGATTTCCGCCTATATATTCTTATAAAGTAACTTTTTTTTTCTTTTTCTTTTTTTTTTTTCTTTTCCTTTCCCTTTTTATCATTCCAGCAAACATGGGAATGGAGCATTCGGAAAAGACAGCATACGATTCAGAAGTGGATAACGCTTTGAAATATGAACAAACACACATTACTTCAGACTATGACCAATCTGAGCAACAAACGACCCAAAACGATTCAGACGCAATATTCGCAAAAGCTTCATGGCAATACAAGTTAGTTGCGTTATGTACTGCATTGCTACTTCCATGTAAGTCTTTTCACCCTCAATTGACGAAATGACATTAACCTTTAACATTTTTTTTTTTTTTTTTTTAGTGGGGTCTCATTTTTCTTCAAGTGCTCTTAGTGCCCTGAAAAAACCTATCAAAGCGGTAAGTCAACTTGGATTAATAATGAATTATTCTTTACTGATAAAATAATCTCTAAATCTCATTCTTTAATTGTATATCACAGCATCTAGGTATTGATAATGCTAAGTATGGTGTTTTGTCTTCTTCTGTTTCAATCATCAATACTGTATTCCCTATTCTCGGTGGTCTTTTTATTGATATGTTTGGTTCCGTTTGGGGTACCTTGGTTGTCAATATTTTGGTCATCCTTGGTAGTTTGTTAACTGCTATAGCTGCCAAATATTCCTCTTTTCCTTTGATGATTGTTGGCCGTGTTGTCTTTGGAATTGGTAGTGGTCTTATTGTAAGTGAAAATATATATCCTTTTTTTTTTTTTTTTAAAAAAAAGTACTGATCAACCTTTTTTTTTGTATTGAAACGACAATCATCTAGGTGACAATGCAAGAATCTTTATTATCCAAATGGTTCCGTACTAATAACTTGGCCGTTGCCATTGGTCTTCAATTATCTATTAGTCGTCTAGCCACTTTTCTCGGTACTTTGGTTGCTAATCCAATTGCTTCTGCTACTAATGACTGGGTTTGGCCGTTCTGGTTGTCTTTTATTCTTTGTGGATTCTCTATCTTGATGAATGTAATATATGCATTGATTGTGAAAAGACTACGTGGTGAATTTACTGCCTCCAAAGCCGAACTCGACAAACTCAAAGCAAAGAAGACTTTCCACTGGCGTAGTGTGCTCAAGTTCCCTGCTCTTTATTGGCTCATCATCTTGATCGAATTTTTATACGCTGCTGTCTGGTCATCATTCCAGACCATCTCTACTGAATTCATCAATCTACATTTCCATACTACTGAAAATCTTGCTGGATATCAAGCTAGTGCATCTCAAGTCGTGCCTATTGTTGCTACTCCTCTGTTGGGTATTTTCATGGACGTCATTGGTCTCCGTATCATTGTTTGTAAGTCACTCCTTTTTTTATATAATATACGGTATCACTCAACAATCAAATTTCATTTTTATTTTGTTATGATTCTTTTAGTACTTGGATCTGCTATCTTTCTGATTCTCAGTACAGTTTTACTAGGCTGGACCTATGTCAATGCAGTGGTGGGCATGGTGTTTTACAGTTTCTCACTTGCTCTTGGTCCTATTGCGATGATTACTTCGATTGGTATGATTCTTCCATCTGATTATATTGGTACTGGATTGGGGATTTACAAAAGCTCGAATAATATTGGTACGACGATTCTTGATATTGTGGTGGGTGTGGTGCAAGACAATACTGCTAATCAAGCATACACAGGCGTCATGATTCTCTTTTTATGTTTAGCATGTGTGGGTTTCCTTTTAATCTCTTTTCTCTGGATTGCTCAACGCGTGTGGTATCAAAATGCTTTGGAAGCCGGCCGCAAAAAACGTCAAGCTTATATGCAAGAGAAAAATGATCGTGAAATCGAACTCGCCAAAAATGGTCAAGATGCTTACGACGATGATGCCTTCCCTAGATTGGGCTTACTTTCTGTTACTATCTTTATTGCTGCTTTCATTGTCGCATGGGTACTCTTCTTTGTCTATGCTCTCAGTGGTAATGTGGATGCCTAGTTCATTATATATATAATTTTTTTTTATCACTGCACTTGATATCTGACTATTGGTCTTATACTCCCTCCTCTTTTTTTTTTTTCTTTCTATATTTAATAAACGCTTATACCTTACCTCTTGTCTATATGTATTTATGTGTGATTAGATAATAATGCATCATCACGAGTAAGAAGATTTGAAAGTCACTAGAAACTAGGAACAATTATGAGAATGTGAATTTTTGAAAAAAAAAGTAAAGATCTATAAGAACTATGGCTTTCCACGTGAAGAAAGGAACATCGTATCCCGCCTATGCTGTATACTCGATACAAGAGCATGGAATCGACATTCTTACTAGAAAAAAAAAAGCCCAATAGTATGATTCCTTTTTTTTTTTTTTTTTTTTTTTTTTTTTTTTGACAAGGTCGCCTATGAAAAAAAAAAAAGAAACATCAAGAACCGTTTTGAAGCTGATTTTTATGAATATGATTATCCAACTTCATATACAAAAACCAATCCTTGGAAAAAAAAAAGGTTTATTCAAAAGAGAAACTTAGTAATAAATAAACTAACGAAAAAAAGATAAAAATAAAATAAAAAACGAAGAATTAGAAAAAAAAAAAACAAACAAACTAAAAAGGAGTTGTCGCTTCCTTGACAACTACACCATGTTGAGGACTTGAGAAAAGAAGAGCAAACTTTTGAATAGTTTTAACCACATCTTGAAGCTTGCCAGTTTCGGAATCACCAATGAGAGCATTACCTTGAGTAACACTGATATAATCAAACACACCAGTCAGATTTGTATATCCATCCTTCCAAAATTCTGTTTTGCCATCCTTCAATTTCGCATACACCTTGACATAAACACCAGGCAAAGGTCGTTCTTCTGCAGATGCCAAGACACGTGCCACACCGTAAGGTTCGGAGACATGAACTGTCAAAGTATGTTGGAAGTGAGTTTGACATTGAGTTTTGCCATGAGCGTGTACTTGTACGAGCACATCACCCACCAATGGAATACCCACAGCATGACGACGTGGTTTCACCTTTGATACGCCTACCCATTCCAATTCATCCGTATCATCCATCATCACCACGTTGTTATTGTCAGATTCTTCTTGTAAATCGATTATTTCCACGTGATTAGCCTTCACCCATCCATAATTCAACATTTTGTTGGCGTTGTTCAAGAAGGGTTGGTTGGAGAACATGGATTCGACATTGATGTTGTAGAATCTTACTTGAATCTGGGTCACATTGGCATGTCGTACAATCACTTGATTATCCTTAATGGTGAAATCAAATACTGGATCGGTTCCTATAGTTGCTTTACTTTGCGTATCGATCATATCGTTTTCTTGTAAATCATTGTTGTTCTCCACTTGAGTAATCAATTTGTCCAGAGAGGTAAAGAGTCGTCGCCAACGTAAAGAGCCACATGATTTATATTTGGCCACTGTCTCCTTGATTGCTAGAATATCCACATTGTCTCCTATTTTCACTCGAGTAGCAAGATAAGCACCAAGGTAATCTGCTTGAATGGCAGCAATATCATTGTCCACTCTGTGTTTGGATAATTCTAGATATTGTTGATAGATTTGTTGCGCTTCGCCAATACGTTCTTGTAAGACCAAATAGATGGAAAGTATCACGTAATCATTCGCTGTTCTATGTGTACTTTGATTCAAATAATCCAAAAATTGATCATACTGATTGTAGAATTCCTTGTTGGCTATTTCTTTTGAACCACCAAGTGAATGCACTGAATGACAATAATTATAAAAGATGAAAATAAAATAAAATAAAATGAGTGTGTCTACGATTTCTTTTCTATTTTTTTTTTTTTTTTTTTTTGTATGTAGTTTTTATTTACCTCTTGCATTTGCTATGGGATAATAGTCAAGTATCTTGAAATGATCATAGTCGAAAGATTTCCATTGAACCAAAGGGGAATCAAATACAATACCAGTGTATTCCAGTAAAAAGGATCGTTCTTGTACCAAGAGATCGGAGATGATGTCGGGAAAGCCATGATAGATACCGTACGCATAGATAGATTTCACATAATATTTGTGACCCTTCAAGAGCGATAGAAGGCAGCGAGCAAATGAATAATGTGTCATACGCCATATGACAAGAGACCAGTCCAAAGAATCAAGTTTATCTACATGATTAGCCACAAAAGCTAACACGTCGTCACCAGTACCCGTACTATTCACTACCGACCATGATGCATAGGCAGATAATGCTGTTTCCGTGTTTCGTTGAAGTTCGCCTTCCATTTCTGTCACTGTCAAGGATAAAGGTTGTGTTTGATTCACTAATGCCATTGTTGTCATGTTATTGTCTTGCTGTTCCAATTGATTCTTTTGTCGCTCGCCAATTGTCACTGCAAAATGATGATAGTTTCCTTGCGTAGGGAAGTAAAATAAGCCCACCACCTCATGCCAAGTTGTATAGGGTTTGATTAATATGTTCTTGGATTGACAATAAGGTGTTTCACCAAGAGGAATAGCACCTGTAGGAATTTGTAATGTCACTTCACAAATAACCGTTTTGGTGGATATATCTAAATATAAAGAAAAATAGTAAACAAAGATGAGATATAGATTGATTTTAAAAAGACTTGGAAGTAAATAAGTCACTTACTACTAATAGCCAAGTGCCATCCATAAACCGTACGTGCTAGAAGTTGAGAGGGTTCCACGATATGTTGATCATCAGCTTCACCATTGTTGTCACTTGTTTTTTCAAAAAAGTGTTGACCAAGCAAAAGGGATGGACTGGCAATTGCGGCTTGAGTACATTCCTTCAAAATATATAATAATTAGTATTATATACTACAGATTTTTGTTGTATTCTTTTTATACTTACTTTCAATGTACGATAAAATACCATCAATGGAGTTGTTGCCGTAATGGTAGTTTTTCCAGTTGCCATATCAGATGCTACTTGATAGTTGATATTGGATTTCATAGGAAGATCACTGATGGCCAAGGCAAAAATCATTTCAGTGATATTAGATGTTGCATAAATAACGTTCTACAAATAAAATAAAATCATGTTAAAAAAAAAGAAAATGTTGTAATACGTATAAGAGCATATCAACATAGATTCACAGATACTTACGCCGGATACAAAAAGATCAAGATTATTTTCCAAATAGTCAATCCAAAATTGATTCGCTTTGATGAGATGAGCATCCTGTCCATAGTATTCTTGTTCCTTCCATTCTGATGTCGATTCCATATATTCATAAGTCTTTCGAGTTTGACGTTGTCTAGCAGCTTTTTCACGGAGGGCTATCATATCAATATCATCATCATCTTCATCCTCGTGTCCTTCACTATTCTCGTTTGTTGGTATATCATCTACATTGAATTTACGAAGTGTTATTCATATAAGTATCTCTTTATATTTCGCATCTCCACTTACCATCAATTTCCAATGAAACATCGACATCATCTTGAGAAGAAGAACTAGCGAATTCATCCATACATTTTGTCGAAAAAAGACGAGTATTTGCTCTGTTTGATAGTGGTGCCTGGCCAAAGCTAGACATAGGGGCAGCTGCAGTTCTTGATGCACCGGATGGAGCAATGGGTCGAGATAGATAGGTGGCTGTTTCAATCGAATGCGCAGAATAGGATACCGCTTCAGTTTGAACAGGAAGAGGAACGGCAAGCGCATTTCCAGCTAATACAGTATCGAAAGGTTGATCGGACAAGGACGGCTCGTAATTGTTTTTGAAGAATTGCAATACCACAGGAAGAGCTTGAGGGAGGCGTTTTGCTAATAATGCTTTTTCTACCACATTCAAGTTTTGGAATAAAGAGAGACTATCGATGTATTTGGTCAAATCCGCATCAATCAAATAATCATCCATAAAGGTTTTATGAATCTTGTTCTACACGTATATAAAAATGGGAAAAAAAAGTCAGTATCTACAGCATCTGCTACTCTTTTTTTTTTTTTTTTTTTTTTTTTTTTTAAATCATGTTTACCTGGATAAAGGGTTTGATGTTCTCTTCAAAATAATCATTATCTTTGTGTTTGATCCATAAGTTTAATTCGTGAGAATTTAGCGATTCATGTGCCTTCAGTTTTTCTTCTTTATCCAACGTAAGCCATTTTCGTAAGATGTCGAATTTTGCCAGTGAAGTTTCTTCGGTAGGGACCAGTAGTTTGAAAACATCCAATAGCATATCTTGACTATCCACAATTTCAGATTCTTGTTGAGCTTGATCTATGATCATAGTGTTCTGAGGATGAACAGAGGAAATCACAGTAATCATTTTGTTTCGAAGATAAGCCGCATTTACATCCAATCCTTGGTCAGTTTGTCGTTGATCGTTAGTTTTCAAGTCCACATCTTTATCAGATAAAACAAGAGTTCGACTAACAGCTTGATCACCAGATACTATCACTGCCTGAATGACGTTGCCTTCACCAAGTTGGTCACGATCGATCGTCACTTCGCCTTGATCATTCACTTGAAGCACAAGAACTGGAGAGCTTTGATTCAAAAAACCTGTTCAAACATATACATATATATATATATATATTTTTTTTTTAGTATCTATGAAACAATTTACATCTAGCTAAAAAGTCTTACCAAAATTGAGATTGGTGCGTTCATATGCATCACGGAACCTGCCGCTACACGGTGCTGAACAGAGTTGTGAACGAATTCTCCCTTGCTGCTCCGACATCTTTTGATATTGTTTGTTGCCTTGATCAGTGGTACGCGTACTCACCGTAGTGGAACCATGTTTCTATGCATGCAAGTAAATGTTAATAATGATCATTCAAAATATACCCATGAAAATCGTTTCCTTCCTTTGATTACCTTTGGATTCACCAATAAGGACGGCTCAGGAAGGGCACTACCAATATACTTGTCCATCTTGGATCGATTGAGAATGTATTGGTATTCCTCGCTGATTTTTCGGCCAGTAAGATAAATGTGATCCAATCCCTTTCGACCCAGTGATTGATAAAGTAGTTGCTTGTTTTGTATATTTTTCTGTTGAGTAGTAAAGAGAGAATCACTCCAAGAAGGTAAAAATGCATTAGAAGTCACAATAGCATAAGCTGAAGAGGATGGTGTCCAGTCTTTCAATCTGAAGGTCAATTGTTCTGTAGATGATTGAACTTTGTCAACGCATAAAGGTCGTTTGATCAGACCATCAGTTGTTTCCCCATAGCTTCGATCTCCTATCATCCAATTTTTCCAATAATTGTTGTCCATTAGTAAAGATGATGACATGGCACCTTTTTTGTCGTCCACAATCTTGACTTCGATTGAATTAACATGTCGCAGATGAGGTCTAGATATATAAAGGCAGTACGATCCTTCAGGTAGGCCATCCACCACAGTGACAGTAGATTCAGAATAACGCAGTTGTTTTGAGACATCAATGATAGGTAAACTAAAGAAATGAATACAGAAAGCATGAGCAAAGATTATCTTTTTATTATATACATATATATATTCTTATCAACTTACCCACGAAATCCAGTTTGGAATAATGTACAAGTAGTATCTTCAGTCACAGGAAAAGGAAGATTGAATTCAGTATTGGCATAAAATTGAATGTTACGAGGTAAGACAGCTTCATCAATTTTTCCAACCGATTCCCAATTGTCGGCAAGCAAATGCCAAGTTTTCCAACCTCGATTCAATGTCACAGTTTCCATATTATCCAAAGGTCCCAGGGTGATAATTCCATTTTCATCTGTTTGCATAGTGATAGTAGTTGAATTGTATGTAAAAACAGGTTTAAATAATATATCGAATGATTGACCCTTGTGAGGTTCACCTAAGTATCATAAAAAAGAAGATTTTCAGTAAACATTTATAAAATCATATTCTTCTTACCATTCTTTCCAATAACATGAATAAAATATCCAGAAGAGGTGGCACGAAGATAAGCAGTATTAATGTCATCTTGATCTGATCTATCACATGTGATTACTTTAGTGACTTGAAGTTGTTTCCATGGTTGATCATGCGACATAGTTTTGACCTGGGCCGATAAAATAAATTTGATTGATGTCACTACAAAATGTTACAAAAAAGAAAAAAGAAAAGTAAGTATAACGTTATTTTGGTATATCTATATATATATATATATATATAAAACTGGCACTAGTAACTTACGTGAGCTGGGAACAGTAAAATCACATTCAATAGGTTTGTTTTTGCTTGCTTTCAGATCATTCTTGGAGATAGAACTCTTGACACCTTTCGAATTTGTAGTTTCCACCTGCAAAGATAACTTTTCCAAAAGTTTCTCCGGAAGAAGTTGATTCTGTATTCTGAGATATGGAGTCACGATGACCTAATTTAAAACAATAAATAATGAGTACCCAAAGAAGTGGAACTATCTTTCAAATTTCTTTTTCTATATTTACCTTTGATTGTTTGGTGGGTATCAAGCTTTCGTAGTTCAAATAAAATGAAGCCTTTAGAGAATACTCTTCTTCTTCATGATAGAATTCGAAGGGTTGACAGTATCCATCCTTTGTAGTCAAAAGAGCTCTAACTTGCTTGCCTTCAGTTGACCGATATGGGATTAGGATATTGCCATATTTATCAGCCTAAAGAATGGAAATAATAATAATAAGGTTTAATATTGACAAATAAATATATAATTATATATATAGATGTACAGATTTACCTCATAGGAATCATTTTCAAACCAGATAGAACAGGAATCAATCAAAGGTTGGTAATTTTCATCTAGTATCAGGAAGAGATGACCAGCAGCTGTATTTTGAACCATATGACGTAAATATCCCTATCAAATAAAAACAAAGGATTAGTTATCCTTTTTTGTTTTACATATAAATCCATGATATCCCATTATTTTCAAACGTACCTTTTGAACAATAGCACGACTTTGATCTTGACCACCAATCAAATCAATCATCCAAGCACCACGACCTTGAAAAACTTCTGGAGCAAGTACAATATCCTTTCCATTTTGAGAAGCACCAAAGATGAACTTTTCATTTATTACGCGGAGAGAAGGTACATCTGTATAATCAATTCGATGTTCATAAATTGGGCAAAGACCATCCACATCTAGCTTGTTCGTATTCTTGATAGTGATATCCTTTGGGTGCAATTTCCAATAGTTGAAGAGATCAATAGGGAACACACGAATAGTCAAACGTGGTATATTCTTGATGGTAACATATAATGATATGGCATCATCTTTGGTGAGTCTGTTAGTACCCTGATGAATAGAAGCAGATCCAAAAGTCAAAGTACTTTTCTCGACCAGATTTTCAAAAGCAGTAGAACCTAATACTTTGGACCAGGAAGTGATATCATCCTTGCCTACCAATCCACTAGTAAGCATCGCTTTGGCTTGCAATGGTTCCAGGAAAGTTTCGAGATCCAAATAAGGGCCAAATATATCTATGGAAGTGAGTTTTTGAGTACTGATCAAGGCTGTCAGATATTCCACAATTATTTGATTTTCTTCATGTTCAGGTATACTGCAATTGCCAAGAATTGGGATCTATCAACACATTTGACGTTAGTACACAAATCATTCGACTGTAACATAATAATAATAATAATAATATAAATTTCTTACCTCAATCCCTTGTGTCTGAGTATATCTTTGGAAAACACTAGTACGACTGGATACAGGAGAATTGGCATCACTGTTCATTTTGACACGAGATTGAGATAAGTAACTATTTGGATAATAATAATAATTTAAAAAGGAAAAAAAAAGAGTTTAGCTGGTTCATGTGATTAATTTGGGATTGAATTACTTACGCCAAAAGTAAAGATTGATCATAGTCACCACGAAGAAGAGTAGATCGTAATCTTTGAAAAGTGATACGTGCTTTCACTAGTCGAAAAGGACCATCAATCAATTTATCAGCAAACTGATCCAGAGCAGACAAATAAGAATCGAAATCATTCTTTGTTTCCAACTCATCCCATCCTTGTAATGGCCGAAGACCAGAAGCCCATTCATTTTCTTGTACATAAATTTGAGGTACCAGTTTTTCCATATATAGAGTAACAAAGGTATCAACTTGAAGGATAGCAGGGAATAAGCATTGTAATTCATTCAATTGATCCAAGGTCAACTTTTTCAAAGAGAACTTGTTGACATTTTCAGTGAGTACGGATCGTGTAGAATTTTCATAGGAACGCCATAGAGAAGTCAAGTAAGAAGCAATAGGGACATCCACTGGCACAGGTTTTGATAAAATAGTTTTAAGTACCAATGATTGTTGTTCATTATTGAGATGAGACCAAAATTTCTGAATGAAAGGCCAAGAATGATCATAAATTTGATTCAATTCATTATTATCGATAAGTTGTTGAATCAGATTATCAGTATCCAATAAGGTTTTGTCCAAAGAAGAAGGGTATGATTTTTTTGTTGTAGTGTCGGAAAGATCATGTGTTGTTTTGTTGTTATCGATAGGTTGTTTTACTAAATTGGAGTCTTTAGGCAATTTGAGGTTCAGTCTAGTGTCCACAAAGTGTTTCGAGTTGGTAGTATTAATGAACCATGTTAATAAGTAAAATCTTGTTTGAATTTCCTCCAATCGTTTCGAGTTGATAACTTGGTTTTTGTACGCATTGAGATGTTTATACATGTCCTTGAGTAATGAGGCTTCCAAATCAGTTGGTGTGCGCGAAGCAGTAGTAGTAGTAGTTTTGTCAAGCGCCGCTGATAATTTCTGCAAAAGAACAAGACCAGTATAGTAGTACCAATCTTCTGTTGTAGCAACAGCGGTTTGAGTAATGACATTTTCACGGGTAGAAGGATCAGTTCCAACTAGAGCCAAAGTTTCTTTCAAGTTTGAAATGACGGGCATAGATAAAAAAATAAAAAGGTGGAAGAAAAGTTAGAAATGGAAAAAAAAACGCGCTCAAAAGTGTTTATGTTTTTATATATTCGAGACGGAGGTTGAAATCTAAATGTGTCGCAGTGAATAGTATAAATATGGCAATGATTGTCTTTATGGAAACACCAGAATATAATAATAATAAAAATTTTTTTTCTATTTTTTTTTTTTCTATTTTATTTTAGTTTTAAAAATTCGCTAGTTTAAGACAATATGGTATATGTTTATATATATATATATTGGAAGGTTAACAAAAGAAAAAAGAAAAGTATAACGTTACACATACATGTTGTTTAGGGATTGTTTGATCTCAGAGAGAGACAGAGAAATGATTCATCAATGGAGAAAGTATGGAATAATAATATGTCAATTATGTTAATGATATAATAATAAATTAAAATACAAATCAATGTATGGGTGTATATGATGAAAGGGAAAAATATGAAAAAATACTTAACTTTTTTTTTTTTCTGGTCATGAGCGGAGAATGAACCAGTTCCTATTTATTATTTTGATTTTTTTTCTTTTTTTTTTTTTTCTTTCTTTTTTTTTTTTCCTCTCTCTCTTAATTCATCATCTCCTTTTCTTCCTGTTAGCCTTGTCTACTTATTCCCATTAACCTTACTATTTAGTCTTTATATACTCTTATTCCAAGTATTCTCTTTGTAAGTTATATAAACTTGGTTATTGTTTTTATTATTTTGATTGTTTTTTTTTATTATATATTTTTAGTTTTATTTTGTTTTGATCTAATCGTTATACTGTATTTTTTTTTTTAATATTCATTTTCAATAGATACTTTTCGTTTAAAACAAAAGACCATTCTCAATGAATAACGATATAACTGAAAACATTGATCTGGACTCTATTATCTCAAGGCTACTGGAAGGTAACTCAACCAGAAACAAGGAGTGAAGAGAAGGGGGAGGGGAAGGTTTATGATCTCAGATCCCATCCTTTTATTGAATTTATCGTTATGAATTCATCTAGTCCGTGGAAGTCGACCAGGAAAACAAGTACAATTATCTGAAGCAGAAATTCGATATCTTTGTGTCAAAGCAAGAGAAATTTTTGTTAGTCAACCTATTTTATTGGATTTGGAAGCTCCTATCAAGATTTGTGGTAAGAAAAAAAAAAAAAACAGGATGTTAAAAGGGGGGGTTTTATAGTAAGTGATTAACTTTTTTTTTTCTTTTATTTTTATTTTTTTTATTTTATTATGATAGGTGATATTCATGGACAATATTATGATCTTTTAAGGCTTTTTGAATATGGTGGATTCCCTCCTGATTCCAATTATCTTTTCTTGGGTGATTATGTAGATCGTGGTAAACAATCACTGGAAACTATTTGTTTATTATTGGCTTACAAGATTAAATTCCCTGTCAACTTTTTTATCTTACGTGGTAATCATGAATGTGCATCTATCAACCGAATTTATGGATTTTATGATGAATGTAAGAAAAAAAAAGAAAAAAAAAGAAAAATAAAATGGAATGGGTCTAATCAGGTGCAATTTATTGATATATATATATATGAATTATTAGGCAAACGACGATATAATATCAAGTTATGGAAAACATTTACAGATTGTTTCAATTGTTTACCTATTGCAGCTATTATCGATGAAAAGATCTTTTGTATGCATGGTGGTCTTTCTCCTGATTTACAAAACATGGAACAAATTCGAAGAGTGATGCGTCCTACAGATGTTCCGGATACTGGTAAAATACGAATAAAAAAAAAAACAAAAACAAAAATACTTTAAACTGAATTCAAATTATTTTTATTTATTCTTATTATTTAGGTTTATTGTGTGATTTATTATGGGCTGATCCTGATAAGGATATTTCTGGATGGAATGAAAACGATCGTGGTGTATCATTTACTTTTGGATCAGATATTGTGAACAAATTCTTACAGAAGCATGATTTGGACTTGATATGTCGTGCACATCAAGTAGTGGAAGATGGTTATGAATTCTTTGCAAAACGACAATTAGTCACTTTATTCTCGGCTCCCAATTACTGTGGCGAATTCGACAATGCTGGTGCTATGATGAGTGTGGATGAATCTTTACTCTGTTCATTCCAGGTAAATACACAAACAAAGAGAAGAAAAGAATAATTTATACTGATTCCCTTTATTATTATATAGATTCTGAAGCCTGCGGAAAAGAGGTCAAAAAATGCTTATAATGGTCGTGGACGAGGAAAGAAGAATGGAAAATGATATAGTTTAGTAGTAGGATAGTGATGATGATGATGATATTTGCATGAATTGTATGAATAAAGAAAAATGATACGTATCTTTATTGAATGATTAGGAACTTAGTGTAGGTGATTTGGAATTAGATATAAACATAAATGATAGTGGAAACGTTATCATATCTGGATGCCAAGTCCACGGTGTGACTGAAAGACCAAGGGAAAACTGCGCATAAAAGTGAACTGAGCTTTTTTTTTCTTTTTCTTTTTCTTTTTTTTTACCCCTCTTTTTTTTTCTTTTCTTTTCTTTCTTCTTCTTCTTCTTCTTCTTTTTTTTTTTTTTTTAAATAGCTCACCATATAATGACAATGCAATCGACATACCCGCAATCTTCTTCTAATATATATTCAATACCAAATACTTTTAGTTTTGGGTTTCCCTTATCTTTCACTCCTGAAGGAAAAAACAATAAGAAACAACCAGTCTCGGCACCCACTTCAATAAAACGTCATCATGTTACGAACAGCCAGGTACGACCTGATAGCATGAAACAAGACTCAACTAATACTACTACTCAAGGAAGTAAGTTAGATCCCTCTTTTTTTTTTGCCTTCCCCATTTTATATTAACTTGTATATATATATTTGATAGGTCAAGTGTTGGACAACTTATCTGAAGATTTACGACAATATGAACTCGTATTAGACTCTTTGGTATCAGCAAATCTGGACAACAATGTGAAAGAAGAAATCAAGCATGTGGATCAATGGTTCAGTTACCTCAGTGAAACAGAAAGAACGGCTACAATATATGCTTTACTTCAACATTCAACACCAGTTCAAATTCGATTTTTTATTACTGTTCTTCAACAACTTGGAAAACAAGACCTCGTTAACCTATCACCGTCCTATCCCGAAAATGGTAAGGTGGCAAGGAAAAAAAAAAAAGAAACGCATGAGAACCTTCTGTCCCTGATGACAATATTCAACTCACACTTATAATTTCAACTTAGATACTCCAAAAATGGATAATTCAACTTCTCATACCGACATTGATCCAATCATCAGCAAAACAAGCAAGAATCGACGATCTTATGCATTTGGTGATATCTCTTCTTTATATCGACATTCTTATTCCCCTTTTATGGATACTGGAACCCGGCCTTTCTCTGATCCTTTTTTTGACAACTCTACTCCTTGTTTGTCTCATATACCCAGCTTGACTGCTGATGGATGGCCTTACCAGTCAACAAGCACGGGACTACGCACGGGGAATCAAGAATCACCACTCTCTTATGAACACGTTGAAGCACCACGACCAAGATCTGCTGATATATCTCCTGAATCATTAGGTGTACCACCAACCATACTTCCAATCAACAATAACAAGAATAATAATAATGAAAATATTCGTCATTCAACATCACAGATGACATTTTTGACTCCCTCAGAAAGAACGTCATGGCATGATTTACCATCACCAACCACTAGGAAATTCTCTGAGAGTTTATTTCAACCGCTTGATTCTAACGACAAGAACATATTAAAAACAACAACAACAAATCAAATCAATTCAAGTCTCGACAGTATTGATTCTTTGACCAACAAAGTGAATCATTGGTCATTCTATTCTCCTCCAAAACAAAATGCAGGCATTCTATCTGGTGATATTCACGGTTTTGGACGACGTTCTCAATATAGCAACAGTAACCCTGGATTATCTGATTTACAATCATCAGTATATCATGGCTCTTCTGGACCAACTGTCAACAAAACTAAAGGACATCATACCCAATCTGATATGAATCGGAACAGTAACTATACTTATTCAACGAAAATACAACGTAATAGTAGCAGCAAAACAACATCTCATCAAAAAGAACGACATTCTTTTGAAGAAGTGGATATGAATATAGTGCAAGGTAAATATATATATATATCTATAAAACAAAATACTGAATGATGATTTGAATATAGATATTCCGGCTTGGCTCAAGAGTGTTCGATTACATAAATATACACCAATATTTGAATCAATGTCATGGCAACAGATGATATTATTGACAGATGATCAGCTACTCGAAAAAAAAGTGATGGCTCTAGGAGCAAGAAGAAAATTACTCAAGTTGTTTGATCAGATAAAACAGCATTGTGATAAGAAGGTAAAAACATCCATTCTATTTATTTACAAAAGTAACTTACAAATCTTTTTTTTTTTTTTTGGTCTATAATAGGGTATCAAATATGAATAAACAAAATTATTATGTAGTTATTGTATATTACACTTATTCAATAAAACCATATTATGCGATTTAAAATGTTAAAACAGGAAATACGTGTAACACATCTTAAATATCATAGTCTCGGTCATATAAAATAGAAAAAGGGAGAATGATTCCAAAGAGCACATACCATCAACATTGTGTGACATTAATTCATATGAAGGAGCACATAATAGGGATAATGATGAGATATTGTCATTATAAAGATAAAAGTATTGATTCTTTTCTTTTTTTTTTTTAACGAGTTAATAATAAGATGAATCCGTTTTTTTTTTATTAGAGAAAATCTTTTCTTTTTTTTTTTTTTTTTTTTGCATAGGAAATGATATCAATCCAGTCAAAAATAAAAAAGTTTCCCCCCGAGTTTCTCCGTAGAGGTTCAATGGGTCATTCAATGTCCGGTTTTCCTTTTTTTTTTGTGGATGATTTTTTCTTTTGTTTTTTTTGTTTTCTTTTCATTTCTCTCGCTTATAAATAACTTGTTTGATATTTATCCCAAAATAATAATAATAAAAAAAAAAGAACTTTGAAAAAAAAAAGAAACAACTTGGTTTGTCTTCTTAATTTCTTTTCTTTTTTTTTTTTGTCAACAAACGATCAAACGTCTTATATTATCGATAAAAACAAGTTATGGCTTTCCGATTTAATTGGCCTGAATTCGATATTGAATTCTATGATGAAGCAAAGGCTCAATTAGAAACTGCTCTGAATAAAGGCAACAAACCAAAAAATATAGTAGATCATATAACTGTCAAAGAATTACATATGGGTACTCAAGTAAGTTATTAAATATATATTATTATAAATATATTTAGTATTCATATCTTTTTTTTTTTTTATTTTCCCTTTTTTTTTAAAAATAGCCTCCCGAACTGGAAATATTAGAAATTGGTGAACTTACAACTGACAAGTTTCGTGGAATATTTAAACTTACTTATGCTGGTGATGCTTACATTGTCCTTCAAACCAAAGTTCAGGTAAAAAAAAAAAAAAAAAAAAAAAAAAAAGAAAAGAAAAGAAAAGAAAAGAAAAGAAAAGAAAAGAAAAGGTTTTATATTTCTTTTATATATATTCATTCCATTTTATTATTATTATTATTATTATGTTACTTAGGCAAATCCAATGCATGCGAAACAATCAGCTCTTCCTCGACATACACGACCTAATATTCTAGCAGCCGACCATCCATTAGTTGTTCCAATGTTACTTCGTATCAGCGACTTGAAACTACGAGGTATTGTAGTACTTGTAGTATCTAAAACAAAAGGGATCACCTTGGTATTCAAAAACGACCCATTGGAAAACATCTTGATTAGCTCCACTTTTGATAGTGTCACCAGTGTACGCAACTTTTTACAACGGGAAATTGAAAAACAACTACGCAATCTATTTCAAGAAGATTTACCTGTCATGATTCACAATCTCAGTTTACGACATATTCAAAGTGAACAAGAAAAGGCAAAGAAACAACAGCAAGAAGCTAGACTCAAAGCACAACAGTTACGGAAACTCGAACGGAAGAAACGAAACGGTAATATAGTATCTCCACCCATGTCTGTAGTATCGGATCCTGGTTTACAGCGTCAACAACGCCAAAGACCAATGTCATCTTCACCCTCAAGAGTAGGTTCATCTATCTTTCCTCAACATCCTTCATTATTGGCCAATTTTGAAAGTGCATCCATGCCAGATTTCTCACCTAGTGTGTCATCAGCATCCCATCTTTATCAACAACGACAACAAGAAGAAGAACGGAATATCACTCCTTCAGTCCATCTCTCTGATATCTCATTTCCTTTTATCGAAGATCCATCCTCTTTTTTGGACAACGCAAGATTTGCTACTTTTTATCGACCTGGCTCTGGAGTCTATAGTTCGTTTAGCGATCTTTATCATAACAATATGGACCAACAATCTCTTTCTTCGTGTATGAAATCAACTTTACCGAGTGGTTCAAGTTATTATCCATCCTCAAAAACGCCGGTTACAGCCGCCAACTTGTCTACTTTAGATCTTCTTTATCATCATCGACAATCACATCCACCCGATGCTTCAGTAGCGCCAAAAACCATTCCTGATGTTTTTAGTGATGACGATGGAGAAAATGGATTTTATTATGATGACGATGAAGATGACAAACATCAACACTTATTCTCTCCAACTACATCATCTTCAGCCGTTGCAACGTCACCTTCTATTTATGATATGTATGCTGATGATGTAGATGCTCCTTGGTATGTGAAGGAAGGATTAGGATTACCGTCAGCTGAAGAAAGTTCAACACAACAACAACAATTGATTCTCCCTAGTGATCAACCCATTCTTCTTGATCCGTTTGAAAATGCTGGTGCTGCTAAACTGGCTCAATTATCGAAAATTCACCATACTATTTCGCCTTTCACTCATACCATTGATCATGTGACATATCGAAGTCTTCCACACGCTGTCAAACCCACCATTCGACCTAAGCATAAGAAGATTCCCAAGCGGCGGATTATTCGTTTGAATTTGTCTGGTGTTTCCTCAGATTAGATTTATTTATCTCATTGTTTGTATTGTTAGTTTATTGATATTCGTTTTACTTTTTCTTCTTCTTCTTCTTTATTGTACATTTTTCTTTTATATACTCATATCCTCATATCCCCCTTTATTATTACTCATTCACTCATTTTTTTTTTTTTTTGAAAGATCCATTTCATATTTTTTTTTTATCCCTGTCTTCATTTTCTCTCTCTCTCCTTCGAAAGGAACAAACAATAAATAAAACTGTAGACGCATATTCCTCCTCTGATGGGATAATATCTGATGATATGGTGACGCAATGATGTTGTGATGATAGAGTGATGGTATGACGGTGTATGACGATGATACATACGATGGATGGCTGAGAAATGGTTTTGTCTCATCAATATGTTCCTAAAATGAATTCATTCAATGCCCACCATTCTATATCTTACCCTCTTAATGGGTTCCTTTAAGCATGACTCTCAACGCGTTTTTTGAGGTCATCACATTTTCTTTCCCACAGATATGATATCATGATTAATCATTTCCCAAAAAAAAAAAAGATGATCTAAATATGCGTCCTTGTGTAAATAGTCATGACAATCTTCTTTTCCCTTCAAAAAAAAAAAAAAAAAAAGAAAAAGAATAAAAAACGTTTTTATATAAAAAATAAATGATTTTTTTTTTTAAATGGAGATGGTAGATATACAGAAAAAGAATAGATTGTTTGCCCCACATCTACTTTTTTATAGAGGGAAAACTATGTCTATTTTTGGATCGCCATAATGCAACGTAATAAAAGGTAGACATGAAGACGCATGACTTTACATGATGTTAAATAAAGAAGGGAGGAATCTGACGTTTCGTGTTACCATAAAAAAACAAACTATTATTTGAAAATGACCTAAGAGTCTGGTTGTCATGGAAGTTGGATTGAATTTTCTTTTTTATTTGTATTCCTAAAAAAGTAAACAAAGTAAAAGGAATATATGCGTACGTGTGAATGAGAGGAAAATAATATGTAAAAATTGAATATAAATAAATAATGAAAGAAACAAGTAAACATGAATAATATAATATAAGAGTGGGAAAAGAGCGCGAAAGACTAAACAAGAGGGGGTAACAATGAAGTATATTGATTAAGAAAAAAAAAAAAAACGAAACGATACAGAAAAACAAATGGACAACGAGTAAAAAATATAATAATAATAACAATAACAATCTAAAATTCCATACTATCTTGATCTTGTCGGCCATAACCTAGATACCACCACCAGACTACTTCATAACAGAATACAAATTGGCGTAAAGTTTGCACCATCGACAATCGTTGTTCTCTAAACATAGAGATGATTTCCCATAACGCATCTGTATCTTGTAATTGCCCATTATCCTTATTACTATTTTCTTTGTTGTTGGTATCGGAGAGTGTCAATCTGCGTAATACTGTATCAATGGCGCAAAAAGCTCCTGATCGTCCACATCCTGCTGAGCAATGAATCACCATGGGTCCAATAATTTCGTTGGCTGATGCTGATTCGTATTGTCGTTGTGCTTTATCAGCTAATTGTACCAAGTTTAAAGTACCCAACGGATTGTCTGGTACACCATAATCCATCCATCCAGTATAGTGTAATTGTGTGATTCTTCTTGTTGGTTGATTAAGTTTTTCTATAGTGAATTCTCGTTCAAAAATTACGTCTTCTTTCCAATCTGATGTTGCCATGTCGTGTACTTTTTCTCCAATCAATGTGAGTCGTGTAGGTCCATATTGGATAGACTGATTTACTTCTGAAGGCCAATACCGATGACATTTGATCTAAAAAAAAAAAAAAAAAAAAAAAAAAAAAAACCATCAATCCTAAATACTTCTTTTATATAAAGAAAAATAGAATAATCCTTTTTTTTTTTTTTGGAAATTACCTTATTCATCTCTTCTTCTTTTGTCAACATTACTACCACCCTAGAATTTTGTTCCCATACAACTTGCCAGAAATCATCAAAAGTAGAAGGTAAAGGACCTTGAGTGGATATATATCGTCGATAAGGTTGTTGATACCATTGTGACGATTTCATAAATTTGAGACAGGTAGGATTGACTTGACATGATGATAAAGGTGAATTGGTTGCTCCTGATGGAGATGCTGATGGTGAAGATGATGGTGATGCTGGTGTAGTTGATAATGCATTTATAATAGGAGAAGAAGTTGATGATGAAGAGAATGTAGATACAGATGACAATGGTGATGGCATTGTTAGCTTGGGACAAGATGAAGAATTTGATGTTGACGACGTATTGGTAGAAGCCATACGAATATCAAGATTGGTACTGTTATTGTTGTTAAGTTGAGTAGGAGTATAAGCAGAACGAGAAGGAGTTGAAGTACTTTGATGATGGTATTGAATAAAACTAGCATTGATGTATCCTGTCGATCCACTGGGGGTATCATGTATCTTGACACGTGTATATTCTATTGTATTATATATATATATATAATAAGGGTTAATGACATCATCAACAGAATACTAATAAATAAATAAATAAATAAATATATTACCAAAAGGCCAAATATTGGTGTATCGATTCAAAGCTCCCATTTCAATTCCGGCGACAATACTGAGGGGGTAGTCCAGAGGTTCAGTGTTGGTATCTTTTGAATGAAAATGCATGATGTTCTGTAATCGTCGTTGTTCAGTTCTTTCCAGTTTCTATATATACATATATGTATGTAAAGATAAGTCAAGGATATAATATATGTACTATGTATGTTTATAATAAATTTACCTCATATAGTCTAGCCAGGGAAATTGTACTCATTTCCAATGTAGAGTCATCCACCATCGCTTTTTGTAACCACCTAGGAGCCTTGAAGATAGTTTTCCCTTGATTATTCTTTTCCAGAGTAGCACCAGCAACGGTTCGAGGCATTGGACTTAGACCATCCATTTCGATCACCAATGAACGATCATCAGGATGTAATACAGAATGACAATGAGTGGGTAAACGAATAGGAAATCGCTCCTTAATAGGACCATGAGATAATTCCATATTTTGACGAATATTGGAGAAAAAAGGATTAAAAGCTTGATTTTCAAAATGAGGCATAGGAGCAGTATAAGGACCAAGACTGATAGGTGCTGCTGATGATGGAGGTAATGAACCAAGATGTAAAGAAGGTGTTTTTGTTCCATTGACAGCCTTGTTGCGTAAAAAAGGTAATGAATTGGAAGTATGATTTTGGGTTGAAGATGACGGTGTAACAATACAATGCTCAGAATATACAGATAGGAAGGCATCGAAACCACCTTTTTTTTTTAATAAAACCAAAATAAATAATTGAAGAAAAAAAAAGTTAAAACGTAAATCTTATATATATATATATATATTAATGAATGAATTACCTTGAAGATAAAATAAAGAACCATTGAAACCAGCAAGAATCATTTTATTGGCTAGGTACGAAGTTGCACATTGGTCTTGGGCTACCGTAGAAGATTGATCATAAAATACAATAACATCATATGAAGACCATTGTTTCAGACGATGACGATCTGCTTCGACAATAGCTTCGTATACCTTTTCCATGGTGAAAGTCGGTCGTTTCAAAATGGTATTTGGCACAGATACATTGATAGCTTGTTTGATACGAGCATGTGAGAATTGAACAAAAGACCGAACGTCCAAGACAAGTGTTGATGGTTGTTTTTGATTAACCAAATAATCCGCCAGTTGTTTGGGTGTTATAGGTGTGAGCCCCGATAATTGTTGTTGTTGTTGCTGTTGCTGCTGCTGCTGCTGTTGTTGTTGTTGTTGTTTAGCTGCTCTTCTTCGGTCAGCAATAGAACCTCCAGTTGCAAAAGATACTACAGGTTTTCTTTCCAAAGAAGGAGTAAATACAGTTGGTTGAGTTGAATGACGTTGATGAATAGCGTTTAAAAAATCTTGGTGTAGCATTGGACTTATGGGTGCAGTAAAGTAAGGAGTTGTACTACCGCTTGTACCGTCATTGTTATCATCATTATTATTATTATTGTTATTGTTGTTTCCATTTGGAGTGTTGGATGAGTTTGTCGTCAATATTGAGTTCGGTACTGTCAAGGGTGTAAAATAGGTATCATTGCCTTGACGTCGTTGAGGAGGTGATTCAAACGCAATACTCATTATGACCGAATAGAGTAATGTTCGTTAAATGATATATGACGTATGACCTATAGAAAGGGGAGACAAATAGTAAATAAAAAAAAAAAAAAGAGTTAGAAGAATAGAGGAAAAGAAAAGAAAAAAAAGAAGGAGGTGATTTTTTTTTTTTTTGGAGATTGTGACTATTACGAAAAAAAGAATGGCGGGGCGAGACTCTTTGCAGAGAATCTAAAAATGTCGTCATAATTTCCATATTCGTTTATAGTGAAAAGTCAGATTGTCACTCAAACTCTCTTTATTTGTTGCGATGGGGATTTTTTTTTTAGGCATGATCATTCACTAGTTATTTTTATTTTTTTATTGAATTAAATCAATGATTCCTTTTTTTTTTAAATCATCATCGTACGTGACAATTCATTCCCCCCCTTTATTATATATTAAAGATTTTTACAATAATATAAAATACAGAACGGAGAGTCAATTTCAATGCAGAAAATTCAAAGAGTACTACCAATGCAAATCGGAATGGTTTTATCCGTTTACATCATGAAGCGTGGAGAAACAAAAATGAGCACGTGGCAAGACAGAGTACAACAAAAAGACTATTTTTTTTTTTATATATATATTTTATTTAATTTGTTTGATCATTGTAAAACCCTCCAAAAAGAAAAAAAATGAATAAAAAGACTAAGCTAAAAAAAAAGAAAACAATCATAAACTTTGAGTGAGATAAAAAAAGTAAAAAGACTAAATCAAGTAATAATAAATGATTGGAGGTGAGTCAAAAAAAAAAAAAAAAAACCTAGCGGAGACTATCAAAGTTGCCACGATTTTGTTCAAAATAAGAGCGAATATCTTGAGGATCACGACCCAAAATTTGCTTCAAATCATCAGTATGAATATCCATCCGACCTTGATTAGCTAATTCCCAGATTTCAAGTAAAGTTTCAATACAATCATCATTCATGTAACGACCAAGAGGAAACGTATAAGGCTTGTCTTGACGACCAATGGTATGATCAGATTTGGGTCTTTCCTTAAATCGTTTATCATTACGCATTTGTTCAAGGTACTTGCGAATTTCATCTCGACCTACTTGTTCATACTTGATTTCTTCAGCTTCATGCACCAATCCTTGACTGATTTGACGAACTAATTCTTCCATGGAGAGAACTTGTCGGGGAGTAAATTGATAGAGTTCTTTCCGATTTCTACCATAAAAGAGACCTTGTTGTTGATTTTCCTTGGCCAACTTGAAAATAGCTTCTACTACATCATTCAAATCCACTGGTGACCACTTTTGATCCTTCTTGATAGGTAAACGTAAGACACGATGACTTTCAAGTAAAGGTGCCATCAAATAAAAGAGTTGATTAGGAGCAGACAAACGTACAATCGACCATTGTTCTTGATTTCCCATGATTTCCTTGATCTTTTGTTCCAAGTGACGATATTGAAGAAGATTTTTGAATTTTTCACTTTCATTTTGATCTACATGATCAACTCCAACACTAATTTATATTAAAAAAAGAGAGAAATGAGAATGGACAATAAAAAAAAAAAAAAAAAAAAAAACTTACAGAGACATCATGCATAAATGGTGGACATTTTCATTCTTAGCAGCCTTCATGACATTTTCAGCTTGTTGAATACGATGAGAATCATGTTCAGGAATCAATATACCAGCCTTGACATTTTTGAAACAATCACGAACTTGGTCTTCACGATTATAATCCACTTGACGGATTTCACCACCCATCTTGGCTAATTCTTCCAAACCTTCCTTGTTACGACACAAAAGACGGAGAGAACCATGTTGTTGTTCCTTCAAAAAATAAAAAGCCAGGGCATAACCAACGAGAGAATCGACATTGGTAATAACACAAAGTTGTTGAGAAGACATATTGAAAAAAGATATAATAGAGAGAATAGTTTATGAGTACAATAGTGATGATTCAAATCCTTCTTTCTTTTATATACTTATCTTCCACTTTTTTTTTCACACAGTCTTGAACCAGATTCTAACTTGGTTATAATAGATATTTTCTTCTTGTTATTCATACTATATATTCCGTGAGAAAAGTGGTCAGTAAAAATAATAAACATACGTATTCCCATTCACCTTTTTTTATTACATACCATTCTCCCTACTATCCTATATCATTCAACCACATCATCATCATCATCGCCACTAATACCACCTTTCTTCATTATCCATGTATTCTTTTATTGATTTGATTCTAATAAATCCAAAAAAAAAGGTGGAAGGTACTAAACTAAAAAGAAAATGATCAAGTATCACACAAGTTGTTGGTATTCTATTTGTATTGTTGAGAAAGAATTTTGCCAATGGTTTCAAGTTGGATGTTGCTAGTTCCTTCATAGATTGCCCCAATTTTTGCGTCCCTGTAAAACTTTTCAACACTAAAAAAAGAAGATATCATCAATTAACAACAAATAAAGGAATAAAAACTTGTCATATTCTTGACTTACCCAGTTTCACGCACAAAACCATTACCACCCATCCATTCAACAGCATAACTAGCTGCCATTTCAGCCACACGACTTGCTTTTAACTTGCACATTGCTGCTTGCATTACAAAAGGTTGTCCTTCTTCTTGAAGTCTTGCGGCATTGTAAGTCAATAATCTGGCGGCTTCGATTTCTACAGCTACTTGAGCAAATTGATGTTGCATGGCTTGGAAACTAGCGATAGGTTTACCGAATTGTTTGCGTTCTTGAGCATAAGTAACAGCAATATCAAATGCTCCTTGAGCTAGTCCAACCATCTAAAAAAATAGTAAAAAAAAAAAATATAAATATTTAATATAGATCTTTTTTTTTTGATGTATTTTGTTCTACTTTCCTGTGCTGCAATTCCACAACGTCCTTCGTTCAAACTTTCAATGGCATATTTGTAACCTTGTCCTACTTTCCCAAGTACATTTTCTTTTGGTACCTTGACATTATCCAAATTGATCACACAGGTTGATGATGAACGGATTCCAAGCTAGATATAAAAAAAAATAATAATAATTAGTATCTGTTTTACTATTATTAGTTCTGTTACCTTCTTTTCCTTCTTGGCAATTTCAACACCCCATTCTTTTTCTACCACAAATGCTGTGATACCCTTGTAACCTTTAGAGCGATCCCTAATAATATCAATTAACATAAAAAAAAACATATCACTGTATCACTTACACAGTGGCAAAAACGACAAAGATTTCAGCTTCTCCAGAATTGGTAATAAACATTTTACTTCCATTCAATAAATAGTGATCACCCTTGTCTTCAGCTTTTGTTTCTAATGCAAATGCATCACTACCAGAAGTAGCTTCAGTAATGCAGAAACTACCGATCGTATTTGTTGCTAGTTTTGGAAGGTACTTTTGTTTCAGAGCATCATCACCAAACTTGCGAATGACCGTGTTAGTCACCGTGTTCTATCACCAAAAAAAAATAAAAAAATAGTACTATGATGATGAATATATAAATGATTAAAAATTTATCTTACATGAACATCACATAAAGCAGCAACAGAAGGATCCACCTTGGCTAATTCTTCAATTGCAATAAGAGCACTTGTAAAAGAACATCCAGCACCACCAAGTTCTTCAGGTGTTTCTAATCCCATAAGCTATTAATATAGTTAGTATCACATCTATCTTAATTGATATATATATATATATATATATTCTTACCCCATTTTCAAACATAGCATCAATAAGTCCTTTATCCATTTTTTCTACTTCGTCCATATCTTGAACTTTTGGTAAAACTTGTTCGCGTGCAAATCTAGATACTGACAAAATAATAATAATAAAAAAAAGAATATTAGTAATGTAGTAAAACCTTTTTAATTCAAACTTTTACCCATATCTTTCAACATCATTTCTTCTTCAGTTAAGTTATAAAGAGAAGTAGGTGAAGAACAAACGAAAGGTCTGGCGTTTGCATAATAACTAAGAAAATAAAAAAAAAAAGAGAATGAATATAAAATTTTTTTTCTTCTTTCTTATTATATTCAATCCATAAATTACCGTTTTGCTAATAAGCCAGTGGCAGAGGAAAGACGAAAAGATGGTTTTAATAGAGAGCGTAGCATGATGTTAGTAAAAAAAAAAAAAAAAAGGTGAAATTAGAAAGAGAAGAAGAAGGATGTACCTCTTTTTTCTACTTTCATTCTTTTTCAATTGGCGATTTTTCTCACGGGTTATTCAATTTGGACCGAGGTTTGGCAATTTCCTTCTTTGGCATTGTTCTCCCCACCACAGAAATATATATTCTGATTTTAATAGATGATTTCTGAGCAATTACTAATACTTGATCTTTTATCATTATAGTGACCATCATCTATTCTATTGCATAATGTGAATCATTATCATAAAAAAGATCAACATATGAATTTACCTGAGGGTCATCATATTATGTACCACATATCTTCATACCTTGGGCAAGTACCTTTGTGAACTTCTATAACACGAACATACGATCTACATAATATTGTATTTTCTATCATCCATCTTTCAATATGATATAAGACCTATTATTACATTATGTCCATACAATTGTTAAAATATACATCATGATTTCTTAAAAAAAAAAAGAGAAGAAAACTCCATTGGAGCTTTAGAGCGTTTATTACTAGAGAATATATAAATAAAGCATGATAAACGAGACTATAAATGATTTCTATGATACAAGACTAACAAAAAAAATATAAATGTAAAATGAAGAAAGTAGAGGGAAAAAAGGGAATAAGTTGAAGATTTTCTAGTTGACACGACACAGGATTTCACCACCAACGTTCTTTTCAATAGCTTCTTGTAAATCCATAACACCACGGTTGGTATTCATAATAGCAATTTCTCCAGGTTGTAAAGGTGAGATGAATTTGGCACGACGACCACTGGCAAGATTCTTCATTTCATTGACGGTATAAGTGACTTTTTTGGATGGTTTACTGACAACAGACATAGCATTGAGAGCAGGTTGGTTTTCCTTGTATTTGAGTTGTAACCATAAACGACGTGTGGCAATATTACTGGGTGTAGTAGGTGTGAAGGTAGCATCTGGAGCCAAATGATTACCTCTAGTAACAGAGGTTAAGAATCCTTCCTTGTATAAAATATTGGTAATAGCAAGATTCATTTTCGTTTCGGGTACAGCCATTGTTTGTAATCGTGCTCGAAAACCATTTTGAATACGTGCACAAAGATCATGAATTCGAGGCATGTTGATTGTTTGTTGTTATTGCTAAAACTACAAAAAAAGAAGAAAAAAAAAAGAAAAAGAAAAAGAAAAAAAAGAAATAGAAAGGGTTAAAACTTCGTAGTTGTCAACGCCAGGAGGGAAAAAAAAATGTAGGGCCAAATTAAGAGTGACTCGCTTCAGCCACCGACGGGTGCTTGACACACAAGCTTTTTTTTTCTTTTGGTAGCCTTTTTTTTTTTTGTGTCCTTCTATTTTTTTTTTTTCAACCGCAGAAAGCTTTTCTGTTCTTTCTTTTCCTTTCTCATTAACCTTTTCTTTTCTTTTTTTTTTTTTTTTACCTTTCACCTCAACTTACTCTTATTTTCGACTTTCCTCACTTAAGTGCGGAATCAAAACAATATAGTTCAACATGGTAAAGACTTTGTATATATAAAAGAAAAACACAAGGATTTTTTATATGGATTATTATTCAAATAGTTCATCGCGTCATCAAAATATACGAATACATTCAATATTATTGATTAAATACTAACGATTGCTTTCTTGTTTTTTTTTATAGTCGAAAAGTTCAAAAATGGCGAATATCATCAACTACCGACTTCGGGTAACGTTATCGGATTCACGGGTGTTGACTGGACAAATGTTGGCATTCGACAAACATATGAATCTGGTATTGGCAGATTGTGAAGAATTCCGTAAAGTGAAAGCCAAAGGCAAAAAGAACGATACAAAGGAACAAAAGGAACAAAGTATGAAACGAACTTTGGGTCTTGTTATTTTACGTGGTGAAACGATTATTAGCATTAGTATCGACGGTCCTCCACCTCCATCAGCCGATGATGCTAGAAGTAGAATGACTATGATGGGTGGTCCTGGTATGGGTAGAGTAAGTATATACGAAAAAATGAAAGTGTTTTATATAAAATGGTTAATTTTTTTTTTTTTTTTGAATTTATTTAGCCTGCTGGACGTGGATTACCAGCTGCTCCTCCTCCAGGTGTTCCTATGGCTGGTTTATCAGGACCTGTACGTGGTGTTGGTGGGCCTGCTCCTGGTGTAAGTGAATTCATGATCAATTAATATGATCTGTTTTAACTAATTCTTTATATACATATAGATGATGGCTCCTAGACCTGGTTTTGGTGCACCTCCTATGCCTTATGGACGACCTCCTATGCCTGGTGGTCCTGGTGCTGTAAGTGATTGATACTTTAAATGATAAAGTGGGTTGATCTTTTTTTTTTTAATCGTTTTTATTTTGTTTCTAATAGCCTCCTCCTGGATTCAGACCTGGTCCTCCACAAAACTTTAGACCTCCACCTCCTGGATTCCGTCCTCCTCCTCCTGGCATGGTAAGATCTTAACAACCATCATGATATTCATTAATACATACTAATAATAATACTTTTTTTTTTCTATAGCCACCACAAGGTTTCCCTCCTGCTGGACGTGGTTTCAATCGACCTCCCCCTCCCCCTCCAGGTTACGGTAGACCTCCTCCTCAATAAACCATATCAACAAACTCTCTTCGCAATTCATTCCCATCTTTTGATATAGCTTTTCTTTCTCTTTTCTTCCGTGTTTTTTTTTTCTTTTTCTTATTTTATCTGTTCAGATTTTATATATTGTCATCCTGTCTTCTTTTTTTTTTTTATTATTACTATTTTTTTTGACTGTTATTACTGCTTTTGAACAAATAAAGAAAATATCAACTTTCTCTTCATATGTCTTATTATTGGATCCTTCAAATGAAAATTTTTGTAATTTTTTTTTGTGTGCGGCATTTAGATATAGAAGGTACTGATTTTGTTTTTTCTATTCACTCAAGTTTTTTCTTTCTTTTCTTTTCTTTTCTTTTTTTTTTTTTTTGGTACAATATGGACGACGATGGTATGATGCTTAACTTTGCCCCTGTTAGGTCTCAACCTAATAACAATAGATCGCAACCAACTCATCGATCTGGGAAAACAGGTTCCACCAATTCGTCTTTCTCAACTACTGAAGAAGCAAGATCAAAAAAAACAACACCTACAACCAACAGCAACAGCAAGATCGCAGACGATTCAACTACTGCAACCTCGGTCAAACTTGTTCATGGCAAGGCACAAATCCAATCTTCACTATTCACCTCTAATCCTACTGTCAAGGTAGAACGCATGTCGACCAGCGAGAAAATGGATCAACAACCTAGTAATGCACCTTCAGCTGATGAAACAAATACACTTGCTTCCTTGGGTCTTTGTTCCGAATTGATTCAAGCGCTTGAAAAGATGAATGTATATCAACCTACACTGGTACAGCGAAGAGCCATTCCTCTCCTTCTTGGTCCAGCACAACATCAACAAACAGCTTATGATTTGAACAACAGCAGCAACAAAAGGAAGGCTGATGTTGACATTGTAGTACAAGCACAAACCGGCTCTGGTAAGACGTTGACCTACTTGTTACCGATTGTCCAAAGACTGGTGGCAGCATCGACCTACGATACCAACAAAAGTTCAGCAAAGGCGGCATTTGGTGATCGAACTATTGGCACGGTTGGCATTATCCTTACACCCACACGTGAATTAGCTCAACAAGTGACAACTGTTTTACGACAACTACTTCAACTACCCCGGATACCAGCAGATGCAGATTACGGTCGACGTCATTGGATGGTAGCGGATATGGTGATGGGTGGTGGCAACAAATCAAAGGAAAAGGCTCGTTTACGTAAAGGGGTAACACTCTTGGTCAGTACACCTGGACGACTCTTGGATCATCTACAAAACACAAAGAGTTTTGATATTCGACACTTGAAATGGCTTGTTTTGGATGAAGCAGATCGTTTACTTGATCTTGGTTTTGAAGAAACGCTCAAGAATATTATGGATCTCATCAAACAACGTACTGAACAACCTCCTCAACCCGCTTTTCGACAATACTTGCAATCAGTGGTATGGCCTCGCTCCCGACAGACTATTCTATGCTCAGCTACGTTACGTGATGATGTGAAACATTTGGCAGGTACAGCATTAGTGGATCCTATTTTTGTACGTGGTTCGGATCAAGAAAACGACTCGTCTATAGTACAAGAAAAATTGAATGCGGATCATCATATTGATAAGGATGAAGATGATATGAAATTCTCCACTCCCAATCAATTGAAACAAACATATACAATATCACCAGCAAAACTACGACTTGTGACATTGACAGCCATGCTACAACAATGTATGAAGGATAAACGAAAACCTAGCAAAGTGATTGTATTCTTCTCTTGTTGTGATTCTGTGGATTTCCATTATGATTTATTCGCCAAAGCTGGAACTATCAAGAGTGATGTAGATGAAGACAAGGATGATTTGATGGAAATACTGGACAATCATGATGATGACGATGATGATGATGATGATGATACCAAACGAAATAAAAACAACTATCATCAACAACAAAAGAACAAGAAAACAAGAAAGGAACGACAACAGGAACAAGATGAATTTAGACGTCAACCTAGTCAACCAAGTACTTTATTAGGTGGTGATGGCAATGAAGTCTCTATTTATCGATTACATGGTGATTTGGAACAACACATTCGAAGTCTAACTTTTTCCACTTTTAGTGAAGCTACTAGTGGTATTTTACTCTGTACAGATGTGGCAGCTCGTGGTTTAGATCTTCCAAATGTGGATCGCATCATTCAATATGATCCACCTACGGATATGAAGGATTACGTGCATCGGGTTGGACGGACGGCTCGTTTAGGCAAGGCTGGTGAGGCTCGTTTATTCTTACTCCCTAGTGAAATGGATTATTTACCTATTCTCAAGGCACAAGGAATGACCATTCAACCTGTTACTGTGGAAAATGTATTGGCTCAATCATTTGGAAAACAACAACATGTATATGAAACCAAGGCGCAAGAATATCAGAATCAATTGGAACGCTATGTCCTTTCAGAAGAAGAGGTAAAAAAAAAAAAAAAAAAGTGGATGATGCCAATGATATACTGATTTGTTTGTATTTTATAGCATGTCTTATTAGCTAGAAAAGCATTTTGGTCCAGTGTTCGAGCCTATGCCACTCATGCTGCCTCTGAAAAACATGTCTTCCATGTCAAGAAATTACACTTGGGTCATCTTGCCAAATCATTTGCATTACGTGAAGCACCTTCTCATTTACAAGATCCAAGTAAGATTCAGAAGAAAAAGGATGCCAAACAAGAACGTATGCCAGGGAAACAAAAATTATTAGACAAGGACAACAAATCTAAGGGCTCTCATCAAAATAACAATATTCCACAAAAGAAAAGGAAACAGTATGATCAAGCTGATGAATTTGCTATTGCTAACTCGGATTATCTCTCTGGCGGTCCCACCACTAAAAAGAAGAAGAAGATCATGACAACAAAACAAAATAAGTAGAAGAATGATGATGATGATTTTTTTTTTGTAGAAAATAGTTTAGATCTCCACTCTTTTTTTTTTTTTTTTACAATTTACCATACATAGTTTGATATTCTCTCATCATTTTTTTATTTTTATTTTTATTTTTATTTTTGCATTTACAATAAAGAGCCACTCTTATCATATATAGAAAGTATCGAAATTTATTTTTGTGTTATGTTGTGGTTTTTATAGATCTTGGCAGCCAAAAAAGGAAATGATGTGTGGATGATCTTTTTCGAATGTCTCATTTTTTTTTTTTTGTCGTTTCCTGGTTATTCCGTGAACGGAAGACTGATGACTTATCCGGAACAAATTTGATTTGAAATCAATAGCCCGTGCACGCACGACTTTCCATTGCTAGGCTGAGATTCAACCCATCTCCTTTTTTCTGTTATATTTATAATACAAAGCCATATATTTATTGAAAAAAAAAAAGTGGTACGATGAATTAAAATAACATCAACTAAAATAGTATTATCATCATTACAGAAATAACAAATATCATTATCATCATCACATATCATGGTAGTAGAAAAAAGAAATGTTTACTTGGCAAATGGAAAAAAAGAAAAAAAAAAGATTTTTTCTGATCTTAATTTCCATTGGATAGGAATGGCAAAATGAGAGATATTTGCAATCATGACTTACCATGGCAACGCCGGCGGAGTTGACAAAAATGAGTCAGAGGAAAGGATGAGTACATTTTCCATAAAGGGTTGCTACGGAAGCAAAAGGGGTATATAAAGAATCAGTTTTAAAAAAAAAGTCATTCGCTTTTTACTTTTCTCTTTAACTTTTTTTTTTCAGTATATCATCCTCATATTAATATAACATGGATCTTTCTTGGTGCCTTGCTTGTGATCGTCATTGTCTTGAAGATAACGTAAGGATCATCATAACTATTACTACAATAAAATGCTAACTCTTTTTTTTTTTTTTTTTTTGAACAGTTATATTGTTCAGAATCTTGTCGCATGAAGGACAATCAATCAGTATCATCATCATCTTCTTCGTCATCACCATCATCATCACCATCAGCCACCTTATTCAATGCATTCCCAAGACCTGGTACTCCAACCTCTCCACTTTTGGAACCTTTCTTTTCCTCTTTCTCACACTCACATGATCATCGAAACTCGGTCCTTATTCCAAGCAGTCGATCACTCTCTACCTCTTCCTATCCTTTGTTTGCTCCTATCAGTGATACCTAGATTCCATGTATCTAGTTATATGTTATTAATGTTATTCTTGATCATCACCTCTCTCTTGCCCTTTCCTGCATTGTTAGACAAACCTCTTATGGTTTCCTCCTCTCATTCTCTTGATACAAAAAAAAGAAAAAGAGACAATAATATTCATCACATCATGATAATCATTCAGAGTGGATCTCTTGTTTGTTTGTTAGTTGGTTCTCTTTTGGCATCATGCATAGAAGAACAACTATTTATATCTTTACGTGTTTTGATATGCGCAAAAGATTTGATGAACCTATCTTGTACATATTTGATCACTCCTTCTCCTTCCCCTCTTATTATTAGTCATAGATTTCTCTTATTTCTTCTTTTTTTAATAATAACAACAATAAAAAAAAAAGTATTTCACATCATGTCAAATTTCATCGTTTCCTCCGTAAAGCATCAAGAAAAAAAAAAGGGGGGGGAATATCCCTATTTTGGAAAATGGATCGCAACCTGGTTGAAAGTCGCCAATAGAAAAAGAACAAAAGAGTAAATTTAGGATATCAATGAAACAACACTGTTTATTTTTTTTTTTTAAAAAAAAAAGTCTATGTAAACTGAAACCAATATATCTATTCTAGCAAGCCAAAGGATGAGCAAAAAAAAAAAAAAAAAAAAAAAAAAAAAAAAAAAAAAAAAAAAAAAAAAAGATGAGATAAAATGATAGCCACAATTGATCCCAGTATCCGATCTTCATTCGCGTAAATCCTTGTCATACTGTAAGCTGCTTGTTTTCCATATCGGTATTCGGTAATAACATCATATTGGGATAATCACTTCCAAATTGATCCAATCATTCGATTCGAACTTGACGTTAAGATGTTGAAATCATCATGCTATCTTGTTAAGTGCCTTTGTTATCCTTCATCCATTCATTCATCTAGATATCGTACGCATGTTGTATACCAGTTATCGTCCTTTGCTATGCTTCATCCAAATCTGTACCTGATACCTCGTGTTCATCCATCCAATTGCATAGTTAAAAAAACTACTTAGTCTTCGTTCAGCACTTGTGTATTGAATTTTTTTTTATTTTTAGTTACCTTAACCAATATTCTTTTCCAGAAAAAGATATCATGTCAATGAGGAGGAAGAGGTAGAATGTCGTTTTGAAAAGGAAAGTTGAAGGAAACTATAAGATAGAGAAAGATGAGTTGCTTATCATAGACCATAAAGATATTCCACTTTCTAAATCATGTTGTTGCTTACTTTATCAAATTGTCACCAAGTTTCGATAGTCCATTGAAGTGAAGTAGTAATGAGAGCTTATGTTTATGTATCTATATGCAAGAAGTAAAAAAAAAAAAAAAAAAGGAAGCAAAAGAAGTAGTCAGAAAGGAAAGAAAAATATAAAATAAAAATAAAGCAACAAAGTGATAGAAAAAAAAAAATTCTGGACGCGCCATTTTGAAGTCCAATATGTTGAAAAAGTTAATTGTTCAAAAATATGCATTTTTTATTTTGGTAATAACTTCAGTAAAAATAAAAAAATCAACAACTATACAAACAAAGAGAAGGGATAACTAATAATGTATTTATTCGGCCTTTTCTTCAGCCTTGTCTTCAACTTCAGCCTTGTCGAAGCTTTCAACCAAATCAGGGATTTCATCATCGTCTTCACCAGCAGCAGCAGCACCACCTTGAGCAGCTTGGTAAGCTTCAGCAAGTTTACGGAGACTGGCCAAAGAGTCAGGACCCAATTGGTTCAAGATACCAGGAACTTTATAATTGAAATAATAATAATAACAAAAAAAAAAAAAAAGATCAATGATCCACTATATATATATATTTCTACACACACACATATTATTTCTAATAAACTTACCAAGTTCAGTCAAATCCTTTTCGGTAGCACGACCGTGGATGGCAAAGGTGTTGGCATTGGCAGCAGCTTGGATGCGAGGAGCAGACAAGTGGATAACCTTACCATCATCCTTGAACATGTTGACTTCTTCAATACCAGGAATAGGTTGACACTTCAAACTTTGAAGAGCAGCTTGGAGCTTACGGTCGTCACCAGTGTTGGTCTTGGTCACCTTCTTGACCTTACGACGAGGAGTACCTAATAGAAACAAAAGGAATGACAATTACTATATTAGTCTTTTTCTTTCTTCTTTTTGGTCCCGTTCAATATATCCTTGGTCACAAAAATAAAAAAAAAGAAAAAAAAAACAGAAAAGAAAAAAGATATATTATATATAATATATAAAGCCATCTCTTTCTTTTCAAAATAACAAATAGTGATAAAATGTTGAATTTCAAACGGATAAACCATCCGATCCACCTCAATAATATATATATATATAAATAGATGTGTTATTTACCCTTGCCACCGATACGGACTTGTTGTTGAAGCTTAGCGAGTTTTTCGGCGTTCATGGTAAAATAATGTATATGAAAGAAGAGAAGAAAAAAAAAAAAGGAAAAAGAAGTATTGATGTTTTTTTTTTTACCTTTCTTTTTTTGCGTTTTGCGACTCTTCTTGTCTCAGCCACCCACAACATTTTTTTTTTTTTTTGTAGTCATGATTTTAGAGTTCCGCCACACGCCTATCTTTGAAAGTGGTGCTATTGTCAAAGAAAAGATTCGAAACATCACACTATAAAATAGAACAATTTCTTTTTTTTTTTATTATTATTTATTATTCAATAGGAAAGAATGATTGGTTATAATCATTTTGACAAAAATGTAATTCTTTAATATGATTGATCATCCATCTTACTTTTCTCACGTGCAACTTCGGAACCCTCCACGGTTGACAGGCAATGTTAGGAAAAGAATAAGAGCGGTTAATGAATTGGATTCATTTTGAGTCTTCTCTCCACAAATGAGTACAAGCCAATAGGAAGTGTTCTTTTTTGGATGCATAGAAAAAAAAAAAAAAGATAAAATGGGATTTTTTTTTCTCCCCTTTTTTTTGATTTCTTTTTCTTTTCTCTTCTCTTTACTATACTTTCTTTTATACTTTTCGAAATATGTTTATAAAACGATGGACAACTCATTCTAAAACTTGGTTACGACAAACTGGTATTGATCGTCGTCGTTGGTACGCGCAGACATCTACACTTATAAAGGAAACTTCACGCGAACCCGTTAATAATGCCTCTACATTTATGGAATTCCCTGAGAAGGTTATTCGTTCTCCTTATTATAACAGAGGTAAGCAAAAAAAAAAAAAGGTCAATGTTTCTTATATATAACTAACTCATTTGTTAAAGGTACGGGTTTACAGTCAAAAACAAGACATGAATGGGGTCTCCGGGGTTACAGTCCTCCTGGTGTGGAAACTTTGGAAACACAACAAGCAAGAGCTTTATCTCATTTAAGGTCCAAGTCTTCTTCTTTGGAAAAATATATATTTTTGGCTCAATTACGAAATTCCAACTCACGATTATTTTACAAGTTGGTGAATGATCAATTTGAAGTAAGTCCAAAATCATTTTCATTATTTAAAGATATTCATATGTTTTAATCTAGGAAATTGCTCCTATCATCTATACTCCTACTGTTGGTGAAGCTTGTCAAGAATATTCAAATATTTATCCATTTCTTGCTCCTCCTGGTAAGCAATAAAGAAAAAAAAAAGATAGGAAACCAAAAAAAATAAATAAATAAATAAATAACCTTCATCAATTTTGTTATTCATTTTATATAGGTGCTCCAGATGGTCTTTATCTCACTATCAATGATTTACCAAATTTGAAAGAAATCATTCAAAATTATTGTGAACAAAATGGTCGTGAAATCCCTGAAATTACTGTGATCTCTGATGGTTCACGTATCTTGGGTTTGGGTGATTTGGGTGTGAATGGTATTGGTATCCCTATTGGCAAGTTACAGTTATATGTTGGTGCTGCTGGTATTGATCCTCGAAAGACATTACCTATTATTTTGGATTTTGGAACCAACAATGAAAAGTATTTGAATGATCCATTCTATCTAGGATTGAAACAAAAGCGACCTGGTGATAAAGAGGTAAGACATATGAATACCTTTTTTTTTTTTTTTTTTTTTTGAAAAAAAGAAAATGATAATAATAAACAAGATTTATTCCTATTAGTTTTATGATGCTATGGATCAAGTGATGAATGCTTTATACGATGTATTCCCTGATATCCTGGTTCAATTTGAAGACTTCCAATCTGAACATGTAAGTTTTATCTATCCTTTCCAATGTATATATATATATATGGGTAGTTTTTTACTCAAACTTTTTTTTTTATTATTATCATTAGGCGTTTGGATTACTAGAAAAATATCAAGATCATAAATTGTGTTTCAATGATGATATCCAAGGTACTGGCTCAGTGATTTTGGCTGGATTCATCAACGCTCTCCGGTTGGCTCAGGAAAAGGCTGATATTCGACTTGAAGATCATCGTATTGTATTTTTTGGTGCTGGCTCATCGGCAATCGGTGTGGGCAAGCAAATCTTGGCTTATGTTATGCGACATAATAACCTATCCGAAGAAGAGGCCAAAAGTATGTTTTACTACGTCGATAGCAAAGGATTGATTACAAAAGATCGTGGTGATAAATTGGCTCGACATAAGGTTTATTTTGCAAGGGATGATAATCAACAAAAACAATGGAAGACTCTATCTCAGGTCATTGATTATGTGCAACCTACTGTGTAAGTTGGAAAAAAAAATAAACAAATCTGTTACAATGGCAAGATTAAGAACTAACATATTATACACATATTTAGATTGATTGGATTATCAGGTCAAGGAAAAACATTTACAAACACGATATTACAAAAGATGGGCGACATCAACAAATCACCTATTATCTTCCCGCTTTCCAATCCGATGACGAAAGCCGAATGTACGTTTGAACAAGCTATGTACAATACTGATGAACGTGTGATCTTTGCTTCAGGAACAGCTTTTCCTCCCTATCCAGCATCTTCTGGTAGCATGGTGACGGCTGGACAAGGAAACAACATGTATATCTTCCCTGGTCTTGGACTTGGCACCTTGGTGGCGAAATCAAAATTAGTATCGGATGGCATGATCTTTGCTGCTGCTGAAGGATTGGCAAGTACTCTATCAAAACAAGATCTATTACAAGGTAATATATACCCCTCTTTGGCTCGTATTCGTGAAGTGTCATCCATGGTGGCTGTGGCTGTTTGTCGACAAGCACTTGAAGAGAATTTGGCTACCGATCCTACTTTATTACAATTGGCTCAAAATAATCCATCTTCTACTTTGGATCAGTCTATTTTGAAATACGTTCAAGACAAAATGTGGGATGTCAATCAAGAGGATAATTTTAAGGTAACGGTGGCGGCTGAAGCATCCTCATCATGATCATCAACAAGTTATTCATCATGCGTACATGACTTAGCACTATAGTGGTTTATCGTCGTTATATTATATTAATGATAGTGTAGAATACGGTTTCAAATAAAGAAATATGATTGTTGTCATTTTATCGATATTGTCATTCGTTTTTTACAAAGCCTTATAATGCATATTATCAGTAGATATGAGGATGATGCAGATGATTGGATGGCTTATTCTTCTATCATGCTTTCTTTTTTTTTTTTTTTTTTTTTTAGACTTTTCAATGATATTATGTCTCGAATGGCATAACAATTTCCAAGTTACGGGACATTCACACTAAAAGCTATTTTTATATTCAAAAAGGAACCATATTGAGTTGAATAAATGATGGTTGAATATGACTGATAGTAGCGAAATCAACCTTTTAGCTAGCGGGTCACTTTTTTTTTATGCCAATGATCACATTCATGATCGAGTCTCATCCAATCCTAATTCCATTTTTTTTTTTTTAAGAAACAAAAAGGTTCTAGATGTTTAGTTCCTTATTAAAAGTCATTGATATACAAGAAAGCCGTAACTATAGCCGTTGCTAGGCATATGAAAAAGGAAAATGTATAAATAAGAACCTTTTTTTTGTATTCTTTTTTCTACTTTCTATCCTTTTCTTTTTTTTTTTTTAATTAAAAAAAAAGTAACTACCTTTTTCTTTTTCCTTTCCTTTCTTTATTCTTCTTTCTCATCCATTCTTTTCAATATGCACATTCGTTTCATTGTTTCGTTCCTTGCTCTTTTGAGTATTGTGGCTCTATACGTACTGGCTGATCAGCAAATACAAAATACCGAGCCTAATCTTCAAGCCGAAGTCCACCCATTGGATATGGATCCTCAAGTCAAAAACTGGATGAAGGATGGTAAAGGTGATCAAAAGTCAAAGAAACATGACAAATCAAGCAAGGATGAAGACGAAAACTGCGATGATGATGAGGGCGATAATGATAACAATGATAACAATGATGATGATGATGGTAACGATGAAGATTGTGATGAAGAGGATGATAGCAACGAGAAAGATGCTGATGATGAAGCTGATTGTGATGATGATGAGGATAATGGTAAGAAGAAGGATGATGACGATGATTGTGAAGATGATGATGACCATCATGGTCATGCCAATGAACAACCTAATGGCGGTAACTATACTGACTGTGACACTCATAATATGACACAACCTGATGGTAATCAATCTAGTGGCAATCATACTCAAGGTGATAATCAACACAACCCTCATCATAATGGAAATCAGACGCATAATGAACCGTGTCAACAAGGAGATAATAATAAAAAAACGACAGGATTATTACCTTCTGCAAGTCCATCTGATGGTTCTTCAGTTATTCCTAGTGGTAGCGTACCTATTGGGAAGCCGACATCACAGCCTATTTCTAGATCTAACAATGGCAATGAGACTGGTATTAATAAGCCTACTGCTGTCTACCCACCATCTGCTTCATCCACTATTACCATCACTGCTACTCAAGTCATCACTCAACCATCATCCTCTTTAAGTCCAAGATTACCTTCTGCTTCCTCTTCTTTACAAGGAAGTAGTAGTGGTGATGCCCAATTAGGACCTACGAATGATGCAACGTATGTATCATATATATCTAAATATATCTACAGATATATAAATTAATTCCCTCTTTTTTTTTTTTTTTTTTTTTCGTTGACATATAGGAATATATCTCCTCTAACTGTCCTGACAGTATTATTTATCACTGGAGTGGCAATGGTGCAAATGGTCTAAATATGACACTACCATTTTTTTTTTTTTTTTTTTTGATATCCGATGTTTTTAATTTTATTTGATAATCCATTCAGTTCTCAATTTTTTTTTTTTTAATCTTGATTTTTATTTCATTAGTTTTAATTGATTATTATTATTATTATTATTATATAAAGTTTTTCTTTACTTTTATTATTGTCATTCCATGATTTGATACTTTTTTAACGTTTTCGGAGTTCCTGCTTGATTCTATCAATTTTTGACAACCGCCTATTTTTTATATCAAAAGCCACCTTTTTTTTTTTCTGGGAGATATTTTGTTTACTTTTTTCTTGTTCTCTTTTTATTTTTTTTTTATTTAATTATTTATATTTTGCTACAATATCAAGGTCCAATCATTCTTATCGATACATGTCCATGGAAAAGTCCTTTGCTAGTTTACTTCGTCACTCCAAATTAGCAACTTATGATCGTCGACTCAACCAAGTCTATGCCACACCAAAACATAGAAAACAACGAGGGGATTGGGGTTTGAAACGCAACTTACCATCTGTCATCCGGACACCTTTTGTAACTATTGGACAATTAGATACTGTAGAACACCAAACACCATGGGACTCAGGATATAGTCAAGTGGCTTTTATACAACGATGGAAAGAAAACTTTATGGGAATTGCTACATCTCGTCGTACACGTCCTCGTTATGATATCCTACAACAATCGAATAATAATAATAATAATAATGGACAAGAATACCACAATCTCGCCTCCATGTCACGTCAACAATTCGACCATTTTCTCAAACATACCATTACTCCTGAAACCATTGATGCTTTACAACAAGCCTTGAAAACCAATCAAATTACACGCGATCAAGTCTATGACTATTTAAACGTTTCATTCCGCCCTGAACCGTTTTCTGTCGTTGGTCCTTTATACAGCACTGATCATTCTCCATTATCCGATCAAGACACTATTGTAGAGGGTCGTATTCTGAATACTGAAAAAGGTGGTTATGCTGTTGGTATTAGTGGCGTGGTTGCCTTCCTTCCCAAACGGTATGCCATAGGAATCAAAAAACCCGGTGATCGTCTTCTTGTACGCAAATTCTATGTACGTCATGCCTATATCGATGATCAGGGAAAACCTCAAGTCACTGTGTCATTACAACCTAGATCTAATTTATTGGGTACTACATCACCAGCATCTTCATCATCTCTATCGTCACCATCATCATCGTCTACTTTATCGTCACCCACATCTTCTTTACCTTCACCATCTGCGATGGCATCTCATTACAACAAGCACACCAAAAAATCACCATCATTTAGACATTGGTCAACTGTCACCTTGGATGATCTCTTTGCAACTACACCTCCCAATAACATGGATGAATTACAACTCTTCTTGCTTGACCAAGATACAACTGGGCGATCAAAACGAAGACATATGCTAGCTCATCATCAAAAGACTGCCACTCCTATTGATCCTATTAGTACCTTCTTAAATGACAACAACAATACCGTATCATCACCATCATCATCGTCATCCTCCTCCTCCTCAACATCAACAGACCAACGTCAAGACAATAAATATCACCATAAATCAAAGGAAGAACTAATAGAAGATCACTCGGTGCTAATGAATCGAATCATTGCCTTACTGAAGAATGGATCATCGAAGAAGAAGACTTAGCTTTTTTTTTTTTTTGTTGTGTGTATTATTTAGAATAGTTGTATTTTATTTGTACCAAATAGAAAAAAAAAAACAATAAAAACTTTGTAATATAGTCTTGAAATATCTATCTACCTATCACTCATTGTTGTTCTTGTTGTTTCCAAAAGTAACGTAGACCAAGGGCCAGCCTTGCATTCGATTACCCAGTTGGTGAGCGAACATGGTCGGAAGTAATCATCATAGTCTTCTTCTTCGTCACTGTTTGTTTCCCGTCCTAATTGCAAATACCCATCTAATGCAAAAAAAAAAAAAAAAAAAAAAAAAGTTAGTAGAAATGAAGGATGATCCTATTCTGATGGTATAAAATCATTCATCTTACTTGACCCACAAGTCCAAGCTATGCCATTCACTAATATAATAAAGAAAAAAAAATGATGAGTAGTCAAGTTTGACAATCACCTGTCTTCTTTTTTTTTCATATACACATATTACCATCTATTGCAACCGTATGCTTTGAACCACAACTCACATTGTCCACTAAAATATCATCCTCATTGTTCTGACTATCATTCCATTTGAATGCTGCTAGTTTAATGTTGTTTTCATTATCATCATCGTTATTATTGTTGCCCCATCCTATTCGTCCATGATCATTCCAACCAAATGTATATAAATCATGTTCAATCACTACTGCTGAATGGAAAGGTCCACATGATACTTTTACTGCTGCTGCTGCTGTTGTTGTTGTTGTTGATTGAGAGGTACTTGTATTATCGTCTGATATCATCGTCCCCAATCCATCAAAAAACTCAAGTGCCACTGGTGTATCGGTATGCTGTAGTTGCTCTATCCCTAATTGTCCCATTCGATTACTCCCTAATCCATAAATAGGTGTGATTCCTTCCACTGCAAATAAGACATGATTTGGTGACATTGCCATGTTTGACACCCGTGGTAACGTTAACACATCGTATTGTTTCTTTTCAAGTTGTTTCAAGTCATATACAATCACTTTTCCATCAACTAAGTATAGAAAAAAAAAAAAGAAATGAATATTTTTATACGGAAATAAATAAATCATGTTATTTTTTTTTATACCTGATAATAGATAGAGTCGACCCATGTTTTGACATATTCCCGCGTCTTTGATATTCTCTGCTAATAACAAGCCATCGTTCACTTGGAAGTCTTTGTCTTTTTGAAGACACCACCAATATGTTTTGCCAGTTTCATCAATAATGCCCAAACCAATGACTATGTCGCCAAAGATATGTTTTATTCTTATATCGTTCTTATTCCATTTGTCCACTAAAGTCTCTAACTTGGTAGTCTTGAATCCATAAAGTTCAATAGCACCTTGGTCTAAATAAAAGAAAGAAAGAAAGAAAAAAAAAAGGAAGTTTCAATATCTCCAACATAAACATTGACCCCTTTCAACTATAGACTTGTTTATCCAATACCTGTTTTATTTGTTGTATACCTGTGAGGAGAAAGGTAGATTCCCACGTGGCCAGTAATATTTTGACTATGTTGTTATGAGTAGCCTTAATTTTCACTTGCTTTTTTTTACTCAGTTGTTGGAAAGCATTGAATCCAAATGCTTGTAAAGTCGTTTTACTATCTGTGTTCATATCTTTTTTTTAACGAGCTGATCTATTTTGAAAAAAAGAACAGACAAAAAAAAAAAAAAAGGAAAGATCAGGCAAACCTTTTTTTTTTCCATCTTTTTCATTTGAGTTTCCGAACATTTTTTTTTTATCTAAAAATTGAGATCAACAGCATGATCTTTTTCTTTTCTTTCTTCTTCCCTTTTTTTTCACCTTTTCTTCTTCTTCTTCTTCTTCTTCTTCTTCTTCATCATCTCCCTCCTTCTCACTCTTCCCTCATTACTCCTCATCATATTATTATATCAACACAATGATCCCTCCACCATCACCATATTCCTTTCATGATGCCTTTTGGACCAGCAGTACTCAGTTTGATTGTCTTCCCAAGTTTAGTCATGGCTTGTCAGTCCTTCATACTAAACTTGCTCAGTCCATGGAAGAAAACAAGGTTATTATTGATTACCTACAACGTCGTATCCTTTCTGAAAAACAGTTTGCTCAACAACTACAAGCCAGTATGGATGACAACAAGATGCAGGATATATTTGATTGTGACATGGGTGGTTCTCTGAAACAGTGTTTCCAGGTCGTGCAGACAGAAAGTAAATTATCTGCGGAAGCACATCTCTCACGTGCAACCAACTTGACAACAACAGCTTTAGATCCAGTAGAAAGAATGGCAGCAAAGTATACCAAAATCATCACCTCTAGCAAGACGGCCATGACGACGTGTATTAGTCAATTTGATGCTCAGGCACGTATCACCAACCAATCCCATCAAGATTATATCGATAAATGCAAGAAAATCCTCGCCTATTCTCCTTATTATCATCCAAATCAAGATTCTCCAGTGATACTTGCCAACAAAACCTGGACTCGAAACGACCTGAATTTGTTACTTGACCGACTTGAACAAACATATCATCCTTTACTTGGTCAGAACATACTGGATGAAATGACGCCTTATTATCATAGTAGCAACAATGACAACAACAACAACAACAATAATAATAATATGGATAATAATTCATCAGTTCAAAATGCAGTTATGGCTTGTCAACAATTATTTACACAAGGATGGATCACGGCATCTTCCACCAAAATAACAGGCGATCACGCTCTACAACATGGTGAAAACGATACATCTCATTCATTGAAGCAGTTTTCTACATCAGCCGATATTGAATACACTGTTCAGCGTCAATATCAAGTTAATACCAATGATACTTTATCCACTGAAAATAGTTCGACTAATGGTTCAGCACCAACGACGACATCATCAACATCAACAACATCAACATCGGCATCTGCCTCGTCTTTAGGTTTCTGGAGTCGACGTCGATGGGCCAGCTCTACTACGATAACAACAAAACAGATCGATACCCATCAACAGTTATATCATGATATGCAACAAGCTGACGAGTTGTATAAGAAATCTGTTCAAGCGTTGGATACCTTACGTATGGAAGTTGAAGAAAATTTGGTAAGTGAATACAAGATGACTGTGATTGTTGGATGATGGACAATAAGTTCATTCTAATTTTTTTTTTATCATGCCATATAGTTCATGCATTTTGAAGAAATGGAAAGTCTCGAATTGGAAAGAATACAGACACTGAAACAAGGTTTGAATACAATAAATGTCTGACTTTTTTATTTATTTATTTTTATCTTTATATTAATGGTACTTTCTTTATTTAGCTTTCATCTCCATGGCAGCTGCCTTTTCCAATACAATACCAATCTATAAGGAAATATACGATCGAATGATGTTATATCAAGAAACTCTACGACCGGAAAAGGATGTACAATCTATTGTTGAACAATACCGAACAGGTAGATTTTGTCCTCGTCCTATACTCTACGAAAATTACTTTTCTGGTACTGCTTCTGGTAAGTAATCAAATCAAATCAAAATGAAAATTTCTTTGATTCATCTCGTTCTTTAGATCAGATGTTTGGTGTCCCATTAGAAGATATTGTCAAGAAAGAACAAGCACAAATACCAATGTTAATCCACAATGGATTGGAAGTAATTGAAGCAGGCAAGTAAGAAGACAGCTTATGAACACATTCATTTCGCTCCTATTCTAAAATGATCTTTTTTTTTCCAATGTCTTTCTTTTTTTTTTTTTTTTTTGTTAGAATTACCTCAACTATGTGATGAAGGTAATATGAATGATATTTTTTTTTTATTTACCAAATGCACTGAAAAATGAATTAATATTTTTTAAATTATTCTTTCTACTAGAACGTCAAAAGATATGGACTACACCATTACCATTGGATTTAATTCATAAAGCTCGCAACGAATTGAATACATTAAACTCCATCGATCAAACAACATTGAAAAGTTATAATCTCCTTTTACTTTCCTCTGTCCTCCGATTATATTTGTTAGAACTTCCTGATTGTCTTGTTACTTCTGAATTGTATGATACCCTCAAGGTGTTATATGCCAGTCGTAAGTTGTTGAAAAAAAAAAAAAAGTAAAATAGTAAATGATTGATTTTCTCCTCTCTCTCTTTTTTTTTTTTTTTTTTTTTTTTTGGATTGCGTGCACAACAAGAAATGCAACAAGACACCGATAGCCATCTACGGTCCATTGGAAAACTCATGACCACATTACCTTCTGCCAATTACGAAACACTGAAAGCCCTTTTATTCCATTTCCAAAGGTAAAAAGTAAAGATGATCTTTTCCTTATTTTAATTTTTTTTTTTTTTTGTATTTTTATTATATGCACAGGGTGATGACAATGACGAACGACAAGACACTTTTGCAAACACTAATATCTCGGTTCACTCATATTATTATACGGCCAGATGTTATTACCACTTCAAATAGACATGATAGGCATCCTCATAGATTTGTTCGTGATTTGATGGAACATATGGACATTATATTTTCCAAAGAAATGCATCAAGCCCAAACTGATCATCATCTACGACAACAACAACAACGAATAATTGGATCAGCAATGACAACTTATTCTCATCGATCATCTCTAGAAATCAAAACCAAATTACCATCACTGGATACATCATCCATGACTTCTACGTTGTCAGCCTCCTATCCACATTCAGAAGAAATCTTCACCACAGAATCTCAGCACTCAAAGGATATAGATAGTCATCATGATTTGACCCCATCATTATTAACAGATATATCGCCACCGGTTCCAAGACGCTCACTCATGTCGTTTATGCGAAGATCAAGTAATGTAGAGAATGGGACTGGGCAACGCCATACTACTGATGGTGGAACAAACAACGTATCAAGACGCCCAATACCCATGCCATCTTCCAGCACACTATTTGAAGATCCCGAAGAAATCGATCTGACTCCATGCCATCCTGTAGTTAGTCCCACATCTATACCCAACGGAACTACCCCATCCACACGTATATCTCCTTCTATATCCCTTGATGATGATGATGATGACGATGATGATGACATTAGTTTAGATTCATTTTTATAGTCCCTTCTATTACATATTTTTTTTTTTTAATCTCTCATGTTCAAATGAATAAAAAAATTTTTATTTGCTTTAGTTGACATGTAATAAATAGTTTTTTTTTTTTTTTTGACATTCCTGACTTGTGTTATCATAACTTGATCATACATTTAAAATGACCACATTGTAGGTATGAATTATATTCAGCATATCCGCTGGCACATCTTTCAAATGTGCACATTTCACATGATCCCAATTTTTTTTTTTTTTTTCGTTGAATCATGATAGTCTGAAGTGTCATCAGTAACGAATAGTGCTTATGAAAAGATGATCCATGTTTCTGAAAGATAGTTATCGACTAGGATCTTTTTTTTTTTTTTTTTTTTTTTTGTGGAAAGCATGAAAAAAAAAAAGGCATTGTGATTAGTTGAGACTACGATTGTCGCATTGAAAAAGTTTTCTTGCATTTGATCAAGGCTGTAGATAAATAGGAAATTGGTTAATCCATGATGTCAACATGAGTGAATTTCTTTTAGCTTTCTATAGATGAGATTCTATATACAATGAATTGATTTATTACATGACAAAAGTAAGTAGTAGGATGAAATAAAAAGACATATATTAAAAAAAAGGGAAGATATCACCTAAGATCGTTAGATTGGATAAAATCAATGGCAGGAAATTGTTTTTGATGGTCGGTAAATGAAGAAGAGTTATCTACATAGAGGAAGGCTTGATAAACATGTATTTGGGAATAAAGGTATTTGTTGTACCAAGATAGAACGACTATACTAGTGTTAGATGTAGTAGACTAAAAAGAAAAATCAATCCTAGGTAAATTATCAAATCTCTTGATTGTATTTTTTTTTCTTTCTTTCTTACCTCTTCTTCCCAGTCCTCTACAACAGAAATGTCATTGGTATTCATAAACATCAATAAGTTGGAAATAGCAATTTGAGCACTACATTGTGATTTGTAAATGGAGACAATAATGATCATGGTAAATATATATTTTTCATTTATTTTTATTTTTTTCAAATATACTTACTTGAGACCTCTTCCAGAATGCATAAGATGCGACAAAATATTAGGATGGAGAATCACTTGCCAAGTACCCATGGATTCATTGTTTTTCTATAGAAAATGGAAATCAGAAATAATAATTCATATGATCCATTCATATATGTTCTTACCAACCGAGTATATTCCACCATTTTCTCCAAAACATCAGGATCTAATAAAATATTCTTTGCATCCGTCGTTATCAAACAACCTAGAAAAACATAATAATAACAAACATATGAGATCAATCTAATATTATTCCTACCTCTCTCTCTCTTTTTTTTTTCCTATTTGTTTTACCAGTTTTTTTTGGGAAGACTTCCACCACAGGTGCCATTGGTGCTACCAAAGAATAACCAAATACATACATCCGGGTATTGAGAGAGAAACGTTCACTTTGGAAACGATGTTTATAAATGGAATCATCGCAGCGATCAAACTAAAACCAGAAAAAAAAGAAACGTAAATCATCTTATCCCATAAGATATCCATCCTTTTTTTTTTTATGTCTTACTAGTAAGACTTTGTTGGGTAAATCTGAAGATAGAGTTGATGTTGATGATTGAATTGCTGCACGTAGCATATAAGCCATTGCTGAATCACCATACACTTCCACTACGGTATCATGTTGTTGATCCAAATCTGCTAATTCTTCGGGAAAGTTCAGGTATCGTACTACAGTTTTCCACATAGCTCTTGATTCCAAGACGGAAAGTTGTGGTTGATCCCTTTGTACAAAATCCGGCATCAGGTCCTTGATATAAAGAACAAAAAATGGACCAGAATGATGTTGAGGTTCCAAAGACCCAGTAATGACAACCACTTCGGTTTGATGTTTTCGTGATCTTACTATCGCTGACTATCAAAACAAAGATAAAATAAAAAAAAAAAATTAGACGAGTAGATTGAGATAAAACTATAACTTACTTGTTGGTTCAGGTGTAAAAAGCTATGAAGTTTGCTCCAATTCATAAAACCGTTATACGGAGGTGACATTGTCATAATACAATAATTCCCTTCTTGACATATACTTTGCACACGTTGGGAAGGAGCATATGTTTCAATCATGGCTTCCGAGTCTCTTAGAAATGCCCTATTTACAAAAAAAAAAAAAAAAAAAAAAAAAGTTATTTAATATGATTAAAACTAAAGATCACAGTATACTTACAACACGTTCTTTTCCAGGGTCCAGGGGTCATATTGTAAAGTGAGTTGGGTTGAGATCGTTGCTTCGGTATTTTTCATTCTTATTATCCAATGTCGTAAATTCCGAGGTGGCTTTCCTGTAAATAGATTTTTTGATACTGCCGACATTGCAGCTGATAATGACGTTGGTGGGTGTAATGATGTTATTACGGAGGAAGAAGAGGACTCTGATGAAGTTGGTAGAGGGTATTCTGCTATCGCCGCGGGTTGAGACGTTAAGGTTGGAGAATGCTGTTGTTTCTTTGATGGTTTTGTAATCACTGGAGAAGTTGAATGTGCATGATCAGATGATGAAGTTTGATGGATCCTATGGTCACCCATTTTAGGACGTTCCGATACTGATGGTCTGGTTGATGAAGATTTGGAACTTGAAGATTGAGATCCTTGACGTAGAGATGTATGATCGACTGATTTGAACTTGGTTGCTGATGAAGATGAAGGGGAAGCTGGAGTAGACGGTGGTGATGTGTCTGTATTTATTGCTTGCGATGATGATGGTTGGTGGGACAATCGAGGACTAGATATTTCTTCAAGAAGTTTGTCCAGTGAAAGACCTTGAGGAATGGCTAGTTATCAAATAATAATAAAAGTAAGTTTCATCATCATTATTTTTTTTGCTATTTGTATTACTTACGATGAGGATTTCGTTTTTTTATACCGAAGATAGTAGAAGATTTTATTGAAGTAGAAGGACGTTCGGCTGATATGGCAAGTGGTAATTTTGTCGGTGTCGATAGTACTGGAGTGAAGCTTGATATCTTTGGTTGCTTTTCTGACTCCCGATCACCATTGCTGAAGGTAGACGACTTACTAGTTGTTGTATGAGATGCACTATGTAGATCTTTGTGGCCAATGCTTTCACTACTACTTTTGATATCGGTGGCTGGCTTCAATTTTTTGTATTTGTTGATCAAAGGTTTCCGTTGCACATTTTCTTGAGTGTTATTGGATGATTGTGTAGAGACCTGAATGACGTGTTTCTGTCCTTTCTTTAGAGTTGTTACTACGGAAGGCGTTGTAGTTGTAGCAGGTATAGATTCAGTCCCTCGTTTGGTTTGGTTATTATCATCAAGTGGAAGTGAAGTTGTCAAATCATCTACTTTTCTTTTCGTCGATAAAGGTGAAGCCGTAGTATGGAAGAAAGATTGTTGAGTGTCCTGAATGGATAATGGACCGGATTTGTTGATCGTACTATCTTCAGGTAAACACCATTTCTGTTGCCCTGGTTTCTTTTTGTCCTCAATATTCACGTTTTGCTTTGCTGAATCAGAGTTTGTTGTTTTATCTTTCTTTTTCGTTTCAGGATGATTCTTTTTCGATTTCTTGTCGCATTTTTCGTGATATTGTTGTTGAAGGTCAGGACAATTCAGATTTTCTTCAGGTTCCCAAGTGTTATGCCTAGTTGAACAGAAATAAAAACGTGAAGTCAATGACTAGAATTTTTGCCTTTATAAACTATTCAATTAAAAAGAAAAAAAAAGAAAAGAAAAGACTCTACATAAAAAAAAAAAAGATATATATAGATGAGTTTATTGCAGTGTAAAAAGGACATTTGTATAATTACGTACCACATTGGATCATAATTCTTCCATTTGATATAATAGTAAATTTTTCCATTATCAGAGTACGTGTGATTGAGAATCTTTTCTACTTCAAAATATTCGTCATCGTCTTCTGAACTTGACATGATATAAGGAAGGCAACAAAGAAGGTATCAAAAAGAAGTATCATGGAATCAAAAAGAAAAAAACGAGTTCGTGACTTTTTATTGGTGTAAAAAATGGACGGGGATCAAATTCACAGTTGTGAATTAAAAAAAAAAAAATACAAAAGGTATATATACAGTAATAATAAATGGTAAGTAGTAATAATAATAATAATAATAAAACTAATGTTGATTTGCAAAGAATGATTTTCCAAATTCATAAAAATATATCATAATAGCACAAGAAGGAGCCACCTTGGCCAATCGGGCAGATAATCCTCTGAATAAACCATGAATACCTTCTTGTCTATATATTTGTTGCAGGATTGCAGGTACACGAATATCTTTCAATTCTCCACGACCACCATCCACTTGTCTTTTTGTTTTTGCCACATCAAATGGTGTTGTCAGACCAGCTGCAATCTATATATAAAAACAAAGTTATAAAAAATATACTTAATCATTGTCATTATTAGAATATATATGTATCAAATAACATACCATGCCAGAGAATGCTCCTGCTAAGAAGGATGCTTGTAATCCATTCATATCATTATCATAAGATAATAAAATTTGTTTTGTTTCTTCATATCCCATCCAATAGATCGCAGAAAATGGAACATCTCTATAAAGAGTTGGAGGAAGGCCACGCCATAATGATGTTGGACCAGATTTTTCTACCATTTTGATGACCCCTTGTAAAACATCTATAAAAAAAAAATGAACAAGCAGGTCTTAAATAATCATGAAAAAAAAAGACTTACGTCGAAAATCATTCACTCCAGTAGCAGCTTGCAATCTTGTACGAAATAGTTCAATGGGTGAAATGACAGCAACAGCAATGGTACGAGCAATGCCACCAGCAACCAATGGAGAATAATCTTTTGTTGTTGAAGTATAAGGTCGAATAAAATCTCGAAGATGATCATACCCTACAAAATATATGACATTGGCAGGAACAGACATAACAAGAGCTGGTGATAATCCTTTCCATAAAGCCGGAATACCTTCATGTCGCACTATTTTGTATAGACCATCCTAAAAAAAAAATGAAATAATAAAAAAAAAAAAAAGAAGTAAGTCATTACCCAAAAAAAAATAAAAATAAAAAAGAAAAGATATTACCAAAGTTCCCTTTAATACCAAAGGATGTTGATAGTGTCCATGAATACATTCATGTAAATTTGCTATTTGTTGTTTTGAAGTAGTGGAACGAAGTATAGAAGTATGATTGATGTTTTTCAGGAAAGAACAGTAAGGAATTTCCCGGGATCGACTAACAGAGTTAGAAAGTTGACAACAAAGAGTCGATGCTTTGGCAGTTGTTTGTTTTTGTTGTGTTTGAATTCTTAGTTTGATAACATCCAGAGGAGTCACCAATAAAGAAGTAACTAAGGCCCCAGCACATGCTGATAATAACTTTTCTGTTGAGGTTGTTGATGAAGTGGTCGAGGTATTAGTCATTCAAAGTAAAGAAAAAAAAAAAAAGAAAAGAGAGGCGAAGTATGTATTTTCCCCAATTCTCAAGGCTTTTCTTAAAAAAAAAAAAAATTGGATTCCGCTCAACCACTTTTTCCCTTTCGTTTTGTCTCCCATAAAAAAGTCACCGGCTTTCTTTCTTTTTTATTCTAACCATCCATTGACTTCACTTTTTTCTTTCTTTTTCTTTACCGATTAAATGCCTCCCAAAAGAAAGTCAACTACTGATACAGTCGTAAAAACGAACAAACGTACAAAACAAGTAACCTTGAAAAGTGCACCTTCAAAGTAAGCTCAATGATCTATATTAAACTCTGATATGACGAGACTCACTCAATATTATTTTATTTTATAGACCACCAATAGTAAGGACAATGGAAGATATTTATTATATTCATGGACTTACCTTTTTTTTTTGGATATTATTTTAGTTTTCCCTACAAACTTGTGAACAATGGTATCAAAAATATAGAGACTTGGACGATCCAGATCAAATCACACCAGAAGGAGCTCAATTACTCTTTCAAGATATTGGTGTTCCTTTGGAAAGTGTTAGTGTAAATATATAAACAGATATATAGTCATTCACACTTTGTTTTTTTTTAGATATATCCTATTTTGATTGGCTGGAAAATGAAGGCAAGTCGTATGGGCTATTTTACAAAAAAAGAATGGATCAATGCTATGAAATTATATCAGTAAGTTTGGTTTATAAGATTTTAAAAAGAAAAAAAAAAAGAACTTACTTATTTTTTTTTATAGGATGGACTCTGTAGAACAACTCAAAACAAAATTACCGATTTGGAAAAAAAGCATTGATGACGACCTGGAATTCAAACACATGTATCTATATACATTCAGCTTTGCAAAATCTTCTGGTCAAAAAAGTATGGATGTCGATATTGCATTGGCACTATGGACATTGCTATTAGGTGACAAATACAAGCATATTCCAACCTTTATAGAATTCATGAACGTAAGTATTGAAATCTATTATGACAAAAAAAAATCACACTCTATTAACATTATTTATTATTATGCAGATTTCCAAGCCTGTTAAAGTCATTAATAAAGGTAAAACGATACTCTTTCTCTTTTATTATATATATATCTAAATTATTATTATTATTATTATTATTACTGTTTCTTTAGATCAATGGTCTAGTTTACTGGATTTTATCCGTACAGTACCATATGATCTTCAAGATTATGATAGTACTTCTTCATGTAAGTTAAAATTATATCAACTAATAATATTTGATCAACTCAATCGATTTATTATTGTAGGGCCTGTGTTATTCGATGATTATGCAAATTGGCGCGTACAAAATATGAAACAATAGATATTCCCTTACCTCTTTCTCCCTCTCTTTCTTTCCCTTAAGTACACATTCTTATTTAGCTTTCATTATATATATATATTGTAAATTCATTTCTTCTTGTACATTTTTACCCTTTTTCCCTTTTACGTCTGCTATTGTAACTCCGTCATTGATTTTTTTTATGTCTTAAAAAGAAAAAAAAAGCAATAAAAATGGATCTTTCTTCTTCCTTGAACATAATGTCTTTCATTGATGGTGTATTTTTTGTTGGGATTCAAGTTTTTATGTTAACTGTATGTTCTAGACTAGTATCTCGATTACTACTGAAGGATTACACTCCTCCTGGTCTTCTTCAGTTTACCAATCCTACTTATTGCGCTCACCTTATCTTTGCCTTGACTTTGGGTGCTGCAAGTAGTCTTTTCATCCTTGTCCTTGGTGAAATTATCAACATATTCTCAAAAGGGTAAATATGTAACGGCTTTCAAGCTTGTTACTTAATTAACCATCGTGTTAAATTGATATTGTAGATCAAGATGGAAATACTGGCAGTTCAATTTGGTCTTGCTCTTATTCTTTGTCATTATCATTATCCCTTGGTATCAAGTTTATACTTTTTTACGTCAAGCAAGAGGTAAACACATAGAAGGAGAAATCAAAACAAAATGAATTCTCATTTACCTTATTAGGATGGAGACAAAGACGGGCTATCTATGCAACAACAGTTGTATGGTTTGTCTACTTGTTTTTGTTCAGTAGAACGACAAATCACTTTAGTACTGATCAAACTACGAACTATACTTGGTTAGAAATGGGTATTTTTCGTATAAGTGTGCTTGGTATTACCTTGATATCTATTCTTTCTGGTTTTGGTGTGGTCAACGCTCCTTTTACAACATGGACTACCTATACTCAGTAAGTCTTTCCTTTTTTGGCTTTTTTTTTTCCTTTATCTTTCTGGTCCTCATTTTTTTTTTCTTTATAATAATATAGACATGTTTCTGAATCTGAATATGCAGTGGCTCAACAAGCATATGATAATATCTTATCCACCATTCAAGATAAAAAAGATACATTGAATCGTCTTCATCAGGTTGAAAATGAGTATGAACAAAATGCATCAGGTCAAACGGTAAAGATCAGACGGTTGTTATTATATCAAAACTTATACCTTTTTTTTTTGTCTGTTTCTGTAGTCGTTAGGCTTTTTGGATCGATTGGTATCATCAGTAATTGGTGGATCAAATCGGCAAGGTAAGAAATGAAATGTCAAACTGGATAAACAAGATATACATACTCACTTTCTTTGATTTATGAATTTATTGTCGAGAATATAGAATCCAAATTATTACAAATTGAAATTGAACAACTGGAGAATTTATCTGTTAATATGAAATCAGATTTGGATGAATTGGATAGAAGTAGAAGAAAAAGTCAACTATCAAGAACATGGAAAGGGAAACTGAGGAATGGAATCGATTTTATATTTGCAATCTATTGTGTTTATCGTTTACTAACAGTAATCAATCATTTTAACTATGTTTTTTATTCTTATTGTTTTTTTTTTTCTCTTTATTTTCTTACATAGACTACTCTCAATGTCTTACTACAACGTACCGGCAATGGAGATGCCATCACAAATACATTGTCATTGATGATTGAACATTTTGGAAATGATATCAAGGTGGACAAGGCATTTTGGTCACAACAACTTAGTTTTTGGTTCGCTGGCCTCATTGTTTTTGGATCTGTACGTGGTGCTTTATCATTATTGACAAAGGTAAATAACTAATAGGATGAGGACTGCAAATCCAAATTGTTATGTATAGAAAACTAAAATCAATGTGTATTTTTCTTTTTTTTTTAAATGATCATCATATATATCAATTAGATCATTCGAAGATTCACCCATCAATTCACGATTTCAACAAGCAACATTCTTTTATTTGTGGCACATATGTTAGGGATGTACTTTCTTAGTTCAGTACTGATGATGCAAGTTAGCTTACCACCGGATTACCGTTACTTGATATCTTCGACTTTGGAGCACATTGAATTCACCTTTTTCCAACGTTGGTCTGATGTTATCTTGGTTATCTCTTCCTTAATCACTGCAGGCATTCTTTATGTTATCAATCTAACAAGCAATGCGAAGAGTCTGGCGACTGATTATGCTGATATGCAACTGTTGTCAATAGAAAATGGGTCGATGGGAAGGCATAGTTTGGATAGAAGGCGATTGGATTGATCAATATCATAGTGTAGTTTATATATTTATACATCATACGTGATTTTTCATTGTTTATTTTTAGATAGTTACCTCTTTATAGAATAGAATTCCCTTTAATACATATATCATTTAAATAGTCGTATATTCATAGTTATCATCCATCAATAATAATAATAATAAAAAGCTACTCATTCAAATTGAATAGGATATAAAAAATACCATATTGTGTGGTCCTCATAACTCCCCTAAAAAAAGGAAGTGCTCATCCATTCTCATAGACATATTACATAAATGGCATGGCATGATGGTTTATTTTTTATTTTATTTTTGATGGATGGGAAAGGAGAATGCGAAGAAATACGTAGATGCTGATATAAAAAGTACAAAACAAAAAAAGTATAATAAAACATAGTAAAAAAAAAAAAAAAAAAGAGAAAGAGAGATGTAGAATATAACCAGATGTAAAAAAAATATAAAATAATAAAAAAAAAAAAAGATGAATCGATTCTATATAACAAATAAGAAACTATCTATCACACTAAAGTAAAGCCAATAGTTTTTCAGCACCAACATTCTTATCATCAGCTGCTTGTTTGATATCTTTCTTTGATTTCTTGAGCACATTCTTGACTTCTTTGGCAGTGGATGGTTCTTCAGCAAGAGCGAGTACAACAAAGCTACCAAAATTCGTAGCAAAATGAGTCAAATTGGGTCGGATCACCTCTAACAATTTGGGTGCAAATTCTAAAGGTTCCACAGCTAAATAAATAAATAAATAATAAGTAAATTAATAAAATCATTTTTGTAATTTAATCAATATTTATATACCTTTATCATTTTCAGTTTCTGATGAATCAGCTTTCACCATAGCCTTGATGATACGATTGGCAAATCGATGTTCCATCACATGATTTTCCTTTTCAATGTTTTCACCAGCCAATTCCAAAATAGCATCGATGGCTTCCGATTTGTCACCTATAATATATAAAATAAAAAAAAAAAAGAAATGAGTTGAATTCTGTATGTCCTTTTTTTTTTTTTTTTTTTTTTTTTTTGAAAAACCAATTTTACCAACAGCATGAAGCATGATTTCTTGTACAACTTGAGAAGATAATTTTTCCCTCATCAAGACAGCAGCATCATTCTTCACCATTTTAATTAAAGAAGGAGAGCAGGCATTCAACAATTCGCTAGCCTTGACTTTGAGATCTTTCTTGCTAGTACTGATTTCATCACCTGCTATCAATTGTTGTACAGTTTCGGAAGATAAGTACCGGGTATTTCGTCCAGTCAAGATGTATAAAAAGAATCGACGACCAAACTTATCAGCAAACAATTCTTTGGCGTGCTTGCAAAGTTCCTAATATATAATATATATATAATTAGTATCCATCATTCTTACTATTCTTATTACTTACATCCACAACCGCCTTTGAAACCAAAACGGTATCATCCGTCACATCTACTAAACGTAATAATACAAGGTATCCATATTCATCTTGAGCAATCTTGCTGAGGAAGGGTTTGAAGGCCTTGATAATAGTTTTCTTATCCTTTGGAGTCGAATATGATAAGCAAAGCATGGCAACGCGAGCGCCCTCACGAGTGTGTACCATATCTTGAAGATTATCCCTGAGCAAAGACATTAATTCATCACGACTCTTTGCATCCGCCAAAGTCAAGAATTGTAATAATGGCTTGTGAACAATACTGTGGACCAATGTTCCCTTGTCAAGACATCCCTTCAATACATCATACATATACTTGAGTACTGGTTCCTTTTTTTCAGGCATAGTTTCCAAAAGAGCCTCCAAAGATTTGCTGGCTCCACCATGATTGAACAATGTCATTTCAGGACCATAGAATTCCGCCAATAATTCATTTCGTTGTGCTGCCGTTGAGAATTGAGCATAAAATCCTTCAATCACTGCCGATGCTTCCTTGTGTCGAATCATTTTGCGAACATGAGTACGGAATTCGGATAAGATACTATCTCTTTGCCAATGACTAGCAAAAAAAAAAAAAAAAAGATTGTTAAGTTAGTGATACATTTTCTTTGATTTCTCGTTTATTTGTTTACCAATATTCTAAGGCCTTAAGAACAATAAACTTGCCATACATAGATTTTGCCAAAGTTTCATATTTTCCCTTGAGTTCTTCTGTGATTTGATTACGTTGTTCACCATTACCCTTCTTCAAACAGGTTTGAATAATACGAGAAGCATCATGTTTGAAAATAACCTAATAAAAAAAAAAGGAAGGTTATTATCACTTGTTTGTATAAAAGAGAAAAAAAAAAAAGAGTTTTTCACCTACGTCTTGTACACGTCCTTGAATAATAGACATCATTTTTTCCATTAATTGCTTTTGTTCTTCTCTTTTGATATCACCACGTCGTAATTGTTCCCACACTTTTTTAGCTTCAGTAATCATATCAAAACTACGATCATGTGCTTTGCGTTCCAAACGAGTATTCTTTTGTTCCTTTCGAGATTCTATCAAGATCAACAATACCATCAGTGAAAGAGATATCAATTAGGTTCAATTCATTTATTCTTTTTTTTTTTGTTTGTTTTAGATTGTTGATTTACCTATTTTGGATTTCTTTGGTTGTTCAGTATGGACTTCAGGTCCTTCCTTTCGTTTGACAGCAGTTTCTGTGTATGCCATGTTTGTAAAAAAAGTTTCCTTTTGTCCAATGATCTAGATAGGAAGAGGAAGAAAAAAAAAAAAAAAAAGAAGAGAAAATCTCAGCCAGAAAAAAAAAATCAAACCTTTTGGATTCAAGTCACAAACAAAAATAAGCCTCGTCGGTTATTAAAAAGAAATTCATGCATTGGATCAACCCTGCCCTGATAATTCAATAAAAATATAGATTTACTTTTCAGGTACCGTGCGCTACATCAAAGATAGCCCATTCACGCTAACAATACATTCAAAAAAAAAAAAAAAAAAAAAGATGATGTTTATTCCAGAGGATGACTGTTGACGTTTTATCAGTGATATCCCTCACTGAAAATACACTATTTCAACTATTCAATACAAATATAATTTACTAAAAAGAAAAAGTCCCAGAGAAGTTAAAAAAAAAAAAAAAAAAAGAATAAAACTTAGTTCACAGCGTCACCATAAAAAGGCATCTTGCTGTTTCCGTCCAATGAGGTATCTTACCAATGTGGTCTGCTTGGTCACAATAGATATTCTTGACTCTTGATTGTTTCTTGACATAAAAATGTGACAGTGTGCCAAATGATTGCCTTTGAATCTTCTTAAAAAAAAAGTCAGTATCTGTCCTTTTTAAATATTCTTCTTTCACTTTTCCATACCTTGAATGGCGTTAGGGCATCTTCTTCGCTTGCCGCTATATGTGAAGCTTTCACCCCCATTTCCCAAAAATTCTTCAAAACTATTTGTAGGTCCAAATAGAATGCTACTTGCTTGACATCTAAAGCCTCTTGGCCGATATTATATAAAGAGGATCAGGTTCATTTACGCTGTTCTAATGATAGCGACATTTATCGTCAAAGATCCTGTAATTGTTGTTGACACTTGATTGGATGTTGATGATGATAGAAGCATTATCGTATTTTAATAAACAATAAAAATATAAAAAAGTAAAGAAAGAAAGAAATGAAAAAAGAAAGAAAAAAAAGAAAAGATTATTTTATATGTCTACCTGATCGGAGCCAGTTTAAAAAATCCTGCAAATCAAATCAACCAATCATAAGGAATCACATAGGTTTAATTCCGTTTTTATATACAAAAAGGAGTGAATTGATAGATTAAAGATCATGATGATGATATATTAGTTGAATGTCTTTATCACTTATTTATCACATCTGTTGTACTGTATTCATTTGAACTTTGAATAACTACGATAGTAAAGAGAGATTAAAAGAAAAAGTAATATCAAGCATATAAATTATATAATCAATTTGAACGACTTTTTATTAATCTGATGAAACATCAATTGCATTCATTTAGAATAAATCACATTATATTATAAATTGATTACCTGATAATAACAAAATAATTCAAGTAATGAATATAAATTATGAAAAGCGGTAGTTGAACATCCAAAAAAGGAAAGGCTTAATTCATGAGGTTATATAAAATAGACCTCACATTTTTTGATTTTCTCACACTTTCTTCTTCTTTTTCTTCCTTATCACTACTTTTATAAACTTATTCTTTTTCTATTTTGTATAAAAAGTAAGTAAAGATATAATAAAAGGAACTTTATATATTTGTTAACTAAATTCTCTCTCTCTCTTTTTTTTTTTTTTTTTTTTATCTTGCTATAGAAATATCATCTCTGAACTCTTCTTTACAAACTGAATTCTCAATATATATTCAACAGATCATGAAACTATAACAATGGGACTATAACTATCAGAGGTACTACTATAATTCGAAAGGAAAAAAAAAGAAATAGTAAAATAGCAAGTGATTTAGGTATGGCTGCGATTCTCATTCTTTCCTTTTTTTTTCTCAGTAGTGTTCCAGTATCATGCCAATAGAAAGGCTATTGAACCTATATATCAATTATGGTTATTAAGCACAAACAAAACATAATCAAGGATATTATATTTGAAGGTAAGACGTAAAATACGATAATGAAGGACTTGTCAATCATTAATATCATCTTTTCTTTTCCTTTTTTTTTTTTTTTTGTTGATGGGTAATGTTACAAATACAAGTTTAGCTGCTTATATGTTACTCTATTTTCTATAAAGGCATCCTATCTTATCAAGATGGTTTGAAATTCTCATCAGTTAGTTATCCTCGTGGAAATTGATATCGTTATCATTACTATCATTGTCATTCTTCAACTGTTATTGGTATAAGTTCCAACTACAGTGTGGAATATATATTATACACATCAACCATTAAACATTTATTTATTGAATCGATAGGTTGTCATGATACATCGTCCATCAGTCTTATTATGTTACTATTACTCAATTGTTATGATCATTTTCAAGTACGGTCAATTAGTGTATTCAAAGTGAGATATAAAAAAAAAGAAAAGAAAAAGAATATTTAAAATATGATTCTCATTCTCATTCTCTTTTTCTTCTTTCTTTTTTTATTTCTTTGATGCATCATCATCCTATATATACAGATCACAGAACCAAATGAAAATTGGATACATGAAAAGGATGAATAACTAATGCAACTGTATTATTAACAACAACTGGAAAGGGAAATCAATTTGTGTGTAAATAGATGACATCTTTTCTATAGTTTTTTTAATGATAGCTATTATATTATTTTTATATTCTTCTTCTTCTTCTTTAATAAAGTTTATCTTTATATCATCATCATCTTATTATTAGTATGATTATGATTATTATTATTATTATTTATTCATCTATTCTAGTTTATTCATAAGTGTTTTCCATAAATGGTATAATTCAATGTCCGGTCAATGTGGGAGGTGTTGGATCAAAAAAAGTCTGGAGGTTCCAATCTCAAAAAAAAAAAGTTGGTCGAGATCAAAAAGAAAAAAAATCTGGGAGATTGAAAAAAAAAAAAGATTGTTGGAGACAATGGAAAAATTGGACCAAGCTCTGACAAGAAAAAAAAAAAATTGGCGCGCTCTCACCTTTTTTTTTTCCTTTTGCTTTTTTTTCTTATTATTTTTTTTTTTTTTACTTAACCAATGAACATTGTAAGTTACCATTATACATTACTAATCTATATCATACATTCTATACTTACTATATACTTACTTCTTTTTCCTTTTAGTTTCTCATACTATGAACTATCTTTTCTTTTTCTTACTCTTTCTGTGTAAAATATAATAGATAGATAATATGACAACTAGATATTATAACAGCCTTTCTATTGGACAAAAAATGACAAGTTAGGAAAAAAGTATCTTTCTACTTCTTTATCATAGATATTAGTTTATTCAGTAGTTTAATATCTTAGTTAGTGTTTTATATTTTATTATCTTTTTTTTTTATTCTCATTTAAATAAAACAAATAATCTTGATTGGCAATATATTACGCTGTGATCAACCATTAATAAAAAGAGAGCACTTTTAAACTATGAAGACCTTTTTTTTTCAAAAAAAAAAAAAAAAACGTTTTTATTGTAATTGATAAAATGATGGTTTATCTTGTAGAAAACTAAAGGATTTAACCAGCCAAAGCGATAGCTAGACCAAGAATACTTGCGATGGTACCAGCCAAGGAAGCGATACCAGTGTAGTTGTCCCAATCAACATTGGAAGTGTAAGCATTCTTTCCAGCATCTTGACAACATTGAATGAAAGGTTGAATGTATTGACTATCAGGATTGTAATAAGCCCATTTACCACCAACAGCAGGCATATCACTACCAAAGTAATACCAGTTGGTGCTTGTTCCACAATCATAGCTTGGAGCAGTAGAATCCAATGATGCGGTATCTCCACACCACATAAAATAACGTGTCTTTGCTTCAACAGCTTGGAAAGCAATAAAGAACAAAGCCAAAGAGAAGATGATTTGTTTAAGTTGCATGATAATGATTCGAAAGCGACTAAAGAGAGAGAATAAAGTTGTATGAACGTCTTGTTTTCTGTCCATTTTATATTTCTTTTTTTTTTTCCACAGCCTCATACTTCTTTATTTCTATATAAGTATATTAAAAAAAAGCGCAATCATAGCCACAGATACTTTAAAACATTTTCCTCTAATGAATAATTTAGGTATCAGAAACTAGCCATATTTGATTTTTTTTCCACCTTACTTACCACTTTTATATTTTTCTCGTGATGTCCTGATGATGGTGAACTATTGGTTCGTATAAATATCTGTATGACACTTCATGTACCTGTATCCCTATAATGACGCCTGATGATGATGATGATGATTGACAATATTGGCATAGAATGATAACAAATAATAACGGATCATGACCATAGTGAAAAAGGTGGGAAAAAAAGGCGTATTAATTTTATTAAAGAAGAATTTAAAGAGATAATGTAATAATATATATCGTAAACGATAACTAGTCAACGGGAACAATAACATCCAGATGAAGAAGAGGTTCACCAAAACAGAAAAGATCGCCAAAAAGGATAATTTCGCCAAATTAAGTTGCCTTTCTTGTCTAGTAGAATTCTGTCGTTGATCCAATTTATTGGTGTTGTTGTACTCCCATCCTGTTGATCCTGTACTACACCCATTCAGTTGAAAGCCGCCGATCATCCATTCTTATTTTATACCCATTCAACTGATCCAGTTTCACGTCATTTATCATTCTATTCCTAATAAATTTACATAGAAAAATAAAAAAAAAAAGGTAAATATAAATGAGTTGAGAGGAAGGCAAAGAAAAAAGTGAATGAGGGAGGAACTAGAAGAGTCAAAGATATATATAATATCAAAAAAGTAAAAATAAAAATAATGAGAGCCATAAAAAAGTAATTATTGAGAAAAGATGAAGAACGGGGTGGGGAGAAGCAACTTACCACAGAGAAACAGAAAATGACAAGAACCAATAAAGGCAAAGTAAGACACCATTCACTATAAACATTAACTGTATTGTCAAAAAGAAAGAAAGAACAAGAATAAAAATAAAAATAGATTAATATCATAAATTGAGTTCAGTTCATCACGTTCCTTTCTTGACATTACCTTTGCTCAATTGAGTTCATTGCAAATCGCCAGTTATAAGGTATATGAAGACATGACTAGCAACAATCTAAAAAAAAAAAAAAAAAGGAGAGAGAGAGGATAAATAATATGCTTCCAAAAAAAAGTATAGGAAGAAGAAAAGGTAATGAGAAATAAAAAGAAAGAGGGAAGAAATAACTTTTTTTTTCTTTTGGATTTTTTTACAGTTAAAATATTCAAACTCATATCTTCTTATCGCAACTAAAACTTGAATCAACCAAAGTCATGCTACTGAAGTTTGGCAAACCTTTAAATGAATCACACCTCATGCCATCATTAAATCATATCATCTACCATTACATAATGAATATATGTGAGCCATTTTTTTTTTTCGAGAATATAGAGTTTAATATTGAAATAATGAGAAAAGAGACTAGTTACATAGACATTAAAACTATTTCAAATTATATATATTCATATCATTTTATCAAAAGATGTGTCAACTTTAGCCATCCATAACGTTTTAACCTGCCAAAGCGATAGCCAGACTGAGGATACCGGCGATGTCACCAGCCAAGGAAGCGATACCAGTGTAGTTGTCCCAATCAACATTGGAGGTGTAAGCGTTCTTTCCAGCATCTTGACAACATTGAATGAAAGGTTGAATGTATTGACTATCAGGATTGTAATAAGCCCATTTACCACCAACAGCAGGCATATCACTACCAAAGTAATACCAGTTGGTGCTTGTTCCACAATCATAACTTGGAGCAGTAGAATCCAATGATGCGGTATCTCCACACCACATAAAATAACGTGTCTTTGCTTCAACAGCTTGGAAAGCAATAAAGAACAAAGCCAAAGAGAAGATGATTTGTTTGAGTTGCATGATAATGATTCGAAAGCGATCAAAGAGAGAGAATAAAGTTGTATGAACGTCTTGTTTTCTGTCCATTTTATATTTCTTTTTTTTTTTTTTTTTTCCACAGCCTCATATCATACATCTTTATTTCTATATAAGTATATTAAAAAAAGGCGGGTCATAGCCACATATTCTTGTGATGATCAATTCATATGTCGAATACTAGCCATATTTGATTTTTTTCACCCTATTTGGTTATTTTCGTAACTTCCTCGTGGTGTCTTGATGTTAATAACAATGAATGAGTACACGAAAGCCAATGATGATGACAATAAAATAAAACAATAAAATATCAATATGATTTTATTAACAAAGAGATCGTATATTATATAGAATAACTATGTATAAAAGTCTTTCCAGAAGTAGGTCGAGATGAGAAAGTCAACAAGAGGATCACCAACAAAAAAATATAATACTTGTTCAAGTTTCACTTGCTCTTCTTGTCTAGTTCAATCCTGTCATCTGTCCTTCTAGCCAATCCTGTTGTATATATGCCCAATGAATCCAGTCGTGTATTTGTCTAGTTGATCTTCTTATATGCATCCGATTCATCCAATCATAATATCTACCTTGCCGTATCCTATTCTGTTCTATAAATATGCATCATAAAAAAAAAGAAGGGAAAAATGATCACCAATTTGATCTTTTTGCATCACAAAAAAAGAAGTGTTAGTCAAGAATCAGAGTATATTAAAAAAAAAGAGAGAGAGAAAGGAAAGAGAAAAGGGGTTACTTACCACAAAGCGCGAGAAGTGACTGAAAGCAGTGGAGATGAATACGACGCTGTGGATCTAAAGAGTTGTTTCCAAAAAAAAAAAAAAGAAAGAATCATAACCACGTTATATCTTTTTTTTTTTTCCTTTGTTACCATTTCCTTCCTTTAACGTAGACGCGTGAACGGCAATTCCCAAAGGTAATGTTAAACACTATATAATTTTCTCATGGAAAAGAATCCAACAAGAAGATGAGCAAGCTTCGGATAAAATTAGAATAAGGGTGAGAAAAAAAAAGTGATGTGTAATAAAAAGAAAAAGGAAGGAAAAGAAATAGGATGGAAAAGAAAAATAACACTATTTTGATTTATCGGAAATCGAATTTGCTATACTCATTCATACTTGTACATTATCATCCATCATTATGAAAAAAAAAAATGACATTTCTTTATTCAAATTTATTATGATAGTCTATGAGTCTATTTTTTTAAGCAGCCACCAAAGCAATGCCCAAACTAAGAATACCGGCAATGGTACCAGCCAAGGAAGAGATACCAGTGTAGTTGTACCAATCAACATGAGAAACATAGGCGTTCTTTCCAGCATCTTGACAACATTTAGCGAAGGGCTTGATGTATTCACTGTCAGGGTTGTAATAAGCCCATTTACCACCAACAGCAGGCATATTGCTACTAAAGTAATACCAATTGGTGCTTCGTCCACATTCGTAACTAGGTGCAGTAGAATCCAATGATTTGCTTTCACCACACCACATAAAGTAGCGGTTCTTTGCTTCAACAGCTTGGAAAGCAATAAAGAACAAAGCCAAAGAGAAGATGATTTGTTTGAGTTGCATGATGATCAATATATCTACTAGGTAATAAAGAAAAAAAAAGGTATGGATGATCGTTCCTTTTCCCTTTTATACCTCATTTCTTTTTTTTTTTTATCATTCACAGCCTCATAGATCTCAATTTCCATATATGTGTATTTAAAAAAAAAAAGAAAGGAAAAGGAAAATAAAAAAAAAAGCTCACGCCACAGCCACAGGTAAAAAAAAAAAAAAAAAAAAAAAAAAAAAAAAAAAAAAAGGTTTCTGTACCTGAATTCTGGTCCCAATTGTCTAGCCACATCCCGACTCCTCCCCACACTAACTTAAACTATTTTTACTAACGTTTCTTTTTTTATGGTATGTAGCAGGATACTGATGATGATCATGACTCGTACAATAATCTTTCGATGATGTTGCTGATGATTGTCTTTGTTGACGATGACGACAATGGCGTCAGTATTCCTTAGTTTTCAAATTCAAAATAAGCACCGAGGTGAAGGACAGTTACACTAGTCAGCAAATGGATGATGATGTTTTTTAGAAGCGATGTGGAATACTATAACTGATGATATGTGGCTGTGAAGGCACAAATGTAAAATGATATTTAATGAATTGAAACAATGATGTTAAAAGCGATGAGCTGTATATGATGTCCTTTACAAAAAAAAAAAAAAAAAGAATGTACAGTGCATATATATTTTCAACTTGTTTTAGATATGATTATAATCATTTTCATATATGATTAAACAATCCCATCTCTAATCAATCCTTTTTTTTTTAAAAAAAAAAGATATTATGAATTGATCGAGTAGCGAAGTAATGAGGGATATTTTTCTATTTCTGTGTCATTTCTATGGTTACACAATCTCACACTCTCATTGACAAATAAATTGACATGCAGATCAATTCTCTGAGTTGTTGAAGTTAGGATTAACAACCGATCAGACACAGCTGAAATAACATCAATGTTAGAAGCAGTTCAAAAAGTATGTTGAGATGATTCTTTCTTTCTATTATTATTATTATGAATGATAATATGTTTGGTAGTTGTTTAAAAGGAATAGATGATGATGTGAATTAACATTTAATTAATGAATTAAACGTTGATGAAACGAGAAATGATTTTTTTTATGATTGCAAGTCCTTTGCCGGCCTTCTTTTTTTTTTTTTTTTTGGTTCATCGACATAAACATCAGATGTTAAACATCAGATGTATCTACAAGCAACATTTTAATGAAAATGAATCATAGTTTGATTACTGATTGGTAATACAATGATTGATTAAGGACAATCTCGGTTAGTTTAAACTAAAAAGAGTTTAGCATCATGTGTTGCCTAATGGTCTATACTAATAGTAGTATTTTTATTTTTATCTTTTTGAATATTCCAGGTAATCCTATATCTGTAGTTACTCGTAATGAAAACTGATTATAGATTATTCAAGTAGTGTTGAAATGGGAGGAAATTTCCTTTTCTTCGTGGTTACATCTTATGAGTTATTTTTATGCGTAGGTGTAGTTTGCATGAACCCTATTTTATTGGTAGTGCAATGGCGGCGTCGTCATCAATACCATCATCATCATCATCATCATCATCATAGGATAAGAGCAATCATCAACAGAAGTATAATTAGTATTACTGAGGAAAAGTCAGAAAATCACTAAATGACAGGAAAATATGTTAACCTGTGGCTGTGGCGCGCTTTAATTTTTTTTTTTTTTTTTTTTTTTTTTTTACATTTGGAAATCAAAAGCTATGAGGCTGTGGAGAAAAAAAAAAATAAAAGGAGGCGAGTAACTAGATTTTTTTCTTCTTCTTTATTCTTTCTCTTTACTCATTTTTGGATCATCATCATGCAACTTAAACAAATCATCTTCTCTTTGGCTTTGTTCTTTATTGCTTTCCAAGCTGTTGAAGCAAAGCAACGATACTTTATGTGGTGTGGTGAAAGCAAATCATTGGATTCTACTGCTCCTAGTTACGAATGTGGACGAAGCACCAATTGGTATTACTTTAGCAGTGATATGCCTGCTGTTGGTGGTAAATGGGCTTACTACAACCCTGACAGTGAATACATCCAACCTTTTATTAAATGTTGTAAAGATGCTGGAAAGAACGCTTATGTTTCCCATGTTGATTGGTACAACTACACTGGTATCGCTTCCTTGGCTGGTACCATCGCAAGTCTTCTTGGTCTTGCCATCGCTGTTGCTGCTTAAATCTATTAGACTTTTTGAAACTAGAACATCACTCTATAAAGTTTAGCAAATAAAAACCATCTTTTTTTTAAAAAAAAAAATAAGCTATTATCTTGTAACTATATTCTAATTATTTTATCAGCACTTAATCTGACCTTTTTCACAGAGAGAGAGAAAAAAAAAGATACTCTTAAGTATGTTATCCGTAGTGGCGATTTAATGATGATGAATGACGACAGATGACGATGGATGATGAAGGATGATCACTGTGCCATTGCAGAGTATACCGGAAGGGAATTCCAATTGCCGATCCTTTTTCTGCGTGATACAAATGACTTCAGATGGTGATACAAAAACGGAGCTGAAAGCAACCAAAGTATTTTTTTTTTTTATTTCTTGTCTTTTACCGTCTTTTCTTTCTTTTCTTTTCTTTTTTTTTTTTAAAAAAAAAATTTCTTTATCTCTGAATGATTACTGTTTGCAACGAAACTTGTGTTTTTCCCAAAGTGCGACCAATACTATGCAACAAGCAAGGTAAATGGAAACTGGTAAAGAGAGAAGAAGAAAAATGAATCTAATTTTTTGATTATCAAGTCGTCTAACTTTTTTTTTCTGCCATGCAATAAAGAGAAGTCATTAGATTGAATCCTGTCAACTATTGTACGAACAGCATTGTCAACTGTAATACGTCTCATACCTTTAGCTTGGAAAATATATTACAATAGTATATTAGAGTAAAAATGATATTAGGAATTACAACTGATGGCACTATATTTGGAACAACAATGGATAACAATCATCGTATATTACATTGTATTTAACCGACTAACTTAATGTGATTTAACGTGATGTAGAATATATCTTCAACCAATGATACTAAACTTGGACAAGGATGGATCAGAATAATCAGTAATCAAATAAGGAAACAACTCATGTCATTGTATTGAAGGATTAGTTTGAATTAGTATTAGGACAAAATATAGTATAGTGTGGATGAAGAATATTGTATGTATTTTATTACTCACATAAACAACAATAAAGGCTTTGCATATGTCATATGATACTTGTACTATTATGAAAACTTTTAGTTTTATATGTATACTTTTATAGGTATACCCAACAATGAAATATTATGTCGTCAAATTCAATCACATGATGCAGGAATCATAACCAGAAAAAAGATCTACGAATGTTTATTGAAATATGGAGGAATAATAAGGACTAGTTTATTGAAGAAGAAGATGATAATATAACAAATGATAGATGGGTATTATTTGAAAGGGGAAGAAGCACCTAAATAAGTATTGATGACTGCTGGAGGGGTTTGTATCAATTTACCACGGATGGTTGATCTACCAAGTTCCTTGTGTGCTGCCCATCGATGGCATCCACCAAAAGCGAAATAGTAATCTTGACCTTTATAATGAACATGATGAACGTCCTATTATATTATAAATATCATCATCATTTTAATATTCCTTCAATTTTTTTTTTTTTTGGTTACTTACAATAGGAGTCAAATCCAATTGATGATCAGGATCATTTAGTTTTTGTTTCATTTCTTCAACTTTGGCTCGTTCTAATGAAGAAGGTAAAGGCCGATTGATGGCAGACATAGGGATATCATATACCTGATACAGAAAAAAGAAAACCACGTGAACACATGATGATCATCTTTTTTTTTTCTTTGAAGATTTGTTTACCTCTTTTATGGAATTGCCGTGAATGGAGAAATTGTCTACAGGTTCAGTCATGATATGTATATTAATAATAATTTGGTATAAAAGAAAAAAAGGTGAAAGAAAAACCTTTCTTTAAATATACTAAAGAACTGTGCGGAGACCTTAGTAAGCGAAACCATAGCCAATCATCGATCTGACTAAAGAGTAATCCTATTCAATCTCCTACAATACAATAATAAAAAAAAAAAATACAAATCACCAATAATACATCACGATTCATTGAGTTACACTTTAAACTGAATATCTTGTTGGTTTTATTTTTTTTTTCTGTGGGTCTCATTGAAATCAAATATAATATCATATAATTCAGTTTCAAATCTAATCTATTGCTGGGTAGTCTCCTCAATTTTAAGGAGTAATCAAATGAAGATCCATTCTTTTTCATGTAAACAAAGTGGCTAAATAGTGTAAACAAAAGAAATACCTTTATAGATAGTAAAATGTTTATTCGATCTTTTTGTTCGTTTCGCAACAAAAAAAAAAAAGGAGAAGGGCATGAGAGAAAAATTTACATTCCGACACTTTCTTTTATATGATCACTTTTTTTCTGTCTTTTCTTTACTTCTCTTTCACTTTTCTTTCACTTTTTATTTTTTCTTAAACAAAAAAAAAACAATAACAACAATGATGGATATTCTTTCTCCTTCGTTTAGTAATGGACATAAATATATGGGAAAAGCCAATGTAACAACTGCCACAACACCTGCAGAAGGTATTGCGCGTAAGTCAAAAATCAAATCTATGAAAATAAAATAGATTGTATATTCATTGGAAAAGTTTTCTTCCTCGATTCAATTATTATAGCTCCTTCTCCTCGTCTTTCTATGGATGAAAACACGTTAACCATGATGATGGAAGAAAAATTACAAGAAGACAAAAAAATCAAAGCTACTTTACAAGAACCAATGACAAAACCTATGATTGATACTTCTATGATGGTCACTTCTCCTTCTAGTACTAAAATTAGCAAAAACTTTCCTTATCAATCTCCTACTGTCTACTTTGCTCATGGTAATTTAAAAAAAAAAAAAAAGATGATGAATGAAAAATAACAAGATGAAATGTTTCATTTAGATCCTGCTGGTTACTTGAATATAAAGACATATTCATTGATCTATTGGGAAAATCCTGCTCAAAGTGCTGGTGTATTATGCTTTATCCTTGGTGGTACTTGGATGACGCGCTATTACTCTTTACTCTACTTGTCATCAGCATTATTTACCATAGTAGCATCTTTAAATTGGATTTATGTCAATATTCACTATCACAGTTATCGTGTACTTAGTGGCAAACCTGCAGATACCATTCTTCACCCGCATAGGTAAATAGACATTATAATCATCCGCATGATAATGATATTCATTTTTTAAATCTCTCTCCTTTTTTTTTTTTTTTTTTTTTTTAGTGATCGATTTGTGATTGAAAAGAAACGAACTTGGTTCACCGAAGATCAAGTAGAACACGCTTGCAATGTAGTGATGAATCTTTTTGAAGGATTATTGAGTCAATTGGTTGACTTGGTATTGATTGAAGATAGCTATCGATCAGGACGGGCAGTGATGATTTCTTTTTTAGTGTGGACATTGGCCAGCATGTTCTCTATCAAATCCATGGTGATGATAGTTACTCTGATATCTTTTATCGTGCCTAGACTCTACTTGGAACATCAAGAAAAGGTAGATAGATGGATTCAAGTACAACAAGAAAAAGGTCAAATTTGGTTGCAACAACATCAAACTCAATGTCAAACTTGGTTGGAACAGTATCATATTGTTGGTCAACGTATCCTTTCGACATCAGTCGTTTGTTATCATCGATTGGTTCAATTTGGTTTTTTTATTTATCAAAAGCAACAACAATGGGCGAAACAACAAAAATTGGCAAAAGCAAGCGCGGGAAAAGGAAAAGCCACAGATATGACAACAACCACATTATTGGACAGTGATGCCGATCTTACTCGTACGACAAACTAAGAAGAATAAAAAAAAGGAGGGAAAAATGCAACAACAACAACAATTGAATTATTATATTATTATTATTTTTTAGTGTGGAAGGGTGATTTGATTGATTTGTGATAGGATGATGACATACTTTTCCTTTCCCTCTTTAGTTAGTCAATTCATCTATGATATCTTCTTATTTGATTTGTTTTATTATTATTTCATGTAGTTATTTATTATTATTATTATTATTATTATTTTTTAGTTTTATCCTGTTTGCCAAAATAAAAAAGATAAAGTTCAAACTCTGTCTCTTTTTTTTTTATGATGACGATCATGTTTCCTTTATTGATATATTTGCTAATGTCATGAATGAATTGTTTGTTTATATTAGGGATATGACAATGGAATGCTAAAATATATATGATATGCATATACACAAACCAACACCTGGTCCAGGCGATAGCGGAGTTTTCCCGATTCATGCAAAAAAAAAAGGAAGCATATCTAATGGAATACATACACAGAGAAACGTCCAGATACGAGTTGTCTCTTTTTTTTTTTTTTTTTTTTTCTTTGAGGGATTCTTCAAGTTGATATTCAAATGTCGGATATATATAACTAGAGTACAAACACAACAACAAAATCCTACCTTTTTTTTCAATTTTCTGTCTTATTAAATAGCCGTTTTCTGCTATCCTTTTCCTTTCTTGAGATCGTACTTTATAGAAAGCGTAATCATTTCTTATAATGCACTCTAAATCAATTTATACCGCTGTCCTTGTAACTATGGCCATTCTTGGCGGTAAGTATAACATTTTTATCGCATCATCCACCATTATATATCATTCATTCATCGTCCCATCATGTCAAATTAATGACTTTTTTTTTCCTTCTACTTTCCAATTCTATTTCATGTAAATAGTGGCTAATTGTGCGGAACAAAATAGACCAATGGAAGGGTCTCTAAAAGATATGATCCGTCCTGCATCACCTCAAGACATGGTGCATAATCGGTTCTTTAAGGTCACAGCCAATGAAGATAGTAATCCAGTGGAAAAAATAGTGGAAGAAGACGAAGAGGATGATGATGAAGATGAAGAGGAGGATGATGATGATGATGAATCCAAGCATCCATCTATCCATCAAAAAATCACGTCGGATCAATCAAATGACATTGATGAAGAGGAAGACCAAGTCAATGGTAGCGCTAAAAAAGGCCGAAAAGGGGACCATGATGATGAAGAAGAAGAAGATGAAGAGGATGATACTCATGTTGCACCTAAAACACCTGCACCTTCTCGCCAAATCCCTGCTGCAACATCATCCTCTGATGCTCCTGCTCCTCCTCCTCCTGCTTCATCATCATCATCACCACCATCTCCTCCACAACAACCACAACAACCACCACCACAACAACAACAACCACAACAGCCACCATCACAACAACAACCACAACAACAACCACAACAGCAACCACAACAGCAACCACAACAACAACAGCCACAACAATCATCAGCCATGCCCACTTCACCAGTTGCCTCTTCCTCGTCTTCTGCTGCGAATCCACCTATTTCTTTGGAAAGTTTAACTTTCCCTAGTGGTCCTGCTCCTAATGTTCCTCCTGGTGCTGGTGGTCGTGGAACTGCTAGTGGTCGTGGAGCAGCAGCTACAGGTGCCGCAGGTGGTCGTAGTCTATTTGGTGGTAAGAAAAAGAATGATTCCTCTCCTGTTCGTATCAGTGCTGGTGTATCCATGGTTTCTCTTATCATTGCTGCTGTTGCCCTATTCTAGGATTTTTTTTTCCCCACATCTCTTTTTTTTTTTTTTTTTTATTCCATTGAATTGATACAGAAAAAAAAAAAATATGACTTTCAATAAAAAAAAAAAAAAATAAGGCTTTTATTAAAAAAAAAAGAAGTATAATACAAAATATGTTCAAAAAAACAGGTATCGATAATCCTTCACCGTTTCAAATACTGTCATGGAGATTGCTGTAGTAGGGATTGCCCAAATAACACGAGCACCTAAACCTTTTGCCAATCCTTTCCATTGTCCTTCATATAACCATAGATGTTTTGCAATATGCCATGGTCCTTTCCGATATTGCTTGCCTTGATCCGAAGCACTGACTTGCCATCGTGTCTTGATGATATCCAATGGAGCCGACATGCCACTGCTGATGAAACTTGCCATACTAGAAGCAAAAAGATAATAAGTCCATTTATTATTATTATTATTTCCATCCTTGATCATTTTCGATTTCAAATGTTCGTAAGTTGCAAAGTAGATCATGGTATGAGGTAAAAACACAATCAAGCCCATCCAGTAGCCTCGAAAGAATCCCCCAAGTCCTTCTTGTTGATAAATCCGTTGTGTTAATTGTCGAGCTGTCAAAGTAGAGGTTTGTAATTGGTTTTTGAGAACTTCCATAGGTGTAAATAATGTGCCTGCCATTATTTCCGCCATTGCCCCAGATATCATATGATTACCGAGATGGTCATGTCTTGCTATACCATTATAATCCAAATATTGTTTACTGGATTCGTAACAGGATAAATAGACTGAAAGTGCTGGCACAGAGAAGATCAAGGTGACTGGTAAGCCGCTATATAACTGACGAGCCACTCTCCATTTTGACGATGATATACTGCCTTGATTGATGATCCTTATCATCCATTGTACGTAAGATTGTCCTTGTAATTTTGGTTGATGAGTTGCTTGTAGCCTTGTTTTGATAGTATCAACTATAAAAAAAAAAAAAAAAAACGAACAAAGAAAAAAAAGGGGAAGGGATTAGTCAACAAAAGAAACAAAGAAATATTGTTTGGTCTTATTACTTGGATGAGTACATATTCTTGCTGTAAGAGCGGCTATACTGGATGCAAATAGAGTATAGCCATCCGTCATATCAAAAGCAGTGACCAATTGTATATCAAAAGGAAGAATGTATATGCAGCGATAAAAGAAAAAAGGGAAAAAAAAAAAACAAGAAAATAAAGAAAAAAAAAAGGTGGACCTACCGAAAAAGTCACTGTTTATATGTGATTTTCAAAAAAGAGTGAGCGGAATCCAAAATACACACAAAAAAAAAAAAAAAAAAAAAAAAGCTTTTTCTTTTTCTTTCATATTCTTCCATCTTGATTGAAAGGATATATTACACCACAATACAACAATATGCCCAAGATCCGAACAACAAGAACAAAGCGTCCACCTGAAGGTTTTGATGAAATCGAACCTACTTTGGAAGAATTCGCCAAAAAGATGAAGGATGGTAAGTATTGTTTTTTTTAAAAAAAAAAAATAATAATTAAAAGAATGGGATCTAGTGATAAAAGCATCGAATCCTTACTTTGTTTTTTCTCTCTCTCTTTTTTTTTTTTTTATACAGTTGAAAATGAACCACATGAAGGAAAACGGGTGGTGGAAAGTACGTGGCCAGTATTTCGAATTCACCATCAACGATCTAGATATATTTATGATTTATATTACAAACGCAAAGCCATTTCTCGAGAGCTATACGACTTTTTATTGAAGAACAAGTATGCGGATGCCAATCTTATTGCTAAATGGAAAAAGGTAAAAAACATTCATATAGATCCAAATGGATAACTGATCTAACCTCTTTTTTTTTTTATAGCCTGGATTCGAAAAATTATGCTGTTTAAGATGTATTCAACCTCGTGATACCAACTTTGGCACAACCTGTGTATGTCGAGTACCTAAGGAAAAACTGACAGAAGGAAAAAAAGTGGAATGTGTACATTGTGGATGTCGTGGCTGTGCAAGTGGTGATTAGTTAATTGATATCTTTATATTAGAACGTCATATTATTACTATTATTATTTTTATGTATATATCTATTTTTATATATACATGATGATTGTCAATATTACAGAATAAAAACAAATGTACTTTTTTTTTTTAAGAGAAGAGTAAATGCAGTGGGATATTATACTAGAAGGAGAAAATAGAACATCTAAAAGTATGCGAGATACTATTGATATGGAAAAAAAAAAAAGGAGAAAGTTAGGGAGTTAAGAAAAAAAAAAAAAGTTATTATTATCTTCCATGTCATGTATCATGCAGTGTCCTACTTTTTTGTTAAAAAAGAAAAAAGAAAAAAAAAGTGTACTACACAATGGATAAAAAAAAAAAAAAAAAAGTAATCCAAGACACAAAAATAGATATTTTTATTGACAAAACAAAAAAGTACAATTTAAAAGAATCACAAAAAGGTATACAAAAAGGTATACAAAAAAAAAAGGCTAATCTAAAGGGGAATAAATAGCAGAAAAAGATAACCAAAAGAGATGATGGATTGAATCCAAAAGGCAAGTATCTTCTTCTTCTTCTTCTTCTTCTTCAGGTATTCGTTGTTCTGTTTCAAATTGAATTTCTTTGAAACCATATCGAGTCAAAATAACATGAAAATCATCTTGTCCAATATAAAACTTGTTTTTTGTTTGACCATTGACTTGTCTAGATACTGTACCAGTGTGTAGCATAGATACATGTGCGCCAACGAATAATCCACCAGATTGTAACAATTGCGTCATCCGTTTGACAAATCTTTCTACTTGATCCATATCTTGAAATAGATGAATCACACTACCAGCCATGACCACCATCCATTGTTTTTCATTCAATAATTCATCATTAAATATATCACCTATCATAAAGATAATTGGACATTGAGATCTATCCCGGAATAGATCATAACCACAATCAATATAATGAGAAGAAGTATCTATTCCAACAAGATAATCCTTTGGATAACCATCAAGATATAATTGTCTTAAATCCGTTCCTTTGAGTTAAAAAAAAAAAAAAAAAAAAAAAAAAAGATAAATATACAAGGTTCAGTTCACATTTTAGATATTACCTGTACAGCATCCAATATCCAATAAGAAAGGTTTATCATATTGTTGACCATATTTCAATAACATTGAATAAAAGAATCTTTGTGTCATTCGACTTGAAGCAAATTTGTAATGTTCTATACATCGATATGAAGTACCTATCTTTTTTAAATTAAAAAAAAAAGTCAAAAAAAAAAGATGATATAATCAAAGGTTTTTACTTTTTTGAGTTGTTGTTGGATAAATTGCAGGTGAGATTGAAGTTCTTTAATAGTTTGAATACCAACATAATTAGAATATAGTTGTAAAGTGGTCTGATCAAAGACAAGATCAGTTTTCATGAGAATAAGAAAAATAAAAGGAAAAACAGGGTCCAATAAAAAGAAAAGGAAACAAAAAAGGAGAGAGTAGAATTTTCGATCCTATTCGGTGATTTAAACCGACTCATAGTACTTGATCAGTTTGTAAAATAAAAAAAAAAAAAAAAAAATGAATAGAATAACCGAAATATATTTATATATATATAATTGAATATCTTTTCTATTTCATAATGAAAATAGTTCATATCAAAATGAAATGAAATAAAAAAAAAAAAGATGAATTTGATTAAGTTACACACTCTCCTTTTTCTTTTTAAGAATTCTATTTGGAAGATCAAAAAAAGAAGACGATCATATATCACATGGAATATTATAGTAAAAAAGAGAATGTATAGAACATTCGACCTTTTGTTTATTTATTTAGGATCATCGTTTGATTCGGCTCAAAAAAAAAGTTTGTTAAGTTCGCCACAACCAATCTCCGTCTACTCTTTCTTGTCTTTCCTTTTTTTCCCCTTAAATGACTGCATTAACTTACCCTTGTTTCTTATATAAATTCTCTTTTTAAGAAATTCTTTTTTTTTTCTTTTTCTTTTTCTTTTCTTTCTTTCTTTATATTATTATTATTATTTTATATATCATGTCACTTGCTGTTTTGAACCCTCAAGAAGAATTAAATCATGGTGATCTTGTAGTGAATCATAATCAACATCGTCGTCATGTCATCAAGAAAAAGGTCATTGCTATTGGTAAAATGTCAAAACATTTTTCAGTTTTACGAGAACATTCAAATTTGGTTACAGAATTAAAACAATTGAATGGTGGCAAGTTACCTTTGGGTATTTTGGCTCAAGGTGAACAAGGTTTATTAAATGGTAAAAAAATATAAATGATATCAAAAACATATATTCATCTTTTATTATTATTATTAGCTATTACCAAGTTTAAAACAGAAAATAAGACATTCAAGCAACAACAACAACAACAACAAACATTGATGAATGATGCTGTGGAACAAAAGGATCGATCATTACAACATATTATCATCGCTACTCCTAATACAAAGGTTGCCAGAGAAGGTCAAGTTTAGACAATCATCTACACCCATCATTCTCCCTATATTACTTCTTTCTCTTTCTTTTTTTTTTTTTTTTTGTTACAACATGTGTATATACCATAAAGAAGTCCTTCCATTCCCCTTATCCCTACTCTTTTTTTTTTTTTTGTTATAACTTCCAATTATATTTTTTCCCTCCCATTTTATCTTTAGTTATTATTTTTATTTTTTTTTTTTTTTTTTATTATTTTTCAGATGTTTTATTGATACAGTTTATATAATCATTGATATCTCTCTTATTCTTTTATTGTCTTCATCGAAATAAAATAAAAAAAATTGTCATACATGATCATTGTCTTCCATATTGTTATTTTGTTTATTTGTTTATTTATATGCTGACTTTTGTGTTTCTGTTTTGATTGTTCACGTTTCCCGATATACCTTTGTTGTTTCAATCAAATCAATGAATATGTAAATGAATAACACCCCCTTATTTGGCACGGATTCTTCGATGTTTCATTCGATATCTTCGTTCCATCCTTTCTCCTTTCAATAACAAATAGATATCATAAAAAAAAAGTTATAAAAAAGTTATATTTGTATATATTAAGAGGATAAAAATAACCCACAAATAAAATTATATTAATAATAAGGATGATGAGACAAAAAGACTAAGCTATACACAATAGGGGAAGAGAGAGGGGGAGAAACACACACAAATCATATAGCACACGCACGCATATATATATAGATATATATACAACACGCACACTAAAGAGAGGAGAGGAATAACAATAATAAAAACAATAAGAGTAATAGTAATAAAAAGAGTATATAAGCTATGGACAATGGATTGTATGTTGGCTAACAAAAAGGATAAATCATTAACCACTTGTTGGAGGATGAGAAGGATGTTGTATCATGGGGGATGAAGATTGTGATACTTGTTGTTGTTGATGTTGTTGCTGCTGCTGTTGTTGTTGTTGTTGTTGTTGACGCTGTAATTGTTGTTGAAGAAGCAAGGCTTGCTGAAACCTGTGTAATTGTTGTTGTTGTTGTTGTTGTTGCACTGTCAAATAACTTGTTGACATACCTGGAACGTGCGGTGAGTTACTATGTTGGTTCATCGAAGGACTAGCCATCATTTGTTGTTGAAGTTGCTGTTGTGATATTCCTACTAATGGTCCATTCCCAAGTCCTTGCTGGTGCTGTTGAACTTGTTGTTGCTGGACTGCAGCATTTCGCATTTGTAATTGAGCCAAATACCGTTGTAGTTGCGCCTGTTGGTTTGGAGCCAATTGTTGAATAGGATATCCCATTTGTGCTAATTGTGCCGCAAATGCAAGACTAGTTGCTGGATTCATTGGTGATTGTTGCTGTGATGGAACGGATTGTTGTTGTTGTTGTGGTATCACGGGGGAAGCTTGTTGTTGCTGTTGTTGATGTTGCTGTTGCTGCATAACAGATGCCAACGTGGGCGATTGATTTGTGGTTCCTAAAAAAAAAAAATACATATTGGGAGGTTAATAATTTTCTAAAATAACGCCTGCATAGTTCCCCTTGTCTGTCTTATTTCAAACAACACTGTATCCAAACAATAATCCTTATATTACTTACCTTGTGTTTGTTGATTCATTGGTATCAAAGAGTTGTTGGCAAATCGTTGCATCGGTATTGAGACCGGTGGTCGGATCATCGATGCAACTTGTTGTTGTTGTTGTGCGAGTGATTGTTGCGTTTGTAATTGTTGTGGATGACGTTGTTGTTGTGCTTGTTGTTGCTGTTGCTGCTGCTGCTGCTGCTGTTGTTGTTGTTGTTGTTGTTGTTGTTGTTGTTGTTGTTGAACTTGCGCTTGTTGCTGTGCTTGTTGTTGTGCTTGTTGTTGTGCTTGTTGTTGTTGAGCTTGTTGCTGTGCTTGCTGTTGTTGAACTTGCTGTTGTTGAGCTTGCTGCTGTTGAGCTTGCTGTTGTTGAGCTTGCTGTTGAGCTTGTGCAGCTGCCATTAATGCCATTTGTTGCTGTCGTAAGAGTTGGAGTTGCGCTGGTGGGTATCTGTTCAAAGCAGGATTTTGGTTGGAGGGTATAGGTTGAGGTGCTCGAATTGCACTGTTGTTGCTAATCGAGTCGTTCATGCTTGTAGATCCCATTGTATTGGTTCGATTCGTCATGATCGGCGTTGTTGACGCTGTGCTTTGCATTCCAGGCACACTTGTTGTTATTGGAGGTCGTACTTGACTTGCCACAGGTGAATGTACTCTTGGTATAACCTTAAAAAAAAATAAATATAATATTCAGTCTAAATATAACTATCAATTTTCGCTTCTTTTTTTTTTCTTTCTTACATTTGGATTTGCCCCTGGAGCACCGTTCAATCCATACAATTGTCTTTGTTCTAATAATGCTTGTTGTCGTTCCCTTTGCACTTTATGTAAACTGAGTTCCATTGCAGTTGGTAATCGCTGTCCACCGCTACTCATTCCATGAGTTTCAATAGTACTACGGGGTACTGATGCATTATCTAAAATGAAAAAGCAAACGTCACCTTCCTGCATTGCCTTTTCTTTTTTTGGTCATCATCGTCATTAATACTTACTTGCAGATTTTTGTAATTCTTCTCGTTTCAATTGAGTTTTCTTGATAGCTTCGAATATACTATATTGACGTTGCTTTTTCCTTGCAGAATCAAATTTCACTATACCTTGACGTCTGGAAAGTTCTTTCTTCAGTTTGGTAGTATATACTAATACAAAAAAAAAAAAAAATTAGAATAAAATGGATGACAGATGCCGTTTAACCTTCTTTTGTTTACCAGAATTGACTTGACCAGATAAGGATGTCAAATTGTTTTGTTTCCATCGTTCATGCAGCTCCCAAGCTGTTCGTTTCTCAGCAGAAAGTGGCGCTCGGATAGAATTGAATGCATCACAAATAAGTTCCCAATTAAATGAAAATTGCACAATCAGTGAGATCAAGCATAAATCATCATCTTCAGTCCATAAACCAGGAGTTCCAAGTCCAGAAGAAGGGGCATGAGGTGTAGGGGGTAATGCTGCTGGCGTATCTTTCACTTTTTTATGAGCGAATAACGCTAAAATGAAAGAAAAAGAATGATAAGTTCATGTACGTTCTTCATTCACTCCTTTTTTTTTCTTTATTTCTAACTTACGGGACACCAAAGGAGATATATCATAACGGTGACTATTTGGTAAATTCTTGATATTTTCATCTTGTTGCTGTTTGTAATATAAAATAGGCTGACCATCGATAGTATGTTTTCTAATACCATGTTTGCGTTTTTTATTTGAACGATACTTGAGAGTTGATAGTTTAGTAAGTGACACAATTCGACCATATTCGACTTCGTTGAAATACGGATCATTCACGTTGGGGTCAGGTGGTGCATATAATAAAGTATCCGGGAATAATGAACTGATATCCACATGTTGAAATTCATCCATTGGTAAGGTAACTACAGTGTGATTTGGGTCACATTCCTTGATAAGATGTTGATAAAGTTCTTTCTGTACAGGTGGTAATCCTTGTTCCTGATCATCCTCATTTCCCTCTACACTATCCAAATCCATACTGCTTGATGGTGTTGTAATATTGTCGAGTATAACCTTATGATCATCCTGTTGTAGCTCTAATTTGACTTGTTTGTCATCTGAATCATCCTTATCATCATGAGTTGTATCAGTTTCCATATGGTCCGTACTAGCATCCAATCCTTCAGTGTTCATTCCTAGAGTCGTATCCATTTCTATGGGGCCAATGGAATTAATAGCTGCTGGGGTCCGAGTTGCCACACACACCGTTGATTTGTCAGAAGCTTCGTGCCATTCCATCACTGCTCTGGAGATCATATAAGCACTTGCAATTTTCCACTTTCGTTCTTCTTTAAAGTCAGTCCTCATCCATTTCATTTCATCCAAGACAGAATCCCAATGTGTTTTTGTCCTTGGAACTGATGTATGTCGTCGCAGCTGTTTGAGACTCCACATGTGTTTCTTCTTCAGATTTTCGATTTGTTGAACAGTCTTGATGGCTTTCATTTCGTCACGAGCAAGCTAAATTGGTAACGTAAATAAGAGTATTAGTTTTCTATTTTTTTTTTTTTTTTTTTTTTTTGTAATTTCTATCCTTATCGATATTTTTCCTTTGTATACCTTCCAGTCATGGGTAGTAAGAATTTTTCGTGCAGTCTGCAAGGTTTTGAAGAGAGGTTGAGCTTTAGCTTTGAGGGTCCAAGCATATAAATCAAATTGTCCCGCTTTATCCGCTCGATGATCGATCAATCGTTGATTATTGTAAGTTTGAACAGGTGTCAATCTAGAATCAGTTCCATTCATAATAGGTATGGTCGTACGTTGTGCCTCTTTACATATATGTTCAAGAGTCGGCATTGTGGTGTTGATATTGTTCTTGTTGTCGTTGTGGCTATCCATGGACTTCAATAGTTCCTCTTGAGATGTATCTAACTGTTCATCCTAATACGTATTCAACAATATATATATATGTTAGACTAACGAGGAAAGAGATGGGCCATAAAGCACATAACATTTGATTTCATTTCATTACTTGAGTTTGACCTATAGTATTCTGATGATCTTGTCGTTGATCTTGTGATGATTCCATATTCAGACTTAATGTGGCAGGTGGGGCTTCAACAGCAGTCTCCATAGAATTTACATGCTCCCTAGGTATTCCTAAATCCTTGCTTGACACAATTTTGCTTTTAAAGATTAGAAGAAGAAAAAAAAAGGTAGATATGCATTAATATCCTTTCCGATTCAATACTTTGTTCCTATTCTTTGGATCAGACTTACCGGATCGTATCACTTTCCCAAAACGAATTCCATTTTGTCGTATCCAAAGTCAGCAAATCACCATGCAGAAGAAATTGCGTAAAGCTTGATTCTAGGTCATCCGATGAATCGATCATAAAGAGTTCCTTGATAAGATCCTCTCGATGATGATAGAGTAGCCTAAAACAAAAGAGAAAAAAGATCAGTCAGTATCAGTGCACACTGCATTCCAGATAACCATTTTCTTACTCTATTTGTTTGATCCGTTCATTTTCAGCATCACGACGCAAATTCAGTAAAGTGTCATTCTTTTAATATAAAAAATACAAATGAGTGAATACAGAGTTATAAACAGTGATCTGTATCATTTCAGCATTTTACCGAGTTGTCCCGTTCGATTTTCGAATTCAATGAGTTTGTTTCCAAAATATCAGACGCCATATCTTGTAAAAGAAAGAAAAAAAAAAGGAAGCTTCGTTTCTCTAAGATGGAGGACGGAAATATAAACACCTATTGTTGTTGTTGATACCAATTACTTTGGAAGATTCAGTGTTTTATAGAGGTCCAAAGTTCGATTCTAGACCTAGTTTAACAGAATGAAGTTAGCATACACGTCAAAGTTTTTGTTCTATAATAAAGACCTTTCATTCGTTACCTACACGAGAATCTTGTATTTTCTTTTTTCTATTGTTTGTTCGTCGTTGTTGTTGGTATTGAAATGGTGACAAGTTGTAATGCTAGTAGTAGTAGTGATAATTGTTATTTTTGTTATATTATGTAGTTTACTTTGTCGAGGACTTGTAATCCTAAAAAAAGTTGATTATATCACCGTTGAAAAGAAGAAAAAGGAAAAAAAAAAAAAAAAGATGAGTTAGAACTATGCTTTATTCCCACCATGAGTTTGATATTTTCAAGCATTGAAATAACTTACTAGAATTGAGCCAGTGGAAATATATATAAAGGAGAGTATACTAACTAACGTTCGTAAAACAAAAGAAAAAAAGTTACTGGCTATCATCTACTTGCTTTCGTCATCAGGCTACCACACTTGTTCTTCTATAGATATATAATTATACTTACAGAGACTTGTAAGTACTGATGCTGTTATTGTTTTTCCACAAATACTCAAATACAGGACGGCAATGAAAATAAGGAATGATAAAATACAAGAATAAATAGATACTAGATACGGGATATATAGGCGTATTAATAGTATGAGGACTTTTATTCAAGAAATAAGGGGAGACAAAAGAAAAAAAAATTGGAATGAAAAAAAAAAAAAAAAAAAGAAAAGCACCCGATTGCACTGATTAGGCTTTCCACTCCTTTTTGACCCCGCTGCCTGCCCTTTTTTCATAGCAATCAAATACAATAAACGAATCAATAAGATTACAATTTATTCTTGAACATTATCATCAATAACTTCTAAAATGATAAAACAAGACTTCTAAACTACACATAGAAAAAAACAATGTTACAACAGATACAAACAATGTAGTGGATTATATAAAAAGACAAAAGCCCTATTGGCATGATGTGGAGTTTCAATGATGGCCTTATTGACAAAGCGGATTACGGCCACCTCCAGGATGGTAAATGCATTCAGCACGTTTATCGATGATAGGAGCAGCATCAACAACCAAAGAGATCAACAAGAGAATGAAGCAAATAAAGAGAAGGATACGGTTAATGTTGGTAGTATTGATCATGATGTTGAATAATAATAATTGAGAAAGTAATAAAGAATGGAAAGAGGAGAAAGGAAAGAACTAAATTAATGATGGATGGATAAAGAAAACAATTAATACCTTATTTATAGTTTTTTTAAATAAAAAAAAAAAGTTGAAACCTCCTTGGAATCTTTTAATAATGAAAAAAAAGGAGTAAGTTGATGTAAATAAGACAAAGAGATAAGGGCCCAGAATGTTTAGTGACTCTTTGTTCCTTTATGGTAAAACAGTCATATCCACATCCCTTACGTTTCATCAGCATGAGAAATTAATATCACACTCCAAGATGCCTATTTTATATACACGTTTAGTAGATCAGCTTGGCAAAAAAAAAAAATCATTCATCTGGTTGTGTAAATGCAAAAACAATACAGTTTAAAATGGTAATTGATCATCGTGCTAATTATATAAATCTTTGATTCTTCCTATATTCATATACTCACACTCCTTATTGTTGATATTGAAGATGGATGATGATGAATAATAGATGATGTTTGGCGAGAGATGATATTGGATGATGGATGATGACGCATCAAATAGAAAATTTCTATAGTGATGATGAGTTTGGCTACATCTGTGGTAAATACAATGAAAATGATCATGATCATGATAAAAATAGTTCAACAACGTGGTTGATTTAACTTTGCGTTCCGGAATCAGCTTTTCAAATCCACTTTGGTAAGAACAACTGGAGATGATTGTTTCCATATCATGCATATTTGTTGACGTTAAATAAAAATGCTTCTTTTCCTCTGCATGAATTACTTTTTTTTTCTCATCTTTATAAACTCTAACGTTTCATTCAATCATAACCTTTTGCTTTTTCCATATTTAGTGTACAAGTAGAGAAACCAAAAAAAAAAAAAAAAAAAAAAAAAAAAAAAAAAACTCTAAAAATGCTACACCTAAAAAGATGGTACTTGGAAAATCAGGAAGAATGATTTGAACGAAGGCACCTGCGGAGTTACTGGATAAACGGTGGCGTGCAACTAGACTCAGTAGTAATGATAGGTGTAGATCATCAATCGTATCACATCAAGTGCTACTTTTTACCGTTACGGCTTAGCTTTTACCTAACTTTATAGCGGAACGGAGGAATAATCTAGCTACTAAGTCATTATAGGTTACTAGAGAGGTAGTGTTACATTCGCTTGTACCATCTTCGTTTGTTCCCAGGTAAAAATAAAAAAAAACCAATGAGCGCTTCATCTCCGCTCAATGGCTTTTGACCCATAAAAATTTTGTTGATGGAAGATATCCCGAAACTTTCTTTCTTTTCTCCTCTTTTTTTTTTTTTTTATATTTATTTTATAATTATGCCTAGTGTAATAAGAGGTGGACCTAGTATACGCCAACCTCTTCGTCATCCTCGCAACCAAACAAACGAAAACAATGAACCAATTATCGAAGAAGATCCGGAGGCTTTTTCCTTTCAACAGGAACCTACCAGTGATGGAGATGGTGTGATATTGAATGATGAACAAGCGACTCATCGACACCATCATCATCATCTTCATCATCATCATCTAGGTAGTGATATCAGTAAATTACCATCAAATGGAGGCTCTTCCAATTTTGCACCTCAACATGATAAGGATGGTAAACCGATCAAAACTCATGGACCTGAAACTTTTGGTGATATTATGTTACATCCTATCAAACAATTGGAATTTCATCGTCGACGACTAAGTGTCTTTGAACATGAAAAAAAAGAATGGGACGAAAAACATCAACAATCTACTGGTACAGATGGTGTGCCTGTCAATACAACTAGTGATGAAGAAGCGCCACCTGCAGCAAAGTAACCTTAAAAAAAAAAAAAAAAAAAAAGGAGATGATTGTAAAATAAATTGAATTTTTTTTTATTATATAGCAAGCCTAAAGTGAAAATAGGTAAAACACTAAAAACAATGATATGATGTAAAAGGAATATAAGGATTACTCATGTGGCTTTCATTTTGAATTAGTGATCCATTTCAAGCATTTGATGGGTGAACAGGCTGTTCGTGTTACAAAGCCAATCATTGACCAATTAATGGATCCGGTAAAATGGACAAAAAGAGCAATCGCAATTGGATCTCCGTACACATGATAGAGAAAAAAAATGTAACGTGTTTTTTTTTTCTTTTTATCTTTTCATTCTTTTTTTTTTTTAATAGCTCTCACTGACTGCCGATGAAATTTTACGATTATACAAAGTGAACGATACTGATGACTTGGTAGAATTCTTCCATAGCACCAAACGCGACTATTCTCTCAAGATTCACAAAACTGTCAATTTGCATCAAAAGAAAGAAGAATTAAAGGCTGAAATTGAAGAAAAGAAACAAGAACTTGAAGAGCGTGCTCGTAAGTTAACAATAAAAAAACTTACTTTCAGTTTTTTTTTAATATATTTTTCTTTTTATAGATATCAAGTTGAGACAAAATACAATGGAATCGGAAAAAACTGTGGATAGTGGACCAGCTATAGTCTTGCCAGAAGGTGCCATTGAACTTAATTCAAATGTCTTTTTAGAACTTAAGGTCATTCAAGAAGAAGTAGAAGCTCTACCAGAAAGTACTCGACGTCCCATTTTTGCGTATGTGAGAAAAAATATTAGTTTGATAGGTGGATTTTCTGATCTCTTTTTTTTTTCTTTTCTTTTCTTTTCCTACAGACTTCCTGATCCAGATTTATCGGATGAAATTGGACAAGAAACTTCGGCTACTTGGGTTGAATTATTCAGTGATGTGTTCTATGTGGGTTGGTTAAGGTAAAGAATGATTATGAAAAGAATATCAATAAATACTTATAGATTGATTTTCTTCTTATAGTTCTTTTACTCATGCTCATCATATGGTGGATTCTGTGTCTCTGTCAATCTATGTAGGTTGGTTTGTGGTCATGTGGTGGACTTGGTGTTCTAGTGCTTTGTAAGTTAACAACTTGATAATTATATTTATGGGTGATATCAAGGATGATCAATACTTATCTTTTTCTCTGGTCATCTAAATAGATATTCTGCTCGCTATGATAATGGCGGTAAGTGGGCAATAAAACTTATGTATCATATATGCTAAATATATTCTATTTTTTTTTTCTTTATTGATCTAGATGTTATGCATCATATTTACAAGATCATTGATCTTTGTGGTTTAATTGGTATGGCTGGTGCTTCTGATGGTTATGAAACTTCTTCTGCCAAAGGTTTTATTATTGGTTATATGGGTAATGATACAATTCATATATTTATTTAAATGTAAATACTGACAAATCTACCTTTTTTTAAAACTTATTATTGCAACATAGTCATGAAGGCTGTCTTGTTGATTCAATATAGTGTCGTTCTATGGGCTGCTACACTCTCTGGATCTTTTGCGCGTCGTCCACTTTCCATCTATGTTGCTGTCAATGCTCTAGCTATTATTCTTTGGGGTGTCTCCCTTTTGTTTCTGGAATCTGGTTCTTCAGCTGATGATGAAGCAAAACATAAAACGATTCGTCTTGCTCTTTGGTATGTTAGTATTGTTATCGAAGTATTGGTCAATATGTCTTTACAACGCTTCAAACAAGTCTCATTGGCTGCAAGTCATTTGGCTGAACGATTTGGTCTCTTTACTATTATTATTCTTGGTAATAAAAAAAAAGAGAATGTCTTTATTACCAAAATCATCTCATCTTCTTTTTTTTTTTTTTTTGTTATTTAGGTGAAAACTGTATTGGTTTTATCAAGATGGTTTCTGAATCTCATGCTGAAGTTAGAGTTGTGTAAGTATGATATGTTTCTTATTATTATCATCATTATTTATTCACATCCATACTTTCGTTTTAGGGTGGCCAATATGTTTGGTTTGGTGATTATTTTCTTATTCTTCTTTATGTATTTTGATGATTTCTCCAAAGAGGTAATACAAGTAAAAAAGAGATGAATGGAAGCAATTCTAAATTATTATTATTATTATTATTTATTTTTTGGATATAGATTCTCAGTGAAGTTCAAGTTAGTCAAATCTGGATGTACCTGCATTTCCCGCTCCATTTGTGTCAAGTGGCCTATGGTATTGCTATGACGGATATCATCACGGCATATAGATTGAAACTCGATATTCCTGAAAATGCAGCGCTAGCTTTCCATGAACAATGTCAACAATTAGAACATTCAACAACACAAGCACCAACTCAACATGCAGCATTCACTTTGGTAGAATCCTTGACTAGATCCTTGATGATGGCATCGACTGAAGCTGTAACTAGTGAAAGTACATCTTCTGATTTACTTAGTGCATGCGAAGAACTCGGCGGAAACAGCGATGGTTTAGATTATGTTTACAAGGCGTTTTGGATTACAGGTGGACTTATCTTATGTATCAATGCATTGATCAAGCTAGTGAACACGCCTGTTAGAGCAAAATGGTCGCGACTTATTTGTGGTTCAAGATTCCTGAATGCTATTGTCTTTTTCGGTTTGTCAGCTGCTTCTTTCTCTAATTTTAATGGTTTAGGAATGCTTGGTATCATGTTGGCTTGTTTGGTGTTACAATGTAGGTGTTGATAAAAAAAAAAAAAAAAAGAGTATAATATCAGGTTTACTTATTCTATTTTTGTTTCTTATAGCTTCCATTGATCTTCTTGATTAGTTAGTCATATTCTTTATTCTAGTATTTATACTCCCCCCATCCATACACCTTGTATTTATACCTTATATTTAGACAATGATGGTACATGAAAAATCAAATGTCCCATTCTTTTTTAAAAAAAAAATTAAATTCATTTTCTTCTTCTTTGAAAAATAAAAAACTCTTTATGTTTCAATACAGAAAACATATCCTACATATCAGAGTACTCATTCGTGGAAAATATTCATGCCAATTAGGATGATAGAGAGAAAGCATAGCATTACTGATACTCATTTTTTTTTAATTTACTCTATAAATGCGATCCTAAACATCGCGTATAGTAAAGTGAAATAAATTGTTTGTTTTATGTTATGTTCAAATTTGGTGCGATGATGATGACTTTTGGGCTAGAAAAAGCAAACCAAACTTTTTGTAAGCATGAATGTAGATTGAAAAAATGGAATCGATTTTTTTTGATTTTACAGCCAAAATTTTCGAACTCCTCAGCCAAATTTTGGCTGTAAAAATAAATCGTCGAGGGGTCATCAGGCAATTTTTTAAAAAATTGATAAAATCTTTTGATGACTATTGTACATTAGGTGGCAAGGTAACAGATAAAGTAGGATTAGATGATGTTAAACTACATTTTTTTTTTTTTTTTTTTGAGAAGAATCCAATAGAGTAATATGACGAGATTCAATTCTTTGGAAGGAGAGATGTGATTGGATGTTTTGTGTTGCATAATTAGGATCTGTCAATATGGTGGAAGGTATTTCAACACCGAAGTATAATGATTTATTATACTAATAAAGATCTTAGTTTGTAAACTTCTTACATTTACAATATAGAACTAATTTCTTTTTGTTATCAAATCAATGTCATTTCTGATATAACCTCCTGAAGGTGACTGTGGAGTGTTTACGGAGTATGAAACCCACCAATTTGACTGTGTTGGGTCTGGCTGGGCAAGTTTTTTTTTTTATCTTCTTTTTTTTTTTTTTTCTTTTGTATATACCACTCTTTTCTACATATCTCGTTACCTACTCCTTTCCTTTTTCTTTTTTTTTTTTTTTACAATATATCATGTCCAATTTGTACATACTACTTGTTCGGGTATTTCTATTTTTTCTTTTTATCGGAACTGTTATCTGCTCAGACAATATATCACTACCTTCTCAACTCGATCACAACATTCACAATCAAGATATATCAGAACGACTTGATCAGATTCATGTTCCTTTATATGTAGCAACTCTACATGATACCAACAATAAAAAGCGACCTACTGCACTAGATTATTCTGTTGTTTCAGTCACCAGTACTACCTCTTATAATTTTTGCAAAAGAATCGGAGGAGACCGAGGAGTGGCAACTTGTTCTTTTCTCAATCGACCATGGCGACTTTGGCTACGACAAATTTACCATTCGGCTCATGATGATCTTGTACGTTACCTTATCTCAATGCACAACTGGTCTATGCGGGAACTTGGCTATCGATTCTATGATACAGTACAACGAGTACAATGGATATTACAAGATTGGCGACAGGCTCCTGCTTTGGAATGGCATCTTGCCAAATTACGATTAGTGGTACTCTGGAAACACTATTTCTCTGGTTATCTCTCTTGGCAACAAGGTTATGATGGTTCAAACAACGACATTATCAACTTGGAAGGCAATGTACCGGATAATAATGGATGTTATCACGATGTATTAGGCACAACTTTATGCATGGATCAGCAACGACTATTGGACGAAAATGGTTTGAAACAAAGGGTGGATGCATTATTCGAAGAAATGACCTATGAAGAACGATCACACACACTTCGATTCCAACAACGTTTCATTCAATGGGCAACAAAAGCATCAACAATGACCACTCAAGCAATTAGTCATTCTCATTCACTATGGTTGGATCATATACAAACGACTTATCAATTTTTAGATGGTGCTCTTTCCCTTTCATCCCATAACAACAACAATAATAACAATAACGCTTTATCCTGTCCGCATGTGATTTTTCCTTTCTCAATCTCTCCTTTTGGTACTTCTTTGGAATCATCTCTTTTCTCCTCCTCTTCTTCTTCTACTTCTTCATCTCAAACGGTCAACCCATTTACTTCTCAGCGCTTATCACATTCTCGCCCATCATACTCGGTTATTCGGCTTTTACCTATGAAACAACAAGAGACAAAATGCAATTATGGTTACGAAGATGACTTCACAGATAACAACAACTGTGACAACAAGAAAAATGATCTGATATCTCAACCTTTGGAACAATATAATAATGATCAATATCAGTATTTGCTGGATCGTCTACAAAAGGATATGATGAATCAATTGGATCGACTGGAAAAGATGATTCTCCAAGAATATTATAAAACTATGATCACGGCTTCTAAAAAAATTCAATCACTTCAACAAAAACAACAAGGACGCGAACATCAATACCATCACTACCATTATCACCAACAACAACCAAATTATTTGGCGCAACAAATGTATCAGGAACTTCGATTATATGTCTCTATATCACTAAGGCAACTTTATCAACAATCGATCGAAAAATTATTGGATGCAACCACATATTATGACTCTGTAGCAATGGATCAAGTGAAACGTGCGTACGAGGAATGGGAGTGGGTGAAACAACAACAGTCTCGAAAATTACAGTATTCACCGCATGACACTCATCCTTTTCTTCATTCTTCATCATCTTATATCAATGGGGATGGATCACAACAAGATGGTGATATCGATTATGATGCTCATTATCAACAATGGTGGAAAAACAAGAATTCCTGGCATATCCATCAATTAGTTTCTTCGATAACAAAACAGTTTGGATATACATTTGGTGATGACAACAATAATGATCTTTTATCGGCGGTCACCTCACCTCGTGACTCATTCTTGGATACTACCACGGCGAATAGGGCTATCATGTTTATTGGACAACGAGCGGATTATGCCATTCAACATCATCGACAAACCGTACTACACGAATGGAAAACCATTTTTCAGGAGCTAGATCGTGAATCACGTTCTGTTTGGGTGTCTGCTATGGATCAAGTGCAAGGAAGACATAGGTTATTGGCAAGTTGTGATGCGACTTGTACTTTTTATATCATATTGGCCAAATTTTTATTCTTACTTTTATTCCTCTTTATAGCCTAGCTGTGTTACCTTCTTACAATCATTCCCCCCCTTATTACTCATTGTCCTTTCTTTCATTTTTATATCATATTGGTCAAATTTTTATTCTTACTTTTATTCCTCTTTATATCCTAGTTGTGTTACCTTCTTATAATCATTCCCTCCTTATTACTCATTTTCCTTTCTTTCATTTTTATATTCCTCTAATAAAGAAATTGGTACTATCTCACCGTATGCATTTTTTTATTGATTGATGATTATCCTATTATATGATACTAAAAAAAAAAAAAAAAAAAAAAAAAAAAAAAAAAAAGGAAGATTGCCTTAGTATCATTTACATATCCCGTTATCACATTTTAGTTTAATTTTATTTGTCGACACTCTTTGTTGATGTTATTCATGATGATGTTATCATTGTATGTGCGATGACGATGATGATTGTTTCTATCGATGACGTTTATGGATGAAGTATAAATACCTAACTTGTTGTGATGATGAATGATTACTCTTAGCAATCCCTTCATGACGACAATGATGATGAAATCTTTTTGTTCTTTTTTTTTTTTCTGAAGGGGTGGGAAAGGATATGCAATAAGAAAAACATAGTTTCGTTTTGATTGGTTCGCAATATTGTCGCCGCCTTTTCGGAAAAGAGTCAAGGTAGCATAGCAGATCTATTTTTCCTCACACCAATGAAAATGAAGCTATGGATATCGATCCCTCTTAGCCCCCCGTTTTTCGAATCATGCTGTTATCTACCTGCTGACAGATTATTATTCATAACGTTAAAGAAAAAAAAAAAAAGCTCATCAGTATCAAAAAAAAAAAAAAAAAAATCCGAACATGTAATTCATATAAACAAATTTATTATGAAAACAAGTAACAATACAGATTCAAAGAGATGGGGAGATAAAAAAAAAAAAAAAGATACACAAAAGAATTCAATAAACAAAAGAAAAGAAAAGGAAAAATATATATGTATATATATATACTACGAGGAAAGAATCAATATCATCTACATAGGGTTTCCATAAGCAGCAGCGCCAAAGGTATCATGGAAGATGGATTTGAATGATTTCTCATCCGAATAGCCATTGTTGATCAAAAGATTGGGAGAATCTTTACCAACGTCTTTCAATACACCCTTAGTTGCCAATGCCAACAATTTATCCTTGATTTCCTTGGGACTAGCACCTTCTTCTTCTTGACTCAAAAGATAAGCAGCCAAACCAGCGACATGAGGAGATGCCATGGAAGTACCAGAAATTGTATTGACAGCATACTTGCTTCCAGTCCAAATGGATTCAATATTGAGACCGGGAGCAAACACATCCACACATTCACCAAAGTTGGAGAAGTAAGCACGATCATCCGAAAGAGTAGAAGCACCAACTGTGATAGCCTTTTCAGCTGAAGCTGGACTATAATTACAACTGTTTGCATTGTCGTTACCTATTAAAAAAAAAAAAAAGGGATTAATATGATAAGATGATCACAAGGATTGTTTAACTTACCAGCAGCGACGGCGAAGACGATACCAGCATCCACAGCACCATTGACAGCAATATCCAAAGAACGAGATTTTCCACCACCCAAAGACATATTGGCAACAGATCCCCTGAAAGTCTTTCCAGATTTCTTTGCAGCTTCAGCAGCTTTAGAATGAGCAATAGAGGCCCATTCAACGCCTTGAACCACATCACTCATGGTACCAGAACCATTAGAACTAAGAACCTTGACAGCAACAGGTTCTGCCTTCTTAGCCACACCATAACGTTTGCCAGCAATGGTACCAGCACAATGGGACCCATGACCATTTCCATCGATATCATCATCTGAAGGAATAGTAGCACCCCAAGTAGCACGACCTTCCAAATCCACATGATCAATATTCACACCGGTATCAATCACATATACCTTGACACCCTCACCAGCTGTCTTTTCATCATAAAGATATTTGTTGAATGTGCCAAAAGATAATCTTTTTTTGTGAGATACACGAGCAAGACCCCATGGAGCATTTCTTTGTAATTCATTAGCATATACAAGTGAATCTTGTTCAACGTAAAGTACCTAATCAAGAGTAGAATCAATGAGTTATAAATAATAATAATAATAACAATTGTTTTCTTTTTTTAGACTTACATCTTCGGAGGAACGAATAAGATCAATGATTTGAGGATCGAATTTACCAGCATAACCTTTCAAACCAGCTGAATCATAAATATGTTTGATACCATGTTTAGAATGAGAAGGATCGAGCCAAGAAGAATAGAAAGGTTGGTTATCATTAACGAGAGCATTAATCCAAGTAGCATGTTCTTCAATGTTTTTTTCGTTCAAATGGTTTTTCAGAACAACAATGTATGAGTCTTGAATAGATTCCGTTTCAGATGGTGCATACAAAGGAGCCATTTTTTCTTCAGAGCAAGGGACCATGGCTGGTGCAGCTACTGCATATCCGGTAAGCAGCAAAGCACTGGTAATAATAGAGAACTTCATAAAGACAAGAAAGGTGGTTTTAAAATATAAAAAGAAAAAAAAGGAAAAAAGAAAAAAAAAAGAGATAAGAAAGTAGAAGAAAAAGAATAAAAACGACGACGACGTAATGCTTTTTTATCAATGGGGGACATTCGGCGATTGAATGTTGTTGGGCTCACTAAGAATGGAAGATTGTCAGTTGACCTTACTACATCGTGATTGGATCAACATCATTATCATTATTTTTCCATTCATGTCGGTAAACGGAGACTTTTTCTATGGCGCATTCAAGTTTCATAATATTGTTTAGTATCATCTTCACTTTTTTTTTAAGTGGTTTTAAAAAAAATATATATATAAAGAACGGAACAAAAAAAAAAAAAAAGAATTCTTTGTTCATCATTTGTATCCAGAATTACGTTTTTCACGAGGTCAGGTGTACGCTTAAATTTGAGAGAAAAAGCATGAATTTTTCTTCACCAAGGAAATCTTTCTCTGTCTCACAACATAAATCGCTCCTCGTTTGAATACAGATTTCCTTTTTGGGACTGCACTAAAGAAAATAAGTGCCAATTAGAACTTCTGATCGACATATACTTATGATGTAAACCAATTCAAAACATCTAGCTGACATTAATATGAAAACACAATAAATAAACAAATATATAAAAAAGATTTATTTATTCAATAATATACTACTAAATTTCAAGTCTTTCAATCTTTAATCAAAACACGTTGATAAATACTAAACCTTTTCACTTTTATCGATTTCTTTCACATTGATGATTTGCTTCTGACCATTGGGATAAAATCAATTAAGAAAACAAAAAGATAACATAAATAACTTGTTTCGATAGATTACCTATTTTCATCATGATAACGATGTTTTGCATAAAATATCCATGTTTTCAATTTCATAGAATCGTACAACTTTCTTTTCCTTGTTTGCCTTGATATCCTGTCGGTTGTACAATGACCATTTCAAATGTTTCGGAAACTGTCACGATTTTCTATTAAGAAAATAGTTCATCAGAAAAAAAAAAAAAAAAGATGAATCGACATTCTTTTGTTTTCTTTATAGATCGTCCTGACAACCGATCATCTCTATTTCATTACAATTGACTTACCTTTTGATACCCAGTCCCGTCTTCTTATATCAAGCATCTTCAATCTGGTATATTCCATCCTGTCGAATCCTGTTATATATTTCTCTAGTTCCATTTGGATTATGTTATTCCAACTCAGTCATATACTTTATATACGTTTTTGCTGATTGATATTCATACTGCTGCAAACTATAACGAAGGTGCAGAAATGTAAAAAGTGGTTCAGTAAAAGAAAACTTTTTTTTTCAAACCGCCTTGTTTATTTTTTTTTAACTTTTACCTTTGGTCATTAATTCATTTTATTTCCAAGATTGATGTAGTCAAGAAGTTATAGTTTTTATAAAAGAAAAAAGAAAGAGAAGCGAAAAAAAAAAAAAGAAAAAAAAAAGAATTGCAGCCTTTCCACTTTTATCAGCTCAGACAGGGGGCTCTTCCTGATTTAGATATCCCAAGTAACACGACGAATAGAAAGTGAATATAGTCATAATTTCTTATTTTTAAAGAGTTCACTACATAAAAAAGCATTGATCATCTTATACGAGAGGTAATCATCATCATAAACAAAGATCATGAAGGGTATCAATACGCTATTATCAACACGGACACGAAACGATACCTTTCTAATCCTCGCATACGTTTGATGAACTATGTGAATAACATCACTGATGATTTAGAGTCTTAGAAACTACGTCAATCAGAAGTACACCATCAGAGACTCTGATCTCCGTATGATGACCCTCAAAGCCTTGAATAACATATCCACAGGCCAAATTATGGACAATGTGAGGTATTACTTTCATCACATGATGTGTTTATTTATTTGTTTTTTTTTTTTTTTTGTTTCTTTTTGTAAAAGTTTTCCTTTTAAACAACAAAAAAAGGTAGTTCATATTGGGCTCTCATGTAAGAGTTTGTCTTTACATTTCTCAATCGTCCGAGTTATTCTATAATCATCAGGTCTTTTGCTCATGTTATTTTATATTTTTTTTTTCTTGATCATCTTCAAGTGTGATCATTAGTATCAATCTATTGCCACTTTTGGACAACGTCTGTCAGTCAACAAAACAATTCCACATTTTCTTCGATCGTATACTTTTAGCTTAGTTTCTATTTTTAACCTGGTTACAACCATATGTGTAAAACATATAAATACATACCCCCTCATCCCCTCAAAAAAAAAAATTACTTTATACTTATTTCAATAGAAAAAAAAACTCTTATCAAATCAAGTCATACATTTATTCTTAAGGAATCAATCATCCTAAGTTTTATTATTATTATTATTATTTTAGAAAAGAAATCATCAAGCTATTTTGTTATTGTCATCACCAAATATGACCACATACATCAATCTATTTTCTTTTCTGGATTGCCTTTTATCATCAAAACACTTTTTGTCCTATCTGCTTAGAACTGATGCTCATTACAATCAAAAAACGTTGATCACAGAATCAAACATCCCATTTACTTTTTTTATTTTGGACCTATCCACACTACATCATCAATCCCTGGGAAAACGCACTTACATGATCAAACCATACATGGCAGATAGGCCTATCCTTAAAAAGATACATGGGAATCGATTGAAGTTGTACCAAATTCCTGAAGTATTTTGGAACAAAAACCTACAAAGAACTCTGGGATCTGATCTCTTTTTTTTAAAAAAAATCATCATCAAAAAAAAAAAAAAAAAAAAAAAAAAAAACTATAAAAGTATGAATTTTATTTTTCTCTACTTTACTTCTCTTTTTCATTTTATCTCTTTTCTTATACGTGTGCTTGCCTCTCTTCTTGCAAGATGAAGTGGAAGACCCTCTCACTTCCAGCAAATCTTCTTTTGACACTGATGAAGGTTGCCATAGTAACTCTATTCTTTATTTTTTTTTATCAAGATACATTTTGTTCTTTTTATATAAAAGAACTGGTGCTCACTACAAACAATCATCATCAATATTATTATATTAATATTAATATCCATCAACTACTTAAATCAATCATCCATTGTTGAAAAGAAAAAAAAAAAAAAAACAAAAAAAAAAAAACTCAAAAAAAAAAAAATTTTTTTTACCAACACCGCTTTCATTTTTTCGCTTTCGTTTTCGTTTTCGTTTTTTAATTTTTTTCTTATCTTATAATTAGTATAAATACATCAGTTTTCTTATTCATTTTTAGTGGAAATTAGTCAATATTTTTATATATTTTTTTAAATAAAATCTCTCTCTTCATCCCAATTTGATTTTATTGTGGATTATTACTTTTGATTGGCTCACTTTGTTCTATATTCTAACTCAGAACAATTTTACTTTACTTCTACTTTCACAAATTTGTAACAAGACTTTGTTTTTCTTTACTTTTTGTTTTATTTTATCTTTTTTTTTATACGTGTGCTTGCGTAATCAAGTACTGGTGCTAACTATAATCATTATTCTCTTTCAATCATCCGTATTACTTTTTCAATTTTGAACCTATAAACCAAAAAATCACTTAACACCATTGTTGGGATAGAACCCAGCATATAAAAAAAAAAAATTTTTTTTTATATATATATTCTCAAAATCCTATACTTCACTACTCTTCAAAAAAAAAAAAAAAAAAAAATGAATATTGTACGGTTAATGCAGAACCACGCCATTCATCAACAAATCCTATCACATCCGCTCACGGAGGAGGAACAGCTGGAAATGGAGTTCATACGAGTATTTCCTCAATTCTTAGAAGCGTATAACAAGAATCAGGATCACAAGCAAGAACTGGAAATGATTCTCTACCACCAAATCATGCCTATACTATTGGATATGGTACACTTCAGATTTGACAAGCCTAAAACTAAGCCACAAGCTCTCAGATATATTGAAATGAGAAACAAGCATATCAAGAAGGTCATAAAGGACATGGGAGGTACGATTGAAACAAACAGACTGGTATTACGCAAGGTAAAAAAAAATGACCCCTGGACGCAATATGTATCGTTGTTTGAAAATTATCAAACAAATTTATTTTTTTATTTATTTTTTTTTAGTATATATATAACCCCCCTCTTTCCTCATTTCTTTTGGAATCGTCAAAAATTTTTATATTTTTTCAATAAAAGGTTTTTTTTTTAACCAAAATCATATTGGCCACTCTTTAGGAATAAATCATCCTAAGTTTTATCGTTATTTTATTATTATCAAGCAATCATCAAGCATTATATTCAAGTTATTTATTTGATCATCATCATCTGTGATCAAATCATCAAGAAATCTATTACCTTTTTTTGGATTACATTTATTTTTTTTATTTTACTTTTGTTCTTTTTATATAAAAGAACTGGTGCTCACTATACGAACAATCATCATCAATATCATCATCTTGATATTATCTTTTACTTTATTTACAAATCAACCATCCACCCAAAAACAAATAAATCCTGTTGACAACGAAATTTACTGTTGAGATTAAAAAAAAAATATATATATTTTTTTTTTCTTCTCTCTTTCTTCTTTTTTCTTTCTTCTCACCATTTCACCAATTCTCACCATTTCACCAATTCTCACCATTTCACCAATTCTCACCAATTCACCAATTCTCACCAATTCACCAATTCTCACCATTTCTCCAGTTCTCACCATTTTGCCCGTTCTCACCAATTTTATTTTTTTTTGGTTTGACTTAGGTTTTTTTTTATTATAAATAGCACTTAGTTATTATGATATTTTTTTTACTTCGTCGAAACAGATCTTTTGTAACCACCGCCACAACTACCATCGATGATCTTTTCGGAGATAATAATGATTAAACCTTCCTTCTGTTCTGACATGCGATCAGATCGATTCTGATGTCCATTATGACATGATGTCTCGTTTTGTCGTGTGCTTTTGTCGTTTCTCCCCTTCTGTCGTTTCTTCCCTTTTGTTCTTTTTTTTTTTAACAATAATTTTTTTTTATAAATAACCCCTTTTTCGAAACGAATTCTTTTTTTTTTTTTTGTCAAATCTTTATTATATTTTTATCATCAATAAAAGGTTTTTTTTTAAACCATACTTATAATTGGCCACTCTTAAGAAATCATTCATCTTAGGTTTTAATCACTTGTTAATTTATTATAATCAAGCAATCATCAAGATATTTTTTATTCAAGTTTATTCTTTTTGATCATCCTCAAGTTTGAACAAACAATCAAGAAATCTACTTCCATATTTGGATTATTTTATTTTTTTCAATATATATTTTGTTCTTTTTTATAAAAGGAACTGGTGCTCACTACTTCTATATAATCATCGATTTAAATATTTTATTTAAATCATCCATCCATCCTATATCCCATCATCAACTGTTAAGAACAAAAAAAATCTTAACACTTTATTTTTTTTAATAAACATAAAAAGATTTATAAATCAATTATCTTGACCACTCTTAAGGAATCAATCATCCTAAGTTTTATTATCATTTTATTATTTTATTATCAAACTACAATCAAGTTATTATTATTTTATTGATCAACATCAATTGTGATCAAATAATCAAGTCATTTATTTCTATATTTGGAATACACATTTAAATCTACTTTATACTGTTTTGTTCTCTTTTATAAAAAGAAACTGGTGCTCACTAACAAATAATCATCATCAATATTATTATATTAATAATAATATCCATCAATTATATAATACAATCATCCAACCAAAAACAAATAAATCCCTAACACCTTTGTTAGTATGAAATCAACCTTTGAAGCTGACTGTGAATCTTTTTTTTTTTTTTTGCACTTTTCCCTCTCTCACACTTATTCCCTCTCCCACACTTTTTCCCTTTCTCAGGCCTTTTTCCTATTACACATTTCTTTTTTGATGATTACAATTTTTTATAAATAGTGAAGACTTTTAGTTTTTTTTTGTTGCTGTCAATTCTTGAAAATAAAATATTATTATCAAATATAAATCACTTTGGCCACTCTATTGGAAATAATCATCCATTGGTTTTAATTATCTTAACAATCATCACACTTATTATTATTTTTTTTCATATACCAATTCATCAAGACATTTGGTATCTTTCATTTATTTTATTATATCTGATCATCATTTACTGTGATTATCAACTTTAATCCATTTCCATATTTGGATCATTTTATTTATTTTTTTAAATACGTTTTGTTACTTTTTATAAAAGTAACTGGTGCTCACTACTAACAATCATCAACAATATTATTATATTAATAATAATATCCATCTATCAAGTTAATCAATCATCCATCCATTTACGAAAAAATACTTAACACCTTAACAATCCCTAACACCATCCAAAAACAAATAAATCCCTAACACCCTTAACAATTGGACATAACAATAAAAAAAAAATTTGCTCCGTAGAGCATTCCATCTCAGAAGTTTAGTGTCATCCTTGTGCAGGGGCCATGCTAATCTTCTCTGTATCGTTCCAATTTTAATATGTGCCAGAGGACCCGAAGATCATGGCAATTTTTCTCAGAAAACACCAGCTATATAAATCCCTTTTTTTATCGCTAATTGCAAGTTGTGGTACACTGACTTCAGCTTGTTTTCAAACAGCGCAAGCGATTTGATTGGTTACGGAAAGATAAAAATAAACAAACACTATTGGTAGATATGATGGATGTCAAAGTTGATTGAATGATGATATGCACAGCAGAAAAGGGAAATGACAAATGTATCAATGGCCTTAAAGACACTACCTGCAATATAGGATCCCCGTGCTCCTTATGCATGATTGATTATTTATAAATTTGATATAGAAGGATGAAGACACACCTACTGTATATGGTAAATAAAATATATTTACAGATAAGTATAAGATCAAGTACTTTTATTTAAAATGGTTCACTAATCAAAATATATAATATAACAAAAACTATATAACTATTTCTAGATATCCTGCTAGTCTTCTTTTGTATCTTTGGACGATGATGGTGAGGACCGCGTAAGGAAGGATGACAAAGGGATAGTATCATCTTCATCAGATTCAGTGTCGACTGGATGTTCCTGTGGGGGATGTGATGATGGTGAGGATCGATATTGTATTGTAGGTTCCTGAACTGCTGTAGTATGTTGTGGATGATATCTATCATCATCCCATCTCCGTCGAAAAGATTCATGTTCATCTGGAATACCGGCCAAGTTGTAGACGCTATTTGATACCAGTCGTTGCATATTCTGTTCCTCGTCTGTGAGTGAGTAGTCATCTTCGCTATCGGTGATGAAACTACCAGAATCGTAATAATCTTCAGAATCGTCTACTTCATCATCCATCAAAGCTAATGATTCCATTCCTTTTTCTTGTTGCTCTAGTTGTCGTTGTTTCCATTGTTGTTTTCGTTCTTGTTGTCGTTTGTACTTGGAGGAGAAGATCGATGGTCGAAGATCATCAGGGTCTCTTGGGGGCCATAAATAAGCTGTCCGAGGGTCAATATGTGATGCTAATGGGAATGAAATACCATCACCTGTTGCCACTTGTCGAGAAGGCCATAACCAAAGTAATGGATTGTTTCCTAGAACTGCACAAATATTCCGGTAACCACCAAGACTAAAAGGATATTCAAACTACATAAAAAAAAAAGAACATCAGACTGAGACGTCATTATTTTTTCTACTAGTTTCGATTTACTGGAGGTATTTTTCCACGACGAATAAGAGTTTCCACTTTACTACGTTCCCAAGCTTCAATGGTGGATTGATTTCGAATAACACAATACAAATGATATCCGCTAAGTATTCCCACACAAAACAAAACAACGCTAGCCAGGACAAAGTTCAGTACTAGAAAGATCACTTCGGTAGTAGTAGGTTCAGCATCAAACTAAAAAAAAAAAAAAAAAAAAAAAAAGATCAATAAATAAAAGTTCTTTTAGCTTTGATATGTAGTTATCTTACTCTAAAATGTCGAATGGCATCCATAATGCATCTTGTTCTCCAGATCAATAGCACAATTACATAAGTACAGGCAATATCAACATAAAATACAAATCGTAGGAAATGAGGATAGTTGAAGACACCAACACAGTTGAAAATCCAGGGACAATGATGATCCATTTTCAATACACAACGACGACAATAACGACAGTGGTGAGTTCTTGGTGGTTTATAGATTTGACATGATTTACAAAATCTTGGTGGATTCAGTTGATTTGATTTGTTATGCTCTTTATTGATATTGAGAATGAAAGATGGAGGTTCCTATAATGATAAAATCAAAAAAAAAAAGAAGTGTGAATAATTCAAAAAAATCTTTCTCCTAATTTGGCGTTCAATAACAAACTTTTTTTTTTTTTTTTCGTACCCAGTGTGGTGGTACTCTACCAGGATCAGTAGTGACAGCAAGATAATAGTTATAAAATATCATGAGGACAAACAGATTAAATGGAGCCAATACTTGAAAGGTGGAAAATGTCGATTCTTGAAGGGCAGGTATAAAGATGAAATATTGTGATGAGTAAGCAATAGTGGAGATCAACAAGATCACACCAACTACGAATACTTGACCAGGAATGGATTCTAACATGAATGTTGTTGTGTATGACGGTTAATATTTCCTTGTTTTCAATTAGATGGTGAAAAAGAGGGTATAGACAAGGTATATTTGAATAATAATTAAAAAACAAAAAAAAAAAAGGAGAAAGAAAGGCAAAAAAAAAAAAAAAAAGAAAGGCACAAAGGCCCTTTGATAACGGGGCTTAAATCTCCAGTTTTTTTTGTCTCTTCCCAAATCTATTTTTCGAACGTAAATCCTCCCTTTTCCTTTTCTTTTTTTCTTCATCCAACTTTTTACTTTCTTTCTTTTTTTTTTGTGTGTGTGTCTGCCATGGCCGAAATAAAAAGTCGAAAACCAGCAAGTAATATAGTCTTTAAAAGAAGAAAAAAAAAGGGATATTCTTTATGATTTATTTATGATTTATTCTTTTTTTTTCTTCTATTAGATACGGCTTTTAAACAACAACGGCTCAAGTCTTGGCAACCTTTGTTAACACCTAAAACTGTATTACCCACCTTATTTGCCGCTGGTATTGTATTCGCTCCTTTAGGTGGACTTTTTTTATATGAAAGTGAAACTGTAAAGTAACAATAAAAAAGAATATGGATAAGGGAAAGAAAAAAAAATGATGGTGATACTAAACTTGTTTTTTTTAATTATATTGTATAAAAAAAAAAGGTCAATGAAATTGTCATCAACTATACTGGCTGTGATGCTGTTGGATCTCAAGAAACAACATTAACTGGAGACTTGTATAGTTATAAATTCACATCGGATAATTCGACAGGTAAAAAAAAAAAAATAATCGACATGAAAAAGGTTTATATACTCACATTGTATTCATTAAATAGTTATTCGAGCACCTAGTTATAAAAGTGTTCCTAGTAGTACGTTTTTGGATTCTTCACCAGTGAATGGCGGAACGATCAATCAATGTTTTATTAAATTCTCGATTCCTATGGAACTTAAACCACCCATCTATATATTTTATCAACTCACCAACTTTTATCAAAACCATCGAAAATATGTCAAAAGCCTGAATTATAACCAACTAGCAGGTGAAGTTATCTCGCAAGGGGACGCTGCTGCTTCTTGTACTCCTGTGGCAACAGATGCGAATAATAAAATTTATTATCCTTGTGGTTTGATTGCCAATTCTATGTTTAATGGTAATGATATAAAAAGAAAACAAAAAAGTAAATATATATTGAATTAACCTTTTTTTATTATTATCAAATAGATTCATTTTCTAGTTTACGATTACTCAATCCAGCCAATACAAGTAGTGATAACAAGACATATACATTCAGTGAAACAGGAATTGCTTGGCCATCCGACAAACAACGATTTAAAATGACATCAATGCCTTTGGATCAAATCACTCCTCCTCCCAATTGGATTCGACGTTACCCAAATTACACTGCTGATAATCTGTTTAATCCACAAACTGATGAACATTTCCAAGTATGGATGCGAACTAGTTGGTATCCTACCTTCAGAAAATTGTATTCAAATTATCAACAAGGTGATTCTTTGGCTCCTGGTACTTATGAAATTCAAGTAGATTTGAGTAAGTTTTAAGAGAAAAAAAAAATAGAAATTAAATATCTCCTTTTTATTTAGATTATAATATCACGGCTTATGGTGGAACCAAATCAATCATCATCACAGGAACTTCTTTCTTAGGTGATCGCAATGCTTTTATGGGATTGGCGTATATTATTTTTGGATGTGTTGCAGCTCTATTTGGGATCACTTTCTTGGGTTGGCACTTCTTCAGACCTAGGTAAATTTTTTTTTTCAAAAAAAAAATAAGATATAAAAACATAGGATTCATTTTTTTTCTGTATAGAAAACTTGGTGACCATGATCGTTTATCTTGGAATCATTCTTCTGGTTTGAGACAACATTGAAAATAAATGACAAGATTCCTTTTTTTATCCATATTTATTCATCTAGTTTAGTTTGTACGTCCATTTTTTAGCCTTTTTTTTTTTATGACATATACATTTGATATCAAATTTATCCAATAAATAATAAATATAATTCTCTTCAAAAACTGTTTTATATTAAACAATATCAATGATTCAAGGGATAATAAAATAAATCAAACATTTTTTTTTATAAACTATTAATAATAATAATAATAACTATGAGCGACGTAAACACACTTGTCCCATTGGAGAGGCGGGATTTATCATTGTCACACCATTGGAATCTGCTTGACATAATAATGGGCTTACGCTACAACCTGACCATTGTTCCCATACTTGACGTACACCTTGTTTTGCTTTTTCAGATATAACAATACAAAAAATGGCATCATATCCTCCAGCTAAAAAAAGAAAAGATAAGTATCTCCGTAGTTTTTTTTTTCTTTTTCTTTTTTTATTCCATATCGATTTTTCTTCTCTCTTTTTTTTTTTTTTTTTTTTGTGTTTCCTTACCTCCAGGTACACCGGCCATGATGGTACCAGGTACTTCCATACATTGATCTAATAACTTGGTTTGTTCGATAGGTTCAATAGGGACACCAGTGGCAGCACTCATTTTCTGTAATAGTTCTCTGACCTTGCAAAAATCGGTTACTAAGCCCATCATCAATTGCTCCACCTTGTTTCCATTTTCATTCTTAATCCACTATTAATTAAAAATATAATAATAATTATAATTAAATATTAATAATAGTAATAGCCGGTCAAGATATCAAAAAAGGAACATTCATTGATTCCTCTTTTCCGTTCCAAACTAAGATGTAAAAATCTGTTTCACTTGTTTTTTTTTTATTTTGTTTTACCTTTGTTGCTGGTAATTCAGCCAATCGAGCTAAGGTACTGTTGTAAGTTGAAGAATCATGCATAGCGACTAAATTCAGTTCTCGGAAATGTTGTTCCACCTTTGTATTATAGGCACCCAGTTCATTCCAAAGTGCGGTTGCTTCCTCCGGTTTGTCCTTACGCCATTTCAACACTTTGCTGACCAAAGTAGGGGTATGACTACCAGCATCAATATCCGCCAAGATCATTTGGAATTGTGGAGGCATATCGATCGAAACAACCTTATTATCCCAACTAGATATTCATTAGAAGATTGAAAAAAAAAAAAGAAATTGAGAATGTAAATAGAAATTTCTTTTTCTATTTTGTACCTTTTGTTATTAGCTGATAATGATTTAGTCAATTCAATGGGATCCACATTTTCATCCTATATATAGATATATATTTAAAAAAAAAGGTTATTCTATGCATTATTGTTTTGTTTCTTATTTACCATGATGGGAGTCAAAATAGTAGGATCAAAACGTTGATATCGATGACTACCATAAACAGCAGCAGATACATCAAATCCAGAGCCAACTTTTCCTTGAGCAAAGCAATGAACATATTGAGCTACATTATGAACCAATGTCAAATCCTTTTCTTGATCCAAATTCTTGAATACATCAAAGTATAAAAACAAAGCTGCAACTAAAGATGTTGTCAAAGCAGCAGAGCTTCCTAATCCAGTCTTGTTCACAGTACCTAATGTTGCATGAGTATCACAAAAGGGAGTCAACTTTTCTCTTGAACTGGCTTTTTTGATCGACAAACCCAACTTTTCCAACTAAATCAATAAAATAATGGTTATTTTCTTTTTCATGATATTCTTACTCTTTTTTTTTTTCTCTTACTTCTTCACGTTGAGAATAAAAGTCATTGTCACCAATAATAGAGATATCCATTCCTTTATTTACTATATTGTTGAATTGATTAGAACCAATAAGTTGAAGAATGATAGTCAAAGTAAATTGTAAACAGGTTTGTACAAATTTGTTGGGAGAATCAGTTTCACTATATAGAAAAAAAAAAAAGAAATAATAAATATATTTATAAAAAAAAAGAGAAAGAGAAAGAGATATTACCTTGCAATAAAGTTCAACTGAGACTGTTCTGAAAAAACGGTATAGTTCCAAGTAGCTTGTTCAAATTGAGGAGAGAATACATTAATAGTACCTTGAATATTATTGTTATGAATAATGGTATAAAAACGAGCAGATGTACCAATAACTAAACCAGTATATTGTTGATCTAATACTAAATAACCACCAGCTAATAAGACTTTGCCTGGTGCAGAAGCAATAGTGACGTGATCATATTGTTGAGATGACATTCGGGGTGTTGGGTGAAAAGGTTAAGAAAGAACAAAAAAAAATCAAACGGGCTTCAAAATAAAAAGGGAAAATGTATCTTTTTGGCGTTTTTTTTTTGTGTGACCTTTCAAATGATTTTCATTGCTGTCAAGTAAACTTATTTTATACTAGTAAATAAGTTGGATAACTTTTGTTTCAAGAAGAAATATCGATAATGTAAATAAAATAAAATAAAAACCTGAAAAAAAAAAATAGTATTAATCAGGAAAGTGAATAAGGACATTTTCGGTCCTAGCTATTGTGATATATAGGTTGCACCAAAAAATAAAAAACTCATAAAATGATTTCACTCTCCTATTTTTTTTTTCTTTTTTCTTTTTAATTTTTCTTTCTTTCTTTCTTTCTTTCTTTTTTTTTTTTTTTTTCTTATCAAAGATAATAACTATGATCTTATCTACTCCTGATCCTAACCCATCTTCTTCTAGTTTATTACGAAAACTATCCACAAAAGAACCTTCTTTATTTAGAAATAATAAAACTCGACGTATCAATACATCACCTACTCCTTCAGCTACTTTAAGTCGTATTCAAACATTTGGTCGTACTTGGTTGAATCCTTTTACTCGCAATAGTAAAAATCAATCATCATCATCATCACCATCCATTGAACCACCTATAAATATCTTTTCTCCTTCCAATCATCTTTCTACAAGACCAATATTAAGTAGACGTCGACCTTTATCTCATTTTAGTCAAGATCAAAAGAAACCATTACCATCTTCTATTCATTCAAAACAACCACATCGACGGCCTTATAGTACTTTTGTTACTAAAGCACCTTTGAACACAACATCAAGTACAACCTCTTCTTATTCATCATCAGCTTCATCCACATCTCTGGCATCAAAATCATCATCATCATCAACAAACGTTGAATGTTGTCCTTGTTGTTATACGCCATCTCCTACATTTAGTAGTACGACCTCTTCTTCTTCCATTACGAACATGACATCCAATCCACAATCTGACCTGGAGCCAATCACTGCACTTGATTTTTTATTAGATGATCGACAACAACAACAAAAACAGCAACAGCATCAAGATAGTGGTCATGCATTCTTTCAACAAGTGACAGAAGAATCATCTCATAACAACAAACCCAAAAAAGTAGGGACGATGCATCGCATCTCCGTACCTGTCCGGTCATGCAGTAGTTTATTTCAACAACAACAACAACAAAATTCAATCACTAGTTCTGACATCAAATCATCTTCTATATCATCATCATCATCATCATCAAAACAACCTCTTTTTACGTCCTTACCATCTACACCCACTGGGTCCATCTCTTTTCAATGGCAACCACAACAATCCCGCAAAAGATTAACATCCTTAGAAAGTCCGCTTTTACCTTCGCGCGCCCGCTCCGTGTTTGGGAAACTGGATCATCAACAAAAAGAACAAAAGGCTATTTTGGCTTGGCGTACCACCGTAACACAGTTAATCCAACAAAAAGAAGAATGTCAACAACAAGAAAAGCAACAGCAATGGCCACTTTCTTCTTGCGTTACAAACAGGGTAATTTCTTTTGCATATAAGCAAAAAAGTTAGTCTTACACACACACACACAGACTGATATATATCTATATTTTTTTTTTTAATATATAATATAGCTTGATGACAAGACAGAGGCAAAATGGTTAGCTTTACGAAAATTTATTATCCATGAAATTTATGCTACTGAAGAATCCTATCATGAACTCCTTTTATTAGTGCAAACGGTAATGATGACAATGATGATGATTATTTTTTTAATTAATTTATATATATATATTAGCGTTATATGACACCTATGCTTCGAGCATCTCAAGAAAAAGATCCGTTAGTGAAATCCAATGATGTGCCTATTCTATTTCATCATTTACCAACATTGATAGGATTATCTAGCAGAATCTTAGCTACTAGGACCTCTGCACCTGATAAACGACCTATGGATTTCTTAGTTCCTTCTCTTGGTCATCAATGGTTACAATTTCAAGAAGAATGGGTGGTGTTTTTGAAATATGCTGTTCATTTTGAAGTCAATACCAAATCAATTAAAAGGGCTTGTACTAATGGACTTTTATTGAAAATTGAACAGGTAAAAAAAAAAAAAAAATAACTGCGCTGATGCAGAAACCCATCCTTTTGGATGCAGATAACACTAGATATGTTACAGATGATAACGTTACATATATATCTTTTAGGAAAGTTTGACAAGAAGAGATACCAAACGCATGGGAATGGCGGATTACTTGATTGCACCTATTCAAAGAGTGCCTCGATATTGTTTGTTATTGAAAGGTAAAATAGTAGATATAAAACATCATGCATCTCATCTTTCTTTTTTTTTTTTTTCAATTAGATCTTTTAAAATATACCCCAACCACTCATGATGATTATTGGGATTTGGTCAAAGTATTTGACACCATGACGGGATTGGCTAGAGCAATGAATGATACTCAAAAGTTACATAGGCGCAAAACAACCATGGCTTAGAAATAGTTCTTTTTTTTTTTTTTATTCCCACTATTCTTCTTCTCATCGTTTGATGAAATCACTATCCTATATCCTTGATGATGATCCATCAACAAACATGCATTCGTTATTTTTTTTTTTTAAAGATACCCTAATAAATCTATAATCCAATTGTATTTCATTTCTATTTTTTTTTTTTCAATAATATGATTATCATTTATGCACATGCACAGTAATAGATTATGATAGGTCATATACTATCACGCAAAAAAAAAAAAAAAAACGCCTAATAAACCGTCTATTATTTGGACACGCGTTCGGTTCGGTAGCGATGCTGATCCGATTGGTTGGAAAGGACTTGCATTATTAAGATGTGACCATCGATAAAATATATATATATATATATGGATACACAAGTGAGAAATGCAGAATGTCAAATGAACGAAGGGTTATTGTGTCACATAATGATGTTACTGTAATATGATAATGGTAAATGCTTTCTATAAAGTGAATTCATTCCGATTCTTTATTAATTAAATAAATAATAAATAAACTGACTAAAACCAAACTAATTCTACATAAGTCTATTCCATACATCCTTCACTTTTTCAGCTACACCAAATTTGTTCTGTTGAAGCTTGCCAAAGTGGTCCAGAAGGTCCTTTTGTTGCCAAGTAGGATGTTGTTTCAATACATGAATGATATCCGATTCAGAAGGGAGAACATACCGGCGATAAGGATGTACAAGATAATTGTCATTGTCATAGATCATTTTGATGGATCGTTCAGCTGGCGTATCAAAAAATACCTTTTTTAATTCCTTGTGATCTACTTGTTCTAATGTTGATGGTTGCCATTGAGGTGGTTGTCGAGTTATCAATTGCGACGTTACTCCTTCTGTAAAATCATGTCGTATCTAGATAACGCAAAAAAAAAAAAAAAAAACCCCCAGTGATTCAATTTTCTCCAATTCTGTTTTTTCCTCTTTTTTTTTTTTTTTTTTTTTTTTTTTTTTTTTTTTTTTTTTTTTTTACCGCCATCTTCTGCCAAAGACTATATTCCATTTTCATGCAATCAGTGATACCCATATGGATCCCTCTTCGAAGATGTTCAAGTGTGATTTTGATTGAAGTTGGTCCTCGTTTCAAGATCGTTTCACGAGCCGCCTTTGCAAAAGCAGATCCATCCTTTTCCAACGCATCCACAATTTCTTCAGCAGTATCATATCGAAAACATCTTTACAAAAAGTAACAGTAGTTAGCTATCATCTTTTCTTATATACACGTTACCTATCAATAATTCGTCGAGTGTCACCACATAATGTGAAATGTTGATTCTTCATTTGTGGATGATCTAATTGTTCAGATGCAAATGCATTGATGGTGTCGTTGATAATGTCATGATCCGATGTATCTAATTCAGTCAATCGAGCTTCCAATTCAGGCAAGTGTATAGATGGAACAAAATGAGTAGCAATTCCAGAATATCTATCAATCCCCAATTCCAATATCACCAAAAAGAAAAAAAAAGAAGATGAGTATAATGGTTAATGATAATAATGATGGATAAAATAGATTAACTATAACAACATTTACTTACAAAACATCATGAGCCTTGATAACATGCCCAGTCATTCCCATGTAAGTACCGACTTGTCCATCCAAACGAGATAAGAAGAAAGATGCGCCCACATCAGGAAAGAGACCAATAGTATTTTCTGGCATAGCAAATTGTGTGTTTTCGGTAGCAATTCTGAAAGGAGCATTGACCGATAGTCCACCTCCAGCACCCACTATACATCCATATCGTTTTTTTTTTTAAAAAAAAGAATGTGAGTAAGTTAAAGACAAAAAAGAAAATATATATATATATCAAATCAAATCAAATGTTTTTTTTCACTTACTAGTAATACCATCCATTAATGCGATATATGGCTTCTTCATAGTGGCGACGTAATGAAACATACGATATTCCATGTCCAAAATATCAATGAATTGACCATCCTTTTGATGAATAAATCCCAAAGCAGCTAAGGTTAAATAGAATAATAGTAATGAGTTAGTTCCACGTTCCTTATTATTATTGCTTTACCTTTGACATCACCGCCAGCACAAAGAGCTCGTCCATTGCCTTTTAAGAAAATCATATTGACATCTTCTGATTTTTCCCACGCCTACCAAAAAAAAAGAGTGGGGGTTTGTGAAATGAGAACCAATCCTGGGGAAATGAAAATATATGGTTGTACCTGTAAACAAGGGAAGAAAGTTTCCACCATTTCAATTGTCATGGCATTCAGTACTCGAGGTCTATTCAAAGTAAAGGAACGAGTTTTCCCAGTTTCTTGAATTAATACTTGTTCCTAAATACACAGTTCAAAGGTTAGAATGTTCACAGTTCTTTTTTTTCAACTCTCTTTCTTCGTATTCATCGTTTTTCTTTTTCTATTCTTTTTACTTCTACTGGTTGTTGGCTTGGTTGTGTCAAGGTCGTTACCGTCTAAGAGAAGGAGAAAAAAAAACAAGAAAAGGGACATGTTATTTTATCTGTCAAAAAAAAAAGGTACCCGAAAAGTCATGTCAACCGCTTACCCTGAAAATAGAAGATTTATTCATACTTGAGCGACCAAGTAAAGTGAATGAAGGTTGTAAGTATTTCAACATGGTAAGGGAAACTAAAAAGGAAAAGATAAAGAAAATACAAAAAAAAAAAAAAAAAAAAAAGAAAAGAGATAAAAGAATGAGTAATGATAAAACAAAAAGAAAAAGAAAAAAGATACACAATAATTGAATTACCGCAAACGCTATTTTTTTCTTTTATTTATAAAGATACATAGAGATGAGAACCTGCTCCTCCTTGATTTTGATCTATACTAATGGGAACCATCTTCCATTTCCAGACAAGCCATTAATTCCATACTTTTTTCTGTCATAGCATCCAATTGTGATTGAGCTGCTTGTATTTCCGTCTTGACCAAATCATTGTTGTGTGATATAGAACTTGTTAGCTAATATGAATTAATATAAATAAATAAATTAACCTTTAACCAATTTATCATTCTTTTTTTTTTTTTTTTTTACCTCTTTTTCTTCTAAATAGTTTCTATGCATGGTCTCAATCTTGTCCTTCCAACTAGTCACTTTTTGCTCCAATTTCATATTTTCTTTTTTGATAGATTTGATTTGTTGATCAAGCTCATCAGTTTGTTGTATCCATTGTCGATTTTCCCTTTCTAAACCATCCCATTCTGTAGTAGCTTCTTTGCATTGCATTGTTAATAACGAGAGTTGTTCCATCACCTTGTCAATACGATCTTCATAGTACATACGTTGAGAATCCAATTGTGATGTCAATAAATAAGAGTATTCCAGAGACATGGCATTGAGTTTACCCTAATAATATGAAATACATCGATGTTTTTTTTTTTGTTCAATCAAGTGTTCTATATTTCTTTTCTTTTCTTTTTTCTTTTCTTTATTACCTGTACAAGTTCAGAGACTTCTTCATTATTAAAATCATCATCTTCTTCATATCGACCAGGATAGTTGGGTGGTAGTTCGACTAATTTGCCATCAACCACGTTTTGAATCAATCGATGAACATAGCCATTACCAGCATAATCCCACACACGTTGCGTTTCAATTTCCAAAGCATACAGGTGACTTGTCGTTTCATAATGACCAAGAGCATGATGATCTTCACCTTGGTTCTTTGCGCGTCCACATCCAATTTGTCCACATACCAAACACATCCATAAATCATCCGTACATCCACACACTTGACATTCATTGGCGAAATCATCCTGGAATGAATTGGAAATGGAAGATCCAAATGATATCATATGTTTTTGTCGATCATTCTGTTGTTGTTGTCGTAGATGAGAGGATGGTATTAATGATTGATCTTGTAATTGCAATTGTTGAATGCCCGAGGTCATTAGCATAGTCATTCCATTATTTGATTTCTGTGAATACCGACATACTGGACAACTATAATAATAATAATAAGAATATTTGTCAGTAGAAAATAAGGAACAACAGATCATTTTCTTACCTTCCATCACCCCATTGACTGAGACAACTAACATGAAATGTATGCTGACAAGATATGGTCAATAATCCATTGAGAGTTTCATCCATAGGATCCAAACATACAGGACAATTTGCTATACCATCTGAGAGAGTTTCTTCATGATCACCAAAAGGAAAAGATGAGAGACCACTTGATTTATCAATAATGGATTTGAGATAGACCACTTGACAAATATCATCCTGAATAACCAAAAAAAAAAAACAACGTTAGTCAGTATTAAAAATTTTATTGGAAACAATGGAATAATTTATTATAAACTTACTTCCATAGAACTGTACTTTCTATTATTGTATTGTTTGTAATAATCTTGAGCAGTCTTATTGTCTTTAAAAGTCATAAGCACCATGTATTGTTGTGGCGTAGCATCACTAAAAGATGATAACAAAGAAAAAAAAAAATAAAATAAAATAAAAGGGAGGGTTTAGTTGTTGGCACTTGTAAAGTCTTCCACGTTGTAAAATAGACCGTTACCATAATACACGATAGTGATATACAAAGGAGTCAACCGGAGCAACAAAGTTTAAAAAATCAGGCAATGACATATAAGAAGGAATGGATAGGGTACACAAAGTGGACTTCGTGGCAAGGTCAGGTTGGTCAACAGGATTGGTCGTGCAGGTAGTAGTAGTAGTAGTAGTAGGATAATTGATTTCATTTAAACTACGGTAAACATGTAATATGGCTTGTTTTGGTGTTGTTTCTTCGTTTAATTCTTTGATCACTCCAATAGGAGGTCCTTTATAGTCTTTTGATGTCATTAATATATTAAAGCATATGATATATAATGAGAATGAAAGGTTTGGAAGGTAAAAAAAAAAAAAAAAAAAAAAAAAAAAAAGAGAATTCGCCTGCGCATCAGGAGGGCAGACGGAGTAGAAATCACTTACTCTCCCCTCTTCCAAAGAGTAATAGATTTTTGCGCATGACCAAAAATATGATAATTTTAGTTCTCCCTTTTTTCCCTTTTTATTTTTTCCCTTTTTCCTTTCCTTTTTTTTTTTATCACTTTTTCTCTTCTCTTTTCTTTCTTTCTTTCTTTTCTTTTTTTTTTTTATTATTTGAAAAGAAGAAGATGACGAAGCGATCTCATTATGACTCTTCTTCTGATGAGGATGGTAGTAGCAATAGTACCTTAACAGCGAAACGGCCTTTCTTCCATCGTCAAAAAAGTGTCATATCTCGTTTTGAGTCGCTTCGTCGCCAGTATTCTGAAAATGATTATTATGATCCATATCAACAAGAACAAGTATTACAACAAAGTGGTAAAAGGAAATCCATGTCTGATGATGATCAACAACAAAGGCCAAATAAAAGAAGAAAATCATTTGCATCTTTGGTCAAGCATGGTGTTATACAAGGTGTACTTTTTGGCTCAGCATTGGCACTCTCGGCATATGATTATTTACAATCAACCACACCGGCATTAAAACGTACAGCTTCTTTATGTTCTTTGGAGGTATTGAAAACAAATATCAACTTACAAGGACGACGCACCATGGACGACTGGTTGACTGGGTCTTTCAGTGGTCATGATATGGATAAGAAGAAAAAGAGTATGCGTGGACATGGTGTTGACTTTACTTATTTTCATCGATCACCTACTTTTGAAAAACGAATGCAAAAAACCGAGCAACTTATTCGAAGTATATGTTTGGATCAACAATATGCTTTGAATCAACAATTTACTCCTACGCAAGAGGAAGGTTGTTGGGGAATCATCAACAAAGATGATTATGATGTTCATTTTACTGTAAGTATGTTTTTTTTATATCCATCACCTCATTTTTTTTTTTTTTTTTTTTGTAGACAATGCCTCCACCTAAACCCAAACGAACTTTTACCTATCTTCAAAAACAAAAGAATTTATTTAATACTACTTGATTATTCGGATCAATCTTATATTATTACCAGTATTTCCTAGTCTTAGTCGTAGTCTTAGTTATTCTTATTTTTATTTTTTTTTATTCTTATTATGATATCCCTTTCCGTTCCTTGTTTTATATTTCCTTTTTTTATCATCCATTGTCTCTATTTATGTCATCATCATTACCTTCAAAAAAAAAAAAAGAAGACTTTCAAAACAAACATCTACATTTATACATTATCCTCATATTTGATATCTCTCATTGTTGTTGTTGTCACAGTTTGTGTTACCTTTTTTTTTTTATAGCAACAATAATAAAAATCTCATTACTCTCATTATAATTTTTTTCCCATCCCATTCAAATGATTATTTGTACAAGGCTAAAACTGAAATCTCTCTCTCTCTTTTTTTTTTCTAGGTACTATTTCAGTCTTAACTAAAACGTATAAAGTAGAAAAACCATCATCATCATCATCATCATAATATACATAAAATGTTGGGGATTTTCCAATATTTATCTCCCATTCACTCGATTGTAATCGTTGAAACTCAACCTTCAGATTACCTATTTCTCCCGAATCTGAATAAAGTAAATCTCTTAAATGAAAAAAAAAAAAATAGATATACCAGTGTTGTATATTTTCATCATCACTCTTTTTGATGAAACGAATTGAGAGAAGGAAGGTAAAACAAAACAATAATAACAAAGCTGTAATTAATCTGCTCATGTGAATGATAGAACGTAATGTTATTCTGTTGGATGAGTTTCATCCCCAATCCATCTAATATGGTGGGTAGATCACGTTAGATCTCCGCATTATGGAAAGAAAAAAAAACCGGCCAAAAAAAAAAAAAGATATTTGTACTATTTTCATATCATCCACTAAGCTAGTACGTATCGGAGATCTATGCAAAACCACTCCACATGAACCAGTAAGAATAAAACAAGAAAATCATAGTTTCTTTCTTTTCTCGGGTGCTTTCGTGTTCTTGATACATGGGATATGCTAAACGGAGTTTTGATTTTCTTTAGACTGAGAATTTTTTCTTAAAAAAAAAAAAAAAAAGATAAAAATGTGTTTTTTTTAAAATCTTTTTTTTTCATCTCTTTCTTTCCTCTTTTTCTTTTCTTTTCTTTTTTTTTTTTTTTTAACTGATTAACAAAAACAATCAATCAATCAAGAATCATGTCAAACTCTACTACTGCTACTACTACTATTACTGGTGAAGATACTTCTGCTTTCCGTCTTGTGGGTGGTGATGATCAATACACACCTGCTTTACGCGTTGAAGATTTTGAAGGATTCAACTTCAAACCGATCCGTGAATCCGAAGTGAATCGTGAAATGGTATCCCGTTATATGACCGATATGTTGGATTATGCTGAAACGGATGTGATCATCGTCGGTTGTGGCAGTGCTGGACTCTCCTGTGCTTGGGAATTGACTAAGGATCCTAATATCAAGGTGGCCATCATCGAACAAAGTGTTTCACCTGGTGGTGGATGTTGGCTTGGTGGTCAATTATTTTCTGCCATGGTTGTACGCAAGCCTGCTCATGAATTTCTCAAGGATGTTGGTGTTCCTTTTGATGAAAAAGAAAACTACGTGGTGGTAAAACATGCTGCTCTCTTCACTTCTACCATCATGTCCAAGTTACTTGCTCGTCCCAATGTCAAGTTGTTTAATGCTACTGCTGTCGAAGATCTCATCGTCAAGGATAAAAAGGTTGCTGGTGTGGTCACTAACTGGGCTCTTGTCACTCTTAATCATGATACTCAATCTTGTATGGATCCCAATGTCATGGAATGTAAGGTCGTTGTCTCAGGAACTGGTCATGATGGTCCTATGGGTGCTTCAGGTGTCAAACGTCTTCAATCTATTGGTTTAGTTGAACCTTTGAAAGGAATGCATTGTCTTGATATGAACAGAGCTGAAAATGGTATGTCATCCTGCTTTTTATCTCGATGGAATCACTGATTTTTTTTTATAGATATTGTCAAGTATACTCGTGAAGTGGTGCCCGGTATGGTTGTCTGTGTAAGTGATGAATGGATGGATTCTTTTTTTTTTATAATGATTTAAACTTTTTTTTTTATTTTATTCTATTTATTAGGGAATGGAAGTGTCTGAATTGGATGGTGCCCCTCGCATGGTTAGAATAAACAAGAAGATGATAATGATCGAAATGAGCATTATAGGGTAAATGAAAATGATCATCCTGACCTCTTTTTTTTTTTTTTGTATGGTAGGGACCCACATTTGGTGCTATGTTGATTTCTGGACAAAAAGCTGCTTATGCCGCACGGGCCTCTCTTGAACGTCAAGCTAAAGCTAGTGCTGGGGCTCAAAAGGTCTCTGCCTAAGTTTTTTTTATGGATCAATATAACTTATTTTTTGGAATCAAGGAAAGAAATGGAAATATTACTATGGGCTGCTTCTGTTGGACGTCTTGCGATTATCATCAACAACAATGAAGAAAAAAAATGGACTTTTCTTTTTTTTTTTTTTTTTTATAGGTAAACGGAAATTCTTGGACAAATCAAGCCTCTCTTTTTATAGTTTAGTTTTTATTTTTTATTTTTTTTATATTTTGAAACTACATTTTTGACACTTGGGGTGCCTTGTTTTTAATTAAACTTGTGCTGAGATCATACCCATTGAACGGATCTGTATAATTACAGCGCACGGATGTTGTCGATATTGTATTTTCATTTTTTTCCTTCTTCAAAAATAAAATACATCATCCTCTTTTTTTTACTATCATCTATATGTTATATTTTATTTTTATCAATAAGCCCTTTACAATCAAAAATATGCGTGTCTTGTTTTTTTTTTTTTTTTTTTTTTTTTGGGAAGTAGTGTGGGGTTTGGGTTGTTTGAGTCGAGAGATGTATTTACTTTTTGGTTAGATTGATAGAGCACAAATGATGGATGAAAGAATAATTCATCATGCTAATCTCATACGATTATCATACGATTATCATCACATCCATCATCACATCCATCATCACATCCATCATCACATCCATCATCACATCCATCATCACATCCATCAACTACCATCACGTATCATCCATTCTTCGTAATTCATATTCAAGTCATAATGTAGATCAGATTCGATAAAAAAAAAATAATCTAAATTAGTGTTGTCTTTATTGAAGGTAAGATATCATACTAAGTGAAGAGGAGGGGGGGGAAGAATTAAGAGAAGGAGGGTGTAAGTAATAAACAAAAATAAGAGTATATGTAAAGATAAAAAGAATAAAGAGAATAACTAAGATTAAATATGTAAAATATATAAATAAATAAAAAAAAAGATCTAAAAGTATATAAAGAGATGAAGGAAATGACAAAGTCTTATTTGTTCTTGGCCTTAAGACGTTCTTCCTTTTGACGTTGACGATAAGCACGATATTTCTTGTCAGTTCCAAATATATAATCCCACCATCTGAAAGAGGAAGCATAGTTTCCAATGAAGGCTTGATGATGATAATCGTGATGCTCGGCGCCAGCCCAGAAAGGAACGATGTTGTGTAAACTCCAAGGGAAGTCATAACCAGAGTGAGCATCGATGGCTTGGAATAAACGCAAAACAATCCACAATAACATGGTGACTAAATGCAAATGCCATTCATCACCTAAATTCAAGACTTTGGAAGCAAAACCATGATAAACCAAAGGACCTCCAACAGTACCAAAACCAAGAATCATGGTTTCAATAGGATGAGCATATTCAGCAGCAATACCAAAAGGTGCAGCATATTCGTGATGAATCTTGTGTACACGTTTATAAAAAGGAGGCCAGTGCATGAATCGATGCATGGAGTAATGATAAAAATCTTCAAAGATAAAGAAAATAGCCAATTGAGGAAGCATTTGTTGCCTATTTTTAAAAAAAAAAGAGAATTAGAATGTATGATTTGTAGTCTGTATCAATTATGGGTCCTACCAAGCAGGGAAAGGTGCTGAGACCTTCATACCAAGAAAAGTAGCTCCAGGATGGAATAAAAAGATCAAAGGTCCTTCAAAAAGAAAATGAGAATAAAGAACCTTTTTCGTACAGTTCCAGTAATCTTCAGATGAATTTTCGCGAGCCTAAGAGAAAAAAAAAAAAAAAAAGAAAAAGTCACTCATAAGTATTTACCCATAACACAAATACAAACGTATATATATATATATATATATATATATATATAAAGGACAAATCATAGATTCATAGATACTTACTTGTTGTAACTTGTAACGTTTAAAGTAGGGAATAAAGTCACAGATGAGAAAAGGAATAAATCGACCAAAATAAACAAGTTCATGCATTAGAAAGGCAAAGATACCAGTGACAACTAAAGGATCTCTTCCTTCGTACATCTTTTCCCAGCTTGTTTCTAGCCAGTTCAATTGACTTGAGTCATATGTCAAAGTAGAATTCATGACAGGTTGGAGAGAGATGATGATAAGAAAAAAAAAATAAAGATGTTTTTTCATTTTTCTTTTTGATAGAGCTGGGAATTGAAAAAAAGATTTGATTGGCTGATATTTTGTTAGGCACAATGAATTGGGATTTTCCCCAAATCAAAAAATAATTACAAACTTGACAGCTTATTGAGAAATAACAAAAAACGTTTCGTATGTCAAAAGGAGATTTGAGTCAACTGATGATACTACTTTTGATTCTATTTGCATTAGTTACGCATGATGATGATGATGATGATGATGTTTGAAGATGATAATGATGGTCGCCCCCATGTGATGCTACTTTAGACAAAAAGTTGAAAGACCGATTTAGCTTTATAGATATATGATTATTTTTTTCACGTTGTTAAACACCATATCTGTCCACATCTCTTTTTTTTTTTGTTCAATGTCTATCCTTTTTTTTTAACATTTGACATTAAATATATTATATATATAATTTTTTTTCTTTTACCCCTCATTTATTTACTTGATGAATGTTATTAGAATGAATGTATATAACATTGATGTAAAAGGATGAATGATGAGGTCATAAGATGATTTGATTTTCTTATGTTTGATAGGATAAGAAAAAAAAAATAGGTGTGAGAAACAATCGTGGTTTAACTAATTTTTGGCATATTCCACCAAAAAGAAAAGAATCAGATGGCCCAAGCGTACGACAATTATTAGACCTCCGCTTAATGTGTCAATAAGAGTCTTTAAAATCGATCCACATTCAAAGAATATTACATACAAAAAAAAATAGAGAAATAAAGAAAAAGAAAAAAAAAAAGAGGATTATTATTAATTCAAACAATAATCTATTGAATATATATATATATAAAAGGGACCTCAGATGATCATTTTCAAGTTTTTTTTTTTGTTATGTCAGTCTTTTTTTGATCATGTGTTACACCAGTGGCTTTTTTTTATTTTATATATACACTCTCCCTTCTTCTCTCTCTCTCTCTCCCCCCTATTTTAGATTCCACGCTCCCCCCAGAAAAAAAGAAATTCAACCTTTAAAAAGGGCTGAGCTTTTGTACAAATCCTATTTGTGTCATCTTTTTTCTTTTTTTTTCCCTTTTCCCTTTTATAATATTTTCAATATTATAGTACACCTTTTTTTTTTCTTTCTTTCTTTTCTTTCTTTCTTTTATTACTTTAACATATATTCTTGTTTATATATATATTTATATGAACTAACTGATAACTATTCTTATATATACATTATCTCCCTCTCTCTTAAACATAACATAACATTTATTCCCTTTTTTTTCACATTTCTCCTTTTTTTTTTTTGACATCTTTGCCCACTTGATTTCAATTGATACATCAGAATACAGAATATCAATACTATTTATTCAACAAACCAACAACCATTATGACTGCTGAAGGAAAAGTAAGTTTATTTTATTAAAGTAAAATATATCTTTTTTTTTATATGCAGTATAATGAAATAGCCGAACTTATCCTTTTCTTTTTTTTTTTTATTGAATAGCTGCGCATTTTTAGTCCTATCATCTTATTTCATGATCATGAATATATTAAAGATGATTGTACCGAACATATACATATCCCATATGGTGGAGATCCATTTCATCATGATGGTCAAACTATTGAAATTCATAAAAGAAGAATTAGTCGAATGCTTGAAAATAATGGACGCTTTTGGTCAGATATCATCACTTGGTCTAGAGGTAAAAAAAAAAAAAAAAAAAAAAAACTTGATTTACCATGTTAATTGATTGATATTTATAGATCATGCACTGACAACGGAACATTCACCTGTACCATCACTTGTATCATCACCAACACCACCACTTCGGTCCCAGGAACTCCCATCACCATCACCACCCCCTACTTCACATCGTCGTCATAGTCACCATAACAATAAAAAACAACCATCCACTGCAGGTTCGGTATTGGTTGCTACTACGGCTACAACAGCAACTACTATTACTTCTGGTGGAAAAACCAATAAAAGACGAAGAGGTAATCTTCCCAAGGCAGTCACTGCAATTCTAAGAGATTGGCTATCTGATCACAAGAAACATCCCTATCCTACCGAAGAAGAAAAAGATAATTTGGCAAGACGAACTGGATTAACTTTGAATCAAATCAGTAATTGGTTCATCAATGCAAGAAGAAGGATATTACAACCTATGTTGGAACAAGAAGAACATCAACATGAATTGGATATTTTACCTTATTGTTCTCCATCTTCTGGTAAATAAATAAATTAAAAAAAGAATTGATTTTTTTTTTTTTACTTTAGTTCTAAACTTTGTTAACACTTTTTGATTAGATGATTCTTTAGATCGACGACTTGGAAAAAGATCCGCAGCTGAAGCATTTCATCGACGTGATTCTATCCAAAAGAAATTCAATACTCGACGAAGATCATGAATCCAAAATGGCAATAACACCAACAACAACAATAACATACCCTACTCACATGATTCCCTTCTCACTGTCCCTCTTTTTTTTTTTTTTAGTTTATATTGTATATTATATCTTTTTTTTTTTTGGTTTTTGTATGTGTTATCTATATTAGAAACTTTTGTTTAGTTTAGCATTTCTTTCCTTTCTCTATTTTCAATCTATATATATATATCTATATTATATTTATTATCTTTTTTTATTTTATTCTCTCTTACTTTTTTTTTTTTTTTGAACTTTATGAAATAAAGCAAATATCACCTATCAATTCTGTTACGTACGACCAATAAAAAAAGTGTGGGAGTCCTTGAAAACGAAAAAGATGGTGGATGACTACCATAAAAGGTTCAGCTGTGATTGAAACTAAAGCGCATGATTTCTTTTTTATTTTTCTTTTGGGGGGGTGAATGTGAAACATAATGAAAAAGGATTTTTTTTTTCTCAAAGGTGGCCTGTGTTGTTGATGAATGTTTTGACAGGTTTGGATGAAACTGTCATTTTAGTGGTTTTTTTTTTATTACTATATGATACTCTTTAAGTTTCATCTTTTTTTTTTTTTTACTCCACTTTTTTTGTCCCATGTTTGGGAATGATTTTCTCCCTTTTTTAGTCTTATAGTAAAGTTCAAACGTAAAAACAGGTTTGATATCTTTCTGTAATGTAGATGATAAAGTTGAAAAAAGTCTAACACCGATAAAATGACGAGGATTGATAACAACGTCATTCACTCTTAAAGTTGTCGGACTCTTTATATATAAAAAAACCCTCCTTTTGTACCCAACAATGTAACTTTTTTTTCACTCAGTCTTATTGTGTCACCCCCAGTTCTCTTTCTCTAAGGAGACCTGTCAAAAAAAAATAATCTTTCATAATTAAAAAAAAAAAAAAAAAAAGGTCCCATTGATTTTTTTTTTTAAAAAAAAAGATTCTCGATTCTTTTTATTGGTGTCATCTGTGCATCAAAAAAAGGAAATCTTGCTTTGTTAGTCTTCCTTTCTAGAAGATGGACCGATGGAGTTCTCATCATTGAATAATCCGATATGGTATTCAATGTCGTACATAATAAAATGTCATTTTGGTTGTGACTTGATGATGATGGTCTTTTATATATTGTTCATTTTTTTACAATCAAGTTTTAATCAAACTTCAATAAAATAAGTTTAAATGTTCCTTTTTTCTTTTTTCTTCGTCTCTTTTTTTTTCTTTTTTCTTTTTTTTTGTTGTTCACTTGTAATGGCTTCATCATCAGGTGTAATCAAAGGCAAATCCTTTTTTTTTGCATTGTTCATTTTTTCTCTCATTTTATTGTTTGTAACAGTAGATGCTCAAGGGATTAGTAAAACAGGAAAAAAGGATGGTACTAATACATATAAGCATGCTAAAGATATTCAACCTGGTACCTACCATATAAGAAATGTAAAGTCAAAAAAATATCTTGCTTTTTTACCTGGTACTTTGGTTGAACCCACTGCCTCTTCCAAATCTGATATCACCGAATGGTCCATTTTGAAATATAAAACAAAAATGTATTCTATTAATCATGATCATGGTACCTTGAAAAAATGTGTCTCGGCTAGATGGGTAATGTATAAAAAAAAAAAAAAAAAGGTACCAGAAGAACATTCATATTCCGACTAACACTTATCCTTTGACTTTCCTTTTTGGGTAGACCAATGGAAAAGATGATGCAGGTGTAATGTGGCAATGTGAACTCAAATATGGTCATAAAAAACGATCATCCTTGTCTAAACGATATGAACCTATCCTTTGGCAAAAACAAACATGGTTATTTGTTCCTGTCAATGGTAAAAAGAATACATTCAGAATCATGGCTGTCACTCATATGTACGATATGATTCCTACTTGTTTGTCTTCTTCTTCTACTGGTGGTAAATCCTATCGTGGTGGCACTGTTTTGAAAAAATGTAAATACAATACAAATGATCCTAGTCTTTTCTGGACATTTGAAAAGGCTTGATCATCTCACAAGGAATGGATGATTGTCCAAATAAAATCAATCTTTTTTCTCTCTCTCTCTTTCTTTTTTTTTTCTCTTTCTATGCTGGCATGAAAGAATCTGTTTCAATGTATACTCTATGATATTCTCCTCCTTTTCTTTTTGATTCAATAAAGTCTTTTTTTTTTTTAAAAAAACTATCCTCATCATCATCATTGTTTTGCATCAGCGTGATCATCCTAGTTTTGTAGTACATTTGATTCTGTAGCCTATGGGAACATCAGGGTCAATGAGAGTTGTTGCTTTGTCATATCTAATCGAAGCTCCATCCCCGCTTTTTCTTAAATGAAGTTCTGTCGTCCAATCACCGACCGAGATTACTTACTAGTTGATTTTTTTTCTTACATATAAAAAAAAAGTCGCGCCAGTTTTTTCTACCTTCTTTTGTCTTTTTTTTTTTTTTTATTCTTACCCATGAATTGTCTACGACGTTTGACTCCTCTTCTCTCACGAACAACAACAGCTCTTTGTCCATTATCTTCTGCAATTGCTTCTCGCCCAGTGTTACTGACGACTGCTAAAACATCGACAAAGTCTCTTTTGAACCGACAGTACCGACGCTGGACTTCTTCTTCTTCTTCTTCTCCTGTGCTTTCAACACGTTCTGATGACGAAGCAGTTTATATTGATTGGAATGCAGCTTATGCCAATCATATTGGACTTTTCGACAATAACATTACCAGTAGTTACAGTCATGTATGGCTTCGTGACAATTGTCCTTGCGAAGCTTGTGTTCATCCTAGTAGTCGACAAAAGCTTCATTCTATGGCAGATATTGACTTGAATACTACGCCTCGGTCGATACATTTGGATACATCGACAGATACTTTGGTGATTGAATGGGAGCAACCTTTACGCCATCAACAACAACATGAAGGTGGTCATAAGAGTCACTATCCTTTGGCCTATTTACGTCGATATGCCTCTCAACAATCCAGTCAAGAATTCCGATTTGAAAACCTGATACCACGTACATGGGCTCGAGATGAATATCAATTGGAATGGATTTCACATGATGACTATATGACGACCGAGCAAGGATTACATCGTGTGGTAGAAAAACTGTACAATGATGGTTTAGTATTCTTGGAAGGTGTACCAGCGGATGATCATCAAAGTGTCACCCGAGTGGCGGAACGGATTGGCAATATCCAAGAAACTTTTTATGGTCGTGATTTTGATGTCAAAAATGTCGCCAAATCTGTCAATATTGCTTATACAAGTCTTTATCTAGGCTTTCATATGGATTTGATGTAAGATGAACAAAATGAAATATGAAAAGTATCTTATCTTTTTTTTTTAAACAAAAAAAATAGGTACCTGGATTGTCCCCCTGGGATTCAATTATTACATTGTATGAAGAATAATGTGACAGGTGGTGCAAGTATATTTTTGGATTCTTATCGTGCGGTAGAATTACTGAAGCAACAATATCCTGAATGTTATGATATCCTTAGGAAAACACCTGTTAGTTTCCACTATATCAATAATGGTCATCATATGTATTATCGACGACCTACCATTGTGACAGATGAAGGTTATGGACTTGGATCTAGCTGGAATATGCATGTTAATTACGCTCCTCAATTTCAAGGTCCTATGGATGAATTGACTCCCAAGGAAATGAAAAGATTCTATCAAGCTTTTCAACGTTTTGCTGATTTTATTGAAGATGAATCTCTGCGATATCAAATCACTCTTCAACCTGGTCAATTAGGTAATAATTAGATTAAGAGATAGATGATAAAAACTCATCATCTTTTTTTATATAGTATTGTTTGCTAATCGACGTGTTTTACATGGTCGTACGGCGTTTGACCCGGCAAGTGGAGATCGTCATTTGAAAGGGACTTATCTGGCATTGGATTCTCTTAAGGACAAAGTACGTACATTAGGTGCCAAATACGGAATGAACCCAGTATAGAAAAGAAATGGATGATTTATTTTGAACTATGAAAGTACTAGAGAAACACAGTTCGGTTTGAAGTTACACATATTACCAGTATATTGTATTTATCTTTCTCCGTTTCTTTTTTTTTTTTTTTTTGTATATTGAATTGAATAATAAAAATAATGAAAAATCTTTATTTAATAATATCTTTTTTATTTTATTCTTTAAATGCTATTAATGATGATGATGAATGAATGAGTTTTGATTTTCTTTTTTTGTTACTATTCATTCAGTATTGTTATTATTTGTATTCATTGGACTTCCTGAGTTTCTTCGTATTCTTTTTTTTGGAAAACATCTGATTAAAACACCGTCTTTCATTTTCTTAAGTTCTCCTATTTTCCTTTGTTTCTTTTTCTACCTTCTTTTCTATTCTTTTTTTTTTCTTGTCTCTTTCTTTCTATTTTTATTATATATTTTTTTTTCTTCTACTTTTTCTTTTTTTCTTGAATGGATTGATAAATATAATATGAAGTATTCTTTGTTCACTACTATACTATTGATGATATTATGGAATAAATCTATATTTGGTCAGACTATCACAAATAAAAGGTAAAAAAAAACAACAACAACAAACAATAAAGTAGTTTGATTCCGTTTTGATGATCATCATATTAACATATCTTTTTGTTTTCTTTCAAAAAAAAAAAAAAAGAGAAATGGACCAAGAATTACATTCAACGTTCGAAAATACTAGTTATAACCGAACATATAATTCATATCAAGACCCGGAAGAATCGAAACTCGACATAGTTTATGCAAATTCATCAGATTATATATCATACATAAAACGTGCAGCTACAGCATCTTCTGATCATAAAGTACAACACAGTTCTGCATTTAATGTGATTCATGTTATTGCAGCCGTTGCTGGTATGTTAGCTCTTCTTTTAGTTGGTATTGTGTCATTTATTATGCTTCGACGAAGAAGACGAAAACAACAACAACAACAACAGCAACATGATTCTCCATCATTTGATACCATAAAAGAAACAACAATACCCGTCACTACATCGACATCCCCTTCAAATATGCATCCTACTACTATTTTATACAAGAAAAACTCAACTCAATTTCAACAATTTGCCAATGATTTTTGTCATGATGATTTACCAATGACCACTCCTGTTACTAGTCCACCTCCTCCATCCATACAACAAGTCTATTTACAATTAGAATTATTAAAACAACAACGTTCATCCACCACACAAGATCAGTCATCTTCTACTAGTGCTCCCCCTCCATATCATCTATAATCATTATTATTTAGATTAGTCTTCCCCTCTCTTGATTTTGTATATAATAATAATAATAAAAATGTGGATTGTCCAAAGATTCACTCTCCGCCATTGTTCAATGATATTTTGTAAGTGGTTCCTCCCATTTCTTTTTCTTTTTTCTTTTTTTTTTTTATTGTCTCATCTACAACCTTGCTTCTGTATTTTTTTTTATTACATTCCTTTTACTTTTTTTTTTCTTTCTTTTTTTCTTTTTCCTTTATTTTATATTTCTATCTACTTTGGATAGATTCTATATCTTGATATCATGCAAACCGGTGGTGCGGCTTCGGCTCAAGTGGAGGAAGAATTGGCTCAAATTCGACGGTATGAAGACTTTAGTACTATTGGTAAAAAAAAAAAAATACTTTTTAGTCTCTCTCTCTATCTAGAAAACTAAAAGTCTTATACTTACTTTAATAATTGAAATAGATTGGGTCAAGGATGCAACATTAGAAAGATATCGACAATCTTCAGTGCAATCTCAAAACTTGAACGATCAAAGCTGGCGAGCTTGGTGGAAACTGACATTTGAAACCTTTCAAACTTGGATTGTAGTATGTATGGTAGGAGCTGCCATTGGACTTAACTCAGCCTTGATTGCCATTGTCACCAACTGGTTATCCGATATCAAATTAGGTTATTGTGCCAACGCGTGGTGGTTGAATAAAAAGTTTTGTTGTTGGGAAATCGAAGAAGAACGTAAGGGTCTAACAGAATAAAAAAAATATATATATAGATTATTGATTTTTTTTTTTGAAAAAAAAAAGATGGTGTATGTGGACAATGGGTACCTTGGAGTGATGCTTTAGATTTAGGACATGATTTATATATTATCACTTGGTTCTTTTATGTGGTTTGGGCTACTTTGTTTGCTACTACATGTGCTTATTTGGTCAAGGTACTCGCACCTTACGCTGCTGGTTCCGGTATCTCTGAAATCAAATGCATCATTGGTAAAAACATAAAATAAGTATTGACATCTTTTCCTGATTCAATGTATTTTTTTTTTTTTTTTTTTTTTTTACTAGCTGGTTTTGTTATGCGTGGTTTCCTTGGTGGTTGGACTTTAGTGATGAAAAGTGTTGGTTTGGTAAGTTGATTAATAAATAATAATAAGGATGGAATGATGAATACGTCTTTTTGAATGAAATAGACTATGGCTGTGGCTTCGAATCTATCTATTGGAAAAGAAGGACCATCAGTTCATATGGCTTGTTGTGTTGGTAATGTTATCTCAAGAAGTTTTCAAAAATTTCGATCGAGTAAAGGTAAGATCACTAATAATAAAATAATAATAATAATAATAAAAAAATACTCACCTTATTAATATATAGCTGAAATGAGGGAAATCTTGACAGCTTCTAGTGCTGCAGGTGTTGCTGTAGCCTTTGGATCTCCTATTGGCGGTGTCCTCTTTGCTTTGGAAGAAATGAGCACTACATTTCCAAATCGTACCATGTGGAAAAGTTTCTTTTGTGCCATGATTGCCACTATTGTATTACAGGTAAGATATTATTTTATATCCTATCTATAGATTGTCACTACATCTATTTTTCATTTTCATTTTAGGCTATGAATCCATTTCGAACAGGCAAATTAGTCATGTTTCAAGTTAGCTATGATCGTGAATGGCACTTTTTTGAATATCTCTTTGTAGTGGTTATCGGTATTTTTGGTGTAAGTTGTTTTATGAACAATGTGATGATCATTTCATAGATATTGATTTTTTTCTTTTTCTGGATAGGGATTATATGGTGCTTTGGTGATCAAATATAATATCAAGGTAGCTGAACTTCGAAAGAAATATTTGAAGGATTATCCTGTTGCTGAAGCTGCTTTCCTTGCCTTTGTCACTGCATTGATTGCCTTTCCAAATGTGTTTTTACGGATCGACATGACTGAAATTATGGGAATCTTGTTTAGAGAATGTGAAGGAGAAGAAGGTGAAAACTATGCTGGGTTATGTCAGTAAGTTTGATTTGAAGTAATGACAATCTCATACATTTTAGATACCAACTGTATATATATATTGATTTAGGGAAAGTCAAGTCGGTCGCATACTCTTTTTACTCTTTGTGGCAACCTTTCTTCGAACTCTTGGAACAATTGCTACATATGGCGCCAGAGTAAAAAAAAAAAAAAAAAAAGCGTGATATGATGTTCTCATTTATATTAAATTACTTATTTCGTTTTATAGGTCCCTTGTGGAATATTTGTACCATCCATGGCAATTGGAGCTACTTTTGGACGAATGATCGGTTTGATTGTGAAATCATGGCATTTGTAAGAAGGATAAAAAAAAAAAATTAGAGTGATGATATGGATTATGGATTTCATTGATTTTTTTTTTATATAGATCTAATCCTGATTTCTTTTTATTCTCATCATGTCGACCTGATATGCCTGTATGTTGATGACAAGGTTATTTTTGAAATAATTTTACTTACTTTTTTTTTCTTTTTGATTAGTGCATTACGCCAGGTACATATGCTTTTCTTGGGGCAGCTGCAGCATTATGGTAAACATATGGAACTATCTATTGTTTTAATGTCCTACTTATTTTTTTTTCTTCTTGCATATCTTTTTTGTTTTTTAGTGGTGTGATGCGGATAACCGGTAAGAAAAAAAAAAAGAGTGAGAAAAAAAAGAGAGGTTGAATAGTAAGACCAACAGTCATTTGTTGTTACCTTTTATTTTATAGTGTCTGTTGTTGTTATCATGTTTGAATTGACTGGTCAAATCACTTACATCTTGCCAACAATGGTAAGAACAAAAGATAAAATATTGGAAACACTTGTATCAACTACCCTTTTTTTTCCATTTTTGCTGACTTATAGATTACTCTGATGGTGACTCGAGCAGTGGGTGATTGGTTTGGCTCTGGAGGCATTGCTGATCGATATATACGATTGAATGGATACCCTTTCTTGGATAGTGAAGATCACGTTTTTGGCGTTCCAGGTAAAATAATATCAACCAAGGAAATAAAAAAAATAACTACCAAGTAGTAGTTTATAATCTAATATTTATTCCTGTCCTTCTCTCTCTCTTTTTTTTTTTTTTTAATCCTCTATAGTATCTCATGTCATGCAAGACAAAGTAACAGTGATGACTGCGACAGGCATGACCTTTGCTGATATAGGTAAAACTATGTCGAAGCAGAAAAAGAAAACAAATTAATCTTTTTTTTTTTTTTTTGGTAATATACCTTTAGATAATATCCTTGAAAACACCAACTACCGTGGATTCCCTGTGGTTCAAGATAAAAGTAGCATGACCTTGATTGGATATATTGGGCGATCCGAATTGAAGTATCTTGTGACGAGGGCTCGAAAGGTAAACAAAGCACATGCAGCTACCATTTGCCGGTTCCGGTCAGATTCGGATGATTTGGAAGTATTGACAGATACTCCCAATGATGATGGTTATATTATCCGTGGATCATCAGAATCAGTGGATTTTGGACCTTATGTAGATCAGGTAAAGAAAAAAAAAATAAAGTATGAAAAGACTTGATTTTGGCAGATGACTTAATTTTCTTACTTAGACACCACTTACCGTGCATCCACAACTTTACTTGGAAACTGTCATGGATATGTTCAAGCAATTAGGGTAAGATGTCCCTCAAAAAAAAAAAAAAAAAAGATAAGAGAGAACGAACTTTTTTTTAAAAAAAAAATGATTATCTTTAATCAAATAGACCTCGTGTGATATTACTGGAACAACGTGGAAAACTAGTTGGATTGGTGACGGTCAAGGATGTGTTGAAATATATTGTATATATGGAAAATTCAAGATCTCCTTACAGTGAACCAGAAAGTCAAGCATTAGGACGCATCATGGCTTGGGTATCTCAGCGATCTACTCGATTCAGTGGTGCTTATCGTCGTGTCAACAGTCGACCATCTGAAGATGATGATTTAGAATTGATCAGTCAATGATCTCTATTTTTTTTTTCTCTCTTTATAGTTTTAGTTTTTATTGTATATTACCCCCCCCCTTTCTCCTCCTTATGAGCACAAATAAACCTTACTGTTGTATTCCTTTTCTGTTCATTTTGATCTATCTTTCGATTCAGTTTTGATAATTATAGAAGTTTGCTATGGGACTTTTGGATCAATACAAGTGGATCAACGGGAATGAAAATAGGGACGATAGTTATCAGTGGATGATGAATTTGAATGATGATTGGGTCAATGATGATTGGGTCAATGATGATTTGTAAATGATGATTTCTATAATGTTATTTATGATATTCATGGAGATATGATGATGATGATGATGATGATGATGAAGAACCAATAATGAAAACGCTATGATGTTAATAACTATACAATGAGTGATAGTCCATTCTATCGTTTCCTAGAAAGATAAAGTAAAGATAAAGATGAAAATAAAAAAAAAATAAAACTGCTTTGCTTTTATATCTTTTTTTTTATTATAATTCAAAAAAAGCAGAGAGATTTTGGATAATGGAGACAATCAATAGATAAATAAATATAAACTAAAAGGATACAAATAAATGCCTATAAGGATCGGACAAACCTACGGAGCCGTACTGTTCATTTGTTTCAGGATATTTGTCAAAGTGGCTTGCATCACCATCACCGCGGATCGTTGGGATATAAGGTGCTCTGATTTGTCGTGCTAACATCAAATTGAAATCCACTCCTTCAAACCATGCATGTCGTTTGATATCATCGCTACCGGCCTTCAAGTTCCCGTATCGTTTCGATAAATCAGAAGTCAGGAGTTTGCGTAAGAGAGACACCGCCGCTTGATCGAAAAACGTTGGCCATCGTACCTTGCCAGCCAAGATCTTTTCATATAATTTCAAATGATCATCATCATAGAATGGAGGTTGTCTTGAATTACCAAAAAAAAAAAAAAAAATTAAGAACATCAAAATAAAGAAATTCTTTTTCTTTTTTTTTCTCTTACCCTGCCAACATTTCATAAATCAAAACACCAAGACTCCACCAATCTACAGCCTACAAGTGTAATATATAAATATATAAATATGGATTTGTATGATACTTTGATAGTAACATAAACTATTGATTGTAACTTACCTTGCCATAACCTTTTGATTGAATGACCTCGGGAGCCAGATAATCGGGTGTACCGCATAATGTCCATGTAATATCTGGTACATATTTTGCAAATCCAAAATCAGTAATCTTAATATGTCCTTGATTATCCAATAGTAGATTTTCGGGTTTCAAATCTCTATTGCAAAAAAAAGAAAGGAAAAAAAGGCATTCGTTAGATCATATATTAATTTTATTTGACTATTTTACTATTACCTGTAGATGATATCTTTTGAATGTAAATATTCCAAAGCCAGTAGTACTTCACCAGCATAAAACTTGGCAACATGATCAGGGAATCTCTATTATAACATTTTTTTTCCAAAAAAAAAAAAAATCAACAGTTGATCCTTTTGTCTTCTCTAATCAAGAGAGAGAGAAAAAAAAAATAACTTACATGAGATCGACGTAAAATTGAAAACAATTCACCACCAGCGACATAATCCATGACCATATAAAGATTAGTATCATCTTGAAAGGTACCCCACATATTCACTAGGAAAGGATGAGCAACGGATTCCAGGATATGTTTTTCATCGTTGGTATGTTCCACCTGTTTGAGTCGCACGACTTCAGTTTTCTTGAGTACCTTCATTGCATAATGACGAGCATTGACACGTGATTGAATAAGATGCACACGACCGAACGATCCAGTTCCTAAAGTTCGCATGATATGGAAATCCGCTAATTTCAATTGAGGTCGATTTTGTCGATGTTGAAGGATCACCTGATCGTTATATACTGAGGTGTAGTTACTATTGATATTGTTGTTCATCGTTATATGGTTACCGATGGCGTGATGTGGTCTTACTGACTTTCCGTGGTTACGATTCGCGTTGTTGGATGGTTGATCAGTCACAATAGAAGGTTCTTGTTGTTGTTGTTCATTGATGAGCGTTGCAGTCGAACATTTGCTATTTTGGGTAGATGATGATTGATTTGAATTAACTAGTATCATCATTGAGAGATAAAACAATCATCAATATATACTATAAAACATTCTTCATAGATGATTTTTTTTTCTATTACCTTGAACATCAGATACAGAAACTTGTTGAGCAAAATCTATTCATAAATCAAAAAAAAGAAAAAAAAGTAAGTAACAATAAGCTGATCAACCGCCCAAAATAATAGGGATATTGACCATTTGTGATAATATCGGCCGACCTTCGCGGAACTTTGTTTTCTCTGTCTAACTCTTGCCAAGGTACTCCACGTTTATTACCTGGAGAGTCGACATTCATAGGAGTACACCCACCCGTTGTTGTGTTGCTATGGTTGCTGCCATGATGAGAAGACTTTTGCAATAATGACGATAGTGAAGGAAATGAAGAAGATGAAGATGAGTTAGAGGACGTACCGGACGATTTGTTCTTTTTGTCCATGAGTTTATTAAGAAAAGTCATACAAAACAATAATAAAATAATAATTTAAAAAGAAAAAAAAAAAAAAGGAAAAAGACAAGCCAAAATGAAGGGAAAAAAAAAAGAGGGAGGAAAAAAAAAAAAAAAAGGAACCTCAATCAAAACTCCGTGGCCTCCGACAGCAATTGTAAAACCTTTTGTCCACATTTGTTCGGATACACCAAATACGTAAATCCAAAATTTCCCTTACGTATACAACACAACAAAGCACCGACAATCGCAAGTATGTACATACATATATGCATAAAATATTGAAGTTTATTTTTTTTTTTTAATCAACATTAAAGATATATAATAAAGTTTGACGTTCGTATAAGAATAGTATGTATATAAATATGTATCATTATGTATCAGTCTCTATCAAACTAGTCCAATCCAAAAAGGTAATATGCTAATTGTACTGCACCAAAAATAACCTAGAACATGAAAATAAGTTAGTAGTAGACCCTTTTTTTTTTTGACGCATAAAACTTACTGGTTGCCATACTACAAGATAACGAACACCATCCAGTAAGTTGAGATATAGTTGTTGTTGAGTATCCCATCTATTTAATATATATATATATATATATATATAATGAATGATTTTTCTTTACTTTTTTTTTTTTGTTCTACTTTATATACTTACGGATTTTTCTTAAATCGTTTCAAATCCACTTTTTCTTTGCTATATATAAAGTACATTAGTGAGATATATATATATCTTTCTTTATCTACTTACCAATAAGGACAAATATCTTTCTTTCCCACGAGACACCAGCCACGAATACATTTTTCATGAAACACATGTTTACAAGCCAATTGATGAATTTCATCATCCACAAACATTGGTTTTCCAGTAGGTTGATCAGCCAGAGTTGCTACATTAGCTTGATGAGAGGTGGCTTGACCACATACCGCGCAGATCTCACCTTGTAAATTTTTTTGAGGTAAGCCTTCCTTTGAATAATAACCAATAGTAGATGCCATTCTATCTGAACAAATTTCCACAAAATCACGACCAAGTACACTATAAAAAAAAAAGTTAACATTTTTCGATTTTTTTTTTTTTTTTTTTTTTTTACCCAAAGTATAATCCATAACTTAGGAATAATATGCCAGCTTGCATAAGACCGGGACCCGCATTGAATAATGCAGCAAAACCGAAGAATACAAATATCATCATACAATAGCCAGTTAAACCAATAACAAAAGAAGCATTGTAAAGCACTGTATACCATTTGTATACCATTCTAGGAGTCATAGCTTCCAAAGGTTTGCGAGATGCCTTGTGAATGACTAGAATAGTATAAATTTTTAGTTAATATTTCATAAAAACAAATTCATAATAATAATTACCATATCCGTTAACAATTGAAAAAAGAGTCCAAACTGTAAGGAAACGTGGCCATCCATCATATAAAGCAAATAATGCAGGGAATATATATAGACCGGTAAGACTGACAATTTGATATGAAGAATAATGTTTCTTTTTCCAATATAAGATCAAGAATTGAGAAGAGAATAAAGCAAATAATAGAATGAAAGCCATCAGTTCATGTTGTGATTCATGACCTATCATATATAGAAACAACAATTCAGTTTCTATTTCTTTTCTTCAAACTTTGATTAGTATTTACCTTTATGTTCTTTTAAATATTGTTGATGTAACTGATACCTATAAAAGAATTAAAACAAAAAAAAAAAAAACAATTGAGTTAAGCATAAACTAACGAAGACTATATTGGTTAGTAGGTTTTTTTTTTTTAATTTTTCAAAAAGTTATACCTTTCAGTTTGATCAGGAGTTAATTCTAATATTTGTTCATTAGTCAAAGTACCATCATGCCAAGCAGATGCAAAAGCTGGGTCGTTATAATGGTTTTCCATATAGATGTATTCAAAAAGGAGAACAAAAAAAAAAAAAAAAAAAAAAAAATACAAAAAAAAAAAAAAATGAAGGGATCTCTCAATACAATTCTATTGGTTTAAACGTCCGCTTCAATTTTATTTGCTTTTTTTTTTTGTCTTCTTTTTCTCTCTCTTTTGTCATTACTCACCTTTTTTTTGTTTGTCTTCCTTAATTTTTTTCTCTTTTTCATTATTATACCATATACATGACAGAAACAACTCGTCCTGAAAGAGAAGTAGCAGCTAGAAAATGGATCAATGATAACGAAAGCGACAGTGATCAAGAAGTTGGACTGGTTCCTCATAATCGTGGCTATAAATATATCCTTTTTTTTTTTATTATTATTGTTATTCTTGTTTATTGCTATATTATAGAATAACCTCACTCTTTTTTTTTTTTTTTAATTAGATGACAAGAATTATTATTATTATTATATTCATTGATTTATCCTTAACTCTATCTATTATTGCTTTTTTTTTTATTATTATTGTTATTTACTGAAGGGATGGGCTGCTTCCGATTCTCAATTTGGTGGAAACAAACTACGTGCTCCAAAGTCATTAGCAGAAGAAACTGAAGTAAGTAAAATATATATATTATGAATAAGTCAAGTGTAATAATTATACTTTTATTCTCTTTTTGATTCTAGTTGATCAAAGCGGGCAAGAAACACACAGTAGTCAAACGAAAACGACGTTTCCTAGAAGAAGAGGCATCCGATGAAGAAGATCCATATACGCTCATCAACATAGAAGGTACAATATATCAAGAATAAATAATAAAAAAAAATATTAGAACTAATTGAATTTATTCTTTTAGATATATTGAGTCCAATTGAAACACCTACAGATATTGTCCAACGACCAGCTCTACGTCGTATTTTGAAATCCAAACAAATTGATGCATTAGCAGGAACAGCTATGGAATTCATTGAAGGTGAAAAGAATTTTAACAAGGTACTATGTCGATTATCTTCTATTTTACATCAAGATGACCCACAGTATCTGGATCTGGACTTTGAATCAAATGACAAAACGGATGGAAATAACAAAACTGGTCAAGAAGAAGATGATGAAACCATCAAAGATGAATCAATAGCCACTGATCCTATTGTCAAGAAAGAAGAGGAAGATGTGAATACAAATGCAGCTGAAGTAGTTCGACATGTGAAGGAATTATTATTGGTAGGATGACAAAAAAAGAAAAAAAAAGAAATCAATAGACTCATCCTTTTTATCTATAGGAAAATATCAATTATAGTAATGAATATTTATCAAGATTACAAGGTGCTCGTGACAAATTGACCAAGGCTAGATTACAAAAAGATGCTTTATATAATGAACTTCAATCTCAATTGACTGAACAACGAAGACTTTCTGCCACTCCTCGACGACGCTGATCAATCTATTTCTTTCTCTTACTCTTCTTTGCATAGTTTTTAGTCCTTACTATTCGTACCTTTTTATAGTATATACATCACATTTTTATATATAAATTTTTATTACTTTTTTTTTTTGTTCTTTTGTATTTGAAGAAAATAAAATGAAATCAATCAATTTAAAAAAAAAAAAAGACACATCCAATCTACTCTTGTCTATTTGATAGCATTCGGCAGTTGTACATTCTTGACATATTAAATGTGTCTATTCGACTTGTCTACTCCTCTTTGTATTTTCTGTTAAAAAAAAAATTGTGATTGTCCTCAACATTATCCGCATCGTCATTGTCCATCCTGACAGTCATATTATCCTAAAAAAGAAAGGATCCATTCAAATATTTGATTTCAAAAGAGACTCCATAGGGACATTTTTTTTTTTATTTATTTTGAAGAGAGAAATAAATGTATATATGTATATATAACAAAAAAAAAAAAAAAGGAAAATTCTAATAAAGTCATCTAATTGCCAAAACCGAAGAATTTCCATAATCCGGATGATTTTGCAGCGGAAGCACGTTCATCAAGAGTTGAAGGGTATTTGATATGATTGGCTGCCAAATCAAAGTAGAACGGTTTGCATGGTACAGGAGTGAAGGAAGGAGGAAAATCAATCAAATGTGGTACATTGTTATTGCCAGTGATAGAAGAAGGATAAACATCTAGACGTTTGATCAAAGCAATCTAATTTCAAAAATGAAAACAAAGATGGAGCTATTGTAAGTATACTTCCTTTTTTTTTTGGATGTATTACCTCATCTGTGCTATTCAAATGTAATTGATCCATCTTTTTCGTCAAAGTATATTGTTGGTCCTCCATTTGATTGTCCATATCTGTATCTTCATTTTCAAGATACCAAGAGGCTTGAGCTTTCCAATTACCAGTACGGACAATTTGTTCCAATTGAGTCACATCTTCCATGGATACTTTTAAAACAGCATCCTCCGCAAATGGCTGAGATTGTTGAATTCCTTGTTTCGTGTGAGCGATATGAACTTGACTGCGTTCGTATAGAGCAAGTGCTTCAGGTGTTTTTCGTAATTCCACATATGCAAGTGCTACTAGAATACATCTAATACAAGATAAAAAAAAGTCAATAAATAAAGTATCCACGTCTTCTTCTTTTTTTTTTTTTTTTACCTTTGTGCCTTGTAATAGTTCGTCAGAATATTCAATTCAACTTCAAAATCATGACTTTCATTGATACGTGGTAAATCACGCATGTAATCAACATTCTAACAAAAAAGTAAAATAATAAAAATCATCAATACCAGTTCTTTAATCACCATATATGATATACACATTATTCCCAATCATTACATACCTTCAAGATATCATCCCAAAGCTTGATCATATTTTGTACTTTTCCATTACTAGATTTGATTTCATCGATAAGGGCCAGATTGCGTTGGATAGAATAGGCGTAAAAATGATAAGAAATAAATGCATGGACCCATTCTAGTTCTTGTGTGGTTTTTGCAGAACGTGAAGAAGTCACCTTTGCCACAGCTTCTTTGTCTTCCTTGATCAGTTTTTTGATTCGTTTTTCAGCATCGGCCCAATCAGAGAGAAGACCATCATAACGAGCCACTGCTCCATTTGTTGATACCAAGGATGATGATGCAGTTGTTTCTTGAGCCTTTGCAATTGCATCCGCCAGTTGTACATTCTTGACATCGAATTGTTCATGTCGCCAAGTCATATGTGCCAATGCTTGAGCTTGTTCTTTGCGATGTTCTTCACCCACCTTGGCTAATTGTGCTTCCAATAAATCCATTCCTGTTACATTGCGCTGTTGTTTCAAATTGGCTACCAAAGTTTCAATGTCTTGTGCAGATCCACTTCCGTTGAGTTGTAACTTGTAGGCACAGAATCGAATGTTTGGGTCAATTTCATCCATTGCTGCATAATATAAGGCTTCTTGATGAACATTGTTGTTATTACTGGCGAATCGTTCGTAAATAGTTCTATACAACCAAAAGAGATAAAATGATCAGTAAAAAAGCATCATGTAGTAAAACCCTCTCTATATTACCTTGATTCAACAAATTGATCTATTGCTTGTTGCCATTGTTGTTGTTCGAAATACAAATAACCTTTCATAGTAGCTGCATAAGCCTAATCAAAAAAATAATTTTAAAATAAGATTTCAATTCAATTTGATGTATACCAATTTTTTTTTTATTATTATTATTTACCTTTGCATCCAAAACAGAACGAGCATCCACAGTATTTTGTTCACAAATGATGACCAGTTTTTCAGCATGTTGAGCAGCACGTTTCAATCTTTTCGTCAAATGATGGCGTTTTCTAGTATCCATACTGTTTGTAGATTCCTGTTTTAGTTCCATAGCGTAGGCCCAAGCGCGTTCGGTATCGTATACATAGAGATGGAGATAACGTGGATCGGTAAAGTTTTCTGGTAACTCTTTTTGACGATTGGTGTTTTTGCTGTTAGTCTGAGTCATGTTTAAGATTTGACGTAAGCGACGAAGGCGATGAGCACTGTATTCTCTAATAGATGAAAAATTCATTCCCCCCAAAAAATAATAAAGTATTAGTTGTTGTACCTTCATCCTTGTATTATGATGTTTTACCGGTAACGTTGATAATCTTGATGTCGAAGACCATACTGCATACGAGCATCATTGATGAGAGCCAGCACTAAAAGAAAAGTAATAAAAGAAAACAAAAAAAAAAGGAATTGAGTAAGTATCATCAAAGATCGAGTCATTGAATAGGACGAAGATGCCTCTTGAATATAATACTGCTTTCTTATTTACCATCAAGAGACATGGGAGTAGTTACATCCATTGCTAATCACATCAGGTGGAAACATAACAAGAAGAAGAAAAAGGAAAAATTTGTTAATAATGTAAGTTTTTTTTTTCTTTTTTCAAGATGGGTCTTTACGTTCAGGAGTGGACATTGCGTGCACAGAGACTCTTTTCTAAAAAAAGAGAAATAGAGAAAAAGAGAAGAGAGAGAATGAAAGACTTTCCACCACCAGTCAGTCAGTCACAAAGATTTTGATCAGATCCCTTTTCTATTTTGGTCCCCGCTGTGGTAACGAACGCGGCAAAGAAAAAAAAAAAGCTAAATGGATTCTCTTTTTTTTCCTTTTTCTTTTTTTTTCTGTATGTCCATAATACAATGATACAAATAGTGACATGTAAATAGGTAAGTGACTATATGAAAAAGGGTAATGTTGAAAAAGAGAAAGACAATGATTATAAAACGAGGATAATCAGAGCATAGGTGACTTCTATGATAGCAACAAAAAAGAAGAAGAAAGGAAAAAAAAGGACTAGACAAGACGTAACCGTTAAAGTAATAATATTTTTCTCTGGTTTAACTTGGTCGAAACTATTTTGACTTTCTTTTTTTTTTTTTGTTTGTTTCTTGTATTCATGTCCTTATGTTTCCATGATGTATATACAAAACGCTTGATATGAGTCTCTTTTCTCTCAACCAAAAGACGAAGAAAAAAAAAAGTGGTCATTAAACTCAAAATTGTTTCCCTTTTTAGGTGGCTTACGGTACAAAGTAATCAAAAAGCTGTACGGATCGGATGGTACACAGGCAATGGAATTTTAGATGAGTAGAACACACACACACACACACTTATTATATATATATATTTATATTTTTACAATAGTTGAATATAAAAAAAAATAAAGTTTGAATATTTCCTTTTTTATCTACCCAAGCGATTTTGTCTTATTCATTTGATCAATTGTTATCTTTTGTTGCACACGCAACATCATGATTACACACACACACACAGCATATATAAATATTGTATAATACAATAAACAAAAAGCATACTTGGTTTTCATACACAAAGGGAATCTCCTTTTTGAGTCATCAACTTTCTGAATGTCTTATTGTTATTATTTATACATACGTCGTATGAACCTTCTTTTGTTTTGTTTTTTTTTCAACATATGATTCAATTACGCACACACATATGTCGTTTATATAATCGCATGATATGATATTTCAATGGTTTATTCCAATTGGGAAAAAGAGTGCATTTTCTGATTTTCTAGAATTTTCACGATTCTTCCAACTAACATAATAAAAAAAAAAAATCGGTATCATAAAAGGCTATACATCTTCCCTTTCAATAAATCTTATTCATGTTTATTAAAGATAAAATCAACAAAAGAAAAAAAAAACAACAACATAAAAAGTGACAAAAGGTTTCATAAAACAAAATCATAAGAGTTCATATATTTGTATATAAAAACAGGAAAGGATCATAAAGATGGATTTAAAAGGTATTGAATAGAGGGTAATTTGGAGTATTGGGTATAAGTAGGAGATCTAGAAATAGAAGTGGAGAATAAACTAGGGGAAGATGGTTGAGTCGCCCATTCCAATGGTAAAGGAGGAGTATGATCCCGTGACACTTGACCTGCCAAGATGGATGAGCCATAAGACGCCGAACAAGAAGATGGAGATGAAGGTAACAAATAGGTATTATTATTAAAAGATGATGGTGGAGGTGAGCCACTAAAACTTCGACCTGATGATGATGATGATGATGATGGACTGTGACAATCAGATAAAACAGGAGAAGGAGGTATGTTGTAAAATTTCTTTGAAGCCAATTCAGGATGATCCAATTCTTGCAAAGTCATTGTGACTCCATGTTGCTTTTCAATATGTCGCATTAATTGACCTTTTCGCCAAAATGATTTATAACAATTAGGTGAAGGACAATGGTGTAATTTTGCATTGGGTGATTGACGATAAGGACTTGATCTTGACACTGAATTGGTTTTTTCCATTGATGATGATGATGATGATATTGATGATGATGTTAATGATGATGATGTTGTTGTAGATGATGATGATGATGATGTTAAAGTCGTATTGGAAGATAAATGACCAGGTTGAACAAATCGTAATATAGAACAATGCTCTTGTTGTTTTGCATAAGCTTCTTCTTCATCAGCAGTTCTTGGTTTTCCAGATAAATTGAATCGTCTAATCTTGCGTCTTCTTTGTAATAATACAGTAGGTGGAGATGTATGAACCTTGATATGACGAGAAAGTTCATCTGATCTAGCAAACCTTTTGTCACAATGAGGTACTATACAAGCATGAGGTTTTTCACCAGTATGAGTTCTAACATGGCGCACTTTGTGTTCTAGACGATAAAATGATTTATTGCAGAATTCGCATTGATAAGGACGTTGAAGTGCTGCTATTGCTGTTGATCGTTGTAAATCTTGTGCGCTTTGGGCATGTGTTGATTGTCCAATTAATTGTTCATGTTCTGCAATGGGGTTCATGAGCATGGCAAGGTTAGAAGCTTTTGGCATGGTATATATATATATATATATATTGTAATATCAATAAAAAATTTATTATATACAGAAAAAAAAAGGTCTAAGAAAAGAAGAGGAGAAAAAGAATTTAGAAAAAAAAAAAGAAGGTCAAGGCATACCTTTTATAAAAGCAAAATTCGAACTCCACACTCTACTTTCCCTTTTTGCAGCAAAGAGCTTAACCCGATCACTGTAGCATTTTTTTTTTTTTTTTTTTTTTACACAGAGTATTATAAAAAAAAAAAGTAATTTATATGGTAAAAAGAGGTTTCCCCTTCATTATTCCCTACTTTAGATCATTTCCCCTTTGTGTTTTAAGGTTTGTTATTTCAACCAAAACAGCATCATGTTTGGGGAAAAAAAAACACAGAGATGAAATCCCTTTATTTTAAAGATTTAAAGTTCACGTATAAAAAAAAAAAAATAACATCGGATCCACAACTCTCTGTTCATCTTTTTTTTCCCCTTATATCGTTATCCTCAAACTCGTCATGCGGGGTATAAACGCATTTTTATTTCTAATTCTATCAACTCCTGACCCGTTCTTATTCAAATCAATTTGATCTTTTTTTTTTCATTTTATTTTCTATTGTTGATGATGATGATGTGAAATAGAATAAACTCTTGATGTCATCATTGATGATATTTCTATACAAAAGAAAGGAAAAGGAAAAGATGTGTGGGTGGATATGTTTCTTCTTTTTTTGTATGTGTGTGTGCTCTTATGTTTGGTTCATTATAATTTTTTTTTATACGTCCATTATAATCATCATCATCATCACACACAATCCTACATATACGCGCGCGTGTCATGGGTCACGTCGCACGGCAGGTTTTTTTTTTCTTTTAATATCCAAACTCATACACAACGGTAATAATGTCAGACACAGAGAATATATATATATAAATATAAATATTAAAATAAACATCTTGATATTAGAAAAAAAAAAGAGTCACCCCAGCCCTTTTTTCCCGTTCCTTTTGTTATTGTAACAATCGTCATTATACTTTTCAAGTCTTCCGTTCATAATAAATCAGGGCAAACCGGAGTTTTTTTTCCATTCAATTTAATGTGACTCAAAAAGGGAATGTGCTTTTCACTTGACTTTCCATTGATCAATGTTAGTTTTATATATATATATATACATATATATAACAATCTATTAGATGCAAGAATAAGTTGCTTTTATATATAAATATGAAAAGGTCAGTGCTTAAGAAAAAAAAAAAAAGAGATGAACCAACCAAAAGGATAATCCGGAGATACCGATTCTGATGACCCAACTATTGGAGATTATATCTTTGTTTGGTAATTTTCGTTCAAAATATATAAAGAACAAAAAAAAAAAAAAAAAAAAAAAACATCGGCTGATGGATCATCATGGAACCCTTTAAATAGTTCATTGCATTCACACGATCCTTTTATTTTTTTTCTTTACCAATAAAAACTACAAATTATTTTACATGTATATTCAATTGTTTTTTTTTTTTTTTTTTTGGTTTCTAGATCATCACTACAAAAAATGATCATATAATAAAAACATTTTTTAAAACATTTCTTATCTCATCTTCGGCTTTCCCTTTATTTTAAATTCGGTAAGCTTTTTTTTTTGGGTGCACTGATGAGTCTGAGTCTGAATTAAAGATATCCTTCTTTCATACTTCTTTCCTTTTTTTCTTTTATTTTTTTTCTTTCACTTTCCATTACTTTTCTTTTTTCTTATACAATCTTTTATACGTCATCATGTCGTCAAGAAAGAAGGTTTTACTCAAGGTAAACTTATTAATATATTTTGGTCATTATGCTAATGATGGGTTTATATTCCTTTTTATAGGTCATTATTCTTGGTGATAGTGGGTAAATAATATTAATAATAATAAAAACATCATCAAACAATAATAACTTATCTATTTTTCTTTTTCTTGTTAAATAGTGTTGGAAAAACTTCTTTGATGAATCAATATGTGAATAAAAAGTTTAGCAGTCAATACAAAGCTACTATTGGTGCCGATTTCTTGACAAAAGAAGTCATGGTCGATGATAAACTGGTCACTATGCAGGTAAGCTTATTTATTATTTTTTTTTATTTATGTATATTGTTGTTAATCCTTTCTTTTGGTTTTTGTTTTTTTAACGATGGTTTTATTTCGGGATTCTAGATTTGGGACACTGCTGGTCAAGAAAGATTCCAATCTCTTGGCGTTGCATTCTATCGTGGTGCTGATTGTTGTGTCTTGGTATATGATGTGAATAATAACAAGAGTTATGAATCTTTAGGTAAGTTTTTCTTTTGTGTGTGTGTGTGTGTGTGTGTGTATCTTATCACTCACTCTCTTTTTTTTTATAGGTCAATGGCATGATGAATTCCTTGTACAAGCATCTCCACGAGATCCTGATAACTTCCCATTTGTTGTATTGGGTAATAAAGTGGATGTGGATGAGTCGAAAAGAACGGTAAGAAAGGAAAATGTGGGGAAGAATATGAACAAGTCACAATGGAATCAAATGATTAACAACAAATGATATTTTCTTCTTTAGGTATCTCAAAAACGGGCAATGGCTTTCTGTCAAGCAAAAGGAAATATCCCTTATTTTGAAACTTCAGCAAAGGAAGCAATCAATGTCGAACAAGCTTTCCAAACCATAGCTAAGAATGCTCTCCAACAAGAAACTGATGTAGAATTATATAGGTAAAGAGAAAGAAGTTAAAGAAAATGGATTTGATAGACTAACTTGTGATTTTTTTCTTTCCTGTAGCGATTTTAATGATCCAATCCGTATTGACAATGATAATACAAAGGATTTCAATGGTTGCGCTTGTTAGATGTTTTCTTTACACCCTGATCCTTTTTTCTTTTTTTTTTTTCTACTTTCTTATTTCTATTGTATTTTTTTCCCTTTCTCCCCCATCCATCTACATTAGTCATCTATCTGTAGAGTAGTTTATATTCTTTACCTCTCCATTTTTTTTTTTTTGTATGTCGTCCTTTTATTTTATATTTTATTAAAGTGCCCAATTAAACTTTCTGGCCTTTCTGCTGGAATTTCTTTTTAAAAACTAAGATGTGTTGTGTTGGTGGATTCTTTTCACACATATGGGTTCGGCCAGACTTGAACTAAATGCTGATTGACTTTTTTGGTGATAAATGAGGTCCTGATTGACTCTTTAGTGTTTTTACATCGTCAAAAGAAACGCTTATCTCAAGATGGCTATGATTCCTCATTATCATGACTTTTTTTTTTTTTGCTATGATGGCTCGCATTTTGATTCCAACATTTAATGATTTCATGATCAAAAAGAAAATAAAAATAAAATAGAAAATGTTACTGACTCTCTAGGAAAGATAATGTTTATATGGAACGTATACATAAAAAAATAAAAAGAATGATGCGATCTGCAGCGTCCATTCTTCATGCCGTTCTCCATCTAAAAGTTAAAAGAAGATGTTTACCAAAACAAGTATGCAGTTTAGACCTTCTTTTTCCGTTGATCGGAGAGGGATGATCATTTCATTTTCCATTTAGCTTTAGTCATTCCAGATAACCCTTTTGATTTTTAATAGATGGATGTTGAATTAGGTCGTTCATATTAAAAGAGTTGATCATCCATCTGATTCGAACTTTCTTTTTTTTTTGTTTTTTTTTGTTTTCATCTTGCCGATGATTTGGATAGAAAGTATATTTATATGATGAAATAGTTCCTTTAAGACTCTATCTATAGTCCCAATTCAAAATATGGCATCATGTCTTTTCCTTGCCAATCATCGTCCACCCATCATCGCTTCATCATCTATCGTCATCCATCATTTTATAGTAAAAATCATCCTTTTCTTTTTATTATAATAAGGAGATCAAAAAAAACTTTACAGCAAACTATGACAAGATAGACTAAGGAAAAAAAAAAAAAAAGAAAAGAAAGTACTAATAAAAACTATACTAAAATCGACAAAAGTACAAAAAGAGAAAGAAAGAAAAAAGTTGGAGCAGTTAAATCTAAATCAGTTGTTGTAACGTTGATGATCAGATATCATGTTGGTATAGTCATTCGTCTTGAATGTTTGGCTAATATATATATAAAAAAAAAGATAATCAGAAGTATGAGTTTCTTGGAAGTAATGTTTGGATGTCATGTGCACGTTTATATGCATGAACATCATTTGTTTGTTTCTCTCTCTCTCTATCTTTACCTAAAGTTGCTGCCTTTTGTCAATCGTTGAGTGATATCGTCCAAATCCAGACCCAAATAATTCACAATAAAGTCGCCAATTTCCGTATTTTCATGGCTTCCCCGAAGAATTTGTGCATTTTCACCCAAAGCATACAAGTTAACATCCACACCAGTATGACCCCATGTTGTCCACTATCATATAAAATGCGTCAGTATTCTTTTTTTTTTTTTAAATAACAGTATGCTTACCCCAATCAATGCTCGACGACTAACGATATCTCCAAAATAAGTAACCAATACTTCCAATGGTTTACCACTAGTTTTCCAAGCCATCACTTTATCAAGTTCTTCTTTGGAAGGATCTGTAACACCGAGACCATCAGCAATAATGGTCGATTTTAAGTAATCTAGACTTGCAATATTTGTTTCTGTAGCTTGATTCCATACATTAGCCAAGTGTTCAGATGAATTCATTACGCGACTAATAACTTCAGGATTCCTATAGGAGAGTGATAAAATTATCAAATATAAATCGACTTTATCTCTTTGCTTTGCTTACCATTTATATTCAGGATAATCTTCACCTACTTGTCTACCAAGAGTAAGACCACCAGTTTCATGATCACTTGTGGAAATCACCACTGTATTGGGATTATTTCGAACAAATTCCTTCACTACCTCAACTGTACGTTGATATTCCATGATGTCATGAAGATGACTAGCAGGATCATTTCTAAAATAAAAAAAATAAAAATAAAATAAAATGAAAGAAGATGAGTGGATATATTTGATAATTATTCTTTACTTCATATTTATTTACGAATGAGCAGCCATGTCAATGCGACTTCCTTCAATCATCAAGAAAAACCCACGGTCCGATCGTTTTGATGCATTGGATAGAATAGATAAAGCCTTGGTTGTCATTTCTTTGAGAGAAGGTTCTTTAGAAGGGTTACGATCGATTTCATAAGACATGTGCTATATATAAGGAATATATGTCAGTTTTATCACTTATATATATATATATATATATATATATATATATATATATATTACCTGAGGTGTAAAGATAGCCATGAGAGGTAATTCAGAATCATCAGGTTTGATATTATCAAATTCTTGTCTAGTACGTTTGACAGTCCAACCAAATTGATCTTGAGCTTCTTTGAATAAATCACGTTGATCAGCACGACAGCTTCCAGTAGTAGAATTACTAAGGAATTCACAAGAACCACCACCAAACATCAAATCTACTGATCTACCTAAAGGATTATGACCGATTTGATGTTCCGCAATAGCCGGTTCCCAATCACGCCATTCGATATGAGCAGAAAATGATGCAGGAGTTGCATGAGTAATACGAGAGGTCACCACTAATCCAGTCAACATATCATGATGATGTTTGGCTGATTCAAGAACAGTACCACAAGGTTGTTTAGATGGATCGACTATAATAAAAGAAAAGAGTTTATTTTTTTTTTTTAAAAAAAAAACAAGGTTTAATTCATTTAGATTTACCTCCAATAGCGCCATTATAAGTTTTGAGACCACAAGAAAAGGCAGTTGCACCTGCTGCACTATCAGTCACTAGACTTGAAGAACTTTGAGTACGACTATGTCCAACATGAATTTCATCTAAAGGTAACATTGAATTTTTAGGTTCTAATCCTTCTCTCCATTGGTGATATTGTCTAGCATATGTTTCCGAAGCAGGACCAAAACCATCACTTATCATCATGATCACATTACGTTTGGGTGTAGCTATATAAATAATAATAAAAGTTTATAAGTTCGGTAAATGAAGAAATAAAAAATATGACTTTTACCATTGTTACCAGTCAATAGATAGAATGAAGTAGTAATAATAATGACACTTCCAATACAAATAACAAGACCACTAATAATACGGTTTCGTCTTGTTTTCTATATAATGAAGTATAAAATTGAATATTGATAATAATAATAATAAAAGAAAAGATTTACTTACGATTGGAGAAAGAGAAATACCATTCAAAGGTTGTTCCTCTGTTTCAGGAATAGCATTATAGTTCTTATTCGAACTCATGAAAAATAAAATAAAGTGATAGGAAAAAAAAAGGGAAAAGAACAAAAAGAAAAAAAAGATAAGGTCCCATTTTTCCCAGGCAAAATAAAATAAGGAAAAAAGAAATGATTTCATATAGCGACAAAAAGCAAAAAAAATCAAACTTATGTTCATGTAATGCATTCTTTGCAGCTTGTTTCAATAATTCTCTACTTATTTCTTTCATTCTCTCTCTCTTTCTCCTTTTTTCCTCCTTTTCTTCTTTCTTTTCTTTTCTTTCTTCATTCTTCTACTTTATCAATGAAAAATCTATTCTCTAAACGTAAAACGGATGATAAGACAACTACTCAAGATGTACTTGTCAACTCCGCTGATCAGATGACATCTGAACAAGCTGTTACTACCACCATCATCACTAAAGAAGAAAAAATTGAAATGGCAGAAGAAGAAGAGAAAAAAACTGAAGTTGTTACTGTTGAACCTTCATCATCATCTCCAGATCCAGTTAAAGAAGATATTATTGAACCTATTGATCATCATCATCATAAACCTAATAAAGGTCGTTTGATCATTCGATTTTGGCAAGTCTTAGCTGCTGTAGGTGCTTTTGCATTTCAAATCGGTGCTACACCTTGTAAGTATAATTATTATTATCATCATCTTTGGTTTTTTTTGAACTTAATCTTTTTTTTTTTCTATAGATTCAGATGTACCATTTGTGTTTCAAAGTTCCAACTTGCAGTATTATACATACGCCATTGATTTAGTCTCACTCTTATGGGCCTTGTTTATGATCTTCGTTTACCTAACTAGGCGTTTTGGAGGTCGTACAGGAAAAGTCAAACGTCCTATTGCATTTGCTGTGGATATTGCCCTGGCTGCATTGTTTGGTGTCGCCTCTTTTTATCAATTTGCTATTTACAATTGTCCTCCTGGTCAATACAATGGATGGTAAGGAATTTCCCCTTAATATCAATGCATGATATCATACATTGCATGAATCCTCCTTTCTCTTTGAATGCTAATCCCCCCTTTACTTCCCCTAGGTGTCATTTTCATAATACTGGTAAATTCTTTTTATTGTCTCTTTTCTTATCCTATCTAATCATGACTTGTTGGGATCTATTTGGTGGATGTACTTGTTTACGTCAAAAAGAATAATCTTTTTTTTTTTTTATGGAAGACATCATACTCTTTTTTTTAACTATTTTTTTTTTATTGAACTATATATAAAACTACAATAACTGCTACTATACTATATAATACTAACTATTGAATAAAAACAAATATCATGTCACCAAAAGATATGAATAAATAATACACAAAAAAAAAAAAAGGATAAATACAAATAATGAGTTTCGATCTAGTAATCAAGTATACTATCTAAATCCAAAAGAGAAAAGGAAGATAGAAAAAGAGAAGATAATCCAGATACTAATTGGCATATAAGGCATCATAATATGGTTTCAATCGACTTCGATCAACAGTGGCTAAATAATACATCCCAGAGTTGTTGGTCCAAGATACTGCTTCCGAATAATATTCAAATTCTTCCACCTTCAATATCGATTCAGGCATATCCAATGTACGTTGATTGATTTTGTGATGTTTTGGTACGAATGATTTGAGTGAAATGATCTTGGTTCCTTCTTTCAAATCTAAAAACATTTGGGCTAAAGAATGATTCGTTTTTGCATCAAAAGCATAATTGTTCACCAATAATACATCTGCCCTTTTCAATGTTGTGTACATGTCATTGGCAGCTGTATCCAAAAAGTCACCATGTCGAAAATGCACCTTGCCAGTCGGTAAACACCATGCTCTGCAAAAAAAAAAAAAGGATATATCAGTATTAATTCTCTTCCTTTTCATTTATCTTCACTTACTTCATTCTAGTGGCGTATTCCTTTAATTGTCGTTTAGCATATTTACAAGGGGTTTCCATGATTTCGATTCCATATGATTCGCAACCTGTTTGAGCAGCCACTTGTAAAACAACGTTCCCAATGCCACATCCAAGATCCATAAATACACTTTTCGATGTAATGTTGGTTTTGGTAATAAATTCATTGACCAATGATGCATTGATTTCTCCATAAACATAATTTGAGAATGCTAGATAAAAAAAAATTATGAGTGACATGTGATCTCATCAACGTTTTTTTTTTTTTTAATTGTTTACCTTGATAATTGTTGAGAGCATCTGCTTGATGAGCTACTGTTCGAGAATATACTTGATAAAGAATATGACAAGTCAAATCATAAGAAGGATGTCGTAATTGTTTGGCATTTTTAGCGATTTCTCCTGAAGTTTTGAGTTCTTTGATGATTTTGTTAAAGTCATTTACAGCATTGGCAAATCCTGGACCATTTCTTCTATTTCGATATTTTGTCAAATTTCGCATGATCCCGTGAGATGCATCACCTAATCGTTCTTGTTGAAGTGGTGTAAGATAGCAATCGTAAATCCAAAATGCTGTTTGATAAATATCGTTTACAGGATGGTATTCATCATTGTCTTCTTCTACATCATCTTGCCGAGCATTTAATTTCACTGGTTTGAGTAATAAAAAGCTTTTTTTTTTTTTTTTTTTTTAAAAAAAAAAAGAAAAGTAAATGAGACCATCCTTTAATGAATATATATATATATATAAATACTTACTTTTCATATTCACCAATACCAGGATATTCCAGACTTAAAACATAATCGTCATTCAATGGAGAAGATCTTGGAGAATCATCAGTGTCATCCTGAATATGTGTAAAAACTGGAACCAAATAAATAAATAAAAAACAGTAATAAAACAAAAAAAGGGTCAGTCTATCAAAAGAGTTTCAATTTCAACTTGAAACAACCCTTCTATACACCGAAAGAATTGCCCAATCTTTTCTTTTTTTTTTTTTAATTAACTATACTTACAAGGACGATACTTTGACCGGGTTGCCTTGACCATACGTTCAGAATGAGTGATACACTTGACAGGTTTGACCTTTTTCGCAGGGAGTCCATTGACAGAAGGAACTGAAGAAGAAAGTCGACGTTTATGATTAATATCATTATTGTTATTGTCCTTGATATCAATATTCTTCTTTGTCATAATGGTAGGGCTGCTACTGCTAGTTTTGAGGTTTGCCTTTGTACTAAGTGAAGATAAAACTGTTGAAGTAGTTGAAGTAGATGAAGTAGTCATGGGCATATTCAACAACTTTTCTTTATGATCTGTTTCTGATAAAAGATATAATTTGTTTCGGATGCTCATATAGATCAAATGGTAGTGAAGGTTGTTACTGGGGAAAATAAAAAGAAGAAAAGAAAAAAAAAAAAAAGGGGAAAAAGGAGCGATTTTTTTTTCTCTTTTGTTAGTCGATTCCCGAAAAACTTATCCAATCAAATATCAAACAATCAAACTCATCTGAATTTGTTGTTTGGTTTCTCTTTTTCTTTTTTTTTTTCACTTTTCAATATCTTTTTAGATCCTCTTTTCTAAGTATGGGCAAATCTTCCAAAGATAAACGCGATGTGGTAAAAATAAATGTTGATACTCTTCTTCTTATATATGAAATTAACTTCTTTTATAGTATTATAGATTAGCAAAAGAACAAGGTTGGCGTGCAAGAAGTGCTTTTAAATTATTACAACTTGACGAGGAATTTGACTTGTTCAAAGGTAAACAAGAAAAAAAAAAGCACTTTCGTATTGTTACTTAAGCGTCGCGTTCTACAAATAGATGTTCATCGTGCTGTCGATCTATGTGCTGCTCCAGGAAGTTGGTCTCAAGTATTATCAAACAAACTAAGGTAACAAGAATAATAAGTTTACGTTTTCTTTTTAACTCAACAGTTTTTTTTATTTTGATAGGGAAAATCATGAAAAAAATCCTCAAGAGGAAGAACCCAAGATCGTTGCTGTAGATCTCCAAGCCATGGCACCATTAGAAGGTGTAATTCAAATACAAGGTGATATTACCAAGAAATCAACAGCAGATGAAATTATTGCTCATTTTGAAGGCAAATTATCAGATATTGTGATCTGTGATGGTGCACCTGACGTTACTGGGTTACATGATATGGATGAATATATTCAAGCACAACTTTTATTAGCAGTAAGTCCATCTTTAAAAATAGGAGTCATTTTGATTGATTTTTTTTTTCTGTTTAGGCTCTTAATATCACAACTCATGTCTTACGACCTGGTGGTACCTTTGTGGCCAAAATTTTCCGTGGCAAAGACATCACTCTTTTATATTCACAGCTCAAGGTCTTCTTTCCTAATGTTACTTGTAGTAAACCAAGAAGTTCACGGAATTCAAGTATAGGTAATGATCATTAAATATAATCGAAAGGAACTTTATTTTAAATATCGACTGATGACTGAATCTTTATATATGTATCTACAGAATCATTTATTGTATGTCAAGGTTACAATCCACCAGAAGGTTACAAACCAACAATGGCAAATCCTTTATTAGATATGAATTATGGTTAGTGAAAACAAAAAAAAAAAAAAAAAAAAAGAAAGACCAAATAGTATGGAATCTTACAAGGATGAATTTCAATATTTATTATAGATGCTGAAAATAATATGCTTGGCGTAAATCGAACTATTGTACCTTTCCTTGCATGTGGTGATATTAAGTAAGTATATTATAGAATATATATCTGCCTTTATCTTAACTCAATCCTTCTTTCTAAATAGTGGCTATGATTCTGATCGGACCTATCCTTTACAATCAAGTTATACTCCATTGGACCCTCTACAACCACCTATCACAGCCCCTTACAAAACCGTCATATCCATGCGCCGAAACAATTTGTTTAACCCTTGATTAGATTAGACTGCATTAGATATATTACACAATACCTTTTGAATGCATCAATAAAAAAAAAAGGAATAGTTTAGATTGGAATGGCTTTTTTTTTTAACTTGTGACTGAAGCATCTATTGAAAAAGGAAATGACAACTTGCCTAATTTTATCCATCTACATTCATCATCAAACGTTAACATCAACCATCAATATAAAAATAAAAATAAAAAAGGATCAACATCATCAGGTCACTTAATGATTTAGAATTTGAAAATATGTTTGTCTTATTCAATAGATCAATAGAGATCAAGATAAAATAGAATAAAGGACGAAGGATAAAAAAAAAAAAAGAATGAAATAATATCGGTTTGACATTGATCATTGACTAGAAAATTGAGATAGATAGGAAATGAAGCTTAACCCAGAAGAGGAGCGGTTTCACTACTAGTAGATCTTCCCAAAGCTCTCCAGATATAAGGTTTTGCAGGCCAGAGAGTGGTGATGATAGCGGCAGCCAAAGCACCCCAATGAGTGGTAGGGAAAGGTTGTTCGACAAAGACAGCCCACATACCAAAGGCAATGACCCAAGCAGAAGTCAAATCACCCTTTTGACCTTTATATTCCACGTAACCAATAGCAGTAAAGGACAAGAATCCAAGACCAATATAGAATAATACGATATGAAGAACATTGGGAGGCAAGATGGTACCATCATCAGCTTTGTTAACACCAGTAAAAGCAACAAAGGCAGTGACCGCTGTAATAAAAACGGTCCAACCATGCCAAAGAGAGAATGGAGCATGTAAAAAGAGACGATCCCACCAGTTGTTTGCATGATATTCGGCTTCCAACTTGTCTATATAAATAATAATAATAATAATAAAAAGAGTCAATATGATTTATTTATATATATAGTCATCTACTTACAAAACACGAATGAAACAGAGAAGATTTGGAAAACAGAGACAAAAAAGGATAATATTTTATGTTCCCCTTCCTATATCAATAATCATCAATGAGATCATATATATATTAGAAAGAGAATCATGATTCCCATGGAGTGACATCTTTTTTTTTTTTTTTTTTTTTACCAACAAACTAAGCCAAAGAGTGTTTAGAATAGCAGAAAGAACAAAGTGCCAACCAACACCATGGATAGCAGATTCATGAGCTTGATCAAACCATTGATAAATGACAAATCCACCAAGAAGGAAATAGGTGACAGTCCATACGTAAAAGACCCAAGGAGCTAAAAAAAAAAAAAAAAAAAGTTAACTTCAAAAGGAAGGACGATTGTTTTTTATATATATAGTGATTACCAGGGTCAAAGTAGCTAATAACAAAAAAAAAAAAGTATTTTTGTTAATAACAATGATATCTAATATTTTATTTAACTTACGTTTCAAAGGTATTAAAGATATCAGCCAAACTATTATTACCAGAGAATGATAAGACAGTAGCCGTAATCAAAAAGGCATAGACAAGAACATTGATTGATTTTTGAACTGTATGTTCACGAGACATTGAAGAGAGAATAAAAAAAAAATGAAAGAGAGAGAAAACAAAAAGAAAAGTAAAGGTCAATGAAATGGACAAGACTCTCTAAATTTATATAAAAAAAAAAAGACGTTATTTATTTATCTGTTTCATCATCCTATTTGTAAAGAATTATTTCGACACGAATAAATCAAAAAAAAAAAATAAAACGATTGCACAACAGGTTTATTTCTTTAAACGAACAAATCGTTTCCCTTGATCTGCGTCAAACAATGCAAGAGAACTTACTCAAAATGTACACCAAACGAAAACCTTAATTAGACTTTGTGATACACAAGTAAAAAGGATGGCCCGACTGGCATTGACTGGCATTGAAAATGATTTTCCCTGGGCATTTTTTTTTTTTCTGTTTTCTCTTTTTCCCTGGTTCTTCTTTTTTTTTTTTTTTTTTTTTTTTTATTTCCTATTTCTAACTCTAGTCTTTGCATATATTATGTCTCATCACCCTGCTTATACAATGTCAGCACTTTGTGTTGTTGGGTAAGTAATAATATATATATATATAAAAGAGAAACTTTGTCATTTTCTAATTATGTTTTTAAAATAGTGGCATTACTGGTTATTCCCGTACTCGCTCCATTCCTTCTTTAGTAGCTGGTATTAGTGTTGGTGCTTTGTATGGTGTTGCTGGATACATTATAAAAGAAAACCGGGATTATGGTCATGAACTTGCTGTTGGTGCTTCAACTATTTTGGCCATTTCTTCTATTCCCCGTGCTATCAAGACAAGAAAACCTGTTCCAATTGCTCTTGCCATTACTTCTCTTGCTGCTGGTGCTTATTACACGAAAAAAGTCATTGATTACGCTTAGATAGATCTTGATGATTATTATTCTTAATAAATATATATATATATTTAAATATATCTTTCACTATTATTATCATTGTCAACTTGTCAATTACTTTTTTTTTTTTTTTTTTTTTTTTTTGCTTGGACGATACACGTGAATCTATATATTAGTTTGACACTCAGATGGACCTTACTTTTTTTTTCTTTTTCTTTTTTTGCTTTTTTCTACTTCTTTTCTTTTTCTTCTTTATGCTATCATTATTATGTACAATAACGATCAAACCAATTCATCAAGTAAGTTATTCATAAAGATGTTATAAGCAATTAAACAAAAAGACACTGAATCCTTTAGTTATTTTTATATAAATAGCTCAATGGGAATCTCAACTTGCCTCTCAAGAACGCCAAGCCTATTTTGATCTCTTTTCAAAAGTTGATATAGACAATAAGGGTATCGCTCTCAAAGATGAAACTGAGATTTTCTTCAAAAAGTCTTCTATTCCAGATAACATTTTGGCAGAAGTAAGATAATCCATAACACAATCAAACAAAAAAGTACCCTATTAATACCTTTGTCTATAACAATTCTTTTTTTTTTTTTTTTTTTTTTTTTTTTTTTTTTAAAAAAAAAAATAGATATGGGAAGCAGCTGATGATGACAATAAGGGTTTCTTGACTTTGAAGGAATTCTGTACTGCGTTGAAACTGATTGCATGTGCACAACATGGAAAACTGACAGCTACACCTATTTTATCCACTTCTGGTAAGTTGATACTATATTGAGAGAGAGACAAAACTTATATTGTAATCTATGATAGTACCTATGCCTCATTTTGAAGGTGTCTCAGTGAAACCATTATTACCTGGAAATCGACCGGATACAACACAACAATCTCAAGCATCTAGTCCTAATACCAGACCAGCAACAATTGATACCATCTCACCCGAAGAACGCAATAATTATATACAATTATTCCAATCATCTGGACCTATTAATGGTGTACTTCCAGGTATGAACAATCACCAAAAAAAAAAAAAAAAATACATAAATGAATGAATAAGAAGCTGATAGATTTATTATTACTTAGCTGAAAAAGCAACATCCATATTCATGCGCTCACAATTACCTTCTAGTACACTTCAACATATATGGGATCTGGCCGATACAAGAAAATCTGGATCTCTCAATCAAACAGAATTCATCATAGCCATGCATTACATTACTGTCATTAGAAATGGTACCATGTCAACATTACCCACCACATTACCGGCCACAATATATGCTGCAGCTACTGGTCGACTGACTTCTTCTATTGGACGACAAAATACTACCATGAGATCACCTCTCATGCGTCATAACACTGTCATGGGAAACACCAACGAATTAGGTATTAAACAAAGAACATCATCTGAACTTGGTAGATCACCCACATTTTCTGGATCAACGCAACAAAGAGTTCAAGAAGATCTTCACATCACCGATGAAGAATATGCCAAATATCAACTTTTATTTCAACAACTAGCCATCAATGAAACTGGTGCTGTCTCTGGTAAGTTTACTCTTATTGGTATTAATTTATTTTAATGACTCGATTTATTTTATTTTTTTTTTTTTTTTTGTTAGGGGCTGATGCTGCTCATTTTTTTAATCATTCAAAACTACCTGAAACTGATTTGGCAAGAATTTGGGACTTGGCTGATACAAGATCAAAAGGAGAACTATCTGAACAAGAATTCTGTATTGCCATGCACTTGATCAATCGTCGTATGGCGGGTGGACAAATACCTACAATATTACCTGCCTCCATTTTGCAAATGATACCATCTTCGACTTCTAATATCAGCCAGCAACAGACTATGCCCAATCCATCTCCAATGTTTACTGATCTTCTTGGACTTGGTGATCAACCACCACCACCACCGCCACTACAACAACAACAACAACAGCAACAACAACAATTACCACAACAGAACACGACAATAACATCGGATTATGGACTTCAAAATAAATCCAGTTTAGAGAACAACCTCAATTCAATCCAATCACAAATCAAGACGGAAACGTCACTTGTGGACTCTCTTCAAGCACAACAACACAGCATGAATGATACAATCCAAGTATTAGAATCTACCATTCAAGAAGAAAAGAAAAAGTTGGAGAACTTGAAACATACTGCTGATGAATTGTCACGTCATTTGGAAGCTCAACGCAAAAAGAAGGAAGATCTTACTCGTGACTTACAAATATATCGACAAGAATCCAAACATTATCAGCAACGTATTGATCAATCTCGGCAAGAATCACAGGATTTGGAAAAGGAAATATCGGATTTAGAAAAGAAAGCAACCACATCTTCACAACAAATACCATCCTCCTCACCGTCATCGTCATCAATATCGCCAAATACCGATAATGCCAACGTATTTGCACTATCATCAACCATCTCTGATCATGACTTATTTGCCAAGGTGGACGATACTCCAGCATCAACACGAAACAGTAGCGACTCGATCGATCCCTTCTCGGCTAAACATCAGCAAAAGAAAGCTTTGGCTAATGCAACACCCACTCTGAATCGATTGAAAGAAGCTAACGAAATCCGTCGAGCCCAAACTCCCAATGTCGACATTAGTGAAGTGGAGGCCAAGTTCCCTGATCTTTCAACGATGGAACATGATTTTGATACATCTTCCAATGACAACAAAACAACAACAACAACTCCATCAGCTTCAACATCTACTAATTCCATACCCGGCCTTTCACAGCCGACATCATCACCATTTCAGTCACCTTTCGTCTCTTCATCGTCAACACCTGCTGCCACCAAACCATCCAAATACGGCTTTGATCTTTCTGCATTTGAAGGACCCAGTCAGTCGACTTCATCTCCATCGTCAGTACGTGATGATTTGACCTCTCTTTTCGGTGGTGTTAGTCCTGTTCAGTCAAACAACACAAACATCGCAACAACCTCTAACAAGAATTCTTTTGATGCCTTATTCAACATTAGTCCATCAACTTCATCTTCTGCCAATCAACCACAAACTTCATCCTCCAAGCCTACTACTACGTCCTTTACTGATGCCTTCTTCGGATAAACTATTTTTTTTTTTGATATTCTATATTATTAAAAACTCTTTTTTTTTATATTCTATTTACAAATAATTTATATATTTATTTCCAAACTGTATTTTGTGATTGAATGATGATGATATATATATCTAATACTAAAAGGGAAGAATCAAAAAAAGATACAAGTACAGGGGGGGGATAATAACAAGTGCCTAGGCGGTCCAAATACGTTGAATTGCTTCAGTGATACCCACATCGTTTGTATTGAATTCATAACAACCCCAAATAGTCAATGCCATAGATACCTTGAGAGAGAGCATAGCAGCTTTGTAGCCGCGAGGATAGACACGCTTGGGGATATAATCGGTGATACATGAATCAAAACCCATATAGATATGATAAGGAAGGACCACACTCACCAAACCATCAACAATGGGATGCGCACCATAGATGAATTGTGTACTCAATAAGGGTACTAAAGCCACCGCAGATGCTCGTTCCAGATTCCAATGATTTGCTCCAAATGCATAACCTATTTCATTTCGTTTCATACGTTTTTCCCGTTCTTCATATGTTTCTGTATATATCAAAAAAAAAAAAAATTAGCAAGAATAGAATGCTTTTTTTTTTCCTACCTTGAGCTGTATCGTTTGATTTCACAAGATCGTCATTGACAGTGGTAATATCGGGTTGAATGGTGGTCTCTACTGGTTTATCAGAGGTCGATTTGACATCAGATTGCTTGGTTGCTAAAGTAGATCAAAATAACGATAATAATAATATGAGTCAATATCATGTTATTGTATTTTTCTATCCAGCAACATTACCAGAATAAGAGCGTCTCACTATGGTGAACGGTAATGATGAAGACCGTAAAGTCAATCTTGTCAAATTAGTGGTTGGTCGTAGCATGGATGGTATTTTACAGAGAGATAATAAAGAAAGAAAGGAAAAAAAAAAAATAGGGTGCAGAAATGTCAAAACAACAAAAAAAAAAAAAAAAAAAAAAAAAAAACAGGGCTGCTGTATCTGAATTTGATGTTACCAGATAGATTTTTTTTTTTCTTCCATTGGTAAGTTTCGAAAAGTTTTTTTTTTTTTTTTTTTTTTTGTTGATAGAATACCATTATGGAACGAAAACGACAACGATCACCATCGCCAAGTCCATTATCAGAACTTGAAATAAGTGACGACACAGTTCTTCGTAATGCCAATGCTAGGTTCAAATGTCCAGATTGCGATAAACCTGTCAAGTACTTTTGCTATCGTTGTTATAATGTCGTTGGCATGGATCGGTCTGAAGTTCCTTTGGTCAAACTTCCTGTACATTTGGATGTGTAAGTGAATAAGGACTTTGATCAGATCAATAATGTGATTGATCTAATTCTCTTTATATATATATGATAGGATCAAGCATGAAAAGGAACTCGATGGCAAATCAACGGCTGTCCATGCACGAGTACTTGCTCCCGAATCTGTTAGTCTATATGGTTACAATGATATCCCTACATATGAACATCCTGAACGTACATTACTTTTATTCCCTGGTCCAGTAAGTTTTTTTTTTCTTTTTCCTTTTTTTTTTTTTGGGTTAGAAACTAATTTTTTTTTTTTTTTAGAATGCAAAAACCTTACAAGAGATTCCTCGAGATTCATTTGATCGTATTGTTGTGTTGGATGGGACTTGGCGACAGGCAACAAAGATGGCACGGGAAACACCTCAATTGGATGGTTTACAACAAATCACCATTGCACCTCGAAAGACACAGTTTTGGCGATTCCAACAAATGAGTGATCATCACCTGGCCACCATTGAAGCGATTTACTATACCTATCGGGAATATGCCGAAGCTTATGAAGAAGGTCCTTATCATGGCCAATACGATAACTTGATGTTTTACTATCGCTTCTTTTACAACTTGATTCAGGATCAGTACAAGCAAAACAAGGCAAGAACCTTCAGCCATCGCCATCGAAAGAACTATATCAAATATGACGAAGGTCAAGATGATGACAAGAACAAACTTGAAAATGAACAAGTGGATGCTAGTCATTAATTTAGAGTTTTGTAGATAATGTTTTTCTTTATATATATATATATTATATGTTCCTTTCAATCAATGATTATTTAGAATAGTGTTCCTCTCCTCCAATACTTGTTACAAACCCATCCAATATAATAATAATAATAAAAAAAAAAGATCATTTGTAATTTTTTTTGTGGTCAAATCATGTTATGACTTTTGATGATCATCATCTTTTGTCTTCTTTTAGTTTGACTTTCATGACACTTTTTTTTTTCTTTGATGTCAATGCAATCTAGCTGTTGTGGTACACACCATTTGCCATTTCCTATTTCGGTTTTTTTTTTCTCTTACGGAGACCAGGTGTAAGAACTATTGTAGCGTATGACTTGAGTGAATGTAAATACTCGCAAAAAAAAAAAAAAAAAAAATAGATGCCTCGTTTGAGAAGCAATACAATAGATCATTTCAGAGTATTGTAACATTTTATGTGACCTTATTATACATGATTGAACGTATGGTTTCTTTTTGGGGAATTCTCGCTTGATTTACTTTGACAACACCTTTGAATGGGTTTCTTTCAGGATAGGGTAACTTTTCATTTCTCGCTCAAAAATCATTGCACCAAATTTGGATTAGAGGAAACCATGCACATGGCTTGATGATAATTTATACTTTATCTCGCAATTTATAGGTTAAATTAAGAATGGAGTGTCTTCTCTCATCCAATAATGATCATCATTCAATCAAACATTTGGATTCCTCTCTAAAAAAAAGTAGTCTAATACCCTCTCATCTTATTTTATCACATACCTTGTGTGCAATGAACACATCATCGATTTTTCAAAAAATTGCCTGATGATCCCTTGACAATTTATTTTTACAGACAAAATCTGGCGGAGGAATTGGAAACTTTTGGCGGCAAAATCAAAAAAAAAAAAAAAAAAAAAAAAATCAAAAAAAAAAAACCAGATGAATGCAAGCCCTAGACAGCCTCTAAACTCCCTTTAAATCCCATTTTTAAGCTTAAACCTATCATCATATCGTAGAAGCACCAACAGCAAAGGATATGCATACTATTTATGATTACTTTTTTTTTTTTTTGTTAATGGATCAAAAAGACTATTTGTCGATAATGCGTAAAAAATCACAAGTCATTTGATAGCTAATCTCACATCTTCAAATCCCATTTTTAGATTTAAACCTCCCATCATATCGTAAAACATGTGTATATCATCTATGGATATCTTTTTTTTTTTATTAATGCATCAGAGTACATCTATCAGTAATAAATCGAGGAGGAGGGTAGAATAAGACATCCTTTCTTTTTTTTTTTTGTGTATATTCAAGATAGACCACACAATCAAAAAAAATAAAAAAATAAAAAAAAAAGGGAACACAGTAGTTGTAAAAGAGAATCAAAGAGATCAATGTCTTTTTGTTTTTATTATTCATTCAATTCCAAATAAAAAACTAGTAAACTACAAATGATTGAATGGAGTCAAAAGGTCATGATTTCTTGGCACGAGTCACACGGGTGATAGGAGAAGTGGGAGTCGCTTGAGTTGTTTGAGTTGATTGTTTTTCCATCTAACATTCAAAATCAAATAATAGTTAGCAAGCTGTTCAGCATTTAATCATTTTTCTTACTTTATCATGCTTTTTCATGGATTCCATAATATAATGTTGATGTTTCACGATTTCATTGCGTAGCTTGTATTCTCTAATTCCCTTTGGATTTAACCAAGCTAGTAATTGATGGATCTAAAAAAAAAAAAAAAAAAAAAAAAAAAAAAGAATTAGTAAAAATATTCATATATATACATATATGTCATTTTTAATTACTTGTTCAGGATCGGAGTAGTAGTACCACCAACCACCACCTTGTTGTTGATGAAGATGTTGTGATAATGCAGGATGATGACTACAGAAGGAATGGTCCAATGTACTAGAGGAGGATTGCTGCCGTATGGTATCCACATTGTCTAATTCTTGTTGCAGAGCATCCATTCTTTGCGCCAGCCAGTCGCGTTCCTTGATCAAACCTTGTTCCTTCATTAATTCTAAAATAAACTGTCGTCCTCCACCACGACCCCATGCCGGCGTAATAGATGTACTTTCGTCTTGATATTGCTGTCCATTTGGTGTAGGCGTCGCGGCGGCTGAAGAAGAAGCAGGCGATCCAATCGTCGTAGGACCACTGACAACACCGTTGGATGATGGATGAAAATCACGATCCATCATTTGTAAAATATCGACAAAGGTGGGAGATTGAACATATAAACGCCCTGTGCCATGATGATCTGGTGTACCAATGTTATCCAAGTAGAGATACCGATTGAAGAAACGATCTTTCCCAAGAGGCCGTATTCGTAAGATCATGTAGCGTCGCATTTCCCTTTCCAGTTGCTCTTCTTTTTGTTTCAATGCCTGTTCCTCTTGTTTGAGTTGTCGTCTATCTTCTTGTCGTTGTCGTAGTTCCTGATGTTTAAGTTTTGCTTCTTGCTTTTTCTTGGCATGTCGCTTTTTCTGGAGTTCTTCCTTGATTGCTCGTCGTTGCTTTTTCCTTTGTAATTTCACCTGCCTTGACTGATGTAATTGTCCGTATTTGGTCTTTCGTTTTTTGGGAATCCTAAACGTAAAGAGATCAATATGGGCTATTTTCATTTTCTGTTTTTATAGTACCTTTCACTTTGATTTTCCACGTCGGAACCAGAAAAACCATTTTCATCATCACTAGAAGCTTCACTTTCATCTTCGTCTTCATCCTCTTCATCTAGGTCTTCATCATCATCGTCATCATCATCTTCATCCATGTCTTCATCGTCATCTGAAAACTCATCATTGTCATTGTCTTCATCGTCATCGTCGTCTTCATCCAAAGTTTTATTGTGTTCATCCGCATCAGCTGTAGAATCATTGGTATCGTTGTCTGCATCCTGGCCATCAGTAGTGTCGTCGTTACCTTGTCGTTTTTGGAGTTGTTCATCCTGTTTTTTTTCCAAGGCGGCTTTTCGTGCAACACTAAAATCATCATCCATGAACCATTAGCCTTCGTTTTCCATTTCTCTCTTTTTTTTTTTTTTTTTTTTTTTTTTTTTAAAAGAAAAAAAAAAAGACTTACAAGAGCTTATATTCCTTGTTCCATTCTGCTTTTTGTCGTCTTAATTCAGTCATCTGATCTTGACATTCATCCATATAATTCCTATTTTTACAAAATAATAATAATGTCAATTAGTATAAGGAATAGAAACCATATGAATAAACATACTTGATGATCACAGATTCATTGACAACCTCGATCAAGAAAGATAACAATTGTAATTTCCGACCGATATCCAGTGAAGCAAATTGACGATCTCGTTCCACAATAGTGCTATGTGCTCTAGGTAGTAAGTGATGTAAAATAGAATCTATACCAGGTACCAAAAGTGGAGTAGCCACATCATTCAAACATCCAATCAATGCCACCAGCCAGTTTCGACGATCCGATCGGATTTCCTTCTTGTCCCAATCTTTAGACAAACGTAATGGTTCTTGTTCCCGCCAACCAAGTCCAGAATGAGAATCATCGTCATCCTTATCATCGCTGTTGTTTTTGTTATCACCATTGTACTTTTCACGAGTATCATTTCTTTTCAAAGACCCTGTTGATTGTCTAGTTTTTCGCCTTTCGATTGTCGCCCGTTTTCGAATAGAACGTTCATTATCATCATCATCATCATTGTCAGAATCCATACGAGGAGTATCATCCTCTTTTTTATCCTTATCATCATCATCATCATCACTATCATCTTCAGCAGAGCTACTGGAGTCGGCGTTATCTTGCAAATAGTCTTCAACATGATCACCATTTACAATATCGCTTGTCGTTCCTTGTTGTCGTTCCTTAATGATGATATTCAGTAAACTGGTGAAACTTTGAATTAAAGGAGTCAAGGAAGTTGATGTGGTTGTAGATCCAGAAGTCGTTGGAGTCAGTAAAGATGATTCAAAGAGTTCAATGGTCATAGTAGGTAACTTCAGAGGCACGGAAAATACGGTCAAGAAGCTCCAGACGGTCATCATAGCTTCAAATTGTTGGTCATCCATGGTATCTAAACATGAGCGTTCATTTGGAATAGGCCTTGGACCACGACCACCACAAGGGTAAGGAATACGAACACTGGACGATTTTTCTTGATTGAAAGATGATTGGTGTTGATTGGTGTTGTCTATGATAGGGGTTGTAACAGGTGAATTGAGTAATGATGACGGTGATGATGTAGATACTTGCTGTTGTTGTGATGGAGGTAAATGGTAGTTACTGGGTGTCATATCAACCAAGGTCCAATGATGATTAGGATCTTTTCGATAAATCGGCAAGTCAAGATCTTCAATTGGGTACTTGACGGCTGCTTGTTTCTTTCTTTCTTCCCGAATACGTTCCTTTTCTAACTTTTGCTGAATCTTGAGTCGCTGGTGTTCTTCCTTTCTTGCTTGTTTTTCGGCATCCCGTTCTTCTTTCATTGCAAGGTGGTTAGACGGTGGGAAAGATTGATGAATGGACCATGTACTTGTGGAGCTGTTACTGTGATGATTTGGAGAATGTTGTGGATAGTTGTTGCTAAGGGTCCTGCGTGGTCTTTGCTGTTGACGTTGTTGAATGATATTGTAGTAAGCTGTATCTTGCACTTTTTGTAATTGTGATGGTAACTTCGTTGAAATATCATATTGTTTGGCGACATGTTCCTTTATAAAATAATAATAATAATAAAAAAAGAGAAAATATTGAGTCAGATAAAATGATGATATATTATTGATAATTATTTTTACTTTGAGTAACCAAGGAGCACCAATATAGCTATCTCTAGAAGCAGTTTCACGAATGAGATGTTGAAGAACAGAGTGATTAAAATAGTGAGAATCACGAGATAATTCAGATAGCTCCAGAATCCGCACAGACTTTTCTAGAGGAGCACCTTCATTGTCAATCAATTGAACACGATATCTGAATCGATTTGAGTCTAAAGAATGTTTTGATTGGGTTGATGAAGTAATACGATTGTTATTTGTTGTAGAATCCACAGAGGTTGGTTCAGGATGAAGAAAAGCATCAGGAAATCTTAATCGACCATTGGCTTGACGAGGTACACATTCTTCTTCTTCATCTTCTTCTTCGTTCTTGATGGAAGGTGGAGGAGGAATAAAATTTGGATTTGGGATAATATCTAGAATTTGACCAAGATAACTAAGACAAAAAGAAAAGTCATGTTAATAATAATCTGCATCCAGGCCATTAGTAATAAATAAGAATAATAATAAATGACTTACGTATGACCACCAAGCGAACAATAAACGACTTCACCAATGACAAAATCAGTAAGAAATGTAGTATACAAATTTTGAGCCAAAGCATCTAGTCCCATCGTTTCTATCATCATCATAATAATAATAACAAATAATAATATAATGTTAAATCAATTTATATTTTCAAAATTAAAACTTACTGAATTGAATATGAGATAATAATCGTTTCCGAAGGACAAGACAAAATTTGAATTCTACACGAATATCACCTTGTTCACTTTCCTTTGCTTGTTGATAAGTTAGATGTTGACGACCAGTGACTTCACATTCCCAAATACGTCTATGACAAAGAGTCCAACGTTTAATATAAGATCTAATAATAATAATAATAAATAAAAAAAAAAGTGATAGTTTCTTGTCAAGGTAATAATATATAAATCTTTTATAGTTTAGTATAGATCATAAATAAATAAAAAAGGATACTCGTAATTTGGAAAAACTTCATCGGTACATTTCAAATAATAAACTTCTTTCCGTCGTCGTTTTCCATCCAATCGTATTGGTGAAGAGAGAACAATTCGTTTTTTGTTCAATAAAGGCATTCTTTACTATACAGATGGACCCTATAATAATAATAATAATAATAAAATAGAATGGATTAGAAAAAAAGGGGAAGACATGAATCAAATTACTTTTTTTTTTGTTTTCTTTACCTTCTTTTCTATGCGCGTTTTATTCAAAATAGTTTCTTCTTTTCAAAAGTAAAATGATATGATGGATGACTTGTCTTTTTTTTTAACCAACGAAAAGAAAGAAAGAAAGAAAAAAAAATAAAAAAAAAAAAAAAAACGTTTTGTTTTTTTTTTTTTTTTCTTTGAGCATTTCGTTCTTTTTTGGGTCTCAATGACATTAAAGGCAATTGATTTCAAACGGCGCATCAACCTACTTTTCTTTTTTCCTTTTTTTTTTTTTTGTAAGAAAAAAAAATCAAGCCACCGTAACCCTTTCTTTCTTCTTTCCTTTCTTGTATTATGTTGAGATCTAAATCTTTTGTCAAAAGAACACGTAAAGGAAACGTTGTTAAAGTAGTCAAAGAACATTATCTTCGTGATGATATTTCTTGTTCTTCTCAACTATGTTCCTCTTGTACTCACCATCAACCTCCTACCTTATCTGATTTACCTCGATCCACTTCAAACTTACCTCCACATTATCTAATCCCTGATACAAATGTTTTTATGAATCAAGTAAGTATCTTTTATTATATATAATATTGATATAAACTCGTTAAAACTATTTTTGATAGTTGGATCTCATGGAACATAGTACTGTCAAAGATGTTATTGTACTTCAAACTGTTCGAGAAGAACTTCGACATCTCAGTTTACCAATCTACAATCGACTCAACTCTGTATTAGCGGATACCAACAAACGGTTTTACTTATTTGCCAATGAACATCATCGGTAAGTAAAACCAAAAAGAAAAAAAATTTAGTTATTAACTAAACTCTTTTTCTTTGTCTATAGTGAAACATATATCGAAAAACTCAAAGACGAATCACCTAATGATAGAAACGATCGAGCCATTCGAGTATCTGCGAAATGGTACAATGATCACCTAAAGAATCAACCTGTGAAATGTATTCTACTAAGTGATGATCGTGCTAACCGTGAAAAAGCAACTACTATTGGTCTCAAAGCACTATCAGGTAAATAACAAGAAAAAAAAAACTCTATATACTTGATACTTACATACTTTTCTTTTAAAACAACAACAACTATCGATTCTAGTGAAAGATTATGTGGAAGGAATCAAGGATGTGCCAGAATTATTGGATATAGTGGCAATGCCAAAAGATAACACAAGCAATAACAAGAATGAAGTGGTTTATGAAGAAGTAAGTAAAACAAAGAAATTGTATTTAGTTAAACGTGATAAGTTAAATTATCTTTTATTTTATTAATATAGCACTTGACACCAGCACAAATACAAAATGGCATCAAGAAAGGAACACTTATTCAGGCTACTTTGAATATTAGTCAACACAATGTATTGGAAGCAACAGTAACAGGTGAAGTCAACGGTGAAATAAGAACAATTTATATTTTGGGACGAAATCATTTAAACCGAAGTATCCAAGGCGATGTAGTAGCTGTACAAGTATTACCTCAAACAGAATGGAAACGAACAGCATCAATGGCCATGGAAGAAGATAGTGATGATGAAGATGAAAATGGGTTGCATCAAGGTGACAAGACTCTTGACGATATCAATAATAATAAAGATCAGCCTGAGACAGATGGACCTGGTGAACCTACTGCCAAGGTGGTTGGTATTGTGCGAAAGAAATGGAGACCGTAAGTGACTAGTAACAATACATATATATATAATAATAATAACCCTATACTTTATTTTTATATTTTTAGTTATTGTGGTTTCATTGTGAAGAAATCCGTTCATTCAAAACCTGGATCTACTAATGCAGAATCCGTTCTTTTCAGAGCTATCGATCGACGAATTCCTCCTATCAAAATTCGAACTTCTCAAGCACATTCTCTAATCGGTAAACGTGTTGTCGTATCTATAGATTCTTGGACTACCAATTCAATGTAAATCATTTTTGCATATATATTTATATTCATGTATATATATTGTATATTAACTTAACATTTTTTTTTTTTGAAATAGGCTCCCTATGGGTCATTTTGTGAAAACGTTAGGTAGTTCAGGGGATCGAGAAACAGAAACAGAAGTTTTACTATTGGAACACGATGTACCTTATCAAGAATTCTCCAAACGGGTGCTTTCAGATCTACCAAAGGAAGGTGATGAATGGGTCGTTACAGATCAACATGTATATCATGAAAACAGACGCGATTTAAGGCATTTGAACGTGTGTAGTATTGATCCTCCTGGTTGTACTGATATTGATGATGCTCTACATGTTTTGGCTTTGGAAAATGGAAATTATCAAGTGGGTGTTCGTAAGTTTATATAAAAGTTAAAGGGGGTTGATGTTTATACTCATCTTTTTTTTTTTTCTCTTTGAAATTTTTTATCTCCCTATATTGTTAATATCCCAAGATATTGCGGATGTGACCTATTTTGTGAAACCTGGTCAAGCTATGGATGAAGAAGCTGCCTCTCGTGGTACTACAGTTTATCTTGTTGATAAACGTATTGACATGTTACCTTCTTTACTTGGCACAAGTAAGTCAATATATATATATATATATATAATACGAGTTTATGTATTCATTTTATATTTTATATGATTGTAGATCTTTGTTCTCTTAGATCTAATGTTGATCGATTGGCCTTTTCTTGTCTATGGGAAATGACTGAGGAAGGAAATATTGTTGGAGTTGAATTCACCAAAAGCATTATTCGATCCAAATTCTCATTCACTTATGAAGAAGCTCAAAATCGTATAGATGATAGGTAGAAAAAAAAAAAGATAAAAGATTAATTTGATGATTTCTAATTTGATTTTTTTTTTTTTTTTTTTTTGTAGCCGTATGCAAGATGATGTGACTAAGGGTATTCGGATATTGAACAAGTTTGCTAAAAAATTCAGAGCACAAAGAATGGAACGTGGTGCATTGACTTTATCAAGTCCTGAAGTACGATTCCATTTGGAAAATGAGTCACAAGATCCTGTGGATGTGGAACTCAAGGAACTCAAGGAAACAAACGCTTTGGTAGAAGAATTCATGTTGTTAGCTAATATCTCAGTAGCTGAAAAGATTTATAGCAAATTTCAGAATTCAGCCATGTTACGACGACATCCTACTCCTCCCAGCTCTAACTTTGATCAACTTCGAAAATCATTGGCGGAATACAGTAATGGTGCATTGGATTTGGATATACAATCTTCAAAAACTTTAGCTGATTCTTTGGATAAGGCGGTGGTTGCTGATGATCCTTATTTTAACAACTTGGTGCGTATTATGACTACACGTTGTATGATGCAAGCTCAATACTTTTGTTCTGGTACCGAATCCGAGGCTGAATTTAGACATTATGGTTTGGCTTCACCTATTTATACTCATTTTACCTCACCTATTCGTCGTTACGCCGGTAAGTCATTAAAAAAAAAAGAAAGGGAAGGATTAGAACTAATCATCTTTTTGTTTCTTACGATAATATAGATGTGATTGTACATCGATTATTACAAGCTTGTATTGATCCTGATGCTGTATATGGACAAGAATTGATTGATAAGGTCAAAATGAAGGACTTATGTGACGGTAAGATGATCTTTCTTAGAAAAGAAAGGAATGATCCTAAAATATATATCTGATCTTTTTTTTTTTTTGTTATGATGATCCTATATAATAGTACTCAACCATAGACATCGTATGGCTCAACAAGCGGGAAGAAGTTCAGTTGAATTATATACCCATATGTTTTTCAAGAACAAGGTACAAGTGGAAGATGGTCGTGTTATTCGTGTTTTGAAGAATGGATTTGTTGTACTGGTACCAAAGTAAGTGGGTATATATTTATTTTAAATGTATACGATTTTCATTCTCATTTCAAATTCTCTATATATTTAGGTTTGGTATTGAAGGCATTGTATACACCAGTGGCGGATCATCATCTACACCAAGTCCATTTACGTTTGATGAAGCAAACAATTGTCTCAAGACAGATGATGATATATGTATCAAGATCTTTAGCAATGTCAAGGTGCAAATCACAGTGGAAGGCGATGAACAAGGCATGAGGCAAAAGATGAAGATGCAATTAGTGGAACCCTTTGTACCAGGCGTCAGCGTCACTTTACAAGATTCTTCCAACAAGCGATCTTCAACAACTCAAGAAAAAGATCAAATATCTTTAGAAAGCAACGCAAATAATCGATCGAAAAAATTAAAAATAAACTAGTTTAGTGATAGATATTTTTTTTTAATAAGAATAAAGAAAATTCTGCTTTATTGAATTGATTCCTTATTATGGTGGGCAGTATGTTACAATGGATGATGATATTATGATATGATGGATGATGATGGAATGTGTTTTGTCATTTGAGGGCTTACTGTAGAGATAATAGAGATATTATAGTGAAGTTGGGTTTTTATTGGAAGTAATATAAAAAAAAGGAAGAAGAGTATATAGATTGTGTAGTAAATAGATGATGGGCTGCTTGGATATAGATGAGAGACAGATACTGTCCCCAATGAAATGTATTAAATAGAAAAGGACAATAAATAGTGAATGGTATCATCAAAATGCAAAAAAAAAAAAAAAGGAAAGGGCAGTGAAGAGTGTTTGTGAGTGAGATGAGATGAATGTATGTGAATTGTGGGATTATGTATTGAGGAATGATATTAAAAAAAAAATCAAAAAAAAACAAGAAGGGGCATATAGTATCATAATAATAATAATAATAATAAAAGGATCAAATAAAGAAGACAACCATGAAAACTTGAAATTGAAATAATAATAGAAATAAAAAAAAAAAAAAAAAGGTTAGGGATAAAACCAAAACCAAGAAACGAAGGAACCAGAAATATTCAAATGTAGGAAGAGGACATGAGAGGATGAGTCAACAAAGGAACACTTCCTTGATCCATAGAACAAGTAGGAGACTGGCTGGACGATGTAGTGACAGAAGGTGAGGAAGAAGAATGGTAAAAGTCCAAGGTAGGTGTTGTTGGAGGGAAAGATAACTTGATGCCGGATTGTTGTTGTTGGTACATATCAAGAATGGTGTGATCAGACAAAGGAGAGGTTGTATCCAAAGTCCAGCCAGGAGTGCCACAACTACTACTACCGCTGCTACTGCTACTGCTACTGTTGTTATTGTTACTGGTGGAGGTGATTGTGTTGCTAATGGGACTATTACTGCTACAACAACTATTTGCATCGGTTGGATCCATCCAACCCATCATGGTTGTATTGACTGGTGAAGAATGATTGTTTTCAGATGCACGACGATTCTAAAAAAAAAAAAAAAAAAAAAAAAAAAAAGAAAAGAAAAGAAAAAAGTGAGTAGGATGATTTTTTAAACGTCAATTTTTTTTTTTTTTTTTTTTTTTTTTGGTACCTGTTGTTGCAACATAGCGGTGTCCCATAATGGATTTGATTGGCTCAACAAAGGGCAGGATTGTCTTCGTTGCAAATCATTCTCTTGATGTTGTGAAAGATGCGCAGGCATTGTTAACCAAGAATTATGATCAAGCATTAACATGGATTGAGCGGCAGCTTGAGTGGCAACAGATCGAATATCATCCATAGAATAAAATAAGGAAGAGTTGCTACCACAAGATGATGATGAAGGGGTTGATGATAACAAACAAGAGGAAGGTGATGATGATGTGGGTGTCATTAAATAAGAATTATTATTATTAGTATTATCAGTGTTGTTAGTGTTGTTGTTATTAGTGATAGGGGAACCTTGTTGTGATTTCCTTTTTTGAAGCTTGGCCTTTGCACGACGATTTTGGAACCAAATCTGGACACCGCGAGGAGTCATGTCTAATTCCTGAGCTAAATAACGACGCACTGTAGCATTTGGTTTTGCATTTTCGAGAAAGGCTTTTTCTAATACTTTGAGTTGAGCTCTTGATGTACGACGACGATGTTTGATTTCAAAAGGATTGTAAAAAGTAGGCCTGAAATCTCCTTGATAAGGATCCATCAAGTGATGATACTCTTGAGAAGTTGGTGATTGAGTATAGTAAGGGTGACTGAAATAACCATTGGAGGACATCATAGAGGAAGGATGTGATAAGGATGGATGATGAAGTTGATGATGATTTGCTACTGATGATAATGCTGTTGTTGTAGATGATGATGCTGCTGCTGCTTGGGCTGCTGCTGAACCGGCGGCAGCTGCCATACTGGCTTGATGAAAAGACGAAGGATCGACGTTCAAATGAAATGATTGCTCAAAAGGTTGCATTGATTCTGTTGCCATGATGATAACAAGTTAGATTATAAGTATTAGAGATAATGATGATGATGATAAAAGAATAAGAATAAAGAATGAAAAAAAAAGGAAGTTGATCAAAAAAAAGTCAATCTATTTATCTTATTTTTTTTTTTTTTTTTTGGTGTGAGCAACACCCTTTTTCTTTTTTTTTTTTTAATTGAATTTGAGGTCAATGCGACTTGAAGTAAAAAAAAAAAAAAAGTAAGGGGAGTAAATTCCAAAGGAAAAAGGAAAAAAGGAGGGAAAGATATAAAACTGGGAGTTATAGTGAAAAAAAAAACAAGTGGTCAAAGAGTCCCGGGGTTTTCTTAGGTGGAAGGGCCAAGTTGGATCAACCCAAGGAATGACACTTTCTTTTTTCTTGTGGGTAGAGAAAGCAGATGACACGAGGATCTATATTTGTATTATGAAAAAAAAAAAAAAGGGTAACCTCCTAGCTTAAACCTTTTTCAGTTCAATGTGTATGAAAGAGACAATCCCTTTTCTTTACTCTTACACACGCGCACACCCACTCTCGTGCCACCAGCAAATCTTTCATTATTCATCCTTGTTTTCCTTTTTTTTTTTTTCTTTTTTTTTTTTTTTCTTCTTTACTTGTCTTGATTTACTCTCCAAAAAGAAACCGAAAAAGGCTTCAAACCAAAAAAAAAAAAAAAAAAAAGGGGTATGCACCCGAAAAAAAAAAAAGCATTCAAAACAGAAGATCATAGCTAAGATAACTAAACTGTCACATCCACTTTATTTACTTTGATAGGACCATGAAAATCATAACATTAGAATTAAAGTAACATACTACAAATAAACAAATAAACAAACAGAGAGATATTCCCAATAAAATGTAACAAAAAAAAAAGATAGACAAGGGAGAGGGATGATTGCCAAGGGGATGAAGCCAGTGATTAAATAAGGACGTGATACCGATGTTTCCATAATAGGATTTTAAGCGGCATGGAAGCTATCACTCATAAGTATGCATCAAAAAAGAAAAAGAAGCACACTGTGATGCGCGTGCCAGTTGGCAATCAAACTTGACTTTTTCATTATCATCATCGTCATCATCATCAACTACAACAATAAGACCATCATTACTTATTTTTAAGAAAGTCCTCCTTTCTAGTATAGTGATTTGACCTAATTCAGTATAATTATGGAACAAAGCTTGGAGAATTCCTTTTCAGTATATATACTATTCGAGAAATCACGTCAATGTTGTTTATTAATTTTTATTCCTGTTGCATGATCCCTCTATTGTTTTCATTAAAAAAAAAAGGATGATTTGTTGTAAAAAAAAAAAAAAAAAAAAAGTTGAAGGGAAGGAAGAATATCCTTTTTTTTTTAATATAACAAAAAAAAAAAAAAAGGTTTGCTTTCTCCTTTTGTCCGCTTAAACCAACCAACTTTCTGGCCATGCAACCCTACGCTCATACCAACTGACATCGCCTTGACCATCACCATGTAACAACACTCACAAGACATATGAATACTTATAAATGTATCCCCCTTTTTTTCTTTTTATGATCATTTGTCTACAACTGTGAAAACTGAAGGGTCCTTCCTCCTCTGTCGAGCACGAGCATCTACTAGTATACATAATAGCAACAGTGCGTTTAAGAATCCTTTTCTTTTTTTTTTTTTCTTAGGGTACCTGTCCACCCCTTAAAGTGTCTCATCATTGGATTTTGTTTTTTAATAACTCCTAGTCCGTCATCATCACCATCATACTATTGTCATGACATCATGTTGGATCTTTTTTTATAGATCACATCACTCCTCCCTTTGTAGATGATAGATCAGTGAATCCTAGTATGGATATATCAATCTATCTTTTTTCTTTTCTTAACATTTCTAAAGAAGACCAAAAAAAAAAAGTATGGGGTTTTTATTGTACAATATAAATCACTACTGCTAATACTACTGTTATCCTAAATATCACTATCTACATAAAAAAAAAAAAACAATCTATATTTCATCATTGATAGCTTCTCTTTCCCTTGTATATCCCCTTGCGATACCAGATCGACCTTCTTTGACATCACCAGCCTCATCTTGGCCCATTTTTGGATCCAAGCCCCGATAAGATCGATTTCGAAGGTATTCCCCTATATAGAGATAAACATTATCCACAGGATAAAAAAAAAAAGAAGAAAATGAGTAAAAAAGGAAACAGCCAAAGCATTGACTTGCCGCCAAATTCATCCTTTCCTTTTGACCCATAACACGTGCATCCATATTTGACTTCTCCTATCTTCACCAGAATTTTCTCCTTTTGTTGTTGTTCCATTTCATTCCTTTCTTTTTTTTTTTCCTCCCTTACCGGCTGTGCTGTTCATCAAATGAGCTATACTTGTTTCTTGATTACGTAAAGTGAGACCAGTTAAGTTACTTGTCAATGTTTCAGTGGATGGATCTATAGATAGAGAAACAAAGAAAATGAATTTATAAGAATTGAAGTGTTAGAAAAAGTTCAAAAAAAAAAAAATGGATGGTAACAGAGATTGACGTTGAATCGGCAATGCCACATTCCTTTCTCCCCCTCTCTCTCTTTCTTACCATCTTTTGCCTTGACTTTTTGGAATGGACCAGATACATATTGACCAGTAATCAAAGAGAAATGACCTTCTTCATCACTAGATCCTTCATCCATTTCCTATAAAAAAAAAGAGCAAGAGAACATATCAGTCAAACAAACCTAGTTTGCCACATACACGAAAAAGTCTGAACTCAAATGGCCCGACATGTGTTCATTGATTTTTTTTTCTTCTCCTATTTTGCTTAACCCCTCTTCTTGATATCTTTCTCTCTCTTTCTTTTTTATCTAGATCTTTGTTGCTTACCTCATCATATTGAAATCCATCTGTTCGCAAGTGAGGTAGTAATTTAGAAAAATCCAGCACGTAGTCTCCAGTCCATTCTTTAGATCTATATAAGGTATAAAGTGATAAAGTGATCAATGGAGTAGTTAGTATATACAAATAAGATTTCTCTTTTTCTTTTTCAATTTTAGACTTACTTGACAAGGGCTATTTCCAATTCAAATGGTGTCACGATAGGTCGATAAAAGTCCTATTAAAAAAAAAAAGAGATTTTTTTTTTTTGGGTCAGGCATTGATAGTGGTATATGTCAAAGAATAGGAGAAATACTTGGGTTTCTATAATCATACCTTTGAATCAATCAAACTATTTTCAGGACAAGCAACCAAGACATAACAATCAATTTCCATAAAGTTGGCCATTTTTGCTACATTGAGTTTTCCCATCACAAACATGTACCATTTCCTTCCAGATAGAGTAATCACCTTCTTCAAATGTTCTATGATATTCATATATGAAGCTGAATAAAGGAAATTCAGTTTGTTAGTATCAAAGCTTCTTTTCCCTCCTTTTTTTTTTCCCAGAATAATTCTTTCTTTCCCCTATTGATGTTTTCATGAGCACTTACCAACACCCAGGGTACCAACCACGATGCCAATGGTGTTTGCATCTTTTGCTTTCTGCACCATAAAATACCTAAAAAACAAGATATATATATAGAAAAAGAAGGGGTATAGGGGGAAAGAAGGGGATAAAGAATGAGACAAGGGATATTAGATTAATAAAGTAAAATCATGACAACTGCCCCCCTTTTTTTTTTTCTTCATTACCTTTTCATCAACATTTTGTTCACAGAGACTGTTTCTTTTCTACCATATTTTGATGAGGGATCATAAGTATAAACCTAAGAAAAAAAAAATCATTATCATTCCATGTTACCTTTTTTTTTTTTTTTTTTTTTTTTGCTTCTGATAAACCCCTATTTTTTTTTTTTGATGAACCTACCTGACATTGATGATGTACCATCATAATATTGGTCAATGTCAAACCTTCATGACCAATGAAAAAGATAACACATTGTTCCAAAGAAATATCATCTGGTAGAATATAAGTTCGTCCCCCTTTGCGTTTTTCGGCTGCTTGTTCAATATGATTTGTTGCTGTCACTGATGTTGTTCCACCACAATCTCCACCACATCTTCCTCCACAAGAACCAACCTTTTCTAAATCTGTTTCCTTTTCATGACATTTGCTTGTCTTTTTGTCCAAATGTCCATCGACGATACTTTCTTCTTGTTGAATAAAACTGGCAATTATATGTTGATATTCCAATTCAAGCTGTTTTGTTAATTTTTCTATATATATATATAAATCATGTAGTGTCATCGATCAGTATGAAAACATGGTTTAACACGGACCACTTTCCACCCTTACTTTATTTCCCCCCTTTTTTTTTGCACATACCTGTAGCATGGGCATATTCGACGTTACACATGATGATGACAGGCTGTGATCGATCTGGAATCAATTCTTGAAACTTTTCTATACAATCGTTGATATCCACTGGTTGTTGACCAAAAACGTATAAAACTGGAAGGTGACTTGTCCTATAGATAGAAATTAAATCGATTAAAAAAAAAAGACCAAATAATTATGATGTTTTCTTACGGTGATAAACAAGAGTGTCCATAATGAATTATCACTTGAGCATCAATATGTTGAGCAGCCACTTCGTCCACACAGCAGCTACCATAAGAAGTATCCGCCAATATAAAAAAGGCCACAGATGATTTGTCCTCCATATTAGCATATGTCTTCAATAATCTTGCTACTGCCGTTGCATCAGCTAACATTTCGTCAGGAAATTGGAGTGCTACCCTTTGATAACCATGTTGATGAATGTATGCCACTGTCCGTTCGATCTCATACAAGCTCAGTAATGTCGCATCATCGTCATGTCGTATACTTTCTGTCACCTCACGTTCCATAATATCTTGTCCATCATTTGAAAATGCTGTAGGTCCTTGTGCTGGTGCTGCCATGATATAGTTGTATATATTGTTGTTTGCTTCCGTGATCTCAATTCACAGACAAACAAAAAAAAAAAAAAAAAAAGAACAAGCAGAAAAGTGTTTTAAAGGTATAGCTGATTTTTTTTTTTTAGTCAACCTGGGCGGGAGATGAAAAGTGACGGCAACGACCAAAAAAAAAAAAAAAAAAAAAAAGAAACTCTTCCCTCCACTTTTTTTTTTCTTCTTTCTTTCCACCCTTTCATCTATACATATACACACTCTCTCGCTCACTTATCATGACCTTTGTACAATTACTTCGTTCACAAACACCCAGACTCAAACATTCAACATCTTTACGTACAGTCATTTCTAAACGATGGGCTTCAACCAATACAACTGGGGAAGCGGTCAAAGAAGAAAGTAAGTATTATTCAAACTTGTGTATATATTCACCTTCAAAAAACAATATTGAACGCGCAATTGTCTTTTCTACATGGTTCATCTATTTTGTACTTATTATTATTTTTCATATAGCTTTTAATAACAATGTCTGGCGTAATACCATCCTTCTGGCTATTGCTGGCTTTATTTGGTACCGTATCGATGAACGAGTAACAGACCAAGGTGATGTAAGTAAACTCCTATTATTCATTCATTCATTTTGTTCGACAAACTTGACATTTTATTCTTTTTTTTTTTTTTTTTTTTTTTTTTTTTTTTTTTTTAGGAAAAACATCCCGTCACCAACTGGATTGAATATCATATGAACAAAAGCCAAGATAACGATCAGATTGCTGAAACAAACTTTGATAATGCTAAAAAAATTGCCGAATACAAGTAAATTACTCCACAAAAATGTGAACAAAAGAACTGATAAGTTTTATTATTATTATTATTATTTAAAATATAGATTGGTCTATCAAGATGCTCAACGACCTCCCATCTATCGTATGCGATATCCAGAGTAAGTAGTAAAACAAGAAATTACTATGTGGACTCATGATTTTATTTTCTCCCAAAAATAATATAGAACCTTTGAAAGATCAAGTCCTCGTGCATTGGTAACAGGTAACAACTGCGACCTTTCCGACGTAAAGATTCGACAGAACACAGAATAGTGTAGATAAGTTGACACCCTTGATTATTTGGAACACGATGTAGCAAATAAAATTGAACTGTTTTTGAAACCCAACTCCATCCACTGTCTTTTTTTTTCACTTTCCTTTCCTTGATCAAGCCTTTTTTTCTTTTTTTTTTTTCTTTTTTTTTCGAGACGTTGAATGTTTATCTGTTTTCCCAAATTCTCATAACAATGTTGGCAGACAGTGAGAAAATTGGACAGAGGGTAAACCAAGTTAATAACAATCAAATAAATTGCGGTGGGTGTTGGCGGTGTTGACGATGTTGTGGAATTGGTGTAAGTTAAATAAAAAAAAATATAAAAAAATAAGACGAGAACAAGTCTGTACGATTTCTTTTTTTTTATTTAAACAAGAGACGAAGCATCTACACAAAAAGTTTTGTTGGTTTTATATATAAGTACGTGGTGAGTGATATGTATTACTAGTATCATCATACTGTATTTAAGATTGGTGATCAAATTTTATTTTTGTTTTTGTTTATTCTTGTTTTGGTTCGTAATACTTTATTTATCATTGATGTGATGTTATCATAATAGCTGCCCTGGAGTGCCTATACATTCAGCATGATGATTTTCAAAGTCCGTATTTTTTTTTTTTATTCTTTCTTCGATATTTTTCTTTTCTTTTCTTTTCTTTCTTTCTTTTCTTTATAATGACTTTAATCTTAATACATCAGTTAGTGATCTATACTAGTCATACTTTTATTTAATAAAGCTATTATTTTTATTCCTACTACTTTATTACACGTCAATGTAATTGATTCCATCTCGCGATGTATTTTTATTTTTTATTTTATGAATATGGCTACGGAATACGCTTATACGATAAGGTTCTACTAGTAGTCCTACTACCCGTGCTACCGCTGCTGCTACTACGGAAAGGGTAGATAAAGGTAAAATAAAATTTAAAGTTTCTATTATGCCTATTAGAGGAAAAGAGTGACGAGTAATATTTTAATCTTTTTATACGACAAAAAGGAAAAAGAAGAATGGTGGAAAAAAAAATATAGAAAAAAGAAAACGACCCAGAAACATTGATATGGTAAAAAAAAAAAAAAAGGAAGCCCAATGCATGACAAGACTAATCTTAGTTATCTATTTATGTCATATTTCTCGGTATAAATGAAGATGGCAACCTTGAAAAAAAGTAAGCGAAAAAAAAAGAAAAACAGGAAAGTGCAGTAACGAACGGAATTGTTTTGGGAAAAATAGAATTCAAGGTTGTCTTTAAAGATGAGGAAACCGTCAGAAAGAAGGTAGACTCCATCCGTACACTGTATGGATGGGGGGGATGAAACAACAACATCAACAGCAACAACAACATCAACAGCAGCAACAGCAGCAACAACATCAACAGCAGCAACAATATCATCAACAGCAGCAACATCAACTGCAACAACATCAACAGCAACAACATCAACAGCAACAACATCAACAGCAACAACATCAACAGCAACACCGTTCATGACATTAAGAACATATGATGACAATCCAGATGGAATGGATATTGAACGAATAAAAGAAAAATTAAAAGAAATATCACAGCAAATCGGCAGGACAGATTGCCATCAACTTATCTTACGACACAATGCCCTTTATTACCGCTTCATGCCATCACAGCTATATGACGCCTATTACTGTAATACACTGTATCATCATCATCATTATTATTATTAAAATAAACTTACTATTAAACAAAGCATTAAAGTCTAATAAATATAAAAAGAAAAGCAAATAGACTAAAGGCCCGTCTTGATTTTTGTAAAGTTGTAGTCCAGAAAGAAAACTTGTATTTGATGGATGTATAAGGAGACCTTGTAGTTTGTAAATTGGTTTAAAAATTGATATCAAAATAGATGAAGAAAAAAAAAAGAAAGATAAAATAGTATTTTTTTTTATATTTCTCACTTGTCATCGATCGATCGCATGTCTCAGTTAATGAAAATAGATGAAGAAGACCCGAGTAAATGATTTTAAAAGAGAAAAACAATTATGCAAATTTACATCCACATCACAAGATATGAACATTACATTAGTATACCCCTGTCTTAGCACTGAATATGATGATGATACCATATAAAAAATATAGTTCTTTTTTTTCCAAATATGACTGTTGAAAAGAATCAGCTCACCTGCTGAGACAATCACCATCAATCATCAATCAACGTGTTTTGACATACTCTACCGACATCTCTGGAGCGATATCTGAAAAAGTGGTAATGCAACATTCATTTTGGAAAACCCCGATATTTTGACCAGCAAAAAAAAAAAAAAAAAAAAAAAAAAAAAAAAAAAAAAAAAAAAATTGAATTATTAAAAAAAAAAAAAAAAAAAAAGTTCTTTTATTCTTGTTAGCCTAAGAATTCATCTTGGCAAAACGCAAAGATTTTTAAACATTGCTGCAAATTGTCTTGCAAAATACTGTATTACCGTTCCTTTGTAACCTTGACTACGCCACGATTGACAATGAAAACTGAAAGTGAATGGCGTGCCATCTTGACTCCTCAACAATTCCGGGTATTAAGAGAAAAGGGTACTGAAGCCCCAGGTACTGGTGAATATAACAAACATGACAAAGAAGGTAGGTTATTATTTTGTATTGTTGTAGATAGCCTTCTAACCTTTCTTTTTATATAAATATATATATATATATATATATATATATACGATCTTGAACGTATTCTCTCCCCAAAACAAAAGGAGTTTACAACTGTGCCGCCTGTAATGCACCTCTTTACAAATCGACAACGAAATTCAACAGTGGTTGTGGTTGGCCTGCCTTTTTTGATGCTATTCCTGGAGCAGTGGTTCGTCATGAAGATACGTCTCATGGTATGAAAAGAATCGAAATAGTATGTGCGAACTGTCAGTCTCATTTAGGTCATGTCTTCCAAGGAGAAGGGTTCCCTACACCTACAGATGAACGTCATTGTGTCAATAGTATATCTCTTAAATTCAGTGATCAAAAAGAGTAGATCTAGATTACTTTTTATTGTTATTTTTCAATAAATGTCTATCCTTATCCAATTTTTTTTTTTCGTCACCCTATTCTCTCCTTGTTGATGATATTTGAATGCTTTATTTTGTTTAGATTAATTTTAGCAGACATCCTTACTATATTATCTCCAAATGATTCAAATATATATATATATGATATTGTCAGGATGCTCCTTTCAAACCCACCTGAAAGAAATATCCAATGAGTTGGTTGTGATGGGTGCTATGTAATCATAAAAATATGATGGACAATAAATTGATATAAATGATGGTTGGTGGAAGATGATAAATAAAAAAAAAAAAGGTAACGAGACTATTTGGTTTGTTGCCTACTTTAATATTAAATTTCGAATATTATACGGTAACTGATCTATAACTATAAAATACTACATCTATCTATCTTCGTCCACCTTTCTTCTTTTTGCTTGCTTCCAAATTGGGGGCTGATACCTTGACCTTGCTCATCATTGTATTGATTGCTTCCATATCTGGTACACCTTTGATTAATTCCTTTTCACGAGCAGTAATGTCTTGATGATTCAAAAATACTGATTGCGCTTGTTTGATAGCTAATACCATAAAAGCAAATAATATAGATCTGTTAGCATCCATGTCATTCTTGATCATTAATAATAATAATAATAAAAAAAATATACATGATTTCATTTACCTTTGCCACGCTTCAATGTACCTGGAGTCAACTTGACCTTGTATTTGTATTTCTGAAGAGCCGGATAAGGCGCACAAACTGGAATGGCAAAATGAAGTAGGTCATTTGGCAGAGGATTTGCTGTCAAAGAATCTAATGATGTCAAACTAGCCAATTCTTCATTTTCCAACATGGTGATGTTTTCTTCCTTTAGCATCTGTCGAATGTCCTCCGTTTCTTTAGCATTGTCGTGCAATGTCTAGATAAACAAATACGATGTAGGTTAGCACATATTCGATCGCTTAGCTAATAAAATTCATCGTATCTTCTATGTGTATATATGTATCCTACCTCTGAATCCTTTGTTTTATTGGTATCCACTATATCATCAGTAGTCGTTGATTCTTCAGCTTGTCTTTGTTTCCTTCGTTCTTCACGTTCCTTTTCCATGGCTAACTTTTCTGCCTTTTCTTTGGCTTGTTTCTTTGCCTTCTTCCCTTTTGGCTGAGGTCCCTTGTTTGACTATATACATAGTGAATAAATTGTTGATTAATTCTTTCGTACTAATATATATATATATTCTATGTCTTCAAGCACTTACGCCTAATATTTCCATTCGTAGCTGGCGTTCTTCTTCGTCTTGATCACCATATTTTTCTTTGATCTTTTTTGATTTGCCTTTGCGTCCACGTGTTGATACTGGTTGTTGTTTGGGTTCATTGGCTTTGTTGTTATTGCTTGGTTTCTTGTTGGGTTTTGGCTGAGATGAAAACTCGTCCAACTTTGGTGTATTGTTTCCACTTCCTGTTCCTTTGGTACCTTTCTTCATATCTCGTCGTTCCTTGGCGGATATAGCCTTTTTGCTCTATTGGTCGAGAATTAGAAAAAGAAAAATGGAGATATAGTAAGCTTTTGTTAATTCATTTTGGCTCTTATTCTTTCCTAACCTGTGATTTATCTGATGGTTGGTTTTGAGCAAAGGAAGGTAGTGTATCGTCATTTTCACCATATTCTTCAAGATCATATTTGTTCCATTCTTTGTCTTTTGTTGAACCATTTGCTGTGTTAGGAGATACTTCATTGACATTGGAGGGAGTTGTAAGTTGAGTATCTGGGAAAGCAGTTTCATCATTATCAGAACTACTACTATCTGAGCTATCATCGTCATCATCATCCGCTATAATAATCAAATAAATATCACATTACGGGATATATCTACACCTTTTTTTTTTTTTTGTTTACCAATATTCACATCTTTGACTGACTTCATAATAGCACCTTCTTGTTCTTCTTCTTGGATATTAGCTTCAATATGATCTTCTTTGATTTCTTGATTATCATCTTGGTCACCATCCTGTTCAAGTTCTTGTCGCTTTTCATTGATATGATTTCCAATAGATGATTCATCGAGTTTGAAGAGATAGCCAAAGCCATACACCAATTGAACGGGAGGTAAAAAGTTCTTCTTACCGCGAATCATAAAACTACCAGTGGTTAGATATTCACCAGTTGGAGCAGATTTGGATACCTATGACATTATCAGTTACACATTATACAGTTAATCTATTTCTTTTTAATATAAAAAAAAATATTATACCTGATCTGGATGGACCCAATAGGCACTAGTAACGATTTTGGCATCCCAAGCTTTGCTTTGGCAAACGGACATAATACCAGCTTGGAAAAGAGTACTTGGCGGAATAGGTTTGTCTGCAGAATCGGGTTTGTTCTTGACTACGACAGATGCTGCGCCATGAAGATCAGCATGTACATAGACATCACCTAGTTATTTGAAGATAGAAAAAAGGGTATGTCAATAAGTCTTCTAACTGTGACGTATTCCATTACCTTTCAAAAGATATCTTTTCACCAGAATTTCATTTTGTTGCATATCCCTGCCCGCAATAATCAGATAACCTTCAGTAGAGATAAACCATAAAAATTTCTCAAACCAGAACGGCTTGCGAATTTTGTTGATACTGACATTAATTTTGGTTTCTTTCAAATCCTGCCGAATCTTTCGTTCTGCTGATTTCAAAGCCTACCCACAAAAATAAATAAATAAATAAATAAATAAATACGGAATCAATTTCAATTAAAGTCATTGTAGTTTTTTTTTTTTTTTATTACCTTGGATGTAGCTGCAATCGTCTTTTCATGTTTGACAGCAGTGGTTTTTTTCATATCATAATAAACGCGAGCATTGGCGAAGGCTGTGGTGGATATATCAACATCGACTTTGTACAATTGTTGTTGCTGTTGTTGTTGTTGTTGTCGCTTTTCTTCAATAGAGTCATCACTATTTTCATCATCATCATTATCATCACTATCATCACTGTCTTCGTTGTCATAAGGATCCCTTCAAAATAAAAATAATAAATAAATAAATAAATAAACTATCAGATAACCATGTTATTTAACCATTCTTTAATACTTACGATAATAAAAGTGTGATTTGATTGGTTTTCAATTTCAAAGCATCAATCATCAAAGCAATAGGATTATTTCGTCGTTTCTCCTCCTTGACCAGTTCCTCTAGATCCAGCCAATCCATTTGACTAGCCACAGCATTTCGAATAATAGAGATTGCCGCGTCCACAGTATCGAGATTGAGTTCAATCAATTGAGCCTTCCGCGTGTTCGACATTTGTTGATCTAAAAGACCTGCTACACGGCCTTCTTGCTCTTTTCGTACAGCTTCCAGTTTCTTGATTGCTGCGTTTTCCTACAGTTTTTCTTCAAGTATGAGTAACATTTTTATTTATTTTATTTATTTTTCCCATTAGTCCATTCTTCTTTACCTGATTTCTTGCTTTCATCTCCAGTTTCTGTGCCTCGATTGCAGAGTAAAATTCGTCAACAGCACTATCAAATGTAGGGAATTCTAGGTATTTCTTGGTTGCATGTTGATGATATAGGTACGGATGAAATTCGTCATAACTATTAATAAAGAAAAATAGATAAGTCCGAGGTAAAGCAATAATGTATTTCCTTTCTTTTCAGTTTTTTTCTATGACTAATATATATCCTTACATTTCCACTTCTTTCAGTTCTTTTCCATCGATATCTTGTTGTCTATCTTGATTTGCATTGTCAAGTAAAATAATGTAGCCCTAAAAAAAGTTTACAAATTAGTTTCTAGATTTATACATATAGATATATTACAATACCTTGGGAACCTTATTCGCAGTAGAAGCGACCATTTCATCACTTTTTGTAAACGCCACAAGTAAATCCTTAAGAGCAGGAGAATCTAAGATTTAAAAGGATTTTTTTGAGTCATCAATAATCAACATAACCCATACCAAATATAGTTCTTACCATCAGAACAATCAAATTCTGTTGCGACTTTGGTATTGGGATTGAGACCAGCTTCAAGGATAATATGTTCTGTCATCGCTGGACCATATTCTATAAGAACAAATGTTAAAAATAAAAACACCTTTCTGTTATTATTCTCTGTTTCTGTTTCTTTTTCTTTTTTTTTTTTTTTCAATTTACCAAATCCAATATTGAGTATTTTTTTCAGAGTATCCTTAGGTCCCGCTTTTTGTAAAACTTGTTTCAATTTATCTACTTCCACCTTTTGAAAATCACGAAGTGTAGCATCAATATTGTAGATTTCACCAGCTACCATACGCACCGTGTCACTTTGTACCACACGCAATAAAGTCAATATACGATATTCATGATCTGTCAAAATAATATTGCCCTGAAAATAAAATGGGAAAATGAGAAAAAAAAAAAAAACAAAAACAAATATTTTATGTTGTATCTTACTGAAGCATAGAATTCTGCAATAATATGGAATCCAAGACTATTTTCACCACCACCAAACTCAAAGTCCACAATACGATCCACACCAACTTGACGGACGCCAGTCAAACGACGAGTACGAATATGTTTACGAAGCTAATAAATACATAAATAAATAATTGACATATATTTTTTTTTCGTATCGTTATTTTCTTAAAGTTTCTCTTTTAGTTTACTTTTGCACAAAACATGGAAGGCATAGCAGATTTTTCTCGGCTGAATTGAGTAGTATGAATTCTTGTACCAGATTCAATCAGGACTAATTCTTTGTCATCAGGCTACAAGATAAAATATGTCAATAAATCAAGTTTTATTATTATTCTTATTAATATCATTTACCTTTCCAAACTTAAACAGAAATGTCTTTGAATTCACGTCATATACATTTTGCAACCGAAGTCCTATCAATCTATCATGAAAATGAGCAAGAGAATTCAAATATACAAGAAGTTTTCTTTTTCTTTTTTCTTTTTCTCTTTTTTTTTTTTTTTTTACCTTTCTTTCAAATTGGCCACAGTGGCACGTATATCTAAAGCATTAAACCGTTGCTTCATTGTAAATTCAGAAATACAAATAAAAACAATAGTATTGCAAGAGGTATAAAAAAAAAAAAAAAGACGCACTTAAAAGGCCCTATTTTTCCTGTTTGTCGCAGCGAAGGCTTCGGTGTTCGATGTCCGATCCCGCAGTCGAAGCTAAAGGTAATCTTTGCTTCCTTTCTTTTTTTTTTTTTCTTTTTTACGCTCGAATTTGAAAAGAACCTTCGTCCTTGGTTCCTTATTACAATATGGTGGCTCAACCTACTCCATTCAGTGCATTATTACACCAATTGTTATCCACTAGCACTAATGCTGTATCTTCAAAAGGAAAAGGAAAGGCTAGTTCTCTTGGTTCGCGATTCTTCTCGTTGGATACACCCGTTCCTTCTTCTACTACAGATAGTCAGGCCACGGTTGAAGCTTTTTGTAAACTTATTGATCAACAATCTATCGAAGATAAACCTACTTTAGGTATGTGGAAATGAAATGTATAAAAAGAAAATCATAATCATACAAGTGGGTTAATAATTTATTTTCGTTTTTCGATACTATTACAGATTTCGGTGAAAACATTCCATTTTGTCCTCCTGAAAATACTTGGTATGACTTCGACAAGGATATAAGCAATTTAGAAGATACAAAATATATGGAAGAGCAACAACAGTTACAACAAAAGTCAGTCTCTACTATTGCTACTGATATTTATGACCGGGATTGGTTATTAAAGTAAGTTAAGAAAATAGCAAGAAAATCAATATTAATAAAGAAATGCTTACATTGTAATTGGATAGGCAAAGTTATAATCATGTTGACTCTCATCCTACTGGTGCACTATCTCCACAACAATTATGTGCAGATATTTTTACTGTCCTCCGTTCTGACGATAGTGGTACGATGATATATGTATTATCTATTGTGATATCTAACTTTAATATTTTTAGATGATAGTATACAAGCTACTCTTGTGGATCTTCTTGGATTTGAAAGTTTGGATTTGATAGAAATACTTATTTCAAATAGATCAAAACTAGTCAATAACATTATGAATATGGTACAAAGTAAACGATTTCCTTTCATTATAAATACTAATTCTTTTTTTTTTTTTTTTTGTTTTATTTCAATAAATGATTAGTCTGAACATATCTCTCAAGCAAAACACAAGTATCATCAAAACAATTCACCGAAAAACCCTATATATGGTACGCAAATCATTGTTCAATCAGAAGAAGAAGTCCGAAAAAGAAAACAACAAAGGAAGGAACAAAAAAAGGCATCCAAATATAGGGAACAAGGTAACATCAAATAAAGAAAAACGAAAAAAAAAGTTAGGAAATCATGAAGATACTAACCTTTTTAAATATATATATATATTATTGACAGAGGATGAAAATGCATTATCTCTTAGTATTCTTGGCTTTGATGGGATGGAACTTAGACAAGCTCGCGAAAATGAATTATTGGCTGCTAGTCAAGGGCCTCTCTTCAGTTCCAATTACAAAGTAATAATGTAGAATAATATATCAATCAGAAAAAAGTATCTATCTACTCAGATTTACTCACGCTTCTCTCTCTCTCTCTTCTTATATACATGAATTGGCAGCGAAAAGAAGAAGAACGATACCCACATGTCTTTCAATCAACCAAATCTGGAAGTACATTATCAATGTTTGGTACAAGATATGCCCTACCAGCTGGTACAACTCGTGAGGAATTTGATGATTATGAAGAAACAACTATTCCTGTGCCAAAACAAGCTCCCATACGTGCTGGAGAACGAAGAATCAAGATTGAAGAAATGGACAATCTAGCTCGTGGTGCATTCAAGGTATGTACAAAAAAAAAAAAATAATACCTATCTAATATCTTTTTTCTATTTAATATTAGGCTTATGAAACGTTGAATCGTGTACAGTCGATTGTCTACCCAATTGCATATGAAACGAATGAAAACATGTTAGTGTGTGCCCCTACTGGTGCAGTAAGTATACAAGAAGATGACAGCTGAATAACATTGCAATATATCTAATCTACTATTACTATTATTTCTAGGGCAAAACAGATGTAGCCATGCTGACTGTACTTCGCTGTATATCTCAATTCTGTGATCCTCCTCCTGTCAAAGGCTCGACTGATATCAATTTCAATGTTGCCAAGAATGATTTTAAGATTGTTTACGTAGCTCCCATGAAGGCGCTAGCTGCTGAAGTGGTGGAAAAAATGGGAAAACGTCTCAAGTTTGCTGGTATCACTGTGCGAGAATTGACTGGTAAGTGATATACATATTTTTAAGTAGGACAGATGAATGTAAAAATAGGAATGGGACTCACGTATTTTTTTTTCCTTTGTAGGGGATATGCAACTGACCAAAGCTGAAATTATGGCTACTCAATTTATTGTCACTACACCCGAAAAATGGGATGTTATCACTCGCAAGAGTACTGGGGATGTGGAGCTAGCTCAGAAAGTCAAGTTGTTGATCATTGATGAAGTTCATCTCCTACATGAAGATCGTGGTGCCGTTATTGAAAGTATCATTGCAAGAACATTGCGACAGGTAAAGTGGATTGAATATAATAATAAATAAATAATAATATTTACAACTCTTTTATGTTTATCTTCCATTTTTTTCTATTAGGTGGAATCAAGTCAATCGCTGATTCGAATTGTTGGTCTATCGGCTACTCTCCCTAATTATTTGGACGTTGCATCTTTCCTTCGGTAAGTTGAATTTAGATCAATAATTTCATATTAGAATAATTGACGAATAAATATATTCTGTTCTTTCCCATAGGGTGAATCCATACCAAGGTCTTTTCTTCTTTGACAATGGTTTTAGGCCTGTACCTTTGGAACAACATTTTATTGGTGTTAAAGGCAAGGCGAATTCAATCCAATCCAATGAACGAATGAACAAGGCTTGTTTTGATAAGGTATCTGATCTAGTCAAGGAAGGTCATCAAGTCATGGTATTTGTTCATGCAAGAAAAGAAACTGTAAAGACTGCACAAATGCTTCGGGAAGAAGTACTGAATGAAGGCCTACAGGGTAAAAGAAAATCTTAAGAAAAAGTCCAACAAATTTCTTACCGTTATATCACCTTCTTTCTCTTTAGATTACTTTGATACATCACAAGAACCAAAACACAGCTCTTACAAACGTGACGTTTCCAAATCTCGAAACAAGGAACTTAAAGAATTATTCCAATCTGGTTTTGGTATACATCATGCTGGTATGCTTCGATCTGACCGCTCTTTGACTGAAAGGATGTTCGCTGATGGTGTATTACGGGTAAACAGAAAAATATTAAACAAATAATATTTATATATGTGGAGGAGTCGTTTGAAGAAACTAACATATTGACGCCATTTTATCCACAATAGGTTCTTTGTTGTACTGCCACACTCGCTTGGGGTGTGAATTTACCAGCTTACGCTGTGGTGATCAAAGGTACTCAAGTTTACGATTCTCAGAAAGGTAGCTTTGTTGATCTTTCTATTTTGGATGTACTACAAATTTTCGGGCGTGCTGGTCGACCTCAGGTAAAATTTATGCAGAATGTAAATATTCTCTTCTTCCTCGTCTCTTCTGACATTTGTCTTTTTTTTTTTTTTTTTTTTTTTTTGCTTAGTATGAAAGTCATGGTGTTGGTTATATCCTCACTACACATGACCGTCTTGGTCATTATATATCTGCTATCACACAGCAACATCCAATCGAATCAAAGTAAGTAATAGTTATTAATCTGGACACCAATTTTATATGGACAATGATATTTGGCATTTCATCTTGTCTTATTATTTTTTTTTCTTTTACTTTTTGATTCATAGGTTTATTGAAAATATTGTGGATAATCTAAATGCTGAAATCTCTCTTGGAACGGTGACTACTGTGGATGAAGCAGTAACTTGGCTCAGTTATACCTACCTTTTTGTCCGTATGAAACGAAATCCATTTGTTTATGGAATGGATCATTCTGAACCTGCTGAAGATCCACTGTTAGGAAGAAAACGACACGAAATCATCACTATGGCCGCTGAACGACTTGCACGATGTCAGATGATTATCTATGATCAAACTACTGGGTATCTTACACCTAAGGATCTTGGTCGAATTGCTTCCAACTTTTATATCAAACACACCAGCATAGAAATATTCAACCAAATGATGAAACCGCGAATGACTGAAGCAGATGTTTTATCAATGATGAGTCTTAGCTCGGAATTCGACAATATCAAAGCTCGGGATACTGAACACAAAGAATTGAAATCTCTTTTGGATCAGCAATGCGCCTGTGATATCAAGGTAATGAAAGAAAGGATGATTTGATTTTTTTTTTTTTAAAAAAAAAGAATAAGTATTCTGATCTTATTATTATTATTATTATGGAAATAGGGTGGTACGGATTCTACACCTGGAAAAGTCAACATTTTACTCCAATCTTATATTTCAAATGCTTATATCGAAGATTTCGCCTTGGTATCAGATTGTGCTTACGTTGCTCAAAATGCTGGACGTATCGCTCGTGCTCTTTTTGAAATTGCTTTGAACCGAAATTGGGGACCAACTGCATCTGTACTATTGGCTATCAATAAAGCTGTGGAAAAACGAATGTGGACCTTTCAACATCCTTTACAACAAATGGGCCTGCCTATGGATATTATCAACAAGTTGGAAAACCGAACACATGAAGTCTCTATTGAAGAAATGCGTGATATGGAACCTTCCGAATTAGGTGAACTTGTGCATCATCGTCGTATGGGTATGACAATCGCTAAATGTGTTGATCAATTCCCTGTACTTCAACTGGAAGCTCGTATTGCACCAATGACTCGAAATGTACTGAATGTGGATTTGACCATCACCCCCGACTTTATGTGGAATGACAAGGTGCACGGATCAGTTGAACCTTGGTGGATTTGGGCAGAAGATTCGGAAAATGTGGAAATTTATTACTCGGAATACTTTTTACTGCAAAAGAAACAAATGGGTGAAGAACCAGTTCAAATCAACTTTACGGTACCTCTAGTGGAGCCACTACCAAATCAAATCTATATTCGTGCGGTATCTGATCGTTGGCTAGGTGCTGAAACTGTTTTACCTGTATCCTTTCACCATTTGATTTTACCACAGCTCTATCCTCCAAACACGGATCTTCTAGATTTACAACCTTTACCTGTGACGGCACTACAAGATGACGTGTTGGAAGGTATCTGTGCTCAACGATTCACTCATTTCAATCCTGTACAAACGCAAATCTTCCATACTTTATACAATACTCCTCACAATGCTTTGGTAGGTGCTCCAACTGGTTCTGGTAAAACTGTAGCAGCAGAGTTAGTAATGTGGTGGGCATTCAAGCAACATCCTGGATCTAAAGTGGTATATATAGCTCCAATGAAGGCATTGGTGAAGGAGCGTGTTGGTGATTGGAATAAACGCCTTACGAAAGCAATGAACAAGAAACTCGTGGAATTGACAGGTGATGTGACGCCTGATCTCAAGACAATTGAAGCTGCTGATATCATCATTACAACACCTGAAAAATGGGATGGGATTAGTCGTAGTTGGCAAAGTCGAAGTTATGTTCGTCAAGTCTCGTGTGTGATTATCGATGAAATTCATCTTCTTGGTGGTGATCGTGGGCCTATTTTGGAAGTGATTGTATCAAGAATGAATTATATTGGCTCTCAATTGGAACGCAAGATTCGTATTGTAGGGTTATCAACAGCGTTGGCTAATGCAATAGATTTGGCTGATTGGCTTGGGATTGACAAAGTAGGATTATTCAATTTCCGGCATTCTGTTCGTCCTGTACCTTTGGAAATATATATTGATGGCTTTCCTGGAAAACATTATTGTCCTCGAATGGCAACCATGAATAAACCGACATATGCAGCTATTAAGACTCATTCTCCAACACAACCAGTGATTGTATTTGTATCTTCTCGACGACAAACTCGACTGACAGCTCAAGACCTAATTGCTTATTGTGGTATGGAAGACAATCCTCGACAATGGTTACGTATGGATGATATGGAAATGGAATTACTTTTGGATCGTGTTCATGATGAATCACTACGTATGTCATTAGCATTTGGTATTGGACTTCATCATGCTGGGCTTACTGAAGATGATCGGAAGATTGTGGAAGAACTCTATTTGGGACTCAAGATACAGATATTGATTGCTACCAGTACTCTCGCATGGGGTGTTAACCTTCCTGCACATTTGGTGGTGATCAAGGGAACGGAATATTACAATTACAAAGTAGGACGCTATGTTGATTATCCGATTACTGATGTATTACAAATGATGGGACGTGCTGGAAGACCTCAATTTGATAACACTGGTATTGCTCGTGTATTTGTACAAGACAGCAAGAAGAACTTTTTGAAAAAGTTTTTGCATGAACCTTTCCCTGTGGAATCAAGTTTGCATAAGTATATGGATGATCACATCAATGCGGAGATCATTGGAGGTACCATCACTTCAAAGCAAGATGCCTTAGATTACTTGACATGGACTTACTTTTACCGACGATTGCAACAAAACCCAACATATTATGGCCTGGATGATCTGACCCAGAACGGTGTGGATGAATTTTTGACCAAAATGATCAACGATGTCTCTGATAGATTAGCAGCTTCTGGATGTTTAGAAATCGAAGATGGATTTGAATTGATACCAACAACAGCCGGTAAAATTGCGTCCTACTATTATCTTAGACATCAAACTGTACGACACTTCCATGATCAACTATACAAGCGCAAGCCAGCAGATGTGGATATGGGTACTATTTTGGAAATCTTGGGTAACGTACCAGAATATGAAGAACTACCGGCTCGCTGTAATGAAGACATTTTGAATCAAGAAATTGAAAAACACGTGCCTTTCAAAGTCAAATCAACTCGTAATTATATATCACCTCATGTCAAGGCTTTTGTTCTTACCCAAGCTCATATCTCGCGACTTGAATTACCTATATCCGATTACATTACTGATCAAATCACTGTATTAGATTCAGCTATTCGATTTTGTCAGGTAAAAAAAAAAAAAAAAAAGGAACTGTTGGTTCGCAGTGATACTGATACATTTTTTCTTTTGGTTAATATATAAATATATGAAAATAGGCTATGATTGATGTTGCTGCCAACGAAGGTTACTTGACTATCTGTTTGAATATTATGAATGCTCTCCAATGTATCAAACAAGCTCGCTGGGCCGACGAATCAACTCTTTTGAATTTACCACATATGGAATCCTATATGCTTCGTCATATTCGCTTCAAGGTATTAAAAAAAAAAAAAAAAAAAAAAAAAAAAAAAAAAAGGAAAAGAAAGGAAGGCAAGGAAGTGAACTAATCTTTTCTAATTTGTTATAATAGGGAAAGCCTATTCGATGTTTGGCAGAACTTACACAGTATACAGATCAACAAATCAGAACCATCTTTCAAAATATCAAAGATCTTAATACAAATGCTATTGATGAGGCAAGTTGAATAGATAACATACTTTTTTTTTTTTTTGGAAACAATTAATCTAATGATGATTTCCACCACATTTAGATTGTCAACGTGGTATCAAAACTACCAGTGATGGATATCCAAGCAACCATTCAGTCAAAGAAACCTTACTTGATACCCGAAAGTGAATACAAGCTTCAAGTGAATTTGACAAGAAACAGTATTCGGACAAGTGGGAAAGGACAAAGTGGCGGAAAGATACGTCAAGATGGAAAGATTTACGCACCTATGTTCCCTAAACCTCAGTATGAGTCATGGTGGATGATCCTCGCCGATATCGAACGTGATGAACTATTAGCAATGAAGAGAGTCAGCATGCGAAATGGCCCTAATGAAACTTTGACAAACAAATCAACCAGCACATTGATATTTGATACACCTGAACGTCTTGGAAAACAGCGATACACACTCTTTTTGATCAGTGACGGATATCAAGGATTGGATCAGCAAGTAGATATTGATTTTGAAACCAGGATAGAATAGAATTCAATAGAATAGCATAGAATAGAATACAAAAAATGGTGTATTTGTTTACTATACTGAATAAATCGTTTTTATTGATTTTTTTATAGTAGAAGTGCATAGGTTGTAATAAACAATTGAGCGTACATAGAATAATAGAAAAAAGACTTATACTTCACACATATCAAAATTAGAATAAAATCATATATAGAGCGCATAGGTATGAACAAACTAAAAGGGAAAAGAGAGAAAACGAAATCATAGAGAATGGCAGTAAAAGAGGAGACCCTGATCAAAAAAATAAAAATTAAAATAAAAAATTGGATTCTACTGAAAATGGTAACAGAATAAAAATACAAGTATATATAATAAAGAAAAGGGAGGGGTATAGGAGCTGTCTATATAATATAAACATTTGTTGCTTCCATTGACTATCGTAGTTGAATCCATAGTCATTGCAATCAACCCAACTAGGAAAACCGATAGTGAGTAAAAAACATGATTCCATCTTAAAACAACCGACTTACAACAAAAAAAAAAAAAACATCGTCTGAAAGGATTGGCAATACCAGCTTGCAAATATGGAAAATCAGAGCAGAATCAGGTTTGTAAGCATGGATGATCTAAAGAGAAAGCTAGCATCTGATCATGAGAACCATCATGATTGACATCCATCTGATGATGCCTGACTGCCAAATGAAACTTATCAACCATATCCATCCTATTATCCACTTGAGTTTCGGACCAGATTGAAATAAAAGATGGACTCATTTGTTTTAGCATACGATTAATATATATCCTAGTATCCATAAATGAATCATTCAGGAGGTCAGGTTTGGATTGGAAGACAGTTGGATCAAAACTACAAAAAGAAATATATCAATGCTTAATTTGATTTTTTTTTCTTTTATTCTACTTTTTTTTTTTCTTACACGTTGATGGGAATGATCATCATAATATGTAAAAGGAATAGTAAGTAAGAATACCAGAATTGTTAAGATAACAAAAATAATGATATAGTTGAATCGTTGAAAATATAAATGGGAAGAGATAAATGATCAAGTATATACATATATACTCTATCACTCCCTTGTTTTTCTTTTTTTTCTTTCCTTGTTAGAAACAAATGAAAGGGAAAGGATGACTATGTAAAATTAATTATGCTAATAAAGGACATATTTATATTCTCAAAATCTGTTACACTTTTTTTTTTTTTTTTTGTCAAACCTGTCTAAATCTGAAGAGAAAGAGGGGGCTTCATGTTATGTTTGAAATCAAGATTTTGAAACGGATGCACAATGTAAACAATAACGTTAGTGTTGTCACAAAAAAAAAAGATCATGATTGATTATCAGAGAGTGGTATATATTTTTATTAAGTTAATGATAAATGGTACAAAAAAATAATAAAAGCTAGGTTGTATATACTAATTAATTATGAGTATCATCCATCTATTCAATTACCGATAAAGAGGTGGTCGATTCAATTTGTTCCGTTGTAGACGTTTGATCATCCAATCAATAGCTTCTCGTACTCCATTTCTAAACAATAAAAAAAAAAAAAAGGAAGTGAGGCTAAAAAAGAACTTTCTTCGAGTAACAATAACATAAACACAAACCCTGCCTTGTTTATCTAACTTACCCTTCCAATGCACTCACTGGTAACACACGTGAATCCCTTGCGCCTAATTTGACGGCTATCTTGTTGAATACTTCCTTGATTTCTTCTACACGTAATGCATTAGGTAAATCTTGTTTATTAGCTAACATCAGAATAGGCACTCCTTCCACTAGATCATTGGTGATGATTGTTTCTATACAAAATATAAAGTTACTAGTTTAGTTTATTGCTCTTTCTCTTTCTCTTTCTCTCTCTCTCTCTTTTTTTTTTTTCTTTACCAAAAGTATCTTTGCATTCTTCTAATCTTCGTCCGTCGGTTGAGTCAACCACAAACACTATTGCATGACAATCTGAATAGTAACGTTGCCAAATAGATTGTAAATCCCGTTGTCCACCCAGATCCCAAAACTTGATACGTGATGAATTAACTTCGATACGACCGACTATTATTAAAATAATTATTGCATTATTTCCTATATATTGTCTTATTCTTTCTTATTTTAACTTACTATTCAATCCAACTGTTGGTGCAATCCTGTCAGGAGATAGTCCAGCTACACCCATAAAGATTGATTTAATTCGCTCTAACAGAGTCTTAAAAAAAAAGGTGTTAACCATGGAAACCAGCTAATGTAGTTTTTTGTCTTACTGTTTTTCCAGCATTATCCAAGCCAATAATTAGTACATTGTATTCCTCTTTTTGTGTAAGATAATTGTAGAATCCACTGAGTAATGTATACATGATGTGGAAGAAGAAGGGAAATATGAAGAAAGAGAAATTTTGAAAATCTTTGGACGGACTAAGTCATTTCACCCCCCAAAAAAAAGTACGGCATTTGAAAAAAAAAAAGAATTGATGAGTGATCACTATGTAATATGGTATATGGAAGTATGTACTTACAATAAAAATTTCCTTTTAGCTCAAAGGCTAGCGATTGCTGCATCGACCAATCCAGGATGTACATAGCGTCAAAGTAAGCATACATTTTGTTGTTGTTACTATCATCATCAACCAGAGTGCAAGAGCGTCGGAAGAGTGCACATGAGAGACCACTGACCAATTAATTGTTCAATATTGATCATAATCCCTATTTGTGGCTGCATTCAAATCACGGCTATGATTCACAAATCCATATTTTCGTCCAAAACAATCAGGATTATCACATGTAACAGCACCATAGTTTGACGATGTCTTTCCTTTGATGATTTTCTTTGGATGGTGAGTAGGTTGGCGACACAAGGGACACAACTTTGTTGATCGAAACTCATCAGTATGACAGACGACAGAATTTTGATAGATGTTGTTGCATGTTGACTAGCATTGCTGTAAGAATAAAGTGAAGATGACTGTTGTTGGTATGACTTGATTGTCTATACTTTAATTAAAAAAAGAAGACGTTAGATCAAGCTTTATCTGGTACAGGTATTACTTACAGCATGATTTTCTTTGACCTTTGTTGAACCAGTCGAAGTATGAGATGGTAATTCTGATTCCAATTCAAAAATACTTTTTCGACCTTCTATTGCTGCCTATTTATATAAAAAAGAAGAAATAAAAAGTGAGAAAAAAGTAAGCAAGTTTTCTATGCCTTTTTTTTTTTTCTATGCTTACCTTCTTTTGATCCAAAGCTTTTCTTCGTTGGAGTACTTTACTTTGTTTCCTGATATTAGCATACGAATGGATTTACTTCAAACTAATGGTTGATCCCTGAATCTTCAGCATATTAAATCGAAGTCTTAGATCATTTTTTGCTTTTTCAACCAATGGCGCCAATGCTTCAAATTTATTTGGTAGAACTAAGTGGAAACCAACCTGACTGACCGTCATTGTCGCAGCAGTGAGGAAGGTGATCATACCAGGATCACAACCAACGTATTTGATAGATTTGTTTGATTATTCAGATTCCACGGGTTTGACTAATGATATATCTTCAGGATGAGCAGCCCCTTTGAAATTGTTCATTGTTGGTTCCAATTTCGATGATTTCAATTTATTGCCTGCATCATCTTGATATAATTGTTGGTATAAAAGTAGCCACAGAGTTTCAGTATCAGATTTATATCCTTTCAGACACCGGATCCCAACTGGTTCGTACCTTTTGTTAGTTTGAAAGGTTTGCTTGACTTGCTCACTTGTTGGTTGTTTGTTGCGATTATAGCCTATATCTCATTCAATTGTTTTGTCAATCGTGTCGCAAAAGTTCTTTTGATGTATCTTGTTACTTCCTGCTTGTCAAGTTAGGTTTTTTTAATTGAGTTCGACACGGTTGTTGTGGTAAACATGCTTTTGGATATAAGTTTTGGTTGTAAACATAGGATTGAAGTTTCTTTCTTGCCATTAAATTAGGTATAGATAGAAATGAGAATGAAGAAGAGTATAATGTAAGGTATTAGAGTATAAGAAGATAAAAATGAAAAGTAAAAAATAATAATAACAATAATAATAAGAAAAACAAAGAGAAGAAAAAAAAAAGAACAAAGGAACAAAGGAACAAGGAAACAAAGAAGGTAACTTTTTTTTTCGAGATATCGGAATCTAAATTTATGGCATTTAGCATGGATTACGTGAATGAATAAATAGTAAAAGGATACAATTACAAAGCTTTACCGAATAATAAAAGAAAAAACAATATGAATATAAATAATTTTATTAAAGAAGAAGAATAAACTATATAATAAGACTAATAAAACTATATCTTAATGAAAGAAGTCAATAAAAGAACCATAGTCGTATTATGTGTCGTACAAAAGAGTAATGACAATGTTGATACTGCATGTATAAAGTAAGGAAATAAAAAAAAAAAAAGAGTAGGATTAATTTATTTTCTACAAAGCATTTACTTTTCTGAAAAGATTAATATGATATGAATTGAACGCTGGCATAGCACATTCATTTTTTCCTCTCTCAGTTCTCGCATGCTCTTGACACGAAGTTAAAATCCCGATTCTCGACTTTTTTTTTCTTTGCCTACTTGTATTGTTTTTGCACCTTTTCTTTCTTTTTCTTTTTTTTCTTTCTCTTTTGTTTTCACTTGATCTATCTATAATTTCATTATCAAGATTCCTCTTCCTTCTCCTTCATTCCATAATAAAGACATTCTACTGTTTAGTTTCTTTATATTCTTATTTTGAAACAACAACTTGATATGACAACATGGCAACCTCAACCTGAAGGACTTGGAGAACTAGTAATGTTTTTACGTGATGCTGGACGTCCTGATACGAAAGATCGCTATTATATTCAACAGGTACTCAGAAAAAAAAAAAGACTAGATATGCCTTTTAGATATATATATATTTTTTTTTGTTGACGATGAAACTTACTGTTATAGCGGTTAGATTCCTTTCGGGCTGTTTCTGACTATAACTCGTATCTAGTGTATATTCTGGTGAAAATGACAAACGAAGAATGGTACACAAGACAAGTGGCTGGCCTGACGTTGAAAAACAATATTCGTGGTTATTTTAACTCTATTCCTCTATCAGTATTAGACTATGTGAAATCATGTTGCTGTGATGCTGTTATCCAACCTGATGTCATTCCCAATATCCGAACTGCTGTTGGCTCGGTGATTGCTGCTATCATTACTCACGGTCAGGCGTGCAATTGGCCAGAAATATTGGAACTCTTGGTTAATTCTATGGGTAGCCCTAATCCTTTATCTGTCGAGGTAAAAAAAAAAAAAAAAAATGAAATCATGCAATTATTTATTATAATTTATTAATTAATTAATGGAATAAAAAAAAAATAGATGGGATTTGATGCTCTTGGTAAAATATGTGAAGATGCTGCTCGGGATCTTGATCAAGATATCAATGGTGTCAGACCACTCAATTATATTATACCAAAATTCATTCAAGTACTCCACCATCCAAATCCTAAACTACGAACTCAAGCTATGGTCACTGTTAGTCAGTTTATCCTATTGAAAACTCAAGCTTTGATGTCGAGAATGAATGATTATTTAGACGGTTTATTTATACAAATGAATGATCAGGATCCATCCATACGACAGGAAATATGCAACTCACTCGCCATGATTCTCGAAGCAAGACCTGATAAATTGGCACCTGTACTGACAACTGTAATTGAATATGTTATTCTTTGTACTCACGATCCAAACGACCAAGTGGCGCTACGTGCATGTGACTTTTGGTTACAATATATACGCATTCCTGGCATACATGATCAACTGACTCCATATTTGAGCCAAATTATCCCTGTCCTATTACAACGCATGATATATACGGATACGGATTTATTATCATTGACTGGCACTTTTGGGGACGATGAAGATGATCTTGATGATAGTACTATTGCGGACAAAGATCAAGACATTCCACCACGATTTTATAGGAAAAAACATCATTATCATCAACAACAACCTTTCAATGCTGGTTTTTCTCCTTATATTGGCGGTGAATCTGATTCGAATGGTGATGATAAGGACACTGATGATGATGATGATTTGGATGACGAAGATTTTTACTCTGAATGGACGCTTCGGAAAAGCAGTGCTTCTACTCTCGAATTATTGGCTACAGCGTATCCTGATCAAGTATGTAAGGTATTGGTATCTCATTTGGATCAAACGTTATCTCAAGAAGATTGGAAAAAACGGGAAAGTGGTATTCTTGCCATTGGTGCCGTTGCTGAAGGTAAAAAAAAATTAAAGTGTTGCACAGAAAGGAAAACAAGAACAAAGAAATGTGATACAATGATTTATTCTTATTCTGTACTTTTGGTTTAGCTTTGAAAGAAATGTCACCTTTTCTTCCGCGTATGCTACTATATTTACTTGATTGCCTCAATGATCGTAAGGTAAACGAAAGAGAAAGTAAAAAAAAAGAAAAGATGTAGAGCATTTTATTTTATTTTTTTTTTTATTTGATTGATTGTTTAACATGTTTGTTTATCTCTCTTTGTGTATACGTATGATCATCTAGCCTTTGATTCGTTCTATTACCTGTTGGGTTCTTGGACGTTATTCTGGATGGTGTATTGATCAACTTACTACTTCCAAAGACAAACAACAACAAGTCTACTTTGAAAAGGTCTTGCTCAAATTATTAGAAAGAGTACTTGATCGTAATAAACGGGTACAATTGAATGCTTGTTCTGCTTTGGCTGTATTCTTTGAGGAAGCTAGGGAATTATTGATACCTTACTTGGATCCTATCTTGGAACATTTGACAACTGCTTTTACTATATATCAAAGTAGGAATTTGGATAGTTTATACGATACTTTATCTACCTTGGCGGATGGTGTTGGTGGAGCACTCAATCACCCTGGTTATATTCATTCGATTATGATACCCATGACAGAGAAATGGAATAGTCTCTCGGACAGGGATACTGGTTTATTCCCTTTATTTCAGGTATAAATATATATATATATGGTTTTGAAAGAAAAGAAGAAGAAAAAAGAAAAAACGAGAGGAAACGTGAATTAATCTATTTTTTTTTTTTTTTTACTTTATTTTTAATTTATTTTAGTGTCTTTCTGCTGTAACCACAGCCATAGGAACAGGTTTTTTGCAATATTCTGAATCAGTTTTTGCAAGGTGTATCAAGATTATTACTGCAACATTGGAGGAAAATTACATTGCTCAACAACAACCAGAATTGTTAGTGGATCCCCCTGATGCTGAATTCATCGTTGCTGCATTAGATTTACTATCTGGAATGGTACAAGGAATGGGTTCTTTGGTGTCTCCAATGGTAGCAAACTCAGAACCTTCATTATTCTCATTGATTCTTACATGTCTCAAGGTAAGTGAACCATCATACAAAGGGACGTTTCATTTAACTTTTATGTCATGCATTATTTCTTCTTTTTTTTTTTTTTAACAAAACAAAAAATTGTAGGAACCTCGAACAGATGTACTTCAATCTACTTGCGCTCTGATTGGAGATCTTGCTGTCAGTTGTTTTGATCAATTACAACCTCATCTACCAACTTTGATACCACTATTAATACAACAAGCCGAAAACGAAGAATCAGATCACGTATCAGTATGTAGCAATTCGATATGGACATTAGGAGAAATAGTTTTACGATGGAAAGGATCTATGCACGACTATATACCTAGAATATTGGAACGACTACTGAAGATTCTACCAAAAGATTCAACTAGGTCACATCACCATGATGTATCAAGGATAATCACTCTATACGATAATGTAGTCATCACTATTGGACGACTAGGCTTCTCATCACCAGATATCACCTCTATACAGTTGAAACATTATGCTAGACGATGGATTTTATATGCAAAGGATTTACCAGAGAATGATGAAAAAGATACTGCTTTTATTGGATTCTGTCAAACGATTAAAGCAAATCCAGTAGCGGCTGAAAAGGTAAATAATTAAAAGAACATTGATTTTTGCACAGTTATTAATTTTAATTATTACTATTATTATTTTGGTTTTATTTTTGATATAGGACTTTAGTCGTTTTGTCGACGTTATGGTTTCTTGGACATCACCATCTGAACAACTTCGCAAGGAATTCAAAGATTTAGTGGAAGGATACCAACAAATAATGAAACCGGCTCAATGGACAAGGATAATGAAAAAACTCAATAATGCACGGTAGTATTAATTTTATTAGAATTTATTAGATACACACACACACACTTTTACTTGATTACATATTGTATTTTGAAATAAACGCGTCAAAAAATATATCATGCATCGACAAAACCGGAGTTTTTTTTTTTTTTTTTTATTCGTTTTTTGTTCTCCCCTTTTTAATTTTTTCTTTTTTCCTTTTTTTTTTTTTTTTTTTTTGTGCTTTACACTTATGAATGATTCATATATCAGATCACCACTAGAAGTATGTTCATACTTTAATGTCAATCATCTTTATGGATTAGATCCCATACAAGTCGAAGAACAACGTCAAAAGTTTGGTAGCAATGGTAAAGCTATACAAGGGGAATGAATATGCGAAGCTAATGTTACTTACAATCCTTTTTTTTGGGTTAAATTAGAACTAGAAGAGGAAGAATCAACCCCATTGTGGAAGCTGGTATTGGAACAATTCAAAGATCAACTCGTACTCATTCTTTTAGCAGCAGCGGCGGTATCTTTTCTACTTGCGTTTTTGGAAGATCATGATAAGACATCAGCAGCAACCGCGTTTGTGGAACCATTGGTGATTCTTCTGATCCTTATTGCCAATGCGACGGTGGGTGTACTTCAAGAAACAAGCGCAGAAAAGGCCATTGATGCACTACGTGAATATTCTCCCGATGAAGCCAAAGTGGTACGTTCTGGTGGTGAATGGCGGAAAATACATGCGGGTGAGCTTGTACCTGGGGATATCATTACTATCAGTGTGGGTGATAAGATTCCTGCCGATTGTCGATTGGTGACTATAGATACCAGTCTTCTTCTTGTGGATCAAGCTATTTTGACCGGTGAATCCGAAAGTGTATGTAAACGTATCGAACCTATTCATGATCCTGGTGCTGTCAAACAAGAACAAATCAACATGCTCTTTTCTGGAACAACCTGTGTGTTGGGGAAAGCCACTGCCATTGTGGTACAGACAGGTGCTTCTACTGCTATTGGTCACATTCATACTTCCATCACTTCTCAAATCGCGGAAAGGACTCCTCTCAAACAAAAACTTGATGATTTTGGTGATATGCTGTCCAAAGTTATCACCGTCATCTGTATCTTGGTCTGGTTAATCAACATCCGTCACTTTGATGATCCCTCTCACGATAGTTGGATGCATGGCGCGGTATATTACTTCAAGATCGCCGTTGCCCTGGCAGTGGCAGCTATTCCTGAAGGCTTGGCAGCAGTTATCACAGCTTGTTTAGCTCTTGGAACAAAACGAATGGCAAAATGTGGTGCTATTGTCAGAAGCTTACCTAGTGTTGAAACCTTGGGCAGTACAACCGTCATTTGTTCAGACAAGACTGGTACTCTTACCACTAATCAAATGTGTGTTAATAAGGTAAAGATCAAAAAAAAAAAAAAAAAAAAAAAAAGAAAGAAAAGAATAGGAACACTCATTCATCCTTTTTTTTTCTTTTAGGTATTTACTATTGCTGGCAAACGTGGTCGACGAGCTGAATATGATGTGGAAGGATCAGATTATACTCCACTTGGGAAGATTACTCATGATCATGGGGAAGTGGACTTTTTATCGGCAACTGATTTTGTCTCTATGGAACTTGCCATTGCAGCTTCTTTTTGCAACGATGCAAAAATAGTCTATGATGAAGTAATATATAAGAAGAAGAAAAATAAAAAAGGTATTATTTGATAATTGATATTTTTTTTTATTTTATAGAGTACAGACAGCTATCGTTGTATTGGGGAACCAACTGAAGCAGCTCTCAAGGTTCTTGTGGAAAAGATGGGTACAAATGACAAGAGATTTAATCGTACCTTGCAACATATGGATAAGAAGAAACGGGTATCAGCAGTGAGTGATTACTTGGCGCGACAATACAAACGAACAACTACTTTGGAATTCACTCGTGAACGAAAATCTATGTCAGTAATAGTATCATCGCGAACAAAAGGTGATACACTCTATGTCAAAGGAGCTTTGGAGTCCATTCTGGAACGTTGCGACACTATCTTATTAGCGGATGATGATGAAGAAATCCATCTTACTCCTCATGTGCGTCGAACCATTCTTCAACGGGCAGCAGAATATGGTGATGAACTCTCTTTACGTTGTATTGCATTGGCCAAGGTAGATAATATTGATCTGGCGTCTATGGATTTGACAAATCAAAGAAAGTTTAATGACTATGAATCTGGAATGACATTTCTCGGCTTGGTGGGCATGATGGATCCTCCGCGTCCTGAAGTACGTGAAGCTATCAACAAATGCAAGACAGCAGGAATTCGAGTAATTATGATCACAGGTGATAACAAAAATACAGCAGAAGCAATATGTCGACAAATTGGTGTGTTCGAAAGGGATGATCATGATCTGGTAGGAAGAAGCTATACAGGTCGCGAATTCGATGATCTATCACATGATGAAAAATTGGATGCGGTACGTCAAGCAAGTCTCTTTTCTCGTACAGAACCTTCTCATAAACATCAACTGGTTGATCTTTTACAATTGGATGGCGAAATCGTAGCGATGACGGGTGATGGTGTGAATGATGCTCCTGCTCTCAAACGAGCCAATATCGGTGTAGCTATGGGAGTAAGTCTCATTAAAAAAAAAAAAAAAAAAAAAAAAAAGATATTAATGTGATTTTATTTTTTTAGTCAGGCACAGATGTGGCGAAACTGGCAGCAGATATGGTATTGGCTGATGACAACTTTGCTACCATTGAAAAAGCAGTAGAGGAAGGTCGAAGTATTTTCAACAATACAAAACAATTCATTCGATACTTGATCTCTTCCAATATTGGTGAAGTGGTCTCCATTTTTTTGACGGTACTCCTAGGCTTACCAGAAGCACTTATTCCTGTACAATTATTGTGGGTCAATCTTGTCACAGATGGATTACCGGCCACTGCTTTGGGATTCAATCCTCCAGATCATAATATTATGCGGCAACCTCCAAGAAACGCTCAGGAACCTTTGGTTAGTGGTTGGCTTTTTGTCAGATACACGGTGATTGGTATTTATGTCGGATTTGCTACTGTGTTTGGTTATGTTTGGTGGTTTTTATTTTATACTCATGGACCTCACATCTCTTATTATCAACTTGTAAGTTAGATTAGATAGAAATGAAGGAACGAACTGAACTCTTTTTCTTTTTTTTTCTTTTTTTTTTTTTTAAAAAAAAAAAAATAGTCTCATTTTCATCAATGCTCTACTCTGTTTCCTGAAATTGGATGTGAAATGTTTAGTAACGAATATTCTATGAAGGCTACAACCATGAGCTTATCGATTTTGGTGGTGATTGAAATGTTCAATGCGATGAATAGGTAAGACAAAATTCAAAAATGGAAATTGTTCTTGTTGTTTCCTTTTTTTTTTTTTTTTCTGACAACTGATTATTATTCCCTTTATTAGTTTAAGTGAAAATGAATCCCTTTTAACTTTACCACTTTGGGCCAACCCTTATCTTGTTTTGGCAATCGCTCTGTCTATGGCACTTCACTATATGATTCTATATGTTCCTTTTTTCAACCACTTATTTGCCATTTTACCTTTGAATCAAGAAGAATGGATGGCTGTGTTTTGGATCTCACTGCCAGTGATTGTTTTAGATGAATTATTGAAGGTAAAAAAAAAAAAAAAAAAAAAAAAAAAAAAAAAAAAGGAAACCTTGGATGAAGTCTCATCATCTTCTTTTTTTTTTTCTTGATGATAGTTTATTACAAGAACATGGATCCTTGTACCTACACTAGTCGAAAAACCCAAGTTAGAATAAGTTTATTTTTATTTTTTTTGTTTGATGAACGATTTATCAATCTACGTAATAAAAACCATATCTATTTGTTTCATATTTGTCTTTTCGTCCATGTTTTTATCCCTCGCGAACGAAAATATGTCTGATACTTCCTCTTTTTTTTTGAACATGTCTTTCGGTATGAATTTTGATGCCAATATCATTACTATTATTATCGAATATCGTACTGGAAATCGTATGTTAGGAAGGATGAGCATCGAGAATCTATAAACCTATTTCGACAGGATCCCCATCATCCCACTCTCGTTATCCCCATTATCATTAATGCATCCAATGTACCAGTGTAATAATTTTTTTATAGTTCTTTTATTGAATAAGATTGTAAATCAATACTACTACTACAGGGTTCTAAGTAAAAAAAAAAAAAAATGAAGTCTACAATTCATCATGCAGACGAGCCAGTAATTCATCATCATCTTCATCCTTGTTGTCGTTTTCAATATCAATGGCTTTGGATTGTTGACGGAATTGATCATCTTGATCCTTTTCTTCAGGGGTTTTGTCGGCAGCTGGCTTGACATCGACTTGAGCCTCTTCATCCAAATTGACACCAACGCCTTTTCGAATAATGGTTTCCACACGTTTTGTAAAGCCATTGATATCAGCCAAGGGATATCCACTGCGAATCGATGTCGTTTCGTAAAGCACGGTCACCAATTCTGTCATATCACTGTCCACATCATCCGATTGTACACGTTCCAACAATGTCTTGATGATTGGGTGCGCAGGGTTGATTTCCAAAGTCTTCTTTTGCATCTTCATCATATTGAGCATCATGTCTTGTTGACTCTTGCTTTCCGCACCTTGTGCAGCCATCAATCGTTCCATGTGTCCAGTCAAACCAAAATCGTTGGCCACAATAGCCATAGGGGATTTTGTTAAACGCTTGGAGCTCACCACTTTATCCACTTGATCCTTGAGTGTCTCCTTGAGCCAGTCAAAGAGAGGTTGATATTTGACGCTGTCATTAGCTTGATCCAATCCTTCTTCTTCTTCATCACCAAAGTTCAATATACCCTTTGCGATATTGACAAACATCTTTCCATTGTAACCAGGCATATTTTGAATCAACATTTCATCAATAGGATCCACCATGTATAATACTTCATAACCACGAGCCAACAATTGTTCCAAGAAGGGTGAGTTTTCAATTTCAGAGATGGACATACCAGACAGGTAATAAATCGATTTTTGATTTGCTTTCATGCGGGAGACATAACTATCCAAACTGACGGTGGGTCCAGAAGGATCGTAGGATGATGCAAAACGTAACAGAGAAGAGACCTTCTTGCGATGAGTATTTGATTCAATGGCACCATACTTGAGAGCAGACCCGAATTGCTTGATAAACTTGGTATATTTTTCTTCATCTTGCTTTGCCAGTTGAGCGAACATATCGAGTGATTTCTTGACCAGATGCTTAGAGATGGTACGAAGAGAGCGGTGCTTTTGTAAAGTTTCGCGAGACACATTCAGAGGGAGATCATCAGCATCCACTACACCTTTGAGGAAAGATAACCATTTGGGGAAAAGATCAAATTCATCGGTAATAAAGACACGCTTGACAAAGAGTTTGACATTGTGGACCTTTTCAGCCAAATTTTGGAAAAAGTTGGGATCAGCTTGAGATGGGACGTAAATGATGGACCTGAATTCGACATCACCTTCACCTTTGTAATGAGACCAGGTTAAAGCTTCTCCACTGGGATTCTTGGTAAATGAACGGTAAAAGTCTACATAATCTTCATCAGAGACATCTTTGGGGTTGCGCATCCAAATAGGCTTGATGGTATTGACACGTTCCCAAGAGTAAATCGTCCTTGTTTCTTGTTCTTCTTCCTTATTGACATCTGATTGATCCTTATCCAAAGATTCTTCCATAATATCATCATCTTCTTCATTTTGTTCTTGTTTAGGTTTAGTGATAGTTTCATTACGGGAAGTCCATACCATGATAGGAAAGTTAATAAATTCAGAGTACTTGCCAACCAAACTTTTGAGAGTATCTTGATTCATGAATTCCAAAGCATTATCCTTCAAATGAATGGTGATTTGAGTACCACGACCAAGTGTATTTCCACGGGGATCCTTGGCAATGACGAAATCATCCACAGCTTCACTCATCCATACATGTTGATCAGGATCATCGTTGGACTTGGAGGCAACGGTTACTTTGTCAGCCACCAGAAATACAGAATAGAAACCCACACCAAATTGTCCAATTTGTGTCACATCACCTTTTGCAGATTCCAATTTTTCCAAGAATTCAGAAGTACCAGACTTTGCAATTGTACCCAAGTTCTTCATCAGTTGTTCACGAGTCATACCAATACCAGTATCAGTAATAATCAAAGAATTTGTTTCAGGATCAGCAGCAATGGAAATGGTGAGATCTTCTTGAGTAGCCAAGGCAGAAGCATCAGTAAGAGCCAAAAAGCGAATCTTGTCAAGTGCATCAGACGCGTTGGAGATCAATTCACGTAAGAAAATTTCGCGAGACTTGTACAGGGAATTGATAATCAAACTCATGAGACGTGAAATTTCAGTCTATATATATATATATATATAAATAAGAGTAAATATTGAAGTTAGTTTTTTTTTTTTTTTCATAACTAAGAGATATAAAAAAACTTACTTGAAAAGTAAATTTTTCAGTTTCCAATTGTTCAACTTGTTCAGCAGCTAAACCTTGAGTTCGTCCTTCAGGTTCGTTCTTGATCACAATTTGTTCAGCATCGGCAGAAACGGTAGGTATATAGACGCCAAGTAGAGCAAACACCAAGACCACCAAAAGGCAGTGAATCTTTGATATTTTCATCTTTTAGTCAATGAAGGAAGAAAAAGAAAAAGAAAAAGAAAAAAAAGAAAAGAAAAAAAAATCGTTTAAATACTTGACAGACCAGTTTATTTGGCAGTCCGCCATTGGTCGATTTTAGCTGAAAGAATCAAATCATGATATACAAAAAAGAAATAGGAATGCAATCATAAACTTTATTTCAAAAGGATCAGTATTAAAACAAAAAAAAATAATTAAAAAATGGTATCTAATAATAATAATATATACATCATTGAGTATCATTGGAAGAAGTGGATGATGCAGTAGCAGCAGCACGAATATTCATCAGTAATCTATTCTTTTCTTGATAAAATGTGTTCACCATTTCTGAGGTTTCTGTAGTTCTAGTGGCCAAATCACGGGTTGGTTGTGTTTGTGAATCACTTGGTACTGTTCCTGATATACTTAGTAGTCCACAAGCCTTTGCATGACTTTCTAAAACGTGTAAAGATCCAAGTAATTGTTCAAAGTCGACTATTAAAAAAAAAAAAAGGAAAAGAAGGTCAATTTAGTTACTTTAGTTGTGGTTCTTATTTTTCTATTACGTTGTGCAGCTGTTGGTTCATATGGTATCAAGCCTGATTTTTCTCTAAATATATAAAATAGATCAATATTATTATTATCATTATTCCTTTATTTGTAACTTACATTTTATCAAATAGTTCGTCACCTTTTCGTTCAATTTCAGAAAGTTGTGAGATCAAAGTAATGAATGATAAACGGTATTCTTGTGTTGCTTTCGAAGTCATAATATATAAAAAATATGAAAAGGGAGAGAGAGAGAGAGAGAAGTGTGAAAAAAGAAAGTTAGTGTTTGATGGATTCAATGACTGTCAAAAAAAAAAAAAAAAAAAAAAAAAAAAAAAAAAAACTCAAGGGCCTATTTTTTTTCTTTTTTCTTTTTTTTTTTTTTAGCTCTTTTTCAACCTTATGTTATCAAGAACATTTCTTCTTTCCCGATCTATCCGTTCTTTGGTTATTCAATGCAACAGTATGTATAATAATAATAATAAAAAAAGACATAGTTTATTTTGATTATATGATTAATTTCTTTCTTCCTTCTTTTTCTTTTTGAAGAACCCTCTTCCGTGGTCCCATGTCGTACTCTTCATACCAACCTTCAGTCTAAAGCAGAAAAGATAACAGCAGCTCAACGTGTCAATGGTATTTAAAAAAAAAAATAGATCAACTGAAATATGTGGACTCAAAATATATATTATAAATATAGACGTTTCAAAAACCAATGAACAAGATCATCGAGCAATTGGTAAAGCACAAGACCTTTTTATGATCCATCCTTACAGTCCAGGTTCAATATTCATGTTACCCCATGGTACTCGTATTGTACAACGACTTCAAGATTTTTTACGACAAGAATATAAACGTTACGGTTATGATGAAGTCATGACACCTCTTATTTACAAGAAGGATCTTTGGGAAACAAGTGGTCATTGGCAAAATTATATGGAAGATATGTTTATGGTCAAAAGTGGAAAAGAATCAACTGGATGCTGTGATCATGGCGATAATCATGAAGAAGAAGGTATCTATGGATTGAAACCTATGAATTGTCCTGGTCATTGTCTCATTTTTGACAGCACACCCAAATCATACAAAGATTTGCCTATTCGACTAGCTGATTTTAGTCCCTTACACAGGTAATCACATATACATATATATATAGAATGAACTTATATTTATGATGTTGATATATATATTTAGAAACGAAGCCTCTGGAGCACTCTCTGGTCTTACAAGAGTTCGACGTTTCCATCAAGACGATGCACACATATTTTGTACTGAACAACAAATTGTATCTGAAATCTCATCTTGTTTATCATTTGTGGATCGTGTTTACAAAGCATTTGAATTCCCTCATTTTGATTTTACTCTTTCGACTCGACCTAGCAATAATTACATTGGCAGTGTGGCGGAATGGGATCATGCGGAAGATGCATTGAAGAAGGCACTTGATAGTACGGGAAGACCTTGGACAGTAAAAGAAGGAGATGGAGCATTTTATGGACCGAAGATTGATATCATGGTCAAGGATTCATGTGGCAAATCACATCAAACGGCAACTATTCAATTAGATTTTCAACTTCCTCAACGATTTGGACTGAAATATGTAGATGAACATGATCAAGCTCAAACACCAGTGATTATTCATCGTGCTATTCTTGGATCTATTGAACGTATGTTTGCTATTTTGATTGAACATACTAATGGTAAATGGCCATTTTGGCTTAGTCCACGACAAGCAGTGATTCTTCCTGTGGCAACTCCTTTTGCTGATTATGCAACCAAAGTGGCCAAACAATTGTCAGGTACAAATGATATAGGTTGTGAATCTTTTTATGTGGATGCAGATACTTCTTCTAGAGACCGATTGAACAAGATGATTCGTCAAGCACAAAAGGATCGATATAATTTTATTGGTGTCGTTGGACAAAAAGAAATGGATTCTGGTACAGTCAACATTAGAACTCGATCTGGTGAAATGTTAGGCTCTATGACTATTGATGATCTACGATCTTTGTTTTCCAAACTCAATGCCAATTTACAATAGTATTCCCTCTATTTTATTAGATTAGAACACATTTAGATTTAGAAATCGTGTATATATAAATATAAATAAAAATGACAGTTTTATCAAAAAAAAAAAAAAAAAAAAAAATACTAATCGGGATACGAAATTCACCAGTGATGTTGAGTCCAACGGGTTATGTTTTTTTTTTTCTTTTTTGTTCCAGAATTATTATTTTTTTTTTCTTATTTCATTATCAACATGGTGTTGTTTTTTCAGAGTACAGGTAACATGAAGAAAGGAATACCATTTATCTATTTATATTTATTGATGTGTCTTTTTATAGTGGTAGATCCTCCTGTGACAATATATATGGGTAGAGACAAGTTTGAAAGTAAAGTATACAAATATTGAATTAAAATAAAAAAGGAACTAGTGAACTGATATTGATCCTCTTATCTATAATAATAGATGAAGACTTGATCAAGTATGGTTTTCCAGAAGATATATGGTAATAAAGTGAATATAAAGAAAAAAAAATGGTAGTAAACTCAAATATTTTTTTTTTTTAATTTTTTTAAATTTCTTTTTTTTTTATTCGCTCATATTTTATATATATACGTGTCGGAATATATCTGTATCGTGATTATAGGGTAAGTTCAAAAGAAGAACACAAGATTTCCTCGGAAGGAAGAATGAATATTTATAGTGCATCAATATCTTTTTGTTAGTTTCACGTAGATAAATTATCTAGTGCACACGTTTATGTTCGATTACAACCTGGACAAACCTGGTTAGATATTCCAGAGAAAGTGATTGAAGATTGTGCTCAATTGGTGAAAGCAAATAGTATTGAAGGTAAGAAAAAAAAAAAAAAGAAAGAAAGAAAGAATATGACAATGATTTTTTTTAATGATAGGCAATAAGAAGAATGGGATCACAGTAATTTATACACCATGGGATAATCTCAAGAAAACAGCAGGAATGGAAACAGGACAAGTGACTTTTTTTAATCACAAAAAAGTGAAACGAGTACACGTGGAAAAACGTATCAATGAAATTGTTAATCGATTAAACAAGACCAAAGTGGAACGTGAAGTAGATCATCTTCAAGAAAAAATTCAAAGGGAAAAATTGGATCGAAAAGCAGCAAGACAGACTGAATTTGAAGAGGTAAGAAAAAAAAAATCATATTTTTGATAAAAGGAAAATTTGTAAACCTTCTTTTTTTATTTTTCTTTGGTTTCTAAGAAAGAAAACATTCGACGATTGACAGCGGAAAAACAACAAGCGGAAAAGGAAATCAAGGATATGTTTGATCCAAGTAATATGAAGAGTAATTATCGGGAACATGAAGTAGAAGATATTAATGCGGCTGAAGAAGATTTTATGTAGATTAGTTTTCTTTTTTTGTAGTTTAGATAATTCATCAATAATAATAATAATAAAAAATGATAATGATGATGATGATGATTATTTAGTAGTAATAATGAAAGTACTTTATTGTTAAAAGTAGTGTTTTGGAAGAAGTAGTACATGTGCTTCGAATTAGGGTTTTGGGATTGAGACGGCGTTTTCATTTTTTTTTTTTTTTGATTTGATCTTTCCTTTTTTTTTTTTTTTTTTTTGTTTGTTTGTAAGAAAAATTAAATTATTATAATGACTTTTTGATTATTATTCATTCAATTTTTTTAAAAGGAGAATATTATTCAAAGAAAAAAAAAAAAGAAATGCCAAGAAGATGAAACAGATCGATTGACTTCCTGCGCATGAAATAAAAAAGAATCTTTTCTAAATTTAGTTTTATAAAAAAAAAAAGAAAATGGTTTTACAAGGTTAAAATCGGAAGATCATTCAGAAAAAGTTCAGTAACGACTTAAGATTGACAGGCCGTATTTCGGTCGAGACTTTTTTTCATTAAGTTTATCATTGGTTGGCATGACTTTGAATTTACTCCGATTTTATTTCCTTTTTTGAATTCAAAAGTTTCTTTTTTAATATAAAAAAAAAAACTTTTTTTTTCTTCCTTTTTATTTTTTTTTTCTTCCTTTTTCTTTTCTTCCTCTTTTTTTTTTTTTTTTTTATTTATTTTCTACTTTTTATTATTGAATATATATCCTATTTTATCATTTATACTATGAGTACATCTGTTGCTTCTCTTGCTTCACATCCTCATCGTGTTAGTAGAAAATTGACAGTTTGTGCTGAAACAATGGAAATCAATGTACGACCTGTTGTTAAAGGTATATAAATAATATATATAAACAATATATATATATATATTAAATTATTCATCTATTTTAATTTATTTATTTTAGGTGCTATCAAAGAAGCATCTCATACTTTAGCTGATGCTTTTAATAATGATGCTGTTATTGAATGGTGTACTCGTGGTATTCAATCCAATGATGGTCTTGTCACTTTTTTTAAAAGTCTAGTGAATTCTGCAACATTATCAAGTCGTGATTTTGCCGTTCAAGTAGAAGGATGTAAAGGTGTAATGATTTGGACAAATCATCCTCAAGGTGTTTCTCTTCCTTTATCTAAATTGGCTCGTATGATCGGATGGGTGGCTGCTTTACGATCTGTTATGCAATATCAACCAACAAGAGACAAATGGAGACGCAAACTGATGGCCGACTACGATAATTACCTTACCATTGCTTATCTAGGTATCTTACCACACGAACATCGTAAAGGATTTGGTTCTGCTTTATTGAAATACGTTTTGGATAAGGCTGATACTTCTCATTATCCTGTTTTCGTTGAAGTCACCGAACCTGGAGCTGTGGCCTTTTTTGAACATCATGGTTTTATTATCAAGGGAAAAGGTTCTTTTGGAGAACTACCAGTCGCTTTGATGGTACGTGAACCTATGCCTACTACTGATATTCCTACTCCTTTACGTTTGAAACCTGGTCGTCGTGATTCCGATAATACTATTTGAACACTTTTTTTTTATTATTTGTATATAGTTATCATCCCATTATTATCATTATTTATTTACTTTATATCTCATATCATTTATTTTTATCATATCATTCATTTTTATATCTTGTTACCCATGACCTTCATTATAATTTATTATCATTTTACTTGTTGTAAATAAATACATTTATCTATTTATTCATCTATCTATCTATCTATTAAAAATGATCCATATTTTAAACCTGTTTTCTTTATCTTTATCTTTATCTTGTACAATTTACTATATAATAAGTATTTTTTTTTTATATTCCATAAAACTGTCATTCACATGCATGAATTATGCTTTACTATATTTGGTTTGGATTATCTTTCGTTCCATGATGAACATCACAGCATGCACTAAAAAAAAATTAGTCTACGGATATATTTGAAAAAAAAAAAGTTAAACAGAGGCAACAAAAAAAAAACAATTACATCCAATGGAAATAATGGATGATGATCAATCAGGAAAACTAGAATATAATCAAAAAAAAAAAAAAAAAAAAAAGACGATAAGATATACTTTCATCATCATCCTTATTATTCACAAAATATATAAATAAAAAGGAAATCATTGATAGGAAAACAAACATAATAAGGGAATGATAATAATAAAAAAAAAAAAGGAGTATCAAGTTTCCGATAAGAAAGTATATGATTTTTATTCTATAATAACATAATACATATATATATATAAAAAGCAGAGCTAAACTAAATAATAATGATAAAAATAATAAAAAAAAATACAACATCTAATACAAAAAGATTACCATTCTAGTTCCTTTTTACCTTGACAGGTAAGACCATCCCCTACAGGACATGCATTGATTGTAGCTACTCCGTTGGCTCCGCGTCCCTTTCGGTTCAAAGCGTATTCCCAATAGTGTAACGTGCAAATTAAAACAGGACCTATTTCAACAGGGTATTCATCTTCTTCCACTTGACCTAGATAGGATAGATCGGCACCTGCATGTGGACAGTATCGATCCGCGGTATATTGAGTCTTGCCATCCGAGAGTGTTATCAGAATCCGTTCTTCATCACTAGGATCCACAATAATCTTAGCTTCATCCTTTTCTTCTAATACAATGTCTTGTTGAGCCGTCCGTAATTGAGTAGTCAATGATATTTCTTTTTCCATCGTCTTATCCACTGGTTTGATAGGTTCACACTGGGTCGTCAATGAATTACCATTGTTGCTATTGACGGCCTTTATGTTGCATTCTGAAGTTGTATTTTTAACGGTTTCATTCACCTTTTTATATTTGATAGTTGGTACAAACATTCCCAATAGAAAAAAAAAAAAAAAAAGGAACGACTAAAAATCCCCTGAAATGAGTCAAATACCAATTAGAGATTATCTTTTTCGAGTCCCGCGAATCCCTGCCATGAATTTTGACCTATCACAAAAAAAAAAAAAAAAAAAAAAAAAAACACGATCGATCGTCCATTTTTTTTTACACTCCTTCAGGTACAAATTGTAACTTACAATGTTCAAAGACACATTGATTCAAAAAAAAAAAAAAGAAAAAAGTAAAAGGAAAAAGAAGGGAGAGCGCATCAATTTTTTTCCTGTCAGAGCTTGATCCACTTTCCCATTGTTCTCCGCCTTTTTTTTTCTTTTTTTGAGAATCTGATCCAACATCCCACAATTGATATTGGAATATGACTTTATACCATTTATGGAAGGATCTTATGTTTGCATTAAAAGAAAAGTTGAATCATAATAATTGAAGATTGTCATTGGATTGAACGACTAGTAAAACGATGATAATGTTATTTTATTGAAGAAGAAGAATATAAAAAGAATAAAAGAAGATTAAAACTATCAATAAAATAAGCTACAGAAGAATATCATCCATTTCCATACAAATTGATTTCATCTTTCCAGTAGACTATTCCATCCATATCATAAATTGTTTTACCATTCGTTGTTCATTTCTTTTTTTTTATATTATCTATTTTAGTTTGACTCTGTATTCCATATATTTCTAGGATGATGATGCTACTTGATACTGATACACCAAATAATAACAACACTAAAAAAAGAAAAAGTTAAATGAGGATCCTATGGTAAATATTCTTTTTCATTTTTCTGTATCTTACTTTGAATAACTGGACATACTTACAAATGCATGTGATGAATGAATGATGACTATCTATCAATTTAATAAATAATGTTGATATGTAATAGATCCCTCACTGCCATTGGTACTTACACTAACAATACTTGGTGGATGACGATGATTATGATGATGCTGATATCAATTCCACGAGGATGACTATCATGATGAGAATTCAAACCACCTTGATGAAAAGGGTGCCTTTAGAATGAATAGAGTAACGTATAAGCAGCCAAACTTGTAACTGTGATACTACTCATCAATGAAAAAAAAAAAGAATAGATGATATTGTCATTGACAAATCCTTCATTATCGTATTTTAAGTCTTACCGTCAAAGATAATATTCTTGATCGCGTTCTGTTTGTGCTTGATAACAATAATTGATAGATATGTTCAATAGCCTTTCCATTGACATATTATACTAAAATACTACTGAGAAAAAAAAAAAAGAAAGAATGAGAATCGCAGCCATACCTAAATCACTTACTATTTTACTATTTCTTTTTTTCTTCTTTTGGAATTATAGTAGTACCTTTGATAGTTATAGTCCCATTGTTATAGTTTCATAATCTATTGAATATATATTGAGTATTCAGTTTGTAAAGAAGAGTGAAGAGATGGTATTTCTATAACAAGATAAAAAGAGAGAGAGAGAGAGTTTAGTTAACAAGTATATAAAGTTCCTTTTATTATATCTTTACTTACTTTTTATACAAAATAAAAAAAAAGAAGTTTATAACAGTAGTGATAAAGAAGAGGAAGAAGAAGAAAGTGTGAGAAAATAAAAAGATGTGAGGTCTATTTTATATAACCTCATGAATTAAGCCTTTCCTTTTTTGGATGTTCAACTACCGCTCTTCATAATTTATATTTCATTACTTTATTATTTTATATTATCAAGTAATCAATTTATCATACTTAAACTGATTTATTACAGTATTCTAAATGAATGTAATTGATGTTCCATAATAAAAAGTTGTCCAAATTGATTTAACATATATGCTTGATATTCCTTTTTCTTTGGTAATCTTTCTCTACTGTCATAATTATTCGAAGTTCAATGAATACAACGAATAAGAAATAAGTGATAAAATCATTCACTTGGAAGTGTCTATTCTAATATACCATCATCATCATCATCATGATGTTACTGTAATCAATAATAAAAAAAAAATCAATTCAAAGAAAAAAGCAACTTAAACCTATGTGATTCCTTATGATTGGTAGATTTGATTTGCATGATTTTTTAAACTGGCTCCGACCAGGTAGACATATGAAATAATTCTTTTTCTTTTTTCTTCCTTTCTTTCTTTCTTTCTTTCTTTCTTTCTTTCTTTTTCTTTTATACATTTCAACTTCATTACCATATCCTACTCATGTTATCTATGTGGTTTTTACAAATATTTACTCTTATTAAAGGTAAGTTTCAAAAACAAGCACTTTTCTTCTTTTTCTTTCTAATCTCCTTCCTTTTTTTTATATTTATTATATACGTTCTTCTGATCTTGATCTTTTTACTACAACATCTATCCATCTAGAATTACCGTTCTTTCTTCTTCTCATACTTCATAATTGGTATCCTTGACAATCGTCATCACTGAATATATGTCTGAAAGAAAGAAAGAGATCTAGATACACGAAGACTTAATCATTTAAATATAGTATCAATAGGATAATTACGCGAAGTGGCTATACATCATCATCAGCAGGATAGATAGAGATATATACAATAGCATCACAGAAATAAACGAAATGAATACGTACTATTGTCATAAGATATGGACAACATGGATGAACAGGATATATTATAGGATTCAACTGGATTGGACTATACTATGAATTGGAAGTATCTTCTTTATCTTTTTTTTAATTATTCTGGCTTATGAATCGTTAGTGATTCTTTTTACTTGTAGTTTAGAAAGGTACTTAGTATATCAATTATATGTATTTATATTCTTTTTCTTTAATAAAATCATAATTATTACTTTTCTCGAACAGTCATCCATGCATTTCTGTACCTGGTTCCTTAAATAAATTAAATGACAGCTGAATCCAAGCAAAGAGAATCAAGTTTAAAGACTTTCGAATAATAATATGAAAAACAAGAAACAACATGGAATCATATTAATTCTCTTTTTCATATATTTTGTCGTTTTTTTTTCCTTTTTTGCCATATATTGTATTCGACTCGATCTAAATGTATTATTAACAGTGAAAGGAAAAGTAGATTAGTTTTTGACATTTTCCTTTCAATGTCAAAAAACTAATCTGCTTTTTTTAATTGTACATTCATTATCACCTTACAATATATTCTTTCTCTTTATTTTGCTACTTTTGGTACGTCACTTTTATCTATTCGGACTTTTGCGTTCATTTTTTTTTATTATTTATTTCGTTTCCCCACATTTTTCTTTTCTTTCTTTCTCTTTCCATTTCTCCACACTTTTTTATTCACTCTCCGCACTTCGTTCGCGTCTCCATATTGGAATAATGACAGGTAACATATAAAATACAATGACAGTAATGGAGTCTTATTCTATTATTGTCAATTTAAAAAATAAATAAAATAAAATAATAATAAATAAAATAAAATAATAAAAAGACAGTATGAAATATAATTACTTACTTGTTTTATGTTAATTCATGACTCTTCTGGTTTTTCCAATTGTCAAGATCTCTTTTTTTCTCGGTTTTGATCAAACGAAACGATGAGACAAAACAAGCCAATGGTGTAAAAAGATAAGTATAAAAAAAATAATAGATGTTAAATATTTTTTATTGAAATGAGTTTATGAGTTGGCTGAATTGAGGTATCTTTCAAAGCAATCACGTATCTTTTCTTTTCTTTTTCCTTTCTTCTCTCGTCTTTCTTTCCTTCTTCTTCTTCTTTTTTTTTTTTTTTTCCTCTAGCTTACCTGGTTATGACTCTTCTAATGGTTTGGAACTGGTTGGAATGACAAGAATGGAGGTAAGACATAGATTAAGGAACTAATCGTTTTTCTTTTTTTTTTTTTTATCTTTTTTATCGTTAGACCCTGGACGGAGCACCAAATGCAAGCCAACCTGTGTTACAGGTACTTTTGAAGATATTTTTTTTTTCTTTCTACTTGGTTGGTTATTCTCTCCTATGATGTTAGTTTCTTCAAAATCATTTCTCTAATGGTATGGTGTGTCTCTCACTCTCTTGTTGTTATCTCTCGAGTTTGTGTGGTCTCTTCTTCTCTTTTTTACTTGGTTGGTCTCTCTCTCTCTTTTTTTCCCTTTCCCTTATCTGTCTCTCATTGTCATGGTGTTTTCTTCGAGATCTCTTTCTTGCATGGTTGGTCCTTGTCTTTCTTTTTTTTTTTTGTCCCTCCTACTTGGTATGATGTCTTCCACTTATTTTTTTCTCCCATTGCCTTGGACTATTATCCCTTCGTCTTGTGGTACTCTCCATTCCTTTCAACAAAAATCAATAGCTTCGGTTTCGCCTATACTATTTGTAAATTGTCCTTGGTTCTTCCTTTGGTTTCACTTTTATGATTGATACATCAACACGGGTGAATCATGTAACTAAGGTAATCCATACATTAAAAAAAGAAGAAGAGAGAATAACGCTAATGAATTGGTACTCGTTTTTTTGATTCTATTTGCAGATGCCACAATTGTCGCCTATACAATCAAGATGATGCAAAACATCCACTGGTTATTGACAAGGTAACATGTATAAAAGAAAAAAAAAAAGAGTACCAGATTGCTACTCATTTGGTTTTTTTTAATTTGTAGGTATCATGATTGTCGTCTATACAATCCACTGTCGAATGGTCATCATCACTTTATACTTAGCTTTTGGTGGTATTCAAAGGTCATGGCGTGATGATCTTTGTTTATATAACAGGCATTGGACTTGGTCGAGGATGACTGGTGTCTAGGATCATTTATGAATCTAGAGGCTGGATCTAGTGCTCAAGTAGGTGGAGGCTAGAAGGCAACATGCAGGGAATACAGTATATCGCCTGTAGGTCGTGTTGTTTCATGCTGGAGTCCTTGGAAGTCCTGCCAATTGCGGTATGGTTTGGAAAGAATTAGGGGATAATATCATAACTGGTCAGTGGAGCGTATCTATTAAAACCGGAACAAGCTACCTTCCTTGATGGTCTTAAAATGTCAGATGTACTGCTAGTGGCAACCCTTCTTTCTCTTCGAACCCATGATGATGATGACATTCAATTGCAATATGATACAAAACATCCATTGTTGTTGGCAAGGTAACATGTATAAAATAAAAAAGTAACAGATTGCTATTCATTTGGTTTTTTTTTTAATTTGTAGGTATCATGATTGTCGTCTATACAATCGAATAACTAAGTTATCAGGAAAGAAAAAGATGATCAATCAATATTCCATACAATCACTTGCTTCTTTCTCTCTCTCTTCTTTTTTTTTTTAGATCCTTCCTTTTATTGTATGGGGATTGACACGGTATCGCTGTCAGATGATATACGCAAGGTAACAATGGATATATATATATATAAGAATAACAGTGATGGAGTATTGTTTTTTGGTTGATTTTATCTGTAGATACAATGATTGTTGTTTATGCAATCAAATCTCGAATGATCATCATTACTTTATATTAACATTTAGTCAAACAAAACAGTGATATAAAACGGTCAATGGTGCAAAATGATAAGTCTAAAAAAAATAATAGATGAAAAAAGAGAATGATACTAATATATTTCTTCTTTTATTTTATTGATCGTTTAGATATTATTGTCTATATAGTCCAAATCTTCTTTATTGAAAAGAAAAGAAAAGAAAAGAAAAGATACGTGATTGCTTTGAGAGATACTTTAATTCAGCCAACTCATAAATTCATTTCTTATTTTTCCTATCTAACTGAGTTTTCATTTCTTTTCCTTTCTTCTCTCATCTTTCTTTCCTTTTTTTTTTTTTTTCTCTCTAGCTTTAGCTGGTTATGGCTCTTCTAATGGTTTGGAGCTGGATGGAATGACAATTATGATGGTAAGACATAGATTAAGGAACTAATCGTTTTACTTTTTTTTTTTATCTTATTTACTGTTGGACTCTGGACTGAACAGTAAATGCAAGTCAACTTGTATGTACAGGTACTTTTGAAGGTCTTTTTTTTTTCTTCCTACTTGGTTGGTTATTTTCTCTAGTGGTATGGTGTCTCTCTCTTGCTCTTCTCTGTAATGTTTGTGTGGTCTCTTCGTCTCTTTTTTTACTTGGTTGGTCTCTCTCTTTCCGTTTCCTTCATCTGTCTCTCGTTGTCATGGTATTTTCTTCCAGAATCCTTTACTACGTGGTTAGTCCTTATCTTTTTTTTTTGTTTCTTCTTATTTGATTGGTCTCTTCCATGTTTGATGGTCTCATTCTGTTTTTCTACTTGATTGGCATCTCTGTCTCCATTAGTATTATTATTATTATCATTGTCATTATTATCACCAGTATTGTATATATTATTTATATTGTTGGTATTTAGTTACTTTTTTTCTTTATTCCCTTTCTTTTCTCCTGTAAAAATACTCTTTTATTTAAATAAAATGTTTGATTATTTAAATTATCCTGCTATGGTGTTTTGTGTCTGTACCTATTGCTACTATCTATTATTGTGATGATTTAATAAAATGTATCTTTGAGTGTATCATGTAGTGAAGTGTATGATATGCTCTACTGTATCATCAACGATATCGTTATTTTCGTTAAGAGAGAAGATGAACAATCAACAGTATACAGGTACAACTTGCTATTGTCATGGGTGGTGATGATGATTGATAATAAGAGAATATATATGTTTAAAATGATGAACGTAATGTATGAAATGAAATAGTAGATACTGATGTGTATATGAATCTTGTTTCTACAGTAGTTTTTTATTATTATTATTATTTTTTAGTGAAAATACAATGATGATCATACTATTCTTTCTTATTACTCCTTTTGATAATGATGATGATCGAGGATAAATAGATAAGTAATAGTGAAATGACAATAATAAAATATGAGTTTATTTAAAAGATTATAAAATATAAAACACTATAACTAAAAGACTAAACTATTCAATAAACTAATTTCCATGATAAAGAGTTGGATACTTTTCCCTGGTTTGCTTATTCTTTTATCCAATAGAAAACTTATAAACCAATTAATCATATTATATATTTTATTCATATATCTATCTACTATATGTTCATAAAAAGAGTAAAAAAAAAACCAACTAAAAATAGATTAGTTCATAATAGGAGAATAGATTAGTTCATAATAGGAGAGACTAAAAGAAGGAATAAGTATAAAGTAAGGATAATATATATATAAAGAGTGACTTTTAAATATATAATATAGATTGGTAAAGTAATGTATAATGGTAACTTACAATGTTCAAAGTGCCAGTGGTTAAAAAAAAAAGTAAGAAAAAAATGCAAAAGTAAAAAAAAAAAAAAAAAAAAAAAAAGTGAAGAGCGCGCCAGAGCTTGGTCCAACCTTTTTTCCATTGTCTCCAACAATTTTTTTTTTTCAATCTCCAGATTTTTTTTGATCTCGCACGACCAGATCCTTTTTTTTTTTTTTTTTGAGGAACCTCCAGACCTTTTTTTTTTTTTTTTGATCCAACACACCCCACATTGATAACGGACTTTGAAGTTATACCATTTATGGAAAACACTTCTGATTTTAATAAAAGTTGAATAGATGAATAAAATAATAATAATAATAATAATAAACAGGATGATGATGATATAAAGATAAACTTTATTAAAGAAGAAGAAGAAGAATATAAAAATAATATAATAACTATCATTAAAAGAAATTATAGAAAAAATATCATCTATTTGTACACAAATTGATTTCCCTTTCCAGTTGTTCTTAATAATATAGTTAGTTGCATTAGTTATTCTTCCTTTTTATGTATCCAATTTTCATTTGGTTCTGTGATTTGTATATAAAGGATGATGATGCATCAAAACAATAAAAAAAGAAAAAAGAAAAAGAAAAAGAGAATGAGAATCATATTTTAAATATTCTTTTTCTTTTCTTTTTTTTTATATCTCACTTTGAATACACTAATTGACCGTACTTGAAAATGATCATAACACTTGAATGATAGTAACATAATAAGACTGATGGACGATGTATCATGACAACCTATCGATTCAATAAATAAATGTTTAATGGTTGATGTGTATAATATATATTCCACTGTAGTTGGAAGTTATACCAATAACAGTTGAATAATGACAACGATAGTAATGATAACGATATCAATTTCCACGAGGATAACTAACTGATGAGAATTTCAAACCATCTTGATAAGAAGTATGCCTTTATAGAAAATAGAGTAACATATAAACAGCTAAACTTGTATTTGTGACACTACTAATCAACAAAAAAAAAATGAGATACCTTGATTGACAGATCCTTCATTATCGTATTTTACGTCTTACCTTCAAATATAATATCCTTGATTGTGTTCTGCTTGTGCTTGATAACCATAATTGATAGATATGTTCAATAGCCTTTCCATTGGCATGATACTGGAACACTACTGAGAAAAAAAAGGAAAGAATCAGGATCATAACCATACCTAAATCACTTACTATTTTACTATTTCTTTTTTTTTTCTTTTGGAATTATAGTAGTACCTTTGATAGTTATAGTCCCATTGTTATAGTTTCATAATCTATTGAATATATATTGAGTATTCAGTTTGTAAAGAAGAGTGAAGAGATGGTATTTCTATAGCAAGATAAAGAGAGAGAGAGAGAGAGAGAGAGAGAGAGAGAGAGAGAGAGAGAGAGAGAGAGAGAGGAGAGAGAGAGAGAGAGAGAGAGAGAGAGAGAGAGAGAGAGAAGAGAGAGAGAGAGAGAGAGAGAGAGAGAGAGAGAGAAAGAGTTTAGTTAACAAATATATGAAGTCCCTTTTATTATATCTTTACTTACTTTTTATACAAAAAAAAAAAAAAGAAAAGAAAGAAGTTTATAAAAGTAGTGATAAGGAAGAAAAAGAAGAAGAAAGTGTGAGAAAATAAAAAAATGTGAGGTCTATTTTATATAACCTCATGAATTAAGCCTTTCCTTTTTTGGATGTTCAACTACCGCTTTTCATAATTTATATTCATTTACTTTATTATTTTGTTATTATCAGGTAATCAATTTATGATATAATGTGATTTATTATTCTATATGAATGTGATTGATGTTTCATCAGATTAATAAAAAGTTGCTCAAATTGATTATATAATCTATATGCTTGATACTCCTTTTTCTTTTAATCTCTCTTTACTACAGTAGTTATTCAAAGTTCAAATGAATACAGTACAACAGATGTGATAAATAAGTGATAAAGACATTCAACTAATATATCATCATCATGATCTTTAATCTATCAATTCACTCTCAAAAGGAATTAAACCTTGTGTGATTCCTTATGATTGGTTGATTTGATTTGCAGGATTTTTTAAACAGGCTCCGATCACGTAAACATGTAAAATAAATCTTTTTCTTTTTCTTTTCTTTTCTTTCTTCATTTCTTTTCTTTACTTTTTTTTTTTTTTTTTTTTTTTTTTTACCCATTCTCCACATTTTGTTTGTATATCCATACTGAAATTAGTGGATTTTTATTCTATTATTGTCAATTTAAAAAATAAATAGCATAAAGTACAATTGTTTTAAAATCAAGTCTTGGCCCTGCAGGTTTTTACAGTTTCAAGATCTCTTTTCTCTCTCTCTCTCTCTCTCTCTCTTAGGACTTGGTTACACAGCCAATGTAATTCAGCTATATACAAGTACTTTTAAAAGTTTCTTTTTCTTACTTGGTTGGTCTTATGGTATCGGTTTTTACCAAACAACAACAAGATCATCACTTCAATCGAAGAATGGCGCTTTCATGAAAAAAAAAAAAAAACTTTGGACCTACTCTTTACCTCTATCCTCTTCAACTGGTATAAAACGCTCTACACAATGGGGATCATCTCATTCACAATCTCTTCTCATGGTACCTTGAGCCTTATTGTTCAGTAAGTAATTAATGAATATACCAAGTTATTATATATTCACACTTTTTTTTTTGTCTTTTCCCATTTGGTTAGTCTCTCTCATGCTCGGTGGTTTATTTCATTTTCTACTTGATTGGACTCTGTTCTTTTTCTCTTCTTCTCATCTGTCTCTCATTCTGATGATATTTTCTACAAGATCTCTCCTTATATAATTGGCTGAACTATCTACTCTCGACCGAATCGGGTATGCGAATTGTATTAGAAAAAACCCTGCTGTGGAAATATATAACAGGATCAAACTAAACACAATATACAGCTGAATTCGACCGGAAAAAAGGAAAAATCAAATGTGCAAAGTATCTTCTTGATGACCTTCTCTTTCTCTCTTTCTGGTTTGAATCATGGTGATGTTTTTTTTTTACTGATAGTTAATAATATCTTTATTAGGTTATATTTATATTTATATCAATCAATCTTTATTCTTTAATAAAATCATATTCATTGGTATTATTACGATTATTATCGTTATACTAATTATTACTTTATCGTCATCTCCAATATTCTCAATCATCAACTTCGAAAAAAGTCAGATGGGACTAACGCTGTGTCCGACAAAGTGGAAGTATGACAGGTTGGATGTACAACAGTGCGGATTTACGAGGGAGTGGACCAAGTTATGTGTTTTATGACATGATCATCAATGCGATGAGAAAAGCTAGAATGTGGCTGAATAGAACCTGGTACTGGGATTAAGTTTATAGAGAAGAAAGTTTTTGACCGCGTCATTCTGGGCAAAGAGGCTTGAGGAGTTGATGATCTTGGTGTTACGTTGCTAACTATATGAGAGGTACGAAGCCTCATATATATATAAAAGTGACAAAAATGGAATATAAAAAGGAGCAGAAAAACAAGATGTTTTAATTTTCTTTATTCTTTCTTTTTAAAAAACATGCAACTCAAACAAATCATCATCTCATTAGCTTTATGCTTTATTGCTTTCCAAGCTGTTGAAGCTAAGACACGGTACTTTATGTGGTGTGGTGAAACCAAATCGCTGCACGCAACTGCTCCTAGTTACAAATGTGGAACAAGCACCAATTGGTATTACTTTGGTAGTGATATGCCTGCTGTTGGTGGCAAATGGGCTTACTATAACCCTAATAGTCAATACATCCAACCTTTTATTAAATGTTGTAAAGCTGCTGGAAAGAACGCTTATGTTTCCCATGTTGATTGGTACAACTACACTGGTATTTCTTCCTTGGCTGGTACCATTGCAGGTATTCTAGGTCTAGCCATTACTATTGCAGCCTAAGTCCTGAAAGTTCTTTATAGACGATAGAAGTTATATCAAATATATCAAATAAAATCGTCTTTTTTTTTTTTTAATGTATTCTTAAATCATCATCTTCATCATAATTGCACCTTTGTTTCCATTCACCCCCTTCATAATCATCATCATCATCATCATCATCATCATCATCATCATCATCATCATCATCATCATCATCATCATCATCATCATCATCATCATCATCATCGTCATCATCATCATCATTATTCTTTCATCCATCGTCACATGTCATCCATTCAACTGATATATTCAGACTACCATTTTAATTTAACACCTTTTACCTGGTAATAGTCAAACAAATTGAAATCCCGTGAAATTAATAACAGCATATGAGTGTGTTGTGTGACAAATTGACCCAAACGATTTTTCTGTCTTTTTATGGAAAACAATATGGACCGAAATTTGGGATACAAAAAAAAAAAAAAAAAAAAAAAAAAGATAATCTTTTTTGTCGGGTCACAAGAAAATGTTTTTCGTGATGTTATAAAATAATATATCGTACTTTCCCAAAATGAATGTCGCATTACCACTTTTCAGATATTGCTCCAGAGATGTCGGTAGAGTACATTAAAAATACATAACGTATTGATGATAACTTGTTTATTAATAATAAAAGATACAAAAGAAACGTATCGTGGGCTTTTTATATCTTTAGCAGCTTTGGGTATTGTCCATAATTTTTAGGTATCGATTGATTGACGATTGATGATTGATGACTGTATCATCGTATGAAGGATGATTGTATGATTGTATGATATGTGATAACGGATGATGTGTGATGGATGGTGGATGATGGATGATGGATGATGGATGATGGATGATGGATGATGGATGATGGATGATGGATGATGGATGATGGATGATGGATGATGGATGATGGATGATGGATGATGGATGATGGATGATGGATGATGGATGATGGAACATTGTCGTCAGTTAATGTAGCGGTACAGTGATCACGTTACACTTAAATGGTAAGCTAGTGAAAGATCTTTATCTGGATAAGTATTACTCATTTTTTTTTTTTATGTTAACTTCGTGAACTCAATTGGTGGATTTCATCTTTTTTTTTTATTGCTCTTTTTTTCATGATTTTCTTATATTCTCTATTTGATTATGCGACAATTATATTTTTTTTCTTCTGTCATCTATCCTTACTATATTTTATTTCCTACTTTTGCGTCATCTTATTCTTTGAATTTCGTCAATTATTATTGAGTAAAGTGTAGAAATCCGCCCCCTTTTTTTTTTCCTCTCCTTCCAGTTGATTTTTTAATCCCATTTTAAAACAATGTAAACAGATGCTTCTCTTTTTTTTTTTTCTGTTGATTTTTTTTTTAAATAACGATTGATAATGGAATGAACATAAAAAAAAAAAAAAAGGATTGTCAAGTAGTAAGATAAAAATAAAAAAAAAAAGGAGGAGGAGAAAAGAAATCATTCTTTTTTATCGAATAATCTATTTCTTTATTTTGACAGTTTAGAGAATGGAAGGAGTACTTTCAGGGCAAAACTTTGTTTGCACTCCGATGACAAGAAAGAATGTGATCTGAATTGGTATGATCTGTTGAAATATTGGTAACTTACTTTCAATCATCTTTTTTTTTTTTATACATATTATTCATCCTTTTTTTTTTTTAAAAAAAAAAAATACCCTTTAGAACTCAATGGTATTGACAATCAATAAAGGACAAGAAGCCACATTACGGGCTTTGATGGAAACAATCATTGCTCCCTTAGATGATGATGAAGCATTTGATTTAGTATTGGATGCACAAGGCACACAACCTATGACGTATTCGATTGATGATGTTGATGATGAGAAACCAAGAAGAAAGACAAATGTGGATTTATCAGCTATGGCAGCATCATCTGGTACAGATGTGGAAAATTCAGTGGGGTTAGTGCTAGATGTATTAGAACGATCGACACATAGAGCGGATCAAACTCAATTATTATTGGCATTGAAAGCATTAAACACGAACTGGGGATGTGCCTTGCTAACAGGACACCGTCGTCCTTTTGCAGAACTGACGAGAGCTCAGAGGGAACAAGCCTTATTACGTTGGAAAGCATCACCTATCTTACGTGTCCGTCAATTCTATCGGATGATCAATGTCCTTACAACTTTTGTCAATTTTTCACATTCTGATATATTACGTGCATCTACAGGGTATCCTTATCCGCTTCACACACCGCCTGCACCTAGTAAACCAGTTGTCGATGTGTATGGACGGTCCACAGAGCCATACAAAATGTTAGGGTTCTATGAAGCAAATGATTTACAATCTTATCGATTTGATGCGATCATCGTTGGTTCTGGTGGTGGAGGTGGAGTGATTGCAGCCCAGATTGCTGCTGCTGGAAAATCTGTGTTGGTACTTGAAAAAGGGAAGTATTATCTTAACGAGGAATTTGGTCCAGATGAAGCAACTGGTTTATCGAAAACTTATGAAGCAAGTGGTTTTCTCGTCAGTAAAGAAGGCACCTGTCTTTTGCTTGCAGGAAGTACATGGGGTGGAGGTGAGCTCTCTTTTTCTTTTTTTTTTTTTTTTTTGGTGGAGTATAAATACTTTGCAAGATTCAATTTTTTTTTTTTTTATGTTCTTTCTTTCTTTCTTTTTTTTTTTTTTTTATGTTTATTCTGACAAGGAACTACCATCAATTGGGGTGCCACTCTCGATGTAAGTTATAATATCATTGAAATACGTGTATCTAACCTTCCTTTCACTTTACTAAAAAAAAAAAAAAAAAAAAAAAAAAAAAAAAAAAAAAAAAACTTATGTAGCCTCCTCAATCATTATTGGATGAATGGTCAGAGTTTACTGGTGGTGGTTTTGATCCTGAAGTAGTAAGTTATAGAAAGGCAAATAACCAACTGAACCTCTATTATTTATTCTATTCCTTTTTTTTTTTTTTTTTTTTTTTTTTTTTTTATCTTGTCGTCTTATACTAGTTCAAACAAGATTTGGCTACTGTTAGAGAAAGAATTGGTGCGTCGACCGTAAATGTTGAATATAGTAATCCAAACAAGATAATCCAAGAAGGTTGCAAGTAAGTTTCAAAAAGAAGAAATAATAATATTTATTTTTCTTCTTTAATCTATGAAAGACTGACGTGGTTTCCATTACATGATTATTTTACTAGAAAGCTGGGTTTACCTGAATACAGATGTGGTATCAATTCCCGTGGTATACCTCATGACTGCAAGTTATGTTTTGTGGGCTGTCGAGATGGTATAAAGCAAGGAACGGCAAATTCTTGGCTTCGGGATGCTGAAGCTGATGGTGCTCGCTTTATGGATCAAACAGAAGTAACCAAAGTACTGATACAAAATGGCAAGGCAATTGGTGTGGAGTGTCTAGTCAAAGGAAGTACCAAGTTTACATTCAAGTCCAAACTAGTTGTGGTTGCAGGAGGAAGTCTTCATACACCAAATATTTTACGACGTAGTGGATTACGCAACAGACATATTGGCAGAAATCTTCGACTTCATTTATCAACAGTTGTCATGGGTTATTATGATACACCACAAGATCCATTTGAAGGGAATATCTTGACGACCGTTAGTAATGTCCCGAACAACGACTCTAGTGATCATCATGGTGCAAAAGTGGAAGTACCCTCTCTACTTCCTGCTCTGAATTCAGTTCTTCATCCATGGCGTGGTTGTCTCCATTTCAAGCAAACAATGGCCAAGTATCACCGTGCTGCACCTATGTTAATTCTTGGAAATGATCGTGATTCTGTCAATTCTGTAACTGAACAAGATGGTCATGTTAGTGTGTCTACTCACCTCTCCAAGCATGATGAACAATCATTGATCAATGGTGTGATCCGTGCCTATCGTATTTTGGCTGTTACTGGTGCAAGGGAACTTCATCATTCGCAATATGTGGTTGAACCGTTTATATTTGATAAAGGTGTGACAGGTGTGGATGCTGTCAAGGATCCCAAGTTTCTAGCATGGTTAGATCGTGTTCGTCAAGGTGGTATTCCTGATGTAACATTGACTGCTCATCAAATGGGTTCATGGTATGTTAAAAGAAAAGAAAAAAAATGATGAAAAAATATCTGATTTTTTTTATTATTTGATTGAATTAGTCGTATGGGAAAAGATGCCCAAAGCTCTGTTTGTCAACCTACTGGAGAAACATGGGAAATCGAGAACTTGTATGTTGGTGATAGGTAAGGGGAGAAAAAAAAAAAAGGATTATTAAAAGAAAGGTTTCCTAATTATTTTATATACGATGATATAGTTCTCTCTTTGTTACTTCTTCTGGTGTCAATCCAATGTTAACTGTTGAAACATTGGCATATGGTGTGGGAAGACATATTGTCAAAAGATTACAAAAATTATAGTGATAGGATTTAGTTAGTTTTTTTTTTTTTTTATTGTTTGTATATATTTGAATAAAGGATGATATCTATCTCATACTCTTTAAAATATCGATGTCAAATGCTGATGAGGATCATGCTTCAATTTGACAACTGGCAAACGGTCGGACTCCGCCTTTTATATAATTCGTGTCTTTTTTTTTTTTTTTTTTTTTTTTTTCTCCCTCTTTTTTTTCTTTCTTTCTATTTTTCCATTAAAAATATTCAGCTTGATAAGGGATAACAACAATGGGAATTGACTCACCAGACATTAATAGAATAGAAAGTCCAACCCCTTTAGGTAAAAGAAAATGAAATGGGTTTCTTTTGTATATACATCCGATTTTGATCTGACTCTTATTAATATTTTTTAGGTAGCATATCCAAATTTGCTCCTTCTAATACTATTTATCCTAGTCGATGTATTCATACTATTTCTCAAGAAGATGAAAGCTCTGTTTTATCATTAGTTTGCAGTGACAAGTACTTATTCAGTGGTAGTCAAGGATTCATTATTCATGTAAGTATATTTATTAAAAGAAATATATGCGATGACTGATTATATTATGAATAGGTGTGGGATCTACAAACTTTTTCTTTGGTAAAGATATTGGAAGGACATCGTGGTAGTGTCTTGGGTTTAGCTTTATCAACAGATCAACAATGGTTATTCAGTTGTTCAGGTGATGGTACAGTTCGAGTATGGGATACAGAAACTCTTAATTGTGCCTATTTGATTCAATCTTGTCATGATGTTGGGGATATCTTTTCTGTAGTCTACTCTGATGTCTCTAATATGTTTATCTTTGGAAGTCAAAATACAAGTATTCAGGTAAGTAAATTTGAAAAGTAATACAAGGGCAGTATTCTAACCTTTTTTTTTTTCTTTTTCTTTCTTAACTTTAGTGGTACGATTTTGATGACCCTCAAACTCATGGTGCAACAACGGATGTTCCTGTAATTCCCATCTCTCTTCGAAATAGTCAAAAATCAAAGTTTTTCAGCAATGATACTGATGGATATGATGGATATAATCACAATGTTATGGATGAAGATGTAATCAAATGTGTGGTCCGAGAAAAGAATGTTTACAGTAATGCTCATGATGGTTATGTTTACTGTTTGCTACACTCAACCAATATACCCAATGTAGATGGTGAAGTAATCATTAGCGGTAAGTAATCGACTGTCAAATTTATTTATAATTGGAAAGATAATTTCACTGATCTTACTTTTTTTTTATTCGTATTTTTTTTTTTTCTTTTTTTCAGGTTCAGGTGATGGTGATGTCAAAGTAATCAAAAATGACAACATTTTTCTTTTTGATACATACTCACATATTTTATTTTTATTTTATTTTTTAATCATTACTTTAGATCTGGCCCATTCAGCATGGTGAATTGAAACATTTACGAACTCTTCGTGGTAACTCGGATAAAGGTGTTCTTAGCTTGGCATTATCTGATGATGGTTATTTATTCTGTGGTGTACAAGAAGGCGATGTTCAGATTTGGGATCTTGAAACTGTAAGTAATACACAGGCACTAAACGTTACCTAAAATGTATTTACCTAAAATGTATTTATTTATTTATACTTTATTTAGTATCAAATGATTCGGTCTGTAATGGCACATTCGGTAAGTCGGGTAGCAAACTTCAAAGTAGTGAAGGGATAGTACACTTTTGGCCAAATGACTCATAGTTGATGATAAAAAAAAAATATAGGATGATGTTTTGGCCGTATCATTACAAGGGAACAATTTGATCAGTGCTTCTGCTGATGGAACTATCAAGGTAAGGAAGAAAAATAAAATAATGATCAATTTAATTGAAACAAGGATTGACATTTTTCTTTTCTTCATCGATAGATATGGACTGAAGGATTCGAATTTAGGGAAGCAATGTCTGACCATGAAGGTTTTGTATTATCTATGACAACCTCCAAAGATTGTCTCATCACTGGCAGCAGTGATCACTCTATCAAAGTAAAAAAAAAGAAAAAAAAAAGGGGAAAATATCAGTACTTGTATCTAATAGATATATCTATGTTTCTCTTTGTTATATTTTGTTAGTTCTGGAGCATTCCTACATTTTCTTCTGTACCTGAACACTTTAGACGGAATTCAGTGACTCAAAACGATCTCTCAAATGGTAATGTATGATGAAATATCTATGTCTTCTCTCTCTCTTATGTATTTTGAATTTATTTTTAGACACATTATTGTATACCTTGGATCGATGGGTTAGTATGCGAACTGTCAGTGGCAATGTCAAATATATGGAAGAATGTCGAAGGGGTGCACGTTTCCTTAAGAATGTTTTACAACAATTAGGTGCCGTTAGTCGAATGGTAAGATATAGATTAAATGGGGGATAGTAAAGCTATTTCTTCATTTTTATATATTATTGTTACTTAAAATCTATCTTATATATATATATTAGATACCCGGTGCTAGTGGAAGAAATCCTTTGGTGTATGGTCGATTTGCTGGGAAACGCCCTAGTGGAGAAAGCAAAGACAAGAAAATCCCTACAGTGTTGATTTATGGACATTATGATGTGATTGCGGCTGAAAATGAAAATGATGACTGGCAAAGTGATCCTTTCAAACTTACTGGTAAAAATGGATACCTTTATGGTCGAGGTACAAGTGACAATAAGGTATTATGCAACTAGAGGTTAAAATGTATTGGTATATATGGTTTGGAAAACAACTCTCTCATATTCTTTTTTTTTTTAGGGGCCTGTCTTGGCTTGCATATTTGCCGTCAATGAATTACTCAAGGAAGGCCTATTGGATGTAAATGTGATTCTTTTGATTGAAGGGGAAGAAGAAAGTGGTAGCGTTGGATTCTATGATGCAGTAAATCAAAACAAGGTAACTAATATAAAACAAAATTATTGAACATAAGACTTTCTAGTCAAAAATTCAGTTATACTGACATATATTTTACTTTTTTAGGAATTATTTAAAGATGTGGATATGATTTTATTAAGGTAATACACTTTTAATAGGCATTTGGTAATTGTTGATGTTAACTTACAATTTTACAATAGCAATTCTTATTGGCTTGGTGAAGATGTACCTTGCTTGACTTATGGATTACGAGGTGTTATGCATGCTTCCATTTCGGTAAATGTCAACGTATATGCATGTGTGTGTGTATGTATGAAATGATTCTGATATTTTGATATTTATTTTATCATAGATCTCCAATACTAGAGCTGATCTCCATTCTGGTGTAGAAGGTGGTGCCGTTTCTGAACCTTTAATTGATATGATTCATGTGCTTGGACAATTAGTTGATAACAACAACAAGGTCCTTATTCCAGGTAATATATTAAAAAAAAAAAAAAGAAGAAGAAGAAGAAAGTGATGAAAAATAACAGGATACTTACTCATTTTTATTTATAGGATTCTATGACAATGTTCGTCCTGTTACGGCCGCCGAAGAAAAACTGTATGACCCTATTATCGAATGGTTAAAAACGTATGATGAAGAAGCAAAACAAAAAAAAAAAAAAAAAAGATAAGATGATAATACATTACTAAAATATATATATATATATTTATATGGAAAAATAGGACAAATTGCGATCAATCAGGTACTCGATCTCAACATTCAGGCATCACTTCACCAACACAAACATCCATCACAGTGAAAAAGGATCATGTGGATCATGAGGAAGAAGCAAAATGTACGGAAATGATCAAGAAAGAACTGATGGCACGATGGCGATATCCTACCATGACTGTTCACAAGATTGATGTATCAATGAACAATCCCACCATTATTCCACGTTGTGCCACAGCTGCTGTCAGTATGCGTGTTGTACCAGATCAAGACATTAGTCAAATTTGTGATTTGTTTGAACAATATGTACGAAAGGCATTTGCCACCTCTGGCTCTGAAAATGATATATCTGTAAGTTGGAAGATAGAAAACAAACGATAGAAAGAGGGGATGCTCATATATATATATATTATGATTAGATTGATATTCAAAGTGCATCTGAATACTGGTTGGGCAATCCTGACAATGACTACTTCAAAGCAGTAGAACAAGCAATTGAACAAGAATGGAATATCAAACCGTTATATATCCGTGAAGGGGGATCCATACCAGCTGTTCGATGGTTAGAAAAGTTCTGTCATGCGCCAGCAGTACACCTTCCTATGGGTCAAGCATCTGATCAAGCACACTTACACAACGAACGCATCCGGTTACGCAACCTTCACGCTGGGCGAAATATAGTAAAACGACTTTTACGTAATTTACCTAGACAAACATCTTCATTATCATCATCATAATATAATTTTATAAGCACTAGTATAGAAATTTTACGATTTTGAAAATAAAGCTTCATTTGAATTTCCGCGAAGACATTACTATGTAGTCCACATTATGAATTTTTTTTTCCATTTCCTTTTTCCTTTTTTTTTTTTTTTTTCATTGATTCTTTTCAATTATTATTTACGACGACGCTCCATTCATATTGATAAAGTCAATGTTATTAGCAACTCGACATGGTGGATTCAATCCATTCTTAAGACGTTCTGCCATATCCTGTTTACAGTATTGTCGCATTCATTCCACAGGCGTTTTTTGGCAAGATCAAGAAGATATCAAGAAGCGACGGTCTGTTGATTACAAACTACGAGGCAAGGTAAGTCACATACTATAAAAGACCACTATTTTTTTTTTTTTTTTTAAAAAAAAGAAGAACACTCTCTCATTCTTTTTATATTTTATTATTCATGATCTTAGGGACGACAATTTGTAGATTTTATGCGTGTGGTAGCCAAAGGTGGTAATGGTGGTGATGGGTGTGTATCTTTCCATCGAGAAAAGTTTCTTGCCAAAGGACCTCCCAATGGTGGAAATGGTGGACGTGGAGGTGATGTGATTATTCGAGCCAATAAAGACGAAACGACATTACGAAGACTGGGAAAAGCATGCACGGCCAAACGTGGGGAAAATGGATTGGGTGGAGGACGACATGGTACAATGGGACAACATTTAGTGATTGATGTACCTGTGGGAACGATTGTACGACAAGTTGCATCACCTTTGGAAGAAGAAGAAGAATTGGATGAACGGGAAAAACGTGATCGAAGATGGGTATATTATCCACGTATGGATCCTGATGAACAAGTTATTCCTGGACGCAAGAATTTCTTTTTGGAAGCCGATCGGATGATGGATGAAGAGGAACGATACTTACAATGGCGCGAACGCAAGGAAAGGCAACAAGGACCGATTTATGCGGATTTGGCAGAACATGATCAACAGGTAGTGGTGTGTCATGGTGGAGCTGGTGGTTATGGTAATCCTCATTTTTTGACGACAGATAATCGATCACCGAAATGGGCGACGCGTGGACGACCTGGAGAAGTACGTTATTTGGAACTAGAACTGAAAACGATTGCGGATATTGGCTTGGTAGGATTACCGAATGCAGGCAAATCGACATTGTTGGGCTCCATCTCGAATGCACATCCAAAGCAAGGCTCATATGCTTTTACGACACTTCATCCTTTTGTGGGCACGGTGGATTATGCGGATCAATATCAATTGACAGTAGCGGATATTCCTGGATTGATTCAAGGTGCACATCGCAATGTTGGTTTGGGTCATGCCTTTTTAAGACATGTGGAACGGGCTAAATTATTGGTATATGTGGTGGATTTGAGTGGTAAAGCTCCTTGGGATGATCTGAGAATATTACAACATGAATTAGAAGCTTATAGACCTGGTTTAACAGAACGTCAATCTTTGATTGTGGCAAACAAGGCTGATCAAGTGACTCTTGCTAAGGATAATCTGATCAAATTACAACAATCGGTGGAAAAGGACAAGATTCCGGTGATACCTGTCTCTGCAAAGTATGAAAAGAATATTATCAAGTTGACTTCCATCCTTCGTAAAAATGTGGAAATCATCCGAAAACAAGAAGCTGAACAACGACAACGGGAATTGGATCTTCAACAAGAAAATGATACTGATAGTCAATAGTGATCTTTTTTTTTTTTTTGAATAATAAAACATATTTATTTTTATTGAATTCTTTTTTTGGGAGGAGTAGAATTTATATAAATTGATTGTGTTAAAAAAAAAAAAACAAAAAACAAATAGTACTGTGCATCACAGAAGAGGGATTGTATAGATGTCTATACTACTAAATAACGGGATGGAAAAATAGTCGTGATATATATATAAGATGAGTAAAAGAAAGAGTAAACGTAGTCGTCAGTGTCGTTGTTGATTAAAAAAAAAAAAAGAGGAGGAATCTATTGAGCAAGAGCAGCTTGTTGTTGAGCAATTTCTTCAGCACGAGCACGGTTCTTGAGTAAAAGATCCTTCTTGCCAGCCATAAGGGCGTTTTGTCGTTCTTGCAAGTTGTATACGAAATAACCTACACCACCAAACACAGTAGCAGCAAGTGCATGACCAGCAGGATCTATCATAGAATATATAAAAAGTTAAGTAAACGAGTAAAAGAAAAAAAGAATATTCAAAAATAACTTTACTGGAGAATAGAGGACGTTTTTGAAGACCAAGAGCATATGTACGGACAAGAACGCCAAAAGCTGCAAAGCCAGAGACTGAAGTAAGAACTGACATGCTATATAATGTGTGAATGGAGGGAGATAAAAGAAAAAAAAAAAAAAAAAAAAGAAAAAAAAATGAGGAGACAAGAGGGAGACAGCGGGGGTCAACTTTTTTTTTTTTTTACCTGCACGTCACAACCAGAGGTGTCGATAATGTACAGTTCCCAAATTGGATTAACTGTATCGGTCGCCCAAAGAGAAAAAGGAAAAAATAAAAAAAAAAAAAAAAAAACAATAATCATAAAATAAAAATAGGTTCAAGTGCCTGCTTGACTACACTATATTCAATAAAAAATGACGGAATTCAAAGAATAAGATGGCGCAAAAATAGGAAATAAAATATTATTTAGTCAACATATCCATTTTTTTATATTTATTTCAAATTACCTGTAGGGAAGCATTAAATACGTCCTCCGAAGAGGCGATAACATATTTTTATATGTTGCTGTACAGTTAGATATTCACTTTGAACACCAAGAGAGATTTCAAAAAGAAAAAAAAAAAAAAAAGAGAAAAAAGAAACAGAAAAAAAAGGATAATAAAATAGCACTTTTTTATATCTCTCACTTGATCAAGGAATAAAATAAACCCTAGTAAAAAAAAAAAAGAACTATTATGCAAATTTACATTCGTTATCGATCGATCGAATGTCTCAGTTAATGAAAATAAACAAAGAAGACCCGAGTAAATGTATTTTTTTTTTTAAAAAAAAAGAAAGGAACTATTATGCAAATTCACATCAACATCACAAGATATGAATATTACATTAATATACCCCTGTCTTATATGATACAATATAAAAAATATAGTTCTTTTTTTTTCCAAATATGACCTGTTGAAAAGAATCAGCTAACAATCAGTCATCAATCATCAATCATCAATCAATGACATACTCTACCGACATCTCTAAAGCGATATCTGAAAAAGTGGTAATGCGACATTCATTTTGGGAAAGTACGATTTTTTATTTTATAACATCACGAAAAACATTTTTTTGTGACCCGACAAAAAACTTTGAAAACACTGTATCTTTTTTTTTTTTATTGTTATTATTATTTGATTTGAATAAAAATGTAGATAATTAAAATATATATATATATAAAAATAAATAAAATAAATATACAAACAATATAAATGATTATAATAATGTTATCTAACGTTGTTCTTGTTGTTGTTCTTGTTGTTGGGGATGATTGGTATATTCTTGATCAGTAGAGAATTTTTGTATAATATCCATTTGAGCTTGTTGTTCTTCACGGTGTCTTTTACGCATACCTTTGATACTTTTGATGATATACCATAATATAAGAGCAAGAAGAAGTAAACCAATAATAATAATGAAAACAAATCGATTATGTTCTTTCAACCAACTTTCTTGTTCAGATGGTCTATTATTTGGATCATCATGGAAACCATTGGTTGCTGTAGGTGGTGGTGGAATAATCGGAGATGCTGTAGTACTACTAATTGTCATAGTGGTAGGTTGTTGTCCAGTGACTATCATGATAAATAATATTGTCCATAATAATAATAAATAATAAAATTCAATAGAAATCATTTTCTGTTAAAATAATAATAATAATAATAATAAAAGAAAAAAAAAAAAAAAAGAAAAAGAAAAAGAAAAAGAAAAAAAGATCAGTTTTGGTCCCTTTTTACAATAATTTTTCTCCCTTGATTTTTCGTATCACATTAGGTTCAATTACCGCCTACATCTTTTTTTTTTTTTGTTTTAGTTTTTTTGTTCGAAAAAACGAACCTAGAACATGAAATAAAAATAGAGATTCATCCAATTTGGAAGAAAATAGGAATAAATTATTTCCATTTTGTATTACTTTAACATAGAAGAAGAATAAGTTAAAAATTCATTTTATGTAGTTTAAAAGAAGAAAGAAAGAATAAGGATAACCTACGGAATTTAAAATTGTGAGCACAACCGTCCACCCCCCCTTTTTTTTCTTTTCTTTTTTTTTTTTTTTGACTCTTTTACCTTTTTACTTGTTATTATTATTTGTTCATTTATATCTTCTGTCAAAATACCCTTTTATTTGAAATTGAATTATTCTCTATTATTATTATTATTATTATTATTATTATTATTATTATTATTATTATTTCTTTCTCTCTCTCTCTCTTTTTGAACAAGTAGAGTAGTTTTTTTTTTTTTTTTTTTTTTTTTTTTTTTTATTATTCTCTCACTATTTTTTAAAATCTTCCTTCTGCAAGAATGACTGACCCTATTTGTTTTGCTCTTTTACGAAACTCAATTTATCAAATACTTCATTCAACTGGTTTTGAATCTAGTCATGGGGAACCTATCAATGTACTTACTGATATCTTTGGTCAATACATTCAATTACTTGCCTCCTCTGCTTCAACTTTTGCTCATTTAGGTGGTCGGTCAGTAGCAAGTCCTTGGGATATTGTTGATGGTCTGATTGATGTACAAGTCACTTTAGATCAACTTGAAGAATGGTTAGATACTGAACAAGGTCAATTCCTTACACCAGCTTGGTCTAATAAAACAGATCCTAGTCGTGTTTTGAAAGGTATAGACAAAAAAAAAATAGTGAAAGCAATTTATTTAAAAAGATTAAATCATTCTCTTTATTATTTATTATTATTTCAAGATATTGTGACGAATGGAAGGATGTATCAGGATTATATACTTTATCAATACAACAATCAACAATACCATCAAATTAATATCAATAGAATGAATGGAAATGCCAACAATGATGATCAACCAATACTTACCAAAATGGATCACAGAAACGCGTCACTTCCTGATTATATACCATCACATATGCCTTCCTTTCCAACTGATGATTTCAATGGTATATCAGATCAGCAAGCGGATATTCAACAATCACAGCTTTCATCAAATCAAATGCATACGACTCAATTATCATATCCAATGACCTCACTTTTACCCTCCTCCACAAGCAACAACAACAATAATAACAATAACAATCATAAACCTTCATCCAAGAAACCCAATGATAATCCCTTTACTCAACTGGTACCTTTTGAAGAATCTTCACTTGCTTCTGGAAATGGATTATCTCTCACTATTTCATCACTTTATTCAAAACCAACTTCACCTCTCCAACAAAGACAACAAATGGATAACAACGATGATGATGATGATGATGAATATATGGAAATGGCAAAGAAACGACGTTTTGCAGAAGTCAATGGTTCAATGGAAACTACAATGAATAGGATGATGGAAAGATACAGTGAACAGGAATATCAACAACAACAAAATCTTCTTACCAATGGAAATCGCATTATATTTCAACAACTCACCCAAAATGAAGCAGCACCTGGTAAAACTATATTCGGAACTCGTGATGGTATGCTTGATGAAATCGTTCACCGAATAGCGCCTCCTATTGCCCTGGCAAGACTCTCTTCACCAAATTTATTATTAGATACAGCCACTGTATCTTCTCCAGCAACTTCTACGCCTATCACAATTTCAGCACCAACTCAATTACCTACGCCTCCTGCTCCTGTGATATCAACGCCGACAGAAAACAGAAGATCTAGCAGTCCATTACCTCCTCCAGTGTCCTCAAAATCTATAATGCCGCTCAATGTAATACCTCCCACGGATCCTTCTATGTATGTATCATCTCAATTCACAAGTTCACCATCTCCACATAATGATTTGAAGACATCATTGCCACCATCGGAATCAGAGTCATTAATACCATCAACAGCGACAACAGCAGAAACAACATCATCAATAATAACATCATTACCATCATCAACATCATCAGCAGCCACAGCAGCAGTAACATCAGCATCAGCAACTTCAGCATTGGACGCATCATCATCATCATCATCATCATCATCAATGACTCCTTTACAATCTTTTGTATCTATGGATGATCACACAAATGAATCCACACCTATGCCCAATTCTTCAGAAGTTCCTACTGTCAAAATACCCACCTCTCTCGCTATGCTCTCAGCTCGTGGTAACACCAACTCAATCAAAAAGGACAAAAAAAAATTATCGGTCAAAGCAGCGCTCAAGGATAATAATGGATTACCAAAAAAGAAGAAAAAGTCAAGACTCTCAGTCGATTTAGAAGACAATATCAATGCAAATCTCTCAATGTCTAAACCATCTTTATCAACTTCAGTGCGATCCATTGAAACAAATTCGATAGGATCAACAACAACAACAACAACAATAACGGGAATACCAAAGATGGTTCCAAGAGTAGATTTACCAACAAAAGAAAAAATAGAAGGCAATGGAGAAAGGACACCAGATACGCCCAGGGTACGATTTAAGGATCAACTAGAGGATTCAAACAAACATCAAGATAATAATCGGTCAAAAGCAATATCCATGCAATCATCGTCATTATCACCACCAGTGCCACCATCTGATTTCACTACACCAATGAAGAAGAAAAAGAAAAAAAAGAAACATGATCAGCAGATGCCACCTTCCGGTCCAACGGTTATAAATACAATATCAACGGCACCAACCACGGCAATGACGACAGCTCTTTCAAAAGAACCGAACAGCACAGCCACAACCAAGTCAATGACGACAACTGCATCATCCTTCTCTTCCGGCAACAACAATTATTCATCAACACCGATACGATCGACACCTATTTCCAATGTAGCTCCTATTATGTTATTACCCACTCCAGCCACCACGTATTATGATACCTCGGAAACGGTACGATGTATATGTGAGAACCCTACTGTGGACTATGGTACATTTATGATTTCTTGTGACAAATGTTTGGTTTGGTTCCATGGTACTTGTGTAGGAATTGCTGAACATGATCAAGTAGAAGAATGGATATGTAGACGATGTCATTATTGATTAGTTATTATGAGTAGATGCAGTTATTTTTGACATTCATTTGATTTGATTTTTTTTTGTATTGATCATAGTTCAATAAAATTATTTTACCTATTTGTCTTTTTTATTATCATGTCATCTAAAATTCTAAACAATGATTTGTTTTTTTCCTGGGTTGCAAAATAACTGATGCATAATCAACTATTGCCCAAAAATAGTCAAAAGACGGTTACATTGAAAGAAAACCAAGTGAAATAGGATGATGATAAACGAAACACATATAGACATATATATAGTCATTATTATCAATTTGTATATTTATTCCAATGACAACTTGTTTAAACCAAACCGACCTTTATATTTATATATATATTTATATATAATATATATATTAGATTATCTAGAAAAAAAAAAAAAAAACTCGGTGCAGCGGGATTTCAACGCCTTTTTCTTTTAAAAAAAGCTTGGGATTTTTTTTTTCTCTCTTTCCTTTCCCCCTTTTTTTTTGCCTTGTTCTTTTTTTTTTTTTTGTATTATTATTTCTAAAAGCATGGATGAACATCAATTGAAAAACATAGTAGGTATCACTGCAGGTACTGCTGCTGCCGCCTTAACCGCTTTGGCTATCAAATACAACGATCGCGCCCTATTTGACGAACACAATCCAGGAACACCTTATCGTAAAGGTTATCCTCTTCTTGGTACTCTACCTGGTTTGATTCGAGGCAAGTGTACTATTCACGACTTTACTATGAAGGCTTTCAATGATGCTAATGCTATGACCATGTAAGGGCATTGATATGTTATATACTAACCATACTAACTAACATTCTGATTAGATCTGTTTCAAGTTTGGGCATTCCTCATGCTGTACAAACAATTGATCCTGCGAACGTTGAACATATTTTAAAAAGTAAAATAACTATTTGTTTCTATTACGCACACACACACACACTGTCTAACTCTTTTTTTTTTTTTTTTTCTGTATTAGACAATTTTGAGAACTATGTCAAGGGTCCAAAATTCAATGAATCTACTAAAGATATTTTAGGACATGGTATCTTCAATGCCAATGGAGAACAATGGAAATGGCAACGCAAGGCTGCATCTTTGATATTTAACGTCAAAAACTTTCGGGATCATTTTACCGAGTAAGTTGATTACAGTAATACATCTTCCCCACGTAAAATCTTTTTTGACTCATCTGAATTTCCTTTTATATCATTAGTGTTTTTGTAAACGAAATGGAAATCATGTGTGACATGTTCAATCGTGCTACTGAAACCAATGAAGTTGTGGATTTACATGATATGATGTTCCGCTTTACTTTGGATAGTTTTGTATTGTAAGTAAAACCTTTTTTTTTTTTTTATCTCTTCATTCTCACTTCCTTTCTTTTTTTTTTAGACTTGGATTTGGTGTGGATATCAAATCATTGACTCATGGTGAAAAAGTACCTTTTGCTGCCTCCTTTGATATATTACAACAAGGTGCCTTTGAAAAGTTCATAGACCCATTTGTGAACGTAAGAAATACATTCAAGAAATACTTTATGCCATGGGAAACTACACCAGAACAACATTTGGAGGTCATCGATGCATTTGCTAAAAACGTGATTGATGGGCGTCGTGCACAACTAGCTGCTGGAGAAGTACACAAAGATTTATTGTCTCGATTTATGAATGCTCGAAATGAATTTGGAGAACCTTTGAATGATGTGGAATTACGTGATACTATTATGAACTTTATCATTGCTGGTCGTGATACTACTGCTCAAGCTTTGTCATGGACTTTCTTATGTTTGGCTCAACATCCTCGTGTAGAAGAAAAACTTGTCAAGGAAATCATGGAATATATTGATGATGATGTGGAACATGATTCACCTGCTCTTTATGAAAAAATCAAGGATATGACTTATGCTCATGCTGTGTAAGTGATTATCTCTCATTTGGAAGGAATGATATTCATCTTTTTTTTTTTTTGTATAGCTTTTATGAAGTATTACGACTCTATCCATCTGTTCCTGGTAATCAGAAATATGCTTTGAATGATGATGTATGGCCTGATGGAACAACTATTCGAAAAGGTGATTATGTAAACTGGTCACCTTATGCTCAAGGTCGTTCTGAAAAAATATGGGGTCCGGATGCTAAAGAATTTGTTCCTGAACGTTGGTTGACTCCTGAAGGTGATCTTCGCCGAGAAACACCTGGCAAGTGGCCTGCTTTCCATGCTGGTCCTCGTGTTTGTCTTGGTCAAAATCTTGCTACATTAGAAGGTTTAGTAGCTCTTTCGTTTTTACTTCGACGTTACAAGTTTACCATGGTGCCTGGACAAAATGTGACTTATAATGTATCTCTTACTCTTCCAATGAAAGAAGGTCTCAAAGTATTAATTGAAAAGCGTGTATAGAATGACTCCCTCTCCTTTTGTTACATCATATCTTTAATATACACATTCTCTTTTATTTATTTATTTTACATCGACTTATTTATTCATATATGTATTATTATCTCTATATTTTATTTTTCCCATTCATTATATTTTCTCTTGTATGCAATAAAATCAACTTTTATTTTGGATCATGCCTTTGTTCTTCCTTCTAACATATCATGGTTTGTAGTACATAATATGAAAGTCAAGCATTTGATGATTGATCAAAAAAAAAAAAAAAAAAAAAAAAAAAAAAAAAAAAGGGTAAATCACTCATAACGGATATCTTTCAAATGAAAAAAAAAAAAAAGACTTATCTACTTCCCACTTCAATGTGTAAGGAATTCACAGTAAAAAAAAGAAAATAACATATATAAAAGATAATAATAAATATTTTTTATTTGATAAAACTTTATATAAAAAAGGATTAAAAAAAAGGGGAAGATACAAAGAAGACTGGGAAGAATAAAAGGATATATGTAGGAAGGAAGAAGGGAAAAGGAAATTACCGTTAATACCAGTAAAATAAGAATAGGAGGAATGACAATATGTTTTAAAAAAAAAAAATAAGATGATAGGGATATTTTGAGGGAGACATAAGATGAACCTATATCTAACTATCTAGACATACCGCTTGATTTCGAGCATTACTTTTATGTCGTTTCAAAGCATCCAATCTATATATATATATAATATCATCAGTTCATCATTCTTTTTTTTTTTTTTTTTTTTTTTGGCTTTACCTTGAAAAAGTCTTTTGACATCCACCACATTTATATGGTTTTTCACCTACATGAGTTTTCAAATGACGTTTCAAATCATGATTCCGACTAAATGCAGTATTACACAGTTGACAACAAAAAGGACGATCATCCGTATGAGTACGTGAATGGGATTTGAGGTTATATAATCTTGCAAAAGCTTTGCCACAATTAGGGAAAAGACAAGGATACACAGTTTGAGGAAGATTGTTGACCATGGTGGTGATGGGTGCAGAGGACGCATAAATCGACATGGCTTCACTTTGAGTATTTGCTAAGGCTGGATCAGACCGACGTCGTTTATGATTGATGGTGGTATGTTTGGATGACGGACTTGTACTACCCCTTGGTGTATTTGTTGTGGAAGTAGTTGTGCCAGTTGTAATCATATTGGTTTCATTATTATTCTTCTTTTTATTGTTGTTGGTCGAGTCGCCGGGACTGATATTATTATTATTGTTTGTACCTGCACTTCCTTGATTGCCTGCATTCAGATGAGATCGCATGGTAGCTGCCAATAGTGAAGATGCATCTGCTGCTGTAACGTTTGAACCATTCGCCGTTGCCGTTGCATGAGCCATTGCCGCTGCTGCTGCTGCTGCTGCTGCTGCCAAAGCCGCACCTGTTCCATCTCCACCGTTTTCCACATTTGCAAATAAATTGGATAAGAAATATTGATTACTGGCCAATGCTTGAATGGTAGCCAAAGGATTATTCGATCCATTCGATTCACCTACGTTCGTTTGTTGTTGACTGAGTTGTTGATAGAGTGAAAGTGCCGCAGCATCAGCATAATTGAGAACATTCTGAGCTTGTGTTGAAGAAGTAGAAGTGGTATTCATGTTGTTGGACGTATCCACAGGCACAGAAGAACTAGGTTCGGTAGTGGGTACTGATGTCGTAGGTGGTCGATTGTAATCCATCGCTTCTACTGTTGATGTTGTTGAAGTGGTGGGCATAGATGATGATCGTGTGGATATTTGTGATTCAGTTGGAGTATGATGGTTAGAAGTATCTGTGGTGGCAGTGGTGGTATTAGTAGATGTGTTGTCATGTCCTTCTTGTTTGATTGATGATGATGGTGGAAGTTGTGTAGTAGAACCTGTTGTTGTTGTTGTTGGTGATGATGTTGATGAAGCTTCTAATGAATGTCCAGTTCCAAGTAAAGCCTGCGATAATAATGCTTCAATAGCTTCTTGATCGCCTTCTCGAACTTTCTCAGTGATTTTGTGAGCAATTTCTGTCCAATCTGCTTGTTCCACTTTAGGCATCGAAAGTATATTTGATTTATTGTTGTTAAGTTGACTTGTATCAGATTGTTGAGAAGTTGAAGATACTGGAGGAGGAGGTGGAGGAGTAGATGTTGTCGGTAATGTTGTAGAAGTCAAACCATCGAGATGATGTTGAAGTTTTGCCAATTGTTCATCGTGCCGTAACTTGCTTTGAAGTAATTCCCTATCGACATATTTTGATGCTAATGTGTTGTCCCATCGCTGTTTGAGTTGTTTTCCTTTTCTTCCAGGAATTGTGTTTGCAATTTCTTTCCATCGGCCATATCCATGTTTCTTGATACCCATCAAAAGTAATTCGTCTTCTTCCCGAGTCCATGATCCTCGTTTGTAATCTTGCATAATATCTTCTTGTAGTTCTAAACCATCGACACTACCTCCTGGTGAAGCAAGATTAGGATAATTTGCCATTAGCATACTAGCATTCAAAGTCGAATGATCATTTCTTGTACCATTATCTGTATGTTGTTGTTGTTGTTGTTGTTGTTGTGGCTGTTGTTGATGATGAGCTAAAGCTTGGCGTAATACTGCCGCTGCCGCTGCCGCTGTTGCATTTGCATCTTCTTCGGTCGTACCAGTTGTATCGGATGATATTGTATTAGTTTGGTTTGAAGATGCCTTCACTTTGCCAGCATCTATACTAGGTCGTTTTTCAGAGGAAGATGACGCTAAACCAAGAAGTTGTAAAGCTGTTGCAGCTGCTTCTTGTTCCATAATATCAGTGTTACTTGATTCTGGTTGTTGTTGTTGTTGTCGTTCTTTTTCTTTTGAGTCATCTTGTCGTTGTCCAGTATCTCCACCACCATTAGAGTTGCGTCGTACTTTATCCCATAATAATTGTAAAGATTCTATATAAATAATAATAATAAAATAGTAAGAATATATTATTCACTTTTTTTTTTTTTTTTTTTTTACATACCAGGTTTTCCAGAGAGAGCAGCAGCGAAAGCACCTACTAAATCAATATCATTTGTGGCATTTTGTAGTAGCGCAGCAGTGAGTACAGCACTTGAACGCAAGTTATTATAATTCAGTCCAGGTGAAGGTTCTTTGATAGTAGTATTCTGATTGTCATTGTTGTTATTGTTGTTTGTAGCGGTAACATTGGTAAGAGCAGGTGAGTGAACAGCTGAGGTGGTATGAACTGAACTAGGAGAAGGTACAGCTGTGATATCTAAAGTATGAGTATCGTCGGATAATGTAGGAGGAGGAGGTTGGTTGAATTGAGTCAGTCGACTGAGTTCATTAATGTTGGTATGATTGGATTTCTTGTTGCTGTCGTCTGTTGTAGATAAGGTAGTAGTTGTGGTGTTATTGCTACTAGTGGTCGCAGCAGTGGTATTTGATATTCTACGACGTTTTTCATTATGTGGTGAAGAGGAAAAGAGATGTACTCTTGCCATAGTTCAAAGTAGTTCACTATTGCGATGAGTATAAACAAAAAAAAAAAAAAAATAAGAAGAATAAATAAATAAAATAAATATCTCGGGATGATAATTGAAAGAAAGGTTTACCTTGGATGTATATATTCAGTAACTGTATGTAGACTCTTTTATGCAAAAAAGGGTAGTGCGTAGTAACCTTCTTGTAAGACGGAGTTGGGTGAGGAAAAGCGATACAACTACAAGCCTTCAGCCAAGCCTCGGATAAAGAAGAAGAAAGAATCGTAGAAATAGCAAAGCCTTCCAATTTCCCTTTTGTAATCCATCCAAAACAAAAAAAAAGAGGAAAAAAAAACGACGGCGGTGATTTAAAAAATTTTCTCACTCGAACGTAACCAATCAAATACCAAACTTCTTATGAACAGAGACAAACTTAGTGACTTGGTCTCAAAATTATATAGCAGTAAATGAGTGATGTATGTCTATTAAGTAACAATCAGTGCAATCAATGTGGTAAAGCAGAATCTATCATTATCATTATTACTATTACATCATATAAAGAAAAAAAAAAACGAGGATGATTGAATCTAAAATAATCAATGTATACTTTTTTTTACACGTGCTGTCACTGGGCAACCATCCATCCTCAACCACATTTTATTATAGTTGATGCAGGTCGCAGTTCAATTTGGGGAAAAAGATGACCAAACCATAAGATCTCGTAACACAATCCTCCCCCTCATTATGATAAGCATTCCACGGAACAAGGAATTGATATAAGTAATAAGGTTTGACCAGTTATTGATTTTTCACATTCAAAGTTTTCTTTTCCCTTTTTGTTTATTTTGAAGAATACAAAAAAAAAAAAAAAAAAAAAAAAAAAGATAATAATGATAAAATATATATATATATATATATATAAAACTACAGATAGATCATAATATAAAAATCATAGATAAAAAAAAAATAGACATAAAATGGAAGGAATCAACTAAAATAAGAAAGGTGGGGTATCCTTGGAATATAAATATATAATAAAAAAAAATTTTACTAACTACTACTATGAGTGTAATTTGGATGGCATATTCGTTGTTCGACTATAATCATCGTCAGCAGGAATGTTGAAGCTTGTCATACCAAGTGGAGAGGCGGTAGAAGAAGAATGATTACTATGCCAATTGTCTTCAATCATATTAGGCATAACCAAAGCAGGAGCACTTGATCGGTGTTGGTGGGAATGGTGACTATGTACAAAAGAAGGACGTCGATGTGATGATGATATCTTTGTTGTTACTGTAGATGATGATGATGGTGAATAAGATGCCGATAATGATGATGATTGTAATGCTGATGTTGTTGTTGGTGATGATGTTGATGATGATGATGATGACAGAATATGATCCGTGGGAATGGAAATAGAATTGTATAAAGATGAAGAATCCATAGATAAATGTCGACTGGTACGAGACCCAAGACCGTTGGTAGGGATATTGTGTTTAGCCAAGAGTTCTTGTTGATACCTTAATTGTTCTTGTAACATTTCCAATTGTTTTTGTTGATTTTTGTGAGCTAAGAGGGCGGCCATGGCCTCGGGAGGTAATTGTTGATTGCTACTTCGACTTCGTTTGTGCTGATGTTCGTTATAATAATGACTATGACGTCGAAGAAGATGATGAGGTGCGCGTATCAATCCACCCATACGACCTTCTACTTCTAACCGTATTTGAAGAGAGCTAAGTTTTTCGCGTAATCCACGGTTGCGTTTGTCGAGATGTCGAATGTATTCCACGGCTTTAAATAAAATAGTGCTTTTTGAATTGTTGATGTTTTTCAAGGTGGGGATGATTTCTGTCATTTCTTTAAAACCATTGCGAATAGTATTGCGTCGTTTTTGTTCAGAAGCAATGTGATTTGCCCGTTTTTCATCTTCAGTCAATAAATCACGAGAAGGTCTTGTTTGTTTGTTGTAGATATCATCTTCTTCTTGTTGTTGTTGTTGTTGTTGTTGTTCTTCATTTGTGGTTTCTTCTTTTGCATTGGTATGGTCGATTGGTTCATGTTTTGGTTCAAGAAGACCTGATAATAAAGGTTTAGGTGGTGTTTCTTTATTTGTTGAGTGAGGAATGGTGATTTCATGACTCTGATGTAAAAAGATAGGTGTATTTTGTTGAGATAATGGTTTGTGTGATGATGATGATGATTTATCATGAGTTGGTTTGCCATCAATAAAAAATGTATCCAAAAAATTGGTGAAGGTCCTTTGATCATTGTCATTCAAAATATCATGTTCGTGAGATGAGGGAAATTCTTCAAAAGGTATAGAAAGTCCTACTCGGTCGCCAGCAAAAGAATAGTCTATATACATAAAAAAAAAAAAAAAAAAGAATATAAAGTTTGAATTCATTTTTTTTATATATATTTTATATTTCTTGTCATCAATCGTACCTTCAAAAGTACTTTGGTCATGTAATGATGGAGAGTCAATATCACAAACACTGGAAGCAGTCAAAGAAGGTACAGTATCCCAACTATTAGTACTGGTAATACTTGATGTTTTATGTGAAGGATCGTATTCTGGGTCCATTGCTTTTAATTTAAGGGGAAAATAATAAGTGATGAAGAAGAAGAAAAGAAAAAGAGATGAGGGATGGAAGAAGAAGAATAAAAAAAAAAAAAAAAGAAGAAGAAGAAAGAAAGAAAGTGAGAGAAAGAAAGAAGAAAGAAGAAAAAGAAAAAGAAAAAAAAGGTATAAGAAAAGGAAAGAGATGCGGAAAAAAGATCCAAGCTTTATTTCTTTTCATAAAAGGAATTACAAAGCTTTTATTTCAACCACCCCACTATAAGCAATTTATTTCAAGTTCAATTTCCGTCAAGCACCCTTGAGTCCCTTAGTGAAGAAAAAAAAAATACTTGCGGGGAAGAAAGTTTTGACTTGTTCACCCAAGAAATGTGGGGTGGTATTCCTAGAAAAGAAAAAAAAAGTTGAAGATTATCAATCTTTTTATTATTTTTATTATTATTATTTTTTTTTTGTAAAATTATTTTAACCCTACAATTTATTTGATTTATGTTTTTAACTATATACCAAAATTTCTATCATAAATCAAAAAAAAAAAATACTAAATATATTAGGAATCAATCCTCTCTAACACACACACACACACACACATACGTATATTATATATATATATATAATTTTACTCATTCCACTTGGTTTGCAGATAAATGTTTTGAGAAGATGGGAAAAAAAAAAGTGAAACTATTTCAGACCTAAAAGGGTAATCTCGGAATCAATATCTGCCAATGGTCAATCTCTGGTCTTTAATTTCATGTGATTTCATATGGAAATTGTAAAGCATTGTTCTTTTTTTTTGCATAGCCTTTTTATCTATTATTTGGCTGTAACACCTTTTTTCTTTTTTTTTTTTTTTCTACTGCTTGTTTGATGATGTTACTATAAAAAGAAATCACATCTATTGTTTGATCACTGGATCTTCAATATATCACTTGTTGCGTTTATACATCTTTTCACTGATTAAACGACCAACTAGAATTGTACATGCATGATGAATGTCTGGGACAATTTTAAACTCGCGTTATAATAGCTAAAAAGGGTAATGGATTAAAGTTATAGTAATCACTACGATGTAGAGTGATAATACTAGATTGAATAAGACTTTTTCCTTTTTTATTATAGTAGATTCTAATGCAAATCATACCATTTAGCCTTAACAGAAATAATCAAACGATATTGAAGTGATGATATTACGTGATGATGGGATGATATATGTTGATGGGATGATATGTGATGATGGGATGATATGTGATGATGGGATGATATGTGATGATGGGATGATATGTGATGATGGGATGATATATGATGATGGGATGATATATGATGATGGATGTTAGATGATGATACTGTAATGGATGATGATTGAAATCGATAAAAAAATATCTTCCTCTTTTTTTACAAAAAAAAAAATATATATATATAGTAATACTATTGTAATAGTAATAAAATCATCCCAAATTCAAGTAAGAAAACTATGGAGTATTATAAACATTGAAGTTTGTTAGAGGAAAATAGCGAAAGTCAGTCCCCTAATAAGGAAAATATTACTCTGAGAGGTACATACCACTCCTTCGTTGTTATATATACAACCTTCTTGTGAATGAAAAAGAAGTAACATAATCATCATCTATTATCCAATATCAATCATTATCATTGTCAATTTTTTCCATTATAAAAATTATTTTTTTTTTAAAAAAAAAAAGAAACGAAGACTTCTTCCAGTTATTGTAGATCAGTATACCTTCTTAAATGAATCTATCCATAATATCTGAAAGGCTATGGAAGTTTACTGTATCCATTAGAAGTTTACTTTACTTTTTGTACCTATTTACAGTAGCAGTTTTTTTTTAAGCTCATGATGGTATATATTGATATAAAAAAAAAACATGATTGTACATGATTCTAATTATTGTATATGCATGATGATGTATGTGACTATAAAGGTTATGATTATTATATATTATATTTAAAGCGTAACAATAAAATAATATATCTTTTGTTTTATTAAGTGATCATCATATGCGTGATCTATATTATTTCCATGTTTCGATTATTATCACCAACATATTCACTACTGTTTTCTGCAACAAGTATAAATAAAGCAGTGGGATGATCCATTCATTTGACCAAAGTGCAGTAAGGGAAGTTGAATCGCCGACAGCGTTGAACTGCTCTTTTTCTGGCAAATAAACAACAAGGTAATTTTCTTTTTTTTTTCTCTCTCTCTTTCCCCTTCTATATATTACATTGGAAATCTTACTCTTTTTTTTTTTTTATTCCTTGATCATATTGAAGATTTGAAAATAGCTGGATGACAAACGGTAACACTCTACCTGAGATACCAAGATCAACTTCATCGTCTCGTGTATCCAGTGTTCTCAGTCACGACCAAGGTGATCATCTCGAAATCGCTGTTATAGAATCTACTATTTTAGTTTCAAGACAAGCTGACAAGAAGAAACCTTTACGTGGATCTGCTTTAGCCATTAGTGTAAGTGACTATAATATTCTAGAATAGTTGGGTGGGGTTTATAGTGAGCGGCATAAACAATCTTCTGTTTGCCCCTTTCTTGTTTATATAGTTTTTATCTATTTATATTGATTATAGTGAAACTTGACCCATCATTACTTTAGAATATGGCTTGACTTGAATCTCCTCTCCAAATGATCTTATTTTAGAAATTGACCTTCTCTTTTCTTTTCTTCTTCTTTTTTTTTTTTTTTTTTTTTTTTGTTAGGTATTCAATGTAATCATAGAAGACAAGCAACGGAATCGATCTTTGGTACGATATATTAAGGATTTTGTAGAATTTGATCAAAAGGTAAAGATATGATTATATAAAAGGGATATCCTCTGATATCATTTATTTATTTAGGTTAAAAAATGTTACAAGAAGTGCAAATTAGCTCTCCCAGTCCTGACAGAACCTCAACTTCACTTGTATACGCCTCATCGAAATAAGACAAAATATGGCATTGATATCAAAAGACGTGGTGTACGTGGATTTTTACTCAGTCTCAGCAATCTCAAGTATCATTATCATGGACGATCAAATTCTGAAAAGGTCGAAATCTATTTACGACGATGTGCAACAGATCCATTCATCAGCAAGTCCTCATTGTTTCGTGATTTTCTATCAGCTCAACGAGACGAAGATCGTGTAGCTCCTTTGGCTCTTGTGCATACCTTGGTTCATCAGCATCAACAACAGCAACAACATAACGCGTCTTTATTACACGACAGCATTTTACCCGATGTTGGACGATTGGATATCAGCACAGTGGATAGAGACGGAAACAATAGCATATTAGTAGACAAAGGCAATCAAACAAGTGACATCTTACCAATGGAGAATCCTAATGCATCACCTACAACATCCAACTCATCCATCTTTTCTTTACGGCGAATGTCTTCTTGGATTCATATGGATCGACAGCGAAGACGAAGATTTGCAGGTTCAGATGCTATAGGAGCCCAACGACGCAACTCTGTTACCAGTTTATCTTCAGTATCTTCTATTTCATCATCACATTCAGTGGCACGCTCTGAAACACATGCCTACTATCACCATAGACAGCAAGATGATGTTGAAGGCGACAATAGTGGTGATGAAGAAATATTGAATACATCTTCGGTTGATTTTATTGGCGGTGATTCTCGGAATCGTATCTCGATTCAAGATTTTCAGTTCATCAAGGTACTCGGAAAAGGATGCATGGGAAAGGTAAATGGACCACCAAAAAAAAAAAAAAAAAGATATATATATATATATATATATATATATTACCAGGCAGTGTGATATGGAATTTATATTGATTTATATATATTCTTTTTGTGGCTTTACTCGTTACCAATTAGGTATTACTAGTACGACATCAACGAACGAATCAACTACTTGCATTGAAGGCAATCCGAAAACAAGTGGTATTTGAACAGGATGAGGTGATCCATACTCGAATGGAGCGTGATATTTTGACAACAATAGCCAAAATTCAACATCCTTTTTTGATCAAATTACATCATGCTTTTCAAGATGCCAATCAACTCTTCCTAGTCTTAGATTATTATGTCGGTGGCGATATGGCTAATCAACTTGCAAAATTCCAACGGTTTACTCCAGAACGTAGCAGGTTATACACGGCGGAAATCTTATTAGGCTTACAAGAACTTCATCGACTGGGTATATTGTACAGGTAAGATAAAGACTAAAAAAAAAAAAAAAAAAAAAAAAAAAAAAAAAAAAAAAAAAAAAAAAAAAAAAAAAAAAAAAAAAAGAATTGATTTATTGATGACATTTCTTGTTATATCCCTAGAGACTTGAAACCAGAAAATATACTCTTAGCTGCGGATGGACATATTATATTGACTGACTTTGGGTTATCAAAACAATTTGGACCTGGGACTAATTTGGATGATCAAAGGACAGCTACATTTTGTGGTACAGCGGAATATTTGGCACCTGAAATTTTACAAGAAAAAGCATATACGTATGCAGTGGACTTTTGGAGCTTGGGTACAATCTTGTATGAAATGTTAATGGGACTTCCACCTTTTTGGGCAGAAACACATGCGGAAATGTACCGAAGAATATTGGATGATCCATTGGAATTCCCTGAAGATACAGATCCTGTTACAGCTGATTTCATCACTGGTCTTTTACAACAAGATCCATCGAAACGACTTGGTACTGGAATCAACGGTCCTATTACTATTCGATCGCACCCTTATTTTGATTGTTTAGAATGGACGGATGTTTACTATCGACGGATCAAACCTCCTTACGTTCCACAACTTCAATCAGAAACTGATTTCAGCCACTTTGATCAAGATTTTTTGGCAATGACTCCTCGTTTATCACCTTCTACTATGCAGCACAATAGTAACAGCAGTCAGTTCAATAACGTCGACCCAAGTTTGTTGGATTTGGCTTTTCAAGGTTATTCTTATACAAACACTGATAGTAATTATATGGAAGAATCATTTCCCATGGCAGCATCTACTGCACCCTCGGCAACAACAAGTGATATCCAACAATCTTCTATTTATTATTATAACGACAATGATTATGATGATGATTACGATGATGAATGTGGAAATCAAGATCAGCATATCGTTCATCAAGCACGACATTATCTTCAATCAACACCTACGGATGAAGACAGCACAGAAAAGAATAATCGTGTAACGTCATCAGGATCAAGGTTATCTAGTGACATTCTTGATGGATTTTATTCTGACAGTAGTAGCGGTGCTTTACCAGACAATATTTATGGAAATAGACTGCACCACTTATCAAGGCAATGATCTTTTACTATAGAATAGATTTTCCCCCCTTATTTTTTTTTTTTTTATGATACACCACATACACCCCAACATAATCATGATATGATACCATTTTACTATTTATATACATCTATATTCTTTTCTTTTTCTCTCTCACTAAATTCTCCCACGTATAACACTTTTTTCTTTTTCTTTTTTTTTTTTCTGTTCCCCTATGATTTGCACATTTTATATTATATTAGAATTATTTCCTTATACATACTCAATATTTGATGATGACGATGATATTGTATGATCAAAAAATTAATGACAAATAAACATTTACGCTTTATATAACAATAGTCGGGAAGAAGAGGGAAAAGGAATTGAAAAAGGGAAGTTTTATAAAAAAAAATCCAAAGGCCATCAGTGGAACGTTTAACATACGGGAGTTTTGATGTATTGATGCTCCGCTGCTTTAAAGTTTGAATTTGATGAGTAAAGAGAAACAATGAACCCCAGCATTTATGATATTATTCAAAATACTTTGAGGGTTATTTCTTTAATTGATCATGTTAGTATAAAGGATAAAGTTTTAGATTATATTGTATAAATCAATAAATAAACGAAATCTTATGTTACGAAATCAATTTTATTCGTTCCTTTGGGGGTATTCGAACACCGTCAGCATGAAAATTTTTTTTTCTCGCACTTTTTTTTCTCTAAAACTTTTCTTTCTTTTCTTTTTCTTTCTTCTTCCTTTCTTCACTTCTTTATTTTCTTCTTTTTCTTCTTTTTTATATTTTTTTTTTATTCACCATATTTAGTCATATCATCATGGCTCGTCATAGGGATGTTTACAATCCAATGTTATTTGAATGTGCTTGGGAAGTAGCTAATAAAGGTAGTGAATATAAATGAAACAGTATACACGTTAAAACTTATCATCATCCTTTTACGTTTTATTTTTCTAGTGGGTGGTATATATACTGTTATCAAAACTAAAGTACCAGTGACAGTACAAGAATTTGGGGATCGTTATTGTTTAATGGGACCTTTATCGCATGCCAAGGCACCTATGGAAGTCGAATCTTTAGTAGAACCACCTAATGAAGCGATGCGTCAAGTTTTGGAAGATATGGGCAAACATGGTATCAAGTATTTATTTGGTCGTTGGTTAATTGAAGGTGCTCCCTATGTACTTTTATTTGATTTGGGGTCAATAGCTCATAAAATGGATGAATGGAAAGGTGATCTTTGGAACGTGGCTGGTATTCCAAGTCCTCCCAATGATACTGAAACAAATGACGCTATCCTTTTGGGTTACTTGATTACTTGGTTCTTAGGTGCTTTTGCTTCCAAGGTAAATAAAAATAAAAATAAATAAAATAAAATATGGGGGATGGGAAATTATTTAGTGAAAAAATATTTTTGTTGAGCAAAAAAATTAAAAAAAAAATTTTTTTTTCTACTTTGTTTTACCCTAGTACAACAAATCAAACGATCCTGCTATTGTTGCACATTTCCATGAATGGCAAGCTGGTGTGGCAATTCCTTTAATCAAAAAAAGACGTTTGGACGTTACGACTATCTTTACAACACATGCTACTTTGTTGGGTCGTTATCTCTGTGCTGGTTCTGTGGATTTTTACAATAATTTACAACATTTTGATGTCGATGCTGAAGCTGGGAAACGTGGTATCTATCATCGTTACTGTATTGAACGTAGTGCTGCTCATTGTGCAGATGTGTTTACTACTGTTAGTCATATTACTGCATATGAAAGTGAACATTTATTGAAACGAAAACCAGGTAATAAGAAAAAAAAAATACTGTTTATTAATATTTTGGATTCTTACTATTCATCTTTATTTAGATGGCGTTTTACCTAATGGTCTCAATGTAGTCAAGTTCTCAGCCATGCATGAATTTCAAAATTTACATGCTGTCAGCAAGGACAAAATAAATGACTTTGTACGAGGTCATTTTTATGGTCATTACGACTTTGATTTGGATGATACTATATATCTATTTACAGCTGGACGTTATGAATATCGAAACAAAGGTGTTGATATGTTTGTAGAATCTCTAGGACGTAAGTGTTAAGGTCTAAGAAAGATGAAATGATTGATTAACATATTTTTATAGGTTTGAATGATCGTCTCAAGGCAGCTAAATCGAAAACGACAGTGGTAGCGTTTATCATCATGCCAACAGAAACTCATTCTTTTAATGTAGAAGCTCTCAAAGGTCAAGCTGTCACAAAGCAATTACGTGCCACAGTGAATGAAATTCAAGATCGGATTGGAAAACGTATTTATGAAACTGCATTAAGGTAACAAAAAGAATAAAACAAGATTGGATAATAAACAGACTAGGAAAAAGAAAAAGAAAAGAAAAGCTCATTTCCTTTTTTTTTTTTTTAATAGAGAAAATGACTTGGATCCTATGAAGTATTTATCTGATGAAGACAAGGTATTACTCAAACGACGTGTATTTGCTCTCAAACGTAGTACTCTTCCTCCTATTGTGACTCATAATGTGGTAAATGATGCTGAAGATCCAGTGTTGAATCAATTACGACGTTTGAAACTATTCAACAATTCTGATGATCGTGTCAAGGTTATCTTCCATCCTGAATTTTTGAATGCCAACAACCCTCTACTTGGATTGGATTATGAAGAATTTGTACGTGGCTGTCACCTTGGTGTATTTCCATCTTATTATGAACCTTGGGGATATACTCCTGCTGAATGTACTGTTATGGGTGTTCCTTCAATTACGACCAAGTAAGAACTAGATGAAGATTTAAAAATGATATTAATTTTTTTTTTCTTTTTGACTCTAGTTTATCCGGATTTGGGTGTTTTATGGACGAGAACATTGAAAATTGTGAGGATTATGGTATCTACATCATGGATCGACGTATGAAATCAGTGGAGGAATCTTTACAACAACTCAGTGATCAAATGTTCCGGTTTGCTCAGAAAACACGACGTCAACGGATCAATCAACGAAATCGAACGGAACGACTATCAGATTTACTGGACTGGAAGAGAATGGGACTGGAATATATGAAAGCACGGCAATTAGCACTGCGTAGGGCATATCCTGATTCGTTTGATGAAGATGATGAAGATGAATTTGATATTCTCCCTGTCAAGATCCCTAAGCCTTTATCTGCACCTGGTAGTCCTCGTATTGCTGGTCAACAATCCTATTTTGATGACGATGAAGAAGACAATGTAGCTCCATTTATTGCATCCAATAAGAACAAGAAGAAAATCCCTGCCTTACGACGTACTTCAAATGATAATGATCCCAACAGCCAATCTGCCTTTCAAGCTCAATTATTAAGTGAAGGTGACCTACAAACGTTGAACAAGTTGACTTTGGAATCTATCAATGAAAATAAGGAACATCATCAACAACAACAGCAACCCAAACCTTCTCATCAACATTAGTAGTATTGGATCAAAAACTCATTCCCTTATCTTTAGTGTTACATACCTATTTTTGTTTTATTATTATTATCATCATATTTCTCGTTTCTTTTCCCGCCTTTTTTTTTTTTTTTTTTTTTTTTTGATTATTATCATACGATATTATCTACGTCAATTAACCGTCGTTAAAAATAAACCTGTCAAAATGAAAATATCATGGTTACACTTTTTTTAATGTTTGTTTCAATTGGATTATGATAAATATCATCATGTTACATTTTGTTTTATGTTTTTCGTCATTCAACAAACTATTTTTCTTTAAAGTTGTAAGGGAGATGATATTGAGGAAAGAATATAGATTTCCTAATTTGACAGCCTTTTAGAGTTTCTTATTGGAAAGATGGGATGTTTCCCAAACATCTACAAAGGTCTATTGATTTTCAAAATCTTCAAGCGTTTGAATTTATTTTCCTTTTCCGGTGTTATTTTCCCTATCTCTTGAAGAATTTGACCCTTGTCCATTCACCACTCAAACCATCCTCATAATAATAACAATAATAATATAAAAGAAGATTGTATATTAATTGAATTAAAATATCAAACAAAATAACTAGACTAACAAAAAAAATTTTTTTTTTCTATCCTATGATATAGAGAGAGAGGGGGGATCTACGATGAAGAATTTCTTTTCCATTCAACAAACTCGTCAAAAAGTACAGGCCCTTGAAAATAAAAAAAGTGAGACAATGAGTCTTTTTTTTTTTTTTTTTTTTGAAATATGATCTTTGACTTACATGCAGCAGTTTCATCATGGTCTGATAAATCATCAGAGACGGTGGTAACGAATTCTAGAAAGCTTTGCCATTGGTCACGATTAATGACACGTACAGGATGCATTTCTTGTAAGAATTGAACAAAGTGGTTCACCAGGGTAAAGGTATCATCAAATAACACATTCCATAGAGCACATGCTACATCCACATCCATACATTTCTGATCCTTGTTCTTACCATAATCAAAAGTATATCGATAGAATTTCTTAAAGTTGTCAACATCCTGCAGCGCCGATTCAAATTCATCAAGTCGTTGCTTGACTAATTGTTCTTGGTGATCAATGCTAATCAAATCAATAATAACAACAAAAGATTAAATATAATCTATGAATCTTCATTCTTTTTTTTTTTTCTTGATTTACCCTAGTTGTTGCATACCAGTCATCCATTCTTGTTGTGTAATGTAACCTAAGTAATAAAAACATTGTGTGAGCAAAAAAAAAAAAAAAAAAAAAGGATCTTTTGACGTGATGAATGACTTACCCATTGTAGATATATTCAGTTTCCAAGCAACCACAATGGCCATCCTCTATAATCATCAACCAAACAAAATAATAAAAAAATAAAATAAAAAAAGGGTCATTAACATGTATATATATATATATATATATATATATGTATCTTCGCCATTCAACTTTTTCTTCGTTTTCAAAAACTTACTTCTTCCACCGATATACCGAGATCTTGTAAGAATTGTTGCATGCCTTCAGGAGATATAGAGGTTGGGGTATCAGGATCAGCATATCGCTGAAACCATTGTAAACATAATTGGGCGTTGAACTTGAGGAATCATCATGTAATAATAATAATAAAAAAAAAAAAGATAGAAAGAAAGAATAAGCATGTATCGGTAAATAATCATTGCGACATAGAAACATATTTCCTTCTTTTTCGTCTTTTCTAGTATTACCACTGGTTCTGTCACTTGTTTTTGTTTTGGTATAGTTGTTGTTGTTGAATGCTTGTACAGTTTTGTTGCAGCAGGATAACTAGGAAGATGTTGTAGATTGGTATTGGATGAGAACTGACCAGTAGCTCGTTTGGCACGTTTCTGTTGATGTTGAAGTTGTGTTGGAGTCAAAGTACTTTGTTTGGATCCCATGAATTGATAATCGTTGTTATAGTAGGAGAAGATTCGCTTTAAAGACATGGAAGGATGGATGGATAGTTGAGCCTAAACAAAGGTAGTTGATTACACAAAAAGGTAATACTATGTCAATATTGCTGGAATTGAGGACAATAGTGACCAGAGAGAGGCAACAACAGAGATATACAGTAATTAAATGTTAGTTTGTATTCAAGACAGGAGAGAGAGAGAGAGATAAGGATGGCAGAAATATAAAGATAAAACAACCGATAAATGTACCAATCCAACAAAAAAAAAAAAAAAAAAGAAAATATAAAAGAATAAAGTATAATATAAAGTTTGTTTATATGAATGAGGGTGGTGAAGTTCCTTCAAGCGAAAGAGAGAGAGAGAGAAGCGAGAAAAAAAAAAGAATGAGCTGATAGTGGGAGCGGCAGGTGAATTTGTCGTTGCTTGATTAGACTTAATGAAAGAGGAGAATAGGTGTTACTTTTTTTTTTTTTTTCCTTCCTTTTCTCTTTTCTTATATTACTCAAAAAGTCATTAATGATGCCTCCTTTCTTTAAAACCCTTTTTATTCTTATTCTTTTTTACTGCCCCTTCCTATTCATAATATTTATACCTGGAAAAACCATATTTCATAGCAACCAAGTTCGTTACGATATCTGTAAAGCTATAGAAGGATATTCTCCAATAACTCTGAGTTCTCTTTTGGAACGTACCTTGTGTTCAACCGAACAAACAATCGCAGTTATCAAACCGGATGGATTCAATCATGCAACAGCTATCAAGTCTATTCTTACAAAGCAGTATGACTTTGTCATTGTCAACAGTAAAGTCAGGACATTGGAAAAAGGAACAGTAGAACGTTGGTACCATGACAAACTGAATCAATCGTATTTTCCTTCGTTACAACGCTATCTCACTCGTGGTCCTGTGGAAATCCTTTTACTTGAACGTGTGGATGCTATTCATGGTCTTCGTTCCTTGGTGGGTCCTACTGATCCTGAACGGGCGCGTCAACTCTCTCCTCATTCTATTAGGGCTTTGTTTGGTACCAATGTACAAGAAAATGCCGTGCATGCAAGTGACTCTGATGGTGCCGTTCTCCTGGAAAAGTCTTTATTATTAGATTAGTAAATCAACATTTTTAGGGCGAAATAGATTAGTTTATAGATTGAAAATTTTGATACATTCGAACAACAAAGGGTTTTTGACACATCCAACTTTCTGATGTCTCTTTTTATGGTTGATTGATCTGTAAAATAGATAGTCTTAGTAGTAGTTTACTATACCTATGTCTTTATATCTTTATTTAATAAAATCTTCTTCAGATTCATTACTATAATTCTTATTGTTATTGTTCAACCACTATCATTATTATCATCATCACTGTTCAATCATCATGATCATCCATCTCTACTGTCAACCATTTCGTCAACAATATCATTAACCATCATTATCATTGATCATCATCATAAGTAAGATTGTCTTGGATGTGTTCCCATTGCCCTGTAATGTAACAAAAAGAAGTAATAGTAAATATAATGAATCCTTTTTATTGAATAAAAAAAAAAAAGACATTGGAGATCGAAATAAAAAGGAAAAAAAAAAAAAAAAAGAAAAACGCCAATGCAAGGGAATGATATATGAATGTGTTGTAACTATGCCATCTTTTGAATCTATCTACATGTATGATAATACTAAATTATGATATCTCTAAACTACCACTATAAAACTACGCTTCTGCTGATGCGAGTTCTTGTTCTTGTTGGAATTTGCGAGTGTTGTGTTGAGCCAAAACTTCTCGGAAGACGCTTAAAAGAAGATCCACACCTTCTTTATCAATTTGATGATGTAACACGATTCTTGATTTGGAGCCCATACCACCAATCTTGATGTTCTTGCGCAAAAGAGCAGGAGCCACATCCTTTTGAATATTCAAGCCAACACGAGCGGTATCAATCAACACCATATTGGTATGTACAGGATTTTGAAGATCAATATCCAAGCTTACTAGTTGATCAGCCAAATAACGAGTAAGAGCATGAGTAGCATCCATCGTAGGCACCACAGTATCAATACAGTATTTTGCAGCAGCAGCAATGGAACCAGCTTGTCGCCAACCACCACCGAACAACTTACGGAAATGACGAGCACGATCAATAAACTTTCGGTTACCCACCAACATAGATCCAATAGGCGCACCTACACCTTTTGATAAACATAAGGACATGGAATCAAAACACTTGCCGTATTCGTGAAGAGGCACACCACTAGCTACATGGGCATTCCAAAGACGAGCACCATCCAAGTGCATAGCAAGACCACGGTCACGGGCCAACGCAGCTATTTCTTGCATATCTTGTAAGGGCATCACCATACCGCTTAATGTATTTTCCAAGGAGACAACACGAGTAGGGGCAGTATGAAGGTCAGGTTCAATCAAATTACCTTCAATTTCAGTGGCGGTCACATGAACACCATTGCGAGGAATCACAGGGCTAACAGAAGCACGAGAATGGAAGGCAATACCACCAGCTTCCCACAAATGAACATGAGAACGAGCATCACAGACAACTGAATGAGGAGGTTGGGTCAAATGTACACGGAGACCGAGTTGGTTGGTCATGGTACCACTTGCACAGAATAAACCAGCTTCGTGACCAGTGAGATCAGCCACATGGCGTTCCAATTCATGGACACTATCATCTTCCTGCAGACACAAAGAAAGATAGGGATAGATAAACAGATAGAGAGAAGGAAAAAAAAAAAAAAAGAAAAGAAAAAGAAAAAGAAAAAAAAGAAGCCGATCAGTAAAAAAAAAAAAATTCACTCCTTATATAATTTAAGGTTGTCAAGACAACTTTTTTTTTTTTTTTACTTACTTCAAAGACACTATCATTTCTTGTAGCCTTCTTCATCACTTCAAACATTTCATCAGTAGGGGCAGTAACAGTATCACTTCTAAAGTCATATAACTTGGCATTAGGATCCATGGCTGGTTGAGAAGTATGGGTTTGATCATTATGGAGATTATTTTGAATGTACAACCGCTGCACAGGAGAGGTAGACAAGTATCGACAGACCGCTTGCTTGACAAGAATGGGTTTAGATTTGATTGCCATTGACATGATCATTGTTAAAAGGGAAAAATTACTAAAAGAGGTTCCACCGAGTAAAAAGTTGTTTTTTATTTGGTAATTTTGAAAAGAAGGGGGATTTTATACCAAAAAAAAAAAAAAGTTTTTTCATAATGTGTCATCCGTGACTTTCTTTACTCAAATCATTACGATGGCCGATTCTGATTATCCAGTAATCAAACGAAACGAGTATGAAATTTAAATATCCGAATATCAAACCAACTAAAAAAAAAAAAAAAAAAAAAAGGTACAGAAGGATGATAATGATGATGATGAATGGTTAAATATACGTCATATATAAAGAATGGTAGAAGGTTTCCAAAAAAGAACATGGGATGCGTGAGATATCACTTGTTCACAAAATTAGGGTACACCCTATGATTTTTTTACCACGGGTACCTGTAATCTAAAGATAAACTGTTCCGTTTTAGGCAATTTTCATTATCTATTAGGTTCAAAAAACGTTTTCCTCTGAATTTGAGCCAACTCGATAGAAAATGCAGCGAGAGCCAATCAGAGGCGGTATTCCAAAACTGGAGAGGAGGAATAATAGAAAAAAGGGGTGGGGCATATTTAATTGTTCTGATTCCAATCTCCTTCCTTCTTTTTTTTCTTTCTTTCTTTCCGTTATTTTTTTTTTTTGAACATTTTTTATTTTTATTTTTATTTTTTTTTGATATCTATTTAATATGACACAATGTATACCTATGAAAGATGGTATACCTTTTATACCTTGGATTTATGTAAATATGAAATGAATATTAGTAATAGTGTTTATATAAAACTCATCATCATCATCATCTTCTGTATTCTATAGTATATCTTTGGTGATTGTACGTATGGTTTTTTAGATGCATCCAGTGTATTATTAGGTTATTTATCGATCTTATTTTGGTTGAATGCACAGTTCCCGTAAGTAATGAAAACAAACAAAAAAAAAAAAAATTTATTATAACTTTTTTTTTGAAGCCTGCATGATTATTCAATTTTACTTCTTTTTTTTTTTTTTAAATTGTAATAGACAAGTGATTGAAAATTATAGACGAGGCTCAGCTGAAGGACTTTCTATCAACTTTTTATCTATATGGCTTGCTGGTAATTCAATGACCAAAACGGAGAAACTGATGATCTAAACCTTACGACCATCTTTGATCTAAATCCGAAGCTAAACTGTTTTTTCTTCTTCTTTCTTTTTATAGGTGACAGTGCTAATTTAATTGGATGTATCCTCACAAATCAACTTCCGTTTCAACGATATCTTGGAATATACTTTGTTGCGATTGATATCTGCTTATTGGGTCAATACCTTTATTATAGCAAGTGGCAACATAGAGGACGATCAACTAACCGCAGAAAGACTCAGTATGAATCATCACCACCAAATCTTTTTACCGCGGCATTCCAACATCCATCCGTGCAAACACCACTACTAATTCAAGCTCAATCATTAGAAGATGAAATCACTCCTTATTCTGTATCATCATCACCTAACAAATGGTATACTTTGACGCAACAACAACAACGGGATGAAAATCTTTTCAAAACTTTCTCTACTGGTTCTTCATCATCTGTCACATCCGCAGCATCAGTATCATCATCATCATCATCCAAGATGAAAACAGCTGTTACAGGTTTAATGTCGATTATGCTTCTTGGATTGAATACGTTCTCTAATACATCTACATTGACCACTACAACAACTATGTCATCTTCCTCCTCATTGGTGGCTACTACAGTAAACTCTGATCCCCTGATCATTGGTAGTCTATTTGCTTGGACTTGCACTACATTATACCTGATGTCACGTATTCCTCAAATTAGAAAGAACATCAAGCGACGGTCAGTGGATGGTTTATCTCCTTCTTTATTTGTATTTGCAGCTTGTGGTAATCTTACATATGCCTCAAGTATCCTACTCCACCCAGGTCAAACCCGTGAATCTATTATGGAGGCTCTTCCTTATTTGATTGGTAGTGCCGGAACCTTATCATTCGACTTTACTATCTTCCTACAATATATCTATTACACTAGAAGAAAGAATCAACTTTGCAAGAATAATTTAGTCTCAGTATAGAATTATTTGATCCCCACCCTTCTTCTCTGTTGATACCATTATTCCCCTTTTTATCATTGTATATAGTCTCTTCTTTTCTTTCCTTTTCTTTTCTTTTCTTTTCTTTTCTTTTTTTTTTTGTATATAACTAATAAACTAGCAATTGTCATCAGAACCAATTTTTTTTTTTGGTCTATCCCAAAAAGTAAATCCAGGGTCCGACTACTTTTTTTCCCTTTCATTTTTGTATTTTCCACTGGTTCTAATGATTCCCTTTCTCTTCCCTACTTTTTTTTTTCTTTTTTCTTTTATTATTCATACATAATCATATTATTCACTCATAACCATTATAGCCACTTTATGAATGAAATGCCAACGATTGCCAAAACGATTAATTCAGCTCTACACAGTTGTTATATTATTATTGACTCTGGTTTTATGGCATTGGACTTATGACAATACTTCTTCTATAGTTAAACAGTCTCCTTTACCTCAACGTCTACAAACATCTAACAATAGTAGTAATGATACCACTTTGTCATTACAAATATCTTTGCCTTATGAATGGCCACAGTTTACGACCTGGAAACGAGGTAAAGTACTGAAAAACTCACACTCTGTTCCACATAAAAAAATAAAATAAAAAAAGTATTATTGTTTATCTAATCATATTCTCTTTAGACGGTTGGACTTTTTCAAAAATACATAGCACTGACAATTCCTCAATTTCATTCTTACAAGGTTTACGTGAATATACGACAATTGGGCATACCTACTCTCAACTTGTCCATCTAGGAAGAACAGTACAAGTTCCTCATACTATTGATTTAACAGTGGCCATTTATCTACAGGGAGATCTACAACAATTAGATGTTTATCTGGACATGATATCACGACAAACTGTACAACCAAAATCCATATGGGTGCTTTGGACTTCTTCTTCGTCAACACTTACACGAGAAAACATTTCTAAACGACTCAATGCTATCACTATTCCTTCAAGAACAGTGGATATAAGCAAGTACGACGCCAAAGGACTGACCAATCATCAATGGATACGACGGTTACGACAGATATCAACAAAATGGATTTGGTTATTGGATATGGACACAGAATTCTCTCTGATCAAAGCAAGAACCAACAATGAATTAGAATACTTATTCCGTGTCTCGCAACTATCTAATTATCAAGGATCTATGTTAGGAATCAATGGGATGCTATTACCTTCCAACCTCAATAAGGATAAATCAACTCAATTTGTTTGTTTACCATCCAATGATGTACCTGCCGTATCACAACCTGCCGATTTACTTTATAACTCCTGGTTTTTGGAAAGATCTTGGCTGCCCTTTATTTTAGATTTTCATCACCCTATGCAAGAGTTGCCCTTACCGTATTACATCAGTCAGTCTCTAATCAAGTATGGAAAAATAGCCACCATCGCTTTACCTTCACCATCCTCCAATTTGCCATATACAACAACAAAAAAATGCATCACTGCTCGTCATGATTATATCAACAACAAAGTTTGGATTGACCAGCGTGAGTTACACACATCTCCCACTGCATTGGACCACCGACAGATCACCATTTTACGCCAGCAAAAACAACAACAACAACAAAAACAACAATCAATATCAATGGATCAACGTGGAATGTATCTTATACATGGTTCATTGGAAGCGAAATATTTATACCCACTCTTATGTAGATCTCAAAAATACCCAATACATATTGTAGTGACTGGAAAGGATCACGGTATGTCTGGAAAAACGTTGAAAAAGACAATGAAGCTTATGGATGATTGTAGTGGGAACAAGATGGCGATGATACACGACCTGAATCTACCTGGACATTTGAATAACAATGAAGCTTATTTTACCTCTCGAATCATGGATGGTGTTCTTGGATTGATGCAAGTCCTACAACCTGAAGTATTAATACATGTTTCCTCTTCTGATTCCTCCTTACAAAAGGCGTTATCTTTGGCATCATCATCTCAGCAGTATGGACTCCAATGGATTTTGATCAACCTGCCTGCACATCAGGTTCAACATGCTCTTTGGATTCCCGACTTGCCCCTGAAGGCTCTGAAATGTAAGTATTAATAATAAAAAAAAAAAACAAGATCATTGATGTAGAAAAAAAGAAATACTTATACTCCTTTTGATATAGATTGGAATGATATATCTATACAACTTGTCATGATTACTGACCGTCGTCCTCATTCATTCTCACGACTTTTACAAACAAGTAGCAACAGTTATTTTTTAGGTGATAGAGTGGATTTGACAATTCATATGGAACAATCAGCAGATAGGGTGACACGCAGCTTGGTGAAGAGCTTTGATTGGCATTATGGTAAAAAGACGATTCGACATCGAATACAAAAAGGCGGATTGATGCCAGCTATTGTAGAATCTTGGTATCCTCGCAACAATGATGATTATGCAGTTCTCTTGGAAGATGATATCTCTGTATCACCTTTGTTTTATACTTGGGCAAAATACAATATTCTAAAATATCGTTATGGTGATGAATCAGAACGCACGAAACAAATCTTTGGTATTAGTCTCTACTCTCCTCGTAATGTTGAACTTCATTTGGTGGGACGACGACCTTTTGATCCAAATGTGGCCTTGGAAGGATCCTCTTATCCGAAGCGTACACCTTATGTTAGTCAAATTCCTTGTAGCTGGGGAGCGATCTATTTTCCTGAACATTGGCGTGAATTCCATTCCTTCTTGACTGCCCAATTGGATGATCTCTCTCAATACCATTATTTAAATATTAGCTTACCGATGAGCCGTTCTGACCGATGGAAGAAATCCTGGAAGAAATATTTTATTCAACTTGTATATCTACGCGGTTATGTTATGGTTTATCCCAACTTTCAATCATTTGAATCATTTGCTACCAATCATCTGGAAACTGGAACACATGTACAATCTGAAAAACGCACCAATATCATTGATCTTTTTCTTGTACCTCTTATGCAAAGAGACACATTATTATATCAACTACCTCAGCAACGATTACCCGATTTTGATCAATTACCTGTTTTGGATCTATGGGGTCAACTTGTCACTCATGATATATTAGATGAACGGGCAGAAGAATGGCATCCTCACATATCAGCATGCGATCGAAGAACAGGGACATTTACACCTGATGATTTACTTTGTCCTTTTACTCATATACCTGCATGGGAACGACCTGATATGCCAGTGACAACAAAGAAAATCAAGATCTATACGATGACAGAAATAGTGGAACCATTGGCATATGTCACTGAGTTAACAGCACCAATGGATGATGATACATCATGGCCAGTAGCAATCGATGTGGCATTGTTCTCTCCTCTTTTGGACGAAATCCCAGTTGAAATGGATGATGAAGAAAAAGATTTACGGTTGGATTGGATGTCTATCAAGAAACTATCAAGCAAACAAGACACAAAAGTGGAATTTTAAGACTTTTTAGTACTACCCTATTTGACAAGCTTAAAAATATACTATTTTTTCATTGATTATACATATACTTATATATATTTATTCCTTCTTTCCGTACATTTGTGCATATCTCTCTCTCTCTCTTTTTTTTTTTTATATTTATTAAATTGTTTATATCCTAATAAAATAATAATGAGTCTTTTTGATTATTGTCATATTCTCCATTAAAAAAAAAAAAAAAGGAACATTGATGGCAAGGATAGGATGGTTCTGATTGGCCAATAGTATGAAGGAGTTTGTTTTTTTCCGTATGCCTGCTAGTGTAGATGATATGTGGCAAGCTAGTTTTATCGCTGTATCAAAAAAAAAAAAAAAAAAAAAATGGGGGTTGAGATGGGTCGGATTTTGTTGGGCCGCCAGCCTTAAAAAAATTTTCGTTGAGTAGAGTTTAGAATCTTTCTTTTTCTTTTTTTTTTTTTTCTCTTTTCTTTTTGTTTTTTTTTATTTTTTTTTTTTTTAATTGATACATCATTATGCTTCGTTCAGTGTCCTCTCGTTTGTTGGCTAATGTGAACAAGCCTACCATTGGATTCAAGGCTACTGTAAGTTTTATTTTACATCTTTTTTTTTTTTTGGTAACTTTTCAGAAGTGTTTTGACTTTTTTTTTTTTTTTTTGTATCTCCTTTATAGCGCTCTTTGTCCACTACCGCTCCTACTATGATGGCTTCTACTACTGATGACTCTGAAAAGATTCGTATCACTTTACCTTCCACCTCTTTTGAAATGTACGATGCCGAAGCTCCTAGCTTGGAAATGGATATCACCAAGTCTGAATTGATCGATATGTATACCAAGATGACTGTCATGCGTCGTATGGAAATGGCTGCTGATGGTCTTTACAAGGCCAAGAAGATTCGTGGTTTCTGTCACTTGTGTAATGGTCAAGTAAGTTATTCAAAAAAAAAAGGAATAGAGTATAATGGGGGAGGACGGATAGTGTTTGGCAAAAAATACCTTTTTTGCGGGTAAACGCGGGTGATTTCTAGAGAAGGTCGTTAGAGTGAATGACTCGGGCAAAGAAAAATTTTTTAACCACCGATTTTATTATTCTTCTAGGAAGCTGTATCTGTTGGTATGGAATCTGCTATTACTCATGATGATCATGTTATTACTGCTTATCGTTGTCACGGATTTACCTATGTTCGTGGTGGAAGTGTCAAGAGCATTTTGGGTGAATTGATGGGTCGTGAAGCCGGTATTTCCAAGGGTAAAGGTGGATCCATGCACATGTTCGCTCCTCAGTTCTATGGTGGTAATGGTATTGTTGGTGCTCAAGTACCTCTTGGCGCTGGTATTGCTTTTGCTCAAAAATACAATGATATTCCTTCAGTGACTTTTGCTCTCTACGGTGATGGTGCATCCAATCAAGGTCAAGTATTTGAAGCTTTCAACATGGCCAAGCTTTGGGATTTACCTTGTGTGTTCGTGTGTGAAAACAACAAGTATGGTATGGGTACTTCTGCCAACCGTTCTTCTGCCTCCACTGAATACTTCAAGCGTGCTGGTTATATTCCTGGTATCAAGGTGAACGGTATGGATTCATTGGCTATCAAGCGTGCTTGTGAATGGGCTAAGGAATGGACTTCTTCTGGCAAGGGCCCTCTTGTCATGGAATTGGCCACTTATCGTTATGGTGGTCACTCTATGTCTGACCCTGGAACCACTTACCGTACCCGTGAAGAAATCCAACATATGCGTTCCACCTCGGATCCTATCACTGGTTTGAAGCAACTCATCATTGAACACAACGTCGCCTCTGAAGCCGATCTCAAGGCCATTGATAAGGATGCTCGTAAGGAAGTCGATCAAGCTCTCAAGGAAGCCGAAGCCTCTCCTGAACCTTCTATTAAGGAATTCCATACTGATATCTACCAACCTGGCACTGAACCCTCTGTTGTCCGTGGACGTGAACCCAAGGAACTCTACTATTATTAATTTTTTTATTTTATCCAATTTTTTTTTTATACATACAACAACTCCATATAGTCTATTATCATCTTTTCCTTTCTCTCTTTTTCATTGTTCCTTTTCTTTTATATACAATAAATACAAACTTTTTGATCTTTTTTTTTTTTTTTTTTTTTTTTTTTTGTTGCGGCAATACTAGATTGGATGATGGATTTGAAATGACTGATCGAATGTTTGATGATGATCATTGAGTGAAAAAAAAATGATGATAGACATTGACATTGATGATGAAAATGCATGATGATGGACAATATGTAATGGTATGATTGATAATTGATATACAAACGTACGTAAAAAACAGTCAAAAACTTTTATTTTTGTCTAGAAAAGAATGAAACTATAGTACAGAAAAAAAAAAGTTGAAAAGATAATAAAAAAAAAATGATGTATGATGAGATATGAAAGGGATTAAAAAAAAAAAATTGAGTAATATGGAAGTGGATGAGTTGGGACACAAAATGATAATAGTAAAATAAAGAATACTAATAAAAAAAAATAATGATATGGATGATGATAAAAATTGAATGATAATAAAAAGGGAAATTATTTGGCAACACCAATGATAGACTTGGACCGTTCGGATACATATTTGCTTGCTTCTTCCTTGGAGCTGTGTTTGCGTCTTCGTTCTTCCTTGACTTTTCTTGCATTGATCATTTCTTTCTTTGTACGGTCGGCACGTTTGATTTCCATTGGCACATGACGATGGCGATCGATACGCTTGATTTCCTGCAAGTGGCCAAAACGATCCTTGAGTTTTTGAGCATATTCCAAACTGATTTGTTCGCGACGATCCTTGATTCCTAATTTTTCCGATGCATGTGCCTTCCAGAGTCGGATATTGCCATCATCAGATCCAGAAAGAACATACTTGCTATCCATGCTGAACTGTACACAAAATACTCGTTGCATTCGCTTGGTATGATACATGTCACGACTGTGTCCACGTTGTACATCAAAAATACGAACAGATCGATCATAGGAACCTGTCACAATTTCTTGACCTGTTGGTGAATAATCAATGTCCATACTACATCAAAGAAAAAAAATGTAAGTTATATCTTGCATTTTTTTCCTTTTTTTTTTTTTTTTTTTTTTTTTTTTTTTGCTTACACTGCTGAGACATGATCCTTCAATACATTATGAGCTGAACTCATATTTCGCATATCGAAAATATAAGAGTTGTGGTCTTCATTTGCCTATAATAAGATAGAATAATAATAATAAAAAAAAAAGATTGTAAGCAATTCATAGATAATACAAAGATATTTTTCTCTCCCTCTCTTCATCCATGACTTACTGCTGCAAAAGTATAGGCTTCAATAGGATTCCAAGCAATGGCATTTGTTTTCATCTAAATAAAAACAAAATATCAGTACTCTATCTAGTAAATCCATGACAATACTTACCATCATAACTAATTTCGATAATGGTTTGCTTGTACGTAAATCATATAACACTACGGTACGATCAGAACCACAACTGGCCAAGATATTCGTTTCGACTTGATTGAATTTGACGGTTTGATAAGAATCAGCACCCCAAGCAAAGTTTTGTATAGGTTCAGAACGTTCTTCATCCCAGAGTTCCACGGCATGGCCAGAAGTAGCAAAAGTAGCATCGTGACGATGATGAGATAACCCAGTGAATGCATATTGACCAATATATGTTTGAAGAGCTTCCGATCCTTCAGAAGAAGGTTGCCAGATTTTGACAGTTTTATCTGTTGAGCAAGATAAAAATTGATCATCCCGTTTACCTGCGCTTACACCACTGACAATGCCTGAATGTCCTTGAGTTGTCCAACTGGTTTCCTGATTCGTCAAATCCCAAATACGAATTTCTAAGTTAAAAAAAAAAGAGATACAATATGAGATAAACTTTTTTTGTTCATTATTTCCTTCTATACTTACCACCATCACCACTACCAGAAATAATAGAATTGAGCTTTTGAGGATGTTTCATCATACTATAAACACCATCGATATGACCACTGAGAGCACCAACAAAAGGTTTTGCAAATAAACGACCCAACTTGACTGAATTCAAAGCTCGAACATATTCTCGACCTTGTTCAAATGGATGTACGGTTGGATCAAGATTACGTTGCACTTTATGGATATCTTGAGATCGTTCTCGAACATAGTCTGCAGAGGACCGGGATAAGGCTTTGACTTTCTATAATTTAAAACAAGAGAAGGTTAAAGATACATAAAATATCCAATGTTAAACTTTACCATTTGGTATATCAATAAAGCTTATTTTGAGTCAGTTCAATATAGAAGAAGAAAAAAAAAAAAAAAAAAAAAAAAAAAAGAGAACACATTTTTTCAAAATTGGAGTTTCAATCAATCAAAGGACCAATAGGAGTGTGGCTTGTACACTTCATTTCTTTTTTTTTTTTTTTTTTTTTTTTTGGAATCAATGCGTTTTTATTCTTCCAACCAGGAAAGATAATAGAAGTAAATAAAAATAAGTGGGGGAGATAAAGTATAAATAAATATCAATGTACATAAAAAAACAAAAAAAAAAAAATAGACATAATATATAGATAATGAGTATATATTGAATAAGGAGAGACTAAACTATGACCTATGTAGAAACCCAGTTGGATTGGTAGAATCAAATAATTGAGGTATCACTTGTTCTCCACTAACACCAGATGGTTGTAACGCCGAGGAAGTGCCAGAGCCAGTTTGTTCCAAAACTATATTTGATCCCCCATACGCTACTGATGGTTGTTGTTGCTGTTGTTGTTGTTGCTGTTGTTGTTGCTGCTGCTGCTGCTGTTGTTGTTGTTGTTGCTGCTGTTGTTGTTGGGTATAGGTGTCAATAGAAGTCGATGCCATGTTGATGAATTGCGTATGAGATTGATGTTGTACAAATGATGGATTTGATAACGTTTGTGTTGGCGTTGAGAAATGAGTTGTTTGTTGCGTCTGGGGTGGAGCTGGTGGTTGCTGAACAACAGACATAGCTGTCCCATTCATAGGTAAAGATGTCAATGCATGATGAGACGCTTGTTGTTGTTGTTGTTGTTGTTGTTGCTGCTGCTGTTGTTGTTGTTGTTGATGATGATGATGATGAAGTGATTGGGAATGATTTTGAAGCGAAAGCCCTACTTGCTGAAGAGGAGTATGATGGATATATTCAATAGAAGGTGGAGTGCCATCTCCAAAAGGTATTTGTGTCGTGGAACCAGCTGTCGTAGCCCTCAAGTCTACCGAAGGATTTGTCATTACCTTTGATACCAATGGATTTTGAAGTGCCAGACCACCAGATGGATCTTGTATTCCTAAAGGTGGCAGATGTGTTCGCTCGTGCTTCTTCAAAGATCGAGAATGATAATATGCCTTTTCACAACCTTCCACAGTACAATAAAAGGGTCGAATGTTGGAGTGTGTTTTGATATGTCTAATTGAAAAGGGATGTTAGTTATTTCGGTTTCAATTGTATTTTTTTTTTTTTATATATTAGATAAATACTTACGTTGTCAAAGAATCTGGTCTAGAAAACCGTTTCCCACATCCTATCAATATAAACGTTGTCAATATCATATCATCACTTACTTTTTTTCTAATTTTTACCTTCTTCAGTACACACAAAAGGTCGTTCACCAGTATGTGTCCGTAAATGATTGAACATTTTGTGCCGTTTGGTGAAAGGTTTCTGATTTCTCGTACAATTTTCCCATTCACAGCTATATGTTGCTTTTCCACTGCCAACATGAGAATCACCAAGGTGTGCAATAAGAAGTTGTAATCCATCAAAACGTTGTCCACAGTTCTGCCAACCACATATCATTGATTGATTTTCTGAAGAGGCGTCCACAGTAGCTTGACTGTTGTTTGTGGTATTAGTTTTTGGTGTACTAATAGCCGACTGATGTCGTTGCTGCACGGTTGCATGATTATCTTCTTTTCCTTCTGATTGAGAATTGACAATGTTGTGTTGTGAGTCTTTGTTGTTTCCATCATCATCGTCTTCTTCATCATCATCTTCGTCGTCATCATCATCATCGTCTTGATCATCGTCATCATCGTCCTCATTTTGGCGTTCTGCCGTTTGTGTTGTTGATGATTGTTTCGTTGTTGCTACAGTTGACGAAGAGACCGGTGATGTTGTGTTCGGTTCAGGTAAAGTAGGATTGGAAGATGATGTAGGACTGTTGCGTCTTGATGTACGTTTTTCCTTTTCCAGTTCCACCAAACGAGCAATCAATTGATCCCTTGACATTCCAGCAAATTCTTGAATAGATACATTGGGAGAAGAAGCTTCAGCTACTTTGCGTGATAAATCAGGAGTTGTTTGATCATCCACATTTGTATTTTCTTTCAGACCTAATTCTGCTGGCGTTGGAGGCGGTGGAAGGGAGATTTGAAGAGAAGGCTTGGATGATTTGGATGAAGGACGTCGAAGGAGTTGACTTTGATCATCAGGGAATGTAACACCTGTCTTGATATCAGATACTACAGCAGATTGAGGACCAGTGATCGTTGAGGACAGTTGTTCAGTTTGGATAGGAGGATGAGATGTTGAAACTGTGTGACGACGTGCTCTTTTGCTTGCAGATGAACTGGCTGTTGTTTGTTGTTGATCATTAGTAAGTGGACGTTTCCCATCGCTGTTAGCAAACGTAGTTGGTGTTGGAGTAATTGGAGTATCAGGTTGTTGATGACCGATGGGCGTTGAAGATGAAAAATTTGGTTGTCGTAATTGTTGCGCTGAAGAGCCATCTGGAAGTATGTAGGACGATACACTAGAGTTCCCATTTGTCATTTGACATAGCATCACAGATTGGTTCGTAGATTGCGGGTAATCACCAGGATGAGCCATACGATTTTCTTCTTGCACAGGTATAGACGTCACTATTGGATGATTTAATATAGATTCAGATTGTTGTTGCTGGGTCTGTAACATAGCCATTTGTTGCTGAGCGTGTACTTGTTGTTGATGATTTTGGAGAAGCGTATTTTGCTGATACTGATTTTGTTGTTGTTTCTGTTGCTCTTGCTGCTGTTGATGGTGAAGATTTTGTTGTTGCTGCTGCTGTTGAAAAGTAGAATTCATCATCGCTTGTTGAGACAGTACCTGCTGTTGCTGTTGTTGCTGTTGATGATGTTGGTGTTCCTGTAAGATAGCCAATTGTTGTACTACAGCTGCTTGTTGTTGAGCCATTTGTTGGGCCATCACTTGTTGAGCAGCCGCCGCCACAGCCTCTTGACGTTGTTCCACAGATTGGCGTTCTAATTCTTGCTGTTGCAATGTCGCATCCAAATGTGATATTTGTTGGTGTTGATGATGTTGTTGTTGAGATGGGATAACAATAGATGGAGTGTGATTTGCCAGAGCTTGTTCCATAATACGTTGTTGTTCTTGTTGCATGTGCTGTTGTTGTTGACTATGATTTTGATCTTGGCTTACAACAGTAGAAGGATGAGATAACGGTAGAGTTTCAGATTGATCAAAAGATAGATTCAATTCCATTCGTATTGGCTGTTGATCTTGAGTAGATTGTTGAGACAAGACCTCTATCATAGACGTGCTACCAAAGGAGTTATTATCTTGACCTGGTACGACCTGAGTAGAAATACCACCATGCTGAGACTAAAGAATAACCCAACAAGATACCAAAAAAAAAAAAAAAAAAAAAAAAAAAAGAAAAAGAAAAAGAAAAAGAAAAAGAAAAAAGAATAAATAAAATTGAGCGATTTTCCTTTTTTACTAGATATTCCCTATACCAACAAAGACCCTTTTCTTTCAAAACTCACCTGAAAAGTTGTTACCATATCTGAGCTGTTTACTGAATTTGAGGTAGAATCATGTGAAATAGTCATCGAACCAATTTCATTGTTATAACCCACAATAGTAGGAGTTTCACCAGGTACTGCAATATGTGATGAAGAATTTAATATTGAGGACGTTTGTTGTTGCTGTTGTTGTTGGTGTTGTTGTTGGTGTTGGTGTTGTTGTTGTTGTTGCTGAGATTGCTGTTGGTGTTGCTGCTGCTGTTGCTGCTGTTGCTGTTGATCAACTGAAAGTATAGGAAAGTTAGCGAGGTCGGCATGAGATTGTGGACTGATAATACCTTGAGATAAACCTGGAGTTTGCACTGGGGTCATAATGGGAGTCTGGTCCATCTGTTGATAATGAGATGATAGAGGCATTGATTGTTGTTGTTGTTGTTGTTGTTGGTGATGATCCTGTGTATATTCCTGTTTTATCATCATGTGTGGTTGAGTATGATGATCCTGTTGTAAAGGTTGATTAGTTTCAAGAGATAGAGTTGTAGGTACAGTATTTGGTTGTTGTTGTATAAGATGTTGTTGAAGTATAGGTTGGTCATCACTTGGAGTTGTCAATTGAGACATTATATCCAATTTTTGTTCTACTTGGTGTTGAGATGAAGGAAAAGGGAAAGCTTCAGGTTTTGTCGATTGTAATAAAGTTGGACTTGTTTCAGTAGAATGGATAAATTGTTGTTGTTGTTGTTCTTGTTCTTGATTTGTTGAAGGTAAAGTATGTTCTGTATATACAGCTTGTTGTGTTTCCATATTGAACTTTGCGAAGTATAAAGTGACAAGAAGTTAGTTGGTGGATTGGATCCCCTAAGGGGAGATTTAGTAGGATAAACGGAAAAGATAGAAGAGAATATTATTTCTTTAAAAGAAATAAATAAATAAGTAGTAAAAAAAAAAAAAAAAAAAAAAAAAAAAAAAAAGGTAAAGTATATGTGTGTTATCAAAAGAGAAGAAAAAGAAATCAGCTATAACTTAGATTATTTAGAAGATAGAAAAAAAAAAAAAAGGGGAGGAAAAAATTTTAAAACCAAGTAAGCGGTTTGTGAAAGTTGAACCAACTGAAGAAAGGACTTTCCACCAATCATCCTCTTAGATTTTTCTAATTTTAAAAAAAAAAAAAAAAAAAAAAATGAAAAATACAAAAAGGTACATGGATGCAAAACATAATATATATAGATTAAAGTCAAACCATCACAGAAAAATATATATATATATATATATTATATATACTAAATTTGGTTGAAGCCATTTTAATTTTTTATTATATCTGACTGTGTTACATCAAATAATCCATTCTCTATATCATAATAATGCCCCATCATTAATATATATTTTGAACTGACAACATACGAAAAAAAAAATACTACGGTTTCTTATTCATCAAAAGAAAATGTAAATCTCTCTTATTAAATTAAAACTCAGCGTGTCTTTCTTAAAAAAAAAAAAAAAAGGAGAGAGGCACAGCAAAATAATTTCCTTTCACCTTTTTTTTTTTTTTTTCTAATACGTATATGCAACTCAAGAAACCTAAATCACTCCTCTTGAAGCAAAAACAAGAACAATTATTAGAAGAAGAAAAGATACGATCTTCCAAACGAAAACGAAACAATGTATCTTACTTTGTGGGTGATTTTCAAGAAGAAGACGATACAACATATGGTCAAGACGAAAACCAAGCAAATGGTGGAAAAAGAATTTGTTCTTTATTAACGAACGACTTTAGTACTTCTCGATGTTATCAACCAATGTTACGACGACCTACTTCAACTTCTTCTCTCGCGACTTTGACAAAAAAATTCCGTGTACCTTTGGCCGATCAAACTGCTAACAATAGCATCGATATGGAACATAGAAGAACTCTTGGTATACGAAGACGTAATGGCTCTCGATATAAACAACTTTATGATCATACAGCAGAAGATGCTTTTGTTCTTTGGGACCCTGATGTCGATACCCTTCCGGAACAACCTCCAACAACAGAAACTAATAAGGATACAAAAACAAATTCAACAGAAGAAAAAGAAACCTCAGCAAACAAAGTTGCTCTTAGTGGAAAATCTCTCTCAGAAATGCTTGGGTTAAAGAAAGAAGTCTCTAAAAAATGTCATGTAGTAGTGGATCCTGTTTTGGCCAAGATTTTGCGTCCTCATCAAGTGGAAGGTGTTCGATTCTTATTTAGGTGTACTACAGGAAAAGTGCATCCAAATGCTTTTGGTTGCATTATGGCAGATGAAATGGGTTTAGGTAAAACGGTAAGTATGTCGTTAATCTTGGAAAATAAAATATAAACTCTGATATCTTTTTTTTTTCTGTAGTTACAATGTATCTCTTTGGTTTGGACCTTACTTCGACAATCTGATGAATTGGGAAAACCTACTATACATAAAGCTATCATTACTTGTCCTTCAAGTCTTGTTAGAAATTGGGCAAATGAAATAGGTAAAGAAATAACATTAATTAATGAAATATGCTAAGATTTATCATCCCCTTTTTTTTTTTGTAGTAAAATGGCTTGGTGAAACTCGCGTACGACCTTTGACAATTGACAATTCCGGAAGCAAGGAAAAGATCTCAGCAGTGAAACGATGGGCAGCTGCTCAAGGTCAACTTGTAAATCCTGGTAAAGTTGCATGAAAATCAGAAAAAAAAAAAGCTATGATCTGATTACGTGACTGACTAGACTTTCTTTTATTTTTATTAGTACTTATTATATCATATGAAACGCTCCGTGCCTATACCAAATATATGAAGAATTGCCCTATTGGATTACTATTGTGTGATGAAGGTCATCGATTAAAGAATGGAGGTAAACATCTTTATATTATGACTATCAATGCTAGAAGAAATCAAATTCTTTATAGTGATTTATCTATTTCTGAATTATCAATAGAATCACAACTTTTCAAGGAATTAAACAAATTACAGGTCCGTCGAAGAGTCATCTTATCAGGAACACCCATTCAGGTAAATCGTAATTCAAATGATTTTCTTTTTTATTATTCTAACCACTCAATACTTAATATTTTATTTTATTGTTCTTCCTCATCTTGTATATAGAATGATCTTAGTGAATATTATAATCTTATCGATTTCGCCAATCCTGGAATTCTAGGTACTCCCAATGAATTTCGCCGTAATTATGAAAATCCTATTCAACGTGGTCGTGATTCAGATGCTTCTGATGCTGCTCGGAAACTCAGTGATGAGAAAGTACAAGAATTCTGGACTATTGTATCAAAATTTACTATTAGACGAACAAATGATATTCTTACCAAATACCGTAAGTGATTAAAAGACAATAACTAAGAAAAAAAAGTAATAATCATTATGTTATATATATATATCTTTACTCTAGTGCCAAAGAAATTTGAACATGTGGTATTTTGCAATTTATCTCCTTTACAGCAACAATTGTATGATATATTCCTCACATCTCCAGCTATGAAAAGGTTACTACGAGGTCAGGACAGTCAGCCATTGAAGGTAAATCAAAAGAATTAAAAAAAAAAAGAATGATCGGAAGATCATTGGGTAAACACTGATATTCTTATTGTTTATGATGATATTGATGGCGTTAGGCGATTACTATGCTCAAGAAACTTTGCAATCATCCTGATCTATTGGATTTACCTACAGAACTGGAAGGATCAGAAAAAGTCTTACCATCAGGATATACAAGTAGTCATGGTGGAAAAACGGGACAAGTTATTTCTAGCTTATCTGGGAAATTTATGGTGTTAGACCGCATGTTGGCCAAAATCAAGAAAGAAACAGACGACAAAATTGTACTTATCAGCAATTACACACAAACTTTAGACCTATTTGAACGGTTTTGCGCACAAAAACAGTAAGTAACACATCTTACTTAAATTCAACAAACTACAAATCATATCAATCAGTTTGTCTAACATGTTTATTTTTACTTTTTTTTTTTTGGAAACAATAGATACGGTGTACTACGGTTGGATGGCTCTATGAACATCACTAAACGACAAAAATTAGTAGATCAATTCAATGACCCTGAAGCACCAGAGTTTGTATTCTTACTTAGTAGCAAGGCTGGAGGATGTGGATTGAACTTGATCGGCGCCAATCGATTAGTTTTATTTGATCCAGGCAAGTTAATTTTTATCCTTTTTTTTTTCAAGCAATGATCTTGTTTGTTTATTTTTATTGTTTGTTTCTAGATTGGAACCCTGCGGCTGATCAGCAAGCATTAGCGCGTGTCTGGCGGGATGGACAAAAGAAAGACTGTAAGTATTTTTAAAAAAAAATTGTTGGGGCATATATTAAGTTCTTTTTACTGATTATTTGTTTGTTTATTTTCTCTACGATAGGCTTTATTTATCGATTTATTGGTGCTGGCACTATAGAAGAAAAAATATTCCAAAGACAATCTCACAAACAATCACTATCTAATTGTGTGGTAGACGAAGCCACAGATGCTGAGCGACATTTCTCTGTGGAAAATATGCGACAACTCTTCCAATTACATACATCAAGTGAATGTGAAACTCATGATACCTTCAAATGTAAGGCAATCACAATAATAATAAGAATAATAATAAGGATGATCGACTCAACTCTTATTGTTTTTTTTTTTTTTTTTTTTGTATATTCCAGGTAAACGATGTATACAAGGTAAACAACACAAATCAGCGGATGTAATGCAGTATGGAGACACAAGCACGTAAGTCTTATTATTATTATTATTATTATTATTATTATTATTATTATCCTTATTATTGATCTGGCCTTATTGACACCTTCCTTTTTGTAATAGATGGGATCACTTTGATAAGGATTTATTGAAATTACCAGATCCTATATTGAAACAAGAAGCAGGAAAAGGAATTGTTTCTTATGTATTTCAATATATATCTCATATGGAATAGAATTTTTAGTTGGTTACTTATTTTATTTTATATATAAGTAAATATGACTCAATAAAATCTTTTTTTTTTTTTTTACTTTGTAAGCATTGGGGATTTAAAGTTTGCCAGATTTTGATTTTCAGTCTTTTCTTTCCTTTTTTTTTTTTTTTTTTCGTTAGAATTCGCCCCTATTTTCTCCTTCCTGTATTTCTTCCTTATTTTATTGTCTCTGTGTCTATATGACAAGGTAAAAAAAAAAAAAAAAATCATATAAATAAGCTCTTTTTCATTTCCAAATGATGACATTTTTTCTCACACTCTTTTTTTTTTATTTTATTTTTATCATGATCTCGTGTTTACCTTTAGAACTTTTTGAACTTGTTCATTGTCAACTGTCTACATTGGATAAATACCGGTGTCTCTATGTATGTCAAGCATGGTATTCCTTGTTTCGTCTTGCATTGTATCAAAACTGTGTTCTTTCCAACCAAGCCAGTTACCGAACTTTGTATACTACATTGCAACAAAGGCAAGATCTTGGTTTTCAAGTAAAACAAGTGGACCTGAACAAGTGCGAAGTTTCGTTACAAGAACTGCAAATTTTATTTCAATTGTGTCCTAATATTCGTTATGCCAGTCTTCGATGGCCATCGTCTTCTTTTTTGGGAAGAGAGTCAGAATGCATGTGGGATCAACATAGGTCTCCTGTTTGGCCCGCCATCGACACGAACTTTACCGACATACCATCAACATCATGGCGATTATGCTCGTTGACTCAACTGACGTTACACGATACAGATATGGATGGTCTTTTCGGTCTTGTTACACGGTTCCCTTTGTTAGAACAATTTTGTTTAGTATCATCTCGATTGGATATGACACTGGATGACTTGGAATCTATTCACATTGCTTGTCCACGTCTTACTTCTTTGGCTTTGGATATTCACACTTTATTATCAACCGATAGCAAATCATCATCATCATCATTAGTGACTATGGATCAGCTGCGTTCTCTTAAACTTATCTACAAACAGTTGCAAGATCCCGGTCGAACTCCTTGGATACGTTATCTGGCTCAAAAATACCCTCACTTGACATCACTGGAAATGCAAACACGTTTTGTACGACGAAGACATATGACAACTCATCTGGAAGACAGTGATCAACAAGAGGTTCATCCATTTCAACAAGGATTAAAACAATGGGCTCAATCATGTCATTTTCTTGAACGAATTCATTTTACAAATATATCTTGGGATCAATGGTTTTTACAACATTTACCATCGTCATCATCATCATCATCATCATTATACAAAGCTGATGTTCGTTCTCTGCAACAAGTACATGTAGTGCGTATGGATGATGGGTTTGATCCATCTTTTTCTATATTTTGGACACTGGTCAATCATCCTTTCCTCAACCAATTGACAAATCTTACCATCCGTCCAGTAGCTACACATCCAGATTCTTCTTTTTACAAGGCAATTGGTCGTCTAGGCTTCCTGACAACACTCACCATCCAACAACAAGGTCATCGTTCCAACAAGCAATCACCCTGCCACCTGGATATCCATTCACTCTTACATCATTGTAGTGGACTAACTCATTTGACCTTGGGAGGTCTGGCATTATCTACCAGTGAACAAAGAATGCATTCACGACTTGATTCTCTCGTCCTATCCACTGTTGAATTGGATCATCGTACGTTGGATGATATCCTGGCCAGCTGTCTTTCCTTGACCCGATTGACCATGATTTCTTGTGAATACACCTCTTCTTCGGTTGGCGTCCCTACATTGGCCATCCTTAGTCATCAGCATCGTTGGAAACATGTTGAGATTCGATACCCCTTTATTCAAGCGTCTACCTCTTCTTTGATTGGTTTAAGGCGTGGCCCTCTTCTTCTCAGCATCAAAACTGGTGATCAACCATGGACCCATCATGACGCTTTCCCAAAAACACAGCATACTGGAGATCATCATCATACTTTCAAGGATCTATGTCGAGTCAAGATTGTTTGTCATTCTATCCGGTCTTTACATATCAATGGTATCCAGATTTATATTTAGTTGTAGTTTAGATACGTTTTTTTTTTTGTTGTGATACCCTTCCCCCACTCCCTCTCTATTCCGTATCCTTCTTTCTCCATGCTATATATTTTCAATAAAAATGATTTGTTTTATTTGTAACGTGAATAAAAATAATAAGAGGAAGAAGAAGAAGAATGAAAAAGAAGGATACAATATACATATACAATTTGGTGTTATCATAAAAAAAAAAAAAGAATAAATAAAACAGTCATCACTATCCAATAGGTTTTTGTTGGGTGGTATCGTACATTCTAATGATTTTGCCTTGATCGGTATCATTTTGTGCAAAAGCGAAACCTCGAGATTGCTTGAGTCGTTGGATTTTCCGTACCTTATTGACAGCTCTTCTGAACCGGTCCATTCTAGGTCGATAATCAGGTAAGTTGAATTTCTGAATTTCTTGAATATAATGGTAACTTCTTGTACGATACATCCGTTTATAACTTTATAAAAAAAAAAAAGAAAAGGGTGAAGATAATGATCAGTATAATTTATTATTATTATTTATTTTGGACACTTACTATTTCCAAATATAGTCTCGAAGGTTGCACAATAGGGGAATCATCAAAAAGAAGAGCCAATAGTTGACATTACCAAACAATTGAGGAACAATCCCTTCATATTCCAAAAAGATGCCCCATGGAGTCATTGGACCCACATATGCAACAAAAGGAAGATAGATAAACCAAATCAACATGGATCCAGGAATCGCAATGTAAGTATACTTTGTCCAAATACTACAAATTAACAGTTAGTCGTCTTTTTTTTTTTTTCTTAGTTCTTCTACCACTTACTCAGAAATCAGAGCGGCCTTCCAAAGAATCGTTGCCAAGGTAGCACTAAAAATGGTTGTTCCCACCCACCATTGACCACCCGTCCATCCGAGAAGAAAGACAGCATCATCTGTAAAAGCAATCATACCAAGGAAGAACAAAAGCTATATATATATAATAAAAGATGAATCATCTACATTCGATCCTCTCTTTTTTTTTTTTTGGATGAACTTACAGCTGAGTGATATACTGCATTAAGAATCCAACCCCAAAATCGTTTTTGATTGAAAAATTCATTCTTTTGTCCTAATGTATAAATTTGAGGATATTTGTCCAATAATCGAGCAGAAGCAAATTGATCACATATACCAATGGCCATAGGAGGTAAGAATGTAAAGATGACATTAAAACATGACATTGTCCAAGATTCATATAAAGTTTGTCCTGAAAAGCCAGTAAAGATAGAGTACTATAAGATATAAAACATAAAAATTAAATACATAAATCATTCATCGTACTCATTTTTTTTTTTACCCAAAATTGAGTCAAATAAAGAGCCACATTCTTATAAAAGTAGAAAAAGATCATTTTGGATAATCGTTGATAAGCCCAAGCACCATGTACCAATAGTAATTTCTTCAAGAATCGGAATTGAGAAATGGCAAAATCAGCACTTCTTGCGGCTTGTAATCCTTCCACACCACTGATACCAATTCCTACATGAGCAGCTTGAATCATAGACACATCATTTGCCCCATCACCAATAGCCAATAAGATCGATTTGGAATATTTTTTCACCAATTTCACGACCAAAGCCTTTTGAAGAGGGGATACTCGACAACAAACTACAGCTTTGCACCGTATAGCTAAATCATAAAGAATCTTTTCCACATCATTTTCTAGAGCATATGTTAACGCTTTTCCTTCTATCACCAATGCCAAAGGCTAATATGTATAAAAAAAAATAAGTATATGATCATTGATTTTTAGAAAAAACAAAAGTATGTTACCTCTTGACTTATTTGATCATGAGCAATGGCTTCAGCAAGTTTTGTTTCCAAGTATGATTTTGTTGCGTCGTGTTCTTCTTCATTACAAATAATCAAATCCATATCTTCCGTTAATAATTTACAGCTGTATCCAATGTTGATGGCTGTTTCTTGACGATCACCAGTAAGTACCCAGACTTTAATATTGGCTTCTTGTAAAGTATGAATCGTTTCAGGCACACCATCTTGTAATTTGTCTTCAATAGCTGTAGCTCCCACCAAAAACATATCTTTTTCGATCATTTCTGCTGCCTTGTCCAATTCGTCAGCTCGATTCACCAAAGTAGTAGCCGCATTGTCATAAATTTGAGACCATCTTGCATATTCTTCATCAGAGATTTCACGCATAGCATAACAAAGTGTTCGTAATCCTTCATTAGCAAAATTCTATGAATTGAAAAAAAAAAAAGATAAGGAAAAAAAAAAGAGTAAATGGATTTTTTTTTGATGATTTACCTCTAAATGTTCCAAGGTAGCATCTACAAATGGATTATCATTGTTTAATCGTTCCAAAATCACAGTATCAGCACCTTTACAATAAAGTTTCACTTTGCCATCAGGACCACGAAGTACAACAGACATTCGCTTTCGAGTTGAGTTGAATTCACAGACATTCAGGATTTGATATTCTTGATCTTCTCCATTGATGGTACAATTGATGGAATGAGGTCGACGAGCATAAAAATGATACTTGAATACCTTGCTGGCACCAGTGACAAGAGCACCTTCATCAGGAGAGGACGCCTGGTAGACAATTTCATCCGAGCCTTCTTTGGTTTCAGGAATCACCGTATGACAAGTCATCAAGGAAGTCAGGAATTCATGGATAACATTGTTGTGTTGTGATTCATGAAGATGTTGTTCTAATTGTTTGAATGAGTATTGTCCATGGCTATCATTGTCGTTTGTTGGTCGGCGATCTGGATCTGGTTGATTTGCATAGGCGAGTCCGGCAATAGAGCACTCCCGAAACTCCATTTCATTACAAGTCAGAGTTCCCGTCTTATCCGAAAATACGTATTCCACTTGTCCTAATTCTTCAATCAAACTGCTGCTGCGTGCTACTGCTGGTGTATCTGTCTTGTCATAGTATATATCCAAGTCATTATCAATCATCTTTGACTGTACGAATTTCACGATTTCCATGGTGACCATCAAACTGTTTTTTTTTTTAAAAAAAAAAAATAAGAATTAAATATATCAGTAATTTTGATTTTTTTTTCTTTATCTTTGGTTGTACCTGATTGGAATAAAACTGTTGAACAAAATCATAAATGTCAAGATATTGAGTCCGAATTCTCTTGCACGTTCAGCTCCAGAGATAGGAATATACAATGCCAGGTGTTGATCATTATTCATCTATCAAATGAAGCTATGTCATTAATCATCCAAAAAAAAAAAAAGTTTGTATACAGCATTCTACTTACGGAGATAACAAGATTGCCAACTGAACATAAAACGCTCATGACCACAAGCATAGTAAATAAGTACAAGATATTGCGATTGGTGATACGTGCCACATTAGATGCTTTGGTTGGCTTTTTGCTATCATAGTAGAAATAAAAGAAATGAGTTACATTTTCATTTTCATCTATATATGGATTACCTTGAGTTCAACATCAATTTTGTTTCATGTCCAGTAAAAACTACTACCCCATAAATCCAACTTGTATTTCGAAGTTGAGCTCCACGAAGTAAGAGTTTGTTAGGATCCAAAGGAAGGTTTTTTGGTTTTCCATCTTGAGTTGTTAAACAAAGAGTACCATCATAATTATATAAACGATTGTTGGGTTGTTCTGATTTGATAACGCCCTGTAATTGAGAAAGTTGAGAAGGAGAGACAATATGTGACGTTTCTGATAATGCTTGTTTGATTTTTAAGTTGACTTCACTATTAAAAAGAAAGAAAGAAAAGAAGATTATTTCAAAATTCCCATTTATGATTATATATTTTTTTTCTCTTACCCATCTAAATTGCTTGTTTCTATATAACAAAGACCTTCTGGTTCCGAACTACTAAGTAGAATAAGATCTGCAGGAAAGAATTCCGAGCTTTCAATACGACAAATATCACCCACCTTGATGTCACGCCATTTCTTTTCCTTGAATTGAGATCCATCATAGATCTTGCATTTGGTGTTATTCAGTTCCCGATCTGATCTATGAACACCCTAGAATAGAATGTTAAAAAAAGAATCCATATCAATCATTCATATCATTGATACTTACGAAATCTTCTAACATTTCTTTCACTGCAGTAATCAACAGTACAATGACAAGTGGAACCAGCGTGGTATATTTTGAAGTAGGAGAGATATTTGGAATTTGCTATATAGAAAAAAAAAACAAATTGATTAATTTTTCATAAGAGAATAGTTCCCTTTATTTGAACCGTACCTGAATACCCGAGATGAATAAGAAAAACAAATTGGCTGGTTTTGAGAATTCTTCATAAAGAAATTTTGGTAAAAAGGTGATTGGATTGTATTTTGCAGTTGAAACAGAGTTGCCTAAGAATTTTTGTTGTGAATTCAAAGAGTCATTATTGATATGAATAATACGAGGTTCAGTTGAGATTTGTGGTGTTCGTTTGAGGATATTTTGTAATCGATATCGTAATGATCGACGCATTTGACGTTTCCTTCTTTGTTCCTTGATGACTGACCTTCGCATTGTTGGTACGTTTTCAAAAATTTCGGTCTTATAAGTAGAGGATTCCAATTGTTGATGATGTGTTTGATCATAAGGTACCATGCTAGTGTTGTTGTTGTCGATAGGTATTGATCCATCAGAACTAGGATGACTGAATGGAGCTGAAGGACGTTGAATAGAACCTGGATGATCCAATAATTGTAGACCTTCTTCATCTTCTTCCCGTACAAATTGTCGATCAGAAAAAGTCGCTAAACAAATAAACAAAAGGGTCCAGAAGGTGTTAATTAAATCAAATCATATCCAATAAAATCTTGTCGCTGTTTAGTTTCCAAGTTCAGTAGTAATAAGGTCTTTTTTTTTTTTTTTACCTGAATTATAGTAGGAACCCGTTTGTTGATAAAAAGGCCGTTGTGCTGTTGCCATTTCATATTCTGAAGAGGAAGTTTCAAAATGTCTAGGATTCGATTGATTCACACCCATAGACCGGTCATCTTCCGACCCCATATCCGTATTGTTCTGCCATTGAGACATGAGGAATTCAAATATGAAACTGTGTGATGTAGTAAAAGAGTTTTTTTTTTTGAACTAATTCAAAGTAGTAATACAACAATAAGGGAGAGAGTATACAGGTATAATATAATAATAATATTAATAATAATAATAATAATAAGGGAAAAGTGAGAGATAGAAGAAGAGTCAGGAGCGTGAAAAAGAAAGAAAAGAGGAAAAAGGAGCAAAAAATAGATTTCACTGATGATATACAAATATTTCATTTTCCGATGTATATTGGAGCGCCAAGTTTTATGGTGTAACCAACAGTCTTTTTTTTTATTTTATTTTTATGGCTTTTATGTAAAATGTAAGCCATCATGGGGCTCATATCATATTGTCGTTTATGCATCATCATAAAATAAAAAAAATGGAACGTTTGTTTATTAAATAATAATAACAAGTACAAGTAAAATAATAAGAATAATAATAAGACAACATATACAATAACCTGATTTAGATTCTATATAAAAATTTAATCCAGTTAGTTACTTTTAATGTTTTTTTTATATAATCTATAATCATTACCTTCTTCTTTCTTCAAAATATCTGTCACTCGATGCATAGCCCTTTTCAATCGTCCTTCTGTTCTATCCACATTATCACCAAGTTCATCCAAAAGACTATAATGAAAAGAGGATAAAGTCATAAGATAGTATCATTTGGTTTGGTTTTTTTTTTTTAATACTTACATAACATGATCATCAATTTCTCTATTCATTGTCCCAGCAATATCTTTAAGATTCACCAAAGTACCAGCCATGGAATCTAAATGATGATCTTGTTCTTGAAACATCACCTACAAAACCAAAATATGTCAATACGTATCTCCAATTTCTCATTTTAATTTATTACCTGTTGTTGTTGTTGTTCATTTTCAATAAATCGACTATTGTCTTGTTCTGATCGGTAGGGTGTAAAAGTGTCAGATTGACTAGGAGAAGAAGACTAATTATCCAAAATAAAAATGATATATATATATATATATAGATGATTATTTCATATTGAGAAACCAGTACATTCATATCACTCCAAATACATACACCTTTATAATATATATATGGTGCCTATTTTATTATTATTATTCTTGTTTACCTTTGAATCATCATATTTTGGAGAAGGATTGGCCATTGTATTTCGTATTGATTGGATTGTATTTCGAGATTGTATAAGAAAGAGTTGGCGGGTATTCAAGTCATTGGCAGAAAGGTGGAATTGTTGAGGGTTTAGCTTGGCAGCGGCTAGAGCTTCATCCAAATCATCAAGGTCCTGTTCAATAGCTTCTAAACATGACTCGAGTTCATCTGCTGTCCATAATAATTCTTGATTTTGTGGTGATTTGACTGTTTGTCGTATTCGTTTCCAAGATGAGTATAAATTATCAGCATTCACTAAAGATTCCTTGACTTGACTGAAAAAACAAAATATATATAGATAGATAGGATATTATTATCTGAATGTATTCTTTTCATGTCCAAGTTAACTTACTTCTCTACTATAACAAAAGGATCTTCTTCCATGATGGTGTATGATGGTATGGTGATTGTCAATGTGAATAAGGGAAAGAATCAAAAAGGTGAGAAAGGCAAAGAGTGAAGAAAAATGAAAAAAAAAAAAAACCGTTGACTTGGTACGATTTTCCAATTGAATCTCAGTCTTCCATTTTTGGTATGACCCCTTTGAGGATCAACCCATAAATAAAAAGTGACAACTAATTCATCAGGAGAATATGAACATTATTACAAAAGGGGATTTCATTTTATCATTTATATTAAAAAAATGATATCAGGGATAAAGAGTGTATAGCTCAAGGAGATAAACAAAGAAATAAAATAAAGGAGAGTAAATAAAAAAGAAAATATTTATTAACTACTGTTTTACTTTTATGTGTATGATTTGATGATAATAATGAGAACTAAAAAGATGACTATAATGATACTATCTATATGCTAATCATATTATTGATAATGACTGATGATTGATGATGATGATAATGATGATGATAAAATAGGGAAAAATAATAATTAAGAAGATTTCAATGCATTGTTCACGTTATCTACCTTTTGTTTGATAAAATCCTTGATGGCCAAGAGAGATTTGTAGTTGGTAGGACCATTAATGGCGTTGTCGATAGTAATGTTCGAGTTAATCCGATGAATGAAATCCAAAGCTGTTCCTGCATCAAAATTCAAGGGCATTGACATCTTATCGCTATCTTTATCATTGCCATCATCTGAAGAACCACCCATTAAATTGTTAAAGTTTTTCCCAGTTCGAACACGAGGTAGACTTTGATCCCACAATACATCTTGCTTCAAAAATGTCACCCAATTGTCAATCACAGGGAACGAAACTTGAGGCGTAAAGAGTTGATTATTGATGTACTTCACTTGATCTTCAAACCATTGCTGGAAAGTTGGAATACGAAATATTGCTTTGGTGAGAGGTCGCGTCGAAATACCAGTGAAGTTGTGATAATCACCCTCAAGTAATGTATCCATTTTGACTGGTCCACTACCTAAAACATAGTCAAAGTCCCATGCTATCCAATCCATTTCACCATCATTTGGTTGTCTATACAGATAATAGTTTTGTGCATTTTGAATATAACCATCCCAAGAACCAAGTAAGAATTCCAACGCCATACTAAATATAATATATAAATATGATTTATATAAAAATAAATAACAAAAATCACATATGTTCAATCATGACTTACTTTGCCAAAAAACCTTTGACATTCAATTGTTCTTGCCAAAGTGCAACAGAGGCATCCAAGTCACTACTATCATCCTGAGATTCTTGCCATTGAAGTTGTTCATCAATGAATTCAGTAAAAGACACTAAATCTTGAATACCATTATCCTCCACTTTTGACCTTTCTTCCATCTGATATACTATATTGTAGTAGTCCCAATCATCTGCACGATAGCTAAGATCAGCATATTCTTTGTCCTGTACTTGAGCACCCAGAGTCTTGTACAGCACACCATTGTCATATCCTTTTTCGCCGTGGTTGAATTCCATTTGAAGCCAACGATCATTATATGCTTCTTCCAGTAAGAATAGTCCAATACCTTGATCATTGATGATAACACTATATGAGAATAGAATGATTGAATTAGTTAAGATCGATATAATAAGTGGAGAGTCATTTACCGAGCATAGCTCACTAGAGTAGTAGGACGACCCACTGCATAATATAAATCAGTAGCTATCTTTTCACGGACAAAACTTGGATCGGAAGTAGAGGCTCGTAACTTGAATTTGCTGTAACCACCCAAATGTTCCTTTCCATCTAGTTTGAATTTGTAAGGTAATTTGGTAAACCGTTTGGAGGATCGACCACCAACACTAAAAGAACAGTTTGAAAATTCCTTGACTTTATCGGAACTTGAAGGAGAACAAGAAAAAAAAAAAAAAAGAAATATGAAGAAGAAGAAGAAGAAGAGAATTAAATTAAAATTACGACGTTTCAAAACTTTTTCATTTTTCAGTAATTACCTAATATAGGTGATAGTGGACTTGACAGTGATATCTTCCATGACTTGATCATGCATGTGCTTTACTTGATCAGGGGGAGCCTGGATATGAAAAGTGACGATCTCATTAAATCGATGAAGTTTATTGGGAGCACGATCAAAACCCGTAGGAAAAACATTAACATCTGTAGCGGTTGGAAAGGTCTTGATGTCTTGAACAGTGGTTTGTCGTCCATAGAATTCATTCAACGTTGTTTGACCATTGGATAATGTGCGCTCAAATGGTTCACTAGCAATGATGTTTTGAGTACCAGGTTCCACCATGACATAACGATATGTTAATATTGATTCTTGTTGTTTTTGAATAGTGACATGATGAAGTACATTGGTTTGATAATCAGATGATGGTTGCATAACATACACCATGGATGATGATCCATTTACAATTTCTACTGCCATTGTCGTAGGCATCACAGTATCGTTTTTTGTTTGACTGGCAACGGCTATCACATGAAATGATATTTCATTATTATTATTATCTTCCATGGTTCTTGATATCAATGACCTTAGTGATTTGAATAATTGAGCATTCACCGTCGTAAAAACCAAACATAGCAAAGAAAAGACTATTGATCATAGAAGAATAAAAAAAAATAATACCGTCAGTACCGATCATCATCTGTCATCCATCATCACGATGTTAAGGTTTTAAAATTTGATATCTATACCTATAAATGTCGGTTGAGTAACTGCAAACTTCATTTAAATTCTTTTTTTAAAAAAAAATAAAAATAAAAATAAAACAAATCAAAGAAAGAAAAAGGAATCCATTCCAAGTATCAGTCTTTTATTGTTATTTATTTTGGAAGTCCGGGGAATACTTATTTTTACTATATTCCAGGATTAAAAATCCATCGATTTATTTTGAAAACAATAGAAGAGAAGAATGAATAGATAAGGGGGGAGGATTAATTAGTATAAAGAGTTTCTTATGGCCAGAATGGGTGAAAATGTAGTATATATATATATATATATATATATATATATATATATATAGGGAGAAAGGCACGTATTAGAACGTTAACAACTGTTCATATCCGTTACGGCTAAGTACATTTTTGTATAATAGAGAATGACAATGTAATAGTTAGATGAACTATTGATATCTCCCGAAGGCATGGATGAGGGTCTTCATTACATAATAATTCTAAAGTCATTCATTTCGGTATCCTTTTTTTTTTTTTTTTTTTTTTTTTTGTAGATCGATTAATATTAAACTCTATTGAAGTCCTGAAAAAAATAAAATAAAAAGTATATTGTATATATATATATATATTTTTTTTCTTTATTTTATTTGATATACAGATAGACACGAGGATGATACAACAACACCTGAAGATGACAAATCTAACAACAGTAATACTATGAAAGAAGGAGGTGGAGAAAGAAGGAGCTACACTAGAGAACGTAAAAGGGACAAAGGGAGAGAGTAAAATGATAAGAATGTAAGAGGAGAAAAAGAGAAAAATAGGAAATAAATGGTATACAAAGGGAAGTAGAAATCAATACGAAGGATAGAAGCGATAAGACAAGACAATATATATATATATATATATATATATATTATACCTATTTGGAAAGTAAACATGAATTCTTTTCCTTGCTATAAATCGTTTGCACCAAGTATTTTCCATTATCGAATTCCAAGTTGTAGTTTGCGCCAGTGGAGGTAGTTTGAAGATTGCCGAACCATTGTTCAGTTGAAGTATTGTAAGAAGCACCTGAACAAAAATCACCAATTTCATAAACTTGATTACCAGAATGAATGGACCATGCATCCATACGAGGATCTGTCAAGACGTCCTGAAGTTCATGAGATAAAATAGTAATGGCAGCATCAATAGATGGACTGTTGTTGGGTGACTGTTGTTGAATCATAGTAGGAACACAAAATTGTGGACAACCACCAGGATAACCGATAAAGATATATTGGAATTGATCACTGTAAGAGTTATATCCACAATTGGTGCTACAGAATTCCGAATCATGTACGTTAGGACCAAGAAGAAGAATATATATGCCGTTACTGTCCAATTGATTGTTTGCTGATAGATATCCAGATTGTACAGCGTTTAGAATGATGGTTTTGTGAGTATTGTGATCGGTCAAGTTGAGTCCAGCACTACCAGTATCATGTACAGCTGCTGCCAAGTTGAGAGGTCCAGATACTGAGCCACCATTGCTGTCTGTATATTCTTTCACTATATATAATATACAAAATCAGTTGTCTATTTGAAATAATCTTTTCATATACATACATATAGAAAACCAAGAAGTAGTAGATACATCATCCAAGAACCCTAAAAAGGTCTTTTGATCTGTAGTAGCATTACTTGAACTCCAATCACCATAAAATATAACATAAGCTAACAAAAAAAAAAGGTTGAATAAAAGCTTGTTTCGAAAAGAAAAAGAGTTTTTTTACCATTCACGAAACTAGTGAGAACTTTTCCTCCGGCATTTTTGAAAGTAGATCCATATTGAGTGGCAATTGAATTCAATGAACTGTTGTTAGTAGATGTTTGTTGTTGACAAGTGACGATACCAGCCAAAGAAAAAAGAAATATACCCAGTGAGGATAATAACATGACAGTAGTTGGTTTATATTTTAAAGGGGGGGTAGAAAAAAAAGAAACAAAAGGGAGGAAAAAAGAAAAAAAAAATACAAAAAAAAAAGTACAAAAACCCATTCTGAGTTTTGATTGGTTAATAATATATTGCACTGCTAAGGTCTATTATGGAATAACAATTACAATGAGATAGAGCATGATTTTGTATCTCTTTCAATCTAAATAATATATTTCATCATATATCCTTTTTTTTTCCTTTGTCTTTTTTATTTCTCTCTTAATTTTTACTAAGAGTTTTTATTACAAACAACTAATATGAAAAGTGTTGTCATGAATAGATTTTGGCTCAACATTATAAATATAGATCTTTTTCATTTGCCGAACTTCCTAAAAGGGGGTAATCCTTTTTTAAGTAAAATCGATTATTACTTGGATTAAAAAAAAAAAAAAAAAGAACAATAAGACATCATTTTGCATGATATTCAGTCAAATCAAATTAAATACTTTATATATGATTGTTTTAAATGATGATATTTTGATCATGGTATCTATTTCAATCTATATGAAATCTAATGATGATAGATCCTGACGATAAAAGGAGCCAACCATATTATTATAAGTCAAGGAGTCAATTGAAACCACTCCTACTTGATTAAGAGAAAATGTTGATTTACCGCTTAAAAAAAAAAAAAAGAACAGTATGATATATATATAAAAATAAAAGTGCACGGTTAAGCACAAGAGAGGTTCCTTCTTTTAGGAGTCATAAAGGGGCGAAGAAAAAAAAAAAAAAAAGAAAAAAATCAAACAAGGTCCCCTGAATATACAATAGATTGTTGCTGTCTAAAACTTGATTTCTTTTTTTTTTTTCTCATTATCATTCTTCTATTCTTCTTTTTTTTTTCATTCTTGTCATTTTTAATTATAAATATTGTAAATAATATAATCATCATTATAGTAAACCCAAAATAATGGTAGGTTCAAATGATTCTATTCCTATACAACAACAATTCTCATCTTCATTTCCAAAGGTGAATGATAATAGAAAATCACCGAATCAGACTATACGATTATCACCATCCTCATCATCATCATCATCATGTTCACAACAACAACAACAACAGCAACAACGTCGATCAAAATCATTGACATCACAACAAATTCTAACATCAGATCAATTTCGACGTCCTTCTACTCCAATCATGTCTACTACACCTAGATTATCTATTGCAGATAGATTCATGTCTTCGAATTATCAACATTCTCCTCTTACTTCTTCTCCATTATCTTATACTTCTACTATCCTGAATGACAAGGAGGATTTATTTTCTTCTGATAAAAATCCTTCTAATTCTGATCGTACCAATAATAATAATAACAATAATATTCAAGCTTCATCATCATCAATGGAAATTTCATCTACTCCTAGACTTACTATTGCTAGTGCATTTATGAAATCATCATCTACTTTTACGAAACAAGATCATACGACAGTAGCATCTACAGGTAATAATAAAAAAAAAAATCAATTTTTTCTTTCTTTCTTTCTTTCTCTCCCTTGATTTTTGGAACTCGACTAGGAAAAGTCTATTTTTCTCTAACCACACTCCGCGCTTCTTTTTCCTCCTTTTTTCTTTTTTTTTTTTTTTCTTTTTCTTTATTTTCTTTTTTTTTTTTTCTTCTTCTTCTTCTTCTAGGAACCATTCATCCACTTGATACACTCTCTCAACATACAAATGATAGTCTAGATCTCAATTTGGATTTAACACCAACACCTTCCTCATCAAACTTTTATCGTGGTAGTAGAAATCATTCTCGACCTTTTGGAAGTCAAGATACTCTCGTCAGTAATGATCTCGGTACTAATAAACAAGCCAAAGTACAAAACTCGACAGAAGATGAATATTTTGATATATCATTAAATGATTATTATCGACGATCTCAAGACAATGACCAACAAGAAGACGGCGATGAGGACGACGACGGTACAAATGAAAATGAAAGTGATATCTCATCAACCACTCGACATGGCGATGAAGAACATGATTTAGATTTACAACAAAGCAAATCTTCCAGCAAACATAATCAACAACAAGACGATATGATGGAGCCTAGAGGTTGTTGGATTGGATGTTGTTTTTTATCTTTTGGACGACGTCCCAATAAACAAGCTATGATGGCCAATATTAACAAAAAACGACAACAAGAACAACAAGAACGACAGCAACAACGGAAATGTGGAACTCGATGGCGTGTACTTGGTATATTTTTATCGATTCTTCTTTTGATCGTACTCTCTTCTATTCTATGGCCTCGTACTCCTTTGATACGGATTGAAGGTGCATCATTAATCTCTCCAGCCAAAATCACAGAAACAAATCAAGGCGCATTGGTGGGCAATGTACAATTTGAAAGTCAATGGATGGTGAATTTTACTGTGGATAATCGACAAAACTCTATTTTACCTACCCGTTTAGTACAACTTCATGTTTTGGTCAAAGATGCTTTAACAGGCAATATTATCGGCAAGGGGTTTCAAAATGATCATCCAGAACCTTTAGTCTTAAGTCCAAATACAATCTCTACCATTCAATTGGGTGTCTCCTTGGATTATCAAGCTCGTGATGTGTCTGATACCACTTTTGCTAGTCTCAAGAAAGCTTGCACGTCATCCTCTCCTACTCGACGTTCATTGTTGATTTCTCGTGGTGGCGATCATCCTAGTAATTTATCTTCTTCAAATTCTGATGGCTCATCCAATACAACGGTAATCAACAGTAACAATCATACTCTATCAAACAACAACAATCAAACCACGATACATTCTCCTACTACAATACCTCCTTCACCACCACCTCCTCCAAAACAACATGAATCTCTCTCCTTATTATTTTGGGTTACATTACATATTTGGGGATTGGACTTTTTTGGTTATCAACCTACTGTCATGGTCGCACCTGCTACTGGTGGTTTTGTCTGTCCTTTGTCCTAGTTTTACTTGATTAGTTTATGTGGTTATTTATGATAGTTTTATTCTATTGATTTATTGTGTGTGTATTTACTCCTTTTTTATATATAAATAAAAGCCTTCTTTTCCTACTTCACTCTCTCTCTCTCTTTTTTTTTTTTTGACTATCCTGTCTTGGAAGATCTATAGAATGGAGGATAGGAGGAGATCAATCCATTCAATGATGATCATTTACTCATTCTCAAAAGCATATATCATAGAAATGTCACAGGATTTAAATCAGATCATTCCTTGTTTACCAAAATCCAGTAATGTAAAATGAACTAACTATGGATTTTTGTTAAAGCTTATGATTCCTATGTTGTTTTGACGATAATCATCATCATCATCAGTTATTATTATATCAATCATCATTGATCGTCATCATCATCCAAACAAAAGACAATGGTACTTGGTGATTTGAAGTATGTTGGTAAATAATTGAAATTCCGTCTTGTCTGGAAAATGACCCAGCCACCTACTTGTTTCTTAACATTTTCCCTTTTTCTCTTTACCTTTCCTTTCCCCGCCTTCAATACTTTTTTTTTTTTTTGATTCACCCTTTCTTGGATATGAAACTTACTGTGGACCTCATCAATGACTCTGTCACTCACATCAATCCTCTCAAAGATCGGGAATTAGTATTAAGAAGTATGGCCATTGAAATACTCACGCGCGTCATATGGTATTGTTTATTCTATCATCATACTAACCTACTTTTTTTTTTTTTTGTCTCATTTTATATGAACTATAGATTTGAAAATCCCTACTATTGAAAACTTGGGCGCAACAAAGGTATATATATATATAAATATATAAAAGCATATACAACTTGGTTCTTTTTGATGATCCTTACTCACTTCATTTGAATTATTTTCTGTATTTGTTTTTTTTTTCTTTTTTACATACGAAAACTAATAAATCAATATAGGATTTGAATGACACAATCGACTTTACCAACAACGACTTGAAAGTACTTGGCAATTTCCCTCGCCTGAATCGACTAAAGCATCTTCTTCTTGCCAACAATCGTATATCAAAAATTGATACTGGACTGGAAAACTATTTACCCGAATTGACAACGCTGGTGCTGACGAACAATTCGATGGAAGAACTTGGAGATATTGAACCTTTAGCTACACTTAGAAAATTGGATCATTTAGTATTGTTGGATAATCCTGTCACCAAGAAGGAGCATTATCGATTATATGTCATTTACAAGTTACCATCTGTTCGTGTATTGGATTTTAACAAGGTCAAACAAAAGGTAATTATCAAAAAGAAAAATGATATTATTGAGTATCTTCATTGATGCCTTTCTCATATATATATATATATATATGCATTTGTATGTAGGAACGTGATCAAGCACGAGAATTATTTCAAGCTGATGGTCAAGACAACGAATTAGCACAATCCATCACTGGCAACAAATCCAAAACATTTGAACCTGGAGAAGGTGTACCAACAACTGCATAAGTTCCGTCTACCAACACATACACATACACAAACATTATCACCTCTTCTATTTGCAACATCACACTCTCTTCTATCGCTTCCATACATCCTTTTTTTTTAAACCTATCACACAGTTGTATAGACAAATCATTTCCCATTCATCACTTGCTTCCTTTTACTTTTATATTTATTCCATGTTGATCAAATAAAAAAAAAAAAAGATTATGATATCAAAATGTAACAACTTGTCTTTTTTTTTTCTTTATTATTAATGTTCATACAAATATACAAAAATATAAAAAGGACGGGAAACAAATCATCATAAATATATATATATATATATATATATATAAAGAAGGAATGATATACAAAAAGGTAATTCTAATCTACAAGTTTATTCTAACTGATCATATCTCCCCATTGATTTCGTCTTCCTGATATTCGTCGTTCGGCTTCTTCTCTAGTACGAGGAAGATCATCAAATCCAGCTTCACGTTCTTTCAATTGAGCTACACGGTTGGCCTTGGCTTGTTCAATACTTTTAGCATCGGTTCGACGTTCTGCTGCTTCCTGACGAATTTTTGCCCATGCTGTATTTGGTAAATTTCCTGATCGGATTTCATCCCATTTACTAGGTTGTTTCGTTTGTGGTTGTTGTCGTAGTTGATTATATACTGATGATTGCTGTTGTTGATTTGTATTTGTTTGCCATCCATTTTCTTGTTGTAATTGTACAGCTAGAAAATCAATACATAAATATAGATCTTGTTATGTGAATTTTTCTTTCTCTATTTTTACCTCTATCTGTCTGGAATTCTGACCCTCCTTTAGTGTAATCACCATGTAATGCTAAATCTTCTGATGCAAATGAATCATCCACTTGTGATTGCTGATGTGATGACATGGATGAATATGATGATGTAGTATGTTGTATAGGTTTAGGATGAAGTGTATTAGGTGATGATGATCCAACTTTTTCGTTCACTGTTTCTAGTCTACCAAAAAAAAAAAAAAAAAAAAAAAAATAGAGGAATCATTTATATTGTATGTATGTCGATACTTATGTGTGTATATACGTGTTTTTAAACTTACTGTACTTCTCTAATCACATTCACTAGTCTTTGTGGATTAGGTAAAGTCTTGATTGTATTTACACCAGCAAGAGCCCCTGATATCAAACCTACTTGAGATCCCATCAAAAAACCACCACCTGCAAGAGCAAGAAGTTGTATAGGATTGAATTTCTTTCGTTTACCTGAATATTAAAAAACAATTATATCAGTTATTATGAAAAACATCAAACCAAAAAAAAAAATAAAATAACTTGATTACCAATAAGAAAAGCGGTACTAGCACCAACAAACCCACCCATAGAAGCTTTGAAAGGAAAAACAAAAAATAGTAATAAAAAGTTAATAAACATAAATCAAAACTTGTTAATACAAAATGGATTTCAGTTCTGTGTGTATATGTATGTTGTTACGTACTATGAGAATTGAGTTGTTGTCTTGCCTTATCAATCACATTGATTTCTTGTTCTGTCAAGTGATGTTCCTTTGCCTTTTCACGTACTTTTTGATAAACCTTGTCATTGATAGCCGCCATGTTCTACTAAGTATTAGATTGAAATAGAAAACAAACAAAAAGAAAGAAAGGCCCAAGATCTCCTAGGTAAAAAAAAAAAAAAAAAAAAAAAAAAAAAAAAAAAAAAAAAAAAAAAGAATTAGCCAATAAAATTGCCTTTTTTCCCTGCTGTCTTGCAATTCATCCAAAAAAAAAAAAAACCAGGCCTGAAACTCAAAAGCAAATGCCATGTGGTATTTCCCCTTTTTTTAAACTTTTATCATTTACTTGTGCTCTAATACATTAATAAAAAATGATAATCCTATATGATAAACACATAGTTTACTAGCTACGATATGATCGAAGGTTTATATCTCAAAATGAATTTGAATGTGTCTTTTTAGAGTGACATTAGCTGTCAGATGAGCTTTTCTTGCGATTTTCTACCCATTATTGGCAAGTTGTCTTTTTGATGCACTAACAAAAGAAATAATCATAGAATATATACATATCTTTTGTTAATGGTGTTTATACAGTAAGGTGATAGGTTTAGACTTAAAAAATGAGAATCTGAAGGGTTATTAGATACGTTATTATTTTTCATTTTTTGTTTTTGTAATTTTGGCTTTTTACAGCCAAAAATTTGGAACTCCTCAGCCAAAGTTTGGCTGTAAAAATAAATCGTCGAGGGTACATCAGGCAATTTTTGGAAAAATCGATGAAATCTTTTTGGTGTTTATTGCACATTAGCTGGCAAGGTAAACGATAAAATGATATTAGATAGTATTTGACTACTTTTTGAAGAGGAATCTAATGGTGGTCATTTTATTGGATGATGATCATTATTGAATGAAGAATGACGATATCGACACTTCCTTTTTTATTTACTCCATAAATTGGGAGGTAAAGTAATAAACTCTCATTAAGCCAAGTAAAAGAGAATGATTTCATCTATGCTTAGTCCAAGTTTGGTGCAATGATGATCATTTTTGAACGAGAAACGAAAAGAAAAAGTTTACTCTACCACTTGATTGCAGATGAACAGATAGGATAGATTTCTCCCATTTCATAGTCAAAAACTGAAAGAAAGTAATTTTATTGGCTCATTTTTTTTTTTTTTTTTACCTGAGTGTTGAATAAGGAATTCCCATTGTAAGCAGATTTGGTTGGTGAGAAAAAACGTGCCTATTTTTTTTTTTTTAAAAAAAAAAATATCCCCTTTTCTAATTTTTATTCTTTTCTTTTTCTTTTCCAATTCAAACAATGTCAACATCCAAAACACTTGAACGGTTAAATACAATCGCCAATCACTTGGAACCTACCGCTAAGAAAGACAAAGCCTTGGAAAAGTCTGAATGGAAGGTTAGAACATAATGCATAATAATTTTTTGGTCTGACTTTTTATTTATTTTTTTTTATTATTATAATCGAACAGGATATTATTCATGAAATACGTAGAAGGCAACGACAAAACCGAACAGCAAATGCAAACGATCGTGGTTACATTCGTCAAAAGACAACAGGTAAACTTTGGGTACGAGAAAGAATCGATCGCTTGGTGGATCAAAATAGTTTTTATGAACTTGGAAGCGTGGCTGGAAGAACCAAATATGCCAAACAAGATACGGATGAAAAAGATGAATATACTCCTGCTAATTTTATTGCTGGAAAAGCCAAGATGAATCAACGTCCTATTATTGTGGCTGCTGATGATTTTACTATTCGTGGTGGACATGCTGATGGTGCTGTTTGGGGAAAATCGGTAACGAAAAAAAAAAAGGAATTCAATTCAAAAATTGAATGAATGTAATTAATTAATTAATCACAAATCTTTCTCTTAGTTATATGCTGAACAACTTGCACGAAGCTTAAAAATACCTATGGTAAGTTGATGTTTTTCTATTTTTTTTTTTAATTTTTTTTCTAACATTATTTCTTTTAGGTGCGTTTAATTGATGGTAGTAGTGGGGGTGGATCTGTAACACTAGCTTTGGACAAAGGAAGCACTATGTTACCTCCTTTAATTGGTATGCATGATATGATTGCAAGTTTATCTGAAATTCCTGTTGTGGCAGCTGCTCTTGGTCCTGGTAAATTTACAAAATATAAGATTATATTCAAAACTTGAATACTTAATTGTTTTTTTTTGTTTTGTTTTGATTAATCTATGGAATAGCGGTTGGTTTAGGTGCAGCTCGAGCTACATTGACTCATTTCTCGGTGATTCCTCAAAATATTGGCTCCCTTTTTGCGGCTGGTCCTCCCATTGTTGCTAATGCTACATTTGAAACAGTGACCAAGGAATCTTTAGGTGGTGCTTTGATTCATACTGCGAATGGATCCATTGACAATCTTGCTGTAGATGAAGATGATTGTTTTGCTCAAGTTCGACAATTCCTCTCTTACTTACCTGCCAACACACATCAATTACCTTCAAGAATCAATAACGAAAATGATGATCCCAATCGATGTGACGATGAACTAATTTCTATTATTCCAAGGCGACGACAACGGTCTTATCAAGTTCGAGATATTCTTATTCGGGTAATGGATCAAGGCTCTTGGTTTGAAATTGGTGCTCGATGGGGTGATGGTGCTGTATGTGGATTGGCTCGTTTAAATGGTTATCCTGTTGGTATTATCTCTTTTGATGGAAGCAAGCAAGGAAATGTTCTGACCACTGCTAGTTGTCAAAAGTTTAGACGTCATATTGATTTATGCGATGTGTTTGGTATTCCTATTCTCAATTTTGCTGATTATGCAGGCTTTTCAGTAGGCACTCAAGCTGAGCGTGAAGCGTAACTCAAAGAAGAAAAAAAAAAACAAAACTGATATTGACATTTCTTTCTTTTTTTTTTTGGTTATTTATTTTATTTAGAACTATTAGACATGGATCAACTTTAACAGCTGCTTTATATCAATGTGATATTCCTTACTTTACAGTTGTATTACGTAAGGTATTTGGTGTCGCTGGTGCTGCTTTTGTTGACAATCGTATTCCCAATATGAGAGTAGCATGGCCATCTGGAGACTGGGGCTCTTTACCATTGGAAGGTAATATATATATATATATATATATATATATATATATATATATATATATATATATCAATGACAAAAAGACTAATCATTCCTTCTTTTTTTTTTTTTTTTTTGTGTGTATATGTGTTTTCCTTGGCCACCTTCAACAGGGGGAATTTATGTAAGTTGACAAACAGAATTCCAGGTTGCGGTGTTTATACTGATGATTGCTTTTTGATTTGTTGATGAGAATGGTTAGGCTGCCTATAAGCGGGAACTAGATGCTGCTGGCGATAAAAAACAAGAACTCTATGATAATATCATGGCCAAATTTGAAGCTGTCCGTTCACCTGGTAAGATATAATAAAACAGTCAAAAAAAAAAATAATAATAATTTTTTTCTCATTTTTTCTTTTATATCTTAGTTCGAACAGCTGAAGCTTTTGATATCGAATTGATTGATCCTCGTCATACTCGTCCTATCCTTTGTGAATGGGTACAAATGATTTATGATCATATTTTACCTGTACGTTTAGAAAAAGTGAAAGTGAATGGACCTAGAGTAGTTTATAGACCTTGATTACTATTATTATTATTATTATTTTTACATAATAAACTGTATGTGTTATTCGTTTGTATTTATATATATATATATATGTTTGTGTGTTACCACGTGTCAATGGTAAATCTATCAGTAAGGACACATGGATGAAACAAGATGAATATGATTTACCTTGAGAGGCAAAAAGGAGCGTTGACCAAAAAAAGAGATACCTTTCAAGCCTGATGACGTTTTCACTCAAGGACAAGAGAATTTCTCCTCTTTTTTTTCTTTTTTTCTTTTTTTTTTTTTTCTTCCCCCCCCCCCTTTTTTTTATTGAATTGTTTTATTCCACTTCCCTCTTTTTTTCTTTCACTCTCTCTTTTTTTTTTTTTTTTTTTTAACTGTTACGCTTCCTCTTTTCCATCTCCCCTTGTCTCTCTCTCTCTCTTTCTAATATATTATCTTTTATATATTATTATCTTTCACGCCCTTTATCTATAATAATAATATATAAAGATAAATTCATATGGTGAGCACAGCAAATGCCAGTAAACCAGCAACAGCAACAGCAACAGCAGCAGTGTTGGATCAGGATAATAAGCAACCTCGTTACTATCAACCTCATATTATTCCTTTGGCGGTGGATCATAATGGGAATGTATTGACACCTACTTCACCACCTTATCCTCCTTATATGGCTAGTTATATTGATCCTACAATTGAATCATCTTTGGACCCAAATGATCCTCAACAGCAGCAACAACAACAGCAACAACAACAACAACAACAAATTATTGTATCACCTACAGGACCAGTTCCACTTCCTCAACATCCTCAACAACAGCCACAACAACAACAACAACAACAATACGCTTATGTTTATCCAGTTAGCCCACAATATTCGGTTCAATACTATGCTGACTATTCGCACGCGGGATATCAAAGTTACCCTGGTTCTCCTGTTTTACATCCTCAATCACCATCTATGAATCCCACTACTTTTAGTCCAACTTATCATTATCAAGGTACCAATATCTCGTTATCCTCTCCAACAAATGCAGCTTATGTAATCCCTCCGCCTGGTCATCATCATCAACAACGTTTCCCACCGTTACATATATCTTCACCAGTATTGACAGGTCATCATCCTACTTTATCACCTGGATCACCTCCTCATCATTATCTTCCTGGTCCCTATGAGCAACGTAGTGGTAATATTCCTTCTCAACAAAAGCAGCAAATTCATCATCAGCATACAGTATATCATCAAAATCATCATCAGCATCATTATCCATCGAAACGACTTCAACATCGATCTCGTTCACAACAACCATCTCATCAAATGACAACAAAGGAATTGCAAGAAGAAGAAGAAGAGCATCAAGAATTACAAGAATACCAACGTCAACTACAACAAGATTCTCAGTATCATTCTCATAACATGTATGTACGTGGTCTCGCCTCTTCCATGACAGATGAAACATTTTTGGATTTATGTCGCACTTATGGTACCATTATTTCATCCAAAGCCATTTTGGATCAAAAAACCGGTGACTGTAAAGGGTATGGATTCGCTATGTATGAAAACGAAGATGATTGTCTCAAGGCGATTGAAATGTTGAACAGCAATGGGTTACAAGCATCATTAGCAAGGGTTGGTCAAGTAAGTTGCTATATATTACATGTATGTATGAACTCATCTCTTTTTTTTTTTTTTTTTTTTTGTTATCCTTTCAGGAATCATTTAGCTCACGATTACGAAACCTTCAAGACGAAACCTCGACCAATATTTATATTTCTAATCTCCCATTGGACATGACAGAACAGGTAAGAAACCACTCTTTTTTTTTTTTTTAATTTATGGATCGATGTTGTTTTTGATTTGTTTATATTTTTAGAAACTAGAGGAATTATTTTTACCATGCAAGACAGTTTCCAATCGTATTTTAAGAGATCCTCAATCTGGACTTAGTCGAGGTGTTGGATTTGCAAGGTAATATAAATGAAATATATGATATAAAGTAAAAAAAATAGATTGATATCGATTTCTTTTTTTTTGCTTGTAGATTGACGGATCGTTATTCCGCTGTGACCATCATTGACAAGTTTAATGGCCAAACCATCACTGGATCATCTGCAGCCTTACAAGTTCGATTTGCCGATTCACCTGCTCAGAAGAAACTTAAGCATCAAACTGCACGAAAGCGACTTCTTAAATCAGCCTCACCTCGCGATTATCAATCAATGACGGCCGTTACGTTCAATCATCATCAGTTACCAGTGACACCTGAAACAATGCTTGGATTTACTCCTTCTCATCAAATTGATCAACAATCATCGACTGTAGCCACTCCACCTGATTGTGAAAATGATTTGATGACTGAAGTAAAAGAATAATGTGTCAAATGAACAGTGATTCCACCCTCTCCTTTGGTCCACGTTGGTACTAAGAACCTCAAGACATATTGGTTTCATTCCTCCTTGGTTTCGTATGATTTGTCATCCTCCCTCTTTTACCTTTTTGTTTTTTTTTTATATATATTTTCTTTTTCTCCTTTTTGTTGTTTTTTTAGTTTTAGTTTTGTAGTTGATGTATGTGATATTCCTTTCTTCTGTCGAATAAAGCATTTCCCTTTTTTTTTTTTTTTTTTTTTTTTTACGATTGAGCTGATCAGTTCATTGACACTTTCCATTGGTTAATTTTGAATCTCAGTGTAGTTTCCATCCGTTTGTTGAACAAACTTTTTTTTTTTTTTTTTTTTTTTTTTTTTTTTTTGTTTCCCTGCCTTTTTTTTCCCTTTTCATGTTATTGGACATGTCAGACAATGAAGTGAATAAAGGAAAATCCGATGACAGTCAACTGGACAAACAAGTTAACAATAAGAAAAAAAGGAAATTAGACAAGCTTTCAGGCGATCAGTCATCCCATGATTATCCACCCAAAAATCGAAAACAACAAAGGAAACTCGACTTTCGTGATATCGATGACATGGCTCAAGCCGATTACTACTTTGAACATGGTAATGTATTATTTTTTTATTATAATTTGTATATTATGCTTAGTACATTTTATTTTGTAAAAGGTGTTCGGAAAGTCAAGCCTTATTATTTTATGTATCAAGCTTATGCCAAAGGACGATGGTTGGGTCGAACGATCATGCAAGTATTTTGTGAAGAATTTCGAGATCGCAATGAACAATATTACGTAAAGAACCAAATAAAGAAAGAAAGAAAGGAGGGAACTAATTATTATTATTACTTTTGTGTGTATATGGTGATAGAAATATGCTATTGCAAGAGGATTGATTACATTGAATGGGATACAAGTTGATGCGGATACTGTGATTCAAAATAGTGATGTAGTAGGACACAAGATTCATCGTCATGAACCACCTGTAACAGATAGTCCAATTAAAATTATTCATGAAACTGAAGATCTACTTGTCATTGACAAACCTGGTGGCATCCCTGTTCATCCTGCTGGTCGATATCGTCATAATTCCGTAGTACATGTCTTGAAAAAGGAACGTAATATACCAAAACTCTTTCGTAAGTAGATTGATAAAATAAATAAATAAAAAAAAAAAGAAAGATAATACTCATTTTATAATACGTTTTAATTTTTTTAGCATCCAATCGACTCGATCGTTTGACTTCTGGACTGATGCTGATTTGTAAATCATCTATCAAGGCATCCCGTATGGAAAAAGAAATGACCAGGGGAAATATTAAGAAGGAATACATTTGTCGTGTCGATGGTGAATTTCCAATGTAAGTCACTATAATAATAATAATAATATAAAAAAAACTTAGATTCTTTTTATTTGATTAGGGAAGAAATCAAATGTGAAGCACCCATCAGAACCATATCTCATAAAATGTCAGTCAACTATGTTCATCCAGAAGGAAAACCATGTACAACCATCTTCGATCGGATCAGTTTCAATGGCAAAACAAGTGTAGTACGATGTAGACCCATCACTGGCCGAACTCATCAAATTCGCGTTCATTTGAAATATCTGGGATATCCTATTGGCAATGATCCTTTGTATGGTAATACTACTTCATGGGCAAGCAATTTACATCTAGGTCAATCCATGTCAGACGAAGAAGCGAAAAAGTTGGTGGATAAACTTATGGAGGCATCTCCTTTCCAGACCGGAGAATGGGATTCTACTACATCTTCCTCAGCAACAACAACTGATGAAAAAGATTCTGCGACTACGATGACAACCGATAAGGATTGTGTTGAATTCACAGACAAGACCAAATTATTAGAAGTGGAATCTGGTGAACGATGTTCTGATTGCAGTGTGGCATTGTATGTCGATCCACCTCGGGATTCACTCTTTATATGGCTACATGCTTGGAAATACAAGGGACCAGGGTGGGAATATGAAACTGAACTTCCAGAATGGGCAAACGATACCTTTACAACAACATCATCATCAACAACAACAACAACAACAACAACAAAAGCAGCGTCATCATTATCATCATCCTGTCCTTCTTCGCCCATTTTGACTAACTCGGCGACTACCGATTAGACTTTTATTTGATTTTGAATTAGATGTTTACAAATTGTCATAAATAAAGTATTGTAGATATTTGACTTTTTCTGTTTGGTTTTGACACATACATGAAAGCTTTTTAGTTGGTTATATTATTAGTTTTTTTTTTTATTATGTGTAATATCCCATTTGATATTTTTTTTTTTTTTTTTTTTTTTTTTTTACTGAAGATGACAATTTACTGATATTTGTTCTATTTTTTTATATGGGGATGTATCTTTTGGGTATAAAGAGAGCTGATTTTATGAAAAAAAAAAAAAAAAAAAAAAAAAGGTGGGGCAGAAATATAGAGTGTGTGTAACTCATGATCCAGATGCGCGGGAGTTTTCACATGGTCAGACTAGAGGCAGAAGAATCAATAAGTTCCTAATACACATAAATTAAGATGAGTAACAAAAAAAAAAAAAAAAGATTGTCTGATTTTTTTGTATAGAGGAAAATGCGGGCGGGAGGAGTTCCTATTTTGCATTTCCCCATTCAAGCGTGCAAAATATTTCTTCCCCTCTTTTCCTTCTACGCTTGTCTTTTTCTTTCCTTTTCAACCTTTAAAAACCTTGGTTTTTTTTTTTCTCTTTCCCCATTTTTTTTTTCTCTCTCTTTCTTTTTTCATTTATTATTATCTTTACTCAATTCGTTGACTTCTTTCGATTGATATGACCGTTCTTCCTCTAAAAGATTCCAAGGATCCTAATGCACCTATTGCTTTGGCACGTTTAAACCAAATCAAAAGTCAACTTAATTTGACACCTTCTTCCATGTCACGTCAAGCTCCAAAAGATATGGCTGCTGAACGTGCTGCTGCTGATTTCGACATTACTGCTTTATCTCACTTTTGGGTGGGTGGTGATAAGAAATATCAACTTATGGTAAAAACTGAACAAAAAAAAAAAAAAAAAACTTCTTTCTTTCTCTCTTTTTCCTTTCTTTTTTTTTAATAATTGTTTTTTCTTTCTTTTCTGTATAGCAACAAGCTTATGATATCATTAAAAATGACCCTGAACTGGTGTTACAATCTCCTAAGAACTTTTTGGAAATGAATCGTGAAGATATGCGTGAATTGTAAGTTTCTTCCTATTCTGTTATATAATCATTCATCTGACCTATTTATTATAGTACCATGGGCCAAATTTATCGTGTGGTGCAAATCGTACTCAGTGGAAAATATGAAAAGGAATTGGCTTATGAAATTGCAAGAACTACCAATATTTATAATGAATCCTTTAGTATGCGATTCTTTGTCCATGATTCTCTCTTCAAGAACGTCGTCAACATGTTGGGAAACAAGGAACAACAAGATAGATACAATGATGATATTGATAATTTTCGTATCTTTGGCTGTTTTGCTATGGTAATATATATATATAAACCGAAATACCAGATCAATTCATCTCTTTTTCTTCTTGTATAGACGGAATTGGGTCATAGTTCGGCTTTACGTGATTTGGAAACTGTGGCTACTTATGATGCTGATGCGGATGAATTTATCCTTGAATCACCCACAATTACAAGTACGAAATGGTATATTGGTGCAGCTGCTCAAACGGCTACTCATACCGTAGTTATTTCTCAAACTGTTATTAATGGCAAGAATGTGGGTCTCAATTGGTTCGTTGTTCAATTACGTGAAAAGGCTTCCGGAAAGGTGATGCCTGGTGTTGTTCTAGGTGATATTGGCTCCAAAGCTGGTAAGTTCAATTTTTTTTTTAAAAAAAAAACATCATCATCATCATCATTATATACTTATTTTCTTTTTCTCTCTCTTTTTTTTTAAAAATATATATATATATATATATATAGGTCATCAAGGTGTAGATAACGGATGGATTCAATTTAGAAAATTACGTATTCCTCGCTCTGATATGCTGGCTAAATGGGTTAGCTTGGATCGTGATGGTACTTATCATCCTGCACCCAATCCTGCCGTCATGTATGGTAAATAAACTCAACCTTTTTTTTTTCTTCTTCTATATCTAATATTTCTCCTTTATATGTGTATATATAGCCACCTTGATTCCTGAACGACTTAGTTTATTGACAGTGACAACACAATTAATCTCTCAAGCTTTGACCATTGCTACTAGATATGGAGTGGTGCGCAGACAAGGTCCTAAGAATCAACAAATCATGGATTATCAATCACATTATGTCAAGCTCATCCCGGCTATTGCTTTTATGTATATGATGCAATCTGCTTCCATTGATATTGACAAGAATTTCAACATTCTGACCTCAGGTGGAAAGATCGATGATCCTATTGTATATTTGAACCATATGGGTGAAATGCATGCTGTCTCAGCTAGTATCAAGGGTTTGTCTGGGTGGTACGCTTCTGACATATTGGAAACTTGTCGTCGTTGCTGTGGTGGTCATGCCTATTCTACATACAATGCGATTGCCTATATAACAAACGAGTGGGGAGTCATGGTAAGAGAATATATATATATACATATATGTATCTAATATATTCATTTCTTTTATTGTTTTTTTTTTTTTTTTTTTATTATTAGACAACTGGTGGTGGTGACAATGTAGTGTTATTACAACAAGCTGCTAGACTTTTATTATATCGCTTACAACAAAAATTGGAATTCGATGATTATCCTGAACTGAAATTCAAATCCTCTTCTCATTATATTGCGGATGCTATTCGATTATTAGCTTTAGAACAATGGAACGTGACAGATATCAATCTTTGTCGTCGTGATCCCTCTTTAGTGGAAGAAGCTCTCAATGCCATTCTGGTCAAGCGCGTAAGTCAATATAGCACTTCTTTTTTATTTATTTATTATTTTTTTTTTGATTACATATATTCAACATTATTTTTTATATTATAGCTCAATAGCATCAATGAAAGTCTCAAGAACGGTGCTAACCACAATGATTTACTTTTGGAATCTGTTCGAGTTGCTGAACTTCATTGTGCCACTTATATTTTCTCCGTCAATGTGGCCAAGTTTGGTTTGCCTCAAGCTCCTGCTCATATTGAAAAGAGTGTTTACAATATCATGCAACGTTTGACTATTCTCTGGGGTCTTCATACTCTTCATACCTATAGCGATCAAGGCTTCAAAGAAGGTTTCTTGACTCCTCAACATATCAAGGATGTGGAAAAACTTTATTTGGACGTAAGTACGAATTAATGTTTCTCTTTCTTACTGATGCATAGTCCTAATACAACTCCCTCTTCTTATTAGATCAATAAAAGTCTTCGTTCTCAAGTGATTGGTTTGACAGATGCTTGGGGTTTCCCTGACTTTGTACTCAAGGCACCCATTGCCAAGTATGATGGCGATATTTATGAAAGTAAGTTAATGATAATTACTTTATATAAAGAAACGATGTTACTTATTTTTTTAATATATATACTTGTAGCCTATTTTGAAACTCTTTTAACTGCTCCTAATAGTACTGGTATTCCACCTTATCAAGACAAATACGTCAAACCATTGACAGAACGTGTTGCCAAAAAGTAGATGTTAGATAATACATACTTCCTTACCTTTTGTTATTATTCCCCATTCTCCCTTTATTTTTTGTATTATACTTCCTTACCAAAAAAATTTTTTTGTTATCGACTGGCCATTAACTTGAAATAAAAAACTTTCTGTCAGTTTTATGTACTATATATCTCATGATAATAGCAGCTATGATGATGATGATGATACTTGTACAGTTTATTCACTTTAAAATTTGAGAGCGAGAGAAAAATAAATTTGGGAGTAAAGGGAAAATCAAATTGAGAGAGAAGGGAAAATCAAATTGGAACATCAAGTATGTTCGAACACTGATGCAAACAAGTCTCTAATCATAGCGCAGAAAAGAAGAAAAATAAACGCAATCCACAACGAAAAATCCAGTAATGCAACAAGCTCTTTTTTTTTTTTTGTCTGTATGTATATTTTATTTCACATATTAATGATCTCTCTTGTCTAGTAGATTTTTTCATTCTTTGATGATTTTATAAACGTGGTGTTTATTTTTTATTAACTAAAATGGTAAGTGTAAACTTTTTTTTGTCCACCAATAGTAGTGTACCGCCTTGGAGATCACTGTGGACAATCTTGGAAAATGTCTAAAAGCGGAATCATATGAAAATATCGATTTGACTTTGGTCGACTTGTCACCTTATCATCGTCATTGCATGACTATCGCATATTAGCCATCATCACCTAACATTTATCATATAGTCATTGTGCTATTTACACGCATGGTTGATTCCTGCAGGATGTCTAGTGAAAAACGTGTATTGGTGACACACACACACACACACACAAAAAAAAAAAAAAAAAAAAAAAAGAGAGAGAGAAGTGCATCCTTTTCAAAGCATGCATTTATACTTTATTGGGAATCACATAAAGAAGAGGACAGGAATAAGCATTAAAATACATTTCATGAGTATCCAACACAAATAAGTATGAAACTAAAAAAAAAAAAAAAACTAATACCAACATGGCTAAATAAATAAATAAATATATAACAGGCAACTAGGTAAAATAGTATACAGCACGTCGCCACCAAGTCATTTCAGCATCTACTTCCTTTGCTTCTTGGATCTCATACATCGTAACGCGACCAGTTTCAAAATCAATTTCTTCTTTGGGAACCACCTTGGAACGCATGACGATCTTGTAAGCGGCATAACATATAGGAGCAGGAAGTAAACCAACATAGTTTGAAGCGAACGTTTTAAAGTCGAATTGTGGAGTAAATGCGGTATAACCTAGAAATAAGATAAAAAAAAAATCATCAATGAGGTTCACTTCTGTCTTTTTTTGGAAAAAAAAATTGTATACCTTGTCCAAGAATAATCAATATACATAATATACTTGAGAAAAGTCCACTGAAAGGATACCAAGAGCTTTTGTAAGGTAATTCTTTGACATCACGGCCTTGTTTGACATAAGCGGATCGGAATCGAAGATGAACAAAACCAATACCCCACCAACTAACGAAACCAGTTACCGTTGTGATGGACAAGAACCAGACGAACGCCACACCAGCACTGTAAATCGAGACAAAACAACAAGCAAACCCACATACAGAAGAAAGAAGAACTGCTACCCAAGGGGAGCCGAATCTGTTGGTGGAAGCAAGCACACCGGGACCATTACCATCTTTTGCTAAACCAAGTAAAATTCTGGAAGTAGTATAGACAGATGCATTGGCAGCAGATAAGACACTAAGAAGGACAATGGCGTTGATCACATGAGCACCAGCTTGAATACCAGCCAATTCAAAGACCAAAGTAAAAGCAGATGTATTGGGAGTACCATCAGCATTAGCAAGGAGTTCATTATCATAAGGAACACATAGACCAATTAGGAAAATCGTTACGACATAAAAGATCAAAATACGCCAGAAAGTGTTACGGATAGCTCTTGGAATAGCCTTGACAGGATTCTTTGCTTCACCAGCGGTAATACCCACTATTAAAAAGAAGAAGAAAAAAAAGTGATGAGTATTATCAACGTGGGAAATAGGATAGATTTCTTTTCTCACGAATGACATGGGAAAAATACTTTACCAACTTCTGTTCCTTGATAAGAGAAACCAGCTGAAAGTAGAACACTGACAGTACCAACACCACCATTTGCAAAAGCACCAGGATTATCCCAGTATCTATAAAAAAAAAAGATGTTAACATAATCGATCATCCCATCTTTGTTTTGACTTACTTAAAACCGATAGGACCATTTCCACCAACAGCACCAGCAGACACAAGAATGGCTAAAAAAAAAAAAGCATCATGTTAGATAATGTACGAAATGATATACATTTTTCTTTATATCGATACCAATAATCATAAATACAATGACAATAAGAATCTTGATCATGGCAAAATAATATTCCACTTCGCCATATACTCTATATTTTTTTTTTTAAAAAAAAAAAAAAAAGAATAAGTATAAAAAAGGATTTTTCAGATCAAACTTACTTAACACTAATCAAGTTCATAGCAACGATGATGATCATAAAAATAGTTGACCAGGCAGCATCAGGGAGAACGGGTTTCCACCAATCAATAATAGTAGCAGCAGCAGCGATTTCTATAAGGTGATAAAAAAAAAGATATAAGGTTGTCTGATATTGAATTGCCACCAGTTTCCATATTTGTAAAACCCTCACCAGTAGCAATTGTGACACTCTATTTGAACAATTAAATAAAAAAGTGGATCGTGTCATCAATGTTTTTGTACCCAATCTTATTTCTTTTTTTTTTCTAAGATGCAACTTACCCACTATAGATAAAAAGGAAAGAATGACCAAAATAAAATAGAAAATAGAAAAAATAATAACCGTGAGTATGAGACTTTTTTTTTATTTGTTTGTTCCATCCTTTTGTATATCACTTACAGAAAACCTACAAATCAAAAGAAAAAAAAAGGATTAAAAAACAAAATACTATTTAAAATCATTATAGTCTATATATATATATATATATATTACCAATAGTTCCAACCCAGAGCAAATCCTAAAGCAGGATCAACAAATCGAGTAGCATAATGATTAAAAGAACCAGATACCTAAAGTAAAAAAAAAAAAGGATCAAGTGATAATAAACGAGCTGAGTATTTTCATAGCCTCAAAAGGAAATGGGATTACCGGAATAAAAGAAGCCATTTCACCCAAAGTAGTCATAACACAGTAGACCATAAACCCAACTATTAGAAAAAAAAATCATGAATGTGAATATAAATAAGAAATCATCCAATGAATAGGGTCACTTACTAACAAGATAAGCAATGAAGGCACCTGCGGGACCAGCCTACATATGATGTGAAAAATAAAAAATATATAAAGAATTAAATGAAGACTTGTATCACTATAATCAATAATATACCGTTGCAATATTGGTGCCCATGTTCAAGAACAACCTATAATTCAAAACATAAACACAAATAAAAAAATAAAAAAAAAAAAAAAAATAGAAAAAAAAAGGTTAAATGAGTATATTGTTTTTGAATCAACGAGATGTTTTTTTTTTCGGGTTACTTGCCCAGTACTACCATAAAAAAAAAAGAGAGAGAGATAAGTAAATTGATCGGCCTTTATAAATCAAGAAACGATAATCCTATAAATATTTTTTTTTTCTTTTTTACCCAATACAACCACCAAGAGCAATCATTTGAATATGTCTTGTTTTCAATCCACGTTGAGTTCCTTCTTGTATTTCACGTATTTCAGTAGGTGGAGTGACACCTAATTCTATCTTCGTATTGCTGTTGTCACTTGTACCATCATAATGTTCTATTTTTTCTGATTCATATTTTGAAGTATGTTGTTCATATTCCATATAAGCATGATGACCTTCTTCCAAACGATCGTCAGTCATAATCAAATCAATCTAAATACTAGAAATTTGATAAATCACAAAAAAAAAAAAAAAAAAAAAAAAAGTAGAAAGAGAAATAAGAAATAAACAAAACAAAGAAAAAAAAAAAACTTTTTTTTTTATTTCCCAAAAAAGAGAGAGACAATCCCATATCTAACCTTTTTTTTTAAAGTTCAAACGGAGTTCCAAGCAGTAGTGATAGCAGGAGAGAGAATACGATCTTGATTGGCTTCACCAAGTAACCCTTTTGGTAATATTTCCTCCAAGATCATGTGCACTTTTTCAAGTTGAAACACAAGGTCTAATTCCGTCTATATTATCAAAGAAGACTGAGAAATCGAATAAAGATAAAATTATGATCATTTTACCACTTTATCAAAGTAGATATCCATTGTTTCTTTACATATAAGAATAAAAATATCAATTAAATCATTCTAGTCACTTTTTTTTTTTTTGATTTACCCACAAATAATTGTATCCATTCCAATATTCCAAATTCATTCTATATATACAAAGACCAATCAGAAAAAATGGAATATCATAATTCCCATTCACTTACCTCTTGATCAGGTGGATAACCAACAATAATATACAATGAAGCATATGGTCGATACACTAAACAATAAAAAAAAAGATCAGTACGCGACTCGTCTGTTTTTAGAAACTTCCCTCGTTTTCATACTTCTTTTTTTGACATTACCAATATCATAACCTTCAAATTCAAAGAATAGACACTATAGTGAACAAAAAAAGAATATAAAGTTAAATCAATCCTTTTTTAGATATACATTCGTCTTACATGATGTTCAGGTCGTTTTACACATTGTTTAGCTAGTTCCAATTCAAATTGACAATGTTCTATAGTAGATTCAGTATAGTATTTTGCAAATCGTGTTTGACAAGTTTTGTTCACAATAAGTACAAAAGATATCATTCAATAAATACGTAATGGAAACCAAAGAAAAAAAGATCAAGAGAAGGAAAAGAAAAGAAAAAAAAAAAGGTGCTCCTGTGTCATTATTTTAGATGAATTGAATCTCAGACTTGGCGATGATCTTAAAGCATAAAGCGGGCCAATAAAGTGTATTCATGATTATCCTTTCTTATGAAGTAAATGAATCGATAACATATTCCCGTCTGATTTATTATGAATTACATAATCAAGCCTATAAATGATGGACGATGATGAACTAAAATGGAAAATAAAGACTATGATGCTTACAGTATACAATGCCACTGATGTCAACCGTGACCCATTGGTTCATTCATCTTTTGATATAGAAAAAAAAATAGGAGAAGAATGTAAAAAAAAAAAAAAAAAGGATAAGAATACAGAGAAAAAAGGAGAAGATCAGCTTGATAACCTTAATTGGTTCACAGTATATTATATGCATACATCTATTGAGGGATTTATTTTCGATTGGTTTAGTATAAAAGAGGGACCATCTTGATTTACCTTTTCCCTTTCCAGTACATCTCTTTCTTTTTTAAACTATGAAGCGAACATCTCTACATTCTATATCAAACATACTTCGTATAGTTATTTTATTGTGGTTACCGGCCATGGTTATGTGCATTGATTATGAAGGGTGCAACGACGAAAAAGTTGCTGTGATTAATGCAGCAGTATATGCGGCAGTCGACTATATAACAGAAGCACATAGTTACCTACAACAAATCAGTAGTGGAACACCACGTTATACTACGTGGTTTGGCTCGTATACAGCTTCTAGAAAAAATTCTGTGGAAGACCATTTTGCTGCAATTGGGAATAGTCCTTTATCAGTCAAGTATGATTGTACCTGTACTGATCAAAAGAGATACGTAGGAGTCCTTTCTGATGATCCTTCGAAGATCTACCTCTGTGGCAAGTTTTGGAGCGCTCCTGTAACTGGCACAGATAGTCAAGCTGGTTCTATTATATATGCTTCAGCTAGCTTCACCGTCTATGGTGGTGCACAAATCATTGCTAATGGACAAGAGTCATGCAAACGATTAGCGACTAGCAATCCTGACCAAGCTATTATTAATGCTGATAGTCATCGATACTTTGCTGAAAACGACCCTCCTCTAGATTGAGCACAAAACCGTGGAACACATCTTGCTCGCTACTATCATGTTGACATTAAGGAATATTAATATAATATTTAGCATTATAATAAAATTGAATCAAAATCGAATCAAAGAAAGTATAGTTTATCATGATGAAGGTCGTATCAAAAAAAAAAAAAAAAAAAAAAAAAAAAAGGTACGTAAAAATATAGGAGATACTATCTTCGTCATCTGATATAAAATCATCATCGTCATTCAGTCATCACCACACCCCCAGAAAAAAGGAAGAGAAATCGAATGTTATTAATGAAAATGGAATAATGTGAATTTACCAGAAAAAAAAATTCCAAAAGTTTATTTCAGACATCAAAAGATGTAAATGGTATCAATAAATAAAGTACTAAGATAAAAAAAAAAAAAAGAATGGAGAGATGATCTAATTTTTGACAGAGGAGGGGCTTGATAAAGATGAAGAAGAAGATGGGTTTTCAGTAGGAGAAAGGGAACCATCATGTTTGAATAAAGGTAAAGAAGAGGTAGAGGACGAAGAAGGAGATGAGGACGGAGGAATAGGAGAAGTAGAAGGTTTGATGATAGCTGAATGGTGAAATCCAGTTCCACTATGTACAATTGCATTTTTGACATCTACTCCGAGAACAGGAGCCACTTTTTGTTCACAAATCTTTTCCCACCAATCTTCTAATATACGTTGAGCCAGTCGTTTGGAGCTTGGTTCTACATTTCGATGCATATAGGGTGTAATCAATGAGCACAATACTTGATGAATATCAGTTTTTTTGTAAGGCTTGTAACGAAGTTGAGTATTAATAAGTAAAGGTTTCAATATACGTAGATATGCATCCCGAAGCTATAAAAGAAAATAAATAAATAAATATGGAGCACTATCATTGATTTTATTTTTATTTATTTCTTACAGCTTCTGATTCTCTGTCATCACCAAGATCACATACTTCACGCAAAGTAATATCAACAAGGACATATAAATCATTTGTATAAAAGTATTCATATAGTTTAGGTTCCATAAAAACACAATAGAGTAACTTGAGAATGAGAAGTTGAACACAAGCATCATCTATCAAAAAAAAAAAAAAATAAATCTTAGGACTTACCAATCTTTTTTTTTTTTTTTTTTTTTTGAATAGACTTACCAGATCGATTTAACATAAAAATCAGATTTTCACCAAAAGTTGTTGTAGATCCCAATCGATTGATTAAAGCATCTACCATTAGATTAGGTCTATTTTGAGACATCATGAATTGTTCATTGAATACCAAAAGAAGTCTAATGATTTCATAATTGAATGATTCTTCATTATCCTGTCGAGTTGATTCCACCAAGTCCAATAAAAAATCCAATTTGTTGATAGAAATAACATCTATATCATAAATAAGTAAATATATTTTAAGGTTTTGTATTTATTATATATAATTTTACCTAAATCAAGACGACGGAATTTTGCAACTTTTCCCATTTCAAATGCCAAAGATAAAGCGATACCCATCATTTTTCGATCCAATACAAAAGATTCTAATTCATCCATTATTTTGCAAAAAAGTCGATTTCTTTTACTTTGAGTAGCATCCGATACAACATATTGCATCCATCTTGGGTCTTCTTTTCCAGCATATAATAAAAGGCAATAAGTGATAATAAGTATCGAGGTATCATGACAAAGTAAGGCGTGAGCATGTATGATATGACTGAGAATGGTTGTACTATGTTCTAAATAAAATGTTGAGTCTATCAATTTATAGGCAACTTGAGCCATTTGCGCGTGATTTGTGATGAATTCCTCTAAAAATATATTTATATATATAGTTAGTATACCCCATATGTATTTCTCCCTTTTTTTTTTTTTTTTTTTTTAGTTTTCCTTTCTTTCTCCTTCTTTTTTTTTTCTTTGATAGATTATTTTTACTTACTTTGAAAACGAACTAAGAATTGAATGTATTGAGTAGTAATATGTTGAACATCTTGATCAGTTGTATAAGGTTGTTGTAATACATCCCCTAATTCTAGTAATAATAAATAATCATATTAGACTTTTTTTCTTCTTCTTTTTCTTCTTGTTCCGTCTACTGTTACCAGTATAAAAGCTTTCAATATCATCAAAATAATAATCAATAGTTGTGTAATCCATATAATAGAACAACCAAATAGAAGAAATTATTAAGCGGGGTATATAATGATGTGATCTAAAGAAAGTAAAGAAAAAAAAAAAAAAGAATAAAAAAACTGGTGAAACAAAAAAAATTGTTTTCTTATATATAAAAAAAAAGTGATCCCATTAATTTCGCTCTCAGCTTAAGCTCGCCTGTTGTTTTTTCCTTGTCATGAAATAACAAATTTCTCTCTCTTTTTTTTTTTTTTTTATCTCCCCTGTTTCCTTTCTTTCTTGTTGTCGTTAATAAATAAATAAATATATATTATGAATTATACCCATTACTCTTCTCTATTAAAACTTTATAATGTTCCTGACTTTTGGACTGATGAAATGTTAGCTTTATGGGTACCTATTGCTATTTATTGGATACAATGTTCTTTTTTTGAAATTTTGATGCGACTTCAACTTCCTTTCTTTGAAAAATACCGAATTCATTCTTCTATTGACCGATCGAATAGGAACAAGGTTTCTTTCGGTAATGTTTTATATATGGTGGCTGTACAACATATCATTCAGTTTATCTTTGGTTATTTCCTTTTAAAGGTGGAGGATCCAGCAACAAGAAGTCTCAAATCTGAATTGGCTATACAAAGAACAACTCAATGGATTTTATCTTATATCGGAAATTATCAATTAAATGATTTGGTTCAACTAGTTGCTTGGATGCTTCATATATGGGTGATTCCTATTATTCAATTTCTTCTTGCTATGTAAATTAAACAACATATCCTTTTCATATATATATAAATACTTATCATATTATTATTCTTTATTAGGTTTATGATTGATACTCATCAATATATTTTACATCGTTTGGGTCATACATCCAAATTTTTATATAAACATTTTCATTCTTATCATCATCGACTTTATGTTCCTTATGCATTTGGAGCTTTGTACAACCATCCTGTAGAAGGTTTTTGTTTGGATACTCTTGGTGCTGGACTTGCTTATGAACTTACTGGAATGTCACCTCGACTTGGATTGATTCTTTTTACTTTCTCAAATTTGAAAACAAGTAATTGAAATCAAATTTTAGTTTTATTATATTTATATTTTTTATTTTTATTTATTATAGTTAATGATCATTGTGGTTATAACTTTCCTTGGGATCCTTTGAATATATTATTTAAAAATAATGGAAAATAGTAAGTTAAAAAATTAATATGATTTATATTGATATTCATTATTATTATTATTTATAGTCATGATATTCATCATCAACCTTATGGTATCAAGAAGAATTTTAGTCAACCATTTTTTACATTCTGGGATAGAAAACTTGGAACTGAATTTGATTCAAATGATATGAATAAACGAAGGAACAATTGATTTATTTTTATTGTATTATTCTTTAGATTATAAATATTAGATTATTTTTATGTATTACTTTTGTATCAATAATAATATTAATAATAAAAAAGCATTTTCTTTTTTGGTGTATATACTTTTTGTTCACCAATCAAAATCAAAATAAATGTCGTTAATCAAAAACAGGGGTTTCGTTGCTTCGATTTTTTTGAGAAAGATATTCTGAGTGTGTACGAGAGAAGGAACGCCCTAACCTCTAAAATTTCTTTTTTTTTTTTCTTTCTTTCTTTCTTTCTTTATTATTATTATTTTTCTTTTTTTTTCCTTTTGTTTGTATTATTTATTCATTACTGTCTTTAACATCATTTATTTTATACAAATTTATCAATGGGAAATAGTCCAATGTCCATATCTTCCATACAGTTGTCTTCGCCATTACCGTCTCCTTCTGCTACACCAAACCGACAGAATGCTTCTCACCAACATAGTCAACAAGCATTGCAACAACCTAGTATTGAAACTACAACTACTATTACTACAAATACTATCAATACCACCACTACTATACAAGATTCTCAATCAACTCAAAATACAGTTTTATTACCTCCTCTTGTATTCAATCCTCCTATGCAATCTCATATTTCAATATACCCTCTTGCTGAAACACCTACTCCACCTGAATTGAAAAGAATCAAGTTCAGTATTGACAATCAACCGACATTATTACAAGAAGTAGAAACCAAAGATTCCTTTTTATTGGATACTCATCATGAAACTACCTATTCTACTGGTCATAATTTCAAAAATCTCTCAACAAATACTGATCATTCACAACGAAAACGCCCAGCCCCCGATCATCTTGGAAATACACGAACCATCTTTCACGATGATTGGTCTCCTCCCCACAAAAAACTCAACGACTCTTCAACTCCAATCGTGGATACCATTCACTTGACCACCGAATCAAATGACATTACTCCTGCATCATTGACAGATACGAACGCCACCTCTGCTACTACAACCAATCCTTCTGCCAATACTTCCAATTCCTCTCCTGCTCAACCTTTGACTTCTTGGCTTCCAGAATTTGCTGCTCATTTACCATCAACTGACACTATGGAACAAACTATGGATGATAGTCCAAATTCTGCTTTACCATCTCCTGTCTCTGATCTGGATCCCAATGATGAAAACTGGTTGCCAACTTCTCAACATTCTTCTTCTTCTTCTTTTGAATCTCCAATCATTACTTCTCATCCTCATTCAACAAACCCAACAATGGCAACAACTGCAACTACAACAACAACAACATCATCATCATCAACAATGGAATCAACAACAATGATGGATATTGTGAATGAAGATGAAATGGATGAAGATACGGATGATGGTATCTCTTCTTTATTACGAACTTATGATACCCTTCCTTCCAATATTCAAGAATATCTGATGTTCCAACTCCTTCGACGGTCTACTATGCCCTCTCTACGATTTGCTAGTGATATGATTATGGAGGCTATGAAAATGGATTTTATTGCTCATTTACCTCGGCGTATCTCTCAACGTATTTTTCTATATCTGGACGTTCGTTCATTATGTCGGGCCACTGGTGTATCCAAACTATGGAAACGTGCCATTGAAGAAAACTCGGATTTATGGAGAGCCAAAATTGTACAAGCTGGATTCACTGTTACTGCAACTGAAATCGAATATTATGGATTATTACCCACTCATCTCTATCATCAACAAGTCTCCTCATCATCAGCATCATCATCATCAGCATCTTCATCGTCATCATCAACATCATCATCTTCGTCAGCGACAGCAGCAGTATCGGCATCATCCAAATCAACAACGACAAGAACATCAAACAATCTGGCAACATCACCATTCTTATCTCCTATCAAAGAAATGACCCATGATAGTCTTGGTGTAGATTTTTTGGATCAACCTCTATTCGACACTTCTTTATTAAATGCCTCTGACGACCCAACTTTACTCTATCGTAGATCGTTTGCTATGCCTGATTACGACAATATACCTGATCCCGATCATCCATTTACTCCCGATATGGAATCTACAATACATCCATTCAAGCGTATATACAAGAAACACCATATTATGCGACAGAATTGGAAACATAATCGAGTCAAACGACAACAAGTGAGTGGCCATGGCGATGTAGTGACTTGTTTACAATTCGATGACGACAAGATTATTACTGGATTTGACGACAATTGCATTAACATTCATGATATCAAAACAGGACAATTACGGCGAGTCTTACATGGGCATGAAGGTGGTGTATGGGCTTTGCAGTATGTCGGCAACACATTAGTCACAGGTTCCACTGATCGAACATTACGCATTTGGGATATTGAACGAGGAATTTGTCGATTTGTTTTCCGTGGCCATTCAAGTACGGTACGATGCCTTCATATTGTCATGCCAACTGCTATATCTACAGGACCTGGTAAGGATGACTTTGTTATGCAACCTTCTCAACCTTTGATTGTCAGTGGATCTCGAGACTCGACATTACGTGTTTGGAAATTACCTTATTTACCAGCTAGATCATCCTATAATCAACATCAATCTACACAACAACAACAACAATTGCAACAACAATCATTACAGCAATCATCAATCCAATCTCGTTCTTCATCCCAGTACTTGAACAATGATGATTCTTTTATATTTGATGGACGACAATCAAAAGGACCTATGATGGATGAAGATGACATTGACAACATCACCCAACCTCAATCTTTTGCATCGTCACATCCTTTTGCCAGCGGTATCTTACCAACAACGGAAGCAAGTTTCCAACCACCACTACAACAACAACAACAACAGACATCTTCTTCATCTACATCTCAACATTATCATCAATATCAACAATCTCAAGAACATTACTTCAATCCATTCTTTCTCTACCTTTTACGAGGTCATCAACATTCTGTACGTGCACTGGCAGCCCATGGCAATACATTAGCAAGTGGCAGTTATGACAATAGTGTGAAACTATGGAATTTGGAAGATGGGGAATTGATCCATGATTTGAAAGGTCATACGCAAAAGGTTTATTCGGTGGTGATTGATGCTCAACGTCAACGATGTATCAGTGGCAGCATGGACTCTACTATTCGAGTTTGGAATATGGTGACTGGACAGTGTGATATGGTTTTACGAGGTAAATCATCATTTAAAAAAAAAAAAAAAAGTATTATGATGTGTTGATTTTCTTTTTTTTTATTTTTTTTTTTTTTTAGGACATACTATCTTGGTTGGATTACTTGGTTTTACAGAAAGATACCTTGTCAGTGCAGCTGCAGATGCTTCACTTCGAATATGGTCTGTGGATTCTGATGAATGTCATCATATTCTTGTCGGTCACAAAGGTGCCATTACTTCTTTCCAACATGATGATCATAAAGTGATTTCCGGTTCTGAAGGTGGATTGAAAATGTGGGATATCCGAACTGGCAAACTTGTACGAGACCTGATCAGTGATGTCAATGGTGTATGGCGTGTGGCATTTGATGAAAGACGTTGCGTAGCTGCCGTGAAAAGGTAAAAGATCAAACAGAAGGTTAGAAAAAAAAAACAGAACCCTCATTCTCTTATATATATATATATATCTTAGTGACAACACAACTCGACTGGAAATCTTGGATTATGGAACAGATACCGAAGAAGATGATTGTTGATCCTAGTTATTCTATTGTACATCATTCTTGTTGTTACTCTCCCTTTTTTTTTTTTTTTTTTGATCATCTTCTTATTTCTTTGTTATCTTTTTTCTTTTTATTTATCTATTTATTTTTATTATTATTTTTGTTTGTTTGTGATATCGTTCTATTTATACCATTGGCTTATAGGCCCCTCTTCTTTTTATTTTATTCCTTTTTTTTTTCTGTATCTCATCCACTTTGTCCAACATACCATCCATTGATTAGAACATTTGTTTGCACTTTTATCCATATTATTGTTTCCTTAAACAGTAACATGCATTTGATTATAAAATAAACTTCTATTTGAATCTTTTTTTTTTTTTTTTTGGGTATAAAGATTTGGTTTTTTTTTTGTTTTGTCTCTATCTGTATATATGGAACAAGCATTTCCTATGAGGATCTTAAGATTTGTTAAAGTCGAACATTTTTTTTTTTCCCATGATATGAGAAGTGACCATCATTATTATACGAATAATCCATTCATCCAGAGTACCATCATTGCGTATCATCCTTCATCACATATCATCCATGATCACATAATCATCCCATCATATATATTTATATATATTCACAAAAGATATGATTTATTGATGTAAAAAAAAAAAAAAAAAAAAAAAAAGTCTAACAAAAAAATGAAAATAAATACACACACACACAACATATATATATATAACTATTCAATACAACTATAATAACTACGACCACTTAAAATATCCACCAGAGCACGATCACGGTGCCACCAATCATGATGAGGTTTGCGATTCTTCATATCAGTAGTAGGTAACAAAGTCTTAATAGATTTGGCATGAACTTCGGCACCACAGAGACCAATGACAGCAATAGATTCTTCACCTGTAGCGAGTTCCACGGCATCTTGTTGTTTGTCCAAAGCAACTCGAGTATGCTTTTCAAAGAATTCAATACTGTGAATAGCCAAACGAGAGGCACGAATGCGATCCAGAGGAGAGGGTGTGTTTCCTTGTTGAATATGTCCAAGCACGGCTGTACGAGAATCAAACCTAGCACCACCTTCATCTTCCAAGATTTCAGAGATCACTTTGGTAGTATACGTCTTGCTGACACTTTCGGTACGAAGAATGACCCGACCTTCTGATTTTTGAGGATCATCCGTATCGTAGAGACCCTTGAGGAATTGTACATCACCTTGGAGTCGTGGGAGATCAATACCTTCTTCGGGAATGTAAATCGCACATGCTCCCACCGCTAAACCACCTTCCACTGCCAAGAAACCTGAACGTCCACCTTGTACTTCGATCACAAATACACGTCGCCTTGATGATTGCGCTGATTGTACAATCGCATCACTTGCACTGACAATCACGTTCAAAGATGTATCACAACCAAGTGAAAAATCAGTCCCAGGTACATTGTTCGAGATGGTAGCAGGAATCAAACACATAGGAATACACAATGATGGATACTCGTAACGCACCTTGTCGATTTCCACCAATGACGCATACGCTTCAAATCCACCCACCAGCATCACAGCTTGAATGTTCATCTTTTGTAATCGATAAGCCACCATGCCCATGTCGACATCCTTGCCAGGTACAGCTCGATTTGTGCCCAAATAAGATCCACCACATGTTGTCCATCCATCAACATCCATCCAATTCAATTGTTCAAAACAACCACGCACAAGACCAGAGAAACCATTGGCCACACCATAGACAGTATGTCCACGATTCAATGCATATCTTACAGCAGCACGAGTAGCAGAGTTCATCCCACCAGCAGGAGCACCAATATGAAGGATAGCAATTCGTAAACGTTGATGATCAGGTAATTCGATACTGTTGTCATCCAAGATCGTGGTCACATTGAACACTTTGTATTCATCCAAAAATTGAGGGTCTCGTAATTCCATGGCGCGTTCAAAATTCCGAGATTCAATTGCCTTGGCCACTTCGTGAGTCAGTTTGACAGCATCCATCAGAGGTTTAGTCGTCACCTTGTTGTTATTCATGCCAATCATCGGGGATGGTTTATCAGGAGTAGAAGCCAGTACAGCATCCACAGCAGCTACAGATTGAACAGTACCTAAGATCCGATCAAAAGCACAAGGAGATCCACCACGTTGAGTATGACCCAAAATTGTCACCCGAGTATCCAAACCCAAACGATCGCTAAGAATATCTTTGATATGATCTACTTTGATAGGATTAAGATGCTTATCCAGTGCACCTTCGGCCACAATGATGATCGTTTTCCGTTTGCCTAATTCACGATGTCGTTTTGCCACATTACACATTGCCGTTTCCCAGTCTTCTTCTGCCGGAGGTCGTTCAGGAATAAAAACAAAATCAGCACCAGTTGCAATCCCTGCCATAAGAGCCAACCAACCACAATGTCGTCCCATCACTTCAATCACAAATGCACGAGAGTGTGATAATGCTGTTGTGTCTACAGAATCCACAGCTTCACAAATACGATGTAAGGACGTAACAGCACCAATGGTGATATCAGTACTGGACATGTCGTTGTCAATAGATCCTACTAGACCAACAATCGTCAAATGTTGGAATATCGTTGCTTCTTCTTCAGTAATACGTTTTGTCTTGAATAATTCGGCTACCAATCCTCCCCATTCAGATCGAAACACATCCGCACCAGTCAATGATCCATCACCACCACAAACAATAAGAGAGTCAATACCATTCTTGATCAAGTTTTCTGCTGCTTTAAGACGACCTTCACGAGTCTTGAATGGCATGCAACGAGCCGTACCAATAGAAGTACCTCCCTTAAGTATTAAAAAAAAAAAAAGAATGAGTTATGATCCTTTAAATAAAAAAAAAAAAAAAAATAAAACGCTCAAACTTACTACACTCAAGTATCCAGTAACACTTCTCCAATCCATCTTTTTGATATAATCACCACCATCCACCAGTCCTAAATAAAAAAAGATATCAAATCAAAGATCAGATCTCCGCGACTTAGCGTTATCGTCATGTACTACCATCCAATTTCCTTTTTTGATTCTTGATATTTTTTTTTTTTTTTTTTACCTTGATAACCTTCATAGACAGCATATACATCACAACCTTTAGAGATGCCATAAAGTACAGTAGCACGAACACAAGCATTCATACCAGAAGCATCACCACCTGAAGTCAAGATACCAATTTTCTTTCTTCGTTGTTCTTGTAGTTGTTGTTGGGGTTGTTCAGAAACAGGATTTAATTTTGAAGAGAGAGCAATGACATTATTGTTTGGATCTTGAATCAATATAGACGTAGTAGTTTCTTGGAAAGGAATGTCGCGTTCGGTGAGAGTATGCATAATAGGTTGAAGATGGGGAACATTCAATACGAATAGTGTGTCTTCGAGACCCCAATCCTTATCCGTTGTCAGAGGCTCCTGTCGATGGAGTGTTACTTCAGGATTCAATACAATCTTGATAATCAATGAACTTGTTTGCTTGCCACCTTTTAACCGAAGCCATGTTTGTTGGAGTTCAGTTTCACCTTCACTTTCATGATTGCCTATCACACGGTCAAAGCCAAGTAGTTCATAAAATTTGACAGTTTGTCCATATGCTTCTTCATTCTTCGAGGATATAATGCTATACGAAAGTCCAAGTGCTGATGTCGCCATGGTGAAAGAAGATAACACTAAAAAAAAAAAAAAAAAAAAAAAAAGAAAGAAAGAAAAGAAAGGAAAAAAAAAAAGCGATATGGGTTTCAAAATAAAAAAAATGGACGTGTTTCTGAAATATGAACGGGATATCGCGGTATGAAAAAAATAAAGTGGGCGAATGATAACGCGGCATTCTACGGGAAAGCCTTTCAGAGGTAAAACAACACACCACAAAACAGTGATGGATGAATATAACAAATAAAGAAGTAAAATCTTTATCATGATGAATGTGAAATATGAAAAGGTCAATACTAAAAAGAATTGTTTTAGTTGCACCGTATATCATATTTGTAATTATATGGATAATGATAAACGTATAGTATGGATTTGACGCGAGAAAGATTATTTTTTTTTAATGTCGACAGTCTTTTTATTTCAACGACTAAGAATCGAAGTGTGTGTATATATAAAAGAGGTATAATGGTGAACTACTACTAAAAAAAAAAATTGAAACTAAATGGTATTATATTATTTTACATAAAACCCTTGACTTTCTAATATCGCTGTCTCCAACAATTGTTTTAACCTATCTTGTGTTTTGTGTTGATAAAGGATTAATTGATTGAAGCAAGTATGAGCTGAAGGAAGTCGACCAACATCTTCACCACCACATGTAATTTGAAGGTAGAGTTGACTTGATCCAGTAGCTGGGATACGATCACTTCCTGTAACAAACATCAAGAGTTTCCTTTGCATAGATGGTTCCATTGCCTTGGTGACATTCCAGAAATATCTATTTTAATCAAATAAAATCAATAAAAATAAATATCCCTGATACAGAAAAACTCTTTTTTTTTCCTTACGTACGTAATGATTGGATCATCTTGTTCAAAACCATGATATTCTGTACGACTACGTAATAGATCAATATCCAAAGGTTGATCACTACCTCGTATAAGTAGTTCAATTTCTTCAGGTCGGAATAACTAATATATAAAAAAAAAATGATAAATAAACATAAAAATAAAAAGTTAAAAAAAATGATGTTTGATTACTGAAAGAGCATTGCCACCACATATATGATAAAAGCCACGTTGGAAAGCGCCAAATTGATGATCAACACTTTTATTGAGTACGTAGTCCACATAAAGATCCACAAAGTCAAATCGGTTCTTGTTGGTGACCATTATATTCTCCCCACCTGGTAACAAAGGTACAATTTGACGTTCTCCAAATATATTCCGTTCCACCACAAACGTACGACAAAATGTAGATTCTACATCACCAGTAAAAGATAAGAGTTGCTGCAATCCACGAGCCAAACTAGGTTGAAATGCGGCCAAATCTTCTAATCCCACCTTTTGATCCAGTAATTTCTTATAACAAGCCAAAGGAAGATGAATGTCCAGGATAGTGGAATTATATATAGCGAGACCAAGAACTAGGCCCACCAAAAAGAATTGATCTTCATTTTCAAAACTTCCAGGATTAAACCAACAAAGAGTACTTTCTTCTTCTTCATCATACGTAAACATACCATATTGAGGATCAAATAAAGAGCGTACCAATAGTAAAAACCATTCCTTACGTAATCCACCAGCATCTACACCTTCTTCCCCAACAAATTTTATGCGTAGTGATTTCTTGAGATCCAATTCATGTTGCACTAACTATACAGGAATTAGTAACTACGAATTTTCTTCATAGGTAGATATAAATATTTTTCATTTGACATACCTGTCGTAAAGAGTCATCAATCAGATGTTGTCGTCGAATACTTAACGCCAAGTAAGGTAAAGAAGCACGTTGATGAAAGAGCATATTGAAGAATGCCTCTCGTCGTTTGATTTCCATTTGTTGTTTTGCATCCGTTTCCATAATTTGCATCTTGGCTCCCATACTAATCAAGAAAGGGTACTGACAAAAAGCAAATTTTCTATACACAACAAAAAAAAAAAAAAAAAAATAGAAGAGGTGAATTTGGATAAATGCTCAATATCTCTTACCCTGATTGTGATTGCCATGATTCAAAATCCGCCATCAAATGAATGTAATCCACCATGGTGTTGTAAAAGTTGGATAAAGCTGTCTTGGATGATTTTTGATTGGCTGTAACTAAATAAATATAAATAAATACATTTATAAAAAAATGATCAATATATACGCACGATAGAAAAAATCGCACACATTTTACATAATAAGGCCATAACACGAGCAGCACTGGCCACTTTCCAATCTGATTCATACGCCATTGGTAGATCCCTCTTGCTTTTCAATGCACGAGTGATACGATGAGCCATAAACTTTTGTACCAATTCAACTTGTTTCACAAACGTGGCTGGTGAATATCTAAATTTAAAAAAAAATTGAGAAATATTCTTTTCATTCTATATTCAATGAAATATATATATATATTACATTTCTTATTACCTTGAAAACCAATTGACAAGAGCATGATGACATTCGTTGTTGAGGCAGCTGAGAAGACCAAACACGTGTTGCAGGATGTTGTAATGATATTTTGTTTCAGCAGGGAAATTGTGTTGACCTAACAGAGGATTCTAACTCAATAGAATCACTTGATGTTACTGTTTTCCTTCTTGCTTTTCTTTTTTTTTTTTTTTTTTTACCTCCAAAATGATCAAAAGGAATCGAATATCACTCATGCGGCGTAGAGGGACAGTCGGTCGTTTCAATAGTTTATCTGTTGCTTTCATCATGACTCGAATGACATTGATAGGCTAAAACAAATCAGGTTAGCAGCGATCTTATTGTTTGATATATGTAGAATATTACCAAGCTGAGTAAGATTTTATACATTCGTCGAGTATCTTCCAATGCCACACCACAATCTTCAGTAGTAGTTGTGTTTCCCTAAAAAAAAAAAAGTAATAATCAGTAAGATGATATTATGAATATATCTTTGTTTTATCACTTACATTTGAAAAGCTATCATTAAGACACATCCAATTTCCAAAAGTAGCATCGATTAAATCTTCAACTGGTTGATAAAATAATTCCTTGCATGTATGAGTAGTATCCATCTTTTCTTTCCTTTTACATTCATTGACCAATTGTTTGAAGTATCGTAGAGTCAGGGGAGGTTGTAAACATACTTTTTCCAAAGGAGGTTTCAAATCATTCACCGTGCCACATACAGGACAACGAAATCGAGATATTAATTCTGGGTATTGTAGTTCACTATTATCAAACAACACAATTCATTGACAAAAAAAAAGACAGAGGGAAAAAGAAAATTTCGTCACTAACAAATAATAAGATAAAATTCGTCTCTTACCAGTGACAGCATATACATCGACCAGTCGCCTATCATGTCATGACACATACATATTCATATAGGTAAAAGAAGAGAAGATTTCTAGCGTTAGCCTATACTGGTTTTTCCTTCTCAATTGTTGTTTTTATTTCATTGTACCTTGTCCACTTCTGATGACTTGATTGCAGCATCTGCCAAAGCAGCTGGTTCTACTGATAACGGTCGTTGAGTTGGTTGAAGAGCTATAAATGAGGATCTGTCAACTCTATTGAATGATTCATAAACGGAGGTACTAAAATGGTCCATAAAATACACATATAATGTTAACAATGAAAGGAAAAGAAAAGAAAAAGGAACTCTAAAAAAAAAAAGGAGGGTTAAGGATGTTGAACTCCGTCAATGCGTCAAAAAAAAAAAAGAAACTTTATTACAGTTTTATTCAATAACAAATGACGGAATTCAAAATATAGGATAGAAAATAGATGACAGAAGAAGAAAAAAAAAAAAAAAAGAGAATGATTAATATACTGTATCATTATCAGTCATCAATCAATGTATCTTGACATATTCTGAAAAAAGTGGTAATGCGACATCCATTCTGGGAAAACTCCAATATTTTTATTTTATAATATCACGAAACTGTAGGGTATATCTAATCTCTAATATTTTATCTAATCTATCTAAATAGGTATTCGTATATGTTGTGTCAATTGTTCCTATAATAATCATATTAATAAATGATTAATTATCATTGTTTTAGACTTACATAAGTTAAAAAGATAACAGCCGAAGTAGGAGCACTCCTTAAGGCAGTGATACCACATCCACGATAAAACCCTTTGATGCCAGCATCTTGATAGATTGATTTAGCGATTTTTCCAAACGATCGAATAGGACCCTTTCGTAATTCATCATCAGTTTGCATTTGAGATTTGATAACATCCACAGGAAACATTGACATATTATATCCAATTCCACCCATGGCACCACTGATCATCAATTCAATTGAAGTCAAATCCTTTTTTGTATAATGATGATGTCCAGATTTACGACGAAGGAAGGTTGCACAACAATATTCATAGGCTCCAAACCAAAAGATCCCACCAAATGTTTCTCGAACCAATGTGGCCCAAAATCCACGATAATAACCTTGGATCCCATGACGTTGCCATACATTTTTCATCACATCCAAAGGTCCACCATACCGATGATGATGTTGTCGTTGCTTTTGTTCCTGTATTTGAAGTTTGCATTTCACTAATTCTACAGGTGTAAGCACAAATGTTGCCAAAGCACCTGATCCTGCACCTGCCATCATTAATTGTTCCATTGATAATTGTTTGCTTTCATCCAATTGTCCAGTATACATTCGTATCAATCGTTGCATTTGTCGATACCCCACAAATAAAGTTGCATTTTCCATCATGGCTCCAATAATAGGTAATGACATACCCTATATATATATATATTAATATACTCTTTATGCTATCTTGTATGTTTGTCCTACCTTGAATAATCCTTTGACCCCTTCATGACGAAGTGTTTGAGTAATACAATCTAATGCTCCAGTATAATGTGGTTGATCAAGAGGTTGTGTTTGTAGTCGTACTTTGATAGTATCAAAAGGATATTCTACTACTTTGCCAACCATACCAGCTATCTTTATAAGTAATATTTCAGTCAATAACGTACAAAGTAGATATTAAAAATACTTTACCGAACCAAAAACTAAATCTTCAATTTCATGTTGCAAGTTACTTTCCGTATCACCAGTATCGTCCATTGAGTAATATTTGTTACCATACAAAAAGTCTGACAAGTAGGAAAAGAAATTAAAAAAAGAAAGTAAGGAAGAAAAAAAAAAAAGTGGGGAAACGATTATGACACAAAAAAGTGACTTAAAAACTGTCAAAAAAAGAAGAATGAAAAAAAAACCATTCAATCACCGCCTATTTTATTTAACTTTTTTTTTTTCTTCTTCCCCTTCTTCTTCTTCTTGTAAAAACAACCCCGTCCAACTTTCATCATGAAAGAAGTAGATCCTATTGCTGTAAGTTATATATAGAGATATCACTTTACCAAATATTTATTCTATTTTTTTTTGTCTGTATTCTCACCATATAGTTTACCGTCGAACTAGGCAAATTATATGAACTATCCAAAAAATCAGGCAACGTGTCTGTCACTATGAAAAGAAGTAAGTTGAATAAATAGAAAGAAATAAGATTCATCTCTTATTTGATCTCTTTGTTTTATCTTTATTAATCAATATCTGATAGTGAATGTTCATCGGTTAAAACATCTGGTAAGGGACAAGAAAACCATGCCCAAGGGAGGTGATCTTGTAGTAGAAGGTCAATCAAAAGAATACCCAACACTTGTGCGAGCCACTTATAAGAATACAAAACTTAGTACCTTGGTAATCACTCTTTTTTTTTTATTTTTTTTTTATGAAGAGAACTGATTTTTATTATTTATTTTAGGTATCACCTGATGATTTCAATAAATTCCAAACTTCCTATGCTACTGTCATTCGAGCCTATATGGATACATTGAAGAAAAAGGATCGCTCCAAAAAGAACAAGAAACAAAAGAACTAACAGTGATCAACATCATCCTCCTTCCCCCTTTTTATGACTCTTGTAAATAGTATAGTCGTCTTTTTTTTATTTTTGTCAACATCAATAAAAAAAAAACTTTTATTCATAACAGAAAGTTATATGAATATGATAGATAAACGAAATGAAAAAAAAAAAAGTTATTTTATTATTTTATTAAATATATGAAAAAAAAATATACACAAAGTAATAAAGATATATAAAAGATAAAGTGAAAGATCAAGAATAAAAAAAAAAAAAAGAATATACAAAAAAAAAAAAAAATAACTAAACTAAAAACTTACCAAACCAATAATAATAATAGATCTAAGCACCAAACCAAGTTTCCCAACTGTTTTGATTATTTGTATCAGCTGGTTCATCATTACTATTCAATAAATCAGATACCCTTGTTACTGCAGCTGCTGGAGATGTTGTAGAAGGTGGATTCAAAATATTTCGTCCTGAAGGTGCAGATTGTGGTCGATGTTGTTGTGTGTTATTATGAGTATAGTTACTTCCATAAGAGCGATAATTAGATGGAGGAGTGTCATAAGAAGGATAATCCATAGACTGAGTTGATCGAGTAGAGGATGATGGATTGAAGTAACCTGCCCTAGGTCCAGGTGGTAATGTTGTATGATAAGGTGGTGGTGGCGGTGTTGCAACAGGTGAAGGATCGACTGATTTTCCATAGGAATGAGTTGGTAATGATATTGATGTATGATAAGGCTGTGGAGGTGATGATGATGTTGATACTTGTGAATACCTTGAAGGATGATTGTCAAAAGTGGCACCCATAGGAGGCATCTGTTGTTGTATATGTTTGTTGCCATATTGTATCGATGATGCAGGCTGAATCCCTTCACGTCGATGTACTATCTTGTCCAATTGCATTTTTTCTTCATTGTTTTGATAAAAGTTTCGAACTTGGATCATCGTCTTCGTTTTCATTGCATTGGCAATTCTTGTCCAATCTCTTCCAAATTGTTCCAAATAATGTACAAATTCACCACGTTCAGACACAGACCAATAGGATGAACTTGATGCTCGTTTTGGTTCCAAACCTGATTTCTTGCCAAGTATATTACGTCCAGTGGATACCGTCATGTCATCACTAGTCCAATCATCTGTTGAATCCATTTTCCCAGATGTCGTCCTTGCACGACGACGTCCTTTTTGTTGTGGTTGATATGGTTGTTGCTGTAATCCAGGATGATTAGAAGATGGATGCTGTAAACCAGAGGATGTATCGTTGGTAACGGGCGACGAGTAAGAAGTTAATGGTGATGATGTTGTATCCATAGTATGATCCCGACTTCCACCCATTTGAAATAATCCAACCAGAGCTGCAGCTGCATCTTCTTCCTCTGCCTTCAAACCTGTACGTCCAGTTTCCATTTTGATAGTTGAAGTATCAGAGATCATGGTTGTTGTATTTGTTGCTATAGATGGTGATGTTGTTTCCGGTGTAGTTACAAATTCTGAATTATTATCCTCTTCACCAAAAGCATTGGGTCCATATTTTCTTTTGTGATTGAAGTAAAAATTGCGACATTGTTCGTCTGTCTTGGTACCAACCTTGCTAGCCACTTTAATAAAGTCCCTACCCAACTCCTTGAATGCATCCACTGCAGCGTTCTTGTCTTGATCAGTCCATTTTGCCATAGTAGTATTTGATGTGCTACCTTGTGACTTCATTGACTCTTCAGATTGATCATCTTGATAACTGTCACTGGTAAGTAGTGTCGATGATTTTGTATACTCTTGCTTTGATGATAATTTGGTGATGGTTGTACCTTCTACCATTGAGTCTTCAGGAAATACAATTCCAGTATCAGGTACGCTTGTCACAGATGATCGTGGTGATCTACCCTTTCGTTTGTTGGTCTTTCGTTTTGTTGATGTACTATCACTTGTCACATCATCATTGTTTCCAGTTGTCATATTAGTGGTAGTAGTAGTTGTATTAGCTGTAGCAGTAGCAGTTGTTGTTGTTGTTGTTGTTGTTGTTGTTGTAGAAGTTCGATTTGGTGCAGAAGAAGGTCGTTTTGATTTGCGTCGTTCAGCAACACCATCCCAGTAGGCATTGGCTTCTTCCAATTCGCGTAACTCTTTGGATTTGATTTCAGTTTCTTTTTCTTTAGCCCTTCGTGAAACTTGTGCTTGTCCAATATCCGCCATAAGTGCTGAACCCTTGCTTTTTCCTTTACGTGCACTTGTTGCTGCATCCCCTGTGGCCCGTCGAATAGCTGCTGCCAGTCTTTCACGTCGTCTATTTTTCCCACGTCTTCCCTTTCGCATCAATGCCTTGAAGTCGATCTTGGTCTTCTTACGATAATAGAATAACACACATTGAGAAGCAGTCTTAGTTTGTACCGCTGCTGAAATCTTATCGAATTGCTTTGGATATTGCATATAACTTTCCATAAAGGCCGTCATTTCTTGTTGAGTCCATACATCTTCAGTTTCAGTACCAGTGTGATAGTATACCATAGGATTCTCCACCAAACCACTGCGATCATCATAAGTCCTAGCTCGCTCCTTAACGTCCAAAATCATAGGTGGTATGGTTGCTGTTGTTTTCGCTGCACGTAGTTCAGGATTTCGCATTTCCGCACTTTCCAATGATTGAATGATTTCTAATAGTTCAGCTTCAGATCTTGCTGCATCGGATGTCCAAGTACCCTTGCCTCCACCACGTCCAAAAGGAGTTGATGCACCATCTGTACTGAATCGTAATGCATCATGATTCCCAGTGAAAATGATACCATCCATATATTCTTCAGGTTCTTCTTCCACCCCTCGTCCACGCCTTGAAGATGACCTGTAGCCAGTTGAACCACCATAACGATCAGATCCTCGACGTTCTTGATCCCGCATTCGGTCGAGAGCCATGTTCTTGTTCTTCCATTGACTATAGATTTTCTTGAATTCACGTTTCAGTTTCCTTTCTTTTTGCTTGAGTTGCTTTTGGTTGTTTGCCAAGTAGGTTGCCATTGGTAACTTGAGTTTCTTAAACGTATCTTCATTCTCCTTGAAGCTTGGACAATCTTGAATCTTGCTATAGATAGGAGCACACCATTTTTCTTCATCAGACCAATCACCACCATCATCTTCTTTGCCTTGCCATCCATTGATCATACGAGAAGTTTCTTTTGCCAACTGTCGATTGACTGAAATAATAGCATTAGAAAGGGCGTTATCAATATTATCATCATGTGTTCGTATTTGATCCATAAGCACCTGAGGTCGTCGTCGCATCATTGGAGAATCATTAAACGGAAGATTCTGAATATCGGTCATTGGTTGACTACCTTCACTAATCACTTGTAAGGCTTGCTTCTTTGCTGCTGCTTCTTCTTCGGTGTCTTCATCTTCATCCTTTGTATCAGCTGGTGACTCTACCTCGGATGGCGGTTGTTGCTGTTGTTTGCTGTCAGCCTCTTGTTTATTGATTTGTTCCAGCATTTCTTCATACATGGTGATATCGTTTTCGATTTCGTCAATTCGAGCCACAATTTGTTGTTGAGACATAATTGGTTCTGACTTGACTTGAACGTTGGTGTTGGGTTCAGTGTTTTCTTTGCTATTGTCCACCGGTGATGTCGAAGATGAGATTTGCCGAGATGATTCGACAACGATATTTGAAGATGTTCCCATTTCTAATTTGACCTTGGTTGTTGTTAACGATATTTCTTCTTCACTAGTGTTCATTGGTTTTGTTGCTGTTAATGATCGATGTTCAGACTTGACTGACTTTTCATCTGTATATGTTGTATTAGACTGTGATGGTGAAATATAGGTTGACGAAGACTGTGGAGAATTAGTTTTGTGGATCTTTGTATCTGTGAGATGAGCTGGTAATACTGCAGATGCAGGAGATTGAGAAGATAATATTGTTGAGGCCGATGTAGGTGTAGGAGCATCAATATCCATCGTATTATCGCGCAAGCTAGTTGGTAGAGAGACATCAACACGAAGAGTAGTTTTTCTACTTGATTGTTCATTTGATTCATCAGGTCGTATGTTTGTTGGCAAATGAGTTGTCGTTTCTTTTTAAGTTTGAAAAAAAAAAAAAAAAAAAAAAAAAAACGTTAGAACATCATATTATTACTAATGTCAAATTTATTTTATATTTATTACCTGTTTTTTTAAAATTTGTCACTTTTATTTGATCATCATTGTTGTCCTTGTCAGGTATGACTATGAATAAAAATAAAAAAGAGAAGTTTAGACATATAAATATCATCACAATATCTTTTTTTTTTTGAAGCGCTGTAAGGAATACTTACTAGAATCGACTGTTGATGGTCCTTCCACTTTTCCAGTATCAACTATGGAATGAAGAAAGGCAAAGAAGAAGAAGAAAAAATAAGTAAGAAGAAGAATCATGAGGGTTTGTAAGTCATAAAAATATACCTGATATACTATGTACAGATTCTTGATCGACTTCAATATCATCGAACTTTGTATCAGTAGACTTGTTATCATCTCTTGAAGAGGTAGATATAGATCCAGTAGTGCCATAGACAGATTTTCCAGTGTCACGATCCCTTTCACGACTATTTGCTCGCCAAGCGGTTGTATTACGATCCAATCCACCAGTAGTAGAACTAGGTCCAGTAGAGGGTATAGAAGTACGAGGAGGTCTATTACGATAACGATCAAATTCAATAGATGAGCCTCTTGATACAGGTCGATAAAAATCACGATCTTCAAAGCGATCCCTATTATCACGATCATAATAATGAGTGCCAGGAGAAGAAGGTTCACGATCTCTGCCACCAGGTCGATATGAATCACCACCAAACGGAGGAGGAGGATAGGCTGAAGTAGGACTAGTATAAGAAGAAGTATCATATCGTATATCTCGCATACCATAACTATTGTTTATTAAAAATAAAATGAAAATGAGAATAAGAAGGATGAATTCACTTATTTTTCATTATTGTTATTCAACCTACCCATCACGACTTCTTCTATCAAAATCACGACGACGATCGTCATCTCTATAACGGCGATCTCGGTCCCTTTCCCTTTCTCGCCAGTCAGAATATCTTGAAGTATAACTTTCAGGTGCATTTATAGAAGATTTGTTGCTTGATTCATCCTTTGCTTTTGTTGATAAGGTAGATGGACGTTCAGTACTGCCTAAAGATGGATATAATAATAATAAAAATAAAAAGTAATGTTTAACTTTTATTCCGTTGGTTTTTTTTTTTTTTTTTTTTACCTTCACGGCGTAATGTTGATGAAGGTTTATTATAATCTCTTGGAATATTGGATGATGAAGAAGAAGAAGTATAATGATGTGAAGTTGACGTTTCGTCACGATAATAAGGCGTATATCTAATATATTAATAAAAAGTTGGAGAGTGAGTAAAGAAGAAGAGATTTATTATTTATTATTTATTATTAATATTATTAATATTATTTTTACCTTCCACGCATATATCTATCTTCTCTCATCATAAGCATAGATCGATCCCTTTCTCGTTCTCTATCTCTTTCACGATCTCGTAATTCCCAATAATCGTCAATAGCTGCAGTCATACCGCTTCGTGGTCGATAGCTATAAGAATCATATCTTGAAGAATATCTTGGAAGATAACGTCCATCACTGTATGGAGGAGATCTTGAACGTGAAGGCGAGCGTGAATGTGTGCCTCGAGAAGAAGTCGAGCCAGTTGCACTCATGGATTCAATAAATATAATATAATAAAAAATATATTAATATAAAATTATGAGTATATATAAAATATAAAGGAAAAAAAAAAAAGGAAAGAAAAGAAAGAATTTTTGAACAACAAAAAAGGAGTCGGGAGTTAAATATTCCTCGTATCAAATGTGATCACAAGACTGAACAAAAAAAAATAAATAAAAAAAAACAGAATGCTGCGTCAAGCAATTTTACAAAAAATTAAAAAAAATCCGGTGTTCATAATATGAATGTCTTTTTGTTGTTATTGTTATTGTTATTTTTTTTTATTTCATAACATCATCATCATTGTATATGTCAAAATAAACAAAGAAAAAAAAAGGAAAGGATAATAAAAAAAAAAGAAAATGGACGAGATATGGATAAAAAAATGAATGGGAGACAAAAAAAAAAAAAAAAGAAAGAAAAAAAGAATAGGGTCATCAAGGGGAGAAAAAAAAATCACAAGGTGTGAAATATATTATAGTAAACAACTAAACTAAAAGAAGAAGAATAAAAAAAGAATAGATATCTACCTTACAATTCGTCGAATTGACGACCAAGTTCATCCAATTCAGCCTTGGCAGAATTGTATTTTTCCAAAAGTTCTTCATGTCTGGCTTCTTTTTCTTCAATTTCCTTTTGTAAGCTATCCACCTTTCGTTCAGCTTCTTCGGCCTTGAGGTCAGCTTCGTTGAAACTAAATAAAATAAAAATAAAAAAAAAAAGAATGAGTACCTGAGCCAAAAAAAAAAAAAAAAAAAAAAAAACTCCCAACTTCTTTTTTTTCCCCTTGAGCTCGTTCTTTTTTTTTTTTTTTTCTGTAGAACTTGGCATTTTCTTTCCCTGACTTTTTTTTTTAAACATCACCATCATGATTCCTTCCAAGTTCTCCTTTTTTTTTTCTTTTTTATAGAACTTACTTTGTAGAAGTAGTCTTGAGTTGAGATTCAGTCTTTTCCAATTGTTCTTCCAAGTTCTTGACACGGATTTGCAAAGAGAGAAGTTCGTGGTCCTTAGAAGTATGTTCAGATTCGAGTTGCTTCACCTTGGCTTCAAGTTCGTCAGCCCTAGCAGTAGCTTCGTCAGCTTCAGCACGAAGAGCATTGAGTTTCTAAACCAAAATAAATGATGATGATAAAATATGTTAGTTTATCATTTACGTTCATTCCATAAACAAATAAAAAAAATAAACACATATCATAATAGTATATCAAATAAAACTATTACATTAATTCATCTTTTTTTTTTTTGTATATTTACCTCCTTGAACTTTTCCATGTTGAGTTATTTCTTATAAAAGATGAGAAAAAGAAAAAGAAAAGAGAAAAAAAAAAAATATATAAATTTGAGACTGTAAAAAAAAAGGTCATCAGCTAAAATCTTCAGCTCGCATCGGGGACTAAAATAAGGACTAAAAATAGAAGGAGAGAATGACGACGAAAAGAACAACGAGCTCGTTGATACTCGACAACGATGTCCATTAAGGGAAATCGTACTACACGTTCAAGGGACATACAAAGAGAGTTTGGATAGTTAATATTTATTAACAGATTAAAAAGTATATATAAAAAATATAAGACAAAACAGTTACAATACAATAAACTAAACTAAAGACACATCTACATTATCCATTACTTGATCAAAGGCATATTGTAGATCTATCAAAGAAATTAATTCACATTTTGATAATTTCCATTTTCTTAATGTTGGATCATTGGGTAAAAAAAGATGTTGATCCAAAGAAGCCAAAAGAGATGGATGATGGTAATCATTGTATAAAGAGCATCCATCATCCCAATAATGTTTGGTCCATTCCGGTATATTGCATTCTTGTCCGATTTCTTTTGATGATTTCATATCCAATGTTACAAACTGAGGCTTTTCTTCTTCTTGTTGTATATGATGTGATGGGTTGGATGGATTGATTGTCATAAATGTCCATTGCTTTTGTTCTCTCTGTGTTGCATAACGTCCATGTTTCCACCAAGATTGAAGATATGAGAATTTCCAAATATCGTCAATCCAATTTCCCACATGCACTATTACCATAGAGACCAAGGATGATGCAGATGATGATGTCGATTCTGATGATGATGGTGGTGGTGTTGAAGATGTCGATTGTTTCATGATATCTGCTGAGAGTCGATTGGAAGATCGCATAAACGTAGTTTTAATGGTAGTAGTTTTTCTTGTCGTGCCATTTTGATGATTGAATTGAGTAGAAGATGCAGCCGTTGTCATAGGTGAGCTTAACTGTCCCACAAAAGGATACTTCGCCCTTTGTCCAAAAAGTCTTGTCAGTTTCACTTTCATCCAAATAGTAAAAACAATAACTGGTAAAATGGCCGTTGCTGCAGATAATACACCTTTCAAATAAAAGAGTCCTACCATTGTCAACTGGAAAATCAAAAGACCATCGGATGTGTAGCGAGCCATTCTTCGATAGTGTCTTGAACCACCAGATTCATATTTCCGGATATAACAAAATGCATATTGATGTCGATACACCACAATCGCCAACCAAAAGTAGAATAGAGCAAATATCAAGATCAAAGGTTGAATAACAGAATAAGTGACAGTAATGACCAGTATCAAAATATGATTGGGATAGTAGTAATAATAAGGAAATGCCCAGGGTGAGGTATATCTTGCCATCTTACGCGGAGTTTTCGAGAATACAGGAAGAGTAAGAATCAAATGTCCAAACAATTGTGATCCCAACTGAAACAATTCCATGCCATGGGTTGCAGAGTTGAATAGAATGTAGTTGAGGAAAAAATTAGCACCTTGTGGTAAAGAGTTGGCCAAAAGTTGGATGATTTTAGCGGGTTCATATAACACATCTAGCATACTTGATAAGAACGAAGTTCCCAACAAGAACACAATCAATACGTTGAAAATGGCAAAATGATAGTATCTACCAAGAACACAATCTTCCAATTCAGAGTAAGATATGAAATCTTGTTGTTTCGAAATTTCTAAATTTTTTTAAAAAAAAAAAAAAAAAAAAAAAAAGATCACGCGTCAATCTCTTTCACATTATTCCTTGATAAGATTTACCTAGCAATATCCATGGTAAAAGACTCATGAATAAAGTCACCAATAAAGTTGGTAAGATGTTTTGAATAAAGGAGCGCACCACCAAAGAAGTATCAAGAAAATAACTGAGAAATCCGAAATGTTGAGAAAGTGATTCAATCGATGTCAATCCAAGAATAAATGAAATAGGAAATAACCAAAATATTGTCAAAGACCTATTAAAAAAAAAAAAAAAAAGATCAATCAATTATCTATGCTTAGTTTTTATTGATACTTACCATACTGCACAGAACACTACCCATTGTCGAATTTTACCAACCATTTTATCTTTTCTTCCCAAACGTAATAATGTAGACCACATAATATCTCTTGGTTCTGGAGCCAAAGTAGTATCAAAGACACCAGGTTTCCAACATGTCACAGCTTGAGCACAAATTTGTGCAGAATGCGCAGATCTTGAAATAAAAAAAAAAAAAAACATCATTAGAATTCTACGTTTTATTACAAGTCTGGAAATATATATATATATATAAAGTACTTACTCAAAGGTCACAAAGGCAGTACCTGTAGGTTTGTAATAATCTGGAGAAAGATTGGCATCACGTAACCGAAGAATTTCATTATCCAAAAGGCGAATATCATGCATCCAAGTCAATAAATCGTCCATAGGTAAACCAAACAATAATAATTGTTTGGGTAAATCCAACCAGAAATCTTTATTACCATCATCTTTTTGTGAGGAAGAAGATTGTTGTTGTTTATGCTGTCGTCGTATGATTTGTCGTGCCAAAAGTATCAATCGTCGTTCGAGTTGATCCACCCATTCTTGTCGTTGTTTTAAAGCACAATCCAGGGCATGACTTGCTGCTCTGTACACTAAAGTGACAGAGGTAACGCTTCCTACTTGAGTGATACTGAAATGATTACGTAGTGCTGCCGTGTTTCTTAATGGATGAGGGATATTGGTGATCAAAATAGACCGAAGATGGATAGAAGCTGGAATTGAACTAGATATTGATGATATTGGTGGAGAAGTGGTTATATTAGATAAACCGTCATCATCATCGTCGTCGTCGTCGTCGTCACCATGGTGATCATTTGCAGTAGTATCGGTAATCATTGTCTTGATAGGCGGTGATAAAAGTTGTGATTGTTGAGGAAGGTTTGTTGATTCGGCCGTTGATGGACAAGTTTGTAATAAATATAGGTGATGCCAGTGATTAACGAATAAAAGCCAGAGCCAGGTAAGGGAGATGAAGTACAGTAAAAAGACATGAACCCATACAATGAGCTGTTTATTGGGAACATTGGCAATAGATAAGAGATACAAAGTGGAATTGCTGTGAAATTGATCCATAGGTCGAGTATCCATTGGTAAAGTAAAATTAGTGTTATTGTCGTGATGGTTATCAAAAGGATTCCAATCAATATTTTGTTGTTGTTGCCATGCATCAGAAGAGCCACTGGACCAATGAATTGCCATAAGAATAGGACATACTATGCAAGATTGTAATAGTAAGAACTGTACAGTCATTCGTAAAAAACGGAGATGCATAGTAGCATCCAAGCCGACTTTTCTGACATAATATTGTTCATCTAGTCCGAAAGAATAGGTCAACCAAGAGAAGGGTCTTTTGAGTAATATAGGTGCTGCATTACTGGAAATAAGATATTGATATGAATATTTTAAAAGAAGAAAGAAAAAAAAAAGAGAGATAAAAAATGAGAATAAAAGAAAAAAAAAAAAGAAAGTGAAAAAAAGAAACCAATAATTTTGAGATACCGTCATATTAATGGATAAAGTATAAAATTCCCTTTCTTTTCTATTACTTACACAGAAAGTCGTGAGCGTGGATTGAAAAGGCATTGCATAGAAGTAAGATGGCGACAGGCTTCAAATCCAAAGATACAACATGCTGTAATAGCGCAGGAAATTCCAAATGTAGTAGATAATCCAAGTAATGTTGGTACATAATACACAGTGTCAATTGTCGCCATCAAATAACAAATATGTATCTAAGTGATGATTATATATTTTTTTTTGTCTATTGAATAAGGATTACATACAAAAAGAGAAAGAAAAGATAATTGAAGACTGGGGGGAATAAAGGATAGCTTGAAGAATTGAAGGGAAAAAGAAAAAGAAAAGAAATCCTTGAAGATTTAAGGAGAAGTAACTGCTTTTTTTTTGTGCTACGGGGAGAAAGGACAGGAAAATAAGGGGTGATGGTAAAATCTGAATAAGAGATACCAGTTTTTTTTCACTTTTTATTGTTGTCAAAGCGGAATGTAGTTTTGATCAAAATTGGACGATGGAACGAAGGTGGCAAAGATATGAACAATCAATAAGATAAAAAAAAAAAAAAGAAAGGATTGCTATAAAAAGACATCATTTAAATACATTAGAATGATCATCATGAGTAGAAACCTTTTTTTCTTTTTATAAACACAGAAAATAGATAAAAAGGATTAAGAAATGACGGGCTTCATGCAACAGGAGAAAAAGGAGGAAACGTGGGTTAACTCCTCTGATGCTTTTTGGAGTCTACCTTTTTTTTTCCACAGACATCTTGGTTCATTTCCCCAAGGCAACAATGGCGTTTTCTCCTAATTCTACCTCCCTTGGCATACGTTCTTTTTTTTTTTTTTCTTTCTTTTATTTATAGTTTATTTTGTTATTATAAATACGAATGATTGGCAACATTAATGATTAGTCATGATGGTTGGTAATGACGATAGTGGGTGATGCGAATGATGAGATGATGAAGATGATGGATGATATGTGATGATAGATAACAGTTGTTAAGAATATTGAAGACAGTAGAAGAACTCTTTTTTATTATAAAAGTACAACATATTTTGATGAATAAAAAAAAAAAAAGTAACTACATAGGCTATTTGGTATAATATATAAAAAGGTGGAATGGAATGCTAGAGAATCATATATAAAAAAAAGTAAAATAAAAAAAAGAATGAGTGTAAAAAAATAAAAATAAAAGAGAGATAGATACAAAAAAAAAAAAGGAAGGGTAATGTAAAAAAGGATTTATTGACAAGTCTTGTTTTGACGATGATTGTTGTTGTAAGATGATGCTGGAGGATATTGTTGATGATAAAGTCGTTTTCTTTCTTTTTCAGCTACTACACCAGGAGGTTCGGAAGTCATGATGACTAGATTGTTGCGATGATGATCATTAGCAGCAGTGGAAACATGATGGACATGATGTTTTCCAGGTTCTTGTTCAGTACACATATCAGTTGTCTTGACCCAATCATCATCCAGTAATTGCTTCAAAGTCCATCGTTTTTGGGGATCCAGTTCCAAAAGACCAGTCATGGCAGTACGAGCTTCTCTTGGTAATAATTTCAATAGACCACGATGTTGAGCAAACAGTCTGAATGACTTGTCACACATGCGAGGAACACGCCATGGGAATCGTCGAATGGTCATACAGATAAAAATAATACCACAAGACCATAAATCTGACAATTGAGCGTCATAGCTTGATTGCGTATATTGTTCAGGGGCAATATAAGGATCTGATCCATAGATGCCTATATACAATTGAATCAAATATGACATGGCCAAAAAAGGAAGTCAATAAAATTAAGTAAAAAAAAAAAAAAAAAAAAAAAAAAAAAAAGAATAAGGTTAAGATTCAATCCATTTTTATTAGACTAAATGTCATCATCTTTTTTTTTTTTTTTTTTTTTACCTTTTGTCATAAGAATGGAAGATTCAAAAGGATATTTGAAAACAGTGGAGCAACCAAAATCAATGATCTTCAATATACCATATTGATCTAATACCAAATTATCCAACTTGAGATCTCGATGAGCAATACCCATAGTATGATGAAGGTATTCCAGGCCATTAATAAGTTGACGCCAACAACAAGCAATTTCTTCACGAGACATCATTCCACTCATGACAATGTTGAAGAGATCATTTGGAGCAAAAGTCATAACTTGATAAAATTGACCATCTTCTTCTTGTATCATGTCTAATGTTTCAATGATATTTGGATGATGTAAAGTAGAGCCAATACAGAACTCCGCCGTCACTTTCTTGGTATATTCTTTTTCACTTTCATGAGTCAGTCGTTTTCGAAATTGTTTGACCGCCAAGATGGATTGATCTTTATTACGTCGAATCAATCGAACAGAACCACCCGCACCTTTACCAATATAACGACCTATTAAGACAAAGAGAAAAAAAAAAAGTTAGGAGACTAGACAAAAATAAATTTGAGGGGATTTTTTCTCTGTGTGTTGGTCAATGTTGAGGGCATTTTTTTTTTCTTTCCTTATTGGCAAATATGCCTCATAAAAAGAAAATCGCGCTTTTGCATAATTTCAATAAAATACTAATAATGAATTTTTACCCCATTTTCCATAACGAGTTTCCAAATCATGATGAAATTGATTGCCAAAAGTGAAATCAGGTGATCTTGAATGACTTGATACAACAGAAGAAAACGATGATGATGATGAATGAATGAGCCGATCTAACCATTGTGTTGTTGAATGTGATGATGAATGATCATGATGCACGTGGTAATATTGATGATGATGAAAATGAGTTTGATGATAATAATCATTGTATTCAGGACGTTTAAAAATAAATTGTTGTGGTAAAGAAGGACAAAGTGATGATGATAAAGGCTGAGAAGGAGAATAACAAGAAGAGGTGGTAGAGGAAGAAGATGAAGAAGTAGACCGACTAGATGTATAAGAAGTTGGAGGAGTAGATCCTTGTTGTTGTATTAGATGAGATCGACGTCTAGGATTGGATACAGCAATTTGTAATCGTTTTGTCAATTCAGTAATATCGATAATACTTGTATCATTGGAATGAAGATGTCTATGTGAAGCTGTTGTATGAGATAAAGCTGGACTTGGTACAACCGAGCGATCAGGGGTCATGATGCCATGGGTATCAATAGTAAGCATTGTTTCTTTTTATAAAAACAATAAAGAAATTGAAAAAAAAAGAATTCAATAATGAATATATATATTATATAAAAATAAATAAAGGAAAAAGTAAAAGAAAATGGGAAGAAAAATAAAAAAAAAGGAAAAAGTGGGAGTTTTTTTTATATAACCCAGAAAAAAAAATTGAAGAGGGGGGTGTGTCCACACATATACATACAAAAAAAAAATACACGCGGGAGGAGTTTGTAATCTACATGATCATCATCATCATCATACCATCATCCATACATTCATTCAATTCAAACTATTTTCTATATTAAGGATATGTGACGGGAGTGAAAAATAAAAAGGATGAAACACAAAAAAAAAAAAAAAACTCACTCATTTACTTTTGAAACTTACTTTGTAACCCTCATTCTCTCCCCCCAATCATTCATTTAAAACTGTCAACAAAAAAAACATCATTGCTTTATCAGGTTATATTAAGTCGGGTTAGAGAGAAACTCTACTGTCACTTTTTTTAACTAATCAGTTTGATCCGTTTTTTCTATTTTATTTATTTACAATTTCCGAACCCTTATTGCCAAAAAAAAATGGATCCATTTTTTTGTTCACGTGGATAAGGTCAGTGCTGAACATAGAAGTTTTTCATCACACATATCTTACTAGTAAAAAAAAAAAAAAAAAAAAAAAAAAAAAAAACCAGTTTTATTTTAGATAATTGGAATCGACAATATACAATCACTAATGATGTATTATTAATTTTGATCACTTATTGTCGTCATATAAGACTCAATCTCCCCTTTTTTTTCTTTAACAAAAAAAAAAAAATAAAAACTTATTTGATTTGCTTTTTGAATGAACCAAGGATTGATTCCCCGCCAAAAACTTTTTTTCTTTCTTTTTCCCTGTTCTGTTTCTTATTTTTTTTTTTTCATTACCTACAACAGCCCCTTTTGTCTCTCTTTCTTCTCCGCTCTTTTTTTATTATTATTATTATATCATATGCTTGGATCGTTTTGGCATGGGTTGAAACTAAAATGGACAACACCAAGAAGACTAGCACAAAAAGGAGATCGTGTAGTGATGGCGATGTCTGGAGGAGTGGATTCCAGTGTATCAGCAGCACTTTTGAAACAGCAAGGATTTAATGTAGAAGGGTTTTATATGAAAAACTGGGATACTCGAGATGAACGAGGTGTATGTCCTAGTGAACAAGATTGGCAAGATGTTCAACAAGTATGTAAAAAACTGGACATTCCATGTACTCAAGTTGATTTTGTGAAAGATTACTGGCATCAAGTATTTCAAGATACTCTGGACGATTATGCAGCTGGCCTGACACCCAATCCAGATGTCATGTGTAATCAACATATCAAGTTTGGATCTCTATTGAATCGTATTCCGGAAGACTGTTGGTTGGCAACAGGTCATTATTGTCGAACGGATGGTTATGGACGATTATTACGAGGAAAGGAAGTAGGCAAGGATCAATCTTATTACTTATCAACGGTACCTTACACAGCTTTACAAAGAACATTATTTCCTCTTGGCGAATTTACATCCAAAGAACAAGTCAAACAACTAGCACATACATTTGGATTTGACCAGGTGGCAACCAAACGAGAAAGTTATGGGATTTGTTTTGTGGGACAACATCGAAAATTTGCTGATTTTTTGGCTCAATACATTGATCAACCTCGTGGTCAGGCGGTGGATCTAGAGACTGGAAAGATCATTGGCGAACATCAAGGCTTATTTGGCTACACGATCGGTCAGGCGGCTCATATTCATCATGGTCCTCATAAATGGTTTGTTGCTGAAAAGGATATGACTACCAATACGTTATATTGTGTACCTGGTTCCACTCATCCTTCTCTTTTTCATAAAGCTTGTATTGCTCGTCATTGGACTTGGATTCATACTTATCAACCCTCTCATCAATCATCATCACCTGTAAACCTTTTGGCCCAAGTTAGATATCGTCAACAACCTCAACCTGCTCAACTTACTCAAGATCCTGATGGACGGTATCGTGTGACATTTGATCAACCTATACGAGCCATGGCCAAAGGACAACAAGTCGTAGTTTGGGAAAAGGATTGGTGTTTAGGTAGTGGTGTTATAGATGAAATTATTCCAGCCTATAGTTTAGTTTAGATTTGTTTATGATTTTTTTTTTTTTTTTGCTTAGATTATTTGTACATTATCATATCATTATCTTCTATTTACCAAATAAAAAAAGTTCTTTTTGATTCCGTTTTTTTCTTTTTTTTCTTTTTTTTTTTTTTTTTACCCCTCCCCCCAATTTCTGTATATGTCAAATCCGTTGTTTTTAATTTAGCCTCATGTGGTGTTTTAGTACAACAAAGGTTATGATCATCTTTGCTTAGGGAAACTTCGTATACATTGTCAATGAAAAAGATCATCGTACAACGTGTATACAGATCTATATTGCTTTTTTTGTCTTTCGTGTGAAAATGAAGTTTTTTTTTATTATTTTTATTTTACTTTTCTTCTTCCGGCCGGAAATGGCGATGTTACAAATATATATATATATATATTTATAAAGAGGGATTAAAGAAAGATTCTTTAGAACAAGTTCAAATCAGAATCATCGTGTACTACCCCATCTTGCTTCTTTTCCTTCTATCCAATTTTGGCAATTTATAGTTGATGATGTTATTTTATTGCATATATATATATATATATATATATATATATATATATATATATGTTTATAAAAATGTATATAAAGAAGAAAGGGAATTGTAAAAAAAAAAAAAAAAAAAAGGTAGAATACGGAAGATAATGATATAAAGACTATGTAAGGGTGATATTTGACTAGACTAGACTAAAACCATTAGAAGAAGAGATAAGTAAACAGAAAGATGACACCACACATGATAGCAACTACTTGAGGTGGATATCCTTCAACAGGATGAGGTTTTTGTAATTGAGCCAAATGTTGATGAACAGCATCCAAAGGTTGCACAGTAGGGGGTAATTTTCGTGTTCCAGCAATAGTATTGTTTCCAATTGCAGTTGTTGTAGTAGTGGCATTTTGACGTAATCGCAATCCTTCCAAATCTTGTTTGCTTTGTTCCAATTCACGTTCAAGTCGTTTGATCTGTTCCTGTGCTGCAACCAATTCTTGTCGTAACTTTTGTTGTTGATCATCCTTATAATCACTATCATCCTTTGTTTCCTTGGCCAATGTTGTTGTTGCTGCTGTTGTTGCTGTTGTTGTTGTTGGTGCTGGTGCGGGTGGTGATGATGAAATGGGTACTGTTGGTAATTCCTTTGATAGTTCCTTTTCTTCTTTCAACATCACAATGGGTTTGTCTTTTTGTATAATATCCCGATCAGTTGTAGTAGTGACAGGAGCAGATGTTGGCTTCATTTCCACTTGATGAATTACTTCAGGTTGCTTGACAACAGGTACTTCCTTGATAAATTCCTCTTCCTTGGGTTTTTCTTTTCCTTGATAAGGTGTCTCCAAACTGCTATTATCTGAGATGGTAGAATGATTTTCCTGAGTAACAGAAGTTGGTTTGACATCTGGTACTTTTTGTTCACTAGTTTCAATGATATGAGGTAATTGAGCCTATATAAAACATAATATTAAGTAAGTACCATATTGAATCAATCTTTTTTTATTATTATTATTATTATTACCTCAGATGTGATATTATCAGTAGTAGCAGCAGGAACAAAAGCACATTTGATCTTATGTTGTTTGATAATAGCTTGTTCTTGAGTTTCAATTCGAGCCCACTATATATATAAAAGAGAAAGGTATTAAATATAATGCCAAGGAATTCACTTTACCTTTTTTTTTTATTATCTCTTACTTACAATATCAGTCACTGGCATAGAATCATATTCGTGTGATTGGACTGGTGCACTTTGAACCAAAAACTTATCTTTGCATTTAAGATCGAGAGGAGGATCAACCTTGAATGGTTGTAAAATAACTTAAAAAAAAAAAACCAATAAAAAAAATAAAAAAATAAAAATTGGATTAGTCTATTTTTTTTTTATTAATACGCTTTTGTAATTGTTTTCATTTACCTTGAACTTCAACTTGACTAAGACCATCAATTCTTCCCGCATTAGGACGAACACAATATTGTTTAGGAGCAGTAGTCTTGACTTTGAAGATGACAGGTTCATTATTAGGGTTTTTCACTAATAATGTTTCTTTGGTGACGTTGGTCAAAGGTCCTAATGAAAAAAAAAAAAATAAAGAGTTCAATAAAATATAGTTAGACGGAGAAATATTTATCCTTACTTTTAAAAGTAAGTAAATCTGAAGGTTCAATAATCAATGACATGATGAAAAAAAAGATGAAGAAAATCAAAGAAAAAGAAAGAAAGGAAAAGAAACAATTGTATGGAAGAAAGGAAAAAAAAAAAATAGAAAACCTTTCTACATTAAAGGTCCGAAAAGGTCATGATGAAAAGAATGAAGGAGATTTCCTACTTATCATATTTATCTCCCTGAATAATGATGAGTTGTTGTTGTTGTTTTTTTTTTTCTTATAAAAGGTTCTTATATTGATATATATATATGATATTAATGTTGATGATTTATATTATTTAACAACGCGATGGAAAATAGTTTATATAACATGATTGGTTAAACTGAAATGGAAATCAAAACGGAGTTGATGTTATTTTGTCCCTAAAAAAAGAAAAAACATGCGATCATTTATTATCAGATTCATTCGTAGTATCAATATCATTAATATTTATATATGTTATACTTAAAAGGATGTTCCTAATTCATCATTAAATATAAAAAGAAAAACAAACTTTCTTTGCATAAACTATGCAGTCGAACCCCGCCTAGTGTACGTTTCGCAAATGGACATGTTTCTTAATATCATCGCAGTAACAAAAAAAAAAAATGGTTAGTGATCTTATTATGAATGTATATCAAAGTTTTCGTGGGAAATATTAAATTCAGTGTGGGGAAAAAAAAATAAATATGAGCGAATAAAAAATAAAAATCGAATAAAAATCTCTCCCTTTTTGTTTATTTATTTCTTTTTTCTTCTTTCTTTTCTTTTCTCACTCTTTTTTTTTTTCTCACTTTTTCAATATGTTCAGATCTAGACCATTATTATCTTCATTATATCAACAAGGACGTTCATTCTCTTCTACTGGTAAATATTTTATTCACCTATTTCCTTGTTTAACTTCTTTTTTTTTTTTTGGTAGCATCCTACAATAGTAACACATCTATTGGACTTATTGGACTTGGTCAGATGGTAACAAAATAAAATAAAATAGTAACTATTCTTATTCAAACATGAATTACAATTATTATTATTTGTTTTGGTTAGGGTCAAGGTATGGCGAAAAACCTTGCTGAGAAAAGTACAGGCAAAGTAGTCGTGTATGATATGAATGTGGCGGCAGTACAATCGATTGTGAACAAATATCCTCATGTGGAAGCAGCCAGGACGGCAGAAGAAGTGGCAGAAAAAGCAAGTACAGTTATGACAATGCTTCCAGCATCAATGCATGTTGAACAAGTTTACAAGGGACTCGAAACTGTAGTAGGCAAGGATCATATGTTGATTGATTCAAGTACAATCGAGGCACAAGTAGCTCAAGACGTGGCAGAACGTATGATGGCAAAACAAGCTTTAGCTTTTGATGCACCTGTTAGTGGTGGAACTGTGGGTGCAGATAAAGGTACATTAACATTCATGGTTGGTGCTCCTTCTCAAGAAGCTTTTGAAAAGACGCGTCCTATCCTTTCTCTTATGGGTAAGAATGTGGTGTATTGTGGCAAGAATGGTACAGGTCAAGTTGCAAAATTATGTAATAATATGTTATTGGGAATCTCTATGGTGGGTGTCGCCGAAACCATGCTTCTTGGTGCCAAGTTGGGTATGGATCCTCTTTTATTAGCTTCTATTATCAACAATTCTACAGGTCGTTGCTGGAGCTCCGATTCTAATAATCCTTACCCAGGTGCCGTTCCAGGTACTCCTTCAGGTCGTGGTTATCAAGGTGGATTCAGTAACAAATTGATGGCAAAAGATCTTGGTTTGGCAATGAAGGCTGCTGAAAGTGCTCAGGCTCATCCAACTTTGGGAACTATGGCGGCTCAAATCTATGCTCAATTATCTAACACAAAGGATTTCGAAACTTTGGATTTTTCAAGTGTATACAAGGTAAATAAAAATAAAAATAAAAAAATAAAAAAATAAAAAAAATGAATGGATGAAAAATCGTTACTCATTTTGATATATATATAGTGGTTGGCCGAACAAGAAAATAACAATAATGATGATTCTTACAACAAGTCTGCAGCTGGCAAATGATAGTGATGATAGTTATTCTTCTTGAATAAAAAAAAAAACCAAAATATTTATCATACCTGAAGTTTAATCTACATGTATTTAGAGCATGATGTTAGATCTATTTTGATTGATGACTTTTTATGGATGATGATGATGATGACGATGGGTGACGATGAATGAAGATGAATACTAAGAAGTGATTGTGCTACTTGATAATGATAATTTAATGGCATTTATAATGATGTTACAAAGATGAAGGTCCTTATATGGCGTAAACAAGATGATGATTGGACTATTATTTGAATTCAAAAGATTTGATTTTTATTATCTTTTTTTTTTTTGTTCTGGGGTAAAAAGTCAAAAAAAAAAGTCTAAATGAATATGTGGAAGGGACTTGACTGTTGAGTTTTTTTTTTTCTTTAATCATAATAGTAACAATAATAACAATAATAAAAATAATAATAACAAGACTATATACAAAAAGAGAAGAGGGGGAATACAAATATTGAAGGAAAAAAAAAAGTACAATACAAGGGGAAGAATGCCAAAAGGATAAAAGAGAAGGAAGAGATTGAAGCACCAACTAAAAGTATGGTAGGACAAACCAATCACGAATAAATAAATTTGACCAAAAAGGAAATACTGATGATGATATTGAGAGATTGATGAAAAATTGATTGATGATGATAATGATGTCGTTGTTGTTATTGATTGTTGTGCATGGAATATGTTGTGTCATAAGAACAGGTAACTACAGAGGTAACAAATTGCCTTGATGAGAAGTAGGGCGCATTAACCATTTAAAGTATTCATATACACTCCAGCTAATAGCAGCACTTGGCATATGAGTCAAGACTCTTGGTTTAAAACCTCGGAAGAAGCCCCGTAAACCATAACGTTCTTTGATAATAGTAAAACCGTCCATAAATCCAGTAGCACCACGAATACGAGCATCCTGACTTTGTCCTCGTGTTTGTAATAAAGTCTTAACCACATCCAAAGGAGTTGTCATTGAAGAAGCTATAGCACCAGCCAAACCACCAGCAATCACGTGTGTTGTAGGATCATAACCACCATTGGGATTCAATACTTTTCTGAAATATTCATAAGTAGCAAATTGTAGAGATTGGAAAGGTACAGACATAGCCAATGTTGTAGGTAAAGAAATATAAAATGCTGAGAAACCTTCTTTAGCGAATACCATACGAGCACATTCCCTAACTGATCGAAAAGTACTATCCTTCAACTGCATTCGTTGTTTGATCACTATAAATAGAAATAATCAGTTCCATATCTATCTATATATAATCTTTTTTTTTAAAATTTACCATCAAATGGATTCATCAAAGTATCATGAGCAAAAGTAGCAGTAGCTCCAGCAGCAGCAGAAGCCAAAGGATGATGACCTTGACGATTGGCACCATAATATTCCTTACAAAATTCATATGTAGCAAAATGTAATGCATGAGCTGGACCTGCGCCCATCACTACAGAGTTGACGCCACGCCACAAATTACGAGAAGCAGTTCTAACCATAGGTTGATTGAGGGCCAAAGTAGTTGGACTTGTTGCAGAAGCAGTTTGAATTACTTGCATTCGAGTCTATAAACAAAACATATAAATTATATTATATAAGTATATTTATCTTTATGTATGAATCTATCTCATTACCTTGATACTATCAACAGGGTACATGGCACAATGTTCAGCTATACCAGCTAAAGCACCAGCAAAAGCATTTTGAGTCATAGTAGTATTTTCACCTAAGGATTCATAATCGTATTCTTCTTCAGCCATGGTAATGTATAAATGTTTTATATTAAAAGGTAATAAATAGAAAAAAAAAAAAAAAAGGTGAAAAAGGGAGAAGGAAGAGAAGGGGAGTAAAAGATATACAAAAAAAAAAAAAAAAAAATAACAAAAAAAAAAAATATTCACAAAGGGCTGACAGCGAAATTGATTGTTTTGTCAGACTTTCAAATGACCAATCAAATCACATCTGATAACAGTTAGTGCTCCCGATTGGCTACCTATTTCAATGATAACCCAAATTTCATATCACCGCGAAAAAGAAGTGGCATTTTGAATAAGGTTTACCTGGCCCCCCAAAAAAAAAAAAAATAATATTACTTTTTGAATCTGATAAACATAAACGTGCTCTATAAAGTTGATACATCACTTTTTTTTTTCTTCTTTTATCACTTGAGACAATAAACACTTGATCATCACATTATATTATCATCTCTTTACTTTAATAAAAACAAATCCTTTATTAAAAATTTAATCGTTGTTTAATAAAAATATTAATCATCATCATCATCCTTTTTCGGGTAATGATTAACCGAGGTCAATAATAAAATAATAATAACAACAAAAAAAAAAAAGCCACTCAAGCCGATAAATGAGCGGCATTAAATAAAGATCAATGTCCTTCCAATGGTGAATGAGGAATTGAAGAAGAAGAAGGTTCACTGATGATTTGTTTTTCTTCATAATAGCATGGTTCAATTTGACTCTGGTCTTCATTGGTAAAATGGCTAGTCTTCATATCATCTTCATCAAATTCCATATCTTCTTCTTTTTTTGCTTTGCGACCATTCTTTAACTGCTTGATAATCAGATAAGAAGCAACATACCCTAAGTGTCGTCATCATTAATAACAAACAAATAAAAAAAAATTATAGTACATATTAGTATTTTTGTTGAAACCTCTAAAAAAAAAAACGGGTCCCTACCAAGTAATATCTTTCACCCCCTCCCCTCACATGCATATCAGTTACCGATATTCCCCTTCCCCTCTTCTTCCCTGATCAACACACACATCCCCCCCGCGCAAAACATCACCCCTGACAAAAAAAAAAAAACTTTTTGGTCTCCGCACTTACAATCAATCGTATATATCACAGGTGTACTACCACCAAGAACTTTAAACATTAATAGAACGCCTGTTAAAATATTGGAAAAACAGACTCCAAAGCTGATTGTCCATAAAAAGAAGAAGAGGGTTATTACTGAATTAGGTAACAGTTTTTTTTTTTCTGTCTTATCACTTACCAATAGATTAATCCTTCTCTAATTAAAGTTCTTTGAATACTGGATCCAAGTAATCGGTAATGTCGATAGATCACTAATAGAAAACATGCTGATAAAAATGTGTTGGAACAAAAATCTAGTGTTGCCTTGATGATAACGATGAAGATCGCTAAAACAATAAAAATAAAAAAAAAGAAAGGTTAACTCAGCGTTATCCCCTTTGATGATGGACCAATGGATGGATGATATGTCAGGATGGTATGATAGGATGATATGATGATGATGGATGAATGGATGATTAGAAGAAGGAAAGAAACTTACGATAATCAGTAGCACAGGCACCATTTTCAAAAAATGAAGTGGATTTTCCAAAGGTGATATTCATACAAATGAAGGCAACAAGACCAAGTAATGGAATAGTACCGAGAATTAAAATGATTTTAGATCGACTGTTTCCTAGAAATGCTTTCCACAAAAGAATCGATTGAAGAGCTATATCGGCCAAATTAACTCCAACTACAGAAAAAAAGAGACGCTATAAAGGAATAATGAGTTTTACTTTTTATTCATCATCTATATTTTTTTTTAAAAAAAAAACTTACAAAAGTACAATCCACTTCAATCAAGGAAGTCAGTAATGTAACAAAAGTTACTATAACACCTAGAAGCGCTTGCGAAAACACAACGGCATGAACGGGCTTGCGGATTTTAAAAAGCATCGAACCTGACTCAATAGTTTGCCATATAAAGCAGCCAAAACCAATACTGACAACCATAATGGAGAAGCTAGTTTCTTTTAATTCTGGTGTCAATATTTGTGGGTTAGTTGACATTGTTATTTTTTTTTTTGTTGATTTTATAAAAGATGAAGATAAAAAAAAAATTGAAAGAAAAAGAAAAAGACAATACTTTTTTTTTTCTTTTTATTTTTACTTAAAATGGATCATCATCAGATTATCTTATTGGCTGAAATCGTCAATAGACAACTGTCTCCCTTGCTGCAAACTAAAGTTTTTTTTTTTTAGTTCAACTTGTTAACAAAAAAAAAAAACGATAGATAAATAATGTCATTTTCATGCATTAAAAAAAAAATAAATATATATTTTCTGGTTTCTTTGTTCTTTCAATTGATTTCCTTTTGTAGTCAAAACAGAAAAAAAAAGTTTTTATTTGATAATCTGACAGGCAAATGATTTCTTTTTTTTTTTTACTTGTATATCGATCACTAATGATGATGAGTGGAAAAGAATGAAAATGATATTGAAAATAATATGGATGATTCCCTTTTTTATATATATATAAACGCTTTTATTGTTGTGCGAAAACCAAGGCAGTGTGTAACATCATAATATGGGAAGAGAATAAAAACAAGATACGATTATCATCATTATGATCATATTCCAATATATATATATATATATATATATATATATATATATAATATGTAATATATAGAATAATAGTATAATTTATGTATCAAAAGTGTTTTATGGATCATGATTGATTTTGACTGTTTCACGGTTAAACATGTGTGTACATTTAAAATGCCGCCAATTCAATGTATGAATTGTGCTCACTTCTTTCTTTTTCTTTCTCCCCTTTGTAATTTTTTAGTCACTATTAGCTCTCCTTCCCCTCTCTTCCCTCTTTTTTTTTTTTTTTTTTTTTTTTAACCCTCCTTGAAAGTCACTCACTCTATTCTCTCTCTCTATCTCTCTCTCTCTCTATCTCTCTTTCTAGTTGGTTCCTTATTTTCCTTTTGTTCTTAACTTATTATTATTGTAGGTACATTGTTGGAAGATAATAAAAAGAAAAAAAAAGTAAAAAGAGAACATCAAAGACTATACAAACTCATCTACCATCATTCTTTTACATACTTTGTTTTCTTTTTCTTTTTTTGACTAGATTTATAATCAATGCAAACCATCAAGTGTGTAGTTGTTGGTGACGGTGCTGTTGGGTAAGCGAAATGATAAAGCAAAAGATAAAAATAACCGAAATATTATAACTTGAATATACTCATTCATCCTTTTTTTTTTATATATGTATAATACATAGGAGTATGTATATTTATAATATTACAAACATATATTCATACTTAAATATACTAATGGACCTTTTTTTTTCTATTATTATTTATTAATTATTTATTTCTTCTTATATATATATATCTACTTATCGCTCGACCATCAATGACATTCATATCTACGTCTAACTGAATTTTATAGAAGTAAGTATATAAATGTAATTTTTTTTTCAATGTAGATCAACCAACTTATATATTAACCAACCTTCTTTTCATCTACTTCAATATAAACTTTTAGACTTGTCTTTTGATTTCGTATACTACTAACAAATTTCCTTCCGAATATGTGCCCACGGTAAATAATATATTATATATAAAATACAATTGGAATATAATTACTGATAGTATTCTATCATTTTGGTAGGTTTTTGATAACTACGCTGTGACAGTTATGATTGGTAAATATAAATACATATAAGAGTGTGGTTGATAATAAGAAAGAAGTCTAGGCATATAATATTAAACTTCATGATTTTTTTTTTGTAGGTGATGAACCATATACTTTAGGACTCTTTGATACTGCTGGTAAGTCTTTTTTTTTCTTTCAAATTCTATGAAATAATTCAAATCATATTTCTTTTTTTTTGATATTTAGGTCAAGAGGATTATGATCGTCTTCGTCCTTTATCTTATCCTCAAACTGATGTCTTTCTCGTCTGTTTTTCAGTGACATCGCCTGCATCATTTGAAAACGTGAAAGAAAAATGGTTCCCCGAAGTCCATCATCATTGTCCTGGTGTACCTTGTCTAATTGTTGGTACTCAAATCGATTTACGTGACGATCCCAATGTGAACGAAAAATTGGCACGACAACGACAACGACCTATTAGTTTCGATGCTGGTGAACGCTTGGCAAGAGAATTGGGTGCTGTCAAATATGTAGAATGTTCGGCCTTAACACAAAAGGGGTTGAAGAATGTCTTTGATGAAGCTATTGTTGCCGCTTTGGAACCTCCTGTCAAGAAGAAATCCAAAAAGTGTACCATCTTGTAGTTCTCTCCTTTATTCTCTCTCTCATATATATCTTTGTTTGTTGTTGATGTTTGCTGAATGGATAATGTTTATCATTCCCTTTATTTTCTCTTCTCACTCACATATTCACTGTTATTTCTCCTTTTTTTTTCCCTACTTTTCCATATATACATAAAATTATCTTTTTTTTTTACACCCCTTTATGCAATCTTTTTTCACCCTCTCTTCATCTCTTATTTATAGTTTAGAAAAGAAGCTTACCCTCATTCAATAAAACACAGAACAAACATGAACTAGTGCAAGTTACTTTATCTACTGATGATATGATATTGAATGGTACGTGATGATGGAATGATTGAATGGATGAAATGTGATGATAATCAAATGGATGAATGCAATGAATTGATGAAGATAAATAAAGATGATATGATAACAAAAGTTCCTCCGATTTTATTTTATTTTTCTTTGATTTGGATAATAATAATAATAATAATAGTAATAATAATGATAATAATAATAATAAAAAGAAAGAGGATGATATATATATATATATATAAAAGAAAGACTATACTACATCCGTAAGAGTAAACTATAAAAAGTATTGGCTGCCCGGTCCAGCCGTATATGAAGCATCGCCCTGAATATCATTTTCCAGAAAAATCCTAAAATCAGATTCCATAATATTGGTTCGATCGTCCGGTACTTTGAGAATAGCTGCCTTGTTTCCACATCTATAACAATAGTTGGGTGCAGACCATAGAGTTACCAAATTTTTATTTGTAAATGGGTAGTTGTAGCCTTCATCCACCAATTGATGACTTCGAACTATCAAATCAACACCGTTGTTATGGCAAAACTAGAATAATGATAAATAAATTAAAATATCAAATTTTAATTATTTTTTTTTAATCCATCTAACTTACTGCATCCGTAGGTAAATGTCCAAATAGATATCCACCACCTCGTGGACTAATAGCCCAAGATTCTACTTGTGATTCAGGATCAGACCATAACAAATCTAGTTTTCATATATAGAGAGTCAATCATACTATTTCTTTCTCTTACATTTCTAAAACTTACCGCATGGCCCACCAGTTTGAGGTAATTCTTGCATTCGAAATAAAGTTCTATATGATAATAAGTCAATATGAATGAAATATCATGTTAATTTTTTTTTCTTTTTTTTTTTTACCTTATGGAATCAATGGAGGGTAATTCAGGAGATAAACCACCATGTACACAAAATACTGAACCATCAATGATCTATTCATAAATCAATTAATATTAGTATCTTTATTTCCTAACCTTTCTATGAATTACTTACCGCTGCCAAGGGTAGATAATCAAAAACTGTACAACACCATTCCCATACTTTTGAGCTTTGATATTTTGCGAGACATTCATCTAAATGATTACAAAAAGAAAATAAAGAATAACAAAGATCAGCTGACTTGTTCATATCATTTACCTTTTTTCTTCAATCCTATCTCTCTACTTTTACATATTTACCATAGAATCCATATACTCTGGTGACTTGACGTGATTCATGATTACCTCGTGTCAAAGTAATTCGATCTGGGTATCTACATATATATATATATATATATATACGAAGAGATATAAAGTAGAAGATGTGAATAACATTTTTGTTTAGTTTCCATACCGTCCTCTTTTTGTAGTCATATGTACTTTCTTTTTTTTTACTTACTTGACCTTCAATAAAAGAAGTAGTGTTAAAGTTTCCAAAGAATATCGACCTCTATCCACGAAATCACCCTAATGAATATGATGGTCATTCAAAAATGAATAAATAAAAAGGTTCCAAAAAAATATATAAAAGTGTTAATTTTTTTTTTGGGAGTCAGTTTTCTTTTTCTTATCGTATTGTAAACTTACCATAAAGATATACGAAGTCATAGTAATATCACCACCAACTTGAAAGAGTTTCAATAAATCGTAGAATTGACCATGAATATCACCACATAAGGTGACGGGAGAGTGAACTGGTACCACGGTTGACTCTTCAGCTAAGATTTCCCGTACCTTGTAACAAAGTTGTCGCATTTCATTTTCTGCAAGATATTTACAGCTCTTTATGGACTCGATGCAAGCATCAATATCCATCATGAGAGAATAGAAACGGATAAATAAGGGCGAATACGAAGGAAGGAAAGATAATACAAAAGAAGAATAAGGAAAGTGACAAGGAGAGGAGAATACGTGAATAATACTAAGAAGAGAACAAGTCAATTAATAAATTGGGAGAAGAAGGCAAAGAAAAAAAAAAAAATACTACTAAGATAAAAATCTATAATTGTTTATTGGAAAGAAAATCCAAGGTGAGGGCGCTCAATGCCTTCGGGCCGTGAATTTTTTTTTTTTTTTTTTTTGGAACTGAAGCTTTTTTTTTTTTTCTTTTTTTGACCCAAACTGCGGCTTTTTTTCTTTTTATTTCTTGTTTGAAATTTTGAAAGCTGGTTGATTAGATCAATATGCCAGCCATCACTCCTCAACAGATTGGTAACTTACAGCGCAACAATAAAAATATACGAAATATATGTATTTTGGCTCACGTAGATCATGGCAAAACTACTCTTTCTGACTCTTTACTTGCTACTAATGGTATTATATCTTCAAAGATGGCAGGCAAGGTTCGTTACCTTGATTCAAGAGAAGACGAACAAGAACGTGGGATTACTATGGAATCAAGTGCTATTAGTCTTTATTTCAAACTGGTCAAGGCTGTACACCAAGAAGGACAAGGTATATTATACTAATATGCATTTTTTACTTCTCCAGTCTCGCGTTCTAATTTTTTTTTTTTTGTAGATATCTCAACACCAGTGGCAAGTGAGTATTTAATCAATTTGATTGACTCACCAGGACATGTGGATTTCTCTTCTGAAGTATCAACTGCTTCTCGATTGTGTGATGGAGGATTGGTACTAATTGATGTTGTCGAAGGTGTATGTACTCAAACCATTTCAGTACTGCGGCAGGCTTGGATTGACAAGGTACGACCTATTCTCGTATTCAATAAAATGGATCGTCTGATTGTGGAATTGAAATTGACACCTCAAGAAGCCTATCTTCATCTCAACAAAATTTTGGAACAAGTAAATGCTATTATGGCTACCTTCTTCACTGGTGATTGGATGGAAGACGAAGCTAGAAAAATGACAAGTAACCATGATGATGATGATGATGATGATCAAGCTGGAAGAACTTATGATTGGAGTATGGAAGAAAGAGACGACTCTGATATTTATTTTGATCCTGCTCGAGGTAATGTCATCTTCTCAAGTGCTATTGATGGTTGGGCATTTAGGTAATTATAAAAAAAAAAAAGATTTTGATTGATCTTCATTACTCATCACATTTTATCGAATGTCAATAGAATTCAACAATTTGCCGTGATGTATGCAAAAAAATTGGGTGTCAAGGATGGCATATTACAAAAATGTTTATGGGGTGATTACTATTTTGATCCAAAGACAAAACGTGTATTACAACAAAAACATCTCAAGGGTCGATCTTTAAAACCAATGTTTGTACAATTTGTACTTGATAATATTTGGGCAGTTTATGATTCTGTGGTAATTCAACAGTAAGTGTCATAACCTTATATATTCTTTGTCAAAAAAGTTAATCTTTTTTTTTTTTTTGTTTTCTTTTTTTTTTTTTTTTTTTTTTTTTGGTAGAAATCGTGAACGGACAGAAAAAATTGTGGCAGCTCTCAACATCAAGGTACTTCCAAGAGATTTACGTTCTCGAGATACTCAAACATTACTCACAGCCATCTTCTCTCAATGGTTACCTTTATCCACTTGTGTTCTACTTTCTATTGTTGGTCAATTACCTCCTCCCTGTGATGCTCAACGACTACGATTACCTAAAATGCTCTATCCTGATTTACAACACAAAGACAGTAAACCTCTTGAAGCAACCAACGATGTGGAAAAGGCATTATACTCTTGTGATATATCCGATCAAGCTCCTGTTGTAGCCTATGTTAGTAAAATGTTTGCTGTGCCAGCTGACCTATTACCTGAAAATCGACGAAAACAAATGACAGCAGAGGAAATGCGTGAACGTGGTCGCCAACAAAGATTATTACGACAACAATTACAACAACAGCAATTGGCTAACGAAGATAATGGAATCCCATTGCAACCTGATGACCTTGCAGCACTTGAAGAAAAGGCGAATGATATGTCCATCAATGATGATCAAGATGAACAAGAGGATGACAATAATACCAAGGCTGAACATTTGATTGGATTTGCTCGATTGTATTCTGGCACCATCCGAGTTGGACAAAAGTTATATGTGATGGGTCCCAAGTATGATCCAAACGAACCTGATCGACACTGCACGGAAATCATTGTACAATCTCTTTACTTGATCATGGGACGGGACTTGGAATCATTACCTGAAGTTAGTGCTGGAAACGTTTTCGGTATTGGTGGACTGGAAGGACATTTACTGAAAAATGGTACTTTGGCAAGTACCAAGAAGGATGTGAAAAACATGGCTGGAGTCACTTTGGATTCTGCTCCTATTTTGCGTGTGGCCCTTGAACCCGAAGATCCTACAGAAATGAACAAGCTTGTGGAAGGATTACGATTACTGAATCAAGCCGATCCATGTGTACAAGTCATGTTGCAAGAAACTGGAGAACATGTGATTCTGACTGCTGGTGAATTGCATCTGGAACGCTGTTTGCGTGATTTGAAGGAACGATTTGCAAAGATCAACATTCACGTCTCTGCTCCAATTGTTCCTTTCCGTGAAAGTATTGTTGTCAACCCTGAAGTATCTATGGTCAAAGATTTGAATACTACTGATGTTGCCCCAGTCACGGTTCCTCGAGGCTCCTTTTCTCTTACCACGACTTCCAAATTGGTGACGCTTCAAGTCCGTACTGTGCCTCTTCCTCCACGTGTGACTGAATTATTGACAAGTAATGCAACTACTATTAAGAACATCATCGATCAAAAATTAGCTAGGAGAAAGATACTTTTGGAGACAACAACCACAGAAGATGTCGAGGATGAAAAGAAGGTATTGGAACTCAATGAGACTGGTTTAGACAAGGTGCTCAGTGCCAAGGAATTACAAGATCAATTACGACAAGCATTTAATGATGCTCAAAAGGAAGGAGGTCCCTTTGCTAGTTTATGGGAAAACATTGTGGATCAGTAAGTAAAAAAAAAAAATGAATATGATATAGTGGTATGAACTGTTTCTTTTTTTTTTTTTGATGATGATGATGAGTAGTATTTGGGCTTTTGGACCTCGACGAATTGGTTCCAACTTGTTAATTAATCGAGTGCCTGGATATATCCGAAAACCATTCTTCGAATCAACAGAAACGACTTTATCTACAACAACAGTAACGGAACAAGATATATCGGAAGATCATGCTGATGAAGTACTTAAAGTGGAACAACAAGAAGATGATACCATGATCAAGGCTCTTTCTATTTTGGATATTGATTTCCATATTCATACTGGTTTCCAACTCTCGACTTTAACAGGACCTTTATGTGCTGAACCTATGACTGGTGTTTGTTATATTGTAGAAAATGTCATTGTGAACAAAGAAGCAATGATTGGTTCCAATGGTGAATTGATGGATGGTAAGATAAGATTGAAAAAAAAAGGATATATCTAATATATATATTTTTCTCTGGTTAGTACGATCGAAATTAGGACTTATTCAAGGTCAGGTTATTTCAGTAATGAAAGATGCATGTAGACAAGGTTTTTTGGATTGGTCTCCTAGATTGTTGTTGGCAATGTATACGTGTGATATTCAAACTTCTGGTAAGTTTTTTTTTTTTTTTTTTTTTTTTTTTTCTCCCTATCTAAAAGAAGACTGATGTTTTTGTTGTTATTAGAGGATGTACTGGGTCGTGTTTATGGTGTGATTTCAAAACGAAAGGGTAAAATCATTTCGGAAGATTTGAAGGATGGTACTCCATTTTGGCAAATCAGTGCTTTACTTCCTGTAGTAGAAAGTTTTGGATTTTCTGATGAAATACGAAAACGAACATCTGGTGCTGCTAGTCCTCAACTTGTATTTAGCGGGTAAGGAAGATATAGAAATAAAAAAAAAAAAAAAAGTAAACTAATTTGATGATTTTAGATTTGAACTATTGGATCAAGATCCATTTTGGGTACCAACAACTGAAGAAGAATTAGAAGATTTAGGTGATAAAGCTGATAGAGATAACCTGGCCAGAAAGTATATGGACACTGTTCGAAAAAGAAAGGTAAAAGAAATAGAATCCTTTTTTTCTTTTTTTCTTTTTTTTATTCAACAGCTTTTATTTTATTTAGGGAATGTTTGTGGAGAAAAAGCTAGTGGAACATGCTGAAAAACAAAGAACTTTGAAGAAAAACTAGATAATCTATATATATATTTACCCCTACCTATAATTTTATGCATTTATCCATTTTACAAAGTCTAAAACAAATAAAAAAAAAAAAAACATTTTCAATTTTCCCATTTTCACTCTCCTCTTCCTTTCTTCCTTTTTTTTTTTTTTTTTGTTACAATGTGTGGTAGGTTCTGTTGTGCTCTTTGTACTGAAGATTTGAAAACAAAATTAGTGAACAATGGATTGAATGTGGAAAACAATGACTGGAAAGATCAAGACAAGTTTCGACCACGATACAATGTTGCACCACGATCGTTCGTACCAGTAGTTCGACAGAATGACTCGGGTCAACTCATGCTTCAAACAATGGTAAAGAAAAAAAACTCTTGTTTTTTTTTATTATTGAATACATTTTAGACTGATAATGATATGTTATATAGAAATGGGGACTAGTACCATCCTTTGCTAAAACGATGCCAGATATGCAGGTAAAACTATCATCATTTGGAGAATGCGCAGTAAATCAAGGAAAAAGAAGGCTGATCCTTTTTTTTAAATATGTTCGGACTTTATTCTAGCCGATCAATGCTCGAGATGATACTCTATTGACAGGATCGCCAATGTATGATAGGATTAAGAGTGATAAACGATGTATTGTGGTAGCAGATGGGTAAGTTATCCAATATAATATATATATATCATCTGATCCTTTGTTTTTTTGTTTTTTTTCTTTTTTTTTGAATAGTTTTTACGAATGGAAAAAGTTGGGCAACGGAAAAAAAGTACCTTATTATACACGACGGAAAGATGGTCAATTGATGTTTTTTGCAGGATTATATGACAAGGCCCATCCACAAGATTGGAATGAACCAGTATTATATTCTACCATCATTGTCACTACCGGACCTTCTTCCTTTTTTTCCTTTTTGCATGATCGTATGCCTGTCATTTTGGACAAGAAAGAAGCTTATCAATGGTTAGATCGATCTATTCGTTGGTCCAATGATTTGATCAAATTAATGAAACCATTTCAAGGCGAATTGGATTGGTAAAAAAAAAAAAAAAAAAAAAAAAAAAAAAAAAAAAAGGATAGAATGAATAACTTTTTTTTTTTGAGTGTCTAGTTATCAAGTAACGGACAAAGTGGGACCAGTGTCAAATGAATCATCTGATTTCATTTTACCGGTGGATACTTTGAAAGGCTCCATTTCTAGTTTTTTTGGAAAACAACCAGAAACTTCCTCCAAGAAACGATCATCACCAAATAAAGATTTCCAGCAAGATATCGCAAAGAAAATCAAGACATCACCTACATCCAAAACCTCTCAGGAAAAACAGCAGAGTCAGGATAGGAAACATATTACAAACTTCTTCAAACAGAAATAAATCAAATAGTTGTGTATCTTTTATTGTTGTTGTTGAATACAAATATGGTGTGTTTTATTATGTATGTGTCTGTGCGTATTTTCGGAAAAGGGATAAACTTATACTACTGCTACATAAAGACGGCCAAAGCAAATCCACCATGGTCACGGATTACTACTTTCCTATATTATAGAAAAAAAAAAGAATCAGTTTCCAACTTATTGAATCATAATCGTTCCTACATATTGTCATATTCCACAGTGACGGTAGGGTAATTTTCTTTTTTATCGGATTCATCTTGATCTTGAAGCGAACGAGAGGCAGTAGCTAAGGATGTAATGAAGGGCGCGTTTTCAGGAATAGCGATGCCACGAACTAGGAAAAAAGAATGGGTTTGTGAATTATTAAAAAAAAATAGGATACATGTAACCTTTTTTTTTTTTTTACCTCCAAGACAAAGACCCATGGTATCAGATATTAAAACACCTTTCACACCTTCTTTACTTGCACTAAGTATGAATGATATATTAGTTTGTAAATATATATATACATCAATCAGTCATTCTTCTTCTTTTTTTTTCTTTACATATTATCTAAAGTTGTATTCAATTCAGCTTCCATATGTTCTTCTTTTTTTTCCGTCTTGTGTGGTTAGTCAAAAGAAAAGTTTAAAAAAAAAAAAAAGAGAAATGACAACTTTCAAAAGTACATATGCTTTTTTTTTTTTTTTTTTTTTTGGTCCTTCTATTTCAATCGCCGTCGGAGAATGTAGATTGTTTCAAAAACCCCTCTGATTGAACTGGATGCAACGAAAAAGAGATTTTACCCAGTTGAGCGATGTATGATCATTGTCAATTTACAGCAGTAAAGTATATCATCATCATGATACAAATAATATGTTTATTAATCACAGCATAACTAAATACACTTTATTCAATAATAAATGACGGAATTCAAAGAACAAGAGTTGAACGCATAATCCAAATTGAATACAAAAAGAAAAAGGAGAGGAGTAGCAGTAGTTCCATTGTGTATTAAGTAATTTTAGAATAACTGAAAAAAATATATATATACTTAGTCAACATATCCATTTTTTTTATATTTATTTTAACTTACCTGTATTAAACACATCTTCCAAAGAGGTGATAACATATTTTTACGTGTTGCTGTTACAGGTTGATTATTTACTTTGAATAGGAAACACCAAAGGCGATCTCAAAAAAAAAAAAAAAAAAAAAAAAAAAAAAAGAGAATGATTAATATACTGTATCATCAACCAATATGTTTTGACATATTCTGAAAAAGTGGTAATGCGACATTCATTTTAGGAAAGACGTTTTATTTTATAATATCACGAAACTATTTTCTTGTGACCCGACAAAAAACTTTGAAAACACTATAAAATCCTATCTTTTTCAATATATTCACATACACATACATACATACATATATATATATATATATATATATATATATATATATATGTAGAACCCCCCGACCTGCAGAGTATAGAATAGTTTAATATTGCTATTGTTTTATAATAGTTGCTTCTTTTTCTTTCAGGAGTCAGTCAGAGGGAGGGAAGATGCTTCATTCTTGTATCGATAGGCCAAAATCACATCACCACTTGATTTCAATATGTGTTGCTTCACAGAGGCCAAGGTCATTGTTGGGGTTAAAACAGTATCTCCACAAAGTAGTTCCAAATCATCCACTTCTGGTAAAGGATCCAATTCTATCTTTTCAGCCACATATTGAAGTAATTTTCGAATGCGCAGTACACGATTGGCCAATAATCGATTGTTGGGTCTATAAAACATATAAATGATCAGAATAATGGATTTTCTTTTTGATTTTTTCTTTTTATTACCCTCCTGGCAATTCTGGTAACTGAGTTTCTGAATGTGGTTTCAATACAAATGTTAATTTGACGGTTTCTTTGCTTGGTGTTTTGTTCTACAAAAAAAAAAAAAAAAAAAAATTAACAAACGGTGGATAATTTCTTCATAATACTTACGTATAATAGGAAAGCCAATAACCAAGAAGGAGCCACTTTGGAAATCAAAGCATGATCTTCACCAACACAACTGGCTTCACCTCGATATAAATCCATACTTGTCGAAGCTTCAGCACTTTCTTCCGCAATAATAATAGAGGTGGAGGAAGGAATCATCAACGGTGGGAAATCTTTTAAATTAGGTGGGGTATATTGATCATTTGTCGATTCATCACTACTGTTGTTGTTGTTGTTGTTGTTGTTGTTGTTGTTGTTGTTGTTGTTGTTGTTGTTGTTGTTGTTGTTGTTGTTGTTGTTGTTATTGTTGTTATTGCTGTTGTTGTTATTATTGTTGTTGTTGTTGTTGACAGTACTCTGTGATTGTTGCTGCTTGTTATCATCAGTCATCGTTGTAGTCGAGTTTGATTCATTTTTCCCGGGTAAGATACCATTTGAAGTCAAGGCAGAGTCAGTCTATTGGTGTCATTGTCATAAGAAGAAGAAAAAAAAAAGAAAGAACTCGATTAGTACTATCTCATCCTTGATATATGTACGGTGATAACTTACATCTCCATTCCCATTAACTGAAGTAAATGAAGTCTGTTTGTCTTCTTCCGTAGTATAGCCTTCCGACTTATCATCACTGTTGGGAACCTTTGCTAGCTTGGCCTTGACTGATAGATTTTTGAGCCGATGCATAAAGTTGGAATTAGTAGGTGATACTGGTGAAGACGAGAGAGCGGCTGGCGGTGGAGGTTGAACTGATGAATGATTCTGAACAGGTTGATGCGATTTAGAGAAATAATCAAAAGAACGACCTGTGGTAGGTGGAGCAGTCAAAGGACCATTCGTCTGTGAAGAAACACTTGTTCCATTTGTAGTGATAACGGATGGAAAATTGGGCGGCGTTCCTCCCTGTTGATCAAGTGGACTATTGGATAAACTGGGGTGAAATGGTGAGCTGTCAGTGTTGGTTGTAACGGCACTAAGAGGAATTTTGAGTGCAGTCACTGTTGGTGTTGGTGGGGTCGGTTCATTTTGAATAGCAGGTATTGTTGGTGTGGCATCAGATGATGTAATTGACTTAGTTTGTTGTTGTTGAGAAGTATTTGTCCCATCCTGCGAACTAACTTCGTGATGTGCTATTTCCATTCCTTCATTATCATGACCCTTGAGACTTTTTTCTTGCTCCTGTAGTTCCGCAGTGACGAATGATGAGAATAGATTGATCAGTAGCCATTTTCCAAGATTCACTAGAATAGGAAGACAAAAAAAAAAAAAAATAGTATGATGATGTCAGGATCCATATAAATGTCAGATAGTTGTATTACCTCTTTGATCTTCACGATATTGATAATCGATAGGGAGGCCTATTTCGTCAGCATACATTTCACAGTCAAAACAATTAGATTCAAGTAATTGCACAGTAATAGCCTATATAAATCAATAATAATCAATAAATTGAGTCAATAAATAAACATCATTGATTTCATTATATAGTGATCTTACACCAATCTTGGTTGTCACCGAGCACCAAGAAGGGAAGCTTTCAATACCACTTATTTCTTGCGCCACTTCTTCAAGACTACGTTGTCCAAACTTCTTGATTTCTGTACACTAAATAGGAAGATTATTATAAATCCAAATGATTCAATTTATTTACAGTCCAACTTACGCGAACGATGTCCCATAAAGCTACATCCCCAGTAGTATCTTTTGTTAGTACATGATGTCGATTTTGTAACACTAAATGAGCAGTAATACCAGGATTTCCTATTTAAAAAAAAAAAAAAGATATATCAAAATGGAATGAACATCATTCGGTTTTGTTCCTACCTTCTATAGTTTGATCAGGTTGCTCACGTAAAGGAGTGAGTGATTCAGTAGAGTCATCATCTTCATCATTATAGCTCATTGGTATAGACATGACGGATCCAGCATAAATTGTCAAACTATCATTGGGTAAAAAGTGTTCAGGTACTTGAGGAGAGAATACAGTTTGAGTAGGAGGTAATCTAACTATAGCAGAGGGTGGAATATCAGGATTATAATCAGATCTTGTAAGGACTTGACGATTTTCTCTTGAAGGCACAGATAACTATACATAAAAAAAAAAAAATTGAGAGATGAGAAAAAGAAAAATATAATGAATGACCTTGTCTATCTATTATGATTTTTTGTTTCTTTCTGATAGTTACCCATCGATTGATACTTGAGCTTGAAGTAGCTGTCCAAATATAAGTATCATCAAAAGCAACAATCTAAAGGTAAAAAAAAAAAAAAAAGAAACAAATTGATTAGTATCAAAGAATGTTAAAGAAGGAGCGCTTCTATAATATACCTTGCCAACACCAGAGTTTTCTTTAAATAAACCAATACATTCACTTTCATCATGTTTTTCGTTCGCACCTTCCCTTGGTAATTCAGTTTTGGTTACCAATCCATCACGAGATCCTGCGTAAAATGTCTTGAGATCAGGATGATCCGAATACAAGGACCAAATTGAATCTGTATGTGTTTCATAGGTTGTAAGACATCGTTGTGCTTTCACTGACCAGAGTTTAATGGTCGAATCTGATGATCCTGATAGTACCTACGTATAATAAAATAATAAAACAAAAAAAAAATGAATAACCTAAACAACCTATTCCTTTTATATTCACTTACATGTTGACCATCGTGACTAATCAATAATGCTCGAATATTATCTGTATGACCTGTTAACTTACTGACCCGTTTCCCAGATCTCGGATCCCAAATACGCACAACCTAAATAAAAGGAAGGGACCATTAGTTCATCACCTCTTCATAGTCCCTCTTTTTTTTTTCTTTCTTACTTACTTTTTCTGGAGAACCAGTGACTAGTAGAGTACCTGAAGGGTTCACTGCCATAGCATAAATAGAAGACTTTGAAGAAGTTCCATGCGATGTATCTATAAATTAAAATACATGTGAATAACAGGATTGACATAAAAAAAAAGAGAGAGAGTATTATTTACTTACTTGATGTATCACCAGAATGATCATTATTGATATTCATCGATCCAACTTGAATAGTAAGAGACGCTTCTCTTTTTTCTAAATCCCATATATTAATTCGTTTATCCAAACCACCACTAGCCACCCAACCTGCTTGTGGTGCATAAGCCAAACATTTCACATAATCCGTATGCCATCCAATGGTATGAGCTTGATGGGAATCTTCACTATAAGGTTTCCATAACTTGATAGTTCTATCGGCTGATGCGGATACCACTATATAAAACAGTAAATTGTTATATATAAACTATATATATATATACTTGTATTCTTTACCACTTGTGCCTTGTTCACACACCACAATATCATTCACCCAATCTGTATGCATTTGTGAAAAAGCATCACAAGTAGCTGGAGTCGAAGACTAGATTATATATATAAGAAAAGAGAGAGAGAGAGAGAGAGAGAGAGAAAGAGACAGTATAAGAATATTTATAAAAAAAAATAATAATAATATTAATAAAACAAACTTACCAATATCTCTTGATCGTGTATCCAAGTATCGTCTTCAAGTTGTTGTTGTTTTAAAGGAATATGTAATTTCCAACCAGCGACTACACCATCTCTACCAGCAGAATAAAGAATGCCACCTTCAGTTATATTATTGTTATAAACAGCACTACTATCAATAGCCAAAGAGTTCACACCTAAACAATGAGCTTTTCTTCCATTAGGCTGCCTGATGACATATGAAACTTTTCGACGTGCTTGAGCCTTCATCTTTTTTTTTTCACAAACTAAATATAATGTGAATATAAAATATATGAAGGGAAATGAGAAAAAATAAAAAGAAAGAGAGAAAAAAGAAATCGGTGGATGAATTATTATTTTTTTCTTTTTTTTTTTTTTTTTTTTTTTTTTAGAGATTCCCATCCATCACCTTCCCCAAATAGGGGGGGAAATTTGCTGAGCTACGAAAAACCTACCCAAGAAAAAAAAAAAAAAGAGTCTTATGCTAACCATGCAAATTCATAGTTTACTAACAACCTTTTTTTTTTATTATTATTATTAAAACCAATCATTTATTATTATTACTATTATTTAATATATAATTTTTTTATAAGGTGATAATAATAAGGGGGGAGAGAACTTTTTCAATTTCGCGTGACGACTGAGTTATTCCTTCCCCCCCTGTTTTCTTAGGATTTTTTTTTCTTTTTTCTTTCTTTTTCTCTTTCTTTTCTTTGTTTTTCTTTCTTTTCTTTTCTTTTTTATATATATTTGTTATGGCAGCTGATGAAAATACCTCTGGTAAATAGTACACTGTAATTCTTTCTACTTTTTTTTGAAGAAATAAAAAAAATTATTGACAAGTTTAATAAACCGCATAATGTCTCTTTTCTTTTTTTAGGTAAACTAGTGATCTTTGGAACTGTAGCTTGGGATCATATTAACAGAAAAGGAAAACCTGGAAAAAAAGAAGAGTAAGTTTTGTTTTTGTTTTTTTGAATCAATCGATTTAACTAAATAAAACTATTTCTCTAGAGATACACTTCTTGGTCCTCACTTGGTACGCGAATTGGTAGATGTCAGGTAAAAGAAACTAGGTTTTTTTTTTTAAAAAAGAAAAAAACAATCGATCTGATATGATCTTATTTTTTTTCAGAGTCAAGAGAGTAGCCACTGGACCAAATTCTTGTCATTCTTTTGTCATCACTGAAGATAATCAAGTTTGGGGTTTTGGACGAAACGAACGTGGACAGTTAGGTTTAGGACATAAAGATATTGTTGAACTTCCAGTAAACCTTAGTGAACAAGTGGATGTATTGAAAAATAAGAAAATTGTGAGAATAGCTACTGGTCGGAATCATTCTCTTCTAGTCACTGGTAAACAAAAAAAAAAATCAAATATTTTAATTACTGAATCTACTCTTATTTAGATATTGGCGAAGTATATGCTGCAGGTGACAACAAGTTGGGTCAACTAGGTATTTCTACTCTCAATGATCAAACCAATTTTGCAAAGGTCACAAGTTTGGCAAATCATAAAATCATTGATGTTGCTTGTGGTGCTGAATTCTCTCTAGTTCTCACTGGTAACTACAAAGAGAAAAAAAAAATGAAAAATATATGAAATTCATCTGTTTCTACTTTTATAGATAAACATCAAGTTTATGCTTTTGGTTCTCAAGAATATGGTCAAGTAAGTTAAAAAAAAAAGGAAAATGGTTTCAAAGATCACTCATCATGATTTTCTTATTCAATAGTTAGGTAATGGAGAAACTGGACAGTATATCAAGTCTGCTGGTCAAATGAATACACAACCTCAATCCATTCCACGTAAGCTTGATTTAAAAAAAAAAAAAAAAAAAAAAGGTAAGGGGGTAGGATATTCATTTAATGCGATCATTTATTACATATGCATATACATAGTTTTGGTAAAAGCATTATCGGAACGCAAGATTATTTCTATTGCATGTGGTACAAGTCATTCTCTTGCTATGGATGATGATGGTTATGTATATTCTTGGGGTTTTGGTGGATACGGTAGACTTGGACATGGTGAACAAAAAGACTTATTGGTACCCAAAGTCATACCCAATCTTTCAAAGTCACATCGTGAATCACGCGCAACCCAAATTGCTTGTGGTTCTACTTGTTCTCTTGCATTAGATGGAAATACACAAATGCTTTTATGGGGAAAATGGAAAACCACTGGTGATGGCAGTTCTGGACAACCATGGATGAATCCACGTTACCTATATGATCTCAATGGATGGAATTTACGCTGTATTGCTGCTGGTGATCGTAGTCTCTTTGCTTTGGCGGAAGATGAAAAGTCAACTATCGCATGGGGTCAAGTCCTCAATGGAGAACTAGGTTTTGGTGAAGATTCTCCCAATAAAAGTGCCACTACCCCACAAAAGGTTGAACCATTAGAAGGTATCAAATCACTACAGTAAGTACACCTACAAAAAAAGGAAAAAAAAAAAGTGAAATGGAATTGCATAACCTTGAAACTAATTTGATTTTTATTATTATTATTTGATGAAGAGTATCTTGTGGATTAGGTCATACTTTACTTATCGTACAACCTGATAGTGAACTTGTTCCAGAATTACCCAAATGGCCCATTTTACCGGAGGTAATAAATGAAATAATAGATCACTCGTATAGACAAAAAAAAATATATTGATCCTTCTATTATAGACTGACGACTGGTGCGTGAAATGTCACAAGGAAGACAACGAAGAACAACTTTTATTATGTGATAAATGTGATAAACCAATGCATTCTTATTGCGCTAATCCTCCTCTGAAAGAAATCCCTGATGGCGAATGGTATTGTGATACTTGTCATCCTCCTCTCAGTGAATCAAAAAGTAGGAAACGAACTGCTAGTCAGGAAACAACGACTGGTAAGTGATTGACTTGAATTGTGATGATGATGATTTTTTAATGTTTTTATTATTATATATAGGAAAGAAAAAGTCAAAAACAACTTGATAGAAAGAAACTGTGTTTTTTTTTTTTTTTGACTCCTAATCAGGCTTTTCTCCCCACCCCTTTATTATTATTTTTTTCTTTTATTTTTTATTCATTGACCTATCACCAAATAAATAAAAAAAAAGAATGCTTTTTTTTTTTCTGTCTTTTTTGTTTCATACTGATCCATCTGACTAGATATGATTATTGATCTCCCCCTCTCCTTTTTTTCGATTGAGACTATTCTAATAGTCTTAGTACATCTGTAAATTATTGTAAACAAAAACATATTTCTAATGATAAACTTTTTTATTATTAATGTTATTATTTCAATACTATTGAGTAATCATCATTTCTATCACTAACTAAACTTTGGATGAGTCATCAAGAGAATTTTCATGAAGTTGATGTTGACGTCGAGCATGGGCAACGACTCTAGCGAATTGTAGATCAGATGATAGAGGATGTACATTGTTTTCCTTTTCTAATGATGATGATGATGATGATGAAGTGACGGATGATGAAGATGTGGATGAGGACAATGCTGACGATAGCGATAATGAAGGCTCATGTTGTTGGACAAGCTGAGAATGTAGTTGATGAATATAATCAATAGCGGCCTGCAATACGGACAATTTGTGAAGGGGTTGATGCATGGATGCGGAAGGAAGGGTATCTGGTGATGGGCAACAGGATGGAATCAAATGTTTTAATTGATCGATCTTGTCGTTGATGCGTTCTCGCCGTCGTTTCTCAATAGCACTATGGGATAGTCGACGATGATGTTCTCGATCATCAGCTGTGGTCCTTTTCATGGTTTTGGTAGCTACTGGTTTGGTTGTTTTTGAATGTTTTTTGGTAGTAGGAGAGCCGGAAGGAGGTGATAAGTGTGTTAATGGTGGTGGTGATGAAAACGTATGAAGTGGTGTGGGTGGAAAATGAATGGCTGGATATGGCATCATAGGAAGTGGTAGGTCAATAGGTGGTAGAACTCTCGGTGAAGTAGGTGGAGTTGTTCCGTCAATAGTATCCTCTTTGTATTCCATAGGTGGTGATATTTGTTGTGGTAAGGAATGGGACGACATTAAGGGCTATATACTGTATGTTAAAAAAAAAAAAAAGAAAGAAAGAGAGAAAGAGAAAGAAAAGGAAAATCAGAGAGGCCGATTTTTTTATATGGGTTTCTATAAAAATAAAAATAAAAATAAAAAAAGATTGACAGCATGGAGTATATCTATTTCCCTATTGGTCGATAAATCATTTTGCTTTAAAGCACATGATCACTTTCGAGTCTGTTGGCTGGCTACAAAAAAAAAAAAAATTAACTATTCTAAAATAATAAAAAAAAAAAAAACGCCCCTTATCTATTCTACATAAAAAAAAAAAAAGAGAGATTTATTTTCATAATCCAAAAAAAAAAAAAAAAATCTAATACTAAATAATGTGTTGAAGTGTAATCTATATAAACTACAATATCTAAACTAAAGATTTTTTTTTTGTTTTATGAACGATCTTTTCCTGATCTAGCCGCACCTATTCGTTTTGTTCTCGATTTCTTGGATTCTTGATACACCATGTGTTTGTCGAACCTACTAATATTGGTAGCATATTTGATCGTCGATGCCAAACTTGGTTCTTCAACTGATGATTCTGAATCCGATCGTTCTTCATCTTCCTTTCCAAAGAGCTTCCAGATAACATCATTTGACTATGTAAAAATAAAAGTATTAAAAAAAATATAATAAAACTAATATTCTCATAAAGTAACTTACCTTATAATATTGATCCAAACCATTACCTAAACATCTTTGGAATGCATACAACGGTATAATCTTTGCTAAAAATACCAAAAAAAAAAAAAAAAAAAAAACCCAAATTAGTAAATCCTTATCAATTATTTCCCCACCCTATTGTTAAGACTTACACCATCGATCCAGTATAAATGATTTTCCGTTAATATCCACTTCGTGATAAGGTTGACCTCCATCTTCTACAGTATTTAGAATATCTTGAAATATATATTCATCATCATCTTGATCCATTGATAACGTTCGAAGTGTATGTATTAATTCATTGAGTTCATTTTGTTCTTGATCTTCTCCCTAATCATAATCTTATCAGTTTATTGCTCCTGATGATATACCGATTACTATTCTAACATTCATTTTTACCTGATCAGTGAGAATCTGTAAGGTTTCAAACATCAATGCCACTGTTTGCCCAGCTGCGGATTGAAGTTTACCAGGAAAATCCATCAAAAGTTCTAATTCACCAAGCATCCTATAATATATATTTTTAATTCATCAATATTTCTTCCCTTCTATTCAACTTATCATCCTCTCCCCCCTTTTTTTTTTTAACTTACTTGTCCATTTCTTCTTGAATGATATCAGGATTAACCGGTCCTTGACAAAATGATATAATAAACATGAGTCCATAGGCATGAGTAACAGCAGTCATCAAAGTATCATTATCTTCATCCTGATCATCATCTTGATCAACATGACCACTGATTTCTTCCTCTACTTCGCCATTTGCAGCAATAATATTATACATCTCGTGCCGGATCATCTGAGCATCAATTTGTGAAGATATTAAATAGGTAAGGAGAGCCAAGGTTTCGTAGCACTATTCAAAAAAAAAAAAAAAAAAATTGATAAGAGGGATAAACATTCGTATATAGTATGATATTCATTATATTACTTGAGCTTTGATTTTGTTACTTTTTGTTTTCTTGGCTTTGTGTCGAAGTGCTCTGGAAGCATCTTGGTATAACAATTCTTGATCAGAATGAGAGAAACCATCACTATGATTGATAAAGGCAAGTCCCAAGATTTCAGTAGCCAAAAGTATTTCACTCGGACTTTCACCATTGTCTATACGTTGTATAAGAGTTTCAACAAGTTCTTCTGTCCGTGACGCTAAAGGTACCGTCGCATTATGTTGTCTTAATATTGATTTCATTCTTTCCAAAGCCTTTTCACGAGTGCTAAGTATCAATCAAAAAAAAAAAAAATTAGGTTAAATTCTAACGAAAGGGGTATATACTTACGTTTGTCGTTTTACATTTAAATCATCGATGGACTGATCCAATAATTCCACCCAAGAAGATCCTTCTTCTTCTTCTTGCTCCATATTTGGGTGATGTGTTCTTCTTTTTCCAGAATGACCGACCATTTCTTTGTATTTACTGGAAATATAATAAGAGAGGAAAGAAAGAAGAAAGAAAAAAAAAAAAAAAAAAAAGAAAAAAAAAAAAAGAAAAAGAAAATTGTTTCGAATTCATGCGTGACTTTTTTAAGAGGATCGGTTGGCCAACAAACCTCCTCCCCCCCCCGCATATTTCGATCGATCAACTGAGTGACCCCTAGAGAAACATCACTATCATCATTTGTCATCATGATCATTTTTATTTCAAAATGAAAAAAAAAAAATGTCTATAATTCTAAATATCTAAACTATATCCAAAATAATAAATCTATTCTTCTTTTTCCTTATCCAATTTTGACTTGGCCTTGATCTTTGCTTCTTCCACTTTTTGTTCTTCTTCTGCTGTGATATCCGGTACCCATTCCATCAAATGTTCTACTGGTAATCGTTTACCTTGATTATCCACCACTATTTTGCGTATGGCTTCACCTTTTTCCTTGACAAGATCTTCTACGTTGGTCTTCGTATCCTTAAACCATCCAAGATTGTCTGCGATCAAATGACGATTCTTACATTCTGGACACTGGATCAATACAACCCCTTTTGTATATGCTTGTTTTGACATGACATGATGTGACCGTACTTCACATACCTTACAAGTGAATCCAATCAATAACTGGTGTTTAGGATTCAATACTTGTGCTTCAGGTTCTTCTTCTTCTTGTTTTGCTCTTTCTAAACAACTAGTTGATACGTGGAATTTTCTATGGTTGACAAAGAGATTGGTACCATATCGTTGTCGTTGGAGACTGTATATCATGGGTAGATTGATGTATTGTCGACGATACCCTAATGTGAGTGGTACTGTGCATATTTTGTTTAATGAATGAAGGTTGCGTCTTTGAAAGAATGATCTCAACATAGTAATAAAAAAAAAAGGACCTGTATTTAGGAATCAGAACAGGAAAGAAATGGCAAAGGAAACAGAAAAAAGAAAAAGAAAAAGAAATATCATCTAGACTGAACGTTTCACTCTCCGGTCACTGGAAATGAATGGCTAAGATTTTTTTAGTAGTTGTAATCCTGTCCCTTTGGTTTATTCATCCAGTCATTTTCCTTTTTTTTTTTTCTTTTGGTAATTTCATTGATTTCTCGTTGGATTATTCATCAAAAATTCGAATCATTCATTGTCTTTGCATTGCAGCATGACATTCTTATAATTTTGTAACTTAGTCAAAAACGATGATCATTGCACCAAATTTGGATTAAACATAGATGAACTTATTCTCTTTTATTTATCTTAATAACAATTTAAATTTTTTTTTCAATTTATAGAATAAATTAAAAATGGAATATCAGTATCGTAATTATCCTAATTGGCATGATATGTACTTTCAAGAAAACAATTAACACTTGTCTTTTCTAAAATAATCCTTTTTCTTTTCATTTCATTTCTTTTCTTTTCTCTTTTTTATTTTTGGGGCTTAATTTAAGATCTTTTCTTGTATGAATTAAATCATCATCATCATCAGTCAGAAAACGTTTTATTATAAATCTGATGTTTTCAAAGGTAACAATTACCTTTTTTGGTCAATTATTCTCGCGTCTTATACCGAAGAAGAGACATGAGTGATAATAATATCAAAGATTATACTTTATAATAATCACTGTCTTTTAGTTCCTTAATTTTCGATTTTCTCATCAACCATCCAGTTGATCTCTATTTTTTTTTTTTTTTTTTACATACATATGAATTTTACTTTTTGATAATGATCAAATATTAATTATGAAATGGGTATAAAATGTGTACTAAAAAAAAAAAAAAAAAAAAAAAAAAAAGACAAGGAAGTCAGTGAAATTTCTTTTTATTTTAAAAAAATAGTTAAAAGAAGACACAAAATCTATACAAAAAGTTTTGTTTTATATAAGTACGTGGTGAGTGATGTACGTAATACTAATATCATCATACTATATTTAAGATTGGTGATCAAATTTTGTTTTTTGTTTATCCTTATTTATCATTGATGTGATGTTATCATCATATGGTAATGATTTAATCATGATATTTGCCTTGGAGTGTTTATACATTGATATGTATCTTTCCTTTGGTAGTGATTATGGACCATGGAGCATAATGATTTTTAAAGTCCGTATTTTTATTTTTTTACATTTTAGAAGTGTGGTAATTTTCTATTTTCTTTTATTTCTTTCTTTTCTTTTATAACAACTTTAATTATAGTATATCAATTAGTGATCTATAGTAGTCATACTTTTATTTAATAAAACTTTTATTTTTATTCCTACTACTTTATTACATGTTATTATAATTGATTCCATCTTCTGATGTATTTTTTATTTTTTATTTGTGAATGCATTCTTTTTTTTTATTTTATGGGTATGGTTATGAATTACGCTGATACGACATTAATCATATTTAACAAACAATCATCCACATATTACAACCTTAAAATAGCTGTCAAATTTTACTATATATCATCATCATCATCATTAACATCGGTTTACAACCAAGTAATTCAAATTTAAAAAATTTACGGTCATATTAGGATGTGTGATAATAGTGTATATATATCTTACTACAGCAATTGCGACAGTTAGATATAAAAAAAAAAAAAAGATTTCCTTCTTTTTTTTTTTTATACATACAGTATATGTTTTCTGTTCTCGTCAATTAAAAAAAAAAAAAAGGGAGAAGAAATATCAATCATCAATAGTCTTTATTTTATTATACAAAATCGACTACCAAATCTAGTCTACCGAGATTCAAAAAGTTAGTTGATAAGAGATCATCCATTTTATTTACTAAAAGTAAAACTGGTGCTCACTCTACATCATCATCATCATTAATCAATTTACAGTCAAGTAAATCAAAATATATAACCTTACACGAAACATCAAGGGCTAAAAAAAAAAAAAAAAAAAAAAAAAGCTAATGATTATCAGTTGTACCACGAGCAGAATACTCGATGATGATTGGTCAAATTTAAGGAAGTTAAAATGCAAAAAAAGAAGCTCTCAGACGGGGAATTGAACCCCGGTCTCCCGCGTGACAGGCGGGGATACTTACCACTATACTATCTGAGATTTTTTCTTAAAAAATCATTTATTACATTATCAATCTCACGCTAATTTCAGCCAATCAGCGTCGAGTAAAGGTTACACGTTTTCTTTTTGTTTAAGACTAAAATTTAATGCATGTATTTTTTTGCGGGAGGGGAGCTTGTTTTTCCTCTTTCTTCTTTCTTCTTTCTTTCTCTCTTTTTTTTTCTTTCTTTCTTTCTTTTTTTTTTTTTTTTTTTTTTTTTTTTTTTTTTTTCCATCGTATTCAATATATTATACACAAATGCTTATTACAATTTGGCATTATATGTATCCATACATTATTTATTATTTTTAATAAACATCAATGTAACTCTTTCTCCTTTATTTACATCCAAATTCTTTATTTTCTTTTTACACATTCATTTCTTTTAGTTTGAATATATCAACTAGTTATATTTTTTATTCTACAAACTTCCTTTTTTTTATTACTATTATTAGTATTATTCCAATTACTTTTTTTTTTTTTTTTTTTTTTTTTTGCTATATGTCAGTCATCTGTTGGATTCATGATGAATTTCTTTGAATGCATTCCTTTTTTTTTTTTTTTTTTCTTATAGGGACCAATGGATAGACGGTATGATGCAACATTAATGAATAGACAAAAATAACAACAAACAAGATGGATATTATTAATTGGACCGAGGTAATTCAATCAAATGAGGAGAGAGAAAAAAAAAAAAGTAATGGTATTAAGACGAAAACTCATTTGACTTTGTTTTATATTAGGTTGAACATCTTTTAGTATAGATATGTTTATTGTTATTCAAATAAAAGTACGTCATTTTTACATGTGACCTAATATCTCTCATTATTTTGATCTTATGAAAAAATAATAATAACAACAACAACAACAAAATCATCATCCTTCGGAAGATAGAGTTTAAATAAAAAAAGAAGGGGCAGGGAACCATGAGACAGTTGCAAGTGGTATGACATGTGAACAACCCTACCCAATATAAAGAATCCATTGGTTCCTGGTTTTTGTTTTGGATCTTCTTTTCTCCACTTTTTTTTTTTTTTTTTTTTTTTTTTTAATTTCATTGCGTATATATGCGTGTTTTGCTGGTTCAATGTCACTTCACGCTATTGTATTCTTTCTTTTGTTTATGAAGACGGTAACCTATTTTGTAGGACCATCCGCACCTATTGAAGATAATAATGATGCCAATGATGATGATGATTTGAAATTGGATGATCAGACTGATAAAGATTCTTTGTATGAAGATAATCAATATGGGTTACCTTTAGCACAGATGGCGTTGCCCCAAATGCAAATAGGGGTTTGATCAACAATATTAATGATGATGATGATGATGATGATTTCTCTATATTTATGAATACAATATATGTATATATATTTGGTCTATCGCCTTTTGTTTCTATATAATTCTCTCTCTCTCTCTTTTTTTTTTTTTTTCTTTTTTGTTTTTTCATTATGTATATACAGTATGATTTGATTTTCCATTTCGTTCCTTCCTTCACTCTTGAGCTGGAATTATTCCTCCAGTCCGTGCAACAAATACCTAAACACAAACATGAATATATATATATATATGTATTTCAAGTCAATAAAAAAAAATAACGATGATGATGATAAAAAAATGATAAAAGTTATTTCTTCAGCTTTTTTTTTTTATTATTTTGTACGTTTATTATATACTGTATATATCTACTAATCTACATGAACTATCCCACCACTATTGTTCTATGTCAAGATTTCCACACCAGTTTCAGTCACCAACATTGTATGTTCAAATTGTGCAGATCGTTTTCCATCCATAGTCACTGCTGTCCAGTTATCAGGCCTAAAGTATCAAAATCAAATTAAGATGAGTTAATAATAATAATAAAGTAGAATCTCTTTTTTTATTTTCAACTATTGTTTTTACCATAATTGATCCCTCCATGTGCCTTCACAAATCATAGGTTCAATTGTAAAGACATGACCAGGTTTCATAATACCAACGGCTTTGTTATCTATTTAAATATACATCATAGTAAGAAAACAATAAATAAAGGAAACGAATAGGATGGAAAAGAAATGTTGATCACTTACTAGCATAATGTGGCACATTAGGAGCACAATGGAAAAGTTGATTAATACCATGTCCACAAAAAGTACGAACCACAGAGAATCCATTCTTCTTTGCATGATCTTCTATCACCTTGCCAAAATCACGATAACGAACACCAGGTTTCACTATATGAAAAAAAAAGAAAGATAAGATTTCATTTGTTTGTTTATATTTATTTATTTTACCTAACGCAATAGCCTTTTCTAAGCATTCTCGGGCTGTTTTCACCAAAAGTCGACCTTTTTCATCTACATTTCCAACCAAGTAGGTTTCATTCAAATCACCATGGAATCCACCATAATAACAGGTCACATCCAAGTTGACAATATCACCATCTTTCAAAGGACGTTGATCAGGAATACCATGACAAATCACTTCGTTCACGGATCTAACATCATTTATCCATAAAAGTGTTAAAGTGATGATCAATCCTTTTTTTTTTTTTTTTTGACTTACGTGCATACAGATTTGGGGAATTTATAATAGTTCAAAGGTGATGGGTAGGCACCTCGTTCAATAGTAGCTTCATGAATAATGCGATCTATATAAATAGATAAAGAAATATGGTAGGAATCAGTCATCAATAACAAAAAGAAAAAAAAAGTTAATCCAAACTTACCAATTTCATCCGTAGTAATTCCAGGTCGAATAGCAGCAGCACCAATATCTAATACTTCACGAGCTATTTTACATACTGCACGCATACCTTCAATTTCCTTGGGAGATAAAACCTTAATAGCATCTCCTCGAGCTCTTTCTTCAGAAACAGGAATGCTGGTTTCCGCATAATCAGCTATACAACATCAAACAAAAGAAGAAGGATTACTTGTTGTGACACATGGACTATGAAACTTTATTTTTAAAAAACTTACGTCGTTGAATTCCTTCAGGTACTTGTCTAGTAGCTGACAAGGGGTAAACTGCACGGAGATCACCGGTGTAAGAGTAATTGGGAAAAGGATTATGAGGTTGACCTAATATAAAATATGACAATAATAATAATAAGAAAAAAAATGAATGAAAGAGTAAAGTGAAAGAAAAAAGAATGGTTTATTGATCTGATCTTTTTTTTTTTTTTTTGAACATACTTTCCAATTTAGCCTTGTGTACAGCCTTATGAGTAGTCTATCAGTACAGCCAAGAATAGACAAGTAAAAAAAAAAAAAAAAAAAAAAAAAAAAGTGAGTCTAGTGTATATTTCTTCCATGTATAACTATTCAAGTGAGTTCCTTACCCAGTTTTTCTTGAAGCAGTCTTGTGAACAGAAGAAGGATCCATCAATCTTGAGTTTCAAGCAAGTTGGGCATTGTAACTTGGCAGGTTGACCACAACCAGGTGATTTGCATTTTTGGTTTGATAGATCGGACATGATATTCCTGTTCAAAGTAGGTAGGAAAAAACTGGTGAATAAAAGAAAAAAGAAAGAAAAACAAGTAGGTTGACCTTTTTTTTTTTTTTTTTTTTTTCTTGAAAAGGATTGGATTTGAGAACCCGCTTTTGTCTTTTTCTAATTGTCGCAGCTTTTTCCTTTTTTTTCCTTTTCTTTTTTATCAATACTATACTATTATAATGTCAGCAAGTTCCAGTAACTATAAACCTTGTATGGATGGCATTAGTCTTGTCAAAGTCCAAGAACGAACATACAGGATTCCTTCAGCGTCATTGTTAGCATCACGATCTACAGTGGAACGTCGTAAGTTGTCGAGTTTATTAGTATTGTTTATCTGATACTTGACTTTTCTTCCTTTAGCACCTGTACCTTCCTATGACACAGACTCTATCGATACAACTACAACCATATACACCGAAGAAATTGTCACGCATTATCATTCGGTGCATCGAACATATCATGGTCTTTTGATAGGTAAAGGTGGAAGTACACTCAAACGGTTGAAACTGGAAACGGGGACAAGAATTGATATTATGAATGGAAAGGACTCTGTCATGGTCAAAGGAACTCAAGACAAGGTGGATCAAGCCATCAAGGTCATTGATGCTTTTATTCAACAGGTAAATTATACATAATAATAATAATGATAATAATAACAAAACCTTCTATGCATAGGCATTTGAACGTGCGAAACCAACTCACTTTTTATCTTTACCAACCTTGTCCACCTATACAACAAGAAAATTGGAAGATTTTTACAAAGCTATTTCAGCATCCACTTTCCATAGCCGTGGTTTGGACAAAGATATGTTAATACCATCTGGCAAGCTACATATCACTCTTGGTGTCTTCAAATTACTTAGTCCTTCTGATGTTGAAAATACTTTACAATTTTTGAAGGACGAAATCGTGAATGTGGTACGTGATTTTATGGATCAAGAAAAAGTTCTTTCCGTTCGACTCAGGCGATTAGCTATCATGCAAGACAATCCACGTAAGTTTAAACTAAAAGTTTTTATACAGGATCATGTCATGTCATCTTATTCATTTTTTTTTTTTTCATTAGAGAAAACGCAGGTACTATATATTCAAGTACAAGATGAAACAAAGAACAAGATATTGGACAAACTTTGTGGTACGGTATCTATCATTTTTTTTTTTCTGTGTTCACTTTTTCCAAAAAAAAAAAAAAGAAAGGGTTTAGGTTGATTGATATTTTGTTTTCTTTTAATAGATACTATTAGGAACAAAATGCTGGATGCTGGATATATGCAAAAAGAAAATAGGCCATTGAAGGTAAAGAATGGGAAAAAAAAAAAAAAAAGAAAAGGGGACGACATGACTGAATCAAAATCCATTAATTCTTTTTTTTTTTAGATCCATGTTACACTGATCAAGACCAAGCCAAAGAAGTCAGAGGATGGACAAGAAGAAGAACGACCTACATTTGATGCTCAACCCATATTGAAATCACATGGAGATCTTGATTTGGGCGTAGTACATTTAGACAAGTTACATCTGATGAAAATGTCAACGACGATAATCGATGAATATATTAGTGAAGGATCCATCCCAGTAGAATAGAAATAATAGGATATTCATTTATTTTTGTATTTTTATTTTTAATAAAAGAAGGTGATAAAGTAAAATAAATGTCAAAAACTAAAGTAAAAAAAAAAAAAATACACAAGCAGGATCAGGAGGATATAGAATAGGTATGAGAATTACCAAGAGGATGGAGGTTGTGATGGGTTTGTATCCGATGTGTAAGTATTATTTGATTCCTTGATCCCATTGGCACGTAATAAGGCTTCCAATTCAAGTATACGATGTTGTTGTTCTGATACCTGTTGATGAAGTTGTCGAATATGATTGACGGAATTGAGTAAAATCACTCCTCGATTCAATTTTTGTCGTTGTTGAGGTTGTGGTAATAGACTACTTAATTCATCGATCCGTGCGTTGATATTATCTCTTCGTCGTCGTTCTACTACATTATGTGATTCCCGTCGTTTTCGTTTCTTTTCAAATAATCGATTCATTCTAAATAAAAATTTAAATACATAATTTGTAGTGAAATTTTTTTTTTTATTACTTATCAATACTGAGTTCTCCATCGGCATCCAATTCTTCTTCTATAGTGGAATTGCTACGACTACTACTGAGATGACGAGTGGGTGGAGAAGGTTGAGGTAAAGCTTGATAAGGACTTGACGGAGAAGTATTGAACCGACTGAAAAGTAACTTGTTAGGACCTGGTGGGGTTGGAGGATTGCCATAGTGATGAGAACTGACTTCAAGTTCACTCGGAGCTGGAGGAGGTAAAGGAAGACTATTAGGTGTATGTTGAGTCATTATCTATTATACAAAACTGAATAAACAAAAAAAAAAAAAAAAAAAAAAAGAGAGGGAAAGAAAAGGGAAAAATTCTATCATGTGAGAAAAGAAATGTAAAATAAAATAAATAAAGTATAAAACTCGTGATTCAATGATCATGGGGCTCGGCTCCTCCGAGTATTTGCAAGGAAAAAAAAAAAAAAAAAAGAGGGATCGGAGTGAAGCCGAACGAAACATGTATATATAAAAAGTATCAATGATAATGGTCTGGATTTTTTTTTTTTAATTCAAGTAAAACGTGTAATCAAAACAACAACAATAAAATAGTACAAAAAAAAAAAAAAGAAGAGAATGATGATAAATAATAAATATGATACATGACTAAATGAATAAAAATAAAATGAAAAATAAAGATATATATAATGGACTACATCATCATTTCATCATCATCATCACCAATATGATCAGGATCATCCATATTGATTTGCATTTCATCCAACATTTCTTCCAAAGAGATATCAGGGAAGTCTTCTTCTTCTTCTTCACCATCAGTCATCATATCATTGTTTTGAATATTGTTATTGGCTTGAGATTTGAAAATATTGACAGTAGCTCGGAATTCAGGATCTTCTTCAATATCACGCATAAACATTTCCATATCATGTTCAATTCGAGCTTGATCTTGTTTGCGAGGTAACATTTCATCCACTTCCTTGCCCAATTGTTTGATTTTCCATTGACGTTGTTTGTTTTTCTTGCGGCGAATAGGATAGGATTTACGAACGAGCACCACATCCGGTAATGATGAACGATCCAATTTGTCAAATTCTTCATTGTTGAAATTGGAACGAGATAAATCATACCCTAACACTGTGTCACCAGGATTCAAGATGGCACCCAAATGAGATCGAGCAATATATTCATCATCATTTCGTCCAAAATCAGATGCACGCGCTACATGGATATCTGCCAACACATTCTTGCCACGCACTGGTCCCAAAGGTTCCACATCCAATACATAATATTCAATCAAAGCCTTAGAACTTGCCAAAGGTAAAAATGGTGATCGCCAATAGATGTTGTGAGGTACTTCGCATGTGTTGAGTGTATTGTTATCGATCAAATGAACAGCATTACTAATGCGAGAACATAAGAGTAATTGATTGCCTCCACCCATACTGTTAGCTAACTTTTTCGGTAATACAACTAAATCATCACGACAAATAGGTACAATTTCAACTATATATTAAAAAGAAAGGAACTTGTTAGTGAACATCACCATCATTATTATGATATTCTTTTCATGTTCTTACCAGAGTATGTAAATTTGTAATTGCTTGTACTTGTATGAATATCAGTAGAGATCAATTGTTCACTAGTCTTATACCTAGATTTAACAAAAAAAAAAAAAAAAAAAAAATAGAGAACATCAGACAACATGGTCAAACTAAAAAAAAAAAAAAAAAAAAGAAAAGAAAAAAAACAACAACTTACTTCAAGGGCACCACAGCAGCTAAGAATTCCACCATCTTGATAGCATGAGCACGTTGACCATAATAGAAATCAATACCATCCTTTGTTTCCTTGATATTGGTAGTATCCTTATGAGCATTGTGTTTAAGAATCAATTGTTCTAGATACAAAAAGGTACGTTTGTGTTCCACCTTTTGACGTACTTGTACGACAGCCTTCCAAGTATTTTGAGCAGCAAGCCGAGTACATTCATCACATTGTTGACCAGAGACTACATATTCTACTTCAAAAATCTGTTGCAAGATGGTATTGGCGAAGACTTCCTTTTGAATCGTCAACTTGACCTTGATACGTCGACTGTGAGGTTCTGTCCAAATAAATCCTGCATCCACAAGTCGTACTTTATTTAATCCTTTCAATTTCTTCAAACATAACGTAAGCAATTCTCGAGACTCCAATGCCGCAGTAACCCAGATTCCAGGAGGTTGGAGGTAACGTTCACAGTTTTTACAAAAATGGATGGTTGCTTGCTTAGGAATACCTTCAGTAATGTCCACTTCATTTCGAATACAATTCACACACATATTGGCTTGATTGGGTGGGGTAGGTGCACCACATCCTGGACACTAAATCAAAAAGAACATAGAAAAAAGTCAATAAAGGGAAAGGTATTTGTCAGCTTTTGCCACTTTTGGAAAACTTACAAGACTAAATTTAAATAATAATAAAAAAGAACATAAAAAAAAAAGGTAAGTTTTTAATTAGTGATAAAGGTAATGAATAGAATGATATGAGGTATTTTACATGAGTTGTTCGGTGACTACGGGATGATATTCCATGATCTACGAATCTTTTTTTTTTATTGAAAGAAGAAGAGAGAAAAAAAAAAGGAACTTTTTTTTTTTAAGAAAAAAGCTAGAGAAACAAGCCACAACAGGCCAACAGACCGGAATTAGAAATTTTACCTCCTGCCCTGCATGAATTCAGACAAAGGAGACTACTAAGAAATTCTCACAATTTTCTTTTCGTCCTTTCTCTTTTCTTTACTTTTTCACTTTTTTTTTACTCTCACCTTTCTTCTTTCTCTTTTTTTTATATATTACTACTTCTTTACTGACAACAATAATGAGCGAATACTACGAAGATCTTAAAGCTGATCGTACGTATACCAACGTATATATATATATTAAACGAAAAAATACAATTCTAATTTTTTTCATTTATATTTTAATTATTTATTTAAATAGCCAAATCTTTTTTCTCTAAGATCAACAACGCATTGAGAAAGGGCAGCTATCGTGGGATATTTAAAAATGGCTATATCTTTACCCAGATAATAACCGGTGGACCTCAATATGAAATTATGGGTGAACAACTAGAAAGTTCTTCATCAGCAGCATCGTCAGCCAGTCAGCAACAACAAGAACAACAACGACAACAGCAGCAACAGTAGCGGTAGCACAGTTTTTTGAAATGGCAGCGAAAATCGAAGAATACCAAAACAAAGCAAAGGAAATGACAATCACCAAGGCGGCAATGATGTTCGTATACTATAAACGATTTTACTATTTCAAAGAGATCAGCAACCTTACATATTCTGCTTTTCTTAAGAATTGTGGTAAGGAAAAATACATAAAATGGTCAGGAAAGGAATGTAAAGGGCTAATAAAAAATTACTTTTATATATCCATCATAGTCGAACACCTACCCCACCAAAACCAAGACGCCGCCGCTACCACGATCAACAACATGGTGAAGTGATGTAGTGTTTATGGCGACCTTGTGGAGGGCGCTGATGGTGCTTGGATTCTCTGTTTGGCAGATCTGTACCCGGAGACATACATCAACAAGGTAAAAAGAAAAAAAATAGATAGTCATGGCCTGTAACATATATGTATATATTGGTAGATCAGCAAGGCAATGATGGTGCGAGCAGCTGGGTCCTTGAATATTGAGGGACTGAAGAAGGAATTTGGTTCGCGTCTCCCTGGTCTTTTTTTTACTGAATAGTATATACCTTTTTTTTTTTTATCATTATTGTCATTGTTTTTATTATCCAATATGTGAATTATCAAAACTTGATAGATTATTTTTTTTTCTTCCCTGAAGATGGATCTATCTGAAATTTTGTTCGTTTGAAAATTTGGTCATTTGAACTTCTATGCTTTTCAACCTTTTTTATTTATTTATTATATGACTAGTTTTTTTAAATTTATATATATCCTTCATATCTTATACTTTTTTCTTTGTCAATTTCAATGTATATTTTATTATTAATAAAAATACTTTTTTTTAAAAAAAAAATCAAAACTCGTTATTATGGCCATCCCATTGGATCATCATCCAAGGCTTTACCATTATATCTATCAACCATCAAAATTGTTATGGGAACCCGTATTGTACAGCCTCATTGTACTACAACATCAATGAGAGATGACTTTCCATTTTCAATCTTTTGTTTTCTTATCATATATACTTTAATTTTTTTTTTTTTCAATATAAATAAAGAAAGAATAAAAAGCATACTTTTGATCCGGAAAAGCGGACAAGATATCCACTTCTTTCCATTGTTTGATATGCAATATGATTGGCTTTGGATTTGTCATGGTCAGGCCTCAAAATGAGTCAATCCTGGGAAAAAAATCCCCGCTTGAATCCTTTTGAGCTTCCCCTCTCCCAAAAAAAGCATATAAAGTAATTTTGACCCTCTTCTTTTTTTTTTTTTTTTTCTTTTTTTAACTTGCACTATTTATCCAACTTTCCCACACTCTTTTTTTTTATTTATTTATGAAATATAGAAACAATGTCTTTTGAAGTAGGCCCTAAAACTATTAACAATGTACGTCGCCACAAGGAACGAGCATCGTATGATTATGAAAGTGTTCACCGTGCTTTGGATGAAGGATTGTTAGGACATGTTGGCTTTTGTTTGGAAGATGAAGATGGTGAATCAACTCCAGTGGTCATTCCTATGGTATATGGACGTAAAGATAATTTTTTATATCTTCATGGTTACGTATCTGGTCGATTGGTAAAACATTTGGCTAAAGGTAAAAAAGTGTCAATGGCGGTGACTGAACTGAATGGGTTAGTATTGGCTCTCTCTCCTTTCCATCATTCTGTCAATTATCGATCGGTCGTGGTATTTGGACGTGGTGAGCTGGTGGAAGAACCTGAAGAACGTTTAGAAGCTTTACAAATCATTACGGATCATATGGTCAAGGGTCGATGGGATCAATGCAGGGACAGTACCAAGATTGAACTTCAGACAACGAAGGTCATCAGGGTGGAAATCGAATCGGCAAGTGTCAAAGAAAGTAATAATAAAGAACCAAACGATGATCCTGCGGATTATAAAGATTTGGCTTTATGTGAATCTACTTGGTCTGGTGTGGTAAGTTTTTTTACAAATACAATCCATGGTTGATTTTTTTATTGATCATTCTGCTTTTTTTATATATATATTTATTTTAGGTACCAATGAAGCATATCTGTTTAGAACCTGTACCTGCATCTATCAACAAGCAACCTCTTCCTGATAATATTCGTGATTTGTGGCAGAAAAATCAACCTCCAAAATGATTTATATTTAGTATTAAATTAGTTTATAATAATAAAAAAGACGGTTATATATAATTGAAAAGAAGTATTATTTCTTTTTTTTTTTTTTTATTTGGTATGGGTTCATCATTGATAAATAATTAAGGTAATAAATAAGGAGGAGATTAATATATATATATTATAAAAAAAAGTAATCAAAATGGAGGGAATCATGAGTTCTATAAGATACACATGCCAAATTCATGTCTTTGAGAGACAAAACTAGCAGCAGCGAGATAATGCCACCAGATACCACCGCAAACAAACAAATGCCACCATTGATGAGAATGACCCCAATGATCAAACTTACCAGGCCAAATCCGTTCAGGAAATTGATTACCATAAACAATCACACCTAAACCATAACATGCTAATGATTTCAATACAGGAGCAATCCATAAACCAACTGGAGCAGGACCATAAACAAAAATAAGATGACCAACTGGAAATATACTAGAGGAAGCTAAAGCAACAAAGAATCCAATTCGAATCCATCGAGAATCTAACAATATTCATATGAATAAAGTAAAAATTAACATTCTTCTTTTTTTTTTTTTTTTTTTTTTTTTTTTTTTTTTTAGTTACCTGGATGATCAAACCATGTCATAAAAGGCATAGTGACACCAACAAGAGCTAAAGAACCAGTTCCAATCAAATAAGTATTTCTCCATGATTCATTACAATAGAAACCATAATATTCACATAATAAGACACTTGCAGAAATCAAGGTACTGATACCAACATAATCCAAACAAGCCATTCTAGTAAAAGTATGATAATCATTGATACCTGATAAGGTATGCCATACGGTTGAGCACATGAGACATTTACAAGCCGCCAAAAAGAAGATGGTCATGATGATCCAATCAAACATAGGAACATCCGATAACAAATTTGAATAAAATAATTCATAGATACCAATACCAAGGAATACCATGAATCCAATCAAATGAGTATAAATATTACCAGATTCATTGTGAAGATAAAGCCAAGAATGAAAACAATCTGCTGGTGTAGATAAAAATCGATAACCTGTATGAATATACTATATATCAAAAAAAAATTAGTTCAATGTCTTTGATTATATATATATATAATCTATTGTTACCTTATTATTTCGCCAGGGCACAGGTAATTCTTCATAATCAAGTAAACGTTTGGCACCATAAGTAATAGCAGCTTTGAGGTGATCCATTTGTTCATGAGCCATACCAGCAAAGTCATTGATCTTTTCATGAACTTTATGTCGCATTTCAGAAGCCTTATCTATAGTATCACCAATACAAGTATCGATTTGTTCAATAGAAGACATGAGCGAGTCCATAGTATCGTCCAAAAAGGTATAATCGAAATAATCACCTTGTATCTGTTCCAATTGCCGATATTTTTCAGATAGTTCCGAGAAAGCTTGTTCCAATTGTTGTAAAATATGTTGTTTATATTGACTAGTTGTATTCTCTAATTGAAGCAAACGCCATTGTTCGTCTATTGTTTCTAATAAACATGTTGCTCGTTGTATTTTATTGCGAGTATAGTCTTGTAATCTTTTGGAACTTTCCATATGATAAAGTTGAAACTTGACTTTTTGTACTAAAGGTGTAAGTCGATGTCGAATAAAGTCATCCAAATCCAACATTTCGTCTTTATATGTTGTTTTGTTAATGGTCAACAAGTTTTCCATCATTTTTTCGGTGGGTAATAGGGTATGATTAAATAAAAAAAAAAGAATGTGAAGGGTCGGGTAAAATAGGTAAAAGAAGGAGGAGGAGGAGAAGAACAAGAAGAAGAAACGATTACTTTGGTAGACCCTATATCACCTAAAGTTTCAGAAATTGATAAAGAAAAAAAGAGGTAGTAAAATTTTCTATTTTTTTTTTTTTAAAAAAATTCGTCCACTCAGCCAATCAGACTCGAGTATGAATAAAGTGTATTCATAGTCGGAGGATGTTGGTTCAGTTTTTTTGCCCCATAACCCCTGTTGATTTCTATTTGGATAAAGTCATCTCTCGTATTATTCATTTTTGTAATTCATGAAAAAGAGATCACTTTTTTTTTTTTAATTCATGCTATTTTATTGTTTATCTAACTTGTATCAACCAATCATTTCAAGGTTCCTTTTTTTTTTTCACACCTGCATTGTTCTTTTTCTCGGCGATTGTTAGCTGAAATAAACATTCATTACCTTGTTCGAACAACTTGCCATTTCCGTCTTGCCGATATATACCAAAAAAAGTAAGTCAGTGCTTTACTCTCCATCTTCCGGACCTGATTTTTTTTTTTTTTTTTTTTTTTTACATCTCCACGTTCTTTGATCATATATATCATCTATCGTCATCATCCATCTTCCCACCCAAATAATTGGATAGAAAATTGAAATAGTTTAATTGGAAGATAACCAATGCGGCACTAGAATATTTTTTTTTTTTTTTTTTTTTTTAGTGGAAAAAGAATAATGATGATAGGATGATTTGATTAGCGGTTAAAATAATTTTAGTATGCAAGTTGAAAATCATTGGCAAAACAAATCATCATCTGGGAAAATAAGGGAAATCTGGACACTATATAACGTCATACTGTTGGTTCAAGAGAATAAATTGGGATGATCTAAAAAAAAGGTGGGAACATCTCCGACAATAAAGATTGGATGGGAAAAGCTGGGGAAATGATATATGGGGTTTCCGTACCATTCAAGGTGGGATTGTGGAGACAATTTAAGATTCAGTAAGTGGGGGGGAAAAATCAGAATAAAAATATTTGTGTAGCATATTATCCGTCATTTCTTGACTATAAAAAGATCAAATTTTTCTTTTTTTTTTTGTTTTCTTTTTCTTTTTATTTTTATTTTTACTTTTTTTTTTTTTTTTTACTCTAATTTCTTTTTTATTGATACATAATGAAGGAATCTAATGAAAATGCCTATCCTTCTGATGATAGAGTAGATGTTAGTGATTACCGAGGATCAAGTGGTTTAAAGGGTATGGTTGAAAATCCCTATGTGTTGGCTACTGCTCTATTTGCATCTCTTGGTGGTGTCTTGTTTGGTAAGTAATCATCATATAAGGATCATGATCATTTATTAATTTATACTTTCTATAGGTTACGATCAAGGAGTAATCTCTGGTATTCAAGAAATGGAGGTAAGTTATTTTGAAACATAAAAAAAAAGATCATGATTCCTTGTGATGAATCCTTGTGATGATTCTTTGTGATGATTCCTTGCCACGATTTTTTTATGATGATTCCTTGTGATGATTCCTTGTGATGTTGATTCAATAAGACTGACACTATATTGTTTCATAGACTTTCAAAGCAAGATTCGATATGAGTACAACAGAAAATGCTTTTGTAGTAGCTATTCTTACTCTTGGTTGTTGGGTTGGTGCACTTATAGTTGGATACTTTGCAGACAAGATTGGTCGTAAATACTCTATAGTTTTGAATGGTATCGTTTTCTTAATTGGTAGTTCTTTCGTAAGTGATCATGGGGATACAAAAATGGATTGACATCTGGTCTTGAAAATTTACTGTTTCCAAGGTCTGATGATGAACTAACTTAATTATTTATTCTTTAGCAAGGTGGTGCTCAAACTGTTCCTTATCTCATGGCAGGTAGATTTGTAGCAGGTTTATCTATTGGTGGTCTTAGTATGCTCGTACCTTTATATCAAGTAAAAAAAAAAAAAAGGAACCATAGCGGACTGTCAATCAGTTTCAGTCTAATTTATATGTGTATAAAGTTTAGTCAGGGTCTGTATTAATACTCTTTTCTTCCCGCACTTTTCTTTTTTTTTTTAGTCTGAAATTGCTCCTCCCGAAATAAGAGGTTCTCTTGTCTCACTTCAACAATTGGCTGTTACTTTTGGTATTCTTATTTCTTTTTGGATTGATTATGGTTGTCAAAACATTCCTAGTGAAGCTCAATGGCGAGTACCTTTTTGTATTCAAATTGCTCTTGGTCTTCTTCTTGTTATCGGTATCTTCTTTTTCCCTTTCTCTCCTCGTTGGTTAATGGCTCAAGGTCGTGACGATGAAGCTCTTCAAGTCTTATCTAAATTGCGCCGTGTACCTATTAACCATCCTCGTGTGCAAGAAGAATATCGTGATATCAAGGTCACCGTCATCTTTGAACAACGTGTTGAAGCTCAACGTTTCCCTGATCTTAGCAATGGTACCACTATGGATCAGTTTAAGATTGGTTGTTACGGTTATCTCGATTTATTCAAGGCTGGTATGTTCAAGCGTCTTTTCATTGCATGTGCTCTTCAATTCTTCCAACAATTTTCTGGTATCAATGCCATCATTTATTATGCTCCTAAGGTAAGAAACCAATGTCTTTTTTTTTTTTTTTTTTTTTTAAAAAAAAAAAACATAACAACTCAAATCGGTTTCTTTTTTTTTTTTTTTGATAGATTATGAAATCACTTGGTCTCACTGGTAACTCTGTTTCTTTATTGGCTACTGTAAGTATCAATTATCAAGTACCACAAATTTAGTAAAAGCTGTACTCATATTTACATATTATTTTAGGGTGTGATTGGTATTATCAACTTCCTTTGTACTTTTATCACTGTGTTATACTTGGATAAATTTGGTCGAAAGAAATTCTTGTTGACTGCTTCAGTCTGTCTTACTCTTTGTATGGTGATTGTTGCTGCTATAGTTGGTGTTTATGAAGATGATTGGCCAAACCATATTGCTCAAGGTTGGGTTTCTGTTGCCTTCATTTATTTCTATATTGCCAATTTTGCCTATTCCTTTGGTCCTTTAGGTTGGGTTATCCCCTCGTAAGTATTTTTTTTTTATTATTATTTTTATTCCATCTGCTGTACCATTCTGATTCCATTTGGTATTTTTTTTTTTTTATTATTTCAATAGTGAAATCTTCCCATTACGTGTTCGCTCCAAAGCCATGTCCATCAGTACATCAGCAAATTGGTAAAACAAAGAAAGATAAGTAAATTTTTGATATGGATGACTCATTTTTTTTTTTAATTATAGGATGTGTAATTTCATCATCGGATTGATTACTCCTATCATGTTAGATTCTATTCGATTTTATACCTACGTCTTCTTCGCCATCTTTTGTTTTATTTCCTTCTTCTTTGTCTTCTTTATGATTCCTGAAACAAAAGGTAGAAGTTTGGAAGATATGGATGCTGTATTTGGTGGTCAAACTGCTGCTGAAGATACTGCCATTTTGGATCAAGTCAAAACCGAAGTGTATGGTCAACAAAGTGCTACCAAACCCTCTTCAACTCAATTACAATACGAAAAGGAGGAATTTTAGTTATCTTTCCTTTTGATCTTTTTTTTTTTTATAGTTTAGTCACTCTTCTTATTATTATTGTTACTATTACTTTTTTTTTTCCTACTACTTCTTGTTATTATAATTTTTTCAGTTTATGTGATTGTTATTGCTGTGCAAATAAAACATATGTGTATTTTTGAATAAAAACTTGGAAACCGGAAATCGAATTTATATCATTTATGGAAGAACATTGTTGTTTATACGAACGAGATAAACGAGAGGATTGATAATATTTTGTATACGATCAAATATGATAATGATGTCTATAATTGGTGTCAATGATAATAATAATAGTGGTAGTAATTTGAGGATATGAAAAAGTGGATGCTGAGTGTGGATATTTGACCAAAAGCAGCATATACAATGTAAAGAGGTACTGCATATAGATGTTCGGTCACTCTTAAAGAAAAGCAGACATCTAATTATTATTACTTTATCAAAAGAGGGTATCAAAAGAAGGTCTTTGGATCAAAGTGATGATCAGCGCATTTTTAACATACACCAATGACATTTCAAAATATTAAAGAGTATCAAATGGGTAAAAAGTTAAATGATCTTTATTTTCCAAAAAAAGAAGTAGTACTATCAAAACAACAATCAAATGTCAAAGAATCAAAAAAGAAAAAAAAAAGGGGAATCAACTAAAAAAAGAAAAAGGGAATCAAGTACTAACTATTATTCTATTCATTCTTCATAAGAGGCTTCATCTTCAGGTTCTAAAGCAATTTCGTTATCTTCCAAATCATCATAGTCTTCGTCGGCAGCTGCATCTTGATATTGTTGATATCTAATAGTGTAAAAAAAGAAAACATTTTTAGAATATAGATCAATATTTTCTTGATGCATCATGTCGATCTAAACAGAACTTTTTATTGACTTACTCCGTAACAAGATCGTTCATATTGCTTTCACTTTCAGTAAATTCCATTTCTATCCAAAAAAAAAGAATAAATAAATGGTGAGTCAATTTAATCATATATATATTATTTTCATCACTTTACCATCCATGCCTTCACCAGTGTACCAATGCATGAAAGCCTTGCGTTTGAACATGACGGTGAATTGATCATTGACACGTTTAAACAAATCTTGAATAGCAGTACTATTTCCAATAAAGGTACCACTCATCTTCAAACCAACAGGAGGAATATCACAAAGTGAGGTCTTGACGCTACTGGGAATCCATTCGACAAAATAGGCAGAATTCTTTTGTTGCACAGCCAGCATTTGATTTTCCACTTCTTTTGTTGAAACACGTCCACGGAAAATGGTTGCCACTGTGAGATAACGTCCATGTCTAGGGTCAGAAGCAGCCATCATATTCTTGGCATCAAACATTTGAGCAGTCAATTCAGGAACACTAAGATTACGGTACTGTTGAGAAATCAGAGATGTTAACGGAGCAAAACCAACCATAAAGAAATGAAGACGTGGGAATGGTACTAAAAGAAAAAAAAAAGATCAATCATGTCATTTTTATTTTTGATTCGTTTTTCTTTACCCATATTAACAAAAAGTTTTCGTAGATCTGCATTCAATTGACCAGGGAAACGTAAAGAGGTAGAGACACCAGACATGACAGCAGAGACCAATTGATTCAAATCACCATAACCAGGATTAGTAAGTTTTAAAGTTCTGAAACATATATCATAGAGAGCTTCATTGTCAATACAAAAGGTGGCATCACAATGTTCAACCAATTGATGAACAGTCAGAACAGCATTGTAAGGTTCCACTACAGTGTCAGAAACTTTTGGAGATGGTACCACGGAATAGGAACACAACATACGATCAGGGTATTCTTCACGAATTTTGGATAACAAGAGAGATCCCAGTCCAGAGCCTGTACCACCACCAAGAGAATGCGACATTTGGAATCCTTGTAAACAATCGGCATGTTCGGCTTCTTTTCTAATGACATCCAAGACTGTTTCTACCAGTTCCGCACCTTCAGTATAATATCCCTATAAAAGAAGGATAAATATTCTTTTTTTTTTTTATTATTATTTTTTTTTTTTTTTACCCTTGCCCAAGAGTTACCAGCACCTGACTGACCAGATACATAGTTGTCAGGACGGAAAAGACCACCATATTCACTACTCCGAATAGTATCCAATACAGCAGGTTCCAAATCAACAAGAATAGATCTTGGAACATATTTTCCAGTGGAGCCTTCATTATAATATACATTGATTCTTTCTAATTGTAAGTCATTATCTCCATCATAAGATCCTTTAGTATTGATACCATGTTCTTGAGAAATGGTTTCCCAAAATCTTTGACCGATCTAAAAATAAATAAATAAATAAGTATGTGCATGAAGATGTATCATGTAAAGAAGTGACATAAAATACGCCACAAACAGGTTGTTGTTATTGGGAATACAATAATATTTCTTTTCTTTTCATACCTGGTTTCCACATTGACCTTGACACGTACATTAGCAAAAAAAAAAAAAAAAAGAAAAAGAAAAAGGAATGTTAGTAATGGAGTTGTCCATTTATAAACATTGACATAAGGTATGAATCACTCTATGTTACCTGCTTGAACATGAATAATTTCTCTCATGATGATAAGTACTAATAAAAGAAAAAAAAAAAAAGAAAAAGAGGAAAAAAAAAAAGAAGAGAAGAGGAAAGTGAGGGATCAGAACAAAAAAAAAAGAAGTGGGAAAAATCTCCCACTTCTTTTTATATGAGGTACAATTCAAGCCCCGTGCATGAAAAAAAAGAAGCAGATGAAGGGCCTTTTTCAACATTTAGGATTCTAAATTTTTATTAAAAAGACAATATAATAATGATATATGAATAAAGTAGATAAGAAGTAAAAAAAAAAAAAGAGGAGGGAGAAAGAAAGAGAGAAGAAGAAAAAAAAAAAAGAGGAATAGGGAATATATAGAATATAAAATAATACAAGAATATGTACAATATAAATATGAAGATATCAATAAGAGATAAGGATCAGAAGAATTCTTGCAAGTCCTTCAAAGTCACTACGCCTTGCCATCGTCCAGATTTAGTAAGCACCGGAAGTAAGGGTAAACTTTTTTCGCGGAGAGATTTGTTGGTCATCAATTGTAAAGCATCCAGAGCTAAGGTATTGCTTTGACAGGTAATTGGATTTCTAGTCATGATGTCCGCAGCCCGAATATTGAATATACCATCCTTGTCAGAAGATTTCAAGATTCGATGTATATCTCCATGTGTGATAACACCCACCACTTGACCATCCGTAGAATCATCTTCAGAAGTTGTTGAACATGGAGGAGTTGGTATCATTGTCATATCTTCATCATCATTATCTATCACCACTACACCAGATGCCTTGGGATGACGAGTCATTTCCATAATCACCAAGTCCAATGAAGCTTGAGGTGACACTGAACCAGCTACTGATGTCGTAATCATAGTATCCGATACCTTTAATAAAAGTCGCCGTCCTAAAGATCCACCAGGATGATTAAGAGCAAAACCATCTGTAGAAAATGAGCGCAATTTTGCTAATGATAACGCCAATGCATCCCCAAGAGCTAAAGCCAAAGTAGTTGAACTTGTTGGTGCTGGTACAGTTCCTGCTTCTCTATCGACATGTCCATCTAACCATGCTTGACATTCCTTGGCTAATTTGCTTTTTTCATTACCACCTAATCCAATGATAGGTACTTGTCTATGTTTGATACTCGGTAAAAGAGCCATCAATTCTTCAGTATTACCAGAAAACGAAAGAGCCAATACAACATCATTAACTTGAATGACACCAAGATCGCCATGAAGTGCTTCTACAGGATGTAAAAATGTAGCTGAAGTGCCAGTAGATAACATGGTTGCTACTATTTTTTCACCAATCTTGCCAGATTTGCCTACACCTGTAACGACAACTTTTCCACCAGCTTCGAGAGATTTGAATATCAATTCAACGGCATGTTCATATCCTTGTCGAGTCTCCGTATGTTGTTGTAAACGTTCTGCGCATGCTTGTATTGCTCTAGCTTCTTCCATTAATACTCGAGAAGCATCTAAAAGGATATCGTTTTTACTTGTGTATTTCATATCGTTGTTGTTCAATGAATAACCGATCATGACATGTCAAAAGAAAGTAAAAAAAAAAAAAATAAAAATAAAAAAATAAAGAGCTTATTTTTATACAAAAATAGATAAAAGAAAGAAAGAAAGAACAAAAAAAAAAAAAATTGGTTTGTGATAAAGGGGGACAACGGAATCGGTTTCTTTTTTTGAAATACAGCACGGAAACGAAATTCGGTAAAACGAATGGGCAGGAAAAATCTCGCAAGCCACGAATATAGGGAAAAAGCAAAGAGTTTAAATTTGATAGGAGGCGCGCCCAATCGGAAAATGTTACACTAAGAAATAATTTCGTTTACTCTTTGTTTTATTGCACCATTTCTTTTTGATATGATTTCTCTTAAAAAAAAAAAGAAACTTTCATATATTATATATAATTATTTATGAAAGATTGTCTTATGTCTATTCCTTTTTTTTTTTTTCTAGATAATCAAAAAATGAATAAAAAACAAGATATATATATATGCTATTCTTTAGCCTGGCATAGATTGACTCAGTTTCTGATTGGCTGGAATTGGATATCCGTTGAAAAGCGCTGACAAATTTCATTTTTTCTTTCTTTCTGGATTTCCCTAAGTTTTTCCCCAAATTTGCCTGTTTTTTTACTCATGGAGAAAGATCACCCTGTTCAACAAACTTATCCAATGCCTACAACTGAACAATTATTAGATAATGGACAAGGTGTTATTGATCCTGATGTCTTTTTTAAAATGAATTCTCCTCCTGCTAACTTGAAAGACTTTGAAACAAAGTTAGAACAATTTGTGGATTATCATCAAGAAAAAAAGACACGTCTGGTTTTTATTACAGTAAGAAACTTTTTTTTTTATTTATTTAAATATTTCAATAACTCTTCTTTTTTTTTTTTTAATAGAGTGGAGGTACTATTGTACCTTTGGAAAACCAAACTGTTAGATTTATTGATAATTTTAGCAATGGTCATCGTGGTGCTTGTTCTGCAGAATATTTTTTAGAAGCTGGTTATGCAGTTGTCTTTATGCATCGTCAATTCAGTCTTCAACCTTATCATCGTCATTATACTCATAATCCTTCTATTGGATTTTTGGATTATTTGGTACAAAAAGACGACAATATTCAAGGTAAATATGAAATTTTCTTTTTAACAAAAACATATTGATAATTTTTTTTTGTTTTGTTGTAGTGGATCAACAATATAATGATAAGATGAAAACAGTATTATCCAATTATCAAAATGCCATCAAAAATAATCGATTACTTTTATTGGATTTTGTCACACTTTCGGATTATCTCTTCAAATTGAAAAGTGGTACTCGGATTCTGGCTCGATTACAAGAAAATGCCATGTATTATCTAGCAGCGGCTGTGAGTGATTTCTTCATTCCTTCTGAAAAAATGGTAAGTCTATTTAAAAGTTTATATTTCAACACTCATCTTTTTTTTTTTTTTTTTTTTAAAGCATGAACATAAGATTCAATCTGGTGGTGGAGCATTAACTTTGACATTGGATCAAGTTCCCAAGTTTTTGACACCTTTAGTCAGTGTATGGGCAAGCAAAGGATTAATTGTTTCCTTCAAATTAGAAACTGATGTGAATCTCTTGGTACCGAAAGCTCGACAAGCACTTACACGATATGGTCATCAGGTTGTTGTTGCCAATATGTTAAGTACTCGAAAACAAACAGTTACCGTGATTACCAAAAGTTCACAACAAGTTTTATCTCTGACTCCTGAAGATATCGCTCATCATGTAGAAATCGAAAGTCGAATTATACCCCAGCTTGTACATATTCACGATGGTTGGATCAGTTCTGGAGCAACAAAAGCCTGTCAACAATGAAATTATTTATAACTAGTAATTATTAGATAAATAGATAGTTAGTTAGTTAGATTAGTTAGACTTTTTTTTCCTTGAATAAAATACTCTGGTATCCCATTGAAAGTTCTCAACTTCAAAGAATTGGTGTGGATGTCTATCTTTTTGTTGAAAATGTGTGAACTGTTGAATTCTTTTTTTTTTTTTTTTTTTTTTTTTTTTTTTTTTTTTTTTAGCGACGGTAATCATCCATTATCCAGTCATGAGAACAAGAGTAATGGATACAACGTTATTAGATAAGCCTAGACTTTTTTTTTTTTTTTGAGAGGAATCTAATGGTAGTAACTTTATTGGATTGCGATCATCATTGGATAAGGGACGATGATGTTGGATGATAAGGTATACACTATCAATTAAGTCAATTGAACGAGAATGTTTTCATTTATGTTCAGTCCAAATTTGGTGCAATGATGATGACTTTGGAGTGAATGACAAAAGCATGAAAGGGTACATGTTACCCCACGTGATGTTACAGCATATGAAAAATAAAAAAAAATATTGTAGATCGAATTTCTCTCTCATTATCTATTGTTAGGTTACTTTTTTTGAGAGGGATCTAATATTGGTAATTGCGTTGAATGATGATGACAATCGGATGAGGAATGATGATATTAACATTTACTACTTAGTTGAGATATTCCATTACCATCATCAATATTATCATGATCGTTTCTTCTTGTGTTTTTAGAGGACATAGAGCTTATGTTGTACGAACGTTAGATGATTCACCAAAGATTTTGAGTTGTTATTGTCGCTCATTGATAGTGATGTTGGTGTAACTTGGAAATGAAATAGAATTTTTTTTTTGTTGACAATCACAACTATATAATAGAAAGGCAGATGACTCAAGTTTTAGATCCAAAGTTACGTAAGGATTTTTACTCATTTATATTATATTATATAAAAATGGATTGTTGTTACTCACCTGATGTTACAAAAATGTCAACTCCTGTTAATGTTGCAATGAACCATCAATTCAGCGCCATTTTCCTAACTAGATGGATGAACATCAGTCATTGGGATAACGAATAAATGGATGAGTATGCTATTTTTGTTAGTGGAAGAGAAAAAAAAATCAGATATACAGCGTTTTCAAAGTTTCTTGTTGGGTCACGAGAAAATAGTTTCGTGTAAAGTTATAAAATAGAATATCAAGCTTTCCCAAAATGGATGTCGCATTATCACTTTTTTAGAGATGTTGGTAGAGGTGATTGATAATAGAATGATGCATCAATGTTGGTGATGATGATGGAAAAATAAAAAAAAAATATTGTGAGAATCAGTGACACTGTTTTTTTTTATTTGAAAAGTATATTGAAAAATGAAACATAGTGTCTCTTTTCTTTATTGATACAATGGATCATCATTAGACTGTTGATTCATCATTGAACGTAATGGTTTTCAGGATCCATTTTTCTTTCCTCATATTTTGGCAATGTATTTTTTTTTTTGGGTGTAAAAACAATTGATTTTTTTTTTATTTTTTGGAAGAATGCCTATAACTAGAAGAACTATGAAAACTAGGTGGGCAGGGGTATCTTGTATCAATTTGTTGTTTGAATTTGAATTCGGTCACAACTGGAATATGACTATAATAATAATATAAAAGAATATATTAATAAATCAGTAATAGATCATCCATAACTTACTCAGAGGGAAAATGAGGATTGGGAATACCGACAACATTTGACATATAGACAGGATCTAAAGGGCCAAGTACGGAAACCACGTCCAAAGTTTTTGTTGTAAAAAATATATAATCCAAGGTACCTTTATAATCAGGAGTAAAGTTAGTAAAATCCAATTCTCCAATATAACTATATCCGCTTTTCAAAGATAAGTCATGTTGAAGTCCATTGGCTGTAAATGATCCATACTGACATTGGTTGAATTCATCATGATCATGATCAAGGTTGCCTTTGGTGAGATATTCGTATAGACCTGAGTTTGGTTCAGAATTGAAGTCGCCACAAATAAGTATTGGTATAGATGTTATGGAAGTGTACTGTTGTTTCCCATCAAGATTATTTTTGGTGCTTTCAAGTATCGTCCGGGATGCAAATTGACAAAGTTCGTCCATCATAATTCCTATTTGTACCAATTTGACATCAGAAAATGCTGGATCCCATGTTAGTTGCGAATTTGTCACTATCACCATGTTTTGTGTCTTAATATCTTCCAATAGACTAAATATCGCAATGTTGTCCTTGGGCATCAATCGATTGTATGTATCCTTTGAGCTTTTAAAGTCGGGTCGTTCCAAACCTTTCTTGTTGAATTCCACAAATAAATGATCCACTAGTTTATATCTATTAAAAAAAAAAAATGGAATGATTTTGATTATCTTCCTCCTCTTTTTTTTTTTTTTTTTTTTTTTTTTTTTTTTTTTTATTTCTATATACCTTGATGATTTAAAAAATGTGGCGCAACCATCCACCCATTTTCGATCATTTTCAGACATCGTTTTGGCTCTTGATTTGGGATAAAAAATTCCATCATAGTTTCCATGGTTTTTCAGATAGGGAGTAAATACAGATTCAAAATCATCCATAGCGACCTCTTGTAGGCAAAGAATATCAGCATCAATATCGTTGATTTCAGAAAATAGGAGTTCTTTTCGGTAATCCCATTCCAAAGCCCATGCTGGTGTATAGCCGTATTTTTGATCATTGACATACTTTGGGCAAAGTGTATTGTAACTAAGTACCGTAAATCGTTCTGATAATGATTCCAAAAAAAAAAAAAAATGGTTGATTAGTTTTTACCTATATTTTTATTCCTGTTATCATCAGTTCCATTTCTTCTTCTACTCCTTCTTCTTCTTACCTTCTGCTTCTGAATCGCTAATGTTTTCATTATCTTCAATCGTTAACCATTCTCTTGAAGGTGGAGGTAATCCAACTAAATCAAAAAAAAAAAAAAAAAGAAAAAAGAAAAAAGGTTAGGGCCATCGGATCGAAACCAAGCACTTTGTTTTACCTGGCATATGTTCCCTAAGCGAACTGATCAATCCTTGAGTTCCTTCATTCATTATCAAGTTTTGTAAATCGTTTTGGAGTGGATTTCCTTCCAAACCCAAAGTTTCCAACCGATAGAGCATTCCAATTTCGTTAGGTAAAGTGACGATTTGATTATCGAAAAGCAATAATTCCTTGAGAGAAGCGAGTTGACCAATACCAGGAAATACTTCAGTAATGTTATTGCCAGAACAGTCAAGTATTTCCAGATGAGATAACTTTACGATATCAGGATGAATATATGTCAATTGATTGTGGTTCATATAAACAGCAGTCAGAAAATCGTAAGCGAAAAGACTAGAAGATAGATGCTTCAGGCCTAAACCACCAATATCCAAGACGGTCCACAGTTGTTGGTTGCTATTTTTATTGTCTTCCTTTCGTTCTTGCTGTTGAGTTGAACTACCATCATCAATAGATTTCATTGTTCCCTGATTTGTTGTGGTTCGAGAAGATAGTTGATTCCTTGCCAAAACAGCTGCAATTCGTGCATGGTAATGAGGGGAAGATGCTTGCCTTGATTGAATATGTTGGTCAGTAAGAGCGTTGGGAGCATTATGAGATACACTAAGAAGGGAGACGGCGTTTACAAGGTTCGACGTCGTATTGGTAGAAGAAGGAATAAAAGGACGTTGGTCGTTTCCATTGCCGTAATCTTCATTCCAATCTTGGTCATTGTACTTTGTAATATTGCCGTTACTATACATGATGGAGATATAGAACAATAGCTAAATAAATTCTTTTCAATATGTCAAAAGCGTTCAATAGAATAAAAAAGTATCATTCAGTAAAAGTGGTAAAGAGAACAAAAAAAAAAAAAAAAAAAAAAGGAACAAAGAAAAAAAAAAAAACAAAAATTCGGTGTTGAAAACGTCATGCGTGAAAACATATACATAGAGTTCAACGGAGTTACCTTTTCAGTTAACACTCGTTCCTAGGCACCATTCATTTTTTGCCCCTGCCTATTGACATTGATTGAAATGTTCATAAAAAAGCATGCACTTTTATGACAGATCTATATTGCAACATTGTATACACGTGATAAGAAAAAAAAAAAAAGGTCGAAGGTTGTTCAATGCTCATCAGTAACGTTGATTGGCTCATTTCAAACTTGCAATGAAATTACATGTGTGGGGGTGAGTGATACTCCTCCTCAAAGTGAACATCCGGGTAACGAAATATACTGAATTCTTGATTGCTTGTTTGTTTGTTTGTTTTTCCTTTTTTTTACTTTTTTCTTTTTTCAAAAATGAACTATGAATATCCATCATAGTTTTGCAATATGAAAAAGGTCAGTTCAATAGATAAATGATGATTTTCGGTTGCTTGCTTTAATAAATGTCAAAAATGGGATCTAATAGTCCACAATGTTCGCGGGGTTTGTAATCTTATATTGTATCGTCTCATTGCAGGCACATAAAAAAAAAACTTAGTTCCCTGTCTCTTTCTTTCTTTTTTTTTTTTTTTTTTTTTTGCCTCCTTTCCCTCTATCTCTATCTTTCTCTCTTTCTCTCTCTTTTTTTTTTCTTCTTCTCCATCACTTGGTTGACAATGACTTCCTCGATTTCCCTTGACCCTCCTTTTGCTTATAATCCAGGATGCAAACCAACAAAAAGTATTCTAAAACAGCGAGCAACGACTACCTCTACATCTTGGCTTGCAAGATTATCCTCTACCGATATCTTCCCGCCACCTCAAACACCAATACCATCACAACAACAGCAACAACGCTCGTTTAGTCTTTTCCGGAAATTGATCAATAGTACTTCTAATGCTACAACCATACAAAACTCATCACCGGTATCAACAAATACGACTCCTTCTGTCAATAGTCCAACTGAAATAGATGAATTATCATCTGCCGAACTGAAACGTGTGCGATTCTCTGTCAACAAGCTGACCACCGAATACTTTCCTTATTCCACTGATGACAATGAAGATAACAACAATCCTGTTACCAATAATACCGAAATTACAACATCTCCTATTCCCACCACAACGTCTGACAAAACTGATACGACACATACAACCGAAATGACAACTCCCGAAAAAGTATTATCATATTATGAAACAGCCTGTAAAAATAAAGAGGAACCCCTATTGGACGCATTTACGTTTTCTTTATTGGTAAGAAGTATCAAAATAGTAGACATTTTGCCTTATTTAATTTTTTTTTCTAACCATCACTTTTTTTTTTGATGACTTGTTTATAGTCTCATCCACAAACTTCTATCTTGACACATATCGATTTGTCTAATCAAGAACTCAATCGACGATCCGTGGAACCTTTTGCTGATGTGCTATGTCTTGATCTTGGATTGGAAAAACTAACACTAAGAAATTGCCAGTTGGAGGATGAAGTAGGTTAATTTTTTACATAAAGACTTTCGAATTTATTAACCACTGACGCTGACACTTTCTATAGAGCTTGAAGGTGATTCTACATAGCTTACTAGTCGTTAATCAATTGAAACATTTAGATCTCTCGGACAACAAAAAGATTCAGACGAATGGATTTAAATATATATCGATCTATATCAAGGAAGTAAGTGTTAACTGAAGTAATAAGTATAATAAAATTTAATGATATTCATGGTATTGCTTTCGATGTTCCTTTTTTTTTTTTTTTTTTTTTTTTTTTTTTTTTTTTTTGTTAGGCATCTACTTTGGAAGTTCTGGATCTGTCTGGTACAAATCCTGACAAGAAATCTATCAACTACATTTCTCAGGCACTCTCTCATGCATCAACACGAACGACAACATCTAGCTTGAGTAATTCCGGATTACGAAAATTGATAATGAATACTTGCAACTTGCGACAAACTCACCTAGAAAGCTTGGGGAATGCTATTCGAAGATCATCATTATTATATTTATCTTTATGCAATAATCGTATTAATCAACAAGGCGCTATCTATATTGGTGTTATGCTTCGAGATTATGATGATCCTGTTACTCAAACGAATGGAAACATACAAAGTCTTCGTGGATTACAACATTTAGTACTAGATTACAACGATCTTAGACAAGGTGTACAGTATATAGCTCAGGCATTACGAAGGAATCAAAGTTTACGATCTCTATCTATGACGGATTGCAAATTGGATACACAGTGCTGTGTCTCAGTTGCAGAAGCATTGGTAAATAACAAGACAAAAAAAGAAAAAGCAATGTTGATATGGATTGATATCTTGTTTTTGCTAACAAATATTCCTTATTTATTTGAATTGAAAACAGAAATACAACCAGTCTCTTGAAATTCTCTCATTATCCTCAAATCCACTCTGCAATGAGCAACAACTAGAAGGGGTATGCCACAAACATATTGTCATTATGTATTTGCTGCCTTGATTCTAATAGTTTTATTTTATTTTATTTTAGATTATTTCTTTGAAGCAATCACTATATTGCAATCACTCTTTATCTGAACTGAATCTGGCTGATACTGGACTTGGCTCTGAAGGTAAATAATTAAAAAAAAAAAGTGAATAGATTGGAAGAAAGAGTATTGATAATGATTGTTTACTTCTATATTAACAATTTTCGTTATGCTACAGCGGCTGTACAATTGGCTGAATGTCTTCCAGAAAATACCAAATTAGCCAGGCTCGATCTTTCCAGAAATTCAAGCATTGATTTGACTGGCTTGATGGCTCTGATGTCCGGATTACAAATGAATTCAACTTTAGTCTTTTTGGATGTGAATATACCTGTAAGATATCACTATATTCTGAATATTGGGAAAATAGCGTACCAATCCAGTGATCCATCTTTTTTTTTTTTTTTTTTTTTTTTTGCTAATAGGCGAAAAATCGTGATATGGTCAAGGTACAGAGCGAAATGGCAGCTTTATGTACACGGAATGCACAAGTCGTTGATAATAATAATAATAATAATAATGTATCACGTACTCCTTCACTCAACTCAATTGATACCAATCACTCATCCATTACTACAACTCATGCGACGGCAAGACTTACTTTACAAGAAAGACTGGCCGCAGTGACCAAGGGAAAGAATTCTAGAGCTAATTCCATTCGATCCATGAACTCTGTAGAAAATTTACGACCAACATCATCACCAGTATCAAGATCAACGCCAGAAGTGCCTAGTAGAAATAGAAAGGTGCAAACGAATTTTGATGTGGAAATGAGTCAAGTTGGATTACTTGAAGAAATGCTTCAAGCTGAAGAATCAACAGAAGAAACACAAGATGACAATGATATTCGACGCCCTAACGACGCTATTGTAGTAAGTAAAGAAAGTACATTTATCTTTCTTACCTCTTTTTTTTTTCTATTTATTGGATAATTAAATGATACCTTTTTTTATCCCGTTATTCAGCAAGTATATCTTCAATGCAGAAAAGGCCTTCTCAATTTGAACAACAGTATACCTCAACTCATGGACAGTGATCATCTAAGTAAGTCTTTTTTCGTTTGATAAAAAAAAAAAAAAAAAAAAGAGGAAGGTCCATGAAAGAATCGGGACGAGACAGAATATCATTCATACTTTTTTTTTTTTTTTTTTTTTTTTTTTTGCTAGTGGATCTTTTGGGATTGAACGACCGCCTGACTTCAGCTATTGCTAATTATGAAGAAACCTTCAACAAACCACCAAGGATGCCAAACCGACCTACCAAAACGACGCAATCGCCCATTGACAACAGTAATTCCATTGACAAAGAGCGATCTGAGTCCCCTTTTGAAATAGGTGAAGATGATGAAGAAGAAGAGGAACAAGACGACGTGGATGATTCAAACGTATTAAATGAAACGGACAGCAAGGATATTCATGAATTACGAAAGGAAAAAGAAGTGGAAGAAGGGACTGCTTTCAAGCATGCCAAGGATACAGAGGATACCATATTATGATAGGATAATATATGCTTTGTAGTTAATTCTTTTTATTTATTTGAAATAAAACTATCTTAGTTTTTTCTTCTGAACATGATGATCTTGTAAAATAAATGTTTTACATAATCATGGTTGCTATGATTCTTGTACTATTCGTTCAAAGTGAAACGGAGTATGAAATGCATAAGTTTTGTTGACCGGGTACGGGTCGGACGGAATAGGAAATGAGAGGATGGGGGTGAATATGATCTCGTCTTTGGAGATAATTTTTAGGTTTCCTTCCTTCCTGATTCTATCATAACCACAAATGGCTCCTCAACAGAAGTCCGGTATCGCCGTTGGTCTCAACAAGGGCCACATCACCACTCGTCGTGAATTGAAGCAAAAGCCTTCCAACCGCAAGGGCGTACGTATCAAATCAAAAGAGAAAAAAAAATGGATGGATGGATGGATGGATGGATGGATAGGATGGATATGACGAAATGGAATCAATACATCAACTTTCTCCCAACATCATCAATTAGAAAATACATTTTTTTTTAAACTTATCTCTGATCATATGAATGTGATGAGGAAAGCGAAAAAGATGGATGGATGAATGGATGGATGGATGGATAGATTGGATTGTGGAAAAAAAAAATGAAAATAGGAAACGGGGGAACCATTCCATCAACTGGATCAACTTTTGGAAAATGATTATTGATCTATTTCTTTTTTTTTTATATATATTTTTATATATTTTACATATGCATTATAGGCTGCCTCCAAGCGTGCTACTTTTGTTCGCAACATTGTCCGTGAAGTTGCCGGTTTCGCTCCTTACGAACGTCGTGTCATGGAATTGATCAAGAACTCCAAGGATAAGCGTGCCAAGAAGCTCACCAAGAAGAGAGTAAGTTTCAAATTAATATATATATATATTATATACATACAATATTGTCGACCTCCTTTGTTATTGCAGTGATAATAGAAACGACGCTGATATAAAAAAAAATGACATGATACACTGATACAATTATTTTTTTTTTCTTTTTCTGATAGCTCGGTACCTTCCTCCGCTCCAAGAAGAAGATCGATGAATTGACCAACGTTATTGCTTTGTCCCGCCGATCTTAAGCGATATGCTGTCATCCTTAATTTTCTTTTTTAGTGGTGTCATCATTGACCTTATCTGTTTGTCTGGTTCTTAGTTTAATACTATATGTGAATAAAAGAATTTTATACACTTTATCTTTTTTTTTTTTTTTTTGTTATTGTTGTTGTTTTGTTTGTTATGATTGGATTTATTGATTTGTTGCGAATCCATTTGTTTTGGAAGGGTTGATGATAAAATAATAGAGACCTTTATGCAAATCTGTCTTGAGAGAGAGAGGTGTGGTTTACCTGTACTCACTGGCAAAACCCCGAAGGATCAGACCTTTTTTTTTTTTTTTTCCTTTCTTTTCCTCTTTCTTTCTTCACTTTGAGTATACATTTTGAATAGAAAATGGAAATACCCGAAGAACTTAAATACTTGGCGCCTTATATTCAACGTGGACAAGAACTCGATAATAGGGAACCGATAGTGGCATACTACGGTAAAAAAAAAAAAAACATCAGAAAACTCATCAGGAACACGTGTGTATTTCGACATCATGATTCTTATCTATTTTTCCCTTTTTTTTTTTCTTCTTCTTTTTTTTCTTTTTCTTCTTATATATAGCTTACTATTATGCTGTCAAATTAGCTATTAGTCGAGGACCAAGTAATAAAACTACCAATGCATACCTTTCACAATTATTGGATTCCTTGGAAGTGGTAGGGTTATCCTTTTATGTGTCATATGTCTTGTGATTAAATTTTGAAACTAACTAACATTATTGTTTATACATGGTGATAGAAAAAACAAGCTCTAGGGTCAGATAATGAAGCTATCAAAGATGATTTGGTTGGTTACGCTCATGTTGAAAACTTCGCTCTCAAGGTATTCTTGAATGCTGATAATGAAGATCGAGCTGGACGCGCAACAAAGTAAGTGTTAACTTCTGTTTTAAAAAACACTTATCTCTGATTGTATACTTTTATCAATAGGAAAACTGCCAAGACTTTCTTGGCCGCATCTGTATTTCTGGAAATATTGAAGACATTCGGTGATCTTGATACTGAGGTAGCGACAAAACAGTTATCGTATGATATGCTTGACTTAAAATATTTATATTATGATAAAACTTCGTATTTAGGTTGAAGGTAAAATCAAATATGCAAAATGGAAGGCTGCCGATATTATCAAAGCTTTACGTGAAGGACGTGTCCCTGCTCCTGGCGCTCCTGGTGAACAAGAAAATGAATCAAACGATGTAGTGATGACTGAACCCACAATGACAAGAATAAGCGATGCAGATGTAAATGAATCACAACAAGCAACTTCACCACAACCAGCGTGCGTTCCTCCTTCAATTTCTGATTTCCCTAGTCCTCCTTCGAATTATACAGCTCCTTTACCATCTTCTTCTCCATATCAAGGCGATTCCAGTGGTATCCTTCAGCCCTCTCCAACATCACCATCCAGTACTACTGCATCAACGACTCATCATCACCACCCTCAACCACCTCCTTCTTCTGATGTTACCGCAAAGGCACCTTCTCCTAGCCAATCCTTTAGTGCTACCCAATCTTCGACTCATACACAGCATCTGGAACCAGCTCCTCAGCCCAAGACAATCTTGACACCATCATCATCTATTCCTCAACCAGCAAATATATCAACTGTTACCCCATCTGCAACAACAACGACGGTTGGAAATACGGAAATTGCTTCTGCGCAAAAGCACGCTAAATGGGCCATCAGTGCTTTGAACTATGAAGATATCAACACAGCTCGATTACAATTATTGAATGCATTAAATGATCTTGGTTATAATTCGCAGAACAACTTTGGATATTGAGATGATTGATTTTTGTGTATTACTTACCCTTTTCTTATGTTAGTTTTAGTCTTTTTTTTTTTTTTTTTTTTTTTTTTTTTTTTTTTTTTTTAGTTTGTCTAGTATATCGGTATTATCATTAGCATTGTTATAAAAATAAAGTTTTTTTTATCTTTTTCTTTTTTAAATGATGATTATTGTATTTTGATATGTATTGTAGATAATGGAATGTGAATAAAAGTCTTTACTTTGTTGATATCAGATAGAAAAAGCGTTTATTTTGACGTGTTAAAAAAAAAAAGAGACCATTAGAAGTTGCATGGACATCCGGAGAAAACATTGACTAATATGACATTTCTACGTTGTACAATAATTAGCCAATATAGCAACATAAGATTGTTTATTAGCAAATAAAAACCATAGATTGGGGAACGAGGGATATATGTATGTATGTAAGTAAGTATGTATGAGGTTGCTATACAGTAAGAATGGTATTTGACTATGTAGCTTTTCCAATAACTGTCCTACAGAGGTTTGTGACATTCGTAGACCAAGTATCTAAAACTTCGTACTTGCGAGCATCCGTTGATCTATTCAAAATAAATAAATAAATAATCAGTTTGATTCATCTCCCTTGTCTCTCTTTCTTCATATCAGCTCACCGTTGATCCAATTCTAATCGATTAGTGACTTGATCTATTTTTCCTTTCACTTTGCCATCCAGAATCAATCCAACCAAGAGTTCTTCAACCTCTTCACTAGATATATTCAATTGCTACATATTCGATTCGAGAGAAAAGGTAAAGAATATCAATTCATATAATCATATTTACCATCTTTCAATCTCCAGTTACTTACCTTTGCAATAAAACTGATTTCTACTCTAGTATAAGGTTTGATAAGCTTGATTAGGACTTGTGTTCGGATATTCTTGAGAACATCATCAATATACGTCCTGATGAACGGATCATCATAGATGTAAGAACGGTTCGCTAGAATAGAAGAGGATGAGTAACAGCATGACACTTATATATATATATATGTACCTTTCAGAATCTTTTCAAATTCGCCAATTTCCTTTCTTTGGTAAGCCATCACTAGACTAGTCATAGCAGCAATTTGTTTGTCATTCTTGTATCTACAAATCAAACAAAAAAAAAAAAACATATAAATACTTATTTATATTCTCTGATCAATCAATACATTCACTTACGGTTTCGTTTCTTGAGAATCAAATGGATTGATTTGTGATTCTGTCAGCATATTGGCCAATACAAGATATTTAAGCACCTGAATACGTTGTGGACTACCGGCTTCATCATAATTCTTGAAAGATTCAAAAAAGTCAGTCTGAGCTTTGTCCCAATGTTCTATAATATGATTTTTTTTTCAATAATATAAGTATAAATGGTGAATCATATAAATAGACATTTCATTGTTGTACTTGATGATGATTGTGTATTTTTTTTTAACTTACTTTCTGTCATATGCATTTTTCCTCCACATTCCCTAATAACACCCATGATTCTAGGATGAGGTATAGCTGATCGTACATGAAGACATTGTTGATACAATTCCTTTAATTTCTTAGTGTTTTTAGTTGCTGTATGCATTTGAATTTCGAGAGCAAGAATTTCTAATAAATGAGTTCCCTTTCTCTGATCGTCTGTCCCATCATCCTTTTGACATGCTGTACGTAATTGGCGAAGAATCTAGATAATATATATATAAAAGTATTGATGAATAAATAAAATCATTTTCTAAAAATTTCAACAGACAATATAATGAATGATAGTTATAATCCTACCTTGCTTAGTCGTCCATATTCCTTTCGATCTAGCCATAGTTTTGCTAACTTCAAATTTGTCTTGACCCATAATCGTTCATTTTTCATTTCCACAAGAGATTCCAAAGTAATTTCATAGAATGTTTCCATAAATGACAAGTTGTCTGCTGTTGATGCATAATCAAGAATGTTGTTGATAGATTTTTCACTATAATTTCGCGTTACCGCCGATTTCATATATGTAAGAAGTTGCTTATAGTATGAAAGTGTCTATTAAAAAAAAAAGGGTAAACTATTTATGCATGTTTCTTTTTTCCCATCATCATGCAAACCCCCGCGTTTTTTTTTAAATACATACATCTTCGTACTTGTTGAGTTGAAACGATATCTTAGCCATTTGCTTTAACGCTTTGAATCCCCTTTAATCCATTGGATAGTATATAAGTTTGACATTGTAAAATAGTTAATCGTGTTTCAAATCAAGATATTGGTTCTTACCATTCGCCTTTTTCTTCCTCAGTATCCACTACAAGTTGGAAATCATTAATAGCACCTTCAGGGTCATCTTCCTTTTTGGCTACAAGAAAAGAAAAAAAATAGAGTTTCAATCTATTCATAATATATGATAATGAAAATAACTATTACCTTTGGCATTGTAATATTTATTTTCTAGTCCAACGTCAGGTTCTTCATCCTCGTCGTCTTCATAATCAAAGTCGTAGTCCTAAGCCAAAGAAAGAAAAAAAAAGTAAACTTTCATTAAAAAACATAAGTCTTGTACTTATAGAATACTACCTGTTCATCATCTTCGAGCATAAAGTCATCGTCACTCATATTAGTAAAATGGAGGTAAATACGAAAGAAAGGTTAAAAGAAAAAAAGGAAAGTCAAAAAAAAAAGTACGAACCAAGCTCAACGGAGAATGAAATTGTGCGATGTATGTCACGCAGATTTTTAGAAGAAAAAACCTCTTATTTCCCTTTCTATCTTTTTTTTTTTTCCTTTCTTTCTTTATATTCCCAATTCTTCAAAATAATCTAAAGTGTATTCAAGATATCATTCAGTATGTAATACCTTAGAAAAAAAAACAAATAAACAAATAAATAAATGGATATGTACATATAAAAAGGTGACATCTAATCTCTCTCTACTTTTTAAAGTTAGTTTTTTTCTATCCCATTGGACCATGCCTATAGCAACACCAGTGATAGCATCTGATACCAACGAGGATGCAAGAAGCACTAGTAGCACTCTTGTTAATGGTGAAATAAATAATAGAAATGAACCAGATACAACAACTTCTGACGAACAACCACAAGATAACAACAATTCTACAATACGTCATGGTTTTGATCAAGAAATATTTGAAGAAGATATTATTCGGTTTTTATATTATTCTGAAAAACGACATGATACCAATGCAAAACCTCACCCTATTGGTCGTAATACTTTACTTGACTGGGTAAGTTAAAAAAAAAAAAAAAGGAAAAATGTTAGTATATACAAAACTTATATGTCATTATTCATAATAATAATAATAATAGCGATTACGTGAAAGAATCAAAACTGTCTCGGGTAATGAAAACAAAATAGGGGTTAAGAATGAAAAAAAAAAATAACAATAACATATATGTAACCATCGTTATATTTTTTTTTTCAATTTTTTAAGGTTTACTTGTGATATGTCTGAACATTGGTACGGATCCTCCTGATATTGTTAAAACGAATCCATGTGCAAAATTAGAATGTTGGATTGATCCTTTTCTTGTTATACCTCAAAAGTCTTTGGAAACTATTGGAAAAAATCTACATACTCAATATGAAAATATCAATAGTCGTACTCGATTTAAACTCTCATTGGATCCATCTGTGGAAGAAACAAAAAAGTTATGTTGTCAAACTCGAAGAAATGCCAAAGAAGAACGTATTTTATTCCATTACAATGGACATGGTGTACCAAAACCTACTTCAAGTGGTGAAATATGGGTTTTCAATCGAAACTATACTCAATACATACCTGTTTCCTTATTTGATTTACAATCTTGGCTTGGTTCTCCTGTTATTTATGTTTGGGATTGCTCCTCTGCTGGGAATATTGTGAACGCTTTCAATCGATTTGCTGAACAACGAGATAATGAAGCATTACGTGCATCACAACAACATCAAGGAACATTATCATCATCGTGGAGGGATAGTATTCAACTAGCTGCTTGTGGACCAACTGAAACTTTACCTATGAGTCCTGATTTACCTGCCGATGTATTTACTTCTTGTTTGACGACTCCTATTGAAATGTCTTTACGATGGGTCATCATGCGAAATCCTTTACTAACAACAAACATTACTATGGACATGGTATTACGATTACCTGGTTGCGCAAAAGAACGAAGAACACCACTTGGCGAATTGAATTGGATATTTACTGCTGTTACTGATACCATTGCTTGGTGTGTTTTACAAGGTCAACCTGAACTTTTCAAACGACTTTTTCGACAAGATCTTATGGTAGCCTCTATGTTTAGAAATTTTTTACTGGCAGAACGAATCATGCGATCTTATCAATGCACTCCCATGTCGACTCCAAAATTACCTGATACACATGATCACCCAATGTGGCAAGCCTGGGACCTAGCTGTGGACATGTGTCTTTTCCAATTACCTGCTCTCCTTGCTGCCGAAAATGGTGGAACTCCTTATCAATATCAACCAAGTAACTTCTTCGCGGAACAACTCACAGCATTTGAAGTTTGGCTCTCTGAAGGTGCAGTGAATCCAAAGATACCCGAACAACTTCCTATCGTTTTACAAGTGCTTCTCAGTCAAGTTCATCGTCTTCGAGCATTGATTTTACTTAGTCGCTTCTTGGATTTGGGACCGTGGGCTGTCAATGCAGCTTTATCTGTTGGTATCTTCCCTTATGTACTCAAACTTTTGCAAAGTCCTGCGGCAGAATTGAAGCCTGTACTTGTATTTATTTGGGCTCGTATTCTGGCAGTGGATCGATCTTGTCAAAATGATTTACTAAAGGATCATGGTTATGCATATTTTATCAACATTCTTACACCAAACAATGCAATGCTTAGTATTCCTCATGTATCAGAACATCGTGCTATGAGTGCTTTTATACTTTCGGTCTTTTGTACAAACTTCAAGATGGGACAACAGGCATGCTTACGGGGTAATGTCATCACAGCTTGTCTGGCACATGTCAAGGATCCAGATCCACTATTACGACAATGGGTATGTCTCTGTTTGGCTCAAGTATGGATGAACAACAGTGAAGCAAAGCAAGCAGCAATAGCGGAAAATGGACATGAAAAATTATGTGCACTTCTTAATGATAGTGTACCTGAAGTACGTGCTTCGGTGATGTATGCACTTGGTACTTTTCTTGGTGATGCCAACAAAACAGAACAAATGATGAATATTGAACACAACATAGCTATTGCATCTCTGGTGGCCATGTCGGATGGATCTCCTGTGGTACGAAAAGAATTTGTTGTTGCCTTATCTCATATTGTACATCAAGCAGGTTCTAGTAAATTTTTGGTGGCAGCCAGTCAAACAATTGATGAAGATCAACAAACTCAACGATCAATTAACAATATCAACACAGGGAATGGATTATCAACAATGAATGGAAAAATGAAATCACGACCCAACCATCGACAATTATCAACCATTTTAGCTGAATGGCGCGCGAATAAGGAATCTCATTCTGGTTCAACAAGTTACGATTCTGTTTATGCTGTGATTTGGAAGGCTTTATTGAATTTATCAGTAGATCCTCATCCCGATGTGGCGAAGGCTGCTGCCATTGTGGTCGATCATATCAATGCTATGTTATTGGATACTCCTTCAGTTGGTGAATACGTGACATCTGTGATTCGTGAATCTCTACAATACCAAGCAAGTTTGGACCCATCCATCCTGTCAAAGAGTAATTTGGACAGTAACAACAATTCACCATCTGTTTATCATTTGAACGAACCATCATCATCATCAGCAACAACAGAAGTAACAGCAGCAAGTCGACCTGCCAAATTGACACGATCAGTATCCTTTGCTTCAACACTTCGAACTATTTACAATTTTGGAAATACTTCACCCTTAAATCCTTCAGAACCATCCAATATAGATAATGACTCACCATTAGTATCAACGGCTCATCGACCCGATCCTAGATCATCCACAACAATAACATCGGCAAATACAACTACTTCCAATCATGCTAGTAACCTGAATAATGGAGCATCGAATAATAGAAATAATGAGTCAACATCATTTTCCAACAACAATGACAATGTTTTACCGGTATCATCAGAATTTTATGATTGGAGTTGTGAATATTTTACAGAACCTCAAATGCGGGTAAGTGGACCAAAAAAAAAAAAAAAGATTGATTATTTTATTTATCGAATGATATATTTTGATTTATAATAGGCTGCTGAATCGGATGAACCTGGTAGCGTAGTATATACCCAACGAAAATGGCGTCGTAGTCGTAATGAAAAGATCCTCTTAGAATCGAATTCTACCAAGGCAATGGCAGGAACCAGCCGATGGGAAGATCAGATTATCTCGGTACATAATGAAACTGAAGCAACTAAACTTTTATTTCATCAATATGAACCTCATCTTGTGGCGGCTGATGCATACAATTGTTTAGTGTAAGTGGATGAATGGAAAGAAATGAATAAGAATATTGATTTTTTTATCCTTCTTATGAATTTTAGAGTATGGGATTGGAAAACAGGTGCTCCTCTTAGTGTAATTGATAATCACAATCCCTCACAAAGTCGTATTACTGATATGAAGTTCATTAATGAAGACGACGTTGCTCTGTTATTGACTGGATCAGGTAAAAACAATCAAAATACACATATACATTTATATAGTAAGATTGATTGATTGTTTTTTTTTTTTGTCGACTTAGATGATGGTGTCATTCGATTGTACAAAAACTATGATGGGAGTGAACAAGAAGAAGCGATTTTGGTTAGTTCATGGCGTGCACTGAAGGATATGGAAAAGAGCAATTCTAGGCAAAGTGGACTTGTTTGTGAATGGCATCAAGGAAGAGGAGCTCTTTTTACAGGAGGTGATGCACGTGTGATTAAGGTTTGGGATGCTCATCAAGAAATGTCAGTCATGGTAAAGTTTGTTGGAATTCCTTGTCAATGTTCTATTCATTTATTTATTTTTATATTTTTTTTTTTTTCAATTAGGATATTGCTACTCAATCTGATGGATGTGTAACAAGTATTACTAGTGATCAAACCAGTGGTAATATCTTGATAGCTGGATTTGGTGATGGGCTGATCGGAGTATACGATCGACGTTTGAAGAATTCTTCTTCTATGGTACAACGATGGGATGAACACAATGCTTGGGTGACTGGTGTCCATTTACAGCGTGATGGAAATAGGGAATTAGTATCTGGTGGATTTGGAGGTGATATCAAGATTTGGGATATTCGACAAACGCATTCTATTCGAACCATTGAAGCTCATACTCATGCAGACATGACTTCATTGGCAGTGCATGACCATAGTCAAGTTATAGTTAGGTAATATTAAAAAAGGAAACTGCGTAACACAATCAAACAAAGGATCTATGAAAAGTTTCTCACCTTTTTTTTTTTTTTTTCTTTTCACACTCTAGTGCGGGTGATGATCAAGTTATCAAGTTTTGGAATGTAGATGGAACTAGATTATCAACTCTACGACCTTCAACAGGATTTTTAGGACAAAAGAGTTCTTTTACTCGTGCATTAACTTTCCATCCAAATCTAATGGTTGTGGCTGCCAGTAGTGATGATGGTTACATTACGGTAATATATATACATATTATATTTTGATACATATCAGTACGTGACATTGTTTGAACTAATATTGACCTTTTTTTTTTTAGTTATATGGTACTCAATAAAATATTTTATTCATCCTTTCACTGTATTTTTTTTTCCCCATTTATAGTGCTTATTATTATTATTATTATTATTATTATTATTATTATTATTATTATTATTGTAGTAGTTAGTTTATAGAATAGTTTGTTTTATTTCAAGGGGATTCGTTTTATATATCACCTTTATATCAATTTAATGGCGTTTTACTATCTAAAATAAAACGAATTATTATATTTATCGCATAAAGTGAAATGCAGTACAATGATGTCAATTCTTGAAACAAACCCGTGTTTGGTAACTTTTTTTTTTCCTCATGTTAGGGATCGTCGTTTTAAAAATGAAAGAACACTGATTTTTTCTTCTCTTCCTTTCTTTCTTCTTTTCTTTCCAATTTCTTTATTCATTTTTTTTGGTTTTATCTTTAGTTCTATTTTCTTCTTCTTGATATCTTTATTGTCTTTATGGGAACAACCTATGTTCTCCCCAAGTTACTCTATGTTAGCTTGTACATGCTTTATGGATCGGCCATCGGGTACATTGCCATCTTTTACGATGAAGAATTGAATATGACGTCTCAAGAAATAGGATTATTATTGGCCACACCGTACTTTGTTCAGGTATATATATAAAGGATTATTTATTTATTTTGATATTTACAATAAATTCTTATAATTTCTATATAGATCATCTCATCCCCGCTTTGGACAATGATAGCTGACAAACATCCTCATTTTCAAGGTCGATTGATGTCCCTTCTTACTTTTCTTGGTGGCTCCAGTGTATTGGCTCTTTTATTTCTAGCAGATCTTGTAAAGACTCTTGCTGGACCGATCGTTTTTTGGCTCGCAATGTGTCTTGCTTTGGCCTTCTCCTTCTTTGGGTCTCCATTAGTGGCATTGGTGGATAGTTCTGTATTGAAGATATTAGGGGATCAAAAGGTTTTATATGGTAAGTTATACACTATATGTGGGATGATACTCTTAACACATTCTTTTTTTTTTTTTTTGATTACATATATAATGTACAAAACAGGCAATCAACGATTATGGGGATCTATATCCAATGGTGTATGCTTGTTTGCAGTGGGCATTATGGTTAGCAGTGTTGGTATTCGATCATCTTTCTATCTCTTTGCAGCTGGTATGGCATTATTGATCTTATTCTGTTCAATGACCAAATTCGATGATTATGATGCCCTTTTGGAGGAACAACAGACATTACTCAGTAAATCCGAAGCACGAGGGAATTATGCATACAGTCCATTACAAGAACAACGTACTTCAAGTGACATATTGGATGATGATCGACAATCAAGGCGATCTTCCATTGTTACGACCCATACAACTTCTGCACCACCTTTCTTCCAACAACAACCAGTAGATCAGTCTAGTATTTGGCGTCGAGATAGCATTGCAAGTCATGCAAATACATTGTTATTGGATGAAGACGATAATAGAAGATATCATCAACTTTTACAAACCATTACAACAACAACTACATATGCCGCCATGGGTGCACAACAAGAAGCAAGTCAAATAATGTCGAATTTAGATCAAGATGAATATCCCTCGGTTGGTCTTGTGCTTTCCCACATCCCTACTGTTGAAACCTCTTTGGCAGCATTCGCTTTGGTGGGTCAACAAGATAATCTTCCCTTGGAAAAATCTACATTGAAATCACTTCGTGTACAAACCTTTATGATGATGGTACTTCTCTTTGGATTAGGTTATTCTATGATTAGTCAATTCTTATTCTTGATTTATCGTAATGATATTGGTATGAATCCTTCTTTGATGGGTTTGACTGGTCCATTGGCTGGGGTGGCAGAAGTCATGACTTTTTGGTTATCAAAAAAGGTACACACATCCAATGCATCTTTTTTTTTTCTATGCTTTGTATACTTATACTATTATTATTATTATTATGTATAGCTCTTTGATAGATTTAGTGTTACCACTCTGACTACAATGGCTCATCTATTTTTCGTAATTAGAAATATGATCTTTATGATGTTGAAATCAAATGATACTTTATCTATCACTTTAGCCTTGGGATTACAAATAGTCAATGGTAAATTTTATTTATATCTACATAAAATTCATTAACTTTCTCTTAAATCTATAGGTTTCTGTTATGCAATGATGTGGTCAACTGCCGTGGCTGAAGTGGATACATTCTTTCCTGAAGATCAACGTGGTTTAGCACAAGGGATTCTTGGTGTACTCTTTTCTGGTCTTGGATATGGTTTGGGTAGCGTACTTAGTGGATTTGTATATGATCAATATGGATATCGGTATTTACTTGGTGTCTCAGCTTCTATCACCTTGTTTGGACTCGCTGTGTTTTATATTGGTAAATGGCAACCTCGTGGTAACCCATAAATTAGATAGAGTTCTTTTTTTTTTTTTTGGAATAAAAACTTCTGAACCTCGTTATTTTATCATCTTGTCATCTTTTTTTTTTTTTTTTTTTTTTTTTTTTTTTTTTGCCACTCCTGTCTTTGGGGTATCTCTGGGGTATATAAATTACGTATTTTCTGGGACAGTGTGTTATATTCTCAGGGGAAAGGAATCTCGAAGAACATCAACCTATTTATTTATATATAGAAACAACATATGTTTTGATCGATAATAAATAGAGACAAGTGAGCACACATGTGTCCAGAAATAGGGATCGACCAAGGTTAATGTTCACTAAAACCTTATTTTTATCAGCTTTTCAAATAAAACCTAGTTTCTTCCATGCATAATGAGATGATGGCGGAGTCATATCTTTTCAGAAGAACATGATCCCTAAAAAAAAAAAAGTGATGTCTAAATCTATCTCATACATATTCCCCCTTATAAGGTATCGATTTGTACTAGAATGGAATTTACCATTTTCAAATCAAAATAACATGACACGTACATACCAACTTCCGTATATAACTCACTCTTTCTTTTTTTTTTTCAATTCGCTCACTTCGAAAAAAAAAAAAAGAGAACAAAGACAATGGGGTTTCGAACTCAGAATGCTTATATATAAAAAGTCAAATCTCTTTCTTCACTTTTTATCATTATCACAAGTATGAAGACCTCTACTTTACCTCCAATTGGTCAAACACATATCTTTTTAGCTGCTACTCTGATTACCAAAGGAAAAATGGAACGACATTGTTGTTCCATATGTCATCGACGGTTCAATCGTCCCAGTGCTCTTCAAACTCATATTTATACACATACTGGAGAAAAGCCATTTAAATGTAATGTGTAAGTATGATGAAATATTTTCTAAGCGCTTATTCATAATGATTCTTTTTTTTTTTTTTTTTTTTTAAAAAAAAATATATATATATATATAGGATTGGATGTGGTCGTCGATTTTCAGTGGTGAGTAATCTTCGAAGACATTCTAGAGTTCATGATCGAGCTGAGAATTTGCATCGAACACGATTATCATCTGATGAAAGAAATTTGTATGTCCAAAAGTTGATTGAAAGAACTAGTCAACCAATCAACATAGCACCTCAACAACCATCATCATCATCAACATCGCCCGTATCCAACTGTCATCAACAATCACGTACCTCTCCATCCTCTCGACTATCTGTTCAATGGCTTACAAACCAAGATATCTCTTCTTCCTTACCCCATACACCTTGCAATAGTCCTAGTCCATAAATGATTTTTTTTTACTATTTGACAACAATATTTCTCTACCCAATATTTATATAGTTATGACCTATGGATTAGTCTCTTTGATTTTTTTTTTTGATTTCTTTGTCAACCAAATTTTATATGAATATATGCCTTATTATTATGTCTTATGTATATGTTTCTTGTTTCAAAATTAAAAAGCTACGGGCGGAGTCCAAACCAGACCCTCTTCCTTTCTGCTTCATATAGTTTTATTTTTACCGTGTTGTTGAATCTTTTCTTATCTCTTCCTTCTATTTTTTATTTTTTTTATTTTTATTTTAAAAGCAATATGAATGTGGGGACTGATTTTATTCATGGCTTTCAAACAATGACTTCTACTCCACGACAATTCCCTGATATTCAACTTAAGGACATCAAGGTATATATGATAACAGTTTATTTATTGCTAATTATTATTATTTTCTTTTAACAAAAGGGCAATAAATTGGATATGAAACAATTGGCAAAGGATTATCGACTTATTCTTCTTACATTCAAAAACTCATCTTGTCCTGTATGTCCTCAACTTTTACATATTTTGAACTTATATGGTGTAGACCCTCATAGTACTACTTATCAAGATCCTTTTACATTGGAAGAATGGGAAATTGATGAAGCAACAAAGAAGGTAAAAAAATGTAGTCAACATAGAATACAGGTGTATTCATCTCATACTTATCTTTTTTTTTTTTTTTAAAAAAAAAAAATAAAGTTCTTTCGAATATTATTACGCCAGGATGCCTACTTTGTTATACTCTGCCCAGGTCCTTCTAATGAAGTTGCTCATATTCAGAATAAGACCAACTTTCCATATCCTTTTATTGCTGGTGATCAAGCTTTATCATTAGGCAAGGCTCTGAAAATGAATATGTCTGATCGAGACCTCTGGCCTGCTATTTTTGAAGTAACCATGGATACATTGGACGTACATTCTATCTATGTTGGACGAAGCCCAGGTCATTACTATCATCAAACATTACTCAAAATGTTAGTACGAGGACGTGGAAAATGTGAAATGAAAGGAATTGCTTCTATGCGTGATGCTTATGACACCATCGATCGATTGAAACGAAAATCAATAAAGTGTGAAAAGCAATCATTGGCAACGTGGATATTGACATTACCAACATCAAGAACAGCAAAATCACCACAATTACCAGAATCAACTTTATCATCACCCTTACCTTCACCCTTACCCAATGTATGCAGTCCCATTGGAAGTACAACTGGTACAGTGACTATTTTGACTTCACAACAAGACCAACACATATCAGACGATGTTACTACTCCTACTACTGATACCAAAGATACACCTGTTCAACAACTTCCACCTGAAATTCTTGAATTGGCATTATCATTTATTCCTGATACCCGTTCTCTTGTAGGTGTGGCTCGTGTCTCAAGGTTATACTACGTCACGGTATGTAACATTGTGGGGAAACGATTACGAATCAAGATGGATCAACTTGCATTGGCCTTACCTCAAGATGAAAATGGGAACAAGTTGGTGGATGAAACAGATGTATTTAGTAAATATGTGGATCGATGGGGTGATGATGATCAAGCTATAGGTTATCGTGAATTGGAACGAAGGGTAGCAGAATTAAGACATTTAATCGATGATATTGGAAAATGGACAAGATGTTGGTCTCCTCGAAGAAAAGCGATGAATGATAATCGAACAATGACACCAATTCTTTCAACCACTCCTCTGATGTCTCGTTTACCATTTCAAGCTCCTTTTGATGACAACTTTGGTAGTTTAGCTTAATTTATATTATTGTTTAATTTAGATGACTAGTTTAGAAAAATTGATTTGTATTTATCTCTTTGATGAAATAAAAAAAAAAAAAAACCATATCTCTCCTGTCGAATATTCATGCAAATAGATCTTCCCCACCCTTTTTTGGAAGGTTCTTTCCAAATGTCTTATTTTTGAGATACCGCTTGTGGCTTTTTGACCTTCAATTTTTTTTTCCCTTTTTCTTTTACTTTTCTTTCTATCGTTGCACTTTCTTTTTCAACATGATTTCTGCAATTCATTGGATTCGTCAAGGTGTTGCTGCTCAACACCCTGAAAAATATAATTTGGATGACAAGGAATATGATCGTATTCAAAAATTGGCTGCTGATCAACTGGAAGATGCAAGAGAAGACTTGAAAGCTGCTGAAGCTATGTCTGTCGATCAAAAAGAACCCACTACTACTACTAATGATGACGATGACTTGGCTAGATATAATTTGGACACTTATGATGAAGAAGTAGAAGCTGACAAAGATCGACGTATGTGATTCTTACATGTTTTTTTTTTTTTTAAAAAAAAGAAAAAACTTTACTAACTTGTACCTTTCTTTGTAGAGGTTGGTGTTTTCTCCAAAATCAAAAACTTGACTTATTACGATAATGACGATGAAGATCCATATGTTACCATGAAAGACGATGCCAAAGAACAACTTGAAGAACAACAAGAATTGGAGATTCTTCCTACCGACAATTTACTATTAGCCGCCAGAACCGAAGATGATATTTCTCATTTAGAAGTATATGTTTTTGAATCCAATCAAGACAACTTGTATGTACATCATGATATCATGTTACCTTCGTTTCCTTTATGTTTGGAATGGTTAGATTTCCACTGTGGCACGAAATTGGGCCAAGCTTCTAATGGCAATTATGTGGCTATTGGTACTTTTGAACCTGATATTGAAATTTGGAACTTGGATACTATCGATGTTATGTACCCTGAAACTATTCTTGGTCATACCGATAAATCAAAGAAGCGATCAAAGAAAGTCAATGCCAATTATCATGTGGATGCTATCATGGATTTATCTTGGAATAAAAATCACAAGTAAAGTTGATCACAATATATATCTTTTTTTTTTTATAAAAAAAAAATACTAACTCTTTTTATTTTTATTTTATTTTATTTTCTCTTAAAAAAAATAGAAACTTTTTACTTTCTTCTTCAGCTGATGGTACTGTGAAAATGTGGGATTTGACTACTTCGAAATGTGTTCAATCATATACCCATCATTCCGATAAGGTGCAGTCTGTTGCCTGGCATCCTACTGAAGCGACAGTATTTATGACTGGTTCTTATGACAAGACGGTATGTGTATTGGATGCTCGTTCTCCTGGTCAAGTAACTAGATGGCAATTAGATAGTGATGTGGAATCATTACGCTGGGATCCTCATCAACCTACCAATTTTTATGTCGCTTTGGAAAGTGGGTTTGTACATTATTACGACGTACGTAACAAGAATGGTGAACAAGGTGGTAAACCCTTATATATCTTACAAGCTCATGATGGTCCTGTAAGTGCCTTGGATGTGAACCCTTTGATTCCTGGATGTATCGCTACTGGTGGAACTGACAAAGCAATCAAGGTTTGGAATACGACTAACAACAAGCCTAGTATGGTGACCACTCGTAACTTTGATTTGGGAAAGATCTTTTGTACTCAATTCTGTCCTGATGCTGCCTTCCAATTGGCCATTGCTGGATCTAACGGTAAGATGCATATTTGGGATATGTCAACCAATGCTGGGGTACGACAAGCTTTCAGTCATATTCAAGGTTTAGCTGGTCCTGCTCCTGCTGTGGAAAAACAACCTATTACTATCTTGGATAGTGCTGAACATGAAAGTGATGATGATGATGATATGGAACAAGATGCTGCTGGACATGGTGACGACGATGATGATGATGATGATGAAGATGACGATGATGAAGATATGGATGAAGAATAGATCTCCTATTTTTTTTTTTTTGTTATCATTATTATTCTTATTATCATTATACTTTCTTTTTTTATATATTATTATTATTATTATTATTAGCATAGATCAAATATCATCTGTTTCTTCCTTTCATTATTATATTGTTTATCCTTTGTACCACATATTATTCATTTACTATTTTTTTTTTTTATTCACTCATTCTTTCCTTTTTTTTATTATATTATATGATTCAATTTGTATATCAAAATAAACGAACCTTGTTTAACACTATTATACATTCACTCTAACAATTGAAAATTAGGTACTACAATCATTGTCACATTCAACAAGAAGAATCTATTTTATTGACATAACTCTAAAAAAAATTAACTATATGAAATGGAATTCAGGTGTCTACATTGATCAATAAAATACTACAATATACAAATAGAGGAATGTGGTTATGTACATCCGGATTATTCTTGTTGCAAAATAAAATAAATAAAAAAAAAATAAAAAGTAGAGAGAGAGAGAGAGAGAGAGAGAAAATCCATGAATAAAGCGCATTACATTTCCTCTTAACTTAATCTGTAGGTCTTTTTTTCTTCCACATTGATTGCTTCCATATCATTGTTGAAATAAAGTGATTGCCGCAAACTAAAAGTAGTCCTATATGTGTTGTTTCATATCATTGGCTTTCTGTTATATTATAGTACCATGGTAATCTACATTGAAAAAAGAATTGTTTCAAAAATCCCGAGGAACAAAAATAAAAAAAAAAAAATGGCAAAATTTCTTGCTGGAGTTGAAAACAGGATGTTCCAGCGAGGTGGAATTTTTATTCACGCAAATAAAGAAAAATGCAAAGAACTCTTCCAATATACAACCTACGCTACTAATACTTTTCCATAACGTTCTTGATATTTATTTATACAATGACACAAATCATCACATTGTTATCTCTTGTTTTTGATACCTTTTTTATCAAAAAATGCTCGCAAAAATGACCATCATTTTCGATAGATTTCTAAAAAATCGATTTCAAGCGCTGGGGGGATAGCACAATTGGCAGTGCGTCAGATTCCAGATCTGAAGGTTGGGAGTTCGAGTCTCTCTTCCCTCACAGCTCTTTATTTTTCATCTTTTTGATGATCTTTTTTTTTTTTTTTTTGCTCCTGTTATGATTTTTTTTTTGTACTTTGAGTGGATGATTGATTTATAGTGTTATAATTTTTTTTGGGGGATACAGGTCTTATTTCATTGAGCAATCAACTACATTTGTTTCAATTTCAAAGTCAGTCTTTTTTTTTTTTTTTTGTCTTTTGTTTTTGACATTGTTATCTTGATAAATTTCATCATCATTACTGTATTCAGTCATTTTCGGTTTTCACCTATCCATCATTGTGGAAATCCTTTCTTATTTTTTATTGTAATTATGATTCAATTAGAATGAAAAAGAAAATCCCAGTGATGAAAAACCCAAAGTTGTCAGAGTGATCATCTATCATATACATCTCCGCCTGAATGATAATGAACAAGAAGGGTGAAATAAAGCGCATAATTTAATGATCAATATGAAATAATCATGAAAATGGATAGTTTTAAAAAAAAATTGGTTTAATTCTATAGTTGATAATATATATATATATATTTTTCGTGTTTCCCAAATAAAAATGAGTGGTGAAAATTTGTTTGAAGAAATTTTTATAAATATTATCTATTTTATTTATTTTAAACTTTCTTCGCCGCTCTCTTTTTTTTTTTTTTTTTTTCTTTTCTTTTCTTCCCCCCATACCTTTCACTTTTTCTGTTTTATTCACATAGATTTATTTGTACTTTTATGACAACGGTATTACTTCCAAAGCAACATTTTGGTATCAACAACAATATGGAAGAAACCGAGATACCCACAGCTTCCATTAATTCAGATGACCACATACGCCATTCCGATGAAACTTTTGATGATGTTGAACAACCCATGTTACCATCAACTTCTTTTTCACCGAGTAATATTATTCTTGGTAACTCATTGATTTTGAAAATCCTTTATTTGACTTTATCTTTGGCTGGGTAAAATATATCTTTTATTTATAAAAAATTGGAATTGACTTGTTTTATTATTTATTATTTTCTTTACTTGGTAGGTTACAATTTACCTGTAAGTAATAATATATAAAAATAGAAAGGAAATGAATCTACATTTATATTAACTTTTTTTTTTTTTTTTTTTTTTTTTTTTTTTTTTGTTCTTCTTCTATACATTACAGGGAGTGTGGAAATGGCATATGGAACACCTTATCTACTTTCACTTGGCTTATCAAAATCACACATGTCATTAGTCTGGATAGCTGGACCTCTATCTGGTAAAGATCCTATAATATTGGTGAATATTGGTCTCATATTCTTTTTTTTTTTTTTTTTTTTTTTTGTAATAGGTTTAGTGATGCAACCAATTGTTGGTGCTTTTTCTGACAAATGTACATCAAAATGGGGTCGACGTAGACCATTTCTATTGATTGGAAGTATTATGGTGGTGATTAGCTTGGTGGTCATTGGTTGGACAAGGGAAATCACAGAATTTTTTGTTAGTAGTGATGAAATAGCCTCGGTAATGATTTGTTTCCACATGTTGGTAGATGTATCGACTTATATTCCATATTTTTTTTTTCTTTCTCTCTCTTTTTTTTTTTTCAGTTCAAGAAACTGTCTATTGGTATTGCTATCACGGCTATCTATATTTTGGATTTTAGTATCAATTGTGGTTAGGTATCTCCCGATTTTTATTTTTATTTGATGAATGATATCTTTTGTTACTTATTTTTATTATTACTTTTTGGTTAGTGCAAGCATCTTGTCGTGCTTTGATAGTTGATTCTTTACCACCATCTCAACAAGAAAAAGGAACTGCATGGGCTGGACGGATGGTTGGTTTGGGCAATGTTATTGGATATTTCATGTATGTCAAACAGAAATAGATATTTCTACGAATGTCATTTTATTCATTTATAATATTTATTTATATAGGGGTTATGTTGATTTGGTCAAGATATTTCCTTTCTTTGGAAATACACAACTCAAGGTTTTATGCGTGTTTGCGTCTATTGTACTACTTTTATGTGATGCTATCACTTGTTATACTGTAAAAGAGAAGGTGTTATCCAAGGAACAAGAGTAAGTTAGCAATTTATCATCATCATTAATTATATGAGTTGATCTTTTTATATGTTTTAGATTGGAGGGTAAAATATCACATTTCAAGACATTTACGGATATTGCTTCCAACCTTTGGTATTTACCTTTGACTGTTCGACGAATCTGTAATGTACAATTCTTTGCTTGGATTGGATGGTTTCCTTTTTTATTTTACTCTACCACATGGGTTGCGGAAATCTATGACAGGACAGCCTTACAACATCAACCATCAAATGAAAATGGGTCAGTAGACACAGTGGGTCAAGCAACGCGAGCAGGTTCTTTAGCATTTTTGGTATATTCCATGGTATCACTCTCTGCATCCTTTTTTATACCTCTTTTGGTGACGTCTTCTTATAACAACGACGATGATGGAACTAGTCATGGATTTACAGTTAGGGGAAAACACTTTACAATCTCACCATCCAAATATATACGTTATTTACAATGCGTTTCACTTCCTCGAATGTGGACAATTAGTCATTTTATATTTTGTTTCGCCATGTTCAGTACGGTTCTTGTATCAGATGTGGTTGCGGCGTCTCTTGTTATTGGAATATGTGGTATCAGCTGGGCAGTGACCATGTGGGCTCCTTTCTCACTATTGGGTGAATATATAGCGCAATGCGAACAAATGCAACAACAAGATAACAATCAACAACATAGAAACGATCATCAATACAATCCACTTGGGATGCAACAACAGGAAGAAGCTTGGGCATCAAGGATCAATTTGGCTACTGGTAGCGCTGGAATGGGATTATCTGGTAATCTCTATCACTTGGTGGAAGAAGGGAATCCTTTGTTGGACCGGGATGACTACATACCTCTACAACCTTATAACAAGCACGATGAAGATGGGGATCGTTTGAATATACCACGACAAGAAGGTCAGGAAAATCATGTTTTATCTATAGGAATACCGTCAGCATCATTATCTTCATCGTCATCCTCAACTTCATCTTTATCTTCACTCTCTCACCATCAACAATCAACACAAAATGACTTATCAACCATTCCATCAGCTGGGATTATATTGGGCATCCATAACATGTATATAGTGTTACCACAATTTCTAGTGACATTTTTTAGTAGTTTGTTATTCCACTTTTTGGAGAAAAAACCGACCGACATTGGTGATGGTGTTCCTTCTGATACGATAGGTGTAGTCTTACGATTTGGTGCTGTGATGGCTGCTATAGCGGGATTCCTTAGTTTAAAGTTGGGTAGATCAAAATAGTATATGGGTATTATTATCTTTTTGAAATAAATCAATTGTATACTACGTGGTTGAGTACTTCCTTTTTTTTTTTATGCGTATTATATAGGATAGAACAGGAATTCAAACTCAAAAGTGGCTTGTTACCAATCCAGGATTTCTATTTTTCCCCATTTCAATCTCTGTTCTTTTTTTTTTTTTTTTTTTTTCTATTTTATATCATTCATTATGGCAAAAAAGATTGTAGAAAAAAAACCGACAATTAAACTCGCAAAGAAGAAGGATCCAGTAGAAGAAAGTGATATGGAAGATAGTGGTAGTGATATGGAAGCTGATGTGGAGTCATCGGATGATGATATGAATAACAGTAGCAGTGATGATATGGATCTCGATGATACTACTGGTAAGCAAGACATGGTTATATATATATATATATATAGTTTATCTCAGTTTTTTTTTTCATTTTATTTTATTGATAGAGCAAACAAAGAAAAGTGGGTCAGCTACAGCATTCTCGGAAGCTATGACAAATATTCTCGGTAGTACATTGACAGGTAGCGATCGAAAACAACCCATTCTAGCACGGTCCAAAGGAACAGAACGCAAATTGGAGGATGAAAAATTGGAATATAAGACTCGAAAGATGTTGGCGGCTGAAAAGAAAAAAAGAAAGGATCAAGGGCGTGTGATTCCTGATTATACCTCTTTTGAATATGAAAAACGATTACGCAAAGTATCAACTCGTGGTGGTAAGTTGTTGTATTGTGAAAAATAAAATCATATTGATCTTTTTTTTTTGTAGTGGTCAAATTATTCAATGCTATTCGTACTCAACAAAGAGTTACTCAAGAAGCAGTAGAACAAGCAACAGCAACAAGAGGCACACAAATTGCAAAAGAAAAGGCTAAAAATGGTAAGGAAACCTTTTTTTTTTTATATAGAAAAATAGAGAGAATGATGTTGATTCATATATATATATATATATATTTATTTTCTTAGTATCTACCATGTCAAAATCAAGTTTCTTGGATCTGTTGAAAACAGGAAATACCACTACATAGGGTAATCTTCATAATTGCCCTACATTGACAATATTATAGTTTGCAGACTCTTTCTTTTTTTTTTCTTTTTCTTTTTATTGTACCATATTCCATTCATTTCATTATTATCATTATTATTATTATTTTCAATAAATCATGGCATCCATTCTCATCAAAAAGTGTTGTCAATTCGGACGTTTAAATAATACTAATTTGGGATTACCAGGTGACGATGAAGATGCTATTTCCTCCCCAATAGCAGAAAAGTTTCAGCTTGCGTTTTTGTTCTTTTCTCTCATCATTCATATTTTTTTTTATACTTCCATCATGTTATCTAATCTATTGAAACGAACATTGAATTTTTCATACAACTCAAAAAGGGTAAATGAATTAGATTTTCTAGTTATTATTGAACCAACAAAAAAAAAAAAAAAGGAGAACGTGTTGCCCTGACAGTTATTGAAATGATCTGAATATGTTATTATTATTTTGGTGGGATATACATTGAACTCTTTCTTATTTTATATATGGATAGTTGTTTTATACTCGACCTGACATAACCATGGGTTGGACAGATATTCCTCAAGCACAGAATCTCATTCCTTTTGTAGTAGAACAAACGGTAATATGCTTAAAAAAAAGAAGAAGCATGAATTTTTTTTATTTATACTACTCATTTAGGGACGTGGCGAACGTTCATATGACATCTTCTCTAGACTATTGAAAGAACGCATTATCTGTTTGAATGGCCACGTAAGTCGTATGACCAAAAAAAAGGAGGATTACCGGTTTCGGATGATAGTATATTTGTTTTTTGTTTTCATGATGGGGTAACCCATTTTAACTTGTCTCCACAACAAAAATACTTCTTTTATGCATTATATGTGTGTGAATATCAAAAGGAAATCAACAAACTCAATTTTTCTTATCTATAGGTATCGGACGGTATGGCCTCAGTTATTGTTGCTCAATTATTGTTTTTGGAGGCTGAAAATCCAGAGAAACCTATTCATTTATATATCAATTCTCCTGGAGGCAGTGTTACTGCTGGTATGGCTATCTATGATACGGTAAAAAATAAAAATAAAAAAAAAAAAATGGAAAGCGAACCTTATCTAATATGATGATCTTTTTTTTTTTTCTCTTGATGACCTCCTTCTTTCTCTCTATCCTTCTCTAAACCTATATAGATGCAGGTAATTAAAAAAAAAAAATAAAGACATGTATTCACATGTTGAGATAGAAAAAAAAAAAAGAATATGTACTAACCAACCCTTTCTATTGATGAAAATCCCAAAGTATATCCAATCCCCCGTGTCTACCTTGTGCCATGGACAAGCGTGTTCCATGGGATCACTTTTACTGGCAGCAGGTAACCTTAATGAAAAAGAAAATCAACAATAGAACATGTGTGTGTGTGTGAGGTTTTTTTTTTTTTTTTTTTTTTTTTTTTTTTTTTTTTTTTTTTTTTTTGCTTATGTTACTGATGTTATCTTTTATGTATGACCAAATAGGCGAACCTGGGAAACGATTTGCTTTACCTAATGCATCAGTGATGATTCATCAACCATCTGGGGGTGCGGCTGGCCAAGCCTCTGATATTGCTATCCATGCTCGGGAAATCTTACGGGTACGTGAACGATTGAATAGAATTTATCAACAACATACAGGTATCAGAGATTTGGAAACGATTGAAAAAATGATGGAACGGGATTATTTTATGACCGCGGATGAAGCCAAGAATTTTGGTTTGATAGATCAAGTGTTAGAAAAACGAATTTTGAAAAAACAAGATGAATAAACATTTTTTTTTGATCCTATTGTTTTTACTTTTTATGATGTTATTTCTTTTTTTTTTTTAAAAAAAAAAAACGAATTGATTTAGATTGATTTACCGTTTTTACTTTTTTTTTTTCCCACAGGACATCCCATTTTTATCTAAATGGTGATCGTCCAACCAACTAGAATGTGATATCCATTTTTCTTGTACTCCATTCTTTTTCTTATTGAAAAATTCTTTATTGGATAAAAAGTAAAGGTTTTTCAGACTAGATTCATAAATCATAATAATCATACAAGAGAGGTAGATGACTGTACAAAGAATAAATTACAGATAACAAAATAGATAAATAAATATATAAAGATAATTGATGGAGATCATGATTATGATATGGGATGTTCGATAATGAGAATAATGAGAATGAAAATGATGATGATTTTTTTGATAACGATGTTGATATGACTTCAGTACATGATTTCATGCTTTGTTTTTTTACTTTTGTTAATGATCTAAAAAAAAAGGATGATCCAAATTAGTCCTACTTTTCTTGATGATCATTTTTTTTTTTTTTTTTTACCTGCTAATGAAGTAATATATGGATTCTTTTTTTTTTTTTTTTGTTGTTGATGATGAATGAAGAAAGAAAGGATCAAGCACAATCAGGACACCAACTTGTTTCAAAATATCTTCGATGAACAAGACAATAATTCTTGCCACGAGCATGATCATGCTGAGGAGTCTCTTTTTTATTAGGGACACTATTTGACGGCATCATTAAAAGTATGAAGAGAAAAAAAAAAAAAGGAAAAAAGTAAAAGGGGTATTTAAAGTCATGGTCGGGGGATATGCACATTTCAAAAGAGTGACACATGGACTGTGCTCTAGTTCCCATTTTTTTTTTTTTTACTTTGGTTGGGAATGAAGGACGTTTTTGCCCGCTATCTCCATCATCTAATACTTATAAAGTATCTTGTACCACGACCCGTGATCCCTTTTCATCGATATGATTTCTTTTTTCTTTTTTTTTTTTTTTTGTTGACCATTTCAATCCGAATCCAAAGAGTTAAATTTCGACAAATGCTGTGCAATATGTATATATATAAAATCTTCTTTTTTTTTTCTTTTTTTTATTGGTGTAAATGTATAGAATCAAATGTAATCATCATAAAGAATCAAAAATCTAGAATCAAAAGTATAAATATAACTATAATATATAACAATTCCTATTCTATCACTATTTCCGGCCTCTTGTAGCTATGGCCTTTGCACGATTGTCAGCAAATAAACTTTTACTAACAATTTCAATCAAGTAGGAAATACCAAAGTCAAGTACCATACAAAGAGTCAATTTATCACGGAACTAAATAATCATTGAGTTAGTAATACGCTCAAATATATTATCAAAAGAACTTACTGCACTAGGGAATGGGACTAAATTGATTTGTTCGTTCACTTCAGGGAAAAGCTCTGTAGCACCCGCAATAGCAATACCACCCACACTCATCAAGCCGTAGTACAATGTCTTGTTATCTTGAATTCTTTCTCTAAATGGATGGCCCTACAACCAAAAATAACATTGAAGATGAGTAAACAAAACTCTGTTCATCAGCTGATTCTTCTTTTTTTTTTTTCCTATTTTAACTTACTTGGTAATTGATAGCAAACGTTGACACCTGCATCGCAAGTTGAATCAAATAAACACCACTATTCAATAAACTGGCTTCAAATTCCCCTTCTAAATCAACTTCTTTTGGACTTATATATATAAAATAATAATAATAAAATGAGTTCAACCTATATATATACTAAGAAGATCCATTCACTTACGGTTCATAAAATTTAGCAAGATTGTTGATATATACCAAGGCAGCAATATGGACAGCAAATTGACCAAGGACAGAGATAATAATATAAGGGTTGAAGATATTGGGTTGAGGTCGTTCTTTAGACAATCGTTCAATAGGTTTGCCACGAGAGATACACAAGAAACATACAGCCATCAAAACACCAGAAATTGTCATTTGGGTGTCACTTTGCTTGATACCATCCAAATACAATACAGATAAACTGTAAGCTGAAATCAAACAATTCAATGCTAAAATCTTGTACATTTGAATGGTGGCCACAAGAGTACAACGTCCTTGACGAATGATGTTATTCACTATTAAATATATATATATTAATATATTAATATAAGAATGAAAAACCAAGCCTTTTTCTTTCTTTCTTTCTTTCTTTCTTTTTACCTGCAACTACATTTCGAAGTTTGGACGTGAAAGGTGCAGCAACGGAAGCATCACCAAATTTGATCGTAGGGGCTTCTTCCATATCCATATCTTCCAATAACTTGTTGGCCATTTTTTCCATCTTTTGTTTGCTTTCATGTTGACGACGTTGTTGAGGTGTCATGTTTTGTTCTAATTGAGCACGATTGGCAGCAAATTCAGGATACAAATGAGCAATTGCAGGAGGTGGAGGAGGTACTGGTGCGTTGAATCGAGCTGAGAGTTTCTTTTGTTGTTCGTACATGGCTTTCATTCTTTCAATACGATTACGTTCAGCGATCTTTTGCAAATCTTCAGGAGTTCCATCCAATAAAGCCACACCAATATGAGCTTGTTTCAATGCACCTACATCATTAGTACCATCACCAGCCATCAATGTTGTATAACCATGTTCTTTCAAACCAGTCAATAAATATTCCTAATTTAATCAAGAGTCCAAAAAAAAAAAAAAACATTTAGCCAAAAACCATTCTCCTTTTTTTTTTTTTTTTTTTTTTTTTTTTTTTTGAATACATACCTTTTGAGAGGGTGAAACACGAGCATAAACCCAAGTATGTTCCAATAAAATATCCATATTTGGTTTCTTCATAAAAAAGTTCATAGCAGACCCAGTCAAACAGATATCATACTTGTCCAATAAATCATTATCTAAAGGTTCATCAGGATTGACTTCAAGACGGAGTGATTCATCAACAGTATGGAATACCACAGTATTATCAGTATCATTGCCTTCTTCCTTATCCACAATAAGTACTTCCCGTTCCACAATAGCAACATCACGAGCAACAGCACAAGCAGTCAATGGATTATCTCCAGTAATCATAACGCAACGATGAGAAGATTCATTCAATTCCTTGATACAAGCAATGGCATCTTCTTTCAAAGGACAGGTAAAAACAATGAAGCCAGCAAAAATGAGATGGGATTCCACATCTTCGCGTTCAAGATTATTGATCTATATCAAACCAAGTAAATAGTTAGCGTCATCGATCTTCATTATATATATATATATATATATATATATATTATCCCTTTGTGGTACTTACTTGATCAATATTCATTTCATCATCTAAAAACTTATAACCAAGAGCCAAGACCCGACTACCCTTACGAGTAAAGTGTCGATAAGTTTCAACATAATCAGCAGGAATATCCTTATACATAGTCTGGAGGGTCTCAGGAGCACCTTTGACAGCCACAAATGTTTTGGTTCTGGGGAAGTGAGATCGAGTCACGGAGGAGACAGTTGATTGTCGTTTCAAAGCAGATGAGAATTGGAAGCGACGACGAATATGTAAATTATCACGATGATTGCCTTTTGATGCTACAGTATCATGTTTGCCTAAGTGCCAATCCAATGCCTTCAATGTTTCCTTTTCCATAGGATCACCAACGATACCATCTTCCAATTCTACTAAAGCATGAGCAGTTGCAAGAACCCACTTGGTTGTTTCGTGTACTTCTGTAGCCGGGAAAAGATCAGTAGACTTTCCAGTAGTACTTTAAATATTAAAATAAAAGTCAGTCATACAATTTTCTTTCAATATAAATTAATATTCGTTTTTTACTTACGTCGCGGAAGAAACACCTTCGAACACTAAATCTTCACCAGTTAAGGTACCAGTCTTATCAAAACAGCAAATATCCACACGACCAGCAAATGGAATACGGAAGGGTTCAGTACAGAAGATGGCTAGAGATACAAGATAAAATAAAATAATAAATAAAAAAAATCTCCAAACATATTCAAAAAGAACTTACCGAATTTTGATAAAGCCACTAAACTACTGTTCACAGCCAAACTAAGTTCCATAGGCAATTCAGGAGGTACAACAGACGTAATGATCAAGATACAATCCAAAAGAAGTTTCGAACGTTTACGATCATTTTCAACACCCTTTGTCCAAACATACCAAGAAGCAGCAATAGCGAAGACCAATAAGAAGAGAATAAATAATAAGGCTTCAAAGTTATTGGCAGACACACGTTCAGTAGAGAAAATCATGGTTCGAACTAATTCACCTTGAGAGGTACCAAATCCACTACGAGCCACTACACAGATACAACCATTATCAGGAGCACAACCACTTTCAGGAGAAGTAACCTGAAGGATCTTAGTACCGCCATACAATACATTGAGTTTATCAGCACCAACCAAATCAAATTCATCTTCAGGATGTCGCAAAGCAACCGATTCCTTTTTAATACAATACATCAAAAAAAAAAAAGAATAAGAACCTGTTTCATCTGTTTACGTAGAAATGTACTTACCTTGAGTAAAGGAGTAGATTCACCAGATAACATCGCTTCATTGACAATGCAAGAACCTTCGGAGATAACCAGATCACAAGGAACACCTTCATCATCCTTTGTACGAACTATTATATGATTAAAACAAAAATGAAAATCAGTTCGTCATCACACACACACAGACAGATAAATATATAAATCCTTTTTTTTTCACTTACCAATAGACACAACATCACCGGGAAGTAGTTCATCTGTTTGTACCTGGATCCATTTCTTTTCACGTTTGACATAAATAGGATAAGGCTTTTGATTCATACCACGGAATTCACCAATAGTGCGGAGACGTTGGAATACCACGGTACCTTCAAATACCACAAGCATAAATAAGGTGAACAATGAGTAATACCAGTATTCATCCAGACACCAGAGACCGACACAAAAGATTTGGAAAACGAAAAAGGGAGCAACAGCATGTTCCTTGAATAATTCAGTGAATGTAGGCATTGGGATTTCAAATCTATATGAAAAAAAAAGTAATAAAATATATTAATAAGGTTTTGCTTTTTTTTTAATATTGTCACCACCATAAATCCATTCTTTTATTTTTTTTTTGTGTATTATCCTTACCTGTTTGTTCCATATGTTTCAGTAGCTTCCTTGATTCCTTTCTTGTCCAATCCCTTTGCATTTTGATAAAGTGCCACACGAGGATGAAGATCAGATGGATATAAGATCATACGGAATTGACGTTTATCCTCATCCCAAATATACTTCTTTTGTTGAAAAATAAACGAGATTTCTCCTTCAGGATGTAAAGATGTAGGTTCACCATGGTGTAAGTCACAAATAGTTCCAGTGCCTTGATAACGGTAGGGAGAAATCATGATCTTGGTAGCCTTCTTGACATTGGGTTCCTATAAAACATGAAAGAAAATGAATATGAATATATTCAATAAATGAATTTTTTTTTTTTTTTTTTTTTTTTTTTTTTTTTTTTTTTTTTTTTTTTTTTTTTTTTTTTTTTACCTTGAGACAAGTAATTTTCGCTTTGATAGAGATACTCCACTGACCAGACAAGAAGGTCAAACCATGGAGAACAAGGAGAGAAGTCAAAGTAACAAAAGTCCATTCTTCAGATCCTAAATAAACTTGATATTTGAAATAGTATATGTATAAAAAGATTGGATAGAGAATAGTAAATGGCCAAACATAAAGATGCCATATTCTAGGTAAAGGCACCAGTAAAGACGCCGAAGCAATCCTTGATGACTGGATGAGTGTTTGTGTCCTATAATATAATAATAATAAAACAACGATCAATTATTCACATTTTATTTTAATTCATTTTATTCCTCTTTTTATTGTAAATGACTTACATTGATCCACTTGGAGTGACAACACAAAAAATCCAACAAGTTTAAAGAAAACAAGAAGAAAGGGAAAAAATGGGGAAAAAAAATCTCATCCCTCTCCTTTCAAGCTTCCACGTCAGTATGGATAATTTTACAAAGTCCGCTGAAGTTTCCTACCAAACGCTTGACATAGTACATAGTGAACAATGGATTTTGATGTTGATGATTTAATCGTAGTAATAGTAATAGTAAAAGTTGTGATGCCTATTTTGGTTTGAAAATTGCTTATCGTCGATATATTTAACAGGTACGCCTAAAATACTACTACCCTGAGAGGATGAAGTGTAACCTATGATAGTACAGTAAAAGAGTAATCATCCCTAATAAAAAGAATATAGATTGAAAAATGAATAAAATTATTATTTTTCTGCTGTTAGTCTTACTAAACTGTTATCCAGTAATCCAAATGGTAGGTGCTTACCCAAAAAAAGGATAGAAGCTGGTCATACTCACTTGATCATAGGCATATTCTCATTTTATTTCCTCCATTGAAATTTTGCAAATAATATCCTTTGTATATGAATAAATACAGAATTACCTTACGTTTCCATCATCATCCATCATCAATCATCAATCATCAATCATCAATCATCCATCATCAATCATCCATCATCAATCATCAATCATCAATCATCAATCATCAATCATCAATCATCCATCATCAATCATCAATCATCAATCATCAATCATCAATCATCCATCATCAATCATCATCATCACCATCATCCATCCTCATCCATCATCATCACCATCATCCATCCTCATCATCATCATATCATCATCGTCGTCGTCGTCGTCATCATCATCATCACCGTCAGTATACGACAAGTTACCAAAAGTAAAAGCTACACTGTAATACTCATCTTTTTTTTTTTCTTGGGTTCTTTCAGCATGATGACCTTTTAAGGTCAAGTCCAAATCTATATTATTATATTTTGGTAGTTCTCACAAAAAAAAAAAAAAAAAAAAAAAGGTCATGGATACAGAAAGAAAGTGGATTGCAAGAGATCGATAAGCTTTTCGTTCATTGCTAGTAGGAATGATCTTCTATGAAGTCACATGTTTCGGCGATTCAGGGTCTTGTTTAGGTGCTACGAAAGTTTGTTTTGGATCATGACAAATATTCAATAATATTTTTTTTTTCATTCCTTTGGTTACATGGAACCCCATACTTTTTTTTTTGTATGCAAAATGAACACCGATATGTTATTAGATCGGAAAGATATTGTGATCTTCACATGATTGGTGATCCCAACAGGAACAAGTAATGAAAAGAAAAGAAACTTACTACTAACAATCATCATCATCATCATCATCCAAACCATCTTCCAAGATAAAAAAAAAAAAAAGACAATAAAGGTTTTATTGAAAAAGAGTGTATAAATAAATAAGATGTGGGAGAGTGTATTGTGAATATGAATGAAAGTGGAAAAAAAAAGATATAATGACTAGTAGTAAACAACAATAAGTAACAAAAGAAAAAAAAAATCAAATAATAGTAATAATAATAAAAAAAAAACAAGTACAATGATATATAAAGTGGAGGAAGGAGAGCTATACAATATAATAGTAGAGGTAAAAAAAAAAAAAATAGTAATAATAGGAAAAAAAAAAAAAAAAAGGAAGAGGGAATCATAAGATATCTATCGTAATTTTTGATCTCGTTCAAAGACCCATTGTAAATCGACAATTTCACGCCACAAACTTGATTCTTGACCAAAGGAAAGAAGTACTGAATCTCGAGCAATATCAATCCAAGTACGAATACCATGCATATAAATCTTCTCCAATTTGTTACCTATACCAGCCAATTCCAATTGTACCAAGGAATTCCAACATGTTCTAGCCAAGATAATTGCATGGAAGGAGCATACAGGATGTAAAGGAGGATATACTAGACGATAAACTACAAAAAGATATGTTGCACATTTTGCTGCTTCCAACCATTTTTGTTGATCCATATATTGTCGTAAAGCCACTTCAGCTGCACGTACCATGTTGACAGTAAAAGCAGGGACAGTATCGCAATTTGAAAGAGAATGAATCACTGGGATTATACCTTTTGTAAATTCTTTCCTTGAATCCTTTGCAAAAGCTGAGAATGTTTCCAATGTGTTGACACCCAAATGTCGTGATACAACAGCATCCGTTCCTTCTGAATAAATTTCTGGTGCAATCGCTTGGCAGACATAGTGTGAGAATTCTGATGGATGTAATCTTGTTTCTGGTGCAAGGGTGCCATCGAAATCTTTACCGATTGATTGTTTGATTGAATCCAAAATATTCCATTCCTTGATATCCTCTTCCAACACTGTTGATGCTTGATCCAGTCGTAAGTATCCAGGTTGTCCGATTTCACCTCGTTCCAACAAAGTATCCAAACATGAGAATTCGTTCTGGCATCGAGAGCAGGTACAATCAAATTCAGGACCAAAACGAAGTTGTAAATCATCCATTCGAGCTTGCCTTGGTAAAGTCAAATCCACATAACTAATAGTGATAAGATCCCCTGGTGAGATATCATCCAAAGTCACTAAACGTTGTTTATCTTGACGGTAAACGACACCAGTATTGGGTCGACATGAATGTTGTACATAAAGAGTAGTAAGAGGATAAACACCATAACCAACCTTGTCCATATGTTGCTCAGGATCCAAAATATCAAATCTTGAGAGAGTGATTTGTTCTTGTACAGAAGATAGTTCGGCAGGAGTAAACGGACAATCAAAGGGGGCCATCATTTCGGATACCGCATTATAATCAATAGGGACGGAAGGAGATGATGTAGTGATAGCGCCTGGTGTAGTGGATGGTAATCGAATTGTGGATATATGATTGCCGTTTGTTGTTGTAGTCGTAGCATGATGAGTAGCTGAAAGACCAGGTGGAGGAGGTGGATGTAATTCCAAAGCTTGAATAGCGTACTTGAGATGAGGCGGAGAATGAGAATTGTGCTTATTCAGACGGGCGTGACTGTGGAGAGTCAAGGCGGCACGTTCCAAGAGCCATCGATCCGCATCCACGTTGGTATAAGTATCGTATTCCAGAGGTTCACAAAGAACATGGTGATAGTGTAGCCAGGCATTTCGGAAACAAGTATTACTACAAAAATAGGCAGATCGACAACGACCACAACATTGTAAAGATGCTCGACGTAAACAATAATTACATCTTTGACGACGAACGGATGGTAAAGGTACTTGAGTCAAAGGTGCTTGTTCCCATAATACTGAGCCAGCAGGAAAAGGTTTCAAAGCTACCATAGTTCGCCCTTGAATGCCAAGCCCAAGGTCCTTGAAATATTCTTCCAAGTTGATCATAAAAGATGTATATGCAGATATTAAAGGGACAAGAGAATAGTCACGTTTGAAAGTTAAAAAAATATATATAAATGGACAACGAAGAAACAAGAAAAAAGAAAAAAAAGGGGGGATAAGGACAAAAAGGGAACAAAAAAAAAAAAAAAAAAAAGGAAAAGAGAAAGAAAAAAAAAAAAAGAGAGAATGACCCGAGAAAGAAGAAAAAACAAAAAACATCAGGGGAACCGGACATTGAAATACCGAAACCTTTTCTTTTCTTTTTTTTTTTTTTTCTTACTATATTCTCCCTAAAATCTTTCCCTGCTTTTTCTATCCAGTCATTTGAGATCAAGTATGTTCACTTCCTTTCTTTTTGCATTTTTATGTCCTTTTTTTTTTTTTTTCCTTGTCAACTCGATTATTACCTATTATAAATTTGTAGACAACACAATACTAGAAGGATGAATGGTAAGTATAACCCCAACGAACGAAAGAAAACTTTAAAAAGATGATCATCCGGAGATTGAACTACAAGTCCCTCTCTCTTTTTTTTTTTTTTGGGTAGATCAAACTTGCAACAGTTTAGGTAACGCTATTCCTTATTGTTCGCCGTTACCAAATGATGTATGGTCAAATGGAACAGTACATACCTTTGAATGGAATTCATTGTAAGCAATTGATGATGGATGATAGATGGTATTGTGATGATTGTGTGATGATGTTGTGACGATAGATGATGTGTAATGATTGATGATGTTTGTGACAATGGATGATGATGGTGTCGTGATATGTGATGATGGATGATTTATTATGTCAATCAATGGAACAATATCATAACATCAGGTTTTTTTTTTTTTGTTTTTGTTTTTCATTTAAATACAGATATCCATATTACTCGTCTTCGGTAAATTACCTCTCTTACTGAATTTGACTTTATCATTTTTACATCATATATATAAATTTTATTTTCTCCTTTCTTTTTATAGGATACCTTAGATCTTTACTTGTATTATAAAGAAAATCTTCAATATCGACCAATCAAAAATTGGACAGCGTTACCATGCAACGTTGGTTCCTGGACAACTCAAGTGGACGACTCCTGGTTCCCTGTTCCTTTGTATAGTCAATCTCAAAAAAAATGGATCATGTATGGTTACTATTTGCCTTCTTCTACTGATCCAAAGGAAGAATTATCCAATCCTGCTAGTCGATATCCACGTCCTTTTAATTTTACTGTTCTCCGTAAGTTTTTTTTTTTTTTTTTTTTTTTTTTTTTTTCAATATCAACTCATGTTCTCTATTTAGAATTTGGTCAAATATCATCTCTTAACAATACTAATGCCACTACTCCGCTGAACAATAATCCATCATCATCAGATTCAAACGGCATGATGCATACATTCCCCACTTGGGCTATCGTCGTTCTTGTCATTACCTCAACAACATTACTGATTTTAATCATCATGGTGACTCTATGGCTTATATACAAACGATCATCAACTTCATCCAATACAAGTTCCCTAAAAAATAATGATGAATATCCGACACCAATGATCAATATCACTCCTACTACAAATAATAATCATAATAATGATATGGAAATCATTTCACCTGTATCCAGTCAAAATAGATCAGATGCATCATGGCAAAGAAGATCTTCCATTTTAAGTTCATCGGATACTGCAGTAGTAGGTGACACTTTTAGGCAATTACTTCATTCTCCTGAATGGGAAAATCAAGAAAGGCGGCGTCAAATAGATAGTAACAAGTTACTTCAACAGGAATTGGATGCAGATAAAGATACCGTAATAAAAACTGCATTAAAAAGTCGGAAACCACAAATAGAAATAATTCAAAGTAATAGTGCTACTGGAAGTCATATTTAATTGTTACAATAAATGGTTTTTTTTTTTTTTTTTTTTTTTTTTTTTTTTTTTTTTTTTTTTTTTTTTTGCTTGATGTATAAAAATAGGTGCAATTTGATCTCATCCAATGAAAACGCTTCATTCCCCAACTAATTGTTGTTTTTTTCATTTTCTCATTTTTCATTTTTTTTTTTTTATTCACTCTCTTTTTTTTTTTTTTTATACATTATTCCTTTTATTATTAAAAATGAGTGTTGGAATAGAAAAGTGTTGTTGTTTTATTCCTTTACGTTTTGGTACCTTCTTGATTGCTCTTTGGTTTACTGTAAGATGATTGATTAATATAAGAAAAAAAAACATCAACTAAAACTATTTATGTATATAGATTATATATCTACTTGATGCCACCACGGGTTTCCTTGGTATCAATGGTAAAGTGAACATATATAAATATATATAAAAATATAAATTAATTCTTTTTTTTTCTTTAAAAAAAATGTTATCAATTTAATAAATAGCTGCGATTGTATATTCTGGACAAGCTGCGAGTGCCTGGTATTATATTGACCTTCTCTTTACAGTACTTGTATGTATTGGTGGTGTTGTTGGCATGTTTGGATCTTGTTTTGTAAGTAGTCATTATTTTGATATGAATATTAGTTCTTACAAAGTTCTCTTTTTTTTTTTTTTAATATAGTCTTCTCGAAAATTCGCCAAAATATTTAGTGTGGTTGTTTGGGTGAATTGTACACTTTCCATGTTGAAATATGTCATCTGTTTAGCATTAATGATTAGCCATAGTTATGATATGACTCGATCATGTTTACGTTCTGGATTTATTGGATTCACCAATTCACAATCATCTATCACACCTGTTATCATTCCTGATAGTCCTTATTACTCACCTGTGCGATACCCTGGTACCTTAAATGCTAACGCTGGAACTCAAGAAGATTGTGAAGCAAGTGTCAAAACCTTTTTGATTACTTTTGGTGTGGTTGTGTTTGTTGTGCAAATACTTCAGGTAAACAAAATAATAATTATAATTATAATAATTGATGGATGATCTACCTCGGAAACTCTAATGATTCTTTTTATATATATATATAGTTTTATTTTGCTACTGTGGTCAGTGCTTATGCTTCCAGACTTCGTAATGGTGCTCGTCATCATCGATTACATGATCAACAAATCAAGGATTTTGAAGAATCAAGATACCATATGTCCACTGTTTACTAGTTTATTACAAATATTATATATATATATTTTTTTCCCCTTTCCTTTTTGTACATTTATCCCTCTTCAATAAAAAAAAAGAATATATATATATATATAAATCAAGTCCCGTTTGAACTTTGTTACATAGATTTTTCACATGAAGTGAAAGAAGTTGGTTTCAATTACTTTTTTTGCGGAGTAATCATCTATTAGTCACCCATGGATTGTTTTCTACCTTTGGCTTTTAGAGTATCGTTCTCCGAATAGACGGATACACCAATATAGTGATAATAGAATTGATCATACCTTTGGAAAAATCATGAATACTGTATATATCATCATTTGATAAAAACTAAAATAAAGATGTTTGACTGTTTAACACATACATGTTTAACACATACATCTGACTGTATGCACCATTTGTTGTTTTGATCTCTTTGTGGAATAGTTTATCTTCTCTTGTACACATTGGCGGAGATACGCGGAGGATATAAAGGAGATAACAACACTTATTCTCATCCAATCAAGTACTATAATGAGCAAGATTTTTTCATAGAGTCACGAGGTTTCGTTGACAATTCACCAATCATCATAACTCAGCCTCACGCCATTTATATAATTACGCCCAACTATTTTTTTTTCTCTTTTTCTTTTTCCCTTTTCTTTTTTTTTCTTTAAGATATTTGAAACCCTTTTTTTTTTTTTTGAAGCCATTACCCTACATTTTGTTATATTCATTCTTATCAAGATGGTTTCTATTCTTATTTAAATATCCTTTGTTAAACTCGTTATCTTTTTTATATTGTCTTGTCTATTAAATATACGTCTCAATTATCTCGTGTCGTCTATTTTGAATCTCATGTCTGCCTTTATTGTGTCTCCCAAGCCTCTCTCTTTTCCCAAAAACCGTCCTAGCAAACCTTTCTTCTCTTATTGTACTGACGAACCTTCCACCTGCACCAGAAAGAAAACTCTACAACAAAACACACCCGGAAATTAATATTTAACATTATTCAGCCTAAATTTCTGAATTCTCTATCATCCATGACAACAAGTATGAACAGCAATTATTATATCAACAATATCAACACCGACAACAATAACAACAATAATAATAATAACAATATGAATAGTGATCTTTTCTTGACTCAAGATCCATTTTCAACCTACCTCTTTGGTGCTGCTACTCCTGCTTCTCTTTCTCCTGTTACTCCTATTACTACTACTCCAAGCTCCTCTGTAGATGAATGGTTGGCTGATGAATTGAAACAATCTGGTCTATTACCTCTGATGCCTGATTTTTTGAAACAAGAGAATAATGTAGTGGATTATTATTTAGCTCAACAAGAATCTTCTCCAGCAATGACCTCTGGTAGCCCTGATAGTAGTGCAAGTAGTGTAGGTAGTCCTCAAACTTCTCCTGTTTCTCTTGGAACTCCTCCTTCATCATCATCGTATCCTATGATTGCTACTCCACCCTTGTTTCCGGATATTGCGCCTAAAAAACCTGGATTCCGTGCTATTGCTCCTGCAAAGAAACAGCTTGTTCCTATTATGCCCAAAACTACCAACAACAACAACAACAACAACAATACTCCATCTGTTAATCCTTCTTCTTTAATGTCTGTTGCCAATCATCCTATTCATCATCAAGTCAATAACAAACGCAAGATTGTCACTGACAAGGAACAAGATGACATTGCATTGAAACGTCAAAAGAATACTGATGCTGCTCGTCGATCTCGTTTGAAGAAATTGGTCAAGATGGAAACTTTGGAAAAACGTGTAGTGGAATTGGAAGCTGATAATACAAGATTGTCAACTCGCATTGCCGTGCTGGAATCTGAAAAATCTGGTCTGGAATCCAAAGATAAAGGACTCGAAGATCGCATCCGTACCCTTGAAGCTCAACTTGCTGAAGCTCACAAGGCATTGACTGGCCGTCATTAAAGTGCCTCCATCTTTTCTTTATTATTATTATTTTTTTTTTTTTAGTATTATCTTTATGTTAGTTAGTTTTTTTTTTTTATCCTTTTTATTATAGTCTATTAGTTTTTTATATTATGTTTATTTTTACAATAAAAAAAAATGATCCATTGAAAATCGAAAATGAAAAATATTCAATAATATTCTCACGATGGTAATCTTTTTTTTTTTTCATATTCTCCAAAAGGTTGATTGATTCCGTGCGAATACAGACATGATTTTGAATCAACATGGGTATTTTTTTTTTTTTTATTTTTTTCTCACATGTCATTTATTATCACATTTTTTACACGTTGATTGATCGATCGATCGGTGCAAAAAAAAGTTCATTGAAATTGTTTCCTGGTGATTCGTGACGATGGTAATTCAAAAAAAAAAAAAAAAAAAGATGTCTTTCTTAAGAGAAGTACGGGAGATTTCAGGTACATGGAATAGACCGGGTTCAATCAAAACAAAAATAAAAAAAGAAAAAAATTAAAAGTGACACATACGATAGGATTGGACAAGTTTTAACTTTGGTGCCTTTTTGTATTACTTTGTTTTTGGATATGTATGGGATGAAACACCGCTACAGTTCAACAACAAAAAAGTGAAGGAAAAAAAAAAAGAAGAAATGCATTAGATAAATAAGGGAGGGAAGAAAAAAAAAAAAAGAAGTCTTTATTTTAATGATGATTAGGAATAAGGTATAAAAATAATAAAAAAAATAATAATAATAAATAATAGATATTATGTACAATAAAACTAACTAACGAATTATATAAAAATGGGGATTTTTTTTTCTATTATCTAATCAGTATATCCGTCAACAAATTGATTGATTGTTTCCCAATTGCCATCCATCATATATTCTGTTTGAGAGTTTGGAGTTGGTGGTACATCGATATTGGAGATGACTGATGGTGCCATGGAGGATGATTTGCTTGAAGAGAGAGCACGTGGTGAGGATAAAGCAGATGCAGGAATCAAGGATTTTTGAGCGTAGCACACAAACCAGTTGAGATGACTTTGATACCGAAGACATTCTTTCATTGCTTGTTCAATGGCTGTATCTGATAAACCCAACATAAAATCAAGAGCACCAGGTTGCCAAGTAGGAGGTGGTGATGTATTAGTGACAGCGTTACGGATAGTTGGACTGAGAGATTTATAAAAAGATTCAGTACATTGCGCATGTACTTGACCTACTTGTCCACCCCAACCTAATGGAATCGTCACTTGTTGTTGTCGTATGTCTACAAATCCATAACTAGAAGATTGAGTCATAAGCAGAGTTGATACTTGATTACTTTGTAAAAGATCAATATGATGTCGATGAAACGCATTGTGTACTATTCAAATAAAAAAAAAAAAAAGGTTAATGATTTTGATTTCTTTCCTTTTTAAAACTTACATTCATCATTTAATAAGGATTGGCATAAAGGACCAGGTCGTTGAATACGATGTTCTACATCTACAATTTCAACTGTGCCAAGAGGTTTGAGTACACGAGAAATTTCACCAAGAATAGTTTGAACTTGTTGAGTAGAGAGTAGGTTTAAAAGATGTCGCATATGTATATAATCCAACGAATTATCCGGAAAAGGTAAGGATGATAAAAAGTTGTGTTGACTAAAATGAGCGTTTGTTGGTTTGACACTTTTTGGGAACGAGGTTATAATGTCGATACCATAAAATTCTATAATGAACATAACCCAAAAAAAAAAAAAATTAGTCTCATGATTGAATAAAAAAATTTTGGTGATTAAAAAAAAAAAAATATACCTGCTGTAGAATATTCTGCTGCCATTTCCAAAACCCTATTTCATATGCAACAGTACAAAAAAGATAAGAAAAAAATTTTTTTTTGTATGATATCAAAAGAATTTTTACCATGTGCCACTTCCACAACCAATATCAAGTACTTGAGCCTTCGGTTGTTTGAGTCTAGGTATAATTGGGGCAATCACATTTCCTTTGAAGGCATATTTGAGTAAAAAGTGCTATATTCAAAAAGATAAGATTAAGATTGCAAATCATTTTAATATGTATAAATATATATATATATTACCAGTATAACCAATCTATCAGCTTCATCGTCGTCACAAGGTAAATGATAATGAGTTCCAGGAGTAGTGAGATAACGTCGTCCAGCAACTTCAGTAAAGGCCAGCTTCAATTGTTGTAATTCCGGAAGTGAGATCACAGATTCACGAGTGGAAGTGGATAAAGGTGAACGTCGAGTTTGTTTTTCACTAGAAGATTTCGAACTTGATGTATGAGAAGTAGCAACTGACGAAGATTTGCGACTAGAAGGTCGAACAACGGGTTTTGGTACAGGTGTTTGTGCTACAGCTGCTGCTTCAAAAAAACTAAATGAAGAAGGTTGATATTTTTTTGCCGTTTGAGCTTGTGATAGTCGTTGTTGAGTTCGTTTGGGTAAGTTGGAAACAACATCATTAGACAAGGCTGGATGTGATTCCGTATTCCCCATATCAAGGTTATTATCGTGATTAAAGTAAGAGTAAGACAGGATTAAAGAAGAAGAAGAAGAAGAATAAGAATAAGAAGAAAAAAAGTGTAACAATAGGAAAAAAAAAAAAAAAAAAGAAGAAAGAAAGGAAATAGAAAAAGAAAGATCCAAAAAGTACTAATAAAAAAAAAATAAGGTTTCGAATCAAAATCTATCACTTTTGTATAACGAAAAAAAAGAAAAAAAAATTTATTTGATATTCCGAACCCCTTTTAGTTCAACCAATCTAATCTATTTAAAACAAAAAACTACATATTTGATGTCCAATGAGTAACATCACCAATGGCAGTGTATAAATAATCAAAATAACCAACTATATTCAGAAACAAAGAGAGACATAATGAATAATATTGTTAGTTAGTGTTTTATTAATATATATTCCCATCCTTCTTCTCCCCTCCCCTTTGTTTCGTTCACATTTTATTCAGTTTCAAACTCACGATTATTATGATTGGCATGTTCCAGATAAACTAATTCCACCAAAGATGATGATTTGTCACTTGATTTCTTAATATAAACCTTTGCTTCATTTTTGATTTCATATACTTGAATTTCATTTTTTTTCTTCGTTAGCCAATCATCATCTTTTCCAATCAAAGCCTCATAAAATAATTGTGTTGAATGATCGACAGGAATTTCAATATCATGTTGACCAACAACAATCAAAATTGGACAACTCACTTTCTACAAATAAAAAAATAAATAAATAAAAAATCATAATCTATATCTAAAAAAGTAAAACAATAAAATCAAAAAAAGAAGACATTACCGATATACGGGATAAAGAATCAAAACGATGATTTAATCTTGATAACATCAGCTCTATCATTATTGTCAAAAGAATTTTTTCTGAGTTGTCATGATCGTATTTTGTGCAACTATCTTTACCTTTTGCAAAAGAGCTCCATTTCAAAGGTCCTAAAATAGGTATGTATTCCAATAGACGGTATTCAAAAACAAGATGAGATAAACTCGTATATGGTGCTTGAAGAATTAAAGTCTTAGGAGGTGTTCCTAAATAAGACATGATTAAATAAAATAGAGTTATCTAATTTATTTATTTTTTTTTTGTTTCTTCTTTACCTTTTCTTGAAAGATCATGAGCCAGAGTAGTTGCAACACCAGTACCTAATATAACAAGGGATAAATATATCAATACAACAGAAATCCTAACTAGATAAAGTAAAAAAAAAAAAAAAAAATGATACCTAAAGAATGTCCAATAAGACTAATTCGATCATGTGAAACTAGGACAAAGCAAAAAATAAAATAAGTAAAAATCTCTTCTTTTCATCTATGACTTAATCATACCTTTTTTAGAGAGTAACCAGTTATATGTTGCCTGAGCATCTAGTTGAAGACCATATTCTGAAGGCGATCCTTCTATTATCAATGCATATGCATGATTTCCACACCGACGTCAAGAAAAATGAAAAAGACTGTAAGTAATTCTTTTTATTTTTATTTTTATTTTTATTCTTTTTTACCTGAGTCTCCAAAGCCACGATAATCCAAAGCCAAGATATTGAGTTTAGGAAATTTCATTCGAAGATTCTAAAAAAAGAGTATATATATATATATATTATCATTATCATCAGTAATAGATCATTGGTTACCAAAATTTTACCTTATATAAATCAATTCGCCAAGGAGCTACGCGATTCATTGCATTTCCATGGAAATATATAACAGTATCATATTTGACATCCATCAAAGCTTGATCAAATATATCATTTGTCACTTGATCCATAATATTCAATTTCTGTTCAATATGATATTCACTAGGTAGAATATGCCAGGCTCCTACATAAAAAAGAAATCATATAAATATATATATAATATATATATACTTTTCTTACCAAGAGTAATATTGTCCTCTGTTTTGATTTGAATATTCCTAATAGCATTATCTAAATAAAATAATTTGCACTTAGTATTGAACAAAAAATGGTATTGAATATTCATTTACGTGCAAAACCATAATATTCTGGTGTATCAAATTTTGCATAAAGAGGAGCTTGAAGCCAGTGAAGGTATATCATTCTATTGAAAAATAAAATAACGCGAGATTAATATACATAATTACATTTTAAAAAAAGGAACGTACAATGTTTGAGGGGTTTCGAAACATAGACCAATCACTATTGCCTAATATATAATATAGAAAGAGTGAGAGTTAACATTTATAATATGAGATTACAATATATAAAAAAAAAGAAGTCTACCACATATAACGCGACTAAAGAAGTTGATAATACAATCGCCTTTTTCAGTAAACTCATGAAAATATTGAATAAGATAAGTAAAAAGGAAAAAAGAAAAAAAAAAAGAAGTAAAGGAAGACAAAATGATTGGATAAGCGGAAATGGAATTTAAAAGAAATAAAAATACACTAAAAAGAGTTGAGAGAAAAGAAAAAAATAAATTGGATTGAAGGATTTGAAATGATAGTCAGGTGATTTATTCATTTGAAGTAAAAAAATATACAATTTCAAAGGGGATTTGTCTATGAATCAGGAAAAAAAAAAATCCAATTCAAGCATAGCACAAAAAAAAAAACTATTTTTGTTCCTTCGAACCCATTGAATTTTTTCTTTTTTTTTGTTACGAAACTCAGTCAGAAAAAAGAGGGGAAAAAATCTCTTCTTCCCTCCTTTTTTTTTTTTTTTTTCTTTTCTTTTCTTTTTTTTTTTTTTTCATTACTTCTATCTCTATTCTTTTCTTTGTAGATTATTTGAAACGATGGAAGGTGGTGGTTTCAATTTCGCAGATTATCCTGTTATTGTTGGTATCGATTTCGGTAATTACTCAACAAAAAAAAAAAGACAGAAATAATAAAAGATGACGAATAATTCAATCTAATTTTATTCAACCATCTATAATAGGTACAACTTATTCTGGTTGTTGTTATGCTTTTGCTCAAAATGAAGAAGTATTTGATATTGTTAAATGGTAAAGAAAGATATATATATAATATTTATGACTATTAATTTCTATCTTTGGTTATAGGCCAAAACAGAACAACAATATTTATCCAAAGGTACAAAATAATAATAATAAATATATATAAGCTTAAACGTTTTCATCTATCTGACCACATTTCCTTTTTTGTTAGACACCATCATTGGCATTATATCGAAAAGGATCAACTTCATTAGTAGATTGGGGTCATGCAGCTCGACGTATTGCTATGAAACCAAATAGCCAAGACTATTTACTCATGTCTAAATTCAAACTTTTCTTGATGGATGATACTCAAGATACTTTACCAAATGGTCTCAATGTTATTGATGTTATTGCTGATTATTTGCGAGCTTTCCATGATCATGTTAAAAGTGAACTTTTAAAAGGTTTTGCTGGGAATTATGATCAAAGCAAATTCAGATATGTAAGTTTTTTTCTAAAAGAAAAAAAAAGATAACGGGACTAACTCTTTTTTTTTATTATTATTCTTTACTTTTTATTTTTATATTTAGTGTCTTACTGTACCTGCCATGTGGAGTGATCGTGCAAAGGCTGCTACTCGTGAAGCTGCTATTCGTGCTGGTTTAGTATTACGATCTGATCATCCCGAACGTCTTATGTTAATTTCTGAACCTGAAGCTGCTGCTCTTTATTGTGAAAAGAAATCTGAACAATTTAATTTAGCTCATGGTCAACGTTTTATGATTTGTGATGCTGGTGGTGGTACTGTGGATTTGATTGTTTTTGAAATTGATCAAAAACCTGGACAAAAGTAAGTAAAAAAAAACCTTTTATAACACTATTTTATTTACTTCAAATTTTCTTATATAGACGTACTCTTAAAGAAGTGACAAATGGTCATGGTGGTTCTTGTGGTTCGGCCTTTCTGGATGTCAATATGCGCGAATACATCAAAAGAAAATTCTCTCATCTTGGATCTATTAATGATACAGCAATGGAACATATTATGGATACATTTGTTAATATTATCAAGGTAATATTAAAAAAAAAAAAGTAACATTTTATTTATTTACATTTTATTTATTATTTTCGAATAGCCTGAATTTGATGGTTATGAAGATCATTTCTTGGATCTACCAGCATCTATGGGACTTGGTGATTTAACTGATGAAACTATTGGTTTAGAAAATGGATCTATCTGTTTGCCTGCTCAAGAACTTTGTGAACAAGTATTTGAACCAGTCATTATCCAAGTCTTACAACTTATTGAAGGTCAACTCAATCAATCTTTCAATTTGGAAGCAATCTTCTTAGTGGGTGGGTTTGGTCAATCCAACTATTTGTTCCGTCGAGTAGAAGAAGTATTTGCAAATCGTGTCGGTATGATTGGTGTTCCTCCTCGTGGTGAATTGGCTGTCGTACGTGGTGCTGTTTACTTTGGTCTTAGTCCTCAACAAATCACTGAACGTGTTTCTCGAAGAACTTATGGTGTTGAAACTCGTATGATTTTCCAACAAGATGTCGATCCTGAAGAATATTCCGTTATTGGTGTAGATGGTCGAAAATATTGTCGTCAACGTTTCAGTGTATATGTACAAAAAGGTCAAAGTGTCAAGGTAGATGAATGTGTATCTAAAACCTTTGTGATTAGTTACCCTAGTGATACGGATTCTGGTAATTTCTTTTTTTTATTTTTCTTTTTTTTTTCTTTTGTTTGATGTTATTCACCATTTCCTTTTATATTTTTTTTTTATTTTTTATAGATTTGTATGCTTTTGATGGAGAAGGACCCCCTCCTCGCTTGACATCACATCCAAGTATCCAAAAAGTTGGTCATTTTCCTATTCGTATGCCAACATTAGAAGGAATGAAACCTGGAGAAAAAGTGAACATGACAATTCGTATGTACTTTGGTCTGACAGAAATCAAGATTGAATGTATCATCAAAGATAAAATCATCGTATTTACTTCAGCATTTGAAGCCTCAGACGGCAGTGCTCAAGAAATTGGTGCTGGATATGTTCAAGATGCTTATGGTGCTCCTCCTGCAGTAGCAATGGATCCTTATGGAACTCCTTCTATCAATGCCAGTCAAACCTCTTTTGCTGGTTATCCTCCAAATGGTGGTTATGGTGGTGTTCCTCCACCTTCTTCTTATCCTCCACAACAACCAGGTGCTTATCCACAATCAAGCTATGCTGCTTATCCTCCAACTGGTGCTTATCCTGCAGATGATAGTTATTATCAACAACCATACGCTGATCCTCAAGGTTATCCTCCACAAACTCAACAACAACAACAACAAGGTTATTATGGTGCTGGTGCTGGTGGTGGTTACCCACCAACTTCTCAAGGTTATTCTCAACAAGGTGGTTACTCTGGTTATCACTAAATTTATTCATTCCCCACTTCCTCCTTTTACATTCTTCTTCTTATTCGTCTTTACTTCTTTTCTTATTGTTTTCCGCCACTATATTGTAATAGTTCCTCTTTTCCCCCTTCTTTTATTTTATTTCCTTTATATTTTTTTTCTCTCTTTTACTCCATGTTACATTTTATTTATAACACTATTGAATAAACATTTGTCATTTATCATAGGCATCCACCTATATATTATTTATTTTTTTTAGTTTAACTTGTCTTCTTGAGTATATATGAAATAGAGACGCAATCATCTTCTTTTCTTCTTCAGCAAATAAGACTAAAATAAGGACTTTAATATCCTACATCGAAAGAAAATGATTTTTATTGATATCATTGAGGATAAAAAAAAAAAAGGATGGATGAAGGGCACACAGAAAGTAATGTAATAAGTAATGAAAATGGAAAAAAAAAGGTGTGATAATGCAAATGATATACAAAAATGATAGAAAGGATTAGAATACAATGATAAATACAGTGAATGATGAATGAGTGAAATAAAAATAATAATAGTATGAATAACTAACTGAATCTCTAAGTTGCACCAGTGGCCCATTTGATCAAATTGGTTGGACAATCTTTGTATTTCAATACAGCATCAATGACTTGAGCATGTTCCAACATCAGCTTTGCCATTCGATATTCCTTTGGACATTTTCCTATTTGTTCCACTGGACATACCAATTCGAAGGATTGTAAACTTTCAAATGCCTAAAAGATAGAAGGGTGAATAAAAGAAAAAAAAAGTAAGACTTTACTATGTCCACCATTGATTTTCTTTTTTTATTATTATTATTATATACCTTGAGTGCTACAGATCGTTTATACAGTTTCATACCAAGTCCCATACCACGCACTTGAGTTTGAGTCATAAAATCCTTGTATTCATCATAAATCATTTGAAAGTTGAAGGTATGGGTATCTCTTTCCATCAGTTTCTTCATACTGACAATCAACACCAATTCCAGTAGCGATACACCTAAAAGAAAAACGCTGTTAAGTGAAAACAAAAACACTAAAATAGAATATTTCTTTCTTATCATTACCTTTGAGCATTTCTGTCTTTAAATCTGTTCTCTGTTCTAGACTTGATTCCATAAATTGGGATACCAACAAGTAGGATGATTCTTCCGAAAGTTGTGAAACAGGTTCAAACTAAGAAAAATAATAATAAAAAAAAAAAAGAGTCAACATATATCCATGTAATGATTATTTCTCTTCTATAACTTACACATATCTTGAAAAACATCCGTAAATCCTTCGTAATATCAAAGATACGACGTAAAAGAGTGTTCATCGATGAATCTTCAAATACTGTCTATTCATCATTAAAAAAAAAAAAAACAAATTCATCAGTCACTTGAATATCTTTTTTAAACTACAATTCTTTCATTTTTTTTTTTTTTTCGTTACCTTCACAGCTTGATTGAATTTTTCCGTAAAATCCTGATCCACCAAACCTTCAGGTACAATCAAAGTTTCACGAGCGATTTCTACAAAATCACCAAAAGTAGCAGGAGGGAATAGATAGATCTGTCGATGAGAGAATCTTGATTTGACACGTTTTTCCAAAAGATCCAAAGTATCCTATATAAAAAAAAAAGGATATCATTAAAATTGGGGATGACAAAAAAAAAGAGAAAACTTACAATACGACAAGTAAGACCAATGACAGCCATCGGATTTTGAGCACTTTGAGTGGCATCAAATAGATTGTAAAGAAGAGTTTGCTTGGGATGTTGAGCGAATAAATCAAATTCTTCCAAAATAAAGACAATTGGTAGAGTTGTTTTATCTCCTTGTTTCAAAAGTGATAAAGTATATTCAAAGGATTCTGCAAATGTTGCCTAAAAAAAAAAAAAGAATGGTGAATAAAGGAACAAATCATCAGAAAAATCTAACTTACAAAGGTACGAAGTTGTTGTTGTACTTTTCCTTGTGCTACCATCAGTTGTCGTGCAATTTCATTGAGGGCAATACGATCAGTTGTTTCAGTGAGTCCATTCAAACGTATAGTGACAAATCCAGCTGGAAACTTTTTTGTTAAATCATTTAATGCAAGTCGAACCATGGTTGTTTTCCCTGTTCCACGATTGCCAAGTAATAAACAAGAATTACTTTCTCCTTTGCTAATAGTTTGGTATAAGATTTGATGCAGGCTATCATATTCGTTTTGCATTCCTACAAGTCGTTTTGGTGTAGATCGTTCAGATAACTGGGATATAAGATGGGTCTTGATCATTTTAATATCGTTGTGAGTCGCGTCGTGATTAATATCGTTCATGTGCGTTTTCTCAGTAACACTGTTTTCAAGGTCACAGGTATTGTTTTCTATACGATTCCTTTTGTTGTCATCTATTTGTTTATCATCACTATTTATTTCTTCATATTGTCGTTTATTGGTCATGGTAGTAGAAATAAAAAACTTGTTCTGTTAAGGTATAGACAAAAAGGAAGAAACAAAAGCAATCAGACAATCAGATGATTGCTGAGCTCAAAAAGGTTTTCAGGCAAAAAATCAGTGACTTCTCTCTTCACATGCTAAAATATCATGGTGGATGCTGAGTTTATTAAAAAAAAAAAAAGGAAGCTTTCACATTATTTTTTATAGACAATCCCCTTTTTCCACTCTTTATCTTTTTTTCTTTCCTTTTTTTTCTTTTTTTGTTAATATATATCTTTTTGTTTTAATATATCATTTTTTTCCTTACTTTATATAAATATATATATATCCATTTCATATCATATTTTTCCATATTATTGTATAAATATTATTATTATTAAATTATGTTAGATCATCTTGTTGGAAAACCCTCCGCCAATTGGAAACGTACACAAGTGTTACTGACCATGATTGTGGGGTAAAATAAACTATAATATGATGAAAAAGATTAGTAAACATATTTTTAATATATAATTTACTCAATCTTTTTATTATTTATTTATTTATTTATTTATTTATTTAGATATTGGATTATTATCAAGGGCGATACCAATCGATTACCGAAGATATTACAAAAGTTCAACAAATCTATTGGTAAGTCTATTAAAAAAATAAAATAAAAAAATCTCCTTTTTGACTTCCCGATTATGTATGATGATCTATTGGATTGGTGATACAAATTCTTAATTCTAATAGATGGTAATGCTCCATGGAAAATCACTGTATCTGCTTGGATGGCATATTACTTGATACAAAATCTATTCCATCTTGTTGGCTTGAATGGTAAATAATTGATAAAAGAAAAATATGAAATTTTAACAAATATATATATGTTTACTCATTTTTTTTCTTTTATTATTATTATTATTATTATGACAAAAGCTCCTGAACCATTGGCTCGATTGGTAAAAAAAAAAAAAAAAAAAAAAAAAAAAAAGTCTTTACCAAGAATGATTGACCAACTTTTTCTTATGGTAGTACAAACGAAGTTTTTATCGTGCAACATGGATTCTGACAGCTTTGGATGCAGGGTTCTTTACAGCCCAGCCATTGAAACCTATTTGGTTACGCCATATTTGTTCCATTTTATTCTCGGTCTATTATTTGGTGTTTGCTGATGCTGCTGAAGAAAAAGTGCGTAGAGTACGAGCAACTATGTCTGTTGAACAAATGCGTGTTTCATGGGAAAAAGTCGCTACCAATCCAATATTATCAATAATATCAAAAGCAACTCGACCTCGATTATCCATTCGTCGTATTCTTCAATTTGATCGACCTGATTACCATCAACACTTATCTCCTACCGAAGTTTATTTTTTCTATGCTGGTGATCCTGATACTTTGGCTCAACATAACACCATCCTTTTACAATTCCCTGGTGGTGGATTTGTATCTATGCCTCCTCCTTGTCACGAAGATGCTATTGCTGCTTGGGCAAAACAAACAGGTTTACCAATTTGTAGCGTCAATTACAAAAAAGCACCTGAATATCCTTACCCATGGCCTATTGATGAATGTTTTGACCTTTATGTAACTTTGATCCGTGATCGTGGTAAATCATTTGGTCTCTCTGGTGACAAAGATTTGAATATTATCGTTTTGGGTGATTCTGCGTAAGTTAGATTTAAGTGTGCAACATACAGATCAATAACATTTTTTTTTGTTTATTTATTTATTTATTTATTAGAGGTGGGAATGTAACAACAGCCGTGACATTGAAAATTTTACAACATAACGAACAAATCAAACAAAAATCTCAACAATCATCATCATTGGCGGAATCTTTTCTAACACCTTCACCTACCTTGACTTCGATCCAAATGCAACAATCAGAACCTTTATTTAATACCAAAATCCCTGTACCTTGTGGTATAATCCTAATCTATCCTGCTTTGGACTTTGAAATGTCATGTTGGATGTCACCTGATCAACTTTCTCTGATTCGTGCGGAATCGAAGACTCAACTTTTCCGATCAAGTTCTTTGGAATCATTATGGCAAACAAAGGATCATTTTAGTCATGCAAGTCCCCTCAGTGTAGTACCAGATATTGAAAAGACAAGTTTATGGAGGCGTGCTCTCGATAATCTCAATATTACCAACAAGTCAAAAACTTTACCAACTGCATCAGGATCTTCTTTGTCATCTACTTCCGGTCGTGATCCTTCTATTCGTGAACGTGTACATCAACCTTCTGTCGACAAACATGCTTGGGGTTCTTCTCGTTTGGCAATGACAAGTAGAATGAGTTTCTTCAATGACCGAATCATTAGTCCTGATATGGTAATGTCATTGAAAAATGAAAAAAAAAATGGATAACATTGGTCATTAATTTTTTTTTTTTTTCTCTCTCTCTCTCTCACTTTTGGATAATAGATGCGTGCCATGGCTATTTGTAAGCTAATATAAAATTCAATATTGATTTCGATCTAATCTTTTCCGTTTTTTTTTATTATTATTATTTTATTTTGTATCAAAGTGTACCTTGGACCTCATGCTAACCCTGATTTCGATACTGACTATCTCCTATCGCCTATTGTGGCACCATTTGAACTTCTTGCAAAGTTTCCCAAGACATTTATGATTTGTGGTGAAAAAGATCCTTTTGTAGATGATACTGTCATTTTTGCAAGTCGTATACGTCAAGCCAAAACGCAATTCCCTAGTCCATTGGAAGGTCATCCTAATAATGTGGTACGTGTCAAGTTTTTGGAAGGAATTAGTCATGCCTTTTTACAAATGATGGCCTTTTTACCTGAAGCTCGTCAAGCTGCAAAAACAATTGGTGCCTGGATACGAGAATTAGCGGATGATGTTGATGAAACATCTGGTCTCAACTCATTTTCAGATTCAACATCATTACCTTTGTCTTCTTCTGGAACAAATCGAACCTTATCCCCTGAATTGGCTGAAGTGAATGCTGCTGTCCATGTGGCCGAAATAATTACTAGTGAAAAAGAGATGATCAATAGACGCAAACAACAGTTAGTAGATGGTTTATATTAGATTTTAGTTAATTATTGTCGGTGAATAAAATTGCCTTTATATATGTACATTTTTTGGTTTACCCAATTTTCTTCGTGTCTCTTTTTTTTTTTTTTCTGTGTCTTTTTTCTCTGTACTTCATCTTGCAACTGTTATCATCTTTTATATTCTCTTCACTTTTTATTATTATTATTATTATTATATAGTCTTTTCGTTTCATTTACTTAACATGGAAGATGCAAGAGAAACGGCTGTTTCCAAGTTGGCTGAAATACTCAAACATCCTGATGATCTCAATACAAAAATTGGTCCTCTCGTACGAAAATTGACTAAAGAAAAAGCAACTATTGATGCCCAACTCAATACTGGTGTTCAAACTCAACTAGATAATGTTCAACAAGGACTCGAAACACTTGACATCTCCATCCAAAGTAATGAACGTGTGAAGGAAAATATGCAACGTATCGATGCTCTTTGTGGTGATACTCGTCATTTGATTAAAGACTTTGGTCGTATCAGTCAAGTAAGTAATAGATTCATTTTTACTAGGGGAAAAAAAAAAACTGACCTCATCTTTTTTTTTTTTTTTTTTTTAGCTATCTCAATTACACAAGAACTTTGTAGCTACACAAGAAAAGGTCAAGTCTTTTCAAGTACTATATCAACGACTGGATTCTCTGGAAAGTATGTTTCGCCCTTTACAAGCTGATATTTTCGAACCACAATCCGATTTACTTCATGTACATTACAATCTATTCAAGTTGGAAGAATTCCGTGATCAAACCATGCATCAGGCGCGCGATCCACCTCATGACGTACTTATTACTCTCAAAACCCAGTTTCGACGAGTAGATGTTTTATCAGACGATTTTACACAACACTTATGGCATTTGGCTCGTAACATGTTGGCTCTTGTGGATGAAGGATGTGGACCTACTATTGTGATTATGGTCAAGATTATCGAATGTGAAGAAAGGGCAGATGAAAAGGCATTGGCAGCACGACGAGCTCAAGCAAGTCATCAAGATCTTCAGCAACGAAATGAAGATTCAGTGCAACAACAAAAATGGCGATTGGCGGAAGGCAATCCTCGTACCATCAAATCTTATCGTGTGGAATTCTTTGAACAAGTACATCAATCTATTGTCGAACGATTTGAACAAGAATTGGCACCATACAAAGAAGTAGATGATTGGGTGGGAACCTTGGACGCAACAGATTTCATCTTCAACGATTTGGAATTGGTGTTTGATCAAATAGTGCCGAAATTCCCGAAGAAATATAAGATTTTCCCTCACTTTGTGTTGGAATACCACCGACATACTTATGAAATGCTCAATCAAATGGTGGATCAAGAATTGGATGCTGGATCTATCTTACGTCTTTTACGGTTTGTGCGTGATTATTATGCTACCATGAGTACTAGATTAGGCGTGACGGAAGAACTATTGGAACCACAGTTATTAGATGGACAGGAACAATCATTAGTAGATGAATATTTGAAATTAGTGCGTACAAAGCTGGCAGAATGGACATCCAATCTCATGTCATCAGAATCACGCGATTTCGTCAAACGGGAAAATCCTCCGGAAGAATCAACAGATGGGCAGTTTGGTATGGCGGGTGCGGTGGATATGTTCCAGATCATCAATCAGCAAATCGATGTGGCAGCAGATGCGAATCAAGGCATGTTACTTTATTTGGTGGTATCTGAATGTAGCAAGGTGATCAAGGATTCGCAAACATTCTGGAAAAAGTTATTGACGACTGAATTACGCAAACAATTAGATCAACCGGATGAAACACCTGAAGGATTTGTGGAATATGTGATGGCTCTTGCGAATGATCAAGTCAAATGTGCTGATTTTGCCGATGGACTTTTGGCACGCATTGTACCCATGGTAGAAAGTAGGTACAAGGTACAGGCAGAAGAAAAACTCTCGACGGCGGTGGAAGGATATATTCATGTGGCAACAGCAGCAAGAGAGGCACTTTTGGATGTGACGTTCAACGATATTCGACCAGTCTTTGATGATCTGTTTACAACACGATGGTACGAACAACCGTTGATTCCCTCAGTGATTGAAACTCTCAAGGATTACTGTCATGACTTTATGCACTTGAATCAACAACTTTTCCATAAACTATTGAACGATATTTTGGACCGTTTCCTTATTCTTTATCTACAATCGATGCGCAATCGCAAAGCAACATTCAAAATGGAGGTCTGCTTGGACAAGATTCAAAATGATGTACGCATCTCATTTAACTTTTTCGCCAAACATATTCCTGTGGAAGAATTGGAAGATCATTTCGACGTGATTGAAAAAGTACATACGCTATTGGAAAGCAATCGAAGGATGATCTTTGTGGATTATTACTCTTTACGCCAAGCATACCCTGATATCCCTTTGGCCTTTGTAGAAGATATTCTTGGAAAACGTGATGATTTGGATAAGTCGGCTTTGAAAGATATTATGGAAGGCATCAAGGCAAAGGCAAGAGAATATGAACCCCAAGCGGACACTCCTCCAACCATCTTTAGTCGTATCAAGTGGTAGATTAAATTCCTTTTATTACTTTATTATAATTATTATTATTATTATTCAACTCATACCCCATTTTTTTTTTTTTTACTTTCTTCTCTGACTATTTCATCATCATGTAATAAACAAACAGTATCCTGTATTCTTCATATATATATATATATCATAGCATTTTGAATTAATCATATGATTTTTTTATATCAAATGAGGGAATCACTTTATTGATATCATACAAATAAATAAATAAAAAAAAAATCAATTCAAACAATCCTACAAAATAGCTATAAGAAGGATCCAAATCTATTCTTGTGCTTGTAATGCATATTGTTGTCCTGCCTTGATCAATGATTGGATAAGTGCTTGGAATGCTTGCTTTTGTTCAGGAGAAGCTTGTATGGAAGATGGTTGATGACCACAACCTTCAGGACCACCTATGTACCAAAAAAAAAAAAAAAGAATTAGTTTTTTTTTTAAAAGAATTTCTCTCAACTTACCGTTTTGCCATTGGAAGCCATCATCGGAAAAAAAGGCGATCGATGTATCAAATCCATAAATATCTTCACTACCAATAGGTTCTTCTACAGGAAGTTGTCCAAGTGTTTCTTTCAATGACATAGTCAAGTTCTTGATATCTTCACTATCGAAAAAACGAGAAGAATGAATTAAGACAGTTCACCATCAACTTTTTTTTTAATGAAGTCTTACGCAGCTAATTGGCCAGTTTGAGTGGTATAGTCGGTTTTTGTCGCCGGTTTCAAATTAGCATGAACAATAGAAGCACCAGTATCATCACCACGGATTTCAACCATTTGCCTTATTAAAAAAAAAGAAAAGAATTGTATATATATCCATAGTGTGAACAACAGAATAAATGTATTCTCACCATGAAAACACTTCATACAGATGAACTTACTTTATAGTTGGACCTACAAATCCACCAGTGATACCTTCACGAAGAATAATTTGAAACATATTGGATATAAAAAATATAGGAGAAAATAAAATGAAATAAAAAGGGAAGCAGAAAAAAAAAAAAAAAAGAAGGAAGAAAGATAAGAATGGGTGGGAAACGATCGAGTGCCTTTTTTTTTTTTTTCCTGAGATTCGACTCCGATGTCTCTCTCTCTCACACTCACACACACTGTTTTCTTCGGCTGGGATCGTTTATGCTTGGCACCCTCTTGATTGACTTTTTGGCTGCATTTATAAAGTACCAAAAAAGGCAAGAATGGATGCTGTCATTTGATCATCATCAACACGGAATGGTATCTATGAAAGTAATGACTTTAATAAAAAAAAAAAAGTTACGCTCCGTCGTGAGGGTACAAGAGGTTCGATGATGATAAAACATCATGATATTCATTTTTTTTTTCCTATACATGAAGTCAAATATGAAATTGCCCCTTTCTTCTCTAGAGCCTACAGTATTTTCAGATATTCTTCCAAGGTCTCATTCAGATGATATCACCAGGTAAAAAGAAAAAGGTATCTCTGGTTCTTTCAAAAAATATGTAGTCAGAGCTAAAAATTTGAAAGCTGGGGAGTTTGAACGGCTCCTTGACTATAAAAAATCCAAAAAAACAAAATGAAATGTTTTTCTTTTCTTCTCTTTTCCTTTTTTGTTTCGTTCTCCTTTTATTCTTTCTAATCTGGATTAGTAGGAAATGTGTTTGTCTCCTGCACACATTCTCTCTTTTTAGACTTTACACGGCATGTCACTAATGCTTTTATGAACAATCATTTTTTTTTATCTATGCTGAAGGGAAAGATGGTATTAAAAAAAAAAGGTATACATGGAACAAAAGCCTTGATACTAATTTATATTTATAGATCTCTTTTTCCAATATTCATAGCAATAGGATAATGAAGGTATGACATCTTACTTTTACCTCAATTGACTTGGGTACGTTCCTGTAAGTCATCTTTTTTTTTTTCTTCTTTCTATATGACGTGACTTTTGTAGCAACTTTTCTCAATACTCTTTCGTGTTTTAATTTAGTTTATGTTGTCTCCTCTTTGTTCTTCTTTATCGATACACAAATATACGCATTTGGATGGATAAGATCGCTTCCGTAGACTATACGACTGGACTGATTGAATGAATATACAATCAAAACTGAATGATTATGCTATCCGAACAAATAGACAACTTGATCAACATCAACTGAACAGAAGTAAGACCCAATTAAATTTGAGTAGATTGATAACAGTATCAGATTAGATGGATATACGATTGGATCAGCAGAATAGGATTGTAATTGGATCTTGACAGGACAAGAAAGGGCAAGTTGAATGTGATAGTATATTTTCGATGATCTTCTTCTGGATTGACTGGCTTTCCTTCTCATTTGATTCTCATTGTGATCTTTTATTATTATTATTATTATTATTATTAATTGCTAGTGTCAGATTTGGTTAGTATTTTTATATACCTCTTCGTTTTATTTTAATAAAGCTATAGTCATACTTCTTCCTACTTATTATAATTAATTCTATTACTGTTATTATCATCTCTTCATCAACAGTCATCATCATTATGAATACAGTAATCACTTCTATTATCCATCATCCGTTCTCACTTTTATTATTATATAAATATAACGATCGTATCTTTGTAGCAATGTCATCACAAGTGTTTTTTATCATCATCGACTGTTAATACCATAACAATAGACAAATTCATGACAGTAAGTTTAAATAAGGATTAGTAGCTTTGTGCCATTTATTATGATGAAGTTGGATAATATTAGTTGAATAACGATGAAAGAAATTTGAGGATGAAATGATAATGATAGCATGATGATTGCATAACATGTTCATTTGTTATACCTGTTTGAACCGTACCACTGGAATCACTTGCTTTAGAACCGAAACAATGGATCTTGTAATAATGAGATAGGACGGTACTAATGATTGGTTGATGGATCCCATTGCCTTCCCCACACAAGTTTCAATCATTCATGACTAATAGTGCTTTTTTTCAATTTCTAAATTAGTCCTTTTGTCGATGAGATATGTCATTGATACATGAGAAACCGGTCTTTCAAAACTGAACAATAACAAACCTTGTTTATTTAATGATACTCTCATATAATAAGGATGTATTTGTATTACAAACATGATGATGAAAAGTACATTTTGATTGTCCAAAGTAATGATTTATTCATCCTTCAATGATGTTATCTAGTTTGAACAATGCTTTTGATTTCCGAAGTGGAGATATAGAGAATGATCGGTGACGGAATTCTACTCCTAAAAAAGAACTATGTGAACAGGTTCAAATAGATTTTTTTTAATTTTGACATTTCCCACGAAATGAAATAAAAAAAAAAAAAAAGAGAAGATTTACTGATGATTGTAATTAGTATTTAACATTATCATATCTAGATACTATTTGATGATTATCTTTTCTATATAAAATATATTTTAAACTAATCATCATGATAAAGAAAAATAATAATAATAATGAAAAAAAAAGGAAAATAAAGTTCCAATCTCTGACTAATAGACAAGATCAAATAGGCAACCGTCGTGGGAGAAGGATTTCCAAAGCCAGATGTTTTTCTTTCATATTTTTTTTTTTTTTTATCAATGTGTTATAACTTGACCTTTTTTGGAAGTAGTAATACAGCATTTATGATTGGTCAAAAGGATGTTATCTATAACTCTGAGTGGTAAAACTTTCCAAGTATTATCTGTGTGGGGGTATGGTTGAGTCGCCGCAACATCGATATGAACAAATCCTTTTTGGTAAACTTTATCCCATATAAATTTTTCTTCCTTTATATAAAAAGGGAAATGGCGGATCTAAACTTTTTTCTTCTTTCATTTTTTTTTTTTTTTTTTTTTTACTTCTTTTCTACCTTTACTTTTTTTTTTTTTTCTGAAAACTTATTTATTTCACTTTTCTTTATTTTCTTTTTATCTTTTTTTTTTTTTTTTTTTTTACGAAAATTCCTTCACGACAAACTATATTCAAGAGATGGTTAGCATGGACGGTAACCTAAACAAAGATGTAGTAGAAATAGAATCTGGTCGCGCACATGAACAACAACAAAACGATAATGAAGTTTTACAATCTTTTGGTTATAAACAAGAAATGAGTAAAAGTATTTCTACTATATCCAATTTTGCCATTGCTTTTGGTTGTTGCTCAATCTTGTCGGGGTTGACACCGGTAAAGTAACAGAAACTTAAGAATATTCATAAATCAGTCTAAAAAATCTATAGATTCAAAAATACTCATTTTTTTTTTTATTTTCTCAATCAATGAATTTTTATATATATGATAGATGTGGGGGGATGCTATGATGAGTGGTGGATCTGTTGCTGTTGTTTGGGGTTGGATACTTGTCTCTATATTCACTATGGGTGTAGGTTTCTCTTTAGCTGAAATCTGTTCCGCTTATCCGGTGACTGGTGGATTATATATTTGGACTTCACAATTGGCTCCAACTCGATGGGTTCCTTTGGCTTGTTTTGTTACTGGTTACTGCAATTGGCTTGGATTAACTGTCGCCATCACATCTACTGATCTTAGTTTAGCTCAATTCTTAGGATCTGTCATCACTATGCAATATCCTGATTATAATATCACAAAATATTGGGAATTCGGTATTTTTTTGGTCATTGTCTTTATTCACGGTATCATCAACTCTGCAAGTGTTCGTTACAATGGTTTTTTCAATCAAACTTCTTTATATTGGCATCTTATTGGTACTTTATTACTTGTCATTGTTGCATTGGTTTTAACTCCTAATAAACCAAGTGCTGCTTGGGTGGTATGTTACAAAAATTAAAAAAAAAAAAATAAAAAAAAAAGACTAATTTTATTCCTTTTTTTTTTTTTTTTTAAATAGTTTACTTATTTTGAAAATGATACTGGATTCTCCAACAGTGGATATGCTTTCTTGATTGGTCTTTTACAATGTCAATATACTCTTTCTGGCTACGATAGTGCTGCACAAATGTCGGATGAAACAGTGGATGCTGCTCGCAATGCACCAAAAGGAATTCTCTATGCAATTGGTACTGCCGCTATTGTCGGTCTTGTCTTTTTACTCTCTGTCAACTTTTGTGTACAAGATTTCCAAGCTCAAATTGTTGAAACCACTCTTAGTCTTCCTATGACTCAAGTGTTTATGGATGGTGTTGGTAACAAGTGGACTATTGTGTTCTGTACTATCATCATGGGTGCAATGTTCTTTTCTGGTTCAGCTCTTACTCTTGGCAGTAGTCGTATGGTGTATGCATTTGCTCGTGATGGTGCTACTCCCTTCAGTCAATATCTCAGTAAAATCAACTCTGTCACAAGAACACCTGTATGGGCTGTGTGGGCCAATATTATATTCGCTGCAGTTGTCGGTATTCTATACATCATCAATGATACTGCCTACAGTGCTATTGTGTCTGTCAACACCATCGCTTCCTCTACAGCTTATTTTATTCCCATCTTCCTTCGCTTGACGGTATCTCGCAAAACATTCCAACGTGGTCCTTTCCATTTGGGTCCCTTCTCTGACATGATTGGTTGGTGTAGTTGTTTCTGGATTCTCTTTACATTCATTCTTTTTGTCTGCCCAACTGAATACCCTGTCACACCCACCAACATGAATTACGCCAGCGTTATCTTTTGTTTTGTCATCTTCGCCTCTGTCACCTACTATTTTGTTTATGCTAGAAAATGGTTCAAAGGCCCAAGCAAGAGTATGGAACCTGATGAATTCTTGGATGAAGGTTTTGTTCCCAACAAACATCAAGAGCATGAAGAAAAATATGAAATCTCTGAAGTGGAACGTCTTTGAAATCCATCCTTTTTTTTGATATATACAGATATATTTAGATTTGAATATTTGTATTATGTATTTGTAGCTTCTCTCTCTTTCTTTCATTATACCATTCTTTTTTTTATTATCATTCCTCCTTCTGTTTGTTATATTATTATTATTATTATTATTTTTCCCCTCTTCTTTTTATGGTTTGATTAAAGGCTAGTCCGTTAATCTTGTTGTACTTTATTTGAAATAAATATATTCAATAGAACCTATATAAGGACAACTGATACTCAAAGTGAAAAAAGATTTTTTTATCGTAACAGTCGTTATCAACTTCAGATGACAGAAAATTAAAATAGAGAGGGTAATAAAAAGACTCACCAACTGTTATATAATAGGTATCATTATCAGCATCATCGTTATATTGATGAGAACTTCCTATAACCATCATCAGATCAAAATATATATATATATATATATATTTATAAATAAATAAAGTACCCATTGACTCAATCAAAATTCTTCGTATCTTTGGAAACCGTTTTTTGTCAAATCCCATTTTTTATTCATTTGATATATTTTTCAGTTATTCAATAAATAATCCAATAAAAATAAAAAAATAAGATTCCATCTAATTTAAAATTACTAAATCTAATCCACATTGAGTTGTAACATTTGTTGAGAAGTTGCTGAAAGTTTTCTTTTATCCACATTGTCATCATCACTCGACTCGTTTTCTGAGGCTGCTGGAGATGGTGAAGTAGATCGAGAAAAGAATCCACTGAGTCGACTGGTACGTTTCTTTCGAGAACCCTTCTTCTGATTCTTCTTTCCACTTTCATTGATAGCACGAAGTTGTTTATTGACAGAGTCCTGAGGTCGTACCACCACCACAGGAATAGGTGAATGTTGAAGACAATATTTTGATACACTACCCAGAAGCATACCTTGGAATTCTGATAATCCTCGTGTACCTACAATCAATAAAGACGGCTGATACATCGTGATCTTCGTTGATGTTGTTCAACGTCGAATAAAAGGTGAATATAATATTATCAATCAACATAGTAGTTATTTTGAGTATATTACCATATGTTGAATTGTGCTTTGTACTTTCCCAATAACAAATTCAATAATGACACTGATCTAAAGATAATTAAAATAGATATTATTTTCTACGTTTGTATATTTCAACTTTTTTTTTTTTTATTATTTTCTTTTCGACTTGCCTTGTTATCTTCATTGCCAGTAGCCATAATACGGTCCATCACTTTGGTTGCATCTTCCCTTGCTTGCCTTTCTTCTCGTTTCAATGTAGCTTCCACCACAGATTTTTTATCTATGAAAAAGAGATAAGAGTCAAACACACATACATATATAATGATGTTTTTTTTTTTTTTTACCATTCATATCCACAGATACTACTCGTAATACAATAAGTTCATCACCATCATCCATAACATCCTAATAAAATAATGAAAAGAGAATGAGATATATAAAAAATACATAATTCTTTTTACTTACATTGATAGCCCAATGAAGAGCATGATCACTATAACTTGCCAAATCAGTAGCAACAAGAAAAGTTCGTGAACGTCTTGTACGGCGATAATCAGGAGTTTTCGCACGTAAAGTAAAACAGTAATCGGGTAAGTCTTTATCAGTCATGGTATCAAATGAGACAACCCGTACATATTTATCAGATGAAGAAGTTGAAGGTGTAGTCGTCATAGTTGTGTTAAAAAAGTCAGGAAAATAAAAAATAAAAAAAAAATGAAAAGAAAAGAAAAGCAAAAAAATAATAATAGATTCTCCGGGAAACTTTTTCTATAAACTCCGGTGCATAAGCATCAAAAATGCCAAAAAGTATAAGAAAAAGTTAGTAGTGAAACCAGAGGTATTAAAAAAAAAAATAGTAGTAAAAATCAAAAAAGATAAATATTTTTTTTTTTTGAATTACCGTTAGTGACTAAGACAATGAATTGAATGAACTTAATGCAAAAACTATTATCATTACTAGAGTAAAAATGGGCAAAGGGCATGAAGCAGTCAAAAAAAAAAAAAAAAAAAAAGACTAGTTACACAAATTTTAATTTTTATAATTTGGTTGCCGCCCTTTTTTTTACTTCTTTCTTTCTTTTTCTTTTCGTTTATTGATTGTTCAAACATAACCCACCATTTTTATATACCCATAATGAATAACGTCTTTGGAACACGGTCTCAACCTATTCAACTTCCTTCAGATGATGAAGACGAAGGTTATACTGGTTTAGTGTCATCTGGTTTGAAAGGCTGTGTACCTTGTTTACCTCGTTTCCATCTTGGAGGTATACAATTACCATCTGAAATAGAAGACGCCACTCTTAATGACTATTTGGATCCCAACACTACTACAACTATTGAACCATTATTGGAAGAATATAACAATCAAGAACGACAGAAAGCTTTTGGTGGTGCCGTATTACAAGACTCCCAACGATTTTTGACTCGAAATCCATTCGCTTCTTCTTCATTCAACAGCAAAAATCAAGATTTGAAAACTAACAATAATGATGATACCAATGAACAACAACTCAATTCGTTTACTAGTGCTGCTCCTCGCCTCGATTTTTTCCTGGACAATGATGAGGATGATGCTGAATTCTTATCTGATCATCGCATTTCTGCTGTCATCAGTGACACCTCCAAGGTAAAACGAAAAGGGAAAATAGATAGCAAAAAAAAAAAAAAAAAAAAAAAAAAAAGCTTATAGTTTTAATCATTATTTTTGTACCTAGTTGGCAAGTCAATTTGAAGTCTTTGATACTGAATTCAACGTCAAACATCAACCAACGGATACTTCGGAATCGGATAAAAATATACATCATGATAATGCAACTGTAGATCAAGTTGAACCATTTGAAATTCAAAGCGACTGGAATGAACCATCAGATACTCACTCTGCTGCCAATGATGATATGGAACAAATACAGGATGATGAAGCAAAAGGTTCAATGGTTGTGGCCGATGAAAACGACAGCATACATGATAACAACAATGATACTGTTAGCAATAACACTACTGACAACAATGACGATAACTATACGACATTACCTAACGAGCTGGAAACAGTACCGATTTCTTCACGTAAAGAGTTAGCAGGCAGTAACAACAGTGGTGATGACAATGTACCCGAAGAATTGGAAGCGATACACGAAAGTTTGACAGATGATATTAGCGACAATAACAATAACAACGATATTACATTATTATCTCAAGAATTGGAATCATTATCGATTTCTTCACACAAAGAATTGGCAGACGACAGTAACAATGATAATGCGTCACAATCTCGGGAATTGGAAACTCTGTCGATTTCTTCAAACAAACAGTTGGTGGATGACTTTATGGATCGACCGACGTCTCCAGCACATTCTATTGACTTAACAATCAGACATTCGCAGAACATGGACATAGATGATATGACAAATAGTTTGGATGTAATAGAAGTACAACCAGTGCAGAAAGAAAGTGACATCAAATCAACCATTTTGACACCTTCATCAGTACCAGCATCATCATCATCATCATCACCTATGCCAAGTACTTCAACCTCCTGTACGACAAATACTAGCAAAGAGTTCCCAGCTACAAGCCTTCTCCATACAACCATTCCATTGCCACCATCATCAATCACTCCAGCTCAACCTCATGAAGAAAACACGAACAACAGTAATACAGTGATAACACCATCTAGAATCACAAGCGACTCTTCTGTTTCTCCAACGGAATCAGCAGTTATGACCACAAATGGAAGACGTCGATCATCAGTAGCAGCTGTAGCACATTCCTTATTGGGCGACAAATTGGATGATTTTACGGAAAAACTGGCCTACATTCGCAAAAACATTATCATGAGTTTGGATGACGATGACAACAATGAAGAGGAAGATGTCCTTCCTTCAAAACAATCACAGCAACCCCTTAGAAGAACAAGATCTGGATCTATACAACAAGAAGCACAAAGGTAAACAGCGATGGTAGAGAATTATTCTGATAACACTAACATTATTATGTATTAGGCAATCATTTGATCCATTTACATCACGATTTTCTGGAAGATCATCACAACAGCAACAACTATCTACAGAAACTTCACAAGATCGACAAGCGAGACATCGACGGAGTAATTCATTAATGGATGTAGCACCTTCCTTTACCAAACTGGTTCAACAAATAGGAGGCAATCAGACGACAGAAGGGGAAGAACGACATTTCTCACCGTCCTCATTTTTTGCATCCTTGGCTGGTCCGGAAGTATCAACCTCATCAGCAGCGCCTCCCAAACCTCCTCGAGGAATGCAAACACATCCACAACGATCATCCTCCATGCCTGCTCAACAAAGAATCTCCTCATCTTCTTTACCACCACAACAACAACAAAACAGAGCTCATTTATTACATGGCGTTGATGAAGAGGAATACGAAGATGATGATTTATTCGACTTTAGTAAAGTGATTGCCATGGGGAAAAATGTACGCAGTATGAGTGAAGATTTGATGGGCAATGGTATTCGATTATTCAATGATTTCTCAACACGAATGAAAAATCGATCTGATGCATCTATCCGCAACACGCAACAACAACATCAACAACAACAACAACAACAGCATCAACAACAAGAACAACAAGAACAACAACAACAACCGATGGATCAAGAATTCTTATTAGGTGATACTTTTATTTAGTTTCCTTATTTTTGTTTTATTCCTATCATTGTTTTTATTATTATTATTATTACTATTATCTTTTTTTTTTTATCGTATTTATTTATTCTTCCATACCACTCAACCAAATGACATACATATACACCTATATACTATCTTTATAAAAAATAATAAAAAGAGATTTATATATCATGTTTTTTTTTTATTGAATCAAAAAATATAATAAAAAGAGATTTATATATCATGTTTTTTTTTTTTTATTGAATCAAAAAATATAAAAAAAATCTATTGATCATGAACTACAAGAACATTTCAAATCTTGACCCCAAGTCGGCACAGGTGTTTCAATCCAACGTTCAATGATATCTTGATCATATTTGGCTTGATAGGGATGAGAGCAGGCATAGAGACAGGCATCCAGGACAGCTTTGGCATCGGTTTCTTCCATGGTATCAAAAGCATCAATGACTTCTTGAGCAATCCAATTCCGGAGGACAAATCGAGGATTGACGGCATCCATTCGTAGTTGGCGATTTGCTTGTTGTTGGTCTTCTTGTTGTAAGCGATGGCGATAGATGGCTAACCAAGGGATCAATGCTTGTTGACAATCATCTTGTTTTTCAGGATTCTTTGTCTTCACATCCAGGTCGTGTTTGGCAGCACGTTCATTGTCCACGTCCTCCCCCTCGGCCGTCATTTGATATTTGCTGAGTGATCGAAAGAATCGATGATAATCCACCTCGTATTCCGTCGCCCAGTCCAAGAGTGGAATGATCACATCGCTCATTGTCCCTTCCTCTCGTCGTGTCAATCCTAGTTTCGCCCGCATCTTATCGTCCAGTGCTTCCATAAACCAGTCTGTAAAATCTTCACCTACTATTTTGGTCACATATTCTTTGCCGGCTTCTCGGTATGCTTGTCGTGTCGCTGCATCCGTCACTGTTTCATTGCTATCTTTTTTACCATACACCAATGTATCTACCTTGTCCCCAGCTCCTATAAGTTCAAATAATGGTACACCTAATTTGAATAAATTGTAAATACATACAGTGGGTTGTCGCTTAAAAGCATATTCTATCAAAAAAAAAAAAAAAAAAGTAGTTAGTTACTGAGTCTATATTAAAATAAAAAAAAAATATAGAACATACGTCCTTGTTCATCTGAATGATTGCAAATATAGGAAGGATCATAATAATCAAGGATTTGGAAAGGACCATAGTCTAATGACAGACCAAGAATCGACATATTATCTATTTTTTTTTTTAAAAAAAAGAAAGAGATGAATATATAAGATGAATGATAACGATACAACGATTTTACCAGTATTCATCACCCCATGATTGAAACCTTAAGATAAAATAAATAAATAAATAAATAAAAAAAGAATCAGTATCAAACGATAAATCATTCTACGTCTTCAAATATTTACCATTTGCTTGCCATCCAGCCACCATAGTTGCAGTTCGTTTAGCAATGTTGATGAAAAGTTGAGCATATTTATTACCAGGATGTGTTGTTGACTCAGAAGGTAATACGTTGTCCACACAATAATCGGCCAATTGACGAACACCATTCATATCGTCACGAGAATAAAACAGTTCAAAATTGCCAAAACGAATCCAAGAAGGAGCAAGACGGACTAAAACAGCACCACGTTCAGGTTGTTTTGCTGAAGAGTCCTCTCGATAAACTTGACGAGAAGATCCAATCAAAGCCAATGCTCGTGTGGTAGGTATTCCCAATGCTGCCAAATGTTCAGAAGCTAGATATTCTCTAATACTGGAGCGTAAGACCGCATAGCCATCGCCAAATCGTGAGAAAGGAGTTCGACCGGCACCTTTTAGTTGTAATTCCCATCGTTCGCCTTGTTTGGTTTGTGTTTCAAATAACGAGATAGCACGTCCATCACCTAATTGACCTGCAAACATACTTATAAAAAAAAAAAGAGTAAGTAAAAAAAAAAAAAAAAAAAAAGAAGCATATTAATGATGTACTTTACGAGAATTGATGACCTGCATAGTTAAGAGCCCAAGGATGAGTATCTGGTAAAATGGATTCTCCGGAAAATATATTCAAGGATAAAGGTGTGGTCAAGGAGGCAGGATCAAGATCAATGGTAGTGGCAGCTTGAGTAGATGCTGAAAGTAAGACAGGATCGGGTGCAGGTTCAGGGTGAACAAAAGCATAATGAGCCATAACCGGACGAGATATTCTTGTGAATTGTGGTGAAGTACTGTTGGTAGCATCTCCAGGAAGTGAACTGGTAAATAAACTGGGGCGTAAAGGTAAAGCTTCCAATGGTCTTTTGGTCAATGTTCGTATTCCCATGGTATCAAAAAAAAAAAAAAAAAAAAAATGAAAAAAAGGAGAGTAAAAAGAAAGGAGCCCTAAAAAGAAAATGATCGACTTTTTTTAAAAATGTGGTCAGATAGTGACAAATAAGGGAATTCACCGAAAATTCAGATGAATTCTATAAAACAAAACAATGATGAAAGATATAAAAAGAGAAAATCCCTTTCTTCCTTTTGTTCTTTATTTATTTATTAAGTTATGAAGATAGACAATAAAGTAGTATTAGTGTATGGTGGTACATCAGGTAATATAGTTATTCTACTGATGTTTAGTTGACTCTTATACTTTTTATCATTTTTTTTTTTTCATTAGGTATTGGAAAAGAATTGACAAAGACTTTAGTGTCTTTAGGGTAAGAAAAAATCATTCTTTTATAATATAATTTTGATGGATGCCATGTGTTAACTCCATTTTTTTTTTTTTTTTTTTTTTTTTTTTTTTTTTTTTTTAGTGCGAATGTAGTGTTTTCTGGTCAAAACAAGGAAAAAGGAGAAGCATTGATGGAATTATTAGGGTAAATAAGAAATTATCATTACTTATTTTGTTTTAGTGTTTAATTTTCTTTTTTTTTTTTTTGTGTGTGAATAGTACAGATCATGCTGTGTTTCATCAATGTGATATAACAAATTGGAGTCAACAAGAAGAAATGTATAAGGTGGCAAAACAATATTTTGATGGGAAAACGGTGGATATTGTGATTTTGGTAGCAGGGATATTAGATTCATCCGACGTAATACATGATGAAGAACCTGAAGGTTCCTATCGTACACTTCAAGTGAACTTAACGGCAGCGATCAAAGCACACCGATTAGCAATTCAACATTTCCTTCGAGAAAACAAACCTGGATGTATCATCAACACATCATCTATTTATGGTTTTTGCGGTGCTCCTTTAGCTCCTATGTATTCTGCTACCAAACATGCTGTAAATCATCATCATCATTATCAGAAAAAAAATAATCATGTTATTTCATTTTTTTTATTAGATTATTGGTTTGACGAAAAGTTATGGTACTTTGTTAAAACCTACCAAGATCCGTGTCAATGCTGTGGCCCCTTCTTTTATAGGTAAAAAAAAGAATGAAAAAAAAGGAGGGAATCCATCAGTTGACTCCTCTTTTTTTATTATGTTGATTATGAATAGAAACACCCATGTTAACAATACCATCTAAAGCCCCAACAGCTGCTCTAGGTTATGTGTCAATGTCTTCTTGTATGAATGCTTATTTACAAATTCTAAGTGATGATTCAATGAATGGTAATATAAACACTTTTTTTTTTTTACCTATTTTTCTTATTAACTCGTCTTCTTTTTTTTTTTTTTTTTTTTTTTTTCAAGGGGAGGTGTTGATTCTTACTAGTAGTGATACAGATACCGTCGTAGAGAAATCAAGATCTGTACAAGTCATTGAACCTAAATTAGATAATTTAAGTCAAGAAAGACAGGAATCATTTAGACAACAACTTTATTCTCATTTTCAAATCAAACATGAATAATAAAATATATACGATATCCTTTTTTTTTTTTATTGAATGAATCGACTATCTAAAAATTCTATATATCTATTATACTAATCCTTTTTCCGAATATTGCGTTTCTTGCTGGTTGAATTCTGACCAGTCAATTTCCTTTTCTTGAATAAAGATGATCCTTCTATTGTTGTAGATTGATTCAATGTATCTTCATCATCCACAGGGTATTCCTTTTCTTTGATTTTGAATTCATTCAGATCTTCTTGTGGTTCATCATCATCATCTTGGAATTCAGGAGCTTGATCATGAGTTGTCGTTTCTTGTTCAGTGGTTGTCCTTTTCTTTCCTATATATCGTTCATAATGGTTCTCTTGATGTGTGGATACTGTTTGCCATTGTCCGATCATAGCTGTTTCCTTTGGTAAAGCCCATTCCTCTCTTCCTTGTAATCCTGGTGTTTTAAAAGCAAGTGATTCCAATGTAGGTGGTGGTGGCATATGTGAACTTTGTTTATAATATGGTACTGAAGTAGATGGTGGTCGTGGAGCAGGAGCTTTTGTTGTTATTGTTGCTGTTGTTGTTGTTGTTGTTGTAGAGGAAGATTGAGTTTCACCCATTGACTTTAAAGCTGCCTATCATCAAAAAGCAAAAAAAAAAAAAAAAAAAAGATTAGTGTGCGTAAGTGTTTCCTATTGTTTGATTTTTTACCTTTTCGATCCTTTGTAATTCACGTCGTACACTTTCAGCATCCTTCTTATCTTGTCGTCCTTTCTTATATACATCACTGAGAAACCTTTCAACATTGTTTTTATGTACTGTACCACTTTCATGTTTTTGAATTGTCTAAAGAGAGAAAAAGTTTTTAGATCTCAATCATTAAATTAATGATTTTAAAAACTTACAGCTTTATTATTGTATACATATTTTTTACAATATTTACACCAGTGTTTTTGTTGAGATACCCAAAAATCAGCCCTTTTTTTTTAAAAAAAAAAGAAAGAAAGAAAGAAAGATTAAATACTTGTTAATATCAAAAGTTAACTTACATATTTGTATATGCAGACAGAGAAGAGAGAGGGAAGTGAAAAAAAAAAATGTTAATCATTAATGACGGAATTTCAAAAGTGAACCAAATATCCAAAAGGAGAAGAATGAAACAAAAGTATAGAAGTGTAACAATATATAAATCAATAATAAACAATAATAATATAATTTAAGGGTGGAGATTGAAACAGGGAAAATGAGAGAAAAAAGATCATCAAATTGGTAAATCTTCTCTGTGTTGTATATATATATATAATATAAATAATAAGAATGATACCAATGATAAAATAAAAGTCACATTGATAAGAGTTATAAAAAAGAAGAGAGTAAGAAAAAAAAAACTAAGCTCAGATCATGTTGTGCAACCAAATGTTTAAATAGGCTGAACCTGTTTTTTTTTTTTTTTTTTTTTTTTTGGTCCACTAAGATTAAGGGGTATGGAAAATTATTCAAAGTTTTACGATCACTACGCCCAAAAAATCGGGATCCAGTAGTAAATGATTGAATATAAAAAAGTACCATATACTGGGTTTGCATTGTTGTGAGAAGATGATAATGATGGCATTGAAACATTCACCTGAAAAAAAAAAAAAAATGCAACATAACATACATACACATACTTATTTTTAAATGATTTTTTTTTTTATGTCAATCTGATTAAAATAAGAGGAATTGGAAAAAAAAAAAAGAATTTTTAACACCCTTCAACTTTTTTTTTTTTTCTTTTCCCTCTTTCTTTTTCCTTCGCTCACACACACACACACACACACATTTTCTATATATATATATATATATATATATATATACCTACTATTTCCCACCTTTCAAAATTCTTCCTTTCCCTTCTTTTTTTTTTTTCTTCTTTTCACCTGTACACTCCTTTTCCCTTTTTTTTTTTTTTCTTCTTCTTCTTTTTTCTTTTTTTTTTTTTTTGGTCATGACAGCTTCGTCATTACTTGAATCTGCTACTCCATCTTGTACCACACCATCAAAGTAAGTAGTATCCATTTGAGTTAACCGGTACATATCTTATTCTTTCTCTCTTTCTCTTCCCCCCCTTTTTTTTTTATCAGATATCGTTTAGTAGTACGACAACAACCCGAAAAAGCAAGACTATGTAGTTTCAAAGAAAAAGGTAAATCTTTTTTTTTTTTTTTTTTTTTAGGTATCTAATTATATACTCATTTTTTATATATTACTTAACTACTTTATATAGTGGATCGACGACCATTGGATCCTCCGCCTATAGTACAGCTATTCACGGATAAAAGGTAAACCAATCAATTACCCCAGACAAAAAAAAAAAAAATGAGGGTTTTTTTTTTTCCTCATCTGACTTTTCACTCTTACTCTCCTCTTTTTTTCATACATATATATATATTAGTAGTCAACTTAGATACCCATACTTTTTTTTATATGCGACACTTGTCACAGAAACAGGGGATGAAGATTTGACTTTTTTGGAAAGTGCTAGAACTACAGCAGGAACAACAGTACAATCTTTACATCGGTTAAGAGATTGTGACAATGACGGTAAGTTTTTTTTTCCTCTTTTTTTTTTTTCTCCTTATAATTGTCTTATACTTATCTATCTATATATTTATTATTATTATTATTCATCTTGATTTTTAGAAGGGGCTTTTTTTATATTTGCAGATGTCAGTATCAGGATGGAAGGTTTTTTCAGATTAAGGTTTACACTATTTGAAATCATTGGGTAAGATTATTTTATACTAGGTTTTTTTTTTTTTCTTGAATGTTTGATTTTGTCATATATTGAATGCTTATTAGTATACTTCTCCCCCTTTTTTTTTTCTATTTTGTTTAGACCTTATGCAATCAGTCGATGTTCCGAATTATCCGATGTATTTCAAGTCTATTCACCAAAAAGTAAATCATAAAGAGAATTCTATTGAAACGTTACTAACTTTATTTTTTTTTTTTTTTTTTACTTGATGCTTATTTCTTTTAGGCTTTCCGGGGATGTCAGGTAATAAACAGTTTTTTTTTTCTCTTTCGATAAGATTGTAGAAAATGGGGGAAATCGTTAAAGGGGGGGATCATCTGAAAACAAGAACGGAGAAAAGGGAATAAGGAATGTGATGGAATATGGACAGGGATGGTAACAATGACGGTATAGAGAATGATGTCTGATTTCCTTTCCTTTTATAGAATCTACTTTTTTAACACGGTTGTTTTCTGAACAAGGTGTCCGGATCCGTATTAGAAAAGAAACAAGAACTAATGTATCTCCACCAACGTAAATATCCTTTATTTGGATAAAATGATGAAGATTCTTTATGATTCTAACGCATGATGATTATTTCTAATTTAGAAAACGACGGCGATCTGATATAAAGCAAGAACGGCAACATGTGACTATTTCTTCTAGTAACGATGACAACATCACCACGACTCATTCCATCATGTCCATGAAAAACATCCTAAGTTCTCCAATACAAGAATCACCACAAAAATTCTCTCCTCCTCCTACATCAAGGATATTACCCATACCAAGCCGGACTTTACTTCATCCTGAACATTCAACACATCCTTCCTCTTTATCATCTTCTTCTAGTTCTAGTTTTACTCATTCCCATTATCGTCCTTATCTCCCTCAACATCGTCGTTTTTCATGATCATTATACATACATACTTCATATATAATAAATATCATTGGTATCCATTCTTGCCATTGTACTAGATCCGAGTAACCATACCTGCATGAAATTTTTTTTTTTTGTCTAAACTAACCATGTGACCCAAGAAACTTGTTTGGTTTCGGTCATTGAATACTCGTGGCTGGTCCCTTTTTTTTTTCGAATGTGTTCATCCCAATTTATGGAACTAGATGTGATTCGTCTTCTCTTGTACTCGCTTCAGGTTACCAAGAATCATGATCACATTCGTTCTATTTCTTTGTTTCTTTCTTTCTTTCTTTATCAAACATTTATATACAAAAGATATATCAATATAGATGTAATCATCCATTGGTTTTGATATCAACTATATAAATGTCATTCATTTTTTTTTTTTTTTGGGTAAAGGAAGCCATGATCCTTGCCGAGGATAAAAGATACCGTGATATTTACCTTTTCATTAATGGCGTGGGATTTCTTTTGGATTACACGTTTTTCGAAATTTTTTTTTTTTCTAGATTCCAAATTAGTCAGTATAAGTGACAAAACCATAATATGAATGCAGTGATGATGATTGGACAGTGGTTAACAATGATAAAGTCAATAACAAGGACGTCTTCCATTTTACAATAAACAGAACAAAATAACGAAGAAATTTTTTAACTGATGATTATTTGACAAGTAATTCACAATTCAAATCTTAGGCAATCTCATTCATCATCATAGAAATCATTCTATTGATCAATGATAAAAGTCATAGAATATCATCCATTCAAAAAAAAAAAAGAAAATGAGGAAGCTGATAAATCATCTACTTAATTATTGAACAATTGATTCAGCCATGTAGGCTACAGGTTGAATGGATTTACGTTCAAAAGGTTAAGCGAGTTGATTATGATGAGTTGTATCCGGAAAATAAAGGAAGCTTGTTGATGAATGAGCCAATCAACGATGTTTGTGGTCAGATTCCTTTTCATCTAAGACACTACTAGGTAGGGGGTGTCAATCTCCGATGGAAAAAAAAAATTGACATCATTTAAAAAAAGAATCGCGTTTCTTTGACCATTTTCTTTCTCTTGTTTTTTTTTTTTTTTTTAATACACATTTAAAACAAATATTTTTATTATGCGTTTCTTCACTGCTCCTATGGCCGGTTCACTCCGTGCTGCTGCTCAACCTTCTGCTCGTTTTGCCAACAAGGTATAAAACTCCAAAAGAATGATAGAAAGAACATTTTTTTCTTTTTTGTTGACTCACACTTTTTATTATTGATTCTACTTCATATTTGATAAAGACTCCTCGTCTTGCTATGCGTAATTATAGTTCGGAAACACCTAAGAAAAGTGGTGGTAACGGACTCATTTTCGTTACTCTTTTAGGTTTAGGTGTTGCGGGTGGTCTTTACTACAACCAATCTTCTTCTGTCTCTACTCACCAAACTCCTGCGAAAGAACAACCAGCTGGCAAGGCTTCTTTTGACCCTACTCAATTCAAAAGTTTCAAGGTAATGAAAAAGTTTCATAAAAAAAAAAGGAATACTCAATCATATTTATTCATTAGTTAATCGATAAACAAAAAGTCACCCATGATACCAGTCTTTTCCGCTTCCAATTGGATAGTGAAACTGATGTGTCTGGTCTTCATACTGCTTCTTGTGTCATTACTCGTTATCCTATTACTAAGAAAGATGGTTCTCCTGGTTATGTCATTCGTCCTTACACTCCTACTTCCACTGAAGAAGTAAGTTTTTTTTTCTTTTTTTTTTTTTTTGTGTCCAGTTACTCATGATAGATATATATATAGACTCAAGGTCATGTCGATTTCGTTATCAAAAATTATGCCAATGGTAAGATGAGTAAGCATATTCACAACTTGAACATTGGTGATGAATTGGAAATCAAGGGCCCTATTGGCAAGTATCCTTGGGATGAAAAAAAGGTGGAAAACGTTGGTATGGTTGCTGGTGGTACTGGTATCACTCCTATGGTAAGTCTTTTTAAAAAGAAAAGAAAGATAGAAAAGAATGTCTCATTTTTTTTTTTTTTGTAGCTTCAATTGATTCGTCGTATATTTGATCCTATTCATAAAGATGAAAAGACCAAGGTGACTTTGATTTTCGGTAATCGTACAGAAGAAGATATTTTGCTCAAGGAAGAATTGGATAATTATGCCAAGACTCATCCCGATCGTTTCAAGGTGATCTATGCTCTCGATACTGCTCCTGCAGATTGGGATGGTATCAAGGGTTATGTGACCAAGGATGATATTCAAAAGTACTTGCCTGGTCCCGAAAAGCCATCCTCCATCATCTTTGTGTGTGGTCCTGATCCTCTTTTGGCTACTGTAGCTGGCCCCAAGAATCCTGACAAGAGCCAAGGCGAAGTCACTGGTATGCTCAAGGAACTGGGTTATGACTCTTCCAATGTCTACAAGTTCTAATCTGTATAGTATTAGTTGTATATTGTATGAAAATAAAATCATGATTATTTTGGGCGTCTTTCCATTTTTTTTTTTTTTTCATCGTCTTTTAGTTTATCATTCTTTCTTCACATCATGTTTTTATAATTATTATTATCATTGTTGTGCTTTAGTTGCCGAATGTTATCCATATCAGCATGATCTTCAATATAAATATCATACACACGCTAACAAAAAAAAAAAAAAAAAAAAAAAGACCTAAAAAATATAATGAATGATTGAAAAGCTCATTGGAGCGTTTATTGATTGGGATTTTTTTTTATTTTATCAAATGTATATATGTAAAAAAAAAAATGTAGAAAATGTAATCCTATTTGGAGGGGAATCAGACTTGTGCAGTAATCATGTAACAATAAAAAAAAAAAAGGAAAAATGAATCAAGACTAGGAATGAGGTGATGAAGGATTGCTAAGACTACTATTGCTGCTGTCACCACCATTGTTATTGTTGTAAAAGACATGTTTTTGCATTTTCATGGCAAACTTGGGAGGCAAACCAAATGCTGGACGCTTTTTCAGTGGTGTTTTCGACAGGTCTTTATTATTGTCATGGATGATGGCAGGAAGAGTGGTTGTCTGATATTGCTGTGAAGGTGAAGCATCCTGTTGATATCCAATATCCACGGTGATGGTGATCAGGTTTTCACTCAGATACCCATAATCATGCTTGATCAACGATACCACTTGATCCAACTGTACAAACGATACTGGTAAATCCATAAAGCGTTGTTTTTCTTGATCACGTAATCTGGCCACCACCGATGCCGCCCGTTTCTTGTCACACGCGTATAGATTATCCAAGGAAGGAGATGCCGCAACTGTACATAACATGCCAGCCAATGGGGACCACAATCGTTCCTTTTCAGTAAATGTCACTTGGCGACGTCGTAGATTCGGATATTGTTTCCATAATGCATCCGTTGATAGATTCAATAAAAGTCCCACTTGCAGATCTAACACATATAACGAACTTTGTTTTCCGTCTTCTTCCACCAGTTGTACCGTATATAAGGGTAGATACCGTAAAGCTTCTGATAATGTCCTTGATCGTCGTTGTTGTTGTGGTGGTGGATTGGTCATGGTTGTTGCTCCTATTTCTTGTATTGTTGTTGTTGCCGTTGTCGTAGTTGTTGCTACTTTTGTTTTGATAAATGACTTGTCATCATATTTTTCTACATCACAATTAGACATCATATCATGATCGTTATTATGTTCCTCTTTGACTTTTTTCCCAAGCCAGTGTTCGACAAAAGGAGTTGGTATAGGTGTATGAGGACCATCCATTGTAGGTGATGTTGGAGGAATAATTGGATCCTTTTTCCTTGATTTGATAGTATGTGATGATGATGCTGTTGATGAATGTTGTAAAGGTGGCTTTTCTCCTGTGAGCATATGAATATCCATAGGATTGCCTATGCGTGTTGATGGTTCTGTTTTGATATCTAATAATTCAGGGCTGGGTGATTGTCGACGAACGGGAGTGGATGATGAATGTTCTAAATCTGCTGCAAGAACTAATCGTCTTTTCCTTGCTTGTCGTTTTGGTGGTTCTAAAGAATCAAATCATTACATTAAATTTTTTTTTCCATTCCTTTTTTTTTTTTTTTTTTTTTTTTTTTTTAGGTCTTTTCGTTTACCTATTAATTTTTGTTCTTGTTGTGTTGTTTCTTGTAAGGTAGATTCCTGTTTGATTGTTTTCTTCTTCTTCCAATTAGTAATAGCTTGTTGTAATAAATGTTGAATATCAAACAAGTCATGTTCTTTAGCAATCTCCATTGGTGACATTCCTTTTGAATTTCGAATATGAGGATCAGCACCAAATTGTAGAAGAATCTCCACCACGTCAGGATGTTCATTATCAATAGCATCATGTAAAGCAGTATCTAATTCCACACCTTTGGCATCCACATTGGCTCCATTTTCCAACAAGAGTTTCACCACATTTCCTCTGCCGCGAAGAGATGATTCGTGTAATGGAGTGTAACCAGCATGATCTGTTACATTGGGATCTGCACCTGCTTGTAAGAGTATTTGAACCACTTCCACATCACCTCGAATAGCCCATCGATGCAAATGAGTTCGTCCACTGGTATCTTTTTTGTGAGGGTCCAATTTGGTCGCATCCACTTTTTTTGTCGTTCGGGTCGTTTTCTGACTCGAATCTGTATTGTCTACTGATTGTTCCCTAGAAGGTGATCTTGTTGTCCTCGATGATTTTGATGATTGTCGTTTATGTTGTGATCCTCCTCGTTTTCGTCGAACTGGTGTGATAGTAGTTGCATCATCGTTGTCATCTTCCTGTTTGTTGTTCCCGGATTTTACTTGATCAACGTGTTTGTTGCTTTCATCATCATCACCATCATCATCATCTTCTTCATCTTCGTCCATACCATCATTTCTTGTCCCTGATGTAGGAGTAACATCACGTCGTCTTGATGATCTGGAAGGTCGTGAAGATGGAGATTGTTTCGGTTGTTGTTGTTCGAGGGCTTCAAAAGATTTCATAATCGCTTGAATTTTTCGCTCTTCACGTGAAAGTGGTGTATTTCGAGAAGATGATTTGTTTGATAATTTGCGCTGGCGTAGAGTGGTGAAGGTGATTTCGTCAATAGCATCGCTTGTCGCACGTTGTTTTCGTTCTTCATCAATTTTGGCGGCAAGGTCTCGTCGGATAGAAGTACTAGTTGTAACTTGATAAGGTGTTTTTCCATTTTCGTTTTGAGCCTGAATATCTGCACCATGTTCGACCAAAAAATGAACTATATCGTCATGACCGGATCGGCAAGCATGATGTAATACTGTTGTCCCTTGATAACCAGAATGATTGATATCTGCACCATGTTGAACCAATAATTGAACAATGGATAAATGACCATGACGAGCAGCTTCATGTAAAGGTGTCCATCCTTTGTTGTCCTCCGAATTCACATTGGCCCCTTGTTTCACTAGAGAAGCTACGTCGTTGTAAAGACCATCCGCACACGCTCGATGTAAAGTCGTTCTCCCTGTAGCATCACGAGCCACCAATCGATCCAACTGTTTCATTTTGGCTTCAATAATTCGTTCACATTCAATATTGTCGCATACATCAATGGGTTGTTGCTTGTCAGAATTCAACGCATACACATCAGCCCCATTATCCACCAAAAGTTGAGTAATATCAGCATAACCACTAGAACATGCATCATGTAGAGGAGTATCATCACCATAACCACGAACATTGACATCAGCACCAGATTCAATAAAAAATTTAGCAATTTCACATTGACCTTTGAGAGCAGCTTCATGAAGAGGAACCCAACCAGCATGATCCTTGAAATTAACATTGGCGCCTTGTGATACTAATTCTTTTACCTTGTCAAAATGACCAGAACCTGTGTAAGCAAACAATTTGGTTCTTCCAGCTTTATCTGTGCGATTTGGATCTGTCAGAGAAGAAGGTCGAGGCTTGGATGACGAAGGTGATTCTACAGATATTGAATTTTGTTGCTGTGATGATGCCTTCTTTGTTGTTGGAGTCGTTGGCGTAGTTGGAGTGCTTAAAGTAGAGGAAGATGGTGCTGGAGTTGATGTTGATATAGACACTTGTGACTTTTGTTTGGACTTGAGTTTTCTAATTGGTTTACCATTGTCATTATTAGAGCCATCTCCATGATATGTATCAGAAATAGAAGTAGATCGTTGTCGAATTGGTGAAGATTTACCACTGTCACCCTTTTTTGGTCGTCCACGTTTCCGTTTTTCCATCAGTCCAGAATGTCTTGCTTGATGTTGTTGTGATGAATCATCGATAGATTGAAGCTTATAACCGTCATCATCGTCATCGTCTTCGTCACTTGATATCCAGGATCGACGTTTATCACTATTGTGAATTCGAGGTGATTTGCATCGTCCGCGTTTGATACGTTGGTGAAATTTGTGTAAGGCGTCGTCTTCATCTTCATCGTCGTCAATATCATTGTTGCGATTACCATCATCGTTCTTTCTAGTGTATCTTTTTCCATTGTCGTTGAAAGATAAACCAGTAGGTTGTTGTTGGATATGATGGCTGGGTATGACGTTGGTGGTAAGATAAGGTTTGGTCGTCATTGATAGTTCATCAGTATGTGTAGTATTGGGTATAGGTTCTTGCAATGGCATAAAACAAGAGACTATATAAGATCAAATATAATTATATATTAGAGAGTATGTCAAAAAAAAAGTGTTTGTATGTGTGTGGGAAAGAACGGGAAGTTTTCTCGAGTTTACCTTTTGTTGTTGTTGTTGTTGTTTTTTCGAAAATAATACAGAGGTCGGATGAGAAAATAAAAATGTTACTGTAAATGATAAAATATATATTTATTATCATTAAAAAAAAAGGATCGAGTTAATTATGTTCAATAAAATACTTTTAAATAAGCCAAGCTTTTTTTTTTTTTTAATGAAACTTACAGCAATATATAGTTGAGGAAAAGATGGGATCAAAATAAGACGATGTAATATGAAGTGATGGTGAATATATAAACAGTAGTTAATTTTTTATACAAACTATAAAAATAAGTAATGCAGGAAAAAAAAAAAAGGAATTTGTTGTTTTAGTATCGAGAAATTCTTCGAGTTATTTTTTTTTTCATATTTAGTTTCATGTTTTTGGTACTGACCAATTGTAATAAACTGATAAAACAAAAAAATTTGATAAAAGATAGTTGTTGAGAAAGAGGAAGAAAAGAAAGAAAAAAGAGAAGGAAGGATTATGATGAAATAAGTAGAAAGAGAGAATAAAGTAATAATAATAATAATAATAATAAAAAAAAAAGGGAAGAAAGAAAAAGAAAGAAAAAAAAAAAGCAAAGCATAAAGAAATTGTAACTCGCCATTTTATGATGTCATACAAGTGGAGTCGAAAAATCATTAAGCTACGGGAACTGTGCTACAAAGATTCAATTTAGCATTGTCAAAAACTACTATTTAATATAATAATAAAGAAAGAAAAAAAAACAAGTCAAATTATTTACAAAATCAAATAATTGTATATATTTTATTATAATAATCTAATCTATCTTATTTTGATACTACAATACACATATTTCGAGGAGATGCTAAGGAATCAAATAATGGCCACATCCAAACACCTTTGTTCTTACTATCAGTACTTTCCACCAAAGATTTTAAGTATATCCATCGATCTATCAAGATGAGACTTTCTAATACAGGTGCCAATAATACTCTTAATGTCCATAATACAATGATCTGTTTGTCAACATGTTGATCCTTATACAATTGATAATATTCTTCAGCTTCTTCTTCAGTAATAACTTCAGATCCATAATCCAATCGTTTCATCGCCGTTTGATAATATTGAAGGTATGTCTTTTTCCGTTTAATCATTCCAATTGGAGGTGCCTTCTTTGCCAATCCTTTATCAACAATAGTATGCTAGAGATGAAAAAAAAAAAAGAAAAAAGATAAAACACAATCCATCTTTTTTTTTCACTATTCTTACCAATAAAACCGCCCGATAAAAATATTGATTGAAAGATTGCTGTCCAATGATCGGATCAGTCCATTTTGAAGGTGATTGACAGGCTAATACCCGGGCACTATTTCCTAATTGATAACCTTTTTTTTTCAATCCATCACTCATTGGAAATCCCGGTTGAGGTCCATCTTCAGATAAAAAGTGATAGCAGCAACCAACATTCACCAACCATTTGATTTGATTACTTTCAGCAAATAAACGAAACATAGAAGTTGATAAATCACCACATGTATGTAAACCACATACAATCCAATCATTGTTTTTGTCTTCTTGATTCACTGTCCATCTTGAGAGTACTTGTCCAACGTTATCAGGAGTCACCATTTCAGTAACATGTTTGAGATTCTCTTGACTGACAGAAATGGTATCATCATTGTCATTGTTGTTTTTGTTACCAGATATAGATAACGCCTTAATAGCTCGTTGATCAAATCGTTCAGCCCCCTTTGTTTGTATTTCACTCATGTCCACAGCAAGCACTCGCATTCCATGTTTAAACGCCAAAATTCGAGAAAGATAACCTTGACCTGATCCAAGATCCAGTACTTGAGAAACATGATGTTCATCACCCACAGTTTTGATTAGTTTAGCTAATAGTTCTACTTCATGTATTTTTTTGTCTGACATGCCGCCTGCTAACGTATGCTTATCCACCTTGGCTAGATCGTCTTTTTTTTTTAATAATAATAAGAGATTGAGTACTTGACAAATAATATTATAAAAGATTCGATCAATACCTACCAATAGTTTGTGAGTGCATTCTAGGTAAAGGTAATTCTTTCACCAATTGAAGGTATTCTTTTAAAGAAGGAGGCCAATCATTCTATTGAAATAATAACAAAAGTGATTATTATATAAACATTATTTTGATAGAGTCACTTGCATTAATGTAAGTACCACTGGTTAATTTTAATATTGAAATAAACCAATCTTGATAAGTTTGTTCATTGTCAAAAGTGTCAGGTAATAAAGCTTTTCTCCAAGATGGATCTAATAATTCCCAAAGATTCAAAGTAATAAAGTCGCCTACATGAAGATCAGCAAGCCAACGATATTTTTCTAAAAATTGTTCAAGTGTTTCTAAATATTCTATTGGTGTAAGATGTGAATAAGAAGGAGGTAATAAAATTTCTTGTTCAGGTAAGATCATGATAATAATAAAAAAAGAAAAAAAAAAAAAAAAGAACAAAAGAAAAATAGAAAAAAAAATCAGGGAATTTGAATTCCCCGTATAACTTTATTTTTACCATTTGATAGTTTCGGGGAAGAATTCATCAATAAGATTTAAATAGTAAGATTTCAATTGATTGATATCAGGTGTTTCTTCAGCTTTAGAATAAAGATCATATTGATTAAATTGTTTTACCCATTTCATCATTTGATGATCTTCTTCATTCATTAACCAAGCATATTCATTTTCAGTATGACAAGAATAAAATGAATGAAATCGAATGATATAAAGAGCTTCCTTGGGTAAATAATCTTTACAAACATGATATAAATATTCATCATGACCAAATGACATATGAACATTATTTAATCCACAATGAGGTGAATAAATACCATATTTACTCGTATACTTTTGAGAATCAGGATTTTCTTTAAAATAATGAGGATAAACGATTTTAGATGAAAATTGACAACCAACTGGAAATGTATCACCAACAACCTAATAATAAAAAAAAAAAAATGAGTAAAAAAAAAAAAAAAAATATATTTTACCGTCCATTGAGGTTCACCACAAACAGCTAACCATTTTCCAAGATCATGAATAAGCGATGTAAGAATCATCCATCTAGGTTGATTATCACGTCTTGCTGCTTCGGCTGATTGTAATGAATGCATAATTTGAGACAATTCAGTATCAGGATCCGATTCATCTACAAATTTATCCAAGATTTCCATCACTTGCCAAATACCCATAGATGTCTTTCTAGCTTCATCATCACAATATTTTTTCTTTTGAGCCAATACATGATCTAATGTTTGATGAATATGATTTAATCGATAAAATTCAGCAATACTTGGTTGTGTTGTATCTGCTTTAGAATAATCTCTAAAAGCATCTGCTGGTTTAGTTGATTTTGACCAATTAGTAGCACCTTGTTGTTGGAGCGATTCAACTAATCCAGTATTAGGAAATAATGAATTAAGATTTCTCATTGATGATTGTTTAATAAAAAAAAAAAAAAAAAAAAAGAAAGGAAGAAAAAAAAAAAACAACAACAAATGATCATATCCTTTTTATAACAAAAAAAAAAAAAAGAGTTATCCCGCGGGACTCATTCATCATCAAGTAAAAAAAAAAAAAAAGTGAGTTTATCATTTCCCGCGCCTTAAAAGTTAGATCAAGAGTTTATTTTTATCATGGTTCTTATGTTAATGCATCAATTAGGTTGACCTTTTTTCCCTCCATTCTTCCCTTATTCTAGGGAGATTCCCTTTTTGGAGGCTTTGTACCACTCACAATGAACCGGGGAATGAAAATGATCTTACCCAAGTAGGTGGAGCCTTGGCTTGCTCAACTTTTTTTTTTTTCTTTCTTCTCTTTTATTTCTTTTTCAAGCTATGGCCGAAGAAGAAGAAAATAAAACGAAACGTCCTGAAAGTAAAATAACAATAATAATTAAAAATAATATAATAAAACGATTCTTTATAATTCATTGAACTCAAATATATCTTTTTTTTTTGTGTTTTAGATGGACCTTTTCGACAACAAAGACTTCCTGCTTGGCAACCAGTTCTTATACCTCGAAATGTATTACCAACATTATTCATCTTTGGTATTATATTTTGTCCTATCGGTGGTTTACTTTATTGGAATAGTAATAAGGTAAATAATAATATAAAAGTTTTTTTTTTTTTTTTGTTTAAATAAATGGAACTAATTTTTTATTTTTTTTCTTTTGTAATAGGTTAATGAAATCATGATCAATTATTCATATTGTGAACAATACAATCAACCAGTCTATTTAGCCAATACATTATATGAATATCAGTTCAATAATGATATAGATATAAAAAATATGGAACCACCAGCTTATCATGTACAAAATACTTCTACTTTTTTGGATCCTTCTTGGCAAAATCCCAATAACCTTTCCATTCCACAATGTATTCTTGATTTCACTGTACCTTCTACTATGGTTGGTCCTATTTATATGTATTATCGTCTCACCAACTTTTATCAAAATCATCGACTTTATATCAAAAATTTGGATACTAGTCAACTTTTAGGTGAAGCTTCTTCAGGTTCAACTTTCCATACCAATTGTGATCCTTTAGCAAGTAATGATGATGGACTTTTGATATATCCTTGTGGTTTGATTGCCAATTCTATGTTCAATGGTAAGTCATTATATAATATAAAGAAACTTTATTTAAATATTTATTTTATACGAATAGATACGGCATCCAATTTGACATTAATTAGCAATAATGATAACTCACAGCAACAACAATACAATTTTAGTACATCCAACATTGCATGGCCTACCGATAAACAAAAGTATAAACCAACTCAATATAAAATTTCACAAATTGTTCCTCCTCCCAATTGGGCTAAACGATATCCAAATGGAAGATATGATGATCAACACCCTCCACCTGATTTATCAACTATGGAACGATTTATGGTTTGGATGCATGTAGCAGCTTTACCTGATTTTCGAAAATTCTGGGCTAGAAATGATAATGATGATTTAATAGCTGGTCGTTGGCGTATTATGATTGATATGAGTAAGTTTGATTTAAATATATATATATCTTTAACTATATTTGTTATTTTGATGATAGATTTTGATACATTACAATATGATGGAACAAAATGGTTAGTACTTTCAACAACTACTTCTCTTGGTGGACGAAATCCTTACTTGGGTATTGCTTACTTGTCCATTGGTGCTTTATGCTTGTTATTAGGACTTATCTTTACTATTAGACATCTCATTAAACCAAGGTAAATGCGATGATGGAATGAATGAATGATCATTAATAATTTTTTTGTTATTTATTTTAGAAAATTGGGTGATCCAGCTTACTTATCTTGGAATCAACCTGGTGGTGGACTTCCTAAAAACAAGAGAGCCAAGCATTTACACAAAGAATAGACTTTTTATTATTATTTTTATTATTATTATCATTGTTAGTTACTTAGTGAAACACAATAAAGTTTTTGCCTTTTTTTTTTCCAATACTTTAATGCATAACCAATCGGAATTTCTCCATATACGTTTCAAAACGCAAGGATAGTCAAACTCCCTTTTTTTTTTTTCTTTCCCTACCTTTTTTTTTTCCTTTCTTTCTTTTGCTTCCTTTATATGATGACTAGGCTAACATTGTTCCTAGTGTCTACTTGTATCTATTTCCTTATTATCTTGCCATTAACAGTGGAGGGACTTCAAAGTTATTGTATTTCAGGATTCAAACCAAAACCGGGAACCGACTACCAGTTGGACTTGTCAAGACTGAATAAGTATAAAATGTCCCTTTTTTTTTAATTGAACGTAGCTCATACTTTTGTATTATTAGAGAATTTCTTATCTCTACAGAGATCGCGACTCATCCAAGCAGTACACAGATACGGACCCAGATCAACATTTGTGATGCATTACCTGATCAAGGAGGTGGCGATCCTGACAAGTGTGATACTGGAGCAGTAAGTAGAAATCCAATTGTAGTAGGTTATAAGATAATGATTTTTTTTTTGTAATAGTATGTGTGTAGACGTGAAGTATATGTCAAAAATGGTGTGGAATTTGTTGCTGTGGTGCAAAATATTGCTGGTGAATTCAAAGGGTAAGGCGTAAAGATGGATATCATGATACTATATTTCTATTCATTTACTCTCTTACTATTATTATTATTATTATTATTTTATTTTCATAGCTCCAATTTCAAACCTGAATTCAAAATACTAGGATCTGACGAGGATTTATCCAAAAGTAAGCGACCAACTATGGAATCATGATGATTATAGTTAAATATCCCTTTATATATATATATATATATATATATATATATCTTATTAGATGGCGTACAATATGCGTTAACACTGAATGGTGGACAGGAATTGGGACAACCACAATCAGCAAGTATTACTTTAGAATGTGATAATTCACAAGATAGAAACGTAAGTGAATAGTAAGCAAAAAGAAAAAAAAAAAAAGACAAAAGGATGATGTGAGAGGGAAACATGGTGATGATATCGACCATAGACACCATTTTGATTTTAATAACATGATCTTACAAATCTTTTTAATATAGGCTGCCAATCCTTCTCTTCCAATACTTGTTTCGTATCAAAACAACGTCTTGTCTCTCTCTTGGAAAACAGTTCATGCTTGTGCGTAAGTTCCCAACAATAACTTGCTTGAAATTCAATGACTTATTCACATTGTGACTCTGATTTTTCATTATATGATTATGTTAGGTTCAAACCTGGTGAAAAGGTCCCAGATCATGATACCTCCAGTGGCTCATCCGTAGCTACATTTTTCAAGATGTAAGTTTATACATGACAAAAAAAAAAAAAGAAAAAAAAAAGGAAGAGGGAACGATGATGATGGTGATGATGAACTAACAGGTGTTTTCTATATAGTATTCTTATTCTGGGTTTGATTTACTTTATCGGTGGTGCTTTTTACAACTTTACTCAATACAATGCTCGTGGATTGGATTTAATTCCTCATCGTGGTAAGAAAGTGGTCCTATCCAGAACCTTCTCTTTCTCTCTCTCATTTTATATGTGTACGAATTGAGCTCACTATCTTTTTTTTTTCACTATTTAGACTTTTGGCTTGATCTACCATATGTTATCAGGGTAAGATGTTTCTATTTTGATAAGACTTTAGAAAAATATCAATCAACTCATTTTCATTATCCTCCCTTTTGTTAATTCTTTTTTTTTTTTATTAGGATTTGATTTCGCATGTAAAAGATTCTATCCTTAGTCGACGACCCGGTGGATCTGGGGGTGGTTATGTATCTGTCTAGTGGATTTTTTGTTGTACTCGTTTATTATCATCATTTCCATCATGATGATCTTGATTTTTATTGTTATTTTACTTTTTATTTTTTTTACTATCATCTTTTTACTGTTATTAACTATTAAATAAACTTATTTGTTTTATAAAATCAAAAGAATTTGTAAATGTGGAACAACAAGAAAAAAAAATTGTGTCTTATGGGATGGCTAAGCATATCATCATGATGATAGCTATGATATGACTGATTTTTATCATAATGCTGATGATGATCGTTTGATAAAAAAAAAAAAAAGGATGACACCTACTTTATTTCGTTTGGCACTGATAAAAAATAAAATCAAACAAAAAAAAAATTGAACTAAATTAAAATGAAGAATGAAATGAAGGTAAATAATATATAAAACAATATAAAGTAAGAAATAAAAAAAAAAAGTAGAAGAAGAGAATGCATGTGTGTGTGTGTGAGAGAGAGAAGAGAAATAATCACAAAACGGGAAAACTAATCTTATGACACCGGTATAAACATATTCTTGGCTCGCTGTAATCGTTTGCATAGAGGTATGTACATGCAAGGTCGTGAGGTACTTGATGAACTGCTTTCAGTGGTGATGTCTTGTTGTTCAGTGATACGTTCTTCTTCCATCATTGTAGTTCCTTCTTGTTGTTGTTGTTCCGCTTCTAATCGACATCGTAAAACATGTTGTACTGATGCACAAACATACATCTTGAGGTATTTTTGGAAACAAGCCATTTGACTGTTGACAAAAGTTGTCACTGCACACTTTCCATCCAATTCATAATCGTTATTATTGTTGTTGTTGTTGTTGTCATCGTCATCTGCATCACTATCATCATCATTTTCGGTATCGATATTTTTATCGTTGTCATGATCCAAATGGTCTTCTTCTTCTGCATATTGTGTGATCATTTTGCTGTTTCTTCTTGTATTGACAAATGGCTGTAGTAGTTCCCAGATCTTCAAAACGTCCTTATCGTTGATATCAGATACAGATGAATGGGGTGATAATCCAGGGGAAGAAATGCCTTTGAGATCAAATGGATGATTGTTACTATTCCCATTATTATTGTTGTTGTTGTTTTTTGTCGATAACGGCAAGTTGAGTTTAAGGAGATCATTTGTGGACAATGACATGGTGTGACCAATGACAATGGACATCAAGGATGGAGCAAGTAATGGGTAACGTTGGAAAGTATCCTTGACATTAATGTTGTTGTAAGGTACAAGTTGTGATTGTTCGTTTGATTTTGATAATACTTGATTCACATCCCAATCTGGCATCATAGCGTGTGATAGATACATGTCGTGTATATTGGATTCCGAGATAGGCATAGTCCAAATAGTAGGCACAGAAGATACTTCTTGTTGTTGTTCTTGTTGTGGTTGTTGTTGTGTAATATCTGGTGTTTGAGTGAGCAATGATGTATGATGATAAGAGTAATCATGAAGGAAAAGATCTGGTGGTGATGCAGAAGAAGAATCAGAGGATAAGGCATGCACAGTACCAGGAGATAATTCAAATGAAGATAAATTGCTTGAAGAGCTCGTTCCAGGAAGAGAAGTTGGAGTAGGAGACGTCTTGTGATCGAATTGATGAAGTAAATTGGTGGGAGATGTCTTGGCTGCAGGATTGATACCTTCTTCATATAAAACCAAATCCAATCGTAATTGTTTATTTTCTTCTTCCAATTTGCCCACTTTATTTCGAAGAGTAGTTAATTCTTGCTGTAGTTGTTTGTTTTCTGATTTGCATTCATCTAATTCCTCTTCCAAAGTCGTTATATATTCTATTGAAACACAATGCGATATATATTAATATAAGGTAACACAAAAAAATGAAGTTGGTATATCAATTTATAATTTTACCTTTTCGACGATTACGGAAGTTGCGAGCTGATATCTTGTTGCGTAGTTGTCGTCTTTCCTTCGGTGACATTGCCTTCAACTGACTTTCTGGTACTTGATCAGTCATACTTGGTCGAAAATCAAGTCGTCCGGATAAAGGTTCGGCCCCATGAGATTTTGCCTTTTTTGTTCGTTTGGTATGAGCCAGGGTCAATGGTTGGTCGCCTTCCATTAATTGTACAGGTCGTTTGGATTGTTGTAGTTGTTTTTCATTATGACTTGGTCGAGTTGTTGTGGTTTCTTTTTTGTCCATAACATGTTCCACTTCGTCCCCCAAATAGAGTTGAAAAAGGTCGGAATTCGTTAGGTCTTCAGTCTGGTTAAGCAGTGTGGGAACAGAAGTCGATAGTTGTTGGGGTAATGTTTGAGATGAGTAAGCAAAGAGTGGTCCGTTTGTTTGCCCTGTTTCCGTATCTAATTGTAATATCCAATCAATAATGGGATCCTTGTTGTCGTTTTCCATCGTTATAAACACTTGTTCAGTAAAAATAGAAAAAGAGAGAAAAAAAAAAAAAAGGGGGGGGGAAGAAAAAAATTTAAAAAAAAGAAAAAAATACAATATTCAGCTCAGCACTTTTTTTTTTTTTTTTAAAAAAAGATGAAGATGAGGGTTGTCTAGAGCGAATTCCCAGGCGTGGTTTTAAAAAAGTTTCATATGCTTAGTAGTACGAAGGTGATGATCGACGGTAATGGTGATGGATGATGATATGATAGATATATAATCATCATTAAAAATGATATTAACTCTAGAAATAATTTTTGACATAATAATACAATAATGATATTTTGATAATTGAAGTAAAATCGCTACAAAGATGATGTAAAACCAAAATGACAAGATAAGGAAGGTATCATCATCATCTATTATACATGTACACTGTTATTTCTCTTTTTTTCTTTTTTCTTTTCTACGCTGTGATTACAGAGACCTATTTGCATTGAGATTCAAACGTATTTGTGGTGATCCTTTTTTTTTATTACGGAAACGGGTGGTGCTGATGATTAATGATATGTGAAAGAAAGGGTGGGAAGGTATGAATATCGGAAGTGAGAGATGGTTGATCATCCATTGATTTTTTTTTTTTATTCTACTGTACTTACCCATCTTTAACAACGAATTTTAGGGCAATCGTTGCTAACGATGATGATTGGATGGCAATGTTGATTCTCATTTTTTTCAATTTACTCTATAAATACAATGATAATCTATGAATCGCATAATGCAAATTGAAAGAAAATGGTTTCTTTTACGTTATTACCAGATTTGGTATAATGATGATGACTTTTGAACGAAAGAGAAAAAGTCAAAGTTTGTTCGCCTGTTTGTACACAGAATGAAAAAATGGGATTCATTTCTCGATTCTACAGCCAAAATTTTCAAATTCCTCAGCCAAATTTAAGCTGTAAAAAGAAAATCGTCAGGGGGTCCTCAGGCAATTTTTCAAAAAATCGATGAAATCTTTTGTTGGTCATCGCACGTTTATGTGTCAAGATAAGTGATAAAATGACATTAGATGATATTTGACTACTTTTTTGGGAGGAATCTAATGGTGGTAATTTTATTGGATGATGATCATTATTGGATGAGAGATGACTGAATTGACTTTTATTTTTTAATTTACTCTATAAATTGGGAGGAGAGGTATAACTTGTTGTTAATACAAATGAAAGAGAATGACTTGCTCTATGTTCACTCCAAATTTGTTATGAGGATGATTATTTTTGAGCAAAATATGGAAGTAGAAAGACGTACATGACCGCATTTGATGCTAGAATGCAAAAAAAAAAACAGTTCGAATTTTTTGATGAATAAGCCAAAGAGAGATCAGAGAAGCTACTAAAAAAAAAAGATAGATGAATCAATAAATGTATAAAAAGTTGGTATATAATGATTATGATGAACAAAGTGTCAAACGCATAAAAGTTACTCTCAATTGAACGAATTGGATTCCTGAGACAACTATTGAAAAAGCTATACGGACTTTGAATCTTGAAAAAGGTTGTTTCTTTTTTTTTTTTATCGTCGCAGTTGATGCCTACTTTCTTCTCCCTTTTTTATAACAACATCATAAAAAGATGCAGTCGAACAATGGATCAATACAGAAATCAGGGATGAATGGAAATACAAAGAAACTTCCTCTAGGATCAAAACCAAAAAATCAATATTTTAGCAACAGCAGAAGAGTTGCACTGGACGATGATTCAGACGATGAGGACACTGAACAAGTGGAATTGGTACATGGATTTGAAAACAACAAAGCCAAAGAGTAAGTTATTTACAAAACATACAGATAAAAAAAAAAAACAGGTAAACTGACTCTTCTTTTTATTTTACATCTAGAGTTAATCCTAAAAAAGAAGCGAAACCTTTATCTATAGCACCATTGGCAAATGCGGACTGGAGAGCATTAGCAAAGCAAAAAAGAGAATTGTATATGCCTGTGCGGGCACAGGATCAAACTCCAACAAGTCAAGAACCTGAAGTGATATCACAGACAGTATCTTCTTTTGGCCTACAAGTACCAACAAGAACAACTCTAACAGCAAGAGAACAGCAAGATATTACCACTACCACTACTACAGCAACAGCAACGACGACGATGTCTAGTTCACAAGCCATTGAAACCTCGGTCACCAATGTAGATGGAAAAGATTCTTTCAAATCATTAGAACAACAAGCCATAGAAGCCATTATCAAAGGTAAGTAAAGAAAAACAAAAAGTTATTGAAAGAGTTGGTCAAGTAGACTAATATTTATATATAATAGAATCTACTGAAGATGACAATGATGATCAAACTGGTCCAGCTCTTGTAATTCCAGCCAATGAAACTGAGTCTTTCCGTAATGATGTACGAAATCGACCTGATGAAACAACCATGGAAGATTATGAAAATATGCCTGTAGAAGAATTTGGAGCTGCTCTTTTACGTGGACTTGGATGGAATCAAGGTGAAGGTATTGGACGAAATAGAAAAAATATAACGTAAGTCTGATATATATTATTAAAAAAAAAAAAAGAAGTTGAAAGAAATCAAGGTTGTTTAATTTCTAACACATGTGTTTTTTTCCCCTTTATATCTAAATGAAAATATATAGACCTCCCGTAATGACACCTATCAAACAACGAGATGCTCTTTTGGGATTAGGTGCTAAACCTCAAGAAGTTAGTGATGACAAAGACAAGAAATCACATCATAAGAAGGCTGGGTATGAATACAAGGAATCAAGTTTATTCAAGAAAATTTCAAAACGACGAATGGATGAACAAGCAGATGATAGTGATCATAGACGACAACGTGAATCATCAAGTCATAGGGAACGAAGCAGATCATCTTCATCTTCACGACATGATCGCCATAGTCGTCGACAAAGAAGATCAAGAAGTCGATCGTCATCACCTCGGCGACGTAGCACTAGTAGTAGTAGTAGTAGGAATAGTAGTACCAGTAGATCATCTTCCAAACGTTACAGTGATCGATCGCGTGATTATTAGATTAGATTGTTAGAGTTTGTGATAGTTATTTGATTCTTATTGGTTTGAAAAAATAAAATGAAATAAAAAAAAGTTTTTTTTTTTTTATATGTATATTGACTTTTTTTGTGTATTTTTTATTGTAATAATAAAGAGTTAGGAAATTCAAATTAAGGTTAGTATCCTATTACATCAACGATGGCGTTTACACCTTCTTTGTTCATTATTGCGGTGATTGTTCAATGATAATGGGTTTTATTGGACATCAAAGAGGCAATGATCATACGAATTAAAAGTCAGTAAACGATTTCTCAATCTGACGAAGCTATGGCGCAATCGACTTCTTCTGTCAAGTTTGCATATTTAAACTCCATCTTTTTTCTTTATCTCTTTCACTTTTATCTTTCTTTTTTTTTTTTTTCCTTTTTTATTTATACTTTTTTTTTTTTTGATACTTCATATATTTTCATGATGACAAGAGAAAAACAAGAAGAACTCTTTGTCGATTATGAACAAGTATCTTATAAACAAGAAACTGAACGGTTTTTGAAAGAGTTACCTCATTATACTCAAGAATATGTGGTGGGCCTTTTTCCTATAGCCTCATGGATTAGACGATATAATCTTTTGGTAAAAATATGATAAAATAACAATATTTTGTATAATACTTATTATCTTTTTTATTTTTAATAGTGGATGGTACGTGATCTTATTGCTGGTATTACAGTAGGTATCGTAGTTGTACCTCAATCTATGGCTTATGCAAAAATCGCTATGTTACCTCCTCAATATGGTTTATAGTAAGTTATCAATCATACATATGTATACGATATAATCATTATTAAATTTAATTATATTTTTTTTTTTATTTAATAGTACTGCTTTTGTTGGTCTTTGTGTCTATTGTTTATTCGCAACTTCTAAAGATATTTCTATTGGTCCTACTGGTAATACTAATAATAAAAAAAAAAGACTATTGATGATAACAAGTTTTAAAATTGGAAACTCATCCTTTTTTTTTTTTTCTTTAGCTGTCATGTCATTATTAGTTGGTCAAACCATTACACGTATCACTGCTGAATCATCCACAATTACAGCAACTGAAATTGCAGTTGCATTTTCATTATTGACTGGTGCTATTGCTATGTTTCTTGGTCTAGTGCGACTTGGTATCTTGGTGGACTTTATTCCAGGTAACGTGATCAAAATAAAAATAAACTCTGATAACCTTGAATTACTTTAACCTTATTTCTCCATTTTGTCCTATTCTTTTTTTTTATAGCTTGTTCTATTGCTGGCTTTATGACAGGTAACATTGAAAAAAAAATCTCTCCAGGAATAGGATAAATTAAATAACCGTTTCTTTTTTTTTTAAAAAAAAAAAAAATACAAAAGGTTCGGCTATTACGATTACAATTGGTCAAGTAAGTATTTTTTTTTTAAAAAAAAAAAAAAATAAACGATGATTACTGTCTATCAATGTTTCTCATCATCGTGATCTTTTCTTCTTTCCATTGAACAATAGTGGCCTAAATTATTCGGTATAAAGAATATCAACACTCAAGATTCAACCTACCTCATTTTTGGCAACTTTTTCAAGAATTTACCAAACACAAAAATAGATGTCGCCTTTGGATTGGTTAGTTTAGTTTGGCTCTATGGTGTCCGATATGGCTGTCAATATCTTTCCAAACGCTATCCCAAATATAGCACACATCTCTTCTTCTTTAGTATTATGCGTAATGGTATTCTTGTCATCGTTGGTACTTTGATTGCCTTCCTCATCAATATTGGTAAAACCACTTCGCCCATTAGTATTCTCAAAACGGTTCCTGCTGGTTTCCAGGCCATGGGTGTACCTCGTATCGATGGTGATGTCGTCAGTTCTATTGCCTCTTCTTTACCTTCTGGTGTGATCATTTTGATTTTGGAACACGTTGCTATTGCAAAATCTTTTGGTCGGATCAATAACTATACTATTAATCCTGATCAAGAAATCATCGCTATTGGTTTTACAAATATTTGGGCTTCTTTCTTTGGGTAAGTAAATATTCTCTCTTTTTTTTTTTTTTTTTTTTTTTTTTTTTTTTTTGTTATTTGATTTCTCATTCTTTATTTTATTTCTAGTGCCTATCCATCTACTGGATCATTCTCTCGTACTGCTATTAAAGCTAGATCTGGTGTCAAAACTCCCATTGCTGGTATTTTTTCTGCTCTTGTTGTGGTGCTCGCTTTATATGCTTTGACTCCTGCTTTCTATTATATTCCTGATGCTGTTTTATCTGCAGTTGTGATCCATGCTGTGGCTGATCTTGTGTCTGGACCTAGTTACATCAAACGTCTTGCTTCAGTCAGTCTTTGGGAATTATTTGTATTTGTGGTGACGGTGATAGTGACCTTCTTCACTACGGTTGAATATGGTATCTATGCCTCTGTCGCATTATCTATTGTCATCCTCCTCTTCCGTATTGCTCGACCTCGATTCTGGGCATTGGGACGTGTACCACTTGCATCTGATCTACCAAAAGCTGCTGATGACAAATCATGCACTTCATCTCAGCAACGTTATCTTTATGTACCTCAAAATCATCCTTCCTTGGGCAAATTGGTGGAACCCTTACCTTCTGGTGTACTTATGTGCCGTGTAGATGAATCCTTTACTTATCCCAACTCTGGTTATATCTCGGACAAGATCATCGCATACTGCAAGGAAAATACTCGACGTGGAGGTGCTATATTGACCAAAGGTGACCGTGCTTGGAATGATGATGCCAATCCAGAAGTGGAAGCTGCTCGTGAACAATTACCTTTACTACATGCACTTATTTTGGATGTGGCTGGTGTGAACCGTCTTGATTCAAGTGGTCTCCAAGCTGTAGTCGATGCACAAGCCGCTCTGAATCGATTTGCTGGTCATCATGTGGAATTCCATTTTGTTAATATTGTCCATCCTGCTATTAGGCGAGCTCTGATTGTAGCCGGCTTTGGTACTCAGCCTATTCCTGGTCGTGAAGGTCAAGAAATTTTACCTGTGGTCCCTGCTTCCAAGGATGGTCCTCAACCACAACGACAACAACAACAACAAGAAGAAATAGAACAGCGACCTCGTGATTTGGAAGAACAAAATTACAGTTCAGGCGATGATGATGAAAAACCTCAACAAATTGAATCCGCCCCATCCTTTCATTCCAAGGCTGAATCCACCACTACTTTGTCCAATCCTATTCCTTTACCCAAAGATGTGTATCCCTTCTTCCATTGGAGTGCTGATGATGCCGTCAATGCAGCTGTTCGAACTTTGTCTGTACGATTATCTTTACAACAACAAGTAGATCAATGAAAACATTCCTGGTCTTTTATTTATTTATTTATTATTATTATTATTATCGTTGTATTATATCATATCAATTTTTTTATAGTTTTGTAGTATTATACCTTCCTTTACCTTCTTTTTTTTTTTTTAATAAACATTTATACACTTTTTTCTTTTTTGATGGAGGTTTTGGGCAACATTCACTCCTTTTACTGTTCTTGAACTTTGATCTTTCTTGTTTCATGTGGAAAACGGATTTAATAGTGAAGATAGTTTAATTAAAGTTTAATTGATTAGTGTGGAAGATCGACTGATGAATGCTATGTGATGATGGAGGGTTGGTAATGGACGAATGAATAATACGTTATGATGGGGTGATGATATGATAGAAAGATAAAGCAATAGTAACGATTGTGATAATTGATATACTGGTCGCTGTATTAAATACCCATTCACTTGGAATAAGAAAAAATCTGGTTTGCTCATCATCATAACGTCAACTAAGACATAGAGATTATAAATACTACAAAGAGTGATCATCATCATCGTCATCATATCATAAAACAAAGAGTCTCTAAAGAGATTTTAACAGAACATAAATGTTTTATAATTTCTTTTATTGTAAAATATATCTAAACTAATGGGATATATATATATATATATATATATATAAAATAAGATACATATAAGTTGATGATAAAAAAAAAAAGGTAAATTTATTGATAAAACTTCTCTTTTGCTAAAATCAAATCTACCAAATCCATATTTGTAGGACAATCAATCCCACGAGTTTTTGCCAACCTGCATAAATAACCATTGATATAATTGATTTCCGTTTTCCGTCCTGCCTTGATATCTTGAAGCATAGAGCACGTATTTCCAGCCGCCACACGACAACTAGTGATCACCATGTCGATCAATGAAGCTGCAGTTTCACCAGGCATGTCGTCACCCAAAATAGCAATCACTTCTTCACATACCCTATGCATGAGTCGAATCGCATGAGGATTATCGTCCACCAATCCACCATTTTTTATATTGAGAATAGAGGCCACAGGATTGATGGTTGCATTCACTACCAATTTCTTCAGCATACGAGAATAAAGATCTTGCCAGGACAACGTGATCGCTTGCATGATTGGTATATCTTGTAGTGTTTGTGCCAAAGGGGAAGGCTCTGTTTGCTTACCATATTCACCCATCATCAATCCACCTTCAGGATCGTTCCAACCAGAATGATGAATAATATGAAAAGGTGCCAATCGTTCTGCAGCATGTCGATTCACACCAATGAATAATCGTGGATGTTGTTGTTGAGACCAATATTTAGATTCCAATTCTTCCACTATTCCCATTCCATTTTGTAAAAGTAACACCGAGCTATCGGACTTAAGGTGTCCTACCACTGATCCAAGGGCTTCAGCAGTATGATGTGCTTTTGTCGCTACCACAAGGTTTTCAATCAATGGTATATTTTTGTCTCCAAGTACGCTAGCAGTGAATCCATCGATTTCAGTTGTTTTCCCTTGACATTCGTATGTAATGGTGTTTTTACGCGCTTGAAAGTCTTTCAGGTGTTGTTGAGACCGAAGTAGTAAGTTAACATTGAGTTTTTGAAGACGAAGTTGACTAGCAAGAAGACAACCAATAGCACCTGTTCCCAAAACGTTCCATTGCATTGTCAATAAAAAAAAATAAAAAATAAATAAATAACAAGTAGTATAAAGTGAATAGAAAGAAAGAAAAAAAAATAAAGTCTTCACCAATAAATACGAATACTTTATATACCTTTTGAAGAAGTTTTATAAAAAAAAAAAAAAGAAAGAAAGAAAGAAAAAAAAAGGAAAAGTCGAATATATTGCTTCTTTTTTTCCTTTTCATTGGATGCGGTAAATGAAAATAAAAAGCATATCCAAGATGCTGGGTGGATGCCCCTTGTAGAGCCAAAGCTAAAAAAAAAAAGTGTGGCTTGTTATATTTCAGATAAGAAAAGATATTGTCTTTTCCTTTTCCTTTTTTTTTTTTTTTTTGTTCTTACAATTTTATTATATATCATGTCACAACAAGCAGCACGTCAAGAAATTCATGCTCTTTATCGTAATTATTTACGTCTTGTACGCGATTGGCCAGCAGATAAAGTTCGACCTAACAGAGATATGAAGCAAATCCTTACAACACGAGTAGAAGAAACCTTCCGAAAACCATTACAGTATGAAAACGAACCTTTCGACCTTGCTGAGGCTAAGAAACAATTAGATGCTCTTGAACGACTTTTAAACAATGAATTTAAACAAAAGGTAAAAAAAAAAAAAAAAAAAAAAAAAGGAAAAAAAAAACTTTATGTAACTAAACTAATGTATTACCAACATAGTATCCTTTATCGGACAAAATTCTTTCTCCAGCTGGTAATCCCAATTATTACTCATCTCTGTTATCGTCTCTAAGTGCTACAAAAGATGGAAAGAAGACTGGAATATCAAGATTCTTTGGAAACTAGAAGACCATGCAAACCAAACGACGAATCATTGTCACACACACACACAGATATTCATATATATACACACATATCTTTCATTTTTTATCATTGATTTTATACATGTACCCCTTTTTCATCCTGTTGGATTAAATTTAGTATATCATTTTTTTTTTATCCATTATTTCTTACTTATCTTTCCTTTCTTCCTCACAATCAATGTTTTTTTTTGTATAATAAACGATCTATAGCGCCTTTTTTCCCAGAATGGAATATTAGGTTAATATTTTTTTCCCTCAGACGGAACATTTGTTTTTCCCACCATGATAAACTTTAAGGATCAACAAAAGAAGTCCAAAAAAAAAAAAAATCATGCAAACAAATTTTGCACTAATATGTTTCAAGATTATTGTCCATTAAAAATAAACTTTTCAGCGATATTGGATGCGAATAAAACGATAAAGTTCAAGAATTGGTATATCGTGGAAAAGAAACTTATTCATCGATCCCACCTCCCGATATGAACACCGACTACAGTATAAAAGTGTCATTTTTTTATTTCTTTCTTTCTTTTCCCACTTTTTTTTTTTTTTTTATTATTATTTCATCATGACTCTTCCTACTTATGATCAATTACCTATTGACTCAAAATACCCTGAAGGAACTGCTTGGGGTGTTTGGGGAGATGATGATAATTTGGGTACTTTGAATATTATTACTGAAGAAATCACTGCTGAAGTAAGTGGAACACGAAGATATATATAAAGGACATACGTTTACTTATCCATTTTTTTTTTTTTTAAAAAAAAAATTTATTTTACATAGGCATCAAAATATATCAAAAAAGGCAAAGTATTTCCTGTGAACTGGGAATTGGAAAAACCTTCACCAACATTGTTCACTCGACCTAGCGTTGTTCATCATTTCCATCCTTTCGCAGACGGTCTTGGTAATGATGACTCTTATGAAAACTTCAACACACAATCATCTACACAATGGGATGGTCTTGGTCATGTTGCTCATCTGAAAAGTGGGAAATTCTATAATAATGTGGATCCTACGGAAATTGGTGTCAAAGGAAAAGGTCGATTGGGGATTCATCATATGGCTCGAAAAGGCATCGCTACCCGCGCTGTGTTATTGGATTATGGTCGTTGGGCTGAAAAACACAAACCTGATTTTGATCCTTTCGAACGTATTGAAGTGTCTGTCGATGAATTGGAATTGGTGGCCAAGGCTCAAAACGTCACTTTCAAAACAGGCGATGTCTTGCTGGTGCGCTTCGGTTGGACGGCTAGGTACGAACAATTGGGTGATCAAGTCAAGGAATACATCAAGGATCCTGAACATCCTATCGCTTGTGGTATCAAGGCTTGCCCTGAAACTTTTGCTTGGATTTGGAATCATCACTTTGCTGCTGTTGGTGGCGACTGTCCTGCATTTGAAGCTTTTCCTCCTACTGATTGGACTCAATCTTGTCGTGAGTTACCTGGATGATAATTATTCCTTTTTTTTTTTTTTATTGATAACATTTTTTTTTTTGTATGCATGTTGTAGATCAATTTTTGTTAGGTGGTATTGGATGTCCTATTGGAGAAATGTTCTTTTTGGAAGCTGTTGCTGAAGATTGCGCCCAAGATAACGTATATGAATTCTTTTTTACCAGTGCTCCTTTGAACAAGTTTAAAGGTATCGCCTCTCCTCCTAATGCTCTCTGTATCAAATAGTTTTATAGTAGACCACAATTCATTTCTTCAATAAACATATTTTCATCATGTAATACGCATAATACTTAGCGATAAACATATGCCTGTATACTACCAATATCGTTCCACTGTCATTTAAACATCATTCCACATATTATGGTTGATCATCCATCATATATCATCACTACAAACCCAACATCAATTTTCCAAAATAAGTAGTTTATTATAATAAATATATATCAAGTTCGTAACCAATAAAGTGTAATAAGAATAATACATGTGGATATCACACATGCCATAATTAGAGTGTCCCGTTTTCGCCGTGTGTTGATTCGACTGATTAAATTGTTGATGCCTGGTATACGCCCTATTGAAACATAGACAGATGAGTACAAATTCCCTGTCCTTTTTTTTTTTTTTATTATTATTCCTTATTCTAAAATTTACCCATGACGCCAGTAACCCTAGAGTTGATTCCTTGAAGAGTTCTTCCTTGCCGAGATACATCTTGCCTTGTCGCATAAGCTTGTCTATTGAATGAATGAATAATAATAAAAAAAATCAGTGTGTTGCTTGATATCCATTCATTTCCTCTTCATCACTTACTCTAAAATCATATCTGTCATTCGATGTGAACTTTCAACACGATTTCGTTCCGTTAAATAATAATCCGTATTATCACCATTGCCAGCATTGAATATTCTAATTTCATCTTTTACTTGATTCATTAAATCTGCTTTGTCCCTTGCTGCCTTGATGTTTGCCTAAAGAAAATAACAATGAGTCCAAAATATTGACCTTTTTTTTTTTCCTTGAACATCTTTCTATTTTCTTTGTTACCTTGACTTTCCGGAATTCCTTGGTATAATCATAGAGTATATTCTTATGTCTTTCAAGCATATGGATCATGGACGGATTGGTGGGTGTAGCACTAGGTCGCTCCAATACTTGGCCCATTGAAGCAATGGTATCTTGAAGCTAAGAAGAAGGAATATATATATATATATAAAGTAAGAGAAATATCAAACCAGATTTCTTCTTCTTTTTTTCTGAGTGTGTCCATTTCATCACTTACATTATTTAGGAGTTGTTCAATTTCAACTTCTTGCCCTGCTTTATTATTACCATCTGATAAAGAAGTATCTTGTTGTTGTTGTCTTGCTGTGGTAGTAGCACCGATTTTTGAAAGAGAAGCTAGTTTAAGTTCTATTTCATTTTCCAACTGTCGTGCTTGGCGTCGTAACTGATCCCAAGATAATCCTTGTGTAGGTGTTGATATATCTGCTTCTTCGTCTAATAGGTCGTTTCTCATTAAGGGTGCTAATGTAGGAGACGATGATGAAGATCTTGTTCTGGATGCTGTTCTATTCATATTCACTGTAAAGAACAACTGTATTGCTAGATGGTATTTATATGAGCGAAAGAACCAAAAAAAAAAAATGTAATGACCAAGAAAAAATGAGAACATCTTAAAACACCGCTGATGCCAATGAAAGGTTATCAAATAAGATTCCTTTTTTTTATGTACTAAAATATTGATTATTGTGAATATGTGGATCAATATCGTTGCCATAACCATTGTAGAATCTACCCAAGAGCGTCCGAATGAATGTCAAAATGAAAATAAGCATCATAATAACGTTCATCATACTGTAAATTTACGAAATCATCATCCTATAAAAGCTTTAAAAGTATAATCATATACGCCATTGAATCCGTTATATTATAGAGATTGGATTGATTACAAAATTGCTTTATTTATTGTGATTTCAAATAACAAAAAAAAAAAAAAACAGATAAATATATATGTAAAAGTAGATAAATATGTACGAAGATAGCAAGAAAAAAAAATAAATAAATTGAGGGTGGTATAAAACAACATCTATGATACTATACTACTATTTCTTTTCTTTTTTTTCCTATTCATCTAAAGGGTATCCAAGAAGACCGCTTGTCACGTTTATCAACACTACATAAAATCATAAGAAAAAAAAAGGTGTCAGATATTGATATTCTTTGTTTCCCATTCATCTTTTTATTATTTTTAACCAATTACCCATCTTGAACGGATGCTGTTCCACCACGAAGAGGTTTGGCTATACGATTGAATCCATTGAAGGGAGTAGCAGCTGATTTCTGATTACTACGAGCTTGATCCAATCTATCACGTAACGCTTGCATTTGAGATTCAAATCTAAAGATGATTTCGATTTTCAATAAAATATTAATGACAATTTAAAAAAAGAGGTTCCTAATGAAATTTTACCGTTCAGTTTGTAGCTTCAACTTTTCCTGAGTATCATGTAATAAGGATTCCAGATTTTGAATACGTTCATTTCTTGCTGTCAATTTGCGTTCCGCCAGAGCCATTTCCTTTTTGAGATGAGAATTTTGTTCTACCAACTACAAACAAGAAAGTTAATCCGTGTTATCTACATGATACTTCGTTTTTTTTTTTTATTTTACCTGCTTTTGAACGTTGGTCAACTGATCCAGATTACGTTCCAAAAACACCATCTTCTTTTGTTGAGCCTTGTTGTTAGTCGCACGAAGCACATTGGCATATTGTTCCCTTGTTTCATCCAGAGATATTTCCAGATCTACAACACGTTCACATCTACTTTGTAAATCACGCATTAATGCTTTCTTCATCATTTCAAAGTCGGCCAATTGTTGAGTCATGGATTTCCTCATTGCTTCCACATCCTTGTCGGTAGTTGTTGTTGTATTTTCCGTCTTGTTAGGAGCTGGTGATGTTCCTTGATGTTGTGAGTTAGGTTGAGTTGAGATGAGATCCTAGCATCAATAAAAAGATGTAAGCTAATGTCTAAAGTGCACAATTCATTTTTTTTATTTTTTTGTATATAAAAGTTACCTGGAGTTCTTCATTAGCCATTTTCAATTCAGCAATTGCCAATGCCAATTTTCCTTCTTGTTCATCCTTTTGTTGAATTTGTTGCTTCAGGTCTTCCATTGCTTTTGCGTGTTGTTCACGTTTAGAGTTGTAATCTTGTTCTAATGCCGCTTTATGAGCTGAAAGGGCCTGCTCTTGTTGCTGAAGTTCTTCATCTGTGATCGCCTTCTCCAATAAAGCCTCGTATTCTGATTCCAAAGTACTGTAGGTTGCTTCCAGATTGATTTGTTTCTTGATCATCATATCCTTGTCAATGCCTAGTTCACGTATCACAGACTGATAATGATCCACCAGTGCTTTTGAGTCAGCCAACTCTTTTTGAAGCGTAACAATTTCGTTTGGTGTCATAGTAGGTTGATTAGATAAACGTTTCAAAGATTCATTGATGAGTTTTTCTTTTTCATTAATGACCAACTAAACAAAAAAAAAAAAGAAAAAGAAAAATTATATTAGACAAAAAAATGAGTTTCAATATATAAATATATATATATATCTTACCATTGGATCTGTAGGACTAGCGGTGGGTGATTCGGTCTTGATATTCCTATTGTCTTGTTGTTCTTGAAGCTTGGCTAATGTTTGTCGTAATCTATCCAATTCTTCTGCTAATTCTTGATTTGCTTCTTTGAGTGAATCGGCCGTGATTAATCCTTCTTTGTTTTCATACATGATTTTTTCTAGTTGAATTTTCGCTTCGCCAAGTTCAGATGTCATTTGCTGATTGTCTGTCTGTAGGGTTTTTTCGAGTTCTTTGCGTTGTTCCAATTCTTGTTGTAAATCCACAACATATTTTTCACGGTTGGCAAGTTCGGTTTCCTAATATTCATAGAAATAATAATAAATAAATGTTCAAAGTTAAAAAAAACAATCGATGATTTTTTTTTCTTTATTACCTTTTCCGAAATTTGTTCCAAAAGATCATTTTCCCGTTGTAAAAATTGATCACGTTCATCTTTTTCCAAAATGGCAGAAGGAGTAGAAGGACGAGAAGTATCATCATCCAATAAAGAAGCTTTAAGGCCAGGAGGAAAAGCATTGGTAGGACTAGTAGGGCTTTTGATATTGGTTGGATCAGATGTAGAGATGATTCCTTTATTAGCAGAAGAAGCAGAAGCCCATTGAGCTTCAGGAACCGTTCCTCCAGAGCGCCAGATGCCAATTTCACCTTCTAATGCAGCAATATAATGTTGATAAGACACAGTTTCCCCTTTGACTTTTTTCAATAATGCCTTGAGTTCAGCAGGAGATAAATCAGCATTCACCTTGGCTTTGTTCTTGATAGTCTTGGCTCTCATCCCAAATCGCAATGTTGAGATAGTTTCAGCTTCATTGTAAGAGGAAGGGGAGCAATTGATGATCAGGGTCGTACGTGAGTTACCACCAAGAGATTCTTGTAAAATACGTGTCAATTTGGAATCTCGATACGGAATATGGCTTGACTATACATATATATGGAGAATGGTTACTAATATATATGGTTTTGTCTATTCGTTATACCTTTCCATCCGTCAGAGAATTGATCACCATTCCAAGAGCCGTCAAAGATTTGTTGATTTTCTTTGCTTCTTCCAACGTTTGACCAGAGGCACCAGTTTTTCCAACCTAATATAAATAAATATAAGATCATACAAGAAAAGTCTAAAAAAAAAAATACCTTTTCTGATCCTGCCAAATCCACCAAATAAAGTTTACCACTTTTTGCTGCACCTGTGTCTATGTTCTTTTGAGTGATAGTCACTAAAACAAGGGAATGACTTCTAGAACTTTCAGCGTTCATATCTATAAAGATAATAAAAAAAAAAAAGATAGGATGAGTAAAAAAAAACAAAAAAAAAAGGTATAGATTAAAGTTGATTTACTTGTATAGGCCACCACACGATTACTTGCACCACGACGCATCACATCATAGACTTCTTCAGTAGATGAGACATAAACTTCAAGAACACCTTTGACATAGACACCTTTGACTTTATCTTCATGAATAGGGAGATTATCCATAGATGCTATATAATGTAATTCAAAAAAAAAAGGTACATTCATTAGAAAATATTTTATCATATCATAATAATAATAGTAATAATAATAATAACAAGAATAATGTGACTTACGATTTAAAAGATCTTTCACTTTTTCCATATAGATTTCCATATAAGAAGTTTTGACAGTAAATTCCATATTATCAGGTGCTAACATGATACTTTCAAAAATTTGCTCAACAATTCGAGGGATAATCCCTTTGTTTTCGGCATCATCAATATCAGAACCCTAAAACAAAGAGGATAATATTAAAAAAAAAAAATAGTTAACGATCATTGATCATTGAGAATATAGAAAGGAAAAAAAAAATTGATTACCATCATCGTAAATGTTTTTCCGGAACCAGTTTGTCCATATGCAAAGACAGTACCATTGTATCCAGCCACCACATCTAAAAAAAAAATCAAGTGTGTCGTGACGAAAGAAAATAAGTAACAAAAAAAGGAAATCAAGGGGTTTAATGGGGAAAGGAGTCAAAAAAAAAGGGGGTGAAGTTTGTTCTTTACCGTCAACGATAGATTTGATAGAATAGTCAAATATTTCTTGTTGCCTTGTTGTTGATCCAAACACTTTATCGAATGCATAATTGGATTGAGTTTCACCCTTTTATATCAAGTAAGCATATAAAAAGAATAAAAAGTAAATAATAAAAAGACAAGATAAATAAATCGATCATCATCATTGTCGTACCAAGTTTCTTTTTTTTTTATTTTTATTTTTTATTTTCTTACCTTTAAACTCACTGAAGTACCTTCATCGTCAATTTCTACAATAGGTACACCACCTTCCTTAATTTCAAGTTTGTTCTGTGGGCGAAAACGACAAACAACCTTGATATTATTTCCTGACATGGATTCTATATATAAAAGAAAAGAAAAAGAAGAGGAATATTGAGTATATATATATGTATATATCTAATAGACGCGTCTTATTCCAAGTACCTAGTAAATGTACAAACTATAGTAAAGAAAGGAGGAGGAAAAAAAAAAGCACTTACAGAAGAGTAGAAAGTAGTTTGGTATATAATATAAAAGTGATGATATGAATGTCTATATGGTAAATAAGATATTGATGTGGTATATTATACAAATGTTATAGGTAAGAAGATGGTGAGAGAAAAAGAAAAAAAGAGAAAAAAAGAGAGAGAGATAGAAAGGAAAGGCAAAAAAAAGAAAAAAAAATAGCAGGGATCTCAAAAATTTTCAAGCCAACTCAGCAGGTAAAATAGTTTAATAGATAACACAAAATGTTTCCAATAAATAAAAGAATAATTTTATTTTCTTACTACAATGTACGCATAATAATAGGAGAAAACATGACAACTAAATAACTAAAAAAAATGTGATAGATACATATATATATATATAAAAAGAAGAGAAATGTTCATATGTTGTGAATGTAACAGAAAAAAAAGATATACTAAAAGGTCATATATATCAATGAATAAAGAGACTGTGTATGTGTTCCATTTCTTTTATGCTATTGAGTTGGATACAGTGTCGATATTCACTTTTGTTATTAGTGCCATTATTTGCTGATGATCCAAGAGATATGAGTTGTGGTAAAGCTGGTATCTTGATCTTTGCAATTGTACGACTAGATTCAAAGTTCTATTTTCAGAAAAAAAAAAAAAGCATGAATCTTTTCGGAACAGAGAAAAATGACTTTTGATTATATTAATAAATTACCTTTGTCGTTGTCTTGTTTGATAAACTTGCTGATCCATTATTTTCGTGAGCCATGGATCGAATATTTTGCTGTAATTGATGTGTACGTTGCTTGAGTGTATAGAGAATACTTTGCTGTGCTTGGTATTGATAGCTGGGTGCTTTCTTGATGCTTTGCCATTGTTTTGTTGAAGAGGTATTGGAAAGTTCTACTAGTTTGGGACAAGCACTGGCTGATCGGATATCCTTTAGTAAACTGCGTGATTGACTAGCCATTGTTTGAATACGTTGAATCTTTTCCATATTGTCGTCGTTGTTATTATGCGTGATGATGGCAGGTAACTGATCCAGCTGTAAGCTTTTGACCAAATCTTGACTTTTCAATTGCGCATTTTCACTACGAAGGTATCGAATGGCTGCCTTGAGTGTTTGCATCTATGAATAAGAATAATAATAATAAAGAAAATTATTCATCAATTTCTCTCTATTCCAAGAGTTTATTCCTCCTATTAACAGTAACTTACATGACTATCCATCATTTGATATCCACCAGGTACATCATCAACCATGTCTGTTGTCGACGTTGTCATCGAATTCAAATCTGATCCATCATACGTAATCTTCTTCAATAAAGATTGTCGTTTTTCTTCCTTTTTGGCAGCATCCTTCTTAAGTTGAATATTTTCTTGTTCAAGAACATCATATTCCGCTTGTAGATTATCCATAGCTTCAACGTACATTTGCTCTTGACTGTGTGCTTTTTCAAGAGCAGCCTCTAGTTGTGAGAGTTGTTCTGCTTCCTTCTTTGCAAACTCCATTCGACGTTCTAATAGATCCACCTTGACACTTGCTTCTTGAAGAGATTGATCCTGAAAATAAAATATATAAGATGAATGAACGAGTCGAATAAATATTATAAGCTTAACTATTCCTTTTACCTTTAGTTTGACATCCTTGATCAATCGAACGATTTCGTCATTGTGTTGCTGAAGTTTTCGTTCCAAATCATGATTCACCATCACTTCGGCTTTCATATCAGATGCACGTTGAATCCAAGGTGAAACGCTTGTTGCAACTATGTAGATATATAAAAGATTATTTCCCTTTTCCTCTTCTTTGTTGATAAACGATTGGACTTACTTTTTTCCTTTTTGTGATCATTTTCTACGCGGGTCAAAGTGTTTGCCAATTCAGAGGTCAATGATTTGAGAATCTTGAGACTTGCTTCCCACAATGTACTTTCAGGTATATCCAAAACTTCATCCGCCTTTTCTCGTACCAATTTCTGAATAGCTTTAATACTGATTGCTTCCTTGCTTCCTCGTTTGGAATCCAAATAGACTGTGATTTGATGGCAAAGCTATGTAATAAAATATATTTATGATTTTATATCTATCATGATTCCTTTTTTTTTTTTTTTTTTTTTTTTGTGCTTACCTCATAACAAAACTTGCATAATTTGGAACTGATCGCATAAAGGGTTTTGAAACGATGTAGATGGTCAGCCTTGAGTGTGAGAGCTTCTTCTGATAATTCTTCTAATTGTCGTAAAAGTTTCCTAATCGTTTCGAAAAAAAAAAGATTGAGTCATGATGTATCACTGAAGTTATTGCTTTCCACTTACTTTGCTGATACTTTACTGTTCTTTGCTTGTACAATCAAACGAGTCAAGGGCTCCAAATAATCCACGTCCAAGCAGACGCTTCCTTCCTCAATTTGGATATCTATAAAAAAAAGGCATATTAGCATTGAATATGAACAACTGCATTTGTATTATCCTTTTTTTTTTTTTTTTTTTTTTGTATACCTTCAACTTTGTGAGCCTTATTTATCAGTTGTTGTACATAGGTAAATTCAACTGTCATACGATCAGCATTAAAATCTAATGCCCGAGTCAAAGCAAAGAATTGGTCCGCATTGTTAGATTCCCCATGATGACCAATATATGCTTCAGTGAGATGTTCAAGTTGGGATATAATTCTGAAAAAAAAAAGAAAGATGTAATTATCTCGGTATAATAATATATTCTTTATAGAACTTCCTTTTTTTGCTCTTTTTTTGCTCTTTTTTTTTCTTTTTTTTTTTTTTTTTTACCTTTGCAATTCATGTAGACAGGAGGAATCATTGATATCATCCGTTCGCAAGAGTTCTACGATAGCGTTCAATCTAGAAAGATATGTCATTAGTGTTCCGATGCCGCTTCTTTCCTTGATTTATATTACCTTCGTTCAGTTCCAACAAGATCATGATAGGCTTGGTTCATTTTCACAAAAGCATCAGGTTTGCAATGCTTGATGAAACTAACAAATCGTTTTGCAAGATCACCTAGCCATCCAGCCTTTTGTCTCATCTATGTAATAATATATATATATATATATATGTTAGGAATCCATTGAATTTGTATCTTTAAAGAGTTTTACCTCGCATACAGTCACCAGGCTATCAGTCACATCATCAATGATTTTCTCACTAATGGGATGATTTTGATCAAGATGCTTGATAATAAGATCAGTCTTGAATACCAGTCGCTTGAATAGTAAAAGACAAGAAATGGGTTCATTTTCAGTCTTGAAGAATGCATCAGGTAGATAAGGTTGAATGTAACTTAATCGATCTGTTGCTTGAGCACCGTCTAGTTTACGAAGTTCTAAATCAATGGATTTGGCTTGAGCTTTCATCACTGTAGATTGTAATTGGAGATTCAAGGACATCATGGCTTGTGATTGGCTGCTAAGATTTTGTTTTTCTGAAGCTTGATTTTCTTCTTTTTGTCGTAGTTGTTCCAGATCACTACCATTATAATTATAATTAGTTTCAGATAAATGATTATCTATGAATTACCTTTGAAGAAGTGAGACTAATTCTCTAAATTGTTGTATAGTCGATTCATAATCAGCAGCAGTTTCTTCAGCAGATTTCAATCGATCTAATTGTTCCCTAAGTAGCATATCACGGTGATCTATATATGAAGTAAACGTCATTAGAATGATATGCAATTAACATCACCACATCAATACATATCCTTACCAATTTCAGCTTCTAGTTGCTTTTCAGTTTCCACATGGTTTTCTTCCAGTTCATCTGCCAGTTCCTTCAATGCTTCTAGGTCATCTACAGTTGCACGTAATTCTTCAAGTTGCTCAGTCAAGTTCAGGTTCTTTTCCGTCAATTGATCCACCAAATCTTCAGCACCGAGAGCGTCATCCAATTGTTGTTTTAGATCTTCCATTTGATACTCAGTAATGTCCAACTTTTCCTTGTAGCGATCACGTTGTTCTATTCAATATCCATAAATAAGTTTATCAAAAGAAGCATTCCCTTTATCATTTTCTTTCCTACCTTTGATGTCATCCAGTTCAAAACATTCACGTTCCAATTCCTTAAGTCGCTCACTAAGTTCAGCTTCTTTTTCCGTGGCTGCATCACGAAGTCTATCAATATATAAATATATGTCAGTGATCAATTCTCTTTTTATATATCATGTGAAACTTGATACCTTATTAAAGCTTCTTTCAATCGTTCATTATGTCGTTCAAGTTGCACCACTTCTAGAGATGTTTTTCCTTCGCCAGAGCCTATCAATTCAGGAGGTTGGTTCATCAAATCTAACCATTCACACATACGAAAAAAAAAATTAGCATAAAATTCCAATCAAAAATGTATATTTGCTTACCAGCCTCTTTCCTTAAAATGTCAAGATCCACGCTAATTTCTTCAATCTTGTCGGTAAGCACATTCACCTCATGTTGTAACATATCAGCACGTTCTTCAGCCATTTCTTTATCTACGGTCATCATTTCCAAAGATTCCAATGCATCAGTATATTTGGTTTCAAACATTTCCTTGTCAGCCAGAGCTTCCTTGAGGTCTCGTTTTGTTTCGCGCACATCCTTTTGTAAATCAGCAATTTTATCTATAATATGTAAAAGAAAAGATGGTCAGGAATAACTTCTTTTTTTTTCTAAAAAAAAAAAAAAAAAAAAAAAAAGAGCCAGTTGGATTGGTACCTTGGAGTTTGTTGCGTAAAGTAAGAAATTGTTCGGCTTCCTCTTTGATTTTTTCATGTTCTCGGAATCGTTCACGATCTTCTTGTCGTTTGCCTTCCAAAATCTTGAGTTTAAATCGAAGTTCTTCATAATCTTTCAATGGTACCATCTTAAAAAAAAAAAAAAGAATGAGACACATTACCAAAAATAGTATTGGAAAAAAAAAAAAGAGATGAAAATCCCACATGCATGATGATAAAAGATTACCTGATCTGATTTGCTGACGGGTTTTGTAGACGCCAAGGCACCATATATTTGTTGCTGGTGGATAGCTGTTGATTGCTGTTGTTCATCTTTGCTACTATCTACATCGTTTTCAGTCAAATGATCGGATTCAGTTGTCGATGCTGTTTCTACTTGATCATTGTCAGTATCATTGTCTAAGGTATCAGTACGTCCAATGTCATCATCATCATCATCGTCGTCATCATCATTGTCGTCATCATCACTATCATCATCAGTATCATCATCATCCAAAATGCTACTTTGATCTGATACCGATAAATTTTGCTGTTGTTGCTCTTGTTGTTGCTGTTGTTGTTGTTGTTGGCGCAATTGTTCCAATTGAAGTTGTTGTAGTTGTTGCATTCGTAAGGCTTGAAGCTTCTTTTCTCGTGCTGCAGCAGAAGCTGAAACATCTTTGGATGGTAAATTGTCTTGGGGTATTGATGATTGCGTTGTAGATCGAGGTCGAGTAACTGAACTTTTTGTTGTTGTAGTAGTTGGTGGTTGTTGTTGTTGTTGTTGACGAACGGATATACTTTTTCGTCTATTTTGTGCAGTTGCCGTTATGGTAATGCTAGCACGAGGAGTATCCCCAGTCAAGAGAGAAGTTGGCCTTCTTTTCACAGTTGGAGGTGTAGTTGGTTTACTAACTGGTTGAGTGGAAAGTCGACGCACTTTATTAGTTTGTGTTGTTGAAGCTCTTCTGAGTTGTTTCTGAGTTGGTGAATTCTCCAAAGAGGATGCAGAAGATCGACTACCATTTAAATCATCACTGCTACTATAGTTGCTGTTATTGTAAACACTTTTTCGCCTTTGAGTATTGCCGGATGGTGTTGTCAATAACTTGACTTGAGTTGGACGTACAAATACCCCGTGTTGTGTTCGACAGTCGAAATAGCGTTTCCCCTGAACTACACCAGAATTTTTTCCTTTGGGTTCATCTAATTCTATACCAACCCATCGACCTGTTTGGAAACTTGTGGTACCAACATAACGAACAGTGCCTGAATTTTCACCATGAACAAGGACCCGAGCTCCTACTTTGAAGTCATAATCCACAATACCATTGGTTGTTGTTGTTGTTGCTGTTGCTTTACTATAGACTGACTGTCTTCTTTGTCTATCAATAGTAGACATTCAAGTCAACAAAAAAAAATAAAAAGGAGAAGAAAAGAGGAAAAGGATGAATGAGTAAAGAAAGAGAAGAAAGAAAGAAAAAAAAAAAAAAGAAAAAGAAATAAGAATATTTTTTTTGACCCCTCGCTGCAAAATACTGCTATAGCGGAATTGAAACTTTATCCTATTATGTATACTGCATCAAAAAAAAAAAAAAAAGATTTTCTGTAAAATACAATAAGTTTTAATCAATAGATTTTATATATAATCAAATATATTGAATATATAATCTATTACCTTTTAGAATGAAACTTTTCAATTATATATTTATGAAAATTCAGGGCTCAATCAAGTCTTCGAGGCAGACAAGCAAAAAGAAAAACATAAAAGACGGAATTCAAAAAACCAAAAAAAAAAAAAAAAATTCGCGTGTTCTCACATTTTGTAACCTCTTTTATTTTATCACCACCATGTCTTCAAATCAGACCATGATTGCTTTTACTAAAACCAAAGATCAAGGTTAGATAATATTAGATCAACTATTATAGGAACTCTGATTAATAAATATCTTTTCTTTATATAGGTGTGAATTCCTTTGTACAAGTCACTCTTCCTTGTCCAAGAACTGGTAAGAATGACATTGAATAACCTTTTTTTTTTTTATTCAGTATCTTATTCTCTTCAAATATAGCCAAGTTATCCAGTTATCTCTATGATGCAAATACAGCACAAATCTATGAACTTTCCAAAGTGGCTGAAGGTAGAAAGACTTGCTGGCTCATCAACCATACAATTTACAAAGGTATACAAAAAAAAGAATAAAAGAGAAGGAATATTGTTAGTTAATATACTGATCGCTTTTTTTTTTTTTTTATTTTATCATAGATGGTTCTATTCACTTTGTGACACCCATGGATCCATTGTTCATTGCATTACCTATATTAGATCAAGCTGGACAAAAAGTAAATATAGTAAAAATAACTATTGATTAAACTAATCATTCTTTTTAAAGATAAATCAACAAGAAGACAGGGGCTTATTTCGTACGATAGATGACATTTTTACTTCTGAACAAGGATCATCATTTATGGATATGAATCTATTGATAAATATTACCACATTCTCCGAACAACTCTCACATCTTTGTGATACACAAGGTAAAAAAAAATCATCTCAATCAATTATATCAACTAACTTTTTTTTTTTTTTTTTTGGTAGAAATATCGCCTGGAACATTAGTTTATAGATTTAATGAAGAAAAATCATTAAATTGGCTAAGGAAAAAGGTAAATAACACCATAATAATGCTTAGTAAAGAAACAAATATTGGATCACTAACCTTTCACTCTCTCTATTTCTTTATTCTTTCTTTGATATCTTTGGGTGGATTCAATGAGGTGGATGGATTGGTCGCCCATTTTGATACCATACCCGAGTTTCATAGGGGATTGATCGATATACCAGAGGACAAGAAGAAAGGTAAAGAAACATAGACACGTACACCAAACTTCAGGACTCATATTTTGTCTTATATAGATCATCGTATTCGTGAATCTATATATGTATTGGCCAAATATCTTTCATCAGAGTGGACTGACAAATTATTCAAAACATATGAAGGGTAATAATAAAAAAAAAAAATGGAGAAATTTCTTATCTTTCTCACTCATTTTATATAGACTTACAATGGAAGATATGGATGACGAACTAGACAATTCAACCAACAACCATCCTTCTGTTGATGATTATTTTCAGTTGGTATCCAACAAATCACAAATAACATCCAACACAGACGACAAATCCGCCAAAAAACAAAAGCCAAGTACTCCTCGTAGTCTTGCCAACGTCAATACAAAAGGAATCAAACCACTGACAAGCTTTTTCAAATCCAAGTAGGATTTGTCTTGTCCTCACTTTCTTCCTCATGGTCAACCCTTTTTTTTTTATATAATATAGATCAACATTTTTAGACATCTATCCCCTTTCATATGCTTTATCATCATCATTATCATCATTTTCATCACTGTCATTGTCTATTTAGTTCTTTTTTGTTTTTGTCACGTAATCCGATTCATTGAAAATGATCAACTTTACTTGATATCTATGCTTTTAATAAACCTTTTTCTCTTCAATATCATGCGAATTACTGGTTTTTTTTCCATGTGAAGCGCATTTATTTTTTTTCTTTGTCTTTTTTTTTTATATCCTTTTCTTATTTGACATTCATATGCTATCTTGTTTGATCATCCATCGTACAAACCATATTATGGTAAGGCCTTTTTTTTTTTTATTTTATTTGGTACTTAATCCGGGTAGCAAAAGCCTGCAACGTTTAAACTTCGGTCGTAAGTATCAAAAAAAAAAAAAAAAAAAAAAAAAAAAGACTACTTACCATAGTTCTCTTTCTATCCTTTTTTTTATGTTCCCTTTTTTGGTATAATCAATACAATGCAAATCACTCTTTTTATCACCTGCAAACCATATTATTTAACTTTCGCAGATTATCTATTCTTCTCCTCTAATTCTTATGAAAAAAAGAAAACAGTATTATATTGTCATCAAATAGGAAAAACAATCATCGATAAAAACGGCTTTTTGAAACACTCCCAAGAGATGCATATTCAAATCCACCATCGTCATTAATCAATAGTTTCATTTACTACTATTACTATCACTATATACACTGGAGAATATTAGGGAAATGGTCTATGATGCTATGGATTAATCAAGAAAATAAAAATCAAATATAGGTCAATTGTTTATTAAAGTATTTGAGTAATATATGTTTGAAAAAAGAGAATCTATGCTACAAAAAAAAAAGGATACGATGAATGGTCAAAACAATAAAGTAAAATATATATATAGAAAGGGAATATAACTATCATACAACGTGAGAGGATGGAGGCCATTCCAAATCTACTTCTAAAACATCCAACTCGATCAAATCCGCTGCCTTGACTCCAGCAATGGTCGCCAAATTGGGAAGGGTTCGACCCAAATCACCGTGAACGAATTCCTTGATGTAAGTACCTGCTTGAGTATTCATAGTCACAATACCTAGGTGGGTATCCTTTACTTCTTCGGCTTTTCTGAGTGTCAGATGGTGAATAGTTTTCTCTCGTATGGCAGCCCCACGTCTATAGATAAAAAGATCAGCGAATGTTTTATTATTCTTATTATTATTATATTATGATTATTACCTTTGGAAAACACGTACAGGAGTGTTTTGAGCCGTAACAAATTCTTGACTACCCTTTTCATTACATCGATCCAATATATCTTGAGTCAATGGTTCGGAAAACCAAACTAGTGCTTGATAGGTTTTTCTCTTGAATTCTTCACCTTGTTTGATGATTTGCGTATCTTCACTAGTAAAACAAAAAGCTTAGTAAAGAGCAATACCAAATAAAATCAATAGTTTGTATTACCGTTTAATTTGCTGAATATTTCGAACTTGCACAACATGAGATGAGGAACAGGTATTGATTTCCTTTTCGATTTGAACACATTCTTCGGTTGATAAGATAGGATGACGTGGATTAACTACTTCAAAATAAAATGGCCTTCCAGTTCCCAACATACGAACATTGGCATCCTCTCGACCAGCGGTTACAAACTTGAGATCTAAAAATCAGGATATATCAAAAGAAAAAGGAATGAGCTTTGTCTTTTTTTTCTTCTTCTTTTTCTTTTTCATATATTACCATCACATCTATGATACTTTTTGAAGACATCCATTATACAACCAGAGACGGACATGTCGGCCAGTTTTTTACCACGTACTACCCAAGGAGTTTGACTACATTCACGAGATAATTTCAAATATCGTCCTCCAGTATATGCAGAATCATGATGCATCGAAATGTTGCTTAATATACATCTTTCTTTCGGAGGAGTAGGCGGAATCGTTGTGAGTCTATACAAAAAAAAAAAAAAAAAAAAAAAAAAAAGTGTCGAATGAGTTTTTTTTTTCCAGTGCGCTAGATTCCATATTGAACTATTTGCTTATACTTACGCGTGAGCATCTTCAGGAGTGAGTGCGTTCAATGCTTCAGAGATATTTTGTCGTGAATCGCCAATAGTATGCGTCATTCCCTAATGAAAAAAAAAATAAATAAAGAAGTTAGCTGATATATATTTAGCTTGTCTCTTGCTTTTACCTTTTTCTTGACCTTCCTAACACGAAGAACAGGATCTTTAACTTGAGTAAGAAACAAATGTTCTGATTCAGTTGCTGGATGTTCCAAAGTAAGCTTGATATGGAAAGCAGAGTCAGGATTGTACTGCAAACAACTCGTACGTTCTAGCTCTCTACCTGTGATAGAGCGATATAAATCCTTGGCGTCACGTATCCCAAACTTCTTCCATCGATCAAGTCCAGTTTCAATTTTTGATTTAGATGCTTGTTTGTCTAGTTGATCTTGTACGTGAAGTTTGAGTAAATGATCGCGATGGTTCATACTAATAGGTACAGTGACGACCAAGGCAAAAGAGTCCGTTTCATATTGTTCTTGTTTCAACTTTGCACAAATGGGCTGTAGAATAGTGGTGTCATCGCCAGCATATTGAAAACAACCAAGACAAGCTGTACAAGTAGGAGAGGCAGACTGTGAAGATTGATGGAGTAGATGATCAAAGACGAGTTGCAATTCCTATTTTGCCAGTCATAAATGAAAAGTCAGGCCATTAGTTTCTTTGAATATAATACATATGTGTGTATCTAATTTACCTTTTCAGTATAAAAGTAAAGAGAATTGTTGCGACAGTCGAAAAATCGTAATATACAACGATGACAGCATTTTGCCTGGCGTAAAATCTTAGCCATATTCAAACACAAAGTCAAAGAAGTATCCTTACAGTCACTCAGGCCCAAATGATTCAAAAGATGCTTGATTTCATTTTCCAATTCCTTGTTCACTAGGGATTCATCAACAGTAGAGCCAAAAAGGGTTGACCAAATGCTTTTCAACATGTTGCTTGAATGAAAGAAAAGAAGAAAAACATAAAAGAAAAAAATTTCTTGACATTTACTCAAGATTGGGAATTTCAAAGACCGTTTTATGTAAATTGCCTTTTTAACCTTTTTTCAAAAAGTTTATTGATTATTTTTTACTTTTTTTTTTTCTTTTATAAGAATAAATAAATAAAAAGTGAGAGGAAGTAGGATGACTATACTAATTCTAAAAAAAAAAAAGAAATCATCATCTTACTATTTTCTACCAGAGGAAATATCGTTGAAGGCTGCCGAGATACAGTTCTTGATTTCCTTGTAACTGACAATCAAACATGATTGTTCATCTCTTGACATCAACATGATCTTTTCATCTATACCAGCATCCAACTAGTAATGATAATATAAAAAAAAATGAATTAAAGTTTCCTAAATAATAATTAATATAAATTAATTACCTTGTTAAGACATGTCAATACATGAGCCATATCCACTACCGGTACACCATTTTCATCTACTTGATGGAACACATAATCTCTAAATAGTTTGATGATATATCGATCTCCAGTCTCAGACCATCGAGGATCCATATCAAATCTAAAACAAATAAGTATTCACTTCAATTCTCTTGGTATATATAATATATATTTTTTTACTTACTCTGGTCGTTCATTGATAAAACCAAGTTTTGATAATAATCGTACCAGGCGTCCATTTTCTAATTCCTTGCTAAGTTCACTTTCTAAAGCATCTGAATAACTAGATATAGTCATTATTAGTTTATCGTTTATACCCTCAAAAAAAAAAGAACTTACTATTGACTACAATTGATTTCATGAAGTATACGAGGACCAATCAAGGTAATGGCTTCATCTATAGTTTTTGTAGGTAGAGGTTTGCTGAGTAAAAATAGTACCAAGTTCTTGAGATCAGGAGAATAATATCGAGATATAAATTCAAATGATTGTGGAAGGTTGTGTACTGATTGAAGAGAATTGCATGCCAAAGCAATCACCAGTTTTCCAAATGATAATAAATCTTCTTGTTGATATCTTGCCACATTTTGACCTCCATCATATTGTAAAACATCCATAATACCGGAACAGCTGATTCGAAGTCTATGTTGAAAAAAAAAAAAATCAGTTTTGATTCTCTCTCTTTTTTCTTTTTTTTTTTAGCAGTTTTGCTTTCACTTGCCTATTTTTTCCAGTCAAGAGTATTTTATTAGGTTCAATATTGCGAGAAGCCAAACCTGATCCATGTACAGCTTTGAGAGCAGATGATATTTGTGTAATATAACTCCATAGTGTTGTTTCTGGCATAAGAGCATTATTACTTCCCATGGCTTGTAATTGAGCAAGTAATGCAGCTTGTGCTTGAGGAGTGAAATGTGCATTATACAGAGTCACAGAGCAAGGATGATAATCATATGTGAAGATTAATGCTAAAAATAAATAAATAAATAATAATAAAAGAAAAGAAGTTAGTCTTATAAAATCTGTTTTTCCTTTTTTGGTTTATTTACAAGAATCTCCAAAAGCTCGAGATGTAAATGCTTCACGTATAGAAATAATGTTACAATGTCGAGTATGTCGCCAGTTTTCTATCACAGACATAGCCATTTCGTTCACTAATCTAAAACCTTCAATGCGGACAAGAGCATAGGTACGACCATCAACACTACATGTTGCCTTGTAGACCCAAGATGGATGACCAAAGAATTGACCAGGTTGATCCTCTAAAGGACATAAAGAATGATATACATGTACTTCTTGAGGAAGATTGTCATGACCAGCTAGATATAAATAAATAATAATAATAAAAAAAAAAAAAAGATCAATAAAATAAATATATTCGCATGTATATACTCGTACCTGGAGGTGTTGCTAAAATAGCTTCATTTCTTCGGGTTAATTGTTCGCGTAAATGATCTGGAATGAAAAAGGATTGAATCGATCTTTGATGTGGATGGAGATTCGCAACGTGTGGTAAGGCTGATGTATACAAGTGATATTGTAACTAGATAAATAAAAAAAAAAGGAGGAGTGAGTTTTTCATTTAGACTTTTTTTTTATCTCATGTCTTACCGGTTGTCTTGGATATCCATGATTCATATAAAAGTAAGGATCTACAGCACCAGGAGGCATCATATTCATCATATCTTGAGGCATTGGTGGTTGAAAATTAGGAGGTATTGCTGGAGACTATAGAATTATAAAGAGTTTATTAGTTATATTGTATTTTTTTATTATTCTATTCTAATTCTTACCAAATCGAATTGAGAGAAACTATGTGTCAATGTTGGCATAATATTTGGATCTTGAACATGTCCATCGGATTCAGATGACCTTTTTTAAAGAAGAATACCAGAGTTAAATATATAATCAACAAAATCATTTTATGATAACTTACTCTATAGGAGTTTCTGGCTGCACAGGAGCTGACATTGGTGTTCCTATATTTATAAAAAATCAGATTTTAGAGAGAGAGAATAAAATTAAATGTTCATATTTACCTGTCCGTAGTGGTACTGGGTTATCTATAATGACACAAAAATAATATCAAAGATTAAGAGAATAGATCAAAAGTTTTACATGTTGAGAATGCTACCTGAAACTGATTTGGGAACGAATACGGGAGCATTGACACTATCAGCTGATACTGAAGACACAATAGATGTTGGAAGAGTATTTGCTCTAGCTGGTGAAACAAGTCGTACACTTGTTTTACTATAAAAAAAATTGTTATAGTATTAAAACTGACAGATATATTGTTGTTATTGTTTTGTACCTTTCAGGACTTGGTTGAGCTACTGATTTGTTATTGTTCTATTAAAAAAAAAAAAAAAGAATCGGGGTATTTTAGTTCAAACATAAAAGAGTATAATTAATTGAATATAAAAAAAGATTGTATCGAAGATTGGGGAACTTCCCAATAATATTATAACCTTTTTCTTTTTTTTTTTTTCTTTTTTTTCTTTTTTTTTTTTTCCTTGTCAAAAGTATTTACCGTGTCGTGGTTGAATTCACATCCTTTATCTTCAAACTTGCAGAATCCGTGAATAATAACATTGCGACACAATCGTTTGGCATTAGCTGAACTACCTTGAAAAAAAAAAAAAAAGGAAAAAAGAAAAAGAAAAAGAAAAAAAAAGAAAAGATAAATAAATATATAAATATAAAAATATATTCAGAAAAATAAATATATACTTTTTGAAGCTGGCTTTGGTGGAACATTTTTTGTTGTCGTTGTGGAAGGAGAAGTCGGTGTACTAGAAGGAGGATCGTCAGAGGGTGCAACTATTGGAATAGCAGACATGAAGAAGGGTGAAATTATCTAATATATAACAATAATAATACAAAAAAAACGTTAATTATTCTAGATTTAATATTCAAAGTTCTCTTACATAAAAGCAGGTACAGATAAGATATTAATAAATAATAATAATAATATATACTAAGAAAAAAAAATAATAAACAACTTAAGAGGGAAAAGAATTGGGATTCACAAACAAGAGAGACCAAAAAAAAAAAAAGGAAAACCCACTCAAAATCCACCCTCGTAACTTTATTTCACTCCCCGCTTTGCTCTTTTTTTTTTTTTTTTGACTGCATCCTATTTGCTTTCCCTGGATTATATATATGAATGGTAATAAATATGATGGATGATAATATTTATTTTCTTACAATATTAAGAGTATAAATTGGTTTTATTGATCGAAAAATAAGCCTCTACTTTTTTTAATGAGATGATCAGATATGAGAACGTCATTGTGATAAGAAAAAAAACCCATTTAAAGGCAATTTGATTTGTTGTAAGTGCACATTGACGATATTCATCTACAGTACTGAAACTATGAATCGCGATCTCCATAGCCACACTTTGTTGCGAGTATTTTCAAACATCGAATCGATATTGATGCTGTAAAGCACATCAATACTTGTTTTGTCACTAATATTACAAAAATGATAGTTGATTTTATTGTTAAGGAATATATCTGTAAGTATATATTATTATTGTTATGATTACTGGAAAAAAAGAAAGGAAAAAGGAAAAAAAAAATGCGACTGAGTGAATTTGTCCAAAAAAATAATAAAAAGGTTCTCCTTGCTCTTTTTTTTTTTTTTCTTTCTTTTTTTTTCTTTTTCTTTTCTATATTTATATACCTTTTATATATATAAAAATAAATATATATTGTATATAATTATACCTTATTATTTTTATATTATATATCTCCAGTCCTTTTACTCAATGGGAAATGCTTTATCTCTCACTGCTAATGTTCAAGACTTTACTACCAAAAAGTCTGATTCATATCCTTCTACCATGACAGTTTATAGCAAAACTCCCAGTGTATCATCCTCCTTGAAAAAATCCAAGAGTCGTTGGAGATCACAAGTTGGTGATGTATCTTCATCTTCAACAAGAACCACCATGACAACAACTATTTTGGATATTGGAAAACCTACTCAATTCGAACATGGCATTCATGTTGAATTCAATAGACTTACTGGCAAATTTATGGTAATAAAAAAAAAAAAGGAAAGATGATGGTTTGACCGTTCTTCATCTATTCTTTCTCTTTTTTTTTTTTTTTTTTATCTTTAGGGGTTACCTGATGTTTGGCAATCCAATCTACCTAGTGACGATGTACTTGATACGAATTATATTAACCCTAACCTTGTACCAGCACTTCCTGGTATCAGCAAACCTTACAATATACAACATAATATTCATGTTCAAATGGATAATTTTGGATTGGTTGGTTTACCTATAGAATGGCAAAAGATATTGTATTCGTCTGGTTTTATGCAATCATCTGCTGTTAATAGTACATCATCCGCTCCTGTTGACGACTCATTGCATACACATCAACGACAACAGCAATCAATACATGTATCAACAAATTCCAATTCATTCACTACTCTTTCAATCGATGATACTCTTTTACAGCAACTACAACATCGTCCTTTGCCTACTATTGAAGATGATAATGATGATTCCTACGATGATGATGATGACGATCATACAACTTCCAACGATATATCTCCCATCTCTCATGAAACTCGTAAGTGCCCCAATGTTTGATTTATCATCATACTCCTCTTTCATCCACTCCCCCCTCTCTTTACGCACATGCGCACACTCGCTCATCGTCTACCCCTCCTTTCTCCTTCTCTCTTTCTTTCTCCCTCCTTCATCTATTTTTAAAATGATTCATGTGCAACTTATTATTATTATTATTATTATTTTGGTCAGGTGATACTTCAATAGTAGATTTTCATATGCCGTCTTCATCATTGTCCACTTCTTCGCTGTCATTGGGATCTCAGTTCATTGGTAAGCCATTTCACAAAGATAAGATTTGTAAACACATGAGAGTGATTCTATTTTATTTTATTTTTATTAGACGAAATTATAGAAGCCATGCCTCCAACTACACTATACTCAGACCTAATTCTTATTGCTAATGGTGATTCTGGACCTATGTATGCGGCAAAACATGCTCTTTCAAATCGAATGGTGAGGATAGTTTTTTTTTTTTTTTTTTTTTTTTTTTTTCTGGATCTGTGGTTGTCATGGGACGATGAGGTGGTACAAAGTAGTAGTAGACTAACGATGATTTATTTTTATATTTATGTCTTATCTCAAGGTGGCTATCAAGAAAATTCCGTTGACAGCCAAGGAAAAACTTACTAAACTGGATCAAGAACTACTTTTGATGAAAATGAGTCGGCACCCCAATATTGTAGAATTGATAGCAAAGTATACTGTGGAAGATGAAATTTGGGTAGTGACTGAATACATGGATATTTCTTTGGCTGATATTATTATGACTCAATCCTCCAATTCTTCCTTCATCGCTGAAGTGCAAATGGCAAGAATCGCTAGAGAAATTGTACGTGCATTGACTCATCTTCATCGATTACGCCGGATTCACAGGGATATACGCAGTGACAATGTCTTGCTCAATCATCGAGGTGATATCAAACTAGGTAATAATAAAAAAAAAGATAAAAATCATGATAAATATATATATATATATATATATATATATATATACGGATTGACTTACTATCATTTTATCTTCTTTTATGATTTCATATACATCATAGTGGACTTTAGTCAATGCGCTCAATTGACAAATCATCAAGAGAAACGTCGTTCAGTGGTTGGTACTCCCTATTGGATGGTAAGGTTTTTTTTTTAAAAAAAAAAAAAAAAAAAAAAAAAAAAAACACGACAACGAATACTTATCTAGCTTGATAAACATAGGCTCCTGAAGTCATCAAAGGTCAAGAATATGATACAAAGGCGGACATATGGAGTCTAGGCGTGATGATGATGGAAATGATTCAGGGTAACCCACCTTATATTGATCATCCCCCTTTACGAGTAAGATATCTAAAAAAAAAAAAAAGAGTCATTCTTATGCTCTTACTGATTATTCTTTATTTATTTATTTCTTGTAGGCTGTCTTTTTGATAGCTGCGAATGGTATTCCAAAACTCGATCATCCTGAACAATGGTCTCATGCCTTGAAAGATTTTATCGAAAAATGCACTCTTATGGATCCTGATGCTCGTCCTGATGCTGAACAGTTACTCAAAGTAAGTAAAAAAATGAAATACAATGACTGTAATCAATATTCATCATTCACAATTCTTTATTTTTTTTTTTTAGCATCCTTTTTTAACCATGGCAGCCACTTCTGAAAGTACGATGGAACTCGTCAATCAAGTCAAAACATGGAATGAAAGAGTGGAAGTCCGATTGGAACAAGACGTGGAAAGTCTAGATGTAATCAGTGTCACACATACATGATCCCTTTATCATATTTTTTTTTATTATTATTATTATTTATTATTATTTATTATTTATGCATCATTTGTACATCTTTTTTCTTTTTGTTGATCCCCACACATATTCATTTCTATATATACACATCTATTTACATAGTAGTTTTCTAAGTACCCATTTTCCGTTATTCCCCTACCTTTTTTTTTTCTTGATACCCCTTTTGATATTCCTAGTTTGACTTTTCTGTTTGTTTCTCCAAAAACGACTGACCAATAAACATAAAAAAAAGATATATATATATTATATAAAAAATCACTTTATATAAAACATGAAGTTAAAAAAAAAAAATGGAATACAAGAACTATTTCTATAAAGAAAGTGATAGATGCTAATCTAACTGAACTAGTAGTTGTAGTAATAGTAGTAGTAGTAGTAGTAGCAATCCAATCATGACGGAGAGGTCGAGGAGATAGTGGCAGAGATATGTTTTGATGAGGATGTAGAAGGTGGAGGAGGTGCTATTGGTCGTAAATTAGACAATGGCTGATTGGTTTGTTGATGTGGTTGCTGTATAGATGCTGATGTTATTCTACCATTTGATCCTTCATAGTTTCTCTTGTTTTCATTATCAGAGTCCTTAATCAGTTGTCCATCCATAGATCCTCGAGTGTTACTTATCTCTTGATAGATCAGGTCCGCCTTATTTCGCAATTCACATTGATCTAAAACCAATTGTCGTCGTTCTTCTTCCAATGACTGTCGTTCTTGTTCCACTAGTGACTCCTGCTTCAGATATTGCCGAAGTTTCTGCTTGAATAATTTCAATTTGCTTCGAATCAGATCTTGAGCTAAAGATTTTTGTTGTTGTTGTTGTTGTTTGTTGATATCCATATTGTCATCATCACCATTTGCTACCGTTCTATTGCTGATATCCTTTGTTGTTTGCTTGGAATTGTTTGCCACTATTGAATTCACCGTATCAGGATCAGCATTTGCTTCCAAGAACGCCAAGACAGATGCGAGTGGATTATTGTTGTCACATCTCTGTTTCCGGTGTTTTTCATCAAAATGAGCAAGTCCAAGTCGCAAAACATCCAAATCAACAAAGGGATCCTCCAATGGTAACTCTAAATAGTGTAGGATACATTGTTCTCGAGAGATTCCAACATGCTTGGCAACGGCAGACCAATCATGAGCAAACATTTCCAACCCTTCCAGTAGTAGCACTTTTTGTTGATCCGTCAAAGATGGTATATCAGTCGTATTATTGTCAATAGTAGCATTTTTATCGTCTTTATTCCCATCCTCATCATCCATAGAATCTAATTTTGATGATAATGCTGGCGATTGTCCTGTTGCCTGATCCTTATTATTAGAATGTTTCTTCAATGTTCGCAATGGCGTTGGTGATCGATAAACAGATTGTCGTAATTCCAAGTTGAGATTGATTTTATCCAGCTTTGGTATACTTTGTCCCTCCTCAGTAGCCTGTTGCTCTCTATTCACATTCAATGCTTTTCCATTGGTTGATGTATCCTTGGGTTCATTCGTTGAAGTCACTTTGTTGTTATCCTTGGGTATAAATGAAGGTAAGGACGACGAGCGTAGTGATTCAGGCATATCTACTACCACCTTGAAGTTTCCAGTAAAAGGAGGACCAATGTTTGACATTTTCAATGTAGGATCAATCTATCAATATATAGATAAATAAATAAAAGGTCAATCTCTTATACCAACCATCTTTTTACGTTTTTTTTTTTTATTTATTTACCTGATAATTGATCAAACCCCATTTTTCCAGGAATCCATGAACACGTATTACAGTACAAACATCACCAGGTAGATTGCGTCGGCAAGCAGTCACTGTCAAGTATTCCAAAGGATTGAGTCGATAAGTATTGATCATAAAGTTCCTAATATTCATGTATACAGTAGGAGATTTCGTTTGATTGGCACCGTTGAAAAATTCAGGTAATGATCGTCTTTCAATCTTGTGAATATTGTCAATTTCAAACCACGCTGCATAAGATGGAATAATCACTTCGTATGTTTGTGTCGGTAAATATCGTCGCGCTTGATCCTGTAAGTCAGTATTGTTTCTTCTAAATCGTTTGTTGATATCGTCAATAGAATCATCACCACTAATATTGTCACCAGTTGTATCCAAACTTCGTTTTAGTCCAGCTATCACAGATGTCGAGCACGCGTAATCCATAGGGTTCATCCAAGTATTGAATTTGTAACTATCAGTCAACCAGCTTGATTGTACATAAATAGGTTGTTCTTGTTGTTCCGGTGATGTTTCTTCAAATCGTTTGTTATCCTTGATTTTCCTTTCATCCACCCATTCATTGTAAGAGTCGGGATATCGATACCAATGAATTAAAACACGCTTGTCTATAGATTCCAATATGTGCACCATTCGTGAAGTAATCCTTTTTGAGTCATCTTTTGTATCGTTTTTGTGAAAGACTACAACGTGCGTTGCTTTGGAACGATCTGTAACCATTTGACCTAAATAATAATGATAGATAATAATGAATAATTAGATAAAGAAAGAAAAGAACCTAATTTTTTTTTATTTACCTTTCAATTCATTCACCATGGATATAATATCTTGTTCCTTTTCGTCAGTCAAGCCTATCAAAAAAATTTTAGGAGGACTATAGAAACCGGCTTCTTGCAATTGTTGAAACATGAGATGAGTAAGTTCCAAGTACTCATTTCTTTTCTTGTGTGAATCAAAATCCCAAAGGTCAAAGTCAGGTTGGTGTGCAAATGCTGTTTTGAGAATGATATAAAGAGGTGAGGCAGGCTGAAGTTGATCTACTTGAAACATGGAAGGAGGAAGACAAGGTGGCCAAGTTGGTCTTGAGTTAATATCATTACTTGTATTGTTAGTGGTTGTCGTTTGTGAGCCACCTTTTGGTTTTTTGTGAGTGATGGAAGAGAATCGAGCAGCTTGAATAACACTAGGATTACCAACTACAGTATATTGGAAATGCTGAAATGAGGCAGTAAAAGAAGCTAGTTGAGTCGCTGTACACTTGACGACTACGTTGTGTGTTGTAGCTAGATCGCGGCGGAAATATGGAAGGATGGCTTCAAATCTATCTATTGTTTCTTGTTTATCATAGAGATCGAAATCGACCAGTGGTTCCGTAGATGGTGATGCGACCATTAGAATATAATAGTATCAATTTTCAGAGTAGAAAAAAAAAGAAACGGAATATGTGAATATAGATTGGAGAAAGAAAGAGAGAAGAAAAAAAAAAGAAAGGATACGTGATTTCAGAAAAGAAAAAAAAAACCGAAGAAAAAATAACACGTTTCAAACAGCGATGACAGCCGTACACACAAAAACAAAGGTATGAAATGTAAAATAAAGATCGATTTTTTATTGTATACAGAATGGATGATTGATAATATATATATAAAATAAATAAAATAAAAAAAAAAGGAATGGATGGAATATAATTCTAAATCTATTGGTCACCACTATAATAAGTATGTTGAACATCAGCTAACTTTTTACCACGCATTTTGGCAATATCTTCTGGAAGTCGTTGATTAGACAGAGCTTCAAAAGTGGCCTTGATTACATTCATAGGTGTTCTTGATCCTCGTACTTTTCCACTCAAATCTTGAATACCAATACAGCGACAAATTTCATGGACATAATGATTTGCTCGACAGCCAAAACCTAATTTTCACAAGAGACAAAACATTTTTATGTTACTACTATTCTATTGATTTTCCTCTTCTTCTTCTTCTTACCAGGAGGTCTACTACGAAGATATAGTTTGGTGGCATGGAATTTGTGTGTGATATCCATGGCGACAGTACGATCATCATAACGATCAATATATCGTAAGTTCTTGATTGCCCGGTTGGTAGCTTTGCGTATAGCTCGAGTTGCTTCTTCGTCTTTACCTTCACCGTAACCTGCCAACCCATTACCATTTCCAACCACAACCAAAGCATACATAGAAGGTTGTTTGCCTTTGCCGTTCATGTTAACTACACGTTTGACCACCAAAGCCTTCTTGATCAATTTGGCTTGTTCAATAGCACTGAGAGGAGAATCAATGATATCAGTGACAGTATTGAGAACAACATCGGTAGGACGGTAAGAAGGAAAGGTCTTTGGTTGATCCAATGTAGTTGCTGATTCGGTTTGGAAATCCAAAATAGAATCCACCTTATTTAGTTGAGGTAAGTTTTCCTTGGTGAGAGCGTCATGTCGTAATCGATTGGTTTTATTGTTGTTTCCTTCTACAGTAGCATATTGACGAATACCATTGAATGCAGCCACTAAAAAAAAAAAAATAAGAAATAAAAATGAGTTTGATATAAAAGTCAACTTATTCTTTTACATACCAGTTGTATTTTTTGAAGTTGGAAGAATAGTAAGTTTTTTAAACGACCTTGCTAAAGCCAACATGACCGATATATAATTAAAAGAAGGGGCTGTTAAAAAAAAAAAAAAAAAAAAAAAAAAGAAAGAAAAAAATAGGCCTGGGCAAGTCTGAAGTTTAAAATATTCGATTTCACGTCACAAAAAAAAAAAACACCATCACACGCCTGATTGACATGTTGGGTGAAGCTTAAAATTTGTTTTGAAATGGCTGACACTCAGTTTTCTTTTTTCCTATTTTCACTTTTCTTTTTTTTTTTTTTTTTTACTTTCTTTCTTTCCTTCCTCAACTCCCCACTCTTTTTATATTCTCTCTATCTTTTGACAGAGAATGAACTTTTTAAAAGTCGCCAAACCATTATCCGCTGCAGCTACTCGTCACACCTTTGTCCCTGGTAAATAATAATATTTATTAAATATTCATTTTGAATTGAAATGGACTAAATCTTTTTTTTTTTTAATTATTTATTTATTATAGCTTCGCGCTTGTTGACTGCTCCTGTAGGTAGTCAGTTGGCTCGATTCAGTACATCTTCGGTAACAAAACATGCTTCACCTCAAGACAAAAGTTACCAATATCCCGGTAAAGCACCTGGTGTTCTTGATGTTGCTGCTCGCCAACTTCTTCTCACTGAATTAATGCGTGGTATGTGGGTTGTATTAGAACAGTTTTTCCGTCCTCCATACACTATTTTCTATCCTTTCGAAAAGGGTGCTCTTTCTCCTCGTTTCCGTGGTGAACATGCTCTTCGTCGTTATCCAACTGGTAAATAGAGATATAATTTTAATATATCACATACCGATGACAAACAATTTTTTTTATATGATATTAGGTGAAGAACGTTGTATCGCTTGTAAGTTGTGTGAAGCCATTTGTCCTGCACAAGCTATTACTATTGAAGCTGAACCTCGTGATGATGGATCTCGTCGTACTACTCGCTATGATATTGATATGACCAAGTGCATGTAAGTAACAAAGAAATAGAAAAAAAAAAAGATGGATGATGCTTATATTTTTATTTTTTTTTTTTTTTTTTATTTTTCATCAATAGTTACTGTGGTTTTTGTCAAGAAGCTTGTCCTGGTAAATAATAAAACATATTATTATTATTATTGATACATTGATTTATTTACATTTCCTTCTTTATCTATTTAGTTGATGCTATTGTCGAAGGTCCCAATTATGAATATATCACTGAAACTCACGAAGAATTACTTTACAATAAGGAAAAACTTTTGGCTAATGGTGACAAATGGGAAGTTGAAATCGCCAGGTAATTATGAGATATTCAATATTTATATAAAATGATGATAATAAATGTAATAACTAAAATACCCCATTTGATAATTTTAGAAACTTGCAAGCTGAAACTCCTTATCGCTAAACTATTGGCTTAATCTCGGGTTTCTTGGACACGCTTTTTTTTTTTTTTTTTGGCCCTTCCTCCCTTTTACTCTTCCTTCCTTCATCCTATCATCAAATCAACCGAAACAATTTTTATTTTATTATCCCCATTCTTAGTTAGAAAAGAAAAAAAAAAAAAAAAAAAAGAAGAACGACATTGATGGGTTATCTTTTTTATACAATTTAGATTATTCAATAAAATAAACCCTAATGTTTGTATTCTCTGTTGGATTTTTTTTTTTTATTTTGGTTTCCGTCTTTTTTTTTTTTTTTGGTCCTTTTTCTTTCCACTTTAGATTAGAAATGAGACTAAAATATTCGTCATCAACCATCTTACAACTATTACTACTACAACTATTACTTTATAGTAATCTATTATCTTATGTAGTTGCTGATGAACACAACCATAAAGTAAATATCCCATAAATAGTAAAGTCCTTGTTATTGATGAATACTAATTGTTGGTTTTTGTTATATAGTATCAAGATCATGACGAAGTAGTTGCTTGGATGAATACTGTGGGTTCAATATACAATAGACAAGAAACATACCCCTATTTCAAACTACCTTTTTGTCGCGGAACTAGTCAAGTAGAACATCGACACGAAACATTAGGTGAAGCTTTACAAGGCATGGATCTTGTTAATTCTGGTATATCTATCCGATACTTGCGTAAGTGTAGAGAAATAATAAAAGGACTCCTTTGTGGCGTTTATTAATACTATCTATATATAATAGAGCCTATTGAACATCAAGTCATCTGTAAAACAACTCTCAATCCTCAAGATATTGAAACCTTCAAACAAGCCATTAGTCAACAATACTGGTTCACTATGTTCATAGGTAAACCGTTATAAATATATACTCATTTCTTATGACGGATATGATGATTAATAATCCATTGTTGTTATTGTTGTTATTGTTGTTATTCGCTAGATGATCTGCCTATCAACGCACCAATAGGTATATCCAATTTAGATCAGGACGGGACAGACGTGACATATCCGTTACATCTTCACAAGGCATTTACGGTGGAATACAATGATGATAGAGTAAGTCAAACTTCCCGTCATTTGAACTAGTTAATCATCTTTTTTTTTTTATCCTTCTTTAGATTATATCGGTGTCATTAGATCAACAAGAACCAATGAATTTGAACGAACTTTCTACACCAGAACTCTCATTCACCTATTCTGTTACATGGAAACCAACATCAATATTGTTTCAAGATAGATTCGATCGATTATTGGAGACAAAGTTTTTTGAACACAAGGTAAGTAGTAAGAAAAAATGACTGAAATGGAAAAAGAAAGAAAAGCATCATGAATTTAATTTGATGGATTTTGATTCTTCTTGATAAAGGTCCACTGGTTATCTATTTGTAGCTCCTTTATGATGGTACTTTTTCTGACTGGTATGGTATCTATTATCTTGTTGCGTACGGTGAAACGGGACTTTTCAAGGTATGATCGGGAAGAAGAAGGTCTTGACGATTTTGTAAGTTCTATTTTCAATATATATATGTTGTTCTCTCCTCCCTTTGGATGACCAACTCATTTTTTTTTTATTATTATTATTTTTTATTTGTGATTTTGATGGGAATATGATGAAATAGGAACGTGATCTTGGAGATGAAGGATATGGATGGAAGCAAGTTCATGGCGATGTGTTCAGACAACCACCTCATTTAATGCTGATGTCTGCTTTTATTGGATCTGGTAGCCAATTAGTGGTCATGGGATTGGTGATGATCATGTATATCATCAAAAGTCAGTCCTATTCTGAACGTGCAAGCATCATGTCTGCTAGTATTGCTCTTTACACTTTGACAGCTGTGGTATCTGGATATTCAAGCACCAAGTTTTATGCAACTTATGGAGGCAAAGATTGGGTGCGCAATGTGATTTTGACAGCAATTATTATTCCTGTGGCGGCCGGATGCGTTGGTGGTTATATCAACACATTAGCAATCTATTATTCTAGCTCACGTGCTGTTCCCTTTATGGCTCTCTTTTCTGTGATTGTTCTTTGGTTTTTAGTAGTATTCCCATTGACTATTCTTGGTGCAATCATTGCTCGTCGATGGGGTGGATATAATGGAAGTGTGGCTGGTGAATTCCCATGTCGTATCAATCCCATCCCACGTCCTATTCCTGAAAAATTATGGTATCAAGAACCACTGGCCATTGCTGCACTGGGTGGCATTTTACCGTTTGGATCTATTTTTATTGAAATGTATTTTATATTCACCTCTTTTTGGACTTACAAGATCTACTATGTATATGGATTCATGTTATTGATCTTTGTCATTCTCTTGGTAGTCAGTTCTTGTGTCGCCATTGTTAGTACTTACTTTTTACTTAACTCTGAAGATCATCGTTGGTATGTTACAAAGAACATTAATTTTTTTTTTTTTACTCACTTTTTTTTTTATTTATTTTGTAGGCATTGGGTTAGTTTTATGTCATGTGCATCAACATCACTCTATATATACCTTTATGCAACTTATTATTATTTTACGAAAACAAAGTATGTATTATTAAGAATGATATTGTTCATGAACATTAACTTTTTATTTTTATTAAATAGGATGACAGGGGCCTTTCAAACAAGCTTCTACTTTGGATATACAGGTTTATTGTGTTTAGGTATGTTTTGTATGCTTGGATTTGTTGGTCATTCCGCCGGTCATTGGTTCGTTAAGAAAATTTATCAAAACGTCAAAATAGATTAGATTTTTTTTTTATTATCATCCCTGTAGTATAGTATATACTATGGGAAAAGCAATATCAGATTTCCGAAATAAATATCAGATTTCCGACATTTTATGAAATCCTTTTCGTATTTCCTGAATTAATTTAGTATTCTTCTTAAATGAATTTCGTTTAATTTCGTTTTCCAATTTTTTTCTAAACTGATTCCGGAAACATTTCATTTCAAAATGAAATCAATGTCGTAAATCCGAAATGAGTTTCGTGTCGTAAAATCAATTCCGGAAATATGAATTTCATTTTATTTTACAAGAATCAATGTCGGATTTCCTAAATTGATTTCATTTTGAAATGAAATGGATCTCGTTATAATGAAATGAATTTCGTCCAAAGTCAACCTTTTTTTTAAAAAAAAAAGAAACAAGTTTATTGTAATAAAAAAATAAAAATAAAAAATCCTAAACCAAACCTATGTTTTTGGGACTCGTATCCTTTTCGCAGATCCCTTCACTATGGGAAAAAGATCTAAAATAAATTTGAATTAGATTCCGTAAAAATGAAATGCATTTCAGGTACAAAATCAAAGAGAAAAAAAAAATGGTAAAGTCGGTTCAAAGTCAGTCATTAGCATAAAGGGAAAATCCACCGTATTTCCTTTTTCTTCGCTTTTCTTTCTTGTTTAATTCACTTTTTTTTTAACATGACAAACTGTAGCTCATTCTGTGCCCTCCATATTCCCACAAGCATTATCAAGCCAAATATTGGTTGAAGAACACTTTGGATACCATTACCGTTTAGTAATGAATTAAAAGAATTGGTGCGATTCCTGATAGAAGAAGTCGTAGAAATCACAAAAACATCTTGAAACAAAAAGTACAAGAGGTGACTCATCTTATATTTTTTTTTCTATTTGGTTGGACTCTCTTTCTCTACCTTTCTCTCATTTGTCTCTCATTGGAATGGTATTTTTCATCAAATCTCTTATCTACGTAATTGGTCTTTCTCTCTACTTTATCTGTCTTCCAACATGGTACTTTCTTCTCTATCCTTTTTTTTTTTTCTCTTGGTTGGACTCTCTTGCACTGATCTCTCTCATTCTGGTGGTGTCTTCCTCAATATCTGTTTTCATACTTGGTTAGCCTTTTTTTCCTTTCTCTCATCTGCCTCTTATTGTAATGATGTTTTCATCAATATTTCTTTCACAGGTGGTTGAACCCTCTATTCCTCTTATCTGTCTCTACTGTGGTTGGTGATTTCTTCAAGATCTTTTTCCTGCATTGTTGGTCTTTGCCCTTTGTTTTTTCCCGCTTGATATGGTGTCTCCCTATTATCATTCTCTCTCGTGGTCTTAGGCTACTACTCCTGTTCCTTTGGTTATCTCCATTCTCTTTGACAAAAAGTCAACAAATTATACTATATGTAAAATGCTTTTGGTTATCTCTTTGGTGCTGGTTTTTATGATTGTTACATCAATATTGGAACCTGATGTAGCCAAGGTAATATGTATATATAAAAGAAAAAAAAAAGTGAATAAGATCGATGGATTTCTACTCACTGTGTTTATTTTTTTTTTATCTGTTAGGTTTCAGGATAGCGGTCTATACAATCAAATGTTGAATGGTCATCATTACTTTATACTTAGCTTTTGGTCAGACGAAGATCATGGTGTATTGATCTTTGTTTGTTTACGGGCAATGGACTTGGTCGAGGATGATCAGTCTCTAGAGTCGTTTATGAATCTAGTGACTGAATTTTGTGCTCAAGTAGGTGGAGGGCAAAATGCAACACGTAGGAAATTCAGTTATTGTCTGTTGATCGTGTTGTTTCATGCTGGAGTCCTTGTAAGTCCTGACATTTGCGGTATTTGGTTTGGAAAAATTATTGAGGATCATATCAATGACTGATAGTGGAGCGCTATACGTAAGACGATACAACTATCTTTCTTGATGATCTGAAATTGTCTGATATCTGCATTTGGCAAGCCTTTATTTCTCTCCAAGCCAACTGTTATGATGATATTGGGTTTACTGGTGGTACAAAACATTCGATGGTGTAGCCAAGGTAACTTGTACATAGAAAAAGAAAAGAAAAAGAAATTACATTGATGGATTACTACTCATTTTGTTGATTTTATTTGTAGCTTGCTAGATTCTCGTCTATACAATAAAGGTGATGCAAACATTCGATGGTGCAGCCAAGGTAACATTTATATAGAAAAAGAAAAGAAAAAGAGACAAACATTGATGGATTACTACTCATTTTGGCGATTTTATTTGTAGCTTGCTAGATTATCGTCTATACAATAAAGATGATACAAACATTCAATGATATAGCCAAGGTAACATTTATATAGAAAAAAAAAAGAAAAGAGAGTGATGTTGATGGATTATGATGGATTACTGTTTGTTAATTTTATCTGTAGGTTGCAAACTATACAATCAAGCCAAGATCGACTCCCTTCTTCGCCGGAATGACTCTGTTAGACTGCCAATTGAAGTATCCATATCAAATAAAATAGTTATATCCAAAGTGGAAGTCATGATCATTATCTTGGAGGTGTTAGTCCTGGTCGTACTGGTGAACGTTATCCTTGTAGTATAGTTATGTAGTATAGTTATGTAGTATAGTTATGTATTATATTTATATCAATGAAATAAAGTCTCTTTCGTGTCTATAATGACCGATGACTGTATATTGTATTCAGAAATGAAGTTCGGTTTTCTGGAATCAATGATGAAAAATACTAAATGAATTTCGGAAATCCGACATTCATTTCATTTTTTTCCGAAATTCGCATTTAATTTACTTTGAAAGCGACGTAATGTATTTCAGAAAAATCAGAAATCAAGAACGTCTGTACTAAATCGAGTCAGGAAAAAAAATAAACGTATTCAGGAAAAATAAAATTTATTTCAGATCTTTTCCCATAGTGTATTATTATTATTATTTGAAAACAATTCCCAATAAAGATAAGTCTCCTTTCTCTTCAATTTAATTGTTGGAGAACAGTTACTGCATATTTATATACTCAGCCGGTCTTGTTGTCCCATGATAACCGTCATAAAGTAGTAAGTAATCATCAAAATAACGATCATAATATTCGCATTCATATCATCATACATTCACCCATCATTTATTATTCATTGTCCAATCAATATCCACCAAACAATCAGTATAACCATCGACATGATTGTCACGCATAATACAATTCAAAATAAAAAAAAAATGCAGGTTTATTAACATTGTGACATAAAAGTCAACATCTATATACATAAAGGTCGGGTAGGGAATGATTACTCTAAAAAAAAAAAAAAAAAAAAAAAAAAAAAAAAAAAAAGAAAGAAAAGGAGGACGGTCTGTGCGTGTAACAACAAATCAAACAAATAAATTCCGGATTTCAGTCAATAATTCACCATCTAATGCCAAGGACACTTTTTCAGGCCAAAAAGTAGAAGACCATGTTGTTGTCATTGTAGATTTCCCAATAGGATACAGTTGTTGTCGTTTCCGTCGATACATAACTTCAAGGATCACTGTAGGAATATCTTGGATACCCCAACTAATCATCTCCATAAATGTCAATCGTCCACAGTGTTGTACAATCCGTTGTATGGCATTTCTGTTGGTATCCCCTGTATTTCTATTTTGCGTGATGGATGTAATGAGATCGTTCCCATCATTTTCGTGGTCCTTGATCGTCACCATTGTATCATCATCAAGTTGTTGTTGTTGTTGTTGCTGTAGAGCGCCCATGGCATGTATAGACAATTGTCGAATTCTTTTTGCATGTTGAGCTACGGCTTTCAAAGTGGTAACATCTTCACATCGGATATCCAATCGGATCAACTGATCGCCATAATACGTAATAAGTCGAGAGATCATGGTGGGGTGTATCTGTTGGAGCGCGACTTTCAGAGAATGAATATGACGACAGTTGTTTTTCAAAGCTTTGAGAGCCATTGTATTTGCGTTAGGTAGTCGGTTGTGATTTGCACCAAAAAAGGCATGGGTAAGGTGAGGTATCATATGTAATAATGCATCTATTGCTGTGGATGAAAAATCGGTCCAATCTAGATGAAGAGAAGTTATTGTTGTTGATAGTGATGCCGTTGAAGTTGAAGATACCGATGATGATGATTTTCTTAATGATGATGATGATGATCTTGATGATGCTGATGTTGTTGATGATGTCAATAATGATGATGAAAGGAATAAAGTAGAGCCGGAGTCAACATCGGTAGAGGTCGCCTGGATATTGTTGTTGTTGTTGTAGTCAAAGTAATAGGATGCAGGAAGTTGATAAATACTGGTAAGATGATGATCTTGAGGTAGGATTGGATTGAAAGGTTCAGATTGACGCTGGCAGACAAGATTACAGTATCGAAATTGAAGAATTTGTAAGGACGATTGAACCAAAAAAGGAGCGACCCGTTCAATAGGCAAAATAGGGAAATCACAAAAGGTCAACATTTGAAGGTGAGGTAACCATCGTTGACACCATAGAGCTTGAGCATCACTAATAAGCCATTGAAAACTGCTTTGACAACATGTCAATGTCAATTGCTTGGTATGTTCTTTCATGACTTGTTGGAGCAATGGGGATCGGTGAAGAGCTTTGTCTAGTTGAGCTAATTGTTTGCGGAATTTGATATGCACGTGGCCATAGAGATGAGGTAGACAAACATCATAACCTTGGTGACTAACAAGACAAAACTTGGCTAGAGTGGACTGGGGTAGTTCCGTAAAAATGATATTTAACAATTCACAAGGTAGATCAAATAAATGCATAAGAATGTGTTAAAAGAATGAGAAAGGGAACGGAGAGGAAGAAAGAAAGAAAAAAAGGTTGAAAGAAAAAGAAAAACGAGAAAAGAAAGACATTTTCTCTTTTTTTTTTTTCCAAGGGGAAAAATGAATATGCTTATTAAAAAAAAAAAAAAAAAAAAAAAAAAAAGGTGATTTTTACCCCTATCAATTTTTCCAAGCTGACAAAAAAGCTTTAACATTCTTTTTCACAGGGAAAATCAATACATTCATGTCAGCATAAAAGTAGAAACATCCAAATCGGAACAGATCGCAAAATAGATATATAATCAAAACTATAATATTCTAAAAAAAGGACAACTATGAAATAAGAATGTTGCTTTTTTTTTTATTTATTTCTGATGTATAACTAATAATAATAATAAAAAAAAAAAACTATAATCTAATGTTTGGCAGTAAACTTGATGTTGTCAAAGGCTTCACGTTCAGCAAATTCGGCACTGACTTCTTCAATATAGGGTTGGAGATATCTGACATCCTAAAGAGAGAAGAGAAAAAAAAAAAAAAAAAAGGATATCAATACCCAATCATTCCAAATAAAACTATATATATATTGATACACAAATTAATTCCTAGACTTACAGTTTCATGAGTAGTCCATTCAGACTTGGGTAAGATACTGTGAGTCAAAGAGCATTGCATAGCCACACGCATACGGTAAGCACGATCATACATTTGACGAGGTTCAGCAATTTCAAGACGACGAAGAGCTTCCTTCACCAAAGGGTTTTCTTCAGAAATCAAGTCATCGTATTTGAGACCTATAATACAAAAAAAAAAAAAAGTTATTTGTCAATAATCATGGTTGTCTTTCATGTCATAATATATATATATATATCCTCATTGCGTTCGTTTGTTGTATTCTATTTTTTTTTTTCTTCTCTTGATATGATAAAAAAAAAAAAAACATAAAAAGCATCTACAATCTTTTTTATTTTTCTTACCGATTTGTTGATAACCAGCAGCACCAGCATAAGCCTTGGCAGCAGGCTTAAGTAATCCAGAAAGGAACTTGGAGTTTTGAACAACACTCTTGAGAGAAATGGTGGCCATTTTTATATCTTAAGTTGTAAACACAAAGAGTGGGGAGATAGGTGAAGAGAGAGAGAGAAAAAAAGAGAGGAGTTGAAAAAAAATTTGCTGGGGTTAGTTTGGGAAGAGGTCAAAAAAAAAAAAGACAGGATGGTAAGGAAATGTTTTTGTTTTATTGTCGTCACATTTTTTTCAATTGCCGCATAAGACCCAAAAGAAAAAAAAAAATCTATCACTATAAACTATACTAAGAAGGATCATCGATCTAGTTGTTCTTGTTGTGATAATAAAGGTCGACCATCACTTGCTTCACCTTCTTCAAAATCATCATCTTCATCATCTTCATCATGTTTGAATTCTTGGAATTCATAGCTTTGCGAGGATATTGCAGAAGATTGATTGGGTAGAGAAGGTGATCGCCAATGTTTTCGCTTGTGGAAGTACATACCAGTTGCCAGGCCCAAAATAGCTGCTGTTCCAACAAATGCATATATAAATACACTATAATCTAACGTATCATCATTATCCAATGTTGATCCTCCAGGTGATACTGAATCAGTATCTTCTGCTTCATCCAAATGAGTTGGTATTGTTGATTCTGAAGAAGTAGGAGTGATAGTAGTAGTCGGCTTCACTCTAGTAGGTCGTACTGGCGCATGCGTATTGTCAACTTGTGATGATGATGTTGGTTTTGGTGTGGTTTTGATAATAGAAGTAGGTACATCATTAGTAGTATCATGGTTCACATTGGGTTGATGATCAGGTTCACCTTCAAATGTAGGATCTAATTCGCCAAATAATGTCATTGTCCAGTTCAACATCCGCCCAGTAGATTCTGCATTGACTTCATCGTATATAAGTAAAGTCCAATTACCAATAGGATCTTCCTCCCTATAAATTAAAAAAAAAAAAGAAAAAAAAAAAAGGATGATGAGATTTTATTTAATAGAATATAGTGGTTCATCACTTTACCAATGCTTGACAGTCATGAATTTCCAATTGCGAATGCCATCAGCACTAGCATCACCACTACGTACTGCAGCTAGTTCTGATTCCACATTGTTGGGGCTTCGTAAAATGATTTGCACATCACCACGTCGTTGATGTTCAATGTTGATGGTCGCTGTGATATGTTCCAATCGTGACAGACCTGCTGCATTGATCATTTCTTCTGATACTTGTATAGTACTTTGTAACGGTTTCTTGTGTTTGTCTGAAGTAGTATCTGGGATATCAGTCACGTTCATCTTCACAGGAAGTTCCAAATAAGTTTGTTTGTTCACACTCTTGAACACTTTAGCAGCTTCCACAATAGCCCAAGTATCCAATTTGCCATATCCATATTTGTGATTGTACATTCTCCCAGAGGGTAATTTCTTCCAATCGTCATCTTCCAAATCCACAGGTAGTGCTGTTTGTACACAAAGGTGCTGCATGTCACGCCATGTCAAGTCAGGACGAACAGATAATACTAGAGCAAAGATTCCTGCCGCATTTGGAGCAGCAGCTGAAGTGCCACCATGGATATCAGTACATTCTTCATGTCCATGATTGGTTGTATACTAATGATAGATTCAAACAAATAATAAGAAATAATGGTCTTGTCATTTTTACAAAAAAAAAAAAAAAAAAAAAAAAAAAAAAAAACACTTACAATAGATTTGCCACCACCACTAGAATAGGTCACTACAAGTTGTGCAGAACATCTTTCGGCATAAGATGGATGATGATTTGTATGATCCAAAGCTCCAACAGTGATTGTGTATATGCTATTCGTGTATCCATCAAAGTTGCAATTGTCGCCAGCATCACCTCCATTTCCAGTTGCAAATACATAGACTGTTCCTTTTCCACCACGACCATTTTCAATACCATTGATGAATGCATCCGCCAAGATACCATTAGGAGCTTCCATTGTTTTACCATCATCAGGAGGTCCCCAAGAACATGAAAAAATATCATTTTCTTGATACTTGTAATTCAAAGCAGCTGCTTCATCTACATCAGTAATTTCGCCTGATAAAATACGAATGCCTATATTGAAATAAATGAATAAATTGGAATAAAAAACAAAAATAGGTAATCATTTACCAGAAACTTTTGCGTCATAGGCAATACCAACCCCACATGCATCATTTTTGACAGCGGCAATCTGACCGGCACATCGAGTACCATGATAATCATTCCAAAGTATAGGTGTGGGCAAATCAACATGATCATTAAAATCATAAGAACCTTCAGCATACTATGCAAACGAAAAAAATAAAAAATAAAATAAAAATGTAAGCGTATCATTTCATTTCACTTTTTCTTTTAACTACCTACAAAATTATCCTTCAAATCTCTACTTTTATAATCCAATCCATCGTCCAATATAGCTACAATAATCCCTTTCCCTGTTACACCTTGTTTCCAAGTGGAGGTAACATTAATATCATTTCCAGTATGTTCTAGGTTGACCTAAATAAAAAAAAAAAAAGTTAAAAAAATGATATACAATAATATCACATATATTATATTATTATACCAAATGCCACTGTTTATCGAATCCAGGATCTTTGATACCAAGAGTAGCTTGAGCATCTTCTAATACAAGTTTACCAGAAGTTAGGATGGGAGCACGAGGAGGAAGAACAGCCCGCTTGGAACGTTGTTTGAGTACTTGTTTATCAATACGGTTGACTTTTACCCAAGGTGAAGTAATACTGTCACGTTTTGATAGTTGTTTCTTGTGTTGGTCAAATAAAGTCAAAACAGGATCATAGTTGCCACTTGCCCTTTTCGTATATTGTTGTTGTTGTTGCTGTGATACCAAGAAATAGGTTTTCAATTCACCAACAGGTCCTTCATACCTTGTATTCAGTGATTGTGCAATATGTTTGGCTGCTTGATGAGTTGTATCGTCTAGATGGCCTTGGGGAAAATGGAGGGTATAGTACTGCCGTGAAGGGTCCCTTTTGATGATGGCGGCTTGAATAAAAGTCAAATAAGCTACTGCTACCAAGAACAGTAACTGCATTTATATGTTCGTTTTAAATAAAAACTGGAATAAATATCAAATAAATAGAAGAAAAAGAAAAAAAATACAAGTCAAAAAGTATAAGGATAAAAAAGAGAGTGAAAAAAAAAAAAAGTTAGAAAAAAAAAAGAGACATTTCGTTTGACTGATTCTTTTGGTACGCCCAATCAAAACCATCATGTATCTGGGTTTCAATTCTCGATGATCCAATGCCCTACTTCTCCTCTTATATTATCGTTAACAAAGTTGTATATGATGATCACCCCCTTTGGCCACAGAAAAAAGAAAAAATAGACCTCCTTAAACCAATAGATATGTAAGTATGTGTAAATCAAACAGCATACATTCATCCCTTTATTTCAAATAAAAACAATGCATCAGAATAAAGTAAACAGATAGGCGATATTAATTTTGGGAAGGGAACACTTGACGTATATTCAGGTTGATCCTTGCACTGGCCATGTAATTGCTATATAATTTCCAATCATCTTGATCCATCAAATAATCTGGTAATGTGTTTTCTAAAATACGAGGTACTCCTAAAATATAAATCAAATTAATATGAATCTATATATTTTTTTGATCTTTTTTTTTTTTTTTTTTTTTTTTACCATGATAAGATTTGCGACTAGATCCTGTCATCAAGATCAAATCTCCAGATCGTAAACAAACAGGAATAGGGGCAACATTCTTGCTAGTCCCTCCAATAAGATAGATACAAGCATGACCAAAACTATAGTATAGGGTTTAGAACCATTCTTATAAAATAAATATATATACATTTTTCTTTTTCTCTTACCTAACAGACACTATAGGAGCTTCCATATTCACTTCACTTTTGTCCACATGAGCCATTAATGTATCCCGTAATTGATAGTAATTGATCACACCTGCTTCAGCTTTGAATGTAGATCCACGATATGTATTTTTCCATGATGTTGTTGATTCTGATGATGAATGTTCGTCATTGCTATATCCTATCCCTTCAGCTGCAGATACCACTGCCTTTGCTAAATCATTCAATTCTTCTGGCATTGGCAAGCCATTTTCCAAATCATAGAGTTTCGTCTTCCAATCATACTGATATCCCAAAGTAATCCATCGTTGCTTTCGTAATAGATCACTGGGAGGGAGTAATGGAGTTCTATTAGTTGCTGTATCATCACCGTTGTTTCCATAGAGATTGTTGTTGCCTAGTTGCTTGTCGTTAGCCTTCGATGGTACATAATATTCTTTATCTTCAGCTGTCAATAATCCTTCGTATTCACGTTGATAAAGATCCCAAATTCCCTTTTTTGGTCGGTCATAATGGGCATCAAGGTTGGATGTATTGGGTGGTAAAGTATAGTCGGTCAAACAAAGCTGAATCAATCTTCGTTGTGCTTTGGGTGTAAATGGATTGGGAATAATAATCAAACCTATTCAGTAGTTGAAAAAATAAAATTAATAATTAATTTTTTTTTATTCTTTTTTTTTTTTTTTTTTGTGTTAATTTACCAGGTATTTGAGTGATCACAAAAGCATCTAATGATCGTCGTTTCCAAGACTCATCCACAAGGCCAAAAATATCAGGACGTTCGAACCTCAAATCGGTAGCCAATGTCACATGTCTAATACCATGTTGTTGTTGTAATGATGGACTGAAATTGCTGTCAAGTAACTGAGAGGTATCGACGACCTGCGCCATAATGTCAGTGGGTATTATGCGAGATTTAAAGTTGCGTTCAGAGTATCGAAAAGGATCTTGACTAGTATATGAATCTGCTTTTTGTCGTTTGGCGGTATTGTCGTTTTGTTGTTGTTTCCATATTTTAATTTGTCGTTTTGATTTGAGGTGAGAAGGTGGTAATTGTTCTACCATAGTATAAGAAAAGGGGAAAAAAAAGTTGAAGAAAGAAAATGGCTTTTTTTTTTGGAAAAGCTTTTTTTTTTTTTTTGTCTTTTTAACCAATAAAATTCCTTTTTTTTTCTTAGATGCCAGAATTTTTTTTATATTTCAGTCATTCAATCATCTTACCAAATTTGGACCAAGCAACAGATGAAATCATTCTCTTTTACTTGACTTAATGAGAGTTTATGCTTTATCTCCCAATTTATAAAGTAGATTAAAAAATGAAATCTCAATATCGTTATCTCTCATGTAATAATGATCATCATCCAATAAAATTACCATCATTAGATTCTTCTTAAAAAAGTAGCCCAATAACGTCTAATATCATTTCATCACTTATCCTGACACATAACGTGCGATGACCAACAAAAGATTTCATCGATCTTTCGAAAAATTGCCTGATGACCCATCGACGATTTCTTTTTACAGCTTAAATTTGGCTGAGGAATTCGAAAATTTTGGCTGTAAAAAGCCAAAATTCTCAAAAAAAGAAAAAAAAAAAAAAGTGAATCTACAGTCCTATATAGAGATGTAAATCTCCAGTTGTACCATAAAACCACTACTAGTAAAATATGTTCATTTTTATTAAAAAAAAAAATCATCAGAGTTTATTTATAAGTATATTTTTATTTGATAGTTGAATAACAAAATAAGTATGAACTAACGTCTAATCTAAAC